TATAAATTTAGAGTATTACTAGAAAATTCTATATTATAATAGATATAGTAATATACGATAATATAATATATATAGTAATATAATAAATATAGTAATACGATAGATATAACGATATAATAAGTATAGTAATATAGTAATATAGCGATATAATAATACGGCGATATAGTAATATAGTAGTAGATAATTTTAGTATTCTAAAATTTTTAGTATTTTAAAATTTCGCTAAGTCTCTACGTTTTAGTCTCTACGTCGTTAAAATTAAAATAACTAATCTTTATAATTATAATAGCGAACGTAATAAATTTTCTATATTAAACTATTAAGCTAATAAAAAAGAGAAAGAATAATATTAATCTAGATTAATATTAAAATTAAAATATAGATTTTAACTATAGTCTCTCTAAATTTTATAAATTTAGAGTATTACTAGAAAATTCTATATTATAATAGATATAGTAATATATAGTAATATAATATATATAGTAATATAATAGATATAGTAATATAATAGATATAGCGATACGATAGGTATAGCGATACGATAAGTATAGCGATGTAGCGATACGGCGATGCGGTAATACGGCGATATAGCGATGCGGTGGTAGATGATTTTAGTGTTCTAAAATTTTTGGTGTTCTAAAATTTCGCTAAGTTCCCGCATTTCGGCCCCCACGTCGTTAAAATCAAAACAACTAATCCCTATAATGTAGACTTTAATTAATTCTCTCGGTTAGATAGTAGAAATAACGGTAGTAGAAATGGCGGTAGTAGGAATGACGGCGGTAAAAACGGTAGTAGTGGGAATGGCGGTAGTAAAAATGGCGGCGGTGAAAATGGCGGTAGTAGAAATGGCGGTAGTGAAAACGGTGGCAGTGGAAACGGTAGCAGTGGGAATGGCGGAAGTAAACACGGTAGAAGCAGACACGACAGCAGTGAGAAAGAGGGCAGTAAGAACGGCGACCCAGCGTGCCGCAATAATCCGCTATTTAAATACATGCATTGGCGAGAGTAAAGAAGCTTAACAGATTTCAATGCCTTGAAGTGCACTGCCAGTGCGCCATTGAGCAAGACGGCAAGCGTAGTCGGTGCTACCTTCTCCCCAGGCGGCAGCTCTTTTCTTCTTTGCCACCATCTTCTCGTCATCCGTCTCATTTGCAGCGTGGCCCTCAGCATTGAAATAGCCTGGGGTGCAGCCGAGGATGGGCGAGAACCAGGCGGAGCGTTTGGCCGTCTCTTCCGACCAATGCTCCTCGGATTCGGCGGAGGGCTCCACGGAAAAGGGCGCGCCGTTCGCCTTCTTGCTGGCCTCGGCCACGATGAAAGCAGTGTGCGTGGCGATCAGGTCGAGCACATACGTAATGTTACCTGCAAGTGATGTTGAGACAAAGCAGATCAAGAACAAAACTGGGAGATACTTACAGGCCATGCCAGTCTGCGCGGGCGACCAGAAGAACATGTTCGGAAAGTCGTGGCTGATCATGCCGTGGAAGGTCGTGGGGCCCTTGTCGGCCCATTTCGTATCCATATCCAAGCCTCCACGCCCATACGCCTTGACGCTGGCATTCCAAGCGGGGCTCACGGGGTCGCCAACAGCAGCACGGAAGCCGGTGCTCAACACCAGCACGTCGACGGGATACTCGACGCCGGCCACGACGACGCCAGTCTCGGTCAAGCGGTCCACGCCCTTGCCGTCAGTGTCGATGATGTCGACGTTGGGCTGATTGAAGCTTTGCAGGTACTGGTCATGGAAGCCAGGACGCTTGCAGTAGGTTGGGTACCAGGCGCGCAGCTTCTCGGCCTTGGCTGGATCCTTGACCTCTTGGTCGACGCGGGCACGCACGCGCTGGGCGCGGGGAAAGTCAAGGGCATCCATCCATTCGATGTGTTTCCTCACGCTCTCAGGATCGTTGCCGTCGATAATGCCCCTGTGGGTGGCGCCGATCAGTGCGCTGAAGCTGGGCATCTGGCACCAGCCGTCGCGCACCAGGTCAACGCCCTCTGGCCGGCCCATGACGTACGAGTTGAAGTTCTCGGCGCGCCGCTTCTGCCACCCAGGGGCGCCATTCTCGGTAATGGCGGGCCAGGCGTTCGGGTCCGTCTCGTGCTGGCCGCGAACATCACAGGAGGAGGCGGTGCGCTGGAAGACGTAGAGGTGCTTGCTCCACTTGGCTAGCTCTGGCACCACCTGGATCGCTGTGCTGCCAGTACCGAGGATGCCAACGCGCTTGCCGGCCAGCTTGTCCAGCGTCTGCAGTTCGGGAGAACCGCCCGTGATGCTGTAGTTCCAGCGTGCCGTGTGGAAGTGCTGGCCTTTGAACTGGTCCAGACCGGGCATCTTGGGAATGTGCGGCACGTTGAGCAAACCGCCAGTCATAATGACGAAGGACGCACGAACTTGCAGCTCGCGGCCGCCCTCATTTGGCCCGCGGTACTCGGACATGGACACGACCCACTGCTTGCGTGACTCATCCCAGCGCTGTGTCTTGACTTGCGTGCGGAACAGCGCCTTGTCGGCCAGCGAGAAGTGTTGGGCGATTCGGTTCGCGTGCTCAAGCAGCTCCGGTCCATACGTGTACTTGTGCTTGGGCATGTAGTTTGTCTCTTCCAGGAGCGGCATGTAGATGTACGACTCGACATCGCACATGAGGCCCGGGTATCGGTTCCAGTACCACGTGCCACCGAACCCGCCCGCCGTGTCGACCAGCCGCATCTCTGATGGAGAAAAGCCGGCTTGGATCAGGCGAGCGGCGAAGATGAGTCCGCCATAGCCTGCTCCCAGGATGAGGAATTTGCACTCATCCCCATCATTAAGAGCCGGGGGTTGGGAGTTGAGGACATCATGATCAACCCATGGGTCGTCATGCAGGTACTTGTACTTGTCGGTCTTGTCGAGGTCGACATACTGGGTGGATCCATCAGGTCGGAGTCGCCGTTGGCGTTCAGCGGCATATTTGGCCTTGATTGCGGCGTCCGGAGAAATGGGTGTGGTGGTCATGATGGGAATAGATTCTAAAGAAAACACTTGGTCGAATAGGCTTGCTCTGTCTCTGTCTGTATCCTCTCCAACCTGGAGTTTTGCGCCTCTTTATCGTTGGCAGAACTACACATGTATATTCAATTCCCGGGTTTCGGTATTTTCCCACATCGGTTTTGGGCAGGTCTTGGTGGAGCACAGACCGCTTGAATCAGTTTCTCTGCCGCTCGTATAACGACTATGGGCGCCTAAAGGCGAAAGTGCCTACTTGAGTGTCGGAATTGCTCCAAGCCGAGACTCCTTGTAGGAATCTCTGCGGGTAACGGAAGCAAGCGAAGCCGGCGTTGGTTTAAGAAACATAGGCCATGTCCAGGGTATACGTGCGTACTCCAAGGCGGAGAAATCCGTCGTCCACATGCCGACGCAAGTACAAATTAATTCCGAAGGTGGCAGCATTTTTCACTGCATTTTCTTATTGAGCTGGCATAAGATACCTTGCTAAAAACCCTCAACTGCTGCATAACACAATGAACGTTCCTGATTTCGACCATCTGCCCAGCGTCGAAGGCATGCCGCAAGGCTGCGCCTGGGGGGTCTTCGACCAGGACGGCAAGAAAGACATTTTCGGAACCCTGAACCACCTCACGCCCGAGGTTGTGGCCGCCGCTGCCAAGGAAGCCAAAGACGGCATCTCCATCTCACTGAAGTACAACACTCCTCAGAATATCCATCCTCGAGACTGACGCAGAAACAAGCTGGCCGCTCGACAGTCTCAAGACGCACCCTGGCAGCAACCGCGCCCTTACTACGCACCACGTGCACTCGCTGCGTGACGCCGGTATGGACGCGCACGGCTGGGACGATGAACTGGCCTTCAACACGCAGGGCTCCAGCCAATGGGACAGTCTGTGCCATTACCAGCACCAGGCTTCCGGCCTCGCGTACAACGGCTTCCATCCGCGGCGCGAGCACTTCACTTCTCCAGCTTCATCACCCGCCGCGCCCACGCTTGACCACTGGCACGCCCGCGGCTGCATCGTCGCGCGTGGCGTTCTCCTCGACTACGCGTCCTACTATTTCACCACGCGTGGCACGCCTCTCGACCCTTTCGCCGGCATGCCTATCACCGTTGCCGGCCTCGAGGCATGTGCGCGACAGCAAGGTATCGTGTTCCAGCCAGGCGATGTGCTCGTGATCCGCACAGGGTGGACCGAGGCGCTGGGCGGCCGCAGTGCCGACGAGCAGGCGCAGCTGCTGTCAGGTTTCCTCGCGTCGGGAGTTGAGGGGAGTGAGGATGCAGCCCGGTGGATCTGGAATCAGCGATTCAGCGCCGTGGCTGGAGATGCGGTTGCATTCGAGCAGATTCCGCGGGCTAAGGAGGACGGAAGTGCCTGGGGGCCGGCCGATTTGGGTGAGTTGATTGCGCTGTGACGAAGTTCTGTGGCTCTAACCAGGAAGTAGTACTGCATCAATACCTTTTGTCCATGTTCGGCATGCCCATCGGAGAGCTGTGGGATTTGAAGGCTCTGGCGGAGCATTGCAAAAAGGTGGACCGGTACAGCTTCTTGCTGGTTTCGGTGCCTTTGAACCATCCTGGGCTGATAGGGAGTCCCCCGAATGCCGTGGCCGTCTTTTAGTTAATCTACAACTTTTTGTGTTTCCCAATAAACTCGGCCACAGCAGCCAAAGAATCTCTCGCAAAGGTACGCATGTAAGAGCAGTCGATATCGCCCCTCAGTGTTGCCTGGACGATTGTCTGCAGCAGCCAGCAGATCTCGCCCGCATGCCGCGTCACTTTGGACAGCAATATTCCCTTTGCTTCCGCCCTTGCAGTCGCTTCTTCCCAGAGCACCTTCCATTTCTCCGTTGCGCAAAACACGGCGCTCAGCTGTGCCGATGCGAGCACGCTTATGCGAGCCGTATGGACGACGCCAGCCATAACTTGGAGCACGTCAGTCTCAATATTCATCTCCAAAATGCCCCGGTGACTCACCCCATATGACAGCCTGCAGCTGGAGTGGATGTAGCGTGGGAAAGCCATCCTGCACCCCGACCCGAGCACCACGTGTCAGCCCATTGATTAACTCGCACATTGACAGGCATTCTCGTGGAGGCTCCAGCATCATGATCCTCTCAAATTCGATTGCTGTCTCGGCCTCAAACAGCTCCTCATTGCACAACATGTCCCCTGTCATTTCTGCCACGGATGCCTGTGGAGAGCTGCTGTAGAACAGGCAGAGGTGGCTGTCGTACATGATCGTAAACATTCCGAGCCTTCTTCCGTTAGCACCATCATCTGTCGAATCAATTGCAAGCGTGGTAACCTTATTCGACACTCGTCCGCTACGAATTCCTCCCAGCTGGACTTAGCCCGCTTCCGAGACCACCCCAACAATCCCGCTGCGCGCACGACGGCGACCAGGACGGGGTTCCTCTCCACTCTTATCCGGCGCCGCGTTGCGATGTCGTGCATGCCGCTTTGTATTGTGGATATGATGAAAGCCGCCTGCAGGACTTCAAACTCGCCTGACGCCGCCGCGCAGCCATCATCCCGGCCCAGATAACGCCTGAAAGGGTTCTGTGTGAAGATGTATTCCTCGATGAGGCCCAGCAAACGGCGAGCTTTCGACGACCTTTGCTTGGTGCCCGAGCTGATTGCCAAACCGACGGCAAAAATCGCCACGAGAAGAGCCATCGGTGCCGTCTCTAGCGAGAAGGTTGGCCGGTGCATGATGGGCATTTGTTGGTGGAAGTTGCTGAAGAAGCTATTCACAAAGCCGGGAAGATTGCCTGTGGTGAAGACAGATCTCGCGAAGTCGTAGTCAAAGTCTGTCCCGCTGACGTTAGCCAGTTGGTCGACGGCTTCATCTAGACGAGCGCTGAGATGCGGCGAAGCGTTATAGGTTAGCGGCAGCTGATCGAGGCCACTGTTGTCCTCATCCCCATAGTTGCACCAGATATCAAACAAAGCGCCAGCACAGCTCCATCCAAAGGAGGATGTGTCTTCGTCCGGGAAAAATTGCCACTCGGCAGCATTGGCTGGATCCGCATGGTTCTCAACTGCTGCGAATGCGGCGAGTGATGACTCGAAGGAACTGTCGACAAAATTCAGCAAGAAGGGTGCGTCGTGGTGTTCCGTGTCATGATTGCCGCCTTTCCGACGGTACGAGCACGGCATGCCCAGTGACATGCACCGGGAGCATGGCGAGGCCGTGTCGCACGACGTTTTCTTTACGGTACACCGGTCGCAGGCTCGGGCCTTCCGACCACGCTTGGCTTGCGGAGGGGCGTCCGCCTGCTGCTTCCTGGCGCATGAAACGGCATGTCTCCGGGCGACGTCCCTGGTTCGTCAGCGGCTGTTCCCGTAGCTCACGGCAACGGCAATAAACTCACGATCTGGCGAACGGCCGGCTGCAAAAAGGACACTGGGCAGACTTTCGTCCAGAATCTACGCCACGTCAGCAACACCAAGTGAGATGAATGGTTTCACTTACGAGTAGTCTCGTGGCGGCGGAGATGGCCGGCTGTGGAGTACGCCTTGTGGCATAGCTGACACACATACTGGCGAGCTGTGTCTTCCATACTCGAGTAATTAGGGAGGGACGAGTTGGAGGTGGGAATTGGCCGGGGACGTGGGCTTTTACCGCGAGCTTCGGCGACTCTACGGCGCTGATCACCGAGTGGACCTCCACACATCGGCTTCGGATGCTGAGCAGCTATACACGTTGTACAACTCGGAAGACGGAATCATCCTTTGTGGGTCCAGCAAAACACAATACATGCCTATAAAACCGCATTCAAAACCCTCCCTGCGATACACCATCCATCCCTGATACAGTGCCATCCAAGGGCCAATCGGACCGAAGACGGTTTGGCCGTCGTTACATTGAACTCTTCCGGCATCATGTCCTCTCAAGCAAGCCAGAAGAGTCAGAACCCAGCACCATCCTTCGATCAGGATCTCGAGAAGGCGGAAAGCTGCACAGCCATCCCAGCAGTCGAACAATCACAGTCTCCGGATGAAGACGACAGCCTAGTCTGGTGGGACGGCCCCGACGACCCCGCCAACCCACAGAACTGGTCTACACGGAAAAAGTGGCTGAATATTGGTCTTTGCTCCGCCATCACCTTCGTTACACCGCTCGCCTCGTCAATGTTTGCCCCTGGAGTGCCAGAAGTCCTGGAAACCTTCAACTCATCCTCCCGCCTGCTATCGAGCTTCGTGGTCTCCGTTTTCGTCCTAGGATTCGCCATTGGGCCGCTCATCATCGCGCCATTGTCCGAGATATACGGACGCGTCCCCCTCTACCATGTGGGGAATGTCGGCTTCTTCATCTTCACCATTGCTTGCGCCGTTGCGGATAGCATGGGCATGCTGATTGCATTCAGGCTGTTGTCAGGTTGCTTTGGAGTGACATGCTTGACTATAGGTGCAGGCACCATCGCCGACACGATGCCAACGGCGCAAAGAGGTAGGGCCATGGCAATATGGACGGCTGGCCCGTTATTCGGCCCGGTAGTCGGACCAGTGGCTGGAGGATTCCTTGTCCAGGCGATGGGGTGGAGGTGGGTGTTTTGGCTTCTCACGATTTTGGTCTGTTCGTCTCTCCTTGTGACATTGCTAATGCTGACTTGCCTGCAGTCTGGAGTACTAACCGTAGTATGCATGATCTTCATGAGGGAGACGTACGCCCCGGCGATCCTTAACCGCAAGGTCGCGCGCCTCCGCAAAGAAACCGGCAACCCCAACCTACGCTCAAAGCTGGCCAAGGACACATCCCACAAAGAGTTGATTATCCGCGCAATCGTGCGTCCCATAAAGCTACTTGTCCGGTCACCGATCGTGCTGGCCATGTCCTCGTTCATAGCAATCATCTACGCGCTCCTCTACCTCCTCTTCTCGACCTTTTCCTTCGTGTTTGGCGAGAACTACGGCTTCGGAAGCGGCACTGTCGGCCTTTCCTATATCGGCATCGGCATCGGCATGTTCATCGGCCTCGTCCTCGTCGGCCAGACATCAGACCGCCTTATTGGCAAGCTGCAAGCAGCAGGCAAGCCTACGCGGCCCGAGGACAGGCTGCCTGTTTGGCTCGTTGGCCCTGCTGCGCTCTGCATCCCAGTTGGTCTTTTCATCTACGGCTGGACCACAGAGAAGCGCATACACTGGGCGGTGCCCATGTTTGGGACGTTGATCATCGGAGTTGGATTGCTTTCGTGCATGGTGAGTATCCTAGCCAGCCTCCCAGCTTTGACCGCTGTACTGACTATCTGTCGGTGTAGCTGTGCATTCAGACATACCTTGTTGACGCATTCACTATTCACGCCTCGTCTGCCATGGCTGCCAACACGCTCGTGCGCAGCACCCTTGGCGCCACCCTCCCTCTGTGTGCTCTCGAGATGTATGACGCCCTCGGCTTGGGTTGGGGGAATTCGATTCTAGCTTTCATTGCGCTGGCTGTCGTTCCCGTGCCAGTACTTTTCAGCCTCTATGGAGAGCGCATTCGGAAACGCAGCGCCAATGTACAGTTTTGAGTCAGTCGAGATGAAACTGTAGCGAGTAATAAACAGAGACGATATCATGTTGATTGCGACTCCACGATAGAGTATGTATTTGGAGTGCGCTGCATTTAAGACAGCAATCAACTGCCATCTAAGATCTACCACGCCCAGAGAGGAAATAGTAGTGTAGCTCTTGGGCGACGATATGTCTATCAGCAATTTCAGTCATGCCAAGTCAGCGAAACAATACGAGTTATAAAACGGGTACCTCCACAGTAGTAGCATAAAGGGGCGGAAACTATTCGATTCAAGTATTCCTAATCTCCGAAAGTATTCGGACGGATTGCTTCTGCTCCGACATCCGTTTACTAAATTCGCTTTAGACGCTTTGGCAATACGTAATTGTCGAGTAGTTACATTGCAAGCATATAAAAGCGCCACGGCCTACTTCCGTCATGCTACTCTTTTAACACCACTCGATCACCTAAAGTTTCAACAGACGCCTTCTCGATTCCGTTGCGGACTCCTTCTCCACAATACCAGAGTTGAACTGATATACCATTGCCACAACATTGTAACTCTTCCGTAATTTCCGTACCTGCACACCACCCTTTTCGACATGTCTTTTTTGGGAAAGGTTGTCCTGGTCACCGGCGCAGCAGGTGGTCTGGGCAAGGCCATCGCAAATGCCTTTCTCCAGGCAGGTGCCAGCGTCACGATATGTGATGTCATGGCGGACGTTCTTCAGAATACCGTCAAAGAGTTCAATTCAGCAGGCTTTGGGGACGATCGGCTCCTTAGCACTGAAACTGATGTCACCAACGAGGCGGCGATTGATCAAGCATTCACCAGAACGATTCAGAAGTTTGGCCGCTTGGATGTTTTGGTCAACAACGCCGGCATTACAGACAAGTGAGTATGCCTAATTGCACTAATGCCGAAGTGAATGATTGACCTTATGCTTTTCCTTTCGCAGGTGGCAGCCCGTTGGGTCGTTGGAGCGTTCGCTCTGGGATCGTGTCATCGCCATCAACCTAACCGCACCCTACCTTTTTAGCAAGCGGGCGGTCAATCAGTTCCTTGCACAGGAACCTTCTGGTGGCGCCATCATCAATATTGCGTCTATGGCGGCAATTAAAGGTTGCCTCGCAGGTGAGTTCATCTGCAGCCTGAAATCTACAAAAGTAAAAGCACTCACTATCACCATCAAGGCGCGGCCTATGTCTCCAGCAAGTCCGGTCTGGTGGGTCTGACGAAGAACACGGCCGCGGCGTATAATAAAAAAAATATCCGCGCCGTCGTCTTCCTGCCAGGAGGCATGAATACGCGCCTGATTAATCAAGCCAATAACGGTGTGGATGAGGAGGGCTTCGCATTGACGATGAAGGCTGGCGCTGTTGAGCCCAAGATCTCGGACGTTAATGACGTGGCCAAGTCCGTGCTCTTCTACGCGGGTGAGCATGCTTACATTTCCAATGGAGCAGTCATCACGGTGGACGGCGGCTGGTCGGCGTTCTAAGGCTTTACCAGCTAGGTAATTAAATGGATTGAGCTCTCCATGAACAATATAACTTCTTGCCAATTGTTAATTTCAAGCATTGTTTGTTTTTTACTTCCTTTCAATACGTCTATAAGCTGGCCGTTCCATGCAAGCCGAGGCAGCTACCAATTGACTGGCCAAAGAGACACAATTTGCAAATCGACAGCCGGCTGGTGGCAGTAACACGGAGCTACACTCTAGCTGGCAGGACCTACATCCCTACCGCTACGGTATTAACGCCTCCGCAGTCCATGACCCATTATCTTCTTCTATGTCCCCCTCTTCTTCCCAAATCTCAACCTCGTCCCATTGCAACCCCACGCCTCGAGTACATCATCGGCCAGCCGCATGGCAGGCGTGATATACCATCTCCTCCTAAGCCTGCCGTCCTTTCTCTTCCCACAATCAACGTGATTTTCGTAGAGCTCCAGCTTTGCGGCGAAGCCCGTGTCGTCCTCGCGCTGGATGGTGAGCTACGTCAGCCGCGGCATGCGCTGCGCGGCGCGGCCCGCAGCGGCAAGGAGGGGATACAGGGAGCGCTCTGGGCGCGGGACGGCGCGACAAACGTTCTAGATGGGGTCCCAGGGGCGGAGTTCGTTGTGTGAGGCGTTGCAGGCCACTTCTTCGGGAGTGGGGTCGGCGTAGAAGCGGCCTGGAGGCGTGTGAGTAATGAAACACTATAGACAGCTGTGGGCGGGCCTGCGCGTCTGCATTCTGTTGCTGGGGGTGCAAACTGGAGTTGGCATACCGAAAGAGTCGACGGGCTCAAGCTGGATCAAGAGCGTCTCAAGGTGTGGCCATGATGGCAGTGAAGCTTGGTTTTTTTCATCGGCACCCGGCCAGAATAGCGCGGCTGATATGCGGGCCTGCTCGAGGTGGAGGTGGCGCAGGTGTGTCGAGAGCGTGCGCAAATTAATGCAGAAAGTGTCAGGACCCCCTGGGGCAACAGCAGGCTGCTCTTCAAAGCCATGGGAGCGGTCCGTTAAACGGGCGTAAAAGTCGCGGCAGGTAATGGAGATCTGGCTGATGCCATGGCCGAGATCTAAGAGAGAGAAGTGAGTTGTCTTCTCTGGTGGGAAAGAATTTAAGAGTATACCTTCACGCCAGCGGCGGCGGAGCTTGGGGTCTTCAATATCATCATTGAGAATGAGTTTTGCGTTGGTGAGGTGGGTCAGAGACTCGACTATGGTCATCAAGGATGATGGCCAGACGACCAGTTCATCGTCCACCGAGAAACTGGTGACAGAGCGCAGGCGCGGGAGCGAGTCACCGACCAGATTCAGCCACGCGGGCGATTCTTTGCTCCAGTCACCCTTACTGATGGGAGCTTGCACGAACGTCAAGGATAGTGGCAGTTCCCAATGCTCCAGCATCTTCCAGAATTCATGGACGGATCTCGAGAAATGTTCGTCGTTCGTCGTTCGACCTGCGTCCAATCGTCCCATTGTGGAGTAAACAGAGAATGAATAACTGGCAACAAAGTTGATATGGCGCAGGATCTTACGTCGTCGAACTGGGTCACGATTCATCATTTCTTTGAAACGCGCTGTGGTGACCAAACCCTGGTCCGGAGCTTCTCCCCCACATCCCTCGTGCAGGAGGTCCGTCGAGGAGACGCGAATGTGTCTGAAAGTCTCGCGCTCGATGATTGCATTCCATTGTCGACTGACTCCGGCGTATGGTGCAAACTTTGGCTGTCGTCCTGAGTACCGGTCGTGGCGGGAAATGTCTTCACGTAGAAGCTGCTTGAGCTCTTTTACGATGACAAATAGAACATCGTCTGGAAAGGCGGGCATGGTAGTTGTTTGGTCGAGAGCACTGTAATGAGGATGGGAGAGAGTGGATGGTGCGATCCAAGAAATTAGGCAGTAGTTCATTGAGCGAACGACCCATGTGCTCGGGCCACCCTTTCCGAGCCGCAGCCTAGTGCTTGTGCATGATGTTGTGTCCGTGGTTCCCGGCGTTGTCGTCTGTGTGGCTACTGTGAAACTCTTAGTTGCCTCCTAAATTCCGTTTAAAAAAAGGGTTGCCAGTCGATCTGCGAAATTGCTTTTTGGCGCAGCGATTATTTTCGGGGTCCTCAAATTTGCTTTAACCTGGTTACAATTCGACAAAATCGTACCTTGGTCTGATTGTACTTCGACCTGGCTGAAATTCGACCAAATCGTACCTTGGTCCGATTACAATTTACCCTGGGTGCAGTTCGACAAAATCGTACTTTGGCCTGATTATACTTTTCCCTGGTTGCAATTCGACTAAATCGTACTTTGGTATGATTGTTTGTACCCCGAACCGGCCTTGATTCACAAATATAAAAACCCCCAGACGCGCAGCACCGCCACTTTCTCTCAGACTCACAGGTTTCCAGCTTCGAACGTATCTGCTCCAGCCGGATTGTACTTCCACCTATTTTCAAGTCACAAGTATAAACCCTCCGAGACCCAGCACCGCCACTTTGTCTAAGATCAACAGGTTTCCAGCCTCGCAACGCATTTCACAGCTTCATCAAGAAAATGCGCCCAAATACCCTTCTCAAAGGCCTCGCGGCTTCGCTCCTGCTCGCCTCGACTCACGCAGCCCCCGCACCACCCCTCCAATACGATATTCCATCCGACACGCTCTCGGATATACTGAATAAAAGCGACAACCCAGACGAGGCGATCACGACTCTGTTGAATGCAGGCTTAATCATCAAGACTACGACCTTTTGCGACCACAGTGGCCCATCTGTCAAACGTCCCGACCTCGTGAAAGCTATAGATATGCTCTGCTCTATCAGAGACGGCACGACCTTAGAGGCAGGCCAGACAATTATGTTGGAGTTTGGTACAAGAGCGACGGATTTCTATGTAAAGCCCGAAACTGTGATCGAACTGAGGATGACCACAGCGGATGGCATTGACGCCGTAAGGGTCGACTATTTGGGGTGCGCAAAAAATTTTAGACGGATTGTGGATGAGTGCGATACCGACCTGACGTACTTCAAGCGGGGTGGAACGTTGACAGCGGGCGGTATCAGGTTCTTTATCGACGCGAGGAGTAAATAGTCTCTAAAATTTGGTGTCGACGACAATGTACGGAAGGGCCGGCCTGGACATGCTTTTTGCCGGAGGAAGTGGTTCCATAGGCAAATCTCGGATTTCGTGTAAAGACAATTAGTCTCTAAGCTATGTAACTGTAATTCAGTAAGCAATCAAAGCTGGATTGTTTCATGGAAATGTCTGCTAGTGGAATATCTGGATCGAGTGGTGCACAAGGCTCGACAACCATCGGTGGATTTCCAGCTCCGGCTTAAGATGCCACTGAATCCGCATTCACGTTTTGGCCAAGAAATGCTGCCGTAGGCTTAGATCCACTTCAGGTGCCTGGTGACTTTATGGAATGTGAAATTTGTACGTAGTTTCTATTAAACCAACGAAGTCAAGACCTGAAAAATCCTTCTTCCACCATGACGCAAATGCGACTAGTCAAGAGCTACTGTAAAATGATCTTACATTCGCTGCTAGCCGGTGAGATGACGAAGAATTCTTTTGGCTTCATAGTCATATCAGTCGTGGCGGGCGCCAATCTTGCTGTTGGAAAGGTCCTGAAGAAGAGAGCCGCGGCGTATCTCATCTCCATCTGGGCAAAGTGGATGCCGAGACAGCTTCTAGGCCCCCAGCCAAACGGGCTGTACACCAACTTTTGTGTGTCTGTCAGCGTGTTGTCTGGCATCCAGCGGCGGATGTCGAATCTGCGCGTGATTTAGTCAGCATAACGCGAACGTTGCCCTTGATGTGACGCTCACTCCTCTGGATTCTTCCACGTCTTCGGGTCACGGTGAAGGGTCCAGGATTGCGTGCTAGCGATCGCCCCTTCAGGCACATAAGTCCTGCCGTCGCTGAGCGTCGCGCCTCCTCTGGGAGGTGTGCGCGGAAGGCCTGCTGGTGCAGCCCCGTACATTCGCATCGTCTCCTTGATGGCTGCGTTGAGGATCGGAAGGCTTTCCAGATCCTGGTCGTTGAAATCATCCCCCGGGAGACTGTTCTTGAGCTCTGCAACGAGTGCTTCTTGAAGTTCGCGGCGACACAAAATGACCCACACAAGATACGTTAGGCTGTTGGCAGTCGTGTCAGACCCAGCAACGATGAGGCCCGCCGCTTCGTTGATTAAAAGCTTCTCTGAAACTCGGCTTCCCTCGCGTTCTGCCTCAGCAACAATGGGGGTGAAAACGTTTTCCCGAGAGCCAACCCTCCGACTGGTCGCAATAGCCTGGCGTGCGTACTCTCGGTTTGCGTCGCGAGCATTCCAGAAACTCCGCGACTTCTTTGATGGGATCAGCGACCCCAGAGTCCGGAGCACTGGGAATTCAGCCGTGGTGGCAGAAACAGCACTTATCATCTCGAGAGCTCTAACATAGCCATTTTTCTGCAGAATCATCAATTCAGCGAACAAGTAGATGCCAAAAAGCCGCTAACTTACCTTTCCTACATCCAGAAGTCCGAATGACTCTCCAAACGCCATCCTTGAACTTGCATCTGATGCCAACAGCACCCACCACTTGCGGACGTCGACTTCGCCATTGCCGTTGTTGGTGGCCTCTTCGTCCATTTTCAGCATGGCGCGTTCAACCAACTCTCGTACTTCCCCTTCCCAGTTTTTGCGGATCTGAGACTTGCTGAATGCCCGTGCAAAAAGCTTTCTTCTCGCTCCGTGCAGCGTTGGATCGCCAAGAGAGAACTCATTGTGGACTTCAGGGTCCGCGTCTAGATCCGAGAGCTTGGCGTACCAATCGCTCTTGAACCAGCCGTTGCCATGTCCATGGATGATCTTGAAGTCCCGAGGGTCGGCACAGGAGATCTCGTTAGGCGCAATGCGGACGGTGTTACCATATCGCTGGTGCAGGGCATGAACAAAACTGATGCGCCGCCCGGCCACCGAAAAGCATGCAAGAGGAACGCGGGTAAACAGCGTATACCAAGGGCCAGGTACTTTCCGGAACGGTCCAGTAATGGCACAGTATATAAGCTAAGATGGATTAGTCCACGGCGGAAGGGAATGAGGTGCTGAAAGTTTTCGGGTATGTGTGAAAGCCTCATACATGTAGTAGCCATAGAATGACTGCGGAGAAAAGAGCAAGTGTTGTGGTCATTTTCCGTTCTTCTCCGACAATGCTCAATTGATTTCAGAAGATCGTTTTGCGGTAGAGACATACTTTAGAAACCAGTGGCTTTTATATACAACAACGACCAGACCTGCCAAGTTCTTCCAAGACACAATTCTTGGACTGAACCTTTCACCGAGACGCGAAATATGTCTGGAATCTCCCATAGGGCGCACCGTGGACTTCCGAGTATCCATCATTTCGTATTCTCGACTTTGGAGTCGGAAAGCGGTTAGTTTCCGAGCCGCTTCCATTTGCGGTCACTTGTGTCTAATCTCGGGTCTGATTGGCTACTCTCTTTGATATTCAGGCGGGGAAGTGGCGGTCACGCCGTGCGGGGGGCTGTGGAGACTGGATCCCTATCTCTGCTTGATGCAGATGTAAGCATCCAATGGCCAGGAAGGGCCTTACGTGTTTAGCTACCCGCCGGATCTGCAGTGGTCGCTGACTGGCGCTTCCAACTGAGACAGCCCTCCACTGTCTAGGCCGTCAAAGTTCGGACCCTCGGGGATTGTTGATACCGAACTGATCCACACTTATTTGCAACCGGACTCTACTCGGAATGTTCGAAGAACCGAGTCCGAAGCAACGAGCTTGGCGGCCCGGGGATTGATGGTACTACAAAACAGAAAGCCTGGTGAGGCGGTCCATTCATAGTCTCCCAACGAACTCCCGCTGCTACTTGATCCTCTCCATCCCCTCTCTTCGTCTCCTCTCTACAATGGCTTTCACCGGAGGCTGCTTGTGCGGAAAATTGAAATACTCAATTGAAAATGAACCAATTACGGCTGTAAGTAGGCTTGCTTTTGAAAACGGCGCACACGAGCCTGGATAGCCTTTGGACTTTCTGTAGACTGACCATTTCTCCCAAGGCGCTTTGCTACTGTACTTCCTGCCGCCGTAGCACCAGCTCGATTTGCACAAGCTCACTCGTGGTCAACATTGAAGGCTTCAAGTCAAGCGGCGAGCCCACGGTTTTCACCCGCAAGGGAGACTCTGGACAGGATGTTCACAATCATTTTTGTGGAGGGTGCGGAACGACTTGTTGGGTAACCAGCACAGGCTTGGAGAGCGGTGGTGTTATGCTGATTCGCAGCGGCACGCTTGATCATTTGGCGCTGAATGAGAAGCACAAACCCACGGCTGAGCTCTATTGCCGAGACAAGTACAAGTGGTTGCCTGACGTTCCCGGCACTCAGCAATTCAACACTTCGATGTGATGTCTCGCCATTTACCATGTAGCTTTATATACGATATGGAAGCTCTTATCGCCAGGGGTCTGATTTCTTTGTATTCTTGAGCCCGTTATTTCAGCACTCCGCCTCAGTACGGCCGCAAGCCAGGCCGCAACGTTGGCGACCCCGATGGCTAGGTTACAGTTTATGACGTATGCCGTGTCATGAAAGATCTCTTGGCCACATTTGTCTCTGTTATACTTGATTGGGCTTGCTTCGCACCCCCATTCTGCAGCCGCTCATTACCGTTGGAACCCGTGCACGGGTCCTCTCTGAGATCAGCGTCTCTGTCTGGCCCAATAACCTCATTCTAGGGCTTGACATTCGGCCGAGAATCTTCGGCCGAATGAGTTAACTCATTGACTTCGTTCACATGTTTCCGAGCCTACGACACGTAAAGCGGGTAATGTGAATGGGACAAAGCTTTCGGCGGGAACGCGAGTTCCCTTCTAGCCGAGAACGTATGCACCGCATGAGGTGCCGCAAATACAAGTAGCTTGATGTATTCCGAGCATACTATTTAACCCGCATCTCCCTTCCCTTTCATTCCGAGAGCGAAGCTCGCACAATCCTTCTGGTAGACAAGCATGGCAACGTTGACGAATACCCAAGAAGACGTCAGGGGAGGTGGAGGAAGCACTCTCCGTGTTGAAAGCAGCCTTCCTCCAAAGCTCCCGTCGGACTTTCTCTCCGATTACCCGAAGCTCTCAAACGAACAAGCTGGCTACCTTCGCCACTTCCATAATCTCGCCACCCAGCCTGACGGCGAATGGCGTCACATGGGCACGCAGGACCCCGGGCAAGAATGGCTTGACGCATACCGGTACCAACTGGCGGTCATGGCCTATGCCGCTGGAGCCTCGCACTATCACCGGCTACCAGCTCTCCGATCCGTGTTCAAACAACTCCTGGAGCAGCTGATCCACAAGATGCTGCGAAGGGAAGTCTGGGGCTACTGGTACCTTACCAGCCAGAGCGGCAAGTTTGTCGATCCTGACATAGTGGAATTGCGGAAGCCGTGGTCTGACCCGAACAAGCAAGAGAATATCATGGTAGGCGCTCAACAGACTGCGGGACGAAGGACTTGCGAGGTTAATATGCCGTGTAGTACTCCGGACATCTTCTTCTCATGGTCTCACTGCACGCAATGCTGTTCGACGATGACAAGTATGATGAGCCTGGGGCGCTGGAGTTCGTTTGGGATCCGATCTTTTGGGGATTTGGGCCGGAGAAGTTCGCCTACTCCCGAAGCACACTGCAGCAAGCCATCCTTGCCGAGATGGAACGAGAGAAGTGGAAAGGGGTCTGCTGCGAGCCGAACTGCGTTTTCGTCGTGTGCAATCAATTTCCGGTGTGGCCCGGACAACCCGCATGATTCGGTCTTTTCGCTGACCCGAGTAGATTATCGCAATGCGGTACAATGATGTGCGTCAAGGAACAGCTGTTGCTGACAAAGTTCTGAATAACTACGCCGCAGCTTGGGGCGATGAAAACGGCTTTTTGCAGGAAGACAAGTTTTTCATCAACTGGTATATGGTGAAGCAAGATCGTACCGTTGACGGAGGCATCGGCTTTACCGCCTGGTGAGTTGACGTGCCAGCTCGGCGTTCTACAGCTATTCCTGACAGCGAAAAGGGCCTGCGCGTTCATGAACAGCTGGAACTCCGATTTCGTTCACTCACTGTTTCCGGCCCAGTCGTTGGGTTTCTTAACGCATGCTCCAGGTGGGCGCATCAACCTGAACAACGAAAAAGTGGCTCAGGCCATACGAAAGCTTACTAAAAGTGAGGACGTTGACCCTTATGCGTGGGACACGTTGGAAAAAGCTCGAAAAATAGCAGCACACACTGAGAACAAGCCCGCGGGGCCGTTTCCGCAACCTCTGTTTGGATACGTTGCGCAGTGGGTTTCTGAGGTGGGCGATCAGTCAACCTGTGACGGACTCTTGTGTCACGCAGACGAGTTCCTCAATCCATCCTGGGACCAAGGTGGCCTATTCTATCCCCGCAACAACACTATCGCGGACAACCAAGGAAACTGGACATACGTGGACCCGTTCACGGGCAATGCGGCTATCGCGTATGCGAGCCTCAATGTTCCAGACGGCCAGAGAGAAATGTGGCAGAAGCCGTGGGCAAAGGAACACTTCTCACAGTATCCTTTCGTAGATGGAATCGGCTTGGATTCCGGGGTTGATTTCTTGCGAGGAGCGTGGGAGGGAACGAAGGGTGTGCTCATTATTTCCATGCGCACTTGGGACGGATCGAAGAAGACGTAAGTGGCACTCTATCAAGACTGAATGTCCGCTGACTCGCGGTTTGAAGATTGCACATTCCTATTCGGAATCTTCCCATTGGCCAGTATGGCGTTTACAAAAATGGTTTCCTTGTAGACACGCTTTACGTGTCCGGAGAAAACATCAGCCTGGAAGTGGCGATTGATGTAGGGGCACAAGAAACAGACCTGGTTCTGTTGAAGGCAAGGTAGAGACAGCAGTTCAGCATTACAGAGCCGTTAGCAATGTCCTTCATCCTCGTATCCGACATGACTGGTGTTGAAAAGCGTAGTGAGGTCGAAGGTTTCCAAAGACGGCTTAAGACTAGCTTCCCCCGCCGTAGGTAATGAGTGAAACGGCCCCGCAGCCGCCCGGTATAAAACCCGCGGGCTCGGAAGAAAACCCGCACGTTAGCGCCCTCCCGGCTGGCCAGTGCGCTGCTGCGAGTATGCGCTGTAGTCGGGATTTAACCCATCCAACTTCTCTCCACATCACCACCCCGGATTGTTAGCAGGAGATGGCGAATCCTACGCCCGAATTGAAAAATCGGTGCTTTTCGTGTAATAAATTGTTTTCGACTAGCAGTCACCTGCTCCGACACGCAGCCACACGTACGTTAAACCCCGTGTAGTAAACGGCACAGCTGACTGGTCCTCTCGTAGATACCGGTCAACGCAGGAGGGAATGTCCGTTTTGCAGGAAGACCTTCTCACGCGTGTAGGTATTGCCGCATCTCCAAACGCACAGACACTGAGAACTGCCAGTGACGTCGTCCGCCGCCACATCCGCACCTGCGCGCCGGCTGACGAACGCAACGTCGTCTTGCCGACAGCGAAACGCGGTAAGAAACGGAGTGCCTGTGAGACCTGTAGACAGATGAGAATGTCGTGTGACAAGGGCAGCCCCTGCAGCCGCTGTGCTCAGCAGGGAAGGTCGTGTTCATACACACATCTTGCGGCGCACTCGGCTGAAAATCCACCGAGTTGCCTAGAGGAGCCAGATGCTGCCCATCGCAGTGTCAGCCGGTCCTTTGCTGGGCCAAAATATCTTCTGAGATTCACTGATCCAACAAACGCCAACAACTCAGAAGCAGTCATGGAAGACTCGTTTGCAACGGGCGAATTGCAGCAGCCTGAGGGGAGCCTGGCTGCACACTTGAGATGGGAGCCTGAGAACCTCACTGCGGGGTTCCACCAGTCTGAGCAATGGTCATTTGACATTCTAGATTTCTGGCTAGATGCGGGTGGCCAATACAAGCATCCAACCTGTGGCGACGGAATGGATCTTCGCGTTGGAGAGATGGTCTCCGAGCTCGCTAAAACGCACCAGGCTTTGTCCAAACAGGAAGGCTTCGACTGGAAGCTCGCTGCAAACGTATTCACCGTCGGCAATCTTCAGACCTTCGTCGGTCAATACTTCCGTTATGTGCACCCATACAATCCTGTCATGCACCCGTCTTCGTTCAACTATGGCACCACCCAGACACATCTGCTTCTGGCCATTTTCATGTTTGGATCAGCCTTCTCCGCCCCCGATGACTCGGCAATCGCGGCAACCTCTTTCTTCGATCTTGCAGAGGAGTACATCTTCAGCCACGCCATCTTCACTCTGGGCATCCGGGAAAATGCTCAGGGGGATCAGCAGAAAGTGATATCGAGAGTCGAGATCGATATCCTCCAAGCAGCCCAAATCATCCACACTCTGCAAGGCGCCAGGAATCACTGCGAAACACGGCGCCGGATAAGGGTGTTCCGGCACCCGCAGCTTGTTGCCGCCGTCCGCCAGTACGGACTGCTGCGCTTTAAACGTGACCGCCGGATCTGTAGCTCTGATGAATACTTTCGAGAAGAGTGCATTCTGAGGTAATGGCCTTACCCTCCTGCTTTGGGAACCTCCCCAGCTGATGGAGTAACGTAGACTAGCTACCTGGACTTTCATTCTGGACGTGTATCTGGCGGCTTTCCTGAACAACGCGCCCCACATAGCCCCATTCGAGCTGACTTGTGACCTTCCTGACTTGGACCAGCCCCTAACCGTAGATGCTTCACATGATGCAGATCTGTTGCCACGTACGAACGACAAACGGTGCCAGCACCTGTCGCTATCGGACATCGTGTCATCACTTTTACAGGATTGCTGGCCCGGCCCACACGATCCAATGTACAGCTCTCTATCGTCACTCCATGTACTTGTCACTGCATTTGGTGAGAGCCCAACTTCTCGTTCAAAGCCGAATTTATTTCTGACAGTCACCATTCCTTCCAGGGCTGCTCTCCACAGCCACAACCATACGAAAGACTGGCCTGACCAGCATGGCAGGCGAGACGATTCTGCGCGCGACGGACCGGTGGAAGGATATATGGGATGTAGTGGCGGAAAAGGAAGGAATCGAGCCATCTCGGCGGGAGGGGTTTATAATCCCCATCACGGAATTGTTATGGCTAACGAGGATGATCATCGGAGCGGCGTGCTCCGGGGACACGAGCTGCCTGTACCTGCAAAATATAGTGACAGATTCACTTAAAGAGCTGAATGACTTTGTGCATATGTATAAGCACAAAGATCTATAGCTTCTCGAAATACAGTTAATCACTTGGAATAGGTTTTTTTTTAAAGCTACAGCATTGACCCAAGGTTGCTGAGAATTTGAGCTATAGGACGTCCCTACTGGCGTAAATAAGCCACGGCTACAAACACGACTACGCGCGTATGATACTATCTACAAGCATTGCATAGGCGGTGAACTCCTCATCATGGTGCCTCTTTCCAACCAACTGCACTGTTATAGGCAAGTTTGCATACTCCTCCGGACCAGTGTACAGCTTGTATACGGCTTCGTCTGCAGCTCCGTGCCCTGCAGCGTGGTCCTTCAAATCGCCCGGGCCCACCTTGCCCACCGGTATGACGCATGCGGGATAATCTAAGACATTCCACAGCACTGTGTACGATAATGCAGTCCACGTATCCGCCGGTATCGCCGTGTGTGGTGCAGCAGGCATGAGGATAATGTCCAGTTCATGCTGGCGCCAAAGCTCGGCATAGAGCGCCGCTATCAGGAACCTTGAGACGTTGGCTCGCATCAAACCGCTCATCGTGACGGGCGAGCGCAGACTTCCGTCACTGTTGAAGACAATGCCCATGTTCAGGACGGATGGTACAACTGGCTCACCAGTCGACTCCATGCGCTTGAGGAGGTACTAACAACAAGTCAATTCCATTTGTCACGTTGGAGATGCAAGCAGCCAGGGAACATACCTCTCCACCATCGATTCCAAACATGGTATATGCAAGATCGACGGCTTTGGCAACTTCAGGGAGTGCAACGGGAATGATGGTATGGCCCGCATTCTCCAGTTTACCCATGCTCTCGTGCAGGCCGCGCCGGACAGGCGGAGAGGGCGTGAAGACGCCGTCGTCTACCACGTACCCAATCCGCAGCTTACGCCCCGACGGCACGAAATCCTTGCCCATCCAGGGCAGACCCACGGCTGTGAAGTCGTACTTTGTTGGATCCGCTGCCATGATTGTGCGCAGGAAAAATTGGCATGAGCGCATGGTAGTTGCCATTGGGCCCGCGGTAGGTTCCATGCCCACCATGCCGTCCGGAACCGGGTTTCTCTGCCCGCCGAAGGGGACAATGAAGGCGCTGGGGCGGACGCCGTAGATGCCGCAGGCCGCGGACGGCATGCGGATGCTCCCCGCCATGTCGGTTCCTACGCCGAGGATTGACCCCCGGAGCGCTATCAAAGCCGCTTCGCCGCCGGTAGACCCGGCAACCGTAAAGGAATGACGGTGCGGGTTTGCGGTGCGGCCGAAAACGTTGTTGTCGGTGTCAGAGGTCTGTAGTGTCTGGGGAACATTCGTTTTGCAGTAAACGATGGCTCCCAGATCCCGGAGCATGGACACCAGAGGTGCGTCTTGCTGGGCGGGATCGTTCGCGAAGCACGCCAGGCCTATGGTAGCATCGTGACCCCGTACGAAGAACGAGTCTTTGAGGGAGATGGGCAACCCGTGAAATGGGCGGAGAGGTCTGTCCGGGTGTTCCAGTCTTTCCTTGTCCAGGGCCTTGGCATCCTTGATGGCCTCATCAAAGAATATTTCCGTCAAACAGTTGGTCTATGCCGAAGTGAGCCTAGATCTGAGAGCATCCCGATCGTGGTGTGTGTTACCAGTTGATGTGCAATAGCAGCACGCTTGCAGAACGCGACAGTGACCGCCTCCGCCGTGTACCTGCCCTTTGCCACCTCTTCGACCAAGCTGACAGCATCGTAGTCAGAAGTTATGCGGACCTCTTCCGGCGACAAGATGCCGCATGATGTGGGCACATCCATGACATTTCTGTCCTTTGATTGGTCTGAGATTCCCAGTCTCCAGGCTTGTGGTATCGCTTCGTCTCTGCGTTTCTGTTTAGACTTGCAGATGGCGTGCCATTTTCCGTGGTCCGACATAATGAAAGAAGGCCAGAGGGTTGCGGTGTTCACGTGGCGGAATAGCTGGTGTTGTGAATTGAAGCAGCATACATGTCAATTTCAACGGCATCTAGAGGTTTTATATGGCCTGCGGGACAAATAAATGATTCCAGATACGGATCTTGTCTAGCCAAGCCCGGGGTTTCTAGTGAGGCGCTCGCTGTCGGTTACGTCTCGCAAGAGCAGAAACTACCGAATTTCGCCGATGAGACCGGTTAGGGAGTTCGAGTAACGACTTTAGTGCGAATCATTATACGACGAGACGGGTTTAATTCCGATATCGTAGCCGCTACAGAGCTGACATGGCTACTATGTATCCGTGCCATGTGCCCGTTTGATAGTTGGTGACGGAATCTATTCCGCGCACGGGCAATAGCAGGAGCTCTGTACATACATCATCATGAGGTACGCGACATGATGAGAAGGCTTGCGGGGTAGACGATCAAGGGACTAGGATGGGTTTTTTCCCGAGCTTGGCCCTGCCACCGGAGAGTCCCGGACCCACAACATTTCAAATCACTAAGTGGGTTTTATTGCGGAACTTACGGATTGCTACTCTATGGCTTCTAGCTACGATTCCTTTCCCGGAGAGGAACACCACGACGGGTATTCGGGGTCCGGTAGCCGACTTGATCTGCTCAGGTTACGGGATTGGAATACATTCCGTGCATCCGCAATTGGTTTACAGGTGGACGGACTGTCGCAAATCTGTCTCTGCATAGCTACTGTTTTTCGGCTATTCATGTGGGAAGAAACCCCGCCACAGAGCAACCGTTCGTCCAGGTGTTGACCTAACCTGCCCATCATTATGCTATCAACTTCGTCTGCACGCATTAATTGAGGACTTTATCCTGCATATACTAAACATTTCCCCCAATTCCCCTTGTAACGTCCAGATTACATTTTCGTTTCTTTCACGGCAGAAAAGATGGCCCAGCAAAATAGCGAGACCTCACTGATTTGCAGGACCATGAAAGCAATCAGCTACAACAGAATTAAAGACTGGTCACTAGTTGAGATGTCCGTACCAACGCCCAAGCCGCACGCAGTTCTGGTTTGTAAAACGTAGCTTACTCCCGATCCAAAATTATACCTCAACAATCCGCCCGTAGAGACGGGCATACGGGCGTTCAAGCTGTTTCTACAATTTGAAAAGATCCAACTCGGGTTCCCTCGCCTTTACCAAAATCATTTGTTGCGGATCTGCGACGTATTCAGAGTCCATTAAACTCCTAGCTGGTGGCTTGCCCCCTTCAAATTTCCATTCGTAATTGACGAGCAGGTAGGCTAGCGCGATCTTGATCTCATTGCTAGCAAAGAAACGACCGGGGCAGGCGCGTTGCCCTTGAGTGATTTGTTAGCTATGGACAACAAGAGGAACATCATCAGCTGCTTACCGTGCCCGAAGCCGATGTGGTCCGCAGACGTAGTAACAAATTGTCCGCGCGTCTCCATACCTGGCTCCTGACGCATGCGCAAGAAACGACTGCCGTCAAATTTATCCGGATTCTCGTAGTTCTCGTCATCGCGCATATGGTAGGTAGGGATGCCGATAATACAGCCTTTGGGAAGAATCGTGCCATCTGAGAGTTTCACGGCCTCTGTAGCTTGGCGATTCATAAGAACTATAGCACCGTTAGTCGCCGAACATTCCGCAATCATTCAAGCAGATACTGACCAGCGTTGAGCGTGTGCAACCTCTGAGACTCCTTCAAGCAACTGTCCAACAACTTCATCTTGTATAAGCTCGTCTTCTTCCAGCCACCCTCCTCCCTCAGCACCTCCACAATCTCCTTTCTGACCATCTCCGCCATCTCCGGATGCTCCGCCAGGTCATACAACGCCGCCAGCAGCGTCAAGCTCGTCGTATGAATCGCGACAAAGCTCAACAGCAGCTGGCCCTCGACCGGATCCACGGCGCGCTCATTTTTCGCCAGCTTCACCCCCTGCGCCTCCATCCACGCCAGCGCATCCCGGGCCGCGGGCGGCTCCTTCCCGGCGGCCGCCGCGTCCCTTCTCGCGCGCCGCCGGGCCGCCACCTGCGGTTCGATGATGCGGCGCGCCTCGGCGACCTGCGCCCGCAGCGCCCGGCACTCGGGGAGGAAGTGGTGCAGCAGGGCGCGCAGGAAGGGCGGCCACGTGCGCAGGCGGTGCACGGCCGCGATGACGTTGACCGTGTACGTGATGGAGATGTTGAGCCAGGTTTCGTCGTGGCAGAGCGGCTCGCCGAGGAAGACGGGCGCCGAGAGGCGGGCTGCGATGGTAGGCGCCATGCGCGCGAAGTGGACCGGGGTCCAGGCATCTTTGGTGATGCGGGAGGGGGGCAGGAGACTGGTGCGGAGGAGGGAGGATGTTTCGGCCGTGAGCGAGTCGGTGAGGCTGTTGAGGGTTTGGGTGATGTTTTGGCGGATGGTGGCTGTGAAAATGTCGGATTGGACGCCTTTGAAGTTGAGGGGCTCCAGGCCGGGGTATTGGCCGAGGAAGAGCTGGAGGAAGAGCGGTCAGTGGTGCCCGTGGGGGAACAGGGACGAACTTGAGAAGAGACTTACCTTGCGGGAGGCGCCGTTGAAGACAAGGCGGCTGTCGTTGCGGATCTCATCTGTCATGCTTGGAGGAAGAATGATGGTGGGACCATGAGTTGCGATGACTTGAAACGGGCCCTTATGCTATCGGTGCTGTTAGCTTCTGTTCTGAACGGTAGAATACAGCTATTACATACCAAACTCATACCCTGCTTGAGTATTTGGGTTGCATGCATCTGGAAGCGCTCTTTAGCTTTCTTGTTTATCCACTCTCCTTTCTCTTTTCCGACAATAGGAAAACCCGCGTAGGGTCTCTCATCGCTGGCCCAGTACCACAAGAATGTGAAGGTTATAATGACGGCAGCAAGAATCGTGGGCGCACCCAGGGGCTTGTCGCTTGTAAGTACAACCTCAAGCATCGTGGTGGTTGTGCAGCAGTTCTCTGGAAGCGGTAATGATTCGAGGATCAGAAAAAGACGGCTCGCAGCGCGAAGTAAAGGGTGAAACAGGAGATTGAACTCAGGTTTCGGGCTTGCAGTAAGTAAAAGACATCTCCAGGATTCTTTATATGTGGGTAATATCTCTGAATTGTCTTCGCTTGATTTAGAACTCTGACGTTATACTTCACGGAAGTGGTTTTTACCGGCGGCCGACAGCTTTACGACTTTCACGGTAATAATTCAATCACCGAAAAGGCCGCCGGTCTAAGAATCGTCGATCCTGGAGTCTAACAGATCACAGACAGTTAAGGCTGTCAATTACAAGAGAAAAAGCTTTTCCCAATCACTATGTAGATGTATGTACAAGTATTATAGTTTTACAGCGCTGAAAAGAAAGTCTTGGCGAGAGTTAGGTTTAGGCTACGAAGGTTGGGTTTCCACAAGTATTATCAAACTAAAGTTTATTCTCCACACTTCCCTCAAATCACAGAAATGCCGCATTACCAAAGTTTCAAACACAGCAGGGGTAAGGGGCGAATTAGTGATCTTGGACATGGAGAAGCGCGTCATCGCGACTCTGCTCAAGATGTCGTTGGTGTCAAGATCGACCGGCACATCGGGTGCGCCGGCAACTTCGCACAATTGATATGGCGGTGCCTTGATCCCCGCCATCCGAAGTGCCTGTCGGTTCTTAGTGTGTAGTCCTAACTCTCAGAGGAAATGACCAGTGTACCATGCATAGCCTCGTACCTCGGTATCCGGAGTAAAACCCGTCTGTTGAGTGATCACATGTGCATCCCCATCGCACCGGCACTGACTTATCCAGCACCAACGTCTAAAAAAAAGTCCCTGCCCCTCCCACGGCGCTCGGCTACATTCGGCGGCACCAACTTATCAATCGTCTTGGTCAACACCATGTGCATTTGTCATGCTTATTGTTTTGCTTGATGATCGCATTGTTGTTTTGGTTGCCGAAAAGATTTGATTTTGCGGGTATTCTGTTTTGCGCCAGAGCATCGTGCTCCTTTCACATGTGATTTCGTGACGTGTTTGCACCTTAAATGTAGTCTACTACTACGAGCATATAAAGCAGTGTTGTGTGATTTGTCAACTGTTGTGTGGTAATATCCGAGGTGCAGCTTTGAGGAAAGCTTTTAAGATTGGCCTGAGACGTTCCCACAGAGGAGGCTGAGCTGTAGATGGAGGCTACGTGTTGCACAGCTATAATACTGGCTCATCGGAACTAACATGTGCGTAAACTACATTACTGCAGGCCATCCATGCTCGATGAAAGCTGGCTTTTCGATCGCCAAGTCAGCATCGTCGGGCTGTTGCGGCGTGCGGGAGTTCTGATTGGCTGGGTTGTCCACTGCACGATCACTCTTAATACTGCAACACTTGACCTTCTTTGGGTCTTTCTGACTCTCTAGTGGGGATAGGCAAGCGTGATGTTCCATTTTCTGAAGCTATTCCATCTACTTTGGCATGCCATATTGAGGCTCACAAACCCGATCGTCCTCCCTCAAGTTCCCTCATTCATACTGGTCCACATAACAGACTCGGCCCTCGTTCGGTAGCATGGCATGTTTAGGACTGCAACCCGATCAACTCCTCTGGTACTGGGAATTGGGCGCCTATCAACTCTTGCCTCCCAAAGAGAAAGATACCGTCATTGGCTATGTCGGCGTCAACGATCCTCTCTGTATGCGGCGCATACAGCGATGGTTTGCTCGGGGTAGGTTGAACCAAGCAAGGTCGCCCATCAACAACATGCATATGATCTGCGTTGATGCCGGGGCTCACCAGAACAACATATCTGGATCAATCTTGGATTTCAGTGCAGATAGACGAGCATAGTTCGAACCCCAGAAACTGCTGCTCCAGTTGGGCTCATTAATACTGGCCTAGTCCATTGTCAGCAGGATGTATTACAAAGGATGGCTGGACGTTTTCGAACCTCATTGATGTATGTCCCCATGCCCGGGGCTAGTTCTCGCAAGCCATCAACATTGGTAGTGTTGGTTTTGAATCCGTTCAAAAATACCGTAGCGTTTCTCCAACCGGGGTTGGCAGCAGTATTCTTCCCATCGCTGACTGCCATGCCAGGCGTCGTCATCAAGACACCGAAGTTCCCGCCTGTGCTTCGAAGCGCAGAGGTGAGATTTTCGCTTCGCAAGTGCTCGGCGCTCAGCAGGTGGCTGTCGTAAGGGACATTTCCGTCATTTGTGGGAGGACCGCTACCATCCTCAGATGTCCCATAGGTGGTAGAATAGAACTCCTGGTAGCTGTCGAAATAATGATGCTTGCTCTGGAATGGAGTCATGCCAGAGAATGACTGCATCTTCTCAAGAATCGGCCCCCACATTCCATTAGCATTGGAAGCGTTCGCTAAAAGGCCCGGATGAATGGCGTCGCACCTGATGTGTTCAGGGAAAATGTAGATATACGCCGAAATTCCTTTACTGTGGAGGTCCGGTAATTCTGAAAGTAGATATTCTAACGCTTCGCTTGTAGGCGTGCGACCCTCCGCCAGGTCCGTGTCGTTGGTCGTCAGCGTGGAATTGATATACCAATAAAAGCCAAGTACGGGCGTTTTAGGGTGGGTTTTGAATGTGGCATCAACGACAATGCCGAAGGTGCTTCCACCTCCGCCTCCAATAGCCCAGAAGAGGTCAGGGTTGGAAATTTCGTTGGCAACCACCAGTTCGCCATCGGGAGTGACAACTTCTGCCTCCAGCCATTGATCAACTCCCAGGCCGTACTGCGCAGTCAAAGGCCCATATCCGCCATTTTGGCCGAAACCGCCGGCGGCTGCTACTCCGGCTGCTATAACTTAGCCCTTTTCCTATGCTGACCAGAAAGTGGTGAGGGCCACTTACCATACGTGCCACCCACAAAGAACAGGTTCGAAGGGGCAAGGGCCATGTTCAGGTCCAAGCCATTGAAAGCAGGGTTGAACGTCACTGCAGCCTGCACTCCATCCGTGGGCACGATTGTCTGCGGTTTTTCATTGGATTCGAGATCCCGGACACCCTCGGCTGTTGCGGTGAAGGACTCCAGTACACGAGCACCTTGCAACAGTGAAAGATCGACTATGAGTCCAGAGCCTGCGACATTACGACCTAGTGCATCATGACCGGTCGTGATGACTGATAAGCGAGTCTTATGCAACGCGGAGAATTTAACGGCAGCTTGCACGTCGGCGTAGCTCTTGGCACGAATTCGATAATCGGGCAGGCTTCCAAAGCTATCGCTAATCTTTTGCATTGTCTTTAGAGGACACAAAATTCCGCGTTGCATTCCATGCCAACACGGCCTTTTGATGCTTCTCTGCTCTTCGGCAAAGCCCCCTTCTCTACGCCAAACCGGCAACCAACTCTATTTCCACCTCCGCGTCCAGTGGCAGCTTTGCAACGGACACACATGTTCGGCACTACAAGGGGTGATCAGCTCATTCTGCCATAGTTTGAGGAGTCTGCAAGAGTTTACCGGCTTCGGATCGGACGTAAAAGCCTCTCCATATGCTTTGTTGACGTCTCCGTAGTAGTCCAGGCTCGACAAGAAAATATTGACCTTAATGGTTTTACTCAGACTGCTCCCGGCGGCCTCGAGTACTGCACCAAGATTGCGGATCGCCTGAGCCTAGTAGAGTCATCCTTTGGCGTTAGATTCCCGAATCTTCAGGAAGATGAAGGTTCCTTACAGTGCGCTCGTAAGGGCCACCGTCCACGAACTTTCCCGTTGCGGGATCAATACCAAGAGAGCCAGAGCAGTAGACAGTGTTGTTGTAGATGACTGCTTGTGACATCAGCGGGCTGGGCGCTGGCGCGTTTGGGCTGAGGACGGCGGTTCTGGCGGCCATATCTGAAACAATACAGCAATTGCTGAATGGACGAGAAAGGATGAATTGAGTTCAGCGAAATAGTTCTCAATGCTCAGAATCAAAAATTTGGTGCTATTTCTCTGCTGATATAAATCCTCTACAGCCGACTTGTGACTGAATAGGCACCTCTGGCGAGCCGAGAGTGGGATTCTCCGGAAAGGGAAAGTAATCCCGACGAGGAAGGCAACGCCTCGGGAGCCGCTATTGCATGCGCATATTCATCTGCGTCTGCACGCGATACCTGTCCAAGCCATGGAATACCCGAAAGCCATGCAATAGATTCCGCATCCCGCTCCACAGCCACCACCACTCAGTTGAGGAACTCGCTCCCAGGAAACTCCCCCAAGCCCTCCACATCCCTAATGGCCTGCACAACCACCCCCACCGCCCTCACCAAATCCTCCTCAGGAATCGTCAACGGCGGGCTAAACCTCAACCTATCCGCCCCATTCCCCACCAGCACGCCCCGCAGCGCCGCCAACGCCGCCACCCTCCTCGCCGTCACACCCGGCACCGACTCATCCAACACCAACGTCTGGAACAAGCCCCTCCCCCTCCCGCGATGCTCCACCACATGCGGCGGGCGCAGCCCATCAATCGTCTTCGTCAACACCTCGCCCAACCGCTGGGCGCGCGCCGCGATGCCTTCCTCCTCCAGCACATCCAGCACCGCGAGGGCGGCCGCGCACGCGGGCGGCGCCGCGGCGAAGGTGCTGGCGACCTCGTACTTGTCCAGCACGTCCATGGCGTGCGCCTTACCCATGACGACGGACATGGGATACATGCCGCCCGTCACGGCCTTGCCGAGCGTGACGAGGTCGGGCTGCACGCCGGGCTCGGATTGGTACGCGAGATCCGTTCCCGTGCGGCCGAAGCCGGTTTGGACCTCGTCGCAGATGAAGAGGATGTTGTGGTCGTGGCAGAGGGATTGGACGGCGTGGAGGTAGCCGGGTGGGGGGATGCGTGTCCTGATTTGTGAGTGGTGAGTTTTCTGTTGGCGAAGGTGGGGGGGCGCAGACTGCGAAGACGTACCCTGCCAGCCCTTGAATTGGCTCGATCATGAAGGCAGCGATGCGGTGGCCGTCTTGCTCGAATGTCTCGCGGAGAACGTCCAGCTCGCCGTACTCGATCAGCTTTTGCGTCGACGGCGAAAAAGGTCCAACGTGGGGTATGTGCTTGCCGAAGTCTGTGGAAGGTCAGCCATTGTTCATATCATTCATCCTGACTGGGACTTACTGTCCGCAATGACGTTGGACAGCGACATTGTAGCCAGCGTGATGCCGTGGTAGCAGCGGTCAGTCGTCAACACCCACGCCTCGTCCGCTGGAATACCCTTCTTGACGTACGCCCACTTGCGGGCTATCTTGATCGCGGACTCGACTGCCTCAGATCCGGAGAGCATTGTCGTGATTGAGTCGAAGCCGAACTTTTTGGTGATGCGGTCGGCAAAGCGGGCGTAGAGCGGGTTGATGTACGCTGTGTTGACCAGTGGCAGCCTTTGCACCTGCTCCACAACAGCCTGTACGATCTTGGGGTGTGAGTGGCCAAAGTTCGTGACGGCGAACTGGCTAATGAGATCGATGTACTCCTTTCCGTCGACGTCGGTGAGCACGTGGTTGTGTGCTTTCTCAAGCACCACCTGCATTCGTTCAGTACATGGATGACCATGGCGCTGCTACTGCTGTCGCTTGCCGGAAATGGAGCAAAGCCACCGCGGACTCTCTCTTGCCATAGCTTAACATAAGCTGAGCTCTGCTTGCTTAATCCGCTGGTCGTGTTGACATTGGTATCAGTAGGAGGCGGGATGGTGGCCGAAGGAGGCGCCATTGTGATTGTAACAGATCAATGCCAACCGAATGAGCAGCGACAATGGCTGCAAATAATAAACGCTAGGCAACAGCATTGCAAGGGTAAATCCACGTTGCGTTGATGACGCGCTCCGCATGTACTCCGTAGGGCGGACTTGATCATGGAAAGTGGGGAAATCGCCGCCGTCTGATTTGTCAGGAGTCAACTGCCCTTTCTTCTCGCTGCCCACTTCTGGCCGTATCAACCAATAAGACTCACACATTTTAGCATTCACTGTTCAGTCAACGAGCACATCAACGGGAATTTCTCGTATCATTTCGTACCACCAGCATCGCCACAAGATCATCACAAGGGTGTACTATGCAGTGAATGGGGAAATGAAAAGACTCCAACTACGGGTAGTTAAGGATTATACCGCGTAAGATAGAAAAACATCGGTCCTGCCTCCCGGTTGAATTTACCTGTCATTATGCCAAAGATCATTGTGTCTGAAACTTTGCGGAAGTGAGTTAAAACGGGATGGTTATCGCAGAAAAGCGCTGCTGAAACAATGCCTCTAAACTTCGCTTCAACAACCTGTAATGCCGGATTAATGCTTCGTAAATATTCCCGTGAATGCGTCAAAGATCCTCTTCTCTCTGGTTCTCATCACGGCGCCAAATCACAAGGAAGCGCAGGGCCATCTGGGCTGAGGAATAGACTGACCTCTCCGTTACCCCATTCATCCAGCCACTTTCTTCTTGTTCCCGAGCCGTCTCTTGTTTGCACCGCGACCACGAGCGGGTTGACGTCATCCGCGCTGCGGAACGTCACGCCGATCCAGTTTATCGACTTCAGCCAGCAGTACGTCGGGTGTTCGGTGTCGAGCCCGCCGGACGACCACTCCCCGAGGAGCTCGACGGGCTTGAGGGGAGGAAGCGTGTCAGCCAGCTCGTACAGCTCGCTCAGCTGCACCGGCGCCGTAGACCCGTTGGCGGCGGCCGATATCAGGTGCAATGCGCGGTCCTCGGCTCCTATTGGCCTTTTCTTTCCCTTAGCAACAGCGTCAACAAATCAGGGGGGTTGTTGTGAGGTTGGGTGTGCGAAGCGTCGCACTAACGGCTTCTTACCGAGGCGTCTGCTCCGCCACACTCGACATGGCGGAATACGTTATGCCCTGGAAGCCTCGAATGGCCCGAGGGCTGGTCAAGCACGGATGACTCAGTGTAACCTCGCGGCGCTTTTGTCAGCAGTGAGAACGCTACGTTGAAGCGTCGGTCTGCGTACAAATGTTTTTGCGAGTTGTCCCCACTTCTCCGCCTCCCGCTTGTGCATTGTCCACGAGATTGCATGACTCGTGCAACATCACCTCATTATTATTCCCAAGCACCACACCATCTTCTCAGAGAACTCTCAGAGGTTGCGTTTGATGTCGAATGTCCCTCTATAGCCTCTTGTCCATCAACGCGTATCGTTACTCTTGGCGTTGAGGAAAAAAGGAGGGAAAAGCCGTAACTATGACCGTTGTCCGCGGAGAAACTCATATGTTTTCATTTACCTTGTTTTAATTTACACAGTCTCCTTAGGGACTTAGGTCACTTCTCAATCCCTGACCTCGTCCGTCTTCCAAGCACTTCGTCAAATTCGTGGTGGGATTTAACAAAACCAATGATGTTCAGCGCTTAACAGCCCAACTGCATCATGCAACAGGATGAAGCTTTCACAAAGATGCTTATTCCTTTTAATAATGCTTAAGATATCTGTGTTCCTTGTATAGATGACCCCGTGCCTTGAAACCAGGGTGTGTGGTGGATGGTGATAGGCTTGCTGCTGGATTTTTAACCCTTTTAGGCTTAGACTAAGCCGGCTCGGGAACGGTAGTAAGCCGAACTCGGGAAACCCTACATGGGAAAACCTACACGGGACAAGCTACACTCCTAACCGCGGACGAGCAAATCCGAATTACGAATAAAAACGGATGATGCGGCTGATTGAGATTTCTCAGCGGACGAACGATTAAGCTGGCTATGTAGAGAATGCCGTAAGCTCTTTCAACCCATTTTTATATCTGTCCATGGCGATTGTGAGAGAGAAGAATCAAAAAATAATCAACATCCACTCTACACCTACATTTCTTACACCGAGATAGATATGAAGCAAGCTGTTGTCAAACAGGGTGCGTTTGTCGAATTTTCGAAGTGGAACTTCCCTAACCAACTCAGGCCTGAACGTCCACATCGTGGATTCTCCGATTCCCGAACCAAATGCCGACCAAATAGTCATCAAAGTCATAGCCAGCGGCGTCAATCCCAAAGACTGGTAAATATTCTGTACTCAAAGCTCCAGACTATCCTGACAGTGACGCTCCACAGGAAGCTTGCGGATCTCTTTGGACTCTCCATGGTTCCAGGCGATGACGTCGCAGGCGTCATCCACCAAGTTGGATCCAACGTCACCGAATTCAAGCCCGGGGACCGCGTTGCTGCATTCCACGGCCCTGGAGAACCACACGGCACTTTCGCCGAATACACTGTTGTCCAGGCAAACACTACGTTTCGCCTCCCCGATAAGATTAGCTTCGAGGGTAAAATAACCATGTATCCCCTGGAGTGGTAATCAGGGAACACTCGTCATACTCAGCCTCGCTGACGCCTTATCATAGAAGCATCCACCATTCCGCTAGCCGCTTTCACAGCCGCCAGCGGCCTATACCTCCACCTCCGCCTCCCCACCCCCTGGCTCCCCAGCCCAGAGACCGCGGAGCCCATTCCCCTCGTCATCTACGGCGCCTCCTCCGGCGTCGGCGCGTTCGCCATCCAGCTCGCCCGCCGCAGCAACATCCATCCGCTCATCTGCGTTGCTGGCAAATCGCAGTCCTTCGTCGAGACGCTCATCGACCGGAGCAAGGGCGACACCATCATCGACTACCGCGACGGCGACCTTGCTGCCAACATCGAGAGTGCTCTGCAGGGCCGCAAGCTGCTGCACGTCTTCGAGGCCGTGTCGGCGTCGCCCAGCGATGAGGTGCTGCAGCGCGTGCTGGCGCCGGGCGGGACCATGGCCCAGATCTTGCATTCGTTCGAGAAGGAGTACAAGATTGTGCGGGACGATGTGACGTGCACGGCGACTGATGTTCGTCGGGTGTTCACGGACAGTCAGGATTTTGGGTTCGTGTTGAGCAGGTATCTGGGCAGGGCGCTGCAGGAAGGCTGGTTCAAGCCGCATCCTCATCAGGTGGTAGCTGGGGGACTAGATGGCGTTCATGATGCGTTGTTGAATTTAAAAGAGGGCAAGGCAAGCGCGTTCAAGTATGTTCTCAGGATCGGAGAATAGGCAATGGCAGTGGTTGCACCAATGCCATAAAGATTTCTGAGTGGTACGTTTTCAAAGTTGTCGGCGATTTGATAAAGCAATGAAATATGATGGTGTATAGAACAGATTTCGTGTTGATAAATGCGCCCTTCGAAAATTAACATATGTGGGTAGATGGAGCTATCGTCCAGATTGCGTGATGTTGCAAGCCCGATGCAGGCTTATCCGCCTACTATGGTGTATGCGTGGTTTCAATCTACTGTTTGTTGAGGTATGGTTCTACCAGGCTCCCTACAATGAATCTGCTGATGATCGATCTGAAGCGTGGAATACGTGAGAAAAGAGTAGATTGCTTAATACTATGCTAACATACAGGGTAGGGTTGAATATATAGAGAGTAGTGAAGCTTGAATCACGCGACCTTGTTTCAACAATGCAAAGTTGCCTGGCACTTCTACGTCAGCAGTCTTGGCCTATAGTCAAAAGCCACGGGACAAATGGAAGCGGTGTAGGAAAGGTGTGCCGTCAGGTTGCCCGGAGGCGGTGTATAAAGTGGAGGCTTAGCACGGTGGCTTAGCACGGTGGCTTAGCATGTTGGCCTGCCAGCTCTCGCCCCAGCTTTGCACCGCGCACCCTCCAACCCCGCACATACGACGCATTACAGCCACAGAGGCGCAGCAGGGTCTTTGCCGGACAGGCTACCTGGTCGCAGCTTATGGTAACACTATACACCGCGGTGATCTCAAACGCTCTCCTCTTATTTCACATTTCCCCCATCTCGTTCTCCATCCTTCTCTCAACAGCCCCTAACCACGTTGCGTCGATGCCATGGTTATAGACAGGGAGCGATCGTTTCGACTACGCGGAATTCCCGGCAACTGGACCCAAGAGGATGTTTTCAAACTTCTCGAGGACAATTACCACGACAAAGCAGCAACGATCAAGTCCCTTACTCCCGACCCATCTTGCAATCGGGGGCACAATGCCCCACAGATGGCAACCGTGAATTTTGAAAAGATCCCAGAACGGCTGAAGGAACGTGGAGGTAAAGATTTCATCAATGGCGAAATCGAGGTGGACGACGAGTTTAAGGATTTCACTTTGCTGCATTCAGCGCCTGACGACTCTTGCGACATTGAGTATGATGATCAGATGACATTTCGATCTGGGCTAATCTTGCAGCATAATCGCAATTTCTGGGCTGAACGGCCACGCTCTCGGTTCCTTCAAATGCAAAGGCGGCGAAGCGATGTGGCTTCGAGACTTTCTGCCGAAAAGCTTTCCAAGATCCAGAATCTTCACCTACGGCTACGATACGAAGAAAGATTCCTTCCAGAGTCCCAGCGATATCGCACTAACATTCAAAAACGCCCTGACTCGATTACGAAGGAACTGCCTGACAAGACCCTGGATTGTTATCGGACACTCCATGGGTGGTTTGGTCGCAAAAATTGTAATATTTTACCACTATCGAAAAAAAGACTCGCGCTGATTTTAGGTGCTTGTTTAGGCAATCAAACGTATGGCCGAAAGTAGGATACTAGAAGAGCTCCACGCATATAAATCGCTTCGTGCAGTGTGCTATTTCGGTGTACCCAGCGATGGAATGAATATAGAGTCACTCCGGCCTCTATTAAAAGAGTCGGCGCAGCAGCACTTGCTGGAAAACATTGATGAGCTGAAGCCGGCTTTCCTCCGCGAAGTCCACAGTGGATACATGAGTGCGCTCGATAAGCTCGAGAATTGTGTGTCTTTCTACTTCTACGAAACAGTCAAGTCTCCAACATTGGTGCGGAAAAAGAAAGAGTTTTTCAAAATGGGTTCTTGGAGTGTTGGATTTGGCTGGGAGCAGTGTGGCCCTCCAGAAAAACTTGTGTCAGAGTTTTCAGCAACCCAAGGAAAGCTGAACGAGAACGACCCAAAACACAGGGTATTTCCCGTCTACGAAACTCACAGCAATCTGGTCAAGTTCTCGAGCGAGAACGATATCACATACAAGACCGTAGTGGACCACCTCCAGGACATTATAGTGGAGACGGACAAGTGTGATCAAGGAGATCATAGCTTGGCAAGTAGGGAGAACCGTTCGACGGAAACTGAAGAAGGTGATTGCTCTGTTGGACAGAAGAATGTTTTTCATCATCTGATACATAAGCAGCTTGTCGTCAATCTCTGGCATTTCAGTCAATGAACTGGATCAAACACGACGCCCAGACTGCGATACATAGGAGCGCATCTCGGTGGTTCTTTAACAACAGGAAAATTGGCGAGTGGATGGCTGGGCGACATGACGTCCTGTGGATCCTCGGGTATCCCGAATCTGGAAAGACCTCACTGATGCGCTTTGTAACGACGCATCTTCGGGAAGAATCAAGAGAGAATGTTGTTGCCGACTTTTTCGTCACTTCTCGGTCCGAATCCATTTCGCACAAGCCCGTTGGGATCTATCGCTCCTTTCTGCATCAACTCTCGCAACCATTTCCGAGGATTTTAAAATCACTGGCGATTCTCTTCCAAGACAATCAGGTCCACCGTGGAAAATATGGCAAAAAATGGAAATGGGCTGAGGAGGATCTGCGAGATTTTACCCTGAAAATGCTGGAAAAGGAGTGTTCCAGCAATAGAGAACAGAAAGTGTTTCTTTTTGTGGATGGAATCAACGAGCTGGGACGTGAGCCTGCAGAAAGGTTCATACGAACGTTCAACGACTTCTTTGCAAAACCCCGGAAAGCCCCATTAAATCTCAGGGTATGTTTTTCCTGCAGGTACTCTCCCAACATTCGAGATGGCGGCCTTGCGATTTCCATGGATTCCGAAAACACCCAGGATATCAGACATATGATTGAGAGCCACAGGATCATATCACGACTACGCCGGCATGGAGATGAACTCCAAGACCTCATCCTCGAACGAGCACAAGGATCCTTCGGCTGGACTTCTCAAGTATTGGAACTGGTAACGGATCTCTATGAGAGAGGCACCCGATACAAATCAATCATCGCAGCGGTGCAACAGAAGCCGCGGAGGCCCGAAAACAAACGGCAGAAATTTCTGGCGATGAAGGGAGGAATGAAATTAAGTTCGGAACAAGCTTGGGAAATGTTTTCGGACGGTGATTCGACTGCGTACGAGATGTCGGACACGGATAAATAACCCGACACTCAAGACTTCTGCGAACAACCCACCTCCTCCCCCAACATACCAATCCAAGTCTCGTCCGTGAAGTTGGCGACATCGCCGAAGATGGCACTTGTCTGCTCGTTCGTCACTGCCGCATCCAGCTTCTCCCGGCTCTCCCACATTGTCTCGGTCTTCAGGCGATACGGCGGCGGCCCACCGTCGGCCCCAGCCTTAAACTCAACCACTCTCCACGATGTCAAGCCTAGGGGGCCCCAGATTTTCTCGGTGAGCGGCATGTGCGTGTTGAGATAGTACTTGAGGTCGAAATTCTTGCCCGGGGTGTTCGGGTAGAGTATGGTCGATGTGACAGCCATTTTTCCGTTGTATAATTGATCAAGCTGAGGGATGGCTGTGCGTGGTGATGAAGGATTGTTTTAGACAAGCGGCTGAGAATAATGCTGTTTTGTCCTTCGTCAGCTATGTCACTGCATGCGTGCATGAAAATATTCGTTGACTAACAATTGACTTGGTAGATTGACTTTTCTCAATCTTGAGCAGCGACACCGAGGCGGAGTAGCAACGATGAAGACTATATCGGAAAGTACGAGTAAGAGAAAATAAAGAGCAGGCGAGTAGGCTTTTGTATGGACTCCGATCTGTTTACGCCAAACTCGAATCGCCTATCTGGTGAGTGGTATTGCGTAATGCAGTCTCAAAGGCTGGACAAAATTTTAATTCTGCTCCTGCCCTACCATGGATTTCGTGAGGGGCAATAAAGATTTTCACTTTGATTGAGGAATGAGTGTGCGGCGCCAGCGCGTCAACGAATAAAGAGACGTCTTGATTATCATTAGAGGGACTTGGAGGCAAGCCTCATCGTCATCACAACAAAGTGGTGCATGCAAGATAGTGAATCAGTAGGGTGAGGCTGAGCAATCGCTGCAGAGATTAAGTTGCATGTCAGCGTTGGTGGGACGCCATGATCTAATTGGATGTCGACGATTGCCTGGTTGGTTGGGCAACAATACAAGACAGACGCTAAGTGACTGCATGCCAATTATGATTGGAGACAGAACGCCAGAATGATCGCAATGACTGCTTGGGAAGCAGTCGATGGTTGGTTATGTAATACTGCTTACGCTTCCGTAAGCAAAGTAAGCGTCTGCACAGCAGCGTTTCAAGTGAGTAAACAGTTTAAGCCATTCTGAATCTCGGTTTGCAATTTCTAGATCTTAAATAGATTTAATACTAGTTTAACCAAATGATTTACACGTGACTGACAAGGATTTAACAAGAATTATTATTGAATAGGTTGATTTTCGGGTGGCGTATATAGTGACGCATACCATACATACTTAATATAAGGTACTCTTTCTAGCTTTCTTATTCGCTCTTTTATAAGTATTCTTAGTTAGATAGATCTTTATTACTTATAGAAAGAGACTATTACGCGCTTTAATACTATTACTTTCTTTTTATAAATGCGTAAAGAACTTATTTTACTTACTTATAAACCTAACGATTTAGTAAATTGAGGATTAATGTGGTTTGAATTGCGAAATTGTTTCAGATTGAAATTTTGATTTACTCACTGGAAACCCTGCTGCACAGCTCCCTTATATGCCGATTAAATTGTAGAGTACAGGACTGAAACCTAGATCTTTCCCTTATGCTAGAAGCTGCTGATGACGTAGCCGCTACAGAAAATCACAACTCTATCTGAAGGAATGTTGCTACACCATAGATCATGTGCTTCTGCTTACGGGTGCGGAGTCTTTCATTTATATTTCCACGGACTGCATCTATCAAGACTACATCTATCATACTTACCAGGAACCGAGCCAACACGTAGCCGTATTTATACTCAGTGGGGACACAGGGTTACACTGTGGACTAAAGCGGGGATGTCCAGTATGACATGGTGGTAGTGAGCTTCCGTGAAAAAGTCAAGAACATAAGGCATATCGATGCCAGATATAGATATCTGGGTGAATAACTATATGGAAAGGCAAGCCGTAGTAAGGTAGAATTCTGGAGAAGCTCCCGGGCTACACGTGCTTTTGCCGATCCTTGGAAAGAATACCATGCGACTAGAACCGTAGTAGAAAGAAGAACTTGGTCATTCAGCTTATATACAATGCAAAGAGTCTAAAACACGTGTGAGCAAAGGGAAGTATATATCCTCTGAAGTGATGGGCTGAATGCAGAGGCTCTGCGCAGCTAAATATAGCAAGAATCGTTTTCGGTCCGTGGTGGTTCCACCTCTCTTCTTTTGTAGGAAACCGCCGTACCAAGACACACTACTGCATGGTGGCTTCGCTACAGCACACCAAATAGGTAAAGATATGGCTCTAAGCGAAGGGGCTGAACTCTTTTCGGCTACCAAGCACGAACACCGCCTTGCGCGATTGCGCCTTGCGGCTGTTGCCTGGCGTTCGCCATGTGGGCACTCTGCCCATGGGGTCATGGATCGGCTATCTACAAGCATATGCCGATGCTGATCTGTTGATCACTCTACGACAATATAAGGTAGGCTGCGCGCTTCTGCATGGTCTTGTTCATATTGCGTACTTTCACCACCAGTCTATTTTCTTGCGGCGCAACGACAAACCGCCTCAGCCTATCCCAGCCCTACATTCCTCAAACCTACATCTACGCATATATACCGATTGCCAAAATGGGCATGCCAATGATCACCTGGCCCCGAGTGGATTTCGAGTTGATCAGGGATCCCGTCGGGGCGGCCATCCGTGAAACGGTCGGATATGATTGGAACATTGAAACAGAAACTTTCGAGATATGGAAAACCTCGTACAGCAACCTCACAGAAATCCACAACGACCCAGAGCAGTTCCGGATGGAGATCGACAACCTGAAGGAGATCCACACCATCATCTTTCCCCAGGAGAGCGCCATCAAGGGCCGCCTCAACAAGCACAAATTCAACTCCCTCTTCAACCCGCTCGAATCCTTCTGCGCCACCACCCTCCCAACATCCGAGCAAGCCGAGTCCGGCGAATGGGCCGGCGCATCCCTGGACCAATCCACAGCCGACGCGATCCGGCTCAAAATCTACCAGGCCGTGCACGAAATGTTCGAAGACGTCGAGCACCTGAACCACCTGTTCGACCTGACCATCTACGCCGACGGCGCGGTGCAGGAAATTGCCGTGCTGACCGTCGTGCTCTACGTGCGCTTCTACGCGCACCGCCGGCGCATCGGCCCGCGCGAGAGCCAGCGGCTGAAGCTGGGCACCGTGCTGGCGCCCATGTACTGGCAGATCCTGCTGATGGGCTTCGACACGAAGCGCAAGACGGCGTCGCAGCCCTTCCATCCCAACATGAGCATGATCGATCAGACGGTTGAGTTAGCAGCGCAGATGGAGCAGCAGGTGCGGCAGGTCGACTTCTCGCGCATGGTCGACGCGAATGCGAAGCCGGAGGTGAGAGAGGCCGGCGAAGTGGCGATTCAGGCTGGTATGGCTTTTGGGTTGCTGGACGAGCGGGGCCGTCTGATCGATTTTCCGGATTTCTAGTATTCGGCGCCGCGCTGGTCGTTTCCTTGTTTTTGAGAGTATAATGTAAATAATTTGGGTTACTCAATGTTGGTACATCTTGTAAATCAAGTTGTAGCATTGTAGAATTGCGCACGAAACAGATCCTAAGTCCCGTGGCAATTTTATTCCGTCATCTGCAAGGAAATCCTGCCGATGGCTTATTTCTCCCAGAGCTAAAACATTGATTTTAAAGATTGACAGACTTATGTTTTCACAGGTGGCATTGACTTTGAATTTCAAATCAATTGCATGGAGCGCCGATACTCCTTGGAAAATGAGGTTTATAGGAGGTCAAGCGTAGTGCGGGGTAATTTTCCGCGGGAGCCGAGGAAAAGGCTGTCTTCCATCACATCTTTTCCTAGCCGCATCCACATCATGACCACCACCGTGCGGCCTATCCCACGGTTACCAGCGTGTTCGGTCTGCTCGCAACGAAAGATCAAGGTGATTTCCCATTCTAAATAAGCCTGATTGCTGCTGAGCAGATGCAAGTGCGACAGCAACCGACCACGTTGCCTCCCGTGTTCAAAGGCGGACATTGATTGCGTCATCCATGCAGGAAATGGCCGCCAGGCGCTGTCAAGAGCGTCAGTTACCCCTCAAGGCTGTTGCTCATTCTCACACTTTTCAGTTTCATCCATGAACTCGAGCAGCGAGCGTCTGTACTGCCTGAGCCGGAAACGGCCGCACGGACTGAAGCCGACCACGACGCCAATCTGCCGTTGTCGACTGATGCCGGCACTACTTCACTTGGCCAGCCACATTCCTTTCTTAATGTCCCAGATGGAAGTGGACTCAGGTACAGCGCATTCTTAGCTACCTGTCTCAAATTTTAATGCTGACCGTAGATTAGCTTTATGAGATTGCTCTTCGCGGATTCAGAATGGAGGCAGAACAACACTCATCTGCTGCGCAATCTGTCGGAAACGTCACATGTTCCTGAGAATTCTGTAGGCGCCAATGCTCTACCATCAGCGTCTGAGGCTCGCCTCTTGTTTGACAAATAGTATTTCGATGCCCCAAATGCGTTGCAGCTTCGCAGCAGCACACTAACATTGTTCAACAACAGTCTCAGCGGGCCTCATGTCCACAACCCCTTCATACTGAAGCAAGAAATTGAAAATCTATATACCCGCGTGTTCGAGCTACGCGATGCTTCCAACACGCACTCGAGCCATGACCTTTTCCGCGCGTTCATGATTATGGCCATTGGATCCGTTACCCTTTACAGAAGAGGGCTTTATGGGTCGCATCCGTTTGGGTTCTACACTGCAGCCATGCGGTATTTTGATGACAAGTTCTTAGGCAATGGTATTGAAGCCATCCAAGATCTTCTTCTCATCGGGAGGTTTGGCATTTATTACCACATCGGTGCGTCGATGTAAACGAGCGGACAATACCTGTTGCTGACACATTGCTGTTCAGGAACGTCGATATGGGAGATAACACACCTGTGTATCCGGATGTGCATCGAGCATGGGCTCCACAAGGGATCCTCGGGCCATTCCGATCTTCTTGGAGAACAGCTGCGGCGGCGTGTCTTCTGGGAGTGTTACATGATTGACCGATACAGCTCCAACACGTTGCACAGGCCCTTTTCAATTGCGGAACGAGACATTACCACTGGATTTCCCGCAGATGCCAATGACGAAACCATTGTAGCCGCTCAGCAAATATTCCCCGATCTCAACACATTCAAAGCGGCGCATACGCCTTCCGGACTTTCTGAGATGTCCGTGTTCTTCTTGTGCATCCGGCTGCGGCAGATCGTATCGCGCATCCACTCTGAATTCTCCAAGCTTGCAGAGACAACCAAACGCAACGGCTTCGAGACATTTCTGTTGACAGGGAAGATCTGCCAGACAGTAGACGGATTTTTCCGGGACCTAGACGAGTGGAGGGCTGGTGCACCATTGATTCAGGCTCCAAGGTCACTGTATGAGTCTCAAGACTGGTTCGACCTCTTGCACTTCCGGGAGCGGCTCATTCTCGTACGAAAGGCGGTCGACTTTGTGCCAAAGCGGAACGGAATTCCTCCAGCTCACCTCCTCAACCAATGCCTTGAATGTGCAACGAGTACTATACGGCTCTACAGCAGGCTTTTCCAGCAAGGCAGCATCACGTATACCAGGAGCTACTTCCAGATGATATTCACAGCTGGTCTTTCGGTCATGTTCTGCGTCACGGCTTCGAAGGAGCTGAGACAGCCGCCTGTTCAAGAAACTCTGAGGCTCTGCGGAGAGACGCTGCGCACAATGGCGGCGAAGCTGCCTGATGCAATGCATTACGTTGCTGTCTACGAGGCGTTGCACCGGAATGTGGAGAGGAAGTGGAATCTAGTCTCGCTGCGTCCCTCTCCTACGCCTCATGCAGCCGATGTGGGTAGAGATCCGCCGGCTCTGGACCTGGAGGCACTCGGCGCACCAGGCCCGTCCGTGATAGCAACACATCAGCCGGAGCTGCCCTTGGATATGCAGATGGCCCCGAGGCACAATCACACCGGCCATTTGGGCTTTTCTCATGATCAGCCACAAGAAGAATGGTTCGCGTTGGCCCAAGATGGAAGCGAAGGGCTGCAGCAGGATGCCTTCCTGGCCGACGATCCTCTGCAATGGGGGTTCCTGAACGATGACATATTCTGGAACATGGAGGCCGGGCTGGGCGAGTACGCATACGGCCACGCCGATCCAAGCATCGCAAGAGCATTCGATTTTTCTGATCTATAGACTACACAACCAACTTCCCTTCTCCTCTCACTTTCTGCACACGCTCATTGATAGCATCGTATTCGCCCGCAACCTTCTTCATCCCCGCCTGCAGAATCGCCCCATCACCAGCGCTCAGCGACCACGTCGCGCCCATGGCGAACCACCGTTCCAGCAGATCCTGCCTCCCCCCGATGCCGCCGATGCCAATCGGCTTCCCCGCCTTCTTCCCCGCCAGCACGATCTTGGTAACGGCATCCTGGTACGCCGGATTGTCGTACTGCCCCGGTATGCCCATATCGGTGCACAGATCATTCGAGCCGATCAGGATGCCGTCCACCCCCTCAACGGCAAGGAACTCATCAACGAGATCCACGGCGGCAGGCGTCTCGATCATAGGCAGCAGCATCGTCTCGGCATTGAGCAGCTCGTTCTGGACGCGTGTCGGGACGTGCTGGAAGTTGAGGAGGGGCTGGTTATTCGCGCAGCCGCGCTGGCCGAGCGGGGCGTACTTGGCCGCACGCACGAGCTCGCGCACTTCCGCGACGCTCTCGACGTGCGGCACGACGACGGCGGCGGCGCCGGCGTCGAGCACGCGGCTGAGGTGCCAGTGCGACTTGGAGGGCACGCGCACGATGGGCGAGACGCCGGCGTAGTTGCAGGCCAGGATGAGCTGCGCGACGGCGTGCAGGTCGAGCGTCGAGTGCTCCATGTCGATGAACATGCCGCTGATGCCCGCCTGCCGGCACATCATGGCGACTTCGTTGCTGACCAGGAACTTGACCGACATGACGGCGCTGACCTGCCCTGCCACGATGCGGCTGCGGAACGGATTGCTCACGCTGACTGCGGGGCGGACTGGGGCTTTTTCGGGGAGGGATCCCATGGTTGCTCAGACGGGGGATGGGTATCGAGTAGGTAAGAGAAAGTGATGATGAAAGCCGCGACAACAGCACAGTGATTGACTCTTGGAAGCAGAGACTCGGCACGAGACTCAGCGCTTATTTCATTCCCCCGCCTAACTACCCGATGAGCAACACCCTTCGGCATCGTCGGACCCCATGGGGAAAGGCGTGCGGTTGCCGATCCCGGGCGCCGTCCGATGCATCGGACACGTGCCGAGTCACGGGACCAGGGCGGCCGATATGACTGTCCCCTCCACTCTTGCTGCGGCATACTCAAAAAAGAGCTGCGGGGAAAGCTCCCCAATAATTACGCAAGCCAAAAAAACAGCTCCCATTGCCAACCATGGCACCAGCAAGCGTCGCAGACCTCCAGCCCTCAACCCCTTCAACCACCACCAACAAACCCACCGTCTACGTCCTCGACAAATTCCACCCCGACGCCATCGCCCACGCCCGCACCCTCTTCAACGTCATCCTCAACACCGATCCCGAATTCAGCTCCTGGCACGATGCAGAATACCTATTAATCCGCTCCTCCTGGCTGCGCGCCGCCGACATCGCCGCGTGCCCGAACCTCAAAGCCATCGGCAAGCACGGCGTCGGCACCGACAAGATCAACGCGCGCGCCTGCGCCGCCCGCAACATCGCCGTGCTCAACACGCCCGGCGCAAACGCGCGCGCCGTCGCGGAGCTCGTCTTGGCCCTAACCATGGCCGTCGCGCGCGAAGTCTGCAGCATCGACCGCCGTCAGCAAGCGGGGGCGGTCGTCCCCAAAGAAGCCTGCCGCGGGCTCACGCTGCACGGCCGCACGCTGGGCGTCGTGGGGATGGGCAACATCGGGCGGTGCGTCGCGCGGATTTTCCACCGCGCTTTTGATGCCCCTGTGGTGGCGTACGACCCGTTCATGCCGCAGGACTTACCGGCTTGGGACTTCCCGTACCGTCGCGCGGCGACGGTGGGGGAAGTGGTGCGGGAGGCGGACGTGTTGACGCTGCACGTGCCGCTGACGGAGGCGACGCGCGACCTGCTGGCGTACGAGGAGCTGTGCGCGATGAAGCCCGAGGCGATCCTGATCAACGCGGCGCGCGGGGGCATCGTGAATGAAAAGGATTTGGAGCGCGTGTTGCGGGAGGGACGGATTTGGGGTGCGGGCCTGGATTGTCATGAGCAGGAGCCGCCGACCAAGGAGAAATATGCAAGTCTGTGGGAGCTGCCGAATGTGGTGTCGACGCCGCATATTGGCGCGGCGACGGCCGAGGCGCAGAGGACGGCGGCGATGGCGGCGGTGGATAATCTGTATCGGCACATTGTGGGGTTGGAGAAGTGATGGGTAGATGCAGTTTAATTTGATTCAACTTCGTAAATGCTTATTTCTGTCTCGAAGCGTGAGGCCGGAGCGCTCCAGCACAGTGCCACTCAACAACTTGGATGTTCCCTTCCATGCTGTCCGTGATGAACAGCGTCTTGTTGTCTGGTCCGCCGAATGTGCAATTGGTCAAGTTCTTCCCGCCACGTGCATCTCCAACAATGCGGGCTTTCGGAATACCGTCTTTGTCCACAACAAAGACGCATCCGAGACTGGGGTGGCAGACAAAGAGACTCCCCTCCTCATCCACTGCCAGCCCGTCGGGTCCCGCATTGCCAAATGATTGAAAGAAGACGCCAGCCTTTGTCGTTGAGCCGTCTGCATTCAGAGGCAGTCGCCACACAGCATTGGCCCGGGTCATTGCCACGTAGAGGAAGCGCTCGTCGGGCGTCAGCGCCAGCCCGTTCGGCGACACGCCGTTATTAAGCAAACAGTCAAGCTTGCTTCCATGAGACTGGCGGTAGACGGCTCCAGTTGGGTCTGTGATCCCAGTTTGACCTTGATCCGTGAAGAACAGCTCGCCGGTGCTTGAGATGATGAGATCATTTGGACCCTTGAAGCGCTCGAGATTGCGCCTGGTGAGGTGCGGTGAGATGGTCTGCGTCGAGGGATCGAAGAGAAGGAGGCCCTGCAGTCCAATCAGCATCCTCGAAACAAGACCAAGAAGGGCAAGCCTTAGTATACCTGTTTGTAGTCCGCCACAACAATCAGTCCATCGTCCCGCAGAACCATGCCATTCGGCTCGCCGTCGTACCGGACGCACTCGGACACCTTCTTCTCGGCGTCTATCTTGAGGATACGCCCGTACGGAATATCCGTCACGAAGACGTTTCCCTGGCTGTCCGCAGTCGGGCCTTCCAGGAAGATGCCCGAGAAAGGCAACGCCGACCCGCCCTTCCATTCTGTCGCCTGCCCCGTGCACCGCAGCTCGTCCGGGATGCGGACCCAGATTCTGGCCTCGATGACCGGAGGTGCCGGGTAGAAATTCATGTTTGCCGAAAAGCCCTTGGACATGTTTTCCGTCCGACCTACCAGATTGTGACTTATATTCCAGGTCGTGAGGCGGTGTGTGTAGTAGTTGCTTAGCGCTGACGGATGTTGTTCGGGGCGTCGGGATCGGACGTTTGGTGCCTCGGGGCGTGTCCGATAGGTGCGGGGACCCCACGGGGTCGTCTGGAAATAATACTGGCCGCGAAATTCTTGGCTCTTGGGTATAGAGCGCTCTCGGTCTCCAACACATCGTCCTGCAGCACACCAAAGCTATCATCATCATGGGACTTGTTGCAGAGACAAAGAGGGCGATGAAAAATTCCCCTCGGGAAATTTTCAACGCCTATGTCTTCTTTTGCACGTGGTGCTTTGCTCTCTCAGGAGTGGCAAAGGGGTTTGATGAAGGTGAGTCTCCCGAATGAAAGGGTGAAATATCAGCTCACGAGGTGTGAACAGGGAATATCGCTTCGCTCGTGGTCCAGGACAGATTCAAACACGACTTTGGCATCTACATCCAATCACAGAAACAATATGCAGACACAAAGGGTTGGATTGTATCCATTGCTACCGCTGGTGCTGTATTTGGCTGTCTGGGGGTACCAGATTCCGTCCCCTTTTCCCTCTGACTTGCTCTAACGACCTGGACACAGTGCACCTACTTCAATGACCGTTTCGGCCGTAGATGGACACTTCGCGGTGGGACGGTAGTCTACATTGCCGGAATTCTCGGTCAGGGGCTCTGCGCCGGCAGTCTCGGCGGATTGTACGCATCGAGGTTCATCTCAGGAATAGGAATTGGAGTTACAACGGTGGTGCCACCCATGTACATATCCGAGGTAGGCACGCATCTTTGGGTATTGAAACAGGACTGACACATTTCAAGATTGCCCCAAAAGCAATCCGAGGGCTTCTTACTCTGCAGTATGCCGCCTGCCAACAGCTTGGCGTGGTCCTGGGTTTCTTCATCAACTACGGTGTGACCAAGACATACGCAGGCGTGCGGGCGCAGTGGATGCTCCCCACACTCCTCCAACTCCTGCCAGCCGCTCTGTGGGGCATTGGTACCTTTTGCGTTCCCGAATCTCCAAGATGGCTCCTTTCCAAGTGCAGACGTAGCGAAGCATCCAGAAATCTCAGCAAGCTACGTCATCTTCCCGAGGATCATCCCGTCATCGAGGCCGAACTCGCTGGGATGGATGCCCAGCTGGAACACGAGGTGGAGGCTGTGGCAGGAGCTTCGCAGAAAGACTTCGTCGTGGAGACATTTGTGCCGATAGAGAACCGACGCCGCTTCTTCCTCATTTTCCTGGCAACGCTTTTCTCTCAATGGTCTGGCGCAAATGCCATCACGCAGTATTCCCCCACAATCTTTGGTTACTTGGGAGTCACAGGGACCGAGTCTCAATTCCTGGCCACGGGAATATATGGCATCGTCAAATTCACGTCATGCTTGGCTTTTGCTATCTTCATCGTGGATTTCCTTGGTCGTCGTCGGTCATTGATGACGGGGATTATCCTGCAGATCTTGACACTGGCGTTTGTGGGTTGCTATCTGGGCATCACAGGAAGCATGTCAACCGCAGAGGTGGAGGCCTCGTCGGCTGCATCTCATGCCGGAACCGCTGCCATCGTCGCCATCTACCTTCATGCTATTGCCTGGAGCATTGGTTGGTTCTCCATGCCGTACTTGATCGGCTCTGAGATTTTCCCCACGCGGATTCGGTCTTTCAACGTCTCACTATCAATGGCGTTTCACTGGGCCTTTTACTTTGGCAGTTCAAAGGCCATGCCTAGCCTATTGGCTGCAACACACAGATGGGGAGCATTTGTTTTCTTCGGCGGCATCTGCAGCATTTCGTTGGTCTACGTGTTCTTCGCTATGCCGGTAAGATTTAATCTCATACGTTTGGTTTCAACCACGCTGACTTGTCACCACAGGACACCACGGGACGATCTCTTGAATCCCTGGACGATCTGTTCAGAAGGCCTTGGTACACAGTATACAAGGTTGCTTATCCTACCCCCAACGACATGACTATCGAAGGAAGTGACAATAAGGCGTTGGATGATAAGCAGGACATAATCATGGAGGACGAGAAGAATGGAAGCGTTTCACAGGTTGAGGATGTCAGACAGGTTTAAAATGTTGTACTGAGAACCTCAATACATGCGGGTAGTCTCTATATGAAATTACATGTCCATGGTTCTTCCATCAAATATTTCTCACCTCAATGCGACTTTCTCATCACGGCGCGGTAAGGATGTGCTGATGAAACATTTTTGCCCGTATGTTTTCAAATAAGGGAGTTTCAGGTTACAGGGTATCACGATAATTTATTTCGAAATATGATACCAATCGGTGAAGGCAAACCTTTTACTTTGAGTGCATGCTTTAAGTTCTTGGCTTTCGAGAAGAGAATAGTATTGTGATTCATAAATAAACAAATTTGTGGAAAACCAAAATGCGTTGCATTTGAGTCTACACTTAGCATAGCCAGCCTAACTACGAGAAGATGCATTGCTTAAGTCGAAAATCTCCACTCAGTAGTTTCGCCAGTTTGGGCATCCTTCCGATCAAGCTCCTTATTCTTCCTGACACACCACCACCTAGCAACCAAACAGAAGACGATAGTAAGACCACATCCGGCAATGAGAATGCCGCCACCTGTCTCGTACCTGGGCGCTTGGTTCGTCAAGAAGAAATAGGGCGTGAACCAATGGCTCACACTGCTGACACAATTGGCGATAGCAACAAGGGCGGCCCTTTTCGTCCTGGGGCGGGGCACCACTGTCGTCTCCCAAGAGATCTGCAGGTTCAGCCCCACGAATGGGCCCGAGCAGAGAAGAATCATGGCGAAGTAGCGAGCACCGGTGTTGAGTGTGCTGATCATGAGAACCGCTCCAACCAGAGACACGGTGATGCACACAATAATGTGCCAACAGTGTTCGAGCAGCCTACCGCTGGACCAGGAGACGCCAAGTGTGACCAAGTACGCAATGGCGTACGGCGGAGCCTGGATCAAGTACGTCCCTACCTTTGAGAAACCGAGAGTGTCGACGATCTGGGCTGCGTTAGTGCTGTTGTGTTCAGTGGTTCGGCAGGAAGAGGTGACTGACCGATGGAAAGAAGTCCTTGAAAGACTGCGCAATGATAACGGAAAAGTGGATGGCAGCAAACATCCATGTGAAGGGATCTTTTGCAGCCATGACCACGCCACTCCAAGCCCCCCCTTCGTCTGACTCCGAAAGACCGCCAGCAGAGACGAGCTGACGATACTGTGCCATCTCAGATTCTTCGGGGGTGAGAAAATATGAGCCGGTGTCGTTCGGCCAGTTCGGGATGAACCAGAAGCCCAGGAACGCCACAATGACACTAACAATTCCTGCGATGATGAGTTTTGTCTTCATAGCGATTAAGACTATGACGTACCTTCGAGCAACACGAACCACTGCCAGGCGTGGAGACCAGCAATGCCGTCCATGTTGGTGAGAATACCGGCCGCAAGGAGACCGGAAAAGATATTGGAGACGATGTTTCCCGCGTGCCAGATGCTCATTCGCAGCGGCGATTCGTGTTTGGTGTACCACGACGAGGTCATGAGGGAGACGGCCGGGAGAAATGGACCCTCGGTGATTCCAACGAGAAAGCGACAGAGGAGGAATGCCCACCCCGACTTCATCGCCGGCATGCAAATGGTCACAGACGACCAGGCTAGCATGCAGCAGGGAAGAAGAATGCGAGGTTTACCTTTTGCGATGATGACATTGGCCGGTACTTGGGAAATGATGTACCCAACGTAGAAGAGGGAAATTCCCGCCGACCACATGGTATCCGACATGTGGAGGTCGTCTTGCATTCCCGCAAGACGTGCATTTGACACATTGATGCGGTCAAGATAGCTGAGCATAGGTCAGATTTGAATTGTGATCTGGGCTGGGAAGACAAACTTCATGAGCAGCATCATGGTGACCATCGGAAGGAACTTCCAGTCCAATTTCCTCACGACGCTTTTGTTCAACGCATCGAGTTCTTCCGACGTTTTTGCCTGCAGAAGCGGGTAGTTTGTGAGATAGGGGTCCGGAGGCTGAGCATTCTCGATGTACTCCTGCGCATCCCCCTTGTGGAAAGAGTCGGCACCCATGCTGAAGGGTGGGTCGGTATTGCTTCGGTCGGTGCAGCAGTAGTGCCCATTCTTTCGGGGACGGAAATTTTATAGCGCTGGTGCCTTGTTTGATTTTCGCCCGAGCTCCACCCCCACAAACCCCGCATTTCACGATCCAAGTTTGTCGGCTGCCGCTGCCGTGGTGGCGTCCCGGTACCATCGGACTCCGCCCGAGGCCTCGTGCCTTTTCTCTCGCCCACCCCCCCGCCAGTCCTCCGAAACCCCGAGCACAATCACCTTACTTTCGCAAACCCTCAGCAGTCAACAGCCCAGAATGGATGTCGCCCCGCAGCCATCTGCGCATGGTCTCTCCGCATCGGACTCAGTCCGACCGCCTGCGGGGAAGCGCGACCGGGCATGTGAGCGGTGCTGGCGGCGCAAGCAGAAGGTGAGCCTTTCCCGAAATGGTGGTTTCAACATACTGACGCATCTTTCCGCAGTGTGACCGAACGCTCCCAGCGTGCACTGCTTGCACCACATTAGGCCTCCAGTGCCAGGAGCGCCGCTCCGACCAAGACCCAGACGCACTCGAAGACGGCGGTGTTCTCACCGCCGGCTCATTACCAAAGTGGGTCCTTGGAGATGTCCATGCTTGAAATTATTCATCTAAAGCTTCTCCAATGGCAGCTATATCGAGGCTTTGAAGCGTAAAGTCGGACAGCTGGAGGAGGCGCAGACTCCAACGAAACGACGCCGGACATGCTCGCCGCTGAACACCGAACAGCAAACCACTTCCGAGAATGTGGCAAATGCTCGTTCGACGACTACGGCAGATGCAGCGGAGAATCCCGTTGAAGGCTCCGTGCATGCGACGTTAGGACAGATCGGGTTCTTGTCCCGGAGTGCCATGGCCGAGCCCCGGGATGGAGAAGGCACTCGTGAATCTCATTGCCATCTGGCTCCAGAGAAATTGGTCAAAGCCGCAGCCACGCTGAGCTCTCCGACCTCGCATCTGCTGGGATTCGCGGCTCTCATCTCTGTGGGTAGTAGTGTGCAGCCCTTGACACTCACCCGTGAGAGTACTGTAGGCTTCATGCACAGGTTCTTGGAAGAAGCACCGACATTGTTTCTTGTTCACCTGAACCGTGATCAATCGATGGCGCAGTATGAATCTGTAATCGCCGAGCACGCCGATGGCAGAAGCACAGGAAGCACCACCCCGCATCCACTGCGAGACTTCAGTATCTACATGTCCCTCGCTATCGGCGCTGCCATGGCTCACGAGTCCTCGAGGCTGGAGTCTTTTTCAGCCGCCTTACATGCCGCATCTATAGACATCTTCCCTTCGGTGATTAAGACCTGTAGCCCAGCTGCTTACCTCCACTGCCTACTCTACCTCATTGTATACTCTACTTTGAACTCTCATGGAGGCTCTACTTGGTATCTTTTGGGGCTTGCTACGAGTAAATGCATCTCTTCGGGTCTCCATAGGCATTCCACTGTGGACGATGGGCATCCGGAACTTGGAGTGGACAGTGCCAAGAATATTTTCTGGTCCTTGTATCTTCTCGATAGGTACGCTACGTCTCCATATTCCAGTCAAGTATTAATCGGGTCCAATACAGATGTCTCGCTTCCATCATGGATCGCCCATTCGCAATTCAAGACTACGACATATCGGTTCAAGTATGTTTCTCAAAACCTACGATAGCCAAATACTCATTCATGTCAGGATCCAGAAGAAAACAGTGATGGTCACGAATCACTGATATTTCAACTAGTCATGCATGCAAAGTTGACCTCGCACTTCCGAAGCAGCTCCAATCAATCGGTTCTGCACAATTACCACAACTTCCTGTACTGGCAGCAGCTTTCCCCTCCAGTTCGTCATCTCGTTGCAAACTCTCCGGGAAAATCAAAGTTCTTGCATCGATTGGCATTTCGCACATTATCAGAGCTTGTTCAGTCACTAGCATACTCCGACACATGTATGATAGCGGAAGGTTTCCGCACGCTGGAAAAGGATACCATGGCTCACTGCCGAATCTTGATCGATGATATCCACGACGAATTGGACCAAGGAAGCTTCTCAGGATCTCTGTTAGATGTCTTTGATGCCTTTACAGCAGGAGTCCTGATATTGCATCTCTCAACACTCATTCCAACGGATGGTGTGCAGCCAAAGATAGGTCTTCAGGCTTCAAAATCAGTAACGAAGTGCTGCAACATCCTCACGGCACTCGGCGAACGCCTGCCCCAGTTCAGATCCTATCGCAAGATACTTTTCTCTATTTACCATCACCTCATCGACGAGACTTCTGCTCAACCCAACGTAAGACATCTCAGATAAGCGGACCTCCAAAAGTAAAAGCTAATTCGAATAGCTCGAACTGCCTGCTGCCACCCCGGGCCGCTTGCAGCGCATCATCGAAAAACTGCTTAGATGCTCCCAAACGAATCACCGGAGTTGATGAACCATGGTTCCTGGCATTGAGAAGCAGCTCAATTCGTGAAAATCATCCCTGTAGGTAAAATCAGCCTTTCCTACTTAGTGGGATTTGATTGATCATAGCTGGAGGAGGGAGGTTTCGGCACATCACTGGCGGTGGAAACAAAGCCATCTGAAGCCTCAACACTCAAGTAGCAGAGTACTCAACAATGGATCCTTCGCCTATTAACACACAACATCTGAACAAGCAGGTCTATTAAAAAATAGTATTGTTCTTCGATTGTTTGGGATATGGCCGTCTACTAAATATAGGCACACTTATCTTAAGATGTCTTGTAAAATGGCTATATAATCACGCTCTATGACCACTTTCCGACAATTTAGAAGACACACCAGCATAATAATTTGCAACTAGGCTAAGCAAGTATGCTCCACGCTTTACCGTTACGCGCTGGAAGGCGGGTCTATATCTAATAATGTCCATATTTTTTCGTTCATCTCTACTGCGCAAAGAGCCTTCCACTCCAGTGGACCTTTGGCGAGTAGTCATAGAGAAAGCTTTCGGGTCAATCGCGACTGTAATCGCGGACGGTGCTTCGGCCCCGGTGATGTTGAAAGCTATGAAAATGGTGGCGGAGATGCGGCGCATTTAGGAAAAGGTAAGTAAGTTCCGTCAAGTTCCATAAGCATTATCGCGCGGCTTTTGTTCGTTGCAAAAGTTGGCTTGGTAGCCGCAGGCGGCCATCCCAAGACGCCAACTCTTGGCGTTGACGCACACGGGGTATGAATGAATCAACAGTCGCCCAATGGGGTCTACTCACCGTTTCCTGCACGTTTTCTTTGTAGTTCGCGAAATTTTGTTCGCGTTTCTTTCAGTTTCCTTTCACCACACCTTGTTTAAATCTGGTGGATCATGGTAGCCAAGGCTGTTTCATGCATTGTTAAAAAATTCTTTATATACAGAATCGAATAGCCTTCTCATGACGTCTATTTTCTACGTGACCTTTTCACCACTTCAGAGCTTTCGACTTGTACATCAAGCTCTGCCCTGACGACCATGAAGTATCATTTCCATTCCGACGCTAGGTACAGGCGGATTTATAACACCGTCCCGCCGGACAATAACTCGGAAAATGACTCCTCTCTTGACTCTTCCTTCCGGCCACGTCAGAACGGCCACCACCGTGATGAAGATCTATACGTTTGGCCCTACTTTCTCAGCCTCTTGTTTACCATTCTGGCAATCGTTATACTCTACAGTCCCGTCTACAACCCCCCTGAAGAGCCGTACAATCCCTCTTCAGAAACGGCGATCACGTCGACGACGACTACAGTAATAGCGCCTTCCCTTACAGGAAAGGCAACTGCGACAACATCGACCTCCAGCACAACATCGATACGCGACTCGCTACAGCCAGCATCGCCTAATGACAGATCACCGGAGGCAACACCGCAGAAAGAAGCATCGACGATACAAAAGCCCCCGACGTCACCAGTACTAGAAGGCGAAACCCAGCCTTTCGTCTTACATGACGACATAGCCTGGATCAGCTACCTCCCCTCGCTGTGTCACCACCCCCAGCACTCGGCCAGCCTGCCAGACGAACTGAGCAGGATCCCCGGCCGCGAGCTCGGACTCTTCGGCGTCGCGCACCTAGCCCCGGACCCGAAAGCGGACGAGAGCAATCCGGAGTGCTCTAAGATGGTCGCACGAGCCGCCAGCAGGCAACGGGCTTTGTTTGTCCCCAAGGCGAAGTCTTCCTGGGCATCGCCGTTTGATTGGATGTCGAAAGGCTCTTGGGAGGTGCGGATGTCCAACACGCAGATGGAGATTGTCAGGAAGATCATTGACGCGGCTGAGGAGAGGGCTAAGTTGTTGTGTATGACGGAGAAGGAAATGAAGAAGTGGAGGGAGGAGGAGGCTTTGAAGTCGCGGAGGGAGGAGGAGGCTTTGAAGTCGCGGAGGGAGGAGGGCATATTGAAGCGGTTGTTCTCTTGGTAACTGTTGGCCTACGTTCAATAGATGGACGCAGAGTCAAAGCAAAGATTATTTCTTTGGCCGAAGCAATTTTCACTCTTTGCTTTCTCTTCTTGCACAAGGGCAGAATGTCGGCTGGGAACAAAGTAGAAGCCCCACAAAGCTACAGAGAAAACACAATTACGGGATAGTAGTGTTTCTTTCGAAGCTCGGATGATATTAGAAGAAAAAGGTAGCATTGCTGGAATTTTTTAATTTAATCTTAGCTGGATTTTCGACAGTGCACGTACAACAAGTTGGAATATTATAAAAGTAATAAAGCTCGGCTACTACGCAGGTACGCTTAGTCTATATATTATCTTAAGACCCTATATGGATTAAGGAACATTCGTGGTTTCTGAATTTCGCTAGATATTAGGTGCTTGACGCCTTATCGTGTCCCCTGGTGAGATATTGTAAGGTTTGTAATTTTCGATATCGTAGCCCCCCTCTTCTGGCGCGGACGAAAGGTATATAGAGCGATGGATCTTGTAAAACCTTCATTAGGGCGGAGTTCTGGGGGGTGTAACGGTCGGGGTAATGCGGGTTGTGTAACTTTAGACAAGGCATCGGTGATCTCTAACAGCCACCATCATGCGGACGGTTTAAGAACAATTTAGTAACTAGGGCTACATTGTATATTATATGGTTGAAGGAACGACGTTAACATTGACAGATGTAAGCTGCTATGAAGGTACCCGGTAATAATGAAAGACATTAGTAGTAATTAAGAATGGAGGTTTTGAAAATTAAGAACGCTAAAATTCACGAAAAAATCGCGTTAACCTCCATCCTTAGAGCTTCGGCTGAGTGAGCTTTGACTGCATGGGAGGGAAGCAAAGATCATTAATAGCCATGGCCAGTGCAGCATAATCGCTTCCCTCCAGAAAGTCTACGTACAAGATGTTGGGTAGGTTGGCTGGATGGCAGTGTGGCAGACAGTCGGTGAAAAGTGACTTGTTTGCAGAGTACGCCATGTCCTTGACTGAAGCCTTAGATGAGGGGCCATTCCAAAACAAGCCGAGTGGCGTCCTTTTCACAAGCTCGTTGGCCACCGCACCCCACCCAAAATTAGTCATCTGCGGCGTCAGCGTCCACGACAACAAGAAAAGCTTGGGGCTGAATGAAGATAAAAGCTTATCCAGCTTTCCTAACTGACCGTTGATCATCATGACTGCATCATCGGTGTTCGAATACTCATCTTGCACGCTAACTTCGTTCGTAGTAAAGAAGCCTTGATGCTCGAAACTTCCCAATTTGATGTTGGCGTCAACAACGATGATGACAGCTGCCTTACCAGATCCAATGAAGTCATTCAAAGTATTCGAGGTGAGATTCGCGGCATCATTAGCTGTTTTGGCGATGTAGCGGTCCTGGACACGGCTGAATTCCTTGAACAGCAGGTCCCACTCTCCCTGTTCGAGATCACGGTAGCTGGTGATACCTACGTCCGTGTTCATCGCGTGCGAGAGATTGACAATAACGAGCTCCTTGTGCGCAGCAGTGAAGTTGTTGACATCATCAACAACGCTCGAAATCTTTTGTCCGACGCCTCCGAGCCAGAGACCCTCAACTTTGGTGTAGTGTCCAGTCCAGAATGACCCGCATGAGATGACTGGACGAATGTCCAGGTAGCGTGACCCATCAGCCAATTGGCCGTAGATGTTCTTTGATTGACAAAGCAGCGCTGAATCCATGATGTTGGCTGTCACGGGGGAGAGCGCGGAGATGATGGTGGTTGACAGGGACCGGGAGGACATGCCAGCGTCGTGGGTGCCTGGCATGCAGATCTGGTATAGATGGCGAGACCCTAGCTTGTTCAAATTGTCTTTCATCCAATCGATGCTTCCATGGTTTGAGGAGAAACAGCCCTCGGCTCCAGACAAGATGAAACGGGTGGACCCATCGTGGACCCAGCCAAGATCAACTTCGGTTCCGCTCGGGATGCCGGGTGTGGAGAAACCATTGAAGGTCACGCGAATTGAAGATGGGTGGTCCTTGACCAGAATTTGAAAGGAACAGTTGTTTGTGCCATCGATGTTGTAGAAGCGACTCAATACAGAGTCGGAGCGAGTGATCCAGAAAGCCTGATGGAACTCGATGTAAATCTGTGATGTTTGACCTTTTCTGCAGTTAGTGCTAGCTCTGAAATGAAGGGCTTCATTTTACCTGGTGCAACTGTCTCTGGGGTACCCGATGTCTCAACCTGATAAGTGGCTTGATTCGAGGTCTGTCTCCATGTGTACTGCGTCCCATTGACCAAAGTAAGATAGCCACCTTGACCCATAACGGCAGTAGAAGATTGTACGATGAATGTGAATTCAGTTGCTTGAGTGATAGAATTCTACACTAGGATGAAAGTGCCTTTTATCTTCTTCACTGCGGTATTTCTTGAGCGCCGACAAGAAATTCATTCTGGACCCATCAGGTATAGCGGTGTGCGGGGAAGCATTAGGGCTCTTGTTCAATGCTCCTGTGGAATGCGTGGTCCTTGGAATGATACGCGGGGTATAGCTAAATTCCTTTCACATGGAAACTTCCATCCCATTATTTGCATGTGGAAAGGATGCAAAGAAGGATGATAGTGTGGCCGAGACGAGAGAACCTGAAGCGGCCGACGGCTGTGATACCGTTTTGACAGCAGATAAGTGGGCCTTACTGGATGATTCGTTAGCGGTAGAGGCCGTGATGGCGATATGTGTTCCCGCGCGACTCAGGCGAGCGGTGTGAGGAAAAGCTTTACCAGAGCTGTCACCGTCTCTATCGCAGAAATGGAGGCTATCGTAACAACAACAATAACAATAACAGAGCATCATCCAGTAGTGACAATAAGAGTTATGTTCACGCATGATGTGAGAGTTGATGTTAAGGGGCCTGAGCGTTATCAATTCATGCCACATGTTCCGCAATGTTATGCTACGGATTTAAAGTTTCTGTGCTAAGCCACACCCACAGCTCACCGCAAGCAGCACTCCTTGAAGTCCAAAAAGATCACGGCACGTCCCGCTAAGGCTGCGGGTCAGATCGCCCTGACGGATAGGATTTGTGCGCATACTGTAGAAACTAGCGTACCAGACGGATAATAAGTGGGGCTCCGACCCGCTTCCGTGCGATAATGCGCCAACAACCAGAAAATGCAAACTTCTAGGCTCTGCACCATGTGCCATTGCCGTGCTCTGAGACAGCTGGCAGTGGCTCGGGTGCCCAGAATATGACGGTCCTTGCCTGTAGGGCAGGCCTGGAATCTCCGAAGGATCTGCTTAGACTGAAGTTGCGGAGCTTTGTAAGCTGGCTGCTTGGCGCATGCATGTGCTGCGATGAAGAGAGCATAGGGCTTGATATTACAGTGGATCACACCTGTCTTGGTTGGGTAGGCGGCGCAGAGAAGATTCGACTTGGAAGAGACATTGCCAAGTTTTGGTCCTGCTTGGTGATGCCGCCTCGAAGGAATGGTCGATGTTGCTGTCCACTCGCTCGGAAGTCCTTTTTGATTTTCAGCGTGGTTCATCAAAGATAGAATATGTTCAATTGGATGCTGGGCTCACGCCAAATTCGTCCGCGCGCTTAATATTCTGCCGCTACCCTCCTGGGCGCGGCACGCGAGCCCAACGCTAAGGTTGGTGCGGCAGGACGCCCCGCCGCCGCTGCAACCGGACCAGCTGTACGGCATTGATGTGTGAAACCTCTTTCTATAGTCATTCTGCAACTCGGTTACTCGACAAATGGTCTAGAAATAAATACAGCATTGTCGAAACTACAATCAAAATGACCATGACTACAATGACGTTTCTGTATCTGATGTAATATTGCGGGAAGTGCAAAACTGCCTGGCTTGGGAACGAAGTACTTCAGCTGGAAAACGAAACAGTACCCCCACGGTCTGTATCGAAAACATAATTTACGGGATGGTAGTATTTCTCTGGAAACTCGGCTAATAGCAGAAGAGAAGGCAACATGTCTGAAATTGTTTACTCTGATTTTAGCTACGATTTCGATAGTCAAATTACAACAAATTGAAAAGCTATAAATAAATGAGCCCCGGCCTTGAGAAAGTGCCTTCGATGCCGGGAAAATGTGTGATTTCACATTCGTCCATACCGCGTACAATACCCGGGCCTCGGTGGCGCTGCTGCCAACATGCTCTCGTACTACCAAGGACGACGTCACTGACGCCACCAATGACGAGGATAGCGCCACAGACGCCATCGCAACGGGCGAAGTTCCAGACCGGCATCGGGCCCGCGGCGTCAACGTGAAGGTCTGTCATTCCTTCTCGGTGGGGCCATTTGCTCGAGAACAGGCGCATCCGCATCAACGTTGGTGGCCTTAACAAGGGTTATAGCACGCATAGCGGAAGGATTCGATGCTTTCATCAAGGGCCATGTCTGATTGGCCATAATTCTGCCACTTTGGGTAATCTATGCAAAGCATACAGAGGCAACTTGATAATTATTCAGACAGACATTTAGTCCTGCTATCCACTGTGTTGCTGGTCACAAATCTCGCGCCGAGTGTTCTGGGCTCCTTGGCTCAACAAGTGAACAGTCCTTAAACAGAGAGGGTGGCAAACATTTCCCGCTTCCAGCCGCTCGTCAGTTCCAGCATGTGGTCCGGATTGGCCAGAGTGGGTCCAACGCTGTGAGTCTAGTCCCACAAAGGAACGAAGCCTTGCTGTTCGAGGCAGCCGGCAATCTTTGCAGCGTCGACATCGTGGCCTTGCACCATCTGATTCTCAAGCATGTCAAAGCATGGCTCGGTGGGCATAGACCACCCGTGTCTGCGTAAAAGAAAAGTCAAATTTGGGCCGAGATGAGCGGCCACATTCTTCTTCCTCGGCATTTCTTCCAGTCCGAGGTTGACGGTAGGGAGCCACCTCGCTATTGGAACATGCGTCTATCTAATGGAACTAGAGATAGACAGCAGCATTACCGATGAGAATTAATCCTATAGATAGAAAGGCAGGAAAGTTTCTAGGACGGAGCCTTGAGCTATGAGACACACTTAGGGAAAATGGACAAATCACCAGGCATGTCTTGTTGGGCTAGGGTCATGGGCATGACTGATTGCTATGGCCGACTTCATGCAGCGATAGGACCAGCCAGCTTTTGAGGCTCAATGGTAGCAGGCAATGTGGTGTGCATTAAAAGCCACACCATCAGTGGCCGCATTGCGAGAACAATGCATTGAACTGCAATGGCATTGGTTCGGAAACTTACCAATTCAAGAATGTGGCCGACGTACGCGGTGGCGGGAGAATGTAATCTGCCGGAAGAAATGCTGCAGTCCGCTTGAAGAGACTTCACTAGGGTTGGCTGCAATGTCTTCCAGCTCGCTCTAGACTTCGGCCAGCCGATGCAGTGTTGTCGTGATTGGTTTGACAATGATATTGCTCATGATGACGCGAGTTTCATAACCAGCTGTTGATTCATAGTCAAATTGAAGCTTCATTGGGGGTATGATACATACTGCTGCACATGCTTGCAACCAGCCTGAATAGGAGAGTTCGAAGAGCGGACGCCCTTTCCAGCAATGACGCATGTCATGAAAATGGCATTTCGACAGCGATGCTCTCTTCTATGGCAAACGGGCAACAGCCCATTAATCCGGTGAGCTTCTGTCCGAGAACATAGGCCGTCCACTAGGTAGTGTTGCAGCAATCAGGAGAGTCTTGGTCGTTGCACCAGGACCAAAGTATGATGCAAGCCACCTTTGCTGACTGCATAACTTAATCATTTTACCTCATAGCTTAATTATTTTTTCGTCTCCAGCGCTGCGTGTAGATTTCCCGCTCCATGCTTCGTTGTGCATTGGCAAGACACCTCATAAGCATGCGGCTCTAGGCCAAGCAACGTATTAGCTGTCGTATAGCTCGTCTCCTAATTTCCTGATTTATTTTATGTCACTACGTAATATAGTTCTATTACCGATCCTCTACCTAAATGGAAATCGTCCATCGTATCAGTGTTGCTGTTCAGAAATCAAGGGGCGTACAATTTATACCTGGTGAAAAAGATCACTTTACCCGGTGATAACTTACAGAAATCGCATCCTGGACGGTCGCACTACATTTAAGCCTTTTACTGAGGCTCTGCGGCAAAGCGCGGGTCAGGACACAAGAGGACGAGAGTATAATAGGCGGTGAACGCGGGAGAGATGGAGTAACAACAGCAAACATGTTCGGCACTCTGCACTACGACCGCGGCAGCAAGCACATCGAATTCATTGATCGGACGGAAGGATTCCTGAATGGCGATGTGGCCGTCGAGCGGACAGCCTGCGACACGTGCAGGGCCAAGAAGGTTCGTTGGCCGCTGATGGGGGTTGTACCTGGAGAAAATACTGACAGTTGGAGAAGCTTAAGTGCAGTGGCAATCGGACCGGATGCACTCGGTGCAAGAAACTCAGTACCGCCTGTGTGTATTCCGCTGTGGCAGACTCTAAACGCTGCAAGCGAGCCGCCTCACGCCAGAAACAACAGGACCAGCACGAAGCAGAGCAGCAAACGCAGCAGAGTGTCCTAGAAGCCGTTATCAGCGACGCCGTAACTCCCACAACAACCGGGTCAAGCATAATACTAACACCATCAACTTACACTTCACCGCTATTCGGGTTCCCATCCACGGTCCCTGATTCCGAGAGCCTCGATCTGCTCTTCGGTAACGACTTCCTCCCCGACCTGCTGCTCGCCAGCTCGCCCACTCAGCGAGACGCGCTTGGCCCCTCTACTAGCCCGGAAATGCTTGCATCGGCGCTGCTGCCATCGGTGGCCATAAGCAGCCCCGTTTGCGGCTGCCTGGCCACATTGGTTGAGCTGCTCGAGGAGCTTGACACCCCGGCACGCCCCACGCTCGACGCCGCCTTGGCGTCGCACAAGCTGTTCCTTAAGCGCGCACTACGGGTACTGCACTGCAGCAGTTGCCACTCCCGCTCCGAGCACCTGGTGCTGCTGACGCGCGTGTGCGATAAGCTGGTCCGCCTGTGTGAGCGTATCGTGCTATCGTATCTGCAAGCCGACTCATCCTCCATGACATTGACGTCTTCCTCGCCGCCGACTCCCGATTATTTTCCCTATCCGCCGACCGAGTCGTTGTTCCTGGGGTGCTACGAAACCGACGCTTCCGAGTGGGGTTCTTTGGTCTGTGTTATCCTCTCGCTGCAGCTACGCAGTCTCGGCAGCCTGCTGGCTGGCGTAAGGCGTTCCGCATCGTTAGCGCAGCAGCCACGCCTGCAGCAGGCTGAGGCTAAACTCCGTCTCCTCGTTGACAGGCTCCAGGCGAGAGTTCGGCTTATTCCCGAGGACCTGTACGTAACTTAAGCAAACTCGGCGCCGAGTAGTACTAAATATGTATACCTCTGCTTTTACTTTTTACACCTCTTTTTATAATCTGTTTGTGTTACGGCGCAGTGGCATGAGGTGGGGAGATGGGGAAAGTCAGACGCTCAGGCCAAGAACTTCTTTGCACCACATCTGTTCCGGTCTTTCCTAGCCCGTCTCTGGAAGGGTGGATCGGTTGGATTGATTGAAACCACCAAGATTCAAGGCCTTCCCGTATTCTTTCTTGTACATGCCGTCTTTCACACTTTTAGTCAGACCTAAATACGTAGAAGTATAGAAGCGCAAATATTATTATTAGGAAGGTTTACAATGTATTTAATGTCCATGATATCGTTGAAGCCCAGTAAAGCAACTAGCAGGTAATATTATCTCAGATAAGATACCATGAATCGTTATTTATGTTTCATCACTATCACGATGCTTCCAGATCATCCCAAGAAAGAGCACTTTATACGACAAACCAACAAGTTGGACCGAACTACCATTCATCACCTTCCCATAATTCTTCCACGTTACCATACCGTGCCAACTACACTATCTACAACTCTTAATCTCGTCCCCAATCAACCTACTCTTCAAGCACGCTGTATTTGCCAGAGCGACTAATGATTTGCTTTGCAAGATATCAAAAATCGATATCTCGCTCTGTGCCACGGTCGAGAACCAATTGCGCAATTCGACCGCAACAAGAGAGTCAACGCCGTACTGTGCCATGGAAGCAGCCTTGTCGACCTGGTCCGGCGGGGTCCCGAACATGCGGGAAAGCTTGACAACGATGGAATTGCAGACAGCTTCCACCACGGCTTCCCAGGACGCCTTCTTGTCCCTGAGCGTGTCAGCCAAATTGAGATCATCTCCACTGGCGCCGCCGCTGGCCTGGCCTCCCGTGCTGGCGACAAGTTGCGTCAGGCCTTTAAAGCGAGGGTCCAGTTTCCAAGGAAAAGCATCATCGCTACCGTCGTCGGTCGAGACGCCGATGAGGACTTGGCACGAGCTGCTCTCGCGGACGGGGTTCAGGATGGCGTTCTCGATCAGGGCAAGCAAGTCATCCTGCTGCACGAGGCTGTACCCCTGCCGCTGGAACCGCTCGACTAGACCCTCCGTCTCGGCCACGTAGCCGACTGAGCGGACCATGCCGAGATCGAGAGACACGGCAGCGAGGCCATTGGAAGCGCGGTGCCTTGCCAACGCGTCCTGAAATGTGCTGGCGGATGCGTAATTGGCCTGGCTCGAGTTGCCGGCCTCGCCGGTGAGGGACGACAGTATGATGAAGAAGTCCAGTTTTGAGGACGCAAACTGATGATGCAGGTTCCACGTGCCTTGGACCTTTGGCCGGATGGCGGTGATGAAGTCCTGGTGGGACATGTGTTCGACAATCGAGTCCTGATACACGGTGCTAATTAGCAAGGATATTGCTTGGTCGCCGCAAATCAAAAGCATACCTGGAGAACCATGGCTCCTTGAATAACACCCTTGACTGGCGGCATCGTTTTTGAGGCAGTGTCAATAGCTTCTGCCAGACTTTGGGCGTTGGATATATCGACGTTCAGCGCCAGCATGTTCGTTCCCATCGAACGCATCTCATCCAAGAAAGAAACGTTGGCGTGCGACTCGGCATGTCTTGACAACACAAGGATGTTCTTCGCCCCCCGTTCTACTAACCTGCGGACGATGCATCTCCCAAGACCGCCTGCGCCGCCGGCGACTGCATAGGTTGCTTGAGACGAAAGCCGGAGAGTTCGTTTTCGCGCCTGCCAACTTTGTCAGTATTGCGTAATCATCGAGCGGAAATTGTCCGTACCTTAACTAGGTCATTTGCAAGGGGCACAACGACGAGCTTGCCCAGGTGGTTCCCGGCTTGCATCGTCCTCAAAGCTGTATCTAACTCAGACATTGGGAACGCCGTTATGGGTGCAATGGGCCTCATGCTTCCCTTTTGGAAACCATCCACCACAGCGGTCAAGGCATGGGAAACAACATCGCCTCTGAGCTCACTGAGCATGATCGAGTCGACAGCGAAAAAGGATGTCGCTCGGGTGAACGCAGACATCTGAAGCCTGTTATTCCGCTCAGAATCCTGCGTGCCAATCTCGACAAACCGGCCAAGAGGGGCGATGCAGCTCCACGTCTCGTGGAGCAACTGCCCAGTGAGGGAGTTGAGAATGACGTCAACGCCCTTTCCACCGGTCATTTCCATAATGGCCGGCGCAAACGAGGAGTCACTCCTCGAGAGGACGTGGTCTCGAGGAATACCGTACACCCTCTCGACGACCTCACGCTCCTGACCGGACGCAACCGTGGCAAAGACTTCCGCGCGAACCAGCTTCGCCATCATGACGGCAGCCTGGCCCACGTCTCCAGCGGCGCAATGAATCAGCACCTTCTCACCCTGCCGCAGTCCAGCCAGCGTGTTGACGGCATGGTACGCGGTGACGAACGCGAGCGGCACGGCGGCGGCGACCTCGAAGGTCATGGCATCGGGGATCCTCGCGACGCCCGTCCAGTGGACGCGCACGCGGTTCGCCCAGCGGTGGCCTCGCAGCAGCGCACACACCCGATCGCCGACCGAGAGGTCGCCTGTCGGTACGTCCGGTCCAAGCCTCGAGATGACGCCGCTGCATTCGAATCCCATGGCACTGTGCTGCTGCTCCGGCTGGCCGGTGGTCGCCATGATGACGTCTCGCGCATTGACACCGAACGCACGCGGCTCGATTTCGACAAAGTTGCCGAGCAGCGGCTTCTCTGCGTCTGGGTCGTCGCAGAACACGAGACTGTCGAGCGTACCGGAGGTCAGGCGGAGTTCGCGGCCGGGCTGGTAAAAGGGCTGCAGCTCCGCAGAGTCGTGGGATAGTGCTTCGGTCTCGGTCTGGTCGCGGCATACTCTGGGGATCAAGATTGAGTCTCCTCTGGCGGCATATTCAAAGTCGATGGAGCTTGGATTGCACGAGGGGTCGAAAGCCTCTCTCAGAACCGTCGTGATGGCGCTGGCATCTTGCTCAGACCACATGTGCTGACTGTGTTCGAGGTCGAGGGAGATGTACTGCTTGCCGCGGTCCTCACACCTCAACGTGCGTAGAAAACCCGTGGCCAATGCTGACATGGGGTTTGAGCATTCGATTGCTCCTCCACGAGACACCCACAACAGCCCTTTGGCTTTGGTCGCGAGCCGCTTCACTTGTGCAAAAACGTCTTCAGAAGGTTGCAGAAGGACTGATAGGTCTGGACTGTCCACAAATACGCAAATCTTGCCCTCTGGCTGCGCAACATCTAGACTGTCAATGGCTGGCTCGATGTATGCGGTCGCCTTGATCGTGCCCTGGAGCTTATGCAACCACGCTTGAGGCGGAGCGTTTTCCTGGCAAAAAGTAATGAGAATTTCCGGGAACTGGGCTGGCGCATTGTCTGGCAGTGCGGTTGCCATGAGAGTGCTCAAGACGTAGTTTTCGTCGTCTTCGCAGTCTCTGAGTTGCACGTCAAGTCCGCTGAAGCCGGTCCGCCGCAGAACTTTGTCCCAGAGATCAACCGTCAGAGATGGACTATGCTTACGCTCCGGCTCTTCGCCTACATAAATCAAGGTCAGTCAGAATCATGCGTCGGGGACGGTCCTACGTACTCAGCCACCATCCGGGGAGCACTCCAAAAATCAGTTGTACGTCAAGGACGTCATGCGTCATCTCCACCATTACAAGCTTTCCACCGGGCCTCAGAAGACTTCGAACATGGCGCATGGTCCGGTCCATATTTTTCGTAGCATGCAGAACCTGGCAGGCGACGACGAGGTCGTACGAGCCCTTCTCGAACCCCTGGTCCGCGGGGTCGTCCTCGACATCGAACTTCCGAAACCGGATGGCGCCGTCGTCACCCCAAGCGCCGAACCTGCTCCTCGCCTGTTCAAAGAAGCCAGAGGATATGTCGGTGAAATCATATTGCGAGAATCGCCGCGCTGTTCCTGTGTCGCCGCCGCCCAAGGCTTCCAGCACGATCTGCGTGCAGCCGCCCGTCCCGGCGCCGATTTCCAGCACCCGAGCGCGGGGGTTCTTGTGCGCGAACAAGTCGACTAGGTGCCGCACTTGGGCGTAGCACCGGTCCATGCGGAGCGCGCTCTTGTAGTAGCGGTGGAGCAGGTGATCTTTGAGCATCAGCTCCAACGGGGCAATTTTCTGGCCGAGGATGGCGTTGAGGTTGCGCCCGACGACACAGGCCATCTCGCCGTCGACGCTCGTGGATGCCACTTTCTCGAACAGCCTCGCCCTCTCCGCCTTGGTCACGTTCAGCCATGTGGCGGCCTGTGGATGCTGAGATATCTGGAGCTTCATCCACTCGAAGAAGGTTTTGTGATACCACAACATGCCTCCCACATCAGCGTCGGCGATAGATGCGACTGCGTCATGGAAGAAGTAGAAGCACGCCTGCTTCAGTTCCTGGACGTGTGCTATTTCGGCGGGATCCGGACTGGCCTTCAGCCTCTCCATCAATCCCCGGGCTGACGTCAGCGACAGTTCCTCTTCCCACTTGATCGTCAAGCATCCGTTATGCTGTTCCGCTTGCTCTATAGCTCCCTCGATAGCTTGGCAGAAGAGACCCTCGATTTCGAGCACCGTTGAACCGGCGCCGCCTTCTCTCTGAACAGCAATGTTGACGTGGAACCCGCGACGGTCCGCCTTTCCGATCCTAGTGTGCGCGGTGAAGAGGTCTGTAGCTTTGCTTCCAATGTCTGTCGACACCAACATTCTCTTTATGGACCGGGGCATGGCGGGAGATCTCTGGCTTCTCGGAAGAGCCGAGTAAGCAGCTACAAAGACGGAGTCCAGAGTGGTGGGATGCAGCAAATGTTCGTGCTGGAAATTGGCCGGCATCGAGGCCGCTGTATCGGCCACGGAGAACGTCGTTGCAGACCTGCCTTCGCCGGACATGATTTTCTTCAGATTCCTGAAGACGGGGCCGTGGTAGATGCCCATCGACTGCAGAAACTCGAACATATCATCGGGCTTGCTCTCTACAGTGTAGTCGGCGCCAGGAGCCACCACGCCCATCCAATTCTCACCGTCAGAGAGGACTGCCGAGACGAGGCCCTTGCAGTGCTCCGTCCAAACGCCGTCGCCGTCGGTGGAGCAGATGGAAAACGGCCGCCAGCCCTCGAGGCCGAGCGCTTTGCCATCGCTCTCATGGAAATGGAGCTGCACCTCCACGCCGTCGGACGTGTCTGGGATGACCAGCGCCGCCATAATGTCGACGTCGCGCAGGCTGAAGCAGCGAACCGCGCCCTGACTGACCTGGCGCATAGCCTCGATGGCCATGACAACCATCCCCGCTCCAGGATACACGATATCCGACTGCACCCTGTGGTCCCGCACCCAAGGGAGATCGGATGTGCGGATTATGTGTCGCCATGTGCGGTTGGACGGGCTCAATCCGGGAACTGTGGAGCCTAGGAGATCGTGGGCCGGCTTCTTCCGCATCCTGTGTTCTTTGTTGATGCGAGGCTCGCACCAGTGCCGGGTCCGATGGTTCCAGGGGTATGTCGGGAGGTCGGGGATGATGCTGGGCTGGACGGATGCGCGAGGGAAGTTGACGGCGTTCAAATCGACGTGGTAACCCTTCGCTATCAGAGAGACGGCGAGGGCGTGCATACTATTCACGGCGTCCTCCTTTCGGCTGAGGCATGAACTGTAGCTCACACCTAGGTCTTTCAGCTCTGGAAGCTGGAGGCACTGCCGGATGGGTCCTGCCAAAGCTCCGTGAGGCCCGATTTCGATGACCATGTCGATCTGTTTCTCGCCCGTCGACGGGTCGAGGCAGATGCTCCGAAATGCATCCAAGAACTCGACTGGTTGCAGGACGTTGCGAACCCAGTGCTCGGGACCCATCTTCGAAGCATCAGTGATTCTGCCGCCCGTGGCGGGCGACGAGTACAAGACGTTGTCCTTGAAGGTTTGCTTCGTTCCAATGGATTCGGGGAGAGCCTTTCGATAATCGGCCGCCACAGCGTTCATGTGATGTGAGTGGTAGGCAACTCGAATGTTCAGCACTCGAGCGAACACCTTTTCCTCGGTCAGCTGTTGCTCCAACTCAGCTATAGCAGCCTGGTCCCCAGAGACTGTGACGCTGGAGGGGCTGTTGACACAGGCCACAACAACCTTCCCACTTCTGAGCTTGGACAGGTAGGGCTCGGCTTCTCCGCGGCCAAGGCCGACGGCCATCATGGAGCCACGATGGTGTGCCTTGGTCCACAGCGCGTCAAGCAACTGCCCTCGTGCGTAGTGCACAATTGACATTGCTTCCTGCAGGCTAAGTACTCCTGCGGCATAGGCAGCCGCAACCTCGCCGTTGGAGTGACTTGTTATCGCCATCGGCTTGATGCCCCAGCTGCGCAACAGCCGGGTAAGAGCAATCTGCACAGCAGTGCAGAGCGGGGGGCTCACATCCGCCTCGTCGATGCGGCTCTCCTTTTCATCCTTTGTCAATTCGTCTGTGCTCCAGTCAGTCTTCAGCGGCAATGCCTCATGTGCCTTCTACTGACCCAGCAAGGACCAGGGACAACCCATCTGCCTCAAGTACTGGTCCGCTTCGCATAGCGTATCCGTGAAGACGGTATAAACGCCAATGAGCTCTCTTCCCATCGCATACCACTGCGCTCCTTGGCCTGTGAACACGAAGCACAGCCTTGGTTGTGCGGTTGATCTAGTAGGAATCAGCTTTGCGGTATCCAGGCTGGCAAGTAGCTGTTCTCTGCTCCGGCTCGCGACTGCAACGACCCATGGAAACCTGGATCGACCTTCACTCAGCGTGTAGGCGAGACGGTCGAGGAGCTGTCCATTGTCCGAGTTGGACTGGGCCACGAACTCCTTCAGGTTCTCGACCATTGTCTGGACTACGGCCTCGTCCTTCGCACTTAAGACGAATATACGAGACCCTGGCTCCCGTCCGCTGTTCAACCCGTTGGGAAGGGCGAAACCGTTGGTGGAAACGTCAGAAGACGAATCAGTAGTCTCGTGAGATACCTTCGGAATTGGATGTTCACTTAGGATATCTGTGGATGAGCGCTTATTCTCAGTGCCGTTTGTCATTTTCGAACCGTTTCTCAGCACATCTACCCCATGAGAACCATTCGTAACTCTGTTGAGGCCTTTGGTGTGTTCGTGGGCATCTGGCTGCCAGGCTTCGATGATTGCATGGGCGTTGGAGCCGCCATAGCCAAAGCTATTGATCGAGGCACGCCTAATACCGCTTGTCGGCCACGGCTCCAAGCCACGGGGTACCTGTTCATGATGTCAACCGCTGAGTCCAAATCATCTGGTGTAGAAGCAGCGTACCTTGAGGTTCCAGGCGTCGAAAGATATCTTCTCGTTACCCTTCTCAAAATTGATGCTCGGCGGGATGTATCCCTTTTCCAACGCCAGAACAACCTTGATGATTGAGGCAATCGCACTGGTAGTCTCCGTGTGTCCGACATTTGTCTTAACGGAGCCGATGTAGAGTGGACGGTCAGCCGGCCTGTCCTTGCCCATGACAGCGTACAAAGCACCTGCCTCGACAGGATCCCCGGCTTGAGTCCCCGTGCCGTGAGCCTCGACATAGACAGTATCAGCAGGGTTGAGGCCGGCGTTCTTGTAGCAACGGCGTATCAGGTCCTCCTGGGCGTCTTGGCTGGGCGAAGTGATGGTTTGAGTCTTTCCGTCCTGGTTCAGAGCGGTTTGACGTACCACCGCCCTGATTGGGTCGCCATCTTGTAAGGCATCTTGCAAACGCTTGACGATGATGGTTCCAACCCCCTCGCCGCGGCCGTATCCTGAAGCTCGGCTGTCGAAGGCGTATGATTTGCCGTTTGGACTCAGGAATCTGTTGGAAACACCACTTAGCACTACGCTGTCGATGGGAATGGAGTTCATTACCCCAAACTTGACATGAGCACGAAGATGTCAGGATTGAACATGACATTTGCGCAAGCAATGATGGCCATCTTGGCTTCTCCAGATCTTAGGCTGTGGCACGCCTGGTGCAACGCTACTAGCCCCGTAGAGCACGCCGTATCCACTGTCATGCTGGGGCCGCAGAGGTCGTAGAAGTGCGAGATTCGGTTGGACATCATGGTAGGGCCATTGCCGATGAAGACGGAACGCGGGAAAGTGTCAGGGTCACGCATCAGACTGTCCGTGTAGTCCTTGAAAAAGGCACCTGCAAATACAGCTGACTGAGACCCTGCCACATTTTTCAACGTTATGCCCGCTGGAAACGTCAGACTTTTGGAAATCGAACTGAGGCCGGTTGACACACGTACCGCTCTCCAAAGCCTCGTAGACGGATTCAAGTAGCATGCGGCACTGCGGATCCATTGTCTGTTGATGGACACTATTAGCGGAGGACCAACCTATGTATGCTGTCGTCTCTTACCGCAGCAACTTCCGGGGTCAGGTTGAAGAATGTTGCATCAAAAAGACCTATATCTTCTTTGAGAAAATGGCCGCCAGTCACATTGGACTTCGCCAGTAATTATTAGCCTGCCTCTTGATTGAAGAACGTAATACAAACTGTGGTCCTTTTGCTGCCGCTGGGGTGATGGAAGGCCTCCTTGTTGAACCTGTCGTCAGGTATCTCTGACCACGCGCTCCGACCTTCTGCACAAAGTTTCCACAGCCTTTCCGGACTAGTGGCATCACCAGGAAGCCTGCAGCTCATTCCAATAATGGCGATTGGCATGTCTGCATCCTCGCAGCTGCCATTTTCGAGACGGCACGTCGGGTCTGCACGGACATGGCGGTGACATTGATCAGAAGCTGTATCCAAAGACATGATGGGTTGTGTGTTGGGTTTTTCACGTAAGATGGGGTTTTCCTCGTTGGGTTCACAAAGTTGTAAAGAGATAGGCGATAGTAGCTGAAACTGGACCATTTATACTAAAGATATATCCAGATCCTCTAACCAACATTAGACATTTAGAGCAGTTGCCTGTATGAGGCATATTCCGATAAGATTATTCTGTTACGCAGTCTTGATTTACTTATTATAGATTCTAAGCTATTGTAAGCCCAGATAGGTTGTATACGCGGAAACGGCGAAGCATTGCGGAGCTTTTCTGCATTCGTTTCTCTGAATTGGAACTCTGTATGGCGCAATCCCGCGACAGTAGCGCGATATGAAGCTTCCTTCTCTTGTATTGCATTTTCCACTTTGTCTAAAGCGGGTCAACGCAGTTTGTGGCAAATAATTCAGAAAAATGAGCCGGGGCTACAGCAAGCATGCGTGCTCGGGGCACTTCTTCGCACCGTACAAACTTAGTTGATAGGTGAGTATTTCGGCGGATCCAATGGTGCAGTAGAGGTGTGGCTGAGAGGTGCACAAGTGATTGCCCTTTAAGGAAAGTCTCCGTCGCAGACTTTCCTGGTCCGGCTGGTCCGGAGTACTAAATGAACTAGCTCCACCACTCACGAAAACGACAAGCCACAGCTCACTACCGACATCACACAGCTTCAGAAATCAAGCCATCCGAGCTCAAATAACCCGAACCTTCGGAATCGTGGCTCAAACTGAACAATTTTTTCTAACTCCCGCATCAAACTCGGCCCGTCCATGGTTGCCACGCAGCTGAATACATCCCGACATGCAGACAGCATCGCGCACTGAGCCGTATCCTCGGCCTCAGTGGCGGATATTGACGTCGCATCCAGGCCACGCTCGTCGCTAAGCTGGCATGGGAGGCGATATCATTCGAAGACTCGGCCGGAATATTCCTGCGCGCCTGCAACGTCATCATTGGTAAGTACAGCTAGGAGCTAACGAAGGTGACTTCTTCCGGCAGTACATTAGCGAATGCGAAACCCTCTTCCCCTAGGAGCCCGTCATGCACGAGAAGGGTACGTAAAGTGGACTCAGATACCGGCCGCTCGAAGGCTTCGTGTACGCTGTCTCGCCGTTCAACTTCACCGCGCTAGGTGCCACCATGATACCTTTCTCAGCGTTCTGGTCTATCATAGAAACTATGAAAGAATCCAATGCAGCGGGGGCTTACAGCTGTCTGGAGAAAATTTGGAGTGCAATCGCTCCTTGGACATCCGTTTCAAAGACCGCCATGAAGTGTGCACAAGAACAATTGGATCGGTATTTGACTTTCTGCTCACCCTCGCTCTTCATAATCAGAAAGGATTTGCTGACAAGAAGGATTACTCCAAATATAACGCCGAAAGAAGCTACTTCAACCATACATCCTTGAACTTTCGTTCAGCTTTAGCCCACTGTTTCAAAACGATCAGACCAACAGCAACGCGCTGCGCGAAATCGCCTTTCCAACAAATAAGCATGACGTTAACAACTGGAACTGGCAGAAGTGGCGTATCTTCGCAGTCAAAGTACGTCATCTCACGGTATTGTTCCTTTGGTATCTCCCAGTAGAACCAACTTGGGGGATTGAGTCTCTTGAAGTGAATTTCGGGACGCGGAACTTGATAGCTGGAGATCGAAAGCGCAATGAACTCCATAGACAGATTATGAGAGGCCACTGCTTGGATATGATGCAGCCTTGGATTTAGGGAGACATAGCCAATTGTAAGACCTTCGGAATCCTTGATCCAGTAGGAGTCGACATAGAAGAAAGCAGACTGGGCTCTTGTAAAAAGGACTCCGTCCGACTGCAGGCTTTTTTTAGGGCTGATTTCTGGGATTTCATCGTAGGCGTTGATGTACTTCGGCCACTTTTCGGCGAACCTCTCCCTCAACCTCTCAAAGTTTTCTTCCATTGGAATATAGCATTCGATCTCTGCTTCAAAGCATCGCTCTCTAATTGCCAGAGCAAAGTTGAGCTGTGGATCTTCAGGAGGAACCCAAATTCGCCACGCAGCTCCCTGGTATCTCCATAGACCTGATTCATTCGTGGCATTTATGGCTGTCGGGCGAATCTCTAACTTATCCTGTTTGTAAATGATCCATTTGACCAGAGTGATTGTGAAGTGATCAAATCCCACGAAATGAACCGGCCATTCTAACGATGCCCAGGACCAGCTGGGGGTCGTGCGTTTGCAGAAACGGAGGTATCGGTCCTTGCCACTGCAAGAGTTGCTGTCGAGGAGGTTAATAAAGTTGCCATTGTCTCGATTCTCCATGTTGGCTTGATGCGTTTCATCGGGCTTGGAGTTTTTTCGACCATCATGCTCGCAACTTTCACAATCTAGGCATGAGAACTCATTGCAGGTCCAGAGCAGCCCTTGGTCGAATTCAAGTTCCGGGATGCCAAAATGGAATGAATGTTCATGTCCGTAGAGAGCGTGCGCGACTCCTTCGAAAGCATCGTAAATGTCGTCATCATAGCTAAGCTTTCGGGATGTATAGTGTTGGATGTGCCGGCTGTAGTCTTCAAAAAGAGTATTTGAATACATGTGAACATCCGTGAAGAAGTTGTACCACTTGCGCTGAGAGGAGTCTATTCCGCGGATCCTCGATTCGCACCAAAAGAAGGCACCCGCAGGTGTTAGAAACAACCGCTTCCTTGCCAAGACAGCCTCCTGGTATGTCCAGGCCCGGCTATTCCAAACTGACTCTGTTACAAAACGCATGGCCGGTGGCGCATCTGTAACTTCAACGTCCTTGAAGCTGAATCGTTTTCGCTCTTGTAGTTTCTCTCTCACTCCCAGGATTCCACTTTCCACGCTTGCTCCTGAGCAGGCGATAATCGTGAAATCAGATGCAGTGAAAATGGCGGCCATTGAACTAATTTGAGAGTGTTTGTTCTCCTCGTCGTCCTGAACAATGCAGTATCGATCAACCCAAAGATACTTCTTATTAAGATACTTGCACACGCTGATAGCATCTTCAATGGTCCTTGGTAGCTCTCCGAGGCCTGTAGAGCTTAAACCTTTGATATTTTCGCAGGTAGCTCGTTCGACGTACGATGGTGAGGCTGGTCGGCTACCCCAGACGTAACTGAGCGCCACAAACTCACAGTCCGGTTTTTGAACAACACGTCGGCTATCCACATCGATGACTCTGAATCCAAGTGGCAAGGAGGGTTTCGCGCCTACAAGACAATCTTCGTCCCGGGAATTGCAATGTGAGAGCCACTCGTGGACAATGTTCCATTCAATGAATCCTTCGGACTCAGCCAGGGGCCCTTCCTCTTCTAGAACTCTTCAGCGTGGACTTTCCTCCAATTAGGCATCTAAGATACGTACCTGCAATGCACTTTGCGCATACATCTCGCAGAAACTTCTGGTGTATTTCGGTGACATTGATAGCCACACTGCTATTCTCGTAGAGGACCATGAGAAGAGACCAATGAGCATGCCCTGTTTGTCGCGCATCGTTCGTCATGCGAAAATTAAGCTTCAATTGTGCGGAAGACAAATCGGCGGTCTGACCAGGCTTAGGCAGCAGGGGACGGAGAGCATTAGCTAGGAATTGGCAGAATTCGCAATCTTTCCGCTTCAAAATATCGATAGGCGAATTGAGAAGGATTTTGAAATAGTCGCAAGGTATATTTGGGGGTAGACACATCAGAAGGTGGGGCAATCGGAGATGCTGGCAGAACTTGCAAAGCGGTACGCCAGCCGAGGAGCAAGATAGACATTCCTCGTGAAAAAGTGTATATTGGAGCTTGGCCGACTGGCTACTGTCCGCACTGTGGTCGGTGTATTCCGGAGAGCAGAAGGCACATTCCTGATACTATTAGCGGAGTGTTTTCAAAAAGGTAAAGAGATGACTAGAGAGGAGATCGATCAAGTGGATTCGAGTGTACCTGGACTGAATCATGACTTTCTGTCAAATCAGGGTCTAATAGTTCCTCTTGAGGTCCAGCCACAGCGAAGTCTCCGAGATGAGCTCTTCCGCGCCGCAGAAGCTTCCTGACCACGAGCTCATGACATTTCCGCCTGAAAGAGGCCACCTTTAACGAAATGCTAGATTCCATCATTGAAGTCGGCACGAGTAAACGTGTTAGCCAGAGCGTGGGTATCAAGGGATTGCATGGCGATTCCAAAAGTAGACATGCTCTGGATATTGTTAAATGTTTGCTGGCACTGCGGAATTCGGAATGTTGCGTATGTGTCAACTCGCCTCACGTCCTACACGAGCTTACAAGGCTACGTGGCGCCGTGCGTGTCGAACAACGCATCTCCTCCACACCTATGCTTGTTTCATTGCCTGTGGGGCGATAACGCGCCCACGATGACGATTATGCAGCTGCATTTGTTAGGGCAGCCATATGGTCGATTGGCCAGCCGCAGTGCGCCTTGAGACCAATCTGCGCTGCAGGGGGCTGCTGGTTACCTAGCGAGTGAATCAACGAAAACAGAAGCTGAGATGTCAGCGGAGCCTGGCAGGCAGCAGCTGCTGCGCCAAAGATCCGACCAGTATGAGCGCTCACTAGTGACTGCAAGATGACGAGGCTGATTGGGCTGAACTCTGAGCATTGTGCCGCTACTACTACTACTTTAAGAACGGTGCTTTGCTACGTGTCGTAGCCTTAGAGAACTGTGAAGTGGGGTGCGCTGCACCCGATGGAGCGACATCTTACCACCCATCAGAAACTGCCTTGCAAAGCGCGGTATGTACCGCTCGCCTCATCTATGCATATACAGCAATCCTGAATCAGATATCTCTATCTTCGCTACTAAGTGTTACGCTAATATCTACAATTGCCTATAGTAGGTGCTGAAATATCCAAGCCGTCGTGACTAATTTCCATCAGTGTCTAAGCTCGACGTTTAAATGCGGTACTGAATTGGATGATATGGATGTGGCTGAGGCGGTCGGGAAGCATGACGCGAGACAGCCGCTCTATAGCCACAGCGCGACGATTGTCGAAGGTAGGGTGAGAGTAAAGAAGGTTGGCGGCCTTGGCGTAGCTGGGCTGCGGGTCAGAGAGGGCTTTGATGCGGGGCGGCACACTCACATGCAGCGACAGGTGAGAAGAGCTAGTGGGCTGCGCTCATCGTCGTAGATATGGCCCGTGATGAGGCAGCCTCAGTCTGTTAAATCCGCGTTCCAATAGCCATGTCTGAATCCAAGCTTGTCGGTACCGCACTTGATGCAGCTGGTGTACTTGAGGATGCCATCGGCCGGCTCGACATGCAGAACCTCGTCTTTAAAGACATAGCTGAAGATGAGGCAGCGCAGCACGGATGGCAGTTGAGAGAAGAGTGGTGATTGAAGTTGGTCGCAGGCGTGGCTCAGATAGATCGAGGGCGACGAGGTCAAGCGAGGTCCCGGCGGCGGCGGGTGGACCGATGGGACGACACCTACTAATATCTTTGGACTCCACCGCACGGTTTAAATCTGCAAAGAAACCAGCAAGGGCAGCAAAGGCAAAAGAGGTTGGCAAGGAATGTGTGAACGCAGTCCATGCACGACATGGTGGTGGGTGGTAAAGTAGAGGGTGGTTGGGTCGCAGCAGTGCTGCCTAAAAGCAAGACGTGGCGGGCCGAGAAATGACCGATGGGGGCGACAACCTAGTGCGTCTAACTAGAGAGAAAAGATATACTATAAAATACTCTTCAAACAAATAAGGATTTCGGTTTATCTAAAGTTTAAAATTAGTCTAATGTCAGGCAGCCGGCAAGGTGAGCTGAATAATCTCAATTTGGGACTATGAAAAAAGGTGCTACGAGAAGGGTGAAGAGGCTCGAGAGATCGAGCCTCTTAACCACCGGGTCTTGGCGTTGGTGCCTCAGGCATCCACCCAGGAACCGTTACATCTAATTAGTAACAAAGTGGATATCTAACTCATCGCGTTGTCACGTAATCTCGGTTCCTTATAACCCGGATCCTGTTTCTTTGTGGGGCAGCCTTCCGACTTTGTTATCTAAAGATATATGGCTTACAAACCGCCACGGCTCTACGGATGCCGAGAGTTCCGTGCATACAGAAAAGGGTGGTCCTTACAAGACATATATGTACCTATAATCACACGGTAGCGAAGACACAAATTACTACCTCCACTTCGTCATCTTTCATCGTCACAGCCAGTACTACTTGAGCTCCATTCATACCACCATGAAAATCTCAACCTTCATACCTATCTTTGCAACGAGCACAGTCCTTGCTGTTCCCACCTTCGGTCATGCATCCCACCTAGACGTGGAAAAGTTTGTTGCCAGAATCAGCGAGATGTTTCCAGGCAACATCACCGTCTCGGACAGCACGCCGGGCCTCGTTCAGTCGTGGAAAAATCTGTCTGCGGAGTTTCACCTCAACACTGAGGAGGACGCCGTAGCGACCGACAGGAAATGCTCAGACATCACAGTGGTGTTCGCTCGAGGCACCACGGAGGTATCCAATGTCGGCGTGCTCGTGGGACCGCCATTCCTCGACGCGCTCCGTCAACGTGCTGGGAGATGGGTCTCAGTTGCCATGCAAGGCGTTGAGTACGCTGCGAACATGACCGGCTACGCAATGGGGGGTGATCCGGATGGAAGTCAGCGCATGTAAGTGCTACCTCAGATCCCAGTACTACCACACGTCCCCTCTGAACTAGATATGACATCACTTTGATCTTTAGATACTGACCAAATTCTTCAGGGCCGACTATGTGGAAGAAGCTATGACCGCGTGCCCGCAGACCAAGCTCGTGATATCTGGCTACTCTCAAGGCGCGCAGCTTACGCACAACGCCGCCAAGCTGCTTCCGGCCAATGTGACCAGCAAGATCAGCTCGGCGGTCACTTTTGGAGACCCTTACCTCTCGGAACCCTTCCAAGGCATGTCTAACGCGACTGCGCTGAAGTTGTGCAATGAAGGGGATGGAGTTTGTCAAGCAGGAGCAACTATCGGGTTGCAGCACCTGGTTTATGCCAGGCGCGTAGCTGAAGCAGCGGATTTTGTCATGTCCAGAGCGGGATATTGATTGTTGCGGTAGAGCCTAAGACCTATGCTTTATTGTAAATAGCTCTTTTTCCAATTCTTCCGCTCTGGTTGGTTGTCGTGCGCTGGCGGTCGGAGAAACCTAGATGGTGATGGTTCATACACCTTCAGCCTCAGGGGGAAGATGCGCTATCCTATGCTACGCTGTATATAAAAGACTTCCCTCTCGTGTTAAACAATCTGAAATACAGGCACAAACGAACCTATTAATCAAAAGGCGAAACAAGACGCAGTGAATTAAAGAAAGAAATAAAAAAGTAGAGCTGCCTGTTTTGCACCACTCACGTTTTCGTCTTTGGAATCACATCTCGAGTGCTGTCAGTCCCTGCATCGACATGACGGATGGTGGAAGAAGGGATTAATTTGCATTGAGAAGGGCTGAGCTCCCAGTCTTTAGTTGAAATTAGTCTTCCGGTGGCTAGAGCAAATGTTGTTGTTGCTTTGACTGCGTGGACGTCTGCCCGCAGCTTCTCCGGCGGCTCGTATATATACACACCGTCTGTTACGACACGCCTCTGTTTATTGAGTTGTTGAGACATGATCAGCCACCAGGCTGATTACTTTTGCAAATCAACTGGTAGGCGGTGGGCCACATTGCCGTGTAGTACTGAAACCCGATACCGTTGGCAACGGCACAACACCATGCAGCCAAAGAAGCAGCAAAAGGGTGAATGAATTCAACTTAGCTTTATTAAGGTTAGGTTCTTAGAATCAAGCCATAGCAGGGCGTAAAAGCGAGGGCTGGGAGGCTACAGGAACGAAGAACAGGGCGACTACCAGCGGGGACATCGCGAAACCCTGGAAAACTGCCAAGACAACCTCACTCTTCTGCTGCGCTTTTTCCTGCTCCCAGAGCGTGGCTCCTGCGCTGTATTAATGTCTTGGCAGTTTTTAGGGTCTCTGCGACCTCCCACAGGTTGTCGTTGTGCTGGTCGCCCGCCTCCCTTCTACAGGCCATGTCGCAGCTCGTCATGCAGGTCATGGAGGTCATGATGCAGGTGCAGAAGCGAGCTTGGGTACTCCGTCACTTAACAAGACGTTGCATAGCTCAATCAATTGGTACATAGCATACGCAACGTTATTGTGAAGCAACCCACGCTCAACTACTGTTGCTTACCCACCCGTGGACACTTACTCGGGCGGGCGACGCACCGCTCGTGCCCACGCTGATGACTCAGGGCCACGGGTGAATGCAGCTCGGCCTACCAACGGAAATCCATATAATCTCCGAGCCGACAGGAGTGTCGTATTACACCCCTAAAAAATATGGTTAGAAAGGTCAGAATCAGCCTTAAGAATCTCCCTTAGTTAGGCTATTTGATTCGAGTTTAAATTGGTATAAATTCGGGATTAGTTTAGTATCGACTACCCCCTTGGTAAAAATAGGCGTATTACGCCGAAGATTAGAGGAGGGTTTATCTTTCGCCTTATCGCCGATGGTCGCCCGACCTGTACGCTCGGCTATAGCAACGGTTATGACGCGAAGGCCGACCTATTATTAAGCGCACTATGTAGATCGGGACGTTTCGGGATAGCCAGGTTATTGCGGAGGTGGGCTTGGTTCTAGCTTTCGAGCGGGCTTTCTGAACGAAGAGTCGAGATTCCCCACACGAGTTTCGAGCTTTGTTACTCTGGTTTTTACCCAGCGACACTCACCTTCTCTAAAAAAATCATATTTATAGAGGTGTAGTCCTTTTCCAAAATAGAGCAATAAATGTTCAACTAATCTGTGAGATCATTTAAATTTTATCAGAGTATATTCTCTATAAGTATCAAACGCCTTCAGCGACCGAGCCCTTGGGCTATAGGAAGACCTTATTCAGAACTACGTGCGTTAGCTTATCGATCTTGTCCGCCGGAAAATCTCGGAAGGCCTTGACGGCAAGTATGTCGAGACCGACGCGGTCGAGCTGTATAACTCCATCGCCTTCGACGTTGTGGGTGACCTCACGTTTGGTGAGCCTCTGGGAAATCATAACCGCGGAGAGTACTTCTCGCGGGTGCAGGCGGTATTTGGGGGGTTCAAGTCTGATGATCCAAAACCTTTCCTGCTCATACCCTTTCTTCAGCGCGATGTGGGAAGTGGCAGCACCTAAAAAGCTCAAGCATGAAGCAGCCATACACTGGCAAGATTGTGAAGATGTTGTTACGAAGAGGCTTAGTATGGGCGCTGATGCGCGCCCTGACATCTGGGGGCTTGTGCTAAATAATAGGGACGCGGGTAAGGAGATATCGCGGCCGCAGATGGATGCTAACGCACAGCTATTCATGACGGCTGGAATGGAGACGACCGCCACAGCACTGGCCGGACTGACTTGGTTGCTGTTGCAAAACCCTGACATGTATAACAAGCTCATCGAGGAGGCCCGCTCGGTACCCGACGAATCTGAGCGGACTTTCGATCGTCTGCGCCACATGAAGTACTTGGTTGCCTACATTGAAGAAGGACGGAAATGTAGACTCTCCTCCCAACTCCCGATCTCTGGGTTTCACTGGTAAACTCACTCGCTAAATAGGGTATCTTCCAGTGCCATCGGGAAACATGCGCGAGGTTTCGCTTGGTGGAAATAGTATCTGTGGTCAATGGCTACCAGAGAGGGTACGGTTTGCATCGTTTTTGTATTTCGGAACTTTGGCTAATTAATTGCCGCAGACTCGGCTTTCTGTCGCTCAATACACCATATACACCAGTCCGCTCTATTGGCGCCACCCCGATAAGTTTGTGCCTGAGCGCTGGATCCTTAACGAACCTGGCTACGAAGACTACCACAGCTTTGACAGGAGGGATGCTCTTCTCCCCTTCTCAGCTGGTCCACGTAACTGCATAGGAAAGAAGTACGTTCTCATATTTTCTGCAGTCATGTGCAGTGCACTGATTACGGTGGAAACACCAGTCTAGCGTACTACGAGATTCTCATACAATTTTCATCTGGAACTATGCGCGACACATGAGAACTAGATTTAGCAGATATGCTGTATGATATGGGAGAAGGGCCCTCTCAAGATCCGTGTCACTTTGAGAGAGGGGTAGCGTTTGGACTTCCCCAAGGATATCCGTTAATTAGTCCCGGGGAACTCGGCCAGACGGCGTAGGTCGGCGTACTTGAGTTCCCTAGAGGTTACAACTAGCATGGAGGTGGCGTGTGCTGCACGGACTCCTCACACGGGCAGGACAGCAAAAGGAAAAGATACTTGCACCGGCTACAGGATACCTCCCACATCATTTAGCGCTATATGCAACCTTTCCAGAATGCCATCATCATATTCTTCTAATACATGGTTACAGAATAATGTAACATTCACCCAATGCTCAAAGCATAACTTGCAGCTGCCAGAGTCAAAGATTCGGACCGGAATCGTAGTGCTTCAAGTCTCTTTCGCTAGATCATGTAGCTTCCCCCTCCCGCAACGGATTCAGGCGTCCCTGGAAGGCGGTCTGAGTGAAGATAGTGGACTGTGTGAAGAGCAGGAACGATCTAGCAGCGGTACGCTCCTCATTGAATCCAAAACGCCCAAATGCGTATTCCGCATCAGGAATGTGTAACCAAGCTGCGGAAGCCGAGCTTTTACGTCTCCCTGCGACCTTCGTTTTCCAATTGCCCACAACTTGCTTTGCTTGGGCACGATCCACAAGGCCGACAGATACGGCAACCTCCAAGTTGAGGACATCTTCATCATCCTCCTCGAACTCGTCACTTGCGCGACGATCGTAATAGCCCCAGTCGTAGCGGTTTACGACAAGAACACCTTCGGCCGCTGTGCTGTCGTCGTTCATGGTGCTGCCGCAGTTTGCCTCGTACGGAGACCCAGAAACACGAAGGATCTTGGCAACCTCCTGTTCCGGGTCGACGTCGGAGTGGCACGCGAACCAGGCGGCGACAGCCCTTGTGGTCGTGTCAATGAGACTGAAGACGTTCCAACTGCCGTTCTCAGCGGCCGTGTTGAATTGCAGCTCGTGCGAGACGACGGTCCCTGTGGTCTGGGGACGAACGCTGGGGAATCCCTGGACGGGGGCCGAGGCGCCGTGCCAGATGTTGTGCAGCTCGCCGAAGCAGAGGGATCCGGACCACACGAAGAACTGGTGGTTGGGCTTTAGTTCGGCTGTCATCTCTATGGCCGAGTGTTAGTGTAATTATTTGGATTATGGGGGATGGTAGGAATCATACTATTGATATGGTGTTGAATTTCGCAATGTCAGTCTTAGAAAGTTGGAGCATGGGTCTGGCGCGAGACGGGTAGATATAGGCTGATCGGCTATCGCTCCGCAGCTCGGCTGCCTGGTTAGAAATTAGACGCTAGAATCTAAGGTATTTTAGTAGGCCACGCCAACGGATTGGTCGGCCCGAAGCAACCACATGGTTCAAGTGTGGGGATCCACGGTATAAAGAGCATCGTCTGTTTTTAGGTAAGGCCTATGGTAGAATTGAGAAGCTCTTTGTGTTCAACTACAACAAATGACAAGCGTAGGACAATGGCCTTGGCCAGGCGGATGATTGTGTTCACGATCCTAGAGTCGGTCGTGCCGTTCGCTATACCGTTGTGGGCTAGGCGGATCCAAACGTTTCTTCAGAAGCTTCGACGGGAGCCTAAAATAAGCGAGAGCACCAGGCAGCTGCCCATCTCACGATTAGAGACTTTCAGCAAGGCTTGTTTCGCCTCCCCTTTACCGGCATACACCTGAACCTCTGCTAGATCCCCACATTCGAGGTGCTGCCTGTCGTTGCCGTTGCCTCCATTCTGCCACAATACCCTGCAGGGCGCTCCTAATTGCGATTTGTGATAGATGCTAGTGTGTGGTCTTGACGTTTCCACTGAACCTGTTGCTTTGTAGTACTGTGTTACTTTATTCGGAAGATCTCTAGGCTTTCAAAAAAGGGTGTTGAAAAAGAGATAAAGGCCGAGAATCAAAAATACCAATACTCGCTACACAAGACGACCAAAAATTGCACAGCCCTTCAAGCTTGCTTTCTCGTCAGTCATTCTTAGCACACCGTCTCCCACCTGATTACGTCGTCAATTCCAAAGCCACGCTTCCTCTAGAAAGCCGTAGACGTAGGCGACGACACGACAAAAAAAATTCAACCTCAGAACCTTACGAAATATGCTCACCTACCACTTAAAGTCTGTCGATATAGTAATGAATACTGTTGTTGTAGTCACGGATGGTCCGTCCAGGCGCGTGTGGGTCGACAAAAGATTTCCCCTCGGTCGAGAGGAAACCGGGGCTCTTCCGTAAACCCAGGGGTCCGCTGCAGCGATTGGCCGGCCCGCGAAATCTTACGCCTAGCTCCCGCTGGCGGACCGGACAATCTACGCACGGCCGCTGACGCCGATGACACACCATTCTGCGAACGCGTCGCTGCGGTGAGTAAGAGAGGGAGAAAAAAGCTTCTTTCTACTTCCACATAATTCCTGCAGGATTCGCAAGTTTGACTCACAGGAGCAGCAGACAAGGCCGCTCTTTTCCGCAGTGTTAAACCGACACCTTCGTTGAAAAACAGAAACCCGGCTTCTCGACAGACCCTCCAACAGCCCATCGTTCCTTCCCTCCCTCCCTCCCGCAGGCCTCCACCCCTGCACCAATCAACGCCGGCCACCGTCCGTCAACACCACCAACCAACCACAACCCCAGCACCCCCGCAACCATGACCAAAACCCCCACCCCCGCCGCCGTCACCGACGTCGTCATAACCGACCGCGGCGGAATTATCGAGAACCGCCACCTCGTCCACGCCGCCGTCGTCGACATCTCTTCTTCCTCCCCCGGGCGCATCCTCTACGCCATCGGCAACCCCCACCGCCCCACACTCTTCCGCTCCGCCGCCAAGCCCGCACAAGCCCTCGCCATCCTCGAGACAGGCGGCTTCGACGCGTGCGGTTTTTCCTCCGCCGACTTGGCGCTGGTGTGCGCGTCGCACAGCAGCGAAGCGCGGCACGTGCAGCGCGCGCGGGCGATGCTAGCTGCCGTCTCGCCCGCGCTGACGGAGGCGGACTTGCGGTGCGGCGGGCATCCTGCGGTGTCGGAGAAAGTGAATCGCGGGTGGATTAAGAGTGACTTCGTGCCGGGGCCGCTGTGTAATAATTGCTCGGGGAAGCATGTGGGTATGATTGCTGGGGCGAGGGCGCTGGGGGCGGAGGTGGGGTCGTATCATTTGCCGGAGCATCCGATGCAGGTGCGGGTGAGGAGGGCGGTGGAGGAGCTGTGTGGTGGCGGCGGGGAGGAGGACGGGGTCGAGGTGCGCTGGGCGACGGATGGGTGTAACCTCCCCGCGCCGGCGGCGCCGCTGCATACGTTGGCGAGGAATTATGCCGTGTTTGCGGCGGCGGCGGATGAGGTTGCGGCGGCGGGGGAGACGGGGGATGTGGAGGTGGATGCGCGGAAGAGGCATATGGCGCGCATTTTCAACGCCATGGCGAGGCATCCGGAGCAGGTGGGCGGGGAGGGACGCTTCTGCACCGTTCTGATGGAGGCTTTCGGCGGGGCTCTAATCGGCAAGATTGGTGCGGACGGTTGCTATGGCGTTGGCGTGAGGGCGTCGGAGCAGACTAAGCGTCTGGGTGCCGAGGGTGCAATCGGCATCGCAGTCAAGATCGAGGACGGAAGCATAGAGATTCTGTATGCTGTGGTGGCAGAATTGCTGGAACAACTGCAGATTGGGACGCCCGAGATGCGCGAGAAGTTGGCCGTGTTTCATCATTTGAAACGGTTGAATACTGCCCAGGTCGTCACTGGAAAGGTGTCTCTGCCGTTCAAAGTGCGGCCCTGGTGCAATTGAAAGGGGTGGGGGAAGTCTGGCCTCAGATCATTCAAAGAAAGAAAAGTAGAACTTGCCGGCATTAGAGACACCAAAAATTAATGTTTCCGTTCGCAAATCCAGTACGTTAATTTAAAAGGAACGGATTTCTCAAATACTCCAGAAGAAGATTGGCACACAAGCAAATCACACCAAAACGAGAATAATCATGAACAAGGCATCAATGAGACTATCATACTAGTATGAAGTGATGATCGGTATGCTCAATCAGTAGAAAACATTGGAAACGCCGCCCACACTCTCCATCACAATTCTGTCTGTAAACTACGGTACATAAGTCCTGCATTGGGCTGCCTCTTTGACCTCCTTCACCCAATCGGGTCGATACTTGATATTCAATTCTTTCTCCGGAGTCGATTCCAGTGGTGCGGCGTCATCCAGCGTTCCCACTTGGATGAACACCACTGTAGGCGGGTCGGGACCAGGTGCCAGAGCGTATATCGTGGTTCCGCATGCCTCACAGAATACAGTCGTGACTTTGAAGCCTTCGTCAATGTGCGAGACCGAGACGGTCTTCAAGACGCCTTGTTGGAGCTGAAATGCGGCTGCAGGAACGGTGAGGTTCACTGACGTTGCTGCACTCGTGATCTTCCGACAGGTTCGGCAATGGCACAGTGTGGTCTGTAAGCCATTAGCTATCGCCTCACTTACTAATACTGTGGACTTACTTTGCACCCATCGCTTTCTGAAATATCCAGCTGATATTTGACGGATCCGCAGAGACAGCTACCGTGCAGCATCTTGGACTTTGGCTATTTGGTGTTGGTTGTTTGAAGAGGAATATCGGAATATCAGGGTCAGCACTAACATAAGTGCAACGTCGCACTTTTTCTACGCCGCCAATAAACACATGAAACGCGGGGAAATAGGACAAGCCCGCTTAACTTTCCCGAGTATTCCGACGATTTGTCAGCGAACAACGTCATACTTTTACTTCGGCTTTAAGACTTCAACTTCGTACGAACTACCAAACACTAGTTCGGTGAGGTGCTTCCACCAATGACCGTCTTTCTTTTTAATGACATTCGTTTAATATGTACCCTATAGCTCATGGTGCGATCCATGCCATGAATCATGCTACTGCGGGCTCGGCTCTCGTCTCGGATATGTACTGCTGTTTCCGAGCAAAGAAGCCATACCGATACGAGTGGCTCCACAACTCATCCTATAAGCCGAATAGACCGACAGACTGAAAACTGTTCTATTATTCCAATTCATACGTCGATCTCTCCCTTCCATGCCACCATCATACCTCTGTGCCCTCAATGCTAGCCAGCAGAAGGAAAACGCCAACACTCTAAATCTGCAGCAACTGTACCCCGTTCTTGACAAGTTAGCTCATGAACGCACCTGGAAAGATTCGTCCGCCTTTCCGCTATTCCAAGGAATAATCAAAGAGGCTGCAAAAACGGCCGCATCGGCAAGTAGTCAATAGCGTCACCGAATGAGACCTATTATTAAAGGCGAAAACATGATTGCATAGACTACCTACAGGCAGCGTGGCCAGTCCACGCCGCCAGGCGACCAGCAAACAAAAAGAACAGCGAGCGTCATGGAATCCTCGCGAGCAGATCCCAACAGAAACACCAAACCAAGGCCAAGAAGCGACCATCGTCATGGATCGTTAGATCCTCTCCTCCCCCTCTCTACCCTCTATCTCTCCCCCCTCTCTTCATTCGTCCACTAGCACTTGCAGCCCTGGTCCTTGCAGCCCGAATTGGTCGCAGGTGACTGGCAGTTCATGGACCCCTTCTTGGAGCAACCGCACCACTGCTTGCATTCATCGACGATCGCGCCACTTCCGTCGCAAGTTGGAGACCTGCGGGCGACGAGCTCGGGCATGTGTTGCTGGAAATGTTTGGTTAGTGGCACGCTCATGGGCTGGTAATAGCCGACTTACAGCGGAGTTCGCGTCGGCATCGCCCGGAACTGCGGCGGCCATGGCAGAGCCGGCGAGGGCGGCGGCAAGGAGGCTGATGTAGGAGAACTTCATGGTTGTTGATGAAAGTTGTTGTGGTTGAGTGATGAGTGGAAAGTGTTGTAGAAGCTTGGTGATGTAGAGGCTTGATGGTGAGCAATTGAAGGCGCAGGATCAGTGGGCTTTATAGATTTCCACCTCGCCTTTCCATCCTGTCTTTCTTTCTATTCACGTAACATACCAGAGACACCCAACGAGTGTCTCGGGAAACACGGAAGTAACAGGATGAAGCTACACGGGTAATCGGACAACAAGATGCATCATCGGTTTCTTCCTTCGCATGCGATGTGCAAACAACTGGCTGTTTCAGGAATCATCTGAGGCTGTGAAACGATCCTCTTTGGTAAATCGTCGTAACAGACATTCAGGACGCATCATCAAGTATCTTCATTTGCATGAGATCTGCAGAGGGCTGACCGCTTCGGGGATCTGTCTGGGGCTGAGGAACGATCCTTCTGGGTCCCGATCCAACAGCGCCATCCCGCTGTACCCGCGGATCTTCCGCCAGGAATATCGCTCGTATGCGCTCCCCACATCTCAGGACGTCCCAGAGCGGTCTTAGATCCCCCTATTATAGTAAGCTCTGCCCTGATCTCCTCGTGATTTTCCTCTCTCGGAAGTAACTTTGTTACAAAAACGGTTAGGCCCCCACGGTTTCCACCTTGTTCTTCTTCGGCCCCCACCGCCGGCTGTGAAGACTGCGGGGAGCCTTATTCCAACACCAACAAATGCCAACCGCTCCACGGCAAACAGATCCGGGTCATGATGAAATTTTGGCATATACAACTTGATTCTCTGATGAGATGTGGCAATATGTACGCGTGTCTGCCCAGCCTCCAGAGACGAAATGTGGGTATGTTCTCACTCCCGCACCCAAAAACAAAACAAATCTGATTTTGGAGAAGGTCGCCAGTGACACTACTGCCCTCAGCTATGACATCGTTGCGGATTCGAGCGTGGGTTGGCACCAGTGTGGCCCGGATAGGTGGTCCGTGTCATGGATACCTCGGATGTCGATCTTACCCTCAATTGCATTTTACACGCAAAATACGAAGAGCTGGATACAACCAGGCCACGTTTACCTCCCAAGTCTGCAATTCGAGTCTCTCAGAAATTTTGAGGACGAATTCGGGGCAGTTATGAGAGACAGCGCTCCAGAAAAATTTTTACTTGGCTCCTTTGGCCAGTGATCCACAATGGCAACAGAAGTGAAGCTCATGTGCCTTCTTGTTACTCCCACAAGGAAATCAATCTCACAATCGCTATTCTCTGTTCATCCGCGCTAATCCTCAAAGGTGGTGTGACGCTTCGGGTTTCGAGTCGGTAGATCAGGCCTGTTGCCCCGTCTCGAGTCCTGCAGGTCTGAATCAGATTCCCATCCTGAGATAGGCCGATCAAGGCTGGGCGGTCGTCTACGCCTACGTCTCGAATCTTAGCGATCCTGATCTGGCATGCGTCCCGCATGCTGCAGCCTCTGACAAGGCCTCTGGGATTTCTGCGTACACGGGTAGCCCGGCTCATCACGTGAATGTCTTGCGTACCAAAACAGCCGGTGACCGTTAGCCTCTAAGTCGGATTGGTATCGATCATTTGCCATGCCATACTTGCGGCGTTCGCGACGTCGGCCAGAGGAAATTTAGTTTTCTTTATCGCGACGGCTTGAGCTCTCGAATCCGTGTTCATAGTCAAGCTGGTTGTTCCAGAATTGATCGCATGCCATGCTAGCTTTGGAAACGATTTCGAAGTGCTCGAGCGTGAGCTTGCCTTCATCCTGGAACAACGCGATCGAAGCTGCCGTCTGGCATGCGTTGTGGATCTGTCTGCCGTTCCATGGTCGGAAGAGGTCGCGCTCCCTCTGAGATAAAAGACTCAACTCAGGTAATGATGCTCTTGTCCTCAATGTTCAGGCCTAGGTGGTACCGCTTCAGTCTCGAAAGATTTACTTCCATATTGCCTTAGTCTGGTCGTCATTCAATAGAGGAAAATAGAGGGGCAGGTAATCCTGAACTTGAACGCCTCGTCAAATGTACTCACCTTATTGGTAATCAAGAACAAGATGCCAACGTACTACTCGAGGATCTATAGAAAAACAGAGACTACCCCGTTCCGCTGCATGTCCTGTTTGCTTTTTGTCTAAGGAAATAAGTCGGCTTCATCAAGGAGCATGACGCAGTCCCACCAATGAGCCAATTGGAAGTTCTTCACCAGATTCTGTTCGACTCGTTGTGCATTCTCACCAATGTCACTTCAAGGGTATTAATCACAAGCGCTTTCGCCTGAGAAGTTGACACGTTGCTTACAGCAGATTATTTCGGAGAGAGGCGTGGACGAATATATCCACGACATTTTGCAATGATGGACATTTCCATTCCAGATACCATGACGAAGAATTATGACACATTTCCCTTGCCATGAACAAGTTCATTTCCTTGCACTTGTGTCGGCTCCTCTCCAGAAACATTTTCGGACCAGTTAGCATATGATGCAAAACTCGTAGCCCTGGACTTAAAGGAGCCATTGCTTGTTGGATCCAGCTTCGCTGTCAAAGCTCAGGACCATCATGCGTGGACCATCCAATCTTCCGAGATTGCTCGTTAGTTGTGTGCACACAAGTACCGGATGCTGTAGATAAACGGGAGGGAGGCAGAACACCATAACATATCCGCCACCTCACTGTCTTCAGTGATGCTGATACAAGCAACTGTTTCAACTGAAAGTAAACTGTGCTATACTGGTTCTGTAGCTAGCACAATAGAGCAAACTCAAAACAAATGCTGAAGCAGCTCGTTGGCCAGATTCTTCAAAGCGGAGACGACAGCATTTAGGTGCCAGATCAGTCTTGGCTCCGAGACATCTACGACCCCACGAAGCTATTGAAGCTCCTTTGTGGCTACATCAAGCAAAAATTACGGTTTCCATCTGTTTTCCTCATCCTTGACTCGGCGTCATTCTATGAAGATCAACATCGGAAACAGGGTATACACACCATCATCGAGCGGTTGATCGACTTGAGAAGAGAACAATGATCTGAGGCGACTTGCTTTAAGATTCTGTTGACAAGTCCAATACCATGCGAATACAGCTACAGGCACCGGCAATCCTTACAGCAGACAGACGCTCTTGATGTTCCAGATCTTGTCGATGGCAGCCTTTAAGGGTTGAATGAGTTGGAACTTGTGCGAAACGCGGAAGGGAAGCTGAAGGACGCTGACTCATACTTTGAGTTGGATCGCCGCTAAAGCCGAGGTCGACAATTGTGACTGAGTTTTGCATTCAACACCGGTTCGGCTGTACTTATTTTTTTTTTCCGGTGTGCTGGGCATGGATGGGAATATGGGATGTTAGAATGTCACAATTTTTCCTACGCCTAAGCTTTGACCACTCTACGCCCGCTCTGCTGTTCGACTTAGTCGTGCAGACGAATTCAAGGAAGACAAGAACACGACCATAGGCAAAGGCAGCGATCCTCTTCCGGTTGGAAGGCCCTCAACATGATGATGCTACGGGCTTCCGACGTCAAATGGCCCCGCATCCCGGAGCTCACTCCGATCTTGGTGATACATGTCTACCTGTAGATCTCATGTGCCACGTAGAATGAATGCAGAGCTAAAGAACCCACGGTGGCGGTGTGGAGCCTCGCTTGCAGTGAGCTGAAGAATGGACCCACCGCAAGCGGACAGGTTAGGGGGTTAGCCATCATAGTCTGCCCCATACCGGTCAATAGGCTCGCGGGGATCGGACCGCATCGATTCGTCAAGATTGTAGATTGGCGAGCGGATCTAACCATCCCGCGATGCGGAGATCGGCTTCCCGAGTCATTGCAGCCCCGCAACCGTGCACGGATGTACGTACTCAGCAGAGCACACGAACACGTACAGGAAAAAAGCAACTATCTGGCCAATCTGCACTCAGATGCGCCTGGACCCTGCCCATCGGAAAGCAGATGTAGAACAATGAGATCGACGGTGAATGACAAAAACAAGCTGGACTACGGTGGTGGCGGCGGCAATACCTCCGTTTTAGTGGGCCAGGACGTCGGAGCTACCCATCTGGCACATTCACTTGCGATCGCTGCGGTATTAATGAGCTCAGCAGTGCGCGCAGACGAAGATCTTTTCCCATCTACCCCATCACTCTTTTCAGCCGCCAGCTCGAACAGCCGAGGTCTCTACTGGATAGATGACATTGCTGCGAGAAAACAACAAGGACAAGATCTGACGTAGCCTCCCCTCGCTGCAGGTATATATATTGCCTAATCCATTGCTCCTGACATCAACATCCACCTCAACCACCTCCTTCTCTTCCATTTCCAGAGCTCTCGACATTACTACACCGCTTTCACAATGTCTTACGCGCAATGGATCCTGCTTCAAATTATCAACCGCCTCCAAAGCGGAAAACTCAGCGTGAAGAATGCCCGTCTCGACTGGTGAGCTTTTCCCTGATAGAATTTACTCTCACACCATCCCTCACTCCCCACCAACAACCTGCTTACGATGTTTCTCGTAGGGGTAAATTCTACGAATGGGACGACAAGAACAAGGACACCACCGCGGACGCCGTCAATGCGGTCACTGTCGCGCCCGGGGAAACAGGTCTTGTTGCATCTTGTGGCAAGTCCGATGCGGCCTCCGGAACCGAGGGCTATTTGGACCTCTACGATGGCGACACCAAGATTTGCACCGTCTACTGGAGCGTTCCTTGGGGTTCCAAGTACAATACTTTCACTATCCAAGACCGTAACCCAGGTTACCTGATTAGTGTCAGCGACTGGAACCAATCGCATGGCGGTATTGGGAAGGTGGAACTGGAGATTGCCAAGAAATCTTAGACTGGGTAGCTTGGAACATGCTCTAGATACATGGCTATGCCTCGAGTTCTTTGACAGGCATTCTGACAGTTCGTAATCAAAACGTTAATGATTAGCCGCCAGAGTAGCTCGATTTGAAATCCATCTCACAAATCCGGATAAGTCTGCATCCAGTGATGATCAACAAAAGAAGATGAGACGTTCAATGAATTGATGCAACTGATATAAACCAATAGATGAACAGATGTTTGATAAGCATAAGACATAACTTAGTTTCTTAAAACACTCCATCCTTCAACACGCTCACTTGCGGCAAATTCTTACCCTTCTCTAACCCTTACAGCTCCCACAAACATACGAAACAGCGACAGCCGAGACTTGTGAGACGTGCTGTAGACCCAAAAGCCTTAGACTTCCTCCCTCTTCTTGGCCACACCAATATCAATCCCGAACCTTTTCCCTTCCGCCGACCCCTCTCCTCCATCATTCCACCATCCCAAGCTGAAGGCGCACCCCTTGAATATCTCCACCGCCTGTTCTTCCAAGTCCTGCCAAGACCTGCCCCCCGCCCCACCATCACCTATCGCTACTTCTCTGCGCACGACCTCATTCCTCAACCTCTCTACCAATCTGCTCCCCGCAAACAGACTCATCTTCGCCGCGATGCTCCCCGGATCCTGGTACAGGATCTTGCTACCGCCGCAGCCCGTTTCCCGGCGCGACAGCACGATCGAGACGACGGCACAAGCCGCCATGAATAGCAGCAGCGCCTCGAGGACGCGTGTGGAGGCGCCGGTCTGGACGAGGCGCAGGCGTGTCGAGTCGTCGACGAGCGCGCCTGTCAGGTTCGCGAGGAAGTCGTGCAGGTCTGGTGGCGTCTCGCCGTCTTCGTAGTCGTGCTGCACAAGGCCTTTCGTGGCGTTAGTGCTGCAGTAGGCGCCGCTGAGGAGCTGGGCCAGCTGGCGGGCGCGCAGGCGCTCGATGCCCGGGATGAGGGTGGTGTTGATTTTGGAGAGGTCGCTGAGTTCGTCGATGGGTATGCCGTCGCGGCCCCAGATCAGGGCCTGGAAGAAAGGATCGATGCGGCCAGGATCGGTTTCGGGCGGGATGGAGTCGTTGTGGAGCAAGGAGTTCATGGGGGCCGGAAAGACGCCTCTGAAGGCGCTGTAAAAGGCATTGTAGTTGCGGGCGAAGAAGACGGTCGAGTTCGGGATCGGCGTGGGCGCGGTTTCGAATCGGTATGAAGGGTACGTGAGGCGCACGTTGGCGTAGAGCGCCTCCATGTAAGGCGTGCACTCTGCATCTCTTATCACGCGTCCCGTTGTTTTACCCACCATGTGCCACTCGAAGAAAGTGTCCTCGTGTCCATGGTAGAGCCCGGTCATGGCGACAAAGCCATCGCCGCTGTTACCTTTCAGCCAGTTTCCAAAACCAATGCAGCCCCCTCAGTTGCAAAAGGATGCGTTGTGGAACCCAGGCGTTGAAACCGTAAACATGCTACCATTAAAAAGATAACTAGTTCTAATTTTCTTACATAAGTTACTCGAAAAGGCGGGGTAAAGTATAGATAAAAGAGAAGCATAACTCAAACCAAAGTAGAAATCTGTTCCAGATGGCCAAAGACCTCTACAGCTTCCCCTTCCCACGTTCCGTGACCCTGGACGTATGCTTCTGAGACATTGAGCAACGGTGCGCCGTAATCAGCAAGGGGGATAAGGAGCGTGTCCCTGGTGGGCTTGGTGACTCTAATTGACGAGTTTCTAGTCGAAAGGTCCAACTGGAATTCGTTAAAATAGAGGTTTCCGGTCTTCGCGCTCCGGGTAGTGTCCCATGCCCTCGTCGTGTTGTCTACTGGTAGCACCTCGTGCACGCCATTCGGATGCCAGACAGTAGCGATGGCGATACTGTCGGAGTTGAACCCTTCGAGGGTCGGTTCGTTGATCCAGACGTGGAGAAAGATGCCGTTGGAGAGATACACCCAGTACAAGTACCAGTTGCGCAGCTGCATGTCACCCCACTGCCGTTCCAGGAAGCCAAACGAATTGGACGTGTCAATCTCCACGTCTTGATCGTTTAGTTTGATGGTGCCCTCTACTTTCAAGTGAGGGTTTCCCTGGGTACCTGTCATTAGCGTTGCGAACTCCATGATCTGGGAATGAGACCAACCCAATACCAGGAGTACCCGGGGGGGACAACAAAGTAATCAGAGGGAGACACGGGATTGAGAGTGACGTATCCACTGCCACCGGGATATAGGTTCGGGCCGGTAGGCTGCATATGTAGATTGGCTGAGATACCTGCATAGTCGCCGGAAAAGTATAGATCAGTGTAATTGTCAGATCCCTGGGGACTGCTGAGGTTCTGAGAGGGTGCCTGCACATTTAGGAACTCTGTGCTTGCTATGCCAGGCTCCAGGATGATTCCGCCAGAATAGCTGGAGTTTGAGAGGTCTTCCAAACCCATGAACCCAGAGATTGCATGTCCTTGCTCGCCCGCTCCATTGATTACTGTGTTGATTGTGAGATGGTACTTCCTGCCGTCGACTGTAGTCAACCACAGCACGTAGAACCAGCTTCACACACAGAATCAGTTCTTGAAACACTCCAGAAAAGATCGGCTCTCTCGCACCTGTTCAGCCCCTCCTGGAATGGATCCTGCACTATCGCCATGGTCTGTCGGACGTCGTAGCGCCCAACGTGTGTCTGATCAGAGGAATATTAGCATCATGGCAATGAATGAAAGGCTATAATCTCATTACCCCATCATTCTGTTTTGTACTGAGCGGGAAATCCGCGGGTGCGAATGATGGTAGCTCCAGGGCACTGGCAAAGGTTGCGCAACCCAAGAAGAAAATGCTCGGCAACATATTTTGAACGATGATTGAACTTGGAAGACTGGAATCCAGATGGACTGGTGCGTTTTCACATTGAGGCTTAGCTCTTTTATAAACATCTCTCTTGAGGATGGCCTGCCTGACTGCTGCATCTTGACGGCAACTTGGCGGCCAAGCACTCCATGGATAAGTGCGGGCAGGTCTCGTGTGGTTCGTCGATTTGATCGGATACCGGATCTTTGAATGATTTCTACATGACTAGCAACTGAATATCTCATGAGTCTTAGGTCCCGAACTTTAGGATTAGAGAATGAAGCGCAGGTAGGGGTGGTTGATTGCCGATAGCCGCTCGGATTCGGCTAGCTTTCATCCCGCTCGGCCGAGCAAAAATTCCGTACGACTGCATATAAAAGCTTATTTCCATGCACAACGAGAGTATTTTCCCGCATGTTTAAAAGTAGTGGTTGATGTCCATCCTAAAGCACAGTGTCGAAGTTCAATATTTAAATCAGGTGGTCTTGTGGTCTCCGACCCCGTACCCCTTTGTGCGTGGCCATCCCCCCAAAACCCATGAAGTAGACGTGTACCACAAACACCATTGCCACGAATATTATTACCGGTTTGAATACCACGAAATATGCCACAAACCTCGTTTAAGACCTTTTAGACGGTCAAAAACTGCCACTAACTAACGGAGAAGGCACCATTGTTCATCAGATTACATTGCTGACCCCACGACTTTATTGTATTTTTTGAAATGCCATTAAAGCACATAAAACATTGATAATGTTAAAGACATATCACAATGTGATTGCTGACTATGACACGTACTACAACTGGATGGGTGATCCTTCGACAACCTGAGCAAACGAGTCCGGAGACAACAATATCTTCTACAGTCATGGGACTTAAAGGGGCCGCGTCCAGGTCGCACCCCAACATCCGACATAATAACACCTACAATGACTGGAGACTCAATCTATGCCGATCCTCAAGCACGTAACTGGAGAGCATACCCGTACATTGACTCGGAAAATTAGCCTGTAATAAACACTTTTCGACCAGCTCGACCAGACCAATTTCATAATTCAATTGTAACGGCACAGGCTGAATTTCTCACATCAACCGCAGCTCCTGGAAGTGTTTGTACTAAAAATGCGCCAAATATCGAGGTCGACACGGTCATGCAGCTTCATTCTGGCACCATTGCCAGTCAGGACGTGGAGGGCGGCGCAGCACCCACTCGGCACATTTCGCTTGGTTCGGCATTAGTCTCCGTCGCCCCCATCACCATTACGACAGCTCAGGAACAACAGCACACCGCTCAATTGCCCAGAAATTTGGTGTAACTGTTGAATCGTATGTCTTATTGTTCTTCAGGAAGCTTTATGTCTCGATACTCCAGTCGGAGCAAACCGGTGGAGACGATTGCAAGCTGTAGAAGTAAGGCACTGGTGACAGTTAGTGTAAACGAGTAATGTGATATTCTAAAAGAGTGGTATAAGACCTCGTGAACCGGTGCAGTAGTATAGTTCAGAAGCAGGCTCTTCTCCGTCACGGTTTCTTCTCGTCGAACCTCAGACCAAGCCGCTGCTTGCTTGACCTGAAACTCCAGTCGAGCCCAGCAGAGGGCAATAATTGTGATCGCTACGGTTGAGTTAGTCTCTAGCATGAAATATTAGATCATAGATATTCACTGAGAGTGGGCGCATAGATCCACAGGTAATGCGCCTTTTGTTCGACAGTAGCTATACCGGCGTAACGATGGGAGAGGTAGTTGAGGATCTCCAATGAGACAATCATGATGACGAACATGCCTGAAAAGCCTAGCAGGATTAGTCTTCGGGGAGCGAAAAGCTCTCGGCTGTTGATTGCGTCTTTTTCCCGTATAGGAGCTACTATGGGCTCCGATGCCGGGAGAGTTGAACGAGGCATCTCCCGTGGTTGTTCTCCCCTCTCTGAGTCGTACTTGGTATGAAGATCCACTTCAGGGGGGTCGCTTGCTGCTACGGGGTCCAGGGTATGATTATTTTGGATGGAGCCTTCATCGTGGCTGTCAGTGTGGGGGGTTGTTGACTCCCCACCACTAATGGTTCCCTGAAGCTCATCACTGTTAGACAAGCGATGGCTTCTGTCATTGGAAGTGTTCGGAGAGTGTGGAATGTTTCCAATTGTTTGATCTGTGACATCTGAGGTAGGTGGTTGGTCCTGTGGTTCATTGATAATGCTCATGGTTTCCGAATCGCTCGAGTTGCTTGGAATGGTAGAACGATGCGGAGAACTGACAACAACCCACAAAGAACAGCTTTTGATATTTTTTTTAAAACCCAGCGCTCGGCCTTAAATAAGTGTACTCATAGTGGCACAAGGCTGCATAATAGGCTAAATCACGTGCACCATCGCTCGGAAAGGTGTAGCGATCATTGTCAGGATCATCTCTTGTACAACATGGTCCTTTCGACTGAGACACCGTAGATGCCTTGGAACTGTCATAAAAGAAACGCTATTAAGCGCAAATAACTGGAAAGAAATAGTGTACCAGATCTCGCTGAAGACGAGAGCCTTAAAAATAGATAGTCTCGGAGATCAAATATTACATGCTAGAGCAGTGTAACCTCTGCGCCTTGCCAAGTCCTTACTGCAGTCACACAAACCGCCTCTTTTGTCGCATAACTTACTGTTGTTGGTAGCGAAATCATCTGTCTGCCTTGCAGCCTTGTGTAGCTTTCGTTCCAGTTGCCAAAAGTCCGGTATGTACCTCTTGTGTACTTCGAGGTAACGTATCGCAAAATGTTGCCTTAATCACTGTCTTCAGTTGATTTGCGAACGAGGAGCATGCCTACATATATGACTGGCTTCATGTAACCGGGCAGTCTAAATATATACTTAGATGCAGAAGCTGGTTTGTACCCTTGTAATGCTCAGCACGAGGCATATCTCTCTGAAATCGGTTTCGTCGTAAGCTTTGTTGTACCCTTATTTTCTCACAAATATGCTTGTATCTGGCTCCAATTGCCGTTTAGAACTGACGAACCCCAATCCTGGTTTTTTTCCTCTGTTTTCGGACGTTTGGAGACACACAAAGCGAGCTCCCATATGCAACCGACTTACTAGAGCGTATTGTTGTTCAATGTTGAATCAACGGTGCAACAGAAGAAGACCTTGCTAGGAAGTGAAATACAGCAAATTGGCAGCTCACTGCTATGATGAGCTCAGCCTTGAAGCAGCCAGCCGAACCCTTCTGTAATGTCGGCCACCGCCTTTTTCGAAGCCTCAAGGCTGGGGAAGAAGGACCAGAAGGCGTGAGGCAGGCCAGGATAGATTACGAGCTTCGTGCGAACTTCATACTCGGTTCGGATAAGCCTTTCGTACAGCAAAGCCTCGTCCCGCAGGGGGTCCATGCCTGTATGCCGTCATTACTCTCTGTATTCTTTAGATACTACACTTATACGAGTAGACTTACCGCACGCATAGATGACTGTTGGAGGGAGCCCTTTGTGTCCAGTAGGCCAGATGAAGGGGCTGAAGAGCGGAGATGTTCTTTCTGGGTTGTAAATTCCTATAAAGCGTGACACTATCAGCTTTGCTCATACTACCTTTATTTCCTTTTACTGAGTTCTGTGTGAGCATCCTTCAGTCTGGAGACTCACCGATGAGGTATTCCAGTGCTGTGGCATCCAGCCCTGGTGCATCCTTGTTTTGGTCCAAGCTCAAATACTCCGCCTTGAACCTCTCTGGAACAGCCTCCTTTGCCAAAACTGCTGGGATAGAAGCCGAGATGCCCGTGAGCGGAGGGCTAAGGTTCTCGTCCCGAGCGAGAAGCGCAAGAATGACTGCAAAATTTCCCCCAGCTGACTCGCCGTGAACGATGAAACCACGAGAAGGATCGGCACCAAGCTGAGACGCGTTGGCAGCGAGCTTGTTTGGCGTCAGTAACATGGAAACCTCAGTAGGGGCAGGTCGATGCCGAATCGCTCACCCATTTCAGCGCGTCCCAGGAATCGTTGATCGGTGTGGGGAACGGATGTTCAGGAGCCAGGCGGTAGTCCACGCTCACGCAAACGGCGCCGAAGCGTTGAACGGCGTTGACGCTTCAAAGCATAGCTTGTCAGTATATAAAACAGCATTCTCATCTAGGCCCATCCGAATGACGACGCCCAGGCTGATAGTCTGTGCGCAGACAGGCGAGCACGGGAATGGTACCCACCAGTTGACTTCCTCCGACGCTGGAGCACCCATACACCAACCCCCACCATGATAAGCGACGATCAGCGGACCACCATGACCTTGCGAGCACAGCTTTGCTGGCTGGTACACAACGGCGCCGATGGCGCTCCCGTCCCTCACAGGAATTGAAATCTGGCTCTTCACGACTCCCTCCATGGTCGTAGGCACATTCACACCAGGTACCGGCGTGAAGAAAGCTGTGCTCATTTTGCGGACTGTCGAGATTGGGATGTCTGCGGCATCGCTCAGCTTGGCAGCTGGGCCAACTTTATCGTAGAACTAAAGGTTGCGTCAGTGATTTGAATACATTCCCTGTGGCGGATTTGTTACGGACTGTTTTGAAATCCGGATCCATCTCAGAAAGGCTTTCCCAGTTGGAGTTCTCCATGTTGATGGGAAACATGCGGTTGGAGGTTCTGTCTGATATGCTTTCAGTGAGCGTTGAAGGTTTAGGGCGCAATCAGGGTCTCACTTTACTATAGACAGCTCTTTATAAGATTTCAGAACGGACGACATAATGGGCCGATTCCATCAGCACTGTTCTACATGCAGTAAATGTTGCGACGTGTCAAGGCACGGGAAGCCGGAATCGTTTTACCCGATCATTTCGGCCCGGGGATCTACCCCGCCGGCAAGCAAAATGGACCACATCCGTATAGCTAAAGCACCCATTTAACCATGGTAAATATTGCCTTCCAGGGTCTTAAACGTAAAATCGGACTCTATATCATTGCAACTACAGGTATTAATATATAAGGGTACTCCGCATCTAAAATAGTCTCGTTACACTAGATTTTAGCAGAGTTGGGTTTTGCCGGCGATGGTTGGTTTTAGCCGGTAAGGGTTGGGTTTAGGGGTTTTCACGAGAAAAAGGTTAGGTTTAGTAATTACCCTTTTTATTTTCTGCTATATAAACTACTGTTACAACCACTAACGGGGCTAGCTATATAAGGTTATATTGTAGAACACCACTAGAGTATTGTTTGCATTTGCAACAATATGTTGGACCCTTATAATTATCGAATGTATCACACAATTCTACTTTGATAGCATCTAGCATGTGCTTTTTGTAATTTCTGGCACAAACCCTAAGCCGCTGACAAAACATACGACTAGACGGTCTCGTGATACTCAACGTGGTCCAGATTTCCCTGATCCTTTCCTTCCGCAACAACACGTCCGTCATTCCTCGCCATGGCCTCAGCCTTCAACTCAGCAAACTTCTTCTCCGCATCCCACACCCACGGCGTATCAGCAGCGAACAGGAGATCCATCTCCTCGAGCGTTCTCTGGTTCGATTCGGGGTAAAAGGCCCACACTAGACGACAGCCAACAGTCAGCACAAGGTCCTCGTCCGCTTTGTATCCCAGCATTACTCACCGATGGGAATGGCGATGACATTGCACGCGCCAAAAACGTACATGGCCTTCTCGCCAATCGAGCCGATGATATACGGCATAGCCAGCGTAAGCGACCTAATCCCCACTAATCAGCAAAATCATCTCAAAGCTAGAGAGTCTGCCACTCACCCATTCCCAACACTCCACCCCACCACCCCCCACGCATTCCCCTTCGCCCTCACCTGCAGCGGGAAGCACTCCGCCGGATAAAGCCACGGCACCGTCAGCCACGTCGCCCCGAACACGAACGTGTACAAATAAATCATCGCAGCGGCGGCAGCGCCCCACTTGCTCGCGGTGTCGGGATCCCCACCGGCGCTGGCGTTCAGCCCGCCCCGCGCCAGCCCGCCGACCAGGAACATGGCGACGGCCTGGGTGGCGGAGCCCCAGTACAGCGTCCAGCGGCGGCCGATGCGGTCGATGGTGGCGACGCAGATGAGCGTCGCGGACATGTAGAAGATGTTGTTGAGGCCCGAGATCCACTGGGCTTTGGTGGGGGTGAAGCCGGCGAGGGCGAAGAGGGCTTGTGGTGGTTGGTACGAGCGTCAGTTGGGTCTGGGCGGAGAAGAAGAACAAAAAGAGAGAAAAAAAGAACAGAATGGGGGGATGGATGGATGGATGGATGGATGGATGGATGGATGGATGGATGGATGGATGGACGTACTCGGACCGTACATGGTGATGCCCGCGATGCCGCTCCAGCACTGCAGGATCTGCAGCCAGATGACGAGCTGGACGCGGCGGCCGGTGTGCAGGCGGCCGGAGCCGATGCCGAAGAACATGTGGAAGTACGAGTTGCGCTTGGCCTCCTTGTTCTCGAGGTCGACGATGTCCCTGATCTCGGCCAGCTCCGTCTCCGCCTTGCCCGCCTCCGCACCGGTCGTGCCGCGGAGCCGCTGCAAGATGTACAGCGCCTCCTCATCGCGGCCCACGCGGCACAGCCAGCGCGGCGACTCGGGAAACACCCAGCAGCCCAGTATGAGGAAAATGAGCGGGACGAGCTGGAAGCCGATCGGGAAGCGCCAGCGGAACGGCGCGCGGCCCTCGTCGATGAAGCTCACTCCAAACGCCAGCCAGTACGCGACGACGACGCCGAAGATGTTGAGGGTGAACTCCATGGCGATGAAGGCGCCGCGCGACGAGTAGTCGGCCAGCTCCGACGCCCAGGTCGGCACGATGGCGTTCAGGATGCCCGTGCCGACGCCGTTGATGAGCCGTGAGCAGATCATCCAGTCGGCGTCCTGCGCCGACGTTTGCAGGGCGGCGCCGACTATGGCCCACGCCGCGCCGACGCCGATGGTCGTGATGCGCCCGAAGCGGTCGCCGACGAAGCCGCCCAGCAGGCAGCCCAGCAGCGTGCCGAGGTAGTAGACGGCCACGATGCCGCCCTGGAGTAGTGTTTTGGTGACGACGGGCTTACCGGTGGCGTCGACGTGGCCGAAGCCCATGAGGTGGACGTAGTGCGGCGATTCGTTGACGCCGCCCATCATGCCTTGGTCGTAGCCTGTGGGTGTGTGGGTGAGTTCAATCGCCTCAGGGGAGGGCAGTGGGATGGGGTTCGTTACCGAAGAAGAAGATGGAGAGACCGGCGATGCAGTTGACGGCGATGAGGAGGGATCTCTTCTCAAGGTTGGATGCGACCATCCATCTCTTGCGTTGATCCAAGATGCCGGACATGGTGTGACAGGTAGGGAGCAATCTGAAGGATGACTTTGGTCGTTAAGCTCAGAGTTGATGTGGTGTAACCTTAGATTCAGGACACTAAATAATGGCGGCTGGATGGAGGAGCTGGCATGATGGTTCGACCATTGCCGTCACTGCGGGGAAATACCCCATGGGGTTCCCGCACGAGACTTCCGTATGCTCACTATGCAGACAGGCTTTCCAATCGAGGCAGGTAGTCTGAGTGAGCACCATTGTGTGCTTGGCAGATCCCACCGACACGAGGGCGCGCAACTCAGGGCGTTTCAAGGCAGTGATCAGCGGTGCAGGCCAAGTCAACCCTCGAATCGAAAATGCTGGTATTCGTCCCTCACACCCGAGGAAATATTGCTGAAACATGAATTCTATCCCCGCTTTCAACATTGGGACAGGAACAAGACTAGCTGCGATGGTGGGAATATCAGCTGAGGATTTGGGGGTTGATGGATGCCGCGTGCGCGTCACATCTAGTGTTGTAGCTGGCTTACCCCGCAATAATCGACGCCAAGTAGTTTACGACTGCGCTTGGACAATTTGGCTTTCATACCCAAATCCCAATTTTCCATTATGAGCTCAAGCCTCTTACTTTCAAATCTGTCCTTATTGGCGTTCTTCTTTTTCATATCACACTTTCATCGGCTTCCTGTATTTGCATTGAGTAATCGTCGACAGAAGCACAGCAAAATGGGCCACACAAAAGGATAGGGACTTTCTTTATTCAGACCGTATCATTTATGAATGCAAAGACAAGCGGGGGTTTTGTGTCAACAATATCCAACAAAGCATAGATACTATTTGGTATTCGCCCAAGCGCCCTCCAAATCGCTGTACAGCTTCCAGTTGTACGCAGTGCTCGGATCATTGAACCTGAGCGCCTTGTCCAACGTAGCAATCTTCGCCATATCCTCCTCGTCCAACGGGAAATCGCTCTCCAGGTTTTCCTTCATCTGCCAATCGATGACACTCTTCGGGATGACCGCACGGCCATTGGCGAGGCCCCACGCAAGTGCCACCTGGGCAGCGCTCTTGCCGTACTTCTTGCCAATGTCGTTGAGAATGGGCTCGTCGATGAGGCGAGGGATATCTGCTTTGCCCGTAGCCCAGTAGATGTCGCGGTAGAAATTGTTTTGGTTGGCAAGAGGACTGAACTGTATCATCTGGATTCCCTTGGACTTCTGCCACTCGACAAAGGCCTTCTGTTGCAGGTAGGGATGCAGTTCCATCTGGTGGACAGCCGGAACCTGGAGTATCTTGTTAGACGTGCTTCTCCAACCGAGGAAGACAACCTACGATGGAGCCCTCGTCAAGTAGCTTCTGGACTTCACCCTTGCTGAAGTTGGAAACACCAATGGCCTTGGCTTTGCCCTTCTGCACCAACTTCTCCATGGCTTTCCATGTGTCGACGTAGGTCGTGGTGCCCATCATCATCTGTCCATCCTCCCCCTTGGGGAAGCGCTCTGTGCCCCGCTTGAAAGTGCATGGGTAGTGCATGAGGAAGAGGTCGATGTAAGGAGTGTCCAAATCAGCAAGCGCCTCGTCAAGGGCGGGCTCAACATCGTCGGGGTGGAATGCGTTGCACCAAAGCTTCGTAGTCAGGAAAAGATCTTGGCGAGGAACCCCCGCCTTTCGAATGGCCTTCCCAATGAACTTTTCCGTGTCATAGCTGTGCAGTATTACTATTTCAGAGGCTCAGATGGGTTGGGATGCTGACGACTTACACTCGAGCCGTGTCAATGTGCCGAAAGCCAGCATTGATGGCGTTGTAGACGGCGCATTCCTGCTGTTCCTTGTCCTGGAAGGTACCGAACCCAATGGCTGGCAGCTTCGCACCCGTGTTTAGTGTGTATGTTTTCTGGCTGATTGGTCGAGAAGCGATGCAAGGAATGAAGCGCTTTGGTTGGCGGCAGATGCGGGTAGTGCTTCGGGCGAGTAATCGTACGCTCATCGTGTTCGATAATATCAATTCAATCGTTAGACAAGAAAGATTTCGCTGAATTCTGGGCCGTCTCTCTTCCTTGTTGTGAGATATTGCTTCGATGTTGCCTCCCCATATACCCCTCCCCCGCATTTCTGGGGTAGCCCTCGACGCTCGGGTGGCCCCAACGATCGGGTGGTGCTGCAATGCCCTCGAGCCGAGGGCGCACCATGTCATTCACGTGTTTCAGGACCACAGTCCGAAGATATCCACAACATGACTTCCAATCACTTTGGGTAGTCGACGACCGACGAATGATCACAGTCATGAGCCCTCATCGGTGGCAGATAGGCGTGTTCAGTGTGGGAACATTAGGCTGCAATACTATGCGCTCATACCCCACCATGGTGTAAACGTTGTAGTTTTTCCAGGCCCACAACTTTAGCAGAATGTGTCAGACTTCTTCAGTTTTCCCTGCAATTATTCTTCCGGATATCTGCCAGCGTGTTTCTGTCGGTGAGATCGAATCTCGAAGGGAAGACCCCTTGTGGTGGATAGATTAACTTTTGCACAACTCACCCTCTATCCATATAAGTCTTCGATAGCGTTGACTTTCCTTTGTGTTGAACATGAATAAAGGGACCGCGGCACATCCTGTCCTTTTAAGAAGCTACATAAACACAGCAATGAAACGTGGGAATGAACATACTCAAATGGCTTCATATCCCGTGGAGAATTATCCACAACGAAAGACCTTTTACTAACACGGCAACGTAATCAGATTGATTCTCTATTTTCCTCAATACTCTAATCAGATGAGACTTACCTCAGCCTCCGATGCACGTGTTTTGATATTCTTCCATTCGTTATTGCACACGGACTCCATCAGAGCCAGCTGCCACTACCGCTACCCGACTTAATGAGATTACCCAGGCCTTCCAAAGGTGACTCGTCGTTCTTTTATCCTTACCCAAATTGGGTTGTTGGGCTGATTTGTTGACGAGCGGCAGGCATCGTACCATCGTAATAGGAAAAACATCAAAGAAACTTAACGTTGAGCGAGGGAAGTTCGAGGGGAAGAAGAAATTATTAATGCAGGTAAGCAATTTTGCGCGAGTTATGATCAAGTCTTCTGTGACGTGGACAGACTTCTCAGGCTGCGTATTACTGGGCTGTCTATAGTCTGCAGGCCCGATTTGCTTCCGATTCCGTGTGTCTAACAAAAAGTGTTAAAACACGGGAACAGTGGGCTCCTTTAACTTAATACTGTAGGCCCGGGTGCTGAACCCATGCCGAGATGCCTTGCTACGAATCAACTTTTCTGCATGTTTCATTTGCCGACATCGTCAAGAAAGAGTTTTTTGTTTTATTTGTGAATGATTCGAATGCTATGAACTTCGTTGGAGTGTCATTCTTCGGCGTTTTCCTCGGTGTTTCACATCCAGCCTCCTGCAAGCCACTTGCCGCATGCGGCAGTCAGATCACAACCCCACTTAGCTCCTTGGCGTTTTGGCCTCTGCGTTACACGTGGGAGTAACTGCGCCCCAAAGCATTGCCGAATCTAGTAGCACGGATGAATATGTGTTGTCCAGAACGAAATGGAAGAAGGACCAATTTTGCGATGACTCAACCAACTAGACTTAACGCGCGGACCCCGAAATGTATAAGAGTCTTTCGTCGCGCGATTTCAGCTTGTCCTACCTTCATTTCGAAATACACGACGTTTGAACTACACTACAATCTCAGGATGCACACCCGTCTTTTGGTTCGGGACGACGTCTCCAACGCAGCACATGTTGCTGTAGCTGCATACGTCGACGACGCTCAAGATGCATACATCTACCCCAAGCGCCACGAGTATCCTTTGAGATATCTGAAAGTCAAGACCGACATAATTCAGCACAGCTTGGAGGACTCCATAGCACTACCGATTGTTGCTGTTCTCGAGCCTAACGATGAAGGGTGGAACGGCACTCCAGAAATCATGGGCTTCTGCATCTGGTATCGCGAAGGCGCCGACCAAAATGAGGAAGAAGCGCAGAACCGTGATGCTCAGAAGAAAAAGCCATGGATATCAAGTGAGTACTATCACGACAGCCACACGACAAAACTCCTCATTAGAATTCATAGAGACTGACTTGTACCCCAGGACTCAAAGAACGCATCCTAGACTCCGATGTCGTGGACTACATCCGAGACGTCCGCAACCCGATCGTCGACGCTTCCCACGCCCGGGCTGTAGCCGAAACCTGTAGCAGGAGCGACTCACAGCGCTGGATCGAAGACGGGTACCAAAAGCCCGAACAGTTCTACGGAATCATGGACGTCGCAGTCGATCCCAAGTTCCAGCGGCGAGGGGTGGCCCGCATGCTGTTGGAGTGGGGCATGGCGAGAGCGGAGAAGGAGAACGTGCCGGTTCACCTGTCGGCGACGCCTGCGGGGGCGCCGCTTTACAGGAGCCTTGGTTTCCGTGGTGTCGGGAAGTGGACGTGGCGGCCGAACCAGGAGGCGGAGTGGGAGATAATGCGCTGGGATCCTCCACGTTCTGGTCTCGGTCAGACTGGACGAAGTGCCGCGTAGGTTATATTGAGACTTTCTCCGGGCCAAGTGGCCATCGGTGTTTTGATTCGTGGTCCCCCGCCTTCACCCACAGTTGGCATCGCCGCCCGGGCTCTTGTTCTCCCTTAGAAACTTGATATGAACACGAACCGTTCTGGGAAAGACTCATCCCACGTGGGCCCACCGTCCAGCCCAGTACCGCCGCCAATCTCCCTGCTCGCCCAGCATTTCTCCAACAACCTCTGCGCATCCGACACGCTCCTCGAGCCCAACAGCATCGTCACGTGCCGCAACTTGTCTGAGACAAACGCCTTCATTTCGCGAGCCTCTGCGCTCGTCAGGCCCTCGCCACTAGCCTCGAATCCCGCGATGAACAGCGGCCAAACGACCACGTTCCAAGCCACACTATCAGCCTTTAGACCCGCAGCTCCGAACGAATACAACGGGCAGCCGAGATGGTGGAAGAGCGCTCTCAACGCGCCAATCCGTAGGGTTTCGGCGACCGTCGTGCCGAATATGTCCTCGAGAATGGAGGACAGGATTGCCGGATCATCAAAGGAAGGCTCGAAGACGAGGGTGCGGAGGCAGTAGAGCAGCGTGGCGGCATGGTAGCAAGAGATCAACGCAAGCCAGTCCGGGCTGGACAGCTGGAAATGGATGGTTGTGGTTAGGTCTGCCAACCACGATTGAGGTGAGAAGTTGGCGATCTTAGCAATGATGGAGCGGATGCTTTGACCCGTTTCTTCATCCGTTAGTTGGATGCTACCAGAGCCGTTGTTGCACAACGATGCTCTGAGAAGGTTGGTTTGAGCGATGGCCTCGAAGAGAGCTTTGGGACAAGGGCAGCAGGAAGCTACGGTGATACGATCCCAATTTGGGAAGCTTGTTATGAGATCATATGGCCACTTTGGAGATTTTTTGAGGTGTCTTGCATTGCTTGTCGTACCGCCCATGATTTCAACTCTGTGTGAAAGCTTCTTAGCGAACAAGACTGCGAAATTTCGTCAACCGCTAGCCATAATGCCATAACTTACGTGATGAAGTGGAAAGCAATATGAGGTGCATCACCAGATGAGAGAATGTATTTATCCCACCCTCCCTGTAGTTCAACAATAGCAGCAGCGCCTTGGGTATGCTGGTGCCAGGCGCCGGTAGCTGAGTATTGAATCTAAAAGAAAAAGTGGTTTAGTTTTGTTTGAGCGAACAAAGGGGCACATGTAAAGTAGAAAGTATGATGCGTACGTCTCCTGTGAGAAGCATTACGACAGCTTCCAAAAGAAGGTTCGGGTCATGAGCCGAGTGCACTAACTCTTGTTTCAAAGCTTGAGTAGCGTGATATCTTTGTTTGCACACCTCAAGATCGCGGTCAAGGTTATCCTGAGAAACAATGGCTTTGTGTTGTGCACAAATCATGTGCATCGATTTCTTGACCACGTCTGGTTCGTCTCGCCAGTCACCGAACTGGATTCTGGTCCATTGTAACACGACATCATCTGCAATAATACGGGGTGCAATCCGTTCATTATCTATGCAATTTGTCAGCTCACAGCTATATGTAATGGTGCCCTGGACTCGTACAGTATTGCACAAAATTTAAAGTAGACAGAGCAAATTTGTCAGAAGGTAGCCAAGTCGTATTTTACAGCAGGTGCAATCCACAGTTTTTCCGTGATGAATTTGTTCGATGAAGAACAAGCTCGTGTCGACTTTGGTTGACATTCGCTTGGCTACTTTGGGAAATCAAGTGGGGGGAGCTTTCGTTCGGGCGATGCCGTGAGCGCTTTAAGCCGCTGGATGATTGGTCATGATATATCCAAACAGTCGGCTTTTTGTAGCCCGGGCACTCGATTCCATCCTGCGGACAGCGACTACACGTCGGCAAGCTGCCATCACAGCGGACGCGGCGTTTCTTGCAAGATACACATTGTATAGTGGCCATTACGAGCGCTGGCAATGTTGATGAATAACAATGCTACAGTTGAGTCCGACGGAGAAAGTTTTCGTCGCCAATACGCCGAACGGAGACTAGCGTGCCGAATGAGGTTTAGCGTTGTTTTGAGAAACACAGTAGTAAACTCTAAATTTACGTGAGTTCTGGAGAATGCTAAGGAGCAGAAAGCCTTTCCTTCCATATAAAAATCTTGACTTTCACTCTCCTTTTCAAGAAATTTTTGGTCTATTCAATATCTCCGCTTTTCATCCTTGAGGTATTGTAGTAGTTGGATAATCTTGCCTCATGTCTGACAGTATCAACTTGGGTCATTGAAGTAGATTAATACTGCCTCGAAGAAAAGTCAGGATATTTAAATCTGAAATTTGCTTATTTCGTATCTCATCAATCTTAGGAACTGCTAGAAGGGAACATTATTACAACCAGCTCATTTGACTTTAACACTACTGTTCCTGTGAGCCGACAATGGACAGATTTTAACATATTGGAGAGGGGGAAAGAAAGAGGAACAGAAGGATTCTACCCTATCATTGACCTTGGCCGTTTTGGAGACTCGTCGCCGCCAAGCGGCGCTGTCACGGCCCGCCTTCTTCGAGATTGAGCGCTGAACACGCTGACGCTGTCCGCCCGGCCCGCTTGCGGCCTGGGGCTCTGCAGGCCGAGCTGCTCCAGCCCTCTGTGCGCAGATTCGGAGGGCGTCGGCGTCTGCTCGTCCCTGTTCCTCAGACCGGCCATGTTGATGGTGAGCTTCAGCGAGTTGATGGCCACGCGGAGACGCGCCCGGTGCTCCGGGGCCCACACCTCGTAGATGTTGCGGACGTAGTGCCACGATTGCCACCTGTCGGCGCTTCCCGCCCGGATTGTAAAATCGTGTATCCGAGTTCGGTAGATCTCTGTACATTGGCCGACGATGATAGGGTACCATCCATCCACAACTACGTTCTTGTTGTCGTAAGATATCGAGAACCCCAAGACCTTCCGATGGACGCTTCTCTCCATCTTCGCAGCCCGAAAAAGATCGACAGTGGACGAGACTGCCACCATCATGCTGTACGCGTTTTGTTTATCCGCCACGGATATCGATTCTTTATGAGACTTCACCTCGCAGGTCAGAAATGGGAAGTGCATGTAGTCTGTTGCTGCAAAGTTGGACGAATTGCTGGGCACTGTAGCAAGCAGAGCCCATTCAGGGGCCAAGAAAGCCCGGGCACCGAAGCCAACGCAATAGTCCGGCTTAGGGGCTGGGAACCTGTCTAGCAGCCGAGGTGCTCTTGTCCACGACTCATTCCGAGCGTCAACAAAGAGTCTGTACGTTGAGCGGAGCTCGACATCCCTGTCATAGACACCCGAGAGGCGTTCCGCTGGAGGGCAGACGAGATCATGGAGCTCGGCTATGACGTAGGGCTCATTCTTGAATTGCAGCCGCTCGATAGTCTGTCGCAGAACTTGGTTCTTGTAACGCTCATCGGTTGTAGGGTCGTGAGATTCGGCCTTGAGGTTTTCCAATAAATCCCTGGTCGAGTCATCCACGCCTGCTTCATCTATGCTCTCATCATACTCTTTCATGAACAGCTGCACCGTTACAGACATGCACTCCAGCTTGTGGGGAAAGTTTGACCTTTTGTATACGTAGCTCGTTGTGCCAGTGTCATCTCTCGTGGATGGCTGTGTCGTCTTCGCTACAGAGCCCTTCTTTTGTCCCTGTGCACGCATTTGGGACCCGATGGATGCGGCGGGTTGATATGCAGGTGTGCCTCTTAGAGACTGTATGGCTGGGGCATCCGCGACAGCGGTTTGCCCAGGCTGAGCGCTGTTCATGACCCAGTGTTCCGTTGGGTCGCTGTATGCCGATCGCGGGACTGCTGGCAGCAGTGATGCTGCTTCGACTACGTCTTGGTGTTCTGTATGATTTGATTTATCTCCGGTCACGGCTAGGTGTTCGGGTTGGGTTGCTTTCTCGACGTTGGTCTCCGTGTGCGTGAGCTTCTCCGGGCTTTCGACAACGGGGGAATCGACTCCGGAGTTGTGGCCTGGATATGGAGGCGGAGGGTTCCTGAACTTTCTCTTTGGCTTGTACTGGGACTTGGTCTTGGTCTTGGCCTTGGGTTTGGATGCGGCTTCGGGCGCCAGCGCCGAGCCTGTGGCATCAATGGGTCGCTATCTCTTACATGTGAGCGAGCTGGGAGAAATTTCAATCATCCGAGGAGTCGGCGCACTGACCTCAGGGGGTAATCCTTCAACACGGCGACTTTTGCGGCTGGGCGGACGTTGTGGACGGCTAGCTGGCGCTGAGAAACAGTTAGTACACATGTCTGTTGGCCGTCTTGCGTGGGTATACGTGCTGGTAACGCTTTTCGATCTTTGTGATTTGGTATCCGTTTTCTTGGCAGACTGTGAAGCGGCAACGGATTCTTTAGGAGGCTCGGTGCGCTTTCGCCGACCCATGGTGGGCGAGCGAGTGAAAAGATCGGACAGAAGAGAGGCTCTTCGCCAGAATCACCGAGGGCGAAGCTACTATGCTGAGCTAACTATGGGCCTGAGGGCCTGGGCTTTGCTAGTCGCAGATTCCAGGGTAGGCCCCTCCGTTCATTGGTGAAGATGTCTCATCAAGCGAGGGTCGGCATCAACTTGGACCAATAGGATTTGTCCGCCCACTCCTGCACCATGGCTACACCGTAATTCAGCCAGGTCTCATGGGCAATGCTGTAAATCTGCAGGCGCTTTGAGGATAAACAGACCCATTTAAATCATCACTTCTAGGCTGCACAAGAGTTCTGTGCCGCACACGTCAGCGACTCGCATCAAGGTATGTAAAAAACATGCGATGGCTTGGTAGAGTATGTTGCGTGCGAGATAGACGGCCTCATATGGAGTCGAAGTAGGAGATCGCAGAATGATAAACTTGAAGTACCTAAGCCCCATCTTGCTTCGAAAGGTACGGTTATATTGCCAGCAGGACTATCAAACCGTACAGCACTTAGGGGGGAGTGAAACAGTCGTGTGAATGGTTGGATGGTAGACGCTGCGTTTTAAGTTCGATCGCTGACATGTCGTCGCCTCCTTAGGGATAATGAGAGAAACGGCGGAACCTGCGGAAACGACGAAAATGACGGAAATCGCGGAAGCGACGAAAATGACGGGAATGGCGGGAGTGGCGGGAGTGGAGCGGAATAGGAAAAGCGGGCCGGGCCGGACCATCTTAACTAGTGGGGAAACCTGTGGACTTACTTCAAAGATTTTAGTGACAAGTATCTAAAGCTACTGATATCTGACATGGCCCAGACCAACAGCTTGGATTATTTTCAAGTTTGCATGGCTTCCAGAGAGCATACACTGCGAACGGGTTATTGACAGCAATGAGTCACGTGATGACATTGGTCCTGATGATTGTTACCGAGGACCGAAGGTCTAAGCTGTGATATATCTTATCAAAAGGAACAAACTATTGACTGCTTTAACCGAGTATCACCCTCTCTACCAAGTTGAAGTATCTCCAAAGCTCCATCATAACTGATGGAAGGGCTTGTCAGCGAGCGGTGGCTTTCGGTGTAGTAGAAGGCAGTGCTTCCTTCAGCCGGAACTGTCTGATTACAGCGGCTACTGTACTTTGTAGCACCAGTGGAAAACTTTTGTTTCAGTGGAACATCTCCAGCTCACTAGAATGGGGCTATTAACCTTCATCTCTGTCTCGAAACCATTGATGCTCTTTTTTCATGGAGACAGCGAGTTGAGTCAAACGGCCATACTCTCTCGCAAGAGCAACCGCTCAAGTCCAACAGAAGCCAGTCCTCATGCACGCTAAGTCTGAGAGGCAGGTATACTATCTTCAGCAAGTGGCGTCGAGGAATTGGGAGCAGTATCATAGTGCTGATGGGAAGACAGGCGCGATGTTTCTGTGTGGGCAGGAGCAGAAGATCATACATCGCTGACGGTATTATTGCTTTCATCGTGAAAACTTTGCCTAAGGACTACTTCCAGTAACTTGAGGCTACAATGTTAATGAGAGAATAGGCAATTATCGTATTAAGCGCCCATGTCAGTATCTTTAAATAAATTGCTAGCTTAGATGAATCAATGACTTTTTAACCGAAATGACAAAATTACGATTAAGAAATAAAGCAGAGAGATCCGACCAACAATCATGAGGAAATGAAAGAGATATGCCATATTCAAGCGTGTAAGAAAGTAGTGGGAAATGATGCGAGTTTGTAGACCCCGGCAGCTCCAACACCCATCAGACACTGGTCCTAGGGTTAACTCGCTGTCTGCCAGTCTTGGTACATAAAAGGCACGTTGGGATCCTGGCCGAAGTTTGCCCTGATCCTGACTCTTTTCCAGCCCATGCCACAGACGGGAAAAAGACGACCCTTGACATCCGTAGAGGCGGTTCCTAAGATTTTGGTTAGTATAGACGTATCTTAACGTCGGCTAGAGGCAAACCCAAGTATTTCCCGTTTTTTGTGTAGTAGACCGTCTTTTTCTCGAGATTGACTCCACATCCGACAACGTCGCCGCTACCCCATTTGTCGGCATAAGATTCACTATCGTTATGATCGTGCCTGAGTGCATCCCCTAAATCGGCATGGTATCCCCATGTTGGAGCAGCGGCATTGTTCCAACCTGGCATCTTGTCCAGAAGTGCAAATCTGCTGCAATAACCCAAAACAAGTGTACTTAAAATTACGGGTAACAGTTAGCTAATGTAGTCATTCAGACTTTTATTAGACACGTACGGGTATTCTAATTCTGACTCCAAGACTTCAATTTCGAAATAGAAGGGAGTCTTTCCAAATGGCAATGGATAATCGCTTCTCATAATCATTGAGTCATTGTCGCAGAACGCAGCAGTGTCTTCCAACGACATACAACCGATTAGCTTCGAACGCTGTCGTAAAGTGACACTGAGTCGACTCACCACGTCCAGAGATGTATGCCTCCATTCCATCCTCCGAGACATTCAGCCCCTCACTTTTGTCAGTCATACTCCATCGCGAAGGGCGATGTCTATCTGGCGATGGAGTTCCGTGTTGTAGGGAGGCGTCATCGATCGACAGAAGGGAAAGAGTTTCCGGGTTCTGACATTGGATCGCAAGCCGAACCGGCGTCCATCCGTAGTCATCTTTCGCGTTCTTCAGGTCCAAGAAGAGCTTGCACAATCTGGTAGATCCTTTTTCAATCGCGCATTGAAACTTATGCATTCGATTGGGCACTTCGACTCTTGAAGCCAAAAGTTCAACAACCTCCTCATACTTCTCCGTTTCATCAATGGCCCTTTGCCAGTAATGAAAAGCCTGATCGATTGGAGTGGCTCCGTGCGAGACGTTAAGACCAGGAACGTCTAGGGGTGGGTTGTAATCAAGGAGGATTTTGACCATCACTATGTTCCCTTTCGATGCTGCGCCATGAAATGGCGTATCCTTCTCGTCATCTGTGGCCAAACACATGGCTTCTCCGTCGCCAGATTGGAGCAACTTCCGGATGATATCGTCATTCGAACACCAACAAAGATAATGCAAGGGTATCCATCCATGTTCGTCTTTTTCCAGCAGGAAATCCCTTTCGGGGCGCTGGTTAGCGTATTCTCCAAGCAAGAAGTCAAAAATATCCCATTGCTCGGACTCGGCAGCGGAAGTAAGGGCAACTTGCTGCTGCTGATTTTTCTTCCATATATTAATGCCTTGTTGAACCAAAAGCTTGGTGCACTCAAGACTACCGGCATACACAGCAGCATGGAGAGCCTAGTGCAATTAGTTTACTGCTATTAATGGGAAGGTTCTGACTGACAGTGTCGCCGGTGAGATCATCGTCATTGATGTCAGCTCCATACTGTAGAAGCACACGAGCTGCTACCGGGTTCCCGGACCTGCAGGCCTCATAAAGAGGAGCTTGACTCTCGCCGTCCTGGACATTGGGGTCTGCTTTGTGGTCAAGGAGTAGTTTGATCAGTCCTTCTGGTGTATTCGTCCACTTGCAGGCAGCGTGGAGAGGGGTTTCGCCTTCCTTGTCCTTGGCATTTACGTCCACAGAAGAGCACCCAAGGAGAACCTCGCATATCGAATGCTTTTGTTTCCAGGCTGCAATATGCAGCGGCGTTGCCCCAGCGTCGTTTGATATCGTAGGATCTGCACCGTTTTCAAGAAGGAATTTGATGGGTTCCAGCGATGCCTCGTCCTTGATCGAATACAAGAGTGGGGCCAGCCCCCAGCAGTTCTGTGCATTGACGTTGGCCCCCTTTCGAACAAGTAGCTCCAACCCACGGAAACTCCCTTGTCCATAGCAGGTTGCCATTAGAGGTGTGCTCTGATGTATAATCAGGATTCACAAATCCATACGACAAGTATAATGAATAACTTACCTTTACCTCATTCCTTGAATCCACCTCACAATCTTCTCTACTGAGATATCTTTCCATCAAACTCACAATGCCATGGCGTGCAGCAGTATGCAGAGGGTGTTCATGTTCCTTGAACGATCTCTCCTTGACCTTTGGCAGGGTTCTCCTCATCCAACATTTGTAGACGTTACTCTTGGGGTCCAGAAAGCGCTCTGCGCCATCAAGAAGAGACTCCCAACGTGCGGCTTCTCGCTTTCGATCTTCCGCAGTCCATGCGCACTCGGCCTCTCGCAGATGTCGTGGCCACTCCCTGATTTCATATCTTTGTTTTTCGGTTGCCCACACTGCGTCGTTCTCCGTGCTATCTTCCACTTCAGCCGATTGGCTTTCGACGCTTTCAGCCTGTGGCACATCTGTGTCCTGATCGCTCGTCCTGATCGATTGCTCTTCTGTAATCTCAAAATCTTCAACTAGGATATACTTCTTCTGGAATCTGTGTGAATTGAGCTTCTGCAACAGGTGCTCAGCCATTAGAAGATGGCCGTTCCTTTCAGATGCTGCTGAAAGTTCCAGATCGATATCTCTTTGAATCCGAAGACAACGAGTGCAAAATGTTGATATCGTTCTCAAAGGTGAGTCTGAGCTTTCGATGAAGTCACGGACAGAGGTATGTAGAAGAGCCACCAGGCCATTCTGTACCTTGACAAAGTCTCGCCCAATCCTGCTTAGAGTATCGGCTGTAACTCTATGGTCGGGGTCTTGGCTGTCAGGCTCGTCTTGTTGATTGAGATCGAGATCATCCAGTAAGTTGGAAACGAAAGTGTTGGCCTCATAATCGGGAAAATCTTCTTGGACGTCCATGGTGTCTTCATCCCAATTGAGCTCTATCTCATCCCCAATGCACTCAATGGGTATGTTGTCTCTACCGCAGATCAACCAACGTAGCGCCACAACTAACAGATGTCTTTGGCTCCTGGGTAATGTCTCAAAAATCTGATAGTAGGCATTGTTCATTCCCGGTTTCAGATCTTTCATGAACTGATCAAAGGAGTTGATGAGTCCAGGCTCCTTGAGGCTCTCCACTTTGATCGTTGCATCTATGGGAAGATAAGTTAGCATTTACCTTCAATTCTTCAGTCTTCCCCTCCTCCTTACATTTGAATTCTCCAAGAGAGTTTTCCGTGATGCCTTCAATGGCTCTCATCATCATTCTACGGTTCCACTTCGGCCTGGACAGTTTCACTGACGTAGCTACGTAGTATGTGATGTCGTTTTTCGTTCTTTCCTTGTTGATTTCAATGCAAGACATGTCCCGTAACAGCTCAGAGTCAAGCTGCCTACTAGATACCAGGACTCGAATCCTTGAATTTGAACTTGCCAAAGTCACTAGTGAGCCGACAAAGTCAGAGTCATCCCAGTCTTCGCACTCATCTAGTGCATCCACAATGAGCACAACTGGCCGACTTAGTTGCTTTACAAGGCGCTCGAACAAGTCCTTTAGAGCTGGGACTTCCACAAGAGAGGGATCCATCTTGGCGAAACTTGGGAACTGTTTTTGGATTTCATCCAGTAGGTCGTTGCACTTCTCCTGTAGGGTGGCGTTATCCTCGTAATCGTCATGCTTTAAGAGCTGATAGCACAGGTGCAACATTATTTTGCGTGCCTTCGTTGCCGCTTCATCTCCCCGCTTGCAAAAGAAGTACAGTAGAATTGGAGCCTCATCAGCTGGGTGCTGGCTCTCCGTAGATTGTTCACTGTCAAAGTGTTCGATGATCGTTGAGACAAGGACGGATTTACCAAAACCAGCGCGACCAACAAGCCATAGAAAGCCCGAATCACATTCATTCCAGTTCTTGAAGTGTGTGACGTCGTCTCGGAAGATCCATTGGCATGACCCCTTGTGACGTTTTCGGTCGATATTTTCTCGGTACTGGCTGACATGGGTCTGAATGTCGGCGATTTTCCCTCTTTCGAACCACTCAAGATTTTTCTTGAAATTCTTTTGGATCTTGTCCTTCCTCTCCTTCTCCCTGCCCTTATACATCTCAGACTGGATGTTTCTCACACCAGCGGCGGTGAAATCGATCTCTTGAAAGGCAGATTTCGACATCTCCTCCAACCGAACGAGAGTTCGAGAGTCATGAGAATGCGCTCTCAACAGTCTCAATGTTTCTTCTTGGTAGTTGATCTGGTCGGTTTCCCGTAAAGTCGCCAGCTTTGTCCTTAATTCTTCGATCGCATCCTTCAAGGTGTATGATCTGCCACCCAGTGTTCCAGAAAGCGTGCGAAAGACTTTTGACGAGTGGCTGAACAACTTTCTGGTAAGGTATGAGAATCGCAAGATGATTGCGAGAAGCTCCGGAATTTGGTCCAGAACAGCCCGGCTCTTGTGGGCAAACTGATCCACCAAAGCATCCTGACCAAGGTAACGCTGAGCATAAACCTCGCAGACAATTATTGCACCAGAAATCTGGTCGACAGCAGCTGACAGAAATTCGCAAGTGTCTTTGTCGGCAAGGAGGCCCTGTGTATCCATGATACAATCAGCAGACTTTCTCGAACGGAGGTATTATCTGAGTCAGACCATGAAAATCATGCGAAATCCCATCCATACTAATGACACACTTTCAGGCGCGGCTGACATTGCGGCGTCTCCAAGCTGACAAAGCAAATCCAATTTGTCGAAGATGCTTTTCAGCCTGATTGTGATAGTGCTGCCTGCTGCGCTGCTCTTTGTTAACCCGAAATGCACGATGTGATCGGAATACTGCCTGGAAGCCTTTTCTTGCGTCTTGCGCAGATCAGAGATCGTCTCCTCGAGAGTTGCTTTCCCTGCAGACATGAGGTCTTTGCCAGCCTCGCTGACCTCTTTGGTGAACAGCTTTTGTGCCGCCCCCCACAGGGGCGATGTGTCGATTGTGTGCCCTCCATCACCAGCCATGGTCGGTACCCACAGGCTCTCCGAATTTATTTGAGGTTAAATGAGAGAGATTCCGTTTCCATGGTCGGAGAACCGCCGCTTCTTTTTATCAGCCTTCGTCAGTGAGCGTTGCAGGGTACGGAAGAAATTCCAAATCGGGAGTTTTGGTGACGTTGGATCAGCCCCCCCAAATATGCATGTAAGACACAGGGCATCGAATCACTGAAGTGATCATCCTCAGCCTTGCCTCAGTGCTGCCTTGTCGTCTTTCTTCTTCCGGCGCCATGCAGGGTCGCCAAGGCGTTCTGGATTTGCAGGTTAGTTAGAATCGGAGTTCCTCTTTGCACCCAATCACATTGGCACCTTTGACCCGAACGGTCAGCTGATTCGTGGCTGGGAAAAAAATGAAAAGCTTCATGTCTCCGGAACACAGTTGACAAAGCAAACGGGGACCTAAAGCCGAGCTCTCTGATAATCCACCATCTTTAACGCCGAGTAAAGCTGCAACGAAATCAAAATTTGAGTCTATAGATATCTACTGTTGTAAAAAGAAAAGAGATATTTTAATCGAATAATGTTGACTTAACCAGACTAAGGGTCGGGTTAACAGTCCTCGGGGTCGGCTTTAAGGTTTTTATACACGATTGGGGTCGGCTTTAGCAAATAGCCCATTTGCCAATCGGTCGGTTGGAGTTCCGGAGCGGAAATCGCGGATGTGGCCCGAGCTAAGTTCGAGCGCGCACCCGAAGAGCCCGAAGCTGGTGCGAGCGGGCCGCACAGCCGCCGTTGCGATATAAGCGTTGGGCCGAAACGAAGCGCGTGAACGGGGCGGACCGAGGTCGAACGAACCAGCGGGCCGTTAGGGGCGGGCACAGGCCTTCTTCGCCGAGCCGATCGAAACCGCGTTAACGTTACCAAATAAGTCGCCGAGGGCGCAAGTATGCCCGAAGTGCAAGCTGGCGAACCGCCGATCGTGCTGACAGAGCCGTATTCTGGCATAGCCACAGCCAGCTTGCTGCCATGTGATCAGCTGAATCCAACATCACGGCTAAGGTCGTGCGTACCGGCAACGAATGCGTCTGCAGCATCGTTGGCAAAGTACACGTTCCCTACTCTGTTCTCTTTTCCACTACCTGTTTCACTGTAAGTACAGAATATACCAACTACCCGACTAGAGACCCTACCCAACTCTCTGAATACCTTCACTTTGACTCTCTTCACTGCTTCCAAAGGTCCGTTACGTGAGAGGACATGTTGCGGCCGTAAAGTGGTTTCGGGCTCCTTGGCTAATGACTTGTTACAACTCATACCGTCGAGCTTTTACCGCAACGGGAACTCCGCCTGTTCAGCACAAGCATTCATTCACCCAAGCTCATAGGCGAGGGGGTTTGAAGTGCTAGCCGAGAAGCTCTTGAGTATTATGAGGAACTGTGAGCACCGACGTCGGGAAAGGAATTCGATGACTAGTGCCACACCGGTTCAGCGGATGATCGCTCCACACGCAGTACGTTCAGAACCAGCAACAGACCTGGATTCGCGAGTAGGTAGTGGGTGTAACCACTACCATCTACCGTTTACTTCTAATCTGTTTCGATGTAAAATACTTTCTGAAATATCACCAGGCTGAAGTTTTGTGCATGTGGAACGACATCATGTGGCTTCTTCGAACATACCATAGCCAAATAATTAATGAAACAAAAACCTTAAAGATCAGAGTGTTCGAGAACCGCATATCTTAAGGTTTATTCTCGGGCACCAATGAGAAAAGCCGGAGGTTTAACCTTAAAACCCACGTGTCTCGCCAAGGCACCGAGCGGTGTATACGAGCCTATAACTGGAGCTTCTAATGCAACTTACTGCCAACTGCGAGGTTACATACTATCTCTCCTGACCAACTGACGATCTAGACTGGCTGCCAAGCGTTTCAAGAGACCGCACGGTTCATTTTGAAGATGATGTTTTCATGCAGTCAGGCGTCTTACTCAGTTAAGCTTTCCCTAAGGAGTCATCGCGTGACAGGAATCCAGATTCGGCCGGCCAAGACACCGAACGACAGCAAGTGAGTCTCTACCCGTCAAGAGTTGCATAATCTACCAAGACCTTCTTCGTATGCATAACGCTTGGGCCCCAGACTGAGAAGGAAAACCACGAGTCATGTTACTCCCACACCGTAGAACAGAGTTACAGTCCTGAAACAGGCACAGATCTCGCATTCGATGCTTCCGTTGAAGCCCGGTAGCGTTGAAGGGTATTATACTCTCCTCAAGCATGTGAGTGGTCACCATAAAATGTTGACAGTAGCTATAGTGAGTGCGGATGAAAGGCTTCCACATAAGGCCTAGTAGACTGCCATGACATGCCTCTGCCTTCACTCATACCTATAGCAAAAGACGCAGGTGGTCTACCCTCGGACTTAAGTCCTGGACTTGGTTTGCACACTCAGGAAGAAAAATCCGACACCGATGTTATAGCCGAGTCCCTCAACTCCTTAGTCAAGTCTCGCAAAGGGAGTGGGTCAAAGCATGCGCCACAGTACTTGGCCACATGGTGAGACATCGAATGCGCCTTGAAATGTCACTGACTCTACGTCAGTAGTAATGCCAAGTATATCGGCAGCTGTATATAAACACCCATGAGCGCTTGGGAAGAGGTCAGCCAGCAGCAGCTCCTTCACAGAAAGCCTTCCACTCATTCACAACAAGACTCAGTCTCTCGTTTACCAAAATCAGAGTCAGTATCCTCACCGCCGTACCAATATGCCCCTGCTAACGTTGCCCCCCAGACCATGAAGACCTCCAACGCCATCCTCAGCCTCGCCGCGCTCGCCGCCCAGGCCTCTGCACTGGTGCAGATGGAAGTCCGCTACAGCGACAACATGGTCGACGTCGGCGACATGGACATCTTCGCCGCGACCTGGCAAACCCTCTACGACCTGGCCGGCAACCAGCGGTCGGTCATGACGGACCGCTCGGTCGAATCCGACAACAACCGGTGCAAGCACCAGCTGGACGCGGACAAGAAGGACCTGACGGTGCAAGTCAAGATGAACGGAGCGTGGGGCCAGACGCCCGGGTTGGAGCAGAACCAGATGCGCGAGGCGCTGATTTCGTCCATGTGGGAGGTGCTCAAGGCCGTGTCGGACAAGGAGGGCTATGAGATGTTCAAGACGTGCTACAGCTTCACCTGGTCCGAGGGCGGCGCGTCCAAGCCCGAGAACGCGTGCGGCCGCTCCGCCGCCCGCACCTGCGACACGTGCGGCGACTCGGCTGGCTTGGCTGAGTGCGTCGACAAAACCTGGGGCCACAAGGTGCCGTCCAGCATGCGCGTCACCGCCTACATCGACAACCAGCTGCAGCCTGATGACCTGATCATCGAGTTTGCTTCGGCGAAGAACCCGACGAGCAGCGGTGGATGTGGCTGGGTTGGCGAGGTTGCCGGGCTGGTTTCTGGCTTCATTCCCGTTGCTGGTGATCTCTTTGCGAAGGGTATTGAGCTTGGCTGCATGGAGTAGATGGACGTTACTAATCAGTGGTATAATCTGGTTGTATTGTATAATAGTCCGTGGAAACAGAATAGAAAAGGCCGCTACAAATTTGACTTCCCCATTTCCAGAATTTAACTGCCCTAAATTCAGATCTTAACTCCCCCGTAAGAACCCACTTATCTATCTTGCCACTTCCATAAAATTACTACTAACGAGATTACCACTAACGATATTACTAACTAACAACGTATTTACCACTATTACGCCGCCGCCGCTACCACTACCACCACCACTACTACTACTACTATTACTACTAGTATATTTATTACCACTACTATTACTAACTACGCTATTATTAACTACGCTGTTACTAACTACGTTATTACTATCCGCGCTACTATCCGCGCTATTACTACCTACGCTATTACTATCTATAATAAGTATAATTACTACTAGTAGCGTAAGCGTAAGTATACTTATCGCAGCGCGAAAATGCTATTTATAGGTAATATTTTTAGGGGGGAGTTAAAATCTAGATTTAGAGGCGTTAAATTCTAGAAATAGAGGAGTCAAATTTGTGGGCACTATAGAAAATACAAGTGGAGTGGCGTTCAAAACCAAGTGCCGGATGCTTGAATCTTCACAAGGGCCCAGCGTATAAGCAACAGCCCCATTTGTAAGCACACACAAAGAAATCAAGTCTAAAAGGACATGTAACCGCCAGTAAAACTCAACTACATAATTACGGAAACAGACATCGTGTACAAAGATAACCGAATACCTCTCATCTAATTAAGGATTAAGCGTTCCTAGACTTGGCTTCATAAACCATACACAGAGAAAAGGCCAATAATCTGCCAAACGCCGTCGTCGCGAAGCTCACAACCACCCAAACAAACAGCTCAATAACCGTAACCGTACTAATAGACGTATAAATCAGCGTCCCAATAATGTAGTAAAGCGCCCAAATCAGCTGCGTGATCCACCACTCCTCCGTCTCGGGCGCCGCCGCCGTCTGCTGACCGCGCGACGCGATCAAGCCAACGACATTCGGAGCAATCTTCGTCGCCTGCCGCTGGCCCGTCACGCCGCCGCCGCCGCTCGCCGCCGCCGGATCCATCTCCACGAGCGGCACCATAGCCGGCTCAGCAGCAGCAGCATCATCATCGGTCTGTCTCGGCGCGGCGCGCCACGCAGCGGCGGCGGTGTGCAGGGCCGCAGGGAGGAGCGCCAGCAGGTGCCAGGACAGGACGAAGATGGGGTAGGGGCAGCCGAGGACGGCGCGCTTGGAATACGTCTCGATGAGGCCGAGGGCGGTGTAGCAGACGGCGAGGGCGAGGGCGAGCAGGGCCAACAGTGCCGACGTGCGTCCCGACCGCACGATGTTGCTGGATGACGACGACGAGCGGCCGTTTTTGATGCCCCAGGCCCAGCGCGCGATGCTGCGCTGGCGCCACCACGCCTGCACTCTTGCCGCTGTGTTCTGGCCTTCGGATTCGGATGATGGTGGTGTGTATTCCGGCTCCAGGCTGAGGGTGCGGACCAGGATCTCGATTATCTTGGGGAGGGGTGCGGAGAGCGGGATGGCGTGGCGCTCGGGCCAGGAGACGTCTTTGAGGAAGAGCGGGATGAGGCCCATGATGAGGGCGATGGCGGCGTACTGCTGTTTGCGGGCCTCGTCGGACTGGGTCAGGCTGCAGGAGATGGTGTTCCAGCATGTTTGCCTGGTGCTGTTGCTGTAGTATTTGAACCACGGCTTGAACGGGGCGTAGTCCATGCCGCAAGCTGGGCATCCGTCGGAAAGGTCACAAGTATCATCTGCTGCAAGGGACATGGAGGGGAAAATGCTAAAACAAAGCACGAGTGTGCTCTGCATAATGGTGAGTGAACGCATTTTCCTTGGCTGGAGGAAAAAAAAAAGAAGGGGTGGTTTGGCAAGACTGCATGAATAGTTTTGCAGCTGACGTGAGTACTACTTATCGCGTCTGACAGAATATCAGAATGGCCGGGGTAAATCATGGATGACCTACGGGTGGTCACTTGGACTGTTTGTCGTCCATATTAGGCGCCGCGAACATGCGTTGATTACCAAATTGAGACACAACTCCGAATGCAGGGGAGCGACGTTGTTGGTGGCGCGTTGGAGTTGTGAGAGATAAGCGAGCCACATCATGGTTTAATGAGCACGCTGCATGCGAATTTCTCCGCTGCACCTTATCAATTTTTTAAAATATGGTTGGATACCCTTTCAGCTGCACCACATAGATCGACAGACACGTTTTTTTTTTTCCTGGCTACGTGATCAGAGATTGCCATCGATTATAGAGCATTGAAAAGTAGGACGGAATATCCCACGGTTAGCGCGGCAATCACGTCAGTTTCGGCCCCCACCCTACTTCAACGTTCGCCTCAGACTCCTATGGCTGCAGAATATTTTTTTTAAAGAAAATAAGCCGCAGCGGCCACGCGGCTCGGCACGCAACGGGACGGGCCTGAGACGGGCCTGAGACGTGACGAGGTGAGTGACGACGGAATGAGCCCTGTCACTGATCAGTTGGGCATATCGTGGTTGACTAAGCCTTAACAGCGTCAATCAGGTTTCCGCAAGGGGAATAAAAGACAGGCAGCAATGCACGAGAGTGGCCGTAGCGCGACGTTTACCCGCCGGGCTCGGGAAGGGATTTTTGCAGCGGTGTGCATGGATCAGAGAGTGGGGCCCCCTATTATTAGGCCGCTTTCCGCCCCCAACCAAAATCCAACTCCCGCTCTTCAAAAGATCAGAAACGTTTCTTGGCCCCGAAACCGCAGCGACCATGTCCCATACCAACGCAACGCCCACGTCGGGGGGTGAACCGCGCAAAGAGGTGCTGTCCCTGGCAGCACGACCGCTATTCGCATCTCAAGGGTCGTCCTCAAGTCTGCTATTCGTAGATGAAACGGCTCCAAAGAACCAGGTGGAGAGACGTAAGATTCGAGCCCACGTCTCGCTCAATACGCACGAAGCAAAACGGCGCCAAGGGCTGAGGGGCCAGAGAGAAGGAGTTCGGCGTAGATCGTCTGGCGAGAATGCAACGGTCGAAAACCCTCTGCTGGATGCGCCGTTTGCAAATGCAGATCCATTTGACTCCCTACCCGTCAAAAAGTTCCCAGGCATGCATGATCTCATCGGATACTGTAAGTAGCTAGCCCACTTATCCGCATCCCTGCAATAAGCTAAAGTGGACCCACCTCCAGACCTCGACCACTATCCCGGTGTCACCCCATTTGCCGACGGTGCGCTCCAAAAGCCTAATGCCTAACAAGTAGGTAGCGCTAACGTCACGAGAAAGACCAGCTGCTACGGAACCAGAGCACAAAAGTGGTAGCAAAACGCAGCAATACGCAATGGAACTTGATCACATCACACAACACATGCCTCCTCTTATTCCTCTCGGAAATCCTCCGGCTGCGCTGCTCGATGAACCCCTATCCAAAATGGCTCACCGACTACTTCAGAGCACACCACCAAACCCTGATATCCATCAGAGAGAATCTCCCGATCCACAATGCAGCAAACAAGCCTTCCTCAGGCTACATCTTTGGCGTATTAGGCATGGGCTCCGGACAGGTGCGCTCTCTCCTCCTCTCTCAAGAAGCGCCACAAAACACGCACTAACCACCACCATCAGGCCGTCTTCCTCAACCACCGCGACTCGGCCATCTCGCACCTCAACGGCGCGCGCAAGCTGGTCAGCCTCCGCGGCGGCATGGACACGGTGCACGGCTTCGCGCGCCGCGTCATCGTCTGGGCCGAGCTGTACGTCTGCGCCGCCTTCGGGCTGCAGCCCACGCTCGCTCCGCTGCCCTCGCCCTGGCTCCCGCTAGTAACAACAACATCACCATCACCCTTCCCCGCTTCCTTCAGCACCTTCATCTCCGCCACCCACGCTCGCACCGCAGCGCACCTCACCCCGCACCCGCTCGGAAAGAACCGCCAGAGCGCAGGAGAGGATGATGAAGACGCAGCGCAGACCCACAAAAGAAGCAAAGAGATGACCATCAGCCGCATCTTCTCGGCGCTGACGCTCGTCAGCGCCGCGACGACCGAGGCGTGGCAGGCCGTGCTGCAGCAGCAGCAGCTGGGCGGCGAGAGCAGCGGTGGTAGTAGCGACGACACCAAGACGACGACGATGCGCGAAACGGTGGCGGCGGTGCTGGACGACGCGGCGCACACGTTGCTCGTCGAGGTGGCACGGCTGCGTGACAACGACGACGGCGTTGGTGAAGATGGAGGGGGGGAGGAGGTGGTGGTGCCGGTGGTCATGGAGCAGCAGCACGGGCCGCGTCGATGGGGCAGCGACGACGGGGGCGACGGCGAAGACGACGCGGCCCGGCGGTGGGCGCGCGCGGTGATGCTGCACGCGGCGCACACGTACCTGTGGGCGCAGCTGAGCGCCCTGCCGGCGCACGCGCAGATGAACGTGACGCTGCTGAAGCGGCTGCGCGGCGCCATCGAGAGCGGCGCCGGCGTCGGCGCGTGGGTGCTGAGCCTCGAGGCGCTGATGTGGGCCCTGGCCGTGGGCTGGTTCATGGCCGAGAGGGCGGCGGGCAAGACGCTGTTGGGCCAGGTGGGCGAGGCCGATCCGATGCTGGGCTGGTTCGAGGATAGGATCTTGGCGCTGCTGAACGTCGAGGGCAGCTTTAGGAAGGACAGGGCCGCCGAGATGATTTCGGATTTCCCGGCTACGGATGAGTTTAGGAGGAAGTGGCATTCTTTGCTGTTAAGGGATAAGTTTCGCCAGTGGCGATGACCGTTGGGTCTAATCAATATTTTTCATCGCGAGCGCAAAACCGGATAGATGGTGCATGGCATAAAAGGAATATTTTCCTTACAACCCAGACCGGGCGTGGCTGGTCCGTTAGAAAGCATTGGAGGAAAAGAAGCGACGCTTTTGCTGGGCCCTCTACGAATAGATATTCGAGCTCTTCAATGTTGCGCAGTGGTTTAAGTAGGATATAATCTAATTAGGACGTCCAGCATAAGGTAGTAAACTTGATGGGTCGAATTATTGATCTATGGGTGGGAATGGGCGATAAACATTACGCTGTAGTTTGCCGTTACTAAGAACAATGGTATATAAATCTTTATTTTGATTACTTGGCGATGGGCTTAGACTGTTCGTTCATAATTCCTTTGTCTCACTTGTCTTTGTTCTCCCTCCATTTGTGCTTCGCTCCATTAGCAAGAATGCTTATTCAGCGAAGCACTCACTGTTTACTGTTTTAAAACAATGCGTCTAGAAGTTGCTCTACTCAGTATGTCGCGGTACTCGAAAACAATGTCACAACCATGATCGTATATAGAGAGCGCCATGTCTGGGTTACTAACATATCCAGCGCTGGAGTCGACTCGAGATTTAACCACCTCACATCGGTTAGTAAAGGCTTTCTCTCGCAGGCGAGATAAGTCACTTTGGGTTGTTTCCAGCGAATCCTTTCATCGCGAAACAGATCGGTCCCGGCTCCCCAGATCACCATGTCTCGGAACCCGCATTGGCAAGACATCCACCCACCGGACCAGCGTGCAACCTACGTTACCAAGGTGAGGAATTGCGGCTCGTGGGACACACTCCTAAATGCCATCGGAGTGCGGCAGCTCGAGTCAAAAATCATCAAGGAGATGAGAACAGACCTCACTCCCCAGGACGAGCCATCACGCTTCATATACATCATGGAGTCGAAGAAGCACCTCCCCGGGCTTCTTAAGATTGGTGTAGCGAAGCGTCCAATGCGTCGACTGGCGCATATCAAGGCGAGATGTGGATTGGACGACCTGAAAATTATCCACAGCGTTGTGGTGAAGAGCAGTCCACTTCGAGTTGAGAAGTTGATTCACATTACACTTAGCTCCTTCAGCGACCCGATGCCCTGCAAGCATGGAGCCCGTACAGAGCATCACAGGGAGTGGTTCTGGTGCAACATGGGGGTCGCTAAAAAGGTTGTTGAGTTTTGGGTCCAGTGGATAGCGAACGCGCCGTACAAGAAGCCCAAGCTTACGGATTACTGGTTCGGTAGAGTTGAAAGGATTCGGGGAATTCCTGGAGTCCATAACTACGAGACTTTTGACGATATTCTCACTAGGTTCAAGTCTGCAATGGAAGCAGCACCGATATTCAGCAGTCAGGCGGATTGGGATGCGGCTCGGCGCAAGGCACAATCAAGGCTTGCAGCAACCGCTAGCGGCTCACATGGTCCCTTGAATAGATATCCAAGCTCAAGCGCTGGCGCTTTGCAGCTTACCGGGATGCCTCTGCCTCTGGCTCCAGCTCCGCCTTCACACTGGAGCGATGGCGGATTGGAGTTTACCCCATTGTCTCCCAGCGCTTTTCAGTTTACCCAATTTCCTCCCAGAGCTTGGTAATTACCATTTGTTCACCAGCACATGATAAGTTGAATCAGAAAGAAATAACATCATTCATATTCCGAATGCGTTCGTTGCATCTGGTGCGAAGAACATCTGCCATTACCAGCAACCGCCGTGACAACACGTAAATTTCAGAAATAGCCTTCAGAAAACACAGCACTCAAGTGATACATTGCCCTAGTCAACATGCTACGTTGTACCTGGATGTTGCAAGCATGACTATTTATTAGAGGTGCCAAGTTTTTCCCAGTTACTAACGCCTTAAATATCCTATACACTCGAGTTCTAACCACACCAATCAGAGCTCAAGATGCCTTCTCACAAGCGAGGTAAGTCGGCTCCGATGATCATGGACCAACAACCACTAAAGAGACAGGAACCGATCCCCTTCCCTCTTACGGTTTTCCTCCTCTTCAGCCTCCGTGTCGTTTACAACCTTACCTCCACGACTCCTAGGCCCCTCGTCATCTTCGGCAGCCTTGTCTCTGCATTCTTCGAACTCAGAGATGGCGATGAGACGGACGAAGTATATGTCAAGAAGCCGTGGCAGTTGTTCGAGCTCCCTGAGTACCGCAGCCTACTCGTGACCAAGCTCGGCAAATGCTGGTCACGGGCAATCGCCTTTGATATGGACGATATGGAGGATCTCTTCGACAATCTCTGCGACCTGATGATGACCCGCCTTTGACGCCAAGACCTGGGCGAGACGGGTTGTGTCTACATCATGCAGGATGAGGAGCATCTCCCGGGCCTCTTCAAGGTCGGAATCTTGCAGGACGTGAGGCGCCGGCGGAGGGACATCCTCGCGCAGTGCGGGCTATGGGACCTGTATTTCATCAGCCAAGTCGAGGTGGCGTGCCCCCATCGGGTCGAGAAGCTGGTGCACTTGACTCTCAGCTACTTCACCGACAAGATGCCCTACATCCACGACAAGCCTGGTCACGCAGAGATTAGCCCCGGAAAGATCTATCCCGGAAGGACTGAGCACGCAAAGACTGGTAACCAAAAGAACAGCAACGAAACGACGACAGTGTACCACCGGGAGTGGTTTTGGTGCAATCTGGAGGTTGTCAAAGATGTCGTTGGCTTTTGGGTGCGGTGGGTGGGTGAGTGAGCAGCCATATCGGAAGGACAGGGCGCTGACGGATTCATGGTCAGACAGGGTGCTCGATGTGCAGAACATGGAGCGAAACCGTATGGATGACATATTTGCTGAAACGTGGGAGACGTTCAAGCGTAGAATTGAAATGAGCCCGCTCCCGAAGCGCGGGAGGCGTAGGCGCAAGACGCTTGCATAATCAGCAAGTGGCAAGGCAAGAGAATCAATTCGTCCGATGATACACGTCCAAATTAGCATTAATTTAACATTTGCAAATGCACTTACCCCTTCTACAACACACAAATCAGCTTTGCACTGTGTCTAGATACATCAATACCACACTTCATGGCGTGAATTAGACTTACCATTCCCACCACCGCTTTATGGTCTACTTACGAGAGACTAGCGGTTGACATGTGTAGTCAAAACGCTACTCTCCTCGCTCAATAGAGAGAACTGTTTGAAGCACTATTATAGGTGTCAACCGCCCGCTTATAGTAGTTGAATACATGGAGGAAATAGAGGCGTAGCCGTGTACCGCAATCAATATCGAAGGCAACGAGCACGCACCCGTTAGCCCCCATTAAGTCCATCGAGCCCTAAACAAAAGTAACAAGCTCGGCTTGCGCTTAGTCCGGCTTTGCAACAGCAGGTTGATTCGCACGGAACAATGAACCGAACAACCAGGTGCTGCTTTACGCGGAACTTCAAGAGATTGAGATCGCGACCACTAAGTGAAGGGATAATGCAGTACCGGGACAGGTAACGGGAAAGCTCGTGAGGTAAGTTGAGAGGACATGGCTCATACAGCGGTTGATAAAATGTTTGAAAATTGAATGAGCAAGGAGCGAGCGAGTGACAACCGAAGAAAAATTGATCAGACGCGTGTTCCGACTCCAGCTCTACCTCGGTCCAGGAATCTGCCGGCAAATAGTCCAGCTAGCCCTTGCTCATAGCCGGATCCGCGAACTACCCCGCAATGCATCGTACTTCACGCCACTTAATTGCCTCAAACCATGCGGGAGCGGCTCGTACCGTGCGCTTTTGATGGCGGCAGCCGCCTGCCCCACCGGCGTTGTCGGAACTTACCGACGCAACCCACTTTAATCGCCATTACCTACACACAAATCGGAGACGAATGCTGTCGTGGCGTGTAGACATGGTGATGTGGACCTGCCAGCGCTATTGTACGATGCAGCAGTGCGTGGCCACTTCGGCTTATGTCACCATAAGGGGAGTTCTTCGCGCACATCGGTACTCGTCACTCACCCCTGACAAGGCTGTGGAACCCTACTCGAGACGTGGAGGGGTTCAAAAGAGAAATTGTGGTCCTCGTTCGCTTGTTGATCGAATCAACCAATTCTCCACCAGAATGATAAAACTCCGAGATGCGGAGCTCGGGGCCAAACTAATGGGCGCAGCTGAGAAAAAGCAGAGATAAGCGAGCTACATCCGATACAGATCCCATCTACATTCAGATCCAGGCTCCGGAGTTCCGTGCTGCCACTCGTTAATCCGATGGCCGATACCTGAGCGTTCTCTCAGCAGCCCCACTCGGATCAGCAGAGACAGCTACGTGTTAATTAATCAGCTACGAGATGTGGTTGTGCAAAGCAACCACCTCAGCTTGTCTTGCAAAAAAAGAGGCAGGGAAGAAAACGAGAGCAGACTCACCAGCCACTCGGATCTTTTCCCCCTTCCCTCTCTCCACCATTCGGTGCTTGCATGCGATCCGAGTCCTGTAGGTATCTTTTGGAACCGATGCTTGACTTTATTCGGTTTCCAAAATAAAAACGATGAGAGTCCGCATCTCGCGATGAGGCCCTTTGGATATTAGTGAGAGTGAGGCTCAATAGCAATTTTCCTGCAGTAGGATTAAGATGAGAATGAGAATGGTGTCCTCATGAATCCGAACAAGAAGCTTTTGCACGCATGTATCCGGCCATAGCTTTCACTTCAGGGCCGGGAGAATTTCCATGACGGTCGACACTCACCCTGATCGGCAATTGCTTTGCAGGTTGACTCGTACTCGGTGGAGTTTGACTGAGTCTGTCTCATATCGACCCGAAAAAAAAGCGGGAAAAAAAAAAGAAGAGCAGGGGAAAAGAAAAACGAAAATGGAGAAACGTTCCCAATTTTTGGACCCTAATTTGATGCCCCCACCCGAATTCTAACGTTAGATATTCGGAGGTGCTGTCCCATAAATGCTCGACTCCTGGTGCTCTAAGTCTAAGCAGGCCTCTAACTTCCTCCACTCACAATTTTACGCTCTTCACAACATCCACTCTGATTTCAGTTGAAACTCTACTTGAAAAATGAGATGCGCTCTTTGAAGTCACCTATCCCATCATGGCTGCATTGACCTCAACATCCAGGGACGACCGCTTCCCCAAGATTTCATTCACCAAGCCTACCGATGCAGAAGCCAATCAAATAAAGCTTTTGCTTTATCAACCGCCTGAGGCGACAGACCGTAACTCTCAGTCCAAGGTCTCTGGTAATCATGAGTCATCAATTGTAGATGAAGGTCTTAAGTCCCTATTCGTCCGTGAGTTAATCATTATCATCACTGATACCTGCTTCCTGACGTATATCAGACGAATCCGCTCCTGAATCAATAACAGACGAATCTCGAATCAGCGTCCCGGACTTGCAGAGCAGCAGAGCGGCGACCGGAAATGATTACGTCTCATTCGGGGATCAGGGAACCACTGTGACGGTGAACGCCTACGGAAGCATCATGCAGATCACCCGATCTCTTGGATATGGGCACTCCGGCCTATTCTGTGTTGATACCACAGATGTTTGCATACCGACACTCCCTCAGTCTCGCCTGGAAAAATTGATGCAGATGTCGAAGAACCCTGAACAAGGTATTCACATCACCAACTTCGGGGAACGAGCGGACTTTACTCAGCAGAAGCCAAAATTGGAGTTTATCTTCAACCGTTGGCCACGATTCATTTCACAACCGGTCGCTCACACAAGCGACGCGAGTGCCATGAAGACACCTAGCGCAGATGGTGATGCAAATGATCCTCCGGTTTCTTTGCAATATTTCTGTCATAAGGGCACGGTCTTCCAGAGATATACGTTCGACCATGATCCAGAAGCCCCTTCGGCACTGCAAACCGCTTATCTGGGCATTCGACGAAATTTCCTCATCCGAAGTCTGGACTTCGTCAATGATTCAACATTCAATCGCGCCGATCCAGGCAACGATGATTACGTTTCATTGTCTGGAACCGAGAAACGTGGCCACCTTTTTGTTCATAGGATCAGTCCGACAAATGCCGCAGAGCTTGGCATTAAGGAAGACGAATATCGGCAGAAGGGCGGTCCAAAAGGGATCGCTTTAGTCGTTTCGGTCTTCGTCAACGGAAAGGCACAAGTGGTGGATCCATTCTTCAGTCACCTATTCGTGGAGCTCAGCCAGGAGACACGTAACAAGCTTCAAAGCCGAGGACAAATCGACATCACGGTTGCCTACCGACTCCAGGTCGTAAGAAACAACCAAAGTTGGAGGAAATCTTTTATTCCTGCCTCTGTGTTGGACGCGATGACATCTTGCTTTTCGGAAAGCTCGGGTGTACCATTCCAGAAAATTCGATGGTCTCCAAACGACCACGTGAATTTCATCACTGGGCGTAACCTGGAACACGTTCTTTCAGTATGCAGTATGCCAGTCCCAAAGCACTCTGCTTCCGCAAAAAACGAAGATGTTTCGGAAGACGGGGACGGAATGGAAGGGGAAAATGATCCAAAAAAGAAAGATGCAGCCAAAAGAGTGGACGTAAAGAATCACGAAGATGATATGGATACAACGTCCCTTGCTTTCACATGTGGGGACATGTCAGGACACAGTATATCCAGCGCAGCATCGTTGTGAGTTTTCATTACACTATAGCAAGATCAAGCTAATCCGAAGTTTAGCTTCGCCTTCGAGTTCCTTGTCGACATATTGAAGACTCTTTGCGAGAGATCCAAAGAGGTAAATGAAGCCAAATCCAGTTTGTCAAGGTCTCTTGAGAGAACGCCGAGGTTGAGAAACGATAAGCAACGTGAAGAGTACATTACGGAGATTGAGGCTAAAAGGCAAGCATTGTGTAATCTCTCTGCTTACATGTCTGAGTTGCGAGTCAGGATTACGAATACACTGAAAGCACACATGACATGGACAGCAAAGGCAGAAAAGAACGCAAGCTTCGTCGTGGCCAAATACTGGATCACTGGGAAAGAAATACGCGGTTGGCAAAAACACACCCTTTTCCCCCCTGTGTCTTTGGTGGATGTTCCCTTCGAGATCATCAAGGCTCACAGCCTTTATGAACTCTATAAGGCGAACAAGGACCTACTCAAGCGAGTCGGCGATGACGATAAGAGCCAGACAGAGATCGAAAGGAAGTTCAACGACCGCAAAGTCCTGAATGAGCATCTCCAAAGTTACATACGTCCTTGGCTACAGAGACTGGATAAAGATGACAAGCGTCATCAGTACGTCTTCCCTCGAGAGCAAATGGATCGTGAAAAGAGAAAGAAATATCACCTGGCAGATCATGTTTGGATCTGTAGGGCAGTCAAATGTGTTGAAGAGCTTGGGCTTGAAAAGCACCTTAAGCTTGAAGGTGGTAAACAATACCCTGAACATCCGGCGTCAGAGGGGAAGAGAAATAGAAATCAAGCGAACCGTCAGGGCACGAAAGCACAGGAAAGGTCGTACCATTCAACAGAGCTCCAGAGAGTCATTCTCAAGCGATTCACCACTCTAAACCCTCAGTCCCAACAGCGAATGCTTGCAACGTCTCGTACCCCTTTGGAAAGCAGGTTTCTATTCCATGCAAAGGATACGGCACTTTTCTACGCAATGGACACCGGATTTTTTGATCGAGAGCAAAGGAACAATCACAAGCGTACCAGCTGGATCAACAAGATTGCTGTATGGAAGGAAACTGTTGAAGCACAAACGGAGTATGAAGAGACCCAAACATTTACGTGGGAAAAGCCACTACGGTACGCATTAGCCTTTATTATCAGCTCAAGGCACAGAAGCATCAACAAGGCATCAGCCGATGAGGTTCTACAGACCACAGCAAAGATTCTTTTCGGATTATCATCTTCAAGTGGACTCTTCCCGGGCCTTTTGAATGACAAAAGGGAGGCCATTGTGTTCGAAGATGAGCTCGAAAGGGATAAATACTGGCACACGACATTCGAAATCCCGTACGCTTTGTGGCTATACCGGAAGGAACTCGAAATATCGTCCACGCAGGACGAGCCCGACCGTTTTGGAACACTCCAACAAAGCATGATCCAGGTTAAAACCTACGGCCACCCTCGTCAGCCGAGGGGAAAGGACATGAAGTCTAGAACCTTCAATGGCCTAATTGACAAGAGGCGTATCGTGGAGGTCTCAGATGATTGGTTGCGCGATACACCCTCATTCTTGAACTTTCACGAGCCACCCGGCTTTGATGACCGATGGTACTATGAAATCATGGCCGAATTGAACGAGGACCTCGGGAAAATTATCACTAAGGCCTGTGCGAAAGACAGGCAATCCTATATGGAGCATGAAATCACAGGATTGGTCATCGACGTCCCAAGAAACAGTGCAATTCAAGGAAAGGATCTGCGACTACGCCTTCAGACCAATGCAAAGATCAAGGGAATACTTGAAACCAGGCGTACAACTCAGGATGCAAAGAAGAGGCTCATTTGGCTGCCAAGAGCAGACAAAGAAACAGCTTTGACATGCTACCTTGCATCGTCATTGACGGAGAGGTACAACCTATCTGCGTTTTTCGATAGGCATGCTTCTTACGAGAAATATTTCTTCGATGGTGCATCAGAAGCCTTGAACGAATGGGTCACCGAACTACACCTTTCATACTTCAGAAGAGAAGACTGGAATCCAAAGAACATACAGCCCACAGGGGAAGAGAAGGAGACAATCCCAGATCAGAGCTTCATTCTAGTGGATCTGCCAGCGGGATCTAGGCGTTTGAACAACGATACCGACGGCACCAAGATTGTACGGTCGGTCATGAGCTTCCGGTTTATCGGAGACTTTTGCGACCGCTATTGGACTTGCCATTTTCTGCAATTCGAGCCACATGGGAGTGCAGACGACTATGAGCTCTCAAAAGGTCTGGATTCCCGCTTACCTAATTTGGGCTTTGAGCGCGGTCAGGAATTGAAAAGTCCTGGGAGAAAGAAACTGCCTTGGCAACAGCGCAAAGTCCTTGAGCTTTTGCTCTTCGACTACATTCTTGGCGAGATATGTTCCAATACAAGCGATTTGCTCGATTGGATACGTAATGTCCTTGTTGAGATAGACAGAATCTCCAAGTTCGATGGAGTGGATGTCGTCTCCGTTCTTCAGCTCCCTTTCGGAGTCCAAGCAACGATGCCCCTTAATCCTATGGGAGAGGCTTTACAAGGTGGTGTGCAGCCATCCATGAATACTGATGGATATCTCTCCGTTGTTGAGCGCTGGAGATTCTTTGAGCAGGTTTTGCAAGCGATGGAAGATGATTTGAGCAGCAACCTTGAGATTATCTCTTGGTGGACTAGCAGAGAGAAGGAGAGGGGGTCTGAAAGGCCACGCTGGACCACGAACGACGAACAAACCTACGGAGGGGTCATTAACAGACTGCAATTCATGAACGAAAGGAAAACACGCGAATTGGAAGCTCTGCAAGCAGTCATTCGAACTTTCCGAGTCACCTCTAGTAGGAGATTGGACACCACACGTACTGATAGAGACCACCGGACCTCCGAAAACACCAGCCTATTCACATATGTCACCGTTGTATTCCTCCCACTAGGCTTTGCAACCGGAATTTTCAGCATGTCCGGGGCCCCGGATTCTCTGACTTTGGTGAATATGATTGAGCTATCACTGATCACCATGGCTCTTACGCTGTTTGCGTTGTCCAGCGCAAGAACAAGCGGGAAGAAAATTGTCCGGCCGGTGATTGCGGTCTTCAACTTTATCAGCATTCAATTGCTAGATCCACTTCTAGACCTGCTTCTCCGCCCTTTTCGTGTTCTAGAAGCTCTTTTGTTATTTCTGGGAAACATTCTCTTACTCCTAAGAAACATTTTCCTATTCGTCGCAGTACTCGCCAAAACGTCGGCTGTGTATTGTTTCTACTTGTTCGTTGCTCTGCCATTTTTGTCCCGTTTTACGCAGTGGCTTAAAAAAGCATACCAGTCCATCACAAGTACCTCCCAGGACCTTGAAGAGGAAATCAAGGAAAGAAACGACCTCGACATCCTTAAAGCTGCAACCAAGCGTTTTAAAGAACGGGAGAAAGACAAAAAAGCGAGAAGAAAAGCAAAGTTGAAGTCTCAATTGGATCAACGGGACTTAGAGAGCGGAGGCCTGGACTCAGCAAGCTCTAAAAGCAAAGCGACGGAAACCCAACCACAGGGCTAGCACATTGGTTTGAGCGAAAACAACTCAAAGATTGCCTCATAACTCAGCCCGTGGGTGGAAAAGTCCTTTTGATGGCGGTATAGTTGTTCAATTACGTGGTTCTTATCGGAATGCGGTATTTGTTTTGTTTGGTCGACTACATGTTTTCTTATAGTATTCAGATTTACTTGTTCAATTTGATTACCTATACAAGGTCTCACATGACTACATGACTATATTCTTACAAAATGAGCCATAACACCATTTTTCTCAGCTCGAGCCTACTTCCAATTTGAGAAGACCCCGCTGCAAGAAGGGATAGTCTCGAACTTGGTCTTGCTGTCCTATTGCCACGAAATCGTAGTGTGATGCTACGTCCACCTTAAAGTACGGCCGACTACCACTAAGCTCTGTTAAGCCCGCATACCCTGCAAGGCTGACATGCATTGAACACTGCAATGCGTATGTAGCTGCATGATCGAGGCCGATCTCCACATTTATTTTGTGCTTCCCGATCCTCGAGCCGCCTTGGCCTCGGTTACGTCATGCTAAGGGTATTCGTGACGGAAGCTAAATGCGGGGTGGGGGCAGAATGTGGCCTAATAATAAGTATCGCGATACAAGGGGGGGTCATAAATTGGATAGCAGCCTACCCTATCAATGCTCTGTGTGGTCCCACAGAGGGGCAATGGAGCCGATAGCCAGGGCGAAGGCTAGTAAGGCCTTAGAGAATAGCGTAGGCATTCTCCACTTCTTTTCTTTTCCATGATGAAAAAGAACACACATGGATAGTTGTGGCTATCTTCCAGACGTTCAGGTATAAATTTTCATCTGGTATGATCGAAAAATAGATTCACGCTAGCCGTCGGATGCGATGCCCCCTTGTAGTACTTTTCAATATTTCGTTTGCATGATGGGCCAATCAGACCCACGGAACACGACTAGGTGGGCCGCTGTCCCGTTTATAGCGCCCCTCCGGTGACCGAACCATGTCAGGCTACTGGAGTACCCGCTCCCCAAAGGGAAGGTGGCCCTACTAGTGGACCCAGCAGCATGGGTGAGCCTCGCGTCATTACCCCTGTGCCGCATGCATCTCTGGCAAGTATCTAACCTGCCGATAGACACGTTTATCTTATTTTGGAAGCAGATAATGCAGGTCGCACCATCAACCGGGTGCTGCAAATCTGTTCAGCTCAGCTCGGTTCCGCCATACAGGTTCACGGACATCAACCATGTAATGCTTGCTGCCCCAGCAACACTCTCTGAAAGTAGCCTATTAATAGGAAGTTCAAAATCGTTCCCCGATCTTACGGTCGAATCTAAATAACCTCGCGAAATGCTCTAAATATCCTCCCAGCTGGGAAACGCGCCCAGCCGCCTGTCGACCAGATCTCCCATCATACTTCCCAGCATGGCGGCCATCTTCGGGAATTACTCGCAAGCGACAACGTGGGAGCCGGAGCCGACGACGCGAGGGACATTCGGCATTCTATCATCGTGCCTGGTGACACTGGGCTTGTGCGTTTGGACCGCCGTGCACCTGAACATCCCAGAACACGGGAAATCGGCCAAGCAAAAATATCGGAAGCTGGGCTGGATGGGATTCGCGCTTATTGACCCCGAGCTGGTACGTCCTATCCTTTTCTTGGAAGTAAAACGAAAAATCAAATCCACGGTGGATGAGGTGCTGCTTCAGGATTCTAACATATATCAAGGTCGTCTACACATCGTGGCGGCAACGCCAGAACGCCAGTCGAATCCTCCACGAAGCCTGCAAAGCCTTCGGACAACCGCTACCCACGCCATGGTATCAGCGACTCGGGTCGTCGCTACTTTCCCTGGTCTGGCACCGACAGCGAAGTAAACCAGACGTCGAGGTAAAGCGCGCAGGATCCCCACCCCGGTCCACGCACCACCACCATACTGACACACTCCGCAAACAGAGCCAAACATCCAAACCCAAACCTACGCGTCACCCATGGACAATGACGCACGGCCACTACGTCGCGATGGGCGGTCTAGCCGCCGAATTCACCATCGCCCCCGGCATCTCAGAGCGGCTGGTCATCACGCCAGATAACTTCTCCGCCTTCGTCGATCGTCTGGGCCCGGATTTCCTGCCGAATCTGTCAGAAGACGAGATCGCAGACAAGAGCAAAGCAAACGGGCTGGCGAAAACAATCGTGTGCATCCAAGCGCTGTGGTTCGGCGTGCAGTGCTTCACGCGCTGGTCGCAGGCGCTGACCATCTCCCTGCTCGAGCTCAACACGCTCGGCCACACGTATTCTGCCCTGGCAATGTACCTGCTGTGGTGGTACAAGCCGCTCGACGTTTCCGAGTCCACCGTCATCGACGACGAGAACTTCCGGGAACTGGCTGCTGCGTGGAGCCTCCGAACCGGACCTTTTCGCGGCGAACCGCTGCCCAGGTGGCTCCCGCCGCAATGTTCTTCTTCTTCTTCAGACGAAGAAACCGTCGGGTCGATATCACCGTCCACCCTCTTCTCCAACGACGACCGTGACATCGCCGGCCAAGACGCCTTTGCCGATGACAACATCCTCGCGCCCTCGAAATGGTACTCGGGCTTCCGCTTCTACGGCTTCTCTTCCAACGGGCAGCAGTTCAAGACGCAATCCTGGCGAGACGAGAAAGACGGCTCCCTCTCCCCGCTCTCCCTCGGCCGGCCGTACGTGGAGATCAGTCCTCAGGAACGGCTGCGGTGGAAGCTAGCCGCGCGCCGATACGCCCGGGAAGCCAATCTCGTATCTGGCTCATCAACCTGCCAGTCCGCCGACGACGCCGCATACCGCGAGCCCGTCGTCCGCCAAGTCGACGACTGGTTCGTCAGCAAGTTCTCGATCGTCGAGCGCGCCGACGCCGCCATCGGCATGATCCTAGGCGGCTTCATCTACGGCGGGATACACGCTTTGGCGTGGGCCGCGCCGTTCCCATCCGCGAAAGAGCGCGTGCTGTGGCGCATGGCGAGCGTCGTCGTCATCGCGTTCGGCCCCGTGTACGTCTCGCTCTGGCACCTGGCGCACAAGGGCAAGACGTCGGTTTCGTTCTTCGCGACGGCGTTTTACCGGTTGATACTGGCGGCGTACCTGTTCTCGCGGACGTATCTGGTGGTCGAGTGTTTTATTCAGCTGGCGCATCTGCCCATGTCGGCGTACTACGCTCCGAATTGGTCGGCGTACTTCCCGCACTTTTGATAGAGAGGAGGAAAAGAAAAAACGCAAGTGTGTGTTGTTGGTAGGGAGAGGGAGCGGAAAAAATATATATATAGGAGGCAATTACCAAACCCAGCTCTTTTTTGGCGAAAACTCCCAAATCCATTCATTGCCGGCCAAACCCAACAACCGTCGGCCAAACCCAACTTCTTCACTAAAATCTACCATCTTTTAACCGTAGCAGAACTTCAACGAAATTAAAATCTAAGAGCTGGGTTTGGCCGGCGATAGTTGAGTTTGGTAATTTACGCAAAAACATACAGCCACGTAAAAACAACACACTTCAGGCCCACTAGAAACAAGTATAAAACCACACCAAACCCTTATACTTTCAGCAATATAGTCATTTTATTTCCTAAGAACAGCCAGCCGTATAGCGCTCACTCACAAACCCCCACCACCATCACCACCACACCCCAAGGTCCAGCCTAAACAACCCCCTCAACCTTCCAAACCTTAACCGTCGAATCACCACCCGTAGACAGCACCTTCTCCGCACCACCCCCAACCCACGCCACGCCACTCACGCCCTCCTTATGCGCATTGAGCTGCCTAACCCTCTTGCCCGGATTCGCCACGCTCCACACAAACACGTTCGTATCCAGACTGCCACTCGCCGCAAACTCCTCCGTCTCATTCCACGCGATGGCCGTGATGCGCGCCGTGTGCGCCGACCAGCGGTCCGTGACGAGCGGCCACTCGGCGTCCTTGCCGGCCTTCGCGTCGTAGACCTGGATCTTGCCGCCCGTGTTGCCGACGGCGAGGTAGGAGCCCTTGGGGGAGAAAGCGAGCGTGGAGATGACGGACGTGCTCGCGGTGAGCTCGACGCCGATGTCGCGGAGGGAGGTGCCGTCGAGCTCGTAGACGCGGACGACCTTGTCCTCGCCGCCGACGGCGACGAGGTTGCCGGAAGCGGCGATGGAGGTCGGCGGGTAGGGCATGGGGCGCGACGACGCCTCCTTGCCGTCCTTGAAGATGGAGACGGAGTAGGGCGAGGCGATGAGGACGAGGTCGCCGGCCGTGGCCGCCACGCCCTTGGGCTGGTAGTGCAGCTCCGTCTTGGCGCCCGCGAAGGACTTGCTGTTGGATGAGATCTGGCGCAGCGTGTCGTCCCAGCCGACGCTGTAGACGCGGGGCTCGCCCGAGTCCGAGGAGGGTGAGAAGCCGGCGACGAAGTTGCTGTGGCTCTCGCCGTCGATGTTCTCGGCGAGGCCGGTGGAGACGTCCCAGGCGCGCACGCGGCCGTCGTAGCTGCCCGTGTAGAAGGTGTTGTCCTGGATGGTGGCGGCCGTGATGTTCTTCGAGTGGCCGCGGACCACGCGCGTGGGCTTGTCGCTGCCCTCGGCCAGGTAGTTGAGGTTGCCGTCCAGGTCGACCGAGATGATGGTGCCGTCGCTGCGGCCGGCGGGCCAGGTGACGCCGACCTGCTGGTCGCCGATGCTGACGACGCCCTCGTCGCCCATGCGCCACGTCTGCACGGCCGAGCCCGTCTCGACGTCCCAGATCCGCACCGTCTGGTCGGCGCTGGCCGTCACGAAGCGCTTCGAGTCCTTGTCCCACGACACGCCGAAGATGCTGCCCGTGTGCACGCCGTCGCCGATCTGCGTCTTGGCCTCGCCCGTCTTGCCGTCGTACAGCCAGATGCGCTTGTCGGCGCCGACCGTGGCCAGGTGCGTGCCGTCGGGGCTGAAGGCGGTGCCGAAGATGAAGCGGTTGTGCTGGCCGCGCGCGCTGGTGTTGAACTTGAAGGGCGCGCCGTGGTAGAAGACCATGCTTGTGTCGTCGCTGCCCGTGGCGGCGCGGAGAGGGCGCTGCTGCCTGATGGACACGGAGTTGATCTGGGACGAGTGGCCCGAGATCTCGCCCACGCTGTTGCCGCTGTCCCAGGTGATGCAGTGCCCGAAACGCTCCTTGCCCTCGCCGACGGCGATGATGCGCTGCGAGTCGCCGTCCCAGGCCAGGTCATTGATGCGCCCGGCAATGATGTGGTAGTCGCCTGTGTAGCTCCGTCAGCGGGCTCCTGCTTCCCTGCAGCATCCGTCTGGCATTGTACCCTTTGTTGCACCCTCGCCAACGCAGTCCCAGACCTTGACTGCACCCGACGCATCTCCGCTGGCTACGTAGAAGCCCGAGGGGGCGAAGCGGGCAACCGTGGTTTGGGCGGTGTGCTCCGTGTACTGGCGACTGACGGCGGGATCGTCGATGGACCGGACGAAGATGGATTTGCCCGACTGGTGGGCGTGAGCTCAGGGTCCACGGCGGCGGTTAGCGGGGGATTGGTACCGCGTAGGCAAGGCGCTCGCCCTTGGAGTCGGACGACAGCTGCGTTGGCTGCCCGCGCGTGGTAGTGGGCGCGGCGGCCCAAATGGCAGCTGCAGGCAGTGCGGTCAGTACGTGAAGGGAGCACCGTCGGGAACGAGCTTACTGGAGGAGATCGACATGATTGACGCTGTGGGAGAACGAGGGACGTGGAGAGGAGGGAGTGTTGTTGTCGGAGACGAAACCGGGGGCTACGTAACACGCCCGAGGGGCTGCCACGAGGTGGGCCTCAGCCCTGGTGGGGGTGGCTCATGCGCGACGCCTATGACGCCACAGCTCCAACACCACGCCTACAAAGAAAATCCAAACCACAACAGCCAATTGATTCATTATTACTTGGAGAATGAGTGGACAGAGTAGCGTCAGCGAGGCCCTAGGAATAAGGTAAATATGGCTCAGCAATATTCTTTACGAGGAACGCCAGGATTGATGGCTGGAAATAGTCGGGGGATAACTCTGAGTTTGCAATGCTGGTGACTTGGCTCTGGCAACCAGAAAATTGAATCAAGAAAAGGATTTACATATCGAGAAGCTGGAAGATCAAAGTCGCGTCGAAGAAAATGAGAGGAAAGATATGTTCCAGATCAAGGCCGCTTGGGAAGCAGTAGGTACTGAAAACAATATAGTCTACGTTGGAAACTCCGATTTACCATTTGCAAGAAAATCTATTCTATATCTCATCCTCGAACTGCCTGACAAGCAGACCCTCCTTCTGCAGGTGGTCCTTAACCTGCTTCACAGTGTACTCGCCGCGGTGGAACTGCATGCACGTTAGCCAACTCCCCATCTCCATCACGCATATTTAGAGAAAGAAGACTTACCATCCCAGCCCCCAACGCCGCATCCGTCGGCGTCTTCTCAAACACCTCCGCAAAGTGCGCAGGGTTACCGGCACCACTGCTCGCGATGACCGGAATCTTGACGGCCGCTTTCACGTCGTTGATCAGTTCCAGATCGAAGCCGCTGTTGGAGCCGTCCTTGTCGATGCAGTTGAGCAGAATCTCGCCGGCGCCCATGGCCTCGACGGCCTGGACGAGCTGGCGCACGTCGAAGTCGCGCGCCTCGCGGCCGCCCTTGACCGTGCACTGGTACCAGCAGTACTCTTCTCCCTTCGGGCCGGGGAAGGCCGTCTTGATGGTATGGTGCGGCGTGTCCTGCGGGGATGCGACGTAGACGCGCTTGGGGTCGACGCTGACGACGACGGCCTGCACGCCGTAGGCCGCCGAAATCGTCTCGATGGCCGTGGTGCCGGCCAGCGTCTTGCCGCGGGCGTAGTACTCCTCTGCCGCCGTAACCGCATCCGATCCGATGCTGACCTTGTCGGCGCCGGACTTGAAGTACAGCGCCGCGACGTCGAGGGCCGAGAACTTCGTGCCGTCGGTGTCGACGGTGTCGCGGATGCCGCCGCCGATGGTCAGCGGCACGAAGACGGTCTCGGAGGCGCGGCGCAGGATCTCGAGCATGGGCAGGTCCGCGACGGGGCAGTTGCGGAACGACGTGATGTTCAGGAACGTCACCTCGTCGGCGCCCTGCTCGTAGTACTTGCGCGCCATCTCGACCGGCTTGCCTAGGTTGCGCACCTCGCCGCCCGCCGCGTCCTTCTCGCGCACGTCGTACTGGTCGCCCTTGGTGACGACGAGGTCGCCGGCGTCGTTGGTGCGCACGTCCAGGCACGCGATGACGCGGCGGGTGAGGCCTTCGCGGGATGCGGCGGCCGAGGGGGTGGCGGAGAGAGCAGTGACGCGCTGCCCGCTGCAGAAGGCCTTGAGCACGCGCAGGCCGGCGGCGCCGCTCTTCTCCGGGTGGAACTGCGTGAGCAGCACGTTGTCCTTAGCCAGGGCGCCGACGAACTCCTCGTTGCCGTAGCGGGCCGTCGCCACGGTCCAGCCCTGCGCCTCGAGCTCGCCCGCGACGTAGGGCAGCGCGTACGAGTGCACGTAGTAGTACTTGCTATCCGGGCGCAAGCCGTAGACGCTTTCGCCCGTCACGCCGCCTTGCGAAGACGTGTTCGCCGAGTTCCAGCCAATGTGCGGCACGCTCTTGTCCGAGTCGTCGAAGCGCTTCAGCATGCCCTTGATCAGACCCAGCCCGGGAACCGTAGCGCTCTCCTCTGACCCGTCCAGCAGCGCCTGCAAGCCCACGCAGATGCCCATGAACGGCTTCCCCGCCGCGACGTGTTTCCGGATCGGCTCGACGTAGCCGCCGTTGGCGAACTGGGAGAGGCAGTGCCCGAAGTGGCCGACGCCCGGCATGATCAGGATCTAGGCGGCCGCCTATCAGTACATGAGCAATCTGAGTGCGACTCCGGCGCATTGTGGTGGGTGTTCACCTCGGCCTTGGGCACATCTTCTGGCGAGCGGATCCACTCGACGCTGTAGCCGACTTTCTCGATGGCATTGACGAGTGACCGGACGTTGCCGGCCACGTAGTCGAGCAGGTGGACGGACGGCATGGCGGATAGTGTGTGGTGTTGAGGAGCAATGGCGAGAGATGGGCCTGACTCACTTGAAGGTCGTGGGGCACCAGAGCGTCACTTTTTTCTTATCGATAAGCCGCCGATCACTTGTAGCTCCCACGCCCTACACTATGACGCATCTCCGGTTCTCGCCGCTGTACGAAGGAAATTTTGACACATGATACCCTACAATCGCCTCATAAGTAGTGAGTGATAACTTATCTTTCATGACTCGTCTACTTTATTCTTCACCCCAAACAATGTCTTCCATCACGACTGGCCTTCTTCTCGCGGTACTTATTCTCTACATGCCCGAAATATTTGCTATTAGTCTCAGGAAATATACCCTGATCCTTCGTGAAAGAAAACCATTAACCCACATCACCGTCCAAATAGTCACATCAACCCCTCACTCCAGAGAAGAAACCACTCACCCCGTCCTCCCCCCCTCCCTCCCCTCAGAAAACCTCCCCAGCTCCCTCCCCACCCCCTCCACCCCCATCCCGTTCCTCAAACTCCCCCTAATCCACCCCGGCAACTTCCCCCTAATCCTGCTCCCCTCATACCTCCGATCGATCAACAAAATCGCCGCGTAATCCCCCCTGTGCCTAATCGCCCTCCCCACGCACTGATTGACGGCGCGCATGCACGCGTTCTCGTAAAACTCCCTCGCCGCAGCCTTGCCGGCCTCCGCGCTGCCGCCTTTCTCGCGGACTTTCCTCGCGACGTGCCCCATCCGCGCCTTCCACTCGGCCGAGTGCGCGGGCGGGAAGGGCAGCCCGACGACGGCGACGCCCCGGCCCAGCGCGTCGCTGAAGTTGATGCCTTCGGACAAAGAGCCGCCGACGACGGCGAGGAGGAGGGCACCGCGGCCGCCGCCTGTTGCTACGGCTGTGCTGTAGGCCGCGAGGACGGTGTCGGTCGGGCTGGTGGAGTTCTTGTTGGCGTCCGCCGGCGGCGGTGGTGCTGACGATGGCGGCTGCGTGGTGCTGCCGGCCGGGGCGGCGGCCTTGCTCTTCGATTCGTGGAAGACGGGCTTCACGGCGGCGAGGGCGTCGAACATGTTCTTCGCTCGGGATGCCACCGCCGCCGATGATGGAGGCGGAGCTGTGCGTCGCCAGACGTCGATGCAGCGGTCCAGGTACGCGTAGCTGGGGAAGAAGACGACGACGCCGTCCGGGATGCGGGCGACGAAGGACAGCAGCGCGGCGCCGAGGTCGGTTATGGTCGATGCGGCATTGCGCTTCTCGAAGGTGAAGTCGAAGGGCGCGCCGCTGGGGCCGGTCGTTACGGGGCAGGCGAGGAGGTTGGAGGGCGGGATGACGTGGCCGCAGGAGAGGGTCGTGATGCGCGAGGGCGGGAGGTAGGAGAGGAGGTAGTCGGAGTAGTCGCTCATCTGTTTAGGGGCTCGTCAGCAAGGGTTTAAAGAGGTTGAAGTAGGGGACGGGTGGACGGACGGGAGACATGGTTCCGCCAGCGAGGATGACGGCGCGGGCGTCGTCAACGATTTCGCGGAAGTGGTGGGTTGGGTCGAGGAGCATGTATTTCAGGCACAGCCCGAGATCGTCGTCGTTTTTGGCGTAGAAGAAGCGGCCTTCGGCGGAGGGGTTGAGGAGCGCGTAGAAGAAGCTTTGGATGTGCATCAATACCGGCATGGAAGACTTCGCCTCACGCCGCCGAGTTAAGCCTCGGGATGCTTCGTCTTTGGACTTCTCCTGCTCTTCTGTATAGACGATGTATCCGTCAACCTTCCGCGCCAGCTTGTTTTCGTCCAGATACCGCAATAGCTTGTAGAGGTTGATCTGGTCCACACCCTTGCCCACCATAAGGTCTCCAATCTGAACCACGCCCTCTTCTTCCGAGGCATGAGCGGCTGTGCCTTGTAGATAACCCACTAGAGAATCAAGTAATCTGACTGTCTGCGCAACGTAGACTCTATTCTTGCCTTTGAGCCGGTTGCGGAACTTCTGAAGGTAGGTAGTCAGTTGACTCCGGGAGCGTTGCAGCTGAGAAAGGGAGACGGAGACGGAGTAGATTCCATTAATGGCATCCATGAGGTTGTGGGCTTCATCGATGATGACAACATGATCCTTCAGATTGATATCAAGAGCCTCCCGTGCGGTTCTTTGAAGTAGTAGGGGATATGGTAATGTGACGATCTGATGTCTGGTTAGCATTGGTATCAACTCCACATTGAAAGCTGGGCGGTTTACCTCGCTCGGTTTGACAGCTGGCCGCGATGCATAGTACGGGCAGATACCAAGCTTCTTTCCAATGGCACCAAGGTCTTCAATATCACGGATGTCGGCCAGGGCGTGATCGCGGAAGTCGTTCACAACAGTCTCCGTCTCCTTGGCTGGTAGAAAAGGACATTTGTGGTCCGCAGCGGTGCCTGGTTTCTGCAAGTCAAGGCACTTTTCGTTGATGAGAGAGGTGCTGCCGAGTTTCTGAACTTTGGGGTTGATGCAGAGGTTCTTCCTGGATCCCAGTGTAAGATGTTTGAAAGCTTCTGCAACTTCACCATCGCCGTCGGCTTCGGGTTCGGCATTTTTTGAGTTTGGTGTGATGGCTGGAGGTATCTTGACGCGCCTTAACTCGCCAGAGAATTGGGACAACTGGGAATGCGTCCGAGAACAGTAAAAGACTTTGAGTTCATCCACGGCCTCGGCGTCTTCGTCTTTGTCGTCCCTGCCCACTGGCATGCCCAGCTTTTTCATGAGGGCTTGGGTTTCGGCTGAGAATCCAGAATCGGGGTCTCGGCGAGAACTGCTCTTGTCGGTCGCCTCATTTTCACTCTCATAGTCGTCAAGTAAGAATCGGGCCTCATCATCACCGTCGTCATCGGGGTCGGCGGCAGAAGTTTTCTGGAGAGGTCAGTTCGGCGCTGAGAAGCATTTGCGGAATAGTCAGCACACCTGTCGCTTGAAACGCGGCTCGCCATTTGCGTATCTCTCCTTCAGCTTCTTCTCCTTTGCTCGAACCTTCGCAAGTTTTTCTTCCAGGTCTGCGCGTTGTTGCAAAGCAGTGCGCCGCTTCTCCTCGCGAGCATACTCCAGCATCCATTCCGGCTCGTCATCATCTTGAGGTATATCAGTCAGAGTCATCTGGAAGGGCTGAAAAAAACGTACCGAGGTTGTCGGTAGAAAGGCCATCTTCAAATGTCCGGCGTTTGTGATCCCGTAGCCAGGTGAGAGATCCGCATATCAGACTCAATGATTTGCCCTATCGGCACAAGTCAGAAGGTGCTTTTGGAAACTGAGCTCAGAGAGATGGTGAAAGGTGTAATTTTTCTGAATTGACTGCTAGCGGAAGGTGAAATTGTTGAAACTCACGAGCGGGTGAGATGCATCGGGGTTGGACTGAGACCCACCGTTCCTGCATTACTAATCAGCGCGCTGTGTGAGGTGCAGACTCAGAAAGCCTCACCTGTCGGCGATTCGAAGATGCCGACTTTGCCGGCCTCGATGCACTCGTACACAGCGCTCATGAACTGTTTCTGAATCTCGTAAGGCTCGTACGGATGGTGAAAGTTTCGCTGTGCAGCCATCTCGAGGCCGTTCGACCCATCCGCTGGCGACATGGTTGCAGGAAGAATGTAGAGTGTGGAGGATTGGTTCGAAAGTGAAGAGGCAACGGAAGACGCGTTGGGGCGCGTCGCGCAGTCACGCGCAAACTTCCGAGGTTTCGCCGGCATTTGCCATCTCACCCTCAACCAGAATAACGCACAGAATTCTCACATATTTATTCTCATGAATCTCGTATATGGACATCAAATGAGACAGGCCCTCACGGGCAACAGCGTCTTCGACCAGTGCCAGTCCGACTGCCTCTATCACCACAACGCAGCCCACATTTCCCCCGCATCTCCAACCGCTCACGCCCTTGAGCGGCCCTCCCTCTCGGCAATCTTCCTGTCCTTCTGCAGCTGCGCAGCGTACTTGACGCCAAATCCGTGGCTGTAGACGTCGCGGATCATCTCGAGCGGCAGGCCCTTGACCTCCGGGTAGCCGAAGAGCAGGAACAGCCAGCCGGCGAAGCAGATGCCGGCGTAGAAGCCGAAGGCGCCGCTGGCCGTCATGGCCTTCATCATGGACAAGAACGTCGACGCGATGATGATGTTGCAGCCCCAGCACGTAACCGTGTTCTGTTGCCATTATCGTCAGCTTCGGGTTTTTCGGCGATAGAAAGAAGAGGGAGAAAACTTACCACCATGGTTCCCAGCGCACGCACTTCGACGGGCAGCAGCTCAGTGCCGACCCAGGAGATGGTGGCGACGCCGGACGCGAAGAAGGCGACGTAGCAGATGATGGTGATGAGGACGAGGATGCCGGGCCAGCCGATCTCGCGCGACTCGACGACGAGGTCCTTGCTGATCGGGATGTAGCTGAAGGCCACGGCCGCGATGACGAGCGAGATGCACATGCCCATGCACGTCACGAGCACCACGATGCGCCGTCCGAACCGGTCGAGCAGCGTGATGCACACGAGCGAGAAGATGAAGTTGGTCGCGCCCACGACGATGCTGACTGCCACCGGCTTGTTGAATCCCACGAGTCCGAAGAGCGTGCCCGAGTAGTACATCAGCGTGTTGAAGCCTCCGAGTTGCGACACTGGGATCATAGTGAGTGACTGCAAGCAGGAAAAAAAGGGCGTCTCGTGCACTTACCGGCCATAACGACGCAAGTGCTGATCAGAGGCCTGGCGTTGGCCGACACGCTGAATAGCTGCTTGAATTGCCACCACAGCGTCTTGTCCTCCAGCGCCGCGGTGACCTGGTGCACCGAGTTCAGAATCAATTGCACCTTGTCCTTGACCTGCTTATCCGTCGCCTTCGGGAAAATCTTGCGGATGACCTGCCCTGCCTCGTCGAGTTTGCCGTGGGAAATGAGCTGGCGGGGACTTTCCGGGCACTTTGGCAGCATCAGGGCGAGCAGGATGGCCGGTGCAGCGCCGATTCCGACAGTGTATCGCCACTAGAAATGGTCAGTCGTTGTTGTGCCGAGATTGCTGTTGTCAACTCACGCCGTGTGTAGCGTTTTCAAAAGCCGCTCCTAATGCGTAGCTGATGAGTTGTCCGAACGTAACGCTCATGTTGTCGAATGCAATCATCCTTGAAGACGTCAGCCATTGCCTTCAGAAGTGGGGATTGGCGTTGCTGCGTACCTTCCTCTGTATCTTGCCGGGGCAATCTCGCCAATGTACAACGGGATGATCATAGCAGCACTGCCGACTCCGAGTCCAACGATAAACCTTCCAGCGCTCATCTGTGCCAGCGAATAGGACGCTGCTTGGATGATGGATCCGGCGATGAAGAGGAGACAACCAAGGTAGATTCCGAATTTCCGGCCATCTGTTCGACTGCACGTCAGACTCGCCTCATAGCCTCGTCAAGTGGTGCTTCTTACACTTATCAGCCGTGGTACCAGCAGCGATGGCGCCGATTAATGCGCCGCCCGAAGTCAGCGAGGTGATGAGTTCCTGTTGACTGGACGACAGCGTATGCCCTAGATCGTCGTTGATAACGACAAGGACCGAAGAGATGACACCAGTGTCGTAGCCTGTCCTGTCAGCTGCCTGTTCCTTTCTTCTGGCGCGAAAAGAACTGACCGAAGAGAAATCCACCCGTCGAGACGGCCATGGAGATGAACCAGGCCATCTTGCCACACTCTGTCTCCTCAATCGAGTCGTCAACCACCGCCTTGTCGACGTCGCTGATATCCTCGACGTGCAGGACATCCTCCTGCTTCTTCGCAGAGATGCTGTTCTTGTCGCCGGAATCCATGGTGGCACGCAAGGACTCGGCTCTGGTAGGAGATCAGAGATGAGGAAGAGAAACGCGGGGTGAAGCAGAGGACGACTGCTGGTCCCGGACGAGTGCTGATGCTGGATAAAGTGGACCCGACGGATTATTTATACATGGCCAGCATGCATCCGCCTAATGGTATAGCGGACAGGGCTATTTCCCCAGGTTTCACGGCGCCAACCCCACGGGGGCGGTGGTGCCCCGGTCGTGCATCGCGAGTGTGACGGGGCAGCTACTCCGCATGCAAGGGCCCAGCCGCGACCTCACGGCTCCGGCACACTCAATCAGCCTCACTCGCAGCCACTTTTGACATCGGCCGGCATGCGATTGGCTGCGGCAGATTCCATTCGGCCAGGCAGCTCAGTCGGCAGCCGGTCCAACGACCGACGGAGCGACGCCTCGATCACAGGCGGGCCGAAGAACGGGCTTGGGGGGCGGAGCACTAGCCTGGAGCCGTCCGGGAGCAGCAGGAAGCCCGCTTGGTGCGTGGATGGAGCAATCTTCCCCTTCGGCGGCGCTCGGTCGGCAAAGTCAGCAAAGTCAGTTCCCCGCTTTTTTCCCTGGCCGCCGCAAAATTGCCCCCCGTCAAACCACCCGGCTGTTCTGCTCGGGGAATGGTTTCCTTGCGGCAACGGGCGTATAACCTCCGCAAGCCTTCCAAAGCCGGACTTTCTTGCCTCAACACCGTGCACGCCCGCTACTCCATGTGCCGACCCAATCCGGACTCCACAACAAGATGAGAACAAGCAGAGGCTGGTAAGTGCCATCCCACCCTTGGCCGTCGATTGGGTATTCTACTCCCGCAAAACCGGGGACCCTGCTCGCCTTAGCTGACGCCATCCGCCTTCTTACCTCAGCCATGAGTGCAAGCGCCGGCACCTCAGATGTACGTTAACCTGCGGCCCGACGCGACCCACGCGGGGAGGTGGTCTCTGTGCATGCGCGCTCACCAATCACATTCAGGCGTCACGCAGCCAGGTTGTAGCACCTGCGAGCGCTGCGAAAAGTCCGGGCGAGAGTGTCGTCGCGGCATCACCATCCGCTTCCGAGCCGTGACGTCGGTCCGCGAGAAGAGGCCAGCTCAGCCCAACGACGACGACGACGATCGCACCTATCACCTCAGCTGGAAGAAGAGCCAAGTGTGGGTGCGCGTGCCTCCGGCCGGTAGGTGTCCCCGTTTGTACGGAGAGCATTTCGTCCAATGCCGTGTAACGGTGGCTGATTAACATCCCGTCGTTCCCCCCCTGCAGTAACGTTCGCTACCCCGGCCACCAACCTCGAAGACCTAGACGAGGATCCGCAAGCGGTGACGTATCCCGCGCGGGTAGGTTTCAGCCCGCATGAAGATGGCCAAGGAGGAGGCGGCGGCGGCGACGCCGACCCAGCAGGGCCACCTGCCAACCACGTGCCCAACGCGACAGTCTTTCGCGAGACCTCCACCACTATCGCCGCGGCGATCGCGGCAATACCCGCATCTGCCGAGCATCGCTCGCCGAGCCAAGTGCTGGATGGCATCAACGTTGGCTCTCCGTTTTCGGCCTTTGGCAACAGGAGCGATGTCGCACATAGCTCCAGTACTCCCAACGGTGGTGACGGCTCAACGGTCGCTTCTGGAGGGAGCTACTGGCGGTCGGCACTCTACCAGCCGTCGACAAAGTGGCCGCTGCGGACCGAGGAGGAGGCGCGCTTGTTTCACCATTTCGTCAAGCACCTCGGAGCGTGGGTACGTCTTCCCGACGACAAAAGCCACAACGCAATAGTGGACTGCCGTACTGATTCATTGCTCAGGTTGACTGCTGTGAGAGCCTTACCCAACCCCGACCATTCCGCCGTTTTGCGGAAACTGACTCTGCGCAGGTGACGAGAAATTTCATTTCTCGATAGAAGTGCCACAGCGCGCCTTGAACTATCCCGTCATAGCTAATGCCATACTGGCCTTGGCTTCCAGGCACCTGGCTCGGGTGACCCAGGTCGAGGACTTTAGATCCGCCGAGTATATGAGCGAGTGCTTGCGGATTTTGATTCCCGTTCTGGACGACCCGCTCGGTGCGCTGGATGAGAACCTCCTGGCAGCCATCGTGATCCTGCGGCTGTACGAGGAAATGGACGGTAGGGCGGGCCCAAATTGCCGTTTTCAATGCGTACCTATGTTGATAGTGGCGGCTAGACATCGACGAGAAGTGCCACCTGTACGGCGGAACCCGGCTGTTGAACTCAATCGCGCAGTTCGTTCCCTCAGGAGGACTCGGCGAGGCTGCGTCGTGGATCTTCCTGCGGCAGGACATTTACGTCGCGCTGACGACGGGGCAGCCCCTGAACATCGATCTCGAGCTTTTTAGGCAGTCTCCCTCGTTCCACGCAGACACGTCGAGCGGATGGGCGAACAGGATGATCTTCATCTTCGCCGAGATCCTCGACTACTCCTGCCGGCAAGACCAGGCGCATTCCGTAGAGCGGTGGAAAGAGCTGGAAGAGCAGGTGGAGGCATGGAACGACAACAAGCCCTGGCATTTCCGACCGCTGTGGATCCGGGAGGACGCAGTTCCGTTCCCGGAGATTTGGATGACGGGGCCTGCACACGGTAAGTAGATACGCACCCGCCCGCGCCGACTTTCCTTCCCGCTTCCCGCAACTTACATACGATACCGCAGTTGTGGGGCAGCAGTACTACAGCCTGTCCAAGATCCTCCTTGGCACGTTTGACCCGCGCCTGTCGCGGTTAGGCTTCGGGAGCCACAAGCTTCGCAAAGCTGCAGAGGTGGGTCGAGAGGCGTCGAGCCGCTTGTGGAAGTTTCGACACTGAAAGCGTCACCAGGCCACCATCATCGAGCACCTCCGCATCGTCATAGGGCTTGCCATCAGCAACGAGGGCGTGCCGGCCGCAACCTTCCACGCGTCGCACATACTCTGCACGTGTGAGTGAATCGCTGGCGGAGCGGGTGGGTTACCTTTTGCTGACGGTTTCTAGGCGGCTCGTATCTCGAAGACGAAAGAGATCGCGAAGGGGCGGTGCAGTTCCTTTTAGATCTCGAAAAGCAGATTGGGTGGCGGTCGTCGCGGATTATTGCGAACTTGAGGGAGTCGTGGGGAACATAGAGCGCGGGTTTCCGTAAGCAGCCATGCCGACCCACTTACCACTGGCAGGAAGTCGAAACAAGATTCGCGGGGAGAGTGCATTTCTGCAATTTCTTCCTGCAGCAGGGGTGGCTAAGGGTTCAACCAGCAGGATTTCAGGCAACTTCTCCCGTCTGCACGTCACGGAAACGCGGGGCAATTCTGTGTGGGGAAACCCCGCAACACACCGATCCAGAGGGCAAAAGATCGCGGCCTGGCCTTGGCCATCGCTACCGCCAATCACGGGCGGCACCGCCCCGGTCCAACCTCCTTGGGTACCGCCCACTTCGGAAACCTTCCCCATCGGGCGCACAAGCAAGGGCCCGCAAACACCATCAGAATTTCCGAATCTGGACGAAAGCAGCGGGGCTTTCGTCTTCCACTTTCCGCACGGCGGCAAAAAGTAACTGTGCGCGACCCCACGGGGCCCATACGAATGACGGGATATAAGGGAGACGACATCAGCACCATTTCGTCAGTCAGCCGCCGAGTGCTCAACGAATTCCATTATCACCATCTCCTTCACAATGATACCCGTTACCGCTCCGTACGCAGCCCTTCTGGGGGTCTGCCTGTTGGGGTACTTTGTCGTCTACCCCGTCTTCGAGTACTTCCGCGATCCCAAGGGTACGTACCTGACGACAAGGCTGATGAGATAGACTAAAGTTAACCATAACCAGGTCTCCGGAAATACCCCAACCTGACGCCGCTCTCGGGCATCTACAACATCCCGTTCATGATGCTCGCCCACACGGGCGCCCGTTCGACGCACATGGTTGAGCTCCACAAGAAGCACCCCGTCATCCGCATCGGCCCCAACTCGCTGTCGTACGGCGACGTGCGCGCCATCAAGGACATCTACGGCCACGGCACCAAGTGTACCAAGGATGGCCAGTACCAAGTCACCGCCGGCTCCCACTTCCACCTTGCCGACGTCATCGACAAGCCAGACCACGCACGCAAGCGCAAGGTCCTATCGGCAGCATACGCACTCAAGAACCTCGAGGAGTGGGAGCACAAGGTGGCGGACAAGACATCCCGGCTCGTCAAGCAGCTTGACAAGCGCTGCACGGCGCCCCTCCCCAAGGGCCAGGTCGTGCCCGACGCCGCCGACATCACCGTCGACTTCCGCAAGTGGGCCAACTTCTTCACGCTCGACGCCATGGCCGACATCGGGCTGTCCGAGATCCTCGGCTTCCTCGACGCCGGCGACGACCTGATCACGTGCCGCCGCCCCGACGGCACCACCTACCAGTGCCACTTCCGCGAGTGCCTGTACGACAACGCGCGCAAGCAGTCGTACATTGTGTGGTCGTACGACTGGTACAAGGTGCTCGACAAGCTCACCAACCTCATCCCCAAGTACGGCCGCATGGGCGCCAACGGCAAGCTGTGGGACGGCATCCCTCCGGAACTGTCCCGCCGCCGCCTCGAGCGCTACGAGCGCGGCGAGAAGCTCGACGACTTCTTCCAGGCGCTGATGGAGGACAAGAACGGCGGCGCCAACAACCTCGAGTGGGGCGAGATCGTGGCCGAGGTCTCGATCATGATGAACGCCGGCACCGTCACCACCGCTATCGCCATCACCAACGCCCTCTACCACCTCATCCGCCACCCGCAGGCCCTCGCCAAGGTCCGCGAGGAGCTCGACGTCGCCCTCGACGACGACGACGTCGTCGCGCCGTACGACAAGGTCAAGCACCTGCCCTACCTGCGCGCCTGCCTCGACGAATCCCTCCGCATCACGCCCCCCACGCCCCAGGGCCTCCCGCGCGAGACGCCGGCCGAGGGTGCGCAGGTGTTGGGCGACTGGATCGCCGGCGGCACGAGCGTGGCGATGTCGGCGCTCGTCGCGCACCGCGACGAGAAGGTGTATCCGCAGGCGGACAAGTTCATCCCGGAGCGCTTCCTCGGCGAGAGCGGGAAGGCGCTGCAGCCGTACTTTATCGCCTTCTCCGCCGGCGCGCGCGGCTGCATCGGACGGAACATTTCGTACCTCGAGCAGGCGGTCGTCGTGGCGACGATGGTCAATCGGTACGAGTTCGCGCTGCCGAGCCCGAGCTGGGAGATGCAGCGCGAGGAGACGATGAATTGGCTGTTGAAGGATATGCCGGTGAAGGTGTGGAGGAGGGAGAAGGAGGTTAAGGCTTGAGGAAAAAATGAGGTGTGTTTAGCGATTGATCGGGGGATATCGGCGTGTTGGCGTTCAAGGTGGGGAAATATCTTTTTCGGATGATGATGATGAGGGGGAGTACGCTTCCCGGATGATAGACTGCGCACTTCGGATCACGATGATGCAAAATTAAACTACTCGTGTCACAGTCTTCCTCGTACCGTACATGTATCGATTGTGTTTGATGTGTGCGCTAGTTCCTCCCGGTCCCACTGATGGTTTAACGTTTGTTTATTCTGCCTGCAGATCGACGAATAAGCGGCGGGAAGCGGTACACTATACTCCTGCCATGACTAGCGTTAATTCTTTTCTAAGAACCAGAGGCTGTCAATCGCCCAAAGAAGCAGACCCTAGCAGGATTGACCTATCAAATCGCCCGCATGAGCACAGACACCTCCTGTTTCGGGCGCTAGCCAACGGCTGCGAAAGGGATGTCTGACGATCTTCAGCTCATCCTACACAACGCTAGCGATGACGCACTTCCTAAATGCTTACTGAAACCACGCCAGCCAAACGCCTTTTTGTCCATGGTCCCAGAAAAAAGTGAAACGCAGGAATTCCGGCGAGCGGGGGAGACGAACATTGGGAAGGCTGCTTGAGTGGCTGAGAGTAGGCTTTTTTTGTTCGAAAATATTAAGGATGCCGTTTTCCCCGCACATGCTTCCTGTTCGTCGCCCCGCCTTTTGTATCTTTTTCGAGAACGACACTGTTTGTGGCCCGCCTGGGTATTATAGTTCATTGAACTGAGTTAACAAACATCGCAAACTTCTCGGTTCTCCACCAACCCCCGCACAATAATGTCAGGAGTTATTTGCCATCAAACGTATATATTTGGAAATCCCGTGACGAGCAAACACGAGCAGTCATAAAACTGACTTCCGCATACAGTTCGCAACCCAAGCGACGAGTAGCCGACATGAAGGACCAACGAACCCGCATAGATTCCATGCAAATGGACGACGACGACTGCTGCTCCGTACTCTCGCTCCCCAGCAGCGCCGCGGCAAGCACCACCACCACAGAATCAGCCTACTCCACAACCGACGAATCGCTGTCCGACACACGCAGCCTCTTCGACGACATCGCCGTCTACTCCATGATCGCCCAACACTACTTCACCTCCAGCGCCCCCGCCTTTGCCAGCGAGCTCCACACGCTCCTCCAGCACGAAGGCCGCCTCAACACCATCACGCGCATCGCCGGCCTCCTTCTCCTCCCACGACGACTGCAGCGCCCATTATGGACCTTCGTCGGCGGCGTCGTCGGCGGCGGCAGCAGTGCGCGGAAACGGATTGAAGAGACCGCACGCCGGCACCTGGGCATGAGCTTGTCCGTCGACGACTTCCAGATGCTGGGCCGGCGGATCAGTCCGCGGTGCGTGAGCGAGTGGGATCTGGAGGCGCCGGTGCGGGGGATCTGGAACATTTATCAGGCGTATTATGTCGTGTTGTGTCGGTTGGCGCGCGGGGAGTACGAGGAGTCGAGGCAGGGGTGGGAGGGGATGGTGAGGGATGTGAGGATTGTGCTGCAGATTATTTACACGGTGGCGTGTGTGGGGGGCGGGGTGGATGCGAAGGAGCAGTGTGGCGCGAGGTGTTTCGGTGGGAAGCATGTGATGGCGAAACAAGCTAAGGTTATTGCTTGATCCTATTCTTTCTTAGAAAATGCAACATGAATATATTTAAAGCCGTTATCCAGACGTGAATGTGGAATTAATAATTATACATTCTTGTCCGGGTGATAACCTCTAACCCCCCATGATATTAGCGAAACACAAATTCACCCTGGCCTTCGGCTAAGATACTCCTCTATACGGATTACTCATGAGACAGTCATGCAGCACGATAATTTGTAACGTTACACCGACCCACCTGGCAAATTTATCACTGGGTAAGCCTTGCCCCACTCTGCGCTTCGAACATCGACACTTCCATGGACACCGCCACAAACCCCACGGTCTTGGCCATGGACCAGACACAACCTTGCCGGTGCTCACGTCCCGATATGCGGGAGATGGGCAAATCTAGATTCTGTCTCAGCTGCGGCTTGACGGACCTGCCAGACACCAGAAGTTCCCGCAAAAGCAAGGCTGACGAGGCTGAAATTGATTCCGGCGACAACAAACGAGCGGCGGCTCCAATGTTCAGTCGAGCCCCGTTCGGATACGCACAGCTAAAATATCCCTCTGAGTTCCGGCTGTTGCGTCTCTTCCCAGGAAAGAAAGAGAATCAACTTGAAGGCGAGATTTTCCACGCCGACATTTCCCATCCTCCAGCCTACGAGGCTGTCTCGTACACTTGGGGCCAGGCCGAATTGACCCAAGATCTGCACACCGCAGCGGGACTGATAAAGATCACCAAGAACTGCCTTTCAGCCCTCACGGGCCTAAGACACGACACGTTCGAACGGATCCTTTGGGTGGACGCCATTTGCATTGCTCAGGCTGATGACCTAGAAAAAAATCACCAAATCCCGTTGATGGCCAGAATTTATTCCAGAGCGACGAATGTGTTGATCTACCTCGGTAGCCAGGATACCTTTGACACAGAAGCTCTTTTCAGCCGTCTGCGTAGGGATGAAATTGAACCACCATATGATGCAATTAGCAGATTCCTATCACTACCATGGTTTTCCAGAATCTGGGTTCTACAGGAAGTCGCCATGGCTCGTCACGCTGTGGTTATTCTTGGCTCGTCTACTTTAAAATGGCGCTACCTATCAATCGGAAACATACACGCAGTAGGCTTAGAGCCTACAAATTCTGCGGGACAAGTCCCTTCAGTCCTCCAGATCTCAAGAAGCGATAAGAAGCCAGTGAAGGACGTTCTCTCACTAATCGCAATGGCGCGCAGCTGCCTATCCAGCGACCCTCGAGACAGAATCTACGCTCTGCTTGGGTTGGTTGATGACAGATCTGGTATCGACTTGAGTACGGACTACACCAAAACGGCAAAAGAGGTATACACCGACGTCGCCGCTCAATTCCTCAGAACGTACAACTGCTTGGACTTTCTGTCGGACATCGGAAGATTCCATCGCTTTTCCGATGACGGCTTGGCACCAGCATCGAGGATGAGAACAGTTTTCCCGCCAAAAACGGAAGTTCCGCCTCTGGAAGCCCTAGAGAGCAAGTTAGAGTACATGGCTCGAAGACTTCACCGAGCTGCTGCGAAAGTCAGTCATCAATCAGATTCCATGTCCACGGTTAGCATCCCACTTGCTCTTGAGGGCCCGATATTGGAACAGAGTTGGCATTCGCTTTACTCATTAATGGGCAAGCCTGTCGAGGACTTCATAAGCAAACAAACTGATTCCATGCCAATGAAAGATCAATACTTGGTCAATACACTTCATCAATTTCAAGAGCAGGTAGGGATGCTTTTCCCAGTGGACGCCGTCAGCAAACAATGGTTACAAACCGCAGCGGCGCTATGTGAATCCTGGAAATCAAAATTTGAAATACTATACACTGGGCCTGATCCGGCTTCCGAAAGATTAAGGTTACATGACGCGGCTTTGCAGGGATATAAAATACTCCTCGACCCAGATGACCTATTAAAGCCCAGACTGATTGAGCAAGAATCTATCGAAATGGCCAATGAAAGCTTAGAGCTGCCTACCTGGGTTCCCGACTATGAACATCACCCCAGACTTTCCTCCTTCACTTACTGGAAGCCAAACACATTTGGGAATGAGCCTATTGCACATCTACACACAAGTTCAACCGGTGACCATACTACACCATTCCTGGAGGTCAATGCAGCTCTGATTGACAAAGTACAAAGGAGCCATTGCACACCTATGCAGAAAATACCTTTGTGTGGTATCGAAGTTTCGTTTACGACAGACTCAGACCCTGAGGCAACCGGGTTCCTGTCGCACTTCACGCAGAGCTTGATGGAAATAGGCCATGGGGCGGATATCTTCGGCATACGCAAGTTCTCACAAGGGCGTAGATTGGCTCTAACGGATACATCACTTGCCATCGTCCCGGGGAACTTTAATGTCGGCGATGTCATCGCCATCCTTAATGGTGGCACCGTGCCCTACTTGCTCCGACCCAGCCCTTCCGAGCCGGACAGATTCCAATTCATTGGAGAATGCTACTTGCATGGCGTCAGAGGACCCCAGTTTGCCCCAAACTACGCAGAGCTCTTGGGATGGTTCAAGCATCGTGTCATGGGTCAAGGAGAGCAAGATGGCCTGCCTTGGCGGACAATCGTTTTAGAGTGATCAAGGGCGCACGAACTTGCATGATTTCTATGTTTATCCTAATGGACTTTTTCTACATTCCCAATGCCTGAGCCTCTATCTTTAGAGCCACAGCGATTTCTTTAGTGCTCTCTATGCGAGAACGAACGTTCGCGGATCCCGGCCCTTCTCAACAATCTGCCCATCCATCAAACCGTGCACATAGCAAGGCCCAATCAGCGTCCAAGTCTCCTCCTCTCTGCCTCCTTGCGCAATCCCCTCTTTCCTCCTTACCACGACCGGCGTTTTGGCCCCCTTCAAAACCGCAACACGATCGCCTTCCTCCGCCTCCGTCAGCACCATAGCATATCCCCCATCCTCCAGCACCGCAAACCTCATCCCCCAAGCATACTCCGAGTGGTTTTGGATACCATGTTCTGCCTCTCTGTCTTTTTCTGGGAAAGGCGCTGAACAAACCTCTCCCGACAACAATGTCCAAGTCTTCATCACATACGGAATCCGCAACCACGCCTCCCACTTCGGCCTCAGGTCTCTCACATCATCCTCATCCAGTCGGGTGACAGGGTAGCGCTTGCAGTCCAGCATAATGGTCCTCCAGTACTGTTCGAAACGGCGAAGCCCCGCCCCAGAACCACGCCGCTCAGCGTCATCGCCATCCTGGCTTTCTGAGCGCCGCCGATGCGGCTCCTCACTTGAAGACAGCAGCAGACGCAGCGACTCGTTCCCAGCCTCGATGCCCTCCCGCAGCACTTCGTCCGGCATCTTTAGTGTCCTGAGCCCCTGTATCTGTGGATACAACTTGCGCAGCTCACCGGCATCCCAGCCCTCGAGTGGGAGACGTCCATCGTCTGCCGCTGTGCACGGCGTCTGCAGCTGCTCATCTCCTGCAGGAGCGTAGATGCCGCGCTGGGCGAACAGAATGTCCGAGGTGTCTCCGGCATTCGCGAAGTCCGGGACCCAGGAGGGCAACGAGGCGTCGCGGCCGGCGGTGCCGAAGAGGCCCCAGGGACTTTGGCAGAGGAGGTCGAGGTTGCCGGATGCGTTGATGATGGCGGTAGCGGTTTTGGTGTAGACTTGGCGTTTGGAGTCGTGATAGGTGGGGGTGATGGATAGGGGGTTTGATGTGAGGCCGAGGAGAGCGAAGACCTTGTCTCGGGGGTCGGTGGCGTCCGTATGGCGAAAGCGGGCGAGGACGTCGAGAAGGGAGGAAGTTGGCGGGAAGTTGTCGCTCTGTTGTGGTGGTTGCTGCATCGCGGCGGCGATGCGGCGCTGGTGCGCGAGGATCTGGGCGGAGGCTAGGTAGAATGTGAGCACGTCTCTCAGCGGCTCCATCCCGTGGCTGAAGGGGCCATGGAAGGCGTCCGGAAAGCCGTATTTGCGGATGTAGTTCTCGGCGTCCAGAAATTCTTCGACGCGGTCCCATGGCAACGTCGCGTTGCCGCTGACCAACACTACCCGAGGGGCGAAGGACACCTCTTGCATGATCCAAACACGGTTCCACACTTTTGGCTTGCCGAGGAGCGCTGAGATGGCCTCAAACCATTGTTGCTCGAGACCTTTTTCCCTTTTCCATCCGGTCTTCCTCCAAATTGGTTCCACGTCAGTCTCTAGAGAGTCTTCTCCGAGCTGCGTGACTGGCCCCATGCTCTTCATAGCTGCAGCTCCCTTCTCAATGATTGACGAATCGTCGCCGAGCCATAGGAGGTCTGTAGCACAATGCTGATATATCTCCTTCATGTGAATGACTTGGTCATCTCGCTCATTGATGTCTTCTTGGTCTATACAGAGCGCATCAACCCAGAGTTTACGTGGTTCATTCTCGAGGCGTAGATGGTGTAGGGCGGCTGCGAGATTCTCTGTGACACCTTTTGGTTTTCCTTCCAGGATAATGGTCGAGCCAGACGTGGCCGTATCACCCCAGACATATGACAGAGCTTCATATGGGGGGTGGGATTCGAGAGAGACGTTCTTCAGAGTACAGATGATGTCGGACGAGAACGTACTGGATGGTTGAAGGATAAGGATCCGGAATTCACCTCCACCCAGTTGGATGGGGTTGTAATGGATGTTCTGCATCGTATGGTACAAGATGTTAAACGGCTGTCACAACAAGCCCATTCTGAGAAGACAGCATATATAGCTGTAATGGTGTTGTGAGACCCAGAGAAAATGTGCAGGGTCTACGCTATTCTTATTGGTTCATAAGTACGGCGAGACTTTTTCGTGGGGGCCAAATCCCTTCGCTTCCGAGGCAGCCAATGATAGTACATGCTGGAGTCAGGTAAATGTACCGATGCATGAATCTCACAACGGCCCGTCAAATTTAAAGTGGCGCCGTACACGCAACGCTGCTGCCTAAAGGTCAGACTTGATCTAACAACAATCTCTTGAGTACTTTCTGAGAGTTCCGTGGACATACCATATACGGGTGCTATGGAAGACCATCCCCATCATGAACGTAAATGGTGTAGACGGCGGGATTGCAATTACCTTCCACAGCTAAACTCTATCTCTGTCGGACTTATCGGCTCTGAAGCTCGGCTCTCGAAAGAACAATACGACTTCCTATTTCTTCGGGATTGTGCGAAGTGCAATCCCGTCGAATACGAAGGGACCCTCTGCCTCTATTGCCAGCATTTACGGCTTCATCATCTTCTCATCTGTGCTCCAGAGGTGGAGGCAGGGCTCGAGTTTCACATCCCCTACGCCTCTTTCGAGCGCGTTGAGCAAAATCCAGACTGCCGCCTATGTCGGGTCATCCATCAAGCTCTGCTATTTGAGGCAATTGCCGGTGCAGTGCACCCCAGCTTCTTAGAAAGCAGCTCCGAGAAAGGTAGCGTCACGCTTCATTTCGGGCCATCGACTGGAGACAATATCTTTACGGCCAACTGGACGAAAGAGGTTGAACAGGGATTATGGATGAGTATGGAGGCTACGATCAATTCCAACAAAGTAAAGAAAACAGCTACGGATGTGGATTCTTTGACTTTGGGTTCGAACGCTTACGGAGCAAGCCGCGTGGTGTCGTGGGAGAAGGTCCAAGAGCGTATTGCAGACTGTCTCAACAATCATCACCATGCAAATCAGACGAGAAGTCTGCCTCCAGGATTCATGGTTATAGACATCGCGTCTGCATGCATTGTCGAGCCCCCGAAGGAATTCCAATACATTGCTCTCAGCTACGTGTGGGGCCCGCAGCAACCAGGGTATCTCGAACTGAACAGAAAAACCGAGTCAGATCTGCGGACGCCACGGAGTCTCGACACGAAACAAGTGCCGAGAACTATAAGGGATGCCATGACTGCGTGCACCGAACTGGATGTCAGATACCTTTGGGTTGATCGCCTGTGTATCATACAGGACGAAGATCACCCACAAAAGATGGCGCAAATCCGCAGTATGGACGCAGTATATGCATCAGCATATCTCACAATATGCGCAGTCCACGGCACCGACTCTGAAACCGGATTACTGGGCCTCAACAGCAACCCAAGGCGGTTCAGCCAAGAACCGGTTCCGGTGTCAGGCCTTCTAATCACCCCACAGCTACCAAGTCCAATATCCGGACGCGAGACCTGGTGGACCCGCGGATGGGTTTGCCAAGAGTACCTCCTATCACCGCGAAAGCTCCTCTTCTCCCAATGGCAAACGGCATTCCAATGCCCCCACGGCCTCTCCACCGAAGGCCCCTCTAACACCTCCTCTTCCCAACCCACCACCGCCCTTGAAACAGACGACCACCACAATTTCTCCCGTTATGCCGGCTTTATTCAGGAATACAACAAACGCAACCTCACGCAACGCTCCGACATCTACAATGCCATCCTCGGCATCTTCGCCCACACCTACGGCAGCACCGACTCCTTCCGCAACGGGCTCCCCGACCGCGACTTCGACGAAGCCCTGCTGTGGGAGACGCCGCACCGCGAGGACCAGCCCCACCTCGTCGCCCCCTACGTCCGCGCCGAGGACCGCCTCCGCCTGCCCAGTTGGTCCTGGGTCGCCGCCGAGGGCGAGACGAGCTTCGACCAGCCGTTCCACGGCGCGACGGCGCGGTGGATGCACGCGGTTCATGATGACGCCGGCGGCGGTGGCGGCACTGTCTCCTTTCGCAGCATATCTGCGACGGGCGACGGCGACGGCTGGCACGCTTATACAGACTCCCACTCCCTCCTCCCCGTTGACATCCACCCCCGCTACTCGAAGCAGGTGTACGTCGCCGCGGCGTGGATGTTCGGGCTCTTCGAGAGCGCTGTCCCGGCTGAAATCCAGCATGTTGCAGCAGACTTCGACACCCTGCAGCGCCTGCTCGACGTGCGGTGGCCGCGGTACGAGGACTTCTGGAAGGAGGTGCACGGGGACGATGGCGCGCTGGCCCACTGGCTGGAGGCCGATACGCAGGCAGGTGCGGCACTGCACGAGATGGACGGCGCGGTGGCGGGCAGGGCGATGATCGGAGTGGGCATGCTCGACCAGCGCGGACGGTTACCGTGTATATGTGACGGGGATGGCCTGGTGGTGGGGATGTGCTCGCCGGATGATTTCGTGGAGGCGCCGCCGGCGGGGACGACGTTGGAGTTTGTTGCGTTGTCGGTAGGGGAGCAGCGGTATGTGCGTGTTTTTGACCAGCTGTTCCGCCGGGCGAGGGGCCTGGGGTGCGGTGGTGCGGCGGAGCAGCGCTGGGTTGAGGAGTTTGCGGGGGATGTGGAGTCGCGTGCGTATGAGAGTGAGGAGGAGAACATGGAGAGGAAGCGGATAATTATGAGCTCTCAAGTGACGATTCATGACGGTAAAGGTAGGCCCTTGCTTCCTCCGCCGGTTGTGAATGTCATGTTGATTCGGCGACACAATGGGATTGCAACTCGCATTGGACTGGGCTGGGTGCTGCTTACGCAATGGCTGAGGCTAAAGCCCAAATTCGAAAACTTCATACTATGCTAGTATGCAATGAAAGACAGCACTACGCCCCATTCGTCGAACACTCAGAAAGCCGTACGGGCATCAGTCCCCTTCTTTGGCTTTTCCGAAGCTATCTAGCCTTTCGAACTTCCGCTGGGCCCTCTTATCTTCGTTCCCCAAGTGAAGCTCATTCATGTAATCAGTAAAATCACGGGATAGCTCTACTACAGCTTTCAGATGCTTTCCCTTGACCAAAATTGTACCTTCCTTGTCTCGCTCATCGTCGAATTCGGCCAAGGTCACAGCTGTTTGGAATGCTAAAATGAATCGATCTTGAATCAGCGATCGGAAAAAAAAAAACAGTATCGGAGCAAATTCTCACCGTTTCTGATTTCTCTGCCGTTCCAAGCCAGCGCTTGCATCTCCTTGCTTTCGAGATATTCGTCGGCACTGCCATGTAGACGAATATAATCACCTCGCTCCTGGTTAAGCTTGTCGACGAACGTCTGCCACACCTGCTTCCGTTGCTCAGGTGTGAAGTTGGGATAATACAGTTTGAGGTGGACGCGCGAGATGAAGGCATCGTCGAACGAGCCCACCCGGTTAGTCGTCAAGAATAGCATTCCTTCGTAAAACTCCAGGGCTCTCAGGAATCCTGCGCAAGCTCGGTTAGCTTGTAGATTTGGGTAATTGATCTTGTAGGTAGCGGGCTGACTGACCGGCGACTAGGCTGTTGCGATTCAGGTCGGCCGTAGACCGACGCTCCATGAAGACGTCTGCTTCGTCTATGAGCAGTACTGCGCCCCAACTCTTTGCCGTCTTGAAATGATTCGTCAAGTTCAATTCAACTTCGGTCGGAGATGTCCCGATGTCGCTCGAAGTCAATATCATCAGTGGACGTCTTGTGAAGGCGGCCATGCATTCTGTACAGTGTCAAAGAACGGCGCAAGAGTGATTTCATATGCACCCACCGGCAGTGTAAGTCTTGCCATTGCCAGGACTCCCATGCAGAAGGATGATCAAACCATTCCCTTTGCCTCTTACAAAATCTGCACTCCAGGGTTCTCTTTCGATCTTCTCTCCATGCGTGTTGAGACGTGCGAAGCTTTTTGAGAGTGCTTTGAGATTCTTCACCCTCTTCTCGTCCATGACGAGGTGGTCAATCATGTCCTCGAATTCTGGTTCTGAAAAATCTCGAACGTGAATATGTTCTAGAGCATTGTTAGCATCAATCACATCTCCACATCTAGGGTCTTGCCAACTCACCCCAACTACGTGTCTTGAAGACGAAAACTGGCATCTCAAAGGGGCACAAAAGATACTCGTGGCGAGTCAATTCGTCCCTGGTCTCCAGAGTGGTCAAATCATAGTGCTTGAATGGCGCCATCATCTCATTGTTACTGTCCTTTCGCCGTTCGAGGCAGACGGAACAGATGCAATCAGTCGTCCATATTTGGGTATCCAGTGCTGTGCGTATTCGTGGAATATTATCGTCATGCAAAGTGAAGTACTGCTTCAAGTCCGCCATGACAGCACCATCGACCTATAAAGTACCATTAGTGTATTGCTATTGATACAATGCAATGTGAAAACCTCCCTCGTTATACGGAAACTTTCTCGTTTTGCCTCGAAAATGACCACATTGCTTTCGAAGCAGACCCCACCACTTCTTGCCGAACTCCATCAGCTCATTGGCAATAGGGTCGTTGGTGAGAGTCAAATAGTCCTTCACTGGGAGTATTCGTCGTGTCGTGCCTATCTCGTTCTCTCCATCCCGCTTCGGGATATAGAAACCGGAAATACATCGCGCGAGGTATGTTCCATTCCAATTTAGAGACCAATGAGTAATGTTCCACGGTTCGGAAGAATTGCCGAAAGTTCCACCGGACAAAGATTGTATGACGCCGGCTGACCATTCCGTGCCTTCTGCGAGCTTGAGAACAACGGTTGCTCCAGGCCTTAGTGATACCCATAAATGTTCCCACGTCTCAAACCCTCTTTCATTGCGTTCCTGCTCTTTTCTCACGTCCGGTATTATCTCCTTATCCAGAAAGTTGAGCAACACCTGAAGGTGCTCTTCGGCATCCTTCTCTCGCACACATAGCTCGCTGGGATCCTTTTTCGCACATTGTTGACGATATTCGCAGAGTTCATCGTAGTGGTGGATGAGGATGGGGTATGGATACTGGATGAGGACCTCAGAGCTGGTCAGGTCCTGGCCCGGATAGTACTTCACGACCGACCGCAAGGCGTTCACGACGCTTACAGACAGTATGCGCATGCTGATAGTTGGCGGGTGCCAAGATCGGGTCGGAATAGTGTCCCTCGTGCGTTCTTCCTGGCTCGTGAAGAACTTTCGTACAATCTCAAAGACTGTTTCCTTTTCTTGCGGCGGAGAGTATGCAATGTCATGAAAACCAGTAGTGCCATACTGTTCGTGAATCAGATCGTCGGTGATTAGACTTCTGTACTCAGTGCGATATCCTATCCTGGGGATGGCTGTATCATCGCTCTTCTCTCTTTCGTGTTCCGATGCATCTTTTCTTGGTTTAGGAGTCTCATTGAAAGCATCAGGGTCAGTGGTTTCCATGGCCTGATGAACTGGAGTTTGACGCCCTCCCGACCCACCGACTGCATTCTCCTCGCTGGGTGGCGTTTCCATTCGGATACTTGATCGAATGAGTGGAAAGTGATAGATCTGTAGACTGGACACAACAAACCTGCCGTGCCATTTGTGGGTGTTTTCGTACTGATAAATGGGCGCAGAAGCTCCGCTATCGTTTTCACATGCAGCTTTAGGCAGCACCGGCCCCTCATTTACATGCAGTGTTGCCTTAAATAGGTATTGGTCATGAGCTGGCGTTTTGGCTTGCATTATCCGCCATTTTGCCATCCAACGAGAGGCAGACATTTAACAGTCCAGTTTTAGCTGAATATCTGCCTTGCTACTAGCCCATCTGAAATAAGGCTGTCGCGGGTATGCAGCACCACTCATTTGCTAGCACACTGATAATTGCTCATGTCATGCTGACATGCATATTTAAGCGACAATTATTCCCTCAGCCTTGCAGAAAGCATTGCGCAATGCCCCGCCTCGACCTTCTGTTACCCACTTATACTCTTTCCTTTTACCAACATAATACCTTGATGATAAGACAAAGAAGAAGGTCCAAACACTAAACATAGCCTTCTTCTGCACAGTGAAGAGTGTCGAGTGTATTCATGCATTGTAGTACAAGGAAGACTTTCCGGTGGGGGCGGACCGACCCCGCTCATGCAGCTTTACAAACACAGATGCACTCCCCTGTCTGGAACAAGGCTGAGAGGAATTCTCCTCGTGAAAGGTAGTCCACCTACTTGATTCCACTTTGTGCCCCATCGCCTCCCACAAAATTTCTCCCACCAAAAGCAACAACAAAAACAGCATGGACGACATCAGAGAGTCTCAAAAGCTTGTGCGCATGTATAGCTTCGACGTAGAGGAGAGGCTGCCGCCGCACAACGACGCTTATCAACTCGCTTCCGTCCTCGGCCGTGATAAAAGTGACCCTGACACCCTCGCCGCGCCGTGGCGGAAATTCTTCGAGCCGTGGGACCAGGGACACCACAACGAGTAAGCAGTAAGTCCGAATCACTTAATATGCTCCATAGTCTGATAAGTCCGTGGTAAACGAGTAGAAGCGCGATAACGCATGTCATTAACGTCGAGTCGAAAAAGCTGTGGGACCAGTGGCGCATCTTCGAGCAGCAAAGCCCGCCCGAGGAGCGCCTGGACCTTAGCCGCGATGAACCTACTGTACAAGGAATCGTTAACATGGTGGAGGATATTAGGAGGGCGTGGGCGGCCAAACGGTCGAAAGGGTTCATGGGCAAGGCGCTGGACCAGTTCCACCGCTTCTGCCACACGCTAAATTCGCACAGCGCATTGATCGCGGTACTGCCGGAAGGGAACGAATATGTATCTCTTTTCACTGGGTCGCTGAACGCGATTATCAAGGTGAATATCCATCGTGCATTTGTGAGATTGGGACTGGACTGATCCCAGCCAAGGCCAGTGTCAATCACGAAAAGATCGCCGAAGGACTCGCACAAGCGCTGTGGCAGATTAGCGAGCATATTGCAGAATGCGACATGAAGCGCGAACTCTTTCCGACGCAGCAGATGCAAGGCGAGGTTGCGAAGTTCTATGCCGAGATCTTCCTCTTACTGTCGGACGTTATGAGCTGGATGACACGGAAGCGGCGCGAGCGGCTCCTGGACTCATTCAAGGAGGATTTCAATAAAAGGTTCGAGGATCAGGTGGAGAAAATCACGGCCATCTCAGAGAAGATGCGTACACTAGCCGCGCTAGGCACAAGCGCTGAGCAGCGCGTCATGCGCTTAAACATGGAGAATATTGGGTCGGAGATCCAAGATATCCGAACAGGCTTGGAGGGGGATTCGCGGGATCGCGCTGAGCAGATCCATAGGCTGGAGAGGCTGGAGCGCGAGCTATCGGATCTCAAAGCCGCCGTCAGGGACGAAGGCCACATCTTCAAGCAACTGGCGTCAGATGTGAAACTTCTTCTTCGGGGTCAGGCACTCCAATACATTTCCAGCCAGCCTCCAGAACGTAGGGTCCGCCTCCACTCTTACCAAAGAACGAAACTCACCAAAGAACCACAGACCGATACCTATTACCTCCCAGCCCGCAGCCTATCGCGCAAAGCCTCCCTCTCGCAGCACCGCCGCCCAAACGTAAGTCCCCCTATCGTCCCTACCCCCCCGCACCTCCACTAACCAACCCTTCACCCAGCAACCCCATGGACTCCCGAAACTGTCTCTCTTCACTCCAGTGACCTAGAAGACTTTTTCCACCGCGACCGCGTCCGCCTACACCCAGACGCCGATATCGGCCCCATCACCGCATCCCCCGAGACAGCCGCACGCCTCTCTAATTGGCTGACGTGGTCCAAATCCTCAGTGTTGTGGCTGGTCGGCCCATACTTAGCCGCCGACGCCTTCGCCAACCCCGTCACGGTCCTCGCGACGCAGCTGGTCCGCCTAGCAGATGCACGCGGCATCCCCACACTCTCATATTTCTGTGAGCTACGACGTGGCGAGCGCCTGCGGCAGGGTAACGCGAGCCGCGAGGCGCAGGCGGCGGTGGCGCTGGTGTGCGCGCTGATAAGGCAAGCGGTTGAGCTGCTGCCACCACCACTACCACTACAAAAACCACCAGCCGCGGGCGATGCGGCAAGCGAAATGCAAACCGCAGCCAGCATCGATGTCGACCTGTCCGAACAGCGGTTTCAGCAGGTGGACGGGACGGTGCTGGCGTGGGACGAGGCGATGGGAGTGCTGCGGGACGTGCTGGGGCAACTGCCACAGACGGTGGTGTGCGTGGTTGATGGGATGCAGTGGTTGGACGATAGTAGTACTGCGGTGTATCTGGGGGAACTGGTAAAGGCGCTCCGGCGGCAGGAGAGGGTGAAGGTGTTGTTCACGACGGCGGGGAGGTCGAGGTGTTTGTTGAGAGAGCTGGATGCGTCGGAGGTGCTTGAGTTCGAGTGTGGGGATGGAGCGGGTTTATTGGCTTAGGTTGGGTAGGTGGGTGGTGGGAGCGGAAGGTGGTGTTTTTGCTGTGAGGATCTTGCAACAGCAAGAGGGCGACCTTGGTAGATTATGCGAGAATGTGCGAAAGTTGCGTATAAGATGTGTCTATGACCAACTGAGCTTTACCGCATAACCTTCCAGTAATTCCATTTCAAAGATGGCCTGACATTGCTCAAGACGAAAACATAAGTCATATTACCGGGCTAAACAACTGCATACCGTAAGAAAAACCCAAATATTACAACGAATACCCCAGTAGATCCCGCTCAAAACCCATAATCCCAACCAAACCAAACCTAAAACAAATCATACAGCATACACGTTAACATCATCCACCCTAATAATCGACATCCCCGTCGTCCGCGTACAATGAGCAGTGATGGAAATAACAGTATTGCTAGTCGCGCCAGAGATGTAGTTTCCACCAAACGCCCTGAAGACGTCTTCATCAGGCTCGATGTCCTGATCGCCCGACACGGGGTTGCCATTCATGTTGACAGACACGGTACACGGACCCGAGCCGCCAATGCGGCGAGCCTTGAAGTTCACGCCGTAGGCGGTGCGCGGCTTGAGTTGGATGGTCTGGGCCAGGCTGAAGGAGGGGTAGCCGGCGGGGAGGTTGATGGCGCTGGATATATGCTGTCAGTACTGGAGCGTGTTGGAAGAAGGGGACAGTGAGACTCACGCGCTGTTGTGGAAGATGTTGGCGTCGCCGTCGGCGTTGAAGTCGATTGTCGCGCCGCCGACGGCGGACGCGACCTTCCACGGCGGCGCGGTCGTGCCTACGACGTTGTCGAAGCGGCCATTTTGGACGAGCTGGACATTCGGCGGGGTGAAGCAATCTCCGAGGAAGCAGATGCCGGATGCGCACTGGGTCGATGTTCAGTGCTCTGAGCTCTCCACAGGGAACAGACGGTAGGGCTGGTTCAAAACTTACAACATTGCCACAGGCGCCGCAGTTGTTCGGATTATCCTGGAGACTAAGACATACATCCCCGCACTGATCACCTGGGCATCCGCACCCGTTGCTGCCCTTGCACGTCGTTCCTTTTGGACACTGCCAAATCGTCAGCCAACCGCTCACCCCAGCTTTCAACACTCACCCCCCGTTCAAACTTTTTTTTCTCACTTACCTGTCTCCCACACCCACCACAATTATTCGCATCCAAACCCAGCCCGACGTTCACACATTGTAGTGCACTCCCGCTTGCCGAAGCACTGCACAGCGAGGTGTTCAAGTCACCGCAGCGGCAGGTGCAGCGGGCCGAGTTGGAGGCGTAGAAAGAGTCACCAGCGAAGGCTCTAGTAGCAAAGGCGTAGCTGGCACCGCTGATGCGACATGCGGCCCACTGCGCGGCCTGTGCAACTCCTGGGTACTTCTGGTCGCACGTGCTAGCTATACAACTGCCCATGACGGAGTTGCAGCTGTCGAAGGTGCCCGTGTCACAGTTGTCTGTTTGGGTGGGAAGTAGGTCAGTTAGATGGGTTTGTGTGAGAATAGGGGAGGGAGGATAAACGAAGGCGCCTTTCGCCAGTATGGCGGTTCGCGAGTTGTTGTATATCCATGGGTGGAAGTGTAACAGTGAGAACAAGAGAAAATGTGCAAGTGTGAGTAGGTCAGGGGTCCTCCGCTCAAGCAAAACTTACCAAAGCAGAGATCATGCGCATTACAGCACCCCGTAAAGTCAAAATTCGGCACCTTCGCGCCGCCCATCTGCGCACACGTTCCATTCGCCATGGGCTGCCGCGCGCCGGGCCTGACAGTGCTGACCAAGCCAGTCGGCGCGGCCGGGCAGCGTGGATACGCAGGCCCAGAGTTACCAGCATCATCGCCACCGTCGGCACCATCGGCACCATCTGCCCTCCTCTCCCACCTCGACCGACGGAGCCGCTGCTCCCACAAGTTCCTCCTCCTACTCCCACTACCACCACCACCATCACTCTTCCTCTTCCTCGTCGGCGTCAACACCCCCGGACTAGCCTCCGCATCCGCCGCCGCATCCGCCTCGTCCTCCGAATCCTCCACCGTCTCCGCCCTCGCCGCCGATACCGGCGCCACACCCGCAACCGGCAAGACCTTAATAAAGTCATCCGGCGACAGCGGCTGGTTGATCGTAGTCCCACCAACGGCCGGATCCGTCGTGACCTGCCAGGGGAAGGTGGGATCGTTGCGATCAATGAGCGGCGCTTCCGTGAAGATCTGGACGAAGCCGTCGCAGTCGACGGTGAAGGCTGACGTCGTGACGTAGGTGCCGTCGCCGTCGAGGTCCGCCGAGAAGGGCCCCGTGGAGAGATCTGTTAGGGCGAAGGTGCCGTCGGGTTTGAGGGCGACGTAGCGCGGGTAGTCGCCGTCGAGGACGAGTTCGTGGGATCTGGTGGGGGGTTTGAGTGGGGCTGGGGTTGAGTGGAGGTGTGGGGAGATGGTGGGGAACTTACTCGGAGAAGGGGTAGCCCCATGGATCGGGCTCGAAGTGGAAGGTTGTTAGCGAGAGTGGTGAGTCTTTGCCGAGGAATTGATTTTGCAGGGATACCATTTGGTCCGTTGTGAGCGCTCCGATGCTGTTGCCGAGATTGTAGAGAGCTTTGCCGCCCTGTGTTACCAGGTTCTGTTTCGGGTATGTGCATCAGTGCTGTTGGCGAGACGCCGGAGGGGGAAAGGACTCACAAATTTCTGCTCGCTGCGCAGGTCAAACACACAGTTTGGTGTGGCTGTGGGAAGTTTGACTGTTGCAACCGTTGCGTTTGCGGTGAAGGTAGGGAGTTCGACTTCGGTGTATGTGTATGTGGCCAGGAAAGCATTTACGTCCGATGGTGTGGGGGCACCAGGCACCGGGATTGATGGCGGGAGAGATTGAGATGAAAGAGCCTGATCAGTCTTAGCTGCTAGTGAAGTATGGCTGTGTGCTTTAGACTTACATTCACGGGCGATGATGACACTTGTGCTGACAAGGCTTGCGGTGACGACGACGACGATGCCGAAGCGGGAAACAGTCCCGGTAAAATAAGATTACTGACGGCAGAAGACAAAATCGAGACAACTGGAACACCAAGTGAGAGATCGACACCAAGCGACAGTCCGAGACCTGGAGCGTTATTTGTTGTGGAGGTACCAACTGGTATCGAGGTCGCGATTAACGTTGAAGCACTTGCTGTGGAGGAGCGAGAAATTGCCGGTGGGAGGCCAAGATCACTGACTGGAAGTGGAGCCGCAATGCTTCCAGATGCTGAGATCCCCACTAATGCAGAATTACTGGTTGACGATGATGAGGGAAGAGATATCGAGGAAACACTTCCAACTGGGATAGAAGATCCGGGAGCAGATGCTGGAGGAAGGCTCGCAACTGAGGTAGAGGAGCCGGGAATAGATACTGAAGGTAGAGATGAAGACGGGGAGAGACTTCCAATTGAAGTAGAAGATGCGACTGCTGGTCCTGAAGCGACGCTACCAATTGGGGTGGAAGACTGGGCGCCCGATGTTGAAGATGAAGAGGTAGACGGAGAAAGAATTTGGAACGAAATAGCCGAGCTTCCTAACGACCCTGTGGAGACTCCAAACGTAGGTGCCGGTGGAATTGACGAAGATAAGAGCGAGCTTTGCCCGGCAGCTGTAGAGCTGCTAATGGTCGATGCAGGTGGATTTACCACAGACGGCGGGCTGTTACTAACTGGAGTCAATGAACTCGCACCAGCAGGTATGTTAGTTGATGGCTGCTGGGCTTCCGGTAAATTTGAAGATGGCTGGGTAATAAATGTTGGTGAAGATACGCCTGAGGAAGACGAAATCTGAAGGGGTGATGAAGCTGATTGAACAGATGATGGCACGGAAACCTGGTTATTAAGTGTCGACGAAGGAGGTATTGAAGAAAATAGAGCCACAAGGGACGATGAAGGTAATACCGTAGATGATTGGATCGAAGGGGGATTAACAAGCGGGGTTGACGAAGAAAATACTGGAGAAGAAATGGCAGATGCTGAAGATATTGCAAGAGATTGAGGAGTGGAAGATGAGACTACTAGGGCTGTACTTTGCACCAAGCTTGATGAAGATATGGTTGAAGAAGAGGAAATTTGGGGGGATGTTGATGATGATACAAAAGGGGGCAACGTGGATGACGAAGCCAAGGGGGCTGTATTTTGCGTTAGTGCTGATAGGGATGGCGGTAAGGGAGAGACGACAGAAGAGCCGACAGGTATTGAAGAGGCGCCGAGGGGTATTGAAGTAGAAGAGGACTGTAATGGAGCTGCAGATCCCGCCGACCCAGACGGAGATGGTCCAGATGGAGAGGAGACTCCAGTAGACGTGAAAGGTGATTGAGAAGGTGGTAAAGAGGATAATGGGGATTGCAATGGGGCTGTTCCTGTCACCAGAGCTGATGATGGTGGTTGTAAAGGAGAAACTATGCCTGTTGAAGATGATTGAACAGGTGGTACCGCTGACGATGACTGCGACAAAGCTGGGCCTCCTACTATTGCCGATGAAGATGGCTGCGAAGGAAAGACTCCTGGTATTAAAGATGAAGCAGGCGGCGCCGGTGCTGATGATGACAATGATGAGGCTGTACTTCCCGCTCCAACTATTGCTGATGGTGGTGGGCCTGATGGAATCAGGTTGCTGTTGGGTGCAGCCCCGCTTCCAGTGGCAGTACTAGAAGACGATGGTACTGACAAAGCAGCTGACGAAGGTAAGGTGGCGACGGAAGCTATTGAACTCCCTGTAATGGTCGAGGAGGAGATTCCAAGAGTCAATTCCGTTCCCGCGGATAATGAAGAAGATGAACTAGAGGAGGATACAGACGGTAAAGAGGATGCGGAGGCCGACGATAGGGCAGCCACTAAAGATGACAGAGGTACTGAAGAGGGTAGGGGTGGTGAAGAGGATAAGGGTAGTGAGGCGGATAGTGGTGTTGAAGATGATAATGGTGTTGGAGACGATAAGATCGTAGAGGAGGAGATGGTGGCTGGAGAGGATGCAAGCGCTGAAGAAGATAGGGGATTCAAGGCGGATAAGGGGGATGAAGGGGACACAGACGCTGAAGAGAATGCGAACGCAGAGGAGGACACGGGCGCTGAAGACGATGCGGGTGTCAATGATGAGCTGGCTGCTAAAGAAGATAAAGGTGCCGAAGGGGATAAAAGCGCTGAAGACGATAAGGGGTTCAAGGCGGATAAGGGGACTGAAAGGGATACAGACGCTGAAAAGGACACGAGCGCTGAAGGGGACGCAGGCGTTGAAGAGGACGCGAGTGTCAATGATGAGATAGCCGCTAAAGACGACAGAGGTGCCGAAGAGGATAAAAGCGCTGAAGGGGACGCGAGCGCTGAAGAGGCCAAGAGTGTTGAAAGGGAGGGGGGAATCGAGGAGAATAGGGACGGTGAAGAGGATGAGGGGACTGGAGAGGACACGAGCGCTGAAGAGAGCACCAGCGTTGAAGAGGGCGCAGGCACTGGAGAGGAGCCACCACTGGACGATACCACAACAACTCCTGACAAAGCACTCGACCCAAGCGCAGACACCTGAGTTGTTACTGCCAACGTGCCACTTGATATTCCAGGGAGAGAAGACCCAACCAAGCTCGATGGCGCCAAGCTGATTTGGCTCGGTGCAGTGAAGGAAGCTTGGGTTGTGCCAGAAAGCAGGGTGAAGCTGCTTTGACTCGGCGCAAGGGACAAAGCTTGAGATAGATCTGAGGAGAGGATGGACGGTGCAACCCCAGAGCCGATGGATAGTGATGCAGAAGCAGACAGCACAACACCAGTTGAACTTGGCACCAGCGCCGAAAGTTCCGAGCCACTTTGCCCTGGCCCAAACGAAAGGGACTGAATGCCACTGGATATGGCAGCCAAAGATGAGAGCTCAGGGATACTCAGACTGATATCAGGTGATGGTGTTGCGACGCCCAATGATATACTAGGGACCAAGGCAATAGCAGTCCCAGGAACGAGTTCACCAGATGTTGAAGACGGGGTACCAACATCTGGAGATGCAGATGTGTCTATGAGCGGCGCTTGTTCGGATGTTGAAAAGGTTTCTGCAGCACTAGATGTCGACGAAATCTCGCCTGTTGGCACGGTCCCAATTTCAAGCTCTGTTGATGAGGACGAAGAGCTAGTAGGAGTTGATGAGAGAATTGCCCATGTAATAGCTAGTGACGAGCTTTCTTGTGTCTCTTCTGACAAAGAAAGAGAAGGAAGAGAAATGGAAGAAGCCGAGGAAGGAGAAGACGAAAAGAGAAAGGTAGATGGAGAAGAAGAAAGAAAAGCAGAAGGGGGTTCAAAAAACGGAGAAGAGGAGGATGATGACAACGATGAGCTGGAAATAAGAGAAGATGTGGGGCTTGAAGTTGACGAAGGAGCCGTACTACTCTCAATTGCGGTAGACTCGCTAACTGGCGTCTGAGTGGAGCCCTGGGATGTGCTCGAAGATGCTTGGCTGGAAAATGGAAGGGCGCCAAGAGTGCCTGTCGTTGCTCTTCCAGTGCCAGAGGTTCCTGTGCTCGAGCTTGACCCAACTCGCGACGAGGATGTGACAGTACTCCGTGCGGGACTAGTCGAGGATCGTCCGCTAGACGAGGAAACCCTGGAGGATGAAGCTAATGAGGATCTACTGCTAAGCCCTAGAACGCTTGATGTTCGGGAAGATGTAGAGACCGCTGAGCTGGTACTTGACCGCCCTATGCTTACAGATAATACCGGCCTGGATGAACTTGATCTGGAGGAAGAGGGCGAAGGAACTAAATTAGACACTCCGGGCTGTATTAATCCGGATCCGGATGATGCTGCCGACGAAGAAGATGTTGAAGATATAGATAAAGTTGTACTTCTAGTCGGTACGAGAAGTGATTGTCCTGGTGGTGGTAAAAGCTCAGATTGTGTCGCGCTCGAGGTGGTCCCCGAAGTCTCAGAGAGGGCAGGCTCGAGGTCCGTGCCAGGTGGTGGTGGTATAGCCCCAGGCTGTGTCGAGCTTGTTGAAGACGCCGCACTCTCTTCGATTGAAACCGAAGGTGTCGGTTTTGCCGAAGTCTCAAGCGTAACCTGGGGGATACCTGATGATTCATCTCCAGAGGGTGTCGGTTTTGCAGACGTCTCAAGCGTGACCTGGGGGGTACTTGATGATTCATTTCCAAAGGTTGAGCTTGTCGGCTCTTCTGCAGGCTGTTCAACTGCAGACGAAGATTCGATAGGGTTTGGCTGGAACGAAATTGAAAAGTCATTGAAGGTGGTGCTGGACGAGGTTGTTGATGAGGTTCGCGTAGAGCTCGACGAGACAGAAGTGCTAAGGACAAAGTCCTCCAACGTGGATGACGTAGAGCTCGACGAGGTGGATGTGCCACTTGGAGCTTGACCAAAGGTGCTGGTTGTTTCAGCAACGGATGATACTGTCGGTCCGACCCTTGTACTTGTGGCTGAAAAGTCTGTTGCAGAGGGGTTGGCACGGGTCGTCTGTGTCGAAGTTTCGGTAGTGAGAGTCGTATCCGTGACGACAGTATTGAGGAAGGTCGGGGCATTTGTGACAGAAATTTCAACGCTGTTGCCGATGCTGAGCAAACCATTCTGTGGAATAGGAGTCGACACCAAGACGGGTTGCAGAAGCACGATTGGGCGGATCCGGATGACGATGACTAAACGAGGGTCGTCGGACTGTGCCAGGACCGTTGGTGCCAGTAAGGCACCAATTAGGAGGGCCAGAAACATGGCGGAGGGTGGTCCGGAGGGTCGTTGCCTGGCCTCGGAAAAGACGGCAGCGTAGGCGGTTCATAAAGACAAAGTTTTATTGCGAGCATGGCGGAATGTGATTGATCCCCATGAAGAATGAGCAATTGGGAATAGTAACGAAGATCATACATTCTCGGAGGGCATCCCGTTCCCTATGAGTTGTTGGCTGTGTAACGCACTGCGAGTTTTAGGCGTGGGAGGATTACCCTTTGCGACAGTTCCGGAGCTTGGCTTTTTATATCATTTACGGACAATAGTGCAGCTATTCTTAATCTTTCACAGAAATACATTTTTGCATCTAAAGCAGGATTGGCTTTTGACCTAGGGCATTTCCCCAACATTGCCTCGTTTCAATTCCACAGCGCATCCCTTTCTGCCTCGTCCGCTTGATGTTCGGTCAATATCCTTATCACCAGCCTGCGTTCTGGCCCCTTCGGAATTCTCCTCAAGCATTCTCTGGAACCTCCCGTTTGATCGGCGATTGAAGATAACAAAAGAGCGCCTGTTCGCACCGTTACATGCGCAGCATTCACTCCGGTTACGAAGTGCTCCACCCGACCAAGTCATGCACAGTGGCGTAGACAAACGGGTCGAGTCATGCACCTTCCCAATCAGGTCACCGTTCATGCGGCGATGACTAAACGGGCAACCGGCGGGCTCGCTAAAGCTATATTAAACCGACAACTCCCACGTCCTCTCGCATCCACACGACATCTTCCACCAACACGATGAAGAACCCATTCTGCTCCGAACGGCTACACTACCGCGCCATCCGCGACACGCCCGAAGACGAAGCATTCGTGCATTCGGTCCAGAATGACCCCGAAGCGTACGGCCTATCCAACATGACGCTGCTGCGGCCCGAAACCACGAGAGCGAGCGGCGAGTGGAAGAAGTACCTGGCGGAAAAATGCCTGATTGCCGTCATCATCTGCATCGCGCCGCCGCTGCCGGCAACCGCCGCCGAGGAGAAAGCGGCGGTGCCGATAGGCATCATTTCGCTCACGAATCCGCAGGTAGGCCATGAGCATCACCGCAACAGCAACATCGGCGTCGACATCCTCGCGGCGCACAGGGGCAAGGGGTACGGCGGCGAGGCTATCCAGTGGATCGTTGATTGGGGGTTCCAGTACGCAGGGCTGCACCGCATCGGGCTCGAGTGTTTTTCCTACAACGAAGGCGCTGCGAGGCTGTACGAGCGGCTGGGGTTTGTGGCTGAGGGGCGCAAGAGGGAGACGGTTTGGTTCGACGGCGCGTGGCATGACATGCTGCAGTTTTCGATGCTGGAGCAGGAATGGAAGGAGAAACAGCGGGAGGCTGGGAGGTAGCCTCGACATCAGCTCTGCCACTCGGCTTCGTCGCTCCCCAGCGGCTGGGGCATGCGGTCCCAGCCCGGCTCGAAGCCTTCCACGCTCGCGGAATGGCGCACAGCCTTCAGCACACCCAATCCACTCTCCCTCACTTCCAAGTATCCCTCAACCTCCTCAGCAGTGAACCCAGCACAGTCAAACCCGGACCGCCCCTCATACTGCCCCAGGCTGCGAAGATACTTCATCGTCCCAGCCAGCGAAACATCGACGCAGAACGCACCACCCCCTTCCACCTCCCCCTTATACAGCGCCGCGCATATCCCCATCGCCAAGAAATACCCCGACGCATGATCCAGCGCCTGACACGGCAACACCCTCGCCCCCTTCTCCCCCTCCTTCTCCTCCCCATTAAAATGCTCCGCCTCCGACACATTCATCCCCGAACACGTCTGCACAAGGCTATCAAACCCCCTCCGCCCCCGCCACGGCTCCTCCGGCCCAAACGCCGACATGTTCGCCACCACGATGCCCGGATTCATCCGCACCAGGTCCTCCTCCTCCCATCCGCGCGCCGCCAGGCTGCCCGGCCGGTACCCCTGCAGGAAGACGTCGCAGCTGGCAATCAGTTTCCGGAGTTGTTCCCGGTCGGATTCAAGCCGTAGGTCCAGCTGCGCCGTCCGCTTGCCCCGCGCGACGTCGCGGTCGACGACGGGCAGCGCGGGCAGGTGCGGCGCCGTCACCCAGAGCACGTCGGCGCCGTGTGCGGCGAGGGTGCGGCCGGCGACGGGGCCGGCGATGACGCGGGTGAGTTCGAGGATGCGCAGGCCGCTTAGGAGGCGGCGGCGGCCTGCTGCTGTGACGCCTGGTCTAGGTCGTCCTGCTCCTGCTCCTGCTGCTGCTCCTCCACCACCACCACCAATTCTCCTCACCCGCACCGGAACGTCCAGCACCGCGCTCGCCTGCGCCTCTTCGCCGACGTCCCATTCATCGTACGACCGCAGCGCGTACATGGCGCAGCCGGCCGCCAGCCCTGCCGCCTCGAGATCGCGGCTGCGCCATTGCCGCGTCTGGGCATCGATGTCGGCGCGGGTGAGGCTGGTGCGAGATGCCGGATCCAGGCCGAGCAGCTGCAGGGCACCGTCGCGGTGGTGCGGGAAGGCGGTGTGGATGCGGATGCGGCCGCCTTCTTCGGCGGTCGGGTGGATGTCGAGGATGGGTGAAGGGGGACGGGGACGGGGCTGAGGGGAGTCATTGGCAGGAGCTGCGGTGTTGATGATGCTGCAGTGCTGGACGGAGAGGAACTCGGCGGTGGCGTGGCGTTGGGGGACGGTGATGCGTGGGAGGGATGCTGCTGCGGCTTTTTCTTTTTCTTTTTCTACTGACGCATTGCGGACGGAGTGCACCAGAGCTGCGGACAGCGCGGACAGCGCGATGCTGCTCTGTGCCAGGCAGCCGATGCGGTAGGACGACGGCAGCACGGGGCCGGCGTGCTCGCTGCCGGGTAGGTCGACGGCGGAAAGGGCGGCCGCGGGGAGGCCCAGGCTGGCCCAGATGTCGGCGATGACGTCGTGAGGGGTGAAGCTGGAGCGGTCGGTTGAGATGCCCTCGTGGATGATGTTGATGTTTGTTGCGGGAGGCTTGGAGGGGACGGATGCGTCTGCGGCCATTTGTACCTGTATACGGCAGGAGAGCTCTGGGTTCACGTGTGTTCTGGGGTTTTGAAGTGCTATGTTGGGTCGGGGATAAAATAGTGCAAGCAAGAGTGGGATGAGTCAGGGTTCCTTTTGTCCAGCCGTCGGCATCTCGGTCAACTGTTCGCTTATTCCATCCCTCGGCATATAATGGACCTCGTGCTTCGTACTTGTATTAACGAACTTGTAATGCAGACGAATGCTATGATCACGCAATTCAAAGCTACGAAAACGTCACTATTTTGCGGCCCGAATCATCGTTTGAACTTACTGACAATTTTCACAGGAAGCTTTATCATTATTTTCAACTGATATTCAGGATAATTATGTCCACAACAAACGCCATGTCAAAATGTGAGCATACTCTAGCTCTATATTCTATGATTTACGCATCAATGGTACCCCAAAAACCTCCTACTCTCCCCTCTCCAACCCAAACATCTCGACGCTATTCCTCCACGCCGCCTCGGCCACCTCCTCCACCGCAATCCCCTTCAACCCCGCCACCACAAACGCCACCCTCGAAATCGCACAACTTTCATTCCTTTCCTTAACCATACACGCCGCATCCCACTTATCCTTCTTCTTCGCCAGCGGCAGCGGCGGCGCGTTCCCACAATACCTCTTCGTCACCTCCGCGCCCGCCTTAATCTCGCCCCACGGCGCATCCGTCTCGATCTGCAGCCGCTCCAACGGCACCGTCGCCACCATCTCCAGGCTCTCCCTTGTCGCGAAGCTGAACCCGTTCACGCTGATATCAAACCCCATGCCCACCAACGCCTCCATTTCGGCGCGGCTGCCGACGAAGCTGTGCACGAGGCCGCGGCGGGGGAGGCGGGAGAGGTACGGCGTGATCTCGCGCACGAAGTCGGCGAAGGCGGCGCGGCAGTGCAGGAAGAGCGGCAGGTCCCAGCCCTCCCGCACGAACATCTCTAGCTGTGCGCGGAAGGTGCGGAGTTGCACGTCCTTCGAGACGTGCGCGGTCTTGTCCCAGTCCAGCCCCAGCTCGCCAAACGCGGAGAGCGGGCTGTGCGGCGTGATAGCTAAGGCATCGCGCACGTGCGAGGCTAGCTGCGCGAGGTACGCGTTGGATTCCCACTCTTCCCCCCCTGCTTCCCCTCGTTCGGCCTCGGCCTCAGCCCACGGCTCAGCAGCATGATACGGATGCACGCCGATCGTCAGACTACACTGCTCGGGCCTTGCCGCGCACAGCGCCAGGTTGGGCACGACGTCGGCCAGGTGCATGCCCGTCAGCATGACCTTTTGGACTCCCGCGGCGGCGGCGCGGTCGAGAACCGAGGGGTGGAAGTCCGGTGGGTGCTGCTGCTTGCCGCGGTAGACGCCGGTGAATTCTGGGGCTGTGGGGGTGACGGCGACCTTTGTTGCGGTTAGTCATTGGGTGTTTTCTGGGGGATGGGGGAACCTGGGGTACGGCGATCTGGGGGACCTGGGGAAGAAGGGAGGGGGACTTACGTCGGCGTAGCGGAGGGGCTTGCTGGGGGCCGCGGGGGCCGCGGTGGGGAAGCCGGTTAGCATGCTGGGGCGGGGGTTCTTGCGGAGGGTGGTGGTGGTGGAAAGGCGGCGGGTGGCGGCGGTGGTGAGGCGATTGGTGGTTATTCGCCGGGCGAGCAGCATGGGCTTTGCAGCGCTTGCTGCAAGGGACGAGACGGCGGCTTATCAATTGCAGCGAAGATGGCGTCGGCAATGGGAGAATTTGTCCCGACCGGGGGCTGCCGGGCCGGTCGCGAACCGGGCCGGTCTTCGGTCTTGCTGGGAAAGTGGTTGCCGCAATCCCACAGCTTCTCACACCAGGTAGGCATCCTTCCACGGCAGGTCTTGCTGGTCCGTGCAGTTGAAGCTGTGTTTGAATATTCCTAGGAGGTCCATGTAGTCGTTGGCGATCTTGGGTCCCTTCGTCCCGTGCAGGTAGCATTCTCCGGCAAGTGTGTAGGCTGGCAACCCGTCCTCGCTTTCCGCCGGTCTGAGAAGAAACGGGACGCTGGCTCCACGAACAAAGCCGATGACATCGCCAGGACGGATTCCTTGAGGTGCGATTGCAAACGAGTCCTTCGTCAGCACGATAGTTCTGCCGGTGGAAAATCTGCGTAGGGCGTCAATGTTCGCTCCATGACCAGATCTCTCCAGTTCTGGCTCGAATGTCTCCCAGAACCGGTCTCGGTCGTGCGTCTGTATACCGGGGACATTTTTGTCTGTAGCAAACTCGTCTGGCCCGATGGGTAGCCAACGCACAGGAACCCAGTAGGGCCGCAGTGTCCGTCTCTCGGAAGAACGTTGCTTTCGTAACAAGAACCTCGCTGTATCTTGGTTTGTAATGCTCTGACCATCGGCAGCCTTGACATGATCCACTTCAAGCATTGACACCCTGAGCCGCGGGCCTTTACTGTTGGATATTTGCGCCACTGATTCATTCCTCGCCAGCCTCGTCACCTTGGAGTTCCATGAAGCGAGGGAATGCAAGTAAGGGTGCCGCGAGTAGTCCGGTACCCATGATGGTAGCCCGGCTAACGGTATACCCCGGAACCTTGGATTCTCACAGATGCCATGAAATTCGGTAGGAACGAACGGGCTCAGACTTTCTTGGAACAGCTGCACTCGCTCCATTGCAGACTGTGCCAATTCCTGAACTGTCGTATTTTCCTCTGGGGTTGTTGCTGTTGATTTCCGATCAACCTCGGCTTGTAGAGAGCTTACTGCTTCGAGCATTGCAGTGCAACGTGCTGTGCATGCAGCGGAAGGCGATTCTCTCTCCAAAATGCTAACCACCCATTCATATAAAAGCTTGTCATCCTCGTGTTTGGAATTTAGAGAGCCATTCAGACTGATTTCGAGTATTTTCTTCCTCAGTCTGATAGTCTGTTCCAGTTTGAGACTTGCGACATTCTCGATCCTCGTCCAAGCCTCGGACAACAGTTCCAGATGGCTGTAGGCCTCGATAACTTGCCAGGCCACCTCAGTGTACAGCTCTTCAACAGGTTTGTTATAGTCCACCGAGATACTGATGTTCTCCCTGTTCTTGAAGATACCAAGCAAGGCGTATATCCTGTCGCGTTTATCCGTCGACGAGCAAGAACGGGCGATAGTCAGCAATGATGCCAGATCCTTGATTGGTTTTCTGTCGTTATGAGACAGTTGCAGAGCCCGTGGAAAGTCCTTTTCCATGTTAACGGGATTCAAGCCAAGCGAATATATGTTGCCGAATGATAGGGAACGCCAATCGAGAGTCTCGGCGCCCAGCATAACTACCGATCGTTTGCACACAGCCATCTCTTGGAGCACCCACACCCTGGTGAACCATGAAAGGGATAATATCCACGACAGCTCCCCTTGGAACTGAATCCTCTGCTCTTCTGTAAGTTCGGCCGGGTGCGGCGCCTTGTTACCGCTGGCATCGCGTCTTCGAAGAAAGTCGAACAGCTGCGTGATCTTGGTCCGGTTTTCGTCCCCCAGGAAGACGAGCGTGCGCTCTGCCTGAAAATAAATCCGATTTATCAAAGGTATCTGGAGGTTTTTCTCCTCGTTGTCCGCCTGGTTGATGCAGATGGCGTCGATCCAGAGCATCCGCGCTGTAGTGCGTTTACGCAAGTTGTGTAGAGCGCAGCGGCAGTTCTCTGTTATCTGAAATTGATTGCCATGGATGCTGATTGAGCCAGTCAAGCGCTGGCTTCCCCACGTGTAAGAAAGTGCCTCGTATCGTGGGGCCGCGGAAATATCTGCGTGGAGAATTTCGCAGCGCAATTTTTCTGATGGCTCTCCAGGAAGCAGCTTCAACACTCGGAACTCTGATGCTGACGCGAGTGGTGTATGTCGATAATGTTGTATTTCAGATCCAGTATGCTGGACTTCTGATTGATGGTGAGGGGTTGTGGGGAGACAGCTCGATAGGGAGAAGCTAACGCGGGGTAGGACCGAGCCACAGCTGAGGCAGAAGCGATCGTCATCGAACGTCCGGACGTCCTGTCGCGAGCAGCAGCTATCGTCTGACAGCGGCATTTTCAGGCACATCCAACGACGACGACTCTTTCGCGGCGCTTGAAACGGCCATGTAGTTCAGATTGGCCTCTCTTATTGCAATCTGACGAAGTTGCAATGTGGCTTGAGCTAGTGTTGTATCGGGTTTGTGGTGCAGAATCTTGTGGCTGTGCTGCAGCGGTTAATTCTCCGTCTGCACTTCTGATTCGTTCCCCCACGCCCCACATCTTTCGATATTCGTAGTAGCTAAGCTGACACATGCATGCGCTTTATGCTTCCGCTGCCGCTTACTGCACAGGTTCTATGCGTGGCTTTAACACGTGATATGAATTGAGACTATAAGCTAGTGAATCTATAAAGGTTAAATATTTGGTAAGGATAATGGCACGGTATTGGATAATGGCATTATTGCTTATACGCGAGCAAGATCACACTGTATTATCTTCCTTGAAACCAAAGGGTCTATCCCTGCACTTGCTACTGTTTCGGGGAGTGACAATGACAACAGAAGCGGAATTGCCTCTCTCCAGTGAATCGATTTGACAGGAATGAAGACACGCATCTTACTCGAGGCTGATTCCTTGTGTCCCGCTGATTTTACTGCCTGTGTAGCCATTGCTGCCTACGGTAGAAAAGTAAAAAGCCCTTGCTCCCTTGCCAGCAGCCATGCTATGTGGAGAACGCAAGGCTGAATTCGAGCTTGGCAGGTTCACAACCAAGCACCTTGTCGTACTACACTTTACGAAAAATTCAGGCAGCAGCGGCAGGGTCAACCTTGTTGTGTTGCAATGCCAAGCTTGATCCCTTGCGGATTTTCCCACGAAGGGTTTCCTGACTATAATAACAGTGGCTGAGACATGATAAAGCCTGAGCTGTGGGCTCTTGCAACTTCTGATCTCTTTTCATAAGCTTGTTCTTATTGACGCAAGTCTGTACCAACACATCAACCCCGAGACCATGCCCGATGTCCCTGTTGCACCAGACCTACAACCACCGCTTCCGAGGTTCTGGATTGACCACGGATGGTGCCCACACCAAGTTGAAAAACTCGAAAGTAATTTCGACGAAGACGTCCTGTCCTATCTCAACCAACTCGATTGGTCCAGAGCGCAAGACCTCAGCCACGAGCGCTGCCGCAAGGAAGAGAGGGAGGAGAGCCAAGACGAAAGCACAAGTCAAAAGAACAAGGCGAGCCAAGATAGGACCGTGCTTCCAGTCAACTGCAAGGCCTTCCAAATCGACGACGAATACGAGCCGAAGCACACAACACCAGACTGCAAGTGCGACTTCGTCCACGTGGACCGCGAGGAATTAGCCGGCATCATCGATGATGGCGGCGTACCGCTCATCTCCATCGAGGAACATGATAGCGGTGGCATTTCTCTGAAAGTCGAGGCTCGCAGCGTTCACTCGCGTTATACGGCCATCTCGCACGTGTGGCGCGACGGCCTGGGGAACGAATCGCGCAATGCCCTGCCCAAGTGTCAGCTCCAGCAATTGAACGCATGTCTCAAGAACATGCCGAAGCCCAAGGAGAGTGGCTGGAGAAAAATCACGCCATGGACGTACGGGGATTGGCGTCGACAGAACTACTCCAGGGACCCTTGTCCACCTCCATTGTTCTGGCTCGATACGCTTTGTATCCCAGTGGGGCCGAAGGGGAGCGAGGGTGGCCGGCTGAGAGCGGAAGCTATGAGGGACATGGCTCTGATCTACAGCTCACCGGTACAAGTCCTTGTCCTGGATGCAGAGCTGCAGATGTGCTCAACCGAGAACAAGGACGCAATCGAACTTGTCGCTCGGATAGTGTGCAGCAGTTGGATGACGAGAGCCTGGACTTTGGTCGAGGGAGTCCTGGCGCGCGAAGTCGTGTTTCAGTTCAAAGATATGGCCGTCGATCCCCTGGGTTCGTGGTCTCCGCTGGGAGAGGATCCGAAGTTCAGCACGAGCATCCGATTTCCCAAAGGCGAGCGATACCGTAAGATCTACAAAGCCCTGTTTGGCTGCCTGTGGAATGAGCTACGCCAAGGTTGGAAGCACCATGTCACCCCAAGAACGTATGGATCGGCATCTATCAGTTTTCCTACCGCAAGAGCCTCCCCCAACGAACCTATTTTGACAGAATCGAATGAGTATTGCCGAGTTGCCAAAGAATCCTCCTGGCACACTCATACCTACGAACAGCCTCGAGGTATACCGAGTCAATCAATTGGTAGATGCTTGGAATGAACTGGCTTTCAGAACGACCACGAGACCTGACGACATTCCTGTCATTCTTTCAAGCCTTCTGGACTTCAAGTTCGATCCACTTCCGAAAGAATGCCCTGTCGAGGATTTCATGGACGCTGTGATATTCAGCTTTGACACGCTACCGGTATCTCTGCTCTACAATACCGGCGTTCGATGCAACCGAGATTCAGCACCCAATAACGGATGGGTACCAGTTGAACTAAGCAAGAGCCGTTTGAAAGCTTCACCGACCATGAAGGTGTATGCCGACGGGATGGAGATCACAATCAGGAACAAGGCCAGGCTGCCAGCTGAACTCCATGTCATGCTCCTACCTGATGTCACTCTTGAACGGGAGACTTACCAGCTTATTGATCCCTTAACAGGGAGAAGACATAAACTACAGCTCCATGGAAATCGCCACGAAGAGAGGCTTCTCAACTACTGCATGATTCTGGAGGATCCGCTGGAAGAAAATGGTTGCCACCCTATCCGCGGCGCGCTGTTCGCTCTGGAAGAAGTACCGCGATTGTCTGCGTATGAAGAACGCACATGTTCCTACGAGGCTGAGAAGTTCCGCGTTTCTTTCGTCTGCCCATTGGAAATATGTACTGCTGAAGCCTCGCAAATTACCCCTGAGAGCTGCCTCGGAGTCATCCAAGGCGTGTGCAGACTTCGGTCAGCTCGTATTAGCATACTTTATGGTAAGTACCTCTATTTCCGCGAGTTTTTATGTAAAATTACGTCCTCTTTATGAAGCAGTTACCTGAACCGTACCACAGACAAACCAGCCAACTTCGAGAAACTCGTACGCCGTCGTATATGCGCATCATTTCCCACCGGGTGCATGTTCTTCGCCATGATGATTGTCATGGGGATTGCAGCTTACGTTTGGAGACCCTCCGGAGATAGCACAAAAGACATCAAGTCGATCTATTGGGGTTGGGCTTTTAACGGGTTCATAATTTGCTTCGTTTTTTTTAGCGCATTCATCCAGCCTCCGATCGACTACTATTATTGGATTTCATCATTTGAGAACAATCGTCTCCAACAAGGCACTTCATCGGCTCTCGAACTCAGGCACCCAAGGAGTGCGCCGCAGGGTCGATTTGGTAGAGGGTCTTTGGAGGCGCGAAGGCGCTTGCTTGACAGTTCCCTGTTTGTATAGTGAGCTTGGGGAAGTTTCGGACTCAGTCTGCCATAGGCGTTGGTCACTTTCAGCAAATACCATCAGCTTTTCCAGCTTTCGTAATCTTTCTTCGTGCTACTTCACTCTTCTACCCTGTCTTTCTTTTGCAAAGTCCAATCTCCTCCCGTTTGGTTAACGTATATTCAAACAAAAAGGTAGTAGATGTAAAATATCATCAAATATCGTTCCATTAACTGTCCCTAATATGTCTACGAAGTCCTTCGCCTTGAAGCGAGACTGTCATCCGCCTGTCGCATATTACCAGATCAAGTTCCCACTGCAGCGTTCACGGGTGGCAACCACTTTATTTTTTGAGCGGATATCTTATAGTATAGCTGTTCTGTCGAGTGCGGAATAAATTACTATAGGTGCTAGTATTACATCAGATTAGGTGCTACAGTGCGTTTAGCTCGTTGGTCACTACTACTAGCGGTGCCGCCGTTAAAGGTAGTAGCCCGAGTGTCTATAACGGCGTGACGAGCGATACGAGCGATTAAGCGAGTGGGCGTTACAGGCGCGTAATTTGTTTGTGTGCTTATCTGGCGACGGCTCTGGCGAATTCGGTATAAAATTCGCGTGCCAATGACACGGTGCGGCACAGTCAACCCACTTTGGCGCCGCGCTAACAATTGATACCCCTCTGATCACAGCACTGGTTACGTGTGCATTGACTCGGGTATCCACAACGCTACTATGTACGTAGTAGATGCCCGGGGCTCCAGACGGGCCATTGGTCGCTCTCGGTGGTAGTTGCGCCGGGGTAGCTCGATTGGAGGTGGAGGTATCGCGGTGGACGGCCAGGGGGCAATGGACGCAAGGCTGACTGTGCTAGCATGGTTCAACGCATGCAGTGAGCTCTATATTGCGCCAATTGTTGTTTCAGTGGCCAGTTTGACTTTTCGGCAGGAATTCCAGAAATTCTCGAACAAGAGTGCCTATATTTGCTCACAAGGGGCCGGCCATGGAGAAGGCGAGCTCGTAGACGGTAGGCGCGTGAAAACAGCAGGGCAGAGGAAGCGCTCCATCCTCAGGTTCGGCGAGGCCAGGGTAGGCGCCTGACGATGGGGCATGGGTGGTGGGCTCTTGGGTCTAGGCTTTTCCTCCTCTCGCTATACGAAGTCTGTCCAGCAGCCAGGCGGTGAAGCCGAAGAAACTGCACAGAGGGTCGACACCCCGACGATCCCAGAGCGAAGCGAGGGCGCTGTGGCCAGCAGGCAGCAGCGAGCAGCTGAGTAATACGTACGGCGGTTTGCAAGCAGTGCGGGAGCCACGGCGGGTGGGCCCACCGCCGGAAAGATAAGGCTCGTCGGCGCGGGTACCCGGCCGTCGAAGCAACGGACAAACGGCTGTCACAGCGAGACTAGCCCGGCCCGCACCCGAGGCTCTGGGGAGCTGATTGCTACGTCACGAAACTGTCCCGCTAGCGCTCCATGAGAACGACATCCCCTCTGCAATGCATGACAAATTGGCATCCACCACCGTAGCCCGGCTCTTCTTTTTGCCATTAAGTGCGCATGCGAAAACTGTGATGGCAGCCTTGCCGTCTGTCAGGCACCACACTCTTCTGCAAGCAGCATAGTAATGAGCAGCTCGTCTCCGTCCAGCCAGCTACGATGAGGATGACAGCAAATCAAAGTAGTCGAACAGAACGGTGCAATATGAGTGCTTCTGATGTTCAGAATCGATGTGTCGTTTGATGACTTAGGTACCAAGGCCGCAGCGAAATAATACTGCACCGTAACGAAGCACCGGGCTATGGGGTCGTTGATTGGCCAAATATGAGTGCCTACGTAGCCCATTCTGGACCCTTCCTCCAAATCGATCGTGTCGAGGCATTGTCGTGGCACCGGCGTTGCCGATTGACGCAAGCCAATCTTAACTGGACTGTGCGTAGCCCTGCAGTTACGGAGGGCACTGGAAAATTTTTTTCTCCACCTTCGGTATCAAGATCGATCCGAGACATCCGCGCGATTCGATGTGTTCGTCTTATGTGGTAGTAGATCGGCAGGCGAGTGGGAACGCGCTCTCATCTCGTATTGAGAGGCGAACGTCAACATTGCTTTTTGCCACTTTCTCTACCATGTACCCGCTCCATACCCCTTGTCACTTTGCGTTGCAAGCTGAAGCAAAAGTGTGGCTGGGCTCAGCTCCAATGGGATCAATATTCATGGAACGATCCTTTCCTCATCTAGATCCCCCTGCCCTATATGCGTCTGAACTGGGAAGGATACGCATTTCAGCCTCATCGGAGGCAGAACCCCCAATTTGGGGGCCGAAAAGTAGGGATGCACAAGCAATCGCCTCTCTTTATCGGCTTGAGGGAAGTCCCCGTATTTTGGCTTCTTCTGTTGACGTTCTTCTCTGATACGCATTCGCGTTTCGTCTCGGTCGCTCTATCAAAAATCGAGCGTGATGGCGCCGTTGATCAGGCAGAATACCCTCCCCATACTAGGGGCCTCCTCAGGCCTCAAAAGCGCCGATACGAATCCCAACAAGACTGGCACGACGTCCAAAAATACCGGTACCAGCTCCGACAATGCTGGCGCCAGGTCCAAGAATACTGTCGCCATACCCCACAATCCTGGCATCAACTCCAACAACCCTGGAACCAGCGTCAGCAACACTGACATTATCGTCGGTCAGCAGATTGGGAGTATCAGCCACAGTACGTGAATACCGTCAATTTGTTCCCCTCGCATCGTTGTGATATGCGATGCAGGCGCAAGCTGTCCACGGCTAACTTCTTCCGTGTCGTAAGAATACTTCACTACCATCTCTGACAAGACGTCTCATAAGAGCTTTGCTGAATCGAGCTTTACGAAGTACAAGAGTTTGAGGCTTCGTGGCACGTGTAAGTGGTTGTTACAGGACCCAGCATACCAAGCATGGGCCGCGTGTAAGGGTGAATATATACGCATCTCAGGAAAAGGTAAGAGATTCCTCCTCCCCAGCGCTGCCTTGAAAGACCAACGACTTACGGTTAGATAAACAGTGGGATGTGGTAAATCAACATTGGTGTAAGTTTCTAGTCCGGATTGATTTGTAGAGAGGTTGAGCTGATGAGGTCTTGTTTTCTAATGTAGCGCACGAGCAATCGAGGACGTTCAGAGGAAAGAAAAGGAAGAAGAGTGTCGCCGGGTGCTCTACTTCTTCGCGAGCAGCTCGAGGGATGTCGACGAGGCCAGGCTGAAGGACCTGCAACCCACGTTCAAGAATGTGCTGCTCACCTTCTGGGAACAACTCCGAGTCGACAAGGATGGCGGCATTGGCGGTGCTGTTACCAAGGATCTCAGCGAGAAAAGGCTCGTGACCGGGATCATTGGAGAGCTCATGGCTTCCAAAACCAAACAAATCAGCATACTGATCGACGCGATTGACACATTATCTTCGAGCGACCAGAAGAGATTGCATTCAAAGTTTCTCGAAGAGTGCAAGAAACACAAAATGCAGGTATGCGTCCTTACGAGTTGCACACAAGATAGCGAAGCGGGACTTTTGGATGGCGAGATCCGTGTTACAACGGAAAAAAACAAGGTGGACATGGAGAACTTCCTCAGAGCGAAGCTCAGCGAGAAGATGCTGCAGCAGGATGAGGCCGGGAAAGGTTTGACGAAGGAGGAGAGGGAAAAAGCCAGAGAGCAAGAGAGAAACAAAGCCAGGGAGGAGAAAGACAAGACTAGTGAAGATGAGGAGAACGATAAGGACAGTGAAGATGAGGAGAAAGATGAGGACAGTGAAGATGAGGAGAAGAACAAGGCCTGGGATGAGTTGACGAAGGGGGAGAAAGACGAGGTCCAGGAGATTGTGAAGAAGATCATGGAGCGCGCGCAGGAAATGTGAGTATAAATTTCGGTGAGGTAGAAGTTCATCTAACGCAACGTTGTAGGTTCCTGTGGGCTGCGGTCATGGTGGACCTTGTCTGTCGCGCACACGACAAAAAAGACAGGGAGCAGGTGCTTGAGCGGCTTTTGCTGCCCAAGTACATCCAGGATGACTATGAGAAGCTAGTAGAGGGGTGGGAGGGCAAGACAGCGCGCGGACGGCTGGAGGAGTGGCAGCGCAAGTTGGCGCGGCAGGCGACGGGGCTGCTGGCGCACAAGCAGGGACTGCTTTCGTACGACGCGCTGACGGAGGTGCTGGAAGAGGAGTTGCCGGATGCAGTGGCGCAAAAGAGGGAGGCAGAAGCGCGAAAGCGGGAGGCGAAGAAGGTGGTGGAGTGTTGCAGCCCGTTCATCGAGTACGACGAGGACCTGTGCATCTTCCGCTTCGCGCACCCGTCGATGCATAACTTCTTCGTCAAGCGCGACGCCAGTCGTACGGCCTTTGCCGACCAGACGCTTGCCTATCTGTGCCGGCCCGCCTTCCGCCGCGGGCCGTTCAGCGGCGCCGAGTGGTGGGACATGGGCGAGCTTCGCCCCTTCCTCGACAGCCATCCCTTCCTGGGCTTCGCGGCTGCCAACTGGGTCGAGGCCGTGCGCAACAGTAAGGCTGCCAACGGCCAGAACCGCAAGTCGACGCGCAACCTGCTGGCTGACCTGTACGGTGCCGACGACAACCTGCTGCTCGCCTTCCAGGTCTGGCGCTTCGCCGCCCACAGTACGATGCCTACCCAACTGCGCTCCGCCCACATTTTCAGCTTCTTCGGCCTCTTCGACAACCTTTTCAGCAGCAGTAGCCGCTTCACCACCGTCCACGATGCCGCCATGACCGACTCGGAGGGCCACAACGCCCTCCACTGGGCCTTGCAAGCCAACGACCAATACACGCGACTGCAGACGGTGCGCATTCTCATACGAACCGACAAAGCCGCCGACATGATCTGTGCCCAGGGCAGCTCCGACCTGACACCGCTCCACCACGCCGCCCGCCTGGGAGACGTGGCTGTCGTGCGCCTCCTGCTAAGCCGCGACCCCGACAAGCGCGCCCTGAACGTCTGCAGCCAGCAATATGGCACTCCCTTAATTATTGCCGCCGCCCACGGCCGCGCCGACGTCATTGAGGAGCTGATCAAGGCTGGCGCCGACCTGAACCTTAAGTGCGACCTGGGCAATGTGCTGCACGCCGCCGCCGCCGCCTCACCCGACAAGGCCGCCCACGCCTGCGTCGACGCAGTCCTGCGCGAGCCCCTCAACCTGGCCCGGCTGGACATTGACGACCGTAAGCTGGACGGCACGCCGCTGCACACGGCCGCCTACCACGGCCGCCAGAGCGTCGTGGAACTGCTGCTCGAAAAGGGCTTCAGCGCGCGCAAGAGGAGCTGGAAGCATTGCAGCACCATCACAGCCGCCGCCGCCGGCTGCCACAGAGGCACCGACCACAAGCCCTTCATTCGCATCATGGAGATGCTGCACGACGCCGGCGCCAACGCCCACGCTGCCGGTACCACCGGCTACTTCGCCCTGCATCACACCGCCCAGTTCAATCAGCCTGAGATCGCCCGTTTCTTGCACAACTGCGGCGCTAAATGCCACCAGAAGAGCACCACTGGCACCCCCTTGGAGATAGCTGCCGCCCAGGGCCACATGGACGTTGCGAAGGTGCTTTTGCAACCAAGCCAGAAGAGGCAGAGGGCATACAAGAGGAAGAGGAGTGAGATGCAGCAGCGTCTGGCCGAAAGGGCGCGCAAGAAGAAGGAAGAGAAGAAGAAAAAGAGCACCTCACACGAAGAGAGTCTGCTACGCAGGGTCATTCTAGCCGTCTGGGCGCCCATTTGGGACAGCGCCGTCGCCGCCAACAATATGGCCCGAATCTACTGGCTAGTCGAACAGTACGAGAAGGCATGCGGCGGTTTCATCCAGCAAAACTCCTCTCGGCACGTGAAAGGACTCGCGCCTTTGGGTACCGCCGTCTTCAGCTCGGTTGTCGGCCTTATGGAGCGGCCGCGGGAACAGCAACAGAACCAGCAGAACCCGAGGTCTGGCCCGGATCTGCGGCGGAGGGCGAGGCAAGTGCTGTCGACCACCACCAAGGGCGCACTCAAGCTTTACGGCTTCTGCGACACGACCCTGTCCTACTTCCAGCTCAAGGTGCACGACGGCCGTCGCTTCCGCAGCGCCACCACTGGTACCGAATTCCACCCCGGCACGTACGAAGAAATCCTCGACCGTCTCACTGTCGCTGCCGTGCGCATGCTAAGCACGGCCTTCGAACACAAAAGTTTCGAAACTGTGTCACCTCTGGCAGAGGCGTGGATCGATGCCCTGCTGGCCATCAAGTCGGTCAGCTTATTGGAGAAGCTGGTCGGGAAGCGCGCCCTGGAGCTCAAGGTCATCCTCACCAACACAAGCAAGACAGCCGTCGAAAAGCGGCGCGAGGCTGGTATCCTGGCAAAGGTCGGAATCGAGCTGCTGGCTGTCGCCCTAAGGCGCAGCGGTGATGACGCCGGCGCAGCGAGGCTGGCCCGCAGCCTGGCCAAGCTGTGGGCCATGGCCCTGAACGACGCAGGCGATGACGCCGCTGACGCCGCCCGTATCGAGGACATCTACTCCGTCTGCAACGCCTTTCTCGAAATGTTCCGTCACGCGTGTGAGTTGCCGTCGTCCAGCACGAGCGAACGAAGCGAACGCGTCAAACGAGTTCGCCTGCTGACCCTAGTCGGCGCTGAGCTCGTTGTCGAGGCCGTACGGACAGACAACGAGCCCTTGATCAACAACATGCGCCGCATGATGGACCTGGGCCGCAAACAAGCAATCACGGCCCGCGTAAAGGATGAACTCGAGGATGTGTTGATGAAAAGGCACAATGGTCTCAAAGATGAACACGCCGAGCTCGTTCAGGGTGACAAGGAGAAGCGCGACAGCGTCATTGCTGGGCCTACCCCACCAGTCCAGGATGAGGGCAGCAACGATCAGAGCAACGCAAATGAAGGGAGTGAACATGAAAGCAGCGAAGGTAGCGAAGGCCATTCCCCCAATGGTGAAGGCAGCGAAAGTAAAGATGGAAAGCCGAAAACGGATGAGGATGTTGAGAGCAGGAGACTCAGGATCACTCTTCGGATACTGCGGGGAGACCAACGATGGTAGTAGTCACCCCATTTACTGAAACATCTACACACACCTTCTTCTCTTTATTTCTTCCTCTCTTTTCCCTTGACATATAATTCATAATTTTTTCTTTCTCTCTCGTTGCAGATATTAGAGAGGAACGGGGAGTGGTTGGATCTTGCCAAGGAATCGGTCAGACGATACGTACTAATTTCCCTTTGTTTGTCGCTTTCATGTTTAAAAATGAGAAGTCTGATGTACAACAAGATGTAATTTTTTCTTCGTTCTATGTTCGTTACTGTGATAGTGTTACTTTCACTACTAGAAATACAAACGGAACGCGGAGCCACGAGGTCACAGCCAAGAATCCCCTACCATCAATTGGCGCCGACGCCCCAATGGTTCGTCGTCCCCTTCCCAAAATTGTTCGTGGTCCCAAAGCTGAAGCCCTTCTGACCACCATTCACCTGACCAATCTGCTGCCCGTTGATGGTACCGGTATTGCCCATGGTGATGTTAGTGCCGCCTTGGGCAGACTCGCGCGGCTTCAGCGCCTCGACGACGGCAGCGTCGAGGTAAGGGTCGCACCCTTCGTCCTTGGTCACGGCACCGAGCACCTTGAGGTAGACCTTGTTGATGCCGGCGCAGTCGGACGCGCCCAGCTCGCACAGCCGCCGCTCCGTGGCCGCCTTCTCTCCTTCGTCGGCGGCCGGGAAGAGCTCTTCGAGCGAGCTGATGTTCTCGGATATTTCGGCCACGAAGTCGTCGAACTGCTGCTTTTTGTAGAATGCCCACTGCACGCTGTGCGTCGCCTTGACCACCGCCGCTCGCCGCCGTCCCAGCGCTGCGCGCAGCTTCGTGCGCAGCGTGCGCGTCGGCGAGGAGAGGTCGTTGGCCGGGTCGATCATGCCACCGTCCTTCGGCGCCGGTTGAATGCTTGCCGCTTGCTCCTGCGCGACGGCGAATTGGTCGGCGATGGCCTGGAGGAGGTCGCGGGCCGCTTCGTGGTCGGCGATGCGCAATGGTGGTGCTTCGGACTGGCCATTTCCGCTCGCCTTGGTGAGGGCGGTGCTGTCGCCGCTGGCGGTGGATGAGGTGTACAAGCCCGCCGCCTCGCCCCAGCGCGAGAGACGTAGCTGGATGATGTCGAGCTTGATGCGGTGGGAGTTGAAGTCCTGGTCGAATGAGCGGGCGATCTGGACGCGCTCGAAGCAAGCGAGGGCGGCGTCGAGGAGGGTTGTTGTGGCGGATATGATGTCCGTCATGGTGTCTTTTTTTCCCAACAAAAAAAAAAAGAGAAGGCGAAAGTTGATGGTCTTAAAGAGCAAGGGGGACTTGGAAATTTTGAATTTGCGACGAGAAGAAAAAATGATGGGTGGAGAGAGCCTCTGTATTCTTAAAGTCTGACAATCCCCGAGGCTGGGGAGGAAAACGACTACCGATGAGGATTCTGTTGCCAGCCAGTAGCTGGCTGGCCATGCTTGTGTCTTTGGGGGCGGAGTCGCTTGCCTGCTGCATTAGTGAGGCTCTGCTCGTTGCCAGCACAGCACGAGGCTGTGAGGTTTGTCGCGTTTTCAGCTCAGCTGGGATGGGGCGGACATGCGTGGGGCAGACAGGGAGCGGAAGACCCCCTCACCAATTCTCAGCCGCTTCCGAGCCCCACGTCTCCACTGACAATACGTCGTGGGAAAAAAACAATAACTTACGGATCTGTACCCCCGGAAATTTTGTAGCGAACGTCCCAGACTTAACGTGTTGACTGAGAACGCGAAATTTACTAATGCAAGTTGGCGATAGGCTCGCTTCTCGCGGAATCGCTGAATTCTTATCAGTGCTTCTTACTTTACCATCCAACTCGTCTACCGGTTATTTAGTATGCTAGTACTAATATAGTTAAATGTAATAAACGCCCAGTAGAAAGGCTGCCATTACTTTAAGCGGTCTTTGCCTCCGTTTTAAGCATCCTTGTCGGCCAGCGAATCTGTCGCCGCTTTTGAATGGGGGCTAATAGCGAATCCCTGCCACCACACCAAAGTCATCGCCCAAGCACGACCCACCACCGTGACACTCGAGACGAGCGCTACGCAGTGCGCGGGATTGCTCGGTTGCTACTCCCTAGTACTTCCGACCCACGGCCAAAAATCTAGCTCGAAGGAATATATCACTATGCTGCACTTCGGAAAATATCGTCTCGGGTGCCTGGCGCCGCAAGCGCTTAATAATTAAGGTTACGGGGCGGTTAGAAGCTCAAAACATACGAAACGGCGTTATAACCCACCAAAAATGGGTGCAGTCTTCCTTATAACTTAAACCGGGAACGAGGCTCTGCACGATCTCTTGGATTGCACCCTGTTTTTGAGGCACACATTCAATTCGCTGGAGCTGTTAAAACTTGGGCAGGGCATTGTGCGATCTGTTCTCCTGACCCACGCGCCATTACGCAAGGTATGCCAGCTGACCATCCCACTCGTATTTGTGCTGCATATCATTCCTAACTGAGAAAGGTATGTGTGGAGCTTTGTAGTCGTGGTTTTGGGGCTGGGAAGTGGCGCAATAAGCCTGTGACACGTAGACCAGCCACAAGACTGATCTCTACCTCTGCTGCCTGATTTATTCAATGTAAAGTCTCTACTTTTCATCCAAAAACGAAGAAAAATCGACCAGCCGTTTCATCTTTTCAAGTTGCAGCAACTCTCCAACGAATCATGCTCCCAGAAACCATGGATCCCTGCTGCTATTGGTGCTCGCACATTAGTCCTCGCGCAGACCCATACAAGCGACCATCAGGTGAAAGAAACTGGTTGCAAGACTTATTTCACAGCGACTGCGAATGCCGCCGTAGAGAGAACGCGCTCCCAAGCTCCGCATGTGGGTTCTGCGAACACCTTAACATCCGCCATCTCGTTTGCTGTGCTCTCAAGCGCGACCACCTGGACCTGCCCACATTATATACAGAGTGGTATCACCGGGAGAGCCCAAGGAATGGATGCCAGTTTTGCGAATATATGGCATCGTATGGTACCTCGGAGCCGGGGGTTGGTTTGTCAATTTCCTACGACCAGTTTTGGCATCCCAAAGTACAGTGGAGCAACGGCGACCTGGAGTGTTACCTCAACCTACGGTAGACCAACCAGAATCATTTTATTCCTCTTTCACAAGAATCAGTTTCACAACTTCAGGAAGATGTCAATTGGGGGCAAATAAGAGGATGGCTATCCGAAACGTATAGGGAAGAAGGGGACTTACCAGTCGACTTCCGGGTCATTGACGTAGACAGAGACTGCATCGTCACTCCCGACCATCCGGTCAATTATGTCGCGCTAAGCTATGTTTGGGGAAGCTCGCCGCAGAAAGAAAAACCATTCCAGGCTAGCACGGGCAATATCAATGACCTAGAGGTCGAAGGAAGTCTCTCTAGAGCACCACTCCCGCGCACCATAACAGACGCCATGGAAGTATGTCGCCAACTCGATCGGCGGTACCTCTGGGTCGATCGGCTTTGCATAATCCAGGACAACGAATCGAAGCACGATCAAATCCAACGCATGGATTCTATTTTTGGGTCTTCGGAGTTCACTATCATAGCCCTGTCCGGACGAGATGCCAATGACGGCCTACCGGGAGTCTCAAAACCAAGACAATCACGAAGTCTAAAGATCATCGAATGGCAGGGAATCACCTTGACCGATTTTTTCCCAAAAATTCAAGACCTTTTAAAGTCGTCGTACTGGGCTAAAAGAGGATGGACGTTTCAAGAGGAATTCTGCTCAACAAACAGTCTATATTTCACCGAATGCGGGGTATATCATTCTAGTTGCAATGATAATATCCAAAATACCGAATGCTTTACGGAAATTTCTGAAAGGCGACCACTGTACTTTCGATTTCCCGATTCGGTCGAAGCGTACGCGGCGCGGTCTTTTACGGACCCGGGTGATTTACTACGGGCATTCACTGGAGTATTGAACAGAGAATATGGCCACGACCATCATTTTGGAAATGCCGCACCTCTCTATGATTGGATCCACTGGCAGCCTATTGATTGGAAATACGAAGCAAGACGTCCCCCAAAAGACATTTCCACGGAACCTGTTTCAGAGATTCAACCTCACAAGAGCGACATCTTTCCAAGCTGGTCATGGACATCCGCGCAGGGAGGTGTACAAATTTACCAACCCGTCGAGCCTATTGCTCTATGGGCATTTCCTATTGCTCAAGAATCGCAAGAGGACAGTAATGTAGAATGGGTGTCCACGAATCGGGAAGCATGCCAGCTCAGAGACATCACAATTAAAGGACGGTTGATAAGAACAGGAGAATTTCCGTTTCAGCCCGAGAACGACAAAGAGTTAATTTCGGCTTCATCAACCCTATTCGACAAGGCTGACCGAGACGAAGCTTGCAAGAAGCTCGGACGTATTCTTTCATTTACTCAGATCGCATCGCTGCGCCTTAAAAGCCTCGACGACCATTTTCGCCATGATATCCGTCCTACATTCCGGATTTTGTCATCCGCAGGAAAGTATATAGGTGGAATCTGGCTCCCGAAATTATCACTCGAATATACGTTCAACAAAGATGGAAACCTTGAGAAGAAAGAATTCAATTTCATAGCACTCAGTAGCTGTAATGGGTATCGGCAAGCAGAGGAAGTCCTGAACAGTGTTGGGTTGGAATATAGCAGAGATCGAGCAGTACTGAACGTCATGCTAATTTGGTATGCTAAGGATTCTAATGTAGCTCGCCGCTTAGGCATCGGTCATGTTTTTCAGGATGAGTGGTTCAAGGAGAGACTAGCTTTGAAGACGATTATCCTTGAATAAGAACTCATGATATCCTTCTATTGTAACACTCTCCGTAAGCGCAGTTGAGAAATATTGAGGTGATTTAGTGTAGCCTTTCCTTTATAGAATAAATTCTCTATCGTATAGGCCTATAGTGTTACGTGTTTAAGAGCTATTAGAACCGCTTAGTGCTTGGCCTAAGACGAAATCGAGAAGTAATTTAACGTAGCCTTTAATGTAGGCACTTAGAGGGAGTAATCCATTAAGTTTAAACATTAAGAGCCCTAGGACATACGGACAATTTGGCCTCAAGGGATAAAGCTCCGCACAGGGACGGACACTGCAAGATCTAGAGACTTACTAGGCTATTTTAAAGCCACACGGGCGGGAATCCCAGCACGATATTAGTAGGAGCACGGGAGCACGGCGTCCATGGGCTTAGTAAGCAGCCACTGCCAGCCCACACACGAGGAACGCCCACAGAGGATGTGGTGATAGACGGAGTGCCCTAAGTGCAATCCTGTAGGGGGCTGAGGCCTATAGATAAGGATAGTCCGTAGAGAACGAAAACTCTAAGATTCCTTCCGAGAAGCCAATAGAAGTACGACGCTAAGAAAACAATAGAAGAGATGATATTCTTACAGCAAGTAGTGACTAAGAGCTTACAGTTTATTATGACAGAAATCGAAAAATAGGAAATCAGAGTCAGCCGAGCGACGCCGTGTCCCGTGTTTTCAACATCCATATTCGAAGCATTTGCATTCAGAAAGACGCTTCGTGACGAGGCCCCAGAAAAGTCAGCCACCCCTTGCTCCGGCATGGTAGGGTCGCAAACGATTTAGTCTTTGCATCCTTCAGGATGATTACCGGGTTTGTGTAGTTTTCTGCAACGTCCTTCGTATAGGCAGCGCTGATACCCCCACTCCATAATCATTTCTAGCTTTTATGACCTTTACGTACTACTCTACTCTACATTTTCCCTTTTCCCATCTTTCAGGATAGTTACCTTTGATAGACATATAAAAGACTTGAAGAGGTAATCGATGTAGACAGGTATCAATTGCTATCTTCCCCATGTTCACAGTGTTATTCTCCTCAAGGGTATCCCGCCATCCGACCACTGCATATCACTGTCTTGAACACCACCTGATATATCCTCTACAAATGGCAGTAACGGCTCGATGACTCCATCAGAATTCCCTGTATGCATGCCCTGCGGCCCATCTCCAGAGGGACCTGGACTGATGTTGTCCCCAGTCGATACATCTTTCAGCTTATCCGTGTCTTTTGGCGGTTTGTCCCAGCCCGAGAGGTGCGCATCTGTTCCTACATCGATACCCCATCTCCATCTTCGAGACCCATTCGCCGCATTGGAGGTGTCAGTAACCTTCCACCAGCCCAATGAGGATGGCTCTTCCCAAATATCTGTTTCTCTTGTACTGTCAAAACCTTCCCTGCGCAAACGTTCAACGAGTCTGCTACCAGCTAAAAGCGACAAGCGTGCAGCGATCGAGTCGGGCTCCTTCGGAAGGATGGCGTCACCCGTGAAGCGAGAGAAGATCCACAGGACGCAGATCAGAGCCAGAGCTAGCAGCACCTCGATTATGATTGTGGTCCGCAGATCCTGACCGATACGTGCATGGCTCGCAAGGATGGTCCCCTGGGCCGTCTTTCTCGAAGGGGAAGAGCTGTTGACCAGGTCAGAAGCGAAAGACCGCATATCCGTGAGCATCTGGGCTACGAATGCCGTGTACATCTCTTCGTTTATGCGTGCAAACTGATCAGAATTGAGTAAAGATGTCAGGTTGTGGTGTTTGTACTCAGCGAATGCCGCTAAGAGCTGAAACGGATTCGAACTACCTCCATAGGACGGCCATAGAGTCGTGTCATTCAGTAATCCTCCAAACGAAAAGCTAACGTTAAAGCTCATGTCAAAATAGTCGTCGTCACCCCAAGGCATATACCAGAGGTTTATTCCGAGTGTCGAAGTATTATATTGCCTGATGTAAGAAACTGATTGGTGATCCACATCAGACGGGATCCAGTCTTGGTCGAGTATGGAGGTTTCCGGCTGGGTGAACGACGCATCAATCTCGACGAGGCTCAAGTGTCGCTCACAACTGGCCAGCCTAAGAGTTGGAATCCCAGCGTCAATAGAGCTGGCGTCTCTGATGCTTTCGGTGGTTTCGTTAGTTGCAGTGACAGGCACGTGTGATAGAATAGGTGTAAAGTCGGCCAAAATAATCTTCCATGTAAGATCATTTGGCAGGAGATCTAACACCTCAGGGCCGGGGTTCTCCGGCATGGGGTATCTGTCCGGGTAAACGGGGAGGTAATGTGCTCCTGTGAATGGCTGAGGCGGGCATGCTAAATCAGAGTCTTCTTCCGCAAGATACACCAGATTAGTCAACTCCAAGTCCGAAAGACTGAGGATATCCCTGCAATGATCTGAAGCACACTTGAAGTCGAACAAGGGTGTTTTGCATTTGTGATTGGATCGTGCGGTAATCTCGAAATCGTCCTCTGGAATGCTGGTACAACGAACATCAACGGCTACGGCAGGTACTCGAGCGTGTAGCTTGGATCCAGAAAAAGATTTGTTGCCGACTTGATTGTCGAGTTGGACGATATTGCTGAGCACAAATTTGTCAACAATGCCAGCTCTCTGCTCTATGCCGATTGAGGGAGTTATGATCCATTCCACAAATTGCGAGGCGCGTTCCCCTGGTATTCGCGGATTGTGTATGTAGCTGAGATAATCGAGGTTATCCACCAGGCTTGTGTCGATGTCCACACTGACGTTGATTGGGGTGGTGACCATCTGTATGTCCGTAAAAAGTCCTGCAGCCACAATTTTGATGGCGGGGAACAACAGAAGCATTATCGACGAAGCAATGACTGCAAGGCCGGTTTTGACTCCTGTTGCCTTAAAAGGCACCCGAAAGTTTAGCGATTCCTTCGACTTAAGAAGCAAAGACCGTCTTCTTGACAAGTCTCGAAGGCTATTATACGAGCTAAGAGACCTGATAGAAGCGTCAATGCTAGAGCAGATGTAACTCAAAAGTAGTAGGATGATTGTTGTGACGTAGCCGAATATTGCTTGCGCGATCGAACTGTTGGTGCCCAACCCGGAGTGTTTAGTAGAAAGTGACTGAAGTATTGCAAGCGCTGCAATGACTGCGCAGAAGACGAAAATGGTGCCCCATTTTGCCCAGGCTCTTAGAGCAAGCGGTTGCCAACCTGAGGAATGCTGGCCATTAGAATGATCTTGAGACTGTCCCGCAGATGGCAAAGAGTTTGAGATCGTTGAAGAAGCAATCTCCATCTCAATGCGCGGTCTTTGATCATGGCTCAGCCTGCATTGTGTTAGGGAGAGCTCATTGCGTACATGGTCGTCTGATGAGACGCAATGATGAGCAAAAAATTCTTCCGTGCCAGAGTCTGACGCGGACAATATGATTGCCGTGGCTGCTATTGACGTAGGGTTTTCCCGAAGACAGGATGATGGCCGGAGGAGGAATGCAAACAATAGAGCAGCAATACACATAATAAGTAAAAGCGCCTGGAGCCCACGTAGCGCTGTTGGCTGAATAAACAGTCGCGGCCCTCTGATTTTAATCGAGCCTGGGATTGGTTGCGCCTCGTTTTCCCGGCCAAGCGTATTGATGATCTGCACAATAATTTTGCTAGCCAACCTCTCTACATCATTTTTCAAGAGATCGGTATTATCGAAATATTTTCCCGCGCTCTCCTCAAGCTGTCTGTCCGCTAGCGTAAGAGTAAAGGAGTCGGTAAGATGAATTGACATATAAAATTTTGCAAGCTTAAGCACGGTCACCATGTCCGCGCGTAAAACCTGGGGGATATAGGTGAAGTCAACCAACATGTCTAAGGCAAGCAAATAAAAGTATTTATAGCTGGAAAATTGGTGTTGACGAAATTTCCCGACACTACCTTGACAAAGCACGACGGATATTGAGATATTAATTATAAATAAATTCTTCGAGTGACAGCCATAGTACAGCCACAGCCGCCCTACTATTCCCGTCAGTCGCCCTTTGACTTTAATCTACAATACTCCTATTCTCTCCCGTACATGCAAATAATTAAAGACGCAAATCCATCTTAAACACAGGTAGCATCAGCGCTTGACATTGTAAATTGGAATTTACAGCCAGTCACAAAATGAACTTGAGGCACTTGGTGGGATTTTGTCAATTTTTGCGCAATTATACAGACTTGCAGAACTTAAAAGGCCATTCCAATATGATTTCAACAAATAAAGTCTGTTAGAGGTCCTCTATCTGTGATAACCATTATTGGCATCATCAACGGATATGACGCTCGCCGGCCATCGTGAAGTTTTGTAGGATCCAAATTCCTGATATACGGGTTATTTTGCGCTTCCAATTGCTTTGGTCGAGCTCAACGCGTGGTGGGAGGGTCAGGGCGCGCTACACGGGCCATTTCACGTACAGCCGAGACCCCTGGATGCTGTTGACCGGCCGGTACTGCTCAGGAAGTCGAACAGCGATTGGATTATTGCTTCGAGATACGATTGCAGAGAATTTGATCTGTGGTTTCAGACCCACACAATAGAGAACTGTTGGTAAGCCAGACCGAAAATTGCCGAACATAGGCGCTATTAGTAGCGATGCCATTATTTGTAAAAGTGCCTCATTCCATCAAAACTCTCTCCCAAAACTGTCGATGTCCCTCTTTCAGTACATATTGCAAATACGTAGAGACGTCTTTGGGTTTTTACACGAAGTCCGCTGCCTTTTAAAAGAATAAGCATGTTCTATACAACGATAGGGTGTGTCATGTTGGTTATAGCCGCACACTGTTGCTACTCGTTATAGGCTAGCGTCGGCATTCAGCTGGTGACGCCGAGCTTTTGAAGGCTGTGAACTGAATATGACGCATGGAATTGTACCAGTCAGCCCTTCTGCATAATGGTCATGCTAAACTAACCTAGCAATACACGAGGACTCGTCGGTCGGCCTACTTGTTAAGACCCCGAGCTTGCAGTTGCCTGATATGGAGTAGTGTCGGTGTCATTTCTCTCTCGCCGAAGGCCTGCCACTTTGTCTCGGGAAATTCTTTGAGAATTGATTACCTGACTGGATACCAATTTAGAAGCCCATCCAATTATAACCTCCAAGTGCGGAGTCACGATTGAAGCTGACATCGGTGTCATAGCTCCTCTGCCGGAATACTAGCCAATGAGTAAGCGGGAAACACCTCAACAGTCACAGACAGCTGCGACATATATAATAGATGGGACTCATGGAGACAACTCCATGATCCAGTATCGTCACAAACGATGTCTTCTTATTTTGCAGATATCGCGGATACACCGCCCGACGCGGCTTTCTCTTTGGTAGCCGCATTCGCCGCCGACAAGTTTGAGAGCAAGGTCGACCTTTGTCCCGGATTCTACCGCGATGAAAATGCGCAACCATGGGTTCTACCATGCGTGCAAAAGGTTTTCTCCTCAACCAGCAGCGTTCCTCCAACTAATAACCCCCACAGGCCAAGCAGCTCCTCCATGACGACCCTACCCTCAACCACGAGCACCTCCCGCTATCCGGCCACCCCGACCTAATCGCCGGCGCCCGCTCCCTCGTCTTCGGTCTCCCCGAAGCCGACCTCTCCCGCGTCGCCACGATCCAAACCGTTTCCGGCACCGGCTCCAACCACCTAGGCGCGCGCTTCCTCTCCGACGAGCTCCCTGCTGCTACTGTTGCTGCTGCTGCCCCCGAAAAAGCACGTCGTCAGAAGAAGAGCGTCTGGATATCCAACCTCAGCTGGATCAACCACACCGAGATCTGGCTCAACGTCAACCCAGACATCGCGCGCCGCACCTACCCCTACTACAACCCCACAACGCAGTCCCTCGACTACGCCGGCATGCAGCACGCGCTGCTCCACGACGCGGCTGCCGGCGACGTCGTCGTGCTCCACGGCTGCGCGCACAACCCGACGGGGCTGGACCTGTCGCACGACCAGTGGCGCGGCATCGCCGACATCTGCGAGGAGAAGCGGCTGTTCCCCTTCTTCGACTTGGCGTAGTAAGCAGCGCTCCTCCCCCCTCCCCTCCCCTCCTTCCCCCTCCTGAGCTGACATGAGCGCCTCCCCCCACACACAGCCAAGGCTTCGCAACCGGCAGCCTCGCCGCCGACGCCTGGCCCATCCGGCACTTCCTCAGCCGGCCTGCCCTCGAGTTCTGCGTCGCGCAGTCCTTCTCCAAGAACTTCGGGCTCTACAGCGAGCGCGTCGGCGCGCTGCACGTCGTCACGCGGTCTGCGGAGATAGCGGCACGCGTGTCCGGCAAGCTTAAGCGGCTGCAGCGGGCGGAGATCACGACGCCGCCCGCATTTGGAGCGAGGGTTGTGGCTAAGGTGCTCGGGGATGCGGCGCTGTATAAGCAGTGGGAGGAAGACTTGTTGAGGATGAGTGGAAGGATGAAGAGGATGAGGGAGAGGCTGTATGAGGAGTTGCAGGCGAGGGAGACGCCGGGGGAGTGGGAGCATGTTTTGTCTGAGGTAAGTAAGGAAGAAGGGGAGGGCTGGGACGAGAAGGGGAGAGTTGTGAGGCTGATGAGATTGGTGTGCAGATTGGGATGTTCTCGATGACCGGGTTGTCGCCGGCGCAGGTGAAGGTGCTGGTTGAGAAGTATCACGTTTACCTGCTTCCGTCGGGACGGATTTCGGTCACTGGGTGTAAGTTTGGAATTCTTCTGCTGCATGTGTGGCGCTAATTTGTTTTCAGTGACAGAGATGAATGTTGCTTACGTCGCTGAGGCATTCGACAAAGTTTTGAGGTCTGTTGATAGTACAGAATGATTTGTGTGCATCTTCACCTGTAGCGGTAATGCACCAGACATTCTTGTATTAGTGCAACTGGATTAGAAGCAAAAAAACCGGTCATTAATAAAACGCTCTGTGCGGAGGACGAATTGATATGCTAAATGAAGCAATTATCTACCTACTAATATAGCTTTCTCGATTTACTCCACTCAGGGGGCATACAAGAATTTTCAGACTGGTGGAGAGGCTTTTGAAGTGTCAATTCAAATTTTGAATCTTATGGAAATTTTCTCAATGCTTGTATATTGACAGATAGTGCTGTCATTGTTTATACTAAGGATTCCAAGTGAAAAAAGTCATCCAAACACCATCAAACCATACGGCATCTCTTCAGCCTGCCTTTCAGTGCTCTACAAAATGCAAGAAACGGCCGTTAAGAACATATTCAGACACCCAACCCACATTCGGCGATCCTAACCCAGCAGACCTCAGCCAGAAAGCACCAACAATTCAACGCCAATAGTGCACCCCTCTTTCCCCCCTTCTGCAGCCACCCTGCGCCACATAACACACCTACAACTTCGCCCACAACCCCCCATCCCCCCTCTCCCTCTCCACCACCCTCACCGCGCCTTGCCCGGCAAACGGACAAAGCTGGAAAAACAACTCCCTCCCACAAACCGCCAACGTCTCCTCCGCCAACACGCTCTCCACCCTCCGCGCGACACTAAACGGAAACCTGCCCTCAAACCCAACCGCCATCCCGTCGACGTACGCCGGCGCCCCGAAGACGCGCATGGTGCGCGGCTCGTCCAGGAAGAGGTAGTGCACCGCGCTGCCCCACAGCGCCGCGACGACACGAGGATCGAGGTCAGGAGGGGAGGGGGGAAACAGCACCCCGCACCCCCGATCAAACGCCCCCGCGTCGAAATGCGCGCCGATCTCGTCCTCGACGCGGTCGCGCACCCAGTACGGCTCGAAGTACGCGGCGGGCCGGCCGTCCAGCGTGGCGAGCAGCGGGATGGCCGCCCCCTCTGCGCCCGCAGTACCGTTGCCGCCGTGCTGCAACGCACGCAGGTACTCGGCGTGCGTGTCCGCCGTGCCGTGGCGGTGCCAGGCGGTGTACAGGGCGACTTGCTTCGGGTCCTCGGCGTCGAGCACGGCGAGGGCCAGCTGCGCTCCTGCGCCGCGGTTCAGGTGCGGGATCCACCGGCTGTAGACGACGGTGCCGGGAGCTGGCGCGGGGGCGCGGATGGGCGTGGAGAGGGCGGCGTCGATGGTATCCGCCGCGGCGTGGCCTTGGCCGCCTCGGTGGTGGATGACGACGTCTGTTTGGAAGGCGTGCTGCAGCGGCAAAGGCGGGAACTCCCATAACTCTCCGCTTTGCGCGGATGGTGCGGGTGGAAGCCACACGGGGCGCGAACCGAAGGGCGAGCCGGCGCCCTGCCAGAAGGAGCCGCGGAAGAGGAAGTAGTCTGGTGGTGATGAGGAGGAGGAGGAGGAGGAAGAGGAGGCTGCGGGGGATTTCGCCAGCAGGCCGACGCGGCAGAGCTCGTTGGCGACGTCGGCGGATTGCGGGCCCTGGAGCTGGATGGCGAAGGCGTCGGTTTTGGGGTAGAGGGTGACGAGGCCGTAGGCGGCTAGCCACACCTGGCCGATGGATGGGCGGCTGCTGTTTTTTCCCCAGAAGATGCGGGTGACGGGGACGGGGTCTTGGTTGGTCCAAAGGTCCGATGAGGGGGCGGATGCGTCTGTTGTTGTGGTGGTTGATGTGTTGTCGGCCCTGGGCTCTGTCCAGAAGAGGTCGTCTTTGTGAAGCTGCTCATGGGCAGCCTTCTCGGTGGGATTGGTGGGCTGGATTTGGAATTGTCTCAGGCCATCATCATATGCGCCGACCTTGATGGTGTAGGTCGTGTACCACGGATGCGGTAATCTGAGATGCATTGGAAGCGTCTCTCTGGAAGGTGATTGAGACATTGTGGCCGAAGGGCGTGGAGATTTGTATAGATAGAAAAATAATAGAAAAAGAGAGTAGCAACTTAGAAGCAGCAGCTACTTTAGCTGGATATCTACAGTGCTTAGGGCTGAGTTAGGGAGCTGAAGCTTAGCCCGGATTAAGCTCCGGGCTAAGGCTTACGCGTTGGAGAGTGCATAACGCACCGACAGCGGCGGCTTCGTCACAGCGCCACACGTCCCTTCTGGACCATTCAGGCCTCAAACCGCGGCACGGCCGATGACGCGATTTGACAACCTCCTGTCGTCCGAGGCAAACATGCAAAAAGAAGCATGAGGAGAAATTGGCGCAGCGGAGCACTCCGACAAACCGAGTCGGCTGATGAGCCTCGGCCCGTCTGTGATGAGGATCGCAGCGTTGGGGAAGCGCCGGTGTCTGGGGATTTTGCCGGCCCGGGCACCCAAGTTTTGCTGCCCCCTGCGCCGCGTGTGCCTGCCTGTTCCGCCCAAACAACAAAGTGCTTCCGTGCTTTAAAATTTAGGACTTCAGCTCTTTGCCCCCACCGCCCCACGTGTCTTTCCGGCCGAATCATTGCACAAGGATCAGCGTTGCGCATGGCCTGACGCCGACGACATGTCCTGCGTCAGCTGCTGACGGCTTCACCGGCATATCCCGGCCTCGAACTTTAGGTAGTCATTTGAGTTATCAACGGATCTATCCATTTCGCCACCATTCCACGCCTACCGAACTTTGCCGCACCGCCCGGAGAACTTTCTTCGAACCCACCATCATGCCCGATTTTCATCGAGCACATGTTTCACCAAACGAGCGATGTGACCACGTGAAAATCTCTCCTATTTCAGCCAATAGCACGCCGTTCAATACTGAATGTAGTAGAGAGCCTATAGAGCTTAACCATGCGAATAGGTCTCCACTAAGCGCTTTAAGCGGGAGAAAATGTGATAGCATTCAAGTCAACATCGGAGTGATGCTGTCATTGTGGAATGTTTGACATCATGCACGCAGTTGACATAGGTCGCATGATAGTTTTACTCACTAGTTTTTATAGCCCCGGCTTGTTGTGTTTCGCACCTTCTGCAAGTGTGCCTGTTCCTGCGCATCTCAAATCCTAATGGCGCAAGGGATATTCTGACATCCCCTCATGCTACAAACGTGGAAACTCAACCGCGCAAATTCTGACTCAAAATCAGGTGTGCATGTCACTCGCAATAACAACAGTCTCAAACCCATAACCTTTTCCTGGATATTTTTTGTACAACCATTCCCAACCAAGCAACTACGCTACGCAAGCAATGCGTCAAATCCACAACATCGTCTGAACATTACAGCAGGCCGCCCAAGCACCCCACACAACCCCATGTTTCCACAACGCAGCTCCCAATTCTCCGTCTAGAACAGAACACCCTTGACCTGCTCCATATCCGAGACCTTAATATTCTTCAGCATGAAGACCCAGATCAGCGCCAAAGCCATGATCGCGGTACCGGCAATCAGCATGCGCTGCTGCGCCAGTGCGTAGGCCTTGATAATAGCATCCCTGGTGGCATCGCCAATAGGGTAGCTGAGCTGGACGGTCAAATCATCGTAGATGGCCTCCCACTGGTCCACCGTCTCAGCCGGCAGGTACTCCTGCAGGGCCTTGGGCAGGGTGTTTGTCCAGATGGCGCCGGAGATGGAGTTGCCGACGGCGCCACCCATGTAGCCGAACAAGCCCAAGATGGCGAGGACGGCAGCGACGTCGTTGTGGTCCGCGACGGCCATGATGGCTACTTGCTGGCCGATGATCATCGTGCCTCCAGCCACCGAGATGAAGATCTCGACCATGATGATATACCCAATACCCGTCTCCGGGCGACGGAAGTAGATCAGCAGGCCGACGAACAAAATGTACAGCGGCACCGCGATCTGCAGCAGCCACTTATAGCGGCCGGTGTAGCGAATCAAAAAGCCGACGCCGAGCAGCCAGATGCCGGACACGACATCGAAGATGCCCGAAATGTAGCCGGCGGTCGCGAGGGACTGGTTGTAGACGACCTGCAGGTACGAGGTGAAGTAGGCGTTCCAGCAGTAGTAGGCGATCTGGTACGTCGCGTCGAGCAGGCACGCGCCCATGATGTTGCGCGACAGCAGCAGCGCGTACGGGATGAACGGCTTCGGCGCCACCCACCGCTCGAACACGGCGAAGCCGATCAGGCACACCACGCCGATAACCAGCATGACGATGATGTGCGCCGTGCGCCATTCGTTCTCGGCCGACTCGGCGATGGAGAAGGGGAGCAGGAAGAGGACGAGGCCGGCTGCGATGAGGATGACGCCGGCCACTGGGATGTTGTTAGCAGACAACTCATATTCATGGAAGCAGGGCGCACTCACAGTCGAACTCGACAATGTAGAACCAGGTGCTCTGGAGCCAGGTCCTGCCGCTTGGCTTCTTGACGAGGAGGCCGTTCTTGGTGGCCTTGCGCTTGTTGCTCCACAGCGTCCACCACAGCGGCAGTGCGACGACGGGCAGCACGATGGCCCAGCAGCCATACGCCCAGCGCCAGTTGCTGTCGTAGAAGTTCTCGGCCGCCTTGGGGCCGGCGAAGGCGGTGATGATGTACGGCGACGACGTGAACGCAAAGGCCAGGCCTCGATCCCGCATCGACGACGTGTCAGCCGTGATGACGTCCACGGAGAAAATCATGCCGGTGAAGCCGACCGAGTAGAAGACCTGCAGCGGGGGGAATCCTTAGCGCTCAAATTACTCGATTCGGCAAATGCGCGGATCTTACCTGTGCGGCGCAGTAGGTCTCGATATCTTTGCACGTCGCGCTCAGAATCATGCCCAGAACTGCGATCATGGTCATGAAGGAGAATCCGACGGGGCGACCCCAGACGTCGAGGATCTTGGCGATGGGCAGATAGGCGGCAGCCGTCATGACGTTGGAGACGATCGAGATGACGGGAATCAACGAGTGCGACTCGAAGCCACTCGTGATGTAGGCCGACAGGTTGGACGTAATCGACGCCTGGAAGGCATTGGTGAAGTAGAGCAGGAACATGCTGTCGAGTGCAGTCAGCATGGAGTCCCTATTCTCAATTGTTCCAATTTTACATACCAAACATAGGCGATGACCACATGAGGCTTGGACCAAGAAAGCGTGATGGCTTCAATCTCCTTCACACCGCCCTGAGCTGTTTCTTCAGGCTTCTCGCTCAGAGGCAGGTCAGCAGTCCTCTGCTGAGCCAGTTCGATGTCGTCCGACGAGGCATTGTTGGTGTTGGAGGTAGCCTCGCCACTGCCGACAGAGGGATCCTGTTCGGTGACAGTCTCGGTCGTGTCGCGCTTGGTGGCGTCGCGGTTGAAGATGTTGACGCGCATGTTGGCGGGCAGTCAATTGACCTGACGATGGGAGAGAGAAGAGCCACCAACGCCGAGACGAAAGGCGCTGGACAGGCGTGTAATTGTATGTTGGGGCGTTTCAACCAAGACGGAGTCTTCCTGACCGGCATAGGCGAAGAAACCCAGCCAAGACCTGCGGCCCGCGAGGTGATGTGGCGTCCACGCCGCCCGACGCGAAGAGTGTGCCAGCCGGCCCCGCTCATTTTCCTCTTCTTTTTTTCATCCAACTACCAATAATTCATGCGGACTTGACGCTGTGGCGGTCTATTGCGCCGGCGGGCGTCGGGATGCCATTCCCAGACAAGAAGTAGGTGCACCGATCACACGATCAGATTAGATCGCTCAACCTCGGCGTTTCCCATGCAGCTTTTTTCGTTGATGCGCCCTACGGCCGGGTGAAATTCCCTGCAAGCTTCCGATGTCGGTCAGGCGCTCTTTGTCGGTCTCCCGTCGGGCTGAGTCCCGTGTTTCGAGGCCCTTCCTTGTTGCCCCTGTTCATCCGCGGCTGGGCGGACCCCGCCCAGAACTCCCAAGAGAGCTTGGTGCGCGGCTTAAGCCAACTGCTTACATCTGACAGGCTGCACGGCCATTTGTCCATACGCGTCTGCCTACTACGACGCCTACAGGCTTTAATTCAGGAGCTGAGCCTGTCGTCTTACCTTTTCTCCTTGCATCTCTAAACTGCTACTACATATCCTACTTGATAACCTAATACCTCTTTGATCTACAATATTACCTTACTCTGATTCCATAAACGACACGAAAACCTTCTACAACGAGCCTTACTGGAATCTACGACACAACAAACCACCACAACCAACTTACCGGCATCTCACGACACAACAAATCACCACAACCACCCTACCACCTCCTCACAACAACCATGGCAACCACACCACAAACAACACCCCCCACCCTCACCACCCCCCCGCCCCCCCAAACCTTCGCGCTCCTCACCTTCCCCACCCCTTCCATCCTCCTCGTAACCTTCAACCGCCCCCGCACCCTCAACTGCATCGACAGCACCGGCAACCACGAGCTAGACGCATTGTTCACCTGGTACGACAGCGAACCCACTCTCCGGTGCTGCATCGTCACCGGCGCCGGCCGCGCCTTCTGCGCCGGCGCGGATCTCAAGGAATGGAACGCGCGCAACGCCGCGCGCGCCGCCAAACAACCCTTCCCGTCCCCCTACAACACCATGTTCCCGCCGTCGGGCTTCGCGGCGCTGAGCCGCCGCCACGGGAAGAAGCCGGTGGTGGGCGCGGTGAACGGGCTCGCGTTCGGCGGCGGGATGGAGGTGGTGGCGAATCTGGACTTGGTCGTGGCGGCGCGGTCGGCCGTGTTTAGCTTGCCCGAGGCGGATAGGGGCGTGGTGGCGATGGAGGGGAGTTTGCCGCGGTTGGCGCGGACGGTGGGGAGGCAGCGGGCGATGGAGATGGCGTTGACGGCGCGGAGGGTGGGGGCGGAGGAGGCGAGGGAGTGGGGGTTTGTGAACGATGTGACGGAGGATGGGGAAGTGGATGCAGATGTGATGGATAGGCCGGTGGTAAGGAAGGCGCTGGAGTATGCGCAGGCGATTTGCAGCAAGAGCCCCGATAGCATTATTGTGAGTAGGGCGGGGGTGGTGAGCGGGTGGGAGGAGAGCAGTGCGGAGAATGCGACGCGCATCATCAAGGAGATTTGGGAGGCGAGGTTGAATGATGGGGAGAACTTAAGGGAGGGGATCAGGGCGTTTGCGGAGAAGAGGCAGCCCAGGTGGTCGGATAGCAGGTTGTAGAGAGAGGGGGTGGACAGCCGCGGTGCGGACTTTGATTTTCCTGTTTCAATGCATGATGTTTCTTTGACCTCTCATACGTACCTGTCGGGATTGGCGTTGAACCTGCCACACCGTGGCCTTCACGAGGTGCTGTGTCGAAGTGTTTCGCCAGTCTCGGCTGCCCCGAGTCTCAGCTGCGGTAGACTCCGCCTGCAAGCCCACCGCAGCCCGCCCGGCAGCCCCATCAGTTCATGCAGGCGGAGATGGTACCGATCACTGCGAAATTTGCGGCGATCTTTCGACGACGAGCGATCGGTAGCGTGGCCGTCGAAGTGAAAGTGCCGACGGCATTGACAGCCGAGCCACCAGTTCGGTATGGCCACGTTTCAGCCGCGTCAATGCCGAAAGTGAAGAGAGAGAAAAAAATCTTGCAGATGATCTTATCAATCGATTGCCGGTGTCGTGTGCAGCAGCCGTTCCTTGCGGCGGCGTAAACGCGTGTGTAAGGTATAGGAGGAAACCGAGCCATGGCTATGGCGTTGTGATCTAGGCGCGGACCCCTGCGAGGCCCAGGCTCTCCGGGCAACGTACCTGGCTGCCCCGGACGGGCACACTCACACGGCGACATCCGTGCGCGCGGCGCGGAGCTCGTCATGCCCCCCCTTCCCTGCAGCAGCCCACAGTAGTAGTTACGGCGGCGCCGCCACCGCGCGTTGCTGACTCCACACCTTGTAAAAGGAAAAAAATAGGTGGAGTCAATCTAATCAGATCTAGGCCGTTTCTTCCACGCATGCACCTACTCTGTTGATGAGAGACATTGCCCAATGCTTTTTCGTTCGAACCGACATCGGGATTTTTTCGTCTACGTAGACGCCTGGCAGCTGGTGTTCCCTTGCGCGCGGCTTCTGGAATTCTCCAGGTTGTTTAGCTGCTGCTGCTCAGCTCTGCGCCCTGCGATAGATCCCAACCCCAGCTCCAGCGGATCTGTTGAAACGCAGACACAATGCCTGATCCTTCGCATGCGGAGGACAGCAATGCCGCCAATGCGGCGATTGCAACCACACCCGCGAATACAGAGCAGGAGGAAGAAAAGCCCAAGGTAAGTGACAAACCCAATTGCACAAGGCAGCATCCATATGAACGAGAAGTGCAGCAAGCCGCAAATCTTATCAGATGGACGTTTCAGCCCGTTTACACCAACGTCATCACAAAGACCTACCACTAACCCCTCCCTCCAGCAAATCCAACGCTTCACGCAATACTTCCAACTCCTCATATACGCCCAACCAACCAAACTCGACATCTTCCTACTAGTCACAGGCTTCGTCTGCGCCATCGCATCGGGCATCCCCTTCCCGCTGCTGGGCATCATCTTCGGCCAGCTCATCGACGACCTCAACTCCGCCACCTGCAGCTCCGACAGCTCACAAGATGCCGGGTACCAGTCCTCGGTCGACGGCAAGATCCTGTACGTCGTGTACCTGGCCATCGCGCAGTTCGGCTTCATGTACATCCACCTCTCGTGCTGGTCTCTCGGCGGGGCCCGGCTCGCCCAACGCCTGCGCGAGCAGTACCTCAAGGCGCTGCTGCGGCAGGAACCGTCGTTCTTCGACAAGCTGCCGGGGGGCGAGGTGTCGTCGCGGCTGAACGGCGACGTGCAGAGCATCCGCAACGGGACGTCGGAAAAAGTCGGCATCTGCATCTCCTCCGCATCCTTCTTCGTGACGGCATACGTCGTCGCGTTCGTCAAGCACGCGACGCTGGCGGGTATCCTCGTCTCGCTCGTGCCGGCGTACATGCTGATGAGCTGGGTGGGCAACTACTTCATCGAGCGGTACGCCGGGCGGATGTCGGACCACCTCGCCTCCGCCGCGGCCCTCGCGTCCGAGGGCCTGTCCAACGTGCTCGTCGTGCACGCCTTCAGCGCCAACGCGCGGCTGGAAGAGCGGTTTGCGGCCGACCTGCTGCGCTCGCAGCGCGAGGGCGTCAAGAAAGCGGTCGCGTCGGGCGTGCAGGCGGGTTTGATGTACTTCATCGCGTACGCGGCCAACGCGCTGGCCTTCTGGGAGGGCAGCCGCATCATCGCCGACGCCGTGAGCTCCTCCAACGATTCCAGCGTGGGCGTCGGCTCCATCTTCACCGTCATCTTCATCCTCGTCGACGCCACCCTCGTCCTCAGCCAGGTCGCGCCGTACCTGCAGACCTTCGGCGCCGCCTCGGCCGCCTTCGCCAAGCTGCGCCGCGACATGGACCAGGCGTCGCGCATCGACGGCACCAGCGACGAGGGCGAGGCGGTGCCCGTCGACGGCAGCGTTGCGGGCCGGATCGAGCTGCGGGACGTGTCGTTCGCGTACCCCTCGCGGCCGGATGCCACGGTGCTGCGCGCCGTCTCGCTGTCGATGGAGGCGGGCCGGCACACGGCCATCGTCGGCCTGTCCGGCTCGGGCAAGTCGACCATCGCCGGGCTTGTGTCGCGGCTGTACGATCCGACCGGCGGCGCCGTGCTGCTTGACGGGAAAGACTTGCGCACGCTGAACGCCCGCCAGCTGCGCGCCCACATCTCGCTCGTGCAGCAGGAGGCCACGCTGCTGGACCGGTCCATCCTCGAAAACGTTGCGCACGGCCTCGTGAACTCGCCCGACCCAGCCCACGACCGCCTCCGCCAAGCCCTGCTCGGCCCGGAGCTGGCACAGATTGCCGAGGCGGTGCGCGAGCGCGGCGAGGATCCCCTGAAGGCGGCGGAGAAGCTGAGCCCGGAGATGGTGCTGGTTGTCGAGCTGGTGCAGCGCGCGGCGGAGCAGGCGGACGCGGCGACGTTTATTGGAAACCTGAAGGGCGGCCTTGGTACCCGTGTTGGTCCCGGCGGCAGGATGCTGAGCGGTGGCCAGAAGCAGCGCGTTGCCCTGGCTAGAGCGTTGGTCAAGAACCCAAAGATTCTCATTCTGGACGAGGCCACTGCGAGCTTGGATTCGAGAAGTGAGCAGGCCATTCTGGGCGCCATCGAGAAGGTGTCGGAAGGAAGGACGATGATTTCCATTGCTCACCGCTTGTCGACTATCAAGAAGGCTGACAAAATCATCGTGCTGAGGGACGGCGTGGTGTTGGAGGAGGGCAGCCATGCTGAGCTGTTGGCGAAGGAGGGTGCCTACGCAGATCTCGTGAGGCTGCAAAACTCGAGCAGCGATGAGAAAGCCAAGGCGTCTTCCGCTGCACCATCTCTAAACGAGACTTCCGAGGGAACATCCATTGAGAAGGCACCCGCATCAGAAAACCAGACGCCAATCGGAGAGCTTACGGAAAAGAAAGCAGAAGCATCCACCGAGGAAGTTGTGGACGAGAAGGCTGAGGAGAGTTCCGGATCGCCGTCGGACAGGTCGCTGGGTAACATTATCGCGGAGACGTGCCGCATGGCCCGCCCGCACCTCCTCATCGTCCTCCTCGCCCTTCTCGGCGCGACCATCGTCGGTGGAGCCTTCTCCGCCGAAGCTGTCATCTTCGGAAACACGGTACAGAGCCTGAACCCGTGCAAGAGCGAGGAGAGCATCCGCTGGCACGGCCGCTTCTTCGGCCTGATGTTCTTCATCCTAGCCATCATCGAGTTCTTCGCCAACATCATCAGCTGGTCCGGCTTCGGCTACGTCGCCGAGAAGATCATGTACCGCGTGCGCGTGCTGTCGTTCCGCGCCTTGTTCGAGCAGGACCTGCAGTGGCACCAGTCGGAGGGGCGTACGCCAGCCAGCCTGCTGTCCGTCATCACCAACGACGGCAACCTGCTGGGCGGGCTAAGCGGGTCCATCATCGGCACCATGTTCTCCATCGTCGTTAACCTGATCGCCGCCATCGTCCTCACGCACGTTGTGGCCTGGAAGATCGCGCTGGTCTGCCTGGCCATCGTGCCGCTACTGTTGGGCGTCGGTATCCAGCAGCTGCGCGTGCTGGCTAAATTCGAAGAGCGGCACGAAAACGCGTACGCCGAATCCGTCGGCATCGGCGTCGAGGCAGCCAACTCGATCAAGGCCATCGCGTCGCTGTCGCTCGAGCACGAGACGCTGGCCGCGTACCGGCGGTCGCTGGCGGGGCCGCGCGAGGAAACGACGCTGGTCAGCCTGCACGCGAGCCTGTGGCTGGCGGCGGCCTACTTCATCGGAAACCTGGGTTATGCGCTGGCTTACTGGTGGGGGTCCAAGAACATCATCTCCGGCTACTACGGCCAGGCCCAGTTCCTCATCGTCGTTTTCTCGCTGCTCGTCAGCGCGCAGCTGTGGAGCCAGATGTTCGCTCTCGCGCCCGAGGTGTCGAGCGCCCGCGCCGCCATCGCCCGCATCCTCAACGTCATCGAGCTGAACCCCGACCAGCGCCTCTCCGGCAGCGGCAGGATCGCGCCGCCTCCGCCCGGCGACGCCGCGGCGTCGTCTGAGAAGGAAAAGGACGTCGAAGCGTCGGCGGCGTCCAGCCCCGTGTCTGCCGAGCGCAGCGGCGGCATCGGCATCGAGTTCCGCGACGTCGAGTTCGCGTACCCGGCGCGGCCGAACGCGCGGGTGCTGCACGGGCTGAGCCTGTCGGTGCGGCCAGGCCAGTTCGCGGCCTTCGTCGGGCCCAGCGGCGCAGGAAAATCGACCATCATCGCGCTGGTCGAGCGCATGTACGTCGCGGCGTGCGGCAGCGTGCTGGTCGACGGGCGCGACGTCGCGCAAACCACCGACGCGTCGTTCCGCGACGACATCGCACTCGTGCCGCAGGAGAGCGTGCTGTTCGACGGCAGCGTGCGCTTCAACCTGGGCCTCGGCGCGCGTCCGGGCCACGCGGCCACGGACGCCGAGATCGAGGAGGCCTGCCGCCTCGCCAACATCCACGACGTGATCGCTGCGCTGCCCGACGGCTACGACACTGTCGTTGGGCCGAATGGCGGAAGGCTGTCGGGCGGGCAGAAGCAGCGGCTGGCCATCGCGCGTGCGCTGGTGCGCCGCCCCCGCCTGCTCATCCTCGACGAGAGCACGTCGGCGCTGGACGCCGAGTCGGAGAAGCTGCTGCAGGACGGGCTGACGAAGGCCGTGGCACAGCGCGGCATCACGGTGCTGGCTATCGCGCACCGCTTGCACACCATTCGCAAGGCCGACGTCATTTTTCTCATTGAGCAGGGCCGCTGCGTGGATCGTGGAACGCACGACGAGCTGTTTGAGCGCAGCGAGTCGTACAGGACGAATGTGCTGCACCAGACATCAGCCGAGTAGAGCGGGAGTTTGTTTGTTAAGCGTCGTCGTAATTTTTTGTGCATGGATGGGGAGATGATGGACAGTATCAGTAGTATCTGTTGGTAATAATACTCAGCTTGCGTTATTGCGCCTTTTGCACGTCTGGTCGAATTGAGAAATTGATGAGCTGAGGTCTCTGTAGGCGGTGGGGGTTGAATTGATTCGGACCGACTGGCCGCGTAAGCGCCCTACTTTTGGCTACGAAAGAGAGACACACTAAAGTGTGAAATAGGACGTGCGTTCGACCGACAGCCAATCAGTGCGCCTGCGAGATGATTACGCGCATTACGGGGCCCCAATTCTCTCATTATACAAGTAATAACTTTATTACATCCCACCGGCTCATTCACGGCGCTTCTTTCAACCTCCATCCATCCCTTGTCATTGTGTTGAAACTGTTTCGACTTCCCTGTTCGCACTCATCGCACCGTCAGCTCTCGCAGTCCGGCCTACAGACTCCGAATTCTCATATGTCTGTCCATCAAAGTGTCTCCGGCTCGTGTCAATTCAGGCCACCCCAGGTGTCGCAGAAGACGTTGATCTGTTCATGCACTACGAAGCAGGCTACACTTTTTGCACGTGGGCCGTCGAGTCAAGCTTCAGCACACCGCGACTGGCTTCAAAAATGCACAAAAACGTGCAGACACTGTGTTCGACTGCTCACGTGGACAGGACTTGATCATTCGAGCGAGGAATGTGCAGCAAAGTTTAATTCTTGTGTCACCCGCCGTGACGCGGCCAACGATTCATGATTCGCATTCCCCAAAAAAGCGCCACCAAAAAAACGCCCGATTACTTCCTTTTCCATCCCAGCCACAGCCGCCACCACAACGGCCACCAAAACAGCCACCACAACAGCCCAACCCTACGACTTACAGCTTCGACGGGAACGGCAAACTAATCCCCCCGACCCTGCCACCCGATCCCACATTAAACGGGCTCAGATGAAAGAACCGCTGGCGACTACACCGCACCAACGCCGCCCTCTTATGCGGGAAGTCAATATACCTTTCCACATTCAACCCGAACATGTAATCGTACTTCATAACCGTCGCATTCGCCGCCATCGGCTCGCCGACCACCGCGCCCGTCCGCGCATCATCCAAAAAGCAGAAATGGATCACGCACGGCCACCACCCGACGACCCTGTACTCGCCGCGGAACCTTGCGTCGCCGACCAGCGAGTGGCGGCCGCGGTCGTACGCCCCGGCGTCGTAGTGCGCGCCGACGGCGTCCTCGGCCGCCCAGTAGATCTCGAAGTATGCGAAGGCGACGTCGTTCCAGCGGCCGAGGACGGTGAGGGTGTGCGGGTCGTCGTGCTGCCGGCGCAGGTACGCGGTGTGCTCGGCGAGAGTGCCGGTTTCTTTCCAGCCGGCAGCGACGCGCGGGTCGTTCTGCCACGTGTGGAAGAGCGCGACGTGGGAGGGGTTTGTCCAGTCGAGTGCGATGAGCGAGAAGTGCTCGTCCAGCGCGGGTATGTAGCGGCTGTACACGACGCTGCCCGGCGCAGGCTTGGCCGGCCGCTGCGGCGCGCGCGTGTGCACGCGGGACGACGGGAACAGCGTCGTGAAGAGCTCCGTCACCGGCTGCGGCGAGGAGGCCGTCGGCGTCGGCGTCCAGGGTGCGCGGCCTGGGAACGGCGAGCCGGCGCCTTGCCAGAAGGCGCTGCGGAGGACGAGCAGCTCGCCGGCGCCCGGCTCGGAGTCGCTGGCGGATGCGGTCGAGGTTTCGGCGAAGGGGGCGCTGGGGGAGGTGGGCGCGGGGTGCGCGAGGGCGAGCATGGAGGTGGTGAGCGCCGCGGCCAGGTGCTGGTGGTCGGCGCCGTGCAGGGTGATGCGGAAGGTCTCGAGGTCGGGCGCGATGGTCAGGATGAAGTAGATGGCGAGCCACAGCTGGCCCAAGGTCGGCGCGGTGCTCTCATCCCAGGTGAAGACGGCGCATGGTGAGCGGCGGGCGCGCGCCCAGGCGGTGTTGTTGGAGAGAGGGGGCAGGTCCGCGTCGGCGGTGTCCTGCTTGGGGAGGCTGAAGAGGAGGTTGTCGTCGTGTAGGCGGTCGTGCAGTTCTTGGGCCGTGTTGGCCTCTTCTTGCACGCGCAGCAGCGGCGTGTTGCCGTTGTCGGTCCAGGTCTTGCCTGAGGCCACGGCGTAGTATGTGGTCAGGTAGGGGTGCGGCAGCCGCAGCTTTGCCACCGCCGACGGCCGCTCGCTGTCCGAGAACTGGAAGGCCTCTATCGATTGCAACGACATGTTTGAGGTAGAGATGTGTTTTCTTTCTCCAAGACGAGAAACTTGCACGCCTTCGCCGCAGCTCCCGGGGCCCAGGTGTATAAGGTTCGCCGTCGATGGAGAAGTCCGAAGCCGCTCTCAGGCCATCTGGACTTCGTTACTACGGAATCCCCATGGCTGCGTCTCCCCTTCCGCCGCACCGTCTCGCCCGGGCTGGCGGGCGCCGTGGCTTCTGCCTTTGCTCTCACTCAATTTTTTCTTCCGAGGAGGTGCTTCACATGGAGCTCGGTGAGTTGCCGCGCAAGCGTGTTGTAAAGGCTATGATCAGCCCTCTTCCAGCCTGCTGATAGGTTGGCGAATGCCGCACCCATCAAGCTTCTAGACTGGCAGTTCTGCTGGCGCAATCAGATTAGATTGGTCACTGACGGGAGTGCTTCTGGCTTCTCGCCCCCTGTCAGTTCGGCTCTACTCCATTGGCTCCTAACTGCAAAGCATGGACGACGACAGGGAGCGTGATCGCGAGGAGAATGGCTCTGATCATTACCCAATGCCAAGTGCCGGCGACCAAGAGTAATGCGTAGTCTTCGTGCGGGTAACGCCGAGAATAGGCCCACCGCCGAGAATTGAGCTTGTACGCCCAAGCCTACATGGAGCAAGGCTTAGCATAACTGGTGGGGCCGCCGGCCCAATCAATCGGGCACGATTGCTCGCGTCAGCACAACGATCTTCACCGCCTATAGCTAAAACACCATGGAATAGGGGCGACCGGGGTACCCACACTTTCTTACCATTTTCATTAGGCACGCGTCGCCCTCGAATGACGCGGCCGTACCGCACAAAATCGACGCTCAGCTCTCGACTCGGGCCGCCCTGCGCCAGGACTGGCACACACTCCATTCGGGATTTCCGAATTCTTGTCTAATCTGATTGTCTAATCTGATGGTTGTATGGCGACATGCGCTCGTTACTTCCTAATTCTGAAGGACTCCACTGATGGATGGCTTCTGCCGAGCGAGCCGCCCCTTGCAGCCTTGTCGGACCTCGCTCCACCTTAGACTCCGAGCAGGATCACGCGTGTGGATACCTGGAGTCATGACTTCCATGCATTTTGTTGGATTTTACTCAGAAGAGCTTCTACGCGCACTTGACGCGCTGGACGCATTACTGGCGTGTTTTGGGCTGGTGGGCTTTCGGTGGCTGGGGCTGGATGCCTTGTGGCGTCTCCCGGCGCTGCAGCCACATGCTAGGCCAACCGCGCCTGACGAGCTGAAGACGGCAAAATCAGATAACGTACGCAAGCATGTGCCTGCATGCGTGTTTCGAAACCAAAAGGAAATCTCCGCTGCAAGGCCCCTCTCCGATGCCGCATCTTATCAGATTTTTTTATTTTTTCTGCTGTGCGTGGCGTCGTCGTCAGTTCTCGTTTCCGACGGACCTCTCCACCGGGGGGCACGGGCAGTCACATCTCTCTCTCGTAACACTGCCTCGGGCAGGTCCGCAGTAGTCCGTTTCTCGGAACGCTCGTAGTGCCTGTTGCGGCAAAAGGCGCGTGGTCTTTGCAATCATGTGAATTGTACTTCTCGCGGGAGGTCTTCAGCGCGCACAAAGAAAGATAGAGCTTGTTTGTTTCCTGCAGGATCCCGCCGAACCCTACCGTCCCTTTCTCTCCTTTGTGGCGGTGAAAAAGTGTCGTCGTCACACCCCCGCCTTTCGTTTTCCAAACAGAAACAATGGAGCAGCCACGGATGGACAGCCCTATAGACGCAGGCCCACTGCTCAACGGGGATGGCCAGCAGTGCTTCGCTGCGTTCGAGGGTCCATTGCCATCTCCTGAAGCACTGGCCTCGGACTGCACCAAGGCCGATGTCTTGCTTCTGGCATGGGTGCTTGTGCTTTCCCGATACGTCGATATCAGTGATATCGAGTTCACGTGGGGATACAGTATCAATGATGGAGCAGCTGTTGAAACAGCCTTGTCGGCAGCAGATCTCTCATTCAAGCCCGACGACTCGATAGGAAGCTTGCTTGAAGCTGTAAAGTCAGCACGGCAACGGACGCTTCCTGACACTGAAAGTGTTTGTGCAACTGGAGAAACACTGTTCTTTACGAACAGCAAAGATGTACGTCATTCACGTGGTTTGTCTGGGAAGTGTTGTCACTTTGATCTTTGATCTTATCTGATCATGAAGAGGTGGAGTGTTCATCGACATACGTGTTGCGTCAACCTGCACACTGATGAGCACTTCACATCCCCACGATCAGACTTACCATCCCAACACTCCCAGACAAACCACTCTCTTCCAACTCACACCAAATACTGACCCTTCTCCAGTGGACCTTGAAAATCAAAATCACTACCCAAGACGGCACACCGGGACTTCAAGCAACATGGCGCACCCTCTTCATGACCTCGTACATGGCCAACCGCCACCTCGAATCCGCCCTCACCATCCTCAGCACCCTCACTACCCCCACCATCCTCAAAACTCCCATTTCCGCCACTCTCCAGCCCACCCCCTCCGACCTCACCCAAATCTGGCACTGGAACGCCTCCCTCCCCCCCACCATCCCCGCCCCCATCCACACCCTCATCACCTCCCGCGCCTCCACGCACCCGCACACCCTCGCCATCGACGCCTGGGACGGCCGCTGGACCTACGCTGAGGTAGATTCCCTTTCTACCCAACTCGCAAAGCACCTCCGCGCCCTCGGCCTCGGCGCCAATTGTATCGCGCCCCTCTGCTTCGAGAAGTCACGCTGGACGGTGATCGCCGTCCTCGCCGTGATGAAGACGGGCGCCGCGTTTACCCTCACGGATCCCACGCAACCGCTCGCGCGGCTGCAGACGATTGCCGAGACGGTTGACGCGCGGTACGTCCTCACGTCGGCAAGGCATGCGGGGTTGGGGGAGGCGATGGCGCCTGGCGCGGTCGTGGTGCCTGTCTGCGCCGAGACGTTCGAAGGGGAGAACGGGCTGTTGAGCGCGGAGTTGCCCGCGCAGGTGCCGCTGGATGCGCTGATGTACGTCATCTTCACATCCGGCAGCACGGGCAAGCCGAAGGGCGTGATGCTGTCGCACGGCGCGTACGGCTCTGGCACGTTGCCGCGGGCTGCGGCGGTCGGGTACGACGAGATTTCCCGCGTGCTGGATTTCGCGTCGTACGCGTTTGATGTGGCGATTGACAGTATGCTCGCGACGCTGTCGCATGGCGGGTGCTTGTGCATTCCGTCGGATGCGGAGAGGCTGAATGACCTGTCGGGCTTCATTCGCCGCGCGAAGGTTACGATGGCGAATCTGACGCCCAGCGTGGCGAGGATTCTGGACGCGGATATCGTGCCCGGGTTGCGGAGTCTAGGCGTGGGCGGGGAGGCGGTGACGGCGAGCGATGTGGCGGTTTGGGGGAAGACTACGAGGGTTGTGAATGGGTATGGGCCGAGTGAGGTCGGGGTGGGGTGCACGACGAACCACAGCGCGGCGACGGGGAGGCCGTATGTGAGTATTGGGCCCGGCACTGGTGGTGTCATGTGGATTGTTGATCGGGAGGATCACGAGAAGCTGGTGCCGGTGGGGGCGGTGGGAGAGCTGCTGGTTGAGGGCCCCTGTGTCGGCGAGGGGTACATGGGCGACCCGGAGAAGACGGCTGCGGCCTTCATTGTGGATCCGCCGTGGTTGACTGCTGGGTTTGGGGACGTCGAGGGCAGGACGGGCCGCGTGTACAAGACTGGCGACCTCGTCAAGTACGACCCTGATGGCTCCGGGTACCTCGTTTTCGTTGGACGCAAGGATACTCAAGTCAAGTTGAGAGGCCAGCGCGTAGAGTTGGGAGAGGTCGAGTACCACTTGCGAGCTCAGCTCCCGGCGAGAGTGCGTGTTGCGGCTGAAGTCATCAAGCCAGAGGGCCCGGGCAAGCAGCCGATGCTGGTTGCATTCATCTCAGACCCAGAGACCGAGACCACCAAGGATCGCGATGCTCCGGTGGAACGGATTCCATTCTCCGCCGAAGTGGCAGCCATCATGTCGGAGATGGACGACAGACTCAAGGTTGTGCTTCCGAAGTACATGGTTCCGGCAGCATACATCCCCATCAACCACATGCCCGCCCTCGTCTCCGGGAAGACTGACCGGAAGGTTCTCCGTCAGGTAGGCGCCACCATGGTCTTACAAGATCTGGACAAGTCCAGCACATCCGTGGGTGAGGTCCAGGAGCCAACCACTCCCGCGGAGACGAGTCTGCGGAAGACGTGGAGCCGCATCTTCAACCTCCCAGAGGCCGAGATTGGCATCAACCACAGCTTCTTCGCTCTAGGCGGAGACTCGGTCCTGGCGATGAAACTGGCAGCCGCAGCTCGCGAGGACGGACTGACGCTCAACGTCGCCGACATCTTCAGCAACCCCAAGCTCTCCGCCATGGCCAGCGTCGCCAAAGAAACCACTCCAACCACCACCAAGCAGGACGACGTCGCCCCCTTCTCCCTGATAGATCCCGCCTGGAATGCCACCGCCGCGCGCACCGAAGCCGCCGAACTGTGCGGCGTCGACGCCTCCGCCATCGAAGACATCTACCCCTGCACGCCGCTGCAAGAAGTCCTGATGGCCTTCACCGCGCGCTCGACCAAGAGCTTCGTCGCCCAGCGCATCGCCGAGATTCCCTCGTCCTCCCCCTCCGCCGACGCGACCATTACCCGCCTCGTCTCCGCCTGGGACGCCGCCGCGGCAACCAGCCCCATCCTCCGCACGCGCGTCGTCCAGTTCCGCGACCACGGGCTACTGCAAGTCGTCGTGCGCGAGCCGATCGCCTGGCACACGAGCGCATCTTCTCTATCAGCCTACATCGCTGCCGAGCAAGCCGCGCCGATGGGCCTGGGCACCCCGCTGTCGCGCTGGGCCCTGGTCCGCGATGACGAGCAGGAGGAAAGCAAGCACTACTTCGTCTGGACCATCCACCACGCCCTCTACGACGGCTTCTCGACGCCGCTGCTGCTCGAGCGCGTCGCGCGCGCCTGGCGCGGCGAGGAGACGCACCGCCCGTCGCAGATGAAGCACTTCGTCGCGCACCTGACCCACGGCATCTCGAAGCCCGCGGCGCAGGACTACTGGCGCCGCGCGCTATCCGGCGCGACAGGCCCGCAGTTCCCGGCGCTGCCGTCGCGCAGCTACCTGCCCGCGCCAGACGCACTCGTCGAGCGCTTCATCCCGCTCCACCGTCCCTCGTCCTCCACCTCGACCATCATGCCCAGCACCCTCATCCGCGCCGCCTGGGCACTCGTCGCGGCGCAGCACGCAGGTGGCGATGGCGACGTCGTCTTCGGCGAGACGATGAGCGGGCGCGCGAGCGTGCCGATTGCCGGCGCCGAGCAGCTCGAGGGCCCGCTCATCGCGACGGTCCCGGTGCGCGTGCGCGTCGAGCGCGGGGCGCCGGTGCAGGAGTGGCTGCTGCGGGTGCAGGAGGAGGGGTTCGCGCGGATGGCGTACGAGCATGTGGGCATGCAGCACATACGCCGCGTGAGTCCGGACGCGCAGATTGCGTGTGAGGTGAAGGTTGGGCTGGTGATTCAGCCGGGGGAGATTGAGGAGAAGGGAGAGGAGGATGGAGACGATGTGCCGCCGAAGTTTCGGGGCACGGATGCGGCGAGGGAGGCGCTGCATTTTAATTCGTATCCGCTCATGTTGGTGTGTTCGTTGCGGAGGGACGGGTTTTTGGTCATGGCGAGTTTCGATTCCGGGCTCGTTGCTGTGCCGCTGATGGAGAGGGTGCTGGCGCAGTTTGAGACGGCGGTTCAGCAGCTGGCGAAGGAGGAGCCCGTATCGGTGGGTGACATCAGCTTGCTGACGGAGCAGGACCGCGAGCAGATCTGGCAGTGGAACAGGACACCGCCTGCTGGCGTTGACCAGGCTACGCCTCGCCTTGTTGCCGGGCACGTCACTGCGGGTGATCCGTATCCTTCGGTTGTTGTTCCGTGGATCGTGGATCCGGCGAATGCGGAGAGGCTGATGCCGATTGGCACTGTTGGTGAGCTTGTCGTCGAGGGGCCGTTGGCTTCGGTCGACTTCATCCAAGATCCCACCTGGCTTATTCAGGGCAGCTCTTCTGTTCCTGGCCGTCCAGGTCAGGTGCACAGGACTGGCGATTTGGTCAAGTACAGCGCCGACGGCGCTATCCTCTTCGTGGCCAAGAAAGAGTCTCAGACCAAGCTGCAAGGCCGTGCCATTGACCTCGCTGAGGTTGATCGCTATCTGGAAAGTCTGCTTCCCGAGTCTACCTGGATTGCCTCTCACATCATCACTCCTGAAAAAGCCCAGGAGCCGGTTCTTGTGGCATTTGTGGAGGCTCGGGCTCAGGATGATAGCGTCAACTTGGTCAAGCTGGAGTTGACCGAAGACGAACTCCCTGCTTTTGTTGCTACCAGTCTGCCTGCAAACCTGGCAGAGCGCCTGCTCGGACTCAACAAAGCGCTGTCAGACCTTCTCCCTCCTTACATGATTCCCGGGGCGTATATCCCATTGAAGGAGATGCCCCTGAAGCCTGGAGAGGTCGACAGGGCGCAGCTGGATGCCATCAGCTCTCACCTGTCTCAAGACGCCATCCTCAAGCTCCGAACAGCCTTCACCCAACTCAGAGCCAAGGGCATCGACAGCAAGCCCTGGACCACCAAAGAACGCAAGCTCCAAAAGCTGTGGGCGCAATTCCTCGGCATCGACCCCTCCAATATCGACCGGGACGACAGCTTCTTCCGCCTCGGCGGCGACTCCATCCTCGCCATGCGCCTCGTCTCCGCCGCTCGACAAGTCGGCTTCAAGCTCTCAGTCGCCGACGTCTTCCGCCGCATGCGCCTCTCCGACATGGCGGCCGCGCTGGAAGAGACCGACGTCGCCCCCGTTGAGGCCAAGACATTCGCTCCCTTCTCCGCTCTCGATGACATCGAAGACATCGACGCCTTCCTCGCGCAAGACATCCAACCCGCCCTCGCCGACCCGTCGTGGAAGATCGCCGACGTCCTCCCCGTCACTGACGCGCAGGCCCGCGACATCGCGGCCACAATCGACCCCGCGTGCCGTAGCGCCGTGCAGTACACGATGCTCTACCTACCACAAACCATCGACCGCGCCCGCCTGCTCGCCTGCTGCCAGCAGCTCGTTGACCACCACGAGATCCTGCGGACCATTTTCGTGCAGCACGGCAACCGCTTCCTGCAAGTCATCCTGGAGTCTCTGGCCACGCCGGTCGTCGAGTTCGACGCACCTGAGGAAGAGAACAACATCGAGGCCTACGCAAACAAGCTCTTCGCCGCCGACCTCGACAGCGCGGCAGACCTCGCCCTCGGCGCCCCCTTCCTCAAGCTCTTCTACATCGCCGGCGCCCAAGAGAACTGCCTCGCCCTCCGCCTCTCCCACGCACAGTACGACGGCGTCTCCCTGCCCGAGCTGATCCGGCAAGTCGAACTGCTGTACGCCGCTTCCTCCTCCTCCTCCTCTTCTGCCCCAACCTCGGTCTCCGAAATCATCCCCGCAACCCCGCCCTTCTCAACCTACATCCACGCCCTCGCCGCCTCCACCCGCACCCACCACGCCGCCGCCCTCGCGCACTGGCGCGCCGCCCTCGCCGGCTCGCAGCTGACGCCAACACATCCCGCGCTGTCGTCAGCCACCAGCAAGACGGCCCGGTCCGCGTTCACGCAGCGCGCCGTCGACGTCTCTGCGCGCCCGGCCGACGTCACGCCCGCGACGCTGCTGGCCACCGCATGGGCGCTCGTGCTGGCGCAGAGGCATGGGGTGCGCGACGTCGTGTTCGGCGGCGTCGGGACGGGCAGGGGTGTGGAGGTTGACGGGCTGGGCGATGCGGCGGGCGTGGTCGGGCCGTGTTATGGGTTCGTGCCTATCCGCGTGCGTTTTTCTGCCTCTTCGGACGACGAAGAAGCAGGAGAAGCAGAAACGGCGGCAGCGGTGCTGCGGCGCGTGCAGGATGAGCGGGCGCGGGGCGTGGCGTTTGAGCGGGTGGGTTTCGCGGAGCTGGTCGAGGAGTGCGGGCTGCGCGAGGGGTGGGGAGGAGAAGGAAGGGAGTGGTTCGAGAGCATCGTGCATCATCAGGACGTCGACGACTTTGATGAGATGCCCTTTGCGGGCGGCACGGCGCGGGTCGAGATTGCGAATCCGCACCCTGAGCGCGCGTGGCCCGTTAGGGTGGTGAGTTTTGTGCGCGGGGGGAAGTTCTGGTATGGGATTCAGGCGGATGAGGGGAAGATGGATGTCGCGGAGGAGTTGTTGGGTGAGGTTTGTGGGGCGGTAGAGAGGTTGTTGGCGAGGCCGGATGAGCCGCTGTTTTGAAAAGGGGTGTGTGATGGGGAGGTGGTGGCTTTGATGTTTTGTTAGTTTTTCGTCGTTGTGTTTGGTAGAAGGTTCTGTTGTCTTTCTTGATTACTGGGAAATATCAATTGTTTGTTGTTTTAATTATTGGGTCCAATGATGTATCTCAACGTCTGCATTAACAGTTAACGTGGACTGCATTGATCTCCGAAAGCAAAGTAGAATCCGACAACATGGCTGTTTGCGAATATGGAATTGAGAGGTGTGATTTCCTACTGGACAAATGCCATGATCCAGTTGCGTGCAGCGGTCTACGGCGGGGTTGTGAATTCATGGCACTGGCTGTATGGCTGTTTCTGCATGCCGAGCCTTTCATACTTCAGCGAAAGCGAGTAGAACACATGGATATCCGAGCCAGTAAGCGGAGAGTCAACGATCCTGAGCAAGGTTGGCATGTTAAGTATGCCCACCGAAGAGCAGGTGGTGCAATTAAGCTCTGAAACATCGGCCGAGCAGATTAGCAGATTTAGCTTAGCGTGATTGAATTATACAGTTTTGCTTTTAGTCCAGAATAGAGTAGCCCTGTATAGGTAATAATTGAGCGCCGGCTCCGGGAATTCGCGCTACCGAGTAACACTATCGCTCAGGCCGCCCCTATACGAACACGCGCCGCATCAGGTCGTAACATTCTCTCTGGGCACGTTACTCGATGCTGTAGTAATTCCTACAGGAAGCTGCCCCGCTGCAGAAATTAACCGTAGACTCCGTCCCCGCCTGACGTAAGTCTTTCAGATTCTCCTTTGCCACCGAGTGGCGTGATTCCAACGCGGAAGGATTCATCGCACCTATAGTACTTGACTGAAAATAATAGTTTGAAAGACGTCCTTATTGGCCATCTGACAGCTTATCAACCAACCCAACGGTCGCATGGCCCCACGGACCGACGAACCGAGCCCGTGTTGCTCGGAAATAATTCCCTACCGCCGACCAATCCTGTCGGCCGAGGCTAGCGCCGTGCGGGGAAAGCTTACTACCCTGTTGCTTGAAACCCACTTGCATCACGCTAATTTATAATATTTGGAGAAGACCAAAGCCTGTGTCACCTCAACGGTCCCGCCATCTTTTGAACCACAATCTGAGATCAATGGACCCCACCATGGAGCAAACCGGCCCCCACGAGCAGAGCGCCTTGGCCATGCTGCTCCGCGGCATCCTGGCTTTGGTCAGCAGCAATTTTCAAAAACGCCAAGATCAACACTAATCATGCCATCCAGTATGCCCTGCACTTTTTCGGCAGCATCATTTACGGGGCCTACCTCGGCCCGCTATCCAAATACCCCGGACCGAAACTCAACGCAGCAACCGCAATCCCCTTCTGGTACAACACGCTGCGCGGGCGTCAAACGACCTGGATCCAAGGGCTGCACCGGCGCTACGGCACCGTAGTCCGGCTCTCGCCCCTCCGCCTGAGCTACATCGACGCGCAGGCCTGGAAGGACATCTACGGCCACCGCACGGGCGGGCGGAAAGCCACGGTCAAAGACCCAAAGTTCTACAACAAGCCCGTCAACGGCGTCAACTCGCTCGTCACCGAGCCCGACGACGACGAGCACGGCCGCGTGCGCAAGATCTTCTCCAACGCCTTCTCGCACCGCGCGCTCATCGAGCAGGAGGCGCAGATCCGCACGTATGTCGACCTGCTGATCGCCAAGACGAGGGAGAACATCGCGAACGGCGGCGGCGATGCGAAGAAGGCGACGTTTGATCTCGTCAAGCTCTACAACTTCACCACCTTCGACATCATGGCCGACCTGACCTTCGGCGAGCCCCTGCACCAGCTCGAGAGCTCCCAGTACTCGCCGTGGGTCTCTGCCATCTTCGGCGGCTTCAAGGCCGGCGACATGGCGCGCATCACGCAGGAGTACCCGGTGCTGCGGTACGTGTACCGCACGCTGGTGCCGAAGAGGTTGCTCGAGATGCGCAAGCAGCACTTCCAGCACGCCGTGGACCGTGTGGAGCGGAGGCTCGCTGCCGCGCCGCCGCCGGGCAAGGCGGATATTTGGGAGCTGGTGCTGCGGGATGGCGGGAAGTTGGACGCGGATAAGATGCACTCGAATGCGGCGCTGTTCATGCTGGCGGGCACGGAGACGACGGCGACGCTTTTGAGCGGGCTGACGTGGTACTTGCTGCGGAATCCGGAAAAGATGAAGAAGCTTGTGGGTGAGATTCGCGGGGCGTTTACGTCTGAGGAGGAGATGAACCTGGTGAATCTGCAGCAACTGAAGTACTTGGATGCGTGCGTGCATGAGGGATTGAGGTTGTATCCGCCGGTACCTATTGGAGGGCCACGGCAGACTCCTGAGGGGGGTGCAGTGATTTGTGGGAAGTGGGTGCCTGGTGGTGTAAGTGTCACGTCCTACGTGAAATCCACTTTGAGGAGGACAGGATTGACTAATGTGTGGGTTGAATTAGACGACCGTGTTTGTCAGCCAGTACTCTGCTTATCACTCTCCCCTCAACTTCCGCGACCCCGATTCCCTCATACCAGAGCGCTGGCTGGATGGAACAGGGTTCGAAAAGGATAGCAAAGACGTCTTGCAGCCCTTTTCGTTTGGGCCCCGCAACTGTCTCGGGAAAAAGTAAGCACTCTCCCACGTCCGCCTTTCAGAGCCTCGCTAATGATCTTGCTTACAGCCTCGCATATCACGAGATACGGCTGATCTTGGCAAGGACACTGTGGGCCTTCGATATCGAGCTTTGTGAGGAGAGTCTGAACTGGATCAATCAGAAGTCGTGGACTTTGTGGGACAAGCCTCCGTTGATGGCCCGGCTTATCCCAGCCAATAAAACATAAAGTAGCTGGAGAGTGAGGTGAATCACCTCCGTGGGACCTTGTCCCATAAATTTGTTCATTATATTCACCCATTCATTCAAAAGTGCCTTTAAACTCAGAATAAACGAGAAAGGGGTCAATTTATCCACTAATGCTGGTAAATCGGCACGACTTTCATCAGCAATCAACTGGCGTTTGTTTCGTGGCATCTGCTTTGGTTTAAGCTGACAAAGGCTGGTTACTCAGCAGCCGCACGATAAGGGCGGGGCACAACACACTTCAGCCTTGCTGTGCCCACGGTCAACTTTTCTTTCATCTTGGGACTACTTACATCCGGCTTACAGACCGCAGTTCATCCTTTTTATCGCTTCGACATGTCGCGGAGTGACAGTCCAGATCGCAAGAGCCGGAAGCTCAATCAAGATCCACCGAGAGAGGTAGAGTTGGCGAGGCTATATCAATACGATCAACTTGAGGGTCATGATGACATACGACTAGTTTCCCTCCTTCCTGGACCATTCGAAAGCAGCGTCCAAGTTGAATTCATCGTATGCGACGTTGAAGACCCGCCAGACTACGAGGCGCTTTCATACACTTGGGCAGATTCCAATGGTGATCAATCTCTGAATGGAAGTGTTTGGTGCGATTCTGGAGATCGGAGGATCTTAGTCACTCGTAACTGCGAGGCTGCACTGAGACGACTTCGTCTACCAAATGAAACCAGATATCTGTGGGTCGACGCCATCAGTATCAACCAATCAGCCATACAGGAAAGGAATCGACAGGTCGCTATGATGCCGAAGATATATCATTCAGCATCGCGCGTCATGGTGTACCTTGGGGAGGGGACCGCCGAGACCGACGAATTTCTGGACTTCCTCAATCACCGACGACTACCGGGTCAAACGACACTCGAAGACTTTATCCCTCTTTCGTATTCGATCCTCTCGCGCCGTTGGTTCAAAAGACTCTGGATACTGCAGGAGATTGCTTTAGCACGGGGTGCCAACATAATATGCGGCAACAAGATCACTCGTTGGCAGAAGCTCGCCGAATATTATCAACAGGTCTTTTCTGATGCGAGTCGCCTCTGTTATTTTCCGCACATCAATGTCGTATTTGAGTATAGCCTGAAAGGCGTCAGACCCATGGACACCTTGCCCAAGCTTTTCATTCGCACCTATCGACAGTCATGTTTGGATCCACGGGACAGAGTATTTGCCCTCCTTGGAATAGTCGCCAAAGACCACTCCCTCAAGATGGCGCCAGAATACGGAGCTTCGAAGAAGAAAATCTTCACAGACCTTGCGATTTACTTCCTCCAGGAATTCAAACTACTCTTCGTCGACGAGTTTGTTACTCAGCAATTGGATGATTGGCCCTCATGGGTCTTTGATTGGTCTCGGCTTCGCATGCGTCCGAGCTATCCATTGACTGTCGACAATGCGGTTTCTGTCCACCACTGGGGAAATGGTAGCAGTGTCCTAGAGATTCGAGGGCAAAGAGTGTTGGATGGTATTGTTTGTGAACATTACGGTCTACATGACCATCCACGGCCATTCTGGAAGTCTATTGTCGTTGACGGAGGCGTTGTCTTCGAGGAGGGAGTCTTGAGCGACACAAAAAGCATTGTCCAGGGAGCAATCGTAGTTAAAGTTTCCCAAGACATTGTTCTCCTGCTACAAAAGGGAGATTACTATGCGGTGGTTGGTGGAATCGCCGATTTTCTTCGATGTCAGGAGCCATATCCCTGGGGCGGCAAATGGGAGAAGAGGTGGCGCAGAAATTGGCAGAAGGCCCACACCGAGCCAGGTCACTGTACATCAACTTGTTCACGGCCACAACTTCAGTTGGACAAGCTAGAGCCGTTCATTATCCTCTAGGGTCAGTGGAATTGTATTTTGGCTGCGAATTTGAGGATTCACACTTTGTAAGAATTGGCGTCTAACCCGCAAGTCATCACGTCCATAGTTTCCTCTCCACTGGACTATTCCAGTAAAATAGTCTTAATCGGGCTAAAGACCACTCCAATACATCCTCCACTCAGCGAGACAGCTCACTCTTCATACATCCCTTGCAAGAGAACTGGAAGAAGACCTGGGCTCTGCGATGAATTTCTACGAGTACTTGAGTTTTGAATGCTCCCTGTTGGGAGTCCGGTGAGTATAAAGACTCAAATAGAGATACCCGGGCTTTTAAAATAAATGTATTGTACTTCAGTCGGCATCGGAGAGTTGGTAAGCCATGTAAAACGATCATATTGGACTGATCCGAGACAGTTCCTAACAAGGACTGCCATTTCCAGTACTTCTCTCACGCTAACACGTCTCTTCCTCACTAACAACAAACACCACCGCAAGACCGCTCATAAAGTGCCACTGCATATGGCAGTGAAAGATCCAAGCTCCTGGGTTATCCGCCACAAACCGCAGCACCGCCCACCCAGCCTCGGGCAGATCCGCAGTGTCGCGATAGAGCGGATCCTCTAGATTGAGGAGAGAGAACGCTGTTGCATCGGTGACATTTGCGAAGGGGAAAGAAGAATGAGAGCCAGACCCAAGAACCCAGAATCTATTTCCATGAAGGTGGAAGGGATGACCCATCTGATTGGGATCGGGGTCAGCTCGATTGCATGCAAGACAGGTAGACAAGTTGTTTGGTTGGGGCAAGGCTTACCGCGTCCATCGAGTCATTAGCAATCTGTAGGATAATGTCAACAGTGGAGTTCAAGGGAACATGAAGCGTAGTGCTGGCCTTCCAGCCGTCGGAGGCGTTGCTGTAGAGAAGAGGGACTTGAGGCGTTTGGTAAGGCGTTCTATTTAAGGCCCAAGTAGTAGCATCAGTTTGGTTGATGAAGAAGTTATATGTAACGTCTGCGTGGCATGGTGGCGAGGCTGGCTCAGCAAGGACGAGATCTTGCTCGGAAAGTAAGGTGGCATTGGATGTCGCTGAACCATTGCTGAGCATCCACGGCGGGGAAACGTGGCTTGTCATATTCATGGGCATGGCCATTCCAGTGTCGCCCTGGAACAGTTAGATTCACGAGTAGCATCGAAAAAGGGAAGGAGCAATACTTGGTATACAATGGTTGCCTGGCCTTCGATGACCTGCTGCATGTCACTGCCGTAAGGATACGACGCAAAGCGCAGAGCGTAGTTCCCTGGCATCTGGTCTAATTTCACCATAACAGAATATCGCTGCCCATTGGACATATGCAGGATCTAAGGGCATCAGCTTTACTCAGCTTGAGACACCACATTCGACGTACCTGAACTTCCTGTGGCGTGATGTAGAAACCATCGGCTGCATACACATACATCGAATGAGAGTCCAAAGACACGCTAAGCTTTGTTATCGAGCCTCCGTTGACCAGGTTCAGAGCGAGCCATCCTCTGGTGTAGTTCGCATTAATGACCAGCAGGGGCGCTGTCGTGTTCGTGCAGGTAGAGCTGGCCATGGGACTCATAGCTGCGGGAGAGGCGGCGGCCGTAGTCGTCGAGGCCATCGACATACACATGTCAGCCATCGAACTGCCTTCCATCGCACGTCGCTGCATGTTGTCCATGGATGCCATCCCAGTGGCCATCGTGTCGGTTGCCATCGGTGACCCGGAGCCCATTGTCATTCCCTGTGCCATACTCGTAGTAGGACTGGCCGCCGGCATGTTCATGCTGCTCGAGCCCATTGACATACCAGATCCAGGCTGTGGGAGACACTGCACCCACCCTTTTCCGTTGGCGAGGAGGCTGTCGACATTGTTCGGATACATGCCTGTGCTGATGTAGTCGTTGTATACATCGTCTGATACACGGTGATACCAATCTGACAGGAGCAAGGGCACGGCTTCGCGCTCCGCAATTTGCAGAGCAGCGAACCCTGGTTCATCGTCTGCGAGGTGTTTGTATGGCTTCGGTCGTTGTGGGGAAGGGTGAATCGTGAGTGGGCCGCGGATGCCGTCGTCAGAGTAAGCACGAGAGTGCGCGTGGTACCAGTAAAACCCGTATTCGCCTTTGAGGTGCATGCGATAGGTGAAGTTTCCTCCTGGTTGAATTGGGTCCTATTCCGAGAGTTAACCGGGTCATGCTGTTGCGTGCTGTGCTTTGAACCAACCTGTGTCACTCCGATCGTTCCGTCCATTTCCGGTGTCCCCCGCTGGAGGATCCCTAAGAGATATTCGTCAGCATAAGTTTATTCAACATATCCCAGTGAGTACCTACCATGCCAGTGAATTGCCATCTCGACGGCGAGGTTGTTCTTCACAAACACTTCTAGCTCATCCCCCTCGTCCACCTCGATGAGAGGGCCAGGGGTTTGGCCATTTATGAGAAATACTTCGCGAGAGAATCCATCTGTGCAAGATATGTTAGCTGTATGACGTCTCCATGTTTGGAGAGCCAACTTACCAGGGGCTCTGGTGTCGTTGTGCAGCGTAAGGTTGTAAGAGCGCAACGCTGCCTGAGACTTTTGGGTCAACAAGAGTTGAATGAACGCAGCAAACACTGCAGTATATGGACGCATTTTCATGAAAAGGATCTGGCAATGGTGGATCAAGCTGAGAAAATGTGTAAAGAAGGTGGAAGAATGGGATCCTCTTCTTCTACATCCAAACATTATGTGTTGCATAGCCACTAAACTCTTATCGCAAGGAGACGACTCCAGCCAATCACAGCGACTGCGATATTTGTGCGGAATCTCGGCAGTGGCTATGGGCCGAGCGATCTAAGATCCCTACTGCGACATTTGTGCGGATTCTTGGCACGGCCCGAGCGATCTAAACCATGGCCTTTTAAAGGGGCTCAAACGCAGGAACGGCAATGGCAATGACCGCAAGATGACGGCATAGCGCATTAGTGTTAAGGTTGCTCTCGTGTCGACGGTCACCTGCGGTCACAGCCACAAAGAGGTTTCTGTTCTGTTCCAGGCCTCCGCTGAGAACCGATTTGCTGCGCAAGCCCAAGATCAGCCACTGAATCTTCCAATTTGTTCTGGCGTAGTGGGTGGGTGCTAACACAGGCAAGATCCGCGTCTCTGAGCCGTTTTCTCTGAAAAGCATGCGTATTGTGGCTCGTGCAGTCGACGAAACATACATTGGGGCTACCATACGCTTTTTCCATCGAAGAACTCCGTTTTGTAGTTCATACCACTGCCGAGTCATCCGCTGGGTGATCGCTCCCCCAAGTCATAATCCAGTGAGCGGGGAATTCAAATGGTCGGCACCTGCGTCTGCACCGGTTCGGCTTTGCCGGATGTGAAAATTGTGAAAATTGTGAGGCCCGATCTTCGCACCACCCATGATCTCGTCTAAGCAATAAAGTCGTTGTTTCAGGGGGTTATACTTGTGTCGTTTGAAGGCACCGCCGGGAATATGTGGATACTTCTCACGATTTGCAACATCCTCCGGTGCGCAAGAAAATCGCTGTATAAAGTGGCGCGTTATCGACAGAACGCCACTAATTAGGAAGTTTTGTAGGTACGACATTTGAAGGAGAAGGCTTGCTGTGATGCTACGACTAGAATAAGTGTTAAGGCTACCCAGTAATAAAGGAGGCTTCCGTTGCATTTTATTACTTAAGAATAAAACGATACAACGAGATTCTCTATTGGCAAGACTCCCCCGATGAATATTTGTCTATCACAATATATTAAACTAGGTAAAGTGGAAACATGATGCGAGCCAAGGTGTGTTCTTAACGACAGCTTATCGCTCCTACGTGGCTGGGTGCCAGTGCCGAGGCTGAAACGTCTAAGCTACAATTCCAAGCCACAGTCCACACTAGGACAACCAGATTACGGTACTACTCAAAATTTCGTAAATTTGTCGTCTTATTGTGAGGAACACACCACAGCATACTCGTTATTATACTAAGCAGTTCTAAATTGCAACTCTTGCAAGTACGAAGGCTCGCGTTTCTGTGGGATTTTGACCGTGAGTTCTCAGATTCAATTGGTAAATATAGAATTCCAGGCAGCTATCGTGGCGGAGCTTGACTGAGCCAAGACGCATTCAGAGTTTCCGTTTTCGGGTCTGCGACCGGCAACAAATTGCCGTCTGGATGTTTGATTGGTCCACAGACTTCTACCGAGAGAGCACTCCACTTTACCTGCAGGCAGACTGTACGATAAATTCCTGGAGGAATACATGGCGTGAGGTCGCCTATTCCAAGTTTTCTCGGGTTCTTGCAGGTCCAAGTATTGGAAATATACGATAAAAGAGGCAGACGCCCCAGTGCTTGCCTACCTTCCGTGTTCCACTTACAATTACCTTCACAATGACTTTCCGCAGAGCAATCGTTACAGGAATCTTGCTGTCTCTTATAGCAGGCACATTGGCTGGTGAGTCCTGATCTCCACCCACACAACTGCAGGTCCTAAGCCGTTCAGACTGCTCCATTAGCGGAACCACTACGATCCAAAGCGAGGCTGATGCCACTGCTCTGGCATCTTGCACCACACTCTCTGGGAGTATCGCCATTGCAACACACTTCGCTGGCGATATCAGCCTCGATAACATCAAGACGATCACCGGAACTCTCAGTGCGAGAAACGTGCGCGGGCTCACTGGACTTTCCGGCGACTCGCTCGAGGAGATCGGTACCTTCCACCTGGAAGATTTGTTACTTCTGAATACACTCAACTTCCCCCATTTGACATCTGTGGATACGATTAGCTGGAGTATCCTAAATGACCTTTCGTTCCTGTCCTTCATGGATGGAATCTCCAAAGCGAAAGACGTTAACATCCAATACACCTTTCTCAATTCACTCGAGGGTCTCGCATTCGAGGAAGTGGACACCCTATCCATCTTTCATAACAGCTGGCTGCAGAGCGTCGAGATGCCGCTCACGCGCGTCACCAAGGACCTATACCTCTACGCCAACAGCAATAAACTGGCCATCGTATTCGACAACCTGCAATGGGCATACAACATCACAATCACGAATGCCCGCACCATCTCCCTGCCTTCTCTAACTAGCGTGAATGGCTCTGTCGGCTTTTACGCCACCAACGTCGACGAGCTGGCCCTCGAGAATTTGGAGACCATCGGTGGCGCCCTTGCCATCAGCTCCAATCCTGACCTGACTGAAGTCTCGCTGCCGGCGCTACGTAGCGTCTGCGGTGATTTCTTCATCGATCATAACCCGCAGCTCCAGGAGCTGCATCTCGATGCGCTGACCTCGATCTGCGGCGCGCTACGGGTTTCGGGTAATTTGAGCAGGTGAGTAGAAAATAGCGTCTTCGTTTGAAGTTTGACTATCATCAAGGAGACTGATAGTATGCCACAGTGTATCTTTCAATTCCTTGAATGACTTGGGCGGCGCATTTTCCCTCACCTCAAGCCAGGATGGCCTCGACTGCTCGCCGTTCGACGCACTTCATGAAGACGCCTGGAGCAATAAAGACTACGTTTGTGTTGGCGGATGCACTTATCTTAGTGATTCTGATGCTTGCGGTATCAGTGTGGAAGATTCTACTTCATCTTCCTCTGCACCTGCATCGACTTCCGAATCTGCCTCAGCCTCTGCATCTAGCTCATCGAGCGCTATTTTATCCGCTCTCTCCACCGCTACATCAATCTTAGTCTCTGTACCAGCTACAGCCAGTGCAACCTCTGACTCGTCGAGTTCAAGCACTTTTGCTTCAGCCATTACCACTGCAACAACTCAGGAGTCGTCCACTGGTAGCAATTCATTGAGATCTAATGTTAGCCTTGGTATGGCCACTTTTGGCGCCTCCTGTTTGATCGGACTGTTGTAGATGAGCTGAAAAAGGGATTTTCATAACCACAAACTTGGAGATACAAAACATAATCCTTTAATAATCCAGCCTGTTTTCGTTTTATCTGCCCTATACCCGGGGTTTAAAAGAGTATTCTTTCCCAGCTGAGACCGGCGCCCCGTAAATTATGTTGTAAGAGCATGTAGTAATTACTCTCCAACTTCAAGAAGCACTTAAATACACTCTATTACCTACGTCGCGCTACAATACATCAATATGTCCTAATATACGCCTCTCACCGTTTCGGGGAGCATAGATAGTCACATGAGATAAGCCATGATCGGTTAACTCGTAGGATTACGAGCTAGCCGTATGTAGTATAGTACAATGATGAATCACCCCACCCCTCCTCAGCTCTGTCAGCATTCAGATTCTCACATATTACAACCTCAAATCTGTCCTGACTCCTCAGAAGCAACAGCCTTGTTACAACCCGCAGGCGCCACTTGGCAGGCTCTTTACCGGCAAAATGTCGCGTCCATCGTCATGCGAGCTGTGTCACAATCTCGCCCAAGCCACGTCACTGCCCATAAACCATACGCCAATCATCCACACCACTGTTGAGGGTTTGAAGACTTCGCGAGATAAAGGCTGCGCATTCTGCGAGCTTCTTTGGGATATCATCAAGTCACAGAAAGTACCAAATGAAGATGTCCATTTCAGTCTGGAAAAGCTCTCCACCGACGATCTCTCACTATTCATCTACTGGGGTCAGAGATACTACGACCCACAGATCACACTAGCTCTTTATGTACAGAACGGTCAGTCTATCCCCATACAAATTCTTTTTCTTCTCGTTTTCATGAGCAGCCTCCTTTGGCTGACCAGTGGAGTGACGACCGTAGGAAATGAATCGGACCCGATGCGCAAAGTGTTCGGCACCAAGAAGCATATCATTCAGAACCCATGCAGCGATGAAGCCACAGCTCTTATAAAGCGGTGGCTCGAAAGCTGCCAAGACCCAGCTCAACACGGATTCTGTGTCCAGAAAAACAAGGCCGTACATCTACCCACTCGCGTGGTTGATGTCGGTCCCTCAGACGGGTCACAGCTTCCCAAGATCATTGAATCTCAGGGAAAGCCAGGGGCCTATGTTGCACTCAGTCACTGCTGGGGCAAGAAGCAGATAATCACGACCACACATGCAACATTCAAGGACCGCCAAAAGGGAATCCAATGGTCGGATCTCTCCAAAACCTTCCAAGATGCCATATCGTTGACTCGGCGTCTCGGCATCCGCTACATCTGGATCGATTCCCTGTGCATCATCCAAGACGACAGGGAGGACTGGGAAATCGAGGCAGCGAAGATGGGCGACGTCTACGAGAACGCATACGTCACGCTCGCGGGCACTGCTTCCCCCGACGGAGCCACTGGGTTCAACGTACCACGGCCACCGCCTCAGTCATTCCAGCTTCGAGGAACGCAGCATAGAATATTTGCCGCAGTCCAGCCGTCCCACGACAGCTTCACGCGGCGTCGTCAAGCCGATCCTCGGGAAATGCCGCTGCTTTCTCGCGCGTGGGTGTATCAGGAGCGCATTCTTTCTACCAGAGTCGTCCACTTCGGATTCCATGAGCTTGTGTTCGAGTGCAAGCAAGGCTACGTCTGTGAATGTGGAGGGATCGTGCGCTATCGCAGCCTCTGGTCCCAACTCGACAGCTTCAAGACAGAGTTTTCAGACTTTCTGGACGGTAGAAAACCCGATAGCCAGAGCATTTCGGTCTGGGAGGCGATGATCCGAGGGTACACTGCTTGTGCCCTCACCTTCGATCAGGACAGGCTTCCGGCACTGTCAGCAACGGTAAAGCGGCTGGGACCGAGGATGGGGGAATACCTTGCTGGATTGTGGTCTTCGATGCTTCCAGCAGCGCTCTTCTGGACTGCGAATGCATACGACTTCGAGAATCCGGCGGGTCCAATGCTTAATGCAGAAGCACCTTGGAAGCCAGCGCACAGATCTACTGGCAAATTCCCTCCTCCGACATGGTCCTGGGCTTCTGTGGAAGGCGCTGTCATTGAGGCAACGTATGTTACAGCTCCGGTCCAAGAACAGGTCTTCCACATAAAGGTGATCAGCAAGGGCACCAGCCCACTGCATCGAGATCCTTATGGAGCTGTCAAAGATGGTCGTATTCAATTGTCCGGGCCTGTCGTTCGAGTCAACTGCAAAGTTGTTCCGGGAACTCCGAAAACCATGCAACATGAACACTTCCAGTTGGAGAAAGGAGGTGTTACACACGACGTTTTCCAAGATGTTGGAATAACAGAGATGGATAAAAAGACCACTGGCTCAGGCCTCTTTTGTTTGATCGGCGAACACTATCAGGAGGTAACTGATTACGTTGGCGGGAAACCTCGGAAAACGAGACACAATAGGGAGGTAACTCTAGTTTTGAGAGCGAAAGAGCTTGGATCTGGCCTCTACGAAAGAGTCGGTGTGACGCGGGGAATTCCTCGGCAGTGGATCGATGCAGCAGAAGAGACGACGCTTACTCTGGTTTAGGCGTTCCTGCATCGTAGTTGATTGCATTTCCCTCTCACAGCTATGCAGTGCTAACAAACCTATCCTTATCATGTGCCATGTGCCATTCACGTCACACCCGAGTTGGGCTCCCAGCGATCCTTGCTACGTGTTTTACACGATTTCCAGAATGAATGTCGACAACTTCCCTTTCGAGCTTACATCAACCCGATAATGAGGATCTACTAAAATCCATCCCAAACGCAGGTACAGCTAGTACTCAGGCACTCAAGCTTAACTTTAATCTTTTTCCGCATGTAGAACCGACTAGGCCCTAAGCTTGTGCCGAGGGGATCGACAGCGGGAGCCAAGCCGACTAAGCATGTCACGACATACCCCGCGTCGATTGCACATCACCTCGTCACTGCCGACCTCCCCAAAAACAAAACCGCTTCCCGGTCGCCAAGAAGCTTTTTCCAGGCTTTAGGAGTAAATCAGCGCCCGCGCAAATTGGAACAGGCCTGGTCAAGTAAGAGCTGGGAAAATCAATAACAGCCATGGGATGACAACATCGGCGGCCTCGATTGCTGCAAAGCATCGCAATCGTCCTATTTAAGCCGTTCGAATCCCCGCAACACCTGGAGATGCGTTTCAGAACAACGGCAGCAGCTCCACCATGCAGCTCCTCAACCTCCTCTTCGCCAGTGCCTCGCTGGCCACCCTCGCAAGCGGCGCCGTCACCAGACGTCAAGACAGCGATGGCTCGGGCTTCGCGCAAGGCCAGCCCATCTCCGCCGACGGCAAAGGCGGGCCGCTGTTGGGCGGCACCAATAAGCAGGTCGACCTGGACAACCCGAGCAATCTGGGTTCTGCATCGACCGACAACGGCGTGGTGCCGAACCTGAAGTGGCGCTTCTCCGACTCGCACGTCAAGCTCAGCAACGGCGGCTGGACGCGCGAGCAGGTCGTCACCGACCTGCCGTCCAGCCGCGACATCGCCGCCGCGCAGCAGCACCTGCGCAAGGGGTCGATTCGCGAGTTGCACTGGCATCGTGTCGTAAGTAACCACCACCCACACCATCCCCTCCCCACCCTCCTTCCATCCACCATTCTCACACCACATCACCATCCAGGCTGAATGGGGCTGGGTCTACGCGGGCCGCGTGCTCGTCTCCGCCGTCGACGAAGAAGGCCGCTACACCGCCTCCATCCTCAACGTCGGCGACGTGTGGTACTTCCCGAAAGGCGCCGCGCACACGGTGCAGGGGCTGGACGACGAGAACGAATATCTCCTCGTCTTCGACGACGGCGACTTCGACAAGATCGGCACGACCTTCATGGTCGACGACTGGCTGGCGCACACGCCGCGCGACGTCGTGGCCAAAAACTTCGGCGTCGACCCCAGCGTCTTCGACGGCCTGCCGCAGACGGACCCGTACATCCTCAAGGCTAACGTCTCGGAGCGCAATGTCACCGGCGCCCCCGCCGAGGACTACCTTACCGGTGAGAATTCGTATGTGTACTTTGCGAGCCAGCACGAGACGGAGCCGGTGCCGGGCGAGGGCGGCACGTTTAGGAAGGTGGATTCGACGACGTTTCCGATTGCGAAGACGATTTCGGCGGCGTTTGTGACGCTTGAGCCGAAGGGGCTGAGGGAGCTGCACTGGCATCCTAATGTGAGTTGCTGGTATTCCTTGAATGATCTTTTGTGCAGGGCTGACTTTGCGAAGGCTGAGGAGTGGCTGTACTTCCACAAGGGCCAAGCTCGTGCTTCGGTGTTCATTGGCAATGCCGCTTCCAGGACCTTCGACTTCAGCGCAGGCGACACGGCTGTCTTCCCTGACAACAGCGGTACGTTGGCCGTTACTTTGAATGCATGCCCAACTAACTGATATTCAGGTCACTACATCGAAAACACATCTGAGACGGAGACTCTTGAATGGGTTGAGATCTACAAAAGTGATCGCGTTGCCGATATTTCTCTCACGCAGTGGCTGGCATTGACGCCGCCGGATGTTGTTGCCAGTGTCCTGAAGGTGCCGATTGAATTCGTCGACAAGCTTAAGAAGGAGAAGCAGGTCTTGGTCAAGGGCAACTAAACCATCTGCCAAGACATCATGCGCTGATGGCATCGAAGTAGAGATGGCTACGCACTTCTATGGGTCCTAAATTTTACCATGTTACCAACAGCTTCACATTCTATAGTAATACATTGCGTACCAGTTGAAAGCTTAGTAAAAAAAAGCCTACCGTTACACAGACTAAGTCGATTAGCGGGATGCTTATAGATGCCGAGACACTGCAACCAGGTAACAGCCTTCCACCTCTCCAGGTCACACGGATGGAACGGACCTAGGTTGACCGTTTTCCCCTTACCAATGGTCTGGGCCTTGGCCTTGGCATTAGTCGGCATATCGACCGTTCTATATCTACCACTCCCTCCGGGTAGGCATCGGAGAAGAGGGGACCGAGTTATCCTGGAGCTCTCCGTCTGGATGGGCGACGCCGCACCGCTTGCGGCGTGGAACGGTCCATGTTTCCGGACGTAGTTCCAAAGACTGCTACATGAATTAGCCCCCAACCGGGCGTAAACAGGGATGTAGGTTACACACACAGCCGTTTTCCGTAAAGCGGGGAAGAAGGAACACGAACGTTGTACCATACTTCCTCAGCTCACTTTCAGCTAGCAAGTACTTAATTTGGCAACCCAAGAAGGCATTACCAGCGATTGCTCTTTGCCGAAATGCAAGAAGCCTGTGCTTGCTTACGTATCTCGGCACTTGGCGTGTGGGGGCCTTGGACTCCGGGGTTGGGGGAAGGGTGCAAAAGAATAGTTTAAAGCTACCATATTCACCACTTGATTCCGATAGTCCAACAGTGGTCTCACTCCCCACTTGTGAATGCAAGACTACATCATCGTACCACTCTGTCATGTCCTCGCCCCCGACAACACCGCCGCCTCATAGCACGCTAGAGGTAGACGTCACCGCTCAGGATGCAAATGCGAATCAAGAGCATTCCCAGCCAAACGACAATGGCTTACTTCCCAAAGCATGGGTACTAATCGCTGAGGAGGGTGGGGATGCGCCGCAAGTTGCGGTCGACGGAACCTTGCCTATCCCAACATGTCCCAGCGATAGTGCCCCGCAGGTCATCGATACCAACAATTTTCCAGAACTCATTATCGTGGAAAATCAAAGAAGCCCGCCGCCGCGTCGGGTGTGCGGATTGAGTAAGTGCAGTCTCTGGACCATTATTGCTGTCGCAGTGGCGGCAATCATTGCCGTTGCTGTTGGTACTGGAGTTGGCATTTCGCAATCCAATTCCAGCAACTCTGCCAGTGGCATAAGTCTTCTCCGATCCTCGAAACTCGCAGCGGTAAGCTTTACTTCGGATGGTGTGGATTACAACTGCGTTTACTATCAGCTGAGTTCGGGAGAGATTTACGTGTCTGTATGGAACTCATCCTTGCCGGTTTGGGCTGCCTTCCCCGTTGTGACGGATGGAACTAGCGTCTTGAGAAACACACCAATCGCTGCTGACGCTCAATGGAAGAATGCCAACGTAAGTAATCATCGATCAACTTATTGTATGCTTTGCTAACTCTAGGTAAAGGTGTTTAGGCATCACATTTTTTACTTTGACGAAAACAATGTGATCCGCGGAAAGGCAGCCAACACTCCTTACGTAGGAACTTGGGATGAAAACAACGGGTTCAACGGCAAGAACTATGGCGGAGACGGTCTTTCGCTCGGCACTTATTCGAAAGAATGTGAGACATGCTTCGCCGCTAATGCCGTCGTCTTCTATGATGGAACCTTGCAGTACACGACTCCACAAACGAAAAATGGTGATCGACTGGCTTGGAACCAAAATCCTTTTCCAGAGAAACTACCAAAACCTGCGAACGGCACGCAACTCGAAATAAAGCCTCTGTATACAGGAGCCAGCGGAAATGGAGAGTTTCTTGTCATGTTCATGACGATCAAGGGAAAGAAGTTAGCGAAGCTTCTCTACAATGCGACAAATGACAACTGGGAAAGTGGTAAGATATTTGCACTCGTCGTCCTGTTTATTTGACTAACAATTTTACAGAGACCCTGAACACGACTATAGACGGGCGTTCGTCAATTGCGGCTTTTACAGCCGGTAACTTTGTCAATGGCAGCGATTCAGATTCCAATTATACCATGCAGGTCTTGAACACCCATGCCGCAGAATCGGGTGGAGGAGTGTCGCTTTCCTCGTACTCCTCTAGCACTTCTAGCTGGAACTTTACACTGTTGAAGTCTGGCTTTGAAAAGGTTCTGAATGGGTCCGGGCTGGCTGCAAATCAGGCTGGAAGGGTGTACGGCACTGTGATGTCTGACGCAGGAAGCTTGCAGTTGATGGAATGGGCGTGGGACATGAGAAATGGCACTTATACCATGACAGGCCCTGTCAATACAAACACCGAAACATGAGGTGGAAGGGCTGAATATTATCGGAGTCCTAGGAAGATGGTTTTGCATGAAGCATAACAACAGCAAAGGCAAAAACGGCTAGGGGCATATTTGTTGAACGGTGCGAATAGAGGAAATTGAACATTGCTACTTTTCTAAATGATCGACGAAGTCACATAACTAAGTGCATGTCAGACTGTGCTTTACTTTTACTCCGTGTTTATTTGCCGTATATCTCGTGTTCCTTTCTCAACACCAAGGCAGAACCCCTGTTCATCTCACCACCAAGCGTGACTTACTCACGATACTTTGAGGCACGTGCACGCAGCACTTAGTGTATGTAAACAGGTAGTTTCTACCGTTATTCTGCTCTAGAGCAGTGTACAATTCAATCACTTTGCACTGTTTAACAGTACATAAATTCTAATCAAGTGGCGCGATAGTAAAAGGGGTATATTGCGAAAATGTTGCTGAAGAATGTGCAGAATGACATATAGAACAGCTACAGACAGCGTAAAATATGCACCCTGCTACAGGACTGACTACTGGCAAAAGGCGAATAGAGTTTTGAAAATTTCAAGCAGAGAGATAAAAGTATCATCGAATCCTACTCATGTGACAGTTGATGGTACGAAGTAATATGGTAGGTTCAGTGCTTGGTATGGAGGAAAAAGTAAGGAAATAGAGCAATTGAAGATGGCGATGAAGATACGCAGATATGAGGTTTGACAATTTTGTTACTACGATTCTTTATTGTTAGGTAAACCACAACTCCCTAAGTGCAAGATACTGTTCCTTAAACCCTCAGACTAAACGAATGGACTGTTTCGAAACGAACCGGACAAAAGCAAACTCAACCCCGTAAGATCTCAATCACGACAGCCTCCGACGCTTTAACCTCAATACCTTTCGCCAGAAACCCGTCTTTGACGTTGATAGAGAAGGGCTTTTCACCACCCAGAAACTCTGTGCCATCCGGAACCCAGCCCTTACCCGCCCAAGTAATGCCGGCACTTGCCGTAGTCATAGAAGCTGATAGCCTGGACACCCTTACCTTGTTGACATCATCGCCAAGCGCGTCCAAGGATACCTTCTTCACGGGCCTGTCCCTGTCCCCGTCGTTCCAGACCTGGAGGTTCAGCACAGCGATCTTCGAGAGCTTTCCACCATGATATCCTGCGTAGCCGACCATATTCGGATGGCCTTCTACGGCGGCTAGCGGCCGAATCTGGAGATCGCCGTTGCCGCCAATGAATTCAGCGCCTGCGATGAGGCCGTAGTAGTTTCCACGTACGGCCTTGGGATATTTCTCACTTTTGACAGGCTGCCAGGCAGACATGCGGAAGTTGGTGCCTAGTTGCATCGATACTCGCGCGATTCCGAGAGTCATGCCGTGCAATAGAAAGTCCAGCGTCCAAAGCGCACCGCCCAGCGTATCGTAAAGATTTGGGTTTATGTCGTCATCGTCATCGTGAGGGGCGATAGCGCTGCCCACCTCGCCAAGAATAAATGGAATTTTTCTATTCTTAGCGGATTCGATGTTGGCGCCAAAATTGTCCTGCATACGTGAGACGGTGATGCTGTGGTTAAGAAGTTCCTCTACGTAAATATTAGCTGGCTAAGTCTTATATCAGCTTCTTAGGCGTGTACCAACCTTTAAGGACTTTAGTCGCGACTCCCTGATAGCTATATTTTTAGATATGGTTAGCGTATTCCTTAGAAAGAAGCAAAGTTAAGAATGTAGACATACTAGTGCTGTGAAACCGTCTTAACATATCCACCATCATTAAGCTCGTTTCCGATTGCAGACCTAAAGAGTTATGCAGATATTAGCACCAAACGGAGAGCAGAATCAGGTCTCTGCCGGCATTAAACTTACAATCCCCAGTCAGCCCTGTTCTCAACGTTCGAAGAGAGCGTAAGCGCCTGGAACCAATCCTTCGTTCCGCTCCTCTTCAATGCGCCAACGCCCTCGGCCAAGCGCTTGGCGTACTTCGTCCACTCGCTCGCGTACTCTGACGGTCCCCATCCATCCTGCCTGTCCTTCTCTTGCGGACAGCCGCCTCGCATATCATTCGTGTAGAAGTTGGGTTCGTTTCCGATTTCGATCGCATCCAGCCGCGCCGATAGCTTGACGCCATCCGGGGTCTCGTCGCTGGAGGTCAGCGCTTCGATGCAAGCGTTGGCGAACTTGATGCCGTTGTCGACATTCTTGCGCGCCAGTGGCACCTGCACTGTGTAATGCGGCGCGAGCTTGGGCGCAAGGTTCTTGAAAGAACGGAACCACGGCTTCCCAATTTCGGTGTCAGTGTGCAGCCTGCACGCCTCTTGATCGCCGGTGATGTTGACGGCATCGGCAGTGAAGGCGGGGTTGTAGACTGTGTTGTCCATGGACGTGCCGCCGACGCGGATGTGCAGCGGCGCGCCGCCAGTGCGGTCGGCAATTTGGCGTAGGAGAAAGTTGGAGAATTCGTTGGGCTTGTCACGACCCGCGTAGTCGGGGAAGCTTTTCATCTCGATGCCGAAGCCAATGTAACCTTTGTTGACGGGGGTTGCGTTGCCCGCAGTCTGCTTCGGGCTCCAACGGATGGTGATCGAGGCATCATCAGCCGTTGGAGCCGCTGTGACCACAGCGGCGCAGAGGATGGCTAAGTTGTTGATAGGCTTCATGTTGATTGCTGGATGCTTTCCCTAATGCTCGATGTCCACGGCAGTATTTATATCTGATGGGACCACTTCGCTTTTTTTTTTTTGTGACTCTGCGTACGAGGCGGTACTGTTGATGCTCCGCTTCGGTTCAACCACAATTGTCACACATGTGATCGCCTGTGAAGGATTCATCTGTACCACGATTCCATTTATACAGCCCAGCTTTTTCTAGGCCTGTCTTCGTCCTGACCATACTTTCTGTTGTGAATATGTCCCAAAATATCGCATCCGCAGCCCTTCCGACAGCAGTTGGTGCCAATCGATCTTCTGTCCAGTGGCGCCATGTCACTACCGTCGTTGATCTGCTTAGCCTCGGCGTAAGATGAAGACCTTGGCGGAAGATGAGCAGTACCGCGCCAAAAGAGCTTCACGGAATGACCCGCTAGAATAAGGAGAGGCAGGTGTTGATCGAGGGTAACTACCAAATGATTGAGATAAAGACGACTTTACATCGACTTCTACCATACCAATAGCTGCATATAGACTTAGAGTAACGTACTATGTTGAGCTAGTCCAAAACAAGAAATTCCACTAGCCTCTAGCTCGGCGCGCCAATTTCCACACCGCCGCAACCATCCAGGCACAGCCACGGCGCGCTACGGAATCCTACGCCATGCCGCATCTGACTACATCTCAACCCCATGACCCCTTGCTTCTACAAACTCCACGCACCAAAAATACACCACATCACACCACACCACACGCCAAATTCCGCCCGCCTCCCATCAATTGCCCGGCGGAACTCTCAAACCAGAAACCCGAAACCAAACCACGAGAAAGGCCAAAAAAAAAGAGAGAGAGAGAGAGAGAGAGAAACATGACAACCACCCCCCCGGACCTCGAAGCCGCGCGCCACCACTACCAACACTACAAGGAACAACATCCAACCCTGCGCATCTCGACCTCGCTCAACCCCCCCACCCTCTCCCTCTCCCACCCCCAACCCTACCCGGCTATAACCCTCACCCTCACCCTAACCCTCCACAACGCCCGCCGCCCCCTCACCCTCAGCGCCCGCCCCGGCAGCGGCGGCGTCCTGGATCCGAAAAAGTATTCCCCCCGCCACGCGCCGCTCATCTCCCTCGTCTGCACGCGCACGGGCGAAAGGCCCGAACGAAGTGCGCTGGTGAAGTCGTTTGCGGCGTCCTCGTCATCTACATCATCATCAGTATCCGGGAAGGACATCACGCTCGATCCGCGCAACGACCTCGTCACCATCTACCCAACCCACGACGACGACCGCGGCGGCGGCATCAGCAAGGGCGGAGGTGGATACCAGCAGCAGCAGCCCCCGCAGCAACCCACGACCCTCACCCGCACCTTCACCATCTCCGGCTACGACGACCGGCCCCTCGCGCCCGTCGGGCCAGGCGAGCGGCGCGTGAAAGCGTGGTGGGTAGCCGGGTCGGCGCTGAGCGCGCTGCGGGTGGACGAGGGGTACGAGGTCGAGCTTTTGCCTGCTGACGAAGGTGGTGGTGGCGGCGGTGGGGGTGTGGCGGAGTGGTACGAGTGGGGGACGGTGGAGGAGGTGGTGAGGCAGCGGGTGGGGAGCGTGGGGCGGGCGGTGGGGTTTACGAGGTTCCGGGCGAAGCAGAGGTGGTTGGGGCGCGTGGAGGAGGCTGGGGTGGGGGTGGGGTGGGAGGAGGGGGAGAGGGCGGGGCTGAGGCTTGTGGGGTAGGGGAGGGGGGTGGGAGGGTTTGGGGGTTGAGGTAATGCTGTGAGGGGGGTGAGTGGGGACGTGTTATTAACTTTTTGTATGGGTTTTGCTTTTCTAGATGGGCATAGAATAGACACTGTATAGATTATCTGATGATGGGAAGTTTTCGTTCCGAAGAGACGTAGATATTTAGCGGTCAGTGCTTTGCTTAAATTCGAAGGAACTGAAAATGGACGCAAAGACTACGTCGATTCTTGCTTTATACAATAGCCATCCATTTTCTTTCAACCTTTAGCTTCGCCCCTATGAGCAGAAGCGAGCCTGCCATTAATGTCGCCCCCGAGAACATTGATAAAGCAAGGTAGCCATAATGACCGACAAGCTGTCCGCAAATGGGCGTACCGAACAGAACGCTGGAAAAATGGGTCAGTCTCGCAGGACCTCATGTCATGAGAAGGGCAACGTACGTTAGGGCTACGGAACCCATCAAGAGCCCAACAGCAGTCCCTTGCGTCTGTTGTGTTGCAATCTTTGCAACGCAAGCTGCTTGAAGACTCAAGATCGCCTATTCCGTCAGCAATGGGCTTGAAAGCTTGGAAAGAGAAACTCACCCCCGAAGAGAAGCCATATGCAAGTGACCAAACAATCACGCCCGCTTCGTTCGTCGCGGTCGTCCAGCAGAATGCAATGACGCTGGAGAAGATACCCGCTCCGGAGCAGAGATTGAAATGGCCATAAAGGTCTGCCAGAAATCCGGGGAGAACACGTCCGAATAGGGAGGCGGCGTTGAGGAGAGAGATCATGTAAAATGAAAGACTTGTTGACATGCCAAGCGAGCTGGCGTATGAAGAGACGTAAAAGAATGGGCCGAACATGCCAAGATAGATGATAGCCATGCCTGTACAGAGGAGGACGAATGCAGGATTTTTGATGATGGATAAATCTGTCTTGTGTTTCTCGGACGAAACACGTGGGGTTGTGATGGGCTGTGAAGGTCTGACTGACAGGCAGCAGAGGAGAAGGCAGGGGAGCATGATGAAACCAACGATCCGGATAGTCCACCCGAAGCTCAGGTTTTCATGGTTGAGCAGCTCATTGAGTACGATGGGCCAAATCAAGCCTCCAATGGATGATCCTCCGACCGTTATTCCAAGTGCAAGACCTCGGTTCCTGTGGAAGTTCTTGGAAGTGATAGCGAGGGAAGGGAATGCAACAAACGACATGCTGACGCCTTGTAAAACAGCCTGAGCCAGGATGAACTGGTAGTACTTGGAGGCGAGGGAGGTCATGAAGACGCTCAGGAGAAGGCCTGTACTTCCGGAAAACAGCAGTATCTGGCCAGAATATATGAGCAATAAATTTCCAAAAGGGGCATGGACTCAAAACATACTGCAGCGCCAACACGGTCAACAAGCACGCCTGTGACCGGGGCCATTCCAAAGGTTATTCCCAAGGCGATAGATCCAATCCAGGCTATGTCAAAGTCGGAACGGTTGGCAAGCTGGTGAGAGCTGTAGTACGTTTGGAAGACACCGAAAGCATTGGAGAAGCCGACTGAGCAGAAAAAGGCCAGGAATGTACCCAGGAGCGATAGTAATGCGCGGGCGCTACGAGATTAGCCTTAGCTAAATTTGCTGCATTTGGAAATCTGAGTATTACCTCGTCTCACTGGGAAGCGGCTTCTCTGAAGATTGAGAAGACATTTTGTCTGCAGCGGTCTGGCAGATGGCCTGGTCGTGTTCGCGTGGAAAATAGTTGAGAGGACTGGATGGTAGCCGTTAGTGCGGATAGATTGCCTAAATAGGGCGTAGGCTCCGCGGACGCTCCGAAAACCTCGGAGGCTCCGGTCAGCTGTCAACCACCACGACACTCCCCTCTAACAACGTCTTGCTTGATAATCATCATGCCGGCGAAGCGCCCACGGCAAGATCCAGTGTCCTGCCAGCTATGTCGGTCCAAGAAGCTCCGCTGTAGCCGGCAGCACCCCTGCTCTAACTGTGCCGCCCGGGGAGTGACGTGCACCTATGCGGCCGATCCTCCACCACAACCGCGCAGCACCCAAGTAGAAGATCCCACCGTCAGTGCACGCCTCAGACGCCTCGAAGAGGCCGTAGAAGCCCTCCGCTCAAGCGCTCTGCCTCCCTTAACGCCGGTGTCAGCAGATTCACCCGCTGCAGCCCTCGACTGGCTCGAAGATGCCGGCATCAAGTCTACCAACCAGCACATCCAGACATCTCATCACAACTCCGGAGGACCGAGCTTCACCGTTGTCCAAATCTCAGGCTCAACCGAAGTCCCGCCATCATCGCCATCCTTTCTCCCTACTTTGTCCGAAACCCTCCGCCTCTTCACGCACTACAACGACGAAGTCGGCTACCTGCACCACATCGTGCACACCCCGACCACGACGACCACGATCCACGACATCTACGCAGCCCTCCCCTCCCGCATGCACCTGCCCTCCACCGCCCTCCTCCTGGTCATCCTCGCCGCATCCGCGCACTTCTGGGACCCGACCGTCGGCATCTTCAACTCAGCCGCCAACGCCCGCTGCGTTTCGCGCCTCTGGCTGAGCGAGGCGCTCAAGACGCTCGACCAGTCCCGCGCTTCCAACGCGCCGGCCTTGGAAGACGTGCAGGCAACCATTATCGCCTCCTACCTCGCCTACAATACGCAGGGCTACTCGGCGCAGTTCCGCCTGCTGCAAACCACCGCCCTCGAGCTGGCGCGGCAGGCGCAGCTGCACAAGACTGACGCGCCTGGCCTCGCCTCCTCCTCGCAGCAGCAACAGCCACGCGGGGACGACCCGCTCCGCGACGAGATGAAGAGGCGCGTCTGGTGGCACATCGTCGCGACCGACTGGTCTGCCCTGCCCCTTCTTCCCCCTATATACAAACTAACACAGCCACACCACAGGCTCCTATCCTTCACCTCCGGGCCCCAAGAAGGCACCTATCTCGTGCAACCGCGGCACATGGCCGTCCGGCAACCCCTGAACTCGAGCGACGCCGACCCTTTGATCGCTGTCGACCCGGCAACCCATCCGACAGCCATGTCATTTTTTCACTACCGCACGCGCTTTGCCATCATCTGCCGCACCGTCGCCGACGCGTTGCCGTCGCTGCCGTTTGATTTGCGGCGGGTGGATGCGGCGACGATTAGGAGGCTGGATGGGTTGTTTGAGGGGTTTTTTGGGGGGTTGCCGGGGTATTTTAGGATGGGGGTGAGGGAGGGGGGAAAGGGGGGAGGGGAGAATGAGGGGCTGCTGCCGCGGTTGGAGACGCAGCGGCTGTTGCTTCATTTGTGTGCGAACATGCGGCGGTGTAAGCTGCATCAGCCGTGGTTGGTGCCGCGCGCGGGAGAGAAGCAGGAGAAAGACAGGGCGTTTTCGAGGGGGATTTGCCTCGAGTCGGCGAGGAAAGTGGTTGCTGCGGCGCAGAGGTTCGAGGAGGATGAGGAGAGGAGGCGGGTGCAGCGTGGGGGTGGGGGGTGTGGGGAGGGGAGGCTGAGTACCGTCGTGCATCACGTGGCCATGGCGGCGGTGGTGTTGGTTGTCGATTTGTGCTTTTCGGGGTTGGCGGAGGGGACGGAGGAGAGGGAGAGGAGGCAGGCAGAGATTGGGGAGGCGTGTCGGGTGCTAGAGAGGGCGAGGAAGGAGAGCGAGATGGCGGCGAGGTTTTTGACGTCGTTGGGGGAAATGCTTAAGATCCATGGGGTGGATTTGCGGATTACAGTGGAAGAGCAGCCTGATTTATTAGGGGTGCGAAGCCCGGATGTCACCGTTGGTGGTGGCGATGATGGCTTTGAAGCCTTGTTGCAGAGTTGTGCGGACATGGGTGGGGCAATGGATATTTCGGGATGGGAAGATCTATTTGCAAGCTTCAAATCCTACCCGCAATATTTTGATTTCGTAGTATGAAAATATAGTTTGTCAAGTGTGCAACTAACCCCCCAAGGCTTCCACAACAGGGAGCAATTACCGGTACTTAGTGAGGTCAAATTAAGGCGATAATGGTAGAAACAAATTGCGCTTGTTCCTGAACCATAGGAATCGTGTGTATATTGAGACTATAACGGGGCGAAAAAGAAATCTGGTCAAGCGTAAAAAGAATAGAAAAGTAACCGGATGCTGCGAGTACTCAGTCCCTTCTCGCTTCTGCTCTGCGGCGCGCATCATCAACAATAGTTTTGATACTATCATGAAACAGAAACGTAGCCTTTGTCATCTTCTGAATATGTTTCAAGCTCAACCTCATTCCGTCTTGCGTCGCTAGTGACGCCGCAGAGAACAAGATGTTCCTGACCTGCCGACCGTTCAAGAACTTGATCTGTTCTCTGCCATCTTCATTGTCGTTGAACCACTCGCGGATTTCATCCCTTCGTTCAACATTTTCGTCTTGCAGTTGTTTGAGGAAGTTGTCAATGATCCTGATCTTCTGTTCCCTGTCGAGGTCATCGTACTTGATGCCAAGATTGACTCTGGACTGGACGGCAACATCAAATTCGCGGATTCTGTTAGTCGTAAGAATGAGAATTCCGTCATAATATTCCAGGACACGAAGGAGAACTGTGACTCATATTAGAATACATGACAAAGGGATGAAAGGTAGTACTTTACACACCTGAAACAAGTGTATTCCGATTCAAATCGGATGTGTGGGAGCTACGGGACTCCAAGAATACATCGGCTTCATCGCTTCAGTAATTATTAGCTGAGTATTCAACACCTGTCCAATGAACACTTACAACAGTAGGACGGCCCGCCAGTTTGCAGCAAGCTCAAATAGAGCTTGGAGGTTCCTCTCCACCACTTGAGCATCCAATCCAACATCGCCGACCCCTACAGAAAAGAGTGGTTTTCCTGTCAATTGCGCCACGCTTTCTATTTTAAACCCAGGTTTTAGCAATATTCTTAAGCGTATACGTGAGGATACTGGGGATAATTCGTACCTGCGGTCAAAGTCTTGCCAACGCCCGGGGGCCCTGTTGTGTAATGTTAGTTTTGGGTGCAGCGGTATTGTATGATGAGGAACGACATGCCATGAAGAAGTATTACCAGACCCTTCCCTTTCCCCTTTATGATATCTTCCAATAGTGGTTTAGCCATAGTTCCGCTGGCATGGCTTCTCACAAGATCTTGAATGAGGTCTTTCTGCGACTTGACAAGCTGCAACGCCTTGAATGCTTGATCGCTAATTAGTTGCTTTATGTCCCTCAGAAATCTGCCTTCTGGCTTTTCCACGTCTTTGACCTCGGGCTCGTCCAAAGCAACGTTCATCTCTATCCAGGTCTTGTTCTCAAGGTGATACCCTAGGACCCTCGGAGGGCAAATCTCGAGCTGTAACTCCTCAAACTCGTGCTCTGGGGTTACATCGTCCCAGTGTGTTTTCTGGTTCATTTTGAGGGCCTCGTTGGTGGAACAAATAGAACATCGGCATTCATCGTCTTTGCCGCTAAAGACTGCGTCTCCCATTGGGCTACGAATTGAAGATTGGGGAGCATGCTGCAGGTATGCCAAAAAGTCGACCATGACTCTTCCATCAATCTGTTACGAATTAATTAGCGATATCTATCTCCGTATGATTTCAATACAGTGCCTTGGGTGAGAGGCCGGACAAACCCTTTGGCTTCTTCCAGGAGGTTGTGGAGTGCGTTCTTTCCGATGAAGCCCACGGTAGTAAATGATCGACCGGTCTCGATCATCCTACATAGAAGCGTTGATCAGTCTGAGCCGGCCATTTTACAGGACGTACATACTCTGTTTCCCAGTTTTTGGAAGCCTGCACCATGAGTAATAGCATCTCCTTCGTACTGAAACAATTGCCTTCCCTTTTGTCTTATGCAGAGCTTCCGGAAACGTTCTCCCCTACGACGCAGTTGTTTTCGAAGCTGCTCAGTAGAACACGTCGGTGTGTCAGTGCGAAATTTCAGTGGGTAGGCGTCTAAGGTCTCAATCCCTCGAGAGCCCTGGAATTCCTCGAATATGAATTTGACTGGGACGCGATTGAAGGTCTTGCCGTTCCAATCGTAGGCCCAACAGATGAGCTTCCAAACTCGTTTCTTCTCCCTTCCTGACTCACTTGATTGATGGCTTTCATAACCCTCCTTTGCTATGAATAGCTGAGGTTCTCTCATGAATACTGAGGAGTAGACAATTTCCCCTGGTGGGAAAATGGTCCACAAGTAGTCGAATTGGACCGACCTTCTTTTCTCCTGCCCATCGACCCCAGAGAAAAAGGACCTCAACTCAGGAGTGGATCTTATTCGTGACAACATCTCGAAAAGTTCGTTTCTTGCTTGATCCAGGCTTCCGCCTTGTGCAAGACGAACCATGGCTGATGCCAAGTAATTGACTTGATCATCCGTCCGAGGGCCAAACGTTTCCACGGATTCACGGAGGTGGTTGTATTCGGTCGAACCGTCATTGGTAAGAGCCTCGAGTCTGTCCCAGGTGTGAATCAGCTCCTCAAAGGGACTCGGAAAAGTCATGCTATCATTCACGCCTTCCGACGGGAAATGCAACTGTGGATAGTGAGCCAAGACGATTCTAAGAAGTGCTCGGAGCTCCGGGCTTTCGACACTGAATTCAGAGTGCTTGTACTTCTTTTGTTCCGAGAGTACCCGATACCAGATCAGTTTGTGTGATGGCTTTGGTGAAGTAGCATCTTTTCCCGAGGCTGGTTGCTGAACCAAAGCGTCAAACTCCGAAATGCTGATGTCTTTCTCCTCAGGAACACTATCTGGTATCAAAACCCTTTGTCGCAGTCGCGTCATCGATGATACTTCATCACCGAGTTCGATCCGATCGTCATGGTCTTCCTGGTGATTCTCGCCAGTTGATGCTGCCTGCAATATAACCATAAGCTGAAGTCAACTTCGTTATAGGAACGCGCACAAGCAACCTTCCCAGGTTCGGAGGATTCCACAGCCTTTACATGTTCCAATTTTTCCTATTGAACGGTCAGCGTTAGGCTATTATACCTAACTAAAATTTATGAGTGATTGCTAACGCTTTCAAAACCACTGGTGAGTCGCTCCAAAGTGGCAATTCTCTTCTCGAGCAGCTCGATATACCTAAACTCAAGCTGTTTGACGCGGCCGATATCTTCCACGATAGGCCCACTGTCCGCCATATTGACGGGTAGTCAAAGGCGTGTTCAATACCGAGTTTGAGATTGGCAGGACAAAAAGGCTTTCGTTGTAGGGTAGGGACGGACGGAGGGCAGTGAGGATATGGCGAGAAGCTGTTCAAAGCAAGAATCGCACACTTTATATATACATTCCCGAGCTCCGGGTCCGGCATTCCGAGCTCGCCTTCGAGATTTGTAATCTGACGGCATTTCCATTCGCCCGCGCATCGTCAGCAAAATTCAAATTCAGCCAGCACACTGCAACAAGGATAAAGAACCAGACTATGAATCTCAATCAATCCCCGCACAGACTGGCATTATAATTTTGTGTTTGTTGCCTACTTCATGCCAAGTGAGCGTGATTTACGAATTACCATGCCCTCCAAGGTGCAGGGAAAAATGCACGTAAGCAATCACTAAGCATGGGCTTTGTCGTCCCACCATCGTATTGGTGGAGTTTTTCAATCATGCAGGTTACACCCATCCCATGCTCAATATTTCTTTTGCGGGGTTTGAGTGGAAGCCAAGACTGCAGGTGTATTACGAGATACTGAGTCAGACTGCGGAGCCGAGCTCTGAAGTGGCCTAGACTCTGGAGTCTTCATCTTCTGAAGCAACAAATAAATATTGACACGTTCAGACGCAACCATCGCTCAGCCATTTCACAATATCAACGTACGGTATTTCATTCACGATATCTTTAGAAGAATAGCGTCATTCTCGAACAAAATCAGACGGTGGAAGCACTAAGGTGGAGTTCACGGCTGCCGGAACGTACGAAACTTTCATTGGCCAAGGCGATAGGGCCACCAACGTCAGTGTTCGCTTAGTGAAGCAAACGGGAGACTCTTATTGAAAGATCAGATGGCTCTTTTTTGGAATGTGTTTGACCGACGGGCTAAAGGGTACGCAATCATTCCCCGGAGGCGCCAGATCGCACTGTATTGACTTTCACGTTTGAGTTTGATCTCCGAGTCTGATGACCCGGAGACGATATCGCAAACGCAAGAGAATATCGAGAGGAAACTTCGAAAACACGACAGGATAACGGTAAAACACACATTTCCAGAGCTCGATCAATTGATGAAGGAGTGTCTGGAAAGGGCTAAGGAGGGACAACAATCACACCATTCGAAGAAAGACTTCTCAAAGCGTGTGGGTAGGGGAGCGACTGAATTCCTCGTAGGCTGCCAAAGCTACCTGAAAGCGTATGCGGGAGTCGTGCAGGCAGTGGAGACCGTTGACCCAGGATATGGGAGAGCTGCTTATTCAGCACTCTCAGTCTTCTTTGTGGTATGCTTATCCTCTGTTGATTAATATGATAGCCCTAATGTTGCTTTAGGTTGCAATCAACAAGAACGAGACTGAACGCGAAATTGAAACTATGTTGCAAACACTCAGTACCCAATATGCTCAAATTCAGCTGCTGGAGCCCGTATATGACAAGGAAAGTTTGGATCCTTGTGTAACTCGCGTTTACACTCTTGGAATACAGTTCCTACAGGATGCGGCCCGATATTACGGCTTCAAGTCCTACAGAAGGTTCTGGCACATCCTGGCTAAACCTCCAAATGTTGACCTTCAAGACAGAGTGCTTTCCATCAAGAATGCAATTTCTGACCTTCAGAATCAGCGAGGAATTCAGGACAGCATCAGGTTAGGCGCAATAGACATGAAAGTCAACGGTGAGTAAATCCTTCTACCCTTAAAACTCAACAAAATAAAGCGCAAGCCGCTTGCAATATAACTGACCAGTTACAATTTCTAGTACTTGTCGAGGGCCAACTTCTAGAATTGAGTCAACTACTTGAAACAGTAGACGAAGATCTCTTTGCCCGTCTCCGGGACTATGAGAACGCACTGGAAACATTCGAAAGGATAAAAAGGCTGGAACCTTTCGACTTCAGCAACAAGCTGCTCAGTAACGAAGCCTTTGGTCGTTGGAAGGCTGAGACCAATTCCAGTTTTCTGGTCATCAGGGGAAAAACAGTTGCACCATACAATACCTCGCTGAGTTGGGTTTCACCAGCAGCGACTGGTTTCATTCGTCAACACGAGGGTCTTTCACCATGCGCAACTTCGCACACCCCGAGCTCAGGAAACCAGAGGGATGAGTGCCTCCTCTTCTATTGCTGTCAAGATGCTAGGGCGGATCTCCAAGATCCAGCCATGCCTCTCCTCCCATCAACCGTCGTCTCTAGTCTCATATATCAACTTCTCAGAACCACAAAGGCTAAGGCAATTCTCAACGATTCCAATCAGTTCCGCCAGTTGAAGTTCGACATCCAAAAGTCTGGAAGCAAAGCAAACAACGATGACCACCGATCTCGGCTTTTTCAACTACACGACATTTTCCATACATTGTTGGGCAAGTTGTCATTCAACAAAGTATACTTGGTCCTGGATCGACCAGACTGCATGCGAGGTCATGATACAGCTTTGGGCCTGTTGCTGAAGCTAATGGAAACATTTCCGAGAGGGCTGAAGATCCTCGTCGTCGGTCCGAAAATCAGCCCTGAGTTTCTAGATGACAGTCGTGAGAAGCGGGCTTTTCTTGAGCTGGTGTTCGATCAAGACTCTTGAATGAACTTTACGTTTCCTGTAAGCTAATTTGACTTAGATTTGCAAATTAGCTCTCATTAAGCCCCAATCCAAGTATTCCGTGAGACTTAAACATAGTGACATTGCATTTTTCAGCACAAATGAGTAGTGTAAGCTGACTCATTTATCAATACTTGCTCATTCTGCTATAGACCAAGGCAATGCGTTTGATGCTCTATCTGCTGGTAATCTTGCAGTAGTCCTTCCACTGACTGATTATAAACGTGGTAAGTACGACAGTGGCCCGGACGGTCATGCTGTACCCATTCATAACTCATCTTGTTCGGCTAATGACCAGAGGAAAAGCGGGGTAATTGCAGATGTTTTTCAGGGCTGGCATTTTCTAATTCCTGCCACCGGGCCGAGCCAGGCTAGCGTTATGCTCAGTTGACTCACCCTCACTATACGTAAGCTACTTAAAGCACCAAAGAAGAGTACCAAAGTAAGCCGCAGTGGGGATCTTTGAGTTTGGATCGCATATACTGTTCGGCTATTAGGGTCTGGATCACACAACTCACAGCACTATCATGCGGCTGAAGGCCAGCGCGACGATTACGAATCTTTCAAAGTTGTAGTTCTAGTGATCCTTTGATAGTATGATAGGTCAGAACGTGTCGATAGGCAGAACCCCTCCACACTATCGGCCGCAGAACCCAGCTGTATAGTTGCTGTTCTTGGCCATGCCAGGATTCGACCAGCTGAGGCTTTTCTTGGGGTCTGGCAGAGGGCACTGAAGTATGCCACCCTGTACCGGTTGTTGCTTATCCTACATGTGATATTAAAGCCGGTACAGAATACGCCAGGATGGGAACATAACCGAGGAGGAAAACAACAAACACTTTATCCGCAACACGGACTTTCATAGACTTTGACTTTCAACCTTTTCAAGCTGGGACATATGAAAAACCTATTGGATGTCAATGTCCTAGCCGATCTTGATATCCAAAAGATATATGATGAATTCAAAGTTCATCATAATTTGGGTCACGAAAGCAGGCCACGGAGACAATAGGCTTGCAGCCGCTCTCATTCGATCTGCACGCTGTCCGATACGGAGGTTCGTCATACATATTCACCTACTCATGTCCGCAGCTGACATGCAAGGCTAGATATTATCCGTGAGGGGAAAAATGCAAATATGTTCATGGGCTGTTCTGGGCACCCAAGCCGTTGGTTAATGGTAAGATCCAAAGCGCGGGCATGCAAGCTGATGGGTCAGCGGAGTTCTCCTAATGCTGGGATATAATGCAGCCATAATGCGGCAGTAAGAGCTGAAAGCCGTGCATACTGTATAGGCGAGCTCCGCAGCTGAATTTCAGGGTGCATGTACTTTCCTTTCTCTGAATGGATGCAATTCTGACCTATCATATGGCCACGATCAAACCCCCTTGTTAACGGAGCCTCATTCGTCACGCTAGCATTCTGCCCCGCATCTCCTCTGAATTCGTCATTGATGTCGCTTAGTCATTACACATGGATGCCTTGAAGCTGCGGGGTGTGCATACGAGGGAATCTGTTGCTGCCACCCGCAGAATGAGCGCATCTTGCTCAACCAACGGCTGCCGCTGACGACGCCATACCCTTGTCACTGGACATGTTTCACCGTAGCCCAGTGTTACTGCACTGGCCTACAATCCTTCCGAACTCGGAAGCCAGCCATAATCCGCGCGTGCTTGATTTATCATTTTGCGCCAGAGGCACCTATGGCTATAGTTTTATTTCCTAGCATACTATTACTCATAATGTACATTCCCTGATGTCGTAAGAAGAGGATGGCGGCAACCGGTCGTCCGTAAGTCATGCGAGGGAGAAGGTGAATAGATATTCAGCCAAAGTAGTTATTCTACTAACCGCAGAGCATTTGATAAGTGCCGATAATATTCTCTGATCAATACAACATGAGCAACTATGAAGCTCTCAAGTCTCTTATATTTACATGCATAAAGCTGGAGACAGGATTCAATTGTATGATTTCTTTCTAGTCATCACATCTTTAAAGAACTTGACACGTCCGGCGCGATGGGTGATGGTACCGTTGACACGTGGCACAAGAAATGCGCAGGCTCAATGGCTGGTGTCTGTCAGGAATTGTGCATATGATCACAAGTAAAAGGAGTGTTTGCCACTATCGCGCAATTGACAAACTGGGAAGTTTATGGGAGCATCCGCAGAAGAGGATAAAGATAGGAGAAACGAGACACACAGTTCGGGTGGAATCTAGTGTGCGGTAGATGCGGATTTTGAGGCGCTGTTGCAGAATGGTCCACCCCGATCGGAGATTTGGCCAGCTTCAATTCGTATTCGACAATGGCGGAACTTGCTTTTTCGAAAAAGAAATAAGTATTAAGCCACGAAACGAAACAAATAGATTCATGCATTTCATTTTCGTCTGTGGCGGTAGCTGAAGCTCGTAATATTCGAAATATAATCAGTGGCTTTCTTCTTGTGTCACATAATGAGAGCAGATCGGAATCTTGCACCATAATTACAAAAGAAGGAAAGTTATGCCTTGAAAACATTTCCAACTTTGCACAACTAGTCAAATCAATAGTGCGACACTCTGTGGAGTTTTGAAGTAGGTGACATCTCTCCAGGCATCTTTGGACATGTTTTTTGCCTGGGTTGAATGGGCTTTGTGGGTCGTCATAAAAATTTAAACAGAAAATATCACAGCCACGCAAAGGTCGTGAAACCCCGAAATCATCTCAAATAATTTGTTTTGCATAATCAATGCATTCATGATATCTCTGTACTGGAATGGGAGCCCAATCCAGGCAAGGTGTGTGAACGCTCGGACAGTCAAACGCTTCATCCTGGAACTTGTGGCTGCGCTTCTTACAGTGACCAACCCGCAGCTGTCCAGCTCGCTGCGCTTGTGATCTTAATAAAACTTCCAGATAAATCTATCTCAACATCCACTGCTTCCTCCCTTGGCATCATCTTCGCAAGGCTTCACAAGTCATCCTGCATGCAAATCTCGCCCTGCTTGGCTCTTTCCTCAATCCAGCAACATGGCGCCCACCTCGACTGCTCTAGCCGGAGCACCTACCAGTACTGATTTTGACGGCGACGACTTCTCAAACAATCTCTTTAGCGATTTGGCACCTCTCCTCACCCTCTTCGGCGAACAAGTTACCAAGCAATTTCTGAGCCTGTCTTTGGGTTGGGCCGATCACATTCTTCTTGCCGTGGGGCCGCTTGGAATCATTACGATAGTTGTCAGAGCTATTCGCGTGAGCGGTCCCAAGAAGCTCAAGGCTATCATTGGAAGGTCGGATACAATTTCGCATTTTCTGATAACTTTCAATTGGATTTTGAAGAATAGAGGGCTAATTCATCGTTTAGAGCTCGTGAAAGCCTCGCAACAGCGGAATTAGAACTCTTGTCCTCGACCTCACATGACGTCTGCGAAATGTGGGATGGCAACCAGATTGTTCGAGCAATAGGCCAACCAACAGATATGAGAGAGGTTATAATTCTCGAAAGTATCCATGGAGAAGACGAACAAGCAGTTGTACTACGTGGCCTCAACTTTTTAGAGGCGGTAAACAATCAGGTTCTCAAAGTGGACCGGTTCATGCCCATGTCAGATGAAGAGGCACTTGTGCGGAAGCTCATCGAGCAGGCACCGAACATTACCCTCAATGTTACAGGTGCTACACTGTCTAAATTCGAACTCTGGGTCTGGGCAGCTATTGGACTTGCAGTTCAAATAGCAGCTCTGACTGTACCAGGCCTAGCGGTATACCCGTGGAAGTGGCAGAAAAGAGAAGGGGACAGCATTCAATATGGTTACCCTTGCTTCCTCGCAGGAAGCCTTGCTATAATCCTCGGGGCTTTGGGCTGCTCTTACGTCATCGAGAAGCGGACAGAAGAGCTTTCTTTCCGTCCTCATCCTAACTTGGCAGTTGGTATAAGAAGTATCTTGCGAGTACAGAAAGCTTGCACTGTTGGCGATCAGCACTTCCAATCATACGCGATTTTCAATGAACCCTCTGATTGCACGTCACGAACGTCTCGCTTGAAGCCTAATCATGGAGGTATTTGGAGGTAAGTTATAGAAGATCCTGATTGCTTACAGGCACTCATATTCTTGTTCGCACTTGCTAACTTTGGATCTCAGTTTTCTCTCCGCTGCTTCAACATTCATTGCCGTTTCCGGATATATTATTCAGTTTGTCGGACTGAGGGCCTTACATTGGTCAGTCACGATAATTCAACTTGGTGTTACACTCGCAATGACCGGTTGCAGAGCATGGGTACGTCGAGGACTGGCTACTCAACCTACCTGCATACCTTTGGACGAAAAGAGTGAGGCTGCGTGGCTCACGTTGTTTCTTCTGACGGACGACTATGGGAAAAGACCCGAACAGCTGTCCTCCAAGCAAAACCTTCGTCAAGTTCGCGGTTGGGAGTTGCGCGGTCTCACGTCTTGTTTCGAGTGGCATCCAGGTTACAGTCCCGTAAACAGCACCAACCACTACAACGCCAACGATGCCGTTAAACTCCACAAACAACATCGCCAGCTCTTGAAACAGCCGCAAGCGGACTGCGTATGGTCAAATCGACTTTGCGTAGCGGTTGAAAGCATAATGAAGTACATTACGTCTACTAGAGACGTTTCGATCCAGCCCGAAGGTAAAATTGCGAAAGAGGAGACTCTATCATGGGCCATCGGGACTAAGCACAACTGGCCAAACGGTGCAGATACTGACCCTAAGAGGGTTGGTCGTCTGACAGCAGAGGTAGAGATCAGACGTACTGACAACATGAACGGACACAAAGGAAGCTCCAAGGCCTGGATGGTTGACGCTGATGAAATTTGCAGCATCATGGAGCTTTGGGTACTCTCTGTAACGCAGATAATTGGTCCTAAGCTCCTTTGTCCAATTCCCGGGGGCGTCCTCGGACGTGACGTGGGTAAGGACTGTTTATGGTATTGTCATATCTTGGGTTGTCTCACTGGAGACGACAGCGAAGGGAACTCTTTTCCGAACTGGGAAATATCTTCTTTCGCTTTTAATAAGGGAAGGAAGGAGAGGATGACCCGCAGGCAATTGACCGGTTTGCTGAAGAATTCACCATTGGAACTTGCAGCTATTGATGCCAGTGAAACTTCTACGAATTTCCTGGTCTCTAGTAGGTATTATCCACTGCGCAAGATACTGGCACTGGAGCTTCTACGTCTATTTCTTTCAGCAATCTTCTCCGGAGTTTCAGAAAACAACAATACTCAATCAATATCGAAGATAGGCACGATATTCAAGTCTCTAGAAGCAAAGCCACAAGAGCATGGGTACCCTGGCAAACTGTCCTACAACACCATGGCCATCAACGCAATTTCTTCTTGCATTATCAACGCAGGCTTGGTGGACACAGCAGATGAAGCCAACAACTATGTGATTCCGGCACTCTCACGATACGATCTTATTACCATTAAATCCAAGCTTCCATCCCAACAGCTCGCTCATACGGTCGTTTCCCAAGGGTCGAGAGAAGATGAACTCTGAAGCCTCTCTACACCTGAAATATTAGCAGGCGATCCAGGTGCAGACATTATACTCAGGGAAAACTGCAGCATCAATTGGAGCAATATGATGGATATGTGGGTGCGGCATGACGGTTCCTCTTGAAATTGTGTAAATTAACGCAAATATTCGTTATCATCAAATTTTACCAAGTTTACCCTTTTTCTTTTTCTTTTTCAACTTCTACCACGTCCAGGTTAATTTCCTTCATGCTTATTGCACGCAGGTAAGAAATAGAGAAGCAACGACATCATAAATCGTATTATTCACACCCGCCTCCAACACCAGCGACAACGACCCTTTTTTTTATAGTACTACGACAATTGCCATAAAAGCTTTTAATGGAGTTGAAGTAATTATCACTAGTTTGCGTAGAGTTTTAATAGGTATTTAACATATGCAAAGTGTTTTTATAAGGCATCGACAAAACCAATACTTAGCCAATATTACGTCAAGCACTCTTTCTAGGCCTTTCCAGCCCATCTTTAAGTATCTAGCTTATTAGCGGCCGTTAACACAAATGGAAAAAGTAACGCAAAACATATGTATAGATCAACTGTTCAATTGACTACCGGGGTCAGGAGAGTCTATCCTGAGGGTCTATCAAAGTGACAATGGAGATTCGAGGCTTTCAATGTTTTCGGGGTACCGAAGACCACCTTGTTTCCTCACCTCATCCATAACCTTCATGACAGCAATACTCTCATCCAAGCCGAACCGACCCTCTTTACGCCCCTCAATGATGGCAGCGGCTGCTTCATCTGCTTCCCAGAACAGACCTTGACCTTCGCCTTCACTATGTATGCCATTGCTCCAGCCAGAACCCTTGCCTGGCCCTGGATAAATCCATTCTTGATCTTCACACGTACCGTCTCGGAGAACAAGTCTTGTCTTTGTAGGACGGTATAAGGGTGCGAAGACCTGTAACTCTCCATATTCGCCGTAGATCCGGCATGCTGGTGCTGTTTCCACTCCTTTCAAAGGTTCCGTCGCGTACCTTATGCCTGTCGTCGCGACTGCATGAACCTTCCCTTCTCCGCGAGGAAAACTGAGTAGGATGGTCGTCAGTTCGTCAACGCCCATAGTCGAACCGTATTGTTCTGTGAATGATTGAACGGATGGCATCTTTCTTTCGCTCTGAGGTACCGTGGTGACGAGTGCTTGAAATATCCAAGTGAGCGCGTAGACACCGAGTCCAAGTAGGGCGCCACCGGCTAAATCAGGATTCACCATCCGGTGTTTCCCGTCGTGCATAGACTTTTCCGGATCCAGTGCATGACTACAGTCGGCGTAGACGCGCTGTAGCTGCCCAAGTCTGCCAGACACGACTACATTACGAACGTACTCTGAGACAGGAAGGAATCGCGTCCAGACACCTTCCATGAAGAAGACTTGCTACAGAGCATTGTTATTAGCTCCGTGACAATGTATTCATGAATTGATTTTGCTAACCTTTTCCTTTGCCAAATCCCTAAGCCTCTCCGCCTGTGCCGCATTGACTGTGAGAGGTTTCTCACATAATACATTCTTTCCAGCCTCCAAGCAAAGCCTCGCGTTCTGGTAATGTTGCGAGTGTGGCGAAGCCACGTATATGATATCAACATTAGCGTCAGAAACAAGATCCTCATAACTGCCGTATGGCTTTGCTGTCGTGGGTGCGTTAATTTCTTTGAGGAAACGAGCGGCTTGCGCGATACCGGAGGAACTAGCGACCGCACTAATTGTATGTTTGATATGGGTGACTCCGCGCGTTGCTGGGTCGAGAAGGAGTTCCAGCGCAAAAACCTTTGCGATACTTCCTGTGGCCAGGATTCCCCAGCGGATTTCTGGAGGAACCGCCATTTCGGCGATGTTCAATATTTTTGAATTCAAACGTCGTCCATCTTTTGCTTTAAATACCGAATGGGCCTGCGAAAGATTAGTAAACTACCGAGATACCCCGCACGTGGAATCGGATAAATACGTACTTAACCGGACTGGGACCCGCACGTATGAGGCTGATTTGCGGGTGTTCATGTGTGACTCGTGATCGAAGGTCGCTTGTTACAATTAAGGTCAACCAAATTCGTATTAGTCATCTCATATCTTTCCATACTGATTGGAAGCTCCCAATGATAAGATCAAGCAAAGGAGACTAATGCAAAAATACAAATAAAAAATTCCGATAGATATCACACTTATGGCTCCGGTGGCCGGTCACATACGGAAGAGCTTCGGGAGAAATTTTCCACACAGTCAATGTCGTGCCTCCAATTTCCAAAGCTCTACGGGGTACGGAAGCTATCATTCAGCGCCAAGAAAAAGCAACACCCTGGCTCTGCGGAAATCCGGGCTACAATTATTGGGGCTGACCCTTGCGGCAACACGGACGTGAGAAGGCGCGGACTAACCATATCAAGGGTAGCCAATGAACGGCCCCCATTGCGGGTAGTGTTGTGACGTAGCTGGCTGACCTCACAAGGGAATCAGCCTCTCAGGGTTTCCTAGCTACAGCGGACTGGATAAGGCCCGTCCCGAAGCTGCCTACCCTGAGGTGATTCAGAAGTGCTCCTTGAGGCTCTCAGCCGGCCCGCAGCCGGTTCCGGGTACCCGTACCCGTAGTCCCTAGGGTCAAAGTTTGTATTCGAACGATGGATTCGGATCCAAAATTTCCCGCCACACTTCGGGTACGGGAAACGCCATTCCCGCTTGTTCCAACGTCACACTCTCGGATCCAGTATGTTAAGTAGTACGCCTCGTACGCCACAAGTATATAAGCTTAAACCGCATTTTGTCATAAGGTCAAACTTCCCACTGGTATCATTATCGTACATCCATCCACACGTCCTTCAGCCATGTCTACAATTGACAGCCCACCACCAGCCTTGTCCCAGGCTCTCAAATGGGAGAACAGCTACATCGTTGGTTTATTCATCTTTGTTGGTGCACTCGTTTACTACTTTCTTCATGACGAAAAACCCTATGCTGGCTTCCCCGTCTATGGAAAACGCGAAGGCGAGTTTTTTCACACCAAGGCGAAAGAGCGCTTCAAGAATCATGGAAATGCTATAATGAAGAAGGGGCTTGAAGAGGCAAGTGCTCACCATTAGCCATGTCATCCGGGAATGGAGGTTTCTGATTGACTCAGCAGAACAACGGCAAACCTTTCCAAGTCTTGTCCGATATTGGCTACATGATCATTCTTTCGCCTGCCCACGCCGATGAAATCCGCAATGACGAACGATTCTCGTTCGATGCGCTGCTGTACAAAATGTTCCTCGGGGATTACTCTGGGCTGGAGCCGCTCGTATTTGGAACTGGGTTTCACGGCGTAGTTTTCAAGAGCTCGGTCCGCAAAAACCTGACGCAGTCTCTTGGTACAGTCCGCTCTTAAACCCTTGCCAAGTAGCGGAAGCACGCCGAGTGGGCCGACTTGCTAATTATATTTCACAAAGGCGCTATTACGGCAGATCTTTCCCAGGAGATGACGGCGGTGTTGGAAGAGACTATGAGTCATATGACAAAAGGCAAGCATGTCATGCAGGAGTCCTAACGGTCCATTACAGTACTAACCTGATACAGAGTGGAGCGAAGTCAAATTCGTCCAGACGGCAACGATAACCGCCGCTCGCCTCTCCAACCGTGTCTTTTTGGGTGAAGAGCTGAGTCGCGACAAGGATTGGCTCAATGTTTCCATCATGTACACCGTCGACTCGGCCGAGGCGGTGCAGGAGTTGCGTATGGTCCCTTCGTTCGCACGCGGGCTGGTGCACTGGTTCATGCCCAGCATGAATCGATGCCGCCAGCACATCCGCACTGCGCGCCGCCTGATCAACCCTGAGGTTTCGACCAGGCAGAACGCCATCCGCGACGCATCATTGACCGGAAAGGCTTGGAAGAAGCCGGTGGATTCTCTGGAGTGGTTTATGGACAACGCTGGTGGCAAGTCGTGCGATTACGCGCTTGGGCAGATCGCCCTCGGCCTTGCCGCGATCCATACCACTTCGGCAATGATTGTAGGCATGCTGTATGACCTAGCCGAGCATCCGGAATTTATGGAGGAAGTGCGCCAGGAAATTGCGACCGTGTTGAAGGAGGATGGTGGGTGGAAGAAGACGAGCTTGTACAAGATGAAGCTGCTCGACAGTGGCATGAAGGAGAGCCAGCGCTTGCACCCCATCACGTCAAGTAAGCATCCTTCTGCGCCGTTGACATTTGTTTGCTAACCCTGCCGCAGCTCTCGTCAATCGCGTCCTTACCGAAGACGTTGTTCTCAAAGATGGGACTCGTCTGCCCAAGGGCGCCATGGTTGCTATCCCGAGTATCGCCATGGTCGATCCTGCCGTTTTCGGCGAAGACGCCGACCGCTTCGACGGACGTCGCTTTCTGAGGCTACGTGAACAACCCGGCCAGGAAAACCGGTGGCAATTCGTCACGACCAGCCCCGAGATGTTTGGCTTCGGACATGGCATGCACGCGTGCCCAGGCCGCTTCTTCGCGTCTAATGAGGTCAAGATCGCTATCGCTCACCTCATACTCAAGTATGACTGGAAGTTCGATGACAAATTGCCCAGGCCGCAGAGCATGAAGGACAATGCGCACGCGCCGAATCCGGAAGCTGGAATATGGTGCAGAGCGAGGAATCCCGAGTTGGCGTTGTAGTTGGTGAAACAAGGGATGTTGAGGTGCTGTGGGCTTTTTCCTTTTTAGACTGCTTCATGGGTTCTTGTATTGTAAAGAGAAGGGAGTGGGATGGACCGTCGCAAGTTTCCCCAGTCTCGATGGGTTGGGGAGCGATACGGATTCTGGTCCAAGCCCCTGAGTTTATGCAACTGGCCAATAGACGTAAATGGAATAGAATCTCTCCTGAAACGTTAGATCGGCGCTCGGATAAACCTGCAGTCGCGAAGAAGACCGTGGGGTGGGCTAAAATAAATCAAATCCTGCTTCTCCCCACACAAATTTCTCCGTCCCCGCACATGCTCTTTCGACCGTTTCGTCCACTTTTCGGCTTACGTGGCTTGTAAAATTTGGGGTGGCTGAAGTGCAGCAAACATGCCATCGACAAAAGAGGGTGTACCGGCTTCACGATACCAATGCGCGAAGTGCAACAGAAGCTACAGGCGGGCCAGCCACCTACGTCGTCATGAAGTAACACGTAAGCCATTGAACTAAGTAAGTCAGACCAATCCGCTAAAACGTTTTAGATACTGGCCAACGACTATACCAATGTCCTGTCTGCGGCCGTTCGTTCGCTACAGGGTAAGTAACGCTGTCAATTTATGAGCTCCCATACTGACACTCAAGTACAGCGACGTCTCTCGCAGGCATGCCAAGGCTTGTGCGAAAAAGCACAATGTTCGTCCCCCGCCAGAAGCAAAGCGTGGCAGGAAAATGCGTGCTTGCAAGGAATGTTCGAAACGTAAACTTTCGTGTGATGCGAACGACCACGGCGAGCCCTGCACCCGCTGCCGCTCGGAAGGGAAAGCATGCAGTAACGAGCGAATGGCAGCCAAGTATGAGGTCCCACACAGCGATCCATGCCAAGCGACCTTCCTCCTGAGTTATACAGGAGAAGTGAGGGACACCTCGGCAGAAGCGTACGTCACTGATGCCGCAGCCCGGCTAGAAGAGGATCTAGTATCTAGTCCATCTAGTGGCTGCTTTTCGGGCCTTGGTTCATCGGAACCGCATTATTCCCCGGGATCCCCGAGTAGCCAATCGCCTGATTGGGTGCCCGTTCTTGATGTAGAGATCTCTACTATGTACAGCAACGTTCAGCTGTCTGAGGACGTGAGCCAAGATCATCACATGGGCAGTCGCATGGATGAGCTCATCAACAAGCTTTTCGAAGCCCACGAGAAGATGGGAACGCAGTCTGGGTTTGACTTCGCGCTAGCAAGATCTGTGTTCACGGCGCAGAATGCCCAAATATTCCTCGGGGCCCACTTCGACGTCTGTCACTACGATATTCCCATTGTTCATCGATCGACTTTCTCAGCGAGGGAGACATCCACTCCCCTACTGCTTGCGATACTTATGAACGGATCTTTGTACGCGCCCCCGAACGATTCTGCATTGGCAGTTCGGTCATTCTTCAGAGATGCTGAAGAGTTCATCTTCCGCCATCTGCTCGGACATTATGAGGCGCCAAGCTTGAATCCTGACTGTGTTCAGGCCATCCAAGCCGCTCTTCTTACTACATTCGTACAGTACAACATGAGGGATCTGGAAACACGGCGCCGGATAAGGACGCAACGGTTTCCAATATTGGTTTCCCTGCTGCGATCTTTGGGCTTGACAACGCTTAAGCGGCGAAACTGGGCTGGACTGGATTGGCGAGATTGTATTGCTGACGAAGTCCGCATAAGGCAAGTCCCATTGTAAGAACAGGTTACGTTGTAACGCTAACGTCATCGTTAGGTTGGGTCAGTTTACCTATTTGGCTGATTGTCACTTTGCTCTTTTCTTCAACAGCCCACCTCAAATGGTGATCTCCGAGATGACAGGCGACCTCCCCTGTCGTGAGGATATTTTTGAAGCTCAGACTGCTTCTGAGTTCGATCTCCTCGCTCCCATGCTCCAGAACAGCCCCAGATGCCCGTCTCTCCACCAGTTAGTCTCTGCACTCATGCACGGACCATGGTCAGGACCAAGAGAGTTTCCCTATTCAGGTTTACCGATATCAAACCTATACCATGCTTTGCTAGGTACGTAACTACGATTTTATGAGAGATTGAATATTCACAAGGCCTTATTTAGTTCTACAATCTGCTTGTTTTCTTGCCAAAACCAGTCCTTTTGGACAGGACAATCTGAATGCAACTTTTCGTGCAACCGACAGATGGAAGGCACTATGGGATCTTGCTTTACAAAGAGAAGAAAGTGAAACCATCCGATGGGGCATTTTGATGAAGAATATCTTGGAGATTCACTGGCTTATAAGAACGACGGTAAAGGCGGCGGTTTCAGCAGACGTCAGCTGTGCATATATGAAAAACATTGCGACGGATTCATTCGCTGATATTCATTATTTCATACTTATCCATAGGGGACTAGAATACTAGTCTCTGAGTATAAATTTCAATCGACCTGATTGTTACGGGCAAAACCAACAAGTGAGGGAAAAACCGACAACTGCGGGAAAAACCAACAATGCGGGCAAAACCAACACCTGCGGACAAAACCGGCCGCTTCGGAAAAACCAACAGCCGCGGGCAAAACCATCACTCAGGGAAACCACAACTTGAGGTGCTGAGGGATAGCTCGGTGCTCAATTGGCTGAATACATCAATGCATCTAGACCTCTTCCTTCACGTCCACAGAATACTAGACTCAGAATTTTATTTACTTAGGCTATTGAAAAACACGGCAATATAAATAGGACGGCTCTTATATGACATTGTAGCCTAATTGGACCAACAAAATGCACTTCAATCCATGTATCTAGACTGCATATGTACGTTTCTATACAGGCTTTACTAGACAGGACTGGCTCAACAGATCATACCTCCGTCAACTTGGTACACACAGCCAGTGACGAACGAAGCCTCATCGCTGAGCAAGAACGCGAATAGCGACGCAACTTCTTCCGAAGTTCCCATTCTCCCCATTGCAGTCTCCCTAGCCGCTCGTCCCCCGATCATTTCAAGGGCTGGCCCAGTCATGGGCGTCTCAATGTATCCCCTATGGTGTATTAAAGTCAGTTATAATGATCTCTATGAGCAGCAGATCTGACTTACGGTGCAATGCAGTTTACTCTCTGGTTGCGGGCTCCCACCTCCTTCGCCGCAGTCTTGGAGAGCCCAATGACGCCATGTTTCGAAGCCACATATGCGCCGTTAGTAACTTGGCCCTGCAAGCCTGCAGAGCTCGAAGCGTTCACAATGCTACCACCAGGTGCCAGGTGCCTCAACTGAGCGCGTAGACAATGCATTACGCCGTTCAAATTGATGTCCAATATAAACTTTCTATGATCAGTCCTGGGCTTTGCGTCCAAAGAATTGTCTTGGAGTTACCTTCCAGCTCTCGTCATCCAGATCCTTGACTTCCAATGGCGTCGTCGGCGCCACGCCTGCTATGTTTGCCGCGCCATCCAACCGCCCAAAAGTGGCTACTGTGGCTTCTATCCACGCGTCGACTTGTTCCGGCTTGCGCACGTCGACAACACGGGAGAATACCTGGGCGCCGGTACTCCTGATCTTGTCTGCAGCTTCTTCCAGGTGTTTTTCTCGTACGTCGGCAAGGGACACGCGGGCTCCTTGACTGGCGACCAGAGTTGCGACCGCGAGTCCTATTCCGGAAGCGGCACCGGTGATTGCGATCACTTTACCTTGTAGGGAGGCCATGGCAAAGACTTTCGGGTTGGTTCCGGAGCTTTTGTCGGATTTGGAAGGATTTGTGGGGAGAGTTTGACCAAAGAGGAGAGCGAATGGGATAGTCGGATGCTGTAAGTACTCGATAGTAGCAATAGGTATATATGCACATGTGCCAAGCCGGAGCGGGGATCATGCAGACCGATGCGGGTATGGATGAAGCCGGAGGAGCGATACAGAGTAGGCCATCAATCCACTTTAGAGCGGAATCTCATTAAAGCCCCACTGTAAATAACCCACTTTATTGGTTGACACAGCCTGAAGCGAGAGCCCTAGACGTACGAAGTTCAGGCAATTAGGCATGGATAAAGGGTAAAGCACCGAGGTCCATTTGGGCAGATACGGAACGGCTCTCGACGTTCCCGCATCCTGGAAAGAAAGCCGGGTGAGAAGTTAGGAACGCCAAATGCAGTATGGCCGACTCAACCCGATAAAAACAAAATCGACCAATCGTGTATCCGGAACGAAATTCTGGATAGTCTAGTGGCCAAATAAGCTTTGCAGTCCGTGCCCTGTCAGCGTATCAACAGCGCCCCCGGCAACAAAGGGGTGTACCCACATTTCCGCTTGCTAAATCCAACACACGATCCCATCGACATCTTTAACGCTGTTCGCCACAATCAGCATGTCGAACGTAAGGCATATCCGATTGCCTGTTTCGGAAGAGACCCAAACTTCTTTTATGTTGTGGAAAATTCATCTTTAGAGCAATTCTTCGCCACCAGGATAAACGTGTCATTATTCTACTTAAAATGAAGCCGGCAACATAAATGTAGTTTATAGGATAATGACGATCAAACACTGACCAAAACCTTTTTTTTTTCCTGCAAAAGGCTCTCCTTCCAGACTCCGCTTCTCTTGTAGCCACCAAACAGCATATCCTCCACCCGTGTTGAGCTTGTGCAGTTTGCACCCACACTTCACACTTCCAGAAACCCTGCCATGCGAATCTCGCGGCTGACATCCTTTGTGTAGACCGACGCGTGCAATCCGTATTCAGTATCATTTACCTTCTGTAGCACCTCCTCTTCCGTCTCAAAGGTGCAGATGTTAACCACAGTACTAAAGATCTCCTCCTTCATAGGTTCGGAGTTCTTGGGAAGTGAGAGATATGTAATCCGACAAAGTATCCGCTCTTTATCGTACCCGTATCTAAATTGCCATGAATGAGCATCCCGCCTGCAGATTTGCCAAGCTCGATATACTTGTTGACAGACTGGAACTGAGATTCATCTGCCAGCGGACACATCTGCACGCCTGGATCAGTGAAGACTCCGATCTTGACATTGGCGCAGTTGTCTTTGAACATCGTGATGAACTTCTCGGCAACCGTGTTCTGGACATAAATCCGAGAGTTTGCCATGCAAACCTGGCCCGAGTTCCATGCTATGCTGTGTTGAGTTTCTTTGGCAGCAGCGTCAAGATCTGCATCGTCAAAAATAGTAGCCAGGCTCTTCTCGAGGTAGACGTTCTTCAAGTTCGACTTCGCTGCGGCTTCAGTGATGAGGCGGCCAGTACCTCCCGATCCCGTGAACTAACGGACACGGACGTCCATGTGAGAGGAGAGGGTCGCGCCAGAAATGTGATGGTGGCCATGGATGGCATTGATAACACCAGGGAGAAAACCGACCTTTTGGATCAACGTGGAAATGAAGGCAGACTTCTCCGATGTCAGCTTTGGTATGTAAAAGCTTATCAACCACTTGTCAGGGATACTGGCAGTCAGGGGCGCTTTCTCATTACTTTTCAGAACAACACAGTTTCCGGCCGCGATCATAGGCGCGGTCTTCGATCCAAAGAAGGCTACTGATGCATTCCAAGGAATGACAGTGGCAACAACACCGTAGGGTCCACCAAGATTTAGTACTAGCATTGCCGGTGTATTTAAGCTCGGTCACCCCCGAGCCTGCCATGCTGCCCCTGAGAACAGGTCGAAAAAAATCAGCTCATAGATGCCATTGATATATTCGCCGCCCGGACATCCCATTCTGATTGCTTCAGATAGGACCTTTTCGAAACGCTCTCACGAAGCAACGCGGCCAGTCTCTTTAGGTAGGCACCGCGCTCCTTGACTAAAAGGGCAGCACATGCTGGTTGCTCATTTTCGCGGCTGCCACTGCAGCAATGGTATCATCACTGCTAACCTCGAAGACTGCGAATTTGTAAGTAGTCGTTAGCGCAAATTGCAAGTGAGTACGTACTGTTGGCAATAACTTCGCGTGTGGAGGGCGAAATGATGTGGAAAGTTTCCATGTCCGAGCATTCAACAAATTGTAGAAATATATTAATTGTATACCCCTTATGATACCTGTTGATGGTATATTTCGTCATTGATGAACAGCCTTGTTTCAACACTTTGGACGTCAGTAGTGCCGGTCTAGGCAGCCATTGTAACTCAATTGATTCGATGATGGGAGAACAGAAGAGATGCCATCTTGCAATCGAAAGAGGAGCCTCGGAAAGCCCTTTTAGATTTTCTACGAAGGACATTTCATGATGTTGTTATAATTCAGCTCAGGAATGATTTATTGTAATTCATGCATTTAAAGTCCCCTCTCGTAGCCGATGGCTAGCGTGGATTTGTATTTTGCTCATGTCATGGGTAGATGAAGCTATCGTCCGGAAGAGAATGTTAAATTGAAAATTCTATATACCCGTCCGGACGATAGCTTCAGCTGCCCACATATGCTCTTTTTCTAAGGAAGAGCTGGGGCACAGTTACGCTATGTTCTAAAACCCTGCTATTCTTCGCGCTAGCCATCGACTGCAGCACCCCTCTGTAGGCCGCGGAACATGGATCGCTAGTAAGGTTTTGATGGTGTGCGCAGATCAAGGCTTAGCCCAGCTTGGCGTGGCGGGGCGCCCGCTGCAGGCGGAGACCACGACCCCATTAACCTCATGACGACCTCGGTAGAGAAGCGTTGTGTTTCTGAAGATAGTAATCGCCTGGACTGCGGGCCTTCCACGATAACCTCAACTAACAGAACTAATCAAGCCAGACTCCCACAGTTCCAACTTGGGCGTAATTGAAAAATAAATCTGGATACTATTATAGACACGTAAAATACTCAAATATGAGATTCACAGCAGAGAGTTGGGTTTGGCGGCGATGGTTGGATTTGGTCATTACCCCTTCCACTTGCCTGGGAGCCCAGCAAACGGACCGGCTGTATCTCAGCCTCTCTCGAGAACCATCTCACGTTAGACCAGAAGTTATCCACATTCCTTACAAAACTTCTTGATGGTGACAAGTTCCTCGGGACGCTTTCCCAAAATGGTGTGGCTTGCGAGCGCTCGGCCGAGCCATTAGCTCAATCTGGAAAGACTTGGCAAAACCCGAGGCCGGAGCCCGAACTATCCATAAAATACTTATAGATGTTTAGTTATTTCATGTCTCTCTTCAACAACAACAATCAATTGATCTTTCCATTTCACCGTAATCCTGTAACCATGTCAATCAATGTCAGAATCCTGCAAACGGGTACGATCCGCATTCGGCCAAGCCACAAAACACAGCCCGCCGACCGAGCAGTTCTTCTCCGGAGACTTCACGTGTTGACAGATACAACGTGGACCGAGCCTCTGCCCATCAACACATACCTCATCGAACACCCAGAAGGCTACATCCTGTTCGATTCCGGCGAGTCTCCGCACTCTATGGAGCCCGGCTATTTTCCAAAATGGATGCCATTTTTTCACCTCGCAGTCGATATCAACGTCCGCGAAGACGAGGGAATTGGAAGGAAACTCCAGGAACAGGGCATCGAGCCTAACGATCTGAAAGCCGTCGTGCTTTCCCATCTCCATCATGATCACGGCGACGGCATTTCGGACCTTAAAGACGCCCCAATCTACGTCAGCAAAGAGCATTGGGATGCCTACAAGTCTCCTGTGCAAGCCACCATTGAAGGCGCTGTTCCCAACCAATGGCCGGAAGGATTCGTCCCGAAATTGCTTGAGCCGACCGGTGGACCCATTGGGCCCTTTGAGAGAAGTTACCCGATCACATCGGATGGAAAGGTGGTCGCAGTGGATACTCCCGGCCATGTGCCTGGGCATCTAGGACTCATTGTGTATGGAGACAAGGCCACGTACTTCCTTGCTGGGGATGCAACTTATGATCAAGTACTTCTGGATCAAGAGCTCACGGACGGCGTCAACAGCAACCCTTATCTGGCAATCGAATCTATCAAGAAGATCAAGGAACTTGCACGGCAGCAGCCGCTTGTACTGCTTCCTGCACATGACCCAGATGCAGCACGGAGGCTGGCTGAGCTAGATTTCTATAAGCCAACTGAGCTGTAGAGTAGAAAAGAAATGATATTGTTGAAGATCGAAGACTTGTCTATAGACATTTCTTAATATTGTTGGTCCGTGTTATGTTTAGCTTCATTTGTTTCCTTGACGTTTCATTCAGTTTTCAACAAATAAATTCGGTATTGAAATTCATAAGTAGACCTTATCGGAAGTGAAAATGATTGTGCTACTGGTTCTCTTCATATATAGTATTTCACTCAAGAAACAGACATGCCCGCTTCAAGGCACCGCACCAGTATAGAATCCACAAGCTGGTATTCCGAAGGCTAATCTACTCGTATGAATAATTTTCAACACAGTCAATAATCATCAAGCAACGCGGCTTAGCGAAGCCGATGCAACAGCATCATGAATTTCTTTGTCCGCTCCCGACACCAATGGCAGCAACGGCGATCTCACGGTCGCATGTTCCAAGATGCCCCTCGCAACCAGCGCATGCTTCAACGCCACCGTTCCCTCCATATGGCTCGCCCGGTGATACACGCACTTCGTCAACTGCAGCAACCGATCATGAATCGCCCTCGCCTTCTTGTAGTCCTTCGCCTTCCCCGCCTCGATGAACTCCACCAGCGGCTCCGGCGCAATGGTCCCATACCCGACGAGCATCCCATCCACATCGAACGCCGTGTGCAGCAAATACTCATCATGGCACGTGAGGACCTGCAGCCCGGGCCTCTCGCGGCGCAGAACCGGAATCTCCGTGTCCCACCTGCGCATGTTCCGCACGCCGTTCTTGATCGCAAACACGCCGGGCAGCGCCGCGATGTCCAGCAGCGTCTGCAGGCTGTACGTCGCCTTCGTGTTGTCCGGGTACTGGAACAGGATCAGCGGCAACCCGCTCTTCTCAAACACCGTCCTGTACCGGTCCTGCGGCGCGCCCGGCTGGTAGCCGAAGCGCAGCCAGCCGTGGCTCGGGTAGAGCAGGCCTGCGGCGGCGCCGGCGGCCTTCGCGCGGGCGGCCTCGAGCGCGGCGACGGCGGTGCCCTCGCCGGTGATGCCGGCGATGATGGGGATGGGGTTGGTGGCGACGGAGGCGACGAAGGCTTTGATGACCGAGACCTGCTCGTCCGCCGTCAGGAAGGTGCCTTCGCCCGCGTGCCCGAGGACGACGAGACCGGTTACCCCGCGGATGCTGCTGAGCCAGGACCCGAGGCGCTGGATGGCGGGGTAGTCGATGGAGCCGTCGGGGGTGAAGGGGGTGACCGGGGCCGGGGTGAGGCCGCGGAGGTCGATGGCTGTTGACATGGTTGGTTGGGGAGGTAGGGGGTGAGGGAGTTTGGTCCAAGAGTGAGGATGAGGATCGGAGTTTTGTTTTTGATCGGATTGTACTTTGATTTTGAAAGTTGAATGAGCTGTGGGTTTGGATTGTGTTTGGTTTCTTCGGTCAATAAATACACTGCTTATTCTGATTCTAGGTTGCCAACTTGTTCGGATTCGCGGAACTCGTGCCCGGATTCCTGGTGCGGAGAAGGATCGTTGATTGTATTGATGTGGACTTCCTTACCCAATTGGTTTGGTTCGCAGCTGAGTCTCACTATGTGTATCCATGGCCTGGATCCAGGAAATGCTTTGTTGAGTTAGTGTGGTCTGGGGACGCGGGGAAAGCATTGCGGGGTTGCCTTGTGTTGGTGCAACAAATCCGGGAATCCGAATTATCCGGGGGTGAGTTGAGACCAGAATCCGTGAATCCGCTCCAGAATTCCAGAAACCCCACCCCGCAAACTGGGGGACCGGGCCTGTTCGACGCACGGGTTAAAACTCGTTTCTTGTTCTAACATCTCGAGACATCTCTCCCGTGAAACCATTCAACTCTCGAGCGATCATTCATTTTACCCACAATGGCCACCGTGCAAAGGTCCCTTGAGAACATTGACGTCGAAAATGCACACACTGAGAAATCAGGAGTGGTCAACACGGAGCAGTGCTCTCACGCCATAGGAATGAGCTTGGACGATGAAGAGTTCCTCGCCAACTTCTCAGAAGAAAAGAAGAAGAGTGCCATCCGTAAGGTATGCTTTCATAGAGAAACGTAGTACTAGGCCTCGCGTTTCGACAGGTATGCTAACAGCGAATCTCCATCCACAGGTCGATGTAAGAGACCACCATCTGCCGTTACGTCCTGCCGACACTGACAGTCTCTAGTGGCGACTCATACCAATGCTGCTGATGCTGTACTTGATTACATACATTGATAAGACAAACATTGGTGAGGAGAACTCGGATGTAGAAGTGTTCACTATCAGCAGGCTGACTTTGAAAGGAAATGCCAAGATTGAGGGTCTCCTCCCCAGCTTGGGCATGACCGGAACGCAGTACAATATTGCGCTTTCCATTTTCTTTATACCTTATGTTCTAGCTGGTAAGACTCTAAGTGTCATTTATAACCAGAGCTAACATTCGTCAGAGGTCCCAAGCAACATGATCCTCGAGAGATTCACGCACCCGTCGCGATACCTTGGCTCAATGGTTTTTGCCTGGGGCGTCATCATGACATGCACTGGAATAGTACAGAATTTCCCTGGTCTCACAGTAGTCAGATTCTTGCTTGGTCTCTTTGAGTGAGTCGATCAATTCTCTACTCACGTCCGGCTCTGTAGCCCTGACAATGTGAACACAGAGCAGGTTTCTTTCCAGGAGCCATATTGCTCATATCGAAATGGTACCTCCCGAATGAGACTCAAACTCGAATCGCTCTTCTATATTCTTCAGCTGCATCCGGTGGCGCATTTTCAGGCCTTCTAGCCTTTGGTCTGGCCAAGATGGATGGACTCGGTGGTCTAGAAGGTTGGAGATGGGTAGGTTTAATCTATGCGATTTGAGATTATATTTCAATGTCATATTGGAAATACTAAGAATGTACGGCAACAGATTTTCATCATTGAAGGCATCCTCACCGTTTCCATGGCCGTGACATGCTTTTTCCTCCTCGTTGACTCGCCCGCCCTCTCCTCGCGCTGGCTCGACCCCGATGAGATTCGTTACTTCGAGCTGCGCCAATACGCTCGAAGGATGCACAGTGTTCAGGCGTCGGGAAAGAAGAAGACAGTGCACTGGGGTGCTCTCTGGGCTGTGCTGACCGACTGGAAGATCTATCTCCTGATCGTCGCCAACTGGTCCAACGTCGTCCCCAACTACGCGCTGAAATTTACTATGCCGCAGATCATCAAGAACATGGGTTACACATCGGCAACAGCGCAGCTGCTGACCATCCCACCATACGCTGTTGGAGCCCTGGCTGCATACGTGTCTTCGGTATTTGCAGACCGCTACTCGTGGCGGATGCCGTTCATTGTTGGGCCACAACTATGTTTGGTAGTGGCGTTCTCAATTCTGTTTACAAAGTCCGAGCATATCAAGGATAACGTTGCGGTCTGTTATTTTGCTGTATGTCTTGCTTGCTCTGGGTAAGTGTAGACCCCATACTCATCCTAGTCGTGCGTTGAGCTGATAAGAAGTACGCAGGATGTATCCTATCCTTCCCGGTCTCAACGCCTGGAATATATCGAACCTTGCAGGTCCAGAAAAGCGGTCGATCGGGATCGGTTGGTTGATCTGCGCTGGAAATGTCGGTGGGGTCATTGGGAGCTATATCTACATTGACGATGAAGCACCAAAGTATCCCACCGGATACGGCACGTCTTTCGGATTTGCTGCAGCAGGCATTGTTGCTTGCTTCGCTCTCGAATTCACCCTCTGGACAATCAACAAGAAGAACTCGAGGCACACTGAGGAGCAGATTCGGGCTCAGTATTCTAATGAGGAGCTTGAGAAGATGGGTGATAGAAGCCCATTGTTCCGATACACCTTGTAGAAGGCTCCCAAACACGGAGATAACACGACTATGAGCACCTATTTCTTCTTTTTTCTTTCATGAGATCATGACGGAGGATCTCATTAATTCTATGCCAATCGGGTCTTTCTTGTTTGCTACTAGCCCGTTTGCCATTTTTCAGTAATTAGTTATTTGCCAGCTTATATATATATTCCATGGATCATCTTGCGCATCCGTCAAACTCATCGAAATCGAACTTTGCTCAGAAAAATTGGCAGGCTGGATAAGGTCCTGTTCCGCTGCTATTTACTCCTGTGATAGCTGCAAAGGTGGCGAGAGACGCGGAAACCCCCGCACACTTCAGCAGGATTCTATTTTACTAAAGCAAGACACAACAAGCCGCCCACCATCGACGACTTCTTAAGACAAGACTTGTATAGAAAATTATCTTAAACATCTTACAAGACGATATTATCTTGTTTGCAAAGACGTCTTGCCGAACCAGAACCCTGCACTGCAGCAGGCGGGGCTTTTGTGGAGACTACCCCGCAAATCGCTCTCCATAAAATGCACACTCTTTGTCCGCGCGTTCTCGGATTTCGCTTCAGCACGTACGCTGATCGGTGCACCCGCAATCATGGATGTGGCTCATCCCCAAACATCATCAGTATCGGAATCTTCGCCCATGTCATCTACACCACGGCGAAAGCGCAGCTCGGCCGCATTGCCACCAAGTCCGACAAGTGATATCACTGAGAACAGACGTAAAGCGCCGAAAGTCAGCAGGGCATGCGATGTTTGCAAAGCTAAGAAATCGAAGTGTACGGGCACGTTGCCGTGCGGGAACTGTGTAAAGAGAGGGTTGACATGTGTGTATGATGCCAAATACAACCGTGGAAGAGCGCCAACTCCGCAACCGGGAGTATTGGATCGAGGGGAGCGGCAGGCAGAGACTTTAAACCCGAGGTAAATGAATACTTGTGATTCCTGTAAGACCTAGACACTAACATATAACGTAGAGCGGAGGTTGGCGTTCGAAATACACCAGAAAGTTGGCGGACGGAGCAGGAGCGCCCCAACAACATTGCTGTTGATAATGCGCCCTCGCGAGCATCGCCGGACATGGACATTGCTGAGATTGGAGGCCAGTACCTCGACCCAACATCCGGTCTTACGTTCCTTCACAGAGCTTGGAAAAGACTATCGGCACAAAGCTGTCAGGCAATGCCAGATCTTCAGAACGGGGCGGAGAGGAACCAACGAATGGCGCATGCGGGGGACAGACCGTTCATTTTCAATACAAGTACCGCCTTACCAATCCAGGACAGGCAAGCGACCGTGGAATTGGTGGGATACTATTTTGACGGCTGTATCGCCACTTACCGTATACTTCACCGTCAAACCGTAACAGCCTGGCTCCAGTCTCTGCTGGACAACGTGGAACAAAGTCTACACATCTCGCATGGCATTGGGAATGCAAAGTCAGCGGTAATCCTCGCCATCCTCGCCATTGCTACTCTCCGCCAGGAGAAAATATGCAATTTGACCGCCGGTGGAGGGTGCAATCCAAGTAGCGCTGATCAACTTCTTTGTGCATCAACGAACTTGACAGAATCCGAGACCGGCTTCCCACGGCTAGAGTCGGCACAAGCACGGCTGCTTCAAGTCAACTATCTTCTTCAGGCAACACGTATGAACCAGGCATGGTACGTCTTTGGCAACGCAGTGCAAATCATCTCGGCGCTCGGACTGCACAGAAAAGCAGGCAGAAAGCGGAACGGCGCCCCAACCAAAAACCAATCCTCAGACTACATCAAGGACCAGTGCAGGAAACGAACGTTCTGGGTAGCCTACATCATCGACAAATACCTCAGCGTCGTCCTCGGCCGTCCACGGCACTACCACGACGACGACATCGACCAGGACTTCCCCGACCTCGTAAACGACGCCGACATGACGCCGCAAGGACGTTCTACCTCCGACCCCCTAGAGGACTGCCACGTTGAGGCCCTAATCCTCCACGCAAAGTGCAATCCCATTTCCCTTTACCTCCGCTCTCATTTCCGTATACTGACTGACTCTACCACAGACTCGCCCAGATCATCGGCCAGACCTCACGAGAAGTCTACTCCATTGCGCCCAGCAAAACGAAAGATGCCCGCGTCGCCTCAGCCCACCGCCTGATGCGCGAGCTCCAGGCCTGGCGCGCCAGCCTGCCCCCGCATCTCAGCACCGTACGGCCTGCAACCTTAATGCCCAATTTTCGCCGGCAAACGGCGGCGCTTAAGCTAGCCTATTCGCATGCAATAATGCACGCAAGCCGGCCGTTCCTACTGGGGCACAACACTACAAGTAGCGGTGACGACAACAATGATGGACGGGACGGAGAAGTGAGTGCTGTTAGCGATGCGGTAGCGGAGTGCCTCGCCGCAGCGAAAGTGGCGCTGCAGACAGTGGATGCGATGGCCGGGGATGGGACGCTGTTCCATGCGTTTTGGTGGACATACTACGTCACGTTTTGTGCACTGGCGGTCGTGTATGTCTGGGAGATTCAGCAGAGAGTGGGCCGGGATGCGTCAGGGACCGACGACGGACCTCTTAGGAAGCTTTTCGATTTGGCGGAAAGGTGCCATGCGCATTTGGAAAAAGCGACGGCAGCGGATTCGCCGAATCGGCGGTATAGCATCATCCTGGAAGAGCTGCGGCTGGAAGCGAAACAATCCTCCTGTGGGGGCTGGGGCGGGGTTGGTGCACAGTATGATGTCAGCGGGCAGGTGATGCATCCGCTTCATGCCGCGGGTAGTAGCACAGTTGTCAACGATGAAGTGTTTGGTAGCACGGTGACGTCAGAACTTGAGGCCGCCCTGGTACAAGAGGGGGAAATGAATTTTGGGCCGATAGCGAATCCGCTCGAGCAGTGGGAGGCCAGCGATTGGTTAGACTTGGATTCTTCGGTGAGTTTCAATATATGCCCATATCCTTCCGGCCATTTAATCATCATACTGCACAGGCATTCGAGCTTTTCCTGGATATCAATGGCTCGCCAGTGTACAGTTTCTGAGGAGCATCTTGTTGCCGCGCACAGAGAGCCCAACTCTACCCTTGCCCACTCTGATGCGGAGAATTGTAATCCCTCTGTGCAGAGGAGTCTGTTCGCTGTGGAGAGAAGCTCCCCAGCTCTGGCAATTCAGCATGAAGCTCATGCCTCTGAGTATCCGAATCAAGTTCTGCGTTTCGATTTTTCTGATTCGGGCCCACTGATTCGTAGGCGTACCGTGCGTTCCGTTGTGGCGGCCAAGCCCCAATATTTTTCGTCTTCTTTCTCTCCGTCCAAAGTAGCCAGATAACCACCGATAATGCAATCAAAAGTGGCGCTGCTATTCCAACTCCAACTCCAGCCATTTGTGCACTTGTGTAAGTTGTCCCATGGGATGGATTTTGCTCGGTCGATGCATTTACAGTTGCTACTGCGGTCGGGGCACCAAAGACCTCACTGTAAGAGCTGGAGAGGGCCTCCCTACGAAGTCTGGCCTCGAGGTTGTTATTCAGCGTGAAGTTGTGACTGGACTGGGAGCACCCGCGAGGGCCACATGCCCAAGTTGCCGTAGTGCCATTACAGAGATATAAGGCACATCCGCTGTCTCGGCGCTCTATCCTCGAATTATTATAGTTAGCTAGATGCACTGAACTGTACTGTTGCCGAGTTCGAGAAAGCTTTGAATGGCCTACCGTTTAGACATACAGCCGCGCAACTGGAATTCTTCCATGAGGAATCCGTACAGGATCCACGCGATAAGATCCCGTTGTGTTGAAGACAGAGCCCACTGCTTACACATGTATCCTTAGAAGAGCAGCATGCTGACTCTTCGGCCTTCGAATCACACGGTGTGTCCTCTGTGGCAACACTTCCGTCTGGAAAAAAGCACCTCTTAGTGGACATGGCTTTTTTAGGGTTCCCACAATCAGCTCACACCGTTGTGCCTTTTGCGCGTTTGAGAGGAGAGGAAACCAAGGTACGATATCGTAAAAGGGTGACGAGCTTGTGTGCACTGGCGGAAGGAACGAGGACAAGTGTTCGACTATAAGCCACCATGCAGGGGGTGCGGCTGACCAGTCCTATCTTGTTCTGGTTCACAGAACATTGAATGCGCGGTGTTCCCAGGGTCGGAATGTCGGAATCCTGTCGGAATCCTGTCGGAATCCCAGTCAAATTCGTCAATGGAGTCAGCAAGCCATGGTTGCACTTGTGTATCCCCGCCTTGCGTCACGATGTCTGTCCTCGGCTGTAAAGTTACGTAGACTCTTATCAGGGCATTATCAAACAAGGCAAACATCCCCGTCGTCTTCGTCACTAGAATGGTCTTTCTTATACTAAACACTCTCCGTTTCTACATCACTCTTTTAATTCTATCTACAGCAATCGTCATTTTCGCTACAACAGCTTAGCTCTAAGACCTGAGAGATGTTTCATCTTGATTCCCTGACCTTCTTGCAGCACTGCACCTTGTGTTCCCAACAGGTCTCTTGGGCGTCTTAAGTTTGCTTCTTGACAGCCGCCAATACGGCTCACCACCAATTGAGATGATGATGCGCTTATACTTAAGAGCTAGGGTAGCAGTGGAGAACTTCTTTCCTCGGTATTGTTAAATTATTCAAGTGTTACAAGGGATCAACATGTTACTACAGTCAGCACACTGGTTTGCGGCTTCGTTAGCATTCGACGAGGAGCTGTGCCCTGTCTCTCATCGGATGGCCTAGTAATTACAACATCTTTTGGTAAGTGTTCTTACAGAACTAGCAACGTAGAGACTACGGACAGACCATAGATATTACAATGGTGAAAGCTGCTCTCACGATGTACATCAAACTGAATTTCACCGTAATTTGTCCTCCTGGAGAGGATACTGTTGCATTGCAAAGGCTGTATAGTTATCTAATCCCGTAAGCTTCGAAAGAAAAAAAAATGTGATCCCATACAAACGTTTCATTCCGGTATGGACGAGAGGAAGCAATTATCTTTAAGTAACCCCGCACCCCCACCTAGCGTTTCAAGTGAGTAAATATAAACAGTTCAAGTTTTTTTCGGTCTCGAATTGTAAGTTACTAAGAGGAAATTTGACTTACTCAAGTTCTGAGCATTTCGAATTAAATTGATGTTAATTTATTAGAATAGATTAATATCGATTTTATTAGCTAATGTTAGATTACGTGACGTGCTAAAGTAGTTAGACCTACTATAGTCTAACGTATTATCGTGTTTTCTACGCGTAGTTTCGCGTTATCTACGCGTATTTTAATATATTTAAATATATATTACTTTACTTAATTTACTTGGTATTCTAGAGGGTCCAGATTTAAATTGCAAACCGGCCCCCAAATTGCGGTAAGTAAAAGGAAAATGCGGTTTGAATTGGGAAATTGTTTCGAATTGAATTTTTGATTTACTCACTGGAAACCCTGCCCCCACCTGCTGGTTTTTTTTTTTTTGGTTGGGGAGGGGGATTGGAGATGATGACGCTGTTTCATGTGACGGGGGCGTATGTGTATGTAGATGCAGATGGGTGGCTGTTGGGCGTCGAGGACGTATTTAGGAAGATTCTGGTGGCGAAGAAGCATTATGAGGAGCTTGGGTTCGGGACATGATGTACGTATGATTGAAAATCTTGGTGCGTGTCCCGATGATTACGCCGATTGGACGATTCGAAACTATTAAGAAGGAATCTCATATATGTAGACTGCGATAGAAAAAAAAATGCTGATGAAGTTATGCACAATGGATGATGACTCATGAACATGGAGCTAATGATCTCTCCTGCAGTTCCGCCGAAAGTTCCTGCCTTCCAGCATTTGGAAGCTCTGCATTGCATTTGATCGGCTTGTAATCTCTTGACTCATGTGCTGAATGCGGATAGTGTTCCTCCGATAGAGCTTCAGTGGCGACCAAGGCCTTGCGCTTCTTTTTCTCCGCGAAGAGTAGCCATAGTACTGCTGAAAACGCGATAAGTAGCGGTACTCCAATTCCTGCACCGATACCAGCAATCTGACCACTCGAGAGCGATGCCGCACAAGCCGCCGTAGTATCCGCAGTCGCTGATGCCGTAGAGCTTGTAGTCGTACTAGCTGTACCGAAGACCTCATTGTACGAGCTGGACAATTCTTCCGGACGAAGAGAAGGCTTGAGATTATCCAGAGTGAATGTGACATCGGGGTTTCCGCAGTCGTTGTCCTCACAGGTCCACAAATTGTCTCTTGTCCCTGTGTTCTCGCATGAACGGATAACGGCTCCGCCGTCTCGGTTATCTAGATACATCCAAGACCAGGTGTCAGAGAAGTAATCAAAAGTGAACTCAGAGCGGCGGCTTACAGTCTTGACACACCGGGGCGCAAGCGTCGCTCTTCCAATTTTGGTCGGTGCAGGACCCGCGAGATAAGATTCCATCTTTCATACAGACTCCGTTGGCCAAGCAGGTTGCAAGCATGCTACAACATACTGAATTCTCCGCAGTCGCATTGCATGGGGTGTCATCTGAGGCGATTCTTCTGCTAGGAAAGTAACAACTCCGAGTCATTATTGGTTGCAACCACGTACGAAAATTAGCTGTGAAATTGATGGGAGTAGAACAGAAGAATATGATATGGCACCAGGGTGACCAAAAAGCGTGGGCTTGAGACGTGACGGGAGGGAATGTGTATAAACCACAAGGCTGCAAAGCTGAGGCTTGTATGACGGCTGAGTTTGATCTTTCATGCCGATGATATCCCCTTTCCCCGGTCTCACAGTAGTACTTACGGTGTGCCCACACAGGATCCCGTGCCAACTCTCCTCACTTTGTTTGCTACCTTTGGGTTATACAACAGGTTTTTGACCGCTGATCCGGCCCACTTTGTGCAAGCTGGCTTGGCGGTACAATTGTTTGCTCTTTGCTAGGCCTTCTCGTGGAGCTTTTTAGGGACGATATGGGAAAAGATCTCAATTCAAAATCTGTAGGAATAGACTGATAATTCCATCGTTCCTATCATTCATATGAGTTACAAGGTGAATCTAGTAATTGTAGAGATCAAGCCAATCAAGAAGCTTTCTCGTGGATCGTACTCAAAGGTAGCCTTGTGGCTGCCTGACAACACTTGCACTTTGTGGGATGGAAGGTTCTTGTCGGATTTCTGTGGTGCAACATCGGCTGGAGCGATTCTAGACGAATGCGGTCAGCTAAGATTTGGAATCATATTGATTCTGCGGGTTTCCTTGCCAAGATGCAACGCGGGAGCAACGCCCTTCCAAGCATCCTTGCTCCATAAACCTTTGTTTCACAAAATCGGAGGTATCCCATGAAAAACGTCGCACGCTCGGTTCACATTCTCGAATTCGTAGATGCTAATTCCTTCTTCATCCTTACTCACTTCCTGTGCAGCCAAAGATGCGTGTATGTGTCAAAAGCAGCTTACCGCGTGCCTGCGTCGTTCTCTCGGCAGGGAATCTCACACCATGTCAGCAAGAAGAAGACATAGTCGCATCGGCTAAAGTTCATTTACCATGTTTATATTAGCTTGTATTATGTAAACAAACAGAAAGCCTTTTCAAAGGACAGACAAGTGTAGATAAATTGGGAAGGCACCCATGCAGTTGATCTGTAGCATATGCCTGAGTCCGAAAACCAGTTCATAACGCCCATAATGCTCGCCTCGTACCCAAGCTCCGTGGATTAATCACAATACTACTCCACCGCCCTCTTTGCTTTTGAACAAAACACTTATCTCCTCTGCCTCTGTAGAAGAACTGGATGAACTGAGGAGACTTGAAGTTGAGATGGAATCCTGTCGAAAAAGTGTGGGGTCCTCCTTCGTGAAAGAATTATCGCTGATGATGTCCCTCATAGTGGCTTGTATGCGAGATTTGTTGCTGTTCGACAGCATGCGGGCTGCCTGCTTGGACGGCATCAACGGAATGAGCTTGTTTATTTCCTTGTGGACAACATCGCGAATGGACTCGTAGACTCCTCCCGTTTGGGATCGACCTTTGGTCTTGTATTCGATTGTCGCGGCGCGGATCTCTTCATTGGTGACAAATTTATTGTTGCCGGACTGGAACGCGCATTGCAGAATCAGAATCAAGTCGCATGCGCACTTTATGATCAAGCGAGCCGCTGGAGGTGTCTCCAAAAATGGGATACCTGGAATGAGCGCGATACCTCCGGTGACGAGAGTCAGCGCTGCCATGCCTCCTGCAACCGCCGTGTCTGGCGCGAAGGTCTGCGTCATGAACTTCGCAAGGTTCGACCAGACGACCTTGCTCATGATATCATCCACGTACTTTGCCTCGATTTTCGGGAATCCAAAGCAGCGGATGATCCTGTTGCAGAGGAGGCGGGACACCGTAGGCGCAACCACCCCAGCCCCAATCAGCGCTGGACTTGCTACGTACATGGTACGGATGGCATGACCAAGGAAACGTATCGTTTCGTTGATGGCCAGGTCAACTTTGGGCTGAATGTCGCAGACCTGGGCGGCTACCAAACTCATGTAAACGCTATCGTCGGCTATCTCGTCAACGGTGCGATTCACTAGTGCTCGAATCGACTGCTGATCATCTGATATTATGTTAGTAACCGGCCATTCACGGAACATAATTCGCCGAAGACCTTACATTTTGAGACGAATGCAAACCACATATGATCTTTCCTGAAACCTCGGCAATCATTGCTAAATGTGTCCTCAAAGAACTTTTGACGTTGTTGTAGTATTGTATCCACCTTTGCCCTGGTATCGGGAGATACATCTTGGGAAGACTCGAAGGCTTTGATGTCTTTGTTTTCAATGTCGTCGTGATCTTTCAGGAACCTGTCTTTCTTCGTAGCGACTATGAAGACAGGGATGTTTGGCGCATACTTGGTGAGGGTCCCAATGACATTTTCCATTGCTGTTTGAATCGGCCGTGCGGTATCTGCTTCAATGCATATCCTGTTTTTTATCAGCCTCTAATCGTGTTTTCGCATTCATTCAATAAGTTTCATACCAAACAGCATGGAGCCTTTCTTCAGGGTCTGCGTCTGGAGATCGTTTCCTAATGAACGTTTCAAACGCAGTCACCTCCTTCTTATTTCCGGATTGGAATCCCTCAGAGTCGTGAATGATGATGCCCGGATGTTGGTCGCTCTCAAACCCCTGATCGATGTCGTGTTTTCCTCTCGTCCCCTCATTTTCCTGTGACTTGAAAAAAAATTCAGCATTAAGAAGGATAGTAGGAAATACGTGTACTTACCATTGCTAGGCCAAAGACACGGTTGAGTAAAGTGGATTTACCAACTCCTGTATTTCCGCAAATCAAGATGCGACAGCTGCGCACTGTCATTTCGAATTCCCTCGTCCTTATCCACGGATCTGGACCCCTTGACATCATGTAAGAGAACCGGAATTCTTGAAGATTGTGTGTCAGGTGTTTCAAGGCTTTTTCAATTCCAAGTCTTGGGTATGTTTCCAGAATGAAGTACACTGAGGGATGTACGATCGTTCCGTTTGGACCTGATAATTTTATCAGTGCGTAGTATTTAATGAATCTCTCGAAAGCTCTACAGACCTTCTGGGCAGTAACCTTGTAGCTTTCCGTTCACGAAAGGGCGACGGTCTCCACTAAGGACAATACTTGTCTTCATACCCGGGTTGATCCTAACCATATGAGTGGATGGCTCAATGACAGAACGTTTCTTCAACTTCTTCCGAGGCCATTTCTGAAGATTGCCGTGATCGTGAGATTTCCGCAGATCGAGCATGCTGACTTCGATACTGTTGTTGTACTTGAACTTCCAAACTGGGCCCTCTGAGGTCTCCTCCGCTGTGGATTCCTCGGGAAACGTCAGCGTCAGTGGGTTGTCAATGACGGCTCTCTTATCAGGTCTGTGTTCCAGTACGAGACCGCATGCTCTACTCTCGACAAACATCCACTGCAAAGGATACAGTGCCAGTCCATCATCGGAAGCTCCGCCTCCAATATCCGCGTGCGCGCCGACGAACCAAGCTTGTATCAAAGACCTTCCATGCGGAACGGCTGTTGTTGAAGTCTCAAAGAGCTCAGGGAGAAAATGGCGGCGGTCCTCGTTGAGTGCGACAGCATGTCTGGCATGTATGATTGATTCGTTGAAGGAGATATCATGGGGGACAGGATCATTAGCCTTCTTCACTGTGTCGAAGGCACCAAGGAACTGGATGATTGGCGAGGGTCGAGTTTTTGTTGAACTACACGTTGGATGTCAGTGCTCGGCTTCACACGTATCGATGAAGAAGAATTACAGATAATGATACAACTGTGGACAGAGTCAGCATAGGCATGGGTGAACGAAAGGGACAGCGCTTCTATACCTCTCCCTGTGCCCTAATGCTTTTTTGTTGCTTGCTGGTCAAGAAGCCTAAAGCCTCTTGATAATCCTTGTTGAATTCGGCGTCAGGTGTATCTACAAGCACAGAGATATGATGGAGAAGCCCTGCTACGGCTCGAACAATGTCTGAAAGGCAATCTGAGTACACAACGTTGAAACGGGTTTCTTCGATATACCTACAGGCTCCGCGGCTGAATCCGTACAACCACACTTCATCTTTTGGTGTCTGAACTTGTTTGCAGATATACTAAGCAGGTACTGAGTAAGCGATTCAGCTAGATGTCTGACTGTTTACTTACTTGATAGACATCTCTTATAAGATCCTTGCAGCCTTCCCCTGAGATTCCATCGTTGAATTTGTCGAACGTATTTTTCTTGACGCCTATTCCGTGGAAATATTTGGCGACCTACAAATTCCCTGAGCTTTAAACGAGAAAGGACGGAGGTTTGACTCGGTCATACCTGTTCGATCCTACCACTCTCCTGTTCAACAATACCTTGCTTAATCGACGCAAATATGCGAAATGTGTTGCTATTGTTTCCTTCACTTTTCCCTACAGAGAAGAAATTTAGCCTTCGAATTTACATTTGACATGAGCCAATTACCTTCTTTCCCATCGGCGTTGTACCAGGTACCGTCAACGCATACAATGATTCTCTTGGTTACCCGCATATTTCTCGGACTTCCGGAACTTGGGGCCTGGAAAGGCAGGAGAGGAGGGTTGAGGCGTTAATGTTGGAGCGCCATGAACGAGACACGAGTGGCACACCCGGTGCGGTGGTCAATGTTCACAGCCTTCCGGGGTGGTGCAACTTCAGGTTGACTTATGACGAAAAGATAGAACGCGATACAAGAAGGCGAAAAGTCCTAATAAGACCGAAACTGGGCCGATTAGAAATCACTCTGGCATGTAGCCACCGGCTAACGAGTGGCGATAGGGGGGCGAGGCTGGACAATGACTTTTTGATCAAGCCCCTCAGCTTCAGTCAGCGTTGTACAGCTTTGGGGGCGCATATGATATCCAATCAAAACTGCACGAATTTACGCGATTGGAGAGCCGCGCAAATGTTTTACCCTAAAGATAGCTCGCTGGCGGCGTGGCGTTAAACTTGTGCTACGCGCTAGACCCCCGCAAATCCTGCCGTGTTTCCACCTGATCCAGTTTTGGCCCCCAATAAATGTTCTGAATCATAATTTAGACTCTTTTGGCCCCGAAATTAGCGTCTACTGTATCCTCTTGCGGCTGATGGCTGACGTGACTTTTTTCAACAAAAAAAATATCAGTCACCTGTTACCTCCTAAGAAGGCTGGAGGGTGCGAGAACTCAGTGGATGGCGCGTAGAAGAGCGGGAATTTAGATGAAGTAGTGACGGTGACCACGTCGATGATATGATAGGCTGCAGATAGACTGAAAAAGAAAGACATATCAGCCATCATGGGTGTACGGAAAGTTCATTTTTGCGAGGCCGTGAATAGCTTGACCTATAAGCGTGGGCTTAAGCTCACCCACAATTTGGGCCCCGACCATCACGGACCACGTGGAAAATGCAAGCTTGTAACAACGAACAAGCCATGCTGCAGGACTATCATCATGCCAAGAATTATCACTGGCAAAGTATAGGCCAAGGTAATCGCGGTCGATGATCGAACGAAATGGGTATTTTCGCGTAGTGACACCCGACATCCCCCTCCAGTAGTTGGATCGGAGGCATGCGGGGATTAGCGAGTGGCTGCAGGAATGCGGCTCTTGCTATCGCTTTCTCGGGAGCTTTCCTGATGACCTCGGAGATGGCTCACTGCACTATCTCCGGATTTGGTTGCTTCGAAATTGCCAAGCGTGCAGCCTTGCTGGAGCCTGCGGGAGCCTGCGGGTTGCCATCCTACGTTTGCCACTCTGGTCTTTTCGAGTGCAATCAAGCCGCATCATTCTCATTGGTGCCTTCGCGGCCCTCTTCGGCACCCCGCTCCGTCTTCCTTCCATCGACAGCGTCTCTCCAGCCTCTTCCGAACTGAGTTGTCATCCAGGTTAAGCCCGCCCCGAAGATTAGGAATCCAGCCGAGATGGTCGAGAATCCGCCAACACCGATCTTTTCGATTGCAGGCAGACAGAACGCAGAGCCGAGCGCAGCAAAGGCGTAACGCATGACGTAGTTTGCAGCCGTCACCTCTGCACTCTGGCCCTGCATGACATCCAGGCAGTACGTGTTTAAACAAGGGAAGCTGAACAGCTGCGCAACACCTTGCAAAAACATAAAGACCACGGGTAGTGCAACTCCACCCTTCTCTTTCTTGATGCTCCAGCCGTAGATAAGCATGCAGCAGGGTAGTACTACACCGAGAAACGGTACGCACGCGCGTAACCGATCCTCAGGTACACGCTCGCCGTCACGCTTCCGAATCCACTTGCGCACAATATAATCCGCCCAGCGCCCACCGAAGAATGTGCCGAGAAGATACCCGCAGCCTGGCGCTATGTAAAAAAGACCAGATTGAAGAGGTGACGTCAGATGAAAGCGCGGATTGAGAACGTAGCGGATCGGCGTGAGAAGCGAGTACATGTTCCATATGAGGGAGGAGGAGGCAAGGTTCTACGCAGGTGTAAGCTACTCGTCGTGTTTAGCATCGATGGTGTGAATAGATGCTTACAGGCTAAATACGAAATCTTGGTAGACACTTTTCCCCCTTTCTGTTCCTTTTTCTCTTTCTTTGCCAAGCATGTAAAAAATAAAAATGTGTATGCGGCGCAAATGCTTCGTTTCTGTTTGATATGAATTATACTCTTCTAGTAAAAGACCAGTGCGGTTATTAATTCTTTCAATGTTGTGATAGGTAAGAATCTAGTTATGATATTCTCCGCTTTTAGGAACCCCCTGCCCCGGGTTGAAGCCACGTAAACGATTCATTTTCTAGAGCTTCAGAGTAACATTCTAGACTACTAGGATCGCCTTTTCAATGAATATATCATTTGCCTCAGTGTTGCCTGGCTTGGACTCCGCAACCTCTGCTCGATGGAGTCACGCATCGAGTCGGTAAAGACGACCGTCTTGCCATATTTCTTCATCAGCTCAACCCACTCCACCGTCAACTCTGTATCACCGAGCAATTCTGCCGTCACCTCCAATTCCGGTTGATATTCAAGCAGCACCTCCCAGACCTTGGCGCTGTTGTCTCTGCGCACAGCCTCGCAAGCAACGCTCTCGGTGATGCGCAGATCTCTTCGATGACAGAACAACGCACGGAACATGGCGGGTGTCACGGGCCGTCGAATAGCGGCGCGGAAGACAGCGTCAGTGACGGTCAGATGGGGCGATGCGCGTGACATCAGGAAGTCCATGTCGTTGGGATGTTTTGCCAACAGAAGCATCTCCTCGGACACTATGATGGACGGATTCCTCTCCCAAATGAGTTGAAGGATGGGCCAATGGTTCTTCGGGTTGCTCAAGTCCCAGTGGCTGTCCAAATGATCCAGAGCGTTCAACACCACGCGCTCGGTTGGGACGACATGCTCATCGTACCACAGTAGTACGTCAATTTTTTCGAGGTTGTCCATGCTTTCCAGTAGCTCTGTAGTGATGGTACAGACCGGAGAAAGCTCCTGAAGGAGGATGTCCAAGGCCGGGGCCGTCCGGGCGTTCTTCACCATTTCAGCGGTAGCACCAATGCCGCCATCTGCGCGGCTCAGGACTCCCCGGATTCTGGCCGAATCTTGGGAAAGATCGAATTTCAGGAACTCACAGATGACTCTCTCTGATACTTTGATCTTCTGATCAATCAGAAGGAGATGAGGCAGTGCTATTTCCTGGCGTACAGCTGCGAACAGATCATCCTGGGTAGTCCGGAGTCCTTTGGCTTCTTCCAAAAACACCCAGAAGCAGTCGTTAGGTGGCCCGGTCCCGCCTTTTTCGAGGATACACGTAAGCGGCGTCACTCCCTTGAGGTCCTGTACGTTAGGATCCGCGCCATGGCGAAGCAAGAGCCGGACGAGAGGCTGATGCGTGTTGCGACACGCGTAATGCAGCGGCGTGCCCAAATCTTCGGACATCAGGTTGCAGTGTACACCTCCTTCAAGCAGGCGTTGAGCAATTTCGACCCGCTCGTTCCGGACAGCAGCGAAGAGAGGCGAGTCAAAGCAGCCGCCGCGGTGGTTGATGTCAGCGCCGTTGGCCAGAAGCAAGTCGACGATGACCTGGCTGCCCATGTATGCCGCCAGACTGAGGGCACTCCCGAAGTCTCTTCCGCCGTCCCAGAGAGGAGGGTCCTGGTCGTTCAAATCTGCGCCACCGTCAACTAGCGCGAGGATGACATCCTCACAAAGTGGCATGCGGCTGAAATCCTCCCTGTATCCTCCCCCGCCGCTGACGCTATGAACTACCCGATGTTGAAAGCACCCATGCAGAGCCGCGAGTACTGGTCCGCCGTACGTCGTCGATCTTACGGTGATGCCAGCGCCGCATTCCAGTAGCACCCTGAGAACCTTCGGCTGCAAGTGATACGCAGCCTCAAGCAGCGCCGTGTTGCCAGCCCCGTTAACCGCATTGGCATCCACTCCTCTCTCCAGCAACAGCCGCACCACGGCATCCAGCCCCGCCACGACAGCAGCGCGCAGCGTCTCCACATCCGCAGCCACGTACTCCAGCAGCAGCTCAAACACCTCTGTACCACGCCTCCTCGCCTCCGCTACCGCCATCATCGCCTCCCCGCACGCCACCTCCTGCACCTCCGTCCCCCAAACCGCCTCCGTCAACACCTCCACAACGCCCAAATGTCCGAGCCTACACGCTTCAGGCAACGGATTCAGCGCCGTCCCCTCGACATGCAACTTCCGCGCTCCCCCCTCCTTCACCAACACCTCGACGACCTCCGCATGCCCGGCCACCGCCGCCATACACACCGCCGTCTGCCCCTGCGCCCTGTCCCACCCCCACGGGGCCTTCGCATCCCCCACGACAAACCCCCGATCCACATCCACCGCCCCAACCCCGGCCTCCAGCAGCGCCCGCACAACACCGACATGCCCCCGCACCGCCGCCAACATGAGTGGCGTCCGACAGCACTTGCCAACCACCATCTCCGCGTCCGCGCCAGCCCCCAACAGCATCCTCACGATATCCGCCCGCCCCGTCGCGCACGCCATATGCAGCGCGCTCGCCCGCGCCTCAGGCGGCAACGCGTCGTCGCCGCTGCTGCCGTCGTCGTCGTCGTCGTCGTCCGGCCGGGATAGTCGCGGATCCGGCACGCTGTCGACGGCGTTGACGACCGCCGCCGCCTCCTCGGCCGCTGGCAGCGCCGCGAGCAGCAGGCCGACGACGTCGGCGTGGCCGTGCGAAACGGCGATGCTGAGCGCGCTGGGTTCGCCGCCGGGGCAGTCGCCGTCTGCGGCGCCGTGCGCGGCGAGGAGCAGCCGGACGACGTCGACGTGGCCGCCGGCGCTGGCGGCGTGGAGAGCGGTGCGGTGGCGGCCCGCGACGAGACGCGGGTCGGCGCCGTGGGCGAGGAGGAGGGACGCGGTCGTGAGGTGGCCGAAGCGGGAGGCCGCTTGGAGGGCGGTGCCGTAGTAGTACCCGGTGCCGGGGCCGGTGGCGTTAGGGTCGAGGCCGCGGGAGAGGAGGAGGGAGATGAGGGCGTCGTTGTGGGGCGAGCCGGCCGCGGCGGCCATTTGGAGGAGGAGGGCGTAGCGCGGGTCCGAGTCGGCGCGGGCGGAGGGGGTGGTTTCGAGGAAGGTGTGGAGCATGGCGCCGGGGCCGGTGGTGAGGGCGGTGGAGAGGGTCGAGGTGGCGAGGCGGAAGCGGCCGTCGGGGTCGGTGGTGGTGTCGGCGTAGTTGTTGGGGTTGATGGAGCCGGTGAAGAAGGAGAGGGCGGTGGGGATCATAGGAAGGAGCAGGTCGTTGCTGCTGCCGGCGGAGGCGAAGGCGAGCCAGATGGAGTGGCTGTCTAGCTCCCTACTGGCTATGTCGGTTAGGATCGATGGGTCCGTTTGCGCTGCTGTCTGGAGGTCTGCACCGCGGGCTAGTAGGAGCTGGATTATGCTCAGTTGACCGTTGCGGACTGCTGCGTGGATTGGTGTGATCTCTTGACTGCCTCTGGTGTCGGCGCTGTAGTCAAGTGGGCTGTGCCATGGAGGCGAGTCTGGAGAATTATCCCCATCAATAGCTCGGATCCTTTCCATTACCCGCTCGCGGTGGTCGATGTTATCCATGAGCGAATTTGTCGGCTGTCTGATGCGTCTGGACCGGGGCACTGGACCCACATCGTGGATATTTGCCCCTTCTTCCAAGAGGAAATCGACGAAATCGGGGCGGCCATGGTATGCAGCTGCTACCAAAGCTTGCTTAAGGGCCGACACACGCTTTTTGCCGTCTTCCAACGTTTTGAGGAGAAACTTCGTCGTATCGAGATGACCACTGATGGCAGCAATCACCACGCACTCGACCAGGCAGCTATCAACTTCGCCAACCTGTGAGTGAGCGAGAATAGCTCGCGCAAGGCTGATGAGTCCGCGACCAGCTGCGTTGCGGAGACCGTTTTGTAAGGTCGTAGAGTTGAACATCTCGCCATGCTTGCTGGAAATCAGTGCAATGGCGGCAGGGGCCGTGCTGTGTCCACCCCAGGTGAGCGTCCTGAACGCTTTGATGACGCCTTCTCTTTCAAAAGGGACATCCGATTCTAATAGAATCTTCGTGACCTCAAAGTCTCCGTGTCTGGCTGCCATACGAAGGGCTCCTGATAGGATCTTTGTGAGCGCGTCCTCCGCGTACCGAGCTCTAACCATATCCAGTGCCTTATGCACCAGGAAGGCGGTGGGCTCGTGGACACATTTGAAGAGGCTCTCAAAATCCTCTCTTGTCTTCGCTAACGAGACGTCGTGCTCAAGCAAGCACTCCACAACCTTCTCATCGCCATTCCGCACCGCGTGCTCAAGCGCCCTACAACGGTCTTTCGGCACAAGCCTCACGCCGCTCTCACAGAGCAAACGAACAACCTGCAGATGCCCGCCCTTGGCCGCCTCCTTTAGGGCGCATCCCACGTCTTTATCATCGATTTCAAACTCCTCCCTCCGCGCCATCAGCGCCCCCACCCCCTCCGCATTCCCCACCGCCGCAACCATAACCAAGACGTGCCAATGGCCGCCCCACTCCCTCAATCCCTTGCTCGCATGATAAATCGTGACCCTTCCCAACCTCTCCACCTCTGTCAAATCGCCCTCCCGCACCATCTCTGCCAAGCGCTCCACCACCACCTCCTCCTCCCCCTCATCACGTCCAGACTCACCCTCCTTCTTCTTCTCCTCCACCACCTCCTCCTCCTGCTCCCCCCGCCGCTGCCCCTCCGCCTCCGCCTCCGCCTCCCTCAACAACGACCTAAACCCCGTCTTTCGTTCCGGCGGCCCCGGCCTCCGACGAAACCTCACCGGCGGCTTCCGCCACACGATCCCCCTCCCCTTCCCCTCGCCTTGCCGCCACTCCCTTACTACCCGCAGCACCTCCTCTGCCCCCTCCACCCCCGCATCCCCCAGCGCCCCCGCCACACGCAGCGCGTGGTCGGCCCCCGTGCTCGCACCCCCACCCAGCAGCAGCGCCGCCACGGCATCCGCATGCCCGTTTAGCGCAGCCGCGACGAGCGGCGTTTGGGCCGTCTCGACGCGCATGGCGGTTTCCGGGGCGGCGGCGAGGCGGGAGGTATCTGGAGCGGGGTGGATGTCGGCGTCGGCGCCGTGCGCGAGGAGGAGGTGGATTAGGCGGACGTGGTTGCGGGAGGCGGCGAGGCGGAGGGGAGGTGGGGCGGCGGGGGGTGAGCGGGGTTTGGAACGGGGCGGTTGGGGGGAAGGGGCGATGCTGCCGTTCGGGTCGGCGCCGTGCGTCAGGAGCAGGCGCGCGCATTGGAGGCGGTTGGTTGTGGCTGCGATGCGGAGGGGGCGGGCGAGGGAGTGTGGCTGGTGTTGTTTCAGGGCGAGGAGGGGCGCGAGGATGTGGGGGCGGTTGTGGAAGACGGCGGTCGAGAGGGCGAGGGGGAGGGGGAGGAGGGAGAGGATGAGGGGTGGCTGCGTGTTGGAGGATGGAGATGAGGCGTCGACGTGGTGGAGGTAGGGGGATAAGGCTGGGAGGTCTCCGTCTCTGATGGCTTGGATGACGGCAGCGCGGTGTGTTTCAGGGTCTGGTGTGGCCGAGAGGTCGTCACCGAGGTTGGGCTGATCTGGTGGTGGATGCTCAGTGAACTCATGGCGACGGGCGTGGCGGATGTCGAACTTCCTGGACTGATTCTGATACTTGGAGTCTCCAATATCGATATCTAATCCCTCGGGCAGTCCTTCTGTGGAGGCCAGGAGGACCTTCAAGATGTTGTCGGAATTGTCGATTGCTAGCCTTAGGATTGGAGTGAGCGCTGCCGCTTCCTGCGCTGAGACTTTGTCGAGGAGTACCACGATAGGATTCGCAGCTGCCACATCCAAGATTATGGACATGCAATCTTGAGAAGTAAGCCGGGCTACTCTTTCTCCAGTATTCTTCGCCACTGCTTGCCTCAATTGATACTCCGATAAGAGTGCATCCCAAACAGTGCTCGTGTCTCCTTTGTTGAGTGTGAGCTCTGCTACGACATGCCTCAATATCTCGTCAGCGGAATCGCATCCGGAGCAGTTGACACAGACGGTGTTCATAGGCATCTCTGAGCTGTTGGAAGCAGACGATGTATATCTCAGGGCTTCTCGACAGGCCTCGTGACTTGTAAACTCGGAACCTGAAACTGACAGGAGAGAAGAGCAGCTTGGCTTCCACCATGGGCTGCATGCGTTGCGGACGAAATCCTGCTTTGGAACGTCCTCGTCCGTTGTTGCCCACAACTCTTGTGTCTTCTCACCCATGGATTTACCGATGACCCAGCTTTGCAATTCTTCGTGAAGGCCACGAGCGACTGCAATTCTGTGTACAGTCCCAGTTTCCCAAGTCCTGTGATATGCAGAATGGATACCTTGGCCGGCATCCAATTCCAAGCAGCCTCTTATATCAGAAACCCTGGATTGAACCACCGCTTTCCAAGTCTCAGCAGATTCGGGAGGATCGATAACCGACATGTTGGTGGAAATTTGTACGTAGTACGCAAATAGGTGCAGTATTCCGTCGTAAAAGCCAACAAGAGTTTCGTGAGCTTGAGGTGCGGCCTTGTCCATTTCCAAGGCTTCAATCTCTGCGAATTGACAAGTAACATACTCAAAGTCCATGACCATCTTTCCGAAGGCCTGAACATCTTGAACTGGGGATCGAAGCAAGAACCAGACAGGAGACCAGAATAAGTTCCAGGAATTCCGATTTTCCTCCCGGATGGCCACATTGCTGTCCTGGATGACGCCTATCCAGCGGATGATTTTCTCCAATAGGTCGCGCACTATGAGCACGCCGGATGCGCCGGTTTCATATCGCCAGAATTTCCAAAGGGACTGATCTCTTTTTTCTGCAACAACCCTCAAAATTGCCGGTAAAATGTCTTTTTTGTTTGTTTTTGTGACTGCGAAAGTCTTTTTCACGTCTTCATCGACTTCATTCAGGGCATGCTCCCAAAGACATCTGGAGTTCTTGGCAACGGGTTGCGGGTTTGGAATCGATTCAGTGTCCATTGTTGCACGGGAAAGGACAAGCGATTCCAGTATTCTAAGTCCAAGCAGGAGCCTGAGTCTTTTAACCTTTTAACCTTATCAGGTGGGTCGCTAGTTTCGAAGGAGCGAACGCTAGCACGTGGCACGGACTGCTGCCTTGGAGGTGGCCCCATGTAAGATGGTAATCGTCGGGCAGCCTTAAAGCGTTATTATCGTCGACATACCCTGCATACAAGTTTATGTTATGCAGCTATACTATATGTATTTACTACACGTGAGCCATAAGAGACACAATGCAATGCAGTAATTCTATGCAATTTTGGAGAAAAGGGTTCGTGAAAGATCTCACATAGTGGGGTATTCTGGGCGGGCTCGTATTCCCGACGCGCTCAGGCCCGGCGCTATTGAACGCCACTCGGCTTCTACCTTTCGTTTGCTTCCCATAAAGGCAATAAAACAACCTCGATTAGGGTTTCTGATATTAAGAACTCTCGCTTCCCACGGTGTTGTACTTGAAACCTCTCTGAACATCTATCAATTGCTAATGAAGAGTCAAGCCGTCACTAATGCAAGCCTAAAGCTGCCTATTGTCAATTAGGAGGTTTTCATACAGGATTCAAATGATGAAGAAAATGAATTAATATTTTGTATATGATTCCCCCAAGCCAGACTGATAGAATTGTTCCCTGCCTCGAACCCACTGTCACTTGGAATGAAATCGCAGCACCTCACTTGACGTTCAAAAATCGAAGACCACAATTCAGTAAATCTATCAAACTCTTCCTCGAGTTATAGACCCAATCAGAATGCCAATAAAAGGACAAACCAAACGAATATCGGCCCATAGCCCGTCATGTGGTCAGCCTTCGCTGCTGAGTTCCAGGCCGGGACTCCAGTTGGAGAGGTTCCCATCTCAGTCTGCGTCTCACCCCTCGATGCATCTGTAGTCGCAGAAGAGGATCCCCATTTGCCGGTACTGAAACCACTGCCTTCACCAAAAGAAGTAGGAGCGGAGGTGGCGCTCTGAATGCCAGACAAAGTTAGAACAGAGAGTGACCCGGCGGTGTTGGACACAGCGGCAGCCGATGTCCCAGGGATCCCAGCACTGGTTATGGGGACGACAGTGATGCCAATAGAGACTTTCTCGGTTCCAATAGCCACAGACGTTGAGCCTTGCTCATCGGTCGTGACAGAGGTTCTAAAGGAGGTGCTGTAGATTGTTGATGTCGAGAGAAAAGTGGTCGCGATGGGACTGGAGCCAGAGTTGACACCCATAATGCCAGCAGACTCAGAGAGTGAGGAGCCGTCTGCACTAGGTCCAGCCAGAGCTGGGCTGACTTTCACTGTATGTCCTGCCTCCGTGCTTGCTAATTCAGGGGGCCTTGATCCACCTACATTCACACTTGCGGCCAGGCCTTGCGACGTCAGAGGCGATGGGAAGTCGGTATGTTCGCGGTCGCTGTTGAGAGAAAGTACAAGCGCCGTGGTCGACTCTGATGGAACGGCTCCAGTGGTCTTGGCTGTGCCTTTCAGGTAGCTCGGTTGCGAACCTTTATGCAAGACATCGTCGCTGGACTCTGGCGCCCTATCTGGTTCGACAGAAACGACGCTATTGCTTCCAGTAGCGGTGTGGCTCAGGTGGGAAATAGAAGAACTTCCTGAGGAGGCTGTCTTATCCAAATCACTTTTTGGCCCTGCTGTCGATGGCGCTTGATTGTAGGAGCGCTCCAGAGATGGTGAAGGGCCTTTTGAACCATGGATAGTGGTAGTCTGGGGGACAATGGTTGGTAGTGGCGCAGGAGAAATTGACTTGCCGGACTTGGGCGCATGTGAAGCCACTTCTGTGGATATATCAAACTCGTAAGAAGTGGATGAGGCAATTGTGAGCCAGGAAGCTGTTTCTAGAACCGAGACGGGGTGGGTTGTCGTTACCGGACTTGTGTAACAACTTTGAAAAGCTCCTTCATCATCAGTCGCAGATATTGAGTAAGCAAAATCGAAATAGCTAGAGCATTCAGCGTTGAGACCGTATGGATCATCGGAAATCGCGAAGTCGGAAAGGATGTATTGAGAGATGGGCGGAGGGTTGTGGAAAGTGGCAAAAGTGCTCGTCGATACTGATAGGCAGGCAGAGTTGGTCCCATTGCCCACAACCGTAGATAGTTGCCCATGCCAATAATAAAAGGAGTCAGTGCTTATTCGAGCCGTGGGAAAGGTCCTGAGACAAGGCTTAATGTCAACACTCTCTTAAAGCCGATAGGGATGAAACGGACAGTGTGACTGGCTGATCTGTAGATCTTCTCCCCTGGATCACACAAATGCGCGTTCCATTCTGATTCGTTCGCGGGATGGTATATCCATCTGGTGGCTGAGCAGTTTTTGTGGTATATCGAGTAAGATTTTGTTGTTTATTTATCTAGCAGACCAAGTCAGCTAATAGCAACTTTAGTCAACACGACAGGACAGAGAGATTTCATACGATAGTAACAACTGTGAAGGCTGCGAAAGTGGTATGAGTCACAGCTTCAACGCTTCCCCAATAAACACCTTGCACTCCCGCCCGGTGTACGGTACAAGAAGCCGAGCAATTGGAGGCATTAAATTGTGGAATTGCGGTTGCTTGCCCAAGGAGGTAATCGTTGAAACCGAAAAACAAAAATAAAATTAACGGAAATAGCATATCGAGACGGAGAAGACTGGTTCACTATTTGATGCTGGCTTTAGCATGCGACAGCGTGATGTATTTGTACTTCAAAAGTGAGTCGTTTTGTAAATTTACTTCGGAATCTATAATTAGAAAGCTCTGCCTCCATTCGCAAGAATACCTCTGTATGCAGAATGTATGCAACAAATCTACCACCGTAACACTTTTGAACCTTTCGCCGACATCTTGAAGGCCAATGAAAGCAGCAGTTCCATTTGTCGGTTTCGGACTGCGGTCTCTCCTGCGGGCCAAGAAAATCTATTTCTGTATGTATGTAGTACAGCACTTGTCTAAAGTGACTGTGTCGCAGTTAAGAGGTATACAGGGTAGTACAACAAGCAGAGGGTGCGTACGCTTACATGCAGCATCGGAGCAGCATCGGAGCAGCATCGGAGGACGCAAGGATAAGTGCTGATGTGTGTTCTTCATAAGATCTTGCGCCGTGGATCAGACCCGCAGTTTGGTGGAGGCATGGAGAAGCACTTTCTCGTCTTCCCAGAATACAATGCAACGTATATCCAGGCAACAACGAATTCTTAAGTTTGCAATCTTTCTTACGGCTCTCCATCCACCTTTCTTGTTCCGTAGTACAGAAGGATTAGGTCCAGCCTGCCCCCAATTTTAGAGTCCACATTGATTGGGTGTTTATGACGCACACGACTCGATTGCTGAGATACAACCAGGCAACACTATGTCCCACCACCCCTACAGCGCGCTAACATTGCATTTGAACGCAACATATACATATTCCATTTTTAACCCCACACACGCAACGGTTATGACAGATACGCAGCTGCAGATGCCTGAAATTAGACCACGATGTTCTCCCTTTGCACTGAAGCTATAAATTCAATATCGCACCAATGGACCGTTATCTCGGCACCCAACAATCCCCACTTGGATGTAACAGCTCCAATTTTCATGATAGCTAAGTCTTCCGTTCACATATTCACTATTTGTATTGATCAGAGTTGCGGCATACCGAATGGATTAACAGTGAAATTTATTCCCGCTGGCGTCTCAGTTGGGTTGGATTGTGAACTGCGGCCGGTTGCGACTTTTGTACATGTTCCGCCACGAAACATGCGGCTCTCAGCCCGTAAAGCAGCAGCGATGGTGCTACTTGTTCATATTTCCATGCAAGAATCTCAGACAAATGTCGTGCCACCCACACCCCACTCACGTCCTGCTGCATGAGTACCTAGAGATTCAGAATGTTGGAGTAGGAGGAGGGATATTTAGTCGCGGTGTTCGCACTTGACGATATTCACGAAAAGGCGGTGGCAACCCTTCTCGTCTGCAAGAGCCAACTTCCCCCTTTTGCCGTCCTCTGTGCTGCTGGTGCATTTGGGTACACTGGGAACGGCACAGCCGTGGGGCCTCCGTGTCCAGCGTCTGACATTGGTCCCTGTGGTCATACAACTAGTACGGCCATAAAGTGATTTGAGATGTTGCTGCGTTTCGGAAATCGGAAAGCCTATATTTCTCCTTTCTTGGCAGTGAGATTGTGGTGGGGTACAGCGGGCGCTATCTTGAGGGACGGCCCAGGCCGGGGCTAGCGTGTAGGTTATCAAAACGACAAGAGATGCCTGCAGCTTGCTACTTCCAGAACAGGCACCCAGGGCTAAGCCAAGCACGCGATACTGGGCTAGAACGCGGTGGCGTTCAGCTCGACGTCAGCAGCACCTGCACCAGTAATAAAACTCGGAAAACCTGCCGGAAGACTTCTAAAAAGCCTACCAGGTGAGAATATTTCGATCCGCTTTCATCCAACAGACGGGGTGGCTCTATATCGAGCCTTTGTACAGGCCTAGGATTAAAAGGGCTTTTATGAAGCTCCCATCCTGGGGTAATGGTCGAGAAAATGCTTGTCGCTACTTAGCCCCCATCCTCGGCTAAATTGTTGCCGCATATGTAGGGTGCACGCAAGTGTAAGCGCTAAGGCACCTGTCTTATGACCGCGTGCCTCTTGTAGAATTTCTTCTTATATCCAGCATAGTTGATATCACTGCGGGGATGCGCTTTCATGAGCCGAAGCTCATTGTAGTATGTTAAAGCGGAGACTGTCGCACGCGTGATGTAGAAAAGTTAAATCGAGCGTCCTTCAACACTCGTCTCTTCTCCGTACTGCTGATACCCCCGAGTGGACGCCATGGGTGAGAAATTTCCGTCTGCTGGAGCTGCAGCGATTGCTGGGGGCGTCTTTCTGGTTTTGTACATGATTTATCGCGCTGCTCTCCCACGGCCAATCCCAGGCATTCCGCACAACAAAGATGCAGCCTCGAAGATACTGGGCGATATCCCGGAGATGATGGGACATGTCAAGCGTACGAAGCGCATATTCGTATGTCTCACTACAACATGGTACGAACTAGTAAACACGCTAACCCGACGTGGTAACAAACAGTGCTGGCTCACCTCGCGGGCAACTCGGCACCAGAGTCCGATCGTGCAGGTCTTCATCAAGCCCTTCTCACACCCATGGGTGATAGTAACGGACCCCTTCGAGAGCCACGACATCCTGGTGCGACGCACAAAAGAATTCGACCGGAGCAGCTTCTTCGGCGAGATCCTCAGCGGCATCATGCCCGAGCAACACTCCTGGTACAAGTCCAACACCGCCCTCTTCAAGCAAAATCGAAACCTCATAAACCACCTCATGGCGCCGACCTTCATCAACGAGGTCAGCGCGCCCGACGTGTACAACGCGGTGACGACAGTCATCAAAGTGTGGCAGCTAAAATGCAGCCAAGCGCGCGGCCGCCCCTTCTCCGCCCACGACGACATCACCTACGGCGCCCTCGACGCCATCTTTGCCTCATCCTTCGGCCTCGCCGAGGAGGACAGCAGCACCGCCCCGCGCTTGGCCGCCCTGTCTCAGCACACACCCGCCCCAGCCACCTCGCTCGACGAGCCGGTCTCCTTCCCCTCCGCCGCTGAGGCTATCCCGCCCATTTTCTCCGCCGTCCTGACCATCGGCCACTCGCTGCAGGCAGGCCAGCTGTCGCCGTCACCGCGCCTCGTCTCGCTGTTCCTCCGGCAGCTGCCGTACATGCGGCGCGCCACCGCGACCAAAGACGCCTTCATCGCTGCTCGCATCGACGATGCTGTCCGGCTCATCGACGCCAACCCAGCGGACCAACCCCGCAACGCCCTCCACTCCGTCCTCCTCCGCTCCCGCTCCCTCGCACAAAAACACGGCCTTCCACCCCCCGCGCCCCACTCCCACGCCATCGCCGACGAGTTCCTCGGCTTCCTGCTGGCCGGCCACGACACGACCGCCACGACTGTGGCATGGGGCGTGAAGCACCTGTCCGCTCCGGCAAACCACCCCGCCCAGTCCCGTCTCCGCGCCGCCCTCCGAGCCGCCCTGCCCGACGCCGTCCGCGAACAACGCGCGCCGAGCTACGCGGAGCTGGCGAGCGCGCACGTGCCGTACCTCGACGCGGTCGTGGACGAGGTGCTGCGCGTCGCGAACACGGTGGCGTTTGTGGCGCGGGAGGTCGTTGCGAAGGAAGGCGCGGTGGTGTTGGGGCGGCGCGTGCCGTATGGGGCGCATGTGTTTTTTATGGCGGATGGGGCGGGGTATCTCGCGCCGGGATTGAAGGAAGGCGGGGCGGTGGATGATATGAGGAGTCCCGGGGCGAGGGGGAGGAGTGGCGGGGCGATTAGGGGGGTGTGGGATGGTGGGGATGTGGAGGCGTTTAGGCCGGAGAGGTGGTTGAGGCGCGAGGATGGGGAGGAGGGGGAGGAAAGGTACGATCCGGCGGCGGGCCCGTCGCTGCCGTTTGGATTGGGGCCGAGGGCGTGTTTTGGGAGGAGGTTGGCGGTCGCGTCGTTGCGGATTTGGTTCGCGTTGATTGTGTGGCATTTTGAGTTGCTGGAGACGCCCGAGGAGTTGAGCGGGTTTGAGGCTGTGCAAAAGTTTGCGAGGGAGCCGGTAAAGTGCTATGTTCGTCTGCGGGCTGTAGATATGTAGACAAGTTTATAAAATGTGAGGGATGTATTGACTTGAATCCATCAACGTGTTTTTTGCCCCCTTCAACTCGTTTAAGCCTTACAAGAGGTTCTACAAAGTCTGAACGCCCGTTGACAGGCATGCGGAATTCGTAGCGTTACCGATGGCGATTCTGGTGGACAGATGACCGTACCACGAACATGTCGAATCATAATTTCTCCAAAATGTAGGAAAGGCTTTAAATGAGGGCTTACTCATTGTGTCTCCTCGTAAAAGAGGAGGGGGCAGAGGCAAATGCGCGATATTTTATTCTCCCACACGCATATGCGCATCGGGCTCTGTTACCTCAGCTACGCTGATAAGGATTGTGATTAATCCGATTGCGTGCGGAGGCCGCCCCCTGGGGTTACACAGCATAGAACTCCTGCCCCCATGCAGGGTCGCTGCTCAGCCTTCTCACATTCCACCATGCAACCCCCCTCTTGTTTCAACTCTATCACAAACACCCTTGTGACAAATAGCACCGCACTGCCGCTCTGACCTGATAGTGGAATCCCTCAGCTCTCTGTTCTAGCTCTTCAAGCTGATAATCCGCCCTGATGGATCACATACCATTGCCCAGAGACCCTGTTCGGAGCCCACCGAGGATTAGGTACTACTGCCTCGAGGAGTACGACAGAGGCGACTTCAACACCTATCCTGACCGCCAGGGATGGACCCAAATGGAGCTTTTTACCACGTCCACATGGACCGAGGTAGACACTCCCGGCGGAAGAGGCCAGAAAGCTGTGGCGGCCTTCTTACAACAGTGGCTATTCTTTGGGCTTCTTCATGCGATCTTTGGCAACATAGTCGTCTTCGAAGACTACATCGATGAGGAAAGCGGAACAAAATATGTGCACACCCGAAGTTTGCAGGCACACGCAGATCAGCTCATCGCGACACGCGACTCTGGCAGGCTGCTCGAAACGGATATGGCCCCACTGGACTTTTCATTGCAGGCTGCACAGTCAGCTTACGATTTCATCCGTAAAGAACACGAGGACGCCCTAGATCCTTATTTTCTGTTATCCCTTTCCCTGTTGGGACAGTTCCTAGGCTGCCTTCGGCAAATCCTCTTCAGCAGCAATGACTTCATCCCTCAAACAAACATATTCGCATGGGAGCCGCCATACATACTTGCAGACATCGAAAAGTTCGAAAGCATCACTTCGTGGCGCAATAACCGTGCGAACCTTTTAGAATACGAAATGATCCAAGAAGGATGGTGTCCTAGGGTAGTAAGCCTTATGCAAGGGACAGTAGGATTGGAGTATCGATATTTTACTTCCATGCTCCGCAATTTCCAAAGGGATCGGCGTCATTGTGAACTTTGCACACGGACATAGTGCTTAGCATCTCAGCTTCAAAAATCATCCTATCGGACGGTACATACATCTAATGGCTGCCTGTGTTCTTTCCAAGGGTTTGACTCAACAACTGTCGAAGCCATAGTCGAGGCAGGAGAGCTTCCTTTAGTGGCTTGGGACCGTAACCATCATGTAGTTAACTTAGGCTCTGGGAAATTTGACGCGCCGTATGTTGCCATATCACACGTTTGGTCCGATGGTCTCGGAAATCCTCACGGAAATACAATGCCACAATGCCAGCTAGAGGCTCTCAGCAAGCTGGTGCAAGATCTTTATCCTGGGAAAACTGAGCAAACCCCTTTTTGGATTGATACGATGTGTTGCCCTGCAAGGCAATCGAAAGGGAAGCGCATCGCAATCCGAAAAATGCGAGACACATACGCATGTGCAGATAAAGTTCTTGTACTCGACAATGTCTTAAGATTAATAGAAGTTATAGGACGAGCGGTTACTGAACTGGCCTTTAACATTTACTCCTCCAATTGGTCTTCTCGTCTTTGGACTTACCAGGAAGGGGTGTTGCCAAAGACACTGATCTTTTAATTCGCGGATGCGACGCTAGATTCCAAGGATATACATTTGACAGCTCTAGCAATTTACCAAGACTCCAGCCACATTGGATTGGTAACTGCTATTGGCCTATCCGTTGTCTATTTTTATCTTCGAGGGAGAACCGATTGCTCAGAACAACCGCACAAGCCTCCTGTGGTCAGCCTTGATGTCTCTGCTACGGCATTAATCACACGAACCACAAGTATCCAAGAGGATGAGAGCTTGTGCTTGGCAAGTTTGATGGCCATTGATCGAACACCTCTCTTGAGCGTAGGTCGCCAGGATCGAATGGCATGCTTTTGGAAACAGCTCAAACATATCTCTGAGGCATGGATGTACTTCCCGTATCCGCGATTGGACACCGTTGGCTACCGATGGGCCCCAAAGACACTTCTCGGCGCAAAAACGGGTCATATATACGACGATACACGCGCATCACCGACCGAGAAAGGTCTTCTTGTCAATGCATACAGCATTGAATTACGGGGTATCGGTTTTCCACTAATTCACCAAATCCATAACCAACTTTGGATTCGAGGGACAAATGACCACTGGGGGTATTACATTGTGAAGGACATTAAGACTCGTGCCGTTCAAGGTTATGAACATTTCACCATTCCTGAGGGTCCTTTCAATCGCATCGCCCTGCTTATGACTAGAAAGATACAAGATTCAGGTGTGCTGGTCTCCACATATTTCGTGATGGTTTTAGTCACCGAGGAGCGCAACGGAGTAACATGCACGTCGCGCAGACTCTGGCCGGATATTCAAAGCCGATCACACGGATAGTCAAAGGCACAACGCCCACAATGCCCAGATTCATGCCAAGGAGGCTTTGTTCGAAGAAAAGTCCGATCGGGTCATAATAGAAGGAGAGAACTACCTGATTGACAACGAGTACCGTGCAGTCGTTGGCGATTGGACGGCTGAAAAAAGCGAATGGTGCATCGATTGAATTGCAGCTATGCTATGTCTCTGTTCAATTGGATCTCATGACAGTAGCCATTGCAATGTTTTCCTCTGGGAGACCTCATTTTCGATAAGACTTTTTTTCTAAATGCAGTTCTTTCTCTCTTACATAGCAAATTCATCATAGTTCCCTAGTGTCAAAGCTGAGTCAGAGCAGGCAAGCGCGATACATACGCCTACGTTTCTCTTTCGCCCAACGTAGCTGTTGTACAAGCAATGTAGGTGTTAAAGGTTGTTATAACGAGGCTCCAGATGCAATACGTTTGTTATGGCGTCAGCAACGATTTTTCGAGCTCTAGCGCTATTCAAGCACGACACATCGTGGCCCCCAATCTTACCAATCAACCCTGTCACCGATCATTCGCGGACCGCGAAATGCCCCACGTTGCTCTTGTGCTTTGCGTACAGAAGGGTTCATACGTATCAAGAAGGCTACAACCACAAATGGCCATCGACTAGTCCAAACAACATCTGAAAGTCTCCGTTAGACACGTACCACGACATAATGGAGCCCAGCCCTTCGGAACCCATCTTCGCCCGCGTCGCCGACCTGCGCGTCTGCACAGCGCCAAACTGCCCCTTCACACCCTCCCCGCACCTCTCCGTGCACCTTCACGACGTGCCGCTCGCGCGGGGCAATGCGACCGCGCTCTCCTACGTCTGGGGCGAATTCAACCGGGGTCCCATCACCGTCGGCCACGCGGCCACCTCCGCCACCCGCACCTTCAGCCTCGAGATCGGTAGCGAATGGGTCGTCAGCGACCTGCTGAACCGGCTGGTCGAGCTGTGCGCCGAGCGGCCCGTCTGGATGGACCAGTTCTGCATCCCGCAGAAGGAAGACGAGATCGTGCGCACGCTGGCCAGCATCCCGACGATCTACCGCACGTTTGACGTCGTCGTGCTGATGCCCGGCGCGCCGTGCGGGTGTTTGCGCGAGCACATGCGCGACCTCGCGGGGGTCGATTTGGCGAATTTCGAGCCGGATATGATGCGAGTCTTAATGCCGAGTCGGCAGAGGATGCTGTCGTGTTTCAATTCGATTGCGCCGTCGTCGTGGATGGGGCGGATGTGGCCGCGGCAGGAGTTGATGTATGCGGAGCAGGTGCGCTGCGTGTGGGTGGGGCGAGAGGAATCGGCATGCGTGAGGGCGAAAGATGAAAACAGGGATATGAGCAAGCTGGCGCCGTTTTTGTATTGGTTTTACACCACGCTGGTTGAAGGAGGGTGTCCTGAGCGGATTGCGCTGCGGCGGATGGAGCTGCTCGTCCTCCAGGTCGAACTCGAGAACACGGCGGAGCTGAAGAAATATGTCGAGGGATTCACGCCTCCTTCGATGAAGAATATTGACTCCTACTTTCGGTTCCTCTCGGGAGAGACGCTACGGAAAGGCGGCGTGTTACCGAGCAACAACGATGGTTCCCCCGAAGGTCAGGGTGTGGGACGCTTCTTTTACGACATGGGGCAACTTTCCGCTGGACGCCTGGGCCCGTATCGACGGGCGACGCGATCGCGAGATTACGTCATATCCGTCTGGACTTCTTGTCCCGGATATGTCATTCCCTCGGGCTACAAGACGATGACGACAGCAGATCTGTTCCAAGACGCAATTGACCAGCTATGTGTGAATCACGGCGTCATGCTGGCAACCAGTGCACCCCAAGGCCTCTTCGAAGACACAAGGACCGGGTCCGCACTATGGAAGCCAGCATACTACCTTTCGTCAATGACAGTTCATAACGCATCTATGGTTTACAGCGCCATCGGGCACAAAGGCATCCACTCCAACATTGGCCCATCTCAGGAGATCTATCTGAAGAACCTGAATGTAGAAAATTTGCCGCTCTCCGCGGGCGCAAAGGACTGGCAGGCCCTCATTAAAGACATTCCTGAAAATCCGTCTGGGAAGGCTCTGGTGGACCTGTTCCACTCCATCATCAAACACTGGGGCGACGAGAAAACAGCCGGCGCGTTCCGCATGATCGATGAACAGTACTACAACCATGCATTCATCTACATTCAGCAGGTTAAAGACGGACAAGGCATCCCGAAAATATCAGCTGCTCAGTCTCGACGGCTAGCGTTGCTGCACATGCTCTTCGAGAAGAACAACCACATGAAGAAGTTCGACTGGGGGCCCGTCGGCTTCGACAGAACTTCTGTCGGTCCCGACGAGCTATACCATTTCATGCACCAGATTCTCAGCTCGGCTCTCGGTCTCGACATGGGCGTCTGTTGGAACGAAGGTATCAAGCTCATGTTCTCTGCGACGGATGGCGGTGGGGATCGGCCACCACGCATCGGCTTCTTCAGGAAGGATGTGGATCTTGACGCGATCTCTAAGAGGGCGGCAGAGGGAAGGGGACAGGAAGTGTTGACCGTTAGAGTAGGAGATGAGACCTTCCATGAATCGCTACTTTTCGAAGCTCAACGGGTGCCAAAAGAGGGATCATTGCCGGCATACCAAGTATTCGGCATCTGGGCACCGACGAACTTGACTGCAAAAGAAGATTATGGAGCATTGGATTTTGGTTCGGGGACTGACAAGGGAACCGAGTTTGAGGCGATTCTCTGTTAGTCATTATTAGTCATGACTCGGACAGGAGCTTTCAGTGAGACCGTGTTGTCAGTAGTAACATCAGAGTCGAAGGCGCTGCAGCAATGTTCAAATGTTCATTTCCTACGAAAGCCTTTCTGGTGGCCGCTATGTAATTCTATTTTTCGTATGCTGCCCTGTTCAAAGACAATGTTCCCAGGCTCGTGCATCCTACGTCTGCCGTGTATTTCCTGAGCGTAAGCAGTGATCTCGCTCTCCGAGCACAAAGGCGACATCTTCAGCTCGTCCTAAAACCTCGTCTTCGCGCATTTTGGCACTGAACTTAATGTCTCATGTAAAGAAGTATACATCAAGGCTTGAAAAAAGAAGGGTGTTTTGTAAGCTTCCAAATGTTTCCGCGTTCATGAAAATGACCAAAAGCTTAACATAAGTCCGCCCAAAAGGAACAGAACCCAGAGGTCCAACATACGACCACATGATGTAGATGAACTCTCAGCCCCACCGGTAGTTGTCGCACCTGCCACACTTGCAGTTCCGTCCGTCGACCATTGCACGGTACCCGACGCGGTTACAGAGCTCCCATTAGGACCATTAGCAGCGGCAGTCGTCGAGACCGTTTCAGCGCTTAACTCTTTCGATCCATTGACTCCTGCAACGGAACTTCCCCTTAAACCCTGATTCTCTGATGTCAAAAATCCGGAAGAACCAGCATGTCTACTGTCATTGTCCGAAAGGACCTCGGGAACAAGGTTAATACTTGGAGCAGGAATAACTTCACCGACCGCTGTGGCCCCAAAATGGTCTGGCCCGCAGGCGGTCTTCTGAGATGTACTCCTGCCAGGACCAGTCTGGCACGTTTGCTTATCGGAAATCGAGTCACTACCAATGGCGGTGGTGGCATTCACACGAGCAACCGGGGTGTTGGATGGAGGCGTAGGGCTTAACAAAGCGATTGTCGTTCGCGCAGGCGACTCCGTCCTGTTGATCGAAGATTTGTAGCCAGGCAGAGAGTTCCCCGAACTGCTTTCTATGGTAGTCTTCGGGGCCAGAGTCGAGTGCGATGCAGGAAGCAAACTTGTTGACAAAAGCTCTCCTGAGCTTGTTGCTCTTGTACCATCGGTCTCATAGGAGGTCGAGCCGGCGGTCGTAAGAACTGGGTCGGTTGTGAGGGGCATTGGGCCCAAAGTATGCGGAGTTGTGTACCGTTCTCCGCTATTGAGCAATCTCTTCTCTATTGATTTCCATGTAAACTTGCATTCGTAGTTTAGGCCATATGGATCACGATGAATCATCTTTTCAAACATCCCTGTTGAGGCCCACTGACTCGCGGGCGGAACGTTCATTGTGCCCATGGCTCGTGTTGAAAGGCAAGAAGACCCTGTGATGTTACCGGAAGTGGCGTATAGGCAATTTTCCCGTTCATATGAAGGTTGCCAGATTTGATATGTGGGTGGAAAAGTTCTGAATAAGGTTTAGCGCAGCTTTGTTGTAGTAACGGACGTGATGAGAACACACACTGAGAAAGCCGGGTCAGAAGATCCTTCCAATCCAAATACGCAAACATGCGTTCTGTGTTCATCCAGTTGTGGAAGGATGTATCCACTGGGTAGGTCGCCTGCTTTTGTGGTGTATCGAGTAACATTACGTTGTGAGTTGATCTAATGAGCTTAGTCAACCGGAGACATCCGTGTTAATGAAATGGGTAGAATGATTTACAATAGTAACGACAGTGAAAGCTGTCAAGGTACTCGATGCAGATCGTGGGTGCCAGTAGATGTGTAAATCCCGCGGTAACGTAACCCAGCAACTTGTAGAGCAATTCGTGTCGTTGCGTGCCAATGCCGCTCTCGCCTGTCCATTCAGACCAACAATCGCCGAATGAAACAGAATTAGACACAGAATTGCTGTATTGCGAGCCATCGAGAGATTAAAAAAGCGGGATGTGCTGGGAGTATGGGGCTGTAGGTTTGAGCAGTGCTGGAGCTTTGTTCTATGACCTTGTCGCCTTTTATGATATCTCGCGAGTTCTATTCTTAACAAGCCTACTATTTTCTTAAATCTATTATTGACACCCTCCGAGCGGATATAAGTCACTGCTTCTCCCAATGACGCTACTGGAATGATTTTTCTCCGCTGTTGTGTCACCATGTGTCCCTTGGACCCAGTATATTCGACTTCTAACAAAGGGAACTTACCCCTTGTAAGACATAAATTGCAAACGTCTGCTATTACTAACTTTAGACTTGCAGCAAAGGACTGACTATTATATTCTTCCATTTCAAGCAATTTTTGTGTCGGATCCAGCCTGCTATTTCTACTGCCAATCAAAAGCTTCCTACCCAGATTACTAATATTCTTCATCAATTAGCAAGACAGTTTTAAACAGCTATGCTTGTCTCGTACGCATCTTCCATCAGACCCTGGGGCTGTGATTCTACAATTTTTGAATAAAGTGGCTCTACGTACCAGTCAAAAAAAAAATAAAACTCTCGGCTCTCAAGACACGCTTTAGTACGATGTGTGCAACGCAACGAAAAATATAGAAGCCCCCTGGATCAAAGGTATCACCGTTTGGGGGCCTTGTACCTCGGTACCTTCGGGGCTGTGCTGTAACACCGTTTCATCAGGCTTCCAGAACAGGACGTACACACATGTTGTGCAAGTGCAATTGTCTTAACTGAGTAGGTTATATATATCTGTTTGATGAAGCCTGGTTTTGAGAGAAGCCGTGCTTGAAACCTGAGGTCAGGCAGCCACGCTTTGGCATATCTATTATGTATGGGTAGCAGCTGATTAAATAGCACTTTTCGTAACCTTCTTAGATCGCATGGTGAAGCTGACGGCGAGGCTAATCATCAAGGCTGAGCCATAGTGAATCAAAGACATCCTGAGACCACCAATCAACGCCGCTCATCTCGTCACACCCACCCCATCAAGACGAACATTGTCTAGCCATTACGCAGTCCGACCAGCTCACATCCTCGCCCTCAGCACAAACCCCGTCTTCGCCACCCTCGCCGCCACAAGAATCAACCCCCCCAACACCATCGTCGCCCCCGCAAACATCTGCGCATACAAATAATCGCCCCCCCTCCTCTCGATCAGCGCGCCGCCAATCGGGCTCCCGGTCAACGACGCCAACCCCACAACACTGAACCCCATCCCAATCCGCACGCCCGCCTTCTTGACGTCCGTGTTCAGGCTCGCCAGCGCGGCCTGCAGCAAGCTCTGCGTGCCGGCGCCGAAGAAGCCGTAGAAGACGACGAAGGCGGTCATCTCCGCGGAGGAGGCGACGGCGTGCCAGCAGAAGAGGGTGATGCCGGCGAGCAGGATGATGGGGATGAAGACGTTGACGGGGCCGAAGAAGCGGTCGGCGAGCAGGGCGGGGACGAGGCGGCCGGGGACGCCGACGCCGTTGATGAGGAGGATGAGGTTGGAGGAGCGGTCGGAGAGGTGCAGGATGTCGCGGGCGTAGGCGCGGACCTGTTTTTTTTCTTCTCGTTAGCTGCTTATACGGGTTGGCGTGGTAGTGGGAAAAAGGACTCACGTAGTAGTACGCGATCCAGATGCCCCAGAACGCGAAGAACATGCTCACGCAATACAGCGAGTACGGCGTCTCCCTGAACGCCGCCCACTCGATCAACGGCGCCCTCTCCTTCTTCTTCTTCCCCCTCTCCTTCCCCTCTCCCTCCCCATCCTCCTCCCCATCCCCCCTCGCCCTCGCCAACGCCAACACCACCGCCCCATTCCCCGCCACCACAAACCCCATCACCCTCACCGTCCACGCGAACCCCACCCTCCCAAGCAACGTCTGCGCAATAGCCGGAAAGACCATACCCCCCGTCGCCCCGCCGCACGCGACGCACGACACCGCGACGACCCTCCTCCGCTCAAAAAACGTCGCCGCATTAGCCACAGCCGGACAAAACACCAGCCCCATCCCCAACCCCTGACACACGCCCTGCGCGAGCAGCAACTGCCAATACGTGCTCGCGCCGCTGGTGGCAAAGATGCCGAGCAGCTGCAGCGCGGTGCCGAGGGCGAGGGTGGGGCGCAGGAAGCCGGCGTCGAGGGCGCGGCCGGAGAAGGTGGCCAGCCCGTAGATGAGGAGGATTTGGAGGGTGCCGATCCAGGAGATGGTGCTGGGTGGGAGAGGGAGGTGGGAAGTGTAGTAGGCTTGGAAGATGCCGAAGGAGTTGATTTGGCCGAAGGTGTTGAAGACGCAGAGGTGGCCGGCTAGGACTTGGGTCCAGGCGCGGAGGCCGCCGTCGGGTGGAGGCGGTGGTGATGGTGGTGGGGCATGGTCGGCGGCGGCGAGGGAAAGTGGTGGTGATGGAGGTGGTGTCGTGGCGTTGTTGGTGGTAGTGGTCGTTGGGTTGTGCTGTGGTGGTGGTTTTTCGATGTCTGCGGCCATGTTTTTTTCGTTTGATGCTTGAAGCAGGTTTATCCCTCGTTAATTGTGGAAAGGTTTCTTTAACTTTTATTGACCTACGTTTAAGCGAGGTCGTTACGTAATAAAGATTTACGAGATCCTACGACGAAAAGAATAGGTAAAATCGATAGCGAAAAGAAATGTTTTGCGTCATATCACGTGTACAAGTAGCTTAGTCATTGTAGAGGATAAGGCGAGCCTGCCCTCCAAAACAATGCCGATCCACACGCAATTCATGATTATCGTCAATTAGAATAATTCACTTACTATTGCCATCAGTTTCTGGACAGAAATAGTATTACTCAATAATAGAATTCGAGGTCTTCGACACCGAGTGGTTGCGGTCGATATTGAACAGCGGCGAGAACGGTTTTTTTGGTGTACCAATTTCCCTTTTCAATCAAATAGTCGAGAACTGAATACCGTACTTCTCCATGATGAAGTACAGCCCATAAGGTCCATACGCTCGCCGATCCTGGTCTTTCCACAGCTTCTCCAACAACTCCACCGCAACAGATATGTGTGTCATCTCATAGTGGGACTTGGGCAGCATTTCAGCCGTCTCTTTACGCTGGCACTCCTTGACCATGCACGAGGCAGTAATGACAAGTGGCCAGAGCAGCGTTGACATGTACTGTGGCTCAGAAATATCATTCGAGATGGACATGACGGCGTCGACCTCATCCTGAACGGCGCATATGACAGAGGGAGAATCAACGACGGAGCCGCATGCGGCGGTAGAGAGGTAGATCCTCAGCGCACGTCTGATTATTTCGGCTGTTTTCTTGCGCTCGAGGGTGTCTAGGTCTATTGACTGGTTGGGGAAAGCCCAGTTGTCGATGGAGGCTTTGAGGAAAGAATGTTGTGCCTCCAGATGCGGACTGAGTTGGTCAAAACCCTGAGCCTCTTCGGCGAGTCGTTGGCCATGGAACACTGAGACTTGAGGGATGAGCTCGAAGAGAGCGTGAGCACCGCCGAGCATGGCGCCAAAGGTGCTGCAGGAGCCGATGGTGCTATTGAGAGAGGTGATGAATGAATCGTTCGGAAGCGTACGAATTTGTATTGTTCCGTATGGTGAGAACGTATTGCTGGTCAAGATGTAGGAATAGAGCTCAATGGCGAAGCCAAGAAGATCGTTGAAAGGGGGTTTGTCCTTCGGGAGCTGCCAGAGGATGAGCTGACGGCACGCACGGAGATGTTGGAATAGATTCACGGCCGTGTTACCCGATAGAACCTGTCATGGGTCAGAGATAGGTTCACGTATTGGAACCGGTGACTTACTTCGTAATGGCAGAGCATTATGAGGACCAGAAGTAGCCGTGTTGTCTTGACTGCATCACTCTGTAAGTCTGGCTGCCCGATTTCTTGCCGAATGCTCCGGATGACGGCGTTGTAATGGCTCATTGTGGCCTGAATGACTTCATCGTTCTCTGGCTGCTTGAAACTTAGATGCGCGCCACTCACGGCAAGCATGGCATGCATTAGGAGGTCGTCCATGTAGGCTGTAGGGACAAGAGAGGTTATGAAAGGGCTCTTCGACGGAGGTACCATGGCGAGCATGACGCCAGTCCGAGAAAGGTAGTGTTCGAGAAAACGCATGGAAACTGGACTCATTGAACAAGCCCGATCGGGTGCCATGAACGAGCTCAGCATCGAATTCCACGTGATGCCAGGGACAGACGACTTAAAGCTGTAGTCAGCTGTAAGGTCACTTTCTACCTCTCCGGAATATCCGGCAGTAGGCGAAAGAGATGGTGACTCGGCTGGTGATTCTCCCGTAGAAACGGTGGCTATTCGTTCGTTTGACTTTGGCCGTGCGCCTTCGGCCGACCATTTGCATTCCAAGCCTTTTCCCGCACAGTTCGTGCACAGCGGCCTTATTTCGTCACACTTTTTCTTTCGCTTGCGGCAGGTCAGGCATCCATTACGGGAACGCGGAAAATTTGGGCGGATCTTCGCGCACGGTCTTGACATGGATAAGGTGGATTGAGCCGAAGCTGTACTCATAACGGGCAAGATTGCATGATAGCTGGGACGGAGTGTGGTGGAAATGGTTGAAAGACCGAAGATGCGGTAGATGGCGTGACGGATTGCGGGGGCGGCGCTTATCTAGCCGCAGGGCTGTTATCTACCCGCAGGATCTTATCTTGCCGCAGACACCTTACCTGATGCGGTAAAAAAGGAAGCAACGGTTCGTATGCCGTCATCATCTGTCCGACGTTCCGGTCGGAAGGGATCTGTTGATCTTGCTGTGTACTACATGCGATATAGTATGTCTTAAAAATTATTTCAGCATGTCGAGGCAATTACTAACGTCTTTTTATGTGGAATGGTACAAGGGACGACTAGAAACGACTACTTTTTCCGGTGAGCAAGATCTGAATTCGCAAATGAATCCCGAAGTCATTATTGAACATGGTTTAGAGTAGCGATTCATTAATGATGTCAGCTAATTACAGTGGCGGCCTGAACTCCGCTTACGCCTTCCCAACAAGCTCCTTGACGACCTCGTCAGCAGCCCTCTGACCCGAGGTCAGAGCCCCCTCCAAGTAACCCTTCCACTCAAACGCAAACTCCCCCCCAGCAAGATGAATATTCCCAGCCGGCTCCCTCAGGCTTGCACCATACTCCCTCAGCAGCCCAGGCCCCATCGCCGACGTCGGCGCGCCCCAAATATACGGCTCCTTCGTCCACTCAACACAGTTAAACTCCAGCACATCCCTTGCCCGATCAGCCAACTCGGGCCCGACCAGGCGAGCCAGGTGCTCGACGATGGCCTCCTCGCGCTGCAGGTCGCTCTTCTCGTGCCACGCGGCGGCGACGTCGCCGGCGACGAAGTAGGCCAGGCTGTTGTGCTCGCCGTCGGTGCAGACGTCCCAGCCGAAGCAGATGGGGCCGACGGTGCTGTTGACCTTGCCGGAGAAGCCGGCGGCGCGCCACCACGCCTCTTTGTACGTCAGCAGGGCCTTGGCGTAGATGCCGGGCTTGGTGCGGCTGACGACGGCGCGCTTGGCGCGGGGCAGCGGCGGCGTGAAGTGGATGGCGGTGTAGGTGTTGGTCGGGTTGGCCAGGATGACCTTTTTGGCTTGGAAGCGCTGGCCGGATGAGGTGGTTACGAGGCATGGGTGGCTGTCGTGCTCTAGTTGCTGGATCTCGTCGACGGGGCTGTTGAGGAGGATGGTGCCGGGTTGCATGGCGCTCGCGAGGCTGGTGGCGATGGAGGACGTGCCTGGTGAAATATGTGAGTTGCGTCCTGTTTGCGGAGAAGGTGCGACATACCAGTCTTGATTTTGAGAGACTGGGCTCCCATTTCCCCCTCGCTCACAAGGCTCTGGTATCCAAACCCGGACTGGACGTAGTCTAGGAAGTATTGCGCTCCAACCTCCCGAGGCTCTCGGCCCACGATGCCGCTGACCATATTGCTACACAGAGCTTGGATGACAGGATTGCTAGTATCGACGCCTTTGATATTCAGCCACTCCATGACGGAGACGTCTTCATCAGCCGGGAAGTTGTCCCATCTCCGGATATCCGAACGACCGGCACCCTCCTCAATCGCCATGATAAGCTTCTGCACCTCTTCCGGCGCTCCACTCTACACCATCAATCATTAGCACACACAACCCTCAACCCATCACGGGCTTCACTCACCTCCCCAACCGGCACATCACCCCCCACCGCCCTCACCACCCTCCCCTCCCCCATCTCAAAAACCGCATACCCCTCGGTATACTGCTCCGCCGTCTCCAGCCCGAACCTCTGCACCAGCCCGTACACCGTCGGCTGCGTCGTCTTGTTGATCCACGTCGCGCCCATCTCGACCGCCCCCGGCCCGCTGCGCAGGCGCTGCGTGCGGCTGCGCCCGCCGACGCGGTGCTTGGCTTCGAGCAGCACCGTCGTGAGTCCGGCTTGCTGCGTCGCGTGCGCCGCCATCAGCCCCGAGAAGCCGCCGCCGACGACGACGACGTCGACGACAGCGGCAGTCGGCGCAGCGGCGGCGGCGGCGGCGTGCGTGGAAGCGGAAGCGGAGGAGGAGGAAGAGGATGAGGAGGCGTCATTCGACCACGGCACCGCCGCACCGCCGACCCACGCCGTGGCCTCGATTTCGAACTTGGCTTCGGGAAACGCGAGGTGCGGGACGGGCACGAGCGTCGTGACGGGCTTGTTATTGTTCGTCTTCCCGCCGCCGCCGGTAGTGAGTGCGGCAACCACGGCCTCGACGAGCGGCTGGCCGTGCGTCGAGAGGTCCCAGTCGACGACGTAGAAAGTCAACTTCACGACGTCGCAGAGCTGCGCGCCGGCGCCGGCGAGGGCGGCGGTCAGGTTAGTGAGGGCCTGGTCGACCTGTGCGGGGAAGGCGTCTGGCCAGGTGCCGTCGGCGCGTTGGGCGGTCTGGCCCGAGGTGTGGATGGTGCGGCCGGGGCCGGAGGTGGTGGAGGCGGCTGAGTACCACTGAGGGTCTAGGAGGGTGGTGGGGGTGGTGAAGGAGAGGGTGGGGCGGGTGTCGCGGGGGGCCATGGTTGTGTATAGTTTGAAGAGGGGAATGTTTGGGAATAAGAGTAAAGTAAAAACGTGAAGTGGTTGTTGTTTGTCTATGGGTTGTTTTCTGGTCCCTCAAGGCTTTTTATAGGAGCGTGGAAGGGGCCCGCGGAATTTCTTCACTCATTCTGCGTACCATTGTTGCCTAACACGTTAGTCGAATGACAACTCCAAATAGAAATCCTGCAGAGCTCAATGTTCACTTCGGCGTGGTTGCGGATTTCTGATCCACAGGGCTTATCTACCCGCATCGCGGCAACGCGGCTAGATAAGATCCGTACTCGCCATTGCTTGGATGGCTACACAACAAGGGATTTGAGTCCTCTGAAGCGCGCACAGTTCATTTGGATGAGCCTAAATGCCGGATGTGGAAATACTAATGACTCGCACGAGAATAAAATCTGAAATAGCTTTGCGGCCTGCTTTGAATTTCTGGGTGTTGTTTGAACGCACTGTTGTGCGGGGTCAAGAACATGGTGAGAACATCTACGGCACCAGCATGCACCCAGCAGCCAATCAAACCCTTCCGTCACCTTCCAAACTAATTCTTCCAAGTTCGGGAAGAACCCCTAGGATGCGTGCGGCAAATCGGAATATACAGCCAGCTTAGTACTAACCCCACACTCTGCCCTGAGCATTGTCTCAAGCAAGAGCACCTTATCCCACAAGAGGCCCATCCCCCTGTAGAGAAAATAACAGACTCGTTCGCTTGCATTTGTATGCTCCATGGCAAACCGATTCTCGGTTTACAAATTATGCCGTTTGCCAGTCAATAAGATGCCGGCTGGGCAACTGGCCAGCGCATGGACGTGTTGGAAGCCAAGCAACACACGGCCCTGACGTTGTCGCCGTATTGTTACCCAAAGCGGTTAGCGCACTTCGGGAGATAAGTTCGGGTCTAGCAGACTTCCGCCGCCCGAGATTTTGACTTTCGGGTCTTCCACACCATACCGAATGTGATGCTTTTGCTACGCCTTCTTCGCGATGCGTGTCCGGCCTCCGCGGAAGGTCCGCGGGGTAGCAAGTTGTTCATCACCACCAGCACCTATAAATTCCGGACATTCGTCCAGCAATGCATCCATCAACATTCGAGGTTACATTGCATAGAGCTCTCAGAACCCCTTCTCCTGACCGATCCATCATCCTTACAACATGTCGGAAATCAACATCTCCAGCGACGCTTTCCAAACTCTGAAGGACAAGATTGTCCTCATCACCGGTCAGCGGATCCTTCGTCTTCACGAGCATTCGTACTGACTGCGAGAAGGTGGTTCGTCAGGCATTGGGCTCGCCGCCGCGAAGCTGGCTGTCAAGGCAGGCGCCAAGGTTGTCGTAGGAGACGTCAATCCTTTGCCACCCGCGGAGCAGAACCCCAGCATCCACTTCGTCTCCACCGACGTCACGTCCTGGGGCTCCGTCACCGCCCTCTTCGAAGCTACGCAGAAGCTGCACGGGAGAGTGGACCACGTCTTCGCCAACGCTGGTGGGATCTCCCAAGGGCCGAACTACCCGAGCTTCGTCTAACGCACAACGATATCCAGGCATTGCACCCAGAACCACGTTCCTCGAGGACACACTGAACGAGGCCGGGCAGCTCCGGGAGCCGGACTGGCGGACAGTCGACGTCAACCTGAAAGGCGTGCTCAACACCGTAACGCAGGGACTCCACCACCTCAAGAAGAACGGCGCTGCCGGCGGCAGCGTCGTCATCACCGCTTCCGTCACCAGTAAGCCACACACCACCACCATCCCCCCATCTACGCCCCCCTACCCTCCCTAACAACGCTTTTACGCAGGCTACACTCCCTTCGAAGGCACGGACTACGGTAAGCTACCCACGCCTCCCCCCTTCCCCCCTCCGTCCCCATCGCTAACCCAACAAAAAACACAAGGCGTCGCCAAACACGCCGTCTGGGCCCTCATGCGCAATCTCGCCCTGCACCTCACCGCCGCCGCGCTGCCCATCCGCATCAACGCCATCGCGCCGAGCTGGACCGCGTCAGGCATGGTTGACGGCAAAGAGGTGGCGGCCCTGGGCGGCGAGGTGCAGACGTCCGAGGCCGCAGCGCGCTCCGCGTTGTTCCTGATGGCTGCCGACGACGCGGCTCCGCACGGAATGCTCGTGCAGTCGCACGCGGGGCGCTACAAGGATGTTGAGCAGGCGTTCGTGGCGGCGGCGGGGGAAGTGTATCCGGAGGGGCTGAGGGGCAAGGGGGAGGAGGATGGTGAGGGGGCGACGCTGGCGAGGTTGAAGGAGAGGGTGGAGGCGAAGCAGTAGAGGTTTTACTAGATTTTAGAACTAGATTCACAGTCTAATGCGGATATTTCTTGCAATTGATATAGAACAAAGTCTTTCCCTCGGGAGGATTTCCAAGTGGACATTGCAAGTTGCAGCAAGCACTCTATCAAAGAAGACCAACAAGCAAAACTAAGTAGCTAGATGTCGGAGATTTGAGATTGAACACCTCTCCTGAAGATCTTAGTGAAGCATTGAGCCAGCACATAAGTCCCTGATTTCCCAAAACGAAAACCATTGGCAGTCTTCATCACCCTGATGCTAATTTATCTGTTTACCTCTTACTAGACAATAAAAAGTCATTGTCCAAGCGCTAAAATTAGTACGGCGTCATAATTCTTCCAGTTCGACGCTTTATCAACCAGATTTCGAGCTTATGAAGTAATTAAAAGACCCCGAGTTATTCTATTGCGCCTATCTATCCTACCAGAGCTACAAAAAGTCAAACGTCAAACAATTTACCAACCGTAATCTCCACACAGCCACATAACTATGAAGAAACCCGCCGGAACTCTAACCCCCGCGTAATATCCCCAACCTTCGCATTCCACAGATCCGAAAAGTAGCTCCACCTCGCCTTCCATGGCCCCTTATCCCCCGCCTTCGGCAGCCGCTCCAGCGCCCTATTCACATAGCCACTGTTGAGCTTCATGAAAGGCTCGGGGCGCACCTTGGAATCGTCCACCCGCGGCACGCAGCTCGTCGCCCCCTCATCCCGCATGCGCCTCATCACGCGCGTAACCAGCTGCGCCGCAGCATCCGCGCCGAGCGTCCACGACGCATTGGTGTAGCCGATCATGAACGCGGCGTTCGGCACGTCCTGCATCAGCGCGCCGCGCCACAGCAGCTTCTCGCCAAACCGTACCTCGCGGCCGTCGACCACTATCCTCGCCCCGCCGCCCATCCGCATCTTCAACCCCGTCGCCGTGACGATGATGTCGCACGGCAGCGACTCCCCAGAGTCCAGCGCGATGCCGTCCGGGGTCACGTTGGTGATGGTGTCGGTCACGACGCTCGCCTTGCCGTTGCGCAGCGCGGCGAAGAAGTCGGCGTCGGGGCAGGCGCACACGCGCTGGTCCCAGGGGTCGTAGGACGGGTTGAAGTGCGGGTCGAACGGCACACCCGTGTCGCGCAGCTGCGCCTCGGTTTCGCTGCGGAGCAGGCGGCGGGCGAGGGCGGGGCAGGCGCGGCAGAAGAAGTAGAAGAGGTACCCCGTGAGCAGGTAGCGCCAGCGGATGAGGCGGAAGGCGGCGGCGGCGGGGAGGAGCGAGCGGAGAAAGTTGTCGAGGCCGTCGACGAGGGGCTGGGAGACGATGTAGCTGGGGGAGCGCTGCAGCATTGTGACGTGCGCGGCGCCGCTGGAGGCGAGGTTGGGGAGGAGCGTGATGGCTGTGGCGCCGCTGCCGATGATGACGATGCGGCGGTTGGCGTAGTCGAGGGAGGAGGGCCAGAATTGCGGGTGTACGACTTGCCCGGCGAAGGTGTCGATGCCGGGGATGGTGGCGCTGAGGGGCTCGTCGTAGTCGTAGTAGCCGGTGCCCATGATGAGGAAGGTTGCGTAGAACGTCTTTGGCGCGGCCTCCTCGCCTGCGATGACGTCCAGCCGCCACTTTTGCAGCTCGGACGACCAGCTGGCTGTTTGTAACTTGTGGCGGAACTGGATGTGCGAGTCGATGTTTTCAGAGGCGGCCGCCTCTTTCATGTAGTTGACTATGGCTGGACCTTCGGCTATGCAGCGCTCGTCCATCCATGGCCGCCAGGGGAAGCCGAATGTGTATAGGTCTGAGTCGGACCGGATGCCCGGGTACTTGAACAGATCCCAGGTCCCGCCAATGTTGTCACGCGCCTCGAGGATGGTGTAGCTGGTGCCGGCTGGTAACTGGGTTTGAACACGATATGCTGCATTGATGCCAGAAATTCCGGCGCCGATGATGACTACGTCGAAGTCGGTTTGTGCATCCATGGTTCCGGGGTTGGCAAAAGAAACAATCGTGATGTCGGCGGATGTATGACAGCAGAGAGGAAGTGGTGGATGTGTTTGATAGAAGTGTTAGGAAAGTAGATTTTGAATGAAGACAATGTCCGAATTTAATACAAGGCACTGAGCGGATGAGTGACGTCTACTTCACTAAGCCACGCGAAAGCATGCTTCCGCCCGGGACATGAGTGTTCCGAATAGCCCTATCCGCACCTTTCTAGGAAATGTTGGAGTGTGCTTCACGCCTGCGCTTCGGCCGATTTAGGTGGGGCAGTGTGGCGGGGTTTCGCGTGGGTCTTGCCAAAACAGGAAACAACCCGACGATTAAGCTTAATCTACCCCTTGAAAAGGTTCGCCCCGCGCCCGATCTCCAGAATCTCAGCCACCCGAACTCCGGAGCGGGCTGTACCCGAGAAGTTATGGTGCGTACGTTCGGCCGATTCGAGTTCGTCTAGGGGAAAGAACAAGCAGAACCGAGAACTACGTCGGACCCCGCGGCACCCACAGACTAGGTTATTGGCTGTCCCTTGCTCTCTGTCCGCGGGCACCGATCGTATTCAGTAGTTCCGCGTAGTTAGTTTGTCGACTACTCTTATGGTAATGCCGTCGTTAGCTTTTCTTGCTGACGAGCGCCCAGGTGATCAACCAGATACCCCCCGAGCCTCCCGAGAGACAGGGCTCTAAAATAAAATTCTAAATGGACCTAACAGATTGTTTAAACTCAACTGAATCTAATGGTTGTGCGCAGAATAATCCATAAGCTATCTGCTGGGCAGCGTATATATACGCGCCAGATGACTAAGCAATAGCAAACAAGGTAGCAAACAACGGAGTCGAATAGCATGGAATCCACCAACTCTGTCAGAATCCATATAGCAAAAAATGAGACTACGCTGAAGTAATCCCCTTCTCCCTGAGCTTCAACAGCTTCTCCGCATTTCCCCTCAGGAACCCGCGATACGCCTCTTCGCCACCGTACTTCTCAAACACATTCTCTTTCTCAATCCGCTCCAGAAACTCCGCTCCCTGCTCGTTCGACCCGAACGGGTAATCTACCGAATACATAATGTGGTCCGCAGGCAGAGTATCCAAGAGCAGCTTCAACGGCGGAACATCGAAGAACCCCGAAGTCGTGACATAAATGTTCTTCTTCCACACGTCTTCAAAGCTGCGCTTAGCGCCACTGAAACCACGCTGCCACTGCCCGATGCGCCCGATCATCATCGGCAGCGTCTCACCCATGTGGCCAATCACAAGCTTGACCTCAGGATGTGCGTCAAACAAGCCCGAAGCGTAGAGGCGAAGGATATGGACCCTGTCGCGTATTTAGTCAAGTGCTTTCCTCACACGCCAGCGTCTGCTCAACTCACGCAATATCCGAATGCCACCAATACGCCCAGGACCCGATACACGACGCCGAAAACGCATCGTAGTTACCCTGATACTTCGCCTTCGCCACCACCTCCAGCGGGAACGCGGGGTGAATGTAAATCGGCACATCCAGCTCAACCGCCTGCCCAAACAGCGGCCAATACGCCCGATCATCATAAAACCGCCCCTCCGCATGATTATCGAACCAGCGCGCCGACGAACCCCAGCTCCGTGACCGCGCGCCGCAGCTCCCTCGGCGCCGCCACGGGGTCCCCCCCATCGGCAGCGCCCGCGAAGCCGACGAAGCGGTCCGGGTGGGCCTGCGTGGCGGCGTGCAGCTCGTCGTTGATGGCGGCGGCCTCGGCGGGCGTGGGAGAGGACTTGGTGCGAGATGTTGGCGGCGTCCATGGATCGCAGCCGGTGCGGGCCGACGTCGATGAGACCTTTCCGCAGGTCTCTGCCGGTGACCTCGCTCAAGGCGTCGTGGGGGGAGCGGTTGCCGGAGCCGAGCTTCGTGGCGCTGGAGGCGGTGAGGAAGTGCTCTTCGAGCGTGATGGCGGGGATGGATGGCTTGTGTGACTGCGATCGCGGGCTGGAGCTGGCTGTCTTGGAAGAGTAGGAGAAGGAACGCCGTCCCAACGAGCTTTCTGAGAGAATAATCCAGCTCTGTCTTGCGGATGTACGCATGAGTTTGCAGGTGGCCATGTTTCGTTTAGGATCGGAGGAAGGAGGGCAGTGCAATTGCTGTAGTAGCGTTATATCAGCCAAGCCTTCAACAACAAAAAGTCAGAGACTCCTTCTTAGAAATCGGCGTTGAACTTACTTGTTCCCTGAAGCGAATGTGATACAAGCTTGGAGAATCTATCTTTATGGTCTATCTTAGGTCTTCTTGTTGTTCAAGTTTATAGATCTTGTGTCCCTATACTACTTCTCTTTCCTCGCGGCTCGGCTCTTCGTAGAGCGCGACATTTGAAGATTACCAATGTAGCTCAGCCGACTTTCTTCTTGGCTATAGAGATATTCGGAGGCTGCCTGCTCTTAATGGTCAAATTGTGTGGGGCTCTCCCGGTTCGCAGTACGAATTCGAGTGCACATACCATTCTTAGCCCAGGGGCTAAAAGCCCTCACGAGAGAAACGCTACAAGCTTCAAGACTACTATCACGGATAGAGCCGTGAGAATAAAGACAGTAGACAGAGAAACCAACCATCGAGCAGATTAGGCCTACTCAGGCGGCAGCGCCAAGCCTTAACCCGAAGGCAAATAATACGATTGAAAGGAGACGTGGAGATAATTCTTCCGAACTAACTGAAAATGGAATTAAGGTCCACCCGTACCAGTTACAGATTCAAATTATACAGTCCCCTCTCGCAGCCGATAACTAGCGTGAATTTATTTTTTAGTCATGTTATGAGTAGTTAAAGCTATCGTTAGGACGAGAATATTGAATTAAAAATTCTACATATACGTCCAGACGATAGCTTCAACTGCCATATACGTTACTTTTCTAAAGTAAAGCTAAGGGCATAGTTACGCTATGTTCTAGAGCCCTGCTATCCTTCGCACTAGCCATCGGCTGTAGCACCCCTCTATAGTACAGGTACATTCTACGAGATTTCAGCATTCTACAGAAAGAGAAGTACGTTATTAAAATCAGGCAGTTCACACGTGTTGCTATCATTCAACCTTTTAGACCTTTACTACGACCTTATATGTAATAAATACTTAAATACATTTATAGGGAGCTAGTCTCTTGCCGTCGAGTATGATAGCAGTGGATGTAATCTTTCGATGGGCTGATGAGTCAAAACCCTATCTCTACGCTGATATGACTCGATTCATCCAACGCGAGTTTATCGCATCAAGCTGCAAAAGTCTTCCTCCAGGGGAATAGAGCAGTCTTGAATAATGTAGACTTGCAATGTGTCTATAGGTGTCGTATGATAAGTACCCGCTTTTACACGTTCGTGAGTTGGAACAATGGCGAATCGTGTTCGGCCGAGGAAGCGTCCGACATTGTCTGTTCGTCAACGACGATTCGTATTCGGCCAAGGCAGCTCCTCCGACCTTGGCTATTCTTCCACGACTCGCGTCTATCTTGATACTCCAAACAACAGATTGATGGGGTCCAGCAGAAGCAGGCATGCATAACGAGTATACTGTTGTATTCCGCTGAAGAGCTGCATCTATTGTTGACGATTGAGGCTTTGAATGTATTCTTCAATTACTCTTGTCGGCACTTTGCCGGTGCACCTTTCTGTTGGAGCATGTCCTCTAAACCTCACCATACTCACTGCATTGCCCTACAATGTCCTTTCCTGGCCTCCTTTTAGAATCCATAAATGACTCAGTACTTGGCAAAAGCTCTCGTCCTCGTTATCGAGCCTGACATATCTGAGATACTTAAGTAGCAATACGTTCAACCTTAAACGATCAAAGCGAAGCACTTCTAGACTACAACCTTTCTAAACTCCTTCAAATCCTCACCTTCCATCAAATTTTCTTCATTTCAATTAGAAAATCCGCTACCCATACCATCTGCTGAGCAAACTTTCGAACTCAAGCAGCAAAACCCCCCACTCACAAACCAATGGCATCCTTCTTCCCTCACGCCCAACGCGCCGAAGACTAGCGCTACGCGCACTCCATCCTCACCATCCAAGCTCTTCTCCGAGGCTTCACCATCGGTCCCGTCATCGCCCTGACTCCATTCACGATCAAAATAGTCCGGAACGCCTACCGGAACTAACCGCTTGGCGCGGACTAACTGCGTGCCGGCATCATTCGCAGTGGCGCACGAGGCGTAGCCATCGGAACAACGATAAACGCCTTCCTCCTCGTCTGCCGCATGTGGGATAAGGAGAAGAGTGACTGGAAGGATAGGAGCTGGAGGCTTCTTGCGAATAGGAGCAAGAGACTGGAGGATTTGTGGTGCCTGGGAAGTGCGGGCTTGGGTGCGGGAGTGGCAATGGCGATGAGGAGTACCGTTCCGATCAACCGCGGTATTCGTGTGGTAGGCGGAATGGGACTTGGTGCTGTCGTGGGCGCAGTGGGGCATTTGATCAGTACGTTTGCCTTCTCGAGGAAGGAAGGTGAGGTTTTGGCGGAACTCTGAGCCGCGCACGGCCAAGATATGCATTAACGGTTCGATTTCATCTTGAACTAAATCATGATTGCACGAGGCCGTAGACGGAAGCAAAACATCGGTCTATGTTCTCTGCAGTGTCCCTGTTATTTCTTCGTTACACATCAAGATGTTGGGGAAGAATGCTCGAGAGAATTCAATGCAATGTGAAGCTACCGAAAAGCCCCTATGGATCATAAGCTAAATATTTGCAACGAAGAGGGACCCGCTTCAAAAGCGTACACGGCATAACTTGCATGAAAAATGACTCGGCATTAACAAAACGCTCAATCATAAACAAAACTCCGCCAACCTACGCCGAAAGCCCTGCAAGTCTATGCTGATGGCACTAAACAACAAGTAAAACGATGAAAGGATCTCAAGCGCCCCGGTACAATACTGAACATCTAATGGCTGATGTACTGGAACACAGCACTGACTGCCTCCTCCGAAGTCTCCTGCCTGAGCAACAAATCTTGAATCTTTGCAAGAGCACCTTTTTCACCATCATTGACAAAGTGGTTCCAAGTGCTCGTATCTCCGTACAGCATGGCAGGGGCCTTGATATGCTGATTGCCATCAGGCCTGCAACGCTTGCATTTGAACGTATCGTGGGTGTCACTGGTGGTTTTGGGCTGGTACTGGAACAATTCGCGAAGTGAATCCAGACTGAAGTGGCGTTCGACGTCCTCCGCAGAATCGACGACGCAAGACGACAGGGATTGCTTGTGAGACTGGCGCTGGAAGATCTTCTCCTCAATCGTTCCTGTAGCAATGAAACGGTAAACGAAGCAATCTTTCTTCTGACCATCACGCCAGACACGTGCCAAGGCCTGTTGGTCTGCAGCAGGGTTCCAATCGGGGTCGAAAAGCACAAGACGGTTGGCGCCAATCAAGTTGATACCGCATCCACCAGCCTTGGAACTCAGGAGAAACACGAACTCGGAACCCTCGGGATCGTTGAACTTGTCAACAAGCTTCTGGCGTTTGTTGACATTCATGGTACCATCGAGACGGAGACTGCCATATTGGCGTGCGCGACAAAGCTTCTCGAAGACATCCAGCGTTTGCGTGTAGTTGCTGATCAGAACAATCTTGTCGTTGGTATCCTGCCGAATACGCGCCAACATGCGGTCCAAGACAGCCATCTTGCCGGAGTACCACGACTTGACGTCCCGGTCACGCCCACGGGCATCCTTAGGAACGTAGTCATCGGGGAAGCAGTCTTCGGAGCCTGGTAGGTCACCCGGAAGGTCCAATAGATCCGGGTGGTTGCACAGCTTCTTGAGAATGTTGATTGCCTTCAGCGGTTGGCTGCCCTTGCCTCTGAGCAGCTGCTGAATCTCCGGAGACTTGATGAAAAGATTATACAGGTCCTTTTGGAACGGCGCAAGGTTGCAAAAGACAACGTGTTCGTACTTGCGGGGAAGATACTTGGACAGGATATCGTTCGTGCGGCGGATGATGAACTTGTTGACCATGGTGAGTAGCTCAGACAAACGCTCATCGCCTACCTTGCGATCCTCGTCGGTACCATCCGCATCACGACCGCGCAGAATGGGAAGCTCGAAGCGCTTTCTGAACTCGTTTTTGGTGCCGAGGTAGTTCGGATTGGCAAAGTTAAGAAGGGCAAAGTATTCGGACAAGTCGTTCTGGATGGGTGTTCCCGACAGGATGACGCGCTTCTGCACATTGAGGTCGTTGAGTGCCGTGAATGTCAAGCTCTCGTCGTTCTTCAGCCTGTGTCCCTCGTCGCAAAGTAGCAGGCCGATCGGCGTGTTTTTGAGCTCACCCACGTACAAACGAAGCGTTTCGTATGAGACGATGAGTACCGGTCTGACAACAGCACGGCCGCTGGCAATGGCCCATTGACGGAGTTGCTGAATCAGTTCCTCCTTGGAGGCCTTGCCATCCACCGCAAACGGATTGATGGCGTCCTTTCCCAACCACTTGACCAGCTCATTTGCCCAGTTCTTGACTAAACTTGAAGGACAGGCGATGACACATTTCTGAATGGTTGATTTCCCAGCATCCGGCGATTGCCGGAGAAGCGTCCACATCAGCGCGATGCATTGCAGCGTCTTGCCGAGACCCATCTCGTCCGCCATGATGCAGCCATTAGCCTTTGGATCGACAAGTCCGGTAGTGCAGCGGTATAGGAACTTCACTCCCTCGACCTGATGTGGCCGCAGAACCTTGGCCAACCGTGGGTCGATGACGACAGGTACCCTTGGACGTCCCTCAACTTTTTTCTTCAGCCCGAGGATATCCGCCAGGCTCTTGTGCACGAGCGGCACATCCAATTTCGTCTTCTCCGCCTCGTCCTCCTTCTTATCTTTGCCCTCCTCAACCGGCGTAGGCTTATCGTCGATTGTGGGATCGTAGAGCACGATTGCGAATTCGCCAGTCGGGTCATGCAGCGGACGTGCGACGAAGACAGCACCCTGGCGCATCCCCAGAAGTGGGGCGGGACGGTTTGCGTTGTACTCGGCGGCATCCTTCTTCAGCAACGGAACGGAGAAGCGCTGGCGGAAGGTGCTGTCCTTGTCCTTCACCTTGAAAACCGGGTACTTGTTGACATCCCGAGTGGCGAGAGCGAGGCGGTCCTCATTCGTGTAGACTTTGTCACCATCCTCTGCATCACCGTCTGCGCCGGAGTAGTCAATCTTTCTCCTCTTCCGCGCCGGCTTCTCCGAGGCTCGTGTGGGTGTTGCGGAGCCGGGGCATTTGAACGGCTTGATGAGGCGGTCGAGGGACTTTGGTGTGCCGCCATACAAAGTCGCTACCTTCTTGGCTGGAGTCGCATTCTCCTTATTGTCGCTCAATGATGCGGGCCGTGATCGATACCTGAGGTTGTCAGCGCTTGCCAAGCCCGTGTTGTTGTTGTTGCAACGTACATGGCAGCTTCGAAATGTGAAGATTCGCGAAGTGGGGTGCGCAAGTCCGATGCCAGTGCGGAAGCGAGTCGGAGATGGAACCCGAGCAGATGGCGGGGACGGGAAATGTGGAATGGCGACTGGTTGTTGTTGGAGTGGCAAGAGGTGGACGCGATCAGACGCGACCGCGTTCCCGCCAGGCAGCAACACGCGAGCACGTGACCGAGGGTCCGTGCCTCAGGAAACAACAAATTCCCCGCATTCTCCGGATAACGACTCTTCCCTCTCACTCATCATGGCCCGTGTCAGTCATCCCGGATGACAAAGCTTTTCCATGTTTCCTTTTCCGCAACTTTGTCTGCATTTCCGCCCCCCGAGCTATGCATCATTGAACAATGTGGCTGCATGCCGCTGAGCCAGCGAATGTGCTCCTTACACGGCAAACATGACAAACGCGCTTCATTGATTTCTGATCGAGATTTTGATCCTCATGATCTACGAGCTCTATCCTTTTTGCAAAAGTTATCGACCATCACTCAGCTGTTGCTCTAGCGTTTCGCTTTGGAAGAATTTAGAATGCGGGGTTCCGTATGCCGTCAGCGCTAGCGCCGTCCCTACTCGCTCTATTACAGCTTTTATAATCGCAGTCGATGCGATAGTAATCAGAGCCGAGACATGTGCGTTAGCCATCTCACTACTATCTCTGGATTGCCGAGATACCACTACGGACTATTTAAGTAACATCTCGACGACTACTTCTCATTACTATCAACCATCTTTCCATTCAAAGTTGTTTACTTGTGCACCCCACTCTCACAGCTCGCATCATGACCACCTACGAAGAAGCCAAGGACCAATATGTGGAAGTCAAAGGAATCAAATTCGCATATCGAAGATTCGGCGCTTCCGCAGGCGTCCCGCTCGTTCTTCTGATTCATTTCAGGCAAGTTTCCTGACACCGGACAAGACCAATGCTATCCTTACAAGCTGCTTGTAGGGGCACCATGGATCACTGGGACCCAGCGTTCTTGAATCCACTTGCCGCTGCGAGGCCGATCATCATCATGGACAACGCGGGCATCGGGCGCTCCGGAGGCCAGGTTGCGAACGACTACAACGACTGGGCCCAGTATGCCATCGACGTGGTTTCCGCCCTCGGAATCGACCAAATTGACCTTTTCGGCTTCTCAATGGGCGGCATTGCAGCTCAGATGGTCACTCTCCGCGCCCCTCGACTGGTGAGACGCCTGATCCTCGCCGGGACTATTCCGAGCACAGGAGAAGGCGTTACGCTTGCGGACCTGGGCCCGTTTGAGCAACTGCGATCAGCCGTCACTGAGGAAGAACAGAAGAATGCCTTCTTGGATACCTTCTTCGAGAAATCCGATACCAGCCGAGCTGCAGGCCTCGAATCGTGGAACCGCATCCAGTCCGCGCGCCAGAACCGGGTGGACTACCTCAGCGTCGAGGGCGGCAACAGGCAGGCTGCTGCTTTTGCAAAGTCCATGAATCCCGCGCTTGCTGATAGGGGTTCATACAACCGATTCCATGAAATCAAGATCCCGGTCTTCATCGCAAATGGTACCACTCTCTTCTATCCCGACAGGTTGCATGCTTTGCTGACTATTGTTGTGTACAGGAGGCAACGATGTCTTGTTGCCTTCCGTGAACAGTTTCGTCATGTGGGAGAGACTCGTGAACGGCGAGCCCCATCTGCATCTGTTCCCCGACTCCGGACATGGCTTCCTGTACCAGTATGCGGCTCAATACACTAGGATGATCAATGAATTTCTCGACATGCCATCATCACCGAGAAGTCGCCTTTAGATAGAGGAAAGCCGGTATGTGAGTTACCGTTCAGCGGCAGTAGATATTTCTCTCCATCGCTTTTGCGGCACCCAGCTAGTGTGGTCATTTTCTGCGGGCAAATTTGGTGGGACGGATTACTCACTATGGTCGACTGTTTCTACAGTTACAGCCTGCTTACTTAAGACCTCGACACTACTCAGAATCACATATATAGTCAGCTGTCATTTTCTAAATTCCTAGTGCACATTTGCCGTTGTACTCAGAAAGTCGTAAGGAAGGCTACTGGGTTTCACATACATGTGACATAAGCGCAGGCAGATCCAGCCCCGTTACACATGGCCCGCCAAGGTTCATTCCAAAGTCTACGCTCCTCACACCACAGCCATGCCACGTATCCACAGCGAACGCGAAGCTCCCCACCATGGCCATTACCACGACCTACCAATACAAGCCGCTGGAAAGCAAACGGCATATACGACTGCTGAACATTCACGGGCTCAACGTTGCCAGGCTTCTCCGCAAATACAATTCGACGACCCGCCCGGTGGAGTGCACACATCCGAGTTCGCGGGGCTTCAGCTTCATTCACACCTCAATCGACGACGAAATTCAATACGACACAGTCTCATATGCTTGGGGAGATTGCACCCGAGTCGCCGGACTTCCTATCGCCAGAAGTCAGGGCCATATCGCTCTCACGCAAAACCTTGTAGATGCTTTGCCTCGTCTGGCCAAGCAATCTCGAACAAGGTTTCTGTGGATTGACCAAATCTGTATCAACCAGGATGATACCCAGGAGCGCGACGAACAAGTAGCTCTTATGGGAGATGTCTACCGAGGCTCAGCGAAGACCCTGATCTGGCTTGGTCTGGATAGCCGCAGCGGCCAGCTCGTCAAAGAGATCATCGTGGCTATCAGGGAGTCGGATATCCAGGCACCTGAACATACACTTACCAGATATCGACAGCTTGAAAGTTTGATTCGTCGCCCAGATTGGAGCTTCACGACCCCAGAATACGTCGACGTGAGAGCACAGATTGCGAACTGTTCTTGGATCACCCGAGGATGGGTATTCCAGGAATATATCCTTTCAAAATCGCCAGTATTTCTCCTTGGCAATCATGGAATTTATCCAAAAGAATTACACGACGTTCTCATTGCATTGTCACGCGAAGGTGCTGCCAGAGCTTCTCTTGAGTACTACGAAATACTCATGGTCAGAAAACTCCATATTGACACACTTCAAAGACCAGTGCATTTTTTGGAATGGTTTATCTTCATGTGCGATTTTGCTGGGTATTTGAAAACGAGTATTGAAAGAGATGGCCTGTTTGCATTCCTCAGCCTGTGGAAACCCCCAAGTTTTCAGCCCAGTTATCTGGAACCTCTGGAAGATGTATACAGAGACTTTGCTCTCTGCATTGCCAGAGATATGGGATCCTTGGACTTTCTATCAACTAATCATACCTACAGCTCTACTGACAGCCGGCCCTTTCGGGAGTCTTCGTGTGCACAACTTCCAACATGGGTGCCAAACTGGTCTAAGTTGGCGTTGAGAAGTCCGAGCAGTATTGTGGGCCTTATGAACACCGGATCCAAAATGCTCTGGAGCGCCTCAAACAGCAGAACCCATACCTTTGTCAAAATCCAGATGTCGAATCACTTGAAGACCCGGGGAAAGGTTATAGACCGGATCGATTTTGTTTGTCTGGAGCCTCCGTCATATAGGAGTGCTGAGTCCACGCTCGCATACCTGGAGACATCCACTTGTGAATTAAACCTCTTTCATCAGACGGCCAATTGGACAGTTGGAGCACTGGTAGCCATGGTGCAGGCCCTCGTGGATGTTAAAGAAGCTCCCGAAGAGACACCCCTGTTGAAGAGATTAGAACGTCCAGGAATTAGAGTCGGATTAAACTCAAGAGTCATAGTATTGACTCAGAAAGGATGTGTCGGCTTGGCCCCTTTCTGGTGTGGCAGAGGACATCTTGTAGCCATCATCCATGGATGCAGCGTTCCTTTGATTCTTTCCAAGGATGAGAACAGTACCACCTACAGTCTTGTTGGAGATTGCTACCTCGAAGGGATCATGCACGGCGAGGCAGTGACGTGGGAGGCAGACGAAGCGGATGAAATTGTTTTGGAGTGAAGGTCTTCTCAAAGTTCCCTTGTATTTGAGCTACTCTTTGGCATCTTGAGATATCAAGCTCATTTTGCTGTCGTGCTTCTACATTCCGACAGTTGCATTTTGCATGAAACCGAAATCGAATTTCATACTATCCGATCATGCTTGTTCCTGCACGACGAACTCATTCAGGTTTTCGCCCAGTTTCTTTCGAAGCGTGTGTTTAGATATTGACTGATATTTAAGTCATCACCCCGCCAACCAATGCTGTGCCGCAAAGATCACGTGCATGTTTGTAAGAGCAAGTCTGCGACTCAAGCAACACAATCTCGACACACACATCAACGCCTCAACATCCACACTTCCCCCATCACTCTCTCCAAGCATGGCTGATACTTTCGAAAATCAAATGCGTCTGAGAGGCTCTCCCCGCTTCCAAACGGGCCATGCTAGTGACCTGCATGCTCCTGAATGGGCGGGGAAGTATATGGAGTTCCTGTACAGATACCACTACGTGAGTTTGGACCTCGAAAACGCAATAGACCTGGGATGCCTTACTCAAATAAACACGGCAATGTCAGAGAAACGTCTTCCCGTGGCGGGAGTTTCCGGCCGAGTTGCGCAACGTGATCTACCAGCTCTTATTTTTTCAGGACGAACCAATCCGCATTATCCAAGAGTAAAGTGCCCAATAAATTAAGGAACTTGTTCCCGCCGACAAATCAATATATCGCTCGCTAATAGTGCCCCGCAATCTTAGGTCTGAGACTCTATTTGCATACATTCCTAAAGCTAAACTCTCCAGTAGCCATGTGATAGGCACGAGCCTTCTCAAGCTGAACTACGAGACGTACCTCGAGGCATCATCCGTGCTCTACTCCGAAAACTCCATCCGCTTCAATAACATAGACTCTCTCGTCCGCTTTCTCGAGCCCCTCAGCCCCAGGACGAGGGCATGTTTTCGAAGCATTCAGCTCGGGACTACTTACAAGTTCGGTAAAGGCGTCATTGAAGACATCGCGCCAGCCTTCTGCCCACCCGATCTTTGGTTGAATTTGAGCCGCTTTGAGCTCTATTACAACATCTCCAATTTCTCAGACCCTACGGTCACATTTGATGGCCTTGCTCGTAGTTTACTCAATCAAAGCCATCTCCTTGCGTGGCTCAAGGCGGTCGGAAACGCGAAAGGAGATCCGAGGGCAGGCGCGGAAATTCTTCGCCTCAGCGACAACATGTTGCGCGGTTGCTGCCCAGACGAGCGGCTCTCGGAAGATCTTGCTGAGATCTTCAAGAAAATCTTAGCAGATCTGCTTGCATCTCCAGAGTATGCTTGATCTGGATGGGAATGCGGATTGTTGGAGGAAGGTGCTTGCTAGGTTAATGAGGAAAGCTCTGTGGACGAGACCGTTGAATGGACAGTTGGTTGATGCCATGGGAGCTGAAGCAGCCGGCTAGGCATGCTTTGCCATGAGGCCAACGGCTTACCGATTGCTTGTTCTATTTGCCGGGTTTGCTCCTTAACACCACCATGGCATTATTCATTCCCGATTAGGTTTAGCTTGGTTCGTTCAACGGTGTTATATTACTCTTCGCATTTTCTCATCTATATCCTTTCGCATTCTTTCAGTGTATATATTCCATCAAACGCGCCTGATCGCAGTTGAAATTCAGGTTGTCAGTAGCGTGTGAGAGTGGAGTCATGTAGCATTCACATTGTCCCTCTTGTGTTACTGTGCAAAGACACAGTAGTTAACACAATTACTATATCTTCGGCACGTGCGGCGCTTGTCCACGGACAACATCCCGGCCTTATAAAAACCATGCATCCATTTTCTATCCTACCTCTTCCATCCTCCATCCCACTACAGCCATCTCCTCTCAAATCCACTCATCTACACTTCGGAACACCAGCATACCAGCCAACGTACTTGCGTCCACCACCAGTTTGACCATGGCGGTAGACACAAAGCGCCTTTTGAACCATCCACCAAAGGTACGCGAAGCCCTGACTCTCTCTGCTCCTTGCGAAAGTCCCACTGACTTGGCAACAAAACATCAGGACGTTTCTCGCAAACCCAACTACTTCCCATGGTCGAAGCTATCCGGAGAGCTGCGCAATGAGATCTACACCTACACCCTCACTCACGACGAGCCGATCCGCATCACGGGCGTCCTGAATCCCTGGGACGAGGCCGAGTACGTGTTGGAGAACAAGCGGCTTCCGAACATCAACCTCATCTACATCAACAAAACCACCTACACCGAGGCCGTCCCTCTGCTCTACGAGCTCAACACCTTCTACTTCTCCGGCACGCTGACGCTGGACCTCTTCATGGCGGCGCTGCCAGAAAAGCTGATGTCGCACCTGCGCCACCTCATCATCGCGAACGGCCACAACTACATCGGCTCAGACAAAGCCTTCCTCCCGCTGATCAAAGCCCCAAATCTGACCCGCGTCGAGCTCGACAACGTGAGGTCCGGCCAAGCGTTCTACGACGACCAATTCCTGCACTTCCGGATGCACGTGCGGCCGCCGCCGCTGCTGGGCTGCCTCTCCAAGTCTGTGGCCACGCAGCCTCACCCCGGCAACCCCTCTCAACAGCTGCTCGGAGCGCGGCTGCAGGCCACGCGCCCCGCCAGCCCCCCGCTCCGCCGCGTGAAGCTGGCGCCGCGGGCGCCGTTGCGCTCGATCTGCCAGCACTTGGCGTCGCTGGACTTGACGCTGTGGCTGGATGACCTCGTTGAGCACATGTACGGGCTGAGTGGTTTCCGGCGGTGGATGCACGCCATTGGGGACGCGAAGGGCGATCCGGGCGCGGGTGCGGGTGTTGTCTGTCTCAGTCAGCGCTTGCTGGATGAGCGCCAGGCGTGCGGCGCGCGCCTTAAGATGAGGGTGGGGCCTGCGGATGAGGCGCCGGAGTTTCGGGCCCTTTTGGAGGATTGGTTGGTCTATTGTCCTGAGAGCCGTGATGAATGATGATGGCAGAGTCTGGGCTAGCTATCATAGAGATATGCCTTTGGTAGGCAACTTCGGGGTAGAGATGGGCATGATCTCAAGTTAGTGGCAGTGATGTGCGTAGCTAGCAATGTCAAATGTCATTCATTACGGTATATGTGAAACTGAGTACCTTCTTGTTGGTCGTAGCACTCTCTTCACGGTTAGGTGATTCCTTCGCCCGGACGCATTTGCAGCATTGTTTAAGTATGTACATGTGCGTCCGGACGTTCGCTTCAGGTCCCCACGTTCTGTTCAAATTGTATCTTCGTATTTGGCCAATCAATATCTTCATAATTGATTGAATCCTCCTTCTTGACGCGGTTGTCGGACTATTTGGAAACATTTGCATCCGGAAGTTCGCTCCATCTCCCCACGCTTTGTTCAAATAAAAGTGCGAATTTTCTACAGTTACGTCCGGATAAGAGCTTCAGCTCCCCCCATCTTGTTCGATTAAACGTACAGATGGGTGCTGCAGCCGATGGCTAGCGTGAAGAATAGCAGGGCTCCCCAGCTCTACCTTGGAAAAATAACAATTGTGGGCAGCTGAAGCTATCGTCCGGACGTGTATGTAGAATTAAAAATTCGACATTCTCGTCCGGACGACAGCTTCATCTACCCATGACATGAGCAAAAAAAAATCCACGCTAGCCATCGGCTGCGAGAGGGGACTGTAGCTGCCAAACGAGCGACTGACTTCCCCTTCTGGTTAGCGCGGCCACTAGCGCCACTCAGGGTCCTACGAGCAGCAATATCTCGACGGGCGCGTCCATGGTTCCTCCACTACTCTTCCACCTTGCCTCCCTACCTCAGCAGCCATGCCAGGGGCGCGCACCAGTGCGCGGTTGCGCAAGCGGCCTCGCATCTCATACGCGCCGCCGCCTGACGACCTCACGAACAACGAAGCCGCAGCAGACGATGCCACGGGCCACAACGCCGAGAGCGAAAGCGAGAGTGAGAGCAGTGAGGATGAAGACGAAGATTTCACGCTGAAAGGCCGCAAGGTGAGTCGAAACCTGTCACCTCACCTCACTTGCTTCAACTCACAACTTGAACAGCGCAAGAAGAAGAGCACGAAGAAGAAGCGCGGTCGCGTCACCAAGCCTAAAGAGCCCAAGCCGTTCCGCTTCATGGATCTGCCGGCTGAGCTACGCAATGCGATCTACGAGCTGGCACTCACTCACCCGGAACCAATGCGTTTGCGCGACTATGACCACACGGGCAGGCATGCAGTTCGGCTAACAGACTCTACGTTTGGTCGGCGATATGCTAAAAGCAGGGAAAAGCTTCCGACGCTCATACCTAATCTTCTCCTTCTGAACAAAGCCATACATGCCGAATCGGGCTCGATCCTTTACCAGAACAAGCTCGTCTTCTACAATTGCACGGCGATGTGGCACTTCCTTCAACCACTCAGCCAAACCACCAAATCATGGATCAAGAAAATCGCGCTGTGCGACATCAGGACGGGTAATATAGCAAAGGGATACATGGCCCCAGCTTTCCAGTCACTCATCGCCCTCCCAAACCTCCAGAGCCTTCAGTTCTTAGATTTCGACTATTGGTACTTCACATGGGCATTCGCGAAAATGTTCCTCCGGGAGGCGTATTACTGGATCGACGCCGTAGGCAAAGCGAAGGGGGACAGGCATGCGGCCATTGAGCTGCTCGCCGTGGATACCACCATGACCTCAGTCTCTCCTGCATCGCAGGAAGACCTTCAGAAATGGAGTCGCCAAGTGCGGGACTCAATCAAGGATAAGATGAAATATTGTTACGGTTCAGCGTAGGTAGCTGAAGCTATTATCCGGATGCTTTTGTCCATTTAAAAATTCGACATTTCCGTCCCTACGATAGCTTCAGAGACCCATGAATGGCATGTAATTGTTCGGTTGAGGTGGTCAAGAGAAGAAATGAACTTAGTAACTATGTATGCCTGAAGTTCACGCGTCTGTATGCGCTTCAACTTCTGCTCTGTAGCTACCCTCATGATTGATAACAACAAAGAAACCAATCTTTTGAATTCAAGTGCCAGTATTCAACACTGGAGGTCCAAAGCGCTCAATCTGTAACTCCTGGGATGCGACCCTCTATGTACTCAACCAGGTGGTAGCGCAACAATGAAGTCCGCTCAGAGCTCAAGTCCGCATGTTCTTCATAGCTCGGAAAATTCCAGCGCAGCCCATAGTCCGTCAGGCACTGTGCTGATGAAACCCTGATGTCGATAATTTTGACGGCCTCTTCTCTGCTCCCCTTCTCCCTGCTAAGTTCATCCAGCCAGAAGTGCGCCCACTCATAGATGCAAAGGGCGAGGTGCTCCTGCATGCTATACCTGCGCCGGTTCACGATGCGGAAGTTGTCGATCGAGCTGAGCGTGAACTCCAAATGTAAGCGCTCCAGGCTGGCCATTCCGATCAAAGACGTGAACGCCGGCAAAAGAGTCCGTTCATCTTCGGGGGTACGATGAAGGTGAACTTGGGCTCCCACGTCCCTATTCCACTGTGACAGAGTCATCTCTTTTATCCAAGCTTTCGTCTTTGGCGACAGGATGGCGAGGAAGACGTAAAGGGCCATGGAGTCATGCAGGTAAAAGTGGTTCCCGTAAAGCACCGGTCCGCCTTCAGCGTACGTGGCCCTGTTGATGAGCAAGAGGCTGGGTGTGAGGTCGTGTCTCTGTTCATCTTCTAAGCGCTGAGGTGAAATCACGTTTTTTCCATTCCGGACTTCGGCGCGAAGAGCGACGGCAGGCCGTGCCAGGCTCAGTTCGTAGATCTTCTCACGCAACTCTGCAGGCAGGTCTGCCCAGCGGAAGATGTTACGCTGGTTGCTGCTGGTGGGCGTGGATCCTGCTTCAGTTGTGCTGCGGTCGTCGTGTTCCTTGTCGTTGTCGGCGGCGTGCGCTGTTTGAACGTCTTCGTCGCTGCCTCCCGCGGAGGAGATGGAGAGCCGCTTGGCGTGTGCGCCGCCCACGGTAGGGTGCTGAGAAAGACGGGGTTGGAGATTGTAAGGACTTTCAGCTATCGACTCGTCTTTTATAGACCTGGTTGTCGTTCGCTTGACACCTTTTGCAAATTTTCCCGTTTGCGCGCAGCTTGGCTGATACCGCGCCGCACTGAAGTCGCTTGCCCCTCCTGACGCTTTCAAACTGGCAGGTGCCACTCACCAATCGGTTTGCTGCCCAGTAGTGAATGCCATTTATGGACTAGCGTCGCCGGTGGTTTGAGGTCCATCCACCCGCCTTCCTCGCCCGCTGCACCGGAAACCCTCCAACCTCGTCACCCTCGACACTACAACCATGAGTGACGCACTTGCCACACGTCCCTCCAAGCGGCCCCGCATCTCGTATGGCGAAGGCCAAGACGACGACGACGCAACGTCAACCCCCGCCAGCAACACCCAACATGACAACATCAGTGACATGACCGAAGCGGAGCCCGCGCGCATTGGCAGCAACAGGCGCCGCACCTGCGGCTGGGCCGACCTCCCTGGAGAACTTCGCAACCAGATATACGAGCTCTGCCTCGTGCCATCGACCTCTCCAATCGGCGTTCGCTCCGTCGAACGCAAGGGAATGAAGAACAGACTGAAGTGGATGGAAATGCGCCGCCAATCGCCGACAGATTCGAGATGGCCAGAACTGCGGAAACTCCGTCCCACATTAAACCTTCTGCGTATCAACAAAGCTACCTATGCCGAAGGCAGCACCTACCTCTACTCAAATGAGTTCTACTTCTTCACGTCGAAGGACCTCTCCATCTTCCTCAAACACATGTCAGCGGCACAGAAGCTCGTACTTCGGAACATTTCCCTGGAGATTCCATCGCTGGAAGACGCTATTAGCATGGGATGCGGCCTCGGGATTCATGAGCAGAGCAACTTCATCCTGTCCGGGCTTCAACGGCTTGAGGGGGCGATAAACCTGAAGACGCTGCAGCTGATCTTGGTTGACAGCCTGTGGAGCGTGAGGTTAGCATCGGAATGGAGTCTGGAATGGCTTGCAGCGGAGGTGTACAAGAAAGCTCACCGTTGGCTGCAAGCAATCAGTGCTCAGAAAGGCAGCAGTGAAAAGGCCGTGGATCTAATTAACGTCAAAGGCATTTCCAGACCTTTGTATTCAAGCGATAGTAAATTGTGGCGTTACCTTTACAAGGGATTCGCGGAGTCGAATTCTGAAGATACCTCATTGCTGCGGAAAGAGCTGGTGAAGCGCATGCAGTGAGTAAGACAAGGACAGTGAACGCGGTCGGATCACACGGGACCAAGGAACGACTCTTTCCTTGGCTACTTGGCGGTTACATCAATGATCGGTTCCACGAAATCAATTTCTAGCATAATGCTAATAGAGATAACGACGCGCGGGTTGTGGAAGCGGCTACACTCCTATGCCATGGGTTATTGCAGGAGTGCGTACATAGAAATAATGAAATCATTGTGAATTGGAAAAGCAAACTGAAATGTACCACCTGTACTCTATTTTCCATGCCCAGTGAAGCTATCCTCGTTTGATGCCTCTTCTTAGTTTACATGGTCACGTCCCCTAGGGCATTTCGGCTACCCGCATGTATTTGACCTCCTTCGCCACGCCAGAGGAACCAATCTTGTAGCAGCCGCCACCAATATCCCAACCAACCTCAAATACCAAAGTCCAATGGCCGCCCTCGAATGTGCAGCTCAGAAGTCCAGGTCATGGTTGCCCATACCGAAGCCTGCCGTGTAGTATCTCGAGTTTCAGATGCTCCGTCGGTGTAAACGTGTTGTGCATCTCCGGTGCCATTGCTCGCCTTTGCCCGCTCGATATCGTGGATTTCGTGATGCTTGTCCGCCCTCGTAGCGACGTTGCCAATGACTTTGTCCAACTTCAGGATCCGCCACGGCCCCGGAAGATTGCAGCTGTAAACTGTCCCATCCACTCTTCTTTTCTTTTCCTTTTTTTTCAAGCACATACCGGAGCGGCATTCTGAACTTTTCATGGTCTCGAAACCACCTACGGTCGTTTGGACGGGGAAACAGCTCCGTGGAAAGAGTATTTTTGGCTCGACAATATCACGATACAACTTCCCGACCGAAGGGATGCGATCTACACCGTACAATCGGGCTCTGACCGGCCATCCACTTCGGTGCTCCCAGTCGCAGCACGGCCAGCAACGATCGCCCGCTGGACCTGCCGCTGCATGCATCCAAGCCGTTTAGCTAATCAATTGTTATTGCTATTGCTAAAAACATTTACCGTGTCTCTTGGCTGTTCCTTCGACACTAAATGGGGTATTGCGGCCAACGGCTAGCGTGAATTTGTTTTTGTCTCATACCATGGGTAGTTGAAGCTATCGTCCGGATGCAAATGTAGCAATAATAATTATACATTTACATCCGGACGATAGCTTCAACTACCTATATATGTTTCTTTTAATCGTGGACTCAAAAGTCTACTTACCACCAACGTATTACTTCTAATAGCGTAAGTATAAGTAAGCTAACAGCGGCGCGAAAATACATTCAGGTCACTACTTATAAGTAATATTATAAGGGGGAGTCAAGATCTGGATTTGGGGAAACGAATTCCCGGAATTGGGGAGTCAAATTTGTGGAAGCCTACTATGAAAACTGATTCTTGTCGATGATACGCCTAGGAAAGGTACTGCATCAGCCGCTCGTGGAGTATCGAAGTGCTGCGAGAGTCTATGCCTATAATGTGACCATCTTCCAGGCGTAGTGAAATGTCAATCATTTTCACAGCCTCTTCCTTGCTGCCTTTCTGCCTAACCAGTTCCTCCAGCCAGAGGTAAGCATCCTCATAGAATTTCGAAGGAAAATCCTCCTTGTACTCCATATCCGAGTCAGCCTCCTCCTCCGTACATAAGTCAGCCTCCTCTCCCGTATACCGCTCATACGATTTCGCGTCAAAGTGCAGGTGGAGGTGCTTCATATTTGTCGTTCCAATCAGAGCTGTAAAAGCGGGCCGAAGATAATGGAGGTACTCGAACTCCTCATCTTTGCGCGCGTTCCAAAATGGAGGATTCTCAAAGTCGAATGTTATATCCCGAATCCATGATTTAGACTTTGCGGAAAGGCTGCTAAGGAAGGTAAAAAGCGTGTCCGGATCAGTTAAGTAGAACTTGTTTGCGTACAAGATAGGGCGGCCTTCGACATAGATCGCCTTATTAACAAGTAGTAATTTCGGGTTGAGGCCAAGTGGATAGTCCTCATCGAGAACAACCACAAGCTTTCTTTTCCTCTGACGTATAGTAAGGTGCACCTGCTCGTCCGTTGTCAGGGTGAGATTATAGATCTCATTGCGAATCTCGGCAGGTAGATCTGCGAAGCGGAAGGGTTGAAGGCCACTAGGACCATCGCGCGCGATGCCAACTTCGGTGGAGACGCGAGGCCGCAGGTTGTATCGCTTCGTGGGTCTGTCTGTCATCGCCGTGGCGCTGTGGGGTGTAGAGAATCAGTGTTGGTAAGGTAGAAGAAAATGAATGTGTGGTGGTCTTTAAAAGCCCATCGGTGATGCTAGTCCAAAATGGAATTTCCCAACCTTGGGACGACAGTGGCGCTTTTTGGACTTGCGCCGCCGCTAGGTCTAAAATGCCATCCATGGCACAGGCGGCGAGAAACTGCGTTCACGAGGATGGTCGGAGGCATAAGTTTTGTTAGCGCGGTGCTAGGGACCTGGGAACCACACGCAAATTTACTAACTGTTTTCTCCGGTAATCAGTCTACCTAAGCACACAACTAATCACACAGGATTTTCGTCAGCCACCATGAAGGAAACTCCTTCGCCTTCGCCTCCTCCTGCTGCCCGTAGCAAGCATCTTACACGCGATGAACGTATGTGGTGCCTCACGCGGCGCGCACACACAAATATGACCTACGAGCAGATAATGATGTTTGACACCTGCTTTATCTAGTTTTATCAAGCAAACAAGCTCGAACTTTATAATCCCTTCACTTCTTCTCCTTCTCCTTCTTTTAATTCTCCTTCTTCTTCACCTAGGTGTAAGCCTATCTACCTTTCTTTCTCACATATCGCCTCACAAAGCTTCTTCCAGTCTCCAACGCCATCTTCCTCGACTCCACACCTATGAGCAGTAAACGCTCCAAGCAGCCATGCATCTCTTGCGCGAGAGGCAATGATGGAAATTTCCATACAGTGCACGCCTCCGCCAACGACAACCAACAAGATAACACCCACAATCCGATCACAGCCATCCCGGCGCATGTAGACAACAGACAGCGCGTGATACGCCAAAATCGCAACATCTTCCGATTTGGGGATCTACCAGGCGAACTGAGGAATAGGATATACCACCTATGCTTGGCAGCGGACGCTACGATCTACCTCACTCTATGGTACGACAAAATAGAAAGGCATGGAGTTCGCCAGTCGCACGATTACCCAGGTGCCAATCCTGTTCTTCTTATTCCAAATCTTCTCCGGGTTAATAAGGCGATCTATACCGAAGGCGGCCCAATTCTCTACGCAAACAAGTTTCACTTTGAGGAGTCTAACTGCCTCTTCATCTTCTTCGCCAATATGTCAGCAACAGCGAAGTCTTGGGTTCAGGAGCTGACGTTCAAGCTTCGGGACCCCGACGAGTCCTGGAGTAGCTCAGACGATGGGCTGTGTGCATATTGCGACCACGCACCTAGATTCGGTATCCTACTGCCCGCTTTTACAACATTGATTGAAGCGCCAAATCTTAAACAGCTCCACCTCCACATCCACCTCATTTTCGGCTACACTCGCGACTAGAGTTTCTATTCATTCGCGATAAGGCTGTTCTCATTGTCCCACTTATGGCTAGAAGCGCGTACTAGACAAAAGGGAAGCCAGGAAGAGGCTGTGGAACTGATCGATCTTGAGATATTTGTCGGTAGTGGGTCCTCTGGGGACGTCTACGACAATGATTGGGCAACTTGCGAGCTGCGCAAGGAATTGGTGGAGAATCTGTGTTTGAAATGAGCGAAAATGAGCAAAGTGCCAACCAGGAAAACGACGCGAATCCGATTTCAGGAGTGGGTGGAGATTGATGTTGGCACTTACAAGCCTGGCCCCCTTGTCATGGCAATGGAGATCCACTACATGTGAGGAGCCGGGGTGTTTAGTAAGATTTTATGATAAAGTAGAAACTAGAAAGCAGGTACCCTGGAGAAGTTTTTACATCGCCAGTTTCTTACTGCTACAAAACACCACAGAGAATAGAGGAGAATAACATAGAATATCTCCGATGTTTCACGGGTTTGTAGGCCTTCCGCTGAACCAATGAATGACATCCTTCCTGGCGGCAAATTCCATTTTGGGACTAGCGTCACAAACGGAGCTTTTGAAGGCCACCCGTTTGCTTTCCTCTTCTTCTACCTTGCCAACACTCACCATCTGCGCCCCACAAAGTCACGACAATGACAGGTGCCAGAGAGCTCACGAAGCGGTACAACTTGCGGCCTCGTCCCCCCGACGCGGCAACCGATGCCGAGCATCTCCAGACCACAGCGCCCGCCGCCACCAACGGGAACCACCACAGCAACAATGGCGGCGCAACAGAAGCCAATTCCACAGACGCCCACATGAGCAAGCATATCCAGAGGAACAAACGCAACATCTTCCGTTTCGCCGATCTCCCGGCCGAGATTCGCAACGAGATCTACAACCTGAGCCTCAAAACGGATTTCCCAATCGCTCTCTGCACTTTCGACTCGCTCATCAACGGAGAGCATAAGCTCAGGCAGAAAATATACTCAGATGGGTGAAAGACTGGCCTCACACCGAATCTCCTCCTCCTCAACAAAGCTACATACGTTGAAGCCGGAGCAATTCTTTACAGCAATCATTTCTGCATCCATAGTCCAAAGGCCCTCTTCGTCTTCCTCAGCTCTCATTCCTCAACCCCCAAGGGATGGTTACAGGAGTTGACCTTCTCGTACTGGGCCAGCTCACCACCATACTTCCACGGGTTCCCTCCATACGATCAAGGCACAGAGGGACGTGCTTTCCTACTTCCCGCACTCACGGCTCTCAATGGAGCAGCCAACTTGAAGAACTTTCACTTGGAATTTTCCATTGAGAGGATTCAAAATCAATACTGGACTTCGAGGAGGACTGCAATGCGCCTTTACAGTTTCATGCACTTTTGGCTACATGCTCTCAGCAAGGAGAAGAGTAGCATCTCACGGGCTGTAGAGCTGATTGACGTCAAGATCGTCGATTTGTCTTACGATGAATTCAAAGCCAGGGATGACCAGTGGAGCTTTCCGGGATATGCAAAGCACGTGGACAAGAGTGGTCTCAGAACTTCGATGCTGCGTGAGCATTTGGTGCAGTGCATGGATGGTCGGCTCACACGGCAGATGTTGTCTGAACTTGATCCTATTAGACCTGAGAGGGATCTAATCTTCCACGACAGTGTTTGACGTTAATGGGCTATAGGGATGAAGGTGCCTACAGACGGGTAGCTAGAGCACCCGCGCTCTCTTTTACTTTATCGAAGATGATAGTAGCTTGCAAGCTAGTTGACAGCACAAATCAAGGTCTTTACCTAGCATTTTTCCATTTCTTTACCTCCGTGACTGAGTTGAGCATCAAAACAAGCCCACGTAGGTGCCCAAAAGAAATGATCCTCCGCAATTATCTTCGAGAGCAACAGCACTCGACTTACGTAAGTAGCTGAAGCTATCATCCGGACGTAGATGTATATTTAATAATTCTACATCTACGTCCGGATGATAGCTTCAGCTACCTACGTAACGAGCTTAAATGCCCACAAGATTACTCCCGATGACCCGAATCTTTGAGCACCCACTATGAGCCCAAACCTCATGCCTCCTTCACTTCCTCTCCTTCTCCTTCTCCTTCCCATCCTCCTTCTTCTCCGCCTGCTCCGTACCGTCCACGAACAGCGTCTCCTGCGCGCTCCACAACTCGCTGTACAACCCGCCCGTATCCACCAACTTATCATGCGTCCCCTGCTCGACGACTTTTCCATCCTTGAGCACGATGATCAAATCGCTATCATAAATCGTCCTGAGGCGGTGCGCGACGAACACGCTGGTCCGCTTCTTCTCCCTGATGACGCTATTGATATTTTGCAGCAAGGCCTGCTCGGTATGCGTGTCGAGCGCACTCGTCGCCTCGTCGAAGAACAGCAGCGGCGGGTCCTTCAGGATCAGCCTGCTGACGGCGAGGCGCTGTTTCTCGCCGCCCGAAATCATCATTCCGCGCTCGCCGACGGTCGTCTCGTAGCCGTCGGGGAACTTCGCGATGACCTCGTCGAGCTTCGCGCGGCGAGCAGCAGCGCGGACATCGTCGTCCGACGCGTCGACGTTGCCGTAGCGGATGTTGTGCATGATGGAGGCGTTGAAGAGCGGGGTGTCCTGAGGCACGACGCCGACGGCGCGGCGGAGCGAGTCGATCTGAACGTCGCGCACGTCCTGGCCGTCGATGGTGATGCGGCCTTCTTGCACGTCGTAGGAGCGGAAGAGCAGGCGCAGGATGGTCGACTTGCCGCAGCCGGAGGGGCCGACGATCGAAACCTTCTTGCCGGCCGGGATGGTCAGGTTCAGGTCCTTCAGGATGGGGCGGTCGGGGCGGTAGCCGAAGGTGACGTTCTCGAAGCGGATGGTGGCGCCGGCGCCGGAGGGGGAGAGGGCGAGGGGCTTCGCGTTGGGCGCGTCCTTGACTGCGACGTTGACCTTCTGCAGGTTGAAGAGCGTTTCCATGTCGAGCAGCGACTGGCGCAGCTCGCGGTAGACGGAGCCGAGGAAGTTGAGAGGCACCGAGAGCTGGAAGACGAGCTGGTTGACCATGACCAGGTCGCCGACTGTGAGGTTGCCCGTCGCTACGCCATTGGCTGCCAGGTACATCATGGCCGTCAGCGCCGAGGAGAAGATGATGTTCTGACCAGAGTTGAGGAAGGCGAGCGAGGTGGCGACCTTGATGGAGGCTTGTTCGTAGGACTGGAGGGCCTTGTCGTAGCGCTTGACCTCGAATTTCTCATTGTTGAAGTACTGCGAACGTTAGAGAGGGGATGCAGGGGTGAGCAACTACACTACCTTCACAGCCTCGTAGTTGATCAGCGAGTCAACAGCGACGGTAGCAGCCCTGTTGTCAGCAGCATTGGCCTGCTTCCGGAACTTTGTTCTCCAGGAGGTGGTGGTAATGGTGAACGCGGTGTATGCAACCATGGTGGCGGCGGTGATGGCCGCAAATTTGGCACCATATTGATAGGTCTGACCTGCATTAGAAGTTTGTCGATATAGGGATGCTTATACGACGTACGAGGATACCGCAAACCATAGAGATCTCGAGAGCCGTGGGGAGGATGTGGAAGACCATAGAGGTAAGAAGGAAGCTGATGCCCTTGGTACCGCGGTCAATGGCTCTAGTCAAGCCTCCAGTTTGGCGAGAAAGGTGAAAGTTCAGGTCAAGCTTCAAAAGGTGCTCATAGACACTGCAAGCGACTCGGCGGATGGCTTTCTGGGCAACACTGGCGAAGACGGCGTTACGGAGTTCTTGGAAAAGAGTGGCACCCATACGGGTCACGCCGTCTAGGGAGGGCTTTAGCATGCGCATTGCCGGGCAGGACAATATGCTTACACGCAATGATCATAGACCCAGCAACGGTGGTGGCGGTGCCCCCAAGGGCCGCGAAATCAATATTCATGGCGTCTACAATGCTCTTGAAATAGAAAGGAACTTGCACGTTCAAGACCTGAGAATATCCTATGAGCAAAGAAATGAGGGGCAGGAAGAGACAGTATATCACCTTTGCACCGACGAGCAGAGCTACCGAGAGGCCGACCCGCAGCCTGGTTCCGAGATTGTCCTTGGTCCATGTTAACGCGCCGCCAAGCACCCGGCGTCTGCCAGCCTACCTTCGGCCACAAGTAGCGCGACATCTCCTTCATGATGGCCCAGTCTGCCTTGCGTTGCTCCTTGTTCGACACCGTCTTTTCTGCCAGCAGCGGGTCATTCTTGACGCCTGAACCCGGCACCGCCGGCGCTGCCTTCTGTACCACCTCGGGCTTCAGAACCGTTTGCGCGCCTTCAACCTTCTTCGCGCCATTGGCTTCGAGTGTTTGTATTCTGGGATCATCTTTGCGATGGCGCGGAGCAGTTGCGAAGACGCGCACATACGGCGAGAGGGGCGAGAGAGAGCGACGGGGAAGTGTCGGAGGGCAGCGCTGCGGGGCGCTCGTGTGCGACGCGTGGAAGGAATGGCAGCGCGGGGCAGAGCAGGCGCTCCGCAGGAGCTGTCGAGTTAGCATCGGTGGTGGCTCTCAATGGCGCCGATGCGCCATGCCTGGGGGTGCGCAATTGACGGGGAAGTGAGGCGGGAGGAGGAGGAGGAGTTGCGCGGTTTAAAGGCGCGGGGCCAAACATCAAGGTGCAGCACGCAACGGCGGGCCGCACAGGCGTCAGTTTGCTTGGCGAGCACAAGCCCGTCGGCATCAAAGCTCGCGCGACATCATCGCATATTCCCGCCCACGCTCCCCCGACCCGCCCGATAAAACCATGCGCGCCCTTTCCGCGAGCTCCAGCTGGGGCTCCCGCGCCGTCTGCCGCTCGTGCCGCTCGCGCGTCACGACCCCGCTGGTCCGCCGCCGCGCCATCCACATCAGCGAGGCGCCGTCGTCGTCAACGCCCAGTTTCGACCAGGACGTCTCCTCCGCCGCAGCCAGCTCCACTCCGGGTACCGCGCGCCCCTGCCCGCCCACTCAATGGCTCGGATCACGTGTTAATTGGTGCCGCAGACGCCCGCTTCGAGGTCATTGGCTCGCCCTACTCGCTATTGTCCGTGTCGCTGTCGGCTTCGCAAAACCTGTACACCCGCCGCGGCACCCTCGTCGCCGTCAACGGCAAGGTCGAGAATGCCGTCTCTAGCCTGTCCATCCTCGAGCCCTTCCGCCGCGCGCCGCTGGGCATTCCGTTCCTCTACCAGAAATTCTCCGCGACGAGCCCGATTACCGCTTTGATCTCCTCCAAGTCGCCCGTCACAAGTTTCGCTGTCGTACATCTGGATGGCCGCCTGGATTGGCTAGTTGCGCAGAGGCAGGCTTTGTTGGCATGGACCGGTCACGCGCTTTCTGTGAGGCCGCGCGTGAACACGAAGATGGTAGGTTGCGCCGGGGTGTTAATTCGGGGAAGAGATGCTAATTAATAAAGAGCTTGGCGCACTGGGGTAACTCTCACGTCACCGGCAGAGGTCTGTTGGCTCTGGTCGGCAAGGGTCAGATCTATCAGGTTCACCTCAAGGCTGGCGAGGAATACGTCGTGCACCCGAGGTATGTTAAGGCATCATTCTGTTGTCCGATTGCTCTTCTAACAGGGTCAAGCAATGTCCTTGCATACACCATGACTACGAACCCGCCGCTTCCCTACCGTTTCAAGTCGACTTCCCTCCGATTCCAGGTCCCCAGTTTGACCGGACTCTTCCCGAACACGAAATTCTTCGAGGATATGAGGAAAACGCAGGCGTTCAAGACTTTGGCCCAATTCCTCTTCACACTCCGCACTTGGACAAGGAGAACGATATGGGGTGATAGGGTATGTCATACACTTTTCTACAGCTAACAATACATGCCTAACACTGTCTGTACAGTTGTTCCTCCAATTCCGCGGTCCCTCCACCATTCTCATCCAATCACGAGCCGGCCGTTTGACCGATTCCCTTACGACACGTGACGTGAACGAGATCGCAGATGTCCCCGCAGGAGCCGTGCAGGAGGCTGTCAATTTGGATTTGCGGAAAGAAAGCGGCCACGGGTCGACTACTACGACTGCTGAAGAGGCGGAGGCACCGAAGGAGAAGTTGACATACGCGCAGGCGGGCTCGGATGGAAAGTTTAAGATTGGTGAACAATCGGAGAGCAAGAGTGCATAAATGCAAGCATGGCGTTGGAGAGAGGAAACAGCTTATTGTGTATAACATCTGTGGGAGATAAGACCATTGAACCGTTTGAAGAAAAAATCGAGGACAAGTTTCGTGTAGGGATGGTTATTTTAAAGAGTGCGTTGCAGTAGGTATTCCCAGCTCCGTCCCACCTGAGATACAACCCTATGTAGGCATTTGATGACAATGCCTGGTAGATGTACAATTTTACAGTCCCCTCTTGCAGCCGATGGCTAGTGTGGATTCGTTTTTTGCTCGTGTCATGGGTAGTTGAAGCTATTGTCCGGACGGACGAAAATGTCGAATTTTTAATTCTACATACACGTCCGGACGATAGCTTCAGCTACCCACATATGTTATTTTTTTTAAGGTAGAGCTGGGGAGCCCTGCTATTCTTCGCGCTAGCCATCGGCTGCGAGAGGGGGCTATATTTTGAAAGAGATATATTTCAACTACTCACATCAAGAAGGGATACAGGAAGGAATACTACCAGCAACAACCACCACTCCCATTCTATCACTCTTGTACCTTCAAGATGCACCTAAATTTGACGACACAAGCAAATCTCCCAGGACTTTCTTGAATTCCCGTGCACTTTCTTTTCTATAGCGAGAATCCCAAACAGTGGTCTCGATCTTTTTGTCGACAAACTCCGCCATCAGTCCATGATTAGTATGAAACCGCGACAGATTGTCACCAAAGCCGAGGATTTCAGCGCCCGCTTTCGGATCATTCCTCATTTCGCCGATCTGCTGCAACCACATACGACAACCCGGTAGACTCAGCAACCAGCGAGCGTGCTCGGCCGGGGGTTTTGATAGGTCAAAGGCGAGCGTCCTGACGAGCTCAACGCGCTTCAGGTTGGGGCAGGTGCTAAGGGCGCGAAACGCAACCGAAATGGTAGCCTCCCCCCACAACCCGGGTCTAAACCAGTCGACGATCTCGATGTTCCGGATCCAGGCCCTTGCTCTTGGCGACAGCCTTACCAAAAAGTCCGGGAGCAGTGTTGCGGTTTGGAAGCAGAATACGTTTTGTGCCCAGAGCGTGGATGCCGCTTCGTTGTACATGCGCGAATTCACGTACAAGACGCTCGTGTCCAGTATTTCCGGTTTTTGCTTCTCGAGGTGGTGTTTGACGACCGTGGTCGGGGTGGTAGGGAATGCCTCGATGGTGGCCTGTTTTGGTGCAGGCTTTGTGGCATATGTCCAACATTGGGTCCCCTGTTTGAAGTGAAGCTCCGAGTCTTCTACGACAAGGAGATCGTAGATATGGTTGCGGATTTCGCTTGGGAGCTCCCAGAAGGGAAACGCTTTATTTGAGTCCTGCTGGTAGGTTTGTTGCGGGGATACCATCATACTCTTCATTCCACCGCTCAGAGTCATGCTGACATCAGAAGCCTCGTGGGACAAGCGAGCTCTTTTCATGGGAAGACCGCTTTCGTGTGGGGATGTCGTATTATCCATGGACGAACGAGTCCGCTTGGCAAGACGACCACTTTCGTGAGTATACGTCATTTTTTCTAGTGGAATTGGAGTGGAGATTGGAGAAATGTCTCTTTGTGTAGTTCGAGGATGAGTTGATGATACGACAGCAGTGTGGCTAATACCAAACGGCGGCCAAGTTAAATATACTTTCCGCAGCAGTCAAAAGAGGAATTTTTCCCTGGCAATGCCTCAGACAAAATTCGGGGTATAATACTCTCGCCTGGGCAAAAGTCGAGTCTATTCTCGGGTCTCAGGGTCCAAGGCGTTTTCAGACTCAACTACGAAACTACTCAGTCAAAAGCATGACACCATAATCAGCAACACCCCTATACCACTATGATCTACAGGCAACGCCAGCGTATCCAGGTTCTCGAAGCTTTAACCCTCGCCATACCCCTCTCATGGAGTCGTACACAACGCCTGTTGATATTCTCCATCCAAATTTACAAAATGAAGTGTGGGGCGGGAAGGCAGGCTCTTTCCAACGAGATTTGTGGCCGCATTCGACGGCAGCATGCTCTAATACTAATACTGAGGCTCTCTGACGCGCTGAACAAGGCTTATTGAAACTATACAGAATTGACCGTCAGCGGTTTGACCACGATCAGACTACGTACACAGATGTGAGACTAAACCCAAATAGGTATCCCGTCCCGGTAAATGCTCCCTGCTAGACTTCCATTTCTCTTCATTGACTCTGCTAAAGATCCCTACGTTGGCTGACACTGTTGACAGTCCTACGATATAACTTGCAAGTCCTGGTGCACGTGGTTTTAAGCTCCGTGTCTCTTTCACGTGCCAGATAAGCACGCAGACGAATAACAAAAAAAGAAAAGCGGTAATTCGACCATTCAACCGGCCCTGCATTTACTTTTTTTCACCAGTGGACGAACGGCGATCACCATGGACCTCGCCATCGGTATACTAAAAGACGCCATGCGACGCGGGGGTGCGAACGGGCGTATCGGCAGCCATGATGGTGCGGTGCACCTCATCAACACCACGCATCACGTCATCCGCCCACCCAAACATCCAACCCCCACCTCATAGGCTCTCTCGCCCAAAACTCTGCCATTGACTAGCTGCTCGATGCGATAAGAAAACTGCTCCATGATGCACGCCTGCCGATCCGGCTCCGCTGATTGGGCCATGGAGAATTTTGCGCTGTGCATTGAGTTGAAGCTTGATCGCTTGTTCGGACGGCTGGGATTGCGGGATCAACGCATGGAGAGATACTTAAAAAGGGCCAGAACGTTGGATGCTCATTGAGAAAGAAATTCAGCTCCCCTCAACAACGCACGCATTGCACATCAGGTATCCGAGATGGCTGTGGAGATTTTGGCCCGAGATGGCTCAAGTGGTGAAGCTCTTGCGCCGCCGCTTTCGCAGGCTGTGGGGTACGTTGTTGTGGTAGCGGTTGGGCTGGTCATCGCTTTTGGTAAGTCAAAACCACAGTTCTCCAATTACAAGGCGTAACAGCATCTAATCATTTCGAAGGAATGGTTTTTGTAACCAAGATCTTGAAGAAGACTGTCGGTGAGGATAACGAAAAGACGGAAGTATTCATGACAGCCAATCGTTCTGTAACTCGAGGCCTTACCTCATCAGCTGTCATCTCCGTAAGTTGAGACGGCAAAACATTCAGTTCTACAGATTTGAATTGCTGATTATGCTGCAGTCCTGGTTATGGAGTACCGCCATGCTCGGATCTTCATTGGTCGGGTACCAGTACGGCGTCTCCGGCCCCTTCTGGTTTGCGGCAGGGTGCAGCCCTATGATTGTGTTCTTCGCACTCCTGGGTATTTCTTGCAAAAGAAAGATTCCAGAAGCACACACCCTGCTCGAGATTGTCAGGATTCGTTATGGTGAGGCTCGGTAAGCGAGGAGAGCAGAAGACATCTCACTAACCTTTACAGGAAACATCGCCCACATCGTTTACATGGTACTTTGCCTGTTGAACAACCTGTTTGCTTGCGCAAACATGCTGCTGGGTGCTTCTGCTGTCATCACGGCCATGTAAGCGGTCCTGTATTCTGGCGATGCTACACCGGAACGATGGCTGACGTATCCCAGGACCGGAATGCATGTCATCGCGGCAACCTTCCTTCTTCCGGTCGGTGTCGCGCTCTACACCTTCGTCGGTGGCATCAAAGCAACGTACTTCCCCTAAGATCCTTGGAGTTTCTTCAAGCAGATGCTGATCGAATTGTCCAGCTTCCTGACTGATTACCTCCACACCTTCACCATCCTCATCATTCTCTGCTTCTTCACCGTCAAGGCCTTCACAGTCGAGGAGATAGGCTCTCTCTCCAATCTCTTCGAAATTTTCCAGCAAGCCGGCTTCCGCCATCCGGTCTCAGGAAACCACGATGGCTCGTACTTGACCATGACGTCCAAAGGCGTAAGAACCCCTTCCGACACATGATTCCCTAGCCAAGCATGCAGCTCACGCACAGAAAACCCAGGGCATCCTCTTCGGCATCATCCACATCTGCGCCAACTTCGGCCTCGTCATCGTCAGTCCACCTCTTTCCCCCTCCCCCTCCCCCTCAACCCCCATCAGCTAACACACACACGCCCCCCGCAGATGGACACCAGCTTCTTCATCAAGGCCTTCGCCGCCTCCCCCTCGGCCGTCGTCCCGGGCTACGTAATCGGCGGCATCGCCTACTTCGCCATCCCCTGGGCCGTCGGCACGCTCGCCTCCTCGCTCGTCCTCGGCCTGGAGTCGTCCGCCATCTTCCCCACCTACCCTCGGCGCATGACTTCTGTTGAAGTGTCGAACGGGCTAGTTTTGCCGTACGCCTTCATCCTCGTCGCGGGAAAGGGCGGCGCAGCGTGCATACTGCTGATCACCTTCATGGCCGTGACGTCGACGCTGTCGGCGCAGGTGATCGCCGTGAGCAGTATCCTCGCGTTCGACGTGTACCGGACGTACGTGAACCGCGGGGCGGGCGATGCGGATGTGATTCGGTGGTCGCATTATGGGGTTGTGGGGTTCGCGGTGTTCGCGGCGGCGTTTAGTACGATGTTGCATTATGTTGGGATCGATTTGGGGTGGACGCTGTATATGCTCGGTGAGTGGTGGCCACCGCCTTCTCCCCCCTTCCATCCTCAACCCCCGCCCCTCCTCCCCAAAACGCTAACCCTCCTCCAGGCGTAATAACCTGCCCCGGCATCTTCCCCACCGCCCTCACCATCCTCTGGCGCCAGCAATCACGCGCCGCCGCCATCCTGGCACCCACCCTCGGCATGGCGACCGGCATAGCCGTGTGGCTCGGCACGGCTCACGCTTTCTACGGCGAAGTGTCCATAGCGTCTACCGGCGCGACGCTGCCGTGCATGTACGGCACAGTTGCGGCGACGGTTGCGCCGCTACCGTACTCGCTCGCCATCACCGCACTGACGGGCGGGCAGGGGTGGGAGTGGAGCGAGTTCAGGCGGGAGAAGTTGGCGTTTGAGGTGGAGGTTAGTGGGCGGGATGCGGGGTTGGAGAGGGCGGTGGAGAGGGGGGTGGAGGGAGAAGGGGGAGGCGAGGATGTGGAGGAGGCGAGGAAGAGGTTGAAGAGGTGGGGGAGGATTGCGGCGGGGTGGGCGGCGGCGACATTTTTGGGGCATTGGGTGCTGTGGCCGTTGCCTATGTATGCGGCGAGGTATGTGTTTGGGGAGAAGGTGAGTGGTTTCTTCTTTCTTTTCTGGTGTTGCCGTGAGGTGGGGAGGAGTTGGTGCAGGAGGAAAGGCCCCTGGTTTCGGATGAGCTGACAATAGCATCTGACAGTTCTTCGCGGCGTGGCTCGTCATCGCCATCATTTGGCTGTGGGGGACGCTGCTGGTTGCGGGATTTTACCCGCTAGTTGATGGCCGCGACCAGATTCTAGCAGTGTGGAGGGGTCTTCGATCCGGTTCTGGGAAGTCACACCAGGGTAACGCTGACAACTCGACATCCGCCAGCGATGGTGAAGGCAATGGCTCGGACGGATCGAAGACGACAACGCCGGGAGAGTCCAAGAACGAGAGTTCGTTTGACGTCATCGCGAAGGCTGAGACGATAGGAAAGTAATCAACAACGGAGTTGCAGGGTATCATTTGCAAGCAAGACGACATAACGGCGCAATGGTACTTCCCCGCAGGCCAGGGGTCAACAACAAGATCATCGGTTATCGGGAGCTTGGTGGACGGCAAGCGGAAGAAGGTGGCAGCCATGGAAACCAACGCGGACCGGATTCGGAAGGCTAAGCATTGAACAGCAACCAATGAGATGCTTGAGATGCGGTACCGGTGATCCACTACCGAAAGCTTGACCTCTGGGCCTCCGATCGCAATGATGTCTTCGAACCTGTTAGTAATAAAACACCTTGCCAACGGTTATCGCCAACCCGATAAACTATCTCTGTCAGGCGTCACCACCATGATCTCTACATGACACAACTCCCCCACCACCTTCACCTTCCTCCCATCATAACCACATCCCCCGCACCCCACCATGCCCACCCAAAAACAATCCTCTCGCCACCGTCGGCTCCGGCTGAGCCGGCTTCACTCTGAGCCAAAACGCTGCCGCCCTCTCGCGCTACAACGTCACCGTCATCTCGCCCCCCATCCGCACCGTGCAGTACACAGCGCGCTCCTCGCCTTCTCGGTCGCCCGCGTCTCGTACGCTGCCGGCCCGACGTGCGGCTGGTCGGGGACGATGGTCGGACGAACGTGCAAGAGCAGTCCGGCCGGCAGCGATGGTGAGGGTGGGGAGTTTGATATCCGGTATGATAAGTTATGTATTTCCCCCCGGTTGCGGCTGCGGCGTCCGGGACCTCGGGCACGCCTGGTGCGACCGGCTGCTCGTCCGCATCGGCGGCGGTGGCGGCGGCGCGGTCGGGGATCGAGGCTGCGGATCACGATTCACAAGGCTGAGAAACGTGGAGAAATGGCCTGATAAATTCCATTGTTACTAACCCACCAGCATCCAATACCATAAAAACACCCTCCTCCACGTCCACAATCACTACAAGATGGTGTATCTCTGTGAGGAAGGCGGCATGGGGTAACAAGTTGCATGCTTCTCAAGCGTGCTGCGGAGCGGAATGCCTGCAGGTAGGAACAGCACAATGATAACTATCGCCTTCCTGCTCCACGAAGCCCGAGCAACCGCACAGATTGCAGTGGCCACTTCCATCCGATGGGGCCCCGACAAGTGATTGTTCTCCTTCTTCACCGTCTATGTTCAACTGTTCAGGGTAGGCTGGCGGACTAGGAGAGGCGAGCATCAAGTCATCGCCGAAGGGGTATAGTGAGGCCATGGTGCGATGGTGGATTTCTGTTACTTCTGCTGGGGTCAGAAATGGCTGTCACTGAAAAAGCTGTTCGGAAGCAGACTAGTACCTGTGCGGTAGGTCGTGGTAGATGTTTGACTTGAGGAGTGAGGTTGGATGGTGGTGGTAATACTTGAACTCGAAAATCCTCCGAACACACCACCTTATATGTTGACCTATCTGCCCACCCCCACCCCCCATAAAACCACATATAGAACCTTTCTCCATAGTAAATGACCTTCAATTTCTGGCGCATGACGGGTGTGATGCGGGGATCAAGAAGCGGGGTGCGGGGCTTTCATCTTCATTTGCTAATGTGTGGTCAGCCTTGGTGGGGACTGAGGAACAGAAACCCAGAAGATGACTCTAGATGAAGAATTGTGACGTTTTCTACTTATTCCCGTGAGAATGATTGGATACAATGATAGTTCACCATAGAAACCGGGCGTCGACAAAGCCTCAGCCTTGTGATACAAGTTGCGCCATCCTTCTTTCCGGGCTGACATATCGCGCATCAATATGATAGCTCACTAAGGCTTCAAACTTCTATTCCTTCTGCTTCCTTTCGCAAGGCAAACAAAACAAGACGAATCAGTAGAGAAGAGTATTCCTGCGGGCTGATGGTAAGATTCACGGCGATCTTTTTACGTTTTCGAAACTATGTAATGAGTGTGGTTCCGGTAATCTGGTCGAGTTGTCGTCTTTATTCCCTTTCCTCTTTTCTCTAAGCACTTTCTTAAGATTAGAAAGACACATACAGCTTGTATATGCATTTTCTTTTATTACATGGATGTTCTTTAAAGGAATGCAGAAACCAGAATGGTTACCAAAGGGATTTTTCTCCAAGTCATACTCAAAATTCGAACATATATGAAACTACTCACGCTGGGAGCCAAATCGTTTATATACCATACGCTCCTTCAACCAAGAATAACCGTCGCAAAAGTAGGATTCAGCATCGACCATTTGGTAAGAAACACCCATCCGATGCCTATCCGATATGCCACGCCCGCATCCCATTTGATCATCATAATGTTGATAACCGGGGGTGGCAGAAGCGGTCGCCCATCAGGATCATGCACTGTAACGTCCGAGCCTCCAAGTCTTCTTGGTATATCTCCCCGATCAACTCCCCAACGATCCCTTAACGATTCGTTAGCTAGCTACATATCTCTTCAAGGCAATTTAAGCTTACTTTTTTCCTGGGTAGATAGCCGCATCCATCAACCCCAGCTGCTTGTATCGATACATCATGCGTCCAATCATGTCATTGCCTGGTTTTCCTACTGACAATGCAATACATTGATTCGATATTCTGTCTTGTGCCTGACCAGCGTCCAAGTCAAAGTAGGCTTGGCCTACGATGGAATCGTTTTTGTCGTTAATGTAAAAGCAGCCAAACTCTTTGTTATGTTCATCTGGAATTAGCCCCACTTCGGCCACTGACGTCGTTATGGAAAGCCTTTCGGGCTCAGCGAGACGCGATACCAGCCCTCGGCGGTCGACAGCTTTGCTAGAGGAAGTTCGACGAATTGTGGCACTCTCAAGGTCTTTGAGATAGTCGTGGTATTGTGGCCACTTTTCCTTGAGTACCGATTCCATCTTCTGAAGCGACTGCGGAAACACAAATTTTGTGTGCTCTCGTCGTTCCTCCCAGACGAGCGAAAACGCTGCAAATGCGTATACAGATGGTGCATGGTTGTCATCTTTGAACGGATAATCATGCTTATTTAATTTTCTGTTCCGTTCCCAGGTGACTGCATTCGACACGCGGGAGAGCGAACGTTTGTCACGTCGCATCAAGAGCGCTACAGGGCTGCAGTAGTGCAGAAGCCGATAATCGGTTCTTCCGCAGGCACGTGCCCAGGTCCAGCTCGGTATCTTGGTTTCGTTGTCACTCACACGTGGTGAGCATCCATCTCCAATGCGAAACGTGCGCCAGAGCAAAGCATTTTCGAAATGTGTTCTCGGAAGGCCGTATAGTAGTTCATCCAATGTTCCGTATGTGTGCTCGAAAATTCCAAAGAAAGCGTTGTAGACATCCGTTGCGTGCGAAAAATTGCGCCTATTGTAGTTGTACACGATGCCCTTGTATGCTGAGAACCTGGATCGTGTTCTCAACTCTTCGGCGCCGCTCTTAGACCATGGTATGTGAGGTCCTTCACATTCAGAGTCGGGACCGCATTCCATTTCAACGTGAGTCTCTGCAAAGAGGAGTTTCCGTGGTGATAATAAATATTCCTGGTACGTCCAGCCCCGTTCCCACCACATTTCGCCACGATGTGCAGAGGTAGTAAAGATGCAAGGCGCCAGAACAAGCCCTGAGATTTGCATTCCACCTGGAAAGATAGTTCGCGGCCTGGTATCCAGTCCAAGGAGACCATGATTGGCGTTGGTGCCCGCAACAGCACAAATGGTAACGTATGCTCTAGAATATATCGATCCCATGGCAGTAATCTGGGACATCTTGTGGGAAGACCCATCTTGTATGATACAAAGTCGATCAACCCAAAGGTAGCGAATGCCGAGTTTTGCGCATACAGCTAGTGCATCATCTATCGTTGCCGGTAAAAGCTCCCCACTCAGACTTCCGGGCTCCTGGAGATGTTGGCGGTTTGCGCTGGTAAGCTCAAGCCGATTGGGATGCTCTAGCTCCCCCCACACATAACTGAGCGCCGCGTACTTGCAATCATCTGGGGCTTCGGTAATGCAACCCCTTTTGATATCAATGACCATGAAACCTGCAGGGAGATGCATACGCGAAACTCCATGATGTTGATGGAGCTCGTCATTGTGCTCTTCTGGGTCCCCCTTTTCCAACCATTTTTGGATCCTTTTCCACGATATGGTGCTCCCTGCTGTGCTCATCTCCAGCGCTGATGCTCCCATAGAAGGGTCAGGCTCTCGTTCAAGGAACGAAACATCGCCATTACCGAATGTGTTGTACCGGCCATCGTCATTGCTGGAGAATTCGATCGTAAAGTTGTTCCACCGCCCTGCTTCTATGTCCCGCTCTGTCCGGGGTCTAAGAATGAAACCGATACGGATATCATCCGTTTCTAATTCCCTTTCTAGTTTTTGAATCACTTCAGTCTGGCCAAGATAGCGCATTTCATACGAGTGAATGATGATTTGACAGAAAGCGCACTCTCTTCGTGTAAATCCCCGAGCCAATCGAAACTTGACCACAAGATCCCTTTTTTTATCTTCCAGAGAGATTTTCTGAAGGCCGCAAGTAAACAAGTGCCCAATTCGTAGGTGTTGACACCTAGCGCAAAGTTCGTTGTCGTCGGTCTTGAGTTGATCGCATTTGGAGCAATCACCAAAGAGAAATTCGTCCGCTTTTTCCTTCTCTTCCCAGTCGCGAAAGACTGAAGGCTGGAATTCGCAATTTTTTTCGCTGCACCGGCCATGCTCGTGGTAAGACATGACCGTGTTGGGGTTGTCTTGGTTTTAGGTCCCCGCGATGAGGTGAACTGATGAGCAAAATCGATTCTTATACCGTCGACCGGGTGAACTTCCGCCCGGCTCTACGCGCGGGAGTGGAACCGTCTTTTAGATTTTCTCTACTTTATTGGCTACCGTATGTCCTCCGCACTACGTGTTGAATTGCTCGGCCAATGGAGAAGTGGGGGAGTGGATCTGTGGTGCGGAGATACCGTGCGTGAGCGGTCGGGAGAACATTACCTTAGCGGTCTATTTAGGTGTATAGCTAGCCTTAGTAATGCACTTAGCTCTTATACAATAAAATAAGCGGTTACTAAAAACCATTTAACCTTAACTGTAAGGCGACTTATCACTGGGCCAGCCGTCCAAACGGCATGCAAAATAGTGGGTACGACTGCTGCAATTACAGGCAGTCGCCGGTTGGTTGACTGATGACTGGTAGTGTGCTCTTGCATGTTTGATGATCACTTGTATTATAAGTTGTCAGCTACAGCCTCGATCAGACTCTCATAATGGCGGAGTCGCTGCTCATCTCCAGCTGATCTACAAAGATTTCCACTGTCACGCTCTCGGGCACACCCCACCACTCACTCTCCACCAACATGCACCCAATGGACCCACCAACTCGGCCGGCAAAGCACTGCGTCCACCTACTTACGCTCGCGGCGCCGCCTTCCAAAACGCCACGCACGTCTCCCTCGCCGGCTGCAACACAATATCCGTCTTAAGCCCCGGGTGTCCATCCGTCCGGTTCTCCACCCTCTCAAAGCGCTGCAACAATCTAACAATCGTATACGCCATCTCCGTCAGGGCGAACTGCTGGCCGATGCAGATTCTTGGCCCGCCATTAAACGGAATATACGTCCACGCACGGGGGGTCCACGAGTCCCACCGCTCCGGCGCGAATGAGAGAACAGGCGGAAAGGACTCGGACACGGGGGGGTAGACGTCGGGCCGGCGCTGCATGGTGAGGGTGGAGTAGGCGACGGGCGTGTCGCGGAGGACGCCAATGGGCGAGTTGCCGTCGGGACCGCCGCCGCGGGGCAGGGTCGTGTCGCGGAGGGCGAAGCGGATGTTGAAGGGGACGACGGGGTAGAGGCGGAGGGTCTCGTTGATGGTGTGCTTTGAGGTATGTGTCAGCGCGCGCGCGGGGGGGCTGCATTGTCGCTGCTGATTGGTCGCTTACCTGGAGGTACTTCATGGACTTCAGATGCTCGTAGGTAGGCATGGCCTCGTCGCCCACCACTCTGAGAATCTCTTCCCTCAGTTTCTGCACGACCTTTGGGTGGTTGGAAAGCTCGTAGAAGAGCCAGGACAGGGTGCAGGCGGTGGTGTCTCTGCCGGCCAAGAGGACGGCTGCGAGTTGATCACGGAGAGTGGCGCGATCCCTCGTGTAAGAGGCGAGCGCGTGCAAAAAGGTGTAGCCCTCGTCGTTCTTGGTCCTCTTTTCCAGCTCTTCCGGGGAGAGGCTCAAAGCTCGATCGATGAAGGGCTCGATGAACTCGTTCATGGTCTGGATGTCCTTACGGAACTGCTTACGCGGCAGCAGCCAATTCACGGGCCTGCCAAGGTCAGACGAGCAGCCCGATTTACGGGGGATTCGGCATACCCGCTCTTAGCAATCAATCCCTGCACGTGTTGGACGTCGGCAAACGCCTGGGCGAATTTTGCCTGTGGGTTGTCCAAACTTTCTACGCTGCAGCCAAGCAAGAAATCGGTGGCTGCGTCCAGTGTATATCTATTGTCACCGTCAGAATGAGCGGTCTGACAGGAAATCGGGGCGCATGCCTGAAGAACAGGTCCATGACATCGACAGTCTCGCCATTGCCGCCGAGATGGTCCAGCAGAATGTTGATGTGTCTCTCAAAGACATGGATGTCGCTGAGACGATCCCTGACGAATTGAGGCCGGATCAGCTGGCGCGCATTGTGCCACTTTGGGCCGTCAGTGGTGAAGATGCTGTCGCCCAGGAAATCGTGCCACTCTTGGTTGAAGCGCTCGCCCTTGCCGTAGTCGGCGAACTGCGTGGCCAGGATGGCCTTGATGTTGTCCGGGTCGGCGGTGAAGATGGTACGCACGCCGCCCACGGCGGCTTCGACGGTGTAGGGGTTGGTCGGGTTGCCGGCGGTGCGGAAGAGATCGAGCCAGAAGTCGTAGCTAGCGTTCCCGAGGGTCGCTTTCACGGCCGTGTATACGAGATCCAGACCCAAGGGAAGGTAGGTGGTGCGGACGGGGGCACAGCCACCTAGGGCGCGGAGTCTGGAGGCGGCATTGACGCGGCTGGCGAGCGCGCGCACCAGATAGAGCAGGACGGCGAGGACGGCAAGGGCGACGGGCGACGTGTGGTCGAGCAGCTCCTCGAGCATGATGACGGGTGGTCGGCGGCGGGCAGGACGCAAGGGAGCGGCGATGTGAAGCGACGGGAGCGCATGACGGGCGTGAGCATTCGTGTGGTGTGCGGGAAGTATGTATTGGTTGCTCGACTCCTCGGCCGGAGGTAAGTTGTGCGTCTGAGTCCGTGGAAGACGAGAGGCGCGTCGATCGATCGATACCCCACGCCACGCGGGAAAGCCACAGGAACCAGCCGTTGCGGGGTAAAACAGCCACAAAAAAGTAAATGCGTACTGTTACATAACATGCTATTTGAATTTCCAAACTGTGCTTCTACTATCCACTTATATGCAATCCAGTCCTGCATTTTAGAGCGCACACTGCGTTCCGTTCTGGGTGCAGAACGGCATCTGGATCGGCTCAGCCTGCACGCCGCGCGCCACTAGCCGCTCGCGGAAGTCGCTCAACCGCGGGCTCGCCGTAATTTGGCTTCTGTTCTGGCCCTGCTCGTCCTTGGCTCCGCTCCACAGCACCTCTGCGGCGGCAGCTGCACGCGGCCAAACCATGCTGTCGATGACCACTGGGTCCGTCTGCTCCGCCCAGATGTGGCACTCGCCGCCCACCACAAGGTGCGTCTGGTTGGCCGGGACGCCGCTCAGCGGGTCGTACGCGTACATCAGCCTCCAGCTCTTGCGCGGAGAGCAGTAGTCCGCGAAAGGGAAGAATCCCGCGGCCGTCTCGGGGCTGAAGTCCAGCCATTGGCCCTTGCCGCAGTCGAGATACTAAAACAATAATGTCAATCGATTGCCGAGCCCCGCGTCTACGATGTAGCACTTACCCAGTAGTTGTAGTTGCCCGCGAGAGCCTTGTGGCCACTGGCGACCGTCTGCGCGACAGCCTCATCCGACTGCCACGTCTGGACCAGGACGTCCTTGCCGAGCGTGAGGTTCCACTGGAGGAGCATCTCCTCCCACACAATCGGCCTGAGACCATTGGCGCGGATCTGGTCGTGGTTGCGGTCGACGAACTTCTGCATCAGCGGCTGGAGGATCGCCGTGTCATTGGACCGGACCGTGTCGTCCAGCAGGTACGACTGGATGTTGACCTCGTCGCCTCCGCTGTGGAAGTAGGACGAGTACGGCTCGACGCGCGGCAGCACGTCGTCGAGCAGCTTTTCGAGGAAGTCGTAGACCTTGGTCGAGTTGAGCTTGAGGGTGCCACACGGCGGCTCAGCGCAGTACGTGGACCAGTCGGGCTGGACGTTGAACGCCGCGATGAGATCCGGGTCCGTGAAGGCGATGGTGGCCGTGTGGCCCGGCATGTCGATCTCCAGGATGGGCTCAATGCCGAGCAGGTTGGCATAGTTTTGGATGTCCTTGAGATCCTCAGGCGTGTAGACAAGGTTGGAGGCGTAGGCGCCCTTGGCCGAGAGCTCGGGGATCGAAGGAACCACGAGCGGCCAGGACTGCGAGTCGGTGATGTGCAGGTGGAAGCGGTTCATCTTGGCAAAGGACATGGCGTCCAGCATGCGCTTGATGTCGTCAACAGCAAAGTAGTTACGCGAGACATCCATGTTGAGGCCGCGGTGGGCGAACTTGGGCGCATCCTCGATCTCGACGGGGACCAGGCTGGTGTACGAACCGCCTTCGGAGTGCTTGAAAAACAGCTGCGAGAAGGTCGTCAGGCCGTGCAGCAGGCCAATGGACGAGGCCGCCGAGATGACGACCTCGCCCGACTCGGGGACGCTGAGCGAGTACGACTCGTCGACCGAGTCGTCGAGCGGGGCATTGGCATTGGGCGGGTCGGCCTGCGTCTGCTTTAGGGAGATGGACGAGATGAACTGCTTGTCGGCCGTGGACGGCTCGAAGTCGGTCATGCGCGGGTGGAACTTCCACGGCACGAACGACTGATCGAAGATGGTCTTGTGGGTGCGCTGGATGGCATTCTGCACGAGCTGTTGCGGGGTAGACGAGTTGTACGACGCCGTCTGGGGAATGTCAGCCGCAGCCGTGCAGGGAAGCGGGAGCCTCAGGTACCTGATTGCTGGGGGCGTCGTAAGTGACCTTGACGTCACTGCTGATCCACAGCGTGGTGTTGCCGGCGCTGTACTGCGAAGGAATGGGCCACAGCGCGGCGGCGAAGGGCGCGCCGGCGGCGAGCAGGGCGAGCGGCTTCATGGTGCGGCGCAAAGAAGATCAGGGGAGAGATGGTGCAAGGGGCGCGAGGCTCTCGTTCGCGAACGGGTGCGGGAAGTATATAAACGCGCGCGCGCCGAGATGGATGGGGACGTGTCACCGGGCGGTGTCACTGCATGAGCTTAAGAAGCGAGCGGCTGGGAAACCCTGGAAAGCCAATATACCTACACGGTCAGGCTGGGCGATGCAACGCTGCGGCTAGGGCCCGGTGCTGACAGGCGCCAGCCTTCAATCTCTTCCATCCCTGCACCCGCCTGTGGCATTCCGTTTGCGCTCCTTGATGGGCTGGCTGGCCGCATCGCCCCCAAATGACTCGCCTCCAGGAGATCGCCATCTCGTTCGACGCCGTCGACTCGCGCAGGAGCGCCATGTGCGGGTAAGGTTTGCGGATCAAACGCTGGCGTCGAAACATGGCTGCCAAGACGCCCTGTACTGAGACGTCGGTCGGCCGGCCCCTCATCCTGCACGCCCTCTCTCTCCACACTGCAGAAGCCGGCACATTGGTATATATAGCAACTGTACATCCATTCCTTCGCCTGCTGGCGCGCTCTTATTTCCTTTTGCGGCGTCAGGCTGACTGTGAAGTCCGCTTTGCTGCTGACGCCCTTCTCATTCTATCTACTGACGTGGTTCTCATCAATATTACAATTACAGAGTATTATCTACGTCAAACGCCAAACGCTATGCTGTTCCGGGTATAATGATCGCTTACGAAAGGAAAAAAGTCAGGACAAAGGAAGACGCAGCAACAAGGCTCAGCCACCCGGGCCCAGATCCGCCCGATCCGTTGGCAGCCGCAGTCGGCGTCGGCGACGCGCTTCCCGACGTCTCCCCTTGCGCCTCCAAGGCATTCTTGTTCTGCGATGACACTGCCGTGGCGCTTGGCGCTGCCGTCACGGGACCGCGCCAATAGTCCGACTTTTCCGCGCCGCCCGCCGTAACCGTGACGACCGTGGTGAAGCCTTGGTGGTCGAAGGTGGTGAAGACTTCAATGTCTCCAGCCGATGAGGAATCCGGCCGAGACGCTGCAGACGACGAGGTAGGCGAAGCGGGTGGGGATGTCGACTGAGAAAAAAAAAAGTCAGCAGGTGCGTCACGAGGAAGAGTCATGTACGAGATGAGGCCTTACGCACAGGGGCCGAGCTGGGCGGAACGACCTTGCCGGAACTTGTCACGGTCCAACCGCTTGGGAGGCCTGGGTAGCTGGTGGCCACCTGAGTCGACGTCGAGAGCGTGGTTGACTCGGGAACCCACGGATATACTGACGGCCTGACATAGGTGGACGACGAGTCGTGCGTGCCTGACCAGGGGATCGGTTGTCCGCTGGAGCTCGAAGTCACGGCCGGGGCGGCGCTGTCGACCTCGCTGCCGCCAGAGTGGACGGTGCCGTCGACGGCCACGATGGATTCCCAGGTGCCGCTGCTGTCGCCGTACTTGTACTGGGTGCCGGTCGAGTAGTCGGTGACGGCGAGGGACTTGAGCTGCATGACGAACGGTCCCTGCGAGTAGTCCGTAGGCCCACGCGCCCACTCAACGGTGCCAGCAGAGTTAAGGTCAGGGTCTCCGCCAGCCCAAGATCCGATCTTGATCTGCATGGGCGTCTGCGGGTACTGGCCGCTGGCATCAGCCGGCTTCAGCGCGCGGACGGTTACGCCGTCAATCTGCCACACCAGCTCCTCGGCAGTCCATTCGATCGTGTACGTCTTGAAGCCGGTCTGGCTGCCAGGGTCCGAGTGGAAAGCGCCGCGGTTGTACGTGGTCGTCTGGCCCTTGCCAAAGTAGTTGGTCTGCACCTCGTCGGCGTCCGAGCCCAGCCACTCCCAATCTATCTCGTCGAGGTCGTCGGACTGCAGGATGGCGGAGCTGACGATTCCGGCGCCGGGCGAAGCCTTCAGAGAGAACTCGACCTTTCCGAACATGATGTACCATTTGGACTCGATCTTAGGCGAGTCGCCTGATTTGGTGATGGTGAAAGAGGCGCCATCGGAGCCGTAGGACACGGGACCACTGGACGTGAAGCTGTCGGACTGCTCGGAAAAGTCAATGTCGACAGACCTCCCTAGGGCGGGGTTGGTCTGCGCGCTCGCGCTGCCGAAAAACAAAAGGGCAGCGGATGCGAGCGCCGCGGCGGTGGTGGCGCACGAGGGCGTTCTCATGTCGGTGGTGGAGACGGTGGAGATGCAGTGGAGGCAGTGGAGGCTCAAAGAAGAAGTGTGGACAAGCTAGAAGGATGATGCACAGAGTGACGCGGCGCAGAAAAGAAGGTTTCTTGCAGCAAGTGGTTGTTATAGGACACACCACCAGCCATCGCATTTCACGAACGACGCCATAAAGCGCCGGGCCGCCTCTAAGAGGAACGCTGAGACTAGGCAGCCCGGCGTCATGCGACGTGGCAGCGGCGTCGCCGGATCGCTGTTGGCCGCAGCGAAAGTGTCGGGGCTGGAGAGAGGGAAAAAGAGGAGGCTGAACCAGCCACTCGCGGCGCGCTCCAGACCGACACTTTCCCCGGATTCCGCGTGCGCGCGACTTCGGCCCGCCCGCCTGACCGCACCAAGAAAAAAATGCTCGACGACTGAGCGCCAACTTCCCTCCGCAGCACCTCTGACCGATCCCCCGCACCAAGCAGGGCCCCGCCTGTGCTCCGGCTATTTTTGACTTGCACCTGCCACGTGAGCCGCACCTGGCCCAGCCCAAGCGCTCGTCGTCCCTAACCACGCCAACCAGTCATGTCTCTGACGAACGCCGACCCCTTGGAGGCTGCGCGCTCTGCCCGCCTGGCATCGCGCACGCTCGCCGTGCTGCCCGCCCAAGCTCGCAACGACGCCCTGACGGCCATTCACGATGCTCTGGCCGCCGCACGCGACGACATCCTGGCCGCGAACGCCCGCGATCTGGCCGCCGCCAACCAGGCCGCGCAATCTGGCGAGCTGAAGGAGAGTTTGATCAAGCGCCTCGACCTCGGCCGCAAGGGAAAGTACGAGGACATGCTGCAGGGCATCCTCGACGTCAGACTCCTGGACGACCCGCGTATGTGCATTCCTTACCTTGCATTGCCTTCGTTCTTGCGCTTTTGCACTGCTCGTCCTTGCACTGTTGTTTTCGATATTTACAGTACCACGTGAGTTGACCACTTCTAGTCGGCAGGATCGACGTGCGGACCCTGCTAGACGACGACCTTGTTCTCGAACGTCGCTCGTCTCCCATCGGTGTGCTACTCATTATTTTCGAGGCTCGCCCCGAGGTCATTGCAAACATTGCTTCTCTGGCCATCAAGTCTGGAAATGCCGCCATCCTCAAAGGTTCGTGACTCACGTTGCACCTCTGGCACCATCACTCATGTCACACAGGCGGAAAGGAGTCGACCGAGTCTTTCAAGGCCATCTCCACCGTGATCTCAACGGCGCTCGGCACCACGGCTGTTCCCAACGACTGCCTGCAGCTGGTGACGACCAGGGATGCCATTAAGCCCCTTTTGGAGCTGGACCAGTACATCGATCTCGTCATCCCACGCGGCAGCAACGAGCTTGTGTCTTCGATCAAGAAAAGCACGCAAATTCCTGTGCTCGGCCACGCGGACGGCTTGTGCTCGATTTACCTGCGGGCCGATTGCCCGGTCCCCATGGCCGTAAAGGTCGTCGTCGACGCCAAAACGAGCTACCCCGCGGCGTGCAACAGCGTCGAGACGCTGCTGGTGGACGAGGACGCATTGAGCACCGTCTTGCCCGCCGTTGCCGAGGGGCTGCTGGCCAAGGGCGTTCGGCTACGATGTGACGCGGCGTCAAAGGCGGCGCTTGCATCGGCGCTGGACAAGCATCAAGCGGCGTTCTTGCAGGATGCGGAGGACCAGGATTTCAGAACCGAGTTCCTGGACCTCATCCTTGCCGTCAAGACGATCGCGCGGGCGGCGAGCGCGGAGGAGGCAGCAGACGTGGCCATTGCTCACATCAACGAGCACTCATCGCACCACACAGACGCAGTGCTGACACAGGACCGGGCCATTGCTGAGCGGTTCCAAGACGGCGTGGACAGTTCTTCGGTGTTCTGGAACACCAGCACCAGGATGGCGGACGGGCAGCGGTTCGGGTTCGGCACGGAGGTGGGCATCAGTACCAACAAGATCCATGCGCGGGGCCCCGTAGGACTCGAGGGCTTGACGATCTACCGCTGGCGCCTCAATGGCAACGGACAGGCATCGGCAGAGTACGGGTCAGGGGGCAAGGCGTGGAAGCATCAGCGGCTGCCAGTGGGCGAGCAGGAACGGTACGCGGCCACGGAAGAAGAGTGGCAGGCGCTGCAGCAGTTCAGAGCGGCGCGCGGGTGAGCTTGTTGTTGTGTGTCAAAGGCGGGAGAAGTAGGAGGGCAAAAGGTTGGGCAGAGGGGCAGAATGGCGCGAGTCAGGGCGCTCGGCAGGTGGGGCGCGTCCACTTATCCGCGCAACAGCGGCGCTCGCGGTCGTCTTCCCCGCAGAAAGCGGCCGGCCCCATGACTTCACTCTTGCACTTGAGGGTTATTCTTACGTGAAAACGAGCACGCAGTAGTCAGCCATGGCGATGCAATGACAGCGCGAAAGCGCTGACTGGATGCCGTGCTCCATGTGACCGGTGAGACCGCTCCGATTCTCGCTGACCGTGCAGGGCCAGCGACGCCAGCGGAGCCAATGCGGGCTTAATGTGGATTAGTCCCAGGTACCAAAGTCGCGCATCGTGAGCTTTTGGCCCAGGGGACGACGAGGTTGTGCCGGTGCAAAGCGGCAGAGGAACAGGCTTCCCCAGACCTATTTAAAGCCCCGCCGAGCGACGCCGGGGGGATGCAAGCCAACCCGCTACTTCTCGTGCGCCTGCACGCCTCGTCGCTTTCGTTTCCGTGTCACCGCGCTGCGATAAGCCCGCCCAGCGCATAGATAGACAGGTCTGACGCGAAGCTTTAACTCTCCCCGCGCCCGCTGACACGCCTCCTCCAGACACTTGCCAGTCCTCTCTTTCATCCCGCCAAAATGGCCTCTACCGCTCCCCCCAACGGCGTCCAGAACAAGCTTCTGGACAGCCTCGTCCGCACGCCCGGCCGCCAACCGTCGCCCCAGCCCACTCACCTGAGCGTTCCCGGCTCGACACATCACCGCGTGTTGCAGGAGGAGGGTCCCGGATATGTCGCGCCAAAGTTCGAGGGCAAGGAGCAGCAGATGGAGACGTACGCTTAGAGCTGGAGAGCAGGCGGCATCTCGCAGTCGACTGACACATTGCAGGGTCATGGACCAGGTTGAGGAGAAGGGCTTCATTCCGGCCGACTTTGTCGAGTCCGAGACCAATTGGTTCTACAATGAGCTCGGCATTGACGACAGCTACTTTGCCACCGAGTCGGTCGAAGCGTAAGCTCCTTCCTGTCTGCCCCCATGCTGCCGCATTGCTGACCCGGCTGCCGCAGCATTGTGAACCACATCCACTCGCTGTACGCCGCCAAGATTGCCGCGTACGCCCGCGATGACAAGCTCCTCGAGATCCGCTTGGACAAGGAGGCCGCGGACCACGCCGTGTACATCGACACGAGCAAGCCCGGTGTCAGCAACATGGAAGGTCCGCAGTACGAGCGCCGCATCGACCAAAAGTACCTCAACCCCTCGCCGGGCGGCAGCATCTACCGCGTCGAAACCTTCCGCTCCGCCGGCCTGCTCCCCGGCGGCAACGAGCAGCAGCTCCGATGCTACTTTGTGTACCAGTGCGAGTTTGCCAACGATGCGGCCACGTCGGCCGGGGAGACGCAGCTGGAGAAGATTGGCGAGAAGCGTTTCCTGCAAAAGGCGACGCAGAACACCAAGGAAATCTACCAGCAGGTCCTCGAGAATGCCGTCTCCCGCACGGGCCCCGTCATCGAGTGCTTCGACATTGAGGGCTCCCGCGAGAAGCGCCTGGTCATTGCCTACAAGCAGGGCTCCGCGCTCGGCCTGTTCAGCGCCTTGAGCGACCTGGTGAGTCCGGCGACTTGTTGATTGGCCGCGATGCGCAAAGCTGACGCCCCGCCCCCAGTACCATTACTACGGGTTGACTTCATCCCGCAAATATGTCGGTACGTAATCGATTGCGGGGTTGTGCACTGTCGTTCGTATAAGGCTGACGCTTTTCCGAAAAGAGCAATTCTCGAACGGCTACACGGTCATGTCCATCTATCTGCGCCCCGCTCCGCAATCGGTCAGCTCGGCCCGTCACCCGCCGATTGAAGCCTCGATCCACCAGATCATCAAGGAGGTCTCTCTGCTGTACTGCATTCCGCAGAACAAGCTGCAGCTGCACTTTGCCTCTGGCAGGCTGAGTTTGCAGGAAACCATCTACGCTCACTGCGTGTGGGTTTTCGTCGGCCATTTCCTCAACAGATTAGGTAATAGGCATAATGTTGGGTTGCCTAACTGTCGCTAACCTCATTCGCAGGCTCCGAGTATACCACTCTGTCGTCGATGCTGGACAGCAACAACAGCGTGCATGCCGAACTGCTGTCCAGGCTCAAGCGCCGTCTCCGTACCGAGACCTTCACCGCCGACTACATTCTCGAAATCATCAACGAATACCCTGACCTCATCCACTCGCTGTACTTGACGTTTGCCAACACGCATTACGTCCAGACCAGAGGGGAGCAGGATGACTTCATTCCAACCCTGAGTTACCTTCGCATGAAGGTCGACAAGGTCTTGACCGACTCGGAGCTCGAGGCGCTCATCGCCAAGACCGTGACCAACGAGCACCATGCCATGGTCATGACGGCTTTCCGGACCTTCAACGCCAGCGTCTTGAAGACAAACTTTTACACCCCGACCAAGGTCGCCCTGAGCTTCAGGCTCAACCCCACCTTCCTTCCGCCTTCCGAGTACCCGCAGCCGTTGTACGGCATGTTCTTGGTCATTAGCTCCGAGTTCCGCGGCTTCCACCTCCGCTTCAGGGACATCGCACGTGGAGGCATCCGCATCGTCAAGTCGAGGAGTTCCGAGGCTTATGCCATCAACGCCCGGTCGCTCTTTGACGAAAACTACAACCTTGCGAACACGCAGCAGAGGAAGAACAAGGACATCCCCGAGGGTGGTTCCAAGGGCGTTATCCTCCTCGACGTCCGTCACCAAGACAAGGCCAGAGTCGCCTTTGAAAAGTACATCGACAGTATCCTGGACCTGCTGCTCCCTCCGACCAGCCCGGGTATCAAGGACCCGATCGTCGACCTGCACGGCCAGCAGGAGATCCTGTTCATGGGTCCGGACGAGAACACCGCTGACCTCGTCGACTGGGCCACCGAGCACGCCAGGGAGCGCGGCGCGCCCTGGTGGAAGTCGTTCTTCACCGGCAAGAGCCCCAAGCTCGGTGGAATCCCCCACGACCGCTACGGCATGACCACCCTCTCCGTCCGCGAGTATGTGCTCGGCATCTACCGCAAGCTCAGCCTCGACCAGACCAAGATCCGCAAGCTTCAGACCGGCGGACCGGACGGCGATCTCGGTTCCAACGAGATTCTCCTGGGCAACGAGCAGTACACGGCCATCGTGGATGGCTCCGGCGTCCTTGTCGACCCCAACGGCCTCGACCGCGACGAGCTGGTGCGCTTGGCCAAGAGCCGCCTCATGATCTCGAACTTCGACACGGCCAAGCTCTCTCCGGAGGGCTACCGCGTCCTGGTCGAGGACAACAACGTCAAGCTGCCCAGCGGCGAGATCGTCAACAACGGAACGCAGTTCCGCAACACGTTCCACCTGCGCGACGGCTCCGCCTATGACATCTTCGTCCCGTGCGGCGGCCGTCCCGAGTCCATCGACCTCGGCACCGCCAACAAGCTCATCGTCGACGGCAAGTGCCTCATCCCGTACATTGTCGAAGGCGCCAACCTGTTCATCACCCAGGACGCCAAGCTCCGCCTCGAGAAGGCGGGCTGCATCCTGTACAAGGACGCGTCGGCCAACAAGGGCGGTGTCACTTCGTCGTCGCTCGAGGTCCTGGCCTCGCTCTCGTTTGACGACGAGGGCTTCATCGAGAACATGTGCATCCGCGAAGACGGCTCGGCGCCGCAGTTCTACGACGACTACGTCAAGCAGGTGCAGCAGACGATCAAGAACAACGCCGCGCTCGAGTTCGAGGCCATCTGGAGGGAACACCAGGAGACCGGCGAACCTCGCAGTATTCTGAGCGACAAGCTCAGCGTGGCCATCACCAAGCTCGACGAGGAGCTGCAGAACACGGAGCTGTGGGACAACGTGGAGCTGAGGAAGTCGGTCCTCGGCGACGCTCTGCCTGGTCTTTTGCTCCAGAAGATTGGCTTGGAGACTATCATGGAACGGGTGAGTAAACTTCCCAGCCAGCTACAGTTCGTGGGCGATGTGACTAATTTTGTATTTTAGGTTCCTGAAAACTACCTCCGCGCCATCTTCGGAAGCTACTTGGCCAGCCGGTTCGTGTATGAATATGGCATCTCTGCAAGCCAGTTCGCTTTCTTCGCCTTGTAAGTTTTTTCTTGTACCCTTGTCGAAACGAAATGGCATACTAATGGGTTCGACAGCATGAACAAGAGGATGGCTCGTCTCAGAGAATAGACGGGGGGAATGTGGGCAACAAAATTTTGATAGAGGTTGGATAACATAAAAAGTGCGATTTGGTATACAAAAATTAAGAAATGACCAGCAATGGAAAATGGGGCGCAAGGAATCCGGAAAGAAACAGTAATTGAACGAACATGTTGGTATTTGCTGCTGCGGATTCTTCTTTTGAGTGTGTTTTGATCACAATTCTCGAATCGACGGCAAAACTCGTTGCCCGCCAACAACCACCGGTACTACTAGCGATGTCCGACGCCGTTGATACAGCTAGCGTTCCTTTTTGGTTTGATCGGAGCATCTTTGGTTCGGTAGAGCTGGCTCGCTACCGAGTCGAAATGCGCGCGTTTTTTTTTTTTAAAAAAAAATTTTCGGTGTGGGCGGGTGCATGTATCTTTGGGTATGTCTACCGAGAGGTAATGTGCGTACGGACGTTGTTAGTCATAATAACGACGCTGGCGGTGCTGACTGTGACTCAGGTTGTTGTTTGGTGGCACCTGTCAGTATCATGCACCAACCACTCAGCTAGTCGCTGAAGCCCATGGCAGACGAGTATTACTAATGTTGAGACTCCGCGTAATACTAGTCGTTTATATGTGCAGCGTCCTGTTTAGATAATAGCGTTTAATTACATCTGATTCTAGCAGTCGATAAGCTTTTATATAGTCTTAATTGTTTTGCTTATCTTGCATTTTAAGGGAGAAGTAAGCTTGAAGATAAATTCTCGTATTTAAAAGATCTAATCAATACTCGTCTATCTTAAGCATAGTTTTTATAAATATACAAGCTTCGAATAAGCAATATAGTATAAAAAGAGGTAGAGCGTAATTGTCATGTGAGTAAATATATTGGATGCGGGATTGTGGGGCATCACGCCTCCTAAGGGCTGGCCGCTCCAATAGCTAGCAAGAGATTTGATACGACTACTACAGATATAGGTAGTTGCCAGTTAGTTGACTGATGACTAGCAGTGGCCCCAACTCCCGGCCCCGACCTGGCTGAGTGCTGGCGGGTCGCTGGAGGCACTCCTGAGCATGTGACAGGTAGGTTGGAGAAATAGAAATAAACATGGCAGTAAATCGCGGCAATGGATATATTTTTTTACATTTTTCTTATGTAAGCTATCATAAGCATTCTGAGAGGTATAGAAGGAGGCTGGCGGAAGAGATGGTATGCAGCAACAGAACTTGAAAAAACCTATCTCCATGGGGATATCAATCTTAAGGGATTCCACCGTCAGAATCTTGCGATCGAGAGCTTCGAATGACTTTTTCTATCTATCGGAGCGTGCGTTGATCTGATGTTAAACGTCAGCTAACAGAATTGACATACCCTTCCTTTGTAGCAATCTTCGCCTTTCCATTGATGATCAATCATGTGGTGGATCATCCTGCCGCAAAATCTGCTGGCCAGTTGCTCAAGGAATCCAGAAAAGGCACATATATGAATATGTCCACTGCTCACGCTACGAATATGGGATAATAGAAGGGAGTGGAGATCTCCGTGGGCCGGATTTGATACAAGAATTTACAAAAGAGGAAGATGATGTGGGATCAAACGATCAGATAAAGACTCGTCAGCACGCTGGGCCCGACGAATAATCCTATCCAAAAGACCACGTTTCCTAGGACATTGCGGCCTTTCAGCAGCCGAGTGCGACTGAGGCTGACTAGGGGGATTTGCAGCAGCTGCATGGCAAAAAGGTAACCTCGCACCTTTTTGAAGAGACAAAACATGACGAGCTCGTGGACGAGAGCAGAGAGCAAAAAGGTAACAAAGGTAGCGGAGCCTTTGCTGAGGTGCCACGAGGAAATGGTGGAATGATAGACGTGACGCAAAAGAAAGTTGTGCACGGGACGATTCCAATCGCGCGCATACTGATCGAAGCTGACGCTGTTCCACCAGTCCCCATAGAAGCCCCTGTCGGCGAAGCGAGTCAACTCGGCCAGGACATTGAGAATGCATTCCCATATCAGATACCAGGTGAGGATTTGCTCGAGGAGCAAGGGGAACAGGATGTCGCTGACTATCCACGGAAACTCCTGCGCGCGTTCCTGCAGCGTCATGCCAGCCTCCTTCATGCGAACCGTCTCGGCCACGGGTGGGTAAATGTAGGCCTGAGAAACGACAATCATGACCCAGATGATGCCAAAAGTCGCCGCCGTCTTCTCGGCCACGTACCACCAGTTGATGCGCTCCTGACGCGGATACTCCAGCTCGTAGACTAGCGTCGGGAGCATCGTCCAATCAACGAAATTGGCAAAAGTCAGATTGTTAGGGTATGCCCGCTCTTCCGAGGTGCTCTTCCCGCGCAGCTCCGATGAAAGGCCCTCGATTTCATTGCGGACCACGCGGGAAAGGGCTTCGAGCTGGTCGGCGTCCAACGGCTCCCCGGATTCCACGGCGCGGGCTATGGTGGAAAGGACGGACTCCTCGTGGAGCACGTTCGTCGAAGCCTTGGAGCCCGAAGAGCGGCGCCTCTGGCGGAGCCCGTCGGATTGGGGAATCTCAAAAGAGGTGGCCATGGGGCTGTTCGGGCGGGAGACGGTGGGCTCCTTTTCGGACAGCTCGCGGAGCTTCTCCTCTAGGAGCTGTTTGCGGCGGTAGACCTGCGAGACTTGGAGGATTCAGCGGGACGGAAGGACGCGAGAGCGGAGGCGGGACTTACGGTAGCCATTATAGAAGGAATAGCTATGCTGCTTCATGAGAAAGACCATGCAGTGGAGGACGGTGAAGATGGTGTGGGTCCAGGGCCAGTCGCGGTAGATGGTCCAGTAGAGGACGGCGCCTAGGTAGGAGGCCTGCCACAGGTGCTCGATGATGTAGCCCGGGCCTTCCCAGGTCAGGTATCCGGCGACGATGGCCTTTTGCAGGACGAAGCCGAAAAGAGTGGCGGCGCACATGACGCCGTCGGTGAGGCCCAGGACGACGACGTCGCGCTCAAACATGAGGTTCCAGATTTCATTGCGGCCTAGGACGCTGCCGTATGTCCTCCAGTTCTTGGCGGCGACGCGGATGAGCAGCAGGGCGATGCATAGCCAGAAGAGGGTGAACCAGCCGCGGAAGGGCGAGTCGTAGCTGAGCGAGTTCTGGCGGTCGAAGGTGGAGAACTGGCGGGTGAAGACGAGGTCGCGAAAGCGCACGCGGGGTTGGGGACGCTGCTCCCGCTCCAAGCCGTGACGCAGGATGCGGCGTATCTCGGGGTCGGCGGCCGTGAGGACGTAGTGGCCCTTGGTAGCGGTGCGTTCGAGGTTGACCTGGACGCTCTTGCGGCGGCCGTGGGGCGAGGCGCGGTCGGCGTCGGCGGGAGCGCGCACCTCTTCGTAGGCGAGCTCTCCCGGGCTGCTGCCGCCGCTGAGAGAGCTGCTGCTGTTGGACGCGTCCGGCGGGATGAGGCCGCCGCCGTCAAACTTCACGTCGTCGTAGTCCTCGTTCTCCGACATGGTGGGTGGTGTCAGCTCCATGGCTACCGTCAGCAGTTTATCCTGCACCCCTGGGAGCCTCAAGCTGCGGCGATCAGACGAAGGCGGCATCCACCAGCATGTGACGTCACCAGGCGACCACTGATGGCCCACCCGTGTTTGCGTTCAGCGGGACGCGGGGCGCGCGGGGCGGGTAGGACGGCGCTGGCCATGGCGGTTGTGCCTGGCCCGGTGGTTGAGCTGTTGGGAGCGCCAGATGCCGACTGGCCCGCGCTGCTAATACGACTACATCACATGCTGCCTCATCCTGCCAACAGCTCCTACCGGAACACGGCGGATGCCATTCAATTGGCTACATTGCTCCCGTTGCTAGGGTATGAAGAGCCAGCAATGCGTGCCATGTCATTCTTGACACGAAGCGTGGCGTCCTCGCTCAGAACGGTGCGGAGAATGGTAAATCCATCTCGATGAATCATGCAAAGTCGTCTAGACGTTCACCTGTTGATGCACAGACCCGAGCCTTGAACAGAGACAACAGACTGCGCCTGTTCTACCGCCGACCTCTGGCAGAGCAATCCCTGTCCGAGTTGACAGCGAGCGGATGTATTTAATTTGAGCGTGGCAGCCAATGGAGGGGTGGTATCATTCTCACGTTCTTCGATATCTTGCTCTTAAATCCTCCCCCTTTAGTAAAGATCTAATCCTCCAAAGACGGCCGGTTGCTCGCCTTGTCCGTCGGGTTTGTTTCGCGAGGCGTGCATTTCCCTGCGCCTCTGATCCATCTCGGCTCTACGCCTCTCCTCCTCCTGCCGCTGCTCCTCTTCCTCTTCCGCAGCCTTCCTCGCCCGCTCCTCCTGCTCCTCGGGTGACAGCACCGTCGTCGGATCCTTGCCCTGCTCCACCATGGTTTGGATCTGACCCAACGCGCCCTGCCGGATCTTGTCTTCAGTAGGCCACGGAAACCACGGCAAAGCACCCAAGCCGGCTAGCCAGGCCTTCTGCTCCGCGTTGAGGGTGGCCATGGTGCGAGTCTCTTCTTCCGTAGCCTCGGTCTGTTGGGGTTCGGGGGCGGCCGCGGCGGCGCCGTTCGTCATGGTGACATCTTCGTCGGCTTTGTCTTGCGCGGACGCGGCTGCGTCCTCTTTGCGCGGTGGAGGGCGGAAGTTTGGCGGCACGGTGAATTTACCAATGTGTTTGGCGTAGGCCAGCAGCTCGGCGGTGGTCACGTCGCGGGCATTGGGGGCGGGACCGGTGGCGGGGGTGGCGATAAGTTCCTTGCGCGTGTCGGCAAGCAGGCTCAGGGTGGACTTGACCTGGGAGTCCAGGGCGTCAGCGGTCTGGCGCAGGGCCAGAATGCGCTGGTAGTTGGCCTGGTGTGCGGCGACTGGGCGAATGATGTCAGCAGAGAAGGGAGATGGAGCTCAGAGGCAGGCGCACGCTGTTCGAGACCGCGGCTGAGCTCATCGTCGGCGGCGACCAGGTCGACGACGGCCTGCTGCGAGGGATTGTAGGAGGCGATGGAGTCGATCAGGGTGTTGAGGGCGGTCTCGACGCGCTGGAAGTGCTTGTCAAGCAGAGCGTCCATGTTGCGGGCGGCAGAGGGCGCGGGGCGGCGGCGGCGGCGGCAGCAGTAGCAGCAAGAGGCGAGCAATGGTCAGGTCGGAGCTGGGAACGGTTTTGGGCTGCTCGCGCGGCCACACGGACGGCTGGTCGCAGGCGGGCGCGGGCGGGCTTCCACAGGTCGGCGTCGCCGACGCGCGCTCTGTTCGTGCGTCTGGCGACGGGTTCACCAAGGGTGTGCAGGTGCCTGGGGACGCAGGCAATCTGGGCCAGACTGATGTCCGCTAATCAGCGCGCGCAGCCCCTCACTAATAATAAAGGCACTTCAACCACAAGCGCCCGCTGCAAGTCCCGGCAGGTTGCGGCCAGACCCAGCTCGCAGATAATGCACGACTCGCCGGCGCCCGCACACTCCAACGTTCCTCCACGCGACTTTTCTGCTTAGGTGCCTGTGCTTGACGTAGCCTCCCGCCGGCCTGCTGCGCCTCAGCCCTCTCAGCCCAAGACCCCGCGCTGCGATCTCCCACCTTCGCTCTTCACTATAGCCTTGCCAACCGCCACATTTCTTATCCTCCCTCAGCCTCGACCGCCCGCCCTTCTGCCTGCACGAAGCCCTTCCTCCCTCTCTAACCCCCTCTTCCCCGCGCAGACCGCCCTTTTCCCGCGCCCACCACCGAGACCGTCGCGACACCGCTGGACATCACGCTTGGCACCGTCCACCATGGGCAAATCGTAAGTAGCGACGCTTTCCTTGACTGCTCTGACGTCTCCCGCTCGAGCGCGCCTCCGCGAACAATGCGTCGTCGCCACGTTTTGCTCCCCGCTCGACCTCACCACCACGCTGCCATGAGACGTTGCGCGGTCTCGCCGCCGCCGCCACTTCAGCCCCCGCCGCTGCGGCGTCTGGCTGCACGGCACGCGCGACTCTCCCGCGCACCGCTGCCCCAGCTCGAGCACCCGCCAGTGAAGTTCGGAGGACGCGATGCGGCTCCGTCCCCGTCCCCGGCATACGCGAGTACGAAGCGCTGCGTGGGAAGCTGCCGTGTCGCCCCGCCGCCTCGCACTCGATTTCGCGGGCGGCCCACGGCGGTGTGATTCGCGTGATGCTGGAGGATTCCCGGCTAACGGTGCACCATCAACAGCCAGAGCAAGCTCACCCAACAGGAGCTGAGCGATCTCCAGAAAGCCACCCACTTCGACAAGAAAGAGTTACAGCAATGGTACAAGGGTACGTCCTCGCAGCGTCGCCCGGGGCTCCGCACCACGCTGACCAAGGCCCGGCAGGCTTCCTAAAGGACTGTCCTTCGGGGATGCTCACCAAGGAGGAGTTCCAAAAGATCTACAAACAATTTTTCCCGTTCGGTGACCCGTCGTCGTTCGCCGACTATGTTTTCAACGTCTTTGACGCCGACAAATCGGGCTCGATCGACTTCAAGGAGTTTATCTGCGCGCTGAGCGTCACGAGTAGAGGAAAGATGGAGGACAAGCTAGACTGGGCGTTCCAGCTGTATGACATCGACGGCGACGGCAAGATCAGCTACGACGAGATGCTGGCGATTGTGGAGGCCATATACAAGATGGTTGGTTTTTTTCCTTCCCACCGGCAAACGAACGGTTTGCTGACACAAAGGATTGCAGGTCGGCTCCATGGTCAAGCTTCCGGAGGACGAGGACACGCCGGAGAAGCGCGTGCGCAAGATTTTCCGCATGATGGACAAGGACGAGAACGGCAGCTTGGACATGGCCGAATTCAAGGAGGGCTCCAAGCGCGATGAGACGATTGTGTCGGCGCTGTCCTTGTACGACGGGCTCGTGTGAGGTGTGGCGGCATCTTTTCCTCTTTATCATGTTTCTATGCCTGTGATATCATATCTGCGTTTTCCCTAAGCATCGACGGAGGCTGTTCTGAGTTTACTGGCTGCGGTGGAAAGAGGCGTCGGCAGACGATGTCCCAGCGCTCACGTAGTATGCACATAGCGACGATGAAATGGTGAATGGCGCATGTCCTTTTGCTCCGCCGAGGAGGAAAATCTCGCGTCGACCAGGGCCCTTGCAGGCGTGTGGCATTACGCGTGGCTTATGACGCCGATCCTTGAGGCTAGTTGGCCGGCGAAGCTCCGGGTCGCAAGCAAGTGACAGCTTTCAACCTCCAAACCACCCATTCCGCCACGACCTCTCTCCACTCCAGCCCAGCCGCATCCGTCCTGCGCCCGTCCTTCCGAGCCCTGTGGGCAGTCCATCCTTCCAGCGGCCGCCCGTCTGCTCACCCTCTTCCAATCGAGCCCGCCGCCGCCGCGCGCCCCGCCGCACCCTGCCCAGCGCGCGCCGAGGAGTCCACGGCTGCTGCTCCTCCGCCGGACAGCTTCGACAGCCAGCTCCGCCGCCTCGGCGCCCTCGCCGCCCGCCATGCTCGTTAACCGCCGCGGCGCCCCCGCTGCCGCGCTCTCGGCCCTGCTGCTGCTAGCTTCTGCTCCTGCGAACGCATATTACCTCCCAGGAGTACTGCCGACCTCGTACAAGGAAGGGGACAAGGTGCCGCTGCTCGTCAACCACCTCACACCCGGCAATTCGCCCGAGGATTCGCAGGTGCATTCGGTCTTTTCGTTCGACTACTACCTCCCCGAATTCCACTTCTGTCAGCCGAGCGGCGGCCCCAAGTACGTCTCGGAATCGCTGGGGAGCATCCTGTTCGGCGACCGCATACAAACATCGCCTTTTGAGCTGCACATGCGCAAGAATGAAACGTGTAAAGCCGCGTGCCGGGAGCAGACATTCGAGCCGAGCGACGCCGAGTTCGTCAACCAGAGGATTCTGCAAAACTACAACCTCAACTGGCTGATCGACGGCCTACCCGCGGGCCAGCTGAAGCACGATCCGAACGACAACACCAATTTCTACAGCCCCGGCTTCGCCCTAGGTTTCGTCAAGGACAGCAAGCCATTCCTCAACAGCCACTATGACATCCTGATCGACTACCACCAGGCTGGGCCGGACGCGTTCAGGGTCGTCGGCATCCTCGTGGAGCCGCGATCGATGGGCGAGGCGAAGATGATCAACGAAGAAAAGGCTGAGTGCGGCGAGCTGGCACCGATAGAGCTGTCCCAGTCGGACAGCACGTCCGTTTTGTTCACGTACAGCGTCTACTGGAGACCTTCGGCCACGCCGTTCGCCACGCGCTGGGACAAGTATCTCCACGTCTACGACCCGAAGATCCACTGGTTCTCGCTGGTCAACTCGGCGGTCATCGTCGTGTTCCTGGTGACCATGGTCGCCACCATCCTCATCCGCACCCTCAAAAAGGACATTGCGAGGTACAATCGCCTGGAGCAGTTTGCGCTCGAGGATTTGTCGGGGACGAGCGTGGTCGAGGAGGGAGTCCAGGAAGACTCAGGCTGGAAGCTGGTGCACGGAGACGTCTTCAGGCCGCCGAAGAACCCGCTGTTCCTCAGCGTGCTCGTCGGCAACGGCGCGCAGCTGTTCATGATGGCCGGTTTCACCATTGGTAAGGTTCCAGTTCCTAAGGGCGACGGGTAGAGGTTAACTTCGACGTGACAGTTTTTGCTCTGCTAGGATTTCTTTCCCCGTCGAACCGCGGTTCGCTCGGCACGGTGATGCTCCTGCTCTACACCGTCTTCGGCTTCGTCGGCGGCTACGCGTCGTCTCGCATCTACAAGTTCTTCCACGGCGATAAGTGGAAGCAAAACTTTGCGTACACGCCCGTCGCGCTCCCCGCCGTCGTGTTCTGCACCTTCTTCCTCCTCAACCTCTTCGTGTGGGCGAGGCAGGCGAGCGGGGCTGTTCCTTTTGGCACGATGCTCGCGCTCGTCTGCATCTGGTTCCTGATCAGCGTGCCGCTCTCGCTCGCGGGCTCCTGGCTCGGATTCAAGCACAAGGTCGTCGAGACGCCGGTGCGGACTAACCAGATCCCACGCCAGATTCCGCCCGCGTCGGGATACCTCCGCCCTCTGCCCAGCATGCTGATAGTAGGCGTTCTTCCTTTTGGTGCCATCTTTGTCGAGCTTTACTTCGTGATGAACAGCATCTGGGTCAACAAGGTGTACTACATGTTCGGCTTCCTCTTCCTGTGCTACGGTCTCATGATCATTACCTGCGCCGCGGTCACGGTCCTGATGATTTATTTCCTGTTGTGCGCGGAAAACTACCACTGGCAGTGGAGGGCGTTTTGCACGGCGGGCGCCAGCGCCGCCTACGTTTTCGCTTACGCCCTGCTCTACTGGGCCAAGGTGTTGACCTTTGGCAGTTGGACCAGCGGGGTGCTGTATCTTGGCTACAGCGCGCTCATCAGCGTGCTGTTCTTCGTACTGAGCGGTAGGTGCAGTGGAATGTATTCTTCCCCGGCATTAACTGACAAATTTTTGCAGGCACCATCGGGTTCTTTGCCTCGTGGCTCTTTGTGCTCAAGATTTACTCGTCCATCAAGGTGGATTAAAAGGCGAGGGGCGTGGCTTCATCTCATGACTGTATTCGTATAATCAATTAGCTGCCTTTGTAATGGAGCTTGGCGCCGGGTGGTAGACCACAGAACGTAGATCTTCAGCCTGTACATATGAAACGAGCCTTCTTTCATGCATAGATGTGAAAGACTTTGCGCATGTGAAGACGGGTGGGTGGCCGGTCCATGACGTCAACCTCTCGTCTCCTGTTAGCCTGCGCGACGGCTTGCGCGGCATCAGCGTCCAAGGAAGCGATCGCAGGGCTTCACATTGAGCTTCGCCGTACCGACTCTCGCCCTCACGTCACAACCCTCGACAACAATGGAGAATCCAGGTAAAACGAGCCGTACGCAGTCGAAACTCCGGCTAACAGGACGCGATGCAGAGCAAGATATTCCCCACGTGATCCATCTTCTCACACAAACGCCGCCGCATACCCAACGGGCAGCGATCGAAAAGTACTTCACGCCCAATGCCTCGTTCACGCATCCCTTCTGCCGCACGGGCAAGTTCAGCAACTCGCGCGCCCTCATTCTCGCCATCTACCGGTGGTACAAGATCATGAGTCCAAGAATCGACCTGAGAGTCAACTCGGTTGGTATGACAAGCCCCCCCTTGCAACGCGACCACATGCAAGCTTTCGGTAGTTGAGCCGGGGGCGCTATTATTGCGTGATCAAAGCGCGACCATCTTGAGCTAACTTCCATCGTTGCGCACGCACAGCTTTCGACCAGACCAACCTCATCCTCTACGTCCACATCTCGCAAGTCTTCCGCATCTGGCTCATCCCCTTCTACTCGGCCCCTGCGTCCCTCGTCACGGTGCTGCACCTCGCCCACGTCGCGGCGGCCGATGATGACGCGGGCGAAGACGGCGGCGACGAAGGCGGGCGGGGTAAGTACTACATTACCGCGCAGAACGACCTCTACCAGACGAACGAGTTTGTGCGTTTCGTCTGGTTCGGTGGTTTTTTGTTCGTATGGACGTTTCAGTTTGCAGCAACCTTCTTCTGCGTCTTGGGCGCCTTTTTCCTATCGCCCTTGACGGCACTCCAGGAGCGTTTTCAGCAGGGCGGAGGCCTGCGCGGGAGAGAGGTGCCGGAAAGCCTATCGGGAAAGATCGAGAAGAAGTATCTCTGAACGTTGCCGTCTCAAAGAGGGGTAGAAATACAAGAGCTGGGGGATAGAGTCAGAGAGTTGCGATGTCAGCTGCAGAGAAGAGTCAGCAACCGCGTTTTACCCCATTAATCGAGTCAATGCTACATCTATTTTCTTCTTTCGGTTAGTTGATGGCCATGCCGCCTACCAGCTAAGGAAGGCAGTGGTGCACTCGAGCGACGAAAAGACGCTTCTCTCGCCGAACCTCCACCCCCGTGCGTACGCTGGCTAGAAGACCGTCTGCGGAGATGCACCCGGTCCAAATCCTCTCGTCGCGCGGCGCCATCCCCGCCTTGTGACGGAAAACAGCAGTCGACCGGCCGGTGAAACGCCACGAAAGCGGAGTGCATCGCCCCCTTCTCCTTCAATTCTGGTTGCATCAACAAAAAGTGACGTGGCGGGGTGCAACGGTGCGGGCGCTGGGAGGGGGGCGCGCAAGCGCGGCTGGCGGTTGATGAGAAATGGGCGAAGGAGCTGACGAAGCTGCAGCAGAGCAGGAAAAAATGCGGGCAAGAGGAGGGGTGGTTCTGGTCGGCGGTGGTGATAAGCCAGGAGCCAGTGGTTTCCATTACTCGATGAGAATGCGATGAGACGGCGCCGGTGGAACGATGGGTCGGCGAGGCGTGCCAAGGCCCGTGATGCGCGGCAGCGGTGGTTGTGGTGTCGCGCACGCTTCGTCGACGCTCGACCACGGCGAGCAGCCAGGCACGGCGAGCGCCCGGGAATCACGCAGGATGGTCTCGAAGGCGGCGGCAGCGGTGGTGGAGGCGTCGACGGAAGCGTCCGGCGGTGTTTGGGCCTCCGAAAGATTGCCTAGCGCCAGGGCAGCGCCGGCAGGGCTGGCCCTTCTGCACCGTTATTGCCGCCGATAGGGGTTCCGCCATTTCTATCGAGTAATACGCCTCGCTCCACACCAGCCCAACCGGCCCACGATGAGTGCTGCCGCCGCTGCCCCGTCATTGCGCCGAGCACGATGGGTCCGCTGCTGCTTTTTTTTCGAGCCAGTCCGGTGGGATCACCGTCGGCACCGGTCGGTCCCGCTGAGCCAATCTGACAATTGCCAAATATGGCTGGGGACATCGTAGCATTGATAAGACCCTCGCCGTACCCCAGGTTTGCCCGCCTCTTGGTCCGCCCTTTATTTCAGCCCACGCGCTCTCTCTCCGCCTTTGCCTCCGCCTTTGTTCTCCACACCGCTTTGCCCTCTTTTTTATTCTCCCTCCTTCCTCTGTCACCGTCGTTATCAGCCCTGCGGTGACCTTATCTTTGGCCTTGAGACCCTGGAGATCCTGAATACGACCCTCCCGCCGAAATAACCCTGTGTCCTTTGCAACCGCGTCCTTCCTTGACTCGTAATCCACCATGGCCCCGCACGCCACCGAAGCTCCCCCCGCCGCCTCTTCCCAGGTGCCTCCCATCACGGTCATAGCCTCGTCCCGCGCCGTGGTGTCCGGCCGTCTCACCGAAGCGACCATTGTTGTCTCTACCATCACCGGAAAGATCACGTCAATCTTCCACTCCGTCCTGCCGCCCTCGGATTTTCCTGCTGGGACTCCTTATGTCGACTACTCCCCCAAGATCCTTCTTCCCGGCCTCGTCGACGCCCACGTGCACCTAAACGAGCCCGGACGCACCGAATGGGAGGGCTTCTGGACCGGCACTCGTGCCGCCGCCTTTGGCGGCGTGACCACCGTCGTCGACATGCCGCTTAATGCCATCCCGCCTACCACGACGGTCGAGAACTTGAAGACCAAGGTCGACGCCGCTCAGGGCAAGTGCTGGGTGGACGTCGGCTTCTACGGTGGCATCATCCCGGGCAACGACCAGGAGTTGAAGGCGCTCGTCAAGGCCGGCGTGAGGGGCTTCAAGGGTTTCCTCATCGAGAGTGGAGTGAGTCTGCCGTGTCCATCTTCCTTCCAGGACGTTCTTGCTGACGATAACCCAGGTTGACGAATTCCCGGCCGTCGCTTCTGCCGATATCAGAAAGGTGTTGGCCGAGCTGGCCGACGAGCCCACCACGGTCATGTTCCACGCCGAGATGATCCCTCCCATCACCGCCTCCGTCGGCGACGACGTCCAAGCCTCGGAACCGCCTCTCCAACCCTCCGGACCTCTGACCACCTACCAGACCTTCCTGGACTCACGCCCCCCTTCGTTCGAGACGTACGCCATTGCCGAAATCCTCTCCCTCGCCCACCTCGCCCCCGAGCTCGACCTGCACATCGTGCATCTCTCGGCCATCCAAGCCATTCCGATGCTGCGGGAGGCACGTGCCAAGGGCGTCAAGATCACGGCCGAGACGTGCTTCCACTACCTCAGCTTGGCCGCCGAGTCGGTCAAGGAGGGCGACACGCGCCACAAGTGCTGCCCGCCGATCCGCGAGCAGTCGAACCAGGACGGCCTGTGGACCGAGCTGACGCGCCCCGACGACAGCGTCATCAAGACCATCGTGTCGGACCACTCGCCCTGCACGCCGGACCTCAAGCTGCTGCCCGCCAAGCTGGCCGAGCTGGGCTGCACCGACCCGCACAACGTCGACGGCGCCGACGGCGACTTCTTCAGCGCCTGGGGCGGCATCAGCAGCGTCGGCCTGGGCCTGAGCATCCTGTGGACCGAGGCCAAGGACCGCAACATCACCATCGAGGACGTCGTCCGGTGGTGCTGCAAGAACACGGCCAAGCAGGTCGGCCTGGAGGACACAAAGGGCGACCTGGGCGTCGGCTTCGACGGCGACATCGCCGTCTTCGACGACGAGGCTACCTTCGTCGTCGAGCCCAGCACCATGCTGTTCCGCAACAAGTGCTCGCCGTACGAGCACAAGACGCTGCGCGGCGTCGTCGCCGAGACGTGGCTGCGCGGACAGAAGATCTTCACCAGGGCCGACGGGTTCGTCGAGAAGTCTGGTCCGACCGGAAGGCTGCTTCTCGAGCCGCGCAAGCACATGATCGAGGAAGCTGCGTAGTGGTCTCCTGCGCTTTCACGGTCCGATAGGAATCGCGTCGCATCTGCTTTTGTTTAACTGCATCATGAGACATAGAACGGCGTTTGGGTGTTTTTTCTTTCTGGCGAGCATAGCGATTTAGTGGTGCATACATAGCGGAGCTTACGACCATCAAATGAATATTGAGTAGAAATGAATAATAGATTCGAAATTTCTAGGCTGATTGTGCATACGAGGGCCGGGTACTGTTCGAGGTGCATAAGCGGTAAGACTGCGCGAAATCGTCCACACGCAGGCTTTCAATAAGAGGTGATCAGAGCTAGGAAACGGAATGGTTTCATAAATATGCACCAGAGGGGCATGGATACCGAGAAAATGTCCACCTCGATTTCGTACCACCATGCAAATGGAGGACAGGCAAGCTTTCGTATTCCTTCTGGCATCGCGAAAAGCCGACGTTCCGGACGTTATGGGCGGCAAATCCGAGAGTATAAAGGGCGAGCGAGAATCAAGATCTGGACGCTGGAAAAGGTGGCCATTGAACACCTATGGAACAAAATCTCCAGCCTTTCAGGACAGCTGCCAGAAAGCCGTAACGTATCCTGGCATCCCTCGGAATCGTATCGTGACCGTTGCCCACGCCATCGTGTTCCTCAGCCCAACTGTTCTCATCGAGGAGAAACCCATGAATTTTTTCATCCGTCCTTGTCCGCTCTCTCCCCTTCCCCCCAGCCAAGTGGTGGCTAAACCACTTAGCGCAGCCTCCTGGCCTCACGCTCGGACTCGAGGAGGCAGAGGATGTCGTTCTCACGGACTGCGTGGCGCGGAAAATGTCAGTTTTGCTCGTTTTTTTTTTCGGGTGCGGAAATCGCTTTCGATCGCGCAGTTTCTCGCGCTGGGTAGTTGCTCACCGGGACCCTTGACGTTGCGGATGATGCTACGGGTCTGCAAGTTTGCTGTTAGCCTCTCGAAATCGCAAAGAGTATCGTTTCGCGCGCAAACTTACGGTGTCGTCCATGAACTCGACGCGGACCTGAGTCACACCACCGCGAGAGCCTGCAAAATCGCATACCGTCAGCATCGGCGGCCCTTCTTCATCCTCCTCTCCGTGTGCCGAGCTTACCGGTGCGGCCGAGCACGCGGGTGACCTTGACGAGCTTGACGGGGACCTTGGCGGATTCCATTTTTGATGCGTGGGTGGGTTCGTGGGAGGGACGGAGGTAAGGTTGTCGGTCGCGGCTACAGGCGTGTGTCGTCGTTGGGGCGCTCGCTATTTCGAATTTTGCGGGCCAGTGTATCGCCCACGCGATAAGCGATAAGCGAGCCCCCGACCACCACCTCAGACAGCTTGACATAGCTCTACACACGCGCAGCTTTGTCATTCTGCGACTTGATAAATCTAACTTTTTATGTCACGTACGCAGGAATTCCCTCTTGATGCCCTGCGAGTCTCTCTGGTGGCACGCAACTCCGCGGTGCCTGCCGTCGCTACTCCTGCGCAATGATGATTCCGTAGGGATCCCTGTCCCTTTCGCTCACTTCCACCGTAATCGACTCGTCGTCTAGGGCCTCAATCTCCTTGTCGTCCAAGCCTGGCTTCCCTTTCTCTTCCGCCCTGAGATAATCCCACTCGTCCCGGATCATCTCCAGCAGTTGGTCCTTCATGACGCTGTGCAGGAAGCCCCTCTCGGTGTTTGAGTGGAACAGAGTGATGACGACCTGGCCCTTCTCGATGGCAGCGAGCGCCTCGTGGTGAGAAAGCTCGCCTGTGAAGAGCAGATCCACATCGATGCCTGAGAACAGCGAGCCACCGCTACCGGCGCAGATGCCTATGCTCGACACCTTGATGTCGTTGACAGAGCTGCCCTGAGGAATGGCGATGGGGAATCCTTTGGGGTCGCCCAAACCTTGGCCGATGCGCTCGATGATGGAAGTCAGTGTCTGAGGCGTCTCGAAACGCACAATGCGGCCCATGCCGGCGCCCTCGACTCCCGGAACGCCAGTCACAGGGGTGATCACCTGGCGGGTGTGCGCCGTCTTTCCACTGTGAAAGCGTCAGAAATCACGATCGCACGGCGGAACGAGCGAGCATACAGTCTTAGGTCTTTGATGCTCAGAGAGCTTCCGCTCTGTGAAGGGTGGTGCCGCAGCATGTACAGCGGCCTCTTATCCACAAAAGGGTCGGCCTGCTCGGACGATCCTGCCGGTAGAGGTGAAGGTTGGGCGCTCTTGAGCGAGGACTGCTCCGAAGCGTCGACCAGGCTCCCAGTCGCGACATCTGCAAGCCAGTCGCCCAGGCCACCGGGCGCGGCATCCACGGCTGTGTGGGGGCAGTAGACCTTGAAATCGCCGTCAGCGCGCGTACGTGAAATGGCGGTGCTGGGGTAGGATTACGCTAATGCCCTTTGCGGCCAACCGAAGCAAGGACTGCTGCTGGCTGTTGGCGAGAGTCAACGACTTGAGGCCTCTAAAGATGATTGGATCTACGCTTGAGATCTGTCAGCCACTGCGCGGAGACGGTGCAGATCGGATAGGGCTGACGGTAGGCCACGACTATGGACGCGTTCCGCTCAATGGCCTCGTCCGCAACGGCGCGGGTCAAATCGACGGCGAGGAGGACCGAGTTCTTGTTGCGTCTGAGCGGGTCGAAGGGCGCCTCAAGGAGCACTGCACGGCATCAGCATAGGAAGGGACCAATTACTCGGAAAAGCTGTAGACGAACACCCGGTGTTGTCCCAACTCTTGTCGGCCAGCGCCTCGGGGTAGCTGGCAGCACCGTGTCAGCACAGCTCGGTCGGACGGTCGTCATCGTCATGTGACGTACAGCTTGCGCATGGCATTGACCACAGCCCTTGAGAAAGGCGCGGAGGTGACGGTGGAGCTCATCTTAGAATACCGTCTCAGTGTGGCGGCAAACATCAATGCTGGAGGTGATGATGGCGTCGGAGCTTCAAAATGCGCGGGCACCGATAAGGGCTGGTCGGATCCCTGTGCGGATCGTGCTCGGCACTTCACGTCAGCGGGGTTCGTCCTGCCCAGCTTTTCCTCCCCGCTGCATTATCTGATCCGCCCCTCCCTCTACACCCATTCCCCCGTCCCGCCTCGCATTGCGACCACTACGTCACCCGCCATGAGCGCCAATTCTGGAGTCACCCCCGAGTCGCTAAAGGCGGCCTTGGAGGAGAAAGTCGGCGCCGTCCACGTCGAGATAGCCGACCTATCAGGTATGCGCCCGAACGCCCTTCGCCCGCGCAGTTTCTCACCTGATCGCGTCCCCGCCAGGCGGCTGCGGCCAAATGTTCGAGGCCATCATCGTGTCCCCGCAGTTCGAAAAGAAAACGACGCTCGCCCGCCATCGCCTTGTCAACGCCGCATTGAAGGAGCAGATTGCCGCCATCCACGCCTGGACTCCCAAGTGCCACACCCCCGAGGAGTGGGAGAAGAAGAAGGCCCAGGCTTGATCCTCTGGTAGGAAGGAAGGGGGGCTAGACGGTGTAACATATATGACGCGAGTCTTAACGAAGTACATGGGCAAATGAACTTGGGCGCAAATTGATTATTTTGAGGGTATCACCAGCTAGCTCAGCAGCACTCTAATTTCCCCACTCGTGCGAGGGAAGAGATCCCTCAGGCTCGGAGCGGGCGCTTCCTCTGCGCCATTCTCGACCACCCTCACCTCGTCTGCCGCCAGGATCCGATTCTCGACGAATTCAAAATCTTCGCAGAACTGCTCCGCAGCCGCCTCTGTGATCTCTTGGACCATCCTCGCGTCCCGTAGCCGTTTGATATTGTCCATCGCATCCATCAGCGCAGAGGGCAGGAAGTCGTCCAGTTGGCCTCCAGCATTCACCAGAGTTTCTGGCTTGAACGGAGGCAGCTGAGGGATCGACTTCAGGTCTTCCTCGGACTCGGACAGCTCGGACAGTATAGCCTTTAGCGGGTAAAGTCCCGAAGTGTGCAAGAAATATCTGTGCTGGGAGGCCACCAGTTTCGATTTGTGTTCCCGCATCGTGCCGTCCATCTCCTCGACCCTCTCCTTGACGAAGGAAAAGTCCTCCAAGACCGACCGCGCGGCGAGGAGGCAGTTGATGGCAAACACATCGTTGTCGGGCTCCTGCAGCCTCTTGTAGAGGTTTTCGCAGCCGTTGAGAAAGGGGTCGAGAGCCTCGGCCAGGACCGGCTGAAACCCATTCTCGCGGTTGTCGAGCGCCGCCATGGACGAGTCGTAGCTCTTGAGGAGTGCCTTGAGCATCTCGAGCGCCTCGTCGAGAAAATCGGGCGGCGCGAGGTTCGCCGGTGCGATCGCCAGGTCGCTCTGGACGCTGGCGACGTGGTCCCGCATGTTCGCCCGGAACTGCCTCAGAGCCGACTCTTCCAGGGCAGCCAGGACGTCCAAGATGGGCGAGTCCGTGCCGACGAGCTTTGAGAAGGTGTTGTGGTAGAAGCCGATCAGATTCGCAATCTTGAAGGCAAGGACCGCGTCCTCGTGGCTCTGGACGACTTGCTCGGTCCGCTGCCTCAACAACCTCGCGACGCCGGCGAGATCGCGACTGACGAGCTGATGCAGAGCCTTTTTCCCATCGAACACCTCTCCTTCCTCGCCTTCAACGCGCAGCCACGGTTCGCTTTCTAGTCCCTGCTGGATGCTCTTCGAGATCTCGTCCCCTTCCGAGATGAAGAGCACCTCCAGGGCCTCGCGCTCCGACACGGTGGTGGAGTGGACCCAGGCCAGCATGTCGCCGACGTAGCGCAGCGGGTCGTGCGCATAAAACTCAATCGGCTTGGCCGTGGAGGAACCGACGTCGGCAGCAGCTCCGGTCAAGGCGTTGTAAAAGGCGTCGGACAGCGTGTGCTCTCGGGCTTCTGCAAAGAAATCCAGGCAGCTCTGGAATAGGGTGGGCCTCTCAGCGAGCACGCGCAGCGCGCGGCGGATGGAAGCGCTGATCTGCGGGTTCTCGAGGTCCAAGCTCTTGAACTCGCGCTGGACCCATCGGTAGAGCTTTTGGAAGGCGGAGCTCAGCTGTTTCGAACTCTGCTCGAGGATCTCCAGGCCCAGCCGCTGGTCTTCGGTGCCCAGGAGCAGCTGGCTGTCATGATGTATCTTCTTGACCCTGGTGAGTAGTTGGAAAAATTCGTCGTTGACGGGCTCGGTGGTCGACGTCAGGGTAAACAGCTGCTCGTCCGAGAGGATGAAGTGAGATTTCAGCGCTTCCAGCAGGCGCTGCTTCTTCTCCGTATCGGCCTTTTGACCCATCAGCGTCGAGGCCTCATCCAGCATCGGCTTCGTCTCGCTGTTGGCGGACGAGATCTGGGCCCTCATGTCGGCACAGCACCTGTTCAAGGCCTGAATCGCGGTGCCGACGCGGCGCAATTGCTGACGACGGTCAGCGCACGGGATCAGACTGGAGGACCGGGAAGTGTAGCAACCTCGGCGACGCGGCCGAAATCCTGGACGATGTCGCCATTGCAGCGGATGACGTCGCGCTGCACGTCGAGCCTCAGCTGACGGCGCATGTCCTGGGTGTTCTTGAGGCCGCGAGCATCCAAAGTCTCGAGAGCATCGCGGATCTCGAGGTCGGCGTACGAGGCGGACAGCACGCTGGAAATGCGGGTTGACAGGGCGCTCGCCCGCTGGGGGGCTCCTCCCAGAGCGGCATCGCCGAATTCGCCAGAAGGCCGGCTCGGGAGGGACGGTCTGGACATGGTTCGGAGAACGTGGAGGGGCAGGGGAGCTCCAATTGCTGTCACGTAGTAGCTACCAGTAGGGCCAGCTGATCTGCCCGCCGGCCCGACTTTGTTCCAGCTCCCGCGCGAGTCATGCGAGAACGCGACGAATGACGCGCGCGCCCGCCGCCGCGGCTCCAGTAGGCGGCGATAAAGCACGCCCGCCGGACGACCACCGCCTGACGCCGCCTCAGGGAGCGCCTGCGTCTCTGCTCTCTGCTCGCCCGCCCGACCCGCGTCACGAGCTCACTCCGTCGTCGTCGTCTTCGTCCTCGTCGTGTGAAGAAGACGCTCCACTTTCATCACCAACGCAAGCTCTCCCGCCGCCTCGCCGAGCTCGTCCCCCGCTCCACGCCGCAGCATCTCGTGCCTCTTGTCTGCTGCCATCGCAACCTCTTTGCCCGCAGCTCCCGCCAGCTTCGCTCGTTCCAGGCGGCGCATGTCGAGGTCACACGCGACCTCGAAGCGACCCCCAGCGTGGGCCCGCCATGATGGCCTCCAACCTTCTTTCGCGGCTCCTGCCAGCCGCGGATGAGAACTCAGCCTACGAACCGCTTTCCCAGCACTCTCCTCGCGCCCGCAGGCCCGAGGGCGACGCGAACGCCAGCCTCACCTTGGACGAGGAGAATCTCGAAGCCCGCTTTCAAGACACCGACCTGGAGCACCTGCTCGCCGAGGCTGCCGACAGCCAGATCACCACTCGCAGCCCCACCCTCGCCCCGAACAACAACAACAACAATCGCGGCATGGCCCCGCCGCCCGTGACGACCCACAACAGGCCGAGGTGGATGCAGCCCGCTCCGTCGCGCCCGCCCGCCGCGCAGGTAGACGAGGATGACGACGTCCCGGAGTCGTTGCTGCTGGATAGCGACAGGCCCTCCGCGGCCAGACCTCGAGAGCACCCGCGCCAGACTCAAGTCCGCCCCGACCGCCTGCCTTCGCCTGTCCCCGGTCCGTCCACCCACACCAACCGGACGCAATGGAACGCGACAAGGGCTCAGCAACGTCTTTACGGCGACTCCAGGCCCGCGCCACGACAACGACGCTTCGGAGCGCAGCTCGGTAGGAACGGCGTCATCTTCACCGACCCCAAAGAGGAGGCCATGTGGAGGTGGGCGAACGTGCACAACCTCGACCGCTTCTTGACCGAAGTCTATACCTACTATCAGGGCCACGGGATGCAGTCCATCCTTTTGAATCAGTATCTCAACCTTTTGTAAGTCCGCGACTCCCCTCCTGAAGCGCAGTATTAACCTACCCCGAGACGAACCGCCTGCGTCGTCGCGACATGCACGATCCTTCTCTTTGCCATCAATTACAAGAAGATTCACGAGAGCAATTCGATCCGGGACATTTTCGTTGAAGACGCAATGAGAAAGTAAGTCAAATCCTCTCTCTTTCTTTCTCTCTGTACTAACCAGATCAGCATCCACGGCTTCTGGCTCTGCGGCCTGTGGGTCTTCATTGTCGTTTGGGTTTACAAGTTCGTCCAGGTGACGCTCAGCATCCGTCCGCTCTGGCTCATGCAAGCCTTCTACCAGCACCTTTTGGACATTCCCGAGAGCGATATCCAGACCGCAACGTGGCAGTTAGTGGTCCACAGGCTGATGGCTCTTCGGGACGCGAATCTGACGACCGCCGAGAACATCTCTGCTGCCGACCGCAGGGAGCTCGGTGCCAATTCCAAACAACGCATGGATGCCCACGACATTGCCAACCGCGTCATGCGCCGGGACAACTACCTCATCGCCCTGTTCAACAAGGACATTCCGAACCTCACCGTGCCTCTGCCGTTCTTCGGGGATATTCAATTCTTCTCGAGGACCATGGAACTGCTCCTGGAGACCTGCGTGATGCAGTTCGTCTTCACCGCCGACGGCCACGTCCGCCGCGAGTTCCTCACGAGCAAGGAGAGACGGAACTTGATCGACTGTCTGAACCAGCGATTCAAAAAGGCAGCCATTCTGAGCGTCTTCATCGCGCCCATTTCCGTCATTTACTTTGTCGTCTCGTATTTTTTCCACTACTTTAGCGTAAGTGCCAGCAAACTGTCCGCAGCAGCAGCGGTGTTCTGACGACGAGCAGGAATTTCGAAAGGACCCTTCGCAGCTCAGCTCGAGGATGTTCACGCCGATGGCAGAATGGAAGTTTCGCGAGTTCAACGAACTGCGACACCTTTTCGAGCAGCGACGCAACCTAGCGTACCCGTACGCCGACCGTTACCTGAATCAGTTCCCCAAGAACAAGTCCGACCAGCTCTGCGAATTCGTCGCGTTCGTCGTCAGCATCGGCATTGCCGTGCTCGTCCTCGGATCTCTGCTCTATCCCGAGACCATCACCCGCCTCGAGATTCTGCCGGGAAAGCCAGTGTTCTTCTGGATCGGTGTCCTGAGCGCTGTGTACGCTGCCGCGCGGAACCAGATCACGAACCCTGCGGACATCATCATGGAACCGGAAGTCGCGCTCAAAGAAGTCATTGCCATTACTCACTATTGCCCGGCTTCGTGGCGCGATCGGCTACATACGGACGAAGTTCGGAGAGAATTTTCCCAGCTCTATCAAGTGAAGATCACCATCTTCTTAGAGGAGCTCCTCAGCATGGTTCTAACCCCGTTCGTGCTGTGGTACAGCCTTCCTCAGTGCAGCGAGCGCATCGTCGACTTTTTCCGCGAGTTCACCATCCATGTGGACGGCTTGGGCCACGTTTGCTCTTACGCAGTGTTTGACTTCAAAAAGACGGACAACATCGCACAGGATCAGGCACAACAGCACGAGAAGTACCGCCAGCAGTGGTTCAGATCCAATGATGGAAAGTTAGACGCTTCGATCAATGGATTCCTGCAAGCGTACAGCCGCAACCCCGGCAACCGCGGCCCGACTGGGTCGCACTTCAACCTCCCTCCCGCCTTTAACCCCTTGGCTGGCTCGGCAACCGGTGTGGAACATGGACCGGCCGGCGCGCGGAACCCGACAACGCGGCGCGGAGGCCAGCGTGCAACCTCGAGGCCAGCGGCAGCAGCAGCTGTTGCGGGCTCTCCTATGGGATCCGTGTTGCTCGACCCCCATCACCAGCCGTCGTTCATCAACACTCGTCACGCCGCGCTCTCTCGGTATAATCCAAATCGCAATCCGCCGAGGCACCTAGATGAGCTGGATGAGGAGGTGGAAGCGGGAATGACCGATGCGAGGCAAGCACTCTCATCTGGCCAAATTCCAGAGGATGAAAGCAACCTCGGTGAATCGTGGCTCCACAATGCCTCCAGCGGCGGAGGTGATGATGATGACCTGGATGCCGCGGATGGCGCCAAGGGAGCTGGTGTGCTCGGCTTGTTGCAGCAATTCCAGAATGCCCATGCCCATGGCCGTGTTCCCGGCGTCTAGAGGCCAGTACTTCGTGGTGGGTATCGTATGTGTAGATGCATTTTATGCATTTCTGGGATTTTGACTAGACGGTCGGCATCTGGCGTTCCAATGCGTTCGGTTTGCTTTTTTTTATTCATATGAGTTATGCGGTACGAGAGACTTCAAACGATTACGGGCGTGGGACGGTTTGGAAAGGAGTACTGGCGATTGCATGCTTGGCCAAACCTTTGTCCACCTTCGTGCGTCTATACTTTAGGAATACCCTGGCGAAGTAGAAGTAGTAGTCAATACAAGTGGGACTACTCAGAGCTTCTACAGGCGCGTAACATCATGTGCGGTAGTACAATATCGAAACTAGTCCCTACTTCCAACCATTGAGTGACACGAGGCGATCACAGTGTTTGACGGAGCTTTGATCTACTACATTTATCATTCTTTGCCGGTGATCCCCAAGTCTCGACAAAACAATCAGTCAGGATACGTGCTGAGACAAATTTCTCAGTTGGGAAAGTTGTCACGTTTGCAGCTTGATCTTTTGGCTACGTGCAAAGAAATAGCGTATCTCTCGGATAGCTGTGCAGATGTACTTGTTGTCTCGTGGCGATCCCACGGGTGTCATGGACCATTCACCAGTACTCGATGGGAATTCTGGCGCCTCTCAACGAACCATATAGATTGAATTTGTGAGAGATATAAGCCACATTCTGTAGACTAGTAGATACAGCCTGGAATCCAGAAGAATTAGCTTTCCGGCGATTCTGACGGCGTGGCTAAGAGCAATTCAGCCTCTGTGAATAGCCGCACAAACACGCAATTCTCCTTTTCGGACGCATGGAATCGATGCCGGGCACACGAGGGGTATCCGCAGAAGAAGGAAAGATTCATAAAGGTATAGAAAGCATGGGATAAGCAAATGAAGCAGGAAAAGCAAGATGAAGATTGATTTTGTCCGAGGTATCCAACAAACAACGCCGAGAACTCCAACGGCTCAGCCCAGCCCAGACTGTTCTACAGTGGGGCACTGCAGCCGATGGGTAGTTGAAGCTATCATCCGGACGTGAATGTAAAATTATTAATTCTACATTTACATCCGGATGATAGCTTTAAATACCCCATGGTATGAGCGAGAAATAAATTCACGCGAGCCGTCGGCTGCAATACCGCCGCTGTAGACAATTGGCTGGCGAGTAGAGACTTATGAGTATCCCATCGTGACGCGCGCTTTCTAGCGGATGGGCAGCGAAAGAAATGATCTCTTGGACTTCGCGTCTTGCCGCCTGAGCTTCCACCATAATCTACAGCGGATCCCCTCCCCATAAAAAAATTGGCTTGGTGAAAGCTCTCATGTTGCACTACCACGTTGTTAATAGCCTTACTCTTGTTTATAGTGATCAAGATTCCGAGTAGAGGACGCCAGTCCGTTGATTCAATCCGCCAAGGGATCTTGAGTGCTTGCTGACTGTAGGCAGCAACTAGTGTGTTTAGTATGCTTCAGCGAACGACTGCACTCGTCACTGCGGCCACCGACTGAGGTGTCCGCTCTTCCCTTTCTGACTAGGTCGACCAGTGATGATGGGGGAGAACACGAACCCGCCGAGAGAGTGCAAAGCAGTCAAAGTGAAGAAAGAGAAAGAGAAACAGTGCACTTATGCACAGCTTATTGCTTATGATCGGAGGCCCGTCGGGCGGCCTTGGAGTATCGCCGGCGGATTGGTCTTCGTTCAAACACTCCAAGCTTTTACACTTGGCAAGACGCGGCCAAGACAAGTAGAATCCCCTTGGCCCCCGTTGACGTAATATGCTTAGCAGCATTTGCCTTGCTTATCTCATAACTTTTGTAAGATGTTTCAATCAAAACGGTAGTAACGCTTAGCACGGTCAAGATGGCTAGCAAATAAATAAATAAGAACAGATATGACCTGCGACACTTGTTCTACCAGCCGGCGATGGCCGGATTTATTAGTTTCTTGCACTTGTAAATAATTGTATAAATGTTCCTATCTGTTAGCGGGTCGTGTGATACTTTGTTAAGAGTTTCACCCCCGTAAGAGACTAGAGGTGCTTATAGATAATATTGCGATAGTAATTAGTACTATTTGCTTAAAATGCATTTATATACTAAGTTTTAGCAGTGTGAAAAAGTAAATATATGTAGACACTTCAATTTGTTTTATCTTATATTTGTATACTTAAATAATAATTATTATAAGTAACCCACCGGCATGCTTTACTATAATGCTGATAGCTTACTAATTACTTACTCTGCTTGTTATTTTACTATCTCTATTGCTACCGACCTATAAATTATCCGTAAAGAAAAGATACTTGCAGTTAATACTGTTGTAGGTCCCTTCGTTTTACTTTTATGGATTTATATTTCCGCGTCATTGTATCTACGTGCTTACCATACTAAGAGGCAATATATTTGGGCGGGTAGAGTAAGTGAAGTTTAAAGCTACTAAGATAGCAGGACGAGTAGAATGAGTGGAATGAGGAGAACGAGCAGAAAGTATACAATATTGATATAAAACGAGCATACACACACGGCGTGACTTGTCTCAGATATCATCAGAAACCGAAACCTTCAAGACCACCAAATAGCCTGCCTAAACATGCCTCTCATCTCAACAACCGACAGACAGAAAGAAAGAAAGAGAAGCGCCAGCAAATCAATTTATAATAAAAAGCGAGGGTATCCCAAGTCTAACCCAGAAAAAAAAAACTTAAAAAATGCAGCAGCCTTTCTATACCATGCCATGCCCATGTGTCTAGAGAAATGCTTTTTGTGCCATCAACGTCGTTAAAAAAAATCAAACTCATATGGGTGTGGGGGGAGGGGGGAGGGGGGAGGCCGTAATTCCAAACCATCATGATCTGTACAGAGAGAGAGAGAGGATGCAATATACCCGAAAAAACAATTTCATCATAATCATCATCATCACCATCAAAACACCCAAACGCCACGGCCTTGCCTTGCCGCTCAAACCGGAATCAGGGGGACGACGTCTCGTCAGTGTCAGTGATGACCATCCCTCCAAAACGGCCTCCCACTCCCACTCCCACTCCCACCCCCCTTCCCCTTCTCCCCTCCTCCTCCATCCTCACCCAGCAACGCCTTACTCCTACTCCCGCTCCCACCGCCCCACAGCACCGCCGCCACGGGCGCGTCCACCGACGATCCGGCGGGTTGCTGCTGGCGAAGGTGGTGGTGCCGGCGCATCAGCGACGCCACGGGGCCCCTTGCTGCTGCTGCTGCTGCCGCCGCCGCCGCTGCTGCTGATGCTGCTGCTGCTCCTCCTCCTACTACTCCTGCTCCTGGCCCTGGCCCTCCTACACGGCGTTGTCCGCCGGGTTGCTGCTGTTCGGCATGTGACTGTTGTTGCACCAGCGGAAAGTTCGCGATATTACCGCCGTCCTCGGTCGGTTGCGGACGCGGCTTGTACATGCGGTGGACCTGGCGCTCGTGGAAGACGGTGTCGGCGTAGCGGGAGAAGCGGTTGGAGCAGGACGTGCACGAGTGGAAGGAGGAGGGGGAGGCGCGGTGAGCGGAGGAACGTAGCGGCGGGGTGTAGGCCGGGAAAAGGGGGTCTACAGCGGCGGCGGTGGACGGTAACGACGACGACGAGGATGAGGTGGAGATCGAGGGGGAGGAGGAGGAGCCGCAAGTTGTTGTTGGTGGCGCTGCTGGTGATGGTGGTGTGAGGGACACGACGCCGCCGGGGGCGCCGAGCCAGTAGCGCATATCGAGGCCGTCGACGAAGTGCGTAGAGATGTGCTCGACGCGCTCGTTCCACGAGAAGAGGCGCACGCCGCAGATGCCGCAGGCGATGGCGACGTGGCGGGCGACGCGGCGGGACCACGACGACTGCATGGTCGGCGACATCTGGGCCTGCTTGTGGACCTGGCCCAGGTGCTGTATCAGCTTGTCCTTGCGCGTGAAGGTGCGCGAGGCCTGGGGCGCCGCCAGGCACGGCGCGTGGTTGTGACGCTGGAGATGGTCGTTCGACGGGTTCTGTTGCTCGCAGAAGACGCAGAAGCGGAAGCCCGTGGCGGCGTCGGTGCGGACGGCACCGTCGGGCATGCATATCCACTCCTTCTGCGGAATGTGCACCGACTCCTCGTGGCGGCGCCAGTCGTACTTCTGCGCAAAGTCGCGGTTGCAAAAGGTGCACTGGAAGATTTTGCTCTGGTCGACGCGCTCGCGGACGACCGTGTTGGTGCCACGGCGCAGGGAGCCTCGATGGCGCTTACGGCCGCGGCGGGGTACGCGGTTCACGGCCGAGTCGATGCTGGCACGGGATGAGCTGGACGAATTGCTGCTCGCCGCTTCGGAGAGGGCATCGGGGTTCCTGTGTGGCGCCGAGCCAGTGCATGCCGTGTTCGCCTGCGAGGCGGCGGCTGCGTGTCGCAGGGCCTCCTCGGACACTCCCTCGTCCTCGGGGGAGGAGGACAGATAACGTTGCATCGGACTTTGCTGCCTTGGGCACGGAGTCTTCGACGCAGCAGGCTGCTTCGGCTTGTTGCTCGGGGCGCCAGACGCCTTAGCCTCCGTTGATGAGAGGGCGGGTGGGGATTGTTGGCCGACCAGGGGCGCGGGCAGTTTCCGGGCTCTCGCATTCGCAAAAAACGTCCTCACCTGCCGCGGCGTGAGCCCCGTGGCTTCGGACAGCGTCGAGACATCCTCTCGCTCGAGGTAAGGATCTTCTATGTGATCGTCGAACCACTGCTGCAGGATGGCCTTGGCCGGTGAGGAGATGCGCTGCCGCACCCTCTGCCTCGCCTGGAGCTCCGGCCGGCCCAGCTCAAAGCCGGGCTGGGAGCTGGGATGCGGATTCAGGAGTCCGTCGAGTTCGTCGTCCGGAATCAGCTGGCCGGTGCCCTGGATGGGCTCAAAGGTGGGTGGCTGGAAGTGAGCGCCCTGAAAATCGAGCTGGGCGGGCGGGTATTGATCGACGGTCCACGGGCCGCCCTGCTGACCAGGGAAGGCCGCCAGATGATTGAATTGGTCGTGAGAGTCTTGGGGGAGCCACCTGGTAGAAGTGAGTATGAGGGCTGGTCAGGGCAGAACAGGTTTGACGACGCACCAATTTGACGCACTACAGCCGTAGTTCCACGGCACGGCCTCCGCATGGTCGTCGACCTGCATGGGATCGGCCCATTGATGGCTCTGCGGCGGAAAGTAGGCTTGCATGTCGTCGTCATGAGGCGGGTGGTCCATTGTCGGCGAGGTTCAGGGCGAGGATGTGCCGGATAGAGTGGCAGATATTAGGGATATAAAGAATAATGCATGCCTGCAGGCATGCAGGCACGAATAGAGCCTCATGCGTGCCTGACGGCTTACTCACGGCGCCCTGTTTATCAGCGGGGTGTAAGCTCCGCATAATTCCACCAGCCCTACGAGAAACGGCCCCCGCGGACAAGGCCATGACAAACGGCCCGGGCGGATTACGTGGGCGATGCGCAGAAAAGTCTGGAAGGCCCAGGCGAGCGATTCCAAGTGGACGACGTAAAAATAGCCTTTGGCGGGCGCTGACAGCTGCTCCGAGCGCCAGTGTCGTCAAGGTGGCGTCGGACCGTGCCGCTGGGCGAGTTGCAGCAACCTCGCGTGCGCGTCGATTCCGCGCCGAGCTGCCAGCAGCAGGGAGATGGTTCCAGCGTGCTGCGTCATCGCCGTCGATGCTGTGCCATGGTGGTGCAGTCGTGATTGCAGACGATTAGCAACGGATTTATCAGCCCGCGCGTCTTGGTTCTTGCGACGACTAGCACCGAAGCGACCACACCACCTCACCGCCTGCCCCGCGCAACAGAGCAGCCACCACGCTTAAAACCGCGTCGCTCTCCCCACCCTCGATTGACCTGTCCGTGTATGCATGCCTGCGGGGTTCCAAGTCGGCTCCATTTTTAGCCTATCCTTAAAGTGCGCCCGCCCAACATCCGATCGAGCACTCCCACGTCATCCTATCTGAAATACGCCATCCTATTGGCTGATCTGCGCTGGCCCCTTGCCTATTCTGTGCGCCCTCGACCTCGAACGAGACCCCTGCAGCAATCCTGCGTCTATTTTGAGCCCACTTATTGCGGCTGGAAGATCGTTTATTGCGCCCGGCGACACCAGCTGAACTGTCCCTTTCCAATGTCGTGCCTATCCCAATCGTAGCCTGCTTCTTTCAATCCCGGTAGTCTTCGTCGTTTGGATCGTCGCTGGGCACGAGCCCGTCTTCATCCATCTCCACATCTTCATCACCAACTGCGCCACCCTCATCCACCCGACCGTCTTCATCCTGCGTGTCTATTGCCTCAGTGTACTCGTATCCTTCACCCTGTGACCTTGTCGGCTGTGGAGACATACCGGTAAATTCCACCTCTGGACCTTCACTTCCACCGCCATTTGCTTTGTGTATCTTCGCACTCCTCTTCGCCCTTTTAGCACCTCGCTTCGCCGACTCGCTGCCGCCATCGCTCAGGTGACTATCGGCCCGTTTGGCGCGGCAGTTGCTCGTGGCGAAGCCGCCGTCGGGCCGTGACGGGCTAAAACTGCCGTCCAGGGCGAGCTTCGGTCTGGCCATCTCCTCGACAGTCCCCAGCTTGTTGGCCGATATCGTGCCGTCCGCCTCCACAGTCGCGTCGTCGACGATCTGCATGGGCTGCTTGGGGAGGAAGGTTTGCAGGTCGAACCGCTCCAGCTCGTGGTGCGCCGTGACCTCGGGCTGCTGCTCTGCTGGCAGCCCTTCCGCCGCCGCCGGCTGCATCGTCGCTGACCACGAGCCCCAGCTTATGTCCTCCGCCGACCTGAGGCCTCCGCCGTAGCGCCAGTCGCGCACCTTGTGTCCGGGACGCGTCGTCATGGCCACGGCGAGCATCTTCTTGAGCGATGCTTCCATCGGCCCGGCGATCTCGACCCTCTCGACCCCTCGGATGTTCGAAAGCGCCTTGAAAAACGCCCTTTCCGCAAAGAAGCACCTGCTAACCAGAGGGATGCGCGACGCCGAGCCTCTGCCATTGTTGAGGCCATTCTGCTGCTGAACAAATGAATTCTGCACCTTGGCCGACGAGAGTATCGTCTTCGAGTACGGTTCGAGCAGCCTGTCACTTACGACCACAATCTTGATGACCTGGAGGTTGTGCTTCACCTGTGTAACGAGCGGGTTAAGGTATGCGCGCGCGATTCGGGAGCTTGGGGCCTCACATTTCCGGGACGGAAGGCCTCGAGAGCCACCGCCCACATGTCGTCGTCTGCGTCGTCGAAGTTGTTCGTGGAGATCTGCATGTAAAGTGACCGAGCGGCTTGGAATTTCGCGGGTTCCTGATGGACCATCTGCCAGAGCTGCATGGCGCCCTCTTGGCCCTGCGCGACTATGTCGAAGCCGGAAGTACCGATGGCTCTACGCGGCGGCATGGTGGTCGTGGTTGTCGTGGTGATTGTCGTGGTGCGGCGGGTCGCGCATGGAAGTGGATGAGGTTGTGGCGCGGGCGGGTCTTCGAAGAGGGTCTGGAAGAAGCGTTGAGGCGGAAGAGCGTGGAAGAAGAACATCTGGTTGGAGCCGGAGCGAAGCGTGAATGAAAGCGCAGAGCACAGCTGCGGAATTATGAAAAATTAAAAGCGAAGCCCTGGGGAAAGTCCTGTCATCGTCATCCAACCGTCCACGACCGCGCGTTTGCGACAAACGCGCCTTTAGGCCACATCGATGGTACTGTGCCGGGGATCATGCCTCGTCCGCCCCGCCGCTTCCACCTTTTCGTACGCCCTGCACCACAAACTCATGTTCGCCGCCACAACCAGATCCATCATTTTGAGGCCCTCGTCCCGAATGATCAATTTCCCCAGCTTCGCCTGCTTCCCCCCGAAGCCACCTCCCGCATATTCCAACCCCAGCGACAAATCCAGATTGGCCACTCCCCCAAGGATCTCCTCGGCGCTGGGCCCGACCGACGAGACTGATTGTGCGCTCTTGCGGTGGAACAAAGACGCGCGCTTGGACGTCCGCTCCTCGGCGTTTGCTGGCTGGCCACGCATGGTGGGAAGATTGAAGCGAAGCTCGCTGACCGTGACGGCTTCCGGCGTCTGGATTGCTGCGTTTGTGACGGGGAGTATGTGTCGGCACTGGAGGCTGTCAATACTAGAGATAATTTCACTCATAACGGACTGATGCACTCTGTCCTGCGACACTTACCTTGAGAGAATCCCCAGCGCCACCGGTGACAAACTCGCACCGCCCATTCCACGGGCTTTCAAACACGTACCCCCTATAGCCCGGCCTTCTCTCCTGCGGACCCATGCCAATACGCCTCTGTCCTTCCACTTCTTCCCCCGGCGAACGATCTGCAAACGGACTAACCCCGGGAACGCCCAAGTTGGACTCGTGGGATAGGGTCTTCTTGTGGCCAAAATAGTCGGCAGTGTACCTCGCACCCTCATACCACATCCTCCTGCGAAAGGTCGTGTCCACGGGCGTCGGCGCCGTCGGGCTCTGGAGGGAATTCCTGGAGCCCGCCTGGCCGCTCAGGAACGAACTCACGCTGTCCTCGCTCCTCCTCGGCGAAGACAGGTCGGGGTTGAAGAGGAACTTGGAATAGCCCGGATTATTGATGTCAATGTACAGCGGGGCGCCCGGTTTCCTCACTCTTTCCTGAACGGGGCGGCCGAGGTTGTCCGAGTAGATGTCGAAACTAGGGGGATCCTTGACTTTGCCGACGTTCCACTGAGCTCCCGATGCGGGATCGCGCCTGATGAGGGTCAACGACATGCCCTGGTTGGGCGTTCCCGCACCAGGCGAGAAGAGGCCGGATTCAGGGCGTCCGTCAAAGCTGGGCTTGCTCGGGTAGGGCGATTCGGGTGGTTCCCTCGCGGGGCTCCTCGCGGGGCTCCTCGCGGGACTCCTCGCGGGGCTCTTCCGTCTTTTGGGCTGATCCTGCATCCAGAAGGGAAGCTCGGCTTTTTGCCGCATCGGCGAAGGCCCCCGAGCGGGCGGTTGGGCGGACCATCGGCGACGGTCATGCATGGAAGGCCTCAGGTTCTCTTGCTGCGTGTCGGGCAGCTCCGTCGAGCGGCCCCGCCGATGAGAAATCGGGCCGGAGGGGATCGTTGGCTGGACGGGCTGGTGCTGGTGCTGGGCATTTTCGGCATCTATCTTGATTGACAACGGAGGAGGCGGCAGCACCGGCTTTCTCTTGAGGGAATTCGAGGAAGAAAGGGCTGGAGCCGCGGCGTCAGGTGGGAGCGAGGGCAGGGGCCGCCGCACTGGCTTGCGAATGATGGGCGTCGAGTCTTTCGCCGGCGGCCCAACCGTCTGCTCGTACAAGGCGGGGTCGGTCTCCTGGACGTACGCCTTGAACTCCTCGTCTTCGGGGGCGTCAAAGTGCAGGTAATACAGCGAGCTCTGGACGTCCTCGGCCGTCACGACCTTCTCCCGGGGTTTCATCGGTGTTAGGAAGACATCTGCTTTGACGTCAGCACAGCCGCAGCAAGCCGGAGTTGGCAGTGCAGCAGCAACGACAACACTCGCCTTTGCTGCCGGGAACGCGCTCGATGTAGAGCACCAACGGCTCGTGCCTCTCGTGCGTGGGATTGCGCGGATAGCGGGGAGGGTTTGAGGCAAGGGTCGTCAGCGCCGACAACGACTTCGCCTCGACGGCCGTAGTCATGCTCTGAGTCGGATAGGCAAGTAAACAAAACAAACAAACAAGGGAAGCCAAGAGGCGAGGAGGGGGATCACGGAGAGCGCGTCAGTGGGGCGGGGCTCGACGTTTAAGAGCAAGCGTAGATGCAAGAGAGTGAGCGGCGACTCAGACGTGGAGCCGGCGCCTGACGGTTGGCAATGTACCTGCCCTGATCGTGGCAGGGGAGGCTGAGCAGTTTGCGCGTTTGCCCGGGCGCACCGTGGCGGCCAACGCAGTGTGGCGCATGAGCTCGGCCACGGGCCCCCCAGCACCGTCCTGCAGAGCCGTCCGCCTTTGCTCGGGCGTGGTGGTGTCGTGTGCCGCCGACTGGCCCACCCGCGCACGGACCCGGCGATTTTTGCGAACGCGCAGGCCAAGATTTCCACGCACTGCATGAAACTTTGTGTGAACGCTTTCTGCCCGCGCCCCGTCTCAACACCGCCAACCCGCCAGGCCGCCCCGCGAGCACCGCCAGACCCTGTCTATCGCCGTCGATCCGTGCACGCCCGCCATGGCCGACGAGCTGGAGGTCAGCCCTGCTTGCCGCCCCCGCCGCCTCGTGCGAAGTCGCTGACACCCGCTACGCAGGAGCGTCTCCAGAGCCACGCCCAGGCCTTCGAGGGCCTGATGTCCCTCATCCCCGCAAAGGATTACTACGCTCCGGACACGAGTGTATGTTCGACCGCTGAGCCACGTCCCTCACCTGCTAAGACGTCGTTTGCAGGACCAATGGCAGCGCAAGAAGCAGACCAAAGCCCAGAAGAAGGCCGCCAAGCGCGCAAAACTTGACCCCGCCAACAACCAGTCCGCCAAAGACGTCATGGACGAGAACGAGCGCAAGCGCAAGCGCGAGCTCAATGGTGAAGACGATAGCGATGACCTCTCCGACCTGAACGCACCGGGCAGAGAGAAGCCGCGCGAGGGTTTGAAGACGAAGGACGCGAAGAAGCAGAAACTGGAGAACGACGACGCTGCCGAGGAAGAGGACGAGGAGGCGCGCCAGAAGAGGGAGGAGAAGCAGAAGAAGATCGACGAGAGGAGGCAGAAAAAGAAGGAGAAGCAGCAGGAGAAGGCCCAGGTCAAGAAGGAGCGCCAGGCCGCCGCCGCCGCCCCGAACCCCGATGCCGGCAAAATGGACGTCGAGACGGCCGAAGAAGCCTCTGATGCCGCCGCCTCCGGGGACGAAGAGATCGACAAGGTCGACGTCAGCGGTCTCGTCGAAGACGAAAAGGACGAGGCTTCTTGGACTTCTGCCACTCCCTCCCCTGAACCCGAGTCCCCGGCCTCATCCGCCGTCCCATCTGCCTCCTCTTCATCCTCGATTCTCCCCCCCGCCTCATCCGACAGCTCGAAGAAGCCGAAGAACAAGGCCGGCAAGATCCAAATGCCGCAGGTTGACCAGGAAGTGCTCAAAGCACGTCTGCAAGCAAGGATAGAGGCTCTCCGCGCAGCACGCAAAGCTGACGGCATAGACGGCAAGCCCGCGCGCAACCGTCAGGAGCTCATGGAGGCACGGAGACGCAAGGAGGAAGAGAGACGTCAGCGGAAGAAGGAGATGCGCAAGCAGGCCAAGGAGGACGAGCAGCGGAAAGCGGCCGAGGTGGAGCTCGCTCGTCTCCGCGGCTCCGGCTCGCCCGGCACCCCCGACATCTTTTCGCCCATGGAGCAGGAGAACAACTTCTCCTTCGGCCGCATCACCTTTGACGACGGTCAGCAGATGGACTCGACAGCATCAAACCTGGTCGACGCTAAGAAGAAGAAGGGCAGGTCGGACGCCAAGACGGCTCTCGAGGCTGCGGAGAAGAAGAGGCAGCGTCTCGCCGGCCTCGACGAGGAGAAGCGCAAGGAAATCGAATCCAAGGACCTCTGGCTGAACGCCAAGAAGCGGGCCCACGGCGAAAAGGTCAAGGATGACACGAACCTGCTCAAGAAGACGCTCAAGCGGAAGGAGAAGCAAAAGAAGAAGAGCGAGAAGGAGTGGACCGAGCGCATCGAGGGTGTCGAGAAGGGCAAGGAAATGCGTCAAAAGAAGCGTGAGGAGAACCTGAGGAAGCGCCGTGAGGAGAAGGGCACCAAGCCCGGCAAGAAGGCCAACAAGCTCAAGGCCGGCAAGAAGAAGGCCAGGCCTGGGTTTGAGGGCAGTTTCAGGAGCAAGACTAAATAGGTGACGGGGAAAAAAGTTTTGGACTGGGAATTGATCCATGGCGCAGTCACGTTCGGGATGGGATCCCTCGGCGTTCAGAGGTCTGGGCATGGGTAGGAGTAAATATGGGGTACTGCATAAACTTGGTAATGCGAACGGGCTTCAGATGCTGCTCTAGTCGATAGGGACTTTGCCAGATGAAAATTTGAACCGACGAGCGCAGTGAATTCATAGTGAATGTATCTCATCTATTCCTCGATGAGTTGCATTTGGCTTCGGCCTGTGGATACGGTGGAATAACCGAAGCCCATCTTCGAAAAGAAAAGGCAATTGCACATGTTCAAACCAACCAACCACCCTCGAGGGGCCAAGTCCATGTTTCCAAACCGTGCATGCCAAAGTGTTAAAATCTTCATTCTAATAAGCTTAGTTTTTATTTTCGTCAAAGTCTTACGGTGTATTGAAAATTGTGAATTTGTGGTGAGGGATGAATAGTCCTGGACGACGGTGCTTGATTATTTGATTCGGAGGACGTGCTTGAGGATCGCGCCGGCCGAGGAGATACTATGTTGCTGTGTATGATCGCAAACAAGAGTAACCTTTCAATTTGACTGGAATTTTTTTCTTTGCTCACATACGTTGCTTAGCCTATGTAGGTAAGCATTTTGAGAGGATCTTGCAAATATTAAATACAATTTATATCATACAGAATACTTCACCCACCTATTCTAAACTCAATTCTCGAACAATTAGTTGAAGACTCGCGTTTAAATTCTTTTCCATTTAAATAGATATCTAAAAGCTTAGCTAATACTGGAGTAATTCTCCTCCGCCATCTCCCTCCTTAATTGCCTTGTCGAAACTACCCTATTAGTAAGAGCTTCATAGCCGTAGTAGATTTCCTGATTATTTCTACCAAAAGCCATTGATCAGAAAAGTTGTCAGGACTATGCGTGAGCTAGGGAGCTGACAAGGAGAATGGCGGGGATATCATCAAAGGCTGAGGCGCTTTAAAGAGTGGAATTGGCGCAAGAATTATATTTGGTGTAGACGGTGGATTTGATAATTGCCCCGAGAATCACTTATGAGACGCTCCAGCGAACTTAGGACTTTTAACTTATTTATTAGAACGCAATAAGATGAAAGATTTGCACGAAAAGAAATGTTTGCCGTCTGGCGGCGTTGATGCTACAGCATATGTACATCTTGATATCCCTTCCTCCTTTCTCATTTGGTCCACGACTCGTTTTACCTGTAAGGAGCATCGGCCCTCGCGACAGCGGCCAGCTCGGGCTCCCACTTGTCGCCGTTCGACAACAACTTCTCCTTGTTGTAGAGCAGCTCCTCTCTCGTCTCGGTTGCATATTCGGCGTTGGGGGCTGCAATGTTGTAAGCATTCATCCTCGAGACCATTCCCATCGAGGGGTGCACGTACATTCCACAATGGCGTCGACGGGGCAGCTCTCTTGGCAGAAACCGCAGTAGATGCACTTGGTCATGTCGATGTCGTATCTGGTGGTGCGCCTGCTTCCATCCTCGCGCTCTTCGGCCTCGATGGTAATGGCTTGGGCGGGGCAGATGGCCTCGCACAGCTTGCAAGCAATGCAGCGCTCTTCACCGGTCGGGTAGCGGCGCAGGGCGTGCTCGCCACGGAAGCGCGGCGAGATGGGGCCCTTCTCGAACGGGTAGTAGATGGTGTACCTGGATGAATCACTCGTCTCAGCATGCGGGCGGCATTGCATGATGGTGGGCACGGTGCCCGGGGGCCCAAAGGGAGCTTACGGCGCGCGGAAAAACTGCTCCAGCACGACGTACATGCCGCGCATCATCTCGGTCAGGAGGAAGTACTTTCCAGCCTTGTCGAGAGAGCTCTCGGCACCCTGGTCCCAGCGCTTCGGCGTCGGCAGGCGGAATCCCGAGGGTGGCGGACCGGACGGCAGGGCGGCGCGCGGTGCGCTGGTCGAGAAGAATAGGGCGGCGGCGGGCGAGTTGGACGCACGCAGCAGCTGCGTGGTCGGCCGGGCGCGAGCCAACATGGTCATTGGCCTCGTGCTTGCCATGGTGGGCGTGGTGGGTGCGGGCAGGGCGGAGAGGAGAGTTGTGGTGTTGAGCGGCACTTTGACGTTGCCGGCGTGGCGGTTCTGTAAGTTCAATGGGCTCGAATCTGATTCGCTGCCAGCCAAGGTGCGCAACGTCAACAAGCTTATGCCTCAGGCCGGGAACAGCTGCTCCGGGGCGAGGGAAGAGGGCACGACTGGCAAAATCGCAGAATTGGCCGCTGGACGAACAGACGAGCCGCGCGCCGCGCCTCTTCTCGAGCTGCTCGCCGGGGTGTGTCGGTCGTCGAAGGGCGAGGAAGGCCGGCGCACGTGACCATGACGGCGCCCAAGCTCTAAGCCCGTCCCGACTCGTCGATGATTTTGCGAAGTGCCTCATCGCCGCGTACCGCAACACACCCGCCTCCATCTCGCCAGACGAACACCCGCACCTCCATCCGCCATGTTCAGGACCGCCATCCTCCGCTCCGCCCGCGGCGCTGCCCGCTCTGCCGCCCGCTGGCAAGCCCCAATTGCCCGCCCGGCCGTCCCTGCCCTCCGCGTTCAGTCCAGACAGCAGCTCCCCGCCGTGTGCTTCCAGGCCGTGCGTTGCTACTCTGCCGGCGGCGCTCTCAACCAGGAGGAGATCCAGGGCCGGATACTGGACCTGCTGAAGAACTTTGACAAGGTATGCGGTCTGCGAGAGCGCGCGGCACGACTCGGATCAAGCTAACGTGCGCGCGGTACAGGTCCAGGATGCGTCCAAGGTAGCCGATGGCCCCTTCTGCCCCGCTGCGCTTTCTAATGCTCACCCTATCTAGCTGTCGCCTACTTCGCACTTCTCCAACGACCTCGGTCTGGACAGCCTGGACACCGTTGAGGTGGTTATGGCCATTGAGGAGGAGTTCAGCATCGAGATACCCGACAAGGATGCCGACCAGATTCACAGCGGTACGTCCGAGCCCACACGCTCCGCAGCCGCAATGCGCCCCGCCCGTAATGCCACGCCCACGCGCGCATGGGAAGGGCGACGGCGATCACTTCCGGAACGAGCTTTACTGACTGCAAGCAGTTGACAAGGCAGTGGAGTACATCCTCAGCCAGCCCGATGGTAAGTCTTCCTCCTCCCAGCGCCGTCGAGCGCAGCCCGGCTGATTGGAACCGCAGCGAAATAATTGAATCGAACGAGGGCTGGATCGGGGTGGGAGAGGGGAGAGGGAGAAATGTGATGGCTGGAAGGAATTGCGGAGTGGACATTTGCTTGTACAAAGCCATCAGCTCTAGGTTTCCGAGCCTCTGTACTATGGACTAGAAGACGATTTTGCTCCGGCACATTTTCCTGGTTGTGCTGCAACGTTTGTAGGTACATGGCGTGCCTGCGTGAAACGCCGCCCGCGCGGCAGGGTTGGGTTCGTCGTCCCTCGCCAAGCCAGTTATTTCACTCTGGCTCAGCGGCCACCCGTTCTCTAAATACACATTCCGTATGCCGCGCAACGCCTCCTCCCCCCACCACGTCAGACGCCCTGCCAAAAACTCGCTGCTGCGATCTGGCTGCAACGCCCCGTGAACTTCTTCCGTGAACCCTGTCCGACCCTTGGACGCCGAACACCCTCGCAGCATCCCTGTGCGGCGGGCGCCGAGCTCAGACCTAGACCCAACACCGACACCGGGCACGACACCTTTCCACAGTCGCACTGCGTATGGCCACCTCAGCTTCAGGCTTGACGCGCCGCCGGGGCGCAGGCGCGGGCGCGGGCGCAAACGGCGACAACGACAACGACGGCAGCCGCGTGAGCTCGCCGGTGCCGCGCCGCAACGATGACGGCCCCGGAACCTCCTACGAAAGCTCGGAGAATGGCCACAAGATCGCCTTCGACCCGCGAGACATCAGCGAGAGCGCCGAGCGGAGCAAGCAGCCCAAGCTCACGCTCATGGAGGAGGTGCTGCTCATGGGGTTGAAGGACAAGCAGGTGGGTTTTGTCCCTCCACGCCCGAAGGGCTGCCTAAGGAGGGGCGCGACTGACAATCGGCGGGCCAGGGCTACCTCTCTTTCTGGAACGACAACATCTCCTACGCCCTCCGCGGATGCATCGTCATAGAGCTGGCCTTCAGGGGCCGCATAAGCATGCAAAAGGATTCGTCGCGGCGGCGCTTCCCCCTCGCGGATCGCGTCATCGAGGTCATAGACGACACGCTCACCGGCGAGGTGCTTCTGGACGAAGCCTTGAAGATGATGAAGTCGAGCGAGCCGATGAGCGTGGCCTCCTGGATTGACCTCATGAGCGGTGAGTCTGCTCGTCCTCTATCTCTGTCTCTCCCCTCTCCGTCGCTGACACCTGGCCAAACGCAGGCGAAACATGGAACCTCATGAAGATTGGTTACCAGCTCAAGCAGGTCCGCGAGCGCCTGGCCAAGGGCCTCGTCGACAAGGGCATCCTCCGCACCGAGAAACGCAACTTCCTCCTCTTCGACATGGCCACCCATCCCGTCGCCGACGGCGGCGCAAAGGACGAGATCCGGCGCCGCGTCCGCAACCTCCTCACCAACAGAACCGTCGTCCTCCCTCCGAGCCAGTTCCTGCCCGAAGAGATGGACTTTAGGTACCTGCGCACCATTTCCATGGTCTGCGCGGCTTACGCGGCCAACGTCCTGGAGAACGCATTGTCGACGCTGGGCCACGAGGCACGAGAACGGGCCTTTGCCCAGGTCGACGAGTTGCTGGCCGAGTATTCCCAGTGGCCGTTCGCCCGACGCGCCGGGGGTTCGGGAGGCATAGGAGCCAACCTGGGGCAGGTGATCTCAGAGGAGGTGAACAACAACAAGGATAAGGAATTGCAGCTCGAGGTAAGCACGCACGCGTCATGTCGTGAAACTCGCACATTGACTGACTCTCTCCAGGTGGTCGCTGCTTGCTTGAGCGTCTTCACAAGGCTGGATTCTTTGCTATAAGTTAAGGGACATCATAACGGCCTTCATCTTATATCTTGCGCGTTATTTTGATACTCAAGCACGGCGCGCTTCTTGAGAACAACTACTTAATTCTGGATCAACGACGGCTGAGGGAAGGTTTGTGCTACGGCGGGCGGGGCGGAAGCGCTTTTGGGCACGGCACAGACGGCGGACGGCCGGACCTTTTTTTTTTCCTTTCTCTTGCGAAAGGGCGCCCGGAAGACGAAAAACCAAGGGGAATTCCATATTGTTCTGTCGACAGTGTTACGTAGCATGTGGCTTCGAGATATCTGGCTGGCTGCGGCTTGCTCGTTTCCATCCCAACCTACACCAGACCGACGATGCACGTGACCAAGCACAGCAGACCCGGGCAGGGTCCCGTCCCGTCCGCTCCGCGCGCAGGCCCCGGCGGAGGCACCGGGAGGGCGGTAGGGCTGAGCGAGAGAGGCAGGTCGGGCGCGGCGCGTTGTCATCAGGACTGGCGGGGGGAGGACGCGATGACAGGGCCAATGGGCGGTGCTGGGCGGAGCGGCTTGGCGAGCGTCGTGGGCGTGGGCCGCGCGCTCTTCGCTGCTGCTGCGACACGGAGGCAGCTTGCAAAGCACCGAGCTTAGCATTTCCCGCACCCAATCCTCGCCAGGGGGCGGAGACAGGACGAAACGACGTCAGCTGCGAGACTACTGCTGGCTAGGGCGCTTTCCGCTGCTTGGGCCCATTCCTAACACGCCGCTCCGCTGCCCTCGGTTCTCTTTGTGCCAGCCGCCCAGACTGACAGACGCTCGACGCGCCCGATCATTGCGTGCAGCTCTGGTATGTTGATTCACTCGTCCCGCCGCCCCCTCCCCGCCTGCCCAGCCGGATGCTACCTTCTGCCGCTGCCGCTGCCGCTGCGCGATGGCGACGGCCCGTGGGAGGTGAGGCTCGTCGCCCCGTCGCGGCACGTCCGTGGCCCAGCGCCCTCACCTCCCACCCGCGGCCACGCGCCTCTTGCTCGGACCTATCGCTGACATCACCAGCTTATTCATGTCTCCTCCCTAACCCGCTGGACCTTCGTTTCTCCCTCGGGCGGCTCCGTGATCGCCCGCTCTTCCGACGCGCCTGTGACCCGTACATAGAACCATGCCGTCACCAGTCGCGTCGACCGCCGCGCCTCCGCCCCAGTCGCACGAGCAATCGCAGCAAGAATCAACACCAGCCGCACACGACGCGCAGAACGGCGCTGCCGGCGACGATGCCACCGAGTCGCAGGATCCCGCGCGTCCATCCAGTTCTGGCCAGACCGCCGACGGCAATGGCACGATACGCGAGACGAAGGAGAAGGCAAAGGCCCTCATGGCCGCGTCCGGCGTCGACGTGAACGCGAGCACCGAGCAGGCGTCGCCCTCTGCCCGCGCAAAGTCGTCGCCTGGGAGCGACGCCGCCAATGGAGTCTCCCCCAGCCGCAAACGCTCTCGCTCCGGCTCGCGTCTGCCCTCGCACGCGCCGTCTCAAGGCTCTTCCAATCAGAACCCGTCCGCTCTGACCGATTATCTCATCAATCAGTACTGCACCCGCGACTTGCTTCACGCCGCGGCCATGAACGACCAGGCTGCCAAGGCTCGAGGTTTGATGACCGAGAAGCTGTCCGAGGTTGAGTACTACAAGCAGCTGCGCCAGCAGCGCCAGATCGATCCCGGCTCGGTGTTTGGCTACGGCTTCGATGGCTACGGCAATGGCTATACTGAGGTGAAGCCGTCGCGGCTCCAGTACCCGGCGCAGCGCAAACGTCTCGGGAACCGCCGCTCCAAAAGCTTGCATGTGCCCCGGAAGGACTTGGCGAAACAGGCCGACACGTTCGAGGAGCTGGTGCCCGTACGTCTGGACATCGAGTTCGACAAGATTAAGCTGCGAGACACCTTCACCTGGAACCTGCACGACCACCTCGTCTCGCCAGAGCTGTTCGCAGAGAACATGGTGGAGGATTTCAAACTGCCCCCGGAGATGGGCCCCCACGTTTTCCGCCAGATCAACACGGAAATCCACGAGCAGCTCCAAGATTACTACCCCCACGTCTACTTCAATGAAGAACCGCTGGACCCGACCCTGCCTTACGACGCCTATAAGAACGACGAGATGCGTATATTGATCAAGCTGAACATCACCATCGGACAGCACACCTTGGTGGACCAGTTCGAGTGGGACATCAACGACCCAATGAATTCGCCCGAGGAATTCGCCAGGTCCATGACCGCAGAGCTCTCCCTTTCCGGCGAGTTCACGACCGCCATCGCGCACTCCATACGGGAACAGTGCCAGATGTTCACTAAAAGCCTCTACATCACGGGCCACCCCTTCGACGGCCGCCCAGTCGAAGACGCAGACGTCCGCGAGGGCTTTCTGACTTCTCCAATACAGTCCGTATTCCGGCCCGTGCAAGCAGCAAAGGACTACGCGCCGGTCTTGTACGAGCTGAACGAAGCGGACCTGGAGCGGGCGGAGTTGTCGATCATGCGCGAGCAGCGGAGACAGAAGCGCTCGGTGAACCGGAGAGGCGGCCCGGCGCTCCCGGATCTCAAAGATCGGCAACGGACGGTGCGGACGATGGTGGTTTCCTCGGTGCTGCCCGGCGCCGTGGAGCGCGTGGAAGACAGCCGCCTGTACAAACTCTCCCGTTCCGCATCCGGCAGAGGCAGGCGCACCGTGAGAGATGGCGATTCGGACGAAGAGTCCGAGAGCGAAGAGTCCGGTCAAGAATCCCCGGCACCTTCGCAGATAATGATGATGGGAGGAACAGCGAGGACGAGGGGCATGCGCGGAGCGGCGTCGGCGGCGACGGTCGCCATGCGCCAGAATCTTGGCCGGTCGCAGACTCCCGAAGTCACGGCCCTCCGGCAAGAGCATCACCACGAGACGCGCACCTCGCGACGCTTCGGAACGCCCAGAGAAGAAAGTGTTGCTCCCACGCCCACGACGCCTGCTCCCGAAAGACTGCTGGTCAGGGTCAAGATCTCCCGAGACAAGTACCGACGATGGATGCAGGCACAGTCTACCGGTAGAGCCCACGAGTACCGGCAGAGCCAGCCCAATCCAGTGTTGGCCTCTGCAGCTTCTACGCCCCAACAACAAGCCACACCCACCCGCGCCTCGATGCCGCCACCCCCTTCGCCGGCGATGCAGCAACGATCGACCCCCGGCCCGGCGACGCCGACAAGTAATGGCCAGCAAGAGATACGATACTATCATGACGGACGCGCAGATGCTCCATTCCCGCAACCCGCCCAAGCAGTAAGTCCTCGGTCCCCGTAAAAGATATATATCTTTTTATTAACAATAGGCAAGCCCCCGCCCCCGCCGTGGCTCGCAGAGGCCTTGAGAAAACTGCACTCGGAACATCCCGACTCTGCGTTCGAAGCATTAATGCGCTACTGCGCCATCGACACACGCTCGCAGCAGCAGATTCGTCTAGACAGTTTACAGGCAGGGGCGACGCCTCCTTCTCACATCAAGTTCCAATGGCTCCCGCGCATCAGGTGTAACGACTGTCCCGGAAAGCTGTATACGCCCGGTCCAAACTGGACCGTCGAGAATTTTGAAGTCCATCTCAGAAACAGACAGCACCTCGAGGCTGTGAGGAGGAGAACGGCCTCGTCAGGCGGCGGGGCTTCGTCATAGATGAAATAAAGCAACAAAAAATGAAGGATTGCGAGAGAGGGAGGGCCGAAGGGTTGGATTTTTAACGGGAGGCGACCTCATTCCGTTTTTGTACATCAACATCATCATCTCACCATCATAGCTATGAGTCCACGGTGCGAAGGTTATGGAAGATGGGGGGCGGGGGCGGAGGGCTTCAAGATGGCGCAATGAGTTGTGTTTGTCGGTGTTGGCTTACCGCTTTGGGTAAGATTGGGGGTGGGAGTTGCATTATTGAGAGATTTTGTGTCCTCCATTTTCCATCCAAATCAATTCTTTCCACGTCCCTTGTGATGATGATGAAATCGTTTGTTGAACGCGTGAGGTCTGGGCGTCTGTAGTGAATTCCATATGGATAAGCTGACCGTGTTTGGCTGATGGACTTGTGGCTGAGTGTGTACGATCACCCCTGAGGTTTAAAACAAAAAACTTGTTGGCATAAGAAGCTATTTTCTGCATGTTTAATTATTCATTCTACAATTATGTTCGGACGCTTCAACTGCCCATTGGTGTTGAAATCAAATCTAACTTATACCATAGATGACCCAACCACCACCAGTGTAAACCAGATTGTGTTTGAGGTACGAAGAGCCGCACCTAGCATTTACCCATAATAGTTAGTCCCACCTCTGAGTATATATAGTTTCTGCTAGTCGCGTGCCCATTTGAGAGTCAATCTATTATGGTTTTAATACAATGCAGCCTTTACGCCTGCTCCTACATTTTTTACGGCTTTGTTAAAATAGAATCTAAGTCTACTTAAATACTGATGTAGCTAAGCATCTGAATAATGAGAGTAACAAATAAATACTTCAAACGTGGTAACCTCTGGCCTTTTGAGTCGCAGCTTTTTTCTTTTCAGCAAATTAGGTTAGTTATCACTCTGATGATTAATTCATCTGAACAGTTGCTTCAGTACCCATCGTCACGTACAGAGAAACAAATTCAGCTAGCCCTCGACTGCAATACCTTTCGCAAAGTTGTCGATTCAACTAGCTGAAGGCGATCAGCAGATCATCTGCTTCAACATTCCCCACACAGTCCAAAAGCCCACACTTAAATTAACAACGGCGCCCCAAAAGCAAAGGGGACAGCCTGCCAAGATGCCACAAAGACTCTGATTCGTCGAATGTGAACGACAGATGCTGCGCCGATCACCAGTTATCGTGTCCCGGGGGTGCGACGGGCACGTGTTGTTGTTGGTGCCGTGTGGGCCGGCGAAGCGCTCGGCTTCTGTCCGGAGGGGCGTAGGAACAGAAGCCGAAGTCCTGCTTCTTCGCTACCACTGGTCGATGGCAGCAGCTGTCGCAGATCAGCAGCGGCGGCTGTCAGACCATCAGTCATGCACGTCCGACCGGTGGGGGGCGATTTCGCTGCGTTTTGACGCGCCTGGGCTGCGACTTAATAACCCTCCCGGCCCAAACGCTTCGAGTTTGATGCAGGTTTCGCTTTTGCCCTTCTGCACCACCCGATATTCTCGCGCCCGCGCAACCGTCTTTCCCGACTTCCTAGTCCTCTCTCTCTTCTGTAGCTCGTGTGTGCGCATGTTTGTTTTCTGAAATCCTTTCTCTCGCTAGCTGGATCTGAACAGCCCGGCGTCTTCGCCTCGATTTGACTCTCATACTACCGGTTCCCATCATTACTATTCTTCGAGATACCCCAACCGTCCGAATCATTTACACGGCCTCCCCCTCTTCGACAGCCGGCCTGTCCTGTCCCAATAATCCAATAATCGGCCACTAGTCAACCATCAACACCATCCCGAAAGGAACCGCCAACAACCATCTCGAAAAGCAACAACCCTTCAAACCTCTCTCTCTCCACCTCTCCAACGAAAAAAGAAAAAAAAAGAAACCGAAAAGAAAAAAAAGAATGGCCTTCGAATTCCTCGCCCCGATCCTGACGCCGACGGCGCTCGCGACGGTGCAGCGCGACCCGTCGCTGCTGGGCATCCTGCTGGCGGTGCTGTTCGGCCTGGGGCTGCAGGTCGCCCTCGCCGTCTTCATCCACTACCGGACCGAAAAGGACAACGGGACGTGGAAGGGCTGGGGCATCCCCTTCTGGCCCAAGAAGAAGGCTAAGAAGCAGGGCTTCAGGAAGCTCGGCGGGAAATGAAGAGGAAATGGGGCGCGGTTGGTTAGAAGACGGACGGTGGGTGGTGGGTGGGAAATGGGGATTGGGATTGGGATTGGGGGCTTCGCGGAATTGGTTGAAGAAAGTCTCAGAGAGGATGGATGGAGACCTAGGTAGTAGCTTGCAATGCTGTTGTAAAGTAACGGAATATGCTTAAATTTTCGAGAATGCGACCACGGACATTGTTCCAAGAACTCGGCATAATACACAACACCGTTCCAGGCTTAGATCTGGTATGACACACGGAACACGCAACAGCAACGTTGTTCCAAACTAAGCATAGACGAGGCCTGGTATAGTACAGTACACGACACGCAAGAATTAAGTGGACACCAGTTCCTCCAATTCGTTCGTCAATGTATTCTGAGAAGCCAAACCATACAATTTAACCACCGGATATCAAGACTAATGCTGCCTCATATCCGCATCATGCCACACCCAGTGCCCATTACCACATTCCGCTCGAGGTATCATAAACAGTTCACCGCTTATTTGGCCTTGGCAAGGCCGACGGCGTCGTTGCCCAGGTCGTAGACCGAGTACCACTTGCGCAGGAAGGCATCTCCCAGGATGGCAAGAGGGCCGGTAGGCTCGGGGAAGTCCATACCCATGAAGGCAGAGATGCAGGAGCCCTGGACCTCGAGGATGTAATCGTACGAAGTGATGGTGAAGTTGTGGCCGGTGAGGGTGAAGGTGAGGTCGGGCAGACCGTCACGCTTGTCGCACTCGACCGTGTACTGGCCGTTGAAGCTCTTCTTGGCACCAATCTCCTTGTTCCTGCGGGCTGTTAGTCGTGTGCGAGTCGTGAGATAAACGGGCAACTTACAGGAGCTCGGCAAGAGTGGAGGGAAGAGCAATCAGGGAGGTGCCGGTGTCGAGAATGGCACCGGTGTTGTCGAGCTCGGCGGTCTGATCACCGAAGGTGATGGAATCGAGGTCAACCTCCCAGTAGGCCTTACGCCTCAACGGGATCTTGGTGAGCTTGCCGGAGTAGTGGTCCTTGTCGACACCACCAAAGGTGGCGACGGACTCGGAACCCTCATCATTGGTGTCGCTCAGGTAAAAGGCGAAGACGGGCTCGTCGAGAAGGCCCTGCTCGATCGCGTTGTAAAAGGGAGGGACGATGTGGTTCACGGAGATGGTGTCGTAACCAAGACCCAAAATACCGTCGAAGCGGCCGAAGGCAAAGGCCAGACCAGGCTCCGAGGTAGCCTCGGCAAAGTCTTGGTCCTTGATAGTCAAATCACCGATGGTGAAGACGTCGTTGGACACGAAGCCGCTGAGGCTGCCGGAGCCATAGCGGATCTCAAAGGTGCTGCCGTTCTTGCTGTATGTGGACGAGGAGCTCGAGTCGTACTTGGTGTGGAGGTAGCAGGCGATGGAGCCACACTCAGACGACGGCACCCACAGGTTAGAGCTGCCAGTGTCGAGGATGACCTTGAAGTTCTGCGGGGGAGTGCCGAGCGACACCTCGGAGAAGTCTGCCGGCGGATGACTGTCAGCTCACATCAGGCACAAGCGAGATGACGACGCAGCGACATCGGATGCACGGTGGACTTACACTGAGCGTTCAGGAAGTTGGTGATGGGAACGGGGTGCTCCGAGTCAGCTTCGATGGGCTGAGTCCTGAAGATGTCCTCGACGGTGTTGACCTGCGGGCGCGAGCCCATGTACTTCTGGCTGAGAGCCTTGACGTGGTCGCCGATGTTGGCGTGCTCCTGCACATTGTGAGCTCCAGCACGCGTGGGACGAGATGGGGAGATGAAAGACGCACCAGCTGCTCGGCCAGAGGCACCTTCTTGAGCTTCATCTTGTGGACGCCGGCCTGGGCGGAGCCGAGCATGGCGCCGGCGGCGAGGAGCATGGAGCCCTTCATGATTGCGGTGATGAAGCTACAGCTGCTCTGATAATGGATGGGCGGGCCCGGATGGAGTGAACTGATGGCGAGGGGATGGGAGGTTGAGGGAGCTTGTCTGGGGAACGGGAGCTGCCTGCAGTTGTACCTGGGCCGGCGCCTTCCTTCGTCATCTGAGCCGATTAGCCTGGTGCGGAATAACGCTAGCCGGTTCCGGACTAGTAAAACTGATAAGAGTGGCTGGGGAAGCGCGCTGGGCCGTGGGCTGTCCACGAGACCGCCGCGCGCGTCATCCGTCCGTGCGCATAGCTCTCTTCATTTCGCAATCCATCGTTATTATTTTATCTACAGTCTATCGACTAGAATACCCGAAAGCGCCCCGTCGCGAAGGAAGCGTAACGCCGTGTCCATGCTGAATTCCGCCTTGTCTCGCCGCCCCTGTCCTCGTCACGTCCTACCGCGGTTTCGTCTCAGCTCTGCCCCAATTATCTTCGCAGCTAGATCTTGGCTCTCAGCGTCAGTCCTGTCCGCGCAACCCTCGCCACGACCAACGTCAAGCTGCCGCACACGAGGACCGTGCCTCCCCACATCTGCGCGTGCAGGTAACTGCCATTGGCGTCCGAGATGAGCGCGCCCGCGAGCGGCGGCCCCGTCAGCGCTGCGAAGGACACGATCGAGAAGGCCATGCCCATCCGCGTTCCCGTCTTCTTGAGGTCTGGCGTCAGGCTGCTGAGCACCGACGGGAAGAGACCCTGCACGCCCGACGACGTCAGGCCGATGACTATCGTAAACGGATACAGCCCCGCCGTCGATTTCACGCCCGACCACGCGAAGAGCATGATGCCCGTCGCAAAGGCGAATGGTATTATCAAGTTCAAGGGCCCGGTAACCCGGTCGCTAACGAAGGGTGGGATGATGCGCGAAATGTAGCCAACGCCGTTGAGGATGAGCAGCAGATTGAGCGAGTCCGTGTACGGCAATCCGATGACATCTCGGCTAAAAGCGCTGATCTGGTCTCCCGCATGAGTCACTGCTGCCGTAAAGCCCAGAGGCTATCGAAACTTACATAGTAGAAGACGAAATACAACGCCCAAAAGTTGAGAAACATGCCGAGGCAGAAGAGACAGTAGGTGAGCTCCTTGAATGCCGACAAGTCCACTAGAGGCCCCGACGGCCGCGGAGGAAGACGGACCTTGAACAGTGCAATCGTCACGGCCGAGGTTGCGAGGGAAACGAATCCGAGGACGCGGATAGTCCAGCCGAAGCCGACCTGGGGCAGCAGCTGTCTGACCATGGACGGGTAGATGAGCCCACCCGTGGCCGACCCGGAGGCCGTCAGCCCGATAGCGAGGGCTCGGTTCTTGGAGAAGTAGGTAGCGACGAGGGCCACGGTGGGGCAGAACATGAGGCCGTTGCCGAGGCCGGTGCAGACGCCCTGGGCCAGGAAGAGCTGCCAGTACTGAGTGCACAGCGACGTCATGAAGATTCCCAGCAAGCTCAGGAAGACGCCGAGGATGTAGACGCGGCGGAACAGACCGGCGTCGGTTGCACGGCCGGCAACGGTGCCGATGAAGAAGAGGAGCCAAACCTGGATGGTCCCGATCCAGGAGATTTGCGAGCTGGGAACGCCCAGCGTGGAGGTGTAGTAGGTCTGGAAGGCACCGAAGGAATTGATGTATCCCCAGGTGTTCATGATGCAGATGTGACCCATGAGCACCTGTGTCCAGGCGAGCAGACCGCCGTCGGGAGGAGGGCCGGGATCCCGGATCGAGGCGGCAGACCTGGCCGTCACGACCTTGGAGAGGACCCTCTTGGCGGCGGCGGCGGTCGTGGTGTCCTTGGTCTCATCGTCGAGGGCGGTGGCTACACGTTCGATAGCAATCTCCTCTGGATCGCGGTCAGTGGCCTCGGTCTCGTGCGGCGGCAGCGATCGAGGAGTAAGTACCCCGCTGCCGAACTCTTTCTCAGAGTAGTCGTCCTTGGAGTCGTACACCATGGCGGGCTCGAGTTCACGAAGAGAGGACAGCGGCAGCAGCAGGCCCAGGACATTTAAACGGGTCGGGCCACCATGAGCCGAGGGGAGTCATCAGGGCCGAAGGGAGTAATTGGTGCCCCTAGCGTCTCGCAGGGCGTGGAGCTTGTCAAAAGCTGCAGCGGTGGAGAAAGCACTGCGTCTTCTGGTGCCGTAATCCGATTGCGGAGGCGAGCGATCCAGAAGCCTTATTCCCGCGTCCATTGGACCATGATGCTCGCATCTCGGCGGGAGCAGCAGCCCTGCCGGCGGATGCAGCGCAGGGATCGAGGCAAAACTGTGAGCGGTTGATGCGAGCAGCAAGTGTCCCCGAGCAAGAAGCGCCCCACTGCGGCGTCGTTACAAATTCGCGGGTGGCGGAAGAAGGGCGTGATGATTTTTCAGCACCTCAGGCCTCAAGGCGCAGTGTGCGTGACGACAGGCCGCGGCTAAGCGCTCCCGTCGGTCGGCACCAAGCCACGCTTCGGCCAACTTTCCTCCAGCCCGAACGTCCGGAAGAATTTCATCGTCGCTGTGATGTCGCCCGCTGCTGCTCAGATGCTCAAGCGCCCTGCCGCCGCCGCGGGCCAGGCCGGCATCCTCTATCCATTCAAGGTAGGTTGTCGAGGCTCGTGATGCGTCCCGTCTGCCTGGCCTGACGTTAGAACAGGGTCTCTGGTATTTCTGCACCCACCCGTACCTGTGGCCGCTGCTGAAAGGCCGTCTGCTGCCGTGCTTCCTGCTGTCTGTCTTTGTGCTTGCGAACCTCTTCATCTGGACCTACCTGCCGCAGGTCGCCTTCCTGTACATCTTCCACAGGGCTGGCGCCTGGGTCAACGGCACCTTTCTGGTGCTCGGTGAGGGCGCTGCCATTGTCGCCATCCTCTTCGAGGCCTTCTTCGTCGATGAGACCCAGGTGGACATCTTCGACGCGGTACGTCAAATTTTTATAGTCCCCCACCGGGGCCGATGGTGTGCTCGCGCTTGGGGACGAGCCCCGCCGGAATCGGCCTGCACCTCTCATCCATGTCCATGCATATGCTGTACTCCAATATATGTAGCTGACCGCGCCCGCAGGTGCTCGTCGCCAAAGGCTACGACGACCTGGTCACCACCCGTCGTCAAGTGGCTCCAGATGGCGAGAACCCGGTCAAGCGTCTAGGCCCTCGCGACCGCCATGCCGTCTATGCGCCTTTCAACCTGCGGCAGATAGTCGAGTTCATCCTGCTGCTACCGCTCAACATTATTCCTGTCGTCGGGGTCCCTCTTTTCATCTTCCTCACTGGTTACAGGGCCGGTCCTTTGCAGCACTGGAGGTACTTCAAGTTCCTCGACTTTGACAAGAAGACGAGGAACCGCTACATCAAGGAGTGGAGGTGGAAATACACGTGGTACGTGTAGCCTATCATCTATAAGCCTCACCTAAACTGACACGCGCAGGTTCGGCACGTCAGCGCTAATGCTGCAGCTCGTTCCCGTTCTGAGCATGTTCTTCCTCCTGACCACCACCGTCGGCTCGGCCCTTCTGGTGGTGCATATGGAAGAGAAGGGCAACCCGGTCGAGGACGACGACGGTCCAGACTACATCGACAACCCGCCGCGCCAAAGTTACGGGACCTTGGCCTAGTATCACCCAATTTCACAGTGGTAATATCCTCACGGCAAATAACCCAAATTCACATTCGACAAATCAACGAATGATTAACGAGCAGAACCTGAACTTTTTTGTTTTTGGCGACCATCCCGAATTCACGGTTCGACGAATGAACGAGCAGAACCTATACTTTTTCATAGCGTAAAATACTATCCGTCGAGCCCCACCATCTTCAATGACTCGACCCACAATTTCTGCTCCTTCTCCTCGTCAAAAGCCCACGTCTCGTAGCCCCTGTCGGATAATGTGTACTCGGCCTTGACGGGACCGCTTTCCGAACACTGTTCCAGGTACTTGGCCCCCTTTCCCTCAAATTCCTTTCCAACAGCGGCCAGAACCTGGGTTGCCGCACCCTGGGCCGCGCTCACAGTCCCCCTCATGAGTTCTCGATTGCTCGCCCACTGCTCCCTGAGTTTGGAGTCGATGTGGACCTGGAGCCCCGTCGCTATGCCGCCCGGGTGCAGACTGAGGGCGTGGATTCCGTCGGACCCGTACCGGCGATCGATTTCGTTGGCCATGTAAATGTTTGCCGTCTTGCTCTGGGCGTACCCCTTGTTCGGGGTGTAGCCGTTCTCCAGATTGATGTCGTCGAATTGGATCCCTCCGCCACGGTGGCCCATGGACGAGACCATGACGACGCGGGAATTGAAGGAAGAGGAGGAGCCGGCGAGTAGGGCGTCCTTGAGCAGGTTGAACAGCAGGAAATGGCCGAGGTGGTTGGTGGCGAATTGGGACTCGAAACCGTCGACGGTCTTGGCGTAGGGCGGCATCATGATGCCGGCGTTGCAGACCAGCACGTTCAGCGTCTTGCTCCTGGACAGGAACTCGCTGGCACAGCGGCGCACACTCTCGAGGGAATCCAGCTCCAACTGCAGCAACTCGACGCGGCCGGGCTCCAGGATGCCGGACAGGGCGTCCTGGCCCTTCTTGATGCTTCGAGCGGTGCAGAAGACGCGGGCACCGGTGGCGGACAGGGCACGGGCTGTTTCGATGCCGAGACCCGAGGAGCATCCGGTCACGAGCATGACCTTGTCTTTCAGCTGGCCCTCGAGACCGTCGTCCCGGATGATGTCGAGAGCGGTGGGACGGGCATCGCCAGGGCCGTGGGGGGCGGCGAAGGCTGTGGCGTAGCGCGACGAGGCCATGACGAGTAGTGTAGGTGGATTTGCACATGTACGTAGCAAGCGGCGGCCGGTCTATTTATCTAATGCGGGGCTGGACTACGATGATTACTCCGCCAAGCGGATTAGGTTTGGAGAGGTCGATGGAGGCGTGGAAGAGCTGCCGCTGTTTCAAGCCTAGCGCCGACGACGGGCTGACCGAGACGGCGAGTCCCTTCTTTGTCCGTCATGCTGCTCCATTGACACACTTTTGCGGAAGCTCCGCGCACGGGCCGCCGCGAGCGCAACCGCATCCGCCTCAGCCCTGTCGCGGCCATGGACCTCCTGTCCCCTTCACCTCTACCTGCAAAACTTCCCGCCCGGCCCATTACACTCGCCTCGTCCAACCGGCAACGCGCCTTCTGCTACAGTTGTGTGCCGCTCTGGCTTTTCAGCCCAATTGAAGCGCCGCGTCAGCCCCGGCAACATCCACGTGTTACTTACAACTCAAACTACAATGCCACGGTGATCTTGGTTGATCCAGTCTTGGCTCTCTCGCCGAAATGCCACCCCTTGCGTCGACCCGCGGCGATTACGCCTCCGTACCCCAAGCCGAACCCGCCGTCGAGCTGCAGGACCTGAACCGACCCCATCATGACCGCCCTCTGGCCCGGTATCGTCCTCTCGCCTTCTGTCACCGTCTTGGGAGCCGACTGACGCGACCAAAGGAGAGGCCATCCCCCGCCCGCACGCTCCGGTGCGAGTGCCGACTCCAGCGCGCTAGATGCGTCTGAAGTGGTCGAAGCGAAGCGCCACTCGGCCGACACGTTCAGCAACTTGTCGGTAGATGACGACGAGCCAACCGACGGTGAGAAGCTGTCCCTCCGCAAGGTTCCGGACCGCCTCCCGTGGAGCGCTTCCCTGATCGCCATCGTCGAGCTCTGCGAGCGCTTCGCCTATTATGGTTTGTCCGGCCCGTTCCAAAACTACATGGCCAACAAATACCACGATCCCAGCGGTCTTCCGGGAGCCATGTACGTGCGCCGTGAAAGTTGCCGGATTCCAGCTGACACGCCGGCAGCGGCCTTGGCCAGCACGGCGCCACTTTGACCAGCAGCTTCTTCCAGTTCTGGTGCTACCTCACCCCCATTTTCGGCGCCGTTGTGGCCGACCAGTACTTGGGGAAATACTGGACGATCGTGTATTTCTCTGTAGTGTACATGTCTGGCATTGTAATCCTCTTCCTGACCTCCCTACCATCCTCGATCGAGGCCGGCTACGCTTACCCCGGCCTGCTCGTCGCCATCCTCGTCATCGGTCTCGGCACTGGTGGCATCAAGAGCAATGTGTCGCCGCTGATTGCCGAGCAGTACGAGGAGACGAGGCAAAGGATAAAGATCCTGCCCTCTGGGGAGCGCGTAATCGTCGATCCGGCTCTCACCATTCAACGCATCTACATGGTCTTTTACATGTGCATTAACATCGGCTCTCTGTCCGCCATAGCAACCAGCACCATGGAGCTCCGCATCGGCTTCTGGGCTGCCTATCTGCTGCCACTGTGCATGTTCGTCGTTGGTTTTGTGCTCATAGTAGTCGGGAAGAACAGATACGTCATCAAACCTCCCTCTGGATCCGTCGTAGCGAACAGTTTCAAAGCTTTGTACATTGCCATCGTGAACCAGGGCGACCTCGACGCCGCCAAGCCGTCTATCCAGCGCAGCTACGCGATCCAGCGCACGATCCAATGGGACGACGCCTTTGTTGACGAGCTGAAGCGTGCTCTGCTTGCCTGCAAGGTCTTTTGCTTCTACCCCATCTACTGGGCTGCCTTCGGACAGATGTCGAACAACTTCATCTCGCAGGGTAGGTGACCGTCCGTGAAAGTAAAAAGAAAAAATAACGCTGACTGTCAAAAAAAAAAAAGCCGGCCAAATGCAGCTGCACGGCATCCCCAACGACATCATGCAAAATATCGACCCTTTGGCCGTCATCTGCCTCATCCCGCTCCTGGACCGCTACGCCTACCCCTTCCTCCGCCGCCGCGGCTTCGCGCTGCAGCCCATCACGCGCATCACCTTCGGCTTCGTCTTCGTCGCCATGGCCATGGCCTACGCCGCGTTCCTCCAGCACCTCATCTACGCCAGCGAACCCTGCTTCGACGCCCCCTCTGCCTGCGCCGCCGCGCTGCGGGCCGATGGTAGTTACGAGCCCAACCGCGTGCACGTGGCGCTGCAGACGCCGGCGTACCTCGTCATGGCCTTGTCGGAGATTTTGGCCAGCGTCACGGGCTTGGAGTACGCGTTTACGAAGGCGCCTGCTAGCATGAAGAGTTTTATCATGGCGCTGTTCTTGCTGACGACGGCGTTGGGGGCGGTTATTGGGGGCTTGATCTCGCCGTTTGCGAGGGATCCGTTGCTCGTGGGGTTGTATGGGGGGTTGGCGGTGGCGTGTGCGGTTACTGCGGGTGTGTTTTGGGGGATTTTTAGGAGGTATGATGGGGTGGAGGATGGGGTTTCTGGGGTGAAGGATGGGGAGGAATGAGGTGGCGTGGTTTGATGATGGTGCGATGACGGGGAAAGAAAAGAGGGTTACAGGGCGAGAAGAAACGGACAATAATACTAGATTATATGGGGAGCGCAAGCTATCTGGGTGACAATTTACACCTTTCAACCTTCCAGTTGTGTCCTGGAAATTGATTCAACTTAACATCCTTCTGTACTTTGCTAAGAATTTACGCAATGTGAGTGCTTTTCTAATCGATTGACTGCAATTGGATCCCAATCCTCACATCTATGGACGCCTTGAATCCAATAACCCCCAAAATTCAAATCTTCTCTTGCTCATAGTCGCTCCAGACGTCAGTCAAGAGTCACACGCTCATACCAAATGCACGGAGATGGTTCCAGAAGCCAAAGACCAAGCGGCCGCTTAGAACGACGCAATCCGGAAACACCCGATCCAAGACGGACGTATGCATCTCGGAAGGGTTTGGGGTATTGGTGTACCGCATCGAAGGGGGCTCTGAGGCGATGCTGGTAGATGGCAAGGTTCAGGGATGGGAGAAAACTGCCAATATTCAGCCCATTAGTACCTTCCTCTTAGAACTCTGAAGTTGGCCGGGACGCGGTACTAACCTACGAAAACTAGAAATTTTCCAGTATCTTCTAGACACCAAAGATAAGGTTCGTCAGCAATTGAGTTGTGCTCGAGATTCTCGAAGTAAGTCTGTATCTCAACGATGACAGTAGGCATCTCTAACATGCGGGTCTGGAAGGTGACGCTTATCTCTTTAGTGGGCATCGACGGCAACCTTTTATCGTACAATATCATAGCTTGCAGAAAATAAACAAGACGAATTTCACCGGTCAGTACGAGTCAGCTACGGTTATCTCTTCGCAGGGGATCTTACTTTCCCTACCGGCCCCTTAGGCCTGCTGGTGGGCGATAATGGCGGCAGGGAGTTATCTACACCCACCATGGCCCACATCTTGATATCTTCGTAATATTGGAAACCCGCATTCATGCCCGGCCGTTGACTCGGCTGCCACCGGAACGAGGATGCAATGTTTTTCGCACAAGATACTGGTAATGGTAGGTAGGAGCTTTGACATTGCACCGTGGGCCCACAGATATGCAGCCTGCGTGAAACTACATTGCGCGTCATTTATCAAGCACCGTTTGGCATGCAGATATTTGACGGATACGGATGCAATTGGAGAGCTGCGTTTCGAAACTGTGGGTCAAGGTCACGGTGCAACAGTTCAGAGAACCATTCGCTTGGTATATGTAGCGGCGCTGTGGGCAGTAGATGGCTTGACTCAACAGTTTTTCTTTGGGGCAAAGCGGCAGACGGGGAAGATGGGTAGATATCAGGTCGTGCGTAAGCGCCTTCATTGACTCGACCGCGCATTTTGTGGGAACACCTCCATCAACGAATCGGGCGGGGCGGGCCGCCGGATGCAGCAGCCTAACCATGGCCGTGACGACTGAAAAGATCGCACCACACTGGATCGAACTCTTCAGGGAAATATCCCTTGTCGTTCGCAACATCGAAAAGTGTTGCTGCTCGTAATACTACCAACGTAATCACCAGTCCAGTTCTACAATTGCTAGTATTCACCCGTAGTCACACTTACTGCCGCTACTATTAATAGAGATAGTCGTTTCGGTTTCATGAGTTAATATTCCGAGATACTCGGGAAATGTTTGTGAGTTAATCGTGAAATCGAGTTATATTATAATTAGCTGAAGAGAGCGCAAACTTAATAGCGGCTATTAAAGTTGCTAGAGTCTAAAAAAATAATACAAGAATTTCAGACCAGAAAAAGCATGACGCCGCACTGATTCCAGTCTGGTCAATGGCTTTAATATTGTCTAACAAAGAAGAAAGAACGGTATACCTCTTCCTTAGTGTTTTTTATTATTTTTTTGAACTTGTTTGAAAAGTATAAGAAATATGTAGAACTTTTATTGAATTACGGTCAGAGTACCAGATTTCAGATAAGCAAGCAGCATTTAGTTAACGTTTTCTCTCCCCCTGCTGTTTTATAAATATCTAAGTACCCCCCGCCTCATCTGATGTACGTACAGACGGGAATTCCACCCTAATGTTAGCGTGGATTTGTTTTCTACGTACTAGGCGCCTATCTAAACTTGCGATTTGTAACTATCGATCCCACATTTAGTTCTAATACTATGTGTCTGAGGTGAGCTGCAAGGTGGAGCAGATAGCGCACGAATCGTCAGATATGCTATGCATTGCAGCGCAAGTCAATACGGGATACGCGTACGCGGCTGCATAACCGAGGAGATGGAAGTGGGTGGAAGCGGGCAAGAATTGACCAATGACCGGTACATGACTTGGGTGCTGAGTAGATTCAGGCCTCAAGCTCTCTGATAAGCGGACCGGCGGATTGGCTGGTCGCAGGTCCCGCTCCACCGAGCGCGCAGCCGTCTCCACCACGGCGTCTGTTTTATTGCTGCTCACGGCTGGACTGAGTCGTTGCCGTGTGTCTGACCGGGAAGGCGGGTGGCGCTGCTTGGTCCCGGCTTTACCGCCAGCCGCCCCGCGATGCCGAGACGTGGAGGCAAAGGCTTGACCGGGCTTGGTCTCTCAAATGCCCCACTCCCCAGCCAAGCCCGCGCGTCATTCCCCGGGCTCCCCACGCCCCCGGTCTTGTGCACACACGACGCGTCGAATTATTGACTCATCTAGGCAAAATCTCCATCTCGGTGCAAAATGTCTAGCTTAGTTCGCGGCACAATTTCGAGGTTCAACTTTGCCGAACCGAAAAAAAAGAGTGTCGGTGTCTGGTTGGCCACACACCGCTAGAGGTGCAGGGTGCCGCAAAGTAAAACTAGTCAACGTTGAAAAAGAACCGCCGACCCGCTACTGCTGACATCCTTGACGTGCTGCTGCTTAACTCCGCACCCACCCCTCGCTCTTATTAAAAAGCCGGCTCCTCGCAGCTGGCCGGCACGTTCGGAGCACGCGAACTCATCTTCCCTCGGAGAGCTCCAGAATGTCTGCCCCCGACAGACTCGACGAGGTCGAAAAGGCCTACGAAGTCCAGATCGAAAGCAACAATGCCGGTGGAGGTAGTGGCCAACAGCTGGCAGCGGTCGACCCGGCCGCTGAGAAGAGGGTGGTTCGGAAATTGGACTACCACGTCGTCCCATTGCTCATGGCTCTCTGTAAGTGCCAGCCTCTCGTACGTCACAGCGTAGTAACGTCAGACTGACCGGGATCAGATCTCCTCGCCTTCCTGGACCGCTCCAACATCGGGTACACACATCTCTAGCCACGTGGGCGCGGCATGACCATATAAGCTGACCGCGTATGAAACTTAGAAACGCCAAGATCGCAGGCATGGAAGAGGACCTCGAGCTCGACGGCGATCGCTACGACTGGCTGCTGACCATCTTCTACATTTCCTACATCGTCTTCGAGTTCCAGGCCATCATGTGGAAGATCGTGCCGCCGCACAGGTGGGCCGCCATCTGCGTTTTCGGCTGGTAAGCCCTCCTGCTCCTCCTCCCCCTCCCCCCCCAGAACCAACCACACACTCATACTCCCCCCAGGGGTCTCGTCGCCACAGTCCAAGCCGCGACGCACAACTGGCAAGGCATGATGGCCCTGCGCTTCCTGATGGGCGTCTTCGAAGCCGGCTACGGGCCGGGCATCCCGTACCTCCTCTCCTTCTTCTACCTACGTCACGAGGTGGGCTCGCGGCAGGGCATTTTTCTTTCCGCCGCGCCGCTCGCCAACACCTTCGCGGGCGCGCTGGCGTACGGCATCACGGCCGCCAAGGACGCTGCCATCGCGCGGTGGCGCCTGCTCTTCCTCGTCGAGGGCGCGCCGACGCTGGTCATGGCGGGCGTGGCGTGGTGGTTCCTGCCGGACGCACCGGAGAAAGCAAGGTTTCTGGATGAGGACGAGAAGAGGATCGCGAAGGCGAGGGCGGTGCGGCAGACGGGCCAGGACGCGGAGGCGAGGATAGGCGGGGTTGAATGGAAGGACGTCGTCGCGGCGCTGATGGATGCGAAGTGCTGGTTCACTGCCGTAAGTAGTCGTCGTCCTCCCCTCCCCCCAATGCTCCCCCAGCGATGCTAACCACCCACAGCTAATGTACTTCTCCTGCAACGTCTCCTTCGCCTCCCTCCCCGTCTTCCTCCCCACCATCCTCAAAGAAATGGGCTTCACCGCCATCAACGCCCAAGGCCTAACCGCACCCCCCTACTTCCTCTCCTTCCTCCTCACCATCGCCACCACCGTCCTCGCCGACCGCACCCAGCAACGCGCCTACACCATCGCGACCCTCACCCTCATCGGCGGCACCGGCTACGTCCTGCTGGCCGCCTGCACGTCCGTCGCCGCGCGCTACGCCGGCGTCTTCCTCGCGGCCGCAGGCGTGTTTCCGGCGATCGCGAACATCCTGCCCTGGGTGAGCAATAACCAGGGCAGCGACACGCGGCGCGGGATCGGGTTCGTGATTCTGAACGTCGTGGGCCAGTGCGGGCCGTTGCTCGGGACGAGGCTGTACCCGGCGGGCGAGGGGCCGAGGTATGTCAAGGGGCAGGCGGTGTGTGCGGCGTTTATGTTTTTTACGACGTTTTTGGTTGTTGCGTTGAGGGTGCTGTTGGCGTGGGAGAATGGGCGGTTGGATCGGAAGTACGGGACGGTTGAGGAGCAGAGGGCGAGGAGGGAGGCGGGGGATGTGGTGGGGGGGAAGGACGGGCAGGAGGAGGGCGTTGGGGAGGAGAATTACGGGCCTATGTTTAGGTATGTGTTGTAAGGGGGGGATGTGTGGACAAGTGAATGGATGTGAATGAATAGCAGTAGTTCACGAATGAAAGGGTATATTGCTACACACTCTATTTTCTCCAAGACCAATGCAATGAAAATCTATAGTTCGTCGTGCGGAGCGGGGCGGCCGCTGTCCTTGAGCAGGTCGACGCCATGCTTCTTGCGCCACTTGTCCCACAGCTCGAAAAAGTCCTTCTCCATGGCCTTGTCCATCTGGTCGGGCAGCACGACGACGTACTCGATGTGCAGCTCTCCAAACGCCAGCTCGTCGGCCTCGGGATCCCAGATGGGCATGCCCTCGCCCTTGACGACGTCGACCTGACCGGGCTGGATGACCTTACCGCGCGGACGGCCGAGGCGCACCGTGTGGCCGTCGAGGTGGGTGAGATTGCGGTGCCAGTCGCCCATCCAGGCCTCGCGCAGGCTGAGGACCTCGCGCCAGAACAGGTCCTTGCCCTTGCGGCGGAAGAACTGGCCGTCTGCGCGCGACAGCTGGTCGTCGTAGCCGTCTTGGTGGAGTTGTGCGTCGCGCTCCTGCAGCTGGACGATCAGGTCGCCGGCCACCCAGTCGGGGCTCTCGTCGGCCTCGTTCTCGAAGTTGATGCGCACGCCGCGCGGCATGCCGCGCTCGACGTGTAGCGTGTGCGTCTCCGTCTCCTTGACGACGCGCGCGCCGCCGCAGACCTTGCACTTGTGGCGGATCGTCTTGCCCTTGCCGCCACACGCATCACAGGGACCTTGGACCTGCTGGAAGATGCCCGGGGCCAGCATGTGCTTCTGGATGCGCATGCCGCGGCCGTTGCACACGGGGCACACGTCGACCTCGCCGTCCTCGGAGCCGGTGCCCTCGCAGGCGTCGCAGATGGCCTGCTTCTCGATGCTGAACGTCTTCTCGGCGCCCGTGTAGAAGTCGCGCAGCGGCACGTTGAGCACGACCTCGGTGTTGGGCCCGCGCCGCTCGCCTTGCTGGCGGAAGTGGCCGCTGCCGCCGAAGAAGCGCGAGAAGAGGTCGAAGGGGTCGTGGTGGTGGCCGCCGCCGCCGCCGCCCTGCTTGTGCTTCTGCACCCCGTCGTGCCCGTACTGGTCGTAGATCTTGCGCAGCTCCGGGTCGATCAGCGCCTCGTACGCCTCGGCCACGGCCACGAACCGCTCCTGCGCGTCCTTGTCATCGCTGCCCTGCACGTCAGCCGGTGGTCCTGCTTGGGGAGTGCCGCGAAGTGACGTACGGGTTCTTGTCCGGGTGGTACTTTTTGCTCAATGTGCGATATGCCTTTTTGATCTCACGGTCCGACGCGTTCTTCTCCAGGCCCAGGAGCTAGGTGGATGTCAGCATCTGCAGCTCAGATAGCGGCAATGGTTGTACCTTGTAGTAGTCCTCGGCGCACAGCACGAGCAGCGGCAGCGCGCAGAGGATCAGCAGCGTGCTGAAGAACAGCATGTTGTGTTGTGAGGAAACGAAAGAAGTTGAGACTTTCTGCGGTGCCGGGATGGCAGGCACTACATGAGTCCGGCCAGCGATTCAATGGCACACAAGGAGCGAGCGGCAATCGACAGGTGGATTAGTGAGCTCACTGGAGCTGTCGACCGAATCAGAAGAAGTGTGCCAGTTGGCCTCAACCTCTTATCGATACCGGCTGAACCTCGCCGGAACTTCGCCTCAACTCCGTTATCATTCAGCAATTCCAAGCACATCACTCTTATCCTTCAACACAACAACGTGACATTTGACTAAGCAACTCTACAGAACGACATTCTACAATCACCTGCGCGCCTCCTTGACCCTCACCAACAACGGACCCTTCTCCCACAATGCAAACACCTTCTGGTCGAACCAGTTTCCGGTCTTGTCCTCGAGCAGCTCGAGGTCGTAATTGAAGAGCGTCTTCGCCAGGATGGTGCGCATCTCGGCGTACGCGAGGCTGCGAGAGTGTCAGTCAGCTACGAAGAGAATGGGTAAAAAAAAAAAAAGCTGCAGGGAGACTACTCACTTCTTGCCGAGACAGTTCCTCGGCCCGTTGGAGAAGGGCATCAGCACCGACTTCCTGTCCTTGGCGAACCGCGGGTCGTCTCCGATCCACCTCTCGGGAATGTACGACTCGGGGTCGGTGAAGTTCTGCGGGCTGTGGTACGTCGCGTACTGAGACACGTACACGGCAGTCTGCGACACAGCGTTAGCACACTCGTCCGTGGACCTACTCCTCCCGGGTATATCTTACGTCTCCCGGCACGTAGTGGCCGCCGACATTGTCGCCACCTTCCGGAACCTTGCGCGGGAAGCCCGTCGGGACCGGCGGGTAGAAGCGCATGCCCTCGGTGAGAGCGGCGATGAGGTACGGCAGCTGGCCCACGCGCTCGAAGGTGATCTCATCCGAGCTCTCAAACGCGCCGCGAATCTCAGCGACCAGCTTCTTCATCGTCTCCGGGTTCTTCAGCAGGCACATGGTGGTGCCGCTGAGCATCGTGGCCGTCGTCTCGCTGCCGGCGATGAGGAAGAGCTCCGAGTTGGTCTGGATCTCGGGCCGGCTCAGCGCCTTCGTTTCCGGCTGCTTCTCGATGGCCGTGATGATGTCGGGCCGGTCCGTCTCGGTCGCGAGCCGCTTGTCGACCTTGGCGGCCGTGAACTTGTGGAAGATGACGTTGCCCTGCACCTTGCCCTGGCGCGTCAGGCTGTCCCACGCGAAGTAGGCCTTCTGCACCGCCGGCCAGTAGTGCAGCGCCTTGCGCCGGTTGCTCGCCCGCAGCGACGCGAAGACGCCGCTCACCAACGCGTGGTAGTCGTCCGTCTCCAGGCACCCGAACGACTCGCCGAACGTCAGGTCGCCGATGATGTCGAACGTCGTGAAGTTGTAGTACCGCACCAGATCCACGTCCACGCCCGCCCGCGCCTTCTCGCCGAACCGCTGCATCAGCATGCCGATGTACCGCTGGATCAGCGGCTCCTGCTCCCGCAGCGCCTTGTCCGAAAAGGCGTGCGAGAAGACGCGCCGCATGCGCGAGTGGTCCTCGCGGCCCGCGCCGAGCATCGAGTACGTCCCGTTGACCGGCTTGTTGTACCAGTCGCGGTCCTTGCCGAACTCGGGCTTCTTGGCGCCGCGGAAGCCGTAGATGTCGTTCCACGCCGTGTCGCCCGAGATGAAGGACAGCTCGTTGGGCGCGATGCGGACCACGTCGCCGTATTTCTTGTGGGCGTCCGAGATGGTCTGGTTGATGGTGCCGTGGCTGAGGTCCAGCGCGTACGGGATCCGGCTGGCTGCGTACAGCTTCGGTCCAGGGTACTTGCTCAGTGGGTGGAAGTAGACGTTGTAGATGGCCACGCCCAGGGCATACACGATTGCCTGGCACACACACCGTAAGTTTGAGCTTCTCTTTGTTATCTTCTCGGCATCAGCACACTCACCGTCACGACCGCCCCGCCCAGCAGAGCTGGGATGTTGGTGGGGGTGAGAAGATGTGATTGTGATGCGAAGTCCATGGCGAAGCTCTCAGAGTCCGGGGTGATGATGGGAGCAAAAAAAGAGAGCAGCAGCAGCTGGCAGCTGGCAGATTATATGATTTATGAAGGGAGTGATAAGCTGACGGGTGACGGGGTTCTACGGCTGCGCTAGAAGCACGCCAGTGGCCAGCGGCGCGGGTAGTGCTTAGGCTTGAGGTGTAGCGTGTGAGCCACTCCGAGGACGCCCACTTGCCTTTTACAGGAGCGCGGTTAAAATGGTTCCGGTTGAACTGAGCCATGATAATGAGCAACACGGAGCGGTATATATAAAGTCGACAACTACCCCCCGGCGATCACATATGGCGGGGAGGGCAGCGCCACTTGGGGATCCATGCGACGGGCATAGCCTCGGGCGAGGTAAGTCGAATAGGCAAGCTTCACGGCCGAAGAGGGAGGGGGGCTTCGGTCTTTCCGTTCGGTCGGGCTCTAAACTCGGTCGGGTTATTCGGCCTGCGCGCGATCATGTGGGCTTAGAACAGCCAGAAGGTGAGTGGTCGTTGTAGTTCAGGGTGCGTGTGTAGCGGCAAAAACAGGGAAACGCCTTAGCGCGCTACCGCCGCTCCTCCACTACCCATTCGGGAACCCCTTTGACCTCATCAGTCATCCATCTATTCTTGGGGTCTGCTTAGAGTCTAGTCGACGTTCCTGGCCCGTCGCACAAAGTTTTGAGCCACAATGTTACACGCCTCTGGTTAAAGGGATCAACAAGCCAATCACAAATCCTCCGCAATGACCAGCATCGCAGTCTTGAAACCCAATTGCTGACATCCGTCCGCTTCTCGCCCGCCCTTCCCGTCTCGGTCCGCGGAGTCTCCGCTTACCGTCTTGGTGTAGTTTCTTGGCTTATATCCGAGTCCGAGCCACAAGGCTTCTTTTTGCCCGCATCGCTGTCAGAACTGTAGCCGCGCCTTCGGGCGAAAATGACGTGTGCGCTTCGGAAATAAGAAGATTGCGACATGGATTGAGAATCCTTGTACTGCAGCTCAACGTCTTTTTTTCGTTCCTTCCTCTCTTGGCCAATATTTGGGCATTGAGAGCTCCGTATCGTATCGTATCGCACATCGTGAATCTCAGGCCACTTATCTCAAAGACATCGACGATGCCAAAAACCTGACGGACATGCTGGGAGAGAGAGAGCCCAATACAAGGGTGGTGAGAAACAATGTCCCGGTCGTCTCACTTCTAGCCACCTCACGTAAGCCCCAGCCGTGAGCGCCATCATTGGTCGAATCAATTATTCAACCGCATTTGGCATTTGCTCGTCCAAGTGAAACAAGCTTTTTTCTAGAACTAACACTTCGGACGAAAAAAGAATTGCCATACTCTACGTATAATCTCTCGGTCAACGCCTAAAGGGTATTTGTTTAATATTCAGCCTCGGCATTCCATCAGGCTCCACTTCATGCCAGCACCCAGCTCCACAGCCCCCCTCGGCATCTTGATCACTAACTTCGGCAGCGTGTTCGGCATGTTTGGGCCGAGCTTGTTTACATTGATGGTTGCGCCCAAGAAATATTTAAGACTTCGGCCTGACTCATGTACTTATGGAAAACCACAACTCGCGCGCTTAAATGGGTTAAGATTTTCGTATCAACATACGTCAGCCTAGATTTTGATGAAAGATGACAGCGCTTGAGAGTGTAGGTTTTGATGAGAGGGTAAGATGCAGTCCGGGCGAGTAGTAGTCAAAGTCTTCTAAATACGATAGGTTTTTGTTTATTGTGTCGAACTGAGACGTCCGTTCGAAACAAAGGATGAAAATTTTCATTACCATAGCAAAAATATTCTACACTATACTGCATAAGTGAACTCCGGGTTCTCCTTATCCGTAAGGTCGAGCCACCTGGAAAAAAAAAGGTCAGCACAGTCATATCACGAACGGCCAAAGAATTGCCAACTCACTCTTGATTCTCAAGCTTCACATATCCCGGCGCCGCTCTAGTCTCCGCCTTCTTCTTATTCTGGTTCTTGCAGTACCAGTAGATAAACAGCAGATCGAGCAGCGCAATGCCGTAGCAGACCAAGATGGTAATCTCAGCCGGCAGGTAGTTGTCTCCGCGGAACGTCTGCGGGCCGATGATGTTGCCCACGCAGTAGCCGATCAGGTACAGCGCCGCCACCGTCGTCTTCTTGGTGTAGCCGGCGACGTTTGTGGAGATCAGCGAGAGGAGGGCGACGAACGGCGTGGCCGTGGCCTGCGTCAGGTAGTAGCCGATCAGCCGGCCGACGTTCATGCTCTCGGGAAGCCAGATGATGAGAGCCACGCCCAGGATGCCGAGGAGGAGGCCGGAAGTGGAGACCAGGATGCGACAGCCGTACTTGTCGCCGATGTAGCCGCAGACGACGAGCGTGATGATCTCAACGGCACCGCCGGGAGTGCCGTACAGCAGGGATTGCTCGGAAGTGTAGCCGAAGGATTGGATGAGAAGGGAGAAGAAGTTGGTGACGCCGCCTGCACGATCGATATCAGAGTAGATTCTCGTGGACTTTGTAGCAGCAACTTACCATTCGGGATATCGGCGATCAAGGCGTACCAAAAGAACGCCCACACCATGGGGTCCATCAAGGCTTCTTTGACCTGGTAAAACTTCCAATGCTTGTTGCCGATGCCTTGCTGGTTGACACGAATGCGCTCGAGGGCCAACAGGCGCTCTTCTTTCGTCAACCAGCGGCAGTTCAGCTGGCTGTCGGGCATGACGAAAAGGAAGACGATGCCGACTACGGCAGTGAGGAGACCTGTGACGAGGAAGACAATCTTCCAGGGCGCTATGGAGGATCCGTGGATGGCGGTCCCGCGAGCGATGCCGTAGGCGACCAGGCCACCGACAATCTACAAAGAGTCAGCGTCGAGAGTGCCAAGGGCGGCATCGAATGCCGTACCTGCGCCACGCCATTGAAGCTGAACCAAATGCCGGTTCTCAATCCCTGCTCCTTTTTGGTGTACCACTGGCTGGTAAACAAAGCAAATCCTGGAATACCGAGTCAGCCACAATTGCACGTTGCGGAGGCGTACGGCCGGCTTACCAGGCGTCACAGCGGCTTCAAAGAGGCCGAGAAAGAAGCGGACAGCTACAGCGCCGCTGAAGTTCTCGACGGTTGCGAAAAGAGCCAAGACGGTGCCCCACATGATGACATTGAAAGCAGAGTACTTCCCCAGGGGAAAGTACTGGAGGAGACGGTTGGTGGGCCACTCCCAGGCAAGGTAGCCGAAGTAGAACCTAAACTCGTAAGCATGCAGGCGGGCAGGATGTGGCTGCGTTCAGCCTTACATGGACCCCAGCCAGCTGTACTGATCCGACGTGATGCCAATGCCGCCCTCCGATTGGGGCTTTTTCAGCCCCATGACGGAAGCGTAGCTAATGCACGTCTTATCCAGGAAGTTCAGGCCGTACACTATGCAGAGAAGCTTATAGGAATGTCAGCACCTTAACTTTCTCTCGCGAGAGCTTAACGTACCGGCATCAAATGCCAGTCGATTTTGCGCAGCAGGCGGGCGTTTGTCGCCTCGTCGATTTCCAGAACCTGGCCCTGGTACTCGGCGAAGGCCTTCATGGCGGCATCGGCATCGTGGCTGTGCTCGACAATCTTCTCCGAGATGCCGGCGGCGGTGACGCTGCCGCTGCGGATGGCATCCTCGGAGACGCCGGGGATGGGCTCCTTCTCGACGTCGGGCTGCTTGGACAGGTCGGACATGGTCGCGGGCAGGTGGTCTGCCGGGGAGCTAGCTGGTGGCGTCGGGGTTTAAAGCATGAGCGGGTGGTGGCCAAGAGCTGATAAGGCTGGGTGGTCAGTCTTGTCGATAGACAAGCATTGTGCCACTCGGCGATAAGAGATGCCACCCGTCTTGTGGCTTGCCAACTGAGTAATGGCAACTGCGCGGCATCAGGGCTTGGCGGGCTGGGTCCATCCCACGCTTGGGGTGCGATCGGCCGGGCGGCGAGACTTGGGTTGATACGGCATGGGATGAAATGGACCGTTGCCGTGCGGGGAAACGGCCCATGCCCGCCCCCAGCCGATAAGGGAAGGTGTCATGCACCACCATCGAGCCTCCTCACGCGTCCCCTCCAGATCTCGACCCGCTGATCGACTTCATTCGTCACCATCGGCAGACCACATACCCGCTCGAATCATGGTCCTTCGGAACCGCCTTCGGACAGCCGAGAGCCTGGTCTTCGGGGCCCGCGCTGAATCGGTTGTTTAGACACAAATACGCGAATGCATTGCAATATTAACTAACATCATGAAGAGAGTAGTAGTACATACATTAGGTTGCTATAAACAACCGCCGATCCAAAGACAAGATGCAACATCCAATGCGCTCACACAACCACATTCACAAACAAGGTTCCCTCGCCGAATCCTCTCCGACATTCCACAGCATCCATCGACTACTGCTCACCAAGTCTGGCCAACCATCTCCCACTGTCGCCAAAGTGCGACCTGGAACTCGATACAACCTTCCTCCGAACTCCTAGGGGCATCATGTTGGACGTGCATCCCAGCCTGAATTTCAGGAGGCTCGAGCTTTCCGTCGTCCGCCTCAGACAGCAGCCGTGGCGATGCAGTATGCAGCGGGTCCGGATCGTACACGACCTGGTAAGTGCCATCCTTCCACCGCGCGTGGCCGAACCCGTAGCCCATGATCTTAGCATACGCCGCCAACCACCTCGCCGTCCGCAAGTGCGACTGTACGAAGTAGCCGTCGGCCGCGAGGTCCATGCAGCGCAGGCCGTGGAGCACCACCAGCGCAATCTCCAAGTCCGGCGACGACACCACCGCGTCGCGCTTGAGCGCCGCCAGCTGGCCCCAATAGCTGCCGTCGAGACAGTGGTCCTCGACGACGTGCCGGACGCGCTCGACGGCGTCGAACTGCTCCAGGTAGCCGCGCTCGCAGACGAGGTTGCCCAGGAGGGGGAAGTTCCACGGCACGAGGAGCTCCAGCTTCCGCAGGCAGGGGATCGACTTGAGGTCCTGGAACACTCCCGTCACCGTCTTGTCGTAGCGGTGTTGGGCATAGGTGACGCGCTGCTGCTGCTGCTGCTGCTTCTTGTGATCGAGTCCGTACATGGGCATCCGCATCCCGCGTTTGGCGACGATCTGTTCGAAGACCTTCCAGCCGCCGAGCGACGATATGCACCGGTCGTCGGTGTCGCGCATCGGGATCTGCACCGTGACGTGCCGCAGACACTGAAAGTGCTGCGCCCCGATGGTGTGCATCCACGCGCCAAGCATCGCGAAGCCGTTCGAGTTGCTGAAGCGGAAGTTCTGCTCCCCGTAGAACAGCTCCGCCACCTCTCCGTGCACCTTCTTGCACAGCCGCATGAGCGCCACGACCTTGCGGAATGCGGCGTACTTCCGGAACGTGTTCCTGATCGGCATTGCGGCGTCGAGAGTGGGGTCGAAAATGTTGTCTCGGAATTCTGCGCGGCAGGGCCATGTCCCTGGGCCCCAGAGTTCGAAGAAGCCGCCCGGTGCCTGCAGGCCGAGGTGTTTGTAGATCATGAGCCGGATCTCGGTCGGCAGGTCGTCCGTGAAGCTCAAAGTCTGCTTCTGCTTTGGGAACTCCCGCGCGTATTTGCGTTCGCCATACAGTTTGCGGAATTTCTCGTACGGCTTCAGGTCCTCTTGGGTATATATCGTGGATGGCCAGGGCTTGGGTGCGACGTTGTTCGCCTTTGACCTCTTGCTTTCTTGAGCAGAGCGTGGGGTCGAGAGCTGGCGACCATCCTTCCGAGCCTGGAGTTCACGTCCGTGTCTGCGTGTCATATCTGGCTGAGGTATTGTATCTGGGGTGCCTTTTCTTAGAGTGGTATATGTGTGACCGTGAAGTCCTGATTGCGGAAGAAACGTGAAGATTTTGATTTTAAAAGGCAAGCCTCGAGAATTCGAAGTATATATAGCGAAAATTGAAGGTAATCAGTAGCTGGGTCCAGTCAAAAGTACTACTGACTACATGCCGCTGTGCTGGTCGGAAGTCTACGTGTTAAAGAGGGCAGTCATTCAGGGAAGCAAAGACAAATATCGAAGAAAGACACGTCATGAAAAACTTTTCTTTTGCCTCTCTCGTGGAAAACGAACTACGGGACTGCTCGATTTGTGTAAGTTGTTGGCTAAGTGGATACAACGAACCGTGGCACGCATCCTTGGAACCATGTAATCTTTTGGGTGCTCCCAGACCCTTGAACCGAGAGCCAGCATGTGCACGAGACATTTGCATTACTAGTCAGTCAAAAGACCGCTATGGCGACATTGGCAGGCACTCGTGTGCAATATGTACTTCCCAGTTGTTGTTGCCACGCTTTCTCGTAGCCTCTTCAAACTGCTTTAATATGGGTTGGGGGATGAGATATCCACATGAGGAACCACAGCGAAAAGCCGCAAAGCGTGGAGCTGGGAGCCTATTACTTATAGCTATGATGCTTATAATTTCTGGGAAAGGGTCTGAAAATATGGCTGTTAATACGGAGGACCGACGGCGACGACCAACTACGAGAATGGGGAGAGCAGCGAGGGTAACGGGCTGCGAGAGTGGCTACGGAGGCGAAGGTAGGCGGTTCCTGAGTTGTGTAAAGCCACATAACATCCATTTTGCAAGACCGATAAGAGCTGAGAAGCTTACTTACCTGAAGCCCAGCTGAATCATCAAGTTTCCAGCGTAATCCCCAGCTACGCTTCGGCAGGCTCGCTTGCCGCGTCGCTTCCGCTTCGCTAAGGATTAAACACTTCAACTCTACGTCTTCGTATGCCGTTGGCAGGTCACACGAACTTGTAGCACAACTAGTATCCCCTTGATTCATCGACCCATTGTGCGCAGCTGCTCGGACTGATTCACTGGATAGTAGTCAACGTGGACATATAGCAGGAGATGTCTGAAGGATTCCTAGTATTGAACCATTTTGGCGAAATCCCTAGCAAACGTCTGTAATTGATTGCGACAGGGGATCATTGAAAATTTTAAACATGACCGTAATTTTAGTAATAGCACTCTATTGCTTATCATCACTGTTTAAGTCCGCTACATACACGGTCTTTGTTCGAGTTTTCATACAGTCAAAACATGATGGTTCATGGCACAACGACCAATAAGTCAAGATGTAGTTGGCAATGCGACAGACAAGCTCGGCAGAAAGTTTATTGAAGGAAGCCATGAATTAGCTGATGCTGGGTTAAAGTCCGGCGCTAATGCTGTGGGGACGCATTGGGTGTTTGAAACGCGCCAGGGGCTGGCGTGTGCTTGCTGGGGTTAACGGACTTTAGCCTCCCCGACGTCATTCCACTTTTTTTCAACCTCTCTCCAACACTTCTCAACTCTTGACCAGACCGAACAGCCCATCCCCCGCTACCAATGGCATCCGCCTCCCCCGAAACGCCCATGAACTACCTCATAACCGGCGCCGCCCGCGGCATCGGCCGCGGCCTAACCCGCAACCTCCTCTCGAAGGGGCACCGCGTCTTCCTCCTCGACTCCAACAAGCCCGAACTGGACAACACATTATCCCTCGCCCCGTCCTGGACCAGCAAAGCAGCCAACTCTTCTTCTTCTCTCCCCCAATTCCAGGGCCGCGTCGTCGACCTGGCCGACCGCGCGCAGCTCAAGGCCGCCGTCGCCGAAGCCTCGACCTTCTTCGCGGGGCGGCTGGACGTGCTGGTCAACAACGCGTTCGCGACACCGCACGTCTGGAGCGGGGACCGGCGCATGGACGATGCCGCGGACGACACCATCGAGCGCGAGTGGGACGTCAAGCTAGCCGTGGGCCTGACGGCGCCATTCCTACTAGCCCGCCTGTGCGTGCCGATGCTGAGAGCAGCCGCCGCCGCCGCCAAAGACGGAGCCCGGCAACCCGGCTCCATCGTCAACGTCTCGTCCACCCGCGCGCACCAGGCCGAGCCGAACCACGAGGCGTACAGCGCGGTCAAGGCCGGCCTGCTCGGCCTGACGCGGAGCATGGCCGTGTCGCTCGGCGGCGCGTACGGGATCAGGGTCAACGCCATCACGCCGGGTTGGATCGACGTGGACGACGAGAACGCGGCTGCGGATGCGAAGGGCGGCGCGAGGTGGGGCGAGGCGCTGGGCGAGGCGGATCATGCGTGGCATCCTGCCGGCCGCGTGGGCCGCGTCGAGGATATCGCGAAGGCGGTCGTGTTTTTGGCGGAGAGCGGGTTTGTGACGGGGGAGGAGATTGTGGTGGATGGGGGCGTGACGAGGAAGATGGTATACCCGGAGGAATGAAGAGAAGGTTGATGGTCGAAGAATGATGACGGTAGATTTGGAACAGTACACACGAGGGGGACATTACACTCTTCCTACGAAGTCAAAGTACGTGTCTAGATGTGTCTGTACATCTGCGTCCCAGAGTTTGCCTCAACTACCCGCCGAAGATGAGCGCAGTGTGCGTTTTTCGTAAGGCGCAGGTGGTCGATTTGTCTGCATTGGCACTGGTTATTTCCTGGCATCCAGACCGAGCGCGACAAGGCCCAAGGTTGTTTAAACCACATAACGGAAACAAGGCCGATATCCTACTGTGTCGCCGGACTTCCAATTGCTTCTTGGGTTGACAGCAACCTTGGCATACAGATAGTACCTGAAGACGCTCAGCAGCGAAGTACGACGCTCTCCTGACAGTCTGCTGTCATTTCCTGCCCCATTTTCCCCGAATAGCAAGCCTTGATGCTTCGCGGTTAGCTAGAGATGCCAAAGTGTGTCAGTCTCATTACGTTCCAGGCCATGATTTTCTTGTAGCCCCCGTCAGCTATGAGTGCTTTTTGCCGCACGCATCCTCACAACTGCAATCACCTGCCGCAACAATCCTGTGTGAGGAACCCTGCTCAAAATTTTGACCTGACCAAAGCCGGCTCCTCCGTTCCTGGAGCGTTTCTGCTTGTTCCGCAGTGCTCTTCATCGTAGACTGGGACACCCTCAATATCTCTGTTCGCTGAACCAAAGCTGCGTGACTGGTAGTAAAACGGTATGCGGAATCGACAGTGTGGGCACTGAAAAGTGACGTGTCGCAGAACCCGGCCAGCGGGGACCGAACAAGTCTATTGTTGATGATTCCGAAGCCGAAAGGGTGTCTGAAGGACTGGATTCCGATGAGTGCGGGGGAAGACGGACGGTGCTGGGCTTGTAGAGCGGGATGCGCGCGGGCAAGAGGACCTGACTAGCCATAGTTACCAAGGATCGTGTGGAGGCGTCGCAATGTGAGCGTCGGAGAGCACTTACTCTGAAAGGTGTTGCCGTGTGTCAAAGCTGACTGTGGAAGCGAGTCGCGTCACTTTGCGCTGTCTTGTTGTAGTCAACGTGCCCAATGATGCTTTGTAGCTGTCCAGGGTGTCTCGCTGTGCCTACCTAGGTTGTGTCCGCAACGAGGCTGGCGTGCGACGAGGAGAGGTGCGAGCGCAAGTCATTGCGCGCACGCCGTCCGAGGGCCAAGCGCGGGTTCGTTGGTGCCATGATGCGCGCGTGAAAGGACGATGAGCATGCTACACGTGGGAGGTTGAAATGAGCGAGTCGCAGATGCGGAGGTCCTGAAAGAAAGTAGCGGGGTGCGAAGAGAAGAGAGCCAGACCAGAGCGGAGGACCAGAAGGGCCTCCGAGAGAGCCATACCCAGGTCAAAACACCACGGCGGTGCATCGTGTAGCGCGAGTGCACTACCGCCGCACGAACGCTTCTGCGGGTCACAGACGAGGTGCTAAACTCGCCGACGTATGCAACGGTGGGGCTGGCCGCTCAGGTGGCTGTCACTTTACGAGCGTCACTCATCGCGCAAGCGGATCTTGCGCCTGAATCTATCCTGCCAGAGGCTCAGCGCGCAGCGGCCCGACCGACTTTGTTGCCCTACGGCAAGGCGCAGCGCAGGTGCAGTGCGGACGGCGGAAAACACCATGGCCGATGGCATCGCGGCTCGCAAGCGCAACACCACCAGCACATCACCTCAACATCGCAACGCAGCGAAAGCTCCACCCAGCAAGCAAGCAGTGCAGAAAGCAGAATTGATCAATTTCTCTTCTTCCTCAAGGACCTGCTCAAGGCAGATCGCTCAACGAAAAAGAAATTGGTCGCGTCAGCCCGAAGTAGTGCAATACGAGCGACACTGTGCACCCGTGACATGAGCGGAGCTCAGCGGCCACGAGGCAAGTTCCAAAAACTAGTTTAATCAAAAGGACAAATCCCCGTAGGGACGTTCTAGAGATTAAACTAGAAAGAACAGCCACTTCACTTGATCTAAGCCAAAAGGCAAAGAGAGCTGAAGAAGAAAAAGAGGAGCTTTCGGCGAGGAGTTGGGGGGTATTTGTAGGTGCCCGGGGCTTGGCGCGGTGGGGGGCAGCTGGTGTGGTTGCATGAGCGACGTCTGGTCCGTGACCAAGGCCATGCCGGAAAGGGAAGGGGCGGCGGGTGGTGGTGCTCGTTTGGGCTGGTGCCTGCCCAGTTCTGCTTCGGCCGCCCTCGCACGGGAAGGCCATGGAAGCATATGACATCCATATGCGCAGAGAAAGCTCGAATCAGGCAGTCACTCGAATGCTGTCATGCCCGGTCGGGCTGGCATGAAGGTGCACGAGGTCGTCCGGTTTGTAGACTGTGCGGGCAACCGACCGATCCGACCGTGATGAGAGTAGCATCAGCTGCCTCAAGGAGCGCAGCATGCCGTGCCTGTCAGAGCAGCTGCGCGTAGCTCACCGCTTGAAGCGTTGTCTCATGTGAACGTTGCGCCGGCACGGTGGTGAGCGTCACTGACTCCAGAGCCCGCCAGGCGACGCTGTCACAGCCAGCCGAACCGTCCTCCAGCGACGGCAACTTGGCAAGGCACAGGGCGCGCGCAGCGAGGGTACTTCGCCGGTGATCAATTGCGCGACGCAGGCTATGCAATCCTTGGCCCAGCTCAAGTGACGGGAGCACTTTCCGACAACTCCCTCACGACAGCCGACTTGGCCATTGGCAGCGCCGGAAGCCTTCCGAAAAGACAATGCGAGGTTCATTACCACGGAAGTAACGTTGGAACAATTCGCAGACGTTCGCACGCGCGGCTCTTGATCACGAAAGTAAACAATGCAGGGAGAGATTTGCATGCGCAGAGCTGGGCGGCAGACAATGTTTATGCGCTCATTGCGGTGATGCCACGAGAGGCCCAGACTACGAGCCCCCTCGACGACAAGTGTAGACGCTGGTCCTGGTAACATTTTCGATGAGCTCCCTCTGAGCTGGTGGAAGGCGGTTCAGTCAATCAGTGAAGCGTATTAGTAGCACGAGGACAGGCATGTGCGAACCTCGATCGTCTTGGGCGAGCAAAGACGACCGCTCAACACTTGTATGCAGACCATTTTCCAGAACTGAGTGACTGACGAAGCGTAATGTCGCTGAAGTGCTGGGCTCTGCTGTACATCACAAAAGAAAGCGCAATGGCCTCCGACAGGCGTAAAATGCCTGATACGGAGTCTCGTAGTCGCAGGGCACGCGAGCGTGTATGAAGACACGGCACTGTGAGTGAAGCACACACGCTGGCTCTTGCGGGCACGTGCGCGGAGTGCCCATGGTCTGTATGTATGTACATCTGCCATGCTTCCGCACCTCACCCTCCACACCACCACCCCGTCCGTTTCACCTCCGTGTCCTTTCAACATGGAGGCGCATCTCCAAGAGCGACAGCTATTTGAGCGCTATAAAGGTCGTTCCATTGGCCTTGGCATCACTTGCATGCACAGAAACGATTGTAACTGCAGAGCCACCTGGAAAGACCGTAGCTTCCTGTCGAGGCATGTACCGAAAAGGGCGGCGAGTGGTGGCACCATGCGACGAGTACTGACACATACAAACAGAATCGTGTCGACCAAAGCCTTCAGCGACTTCACCATCGCTTGCGGCGGACAAGAGCGCAAGGTATGTACGCAGAGAGCCACCACTAGCACCACTACCAACCACCGCTTCGCGCAACTTCGAATGAACGACAGCTGACAGCATCATCACAAACAGGTGCACCGCATCATCCTTAACGCTAGCTCAGGCTACTTCCAATCCATGTTCCGCGTCCCGTGCCAGGAGACGCTCAGCGGCCGTCTCGAACTGCCCGACGACGACCCGGATCTCGTGTGGTGGATGATCGACTACATCTACCACGGCCACGTGAAGATCCATGACGTACCGCCCGACGATGACGACGGCCGCGGCGGCGTCAACCTCCTCGAGACGTGCGTGGCCATGTACGCCATGGGCGCCAAGTTCCAGGTAGCCGGGTTGCAGGAGGCCGCCGAGGAGGCCATCGGACGGATGCTCGGAAAGACGGGCAGGCATGAGCCGCGGGACGTCGAGCTTCGCGACATCCTGGACATGGTCGACGCCATCGACGAGCTGACGGCGGACCGCGACGAGCTGCGCCTGCGCGTTTGGAATTGGCTCGACGGCAAGCAGTACGGCAGCGTGGCCAAGCGCTACGCCGCCGAGGTCATGATGCACTGGGACACTGGAGAGGCCAGGTTCTCGAGCCGAGTCCATGTGAGGGAGTTGTACATGGGCACGGTTGGCAGCCGCACGACGGGCCAGATGTGCGCGACGGCCGGCGCGATGGGCCCACCGAAGCGCCTGAAGCTTGGATAGGGGTGCTGAAGCAGGTGGTGGGGGCTTGTATGGTCATGCCGCACTGTTCACGTCCATACACACAAGTTCATTTCACTCGTCAAACCGGCAAATACTGTACGTAGCGGCCGACAAAGGCATGGGCAATAGCAAGCCTGATGGTCGAAGCCACCGCCGGAAAGCATAAGCTAAATGTGGAAATCAATTCTCTCTAACACTTTTATCGAGTAACCCATACGTATCGCCTTGATCAAAGCCTGTACAAAAAACCAACGACTCAAAGCAAGCAACACAAGCCTCTCTCTCTCCCCACCCAAGATCTAGCTAATGCATACACAACCTACAACTCATCATGCCCCTTCTTCTCCTTCCTCTCCCCCTCCACCTCCTCCGCCTGCTCCTGCACCTTCTCCAACAGTTGCTCATCCTCAGCATCAACCACACCCGCCGCCTTCCCCTCCCCCCTCGCCTTCCTCGCCAACGCCGCAATCTCATCATCATAAACCGTCCACTCGGGCACCTGCCTGCGCGCGCGATCCAGCTTCGGCTCCTTCGTCTGCGGATTATTGCAAAGGTCGATCGTCTTGGCCTTCTTGAGGCTCTCGTCGCTGCACCACGTCTCGCACCACAGCCATTCCTGGGGCAGGCTGTGTATGGGGAGCACGACCTGCATGTTATTCGGCAGATCCTGGTCGAGGTTGGACAGCGAGTTCGGGTCGGCGCTGAGCTGCTGGTACTGCTGGCGGAGGCGATCTCCCGCGGCGAGGCGGCGGAAGCGGTTGAGGTCGACGACGTACAGGGCCGAGATGTGGTAAGGACGGCCCTTCAGGAAATTCTTCCAGTACCCCTGCTTCCAGAAGCGGAAGCCCTCCATCTCGGTGCGCGAGTCGCACATGGGCGTGAAGGCGTAAGGCGCGCCGTCGAGGTCCAGCGTGACGAGCTCGTGCATGTCGGCGCGGACGACCTGGTCCGCGTCGACGAAGATGACCTTGTCGAGGTCGAGCGGGAAGAGGACGTCCAGGAAAAGAATCTTGTAGCCCCAGATCTCGCGCTGCTTTTCCTTTTGGCCGCGCAGCCAGTGCGGCCACTTGTACGTCACCATCTCGTACTCGAAGCCGTACGCCGCCGCTAGTGTTGGTAGGAACGACTTGAACGACGGCGACAGGAACTGCTCGATGAACCAGAACTTGACCGTGTGCTTGGTGTGCTTCATGACCGACACCATCATGATGTTGAGCATGCGCTCGTACAGGTGGCCGCTGGCCACCGAGAAGATGTTGATGTCGGCGTGCCGCGAGGATGCACCAGTCTTGACGTTGATGCCGACCTTGGACAGGATGCCGTCGGCGAAGGCGGCCCCCTTGGCGGCGAGGTCCTCGACCATGGTGGTCGGCACCTCGAGCACGTCGTCGTCTTCCTTTCCGGACCGGCGCGACAGGCGCGGGTACAGTGTGACGCCCTTGAAGTCCATGAGGGCGATCTCCTTGGTGCGGTCGCCCGGCTGCGGCTCCCAGCCGAGCGTGCCCAGGCTGTCGATGGTGAAGATCTCCTGGCTGCGTCCCGGCTGCAGCTCGATGTCGAAGAAGCCCGGGTTCGCCTTGAACTGGAAGTAGCCCAGGTTGGCCATGATGATGGTGTCGGCGTAGCGGGGGTTCGAGGCGGTGCGCAGGTCGAGCTGGACGCCGCGGGGGTACATGCCGTTGGTGAGGTCGCGGGAGTGGCCTTCGATCAGGATGTACTCGAGCTCGTAGACGGCATCGATGGACGACTGTCCCTTGAGCTGGCTCAGCTTGATGTTGTCCAAGTCATGGAGCGACTCCTTGGCCGAGACGACCCACTGAGGCGGCACGTCCAGTCCAAGGTTCAGGAGCGCTTCCGAGGGAATGCCGTCGAACCTGGCCTTCAGCGCCTCGGTGGAACCGTTTTCGTCAAACGAGGGCTTGGACGCCAGGACGTAGCGGTAGAAGCGCTTCACCGGAAGCTCGCTCAGCCTCTCCTTAGGGTTGAGGAACAGTCGCATGTGGACGCCGCTCAGCTCCGACAGAACCTTGAGGATGGGAAGCCATCTCTGAGCAGTCTCGGAAGAGGGGTCGACAGAGGCGACGATCTGGATCGCAGCCGTCTCCAGGTCGCCCGTCTTGATGCACGTGTGGGTGTCGTTCCAGAACTTGTACACGTCGCGACGCGTGGTCGGAGGAGTGTCGAAGATTCCCTCGGGGATGTTCGAGACGGTCGAGAGGGCCACCAAGGATGTAAACTGAGCGGATGCAGCGGGCGATTTGATCTTGTTCTCAAGACCCAGGTCGATGATCGCCCTGTTCGCCGGCTCGATGCGCTTCTTCCTCTCGTAGGCCAGGAGATTCTCCAGGTCCTCGGTGGTGAAAGGCCGGCGCTTGCGGAGGAGACCGACGGTTCTGCCGTTGAGGACCAGCGATTCGCGACCAGACTCGCCGTCGAAGACGCGCATGAGCGGCTTCATGGCGCTCCAGTACTCGTCGCACTCCTTGAGCTCCCTCCGAGGCGGCACAAAGTCTTCGGGGAGGTCGTCCACGAAGCTCTGGCCCGAGTTCTTCCACAGAAGGTAGGACAGCCTGGAGTGGCGGTCCACGTCGCCCGTGTGGATGAAGACGGTCTCGATATCACCGTGCGCGGCGGCGAACTGGTAGGCGTCGGCAAGCAGGTTCGCGCCCGCGTTGGAGTCGAAGTCGCCGAGGACGATGAGCTGGGCCCACTGGAACCACTCCGAGTCCTTCGCGGGCTTGAAAGTCGGCAAGCGCTCCATCAGGTCGCCGTAGTCAGCATAGACCTGAGCCATGTCCACGTGCTTGATCTCCTTCTCGTCCTCGGGAACAATCATCGGGTTGCGCCTCAGGAGGGCGTTGGCGAGGAAGACTTCGGGGAGCCAGTCTTCGCCATCCTCGTCGAACGTGTTCTCAAAGACACCCTTCTGGATCATGTTGAGGTCCCGCGACACCCTCATGCTCATGGTCGAAAGCCACTCGTCGTTGCGACGGAGCGCCACGCCGTTCACGAAGAATGGGGGCGAGTTGCCGTCGGCGGCCAGCCTCATCAGGTAAGCCGCTGCTCCCTGAACGCGCTTGACAACGTTGGGCTCCTCGAAGACCTCCTCAAAGCTCTTCGCAACCCGGTTGCCGCGGAGCTTGGCGCTCTCGGTCACCGTGTAGAAGGCCGTCTTGGAAGGCTCAGTGATTTCCTTCAGCTTAAGAGACTGCAGGTTGTCCGTTAGTAGAGCTCAGCGAAGAAGCGATCTTTGAGACTCACGTGCTCGAGGTATTGCATGACGGTACCGAGTCCGTGGTACTCGAGGAGGTAGTAGACGACGTGAGCCTGTCGCTCCGCCCTGTTGTTCTTCGTCGACGGCACGATGCCCCAGCGGAGAGCCAGCTTGCGCTTGACCATGCTCTGTAGAGTCTCGACGAGCAGGGTGGCGTCGAGGGCGTTGGTGAGGTCGAGCGGAATGACTACATTTTGAATATCCCTCTTGACGCTGGGAAGAGTTCCAGGGTAAGAGGGTTGGAGGAGCTAAATGGTCAGCAATTGCAATATCCCCTCGACGATCAGCGACTTACTGCACGCAGGCTCTCAGGCCACTCGGCGTAGCGCTTGTCCTTCTCGATATTGTTCAAGAACATGATGACGTTGCCGCCCTCGGTCGAATCCCTCCAGTCGTAGCGCTGAGGCTCGTCGTCGTCCTTCGCCTTTGCGATGTTGTTGTTCGAAAGAACGTTGACAGCCTCGGGCGAAGAGAAACCGAGCTTGCGCACGCCATTGATAATCTGCCTCTCGCGGCGCAAGTGCTCGAGCAGGGCGAAGGCATCGACGTCGCGAGGCATGACCTGCACGCCGTTAATCCAAAGGATGTTGTACCCCGGAGGCAGAACGGCTTCTCTGTTCTCCTGATGCTCCTTCAAAAACTCCTTTGAGACCTCGTGAGCAGCGATAGCGGACGAGTGCTTGGGGAAGTCCTGCGAGAGCTTGAGCAGAGTATCCAGCGGGTCCTCGGAGCCCATGACGAAGCTTCCGGCCTTGAGGCCCAGGCCCTTGAGCTCCGACTCGGAGAGCGGCTTCAAGTCTGCGACCTCCTCGTCCTGCAGGACCGCCTGTGCGGCATCTGCAGCGGGGGCCTTGTCACCCTCCTCGGCCTGACGGTCGTCAATGACGATGTAGTCGGTCCTCTTGAGAGCAAGCTCCACTCCGTATCCGTGGACGTCGAGCGGCTCGTGGCGGACGTTCTCGGAGGGCTTGTGGCGCAGCTTGTAAGACGTCTCGCCGGCGCGGGCAGTCTTGACTATGGTCTTGTGGAAGTTGCGGAAGCTGGGAGAGGTGATGTCGGCGTACAAGACGGAGGGGACGGAGCGGCGCTCCTGTCTCAAAGGGCGGTCGAAGGGCAGGTCGTCGACCTTGGGGTTCTTCACTTCGCCATGTTCCTGGTCCATCTCTGGCGAGCAGTACTGCTTGCCATTGAGCAGAACCCATGATTCGCAGTTGTCGGCCTCCAACGAAGGCTTGACGGATGTGTTATAGAATTGGTAGTGGGCCTCGATGCGCGGTGCGGCCGTATGGATGGAGAGGGCGAATTGGAACGAGGAGAGGGCGTCGGGGTCGGTTATGTGGCCGTCGTCCTGGAGCAGCTTCAGGAAGGCGTCGTACAGGTCCTTCTCGGTCGACTTGTCGTCAAAGTAACCGTCTGCTATACGGTCGAGGAGCGGGAAGTAGGCGGTTGCGTTCTCGAAGGCGGCCGTCTCGCTAGCTCGGGTCAGCTACAGGCATGGGCGGAGCGTGCAATAGGCGGGCTTACAGCAGCTCGACGAGGTAGGGAGGCGAATTGAATCGAGCCTTGAGAGCTACGTTGATGGGCGGGCTTGCGCTGGCGCTCAGCGGGCTGAGGGCGCCGAAGAGCAGGGCCGCCTGGCTGCTCAGCAGCCATTGACGAACCCTCATGGTGGCTTTCGAAGCGGCGCGTGCAGGCGCGTGCTCCTAGTGGTGTGTGGTGTGGATGTGGGGTGCAGAGGGCAGGCGGGCACTAGAGAGTTGCGGCAACGTCTTGCATATCGCGGCGGGGGAAGTCTTTGGAATGTGTGTATTTAAGGACGGGGATCAGGAGGCACGCTGGCCTCGGGGTCCTCTCGAAACTGCTCAAAATGTTTGGACCACGCGCGGCTGAAACACAGGCGGGTGTTGATAGCTGTCATGTTGAGCTCCCGCACGGCCCGCCAAGCTCCGGCGGCCTGTGGAAACGTCCGCGCCATCTGGCCACGACTCCACCAAGATCCGATGGCCTTGGTGGATTTATTAGTGCAAATCATCTCACCGACACCTTAGCGAAGCGGAATGATAGTGATACAATGTGAAAATTTATTTTATGTCATCCTATAAATGGAGGCCGCAGCCATAGGAACGATGAGCCAGTAGGAAAACCGACAGTAATCCAAAAACAACGCCTTGCAATGCCCGCTACCCATGCTCGCTAAAATGAAAAATGCCCCGCTGACAATGCTTCCAAAAGATGCAGCAGTAATAGAACAACAATACGTGGATGGATAACACCTAGCCATGTTCTACCCCCTCCGATGTTAATAAGAATCCGAACGATTAGTGACCATGCCGACGTGGTGCCATAGAAAGTCGAGAGTGGAGCAAACTCTAGAGGGAAGACAGACGAGGGGAGGATGAAGGGGCGTGCAGACGTAAAAGTACTCCCTCCGTTAGACCAGCTGGTTTTGGGTGACGCTCAAGCCCCACATCTCCAATCGCGACCCGAAGGTGAGATCAAAGAGATGTGAGGCGGACATCTAACCCGCCGCCGACGGCTAGCCGAGAGTTTGACTTCCTGCTGTGCACTGGCAATTCACCGCTTCCCCAACTCTGTGTCCATCTCTCCCAGCCTGAGCTCTTTACCTCCTGTTCCGACCCCAGCCCCGGCCATTCGCCTTGGAGTTCTTGTTCTTGATCTTCAGCCTGCAAAAATTGGCGTGCGCCTGGGCGCTAATCTTGCGCGCCGCCTTCTTGACGACATTCTCCTTCTTCTCGCCGGTCTCTTGTTTCGAGGCTGCGGCCTTTGTCGGCTGCTTCTTGCTGCTGCTTCCGACCTTGCGCTTCTTGGGCGAGTGCTCTGACTCGTAATCGTCATCTTCCACGGCCGTAGCGTCGCTGTCATTGAAGTCCTCGTTGGCAGGCTGGGTTTCGGCAACGGTGGCGTCACTCTCGTCCCCAGAGTCGAGGATGGTATGGCTTGGCTGCTGAGGCTGCGGCTTGGTCCGGACAGGACGCATGTTTGACCTGCGAGTTTGCCTCTTCGCTCCCTTCTTCTTCCACACCCTCCGCGGCTGCTCGTTCTCGCCCTCGCTGGGCTCAGAGTCGGAGAAGTTTTCGCCGTCGGCGCCGAGCTTCATATCGAATTGGCTGTCTTCGACAAGCACGGTCGAGGGCGCCCTGGGAGGCACGGGTGCAGCTGCAGACTCGCCCTCCATTTCACGCATCGCAGCCTCCTCATCGTCATCGGGATCTTCATCAGCCTGGGCAGCCTCTGCTTCTAGCTCGGCCTGCCTTCTGGCCTCTGCCTCTTGCCTGGCGTCATCCTCCTTCTCCTTCCTACGCTCTTGCAGAATCGTGCTCAATGTTCGGTTGAACGACCTAGGCTTCCTAGGCAGGCTTGTGCTTTCGGCTAGGGACGGCATCGGTCTGAAGTTTCTACGGAGGAAGACGGGGGTGGTGGCCTGGCCGCGCGACGACGGGGTGGTCTCCTCATGCTCGCGCCTCCGCTTCTGGGGGGTGGCGAACTGGTCCAAGAAGTGGCGTTTGCCCTCGGACACGGGGGTGCGGCCCATGCGGGCCATCTTGCCGCTCCAGACAAGCTCGTTCTCCTCGTCTTCCTCGACGTCGGCTTTGCGCTTCTTCTGCGGGGTCTGGAGATGGGCATTCGCGGTGATGTCACCAAGGACGGTGCGCTTCTTGACGGGAGACTCGGTGGGAAGGAGATCGAAGAGGCCCAGAACAATGCCGTCCTTTTGGGGAGTGGGGCCAAGCTCGTGGGCGGCCGGGCTGAAGAGCTTCGTGGGGGAAAGATGCAGCATGTCGTCGCGCGGCTCGCGGAGCTCGGAGTCCTCGTAGACTTTGGTGACCTTTACCTTTTTCGTGGGTGTCTGGCAAGCCGAAGGGTTTGCCTTACGCTTCGGAGACGCGGGCGCGGGCTGCGGCTTGGACTTGCCATCGAGGATGTCGCGTAGTCTTTGGTATTCCTTGTACTTGGCAGCTGCAGGGACGCCAGTGAGCCTTCGGGCAAGCGTAACTGACGCGAAGACAACGTACCGATATGGGGATGGGCCTTGATGTCGGCGCGTCCTGCCTTGCGGCCAGCATTGGCGGACTGAAACTCCTTCTCCCAAGCCTTGAGCTCGACACGGATGGCGGTGCACTGCTCGGCGTATTCGGAGTTCGCCATGGTCGGTAAAAATGGTGTGGGGGTAGAATGGCGGACGAGGTTGCGGAGGAGAGGAGTTGTGGTGGGCCCGGAGTTTTGGTGCACGAAAACGCGACGCGACGCGTCCTGAGGCCGCGTTGGACCCACCCGAGCTATGACCACAACCGCCTCCGGTAACACACAACACCCCAACTGCTGGTCAAACACCCGGAATCGGCTAGCAGGGGATCATTCCTTGTCAAATTCCTTTGGTCGGCCAGAGGACCGGCCGCCATTGGCTGGTCTGCAAACTTGTTACCGCTCAACCACGCCCTTGGGGGCATGTGGTTTTGCTATAACCTATCTGCTCGCGTCTCTGAAGACTCCCAAATTCTGACATGGTCTCTCACTACTCGGCAACCAATTCCATCGCTCACTTTCGGACCCCGCCAAAGGCAAGGGTCTGTTCCCTGCTTAGCAATCCAGCTCAACCCCAACTTCAATAAATTTCAAATGTGATTTTGTTAAGCAATGAGTGTTATAAAGCTAAGCGGGCCATGCCGCTGGACATGAGTCGCCTGTTTTCGGAAACCAATCCCTGCAGTAAACCACCCTCGCTCGCAATGCGGGGCCGAAATGTAACGTCATCTCGGATTCCCCCTTCGGCTGAGGCTGACCTACTGCCCCGCCCTGCGTCTGCTAGACGTGATACTAAAGAAGGGCAATCCAAACCCCTCTCAATCTTCACTGTAGCATCCATTGCTTTAGCGATTGCCTAGACTTGACAGTATTTACGAAATGACATCCTCGCTTAAGACATCCGCTCTCGAGACCATCTTCGGCCATCATCCAGATGGAGCAAAATCACAGGAAGGAATAGACGCCCCAGCTTGGCACGGCCTCGCCGCAAAGAAACGCGCCTCGAATTTGGCCAAAATCCCTCAAGAATGGCGACTTCCGAGAGATACGCTGAAGGATATCCACGAAGAGTCCAAAATCAGCGTCCTTGATGTGCCCCGGTCCTGTGGACTGCTCACAACGGACGAGCTTCGAATCACCGAGGACTTTGACGCCACAGGCCTCTCGGAACAGCTGTCGACAGGCGCGCTAAAGGCGTACGATGTAGCAAAAGCATTCTGCAAGCGGGCTGCCATTGCTCACCAGCTGACGAACTGCCTGACCGAGATCTTCTTCGACCAAGCCCTGGAGCGAGCCAAGATGCTCGACGAGTATTACGAGCGCGAGAAGAAGCCGCTGGGCCCTCTTCACGGCATCCCCATCAGTCTCAAGGACTCGTATGTGGTAAAGAATGTCCACCACACCCTGGGATACATCTCCTTCCTAGACAGGCCGCCAGCGGAAAACAACTCGCCAATCGTGCAGATTCTCCTAGATCTGGGCGCTGTGCTATACGTCAAGACCAACATCCCCCAGACGTGAGACCCCCCACGTCTTCTCTCCGAAAAGTGCAAGTGTACTGACCCCTCCCTCCCAGCTTCATGACCGCCGACTCGGAGAACAACGTCTTCGGCCGCACGCTCAACCCACGACGACTAACGCTGACGGCAGGCGGCAGCTCGGGCGGCGAGGGCGCCCTGATCGCGATGCGCGGCTCGCTGCTGGGCGTGGCGACGGACGTGGCGGGCTCGATCCGCATCCCGGCCCTGTGCAACGGCGTGTACGGCTTCAAGCCGACGGCGAACCGGCTGCCCTTTGGCGGCAACGCCGCGCCGGGCCGGCTGGGCTCGCCCTCGCCCATCGTGCCGCTGGCGGGGCCGCTGGCGACGACCCTGCGCGACTGCGAGCTGCTGGCCCGCAGCGTCGTGGGCGCCGAGCCGTGGCTGCTGGACGACGGTGCCCTGAACGTGCCGTGGAGGCAGCAGACACTCCTCCCCTCCTCTTCCTCATCTGCCACCAATGGCGCGACGACGACCACCACCAAACCCCTCCGCTTCGGCCTCATCACCGAAGACCCGACCCGCCCCCTGCACCCGCCCGTCCTGCGCGCCCTGCGCACAGCCGCGAACAAGCTCTCCGCCGCCGGCCACACCATCGTCCCGCTCGACTCCTCCTCCTACTCCCTCCCCTCAATCATCTCCGTCGCGGCCCTGGCCTGGAAGTTCTTCGCCCTCGACCCCTCCAAAACGCCTCTCCGCATCATCCAGGACGGCGGCGAGCCGCCCATCAAGAGCCTGCACACGGTGCGGGTGCCGCAAAACGACGGGTGGACGGCGAGCCTGGACGCACTCTGGGAGCTGGTCGTCGAGCGCAAGCGCATCACCAAGGCCTTCCACGACGTCGTCGTCGGCGAGCGGCTGGACGCCCTGCTGACGGTGCCGCACTGCGCGACCGCCGTGCCGCACGACACGTACGGGATCCCCGGGCACACGGTGCTGGCCAACGTGCTCGACTGGCCCGCCGCTGTGCTGCCGTTTGGCGTGGCGGAGAAGGGGAGGGATGCGGAGTTTCTGCGCGAGGGCGTCGAGTACGTGCCGCCGTATGCGCCGGATGAGGTCGAGGGCGCGCCGTGTGCGGTTCAGGTGCTGGGCAGGCCGATGAGGGACGAGGAGTTGCTGAGGGATCTGGAGGTCGTGGAGAAGGTTCTGCGCGCGTGAGCGGAAGCTGGACGAGAGAGAGAGAGAGAGAGCTGGCTGCTTGGAAGCTGGGATTATGAAATAGTTATAGAAAGAGCTACTCGAACATGAAAGTGGGTGGTAGAAACAAAACCCACTGCTGCCGGGAACAAAATAGCCATGCCCACGATGGGGGGCGACTGCAATGTGAAATGGAGAAATGCCATAGCCGCTTTCGTTCGTTCATAAATAAATGAGGAAGAAGAAAAAATGTTACAGGACTGAAGAAAGCCCGCCGTTTTCCGCCCATGACCCCCCCTCTCTCCGCGGCGTTGACCGGAGACCACCGCTTATGCAAATGTGTATCTTCCATCAATCCCGGCGCTGAAAACTTTTAAAACAGCTTTTAGTCAACATCCCACCTGAATCCTTTTTGAATGATCTACGGGAGGAGAACACGGACTCGCAACCGATGCAGATCAACTTGTCTCGCCCAATGTCTCAGTGATGATTTAGGCAGTGGCCGTTCCGTCCTTGTCCTCGATGCTAGCCTTCTCGAGCTCCTTGGCGGCGTCGGCGGCGGCGTCCTTCTCCTGGGCAAGCTCTGCCTCAGCATCGGCGGAGCCGTTGACCTGCTGGTTCTTGGCGGCAGGCTTCTTCGCGGTGTCCTTGGCTCCGGCATCAGCACCTTCCGCCTCGGCAGCCTCGAGCTTCTCGATCTCCTTCTTGGCCTTCTCGATGTTCTACAGAGTTGTCAGTGGCCGATCAAAATCGCGGTGGCGATTGCGCTGGAACTTACCTCCTGGGTCTTGCGCTGCTGGTCCTTCTTCCAAAAGTCCAACTTCTCCTTGAGCTTCTCGACAACGGACGGGACGTCGGCCTGGCTAGCGGGAGCATCGACGTTGAGCTGAGCGAGCTGCTCAATGACGCCGATGGAAAGGTTGAAACTGGAGGGAGCGGGAGCAGCGTCCTTGCTCTTCTTGTTCTTCTTTCCCTTCTTGCCGCCAGTGCCGGCAAAGTAGTCCTCCTCCTCCTTCTTCACGACCTTCATGCCCTTGAAGGCAGAGTCATCAGTAGTCCTGCTGGCCTGGGCGGCGAACTTGGAAGTGTCGTTGGTCTCCTTGGCGGGCAGGGCCGATGGATCGAAGTAGCGGATGAGACCCTCGGCGGTGACAATCTCTTCGGTGTACGCAGCGGCGCTGGCCTCCTCGAGCTTCGCGTCGGCGACCTCACGGCGCTTCTTGGTCTCGTAAGCCTTGCGCTCGGCCTCCTGCCTCTCCCTCCTCGCCTTGTACGCTTCCTGCTCGTAGTTCCTGAATGCGCGCTTCTGCTCGAAGTACTTGTCCTTGTACTCCTTGAGCTCGGTCCACTTGGCCTGCTGCTCGTTGCGGGCCTTGGTGCGCTCGTCACGGAGCGAGTTCAGGTTCTTGTACGCCTCGTCCTGCTCGGCCTTGATGGCGTCGAGCTCGGACTGGATCGTCGAGTAACGCTCGCTCATGGCCTTGGCCTCGGGGTCGTCCAGGGACTTGCGGAGGTCGGCGATCTTGGCCTTGAGGTCAGCGATGCCCTTCTCGGCCTGCTCGAAACCGGCAAAGTTCTTCTTCTGCTTGGTGAGGTTCGAGATGTCCGCAAGTGCCTTCTTCTCGTCCACAATCTTCATCGAACCAGAGTCCACCTGCTTCTGCAGACGGGCGATCTCGCGGTCGACTTCTTCAGCATTCTTGAAGTTGATGCGGCCGCGAGCCGTCTTGTTCTCCTGAATGCGCGACTTCAGTTGCTCATCGAGCTTCTTGATTTGCTCGAAGACCGTGTTGCGGGAGCCTTTGTTGGCCTGTTGCTTCTTGCGGATCTCGGCAAGCTCATTGCGCAGCTCTTGCTGCTTCTTCGCGGTGGGAGAGTCTTTGTTGTTAGGGGTCGCAAGGTCAATCTTAGCGTTCAAGGCTTTCTATACCGGTGCGGTGGTCAGCAATGCGCCCAGGATACTCGGACTCGGTTGCGCCGAGTCCAATTCATGCAGCTAAGCGTGAAGACGTACGAGCTTTTCCTGAGCGGCGGCATGCTGCTTTTCCTTCTCTGCAAGACCAGCCTTGTAGGCCTCTTCGCTCGGCTTTTCAGGCTTGACGAACTGCTTCTTGGCAGCAGCGGGTGCGGCAGAGTCGGCCATTGCGACGGCGTAACGGTGCGAGGGAACGAATCGAAGGTCCTGGGTGTACGGGCAGCTGGTCGCGACCGGGAGTGTCGAGGTAGCGTCGGTTCAGGGTCCTCGGCAAAGTGAGATTGGGGGGGCTGAGGGAAAAGGGTGGAGTGGGATAGTGAAGTAGCGGCAGTCTGGCCAGAAGTCAAGTCACGGCAACTTTTCGCCTGTGGCTCAACGAACCCCGGCACGCCAGGGTCCGCTTCGGGGGGCGCAGAGCACCCTGTGATCCCGGCGGCTCCACCGCCTTGATCGTGAATGCACGCGCTCTCAACCTTTGCCGTGCTGTCCTCGGGCTGCCCGAGTCCCGGCATGACGGCGTTTGTGACTGGGAATTGCATGTGCAAGTGTCAATTCGGTGGGACGCGTCGCACAGTCCCGCCTAGGATCTCACAGAACCAGAGCAGATTGCGACGTTTGTGCGCGTCCACGGGCTCGAAAACACTGTTTCCATTTGCTCCATCATCTCGCAGGACTGTATCTCGGGTGTGATGGCGCGATGGTCTGGTATCCGTGTTAGTAGACATCTCGCGGCGTGCGGGCGGGTAACACTGTCATCGTTCGGCAGCTTGGAGCACCACCACCAGCACAGAACCCGCCCGTCAGCACGATGACCACATTCTGCAGCTCCATCGCTTCTTTGTCGCCCGTTTTGAGCTTCTGACCACAGTCTAGATGACCTAGCACCCCTTGCGACGCCCGTCTGCTCCGAACATTCCTCCACAAACCCCATCCTCCACCGTGAACGCCGTCGCTTGCTGCCAGCGGCACCAGAGTGCCATCAACACGGCGCATCTGCGATCCTTCTAACACCGGGACACCAATTGAGCAGTCCACAGTACCCAGTAAGCTGTGCAGCTACCTCACAATGCCCCCAAGCGCGTCGCAACCGTCCCTGCTAGACAGCAAACCAATTCGCCAGTGTGAGAGCCGCAATTCGAGGGCCCAATGCTCCCCAGAACAATGTCTCGGTTGCTTTACACTGCGAAGAGGATCTACGGGCTCTCGGCATGAAGGAAATGGCTGCGAGTTGCAGCAGCAGCGGTAGGCTTCTCCCTCGCCAGATGTGCATCCGAATGAGCCCGCAAGCTGGACATGCACGCAGGAATTCGACAGCTCTTGGTGCTGCTGCTGCATGCCAACATCTCGAAAGGCACAGGCAGACTCTTGGGCGGTCCTTTCGGCGCGAAGACTCAGCGAGGCAGCGCTTCATCCGCGATTGGCGATTAAGACTGCCTTGTAGAGCTGTCGCCCTGTAGAGCTTCAAGCATTGCTCATTCATGAATGCCCATCATCGCTGCCCTCCTGAACCGCGTAAGATGCGGAGCCGCCATCCACGAAGCTTGAGTGACGCGCATACACCGGAGCGATGTACCTGTTTCGTCCAGACGCCAATTGATGTCTCACGGTGCGTATGTATTAACACGACTTCTGGCGTAGGATACATCCCATGGGCAAGGGCGAGTGATTTCTATGGAGGCATCCTCTACCCTCAACGTCCCCCACCATGATCATGGACAGCCATGACCGCAGAGGGTTGGAGGCTCATTCCTTCCAGCTTTGAGGCAAATTGTGCTCTTGCAGTGGAAGTCTACGCCTGTCTTTCACGCCCAGAGTGCTCAGCGGAGTCAGCTCTTTCAAGCGCAGTGACCACCATTCGAGCAGCGGCAGAGACCATGCTCCTCCAGAAAGCTCCGAGAGGGACCACTGAACGGTGCCAGCCCTGCATTGGCTGCCAGTTCGTGCCGCTGAAGCGCAGAGGGGTGGGTGCTCCTGCCGGGAGCACGCTGCACGTGCACGCGCGGTTGCTGAATCTGCAGCATGCCTACAGCTGGCGTACGCTACTACACGTCATCTCAGAGCCCGCGGGGAGGCAGCTGCCAACGTTCCTTCCCCCGTGGGGATTTTCTCCAGGCCTGTTTAAAACGCCGTCCAACCCGACCTGACCTCTCTCTCTCTTCTTCACCACCACCAACCTTATCCGCTCGAGAAAGGTGTGCCCTCGCACGCTGGCATTGAGCGCTCATCTTCCCCACTTCCTCGCCGCGCTTCCTGACTGCGACGTGCAACGTCCGCGGACTCATCTCACACCCCATCTGACCTTACTGTCCTTCACCTCACTCCTACTCACGGACCCACCACCGCGAAAGCTTCCAGCAGCGCCAATTGCGTCGTCAGCTCAGTCAAGAAAGTGCCTCTGCTCTTTCACATCGCCGTTTAGCTTCGCACAGTAAGCCTCCTCTAACCCGCTCACCGCCGCCCATCCATATTGACCATCGTGATCCCATTCACTTCACTTTGCACTATCCGCCTACGACGTGTCTGTACTCTAAAATCAGTCCAGATCCTGTTTTCATCAGCTACAACAACTGTCATCATGTCTACGGGCTCGCAGCCGCGTTCGTCGACCTTGGCTTCCGACTCGGTTAGCATGGGTCTCCAAGAGAACTCTCCTCACTACATTGCGTCCCCCGGTACGTACGTTCCATGCCCCTGACTGTACTGATTCTGACACGCAACCCAGAGGGCGAGGGTATGGGCGCTGTCCAGGCCACCCCTTTCGCTGCCCTGAACCAGGGTGGACTTCCTCTTCCAGCCCGCGTTCATAGCAGCAACCGCTTCGGACTGCGTCCGCCCCCGCCAAGCCAGAGCGGCCAGCAAAACTTCCTCCCGCTGCTCGACCTGCCCGCTGTCAATGTCCGCCTGATTGAGTCTCCGACCACTGCCCCTGAGAACACGCCCGTGCCCAGCACCGGAGCTTCGGACAGGGCCGTCCCTCAGCAGAACCTGCCTTCGATTGAGGAGGTCCTCCAGCGCCTTCCCGACTTGTCTAGCGATGTGTATGTCAAGTGTGACGTTTTTTGTCTGTCTAGCAGCTGACGAATAACAGGAGTTCTGCCACCACTACAACCCTGGCCGACCCAGGCCCCCTTCTTGACGATGAGGAAGTTCTCTTGAACTCCAGTCCGATCCTCCTCTCCAGCCCTACTCTCAACAGCAGATCTTCAACTCCACTTTCACAGCACGGTGTCAGAGAGCATACTGACTGGCAGGAGGATATCGAGGCGGATCTTGACCGCGCTCTGGCCCGCTTGGCGAATCTTGCCCGGGATGACCACGAGCAGGATCGCAGCATGTCAGTTGAGGAGCACTACACGCGCCGCCTTGACAGGGCCATTGAACGTCAACGCACGCGCTACACATATCTTCAACGTGCAAAGTCGACTATCACGACTCTTCTGATCCACCGCGCCAAGCTTCGTTCGCTTCTGGAGGCCATCGCGTCCGAAGTTCTCCACAACAACACGGAAGTTGTTGAGATTGTCGCTGAGTTGATTGCTGAGCTCGACCACGAAGACATTTAGTAGGCTACAGGCTGTGGCGCTTTCGAGGGAACCTTACTGATGATGTGGCTTTTGAGCGTTTACTGGCGATACTTACTGGCGATACTGCTTTGAGCGATACTGAAGATGCTGCTCTGAGCGATACTTACTGGCAATGCGACTTTCAAGGGGGGGCAACCACTGACAAAGCGGCGTTGGAGGAAAATACTTGCTGACTTTCAAGGGAGCATATTTGCTGGCAATGACTCAAGAGAGCATATTTGCTGACGAGATGGCGTTCGAGGGGAACTTCTGAAATGGGAACTCTGCAGTTGCTGATGTAGCTACAAGACGGAATCAGTCAACATTTCTCTACCCACACTGTTCACTGCTTGTTGTGATCCAACTTTGATGTTGACGATACTTCCCTTGTTCCTTTCGCAGTTTGCGGTCGTACGTCCGAGTCCTTGCTGCTTGAGTCTGAACAAAGCTTAATGGCATGCCAGTTAGTATATCGCCTTTTGAATACCCCCACTCATAGAGAGAGCGCCAAGCCAAATACAAATGCGCCACAGGTAATTCATGACCTGATAATTCGTTCACGTCCCGATAGCTATTGCAATGTGTGGTGGAGTCGAGGATGATTCTGTCGACTCGTCAAGTACACTCGGAGATTTTGTCGTATAAATGCTTCTTTCGTACATTCCCACCCCAATGAGACACTGACCGAAGTCAAGCATTGTTCAGCAACTACAAGTGGTGGTTGGGTTTAGGGCACGTGAATGCGCGTGGAGCTCGGGCCTTGGATGAGCGGCCGGGGTGCATCGTCTTTCACGCTGCCACGCCGACCTCCGTCGCATTGTTTGCGACACCCATCCTGACCAGAGGGCAACCTCGCCCCTCTTTCTCTCCGCCACCGCGATCGCCGGATGCCCGCCGCTCGACCAACCATCCGAATCTGCGCGAGTCAATCGCCCCGACACGGCCCAGGACAAGGCCTCCGAGAGAGCTTCGCACGCAACGACTTTGTTTACAAACTCGGGTCGTCGCCATGGCACGCAACACCAACCAGCCCTCTTTCAACTTCTTCACCGGCGAGACGGGCGAAGGCGCGCCCGCGTCCGCACACGCACAATCGTTTCGTCAGACATTGCGGCAGTCGGTCGTCAAACCAGGTGGGTCGAACAGTAGGCGCGCAACGTCCCTTTGGCTGACTCGGGACGGCAGACATTGGCAACGAGGACCTGCGCGCGCAGATCAACACCCTGCAGTATGAGCTCGAATCGCTCAAGCAGGAGCGGGAGATGAGCACGCTCAGCCACCAGGCAGAACTGCGGGATGCACAGAACAAGGCCGAAGCAGAGTACCAGCGCGCACAGGTTCGTGAGCCCGCGACGTATCATTCGGCAATCGCTAACTCGAGCTCCAGGCAGCCGAATCGGCGAGCAAGGCAGCGGCGAAGAAGTACGAAGCACTGCAACGCGAGACGAGCGAGACGCAAGCGCGCGGCACAAACGAGAAGCTGGAGCTAGAACGCAAGGTGCGGACGCTGCAGGAGCGCAACACGTCGCTGCAGGAGGACGCGGACGAGGCGCAGAACGAGCTGGCGTCGCTGGAGCGGCAGAGCCAGCACCGCTACCACGAGCTGGAGACGCGCTACGGCACGCTGCAGCAGTCGTTCGACGAGCTGCGGGCCGAGCTGGACGCGCAGGTGGCGGCGCTGCAGCAGGCGCAGCAGAAGCTGGCGCGCCGCGAGGCCGAGGCCGGCGAGATGGAGAGCGAGATCATCCGCCTCAAGGCCCAGTCGGGCGACCAGGACACGCTGGCCATCATCAAGCGCGAGCTGTCGGAGCAGGTCACGCACATCCGCAAGCTCGAGGCCGTCAACAGGGAGCAGGCCGCCGAGCTGAAGCAGTTCCGCAAGGTGCAGAAGAGCGTCGAGGTCGTCGAGGAGGAGAAGCTGGCCCTCGAGAACAAGCTGCGCATGATGGAGGACCTCCGCCGCGAGCTGAGCGAGGAGCAGCTCAAGAGGCAATTACTGGAGGACGAGAAGAGCGCGTGGACCACGTACCTCGAGGGCCAGGCGCAGGCCGAGGGCGAGCTGCAGTTCCACACTCCTGAAGACCTGGCCAAGGCCTTCGTCAGGGAAAGGCTGGAAACGGCGACCATGGTCGACCGCCTAGGTGCCGTGCAAGCAGAACTCATGGCGAGAGACGAGACGATCAAGTCCCTAGAGGACGAGAAGGCCAAGGTTCGCGAAGAGCTGGAGAAGCTGAAGGGCGCCGGCAACGCATCGGACAGCAAACTACGCATGAGGCTCGAGCGCCAGCGGACGCTGGCCGTGAAAGAAGTGGAATACCTGCGGGCGCAGCTCAAGGCCTTCGACGCCGAAGAGAGCGAGTTCCAGCCCGAGACGTTCGACGCGGCAAAATCCCAACGCATCCAGGAACTGGAAGAAATGGTGGACAACTACCGCAACGAAATGCAATCGCTCCACGCCGAAATGTCGGCCCTCGAGGAGGCCAACACCAAGGAAATCACCATCGTCGGCAGCAAGCGGCCGCGCGACGACGACGACGACGTGCGCCTGGGCGAGCTCCGCCGCAAGAACCGCCAGCTCCAGGACGACATGGGCAAGCTGCAGACGGAGAAGAAGGTGCTCGAGTCGGAGCGCCGCGCCCAGGAGAAGCAGCTCAAGGCGCTCAAGGAGAGCTCGCGCACCCGCATCCTCGAGCTCCGCTCCAACCCCACGGCCGACGCAGAGGCCCTCAAGCTCAGCACCGTGCGCACGCTGCGCGAGGAGAACAAGGCGCTGCTGGCCCAACTCGAGGGCAAGCTCGCCTCGCTGGGCGACGATAATGCCGTCGTCCCCCACGCCAGCCTCGAGGCCGCGCGCGCCGAGATCGCAGAGCTCACCCGCACCATCGGCGACCGCGACAAGAAGACGCTGCGGCTGAAGCAGCTGTGGTCGGCCAAGGCGCTCGAGTTCCGCGAGGCCGTGGCGAGCCTGTTGGGGTGGAAGCTGGACATCATGCCCAACGGCCGCGTCAAAGTCACGTCGCTCTTCCACCCGGGCGACGAAGAGCTCGGCGAAAACAGCATCGTCTTCGACGGCGAGCGCGGCACCATGAAGGTCTCCGGCGGCGAGAAGAGCGTCTTCGCCAACGAGATCAGGGGCCAGATCGAGTTCTGGGTCGAGCAGCGCAAGGAGATTCCGTGCTTTTTGGCGCAGTTGACGCTGGATTTTTGGGAGGGGTCGACGAGGGCGGCGGTGGGGGGTTAATTGTCTGTGGCATATGGTATGGAGTTGGTGGTGGGGCGTTCGACCGGTTCGTTCGTAGAGGTTTTTTTTTTTTTTTTTTGCTGGCTTCGGTTTGGGAGGGGGGATCTCGGGGTAAAGGGTGCATGGGGCGATATCCGGTGGTTTCATGGCTGCTGTGTGAGCGGAGAGCAAAATTTCAGTAGAAGACGATGGAGGGGTCTCTGCACAACGTGGTGATGATTTGTGACAATTAGTGTAAGATTTGCTCGAAGGAAAATTCAAACTCTGCACATTTTGTGCAGAAAATGCACAATCACCCTTGCAGACTAAATGTAGTCTTTAACTAATATTCTAGGCGTGAGGACGACTAGGCTGCTGCTAGTAGCATTTACTACAACGACATATGTGATTCGCAAAAACGTTTGGCACCTCTAGCAGCTCTGATACTATTAGTGACTCGAGTTGCCTGTAGCGTCTCCAACATGCGGTATATTAACACTACTAGTATCTCTAGGACCGGTAGTAAATGTATATTGTTTACTTATTTGTTTGTACCTTCGTATCTTCACATCTTTGTGGAAAGAATGTGCGCGCGGGCGAGCGTTGCTGGCAATGCCGTCGATGCTGGACGCGCTAGCTGTATCTCGAGTTGTATTTTTTTTGCTCGTCTGTTTGTACTTTTTATTAACTTCTTAGCTAGCCGCTACTGGCAAGCTATTAAACTTTAACGGGAATAAAATTTGAGTTATCTTATATTATTATTAGTACTTAAACTTCTAGGTACAGAAAAAACGAAAAATTACTTTCAATATAAGAACTCAACATATACAGTCTTAGAGCTATGTATAGTTTCGCAAGTGGTGATCGTGTACATTTAACCCCACGACTTAAAACCAGCAATCCACGCAATCCACTCCTCCTATCATACAAAGAAAGAAAAAAAAAAGAATACAGTTAACATCCCTTCCACCACGCCTCAGTCGTCCTGACAGCAGCCGTGGCCCTAGCACCGCCTCCTCCCCCCCATCCTGCCGCCCCCCATCATCATCGGCCCCCTTCTCCCGTATCCCATTCCGCCGCCGCCACCGTGGTAGCCATATTGGGGCCCCCCACCACCACACCTTCCTCCTCCTCCTCCTCCTCCGTAAGCCATGGGTGGCGGCGGGCCGCAGGGCCTCGCGGCGGGCCTGCTGGTCATGAAGACTGGTTGGTGGTGGCGGCGGTGGCGAGGACGAGACGGTCCGCAGCCCATTGTTGTCGTGGTGATCGGTTGGAAAGGTTCGGGGTTGGGGTTTGTTTATGTATGTGTGTGTCGATGAGAAAGAAGAGCTTGTGTTCTGGAGTTCTTGCGGTGGAGGATGTAATCGACGACTTGGGAGGAGGTTGAGTCTTGAAGGTTGTATGTATATCGTGGTCGCTCTCTGATATCGAATGACTTGTCACCAGAAAGGTTTTAGTTTAAAGAAAAAGCTGTGTGATTGACAATGACGATTGTTGTAGTAAGTAGTGCGATGATGTCGAAATAAACGACGGACGGGGGGCTTACGCCAGCCTTATATGCAAGCCCCGCCACAGCAGCCAGCCAGCCCTGCTCACCACCCGCCAACCCGCCCACACACACAGCCAGCTAGCTCCCTGTATTCCCAAATTCTCCACACGTTTTTCTTGGCCTCCCTCAGCCCAGATCCCGCGAACCAAAGTCCAAAGTCCCATCTATCCCAAAAACCTGCAAACATAAGCGCTACTCCGGCTATCGGAACCGTCGTCGAAGGAAGTTGCCCAGTGGCGCCGCTCGGCGCACGTGGCTGACGTACGTACTTCATTGTGCAACAGCGGGACCGCCTGCAAGCCACAGACGCTCGTGATTGGGCACAACGCGGTTCCTCGGTATCCCCGCCTTATGAAAATGGCTGGACCGTTTGATCTGCGCCGTTCGCCGCAACGTTCGTCCATCTTGGCTTTTTTCGGCTCATATGCATATGACGTCATTGCTGCAGCTATTTTCAGATGGGGTCTGCAGTTCTCGTGTGACATTATTGGAAAGGCTGGTACCCGCGCGTACCGGCGAGCCGCTTCCGGAGAGCCGTCGAAGGGAGACGGCAGCACGGATGCGGATTGCCGGAAACTTGTGTAGCGTGACCCGACGGCTGACAACATCAAACCCGGTATCGAGGAAAGGCAGGAGAAGAATGAAAGGGGTTCATCAAGTGAGACCGGGTCGATGAACTTGTAGGAAATGGAATTTGGTAAGAAAAGGTTAGACAGAGAGTGAACATGATCAGGCCACTGGATCATGCAGCGTACGGGGAACACGACGGCACTGAAAAAAAAAAATCAATCACAGGCCATTCAAATTAACGGAAAGGGTATTCCTTCCATCTCTCAAAAGCTAAAGAAACAGAGTACATGACGCGTTCGAGGAGCAACCACCGGGAAAATAGTGCAGCAACGGACGTTGGAGGTTTAATGAGAACCAATGAAACGGGGAAAGAAATACGCAGTCTCTCGCGAGTAAAACAAGGAAAACAATAGCCCGTGGTGGTAGTCGTCTGAACTCCGTTTCCCGATGCAGCAGTAGAATGAGTTAGTTTCGTCTAGTCCTTCCCTTAGCGTTGATCCTTCCGTTCATTCGTACAGCATCCCACTCGCACGCAAGCCTTGAGTCGTCTTGAAGAGAAAGGAAAATCATTTCAAGTTAGGAATGAGAGGGATGTCTTAGACATGGGGGGTGCATATCTGTCGTCATTTACCGCGTTCAGGCGCTTTCGCCGTCGTCGCTCCACCTCGCGTCCCCGTAGAGGTCCTTCTTGTTGCTGCTGAACTCGAGCTTCTCCAAGAACTCCGGGGGCACGGTGGGCAGGTATTTGCGCTCGCGCTCCTTGTCGGTGCCTCCGAATCCGGCGCCGTACGTCACGAGCATGTCGGTCGATGTGGGTAACGAGAATGGGAGCATCAGAGCCGGGTCCATCAACAGGTTCTCGGGTGCGTCTTCCTCCTCGTCGTGTGCCATGTACGCAACCGTGGCCAGCGACGGGGCTAGCGACGGCGTGGGCGACATGGGCCGGTCGGTCGTGGGCGACGTGGGCGAGCCTTCGGTCGGAATCTGCGGCGGCATGGACTTGCGGCTCTGCTTCGACAAGCGCCGCTCGGCCACCTCCTTTTGGAGGTTGAACAGAAACTTCAGGGCAGGCTTGGGGAGCGTCTTCTCGCCGACCTCGGACCTGTAATACCTCACCGAGTGGTTGATCTGCTGGGGCGTGAGGCGCGGAAGCTGCTCGAGCGTGGCCTTGAGCGAGTCGAGGTCTTCGCCGAGGGACGAGAAGCACTGCAGCCACTGCAGCAGCTGGACGACCGGGTCCAGATGCCTCCGTGCGGCGTCCATGGTGTTCTCGCCGGTGGCGGTGAGGGCGCCGCTCTCAAAGTGCTCGGGCTGGCGGTTGTTCTGCCGTGCCCAGTCCTCGAGCGTCGATACGTTCATGCGGATCTGCATGGCCTTGGTGCGTGCGAGGTACTTGCGGTTGGACATGATGCGGTTGAACAGCTCGGCACCGAGCCAGTAGAGCAGCTGCGAGAGGACCTGGGCGGTGATGACCGAGTGGATGTCGTAGAGGTCGAGCACGAAGAGCGTCGAGGACAGCAGCGAAGTGATGTTCCTCGGGGACACCTGGGCCCTGCGCTTCGGCGAAGGGGGCCTGAAGCGCTTCTCGAACGGCTCCGGCGGCTTCGGCTTCGATTTGCTCTTGAAGATCCTCCACTCTCCAGTGAAACTCACGTCCTCGAAGCCGGGGATGGTCTCGTGGTCCAGCATGGCCGTGTCGAGAACCTTGTCCATGCGGCGCTCAGCGTCGCGGATGATCAGAACGAAGATCTCGTTAATGAGCTCGGCAATCTGGCACTGGAATTCGACCGACGCCTCGACGAGGCCGGCGTCCTTCTTGAGGTAGTAGAGCAGCAGCGTGAGGTTGGAGACCCAAAATGCGAGCATGGTCATGTCCCATTGATGCTTCTCGACGGCGTCGTTGATCTTGTCCATGGACGTGACCAGCAGTTTCTCCAGCAGATCTTCGCTGGAGTGGTAGTGAGCGTAGCGCGCGCCGAGGAAGATGATGTTCGCAGGGACGGGCTTCTGCGAGGGCGAACGGGTGGGCGTCATGTTGGTGATGACAATGTCTAGGATGCGATCTAACTCGTTTTCTTGGAAGACAAACATTTGGTCGTTCAGGCAGCGGTCCCACACGAATTCCTGGCCTTCTTCGAACTCCTCGGGTTCCTGGTCGCGTGTGATCAGCAGGTCGCACTCTCAACTCGGCACGTCCAGTACTAACCTCTGGCTGCTCGTCGATACCCAAATTTCCCAAGTCAACCTCCAAATTAATAGCACTTTCCATCATCATGCGTCTCCGCAGCTCGTTCTCGGCCATTTCCTCCTCGAAGCGGTCCTGATCGAAGCCTGCCGTGTAAAAGTCGTCGCCGCTGGTGGCGACGCCGATGTTGCCGATGGTGTAGCCGCTCTCGTGCAAGTAGTCCTGGAGCTCGCTGCCAGGGGCTACAAAGTCGAAGGCGGTGCGGCCCGAGGACGAGGCCGTCTCGGGCTTCGCGCCCTTGTCGAGTAGCAGCTTGGCGATGGCCTTGTGACGGTTGGTGATGGCCCACATCAACGGGGTCCAGCGGTTGCGGTCCTGGATGTCGACATGGGCGCCGGCGTCCAGCAGGACGGCGACAACCTCCTCATGGCCGAAGCAGGCGGCGTAAATCAGCGGCGGAGTGCCGTCGGCGTCCGGGGCGTTGACGTCGATAAAGGGCTTGGCATTGCCGGAGACGAAGCGCTCGATGGTCAGGGTGTCGCCGTTGGAGGCGGCGAGGTTGAGCGAGTTCTGCAGAATGTCGCGCTTTTCTTGGTCCGACAGGCTGTTGTCCTTGATGATCGAGTCCTCCTGCCCCTCGTTCATGCTGTCATGCTTGAGGCGAGACTGCTGCTCGAGCATCTCGTTGAGGCGGCTGTCGCTGTCCGCGATCGAGGGGTTGGGGTCGGTTGGGCCGTCGAGAGACAGGTCGAAGTTGAGGGGCTTGGAGGGGAGCGGTGTCGATATGAATTGGGACTGGCCTGCGGATGGGGCACCTGGTCAGCACACGACACACAAACACCGGCGCGCAGAAGGAGGCAACGCACCCTGCCAAGCGTCGTATATCTCGGTCTCGCTGGCCAGCTGCGGCGTCGAGCGGCGGTCGTCGAGCGAGCGCGGCAAGTCGTCGGGCAGCTGGCGGGGCGGGGCGGCATCGTGGCCTCCGTTCTCATCGGTCGACGCCATGGTGGTGGTGCATGGGCTTGAGAAGCCAGTGTGGCTTCTGGCGATCACAGCGCATGCGCTCAGGCCCCGAGTAATGTGGCCGGCGGTGGGTGGAGATGGAATGAACGGGCAGATCGCCAGAACGGGGTTATAGCAATGCGGCTCGGGTGACGTTCGAAGAAGGCGCGCCAAGGGCCATTGTCCACCGCCCGCTTCCTGGCCATGATTGTGAAGCAGCAAGTCTCAACACCAGCCCGGGCCGAGCTCGAGCTTCCTCCCGGCACCCTCGCCCTCGCCCACGACGCGCTGCCCGCCGCCAGCTCAACCCCCCCGAACGACGCCGCAGCCCATGACGTTTTGCTGCTAGCGAACCCGCCCTCTAGCGCCCCCGCCGGGCCAAAGCCATGAATTGAGTCGGCTCCTCCATCGCCACGCGTCGACCATGGACGAGGACGCTCCATCGGAAAACCGCGTCGCCCGCCAGGCCCTGCTGCGCCTGGCCGAGCTGCCCGGCTACACGTGGGACACGGAGACGGAGCCCTTCCACAGCGTGAGTTCTCCTCGCGTGCCCAAGTCGCCACTGACCAAGCCGCAGTCCTACGACAACTGGCACTTTTTCGGCTTCCAGCACCCCGTGAAGCCGCACCAACAGCTGCCCAACCGCGCCCTTACCTCGCACAGCTTTTCCACCGGCTCTGACCCCAAGCCCGCGCTGCGGACCCACCGCTCGTCCAACAGCGAGGCGAATGCCGCCTCTTTGACCCAGCAGGTGGCCGATGGCACCCCCCCGCGTGGCCGGCGCGTCGTCGCCCGCGTCTCCAACCACATCCTGCGCCTGGAGCGCGAGTTTGCCCTCGCCAAGTCGATCGTGACCGAGTGCGACCCGGACTGCAAGCACTTCGTGCGCCCCATCGAGCTGGTGCGCTTGCCAGCACGCCCCGGCAGCGACACGCTGATCGTCTCCATCTTCGAATCGCCGGGTGACAACTACATCCGCGACATTGTCGATCTGGGCCCGGCCTTCTACAGGATCGCCAAATGGCAGGCCCCGGCCGGCACCAAGACGGCCATGCAAATCCCGCTGCAGCTGTTCATGCGCTTCGCAACGGGCGCCTCCAAGTCGCTGGAGATCCTGCACAACAACAAGAAGCTGGTGCACGGCGAGATCCGCGGCGACGCCTTCCACTTCAACCAGGAGACGGGCGAGGTGCGCATGCTCAACTTTGGCTCGGGCACGCGGAGCTTCGAGAATGGCTTGACGTCAGCTGGCTGGAGCACCCTTAGCCGCGAGATTGGCGTCGAGCACAAGCTGCAGTTCATCGCCCCCGAGCAGACGGGCCGCCTGCCTGCCGAGCCCGACACGCGGACTGACATCTACAGCCTGGGCATTCTGTTTTGGGTAAGTGGTGGGCAGCTCCGCCGGCCGTGGAGCACACACTGACGCCTTCATAGACGATGCTGACGGGGGAACCTGCATTCGAGGGAGACAAGCCGCTGGAGATCATGCAGAGCGTGCTGTCACGCCGCATACCGCCCGTGTCGTCCAAGCGGCTGGACATCCCCGAGGCGCTGTCGCAGGTCGTGGCTAAGATGACGGCTAAGAACATCGAAGAGCGCTACAACTCGGCGTCCGGGCTCAAGTACGACCTATTCGAGCTAAACAAGATCCTGTGCGACGGCGACGTCGAGCTACTAAAGACGTTCAAAGTAGCGACCAAGGACGTGTCGAGCTTCTTCAGCCTGCCGTCACGACTCATCGGGCGCGACAAGGAGCGGCAGACGATCCTGGAGGTGGTGGACCGCGTGTCCAAGAGCCAGCACCCTTCACTCAAGAAAAGCCTGTACAGCTTCGGGTCTACGTCAGGGTCGTCACTGAGCTCGCGGCTAGACAACTTGGCGCTCGATGACATCGCCGACGTGCGGTCCGAGAGCACCAGTTCCAGAGGCTCGGAGCACCTCAACGAGTCGCGCACCCCGCGCAACAACTCAGAGGCGTCGGTCTCGCTGCCGGAGCCATCCGATCATCGGCCGTCGACCGAAAGCCGCTCTTCTAATTGGAGCGCCGATCATGCCGTGCGCCGCATGTCGTCGGCTCAGGCTGGTGACGACCCTGCCGGCCAGCTCAGGAACCACCACCGCTTCCGCAAGAAAACGCACTGCGAGCTGATTGTCGTGGCCGGCGCGGGAGGCTACGGCAAGTCTAGCCTGATCCAGTCGGTGCAGCCCGTAGTTCGCGGTCGCGGCTTCTACTTTGCAACCACCAAGGTGGGTGTCGGCTCGTGCCGAGCTGCGCGAATTAAAACTTACTTGTTACAGTTTGACCAAGCCAAGCGTGCTCCCTTCGATCCCATCCTGAGGCTCATGTCCTCGCTCTTCCGCCAGATCTTCTCCGAGTCCAACATCTCGACCGACTTCCACAACAACGTGCGCGCCCACGTCCAGCCCGTGTGGCCCATCCTGCACTCGTACCTCGACCTGCCCGAGTGGCTGCTGGGAAACATCACCAAGGCCTCGGCCCCCGACGTCGCCCACCAGCATGCCTTCTCCAGCGCCATCACCGGCCGCAACGCCTCGCGCGTCATGAGCACCTTCATCGACGTATTGCGTATGCTAGCCCGCCAGCAGTCCATTTGCTTTTGCATCGACGATCTGCAGTTTGCCGACGACGAGAGCCTCGAGCTGATCCAAGCCATCGTCCACAACAAGCTTCCCCTCGTCATGATCCTCACCTACCGCGAGGAAGAGAGATTGACCCCAGGCATCAAGTCGCTGCTCGACTCGGCCACAAAGTAAGTTGGCCGTTCGCAACCGGTTTTTACACCACTGATCCTGAGTAGTATGACCAGGATTACCTTGAACCCATTTACCGAGGTGGACACGGCCCATTTCGTTGCCGAGACGCTTCACCGCGATCCCGAGTACTGTCTGCCACTGGTCGCCACCATCCAAGAAAAGACGGGCGGGAGCCCCTTCTTCGTCCGCGAGATGCTCGACACGTGCTACCGTAAGAAATGCATATATTACTCCTGGCAGGACTCGGCCTGGCACTTTGATCTCGACAAGGTGTTTGCTGAATTCAGGTCGACCGCCTACGGCTCGCGCATCAACAACGACTTCATCGTGAAGCGCCTGCAGGAGCTGCCCAAGGTCACCCGCTACCTCCTCGCCTGGGCCTCTTTGATCGGGAGCACCTTCTCGTTCGCTATCGTCAAGCGGTTGATGCAGGGCGAGCATGCCGCCAACGCCACGGGTCTCCCCATCACCGACGTCGACCCCGTCGAAGGCATCGACGGGGCCATCGCTTCGTACATTGTCATGTCCGGTGACGACGAGGATCGCTTCCGCTTCGCCCACGACAGGTACATGCAGGCCTCGCAATCGCTCATAGAAAGCGAAAACTTCAACCAGAATGAGATGCACTTTGCCATTTCCAAGACGATGATTGAGCACGCATACCAGGACAACACGACCACGAGTTCCAAGTCCCTGTTCACCCGAGCCCGCCACGTTGCGTGCGCCTCGGATCTCATTAAGGGCAGGGTGAGGAACCGTGCGCTGTACAGGAACGCTCTGCAACAGGCGGCCGAGAATGCCTGCGACGCCGGAGCGCGCTCCACGGGGCTCTTTTACTACACGCGCTGCTTCAATCTCCTCCAGGACGACCCGTGGGACGAGTCTAACGAGGACGTCGACTACCGCGAGACGCTGAACATTTACACGCGGTCAGCCGAATGCTACTGGTACCAGGGCTTCTTCGAGCCCGCGCTCGGCCTTTGCCAGACCATCTTCGCCCACGCCAAGACGGCCGTCGACAAGGCGCCCTGCTGGGTCCTGCAATCGCGCATATTCGCCATGCGAGGCGACTCGTTCGCCGCCTTCGAGGCCCTCAGGCAGTGCTTGGCGGATCTGGGTCTCCGGGTCGAGGAAAAGTCGTGGGAGGAGTGCGACAAGCAATTTCAGGTCATGTGCGCTGGTCTGCAGCAGTGCGACAGGATACAGCTCCTCTCGAGACCGCTGACGACGGATCCAAAGCTCCTCGCCATGGGCGCCGTCCTCGTGGAAATGGCGAGCGCCGCCTTCTGGAGCGACTCCAGACTTTTCTACCAGATGAGCATGATCATGGTAGATCTGCACCAGACCCGAGGCAACTTCCCTCAAGCAGCGCTCGGCTACGTGCACCTCGCCAGCATAGCGGCCGGTCGGTTCGGCATGACCAAGTTCGGCATCGAGGTGGGCGAGATCGCCAAGAAGCTCTTCATCATATTCCACGACGACATGTACACGATAGGCCGCGGAGAGACACTGCACGCCCTGTTCATGGGCCACCTCCAGACTCACGTGAGAGACCAGCTCCCCATCCTCGACCGGGCCATGAGCGCGACTATAATCTCGGCCGACCGCATCCTCTCCCTCTTGAACATGGGCATCAACGCCTGCTTCAAGATCTGGTCCAACTTCCCCATCACCGAGGTCGAGGCGTGGATCAACGAAGCGCCCGCCGAGTTCACAAACTGGCAGGAGGACCTTCGCGGGGGCGTCTTCCTCATCTCGGCGCGCCAGTACCTCCGGGCTCTTCAAGGCAAGACTCTGGTCAAGGACCCCGAACAGGTGCACTGCGACGACGAGCACAAGACGTCCGACTACATCGCGTTCGTGGAGAAGCGAGCGTCGAATCCCAAGCGGCCAAAGACCATCTACTACAGCTACATGCTCACAAGCTTGTACCGGTTCGGCCACATCAAGGAGGCGATGGCGCTGGGCGAGACTCTGCTGCCCATGATGGAGGGCTGCTGGTGCATGCGCATTTACTACTCGAATCTCTTCCATCTCTCACTTTCCTACATTGCCGCATGCCGGGAGAATCCGGAACGAGAAGACAGAGAGTCACTTTTGCAGCGAATCGTATCCTTCACCGAGAAAATCCGCATCGCAGCCAATTACAACGACATCAACTTCCGCTTGTACATTTCCATCCTCGATGCCGAGTACCACGACCTGGTGTGCGATTACGAACAGGCGTCCAAATTCTACGAGAATTCGCTGGACTATGCTGATCTGGACGGGTACATGCTCGACCAAGGCCTCGCGTACGAGCTCTACGCAACTTTTTTGCTGCGGCGCGGGGCTCGCAGGCCGGCGAGACGCCTTCTGATCGACAGCCTCCGCTGCTATGCCAACATCGGGGCTGCCGGGGTCCTCGACAACGTGCATCAGAAGTTCGAATGGCTGCTAAACAGCGAAATTGGCATCGAGACGGTCGACGTCGCCTGCCAGACGGACATTGTGGATACGGGCAACACGGCGTACAAGCTGGAGAAGCACGCTGGCCAGATCGCACCCGAGACGCCGGCCGACAGGACCGAGGCTTGGCTCGCCCCGACGCCCAATCCGGCGGCCATCAAGAGGGCTGATACGCACGGCGACCTGCCCGGCGGCTTCTCCGCCGTCGGTTTGGACGTCATCGATCTGACGGGCATCCTCGAGTCCAGCCAGGTGCTCGCGTCTGAGCTGCAAGTCGACAACCTCTTGGCCAAGATGACCGAGATCATCCTGGAGTCGACCGGTGCCGAGCTCGCCGCCATCGTCACCGAAGACGAGAAGCTCGGCTGGAGCATTGCCGCCACCGGTGGACCCGACGGAGTGACCAAGTACCCAGGCGGCCAGACACTCGAGTCGGTTGAGGACCAGGTGGCAAGGCAAGTAACGCTGTACGTGCTCCGATTCAGGGAGACCGTCTTCGTGCAGAATCTGCTCGAGGACGAGCGCTTCTCGAACGTTACGGACGCCTACCGGCGACGCAATCCCGACGGGCGGGCCGTCATTGCGATTCCCATCCTGCACGGAGACAACCATCTGCTCGGGTCCATCTACTGCGAAGGCGCCCCCAACCAGTTCTCGGAGCGCAACCTGACGGTGCTACGGCTGCTGGTCAACTCGGTTTCGGTGTCGCTCGCCAACGCGCTGCTGTTCAAAAAGGTCCGCGAAGTCAGCGCCAGCAACGTGGCAATGCTCGAGATGCAGAAGCAGTCGCTCGCTCAAGCACGGGCGGCGGAACTCAAAGCCAAAGAAGCCGAAGCCGTGGCCATCCAGAACATGAAGATGAAGGAAGAAGCCGCCAAGGCCAAGTCCCTCTTCCTCGCCAACGTCTCGCACGAGCTGCGCACGCCGCTCAATGGCGTCATCGGCATGAGCGAGCTGCTCAAGGGCAGCAAGCTGAACTCGGAGCAGGAAGGCTACGCCAACAGCATCCGCGTCTGCGCCGACACGCTACTCTCGGTCATCAACGACTTGCTCGACTTCAGCAAGCTCGACGCCGGCAAGATGAAGCTCATCACAGTGCCCGTGTCCCTCACCGAAACCATCAGCGAGGTGGTGCGGGCCCTGTCGTTCACCAACCTGGAGCGTGGTCTGGAGACGGTCGTCCGCCTCGACATCAACCCCGAACTGTTCGTGCTGGGAGACCCGGTCAGGCTCCACCAGATCTTCATGAACCTGCTCTCCAACAGCTACAAGTTCACCTCCAAGGGCACCGTCACAGTCGAGGCCAGAACCATCGCCGAGGACGAGCGGTCCCTCGACGTCAACTTCAGCGTTTCCGACACAGGCATCGGTATATCCGAGGAGCAGCAGAAGAAGCTCTTCCTGCCCTTCTCGCAGGTCGAGGACGCGAGCAACAGGAGCTACCAGGGCACCGGCCTCGGCCTTAGCATCGTCAAGGCCATCATCGAGACGACCATGGGCGGCAAGATCTGGCTCAACAGCACTCCCGGCAACGGCACGACCGTTTCCTTCTCGCTCAAGTTCGACAAGGTATCCAAGAAAGACGCGGTCGACTCGGCGTCGCCGCCTCCGCCGGCAAAGGACGAGGACGAGCCGGTCGAGAAGGAGGACAAGTCGCCAGGGCAGGTGGCGGTGCCTCCATCGCACAAGGGCCTGCCCAAGCTTCCCCGAGAACAGATCAGGGTGGCCATCGCCGAAGACAACGCCATCAACCAGCGCATCGCCATCTCGTTCGTCAAGAAGCTCGGCTTCCGGTGCGAGGCGTTTGGGGACGGCAAGAAGACGATCGAGGCGCTCGAAAGGGCCATGGCCGAGAACGACCCTTACCACCTCGTGCTCATGGACGTGCAGATGCCGGTGCTGGACGGCTACGACGCGACCAAGGAGATCCGCCGGCACCCAAACGCGACGGTGCGCGAGGTCCTCATCATCGCCATGACGGCCAGCGCCATCAGCGGCGACAAGGAAAAGTGCCTCGAGGTCGGCATGAACAACTACCTCGCCAAGCCCGTCCGCGCCGCCACGCTCAAGTCCCTCCTCGAGTCGTACCTGTCGCAGTCGCCCAAGCAGATGCCTAACCTCCAGCAAGAAGCTACCGAGCTCGCTCAGAGCGTGTTGCAGGAGGCCTCTGAGGCACAGTCGAACCACTCGGATGAGCGCGACGAGATGACGACTAGCCCTGCCCTCACTGGCGACGCCAACCGCTCACCCGCGGTGCAGAATAACTCGGAGGAGCTCCGGTCGGCGGAGAATCACGCCAACGCGCACGCACAACAGAATTCCTCGTCGGGCAAGTCGTCGCCGTCGCCGTCCATAGCGTCATCGGCTTCCACGGCTATCAGGCAGGGCGGTGCTGCCAGCGGCCAGTCTTCGGTCAGACCGGGCGTGTCTCGTGATGCGTCGACCGAGACGCGCTTGTCGGAGCAGAACCATGCGGATGGGAAGTGAACAAACCGGAGGCGGAGGCGGAGGGGAGGGAGAGGGGTGAGGTCAGCAGTAGCTTTGTACAGTGTCGACTTTTTCTTTCTCACGTTTTTCTTTTTGCTCTCTCTCTCTCTCACGCTTGCATGCATGTAATCATCACGACTGAAACGGCCCCGTCTCATCAAATGGTAGGATAGTAGTACCGCATTATTGGACGACCGGGGGCGGCCTCTTGTTTTTTTTTTTTTTTCGTTTCGATGGTCATCGGTTGTGGAGTCTAGTGGATGGTACAAAGGGACAAACAAAAAAGAGATACCCCCAGCCAGGAAAGAAGCAACGATCGACACAACAACAGACAACAACAACAAAAAGTTAAACACCTTTACTACGGAAAGGATGAAATTATAAACCTTGTAACCTTATGTCTTTTTCTCTTTTTTTTTTCTTAATTCTACTTCTACTTCTACTTTTTCTTCTCTCTCTACATCGGAGGTCTTTTTTTCTTCTTCTTCTTCTTCTTCTTTACACACACTGAAGGGGGATAATGACCACCACGGTCGAGGAGAGGAGGAGAAGAGAGAGAGACCTTTTTTGTTTTTCTGTTTTTTGTTTGTTTGTTTGTTTTAACGCCTTTGCACACACGCACGTCGTCCGGGTCTGCTGCATTAGAGAAATTTGCAATGATGTTTAGCATATGATGCATATTCTGGGGAATAAGGGGGGGAAAGAAAGGATCAGTATTCTTCTTCTTCATCTTCCACGGTCCACGGCACAACAGGATTCATTATTACGAAAGGGGTTGCGCGAGTCACTTTGGTTTGTGTTTTATAGCGTGTGCCGGGGGGTGGTTGGCCATGATGTTGTTGCATTTCGGGAACCGGGATGGGGGGGGCGATTGGCGATGGGGGCGATGGGGGCGCGATTGGGATGATGATGATTATAATTCGCACGATGGGATGATGGAAGCAAACTTGTGTTGTTCAAGAGAGCGGGTGGGGGAAACGTGTTAGAGTGTGTTTGGAAACTTTTTTTTTTCATGTAGTAGACGTGCCAGGCGTAAGAAGGCGTGCCTTTTTTTATTTAATAATCTTTCTTCATCCTCGCTTTCCACACAAAAAATCATCCGCGTGTTGTTCCATCGTTCTTGAAATCTTTGTTTTTTTCCCCCCCATTTTCTTTTTGCTCTATTCATCATGTCCCTTTCCTTCCTAATCTCGCCCCCTTAGACTACTTTTTATTTTCCTCTTTTCCCCTTATGCACAGCGAAAAGGTAGTTTAGTCCTCAGCATACAGGTTTTAGAATAGCCCCCCCCCGAGTAGCAAAAAGGTATACAGCGAGTCCTCCTTCACTCATTGGATCTGGTGGTAAAAGTCGATGATCTTGGCGCTCACGGCGTCAGGCGCCTCGACGCAGTGCCAGTGGCCGACGCCGGGCAGGATCTCGAGCGCCTTCTCCTCGGTGCCGAGCTCCTCGAACTGCTTCTTGCACATGTCGAGCGGTGCGGACTTGTCCTCGGCGCCGGCCAGCAGCAGCACGGGCACGCGGACGTCCTCGTAGGCGGGTCGCTGCGCGTTGGCGATGACGCGGCAGTTGGAGATGTACCCCCACTTGTCCTGCGCCAGCAGCAGCTCGCGGACGAAGGCGCGAGCGAGGAGCGAGGCGTCCTTGGCCGTGGCGGCCTGCGGGATGGCGTTGGCCATGGCCTCCATGCCGTCGCGCTCGACCGTCTCGATGCGCTTGGCGAAGACGCCCGCGACGGCGTCGGACGGGTAGACGGGGCCGATTAGGATGGCAGCGACGATGCGTGCGCCGCCGGCCGTCGCGGCCAGGTGCGCGGCTACCATGCCGCCCATCGAGTGGCCGCCCACGATGGCTTTGGGGATGGATAGGGCGTCGAGTACGCCCAGCACGTCGCCGGCGAGCGTGGCTACGGATTGCTCGATCTGCGTGTACGGCGAGCGGCCCGCGCCCGTGGCGTCGAAGGTCACGACGCGGAAGCCGGCGGCCGTCAGCGCGGGCACGATGGGCGCGTAGAAGTCTTGCGAGGAGCCGAGGCCGTGGTGGAGGATGATGGTCTCGCGCGGCGAGCTGCTGCCGTCGGTGGCAGGGTAGTCGGTGTAGTGTAGGCGCTTGTAGCCGATGTTGAGGAAGGGCATGGTTGCTGCGGGGTGGGGTGATCCGGTGTGGTGGTTGCTCTGGTGCAGTTGATCCTTCTCTTTCAGGTGCTTTCTGTTCCCGTGGACGGCGTTCTGGGGCTGGCTGCAGAAGCAAGGAGGGATTCCAGGAGAATTGGTGTGGTGGGAGGGGTGAGAAGAAGTGCGAGAGAGCCGGGGGACGTCATGGTGTTGTCGGACCCTGGTCGTTTGGGCGGGAGCGGATGCGGGCGTGCCTGCCTGTCGGATACGGTACCTGTCCAGAGGCAGCTGTCGGATACTGCATTCGTCGCCCTTTTCAACGTCTTCGTTTCAGTCCCCTGGTTCTCCTGGTGTCTCTGGCGTGTCAGCGCGTCGGTCGTGGCAGAGGCATGAACCGCGGCTGTTGGCTGCACCAGTCAGCGGCCATCAGTCATCCGTATGATCGCGATGGCGGCCGGGATGGCGCAGGTACATGTATTATCGCGGGCGCGTGAGTGGACGCGGGGAAGAGCTTGCATGTGAGGGCTGCTCCAGACTCGGGACCCCGTCGCGTGGGATAGGCAGAGGACCAGCGCCGCAGCCGTCAGCCGGGCGGGTGCTTTGCTGGGCCAGGAACAGCGCCGGCATCGCAGCACGGACCTGTGTCACCCACGAGGCGAGCCGTGGTCACGCACCCTTCACCTCCCGCCACGTTCGCTGAGCTCGCCGCCCATTTGACGGCCTTCGCGGCGATCCAAAAGTGTCCGCGTGAAGCATCCCACCCACCCAATCCCCGTCGCTCCATCGAAAGGCTCCTTGACCGGCCGTCGCAAGCGTCGAGCGCACCCACGGAAAACCTGCGACTTCGGGCGTGCGTTCTCGTCGACGGCGCCCAATGGCGGTGTGCTCGCCAGAGCGTGCGATTGCGCTGTCTGCATCGCTCAGCTGTCGTGTCTCAGGCGCGCATTCCTGCGCCATCTGGTACAACTGTCGCGAATTTCATGTGAAAGTGGCAGGCAGACACCCTGCCAGCTGCTATCCCGAGCACATGGCCCTCTCGCAACCCTCATAAGGACGCCGCCTCCCAGTTGAGTCATGGCGGCCATCACTCTCGCATATCCCGCATTTCGCCGTCCGTCCCCACATTAGATGGCGGTGAAGTGCACGAACGGTAGTGCGGTTCGCAAAGTCCACCCGGCCTGCTCCCCTTTCCGCTCTTCCTTGTTCAGATCATTTGATTCCTTTTTGATTTTCCCTGCAGCCCGCTCGTGCCCCAGCCGCCTGCACACCCTTGCTAAAAACGCCGTAGAGCTTATATCCAGCACCGCCCCCCTGCCCGTATAAAAGAGCCTCCCCACCTACCCTCTTCGTCACGTTGCTTTGCTTGATCCCTTCTCCGGCTATAGTGCGCCGGCTCGCACTGTGCTGGTTGTCGCTTCTTGTAAGCCAACAACCTGCCCAAGCCACCAACAACAGCCTTCTAACGTGACCAGATAATGCTGCGTTATTGACAAGCTCCGACCCCCAATGAACCGCCTCAGCCATGATTCAACCTCTATACAACTTACCGCGGCGCCCATGAGTCGAACCGACAGCGGCTTCGAGGACTACCAAGTCAAGCCTTCGGGTTCTGAAACTGCTGAGGAAGATGCCTTCTCAACCACGGCCGAAGCGAGCAGTGGCGCGCCTAACCACCGGCCCAGCCCGCTAAGCCATCACGAGTCCCGCTCCACACTCACAGCCGCAATCTCCGCTCCTACGACGCCTGAGCGCCCGGCGCTGAGAAAACGGCGATCCAGGCCGAGCTCCAAACATTCGCTCAGGTCTAACAGCCGCGCCTCGGCCGCCTACTCGAGGCCTTCTCTCTCCGGCAGAGTGCGCAGCTTCCCCGTCGAACTCTCAATGCACCGCAACGACCTCGACTCGGTGCTCGCCCTGCACTCGCGCAGCTGCAGCCTCTTCAGTTCCTCGTTTGCCCCCACCAGCGCGCCACAGTCACCAGGTCTCTCCTCCGTCGGCCGCGCCAGCACCGACATCCCTCGCCACTCTCTCCAGGTCGACACCACCAGCCTCAGGTCCGCCCACTTCTACCCCATGCCATCTCCGTCTCTGTCCGCCTTTTCCTCGCCCGCCCAGGAGGAGCCCGTCGAGGAGGAAGAAGAAGTCTCGACGCCGCCGCCCACCGTCATCCACTGGAACTCGCCCAGCACGCGCCGCCGCGAGTACGCCGAGATCGACCGCTCGACCAAAGGTTTCCGCGGCTTCGTGCGCCGCGTCACGCCGCGCTGGATGTCGCGCCGTCCGCCGAGGCAGGCGTTCTACGACGGCGAGAACGACGACGACGACGCGTGCAGCGTGAGGCGCTACCGCATCGAGGTGCCCGAAGAAGACGACCATGATGCGTGCGAGGAGAAGCGGAGACCAAAGTCCGCGCCGACGACCAGGATTGGGAGATTCTGGAAGTGCCAGTGAATGTCTCCCGCCACCTACCTATACAACAACCTACCTGTCCATCACCTACCAAAAAAACAAACACGACTACACGAGAACGAGATGCATCGAATATCTCTCTGTCCTGCGATTTGCTGTCTTCCTAATATCAACGCATTGTCACCGCGGGCTTGCTGGTCAATCGTCTTCCCTTCCAACTCTGTTCATCACAGCATCATCATCATCGACATATCTACACAGACGCATCCATAATTTGCAAAGATACCCAATATACGTTACATAGCATTAGCGTTGGTAGTGTTTAGTTATTTTCCCTTTTCTCTACATACGACACTGCTAGATACCATCATCTTCGCAGCTCTCATCATCACTTTTAGATACATCTCCGATACAGCAGACATCGGACGAGATCACTCAAACAAGTCAAAAACAGCTCAAAAAAATGGAAAAACAATTTATTCTGGAAAAATTTTCTCTCTGCTCAACGTGCGACAAGCATGATGTCGTCAGTCTTATTAAGTTGGCGTGTGCGTGGCTATTGACCTGGGCAGGGGAAAACCAAACAGCGCATCGTAACACGCGGCGGCCATCTTGCATTTTCTCGATGCGATCGCTTGGAATCATAGATCTGCTCTTTCTTAGCGGCGCACGACCGTCCCCTTGGGTTGGATTGTTGGATTTTTTGACTTTTGCTGGATATTCTGATCGGAGGCTAAACACGTGTTGTCAGGATCTTCCCGGATCCCGTCATGCGTGTGTCGGAAATGAAAGATTGGGTGGTTAGTTAGTAGCTCTCCCGCACTTTTCTCTCTACCTTGCTACCGCTCCTGCAAGTCATCTCCCCTTTTTTTTTCTCTCTCTCTCTCTCACTTTCGATTTAATTTTTTTTCAACGCTTTCTCATTTGATGAGGACACCTCCTTTACCCGATCGCTTGGAGCCGCGCCGCGCCGGCTATCATCCCGCCGCACACGCGCGGAAGCGGGAGTGAGGCGGCGGTAACCGACATTAGCTTCATTGCGCCGCCGCGCCGATCGAGGAAGGAACCATTGATGAACATTCTCGAAGGCTTCGCGAAGGGGGGAGAGAAGAAAAAAAGCACAGGGCACGAGGGCACGGGGTCCGATGAGGTGTTTTACCATAGGTACTGTGTACCCAGGTAATTTGATGATGTGTACATACAAGCCTAAGCGCACGCACTGGTAGACTGGTGAAGCTGGGATGACGAGCAGCAAAGCATCGTGAGAAGGATTCCCACCATCGAGAGAGATTGACAATATTTCAAATATGGGACACGGCAGGGGAATAAGAAGAAGCACCGAAAGCTAAAGGGAGAGCTAAGGGCGGTGATGACGCCGGCCTGACGTTGTTTGGTTCTGGTAGCGTTGGAAGTAGCGTCAGGCCGGCGCCGACGACGACGATGATGATGATGAAGGAAGGAAGGGGGATAGCAGGGATCCACACGTGTTTCTTCTGCGCATATCCACGTCCTGCCCCTGGCCCCGTGCACCACCGACTCGTGGGCCGCCGCAAAGTGGGGGGGAAGGATGGGTCAATGCGCCTTTTTTTTTTTACGCTTTTCGTGGTGGAGCCCCGGCGTGTGCGGCACGGCCGGGGCCCGTGTGCCAATCCGCACGGGGTTTGGGAGGCCCAGTCGGAAGAGGAAAGGAAGGTGCAAGAGAGAGACAGAGATGTAACAGTGTGCGTATATCGATCTCCTCGCTTTTTGTTTTTCCACCAGTGCCTACATACACCGCGTGGCCTTGTTGATAATGCGCCTTTTGACCGCGGACGATCTTCAACAGGGGCTACCACTCAAAATTGAGCCTCTTCGACCGTGCGGACGGGAAGAAGAAGAGGTCGTGTGTTTTCTGGAAGAGTGGAAGAGAAGTTTTGAACAGACCAACAGCTGATCACTCAAGAGATGATGAGATGCATCGAAGAAGGGGTCGAGCACAAACATTTGGTATGCAACCCATGGTGGCGGTGCTGTGTTGCAGCGTGCGAGCCGAGATGGTCTGCGCTTTTATGCTGTGCAGCAGCAGGGGGGGGTAATTTACCTTTTCTTTCCCCATGCGGAAGGGCGGTGCGTCAGGCGGAGGGGAAGGCGGCCGGGTTTCGGCGGAAGCGAGTGGGACGGCCCGCGCTTGTACCACACCTGTTCGTCTATAGGGACGACCGATGCGGTAGGTCGCCTTCCTACATGTGTCTTGGCTTACCGCTGGCGCCGTCTTCACATGTTGCGAAGCGCAATCCTGGAGGCTCGCTGACTTCGTGTTTGGCTGGAGCATGCTTTCGGAATGACGTCGTAAATTTTTCAGACTAGAAGGGCACTTCAACGTGGCGGTGCTTTGGTGTATTGTATTCAATAGATAAGAAAAAAGGTGTTTCGGCGAACGCCGGTGTTTGTATCTACGGGGGCAAAAATTAGCATAATTTGTTAACATCGGTGTTTTTTTTTTTGTCCTTGATTCCATGTAGACATTCTCTGTATTTCATACAGATACAATGCCTTAGTGGCTATGTGTTGAAACCAAAAAGCGATGCTGGAATAATCCTTACGTGCGTTATATTTGCAACACTATGGATACCTCATTCTTCTCTAATTTGGTCTCAGCCATGCATGTGAATTGTACAGCTGGATTCTTTTTTTTTTTCAGGCTGGTCATCTGAGACGGTTCCAAAACCAAGTGACAAGTCCCTGTGTGGCGAGGCTGTGGCCATAATTATGAGACTGAGGCGAGTCGTAAACCACTAATTTCAACACACTAACGTGTCTGACGGTGAAATGGGTTCGACGGTGACATGGGTTAGCTAACGAGATTCCGCCACGGTACTCGTGGATTTTCTTCGGGTTGCAATAAGAGGGATATCAAGCGGCTAGGTGCGGCTCTCTGATTGGATATCTCATCTCGCCGTTGAACCCATTTCACCGTCAGACATGTGTATCATCTCAAGTAGAGACTCACTATAATTAGAGGTGATTAGCACGTGATATTTCCACATGCAGCCAGCTGCAGGAAGCGAAACACTCATAAGCCTCGCCACGTCAACGACAGCTGCCTCCGTCACCATCTCCATCCATCGACCATGGCAGAAGTCATTGGTATACTTTCAGGCGCCATTACCTTCATCGACGCTGGTAACAAGATCCTGAGATTCCTCAGCGATCTCCGCCATGCGCCGCAGAAAATCAAAGCTCACCAGCAGCATCTTCGCACCATGTTACAACTCATCCAAGGCGTTCGACGCGATCTTGACCGCTTCAGTAACGGAACCGGAGTGATACCTCCCGCTCTGATTTCACAAGTCGACCTTGACGAAGTCGAGGACTTGATCCAGCAGGCTGTCAAGAAGGCTGGAGAATTGGAAACTATATTCAATGGCCTTGTCGGTCGTTCAGATATCACCAGCCTGCAACGCTCCTGGAAATCACTTCGGGCGCAGGACGGAATTTTGGAAAGGTTCCAAGACCTCACGGTGCTGAAAGACTCCTTGCAAGCCTGGTTGAATCGCCAGACTCTTCTCCTCTCAAGCCGACACAGGTATGTCTCAAACCGTATCTCCCGAAGCCCTTTGCTTTTGCTTTTAATCCTTCCAAGCGGTACCACCGAAAACAAGGAATTTGCTGAACTGGTCACTTCTGGCAATGCGTAGGATGTCACTCGAAGCCCTTGGACAGCACATCGATTCTGCTCACGACGACACCATCAATACCATTGAGGCCGCCGAATCGACACTCATTGGAGCGTTGAGATCTTCCCAAGAAAACTTCAATCATGAGTTCGGCAAGCTGAGGGACCAGAACGAGATGCTCATCCAGCTCGTCTCCAGACAGTCACGATTCTTGGAATCGCGCCCGATGAACCCGAGCATTCCGCAGTCAATATTTCCACGCATCGTCTATCCGGCTCACACCAAGAGAGAGCTCATAATTCCGCCGATATGTACCTGTACATCGCGACCAGCCCCGTGGAACAAGTCCTGGGGTCCAGTCTCCTTGCGATCCGGGACGAAGAATGTGCATGATAGAGGGTGTCCCCTGTATGGACGATCTGCTCGAACGGTGACACTCTCTGTCAATCTGTCAATCCTTCAATTTGTATTGAATGGCAGCTATGGATCCAATGGTGTTTTTTTCAATCAGCACATCAAGAACCCTGCTCGTATCGTCGACAGATCCCGTTCACCTGCATTCCAAATAATGGAAAATTTTGTTGTTTTGACCACCTACACAGCTGAGAAAAGAATCATTACGCCGTCAGCTATGACGGGAATGCTCAATGAACTGATACACAAGCTTGTCGGTTTGTTTCGCGAAGGGACAGCATCGGTGCACGATCAAGACGAATATGGAATAACGTTGCTTTGGGTAACTTCACTGGGCATTCCTAGCCTACCAGACAGCCAAGTTCTAACGATAGACAGGAGTTTGTAGAAGTAATGTTCTGGTGTCAGAATCTTAGGTCTCCCGAAGCAACGGCCTCTGTGATTGCGACCTTGGTTGCTCACGGCGCTGATGTCAACTGTTGCACGTATGTCTCCGTACGCATTATGCCGTTGAGTTCAATGTAGTTAACACGATCAAATCTCAGTAGGAGGACAGGGAGTCTTCTTGACCATTGTTTCTCATGGTATACGCATCCAGCCCATGATCCTCAATCCAACATCTATTTAGAGAGCCTGCTCTTCTCGTATGGCTGCGAGCCTCAGAAGTATAATTTCAGGCGCCTAAATGAACCAACTTTACAAATGATCTTCAGCTGCTCCAGGGATCCTGAGCTGGCCCAAGGTATGCACAGTTATGTTTCTTGTAAGGCCAAGCTAACAATGAGCAACAAGCTTTCGAATTTCCCGGCTACTACTACCCGATTTTTAACAAGTCAGCTGCAGATCTTCATGCGCTAGTTCAACAGGGCCGAAATTGGAATGAATGGCAACGCGACTTCCCAGCTCCGGCCGCGTGTGCTGTCTGGTGGCCGGAAGGGCTGGAGATCCTCCTCAATGCTGGAGCCGACATACGCTACGCCCTCGCTGTAGCGGTCAGATGCGGAATCACGGACACTGTTCAGTTTCTGGTCTCTAGGAATTGCCCTGTTTTTGCCGGTCAGCCTTTCGAAGGATATCGACACTTCTCAGTATTTGACTGGCTCGAATTTAACCACCCCACAACAGTCGAGCTCATCATACGTCACATGTCCCGTTCCCGCGAAGCCTTGTCACAACTAGGCTTGAAACATCTACCGCCAGGAACGCCCCTTCACAACCATCTCTTGGAAATCCGTCAACAGGGAACCGTTCTGGACGAATTTGCTTTCGAGACCTGGAAGGCCCTGAATGCAAGAGCTGTGGAGGTACCCGAATATCTTTGGCCCGGCACAAGAAAGTCGGTATACTTCGAACTCATGCACACCCCCAATACAAGGCTGAACGGCGCGATGATCGTAGCGCGGCTGCTATACGAGGTCGGGTTCAAAAATTTAGATATTGTCGACGAACGAGGCTGGACACCATTGCTTCTAGCCTACTCGTATGGCCAAGGTGACGCCGCAGAGATTCTTCTGAAAAATGGAGCCCGCCAAGACCTCGATTGCCAATGGGCTTATGCAAGGTCTAATGTCAAGCATGAAAAAACCCTAGTCAACATACTTAGCGAAGCTTTTCCACTCCAGAGAGACACTTGCAGTTGCTACTGCTCGCCCTCCGGTTGCCTCCCGCTAATTCGCTCTCTGAAACACCGTAAGAATCGTCCAATGATTCGAAAGACTTGCAGAGACGCCCTCTGCGAAATATTGTCCAATGTCTCTCCCGAATCGAAAGAGACATACTTTTTCGAGGTTTCCAGGTTCGAGGTATTCGAACGGCTTGGAATGGCGCACACCTGCTGTAAAGACAGCGTAGGACCCCCGGGCCAAATCTCTATGCAAGAGTACGTTGCTGGGAGAAATCTCGCCGCAGAAGATATTAAGGAGATGAAAGAGGAGGACCAAGAGCTGCTTCCAGTGCTCCTTGAGTACATGAAACTGTTCAAAAAATTGCGCGCTTCTTTCAAGGGTAGCGCACATGATTTCCAGAGCGTGTGGTGGGCCGCACTTGACCTTCTTCTTCCTCCGGATGGACGGCAAGTCAAATACGCTACTGAGAAGGATTGTGGAGCTCACCAAATTCATGGATCCACCGGAATGGATTCAGCAAAGAATTGGGTAGATGAACAAGGCTTCTGGGCCATCACACAACATTTTTCCAGTTTGTCGCCATCCATTACGGGCTTTTTTAAGATGTTTCCCGGAGCGGACACTTTGGAAACAATAGAAGAGTATGTTGAGAGTATGGGCGTCCCACTACATCACACGGCTTACCGAGTCTGGGAGAGGCACTCAATTTCGGACATGCAGTCGCCCTTTGTTGATCCTGTTTTTCAAACCTGTCTGGATACCCGCAAGGAAGAGTTCAAAAAGGAGATGGTAGAGCCTGTGCTCATACCTCTTGCAACCGCTGCTGTCATAAAAGACATCGACGCTGGACACAAAGCAGATATCCCCACTGGGCTCTACGACTATCTTGTTTCCGACGGGGCCATCGTCGATGGAAAGCTGAGAGGCGAGGTGGCTGATGTTTAACACTCGATGAGAGAGCAAAGTCGGACAACAGAAATGACGATGGCGAAATATGCTCAAGAAAAAAAGGAAAAGAGCGTCAATCCACGTTGATTTACCGTCAGATATGTTCACAAGCAGGAGAGGGGATTCCGCATGGTTTGCTACTGGTCGAAGTCCTGGACTCAGGTATAAAAGATCCACGAATGGTACGGTCTGGCCCTATCTACTACGTAGTAACCGTCCCTTTAACAGTATATTAACATGGCATTCGCAGCTCCAAAATTCGCGCCAATGTTTTCAAAAGGCTGTTCTCCAAATGCACTCCCGTTGGGAAAGTGACCAATGCAGTGGATTTATTGCCGGGGTCCATTGCCGAATGCCGTCATTTCAGCTTCAGCAGCAACATCTTTGGAACAACCCGTGGAAAGGCCGAGCTGAAGAACCGATCCAGTACAAAATGCCGAAAGTACCAAACCACGAGTTGGAAGAGCTTTGGGGTTGCTTTCCGAATGGACCGTCTAGATCTGGGGATAAAGCTTTTTTCTCGGGATAAGTAGAGTCGATATTTTCCTTCACAGTTGGAACGTCTAGACATGTTGATAGATGGAGCTGCTTTCTCTAGATAGCCACGCGGTATCCAACTCGAAAAAAAAAAAAAAGGTTCACAACCACGCATCATCTCTCAATCAATGATTGTATCTTTTTTTTTGTTTCTTGACATCAGTAGTGTAAGTTACGCACTTCGAACGTTAAAATTGCACGAGGACTATAAGCCAGCACTTAAGGAAATGCTATAACAGCGGCCGATGATTTCAGTTTACCGCCGCCAATCAGACCAAGGAAAAACTGCGGTTAAACGGGAACTAAAAATTTTACCAGACGGCTAGCCATTGCAAGCACGAAGAGTTCTGTCGGTGCCAATAGCCATGGTCAAACCAAACGTAGTCGAAGCATCGAACTTGTCTTTCATCTTTTAAAAGATAAATTTGGTGTTGCACACCCCACCCACAGGGACGCTTCGGCACGTCGTTCTCAGGCCCCCGGACCACTCCTCCACCACCCAAACGCCGCACCAGCAAAAAAGAAATGCCAAAAGAAGAAGGTCTGGTCACTACGAGGGTCGAACTCGCGACCTTGGCGTTAACTCTTAGTCCTCTGGGAAGACTGCCAATATTAGCACCACGCTCTAACCAACTGAGCTAAGCGACCTGGTGTTGAGGAATCCGGTGTAGACCACCAAGATTGCCTGTATTGAAAGAATAAATTTTTAAAAATTTATATATACCATTACAATTGAGGGTAGAAGTAGATTTTTAGTCCGTCTTGGTAGATGCGGTATTATGCTTGATACCAACGATGAGCTAGTTGGGCAGCATTATAGACTCCTGCGGAGCGCTGCAGACCAACCTTCTAACGCCTAGGTTCTTTCCCTAAGGGGAATCTTTCAAGGAAATCACCGAAATTATTTAAGACAGAAGTGGAATGAAATAGAATTTAAGTTGCATAACTACTCTACTCCGGGAAAAAGCAGCAAACCGCCCGGTGGTTAGGGAAATATATTATAGAGACGGGCTTAGAAATAAAAAGTCAAATGGCGAAGAAGAAAATTTATTTAAAGATGCGTGAATATAATATATCACCATAACTTCTGTTTGAATAAAAGATCGTCTTGAAAAAATAAAATGAAATTCATAGTGTTACAGCTGGCGGGTTTGAAGTAAGACATGGTTGGAATTAAGATTGCCAGTACTGGTTAGCCCTATCAACACTAAAACACCATCAATCCACACGTAAAGCCGCAATCCTGTGCGCCTTACAGCATTCCCTTACAACCGGTGGCTGGCGCGATTCCGTCCTTTCTACAAATTGATACGACCTCATTCGAAGAATTCGTAGTCGTTACGCTAGCCATCGCTTGAAGCACATACACGTTATATATGCGAAAACACTGAAGTTCTTCACAATGCATTTCTTCCCAGGACTACCTAAAATGCTAATGCTACCGACCCGATTGATGGAAGAAAGAGGAAAATCCCAGAACCCATGACTTCGTCAAAGTCATCTCGTCCTATCTCGTAATTAAACCAAAGTAAGAAAAAGTTTTGACAAAAGGAAAAAGGGCATCAACATCATTACAAAGAATGGCCGTAGCCAGTGTCCATCCATCCGTGGTGAAAAAACACCCATGAAACCCAGCAAAAAACAAGCAATGTCCCACCCAAGCACCGCCTGTACCCAAACCAATCCATCACTCGTAATCCTAATCGTTTTTTGTTTCCAACAAAAGAAAAAAAACCCAATCACATCACCGTCCTTCACTGTAAAGCAGAGCTGACCATGCTGGCTTCCTCCTCAGCTATGCGCCGGAAGTAATCCGCACCCTCCCTTCCCTCCAGCTGCGCCGTTGGGAGATCGGATCCCAGAGCGCTATCGTTAGGCGTACCCGGGCCGAAGATTTCCTTGGTAGCAGGGGGTTGCAGCGGCGGTACAGTGTCTGCCGGTTCTTTCAGCTCCGAGGGCGTCGGAGGCGTGGCGTCGATCTCGGTGGTCGGGGGCTCCACGTCCTTGGTGCCAGCGTCGGAGACAAGATCGCTCTGCTGCTGCTCGTCGATCCTGGTCGGGGCCTCGCTGCCGGTCGTTGCCTCGCTGGCAGTCGGGGCTTCGCTGGCAGTAGGAGCTTCGCTGGCAGTCGGGGCTTCACTAGCGGTCGGTGCTTCGCTGGCAGTCGTGACTTCGCTGGCAGTAGGAGCTTCGCTGGCGTTCGGAGCCTCCTTGACATCCGGGACCTCACTGGCAGCCGGAGCTTCACTGTGAGCCACTTCACTGGCAGGTGCCTCACTAGCACTGTGAGCCTCGCTATAGACCGAGCCCTCGCTGGCGTTGGCGGAGACGACCGAGGTGCCGGAAACGGAGTCGTCATCGTGCGGGATCTCAGTGGCTTCGCCCTCATCATCCTCGGCGGCGTCGCTGTACTGGCTCTCGCCATCCTCATCCGAGACGTCGTGTTCGTGAATGATAGCCGTGCCGTTGCCCATGGTGCCAATGCTCGTGCGGCGGCCGGCGTGGCTGGCCGTGCCAGTCAGGTAAGAGCCGGTGCCGTACGTGTATTCAGAGCCCGCTTCGGAGCCGGCATCGTCGTAGGTCGAGGCAAACTCCTCACCAGTGCCAGCGCCGCTGAGGATGCTGTGGTGGCGCTCGGTGCCAGCATCGCTGATCTCGTCGAGCTCCGCCTCCGACTCCTCGCTCAGGATGTCGTTCTCCTTGTTGGCGTCGGAAACGGCGCGCTTGGAGCCCCAAGACGGCTTGCGGTAGCCATAGTTGGTCTTGACAGAGTGGCTGCGCTTGAGACCCGTGTTGGGAGCACCGGTGAAGCCTTGCGCACCCGTCGGCGTGTTGCCGCTGATCTGACTGAGTGACAGGATGCGGCGAGCGTTCGGGTTCGCCTGAGCAGCGGAGCTGCGCTTGACAGGCGTACGAGCGCCCAGGGCCATGTTCACGCCCTTGGCAACAGAGCTGGGGAGCGGCACGGAGGAGGCGTCCGGAGAAGCGGTGCTGGGAGCGCGGGAGACCTTGGGAGCCCTGATTCCCTTTTGGAGGAGCAGAGCACGAGAGTGGTCCATGATTCCGTTGAGGATGCGACGCTCCAGAGCGTCGGCCTTGTGCTCCATGTTCTGGAGCTCCTCGCGGCGGATGTTGAGAGCCATCTCGAGGGCAGACACGTCCGCGTGCAGACGCATCTTCTGCGACGTGAGCATCTCCTTTTCGTGGCGGAGGGTCTCAACCTGCTGGCGCAGAGTGTCCTTCTCGTCATTGAGGTTGAGGATGTCGTTCTCAATGTGCTCCTTCTGGACGAGGCGACGCTCGAGCAGGATGGCGGCTTCTTCCGCCTCCTTCTCCTTGTTCTCTTGACCCTCAGTGATGAGCCTGGTCTGGAACTGGACGAACTCAGTGACTTCGGCTGCCGTGGTCATTACCTGCTTGTGAATCTCGTCGAGGCGTTCGAGCTGGGCGGCGGACTTCTCGGCATCAGTGGCGTGGCCCAACAGCTGGTCGAGCTTCTCCTTGACCTGAGAGTCATCGTACTTCTCGGCCGGCTCCGGTGGAGGAGGAAGGAGGGCGGGAAGTCCAGAGAAGAAGCTCTCCCTGAACTCCTCCGCGCGGCTTCTCGCCTCCAGAGCCGCTGCCTCGGCAGCTGCCTTGGACTCTTCTTGAGCGGCCTTTGCAGCCTCTTCGGTGGCCTTGGATTGCTCGTAGTGCTGGTTGACAAGAGCGAGGACTTCTTGAAGGGTCATCATGAACTTGGGGTGGTTCTCCGTGAGGTCGTCCTGCATGACGGTGAGGGCGGTAATGGCCTTGGCAACTTCGTCGCGGGTCAGCTGATGCTCGACCTTGTTGTCATCGTGCTTCTCGTCCATCTTGGCCGTAGCGTCGTCAATCTTCGTGATGACGACGGCCGAGTCACCAGTCAGCTTCTCCGTGGTCTCGGTGAAGGCCGTGTTCATGCCGGTGATGGTAGTGCTGATGGTATCGATAGTAGCCTTGATCTCCTCCGAGACGGTCTTGGTGCCAGTCATGAGCTCCTCTTGGGCGGTCGTCTTCTCGTCCATCTTCTGAGCGGAAGCTTCGGCGAGTACGAGCATGTCATCATACTTGGACGTCATCTCGGCAAACTTCTCGTCGAGCTTCTCGATCAAGCCAGCGATGACCGCATCCTTGACCGCGTCGTGCTTCTCGAGAGCAGCCGTGGACTTTTCCTCGGCGTCGGTCTTGAGTCCCTCGATGGAACCGTGCGCACGCTCGAACTCGCGGTTGATGGTCTCCATCAGTTCCTTGACATCCGCCGTGACATTGAGGTTGGTGTTGATGGTCTCATCGAGAGTCTTGATGGTCTCCTTGACACCTTCGACACCCTCGCCGCCCTCCTGGAGCTTAGCCTTGAGCTCCTCCTTGACGGCGTCGAGGAATTCCTTGACTTCGCCGACCTTGGTGATGATGGTGTCCGCCTCGTTCTTGCGGTCATCGAAGGCCTTGGCGGTGACTCCGATGTCACTCTCGTAGCTCTCCTTCATCTTGTCGTGGCTGTCGCGGAAGTCATGGATCAAGCCGACAACTTGCTCGATGTCGGCCTTGGAAGGAACGGCCTCCGACTCCGGCATTATCGCCAGCCTTTCCTTGACCTCGGTGACTAGGACCGCAAGGGCGTCGGTGTCCTCTCTGGTCACCTTCTTGGCCTCTTCCTCCTCAGAAGGCTTGGCGTTCTTGAGTTCATCCAGCGCCGTCTTCAGATCCGCGACGAGCACCTCGACGACGGCAACATCACCCTTCGAAGCGACGTCCTCGCCTTCAATCTTGGCGGTGAGCTTGTCGATGGCCTCGTTGGTGACCAAAACCGCGGCTTCGACGACGTCCAAGTGCTCTTTCTTGACCGCAGTCTCGGGGTCCGGTAGGACGATCTCGTCAAGCTTGGCCTTGGTGTTCTGGAGGAGAGTCTCGATGGCGTCAGTATCCTCCTTCCTGGCCAAGCCCTCCACTATCTCAGTGTCCCTGCGCTTGTCTTCGGAGAGAACGGTAACGGCTGCCTGCACGTCCTTCAAAAGCTCCTCGACGTTGACCAAGTCCTCCTTCAGAGCGATGCCTGCAAGGTCGTCCTTGTGGGCGACGCCGTCCAAGTCCACCTTGTGAGCGATACCATCTAGGTCTTCCTTCATGGCGACACCTGGAGCGGCCTCGTTGGGAGGCGCGGGGGCCGGGATGTTCTGAATGTTGGAGTCCATCGCCTCAACCTTGATTTGCAGCTGAGTCATCAGGACCTCGAGCTCCTTCAAGTCATCGCGCTTGAGGCCCATTTCTGTCTCGGCCTCCTCCTCGGGTGCGTCACGGGAGAGAGCCTTATCGGGATCGTCGGCCAGGACAACCTCGTTGCCGACGGCCGAAATGTCATCCTCGACGGTGGCCTGCTTGTCACCCTTGAGTCTAGTGATCTCGGTGCTGATAGACTGAATGCCCTCCTTGAGCGTCTCGAGGATCTCGTAGTTGACAGACATGTCAATGGCCGCGCCAGCGCCGGTGACGGCTTTGATGTCGGTGCGCAAGCTCTCGACTCCGTCGTTGATTGCGTCAAGGATCTCACCAGTAGCGGACATCTGGCGCTCCGGGTTGTCGATCTTCTTGGAGAGGTCGGAGCGAAGGTCATCCAAGCCCAGGCGGACCGTCTCCAGAATCTCTTCAGTGTCGGCGCGAGACGCGACGTTGCTGAGGAGGCTCTTGCGGAGGTTCTCGAGTTGGTCGCAAAGCGCTTGAAGAGCTTCTTCACTGAGGCCGTGGCCGGGGTTCTCGGCTTGCGCCTCCTTGATGCCTTCGAGGCCAACACGAAGCGCTTCCAAAATCTCCTCTTTATCCTCCGACGCGCCGCCGCTCTTCACCAGGCTGCCACCCAAAGTCTCGCGGAGGTGCTCGAGCTCTTCCTTGATGGCGCCGAGGGTCTCCTTGGAAGCCTCGCCTTGGTCATTCGCCAGCTGGGCTCGGAGCGTATCCATGTTCTCGCGGACAGCTTCGATGATGTCGTCCTTGCTGTCATCAGCGCCTGACTTGACCAACGTCGTTGCCAGAATCTCCCGAAGGTACTCAAACTCCTCCTTCATTGTCTTGACGACCTCTTCGCTCGATTGAGGCGCTCCGATCGCCTCGTCTCTCGCTTCCATCTTCACGTGGAGATTTTCAAGGCTGGCGTGGATTGTGTCGAGAATTTCGTCGCGGTGGGAAGCACTTCCATGGATGACGGCCTCGCGAAGCTGGTCGAACTCGACCTTCATGGCCTCTTCCATCTCTTCCTTGATGGTGTCCTCATCGTCGCGCTTCTGCATGTACGTCTTGAGACCGTCAAATCCTTCGTTCAAGGTTTGCAGGAGCTCGGCCTTGTCACCGCTCGCAGCGGGCACGATCTGGCTCGTCAAGGACTCGTGCAGATGCTCAAACTCGGATCGGATGTAGTCTAGCATCTCAGCGCGGTTGATGGCCTGGTCGCCTTGGGGACCAGCAGCCACGTAGCCCTGCACGTCAGCGCGAAGGGTCTCCAATCCGCCGCGGAGGGAGTCGATGATTTCATCCTTGCCGGTGACGTCCTGAGCGCGATCCACGTAAGTCTCGACCTCCGCACGCAACCTCTCCAAGCCGTCCTTGAGAGCGTCGAGGACCTGTTCGGTGTCGCGGCCGTTGGCCGAGGAGTACGCCTTGAATTCCGTTCGCATATCCTCGACCAGTCCCTGCAGCCTGTTCATGACCTGCTCACCATAGTTGCCAAGAGGGGTCTGGGTGCCCTCGAGACCGGCCTTGACGGCCTCGAAGAGGTCTTCACGGGAGATCTCGAGCTCGCGAGGAGCGCCGTCGAGACCTGCTTTGACGGCATCGAACAAGTCATCTCTAGAGATTTCAAGCTCGCGCGCGGCGGACCCTCCGTGAGTTTCAAAGCCATCCCGAACTGCCTCCAAGATGATGCCACGGGTGAGCTCGGGATCCGGATGGCTGGGAGGCACGGCGACCTGCATCGACGGCCTGATCTCGTCCAGACACTCACGCACGGCGGAAATGACTTCCTCACGGATTTCGTGCGCGTTGCTGGGAGGTTGCGGGAATTCGACGTGGGTCAATGCCTCCATGACAGCGTCCATCACCTCGTCACGGCTAAGCGACTCCGGGGCAGAAGCGGAAGAGCGATACTGAGTAAGACCTTCCCGAAGGCACTCGAGGATTTCGTCGCGCTCGAGACCGAATTGCTGCAGCTCAATTTCGGGTTTGTAAGCTTCGTAAGCTTCCTTGACCGCCTCGAGAATGGCTTCCTTGTCGAGCGGCTGGCTGGAAGGTTGAGCAGGGTGGTCGAGGCCCTGCTCGGCGAGAGCGTGCTTAACGACGGCATACACCTCTTGGTTGTCGACTGAGGCCATTGACGCGCCGGATCCTCGTCTTCTCGACCTCATAACGTAGTCCATGTGCTCCTTGAGTTCGGCGAGGCCCTCTTGCACGATGCGTGAGATGTCCTCCTTCTCGGCGCCATCCTCCAAAGCCAGCGCACCGCTGCTGTTCGGTGTGACTTCATCAATCTTGCGCCCGAGCTCACGGCCCATGCCGAGCACCTCGCCCCGCAGATCTCTCACCAAAGCCTTCGTCTCCGATGTGATGCCGCCCGATTCCTGCACGCTATCCTTGATCTTCCTCAAGAGCTTCAGCATGTCAGCACTGACGAAATCGGCGGCCTTGGGGCTGGAGTAAGGTTTCGAGGTGTTCGCATCGTTCGAAATGCCGAACGCTGCGTTGATGTCGCGAGTAGCCCTAGCCACCTGGCTCTCAGGACTTGCTGCACGCTGCCTCTCGGACGGTACGTCCATGAGAGTGAGCGCGCGGCTCTCCGAACCCTGCTTGATGAACTCCACTAGCTCGCCAACCTTTTTGGAAGTCTCGTTGGACTCTTGATTCGATTTCTCAAAGAGGCCGTTGAGAGTGTTGATCAGACGCTCCTGGCCCTCCTTGGTGACCATTTCCCGCACAATCTTCTCGAGCATCGCCACGCTCGCAGCTCCCTCAATCGAGTACGGGTTCGGGCTTCCTATCCTCTCATCTACAAAGGGCGACGCCATGCGGGGAAGACGGAAACCGTGCTTGTCCGACGCATCGGGAGTGCCGGGCACGGCGCTCATGCCACCGAAGCTGTTGGACCTCGTGTGCAATCCGGGAATGGGTGGGGGCGGGGCGAACAGGGCGGAGCCGTTGATGTTGCTTACAAGCTCCTTCAAGCTCTTTCTGATGTCCTCGTCACGCGCGTTCGTCGCTTCCTTCAGGCTGATGAGGTCCGTCGCGTTGTCTTTGCTGCGCCGACTCAGCTGTGCCATCTCACGCTGCAAGTTGGATGCTATTGTAGCGATTTCCTTGATTTGGATGGAGATGACATCCGCGTCCTGCGGCTTCGCGCGAGGGGTGGAATTTGAAGTGTTGGTGGCATCGTGCAGAGGGGATTCAAAGTCTCGTAGAGGCATCGACTGGAGCGCCATGTAGGTCGCCGACGGCGGCGTGTTCTCGCCCAGTATTGCCTTGGGGTGCGACCTGTTGCCCGTCCGCAGCGGCGGCGTGTCCCGCATGAGCTCGCGTTGCGTGGGTGTAGGTGTGCTGGAAGGCGTCTTATCCGGGGATCCGGGAGGAGAGTTTACGTGTTCGGGGACGGCGGAAGAAGCACCATGTCTGCTGCTAGGCCTCTCTGGCGACTTCTCTGGCGAGCGGCTGGGGCTGAGTATACTTCTGAAGTCACGGAGATTTGCGTCCTGGAATGACTGCATCCGCTTATGTGCAGCACCTTTGATGAGGGCCCTGTCGGGCGACGAGTTCTTGGGAGGCATGGGGTTGGTGGTGTAGTTGGGCGCATTTTCACGGGCCTTTTCTTCAAGCGCCTTCGCAGCATTTGCGATGGCGGCCGATGTGTTCGGGCGGGCGAGCAGGGGAGACCCAGGGTTCAAAGGCAGTGGAGGAGGAGCACGTTCCGGGTCTGAGCTGTCCCACCTAGAGAAACGGAAACGAGATGTCAGCGGCATTGTGTTCCTTCGTGCGGCGTTGTGGTAGGGCGCCGTGTGGGTTGCGGATCGCGTGACGTAAATCAGGCAGACACGCGAGGCCGGGGAGAATCAAAACAAAAAGATGGAGAGAGGGCGGCGTACATGGGGATGGACATCCTGCTGGAGTCCGACGAGAAGGAATGCTGGTGCTTGACAAGAGCGTCAGGCTCCACGGAGCTCTGGCGACGGCTCGAAGGCATCGTCTTGTGCTGTTAGAAGGACGCAAATGGGTATCTCAAATCGAGGAATGCTAAAGGCGACAATTCGGTGGAATGCGCGGATCACTGCGAGCGCGACGCGGGGAGGCGGTCAACGGCGCTGAACGTGGGCGACGACGCGTTCTAGAGAGCCGGCACGGCGACCCAGCGCGGACGTAGTAGAGGATCGGTGCGGGAGGGCGTTGGCAATGTGGAGAGAAGTGTCGGGCGCGCGGTAGGGTGTTGGTAAGTTATCAAAGCAGGGAAGAGCATGCGCGTGCATGGGTGGTTGCCATGGTCGTAAACAGCAGGTAAACAGTGCATTGACCGGGCGATCAGGCAGCGGCGACGCACATCGCGCGCGAGTGCTCCACGTCACAGCCTCGCCTGGGATCTGGGGCTGCCGTAGCACAAGCGAGCGCGCGCCTTGGTTTGGGCACCGCTCCATCGGCGTCGTCCAATCGCTGCGCCTGCGTCTGGGAACCACAGCAACCGCCTCAGCTTCCGCTTTGCACTGACAGCCAGGACTTCCTTCTCGACGCGCCTCGTCTGGCGCAAACAATAAAATGGCGCGCGCGCCCGCGTCCCCAACTCAACACCGAATTTGCGTGAGCGGAGCCAGCGCAGCTCGCATCTGATATCCAACGTGCACTGCAGGCCTATTGCGCCGCCGCTTCCGGGGTCCTCTGAATCGTTATAGCGCCGAAGGGACACGACGTGCGCATGCGGTGCGATTGCCTCCTGCGCCAAGCCTCCCCCGAAGCGCCCAGCAAACAGCTCAAAAATATCCACGATAAGGCTGAGCGGTTTCCGCAAAGGTCCGAAGCCTTGGAAATCACGAGAACGTGCGGGTAAGCGGATGGCATGTCGGGTGCCCTCCGGTGGAGCCGCAAGGCGTGCTCTCTTCTCAACCAAAGATTCACATGCTCACTGGGATCGCCCGCGTTGGTGTCGCGATGCCTTCCTCCGTAGTCGACCGCTACTCGAGACGCGCTCACACGCTCAGTGCTGGTTTTCTGCTCATACACCGCCGGTGGTCATCGCAATCTCCATCTGCTTAGCTCGTCTTGTGACGGCGCCGCTGACGAGCGATAGCGCTGCCCAGGAAAACAGCGAAGCAGTAAAGTGGACGAAGATGGATTCACGAGATAGCGGTATAGTCTCAGGAGATGACGGAACCGTCGAAGGACACTAGATTACCTCCCGTAGTGCCTTTGTTAAGGGAAGATAAAGTGGGTGGGCTGCCAGCCGAATTGCGTGAAATACAAAACACCCAAGCTTTCTGAACTTCGAGATCCGCATGTCCTGCCGCGAAGTCCTCGCCGTGCTGCGGACGGTCTTCTGCCGTTGCTGCTTCTCGCGCCGACGCCGCAGCAGACGACTGCAGGCGAGCCGGGGCCGCAAACGCGTGCGCTCATTGGACGGTGGCTCGGATCCAGGCTTTGGCCCGCCGGTGGGCGGATTATTTTAACACCGAGAGTCCTCGCTTCCGGGCACCGCACGATAGCGGATCCGGATTTTTACCCTCGCAACGACGACGACGACCCGTATCACGCCCATACCCGATCGCTCAACTGACGACAGCAGGCAAGATGAAGTGTACGTCGCCGCCCGCTGCATGCCGTCGGACTGCCATGCTGACCCTCGTACAGTCCTCAAGGTCGGCCGTGTCGCCATCATCACCCGGGGCCGCTATGCCGGCAAGAAGGTACGACGACAACCATCCATTCACACCCTGCGACCGATCACCGCCGACCGCTTTGTTTTCGAGGGAACGCATTGAGGAGGGAGGATCGGAATCGCGCGGTGGAATCTTTTGGGAATCGCGAAAGAACAGCAAAAAGTTGACTCGGGCGTGGAACTACAGGTCGTGATCATCCAGCCCCAGGACAGCGGCTCCAAGTCGCACCCCTTCCCTCACGCTCTCGTCGCCGGTATCGAGCGCTACCCCTCCAAGGTCACCCGCCGCATGTCCAAGACCCGCCAGACCAAGAGGTCCAAGGTCAAGCCGTTCATCAAGACGGTCAACTACAACCACCTCATGCCCACCCGCTACACCCTGGAGCTCGAGGGCCTGAAGGGCGTCGTCACCAACGACACCTTCAAGGAGGTTTCGCAGCGCGAGGAGGCCAAGAAGACCGTCAAGAAGGCTCTTGAGGAGAGGTACCAGAGCGGCAAGAACAGGTGGTTCTTCACTCCTTTGCGTACGTCCACCCCGTTTCCCGAAACCGGCCCCGCTCGGACGCGAAGCGCAACCACTGACACTTTTTCCGACAACAGGTTTCTAGGCGTCTCGTTTCTCTCGGATATGTGGCATTGCGGTGGGGCGCGGCTTGCTTGAATGATCCGGCGTCAAAAAGATGTAGCTGGATTTCAAAAAAACAATCGAAATTCCCATACTGCATAGGCTCCATCAAACCCACGCAGCACATCCTACACCTTGAGCCGTGATTGTCGGATTTTCTACGGAACCTATGAATACCTGGGGTGGAAGGGAAAGGATGGCACGGAAGAGACAAAACCGGGGCGTTTTCTTTCGTGGCCAACAGTCACCTTGAGCTTTTTGATAGACTCTGCGACAGTCTAATCGAATGAAAAAAAAGCTTGCTGCCGTCAACGTTTCGTTGTGCTGCGTCTGCCGGTGCCCGATGACCCCACCGCGACAAAAAGCTTAATCGTGAGCTGACGATCCAGGGCGAATCGCACAAAGTAGCTGAAGAAAAAGCCTCTAACGTCACCGCGGTGCAGGTACGCAAGCCCATGCCACAGAAGCGAATCGAGAAAGTTCACCAGCGGCACGGTCATCACAAGGCTGGCCGCCGCCGATCGCACAATTGCATAACCCCCCCAACCCCACTCAGGCCGTCTGCCATCATTGCCTCCCACCCCCATCAATCAGGCATGCCGTCCTGCCTTGATTATTATCATCTGCCCGCATCCGCACGCAGCTCTCACACCACGATCACGCCGCCGTTAGATGACCGGTCCGAAGCGCAAAAGAGGCGAGCGCTAGACGCGAGACACGAGCAATTTTACGTCGAGCCGCGGCATCTTTTCTTGTGATGGGAGTTTCTTGGGGAACGAAAGGCCCGCCACGCTTGCCCACTGGTTGACTCCGACGCGCTTGTTTCCTTCCACCCTCGCACCCCCCGCGCTACTCACCGTACTAGAAGTAATCCATCCCATCCTGACCAAAAAAAGGAAAACGGACAGATAGCGAAGTCTTGGGGAGTTTTTGGGACCTTGTTTAGTAAAGCAATAGAGTGAGGATACTAAAAGCTAATAGAGACATTGGAATCTTACACGACCGGTTCATCATTCATCATAAGGCTTAGAGAACGGAGGAGCGGGGCCGACGAAAATAACAACTCGACCTTTCTTCACTACTTTGCAATTTTATGGACCATGAGCAGTAGCCGTCTCATTTCTTTTTTCTCTTCTCGCACCCAAGTCTTTTTTTTACTGGCCCGAATTCAGTTTCTCTGTAGGATAATGAGAGAATCCCTTCCGAGACGGAAAAGACCCCTGGCCGCAATCTTGTTGTCGTCTTCACACATCAGAGCCGGCTTTTGAGATGCGACCGGAATGAAAATGCGAAGAGTGCGTGTGTGACGTGTGGCTCGGCATTTGCACCCATGAAAGTGGGAAGCCGCAGCTCAACAAAAAGACTTCCCGAGCGGATCGAATTCCGAAGCGCGACGAAATAGCGAACCAAAGGGAAGTGGAAAGAAGGGCATCCGTAGCCCCCAAGGAGAATAGAACAATCCAGAAAGAAGTCTATTAGTCCACGCACGCGGCCGTGAATACGGTACAATCCAAAACGGAGTGAGTTGCGGGCAGAAACAAAAATATAAATAATGCAAAGCAAAAGCCGATATGCAACATGCCCCGGATCCCCCGCATCCCGGCCCAAACCATAAACATGTCAATTCCCAACAGTCGTAGAAAAAAATGTGTGCATATCGAAAACCCCCCACACAGAAAGAAAACAATCGAAAGACGACGGAGTAGTATCTGTGTGTGTTGTGTTTTTTAAGAAGCGCAACCAATGGGGTGGTTGCGGAGAAAGGGAGGGGGCGTGGGAGCAAGCTCCGATAACCAAGCACGCAATTGGCAGTGCGATCGTGTGCGGTGAGCGGGTGAGTTGCGAACGGTGGGGGAGGGAGAAGGTCGTGGACGGAAGGAAAGGGAGGGTGACGCCATGGCGGGGCTGGCCCGGCGATTCAACCTAAATCAACCGGCCAAGCGCCACCTGGATCACTCTCCCCACAGATCGCGTCAAATACACTTTACGATCTGGGCGATGCGTTGATTCAAGCTCGCTTAGTTGTTCACCTTCTCGTGCGCATACTTCTTCGCCTCCTCCTTCTTAGGGCCCAGGTAGTCTGCGATCAGGTGCAGGACGTCAACCGTGACCTTGAGCTCGGTGCTAATGACGGCCTTGGCGGTGGTGATAAGCCCGTTGCCTCCCGTCTTCTGGTACTCATCGTTATAAGTGTTGAGCAGGTAGTCCCTGCCCTGGCCAGCGATACGCAGGGGGAAGTATGCGACGTCGACGACCTTGGTCTTGATGGTCGACGTCTCCTCCTTGACGATGGGGAAGCGCTTCTCAACCTCGCTCAGGCCGTTGTCAGCCAGGCTGTCGGCGCGCTGGACGTAGGGCGCGACGAAGCCGTAGGGCTTGGACAGGTAGGGCACGATGGGCTTGCCGAAGCGGTCGTAGGCGGCGTTGCTGAGGTCCAGCGACTTCTGGCCGTAGGGGTTGGACTTGTAGGTGCTGATCAGATCCGAGACGACGGGATACGACGACAGATGCTGCGTTGGCGCGGTCAGACGAGTGTGCGCGAGGCGCGGCGGGGCAGCTTACAGAGACAAAGTGCGAGGAAGGCTTCTCGCCGTTGGTCAGAGGCTCGCCCATTTTTGCGGTGGTTTCAGCGTGGGGCATAGATTTTCTGGGGCGGCAATGCGCTGTCAGTAGCTGAGCTGGCAACGAGTGAGGGGCGGCGCCAATTGACGTACCGCAGTGGATGAGAGCGACGGATGCAGCAGTCACTTCGCTATCGGGGCGGCAGCGACTCTGGAGATATCTGGCGGCGGGCAGGAGGGTCAGCAACCGTCGGAATTTGAAGGGCATTCCGCAATTCGGGCACTCACCGTGGATTGCAGAGGAGACTGGGGCGGCGCGGAGGCGAAAGGGGGGCTGACGACGGTTTGTGCTAAGAGGAAGTTGGGTTGGGTGATGGTGGACAGAGCAAGAGATGGAACTGGTAGAAAGCTTGCACGGGAGCAGGCAGCGCTCGATTTACATGTGAATTCGGCGCACGGACGGCGTTACGTATGGGGGCGCGCCCAAGCGACCAGCGATAAGGCGGGCCAGGGCGACGCTTCCGGCCACTCATCCCTACCGCGACGAGAGATCCCGGAGCATCGCGGCCAATCCGGACGCCAGCGCATGGCGGAGCGTGATGCCGGCGTGAGGCATTGTCGAAGCATGAGGCACCTGCTCCGCCCCGATGCTGCTGCTCTTGCCAGCCGTTGCGCCTCCGTCACGCCAAATCGCTCAGGCCAGAGCGCCGCCGCCGCCGCCAGCTCGCCCGAGCCGGGCGCCGTGCCCGCCTCGCGGCCCGGTGCGGTGCAGTCTCTCAACGCCCATCAGCGCGCGCGCGGCCGGGCTGCCAGCTCGGGGCGGCTCCGACAATGGGGTTCTGCCCGGCAAGCATCTGCGGCGCGCGCTCGAACGGGGTAGGATGCAGAGTGCATATTATGGCGCAAGTGGTGAGTGGGATGCCGACTGAGAAGTCGTGGCCCACGAGCCTTGCGCGCGCAGGCTGACATGTGAATTCGTCCGGGCGCTCGTGAATCTCCTGCTTCCCTGCTGCTCCACTCGTCCCATCGTGCGTCGCTCAGAGCAGACGTCTCATCCGACGCTCGTCGTCCTGTATTGGAGCGCGGCCCAGGCCCCGAACCAGCCGTTGGCGCTCCTCTCTGCATCCCCACGGCAGAGCCCGCAGAGGCGCGCGCGTGGCCAGCATGCAGTCGTGGCCAGCTGCTGCATCTTACCAATCAGTCCAAGCAATAATGGCACGGCTAGCCCTTTGCCGTCCCGCCAGCACCCCGGCGAGCCTCCCCACTTATCTTATTCTCCAGCTCTTCTCACATGTCACCTTTCGGCTCTTCACGTGAGAATAGGAGTCCAATCGACGGAGCAGTCGAGCGGCTCGACGACGATCCCATTCCATCCCGCTTGCAGGATTGCCAACGAACCCTTACCGGGACAGGGCACCCCTGCTGCGATGCTCTCAACATCGACCCGTCTTGCTGAGCGCAACACTCTTCCCATGGTCGCGAGCTTATTCCTGGACCCTGAAGATTCAAAACCGCCCAGCTGAAAAGCAATATAAAAAAAGCTGGCGGCAACCCCTTCCCGCCCCAGCCATTGGCCGCCAGCTACGCGAGATGAGTGCCTCCTACTGCAGGCACTCGGACGACCGGCTTTTGACTTCTCATTTTGATATCCACACCAGCAACCACCCCCCGGATCGTCGATCCTGCGCCCGCTTCCTTTTATCCAACCAAACATCTCGCCTCATCGCCGACTCCCCTGGCTTCCCGCCGGCCTTGGAATCCTTCTGCAAATGCTGTGCTACCCTTTAAACTTTTGACATCCGAGACGGCCCAACGGCCAGAGGGCCAGGCCCGCATGCAGTAATCCGCCACAAGATCTCCCGCCCACACCCAACACTTGATATTTCCCCCGAGAACCGTGTCAAATCCCGATAGAACACTTGCACGCGGGAACGTCGCACGACAGATCTCTGACATATGTGATCGACGACGCCGTTCTCCGTCCTTTATCTCCTCCAGAATTCTCCACCATTCCACTCTCGCCTTTTGCTTCCATCCTTTCCATTCGGTACTGGTGACGTACTCGCTCTGAGAGATCTGCGAGGATGGGGGCAATCATACCTGGATACCGTGGCAATTGCAGGTACAGTGACGGTTTGCGGTACAAACAACCCCAACCAAACCCCAAAGACCCCACTAAACCCCACCATAACGTCAACCCCCCTTCTCATCCTCCAAGACCTTGGCAGTGGAGAAGATATGATACGGAAGGATTCTGAACCTGGCCGTGCCTGCCGCGCGTTCGAGGAGTTTAGGAGAATTAGGGACGAAGCTGCTCCTTCAACACTTGGGGCTATGATAGTGTCGGCTCGTAAATGCGGCTTTTCTCTGTTTTCCTCGCCCGCTTGTTGGACGGTCAACTCGAATGGAAGACGAGATAGTGTTGTACAACAGCCCTGTCTTTGTCCTTGAGAAGATCGCGGAAGGTTGAGCCAGTGCGAGGGAACGCCAGCCCACTTTGGCAGCAGTGGTGATGTCACCCCGCGTATGACGCTCCCTTGAGAGGGCAGTGAAGGTGATGACGAGATTGTTTACCACGGAGAATGGAGCGGGACTGCCGGGCCCTTTAGAACTCGCCTAGGGTGGTGTCCCAGAGCAAATGCATCGTTCTCTGCCACTTGAAGGGTGGAGACGAGGACTTTGCCGCAAATCCCGCGCTGCAAGCTCCTTGCATCTCCGGCCAATACTTTCTAAGCGTGTTACAGGTTCATTCATGGAAGGTGCAGAAAAAAAAAAGAGACAGAGAAAAAAGCACACAAAGTCCGATCGTCATACAAAGTTAAATTACTACAAATGCTATTAATTATTATCGAAGGGAATTCATCTACCGTCTAAATTTACGCTGTCCTTATTAAATCCATTAAGATAATAATCTTCATCGTTAAAAAATTGTTTAAGATGCTAGTCGGAAGTAAATATATCGTTTCCTAACGTTAGTCGGTACAAGAGTAAAACTTTATCATAAGTTTCTAGCTATATACTTCTGACATCTACGAATAATATTGCATGGCTATTAAGTTTATTAGTAATGAATAAAAGTCATGCTATTAAATTTAAACTACAATTGCCACTAATATCACATCGCAACCAATTAATTATTCTAACCTCTTCTCAAACAACCCACCTCGTCTGATCTACATTGCAAATTTACACAGTCCTCGTTCAATCGCTCAAGCAATTCTTTATTCTCCAGCTCAGTGAAATCAAATCACCGCGGCCCTCGACCGCATCCATCACTGACTCATTTCTAGCAACGTCAACTAGCGCAACAGAGCCCAAGGCAGGGTCCTGCTGCATGCAAGCCGCGCCGTCCCGCACCGCACGACCAGATAACAGCAATGCCAGCAAGAGGCTCAAAGCGAGAGGTAAAAAAAAAAAACCTGAAGACGAAGAAAAAGGAGGTCAAGTAGAACACGAGAAGAAAAACAAATTGACCTTCTCGGACGTAAGAAACCGACCCAACGGCAACGTGAACTCCGAATCAGGCAAGCGCTGACCCAAGTATGACAGAGGCGCGGGCCGAGCATGCTGTGCGACGGGACCGTAAATGGCGAGAACTCTCTTAGTAAGAAAAGCGGGATTAAAAAGAGCCCATCGTGTATTAACCATCTCTAAGATTAGTTCGACATTATCAAGAGAGAGGTAAGAACATGTGAATGTCGATAAAAAATGGGCCGCAGCAACGCTGCAAGCCACGCTGCAGCCCAACGACGAACTGGCTTGCAGTGCGCTACTGTAGGAGGCAGGCTTGGCTTGCAGTACGGTATGCGTATGGTGTATGTAGGGCACGGAAAGAACCTCTCAGGAAGCACACACGAAATTTGAGGGCAAAACTTCATCAAACTCGCACCCGGAATTTTCATTAGGGTGCCGTTCTTGCGTTGAGCGGAACTATCTACCCTAGCTACCACGACCGACACTTGGGCAATCCCCAATCCAATTCCCATTCGTCCTATTCATACAGTGATTCTCCCTTGACCACTCCAAAAAGGGAAATCAGGGTATGAAGAGAAAGAAGAAAAAAACAACTGCCCAATCAATGACCCTTGAAAAAAAATCTCCCTCAAAAAATGAAAAAGGATAATCATCCAAATGCAAATGCCCCTTCCCACCAAATGCGCCAAGTTTTCCGGTTTCCCGTCATCGCCGTTAAGAACGTGAACCAAAGAGTCTCGTAGAAGAAAACGGTTTAATACCCCCAGTGCTCCATACGCCATGCAGTAGAAGAGACTAGACCAGAATGCATCAGAGTATGACGGCAGGCGTCTAGGCAGCAGCAGCGACCTCCTGCGGCTGCGTCTGATTGGCAATCTCGCCGCCAGCGCTCATCTCAGCCCAGTCGCCCCACAGGCCACGCTTCGCCCGCACGCGGATCGGAGCGCCGAGCTCGTCCGTCTTCTGCTCGACCTTGACGGCGTCCTTGGTCGCCAGCACGAGGCACTCGAAAAACATCTTGGTCGCATCGGCCTTGGTGGTGGTGGCCTCGGGAAGCATGTCCTGGAAGAGCACGCTGTTCTTCTGGCGTGCTCCCGGCGAAGACTCGGCCTCCGGTCCAAACTTCTCGCGGAGAATGTGCACGGCGTGACGCGTGCCGACAGAGATGGGCCCGGCATCCTCGGGGTGCAGCAAAGGCATAGTGGTGTCGTCAAAGTTGTCCCCGGGGAGAGGGGACATGGGCTGCTCGTCGTCTTCTGGAACCGGTTCGACGGAGGCGGTACGCTCGCGAGCGGGGACGTTGCCAAGCTCCTCTTCCTGGCCGATGTTCAGGGTGGTGTCGCCGCCAGCATCGAGGCCGGCACCCGTGCTGAGGTCGAAACCAGACTCGTCGGGGATCTCAAGCTGCGGGACCCGCCCGTCTTGATCCTGTTCCAGTCCATCAATGGCAGCCGCGGCGCCACGCTTGCGCTTAAGCTCTCCCGAGCGGCGAACAACCTCCAGCGACAGAATACCGCGGAGTTCCGGGGCCCAGCCCTGGCTACGTCCTTCGCCGAGGATGCTCGAGACGAAACCGCCACTCTTCTGCATATTCATGAGGGCGAGCAGCATGGGATCGCGCGGGAGGAATTCAGGCTGCTTGAGGATCTTGGTGTGGTCGTTCATTTGGGCCTTGAACTGGGACTGCGAGAATTCCGTATCCGCATCGGCCTGGAGAATCTTGCGCCTCTTGACACGCTGGGGCGCCGTGGCGAATTCCTCCTCGGGCTCGATGACGGTGTTCTCCTGGTCAAAGTGGAAAGTCTCCTCGAGTTCGCGGGCGACGCTAGAGCGGGCGGACGAAAGGGGAGAGGCGCTCTCGCGGCGGCGGTCCTCTGCGGCCTGTTCTTCTTCGAGAGGAGTGGGAGCACGGGGCTGATCCTCCTCGGGGGCAGCAGGTTCATCATCCACTCCGCCCATGGCGATGTCGTCGTCTCCGATCGAAGGCCTACGACCCAGGTCGGTGAGGGGGAGAACGGAGTCCTCAGCAAAGTCGAGTTCAAGTCCGTCGTCCTCGAGCGGCTTGGGACTCGGGGCAACCTCCTCGGATGCAGGTCTTGGAAGAGGGGCATCACGACCCACTTCAATGCTTCGGTCCATGGTGATGTCTGGACCCTCACTGATATCCAGGTAGAGGTCGTCGTCGCCGAGCTGCAAAGTCTCCTGGGCTTGGCGGTCCTGGGTATCCAGAAGATACTGGCTCGGGGGATCCAGAAGAGTGGGGTCGCGGCGGCCGGTCTCAATCTCCGGCTCCTGCGAGAGCAGCAGGGAAGGGTCAGGCATGGGAGCAAGCAGGTCGAGCTCGGTCAGGACATCTGGAAGAGTCAAAGAAGCTGGATTCACGGACTGGGCCTGGTTGACGGGAAGGTCCACGTTGCCCGGACGAAAGGCCTGCGATTGCGTTAGGCACGAGCTTGTGGGATTTCGGGGCGCAAACATACCAGCTTAATCTTCATGAGGGCCTCGTTGCAGTCGTCGAGCAGGTAGCGGGCCTTCCTGCTGTAGATTCTCACGACACCGAGGAGCAGCTGGCCGCTCAGGCGCAGAGCCATTGGGGCCTGGCCCTGGTCGACGATGGCATTGACGCTCGTCTCGATGTTGGACTGGAGGATGTTGCTTTTGGAGAGCTTGCGTTCGAGGTTGGCGGCAAGCCAGACTCGAGCCAGCGGCCCGGTCTTGGACAAGAGAGTCTCGGAGTAGAACATGGTTTAAAAATTGCGTGCGGAGTGCTCTCGTGGCCCCGGCGGCTGGGCGTGTACTCGCCGCGTTGTTGTGGTTTCTTGCGACGCGCCGAGTAAAGTGCGACCGGGCGCGTTCGGGGGGCAACACGTGTCGCTTGGGGGCAGCAGCGATGGCAACGGGGGCGCGCAAACGGCAAAAGCAAACGCAGGTAGGTAGAGCAATGCGCGGCGGGTGGGAGCGCACGGGTGGTGATGGGGTGGGGGGAGGTTTGGTGGTGGTGGTGCGCGTGCGGCGGGAAGAGGCAGCTCAGGCTGGGATCAGGCGCGCGCCGCGGGCGGAAATGCAGTGGCTGGAGAAGCTTATTGGCTTAGTCATCCCGCGATCCGCGCGCCAAGCCTCCCCGCCGCGACCATCTCGAGCGGAGGCCGTTTGTCGTCCCGCGATCGTCGAGACGGGGTCCATGACACACACCGCGTTGCGGGCGGCAGCTGCTGAGTGAGCGCTACAGTCCTATGGTAGAGCGACTGGCAGCAGCAATAATGCCACACCCTAAGGCGCAGCTATTTTGGGGCGGCTTGGTGCAGCAGGTACGTACCGCGCCGCTGGGGCCAGGCGGTATGGAGCTAGGCCTGCATGCGTCGGGGGGATCTGTTCTCGATTTCCCAAAGTCCACCTCGACAACGAGCATTTCTTTTACAACACCACACCGCCAGTCCGCCTTCCGCACGACCGCGTCCATACCGCCCATGATACCCCGCTCGTTATAGACTGCAATTCGCCCCCTCGCTCTGCTCCGGCTCCGCTGGCGCTTCTCGTCCCCAGCGCACACCTCGTCCACCGTCGCCAAACGGCGGCGGCCATGCAATAATGTCACGAGGAGATTCGCCTGCGCTTCCGCTCTACGCCCCTCATGAGAACATCGCCCTGCGACCGCTGTCGCCCAAGCTAGGCTCTGCGCCCGCCTCCAGGCCCGCCTCGCGGAGGGGCCGCAACCCCGACCAGCCGGTACCACCCTCTCCTCAAACCGCTCACCCGCCAAAACGCGCGCATTTGATGCTGACAGAGCTGCCACCGCCTCAAGTCCATTACTTCCTCGTACTCGCTCCTGTCTCCCGATGAAACCGCCCTCCAGCTCGCGACCTCTTTGAAATCTGGCCTTTCCCCGTCCGAAGCCTCGGCGCGCATCCACGACCATGGTCTCAACGAGCTGCCCCACGAAGAGCCCGAGCCGCTCTGGCTGCGCTTCCTCAAGCAGTTCCAGGAGACCCTCATACTGTTGTTGCTGGGGTCCGCCGGTGTCTCTTTGATCATGGGCAACTACGACGATGCCATAAGCATCGCCGCGGCCGTGACCATCGTTGTGTCTGTCGGGTTCGTGCAAGAGTACCGGTCCGAGAAGTCTCTGGAAGCCCTGAATCAACTGGTCCCGCATTCCGCACACGTAATTCGGAGCAACTTCCCCAATGGCCCCCGCGGTTCTCCGAGGCTCCCTCAGGAAAACGGTTCGGCGAACGTCCCGGCGGGCGCCCTAGAGGACACAACCGCCGCCCTCGAGGCCGCTGAGGGCGCCTCGATGTCGATATCTGCGAGTCAGCTTGTGCCGGGAGACTTGGTGCTCTTCCATACCGGTGACCGCGTCCCCGCCGATATCCGCATTACTCACGCCGCCGACCTCTCGATTGACGAATCGAACCTGACTGGCGAGAACGAGCCCGTGTCGAAGAAACCGGATACACTCGACAAAACGTCACGCAGCAATGGCTGGGCATCGCCCGGGCCGCAGGATCCCTTTTATGCTTCCCCGGCTACCGGCACGGTCGGAGCGGATATCCGTTTGAACGATCAGACCAACATCGCCTTTATGGGCACCCTTGTACGCTCCGGGTATGGTCAGGGCATCGTCATCGGGACTGGCGCCAACACCGAGTTCGGTGCCATTTCCGCCTCGTTGCAGGAGATTGAAAGCCCTCGAACCCCGCTGCAGCTGTCCATGGATCGCCTGGGAAAAGATTTGAGCTACATGTCTTTTGGTGTCATCGGCTTCATCATGCTCGTGGGTTTGTGGCGGGGCTGGGCGCTTCTGGATCTATTCACTATCGGGGTTTCGCTGGCCGTCGCTGCCATTCCCGAGGGGCTTCCCATCATCGTCACCGTAACCCTAGCGCTCGGCGTGCTAAGAATGTCCAAGAAGAATGCCATCGTGAGGAGACTTCCGAGCGTTGAAACTCTGGGCTCGGTCAACGTCGTCTGCACCGACAAAACAGGTAAGACCTGCAGCGCCAGAATGGCACATGTGACGCGATCAAAGACAGCCGAAGCTCACTCTCTATCACAGGAACTCTGACCACCAACCATATGACCGTCACGAAGCTCTGGCACTTTGAAGACAAAGAGCCGGTGGACGTTACGCGAAAGAAAGACTCAGCCTCCCTCGACCCAGCAACCCGGACGATTCTGCGCATCGGGAATATTGTCAACCATGGTCGTCTGATCAGCCCTGCCGCCGCCTCGAACGCGACCGCTGCCGTTCTGTCATCGACTCTCGGCGGCGCCGACGACCCTTCCAGCGCCAAGAGCCGCTGGGTCGGCCAGCCCACGGACGTTGCGCTTCTTGACTTGTTGGACGAGTGCGGTGAGGATGATGTTCGCGAGAGAATCGGCGCGCGGCTCAATGAGACTCCCTTCAGCTCCGAGCGCAAATGGATGGGTTGCGTGGTACAAGGGAATTCCGGCCCTGAAAGTGCGGGTGCCCCAGACGTGGCATACATCAAGGGGGCGTTGGAAAAGGTGCTGGATCGGTGCGACACGTATATCACTGCTCAAGGCCGCGAACTGCCGCTCGACGAAGCCAAGAGACGGGAAGCTGTGAACGCCGCGGAGCAGATGGCCCAGGACGGGCTTCGCGTTCTCGGCTTCGCGAGCGGGCCGGTTCGCGGATCGGGTGGCTTAAAGCCGCCGCACCGGAGCCGCAGCGCTGCTTCGTCCCCCGCGCTCAGCTTCATGCCCGAGAAGGACGAGGACTTGTACCACGACCTCGCTTTCGCCGGTCTCGTTGGAATGAACGACCCGCCGCGCAAAGGTGTCGACCGCTCGATCCGTCGCCTGATGGCCGGAGGCGTCAAGGTGATCATGATCACCGGCGATGCCGAGACCACGGCTGTCGCGATTGGCAAGAAGCTCGGTATGCCCATTAACCAGAACTCTTCGATCGGACCGGCGGTCTTGCGTGGCGATGAGCTCGACCAGATGACCGAGGAGGAATTGTCTCGAGCTATCGCTTCGACCACCATCTTCGCTCGGACGAGCCCGGATCACAAGATGAAGATCGTGAGAGCGCTTCAGGCCCGCGGAGATGTCGTAGCGATGACTGGTGATGGTGTGAACGACGCCCCGGCTTTGAAGAAGGCCGACATCGGTATCAGCATGGGACAGCTTGGTACAGATGTTGCCAAGGAGGCGGCGGACATGATCCTGACCGATGACGACTTCTCCACCATTCTCGCGGCCATTGAAGAAGGAAAGGGCATTTTCTACAACATTCAGAACTTCCTGACCTTCCAGCTGAGCACGAGTGCGGCGGCATTGAGTTTGGTACTCGTAAGCACTTTCATGGGCTTCAAGAATCCGCTCAATGCCATGCAGATTCTTTGGATAAGTATGGAGCTCCGTTTCCCCCTTCACTAACCCGTAATGCTAACCGGCGCCGTGCAGACATTCTCATGGACGGTCCTCCTGCCCAGTCGCTGGGTGTCGAACCTGTCGACCCGGCCGTCATGTCTCGGCCTCCCCGAAGCAAGACGGCTCGCGTCCTGACACGGCCCCTTTTGCAGCGCGTCCTCACGCAAGCCTCGATCATCATGCTCGGCACCCTCGCAGTCTACATCCACTGCATGCAGGACGGCGCCGTCACGGCGCGCGACACGACCATGACCTTCACGACGTTCGTCTTCTTCGACATGTTCAACGCCCTCACCTGCCGGTCCGAGTCCAAGAGCGTCGTCAAGGGCGAGATCAAGGTGGCGGGCAACCGCATGTTCAACTATGCCGTCATGGGCTCTCTGATTGGCCAGATGTTTGTCATTTACTTTCCGGGCTTGCAGAACGTCTTCCAGACCGAGGCGCTGTCGCTCGCCGATCTGATCAGGCTGCTCGCCCTGGCTAGCCTGGTGTTCTGGGTCGACGAGGGGAGAAAGCTGTACACAAGAGTTAGGAATCGGAGAGGGTTCATGGGGACTTACAGTGCGGCCGTATGAGAGAGAGAACTTAAAGGGGGGTTGTAAATGTATAGAGCGGGCCGAGATGGGGTGGATTGGTGCGAGTTCTTGGATTAGCGAGTCAAGTGCATTGTGTGTGTGTGTTCGCTTGTGCAATAAAAATTACTGCTTTGAAGTCGATTTTGGAGGCATTCTGAATGAGTGTATGAGATATCCCTAGCGCACCGCATTATTGCTATTCAGGATGTCCGAGAGTTGATTTGTTTGGAAAAGTGGCGGAAATTCATAGACCATAGGCATAACAGAAGTTTTTGGATAAACGGTTGCGTTTTAAGGTTATCTTATTCACTTGCTGGTCCACCACTGGGGACTTCCAAACGGGAGGATGGATCCTCGACTGTCTCATTAGTCACGAATTTTCAACATTCATCCCATGTGCTCTTTACGAGTAACCAAGTCCTCAAAGCGGCCTTTGTCTCCTCTAAGCCCGCCGGGAAAACAATAATGGTTAAGCAAAATACATCTGAAATTTCGGCTGCAACTCGATTTCCATGGACAAACTTGCCGCATGACGCCTATGCCACAAGTCTCATATTAGCGAGAACTGAACTGCATCCGGTCAATATAGAAGGATATAGCACAGCGGTTCCATCGAAATTCTACCACTGGCTCACCAAACGTTCCACAAGGCAGCCCGACGATCAGCGAGTGCGACATGATGGGGGCATCGGTAGGTAGCACAAACCGGGGCTGCGTTCATGCGCGCGCCCCCCAAGATCCGCAGACGGAATGAAAGGGATATCCCGTCAACTGATGTCATTAGAGAGAGGCCGACCCTCCTCGTGTTGGCTAGCAGCAAAAAAAAAAAAAAAACTTTTCTTGTACCACGGCGGACGATGCCGCCGCCAAATTCTGTTTCAGTCTTTGCCTGCCAACGTGCCACGAGGGAGGGGGTTCCCAGCGACCAGGGTTTGGGGTACCTGCAGTCACGCGACCGTTTTCATTCCTTTTACCATCAGCCCTGGAATGTGCGGTCCCGGAATTCTTTTCTGATTCACACGGGTGCTCTCTTCTGACAACGGCGCGCAGTGGACGTCACGGGGGATGCAGAAGCAGTGCTTTATTTTACTGCCGTTGGACGCTCCGCGGCAGCTGGGGCTTGAGACAGCGCTTTGGAGTTTAGAGGATCGATAGAGTACAGCTGTCCATAGCTAGCGTGTGTATCGTTTTTGTCTTTGGTGGCAGAAATCTCCTTCCGCAGTCGGCTTCGAACGACGCCACATCGTGGCAAGTGGACGAGGTTGTCGCTGCGCCGCTGGCTGAAAAGTCAATCAGGCGCCACTCGACCTGCTGTTTCACTTGTGTTGTATTCGATCTCAGTGTCGTGGCTCTACACCTCTCGCAGGTTTGCATGAGGCTAGCCCCGATCAGCCACTCGCAGACAGAGGACCGGCAGGTACCATATCAGTTGTTAGCGTATCGGAAATCTTACTTCTGGCCATGTGGCAAGATTCACTTGCGTGGCGATCCTCCATTCCTCATCGCTTCAGTGGGGTTCACTGAGTTTGGGCTGAAATTAGCAGCATTCCGCTTCCGCACCTCCCCTTCAACATGGCGAGACACAGCGCAAGTGACAGACTGTAGTAGAAATTTCCAAATGGAAGGGGAGCAGCTCCCAAGGACTCGCTAAATCCGGCCTGTCGGCGTTGATGTGGCGTTTCAGTCTACCTCTCTGATGGTGCCATGACACCAAGACACGCATTGCAGCGTCCCCGCTTGCGAACGGGGTGCTGTGCAGTCGAAGCTGTCCTTGGCTGCACAGGTCGTCCATCGTAAATTTGGTGCGTATGGGGGGTTCTCAGCAAGATGCGCTGAACTGTCCGACGGAAGTCAGTGTTTGAGTCTCGTGGTAGACGGGTTTGTTGGGCTTCTTCTACTTACTTTGGGCTATGTATGACAATTTGGACCACCTTATATGGTATATTTGGATGATAGATATAGTGGAAAATGAGTTATTCAATTGGCAGTTATTATATCGAGAGTCAGATCACGGGTTTGAATACTTGAGAGGCGGGGCATACTGGATGTAGAAAAGAAAAGGTGCAAATAGGAGTTCAGGTAAGGGCCATCGGAATCCCACCCTTGAAGTATGCTTCTGATGACTCCAATTTCCGGTGGGGCGTGATCGAGTCTGGGACAGAAAGGTATAAAACCAGGGGCGCCCTCGACCACTTCCACGCTCAAAGGCGACATACTATTCTTTCCTTCCATTCTCTGCACACTGAGGCCCTGGGTCCTCTGTGTCCTACCGGCGGCTGCCGCGCCTGGATCTGCGGTACCTGCTTCTCTGTAACACCACCACCACTGGACAGCAGCACCTCGACCTTTTCAGCCATGATCTCCAAAACAAGCTTTCTCCTCAACCACTTCCTCCTCCTCCTTGCAGCGAGCACTCTGCACCACCACCCCGTCGCGGCCGTCGACCAAGTGGTCAACGCGCAGCTGGTCGAGGCGACAGCGCAGGCGCCGACGCGGCTGGAGCGGCTCAAGCTGTACCCAGCCGACAACGACACCGTCTTCGACTTCTACGCGCAGCCGGGCTACGGCTGGGTGCCGGGCTCGGTCGTCAACGCCAACACGGCGACGTTTCCCTACGCGACGGGCAACGGCATAACGCTGGCGCTGCTGAGCCTGGGCCCCTGCTCGATGCTGCCGCCGCACTACCACCCGCGCGCGGCGAATTTCGTGGTGGCTGTCAACGGCACGACCGACACGTACATGATTGAGGAGAACGGCGCGCGCACGGTCAAGGTCACGCTGGACGCTGGGAAGGCGACCATCTTCCCTGCCGCGAGCATCCACTTGATGGAGAACAGAGGTGAGTGAGTGAGCGTGCAAGGAAACGAAAAGATTTTTTTTTCTTTCTCTCCCCTGTCATCCCCCTGCATTTGCACTGTTTGTCTACCCCCCTGCCTGGGCGCGTCGCGCTTCTGCATCCTGCAAGCCCCGCCCAGCGTCGCACAAGAAGCGCGAATCTGCCCTCTATCACGCATCTAGCGGGATCTGCGTCTTTTTTTCCCCCCACTTTTCGCCCTGGACCTGGTCGAGAGATCTGCGCTGCAAGTGCTTTTGTCAAAGCCGCCGTTCCCGCGTGGACCCATGTTCTCCCCATTCGGGAATAGTTGTGACGGGACTGTCGTTACACAGCATCTGTCTTGCGGGACGGGCGGTGCCGCCTGTCACTTTCAAAAAGCGTCGATCACACGCACCGCTGTACCTCAGACATCCCTGCTGGCGTCCAGCGTACCTTGGATTGTTTGTCCCTGATCCGCAGTTTGCGCTCTACCTGTCCTCTTTCTTTCCAACCCGCTCTGTCAGACCCCCCTTCACTAATTCCGCTGGAGAGGAGGACCTCTTTCAATACATCATATCAATACCATGGAGGATAGAAAAAATGATAATGACTGACTCTTCTCAAAATAGGCTGCGAAAACACCCAGCTGGTTTCCGCCCTCAACTCGGAGGATACAGGCACGCTGAACATCGCCAACGTGCTGTTCCAACTCCTGCCGCACGACATTGTCATGCCCGCCGTCGGCTACGGGCCGGCTGATCTCAACGGTACGGCGGGAAGGGTGCCGCCGGTCGGCTTTGGCAGCATCTATGGCAGGAGGGAGTGCTTGGATAGGTGTCGTAAGGCGGGGTATAAGGTTTGACTGGGTGGATCTGAGTTTGTGCTGGCTTGTTGTATTTCTGTCAGAGTGTTTTTGTTTCTTTTCTGCTCATATATGAATCGAAGAGTTGAGTGCCGCAAGGCAATGAAACGTCCTGGTTTTGTTTTTCGGACATCTTGAGTTATTGCAGGAGAATATCTGTCGTGGCCGACACAACGTAGAATCATCACATTTGTTTCATTCGCGTATATCAACAAAACAAAACATTGACTTCACAAACCACTATCTAAACCGACTCAACAACGGCACACAAACCGCCGCATCAAAATCGACGCGTGGGTCCTTCACACGACCGACGACATCCAGCACCTTCCCCTTGCCCCCCTCCTTCCCCTCCAACGACTTCACCGCCCCGTCCACAGCCCTCCTCCTATCCGCCACACTCGCACACAACCCCTTCCCAAACCCGGACGCACCCCTACTCCTCCGCGCATCCAACTTCCTCCCCCTCTCATTCAACCTAAACCGACACACATCCGTAAACAGCCACCTCCCCTCCTCGGGGCCCCTCTCCACCACCAACCCCTCCAGCCCCTCGACCTTCTCAAACCACACCCGCGCCCGCCGCTCAATCGCCTCCCTGACCACCGCTGCATCAACGCGCCCGGCATCGCCGCCGCCATCCGCCGCGTACGCCTCCTTCCTCTCCCTATCATCATCATCCTCGCTGGCGAACACCACAGGCAGCACGAGCGCGCGGTCCACGAACAAGCGCCGCGCCCACGCCCCCACGCCGAACAGCGTCAGCGTCCCGCGCTCCGCGCCGTCGTAGCGGCCCGTCGCGCCCGAGAAGTGTGCCAGGTCGAGGCAGCGCGCGACGAGGATGCTGGGGTGCAGGTTCAGCGCGGCACAGGGCGCGTGGACGGATTGCCAGAAGTACGTCGCTAGCACGTCGTGCTCTTCCGCGTCGGCGTCGGCGTCGGCGTCGGCGTCGGCGTTGCGGAGGGGGGTGGAGGAGGTGGGGCAGGAGGGGCAAGAGGAGGAGGTGCGGTTCTTCTTCTTCTTCTTCCGCGCCGCGTGCAGGGCTTCGACGCGGCGGGACAGGGCGGCTAGGTGGAGGAAGTGCGCGCGGTCGGGGGCTGGGAGGGTGATGCTGTTGACGGCGCGGCGGGTGGGGCGGAGTGGGGAGGAGGAGGGGATGACGGTGTAGTCCGTCACCATCATCCAGCGTAGTAGGCGGCGCACGCGGGCGATCTCGGCGGGGTCGGCGGCGAGGGAGGATTGGGCGGCGTTGAGGACGTCTTGGTTGCTGGGTTGCGGCGGAGCTGGCGGTTCGGTGGTGGTAGTGGTGGTGGTAGTGGCGGTGGCGGCGGCGGCGGTGGTGGATTCGTTCAGCGCGGCTTCGAAAGCGTCGAAGTTCTATGCGCTATATTCGTCGTTGTCCTCTGCGTGGTGCATCTCGTCTGCCGTGTGCCGGAATTGGCCCTCCGCTTCCTTCTGTGATGGCGCAGACGGCAAGTCTTTCACCGCGTCATCCTTCCACATGGACGTTGCCTCGAATGCCTCTCTCAGCGCCGGAAAGTCATAGTTGCTGGTATAGCTTGTATGATGCGTATTAAATGGACCCCACGTGGGTCCATAGGAGCTCGTCGACTGATCGGCCCACGCGTTCTCCGTTGGCGGCATAGAGAAGGCGTTGGTGGTGGACATGTTGTAACACTTTCAAGTTATGATGCAATTCGATACCGTATTCATTGAGTGGATACTGTTTGAGTCTTATAGCATGTTGCACTCTGGGCGGAACTATTTCGAGTTCTGCCTGGTCCATCGGGAAGCCCGGTCTGGTAAGTTGTTGGGCCCTGGGAACAGACTTAGTGGCGACTTTTTGTTACAGCGCTTCCACCATATTTTACTTTTGACTTTGAAAAAAAAAAAGAATCTTGACACTGGAGGACCTCAAAGCCACACGAGGGAAGCAAGAGGGTTTTCTGCAACGGCGAGATTCTTAGCTGAATAAGATGTTGTCGCAATTTTGCTGACGGCCTGAGCTGGTCGTCATGATGTGAATTGCCGCTTTGGAGATACGAGACTGGAATTGTTGATGGCCGGAGTAGTTCAGATTGCTCGCATTTGAATTCGTCTCAAGACGAAGTTTCCGATGTCAATACGGAAGATAACTTCAAATGGAGTATCATGAAAGCGCAAACTCTGCAAATACTTTGACACCGTGACCTCTTTGAAGTCCGGATCCTACGAAAAAGTACTTCTTTGAGCATCGTGAACCATAGGGCTTCGGATTTTGGCTGTGATAGGGAATGCTGAGACGTATTCCCTATCTCACCTCTCGTTTAAGAATGCATGGGACGTGATTTCTCCAATGAGATATGACGTGCACCAGGGACAAATTCACAGTTGGACATCTGAGGAAAGACATCACCGTCACACCATTCGTAGCTCATCTTGAAGAGGACACGGTATCTAACACGACTCTGGCATTTCAAGTACCTGAGCAACCAACACACGAAGTAGGATCAAAGATACGGACAAAACCGCGCCATGCCTATTCAGGAACCCTTTTCCCCCTTGGGAAAAAAACGCTCGGTCTCTTCGAATCTTGGAGAGGGGGAGAAAGAGGACACGGACTCTCGAAATTCCTTTTTTTTTTTTCGAGCGGCCCAAGTTCCCCGCAAGGGATCGCCAACTTCGTTCAGCGAGAAAGACGTCGAGAAGATTCTAGCCCCCCCCGCGCCAGGTTGTAGATCAGCTTTTGCGGGCGCTCTGTTCTGAGAGAAGACACCCCCCCGATCGCCACACTACTGGGGGCTAAGGGGGGAGGGAGACATGATGAAGTCATCGATACATCGGGCGCAATATAGTCGTCGGTTTGACGTATACGTCGCGCTGATGACCGCCCCTTCCATCCGCTTCGATCCCCAGCATCGATAAGGATCTCCAGGCGCGTGCGTGCGCCCCTCCCCCATCGTCGATACGGAAGACATTGTCATTCTCGATACGGATCATCTGTCGCGAAAGCGCGTAACCGACGACAAGACATGATCATTGCTCCCGGAATTGAGAATGAGGGCTCTTCGGCGTCGCGTGCGAGGTGGTTGGATCCAACGAGAAGCCCGCACGGCGTTGACTCCGAGGTCTAATCTCGATGGACGGTGAGGATCTTGTAACACATTTCGCTCATCGATCGAGATGAAACGGACATGTCAGCGATGATGGTGGTGTAACCATCGTTACAACATGATGTGATCATTCTCATAGCTTGGCTTTTTTCGTCGGTGAGGGGGGTCGGCGATGCATCGTGATGAGCGTTTGGGAACGACATCTGATCGCGTTCGTGTGAATCTGAGATGGAAAAATTTATTGCGCGTGGGAAGGGAGCGAAGCCGAAGGGATCCGAAAGCCATAATTTCTTCCACCATCGTGAGATGAAGTATTTTCAAGGTTGCACAGATGTAAAAGCCATGGGGCCATCTCCGCCGTTGAAGTTCAAAAAGTCTAGTACGACGGAGCATTACTTACTGGGAGCAGAGGCTGTCGAACTACGCTACGCACAGGATCGACTTCCTCAAACGGCGCGGACCGTTTCTCATTAAACAGTCCGGGTCGAAAGTATGGCCGGGGCCAGATACGGCAGCGGCACAAATCATCTCTCACTCACCGCCGCGGCAGGCGCCTGGACGGAGATCATGGCCATGATCTACCCTCCTACGTCACCAGCGGACGCAGGGCACGCCTTAGCGGCGGTCCGGCAACGCGACCGAGCAGCAGTCAGCAGCAAAAAGGAAAAAAACAATAATGAGAACGCGGGTCAACATTGAAGCCCTGTGACGACAAGTGTTCGGATAACGTCACTTTTCCAACACCGATCTCCGATCTCACCCCACAACCCAGCATAGAACAATAGGACTGTGACGACAGTCGGGCACACCAAACCGCCAGAATACAGGCCCCCTCCCAGCGCCCTTTTGATGCCCCATCACAAGGGAGCCTTTCCACCCTTGTTCCCTCCTCCCCCCCAAGAGGAATGAAACTCAGCATCGGTCGCTTCGCTGCTATGGCGTATGCGCCCACCCACAGTCGGCCCCACGCCCGGTCGAGCCGCTGCCCGCAAAAGTCGTCGTTCTCGCAACCCCTGGAAAACCGTCGCGTTGAAAAGACGACGAGAAAAAAGAACAGTGAGGCGCCGTGAGGCTGCAGCAGGCGCTCCAGACCCTGATGATCTCTCGCGCCAGCCAGCCACGTTGGTGTAACCCGATGCGCCTATGTTGTGCGGCTTGACGTGAAACCGGTTGGCTGGAAAAAGAACTTTGTGGTCTAGAGTGGTCTGCTACACAGGGATTGTCGGGCCTCATGACGATCACCCTCTCACATGATCACTTCTGCTGCATCAAAGAATGCCGACGGTAAAATGAGGATAATTCAATAGAATAACAATAAAGCTTCTCCGTAGTGGCAAAACTCTGACTAAACGAGCATGAAGTCAATGTTGTAAACTTACCGAGAAATGCACCTGCCTCACATCTTTCCACGTCTTGGTCTCACAAATGTCCGTTTGCGCTGAATACTTCACAACGCAGTCAGCTCTGTATCACCACCGACGGATGTCTGCTGAGCAGGAGTAGGAGAGTGCGTCGTTCATCGGGCTGCATGTGGCACGATTCCTGACATTCTACGTTGGGAGCCTTAACTGCTGGTCAGGTTAGTTGGTTCTCGCTAAATCGAGTAATTGGTTGGTTGGTTTTCTGGTTCGCCTACGCCGCTCGTTTGAACAGGCGAAGCCCTCTGTTGAGCTGCCATTCAATGCATTCCAGAGCCTTCATAGCAGACCATACCTCACCACGTCGAAACGGCCGCATCTCGAATGAGCCGATGGGGTTCAGCGATAAGACCCGGAAGCATCTGGTGCGCTAGGGGGCCTTCCGACGTTCACCTGCCACACTGCGCTTGCAATCGGCCTGCCCGTAACTCCTCACGTCTGCCTCGAAGATTCGGTCGCAAGCCCCTTACTCTCTGGCACCTTCGAGTGTCGGTCAGCGGCATTTTGTCCCGGACATGGGCCCTCGCGTCCCAGCTCACGACGCTGACGACTCCTTCAAGCCAGTCCAGCACCACGAGCGGGGGAGTTTATTGCCCTCCTGACTCGGTGACTTAGCCTCGGCTGTCATGACAGACGCTGACTTGTCATAACCCGTGGTGGAGGTCCTCCACCACTTGCTGTATGTCCAACAATGAAAAAGTGCCACGTGAACGCAACCTTTTCACTTGACCGTCCCACCTTCATATCATATGGGAATATTCGCCGCGGTGCTCCTGCTCACGCCCAAATACAGCCCTGAGGCACGGGGCTCGGACTTCGCCGCACAAACTTTCGCCAGCGGGCCAAATCAGGGCCTGTCCAATCGATCATCTTCGATCTGCCAAGGTCGGCTAATCCAATGCGGGCAGTCCGCGACGAAGTGCTTGAAAAAAAACTTGGACACATTCCGTAGACCCGATGAAGATACCGCTGGTGCCTGAGTGGGGCCAGCCGTGAAGAACCTGATTCTGCAGATCCAGCGGTCCTGAGTCGACAGATTCCAGGATGCCGAAGAGGGCGTCCAGCGGCGACCACCAAAGCATGTGTTGACCAGGACGCAGAGAGAAAGACAGGACCACGCGGCTGGAAATCCGGACCGGAAGAAAGGGGCTGGATATCGGGTGGCAGTGGTGACCCAGGTGGATGGGTGGGATGGGGTGCTTTGGGTACGCCCGCGGGCGGCGGATCAATACGAATTATGCTGGCGCGCTGACGGGGGAATTTTATGCTTGATGACGTCGTTTTCGGCGCGTAACGAATAATGGCCAGAGAAGTGGGTATACGGGTGCTGCGGTGTGAAGGCATGAGAGGCTTCAATCATTCGGATCTTCGCCACTCGCTGGTCGCGCATGGGCGCAGGTTCCATTTTGGCTGGGGCCCGACAGCAACCCTGGCTGTCCGGCCTCTCGGTGGCTCCCAGACCCTGATGAGGCGCAATCTCCTGGACGAGTTGGCGTCGTTCGCAGCCACCTGCACGGCGGTTCTGGCACCCTGAAGAAAGGCGAGCGAGCGGCAGGGCGAAGGCCGGAATAAGGACGATTTTCGGTCCGCACGGATGGACAATCGGCGATGAGCAAACGGGCCAATGAACGACGGCAGTGACTGGGAAATGTAAGTACTTGCCAATATATACGAGGACCAACACACACAAGTCCGACGACGGCAACGGGACGCACGACTCGACGACGGGGAATGTCGGCGCGGGCGGAGAGTCAGCGCTACGGACTTCGCGTGGCAGTGGGCTCATCAGTGCGGGCGAGCAAGGGACAGAAAGACTCCCACGTGTGCCTGAAAAGGCAAGGCGTGATCGGGATCGGTCGCTCAGTGTTGTATGAAGACTCAACGGCCGCGGCGCGCTCGGGCAACGCAACGGATGCGCCTGGTCGGCAGGGGGCTGCGTCGGGTCTAGCGTCGTCTGGGTCGGTCGAGTGTGGCGAATCTCACCAGGGGCGTGCGCGGCACCCGGGTCAGCGGGCGTGCGTTTCAGCTCGGCGGAAGTGAGACGGGCGACGACGCTCGCGGCGAGCGGGCTGGGGACGGGAGGAGCACGCCGGGCGCGCACTCAGGCGCGATATGTACGGGCAGCGTGGCAGGCAGCACGGTGGTGGTGACGAGGCGGCGCGCCGGCTCGGGAAGGGGGGCTGGGGTCGAGGAGGCAGCCGCAGGGTCTTGCAGCAGGTCGTCGAGGCTCGAAGCAGCAGGCGGACGGGCACGATCTCGATTTGCACTGGTGGTGACGTGGTGGAGATGACTCCGGGGCGGGCGCTGGACAAGGTGAGGTGTTGCGGCTGTGCGGTTATGACATCAGCTGCGGCGAACCCCCGCGCCAAGAAGGCCGATGCTGCTCACAGAAGGAGATCTCAGGGCTCGCGCTAGTTCGGCTCTACCCGGCTGTTAAGCCGACAGGGATGCTGCGCAGGCCGCAGGGCTCACCAATCCTGCGCCAGGCACCGGGGAACCACGGTGCGCGTCAGGCCACACACCTTCGCTGCCCGCCGTCGTCGCCGCAAGCACACGCCCGCCTCCGCTGCCCGCGTGCCGCCCCGGCCGGCCGCTGCGCTGGCGGGCTGTGCTGGCTGCGCGAGGGCGCACGGCAGCCGGACGCGCCCATCACGCTCGCGGTGCCGCATCGCAGATTGCTGGTTGCGTCCGGGGGGGCGAATCGCGATGGTGCGGTCTAGAGCCGGCGGCGCTGCGGGCTGGGCGCGCACACGTGAGGGCACCGCAGACTGAGATCGGCGCGGCGGCGGGCGGCGCAAGCGAGCTGCAAACCATACAGCTTTGCCCGATCTCCGCGACCCTGGCGAGGTGACCTCAGATCGAGAGGTTCAACCTGCCCATCGCCATCACCCGCGCCTGCAATGTCTTCCTTATACACGACCGCCGCGGTCCGGTCGCCGCCAGACCCATCGGCCCAATCTGATTGTCAACGCCACCCTATCGACCATCACAACTTCACACCCAACCGCCACAAGCATCGGCCCTCTGAACAGCCTCATCCTAACCAGAACCGCGCGCCGCTTCTTCACCACCACCACAATTTTTTTCCGCCCCGTCGCCGCGCCAAAATCACCGCAACCATCACAGCAACTGCTCGCACCAACACTGACCACCCCCGGCATCCTGGATCTCCACCGATGGCCGATCCGGGATTGAACTGAACACCCTGACGTCGTTTTGATAATACCGCCTCGCGAGCGCCGAGACGGGCCATGTCCGAGCCCAAGCAGGACGGGGCCCCGCAGGGCATGCATTCGCGGAGGCCACCTGCCCACAAGTCCGTATCTCTCCTTCACTCCCCCGGAAAGCGTAAGCATGCAGACGACCTCGTCGACCCGCGTTTGTCGCGCACCTCCTCCAATGTGCCCTCCAGCGACCGTGCCAACCCACCTTCGCCCGGCTCATCGAAGCCGGGTACCAAGAAGGAGAGCTCGGGCGAGGTGAGCGATGCTGGCAAGTGGTTCGAGACGTCCAACAACAACATCTCGCAGAACAGTACCGGCTTCGTCGACAGTAAGTCTGTCCGCTCCGCGTCCACGGCCAGCGCTGACCAATGCAGATGATCCCCCTTTCTTCTTCCGTAACTCATCATCTTCCACTTCGCCCGAGATGAACCCCGTGCAGATGCAGATGCAAGGGCAGACCTCGATGCCTCATCGACCTGCGTTGATGAACATGCGCACCGACGGTAGCAGCACGGAAGAGTTCCGGAGCGTCATTGACGACCTGACCATCGAGAACAAGAAGCTGAAGAAGAAGCTGAGAAAGTACGAAAAGGTGCACGATGCTCACTTGCAGAACGAAAAGCTCTTCGAGGTGCGCGTGCACGGCCTGCCGCCGCACAAGAAGCTGGAGCTCGAGGAGACGCTGAGAAAGTTTGCCATGGAGCTGGACGACGGTACCGTCGAGCCCGTCAATATCGAACGAGGCCCCGCTCTCAACCCGCATAATACCCTCTCGTCCTATACCTCCACCCAATTCGGCGATTCGGCCTACATGTCCGCATCGGGGCAAAACTCGAACACTGCTTCCGGTGGCAATGGCAGCGGCATTGGCAACGGCGGCCAATCCGACCCCAAACCCCCTCCGAAGAACAAGTCACGATACCACCGCCAGCACGACAGCATCCAGTCCTACCTGCAAGATATCCCTGCTGGTTTGATGCCGAAGACGATCGCCATGACCGAGTCGGCCAAGAAGAAACTCGTTGTTCGACGGATGGAGCAGATCTTCGCCGGAAAGGGTGCAGGCGCCGGCGGGCATCAACAGCCCATCCAGCAGCAGGAAGTTGCCCAGTCCGCCGCCCAAGCTGACCGAGCGGCAATCGAAGAGGAGACCGGTCAAGAAGCTCGTAAGGAAGGTATGAGAGAAGCGCGAATCATGCTCGGCAAGGCGGAGTCGCGTCGCCCGCCGGTCAAAGAGCGTTCCGAGGGAGATGGTGTCCCCCCGAAAGGGATCCCGACGACGCTCAAGAAGAAGGTGTCGGATCGTGACTTTGCCGAGTCTGCCTCTGGAAACAACTCGCCCGAGCAGCGTCCGACACGCCCCCTGGACCTCGATCCGCAGAGAGCCCAGGTTCCGACTGATAACATCAACTACATTCGCCACCTCGGCTTTTCGCCACCTGATCCCGAGACGCCTCCCGTCGATGGCCACGGATGGATCTACCTCAACCTGCTTGTCAACATGGCCCAACTGCACACCATCAATGTGACGACCGACTTCGTCAAGAAAGCGCTGCAGGACTACAGCTCCAAGTTGGAGCTATCCCATGATGGACGCAAGATTCGGTGGAAAGGTGGCCAGGACACGTCGCTCAACAGCAGTGATAGCTCACCGGAGCATCAGTATGAAATGCTCAAGTCAAACGTCAAGAAGGTAGGCAAGAAGCGACAGAAGCTTGGCCCAAGCAGCACCAACACCTCGAGCGAAGCGACTGGCCAGTCTTCGGAGCAGCAACGGAGCGCCAACCATCTGGCGTACACGCCTCTCTTTTACCACAGAGAGTCGACCGATGACTACGACGGTTCCAACATGGATCACAACTCCGAAGAGGACGCATCTCCGCTCCCAGCCCAGGCCACCGGCAACACATCTTCGGGTTTTGCTAGTTCCGGCATGCGGACTACCTCTTCGAAGCGGAAGCGGGATGACGGACCCATCATTTTCTACAACAAGGCCAAGTTCTGCACCGACCTCAGTGGTGATCGCAGCACGCACGATTCCCGAGGTTATACCAATTACAATAACTACACCAACATGCCACTGGGCACCACACCTGAGGAGAAGAAGGGGGGACCCGTCCCTTCTGACGATGAGCGTCGGGGACCTCTAGCACGCGCCGCTCTCCACGAGATGGATGTCGACATGGAGCCAATGTCGAGTGACATTGACTTCGAGTTCTCCGACTCCTCGTCCACGACTGGGGACGTGCCTCCGAAAACGTATCTTGACTTTGAAGTTTCCGGTATTGGTGGTGTAGTGCCCGAGGACAACTTCTCCATCGATGTCGAGTGTAGGCAGGTGCGGAGCGAGTCTACCCTGACCGTCAACTACGCGTCGCACACGCCTCGAGTGGTCCGCTATCCCCGCAAGATCATGCGTGCTCTGCACACGAGTTCGGACGACGACTCGACGGGACCGTTGGAAATCACGCGGGTGAGGACTCCCGTCGTCAACGGGGAGATCATCTCGGCACAGCGAAAGCGCCTTCCGCCATCGGTGCTGCCTCCCCCATCTCTCCTTCCGTTCGACTCTTCATCTGGAGATGCAGAGTCGGATATGAGTGACGTATCGGGATTGGATGACGAGTTCGAAGTGTCAGACGAGCCACCTACGGCCGCCCCCCGTCTCGTGGAGATGTCATCTCCTGAAGATGAGACAGAGGGAGGAAGCGGCGATGAGGAAGAGGATGCGGAAGACTTCGTCGAGGAAGACGACGGGTCGCTCGACTTCCTCGCGCAGGCGAGAGAAATTGACCCCGAGAACATCCGGAAGCGCGAGCGCGAGTACGACGCAAACATGGCGGATAGGCTGGCGGAGGAGATTCCTGCGGGCTCCTCCGCTGCCACTGCTGGAGGTGGCAGTGGCTTCAACAGTCCCGCTTCGCTCAAGATAGACGACGGAGACGAAACCGGTACGGATCGGCGACCGAGCAGTCGAGGCAGCGTAAGCCTCCAACGAGGCGGAAGTTTGAAGAGATCGAGGACGAGTGACAGCATGATTGTGCATGGAAAGGCGTCACGGACATCGTAATTTCCTTGGTTTGCATTGGGAGCATCAAGCAGTGCAAAAGGGGTGTTTGGATGGGATTGTTTTCAGCAGCGTTCACAGCGGGCTTGTGTTTTGGAGCTATTGTGGGTTGGTCAAGAGATGGATATTTGTTATTGGCACTATTAAATCTACTGGCTGCCTCTGCGGAAAAAGGCAGAATCAACCAGGTACAGGATGGCCAACCCGATGGTGTATCAGCTTTCCTCGGGAGGAAAAATTTGTTTGGATTAGCAGGTTTGGTTTGTCTTTGTGGAGATACCCGGTCGCTTTTTCACTGTTCCCAAGATGAACACAGACCTAGCAAATAGTTTGCACAGCTGAGGCTTTGCCTCGTGACGAAAAAAGAAAGGAAATTTAGAGTTATCTACTCAAGATCTCCCTTGGCAAGGGTACGAAAACGGACTTGCAGGTCCCCATCTGCATGCAGAATCTATCGGTAAAGATGGCATTCATCGTCCCGATCGCCAGGCCCCTGTACGCCCCTCGTGGTGTTTTGCATATCGCGCCTCGGGTTGCCACTAACATGGTCGACTATCGTTCCATTTCTGTACAAAACGCCCCGCTCCGCCCGCACATGCCAGTATCGAGCCATGCCGTTCCCGAGCCCAAGTCTAGAATCATTCGTCTCTGCACCCCAGGTGGCGGGTTTCCGAGACGTTGGGTAGGGAGCCCGCCACCCACGGTACCGGCAGACCTGTGCACGTGATCAGGCCGCAAGCCTCCGTCGCAGATCCTTGAAACGGCTCACGCTCGACCTATGACAGCCAACCGAGCTAAGAATCTCCTCATTTCCCTTCGCCTCAGCCGTCCACGTCCACCTCCTGTACCAGACCAAAAGCCCGCCACTCCATCACACCAACGCTTCCCACCTATCCGCTCGTCGCTGTCACCGCCGCGTGCACCTATACCTCGTCGCTCCGAACAACCACCGAGCCTGCAACCTCTGCCTTTTGTCGCCACCCGACCCAACCTCACCTTTTCCACCCCCTACAAACCCGCTCAAGCCGACAACCGTGGCCGACATCAACTATGGCGAAACGAACTAGTACATCATCGAGTAGTAGTAGTAATTGGGCCGCCATGAAGGCCAGCTGCTATGCCGTGGACGCTGTCTCCATGCAGCTCCAGGGCTTCCACTACTCCACTACCGGGGCCGGCGGGGCCGAGTGGCGTTCCTGAGGTCAGCTCGGTATGTACAGGCGTACAACAGTCGTGCAAACGGGCAGAAATATTGACAGCGATTGCAGGGAATGCCATCTCCTCCACAAAGTCCCCCCCTCGCCGCCTATGCCGTCACGAGTGACGAGCTGAGCCCGACGCATAACAAGCGTCGTGCCGGCGCGGCGCGCAGAGGGGGGGCAGCATGCACCATTGCGGAAGAATGTGAGAGACTCTTCTGTGAGACACTGCGGACCGTTTTCCTTGGTGAGGGGAATGTGGCTCGTCAGGACTCGCTTGCATTGGGCATGTACGACATCAACAACCACGACGGACACCACAACGACTCCATCGCCGTCAGCGACGACAAGAAGATGGACGGCTCCTACGATAGCGGCATCGGCATGCCGCCGTCGCCGCCCGGCTCCTCGTTGGCCGTCGACTATGGCTTTCCGCAGCATCAGCGCGGCCAGGTCGGCCAGTGGATCGAGGTCTGGGACTACGTCGGCGGCGCGCGCTTCCGCGGCTTCGTGGCGGGCGACGGCGACGACAAGGCCATGTTCGTCTTCTTCGACAGCGAGGCCACGGTGCGCGACCTCAAGCCGGGCCTCATGGCGCTGATTGAGCTCTGCGGGCTCGACGAGTTCGAGTGCGCGCGCCTCAACGTGTGCCTGGACCGCAAGGCGCCGGCCGAGGACATGAGGGGCCTCATGAAGGACCTCGGCTGGATCGGTTTCGAGCCCGTCACGCTCGCTGAGTGGGCTGAGAAGCCGCCAATCGTCAGCGACGCGTGGGTCTTGCTGGGCATGGAGGTCTGATTATTGAGCTACTGGATTTTTCACCTTTTATCGCGTTGAGATTACGAGTTAGGGTTCCCTTTTCATTGCTCAGATCATTCTTTCCTGCTGTTTTCGTTCGGGACCGCTGCATGCACAAAGTCTTTCATTACAAAAGTGGCTTTCTGCATATACCCTTTCCCCTCTCGTCCTGCATCCTGTACTTCTACGTCTGCGAGCATCTGAAAAATTTCGGCATCCATGCGTTCGGGGTTGGTGGAAATTGAAGCATAAGGGAAGGGTAATCTGCAAAGGGTATAAAATGCGTGTGCATGCGTTCGTGCTGTTTGCTTTTTTCGCTTTCTTCCTGGTTGTCTGGTGTTGGTGCTATTTGTGTTTTTTGCATTGGTGTTTTCTGGCGTGGCCGTTCTGTGATTCTGAAGGGAGGTAATGGCGCCCTTGTCCAGAGAGGTGATAATGTCCGGTCTGTCAGGATGCATTGGTTAATTGAGTCTTGTTTCGTGGGCTGAGATTGATACTTTGTTCGTGAATTGAGATTGATGTCTTCTCGTTAATTGATACTTGGGAGTCAACGAGGTTCAAGACAAGCTTTTTGACGCTACGATTAGTCTAAAACAGACGATCAACGGCCTCGCTCTGAACCTGGTCGTGAATCATTACACAAGTGCCTGCATGGAAGAAAGAATGCCCGTTAGCTTGAGGTCGGGGTTGGGAGAGTGGCGTCGCGGGCAGCCTCGTTTTTTTGGTTCCCCAGAGTTTTGCCGCGGCAGACTTCCATTGGAGCTCCCACCTAACTGTGCTGCCCTCCAAAACCTCCGTCCGCCGACGACGACGACGACGACGGAGCGAGAGCTGCCCCCGACCCAATCAGCAAAGACGCAATCTGCACAGGCGTCAACTCTTCCTCCTGTGCACTCTTTTCCTTTTGATCCTACCCCCAGAGCGCGCCCGCCTCGTCCGGCCCTTACCGCACCCACTCGCCGAAAACCACAGCTCCGGCGGTGCTGCCTCCGAGTCCATCGCCCGCTCTCGAAAACGCACGAGCGCACACACACGCGCGCGCCCTTGTCACCCTAGCTCTCGCCGAACCGCCAGGCACACGTACCGAACCAGACGCCCGCCGCGCCACTTGGTCTCATCAATCAAACTACCGCGGGACCGCTCCACGCACCCGCCTACCACACAAACACACACACCACACGCGCCACATCCCACACACATCACACAAGCGATATGGCGTCGTCAGACCGCACGTGGATCTCGGACGGGCTGATCAAGCTGACGGGCGCGACGGACGCGACGCTGGTCGACTTCGTCGCGGCGACGGCCAGCTCGGCGGCGGCGCGCGGGCCCAAGCACCTGCGCGACAAGCTGGCCGACCTGCTCGAGGACGCGGCGGCGCCCGCGGCGCTGCAGCAGTTTGCCGACGAGCTGTACGCGCGGACGACGACGAAAGCTAGTGGTGGTTCTTCGGAAAAGAAGGACGCGAATGCGGCGGCGAAGAAGAAGAGGTACGCGTTGGTGGAGATGGAAGATGAGCTGGCGGACGCGCCTGCGCCGGCGAGGGTGGAGAAGAAGGATAGGTCGGAGCGGAGGAAGGAGAGGAAGAGGGAGAGGAGTAGGGAGCGTGGGGAGAAGAGGGAGAGGAGTAGAGATCGTGGGGAGAAGAGGGAGCGGAGCCGTGAACGTGGCGGTGGAAGGAGGGAGAAGAAGGTGCGGAGGAGGGACGATGGGGATTGGGAGGATAGGTGGGGTGATGAGGAGTATTATGAGGACGAAGAGCCGCTCGAGGAGTCGAGTCCGAAGCGCGTCAAGTTGCAAGATGGAAGCGTGTCACCCGCACAGCCGGCGGAGGAGGAAGAAGAGATTGACGAGGCCGAGAGGGATAAGAGGGAGAGGGAGGAATTCGAGAAGAGGCTGAGGGCAAAGGATGATAAGGACTCAAAGAAGGTCGTCGAGGACCGTACACAGGCCAAGGATGCCGCACGGAGGAGAGCGCTCGCAGACGACGAGCAGGCCAGGGAGGCGGCTCTGGGCGACCTGCGGTTACGCTCGCGGCAGGAATACCTCAAGAAGAGAGAAGCGGAGCAGCTCGCGTTGCTGAGGAAGCAAGTTGCGGAGGAAGAAGAGGAAGAGCGGAGAGCGGGTCCTGGCGAGCTGACCCAGGCCGAGCTCGACGAATTCGCGAGGAACAGGGAAACCTTGCGCCTCGCCGAAGAGCGCCTCCGCGTGGACGAGCACACCGATGGCTACGCACTTCCCGAAGACTACATCACAGAGAAAGGAAAAATCGACCGGAAAAAGAAGGAAGAGGCCCTCTACAAGCGCTACGTGGACCGCGATGAGTACGGACGGGAGAAGTACGTCACGGAGCAAGAAGAGTGGGAGCGGGAACAGGCTGCGAAAGCAAAAGCCCAGATCCTGCGTCCAGAGCGCGTTAACGAAGGCGATTACGAGTTCGTCTTCGATGATACGCAAAAGATCAACTTCGTCATAGACCAGGCGTTGCCCGGACAGAAGATGAACAAGGAGCAGCAGCGGTTGGCGGCGCAAATCACCGCCGCCGAGGCAAAGGCCAAGTCGATCGAGGAGACTCGGAAATCGCTCCCCATTTACTCGTGGAAAGACCAGTTGATGGAGGCGATTGCCAACTACCAGTGTGTTGTTGTGGTCGCAGAGACCGGTTCCGGAAAGACGACGCAGATTCCGCAGTTCCTACACGAAGCCGGATACACCTCGAAAGAGGAGAACGGAAAGTCCAAGAAGATGGTAGCGTGCACGCAACCGCGAAGAGTTGCCGCCATGTCCGTCGCTGCGCGTGTGGCCGAGGAGATGGGGGTGAAGCTGGGTAAGGAGGTAGGGTACTCGATCCGTTTCGAGGACAACACGGATCCGAAGAACACGATCGTCAAGTTCATGACAGATGGTATGCTGTTGCGGGAGTTTCTGACCGACCCTTCTCTCGAGAGCTACAGCGCCATCATCCTCGACGAGGCGCACGAACGCACTCTCGCTACGGACATTCTGTTTGGCTTGCTCAAGGACATTGCCCGATTCAGGCCGGATCTGAAGCTCATCATTTCTTCGGCTACCGTCGACGCTCAGAAGTTTAGTCAGTACTTTGACGATGCTCCCATCTTCAACGTACCGGGTCGTCGATTCCCCGTCAGCATCTACTACACTCCGCAGCCCGAAGCAAACTACCTGGCTGCCGCCGTCACCACCGTTTTCCAGATTCACCTTAGTCAGCCACGCGGCGACATTCTCGTGTTTTTGACGGGTCAGGACGAGATCGAAACCATGGCGGAAGACCTGGCAGAAACGTCGCGGAAGCTAGGTTCTGCAGCCCCAGAACTCATCATTTGCCCCATCTATGCAAACTTACCACAAGAAGAACAGGCCAAAATTTTCGAGCCCACCCCGCCGGGCAAGGTCAGGAAGGTGGTGCTCGCTACTAACATTGCTGAAACTTCCTTGACCATCGACGGCATCGTGTATGTCATCGACCCCGGATACGTCAAGGAGAACGTGTACAACCCCCGCACCGGCATGGAGTCTCTGGTCATCACGCCGTGCAGTAGAGCTTCGGCCAACCAGAGGGCAGGTCGTGCTGGCAGAGTCGGACCCGGACACTGTTTCCGGTTGTACACTCGCTGGGCCTTCTTTAATGAATTAGAGGCCAATACTACGCCTGAAATTCAGAGGACCAACCTCTCCAGCACGGTGTTGTTGTTGAAGAGTTTGGGCATCAACGACCTGGTCGGATTCGACTTCATGGATGCACCTCCGGCCGACACTCTGATCCGGTCTCTGGAACTTCTCTACGCTTTGGGAGCTCTGAACGACAAGGGCGAGCTCACAAAGAGGGGCAGACAGATGGCCGAGTTCCCCGTGGACCCGATGGTTTCAGCAGCGATCCTCAAGGCTGACCAGCTGCAGTGTGTGGAAGAAGTGTTAAGTATTGTGTCGATGCTTGGCGAGTCGGCGGCGCTCTTCTTCCGGCCCAAGCAGCAGAAGATTCACGCCGACTCTGCTCGCGCGCGCTTCACGATCAAGGAGGGCGGCGACCATCTCACGCTGCTCAATATCTGGAACCAGTGGGTCGACTCGGACTTTAGCTATGTGTGGGCCAAGGAGAACTTCCTGCAGCAAAAGTCGTTGTCTCGAGCGCGCGACGTGCGTGATCAGCTGGCGCGTCTCTGCGACCGGGTTGAAGTGACCATCACGTCGTGCGGGGCCAACGATCTCCATCCGATCATGAAATCGCTCGTGGCAGGCTTCTTCCCCAACGCGGCGCGTCTGCAACGCGGCGGTGACAGCTACCGCACGGTCAAGAACGGCATGACGACGTACATCCATCCGTCATCGGTGCTCACCAAGACGGGCGACAGCCCGCACCGGTTCGTGATGTACTACGAGCTTGTGCTGACTAGCAAAGAGTACATGCGTAACGTCATGCCGATACCTACGCCGGCGTGGCTCAACGAGGTGGCGCCGCACTACCACAAGATGAAGGATCTGGAAGGGCTGGGGGCGGAGAACAAGAAGATGCCGAAGGGACAGAAGCTGTAGACTGCGGGGTTGTTGAGACTGTATATAGCTTGGTTGTACTTTATTTGGTGGGGTGGATACTGACGGGCGGAAGGGGAAAGAGGGATAAAACAGGCGCCAGGGCGCGGGACGAGATGGCGTCAGGATCAGTTCAGGGCGCGGCTAGGCAGGGCGTGTAGGACAAAAACAATGTTACTCGTGGTCCAAAGTGATCGTCGAGGGAGCTAGGATCGCTATGACGTCTCGGGCGCTTGCAGGGTGTGCGACAAGGGTTTCCTGCCAATCGCGCCTGCCCAGCTCAAATAACTCTGAACTCACCTCCAACGCCCCCGACCGCCCAGCGCCTACGGTTCCCTCCAACACCGGGTTTCAGTGAGTCGGTGCTACCATCCGACCGCGTCGCAATTTGCGCAGCCGCCCGCGAGCTCCACGGTCAGTTCTCGCTTTGCATGCTGCATGCACATCATCTGCCCTTGGCGCCTACCGGGTCCCCCTGCTGAACGTAGCCGCCGCGACGCGCAGAAGCATTCAAAAGCTCGCCACGTTGGGCGCTCCCATTTGCGAACATGTAAGCTGGTCTTCCATTTTCCTCTCTGATACCGCACAAGCCCGGTCGCGTTTTTTCCTAGGGTTTCTGTACTTGCAGCTGTTTTCCTACGTTTGTTCCGTTCCTGCATCCTTGTCTACGTCATCGCCGACCGTTTTTTCCTACCGGGAACCTATCAACGCTACCATCCAAAAGTCTTGTGTTTATTGCTTTCCAATAATGGCTATTTTTGCGTACCCTCCCCCGCCCTACACCAACGGCTCCTCCCCACCATCCACCATTCGCGCACCTTCGCGATCCCGGTCGCTAAACCCGCTGCCCGTGCGGCACAGGAACCGCTCCCTCTCCATCCGGTCGTCCAAGAACAAGGATGGCAGCAGCGGAGATTCGTACGGCAACGGCGGCGGCAGGGGGTCGTCATCGGCACCGCGGCACCGTTTCACCATGGCGTCGCTGCGGGGGATGCGGCAGCCGGAGCTGTCGAAGCGGCTGTACGGGCTGATCAAGTCGGAGAACCACGCCATCGGGGCGCACGAGTCGGCGGGCCGCGAGCGCGCGAGCATCGCGGCGCAGCTGAGCGAGTGGGGCGAGGCGACGGGCGACGACGCCGTGTCGGACGTCAGCGACAAGCTGGGCGTGCTGATGGCCGAGATGGCCGAGCAGGAGGACTTGTTCGCGCAGAATCTGGAGGATTACAGGGGCGTGTTGAAGCAGATTCGGAACACGGAGAGCTCGGTGCAGCCGAGTCGGGATCACAAGGCGAAGGTGCGTCCCGTTTTCGTTTTGGTGGAGATGGATTTTTTTTTGGCTGACCGGAGAATGAACTACAGGTCGCGGATGAGATTGCGAAGCTCAAGTACAAGGAGCCGTCGAACACCAAGATTGTCCAATTGGAGCAGGAGCTCGTCCGCGCTGAAGCCCAGTCCCTCGTCGCTGAGGCTCAGCTCACCAACATTGTATGTTCCCCGCACTACTTTTTTTGCTAAAGGAGAAAAATTCGCTGACCTCCCTCCCCAGACCCGCCAAAAATTCAAGGAAGCCTACGACCTCCACCTCGCCGCCGTCATCGAGCGCGCCGAGAAGCAGGCGATGCTGGCCAAGCACGCCCGCCGCGTGCTCAACCTGCTCGACGACAGCCCCATCGTCCCCGGCGAGGCGCACCCGACGTACGCCGGCGAGAGCGCCGGCCGCGACATCCTCAACGACGCCGAGGACGAGCTGCGCGCGTGGCAGCCGCGCTACGAGCCCATCTCGTCCAACGCCGCCAGCCTAGGCGCCGGCGCTATGCCTAGTAGTGGTGTTGGCATCAGCAGCAGCGGTGCGTCCGAGTACGCCCCCACCGCCGTCGGCGGCGAGGTCCAGCAGAGCCGCATCGAGGGCGACGTGCACCCCGCGTACAGGACCAGCAAGGCGCGGAGCGCGAGCGGTAGCTCGGCTGGTGGCGAGAGGCAGCAGCAGCAGAACCCGCCGTATCCGGTCAGCGAGGTTGAGGAGGGTGCGATGTTTTAGGCTGACATTCTTCTAGTGAGGAGAATGCGGCTCGGTGTGAAGATGGTTTTTTGAATGACTGGAAATTGCAAGTATACGACTGTATATTGGATACGAAGAGGAGGACGAGAGCGGCTCCCTGTTTTTTTCTGTTTGTCTGTTTGTTTGTTTGCTTGGAGGCGGCTCTGCTTTTTCATGTACGTGATCCTGACTGGGGCCCCTTATCATTCCGCTTGATATGGGCAGTGTTTGCCGTTGAGGGAATGATTGTCTTAATTGTGCTGGGTATGATACCTTTCTGTTTAGATGCGTATGAGTTAATGAAGAAGTGTTTGCCATCCGCTCCAGTACTTTTTTTTTCTTTGATTAGTTTCGAGCTGATGTTTGGAAAGAGGAGTGGGATGGTTGTAGGATATGTTCCGAGATTTTATCATGCGTTGAGCTCTGTCCTATGAGTCCATTGCTGCTGTTCAAGCTAGAAGATCGAGGGTGAGGGCTGAAGTCGAGCTTTGACAGACTGGGTACCCGTGCGTTTGTTTAAGTCATGAATTTGAGACTAAGCAGTTTTATCAGTCGAAAGTGGTGCTTTGTTGTGAATCGCCTTCTAAGGTATAAACGCTTTGTGGCTAAGCTCTGTCTTGCGTTAATGGATAATTGGGCAGATAAAGCTGCAAAATGCCCCCCAATGTATCATTACATGGGTTGGTCATACAGTTTAGTTGAAGATAGAGGAATACATATATTCAAACGGGTACAGAGGGGTATCGCAGCTGAAAGCTAGCGTGACGAATAATAAGGCCCTAGGTGCAACTGTGCCTCAGCCCTTTCTTTTTTTTTTTTAAAAAAAAAGCCACGCTAGCCTTCGGCTACGATACCACCTATATACATATATTGCTCTTCCATCAGCCGATAAGCCATCGGGAAATCCGTTCAAAACTCATTAAAATCGTGCCCAACATCTTTTCTTCCACAATCAATACTCTCGGTTTTTCTGTACTACGTCCGTCGCCCGCTTCTGTTCATCGTCCCAAAACACGATCTCTAAGTGATCAGACCCAACCGCTCGAATATTCACCGGCTCTCGGAAGGTGTTCAACATCTCGATCCCGGCGCTTGTGTTGCGAAGCTTGTCGGTTGGAGCTGAGAGAATTGCCAGAGCTGTCAACTCAGCCATGGAATCCCACGCGCTAGAGCTCAGAGGTTTGATGAACATGATGGTGGTGTAGATGACCACATAAAGGCAGTATATGAGCAGAATGACCAAAGAGACTATCATCGGATAGTCCTGAGGAGAGTAAGCCAACCCTTCATAGTATATGTGATAGTCCAGGCGAAGATGATCTTTTATAGGTGTGGCACTCTCCATCATTGACTTTTCGAAAGCTCCCTCTTTTAGATCATTCACGGAGAGCCAGCCATCAGGCAATGCCCGAGACATTGCGTACGTCAAAATATTTGCGAGAAATGCAGTGCTCCCGTCTTCATTTTGGGCAAGGATCCCAGGCATAATAAAATCCAGAGCCGATTTCCCCTCGGGGTTTTTCCATCCATCTATCAGTGAAGATGCCCAGTGCTTGGATATTTTTATCGCCTTTTCGGGAGCTTTCGTAATATCACTGGTAACGATCGTGAGGTCGGCATAGATTTCCGCCATAACTCTATTTTCCGCCCAGCCTGCCGCAAAGGAACAAACTTCAGCTTGAAAAGTACCATTTAAGTTACTGAAGATCGTTTCAGTCCGATTCATGTAGTCGACCATCGGTTTCCCTAACAATTGCGCGGGAGGGAGGACGATGGCGATCAGAGACACTTGTGGAGCACTTTCGGGAGCATCAAACCACGTGATTGTCCAAGAAGTCGAATTCTGGCCATTTGTTGGGAGCTCGAGGGCATTTAATGAAATGGTCGAATTTTTGGCGTCGAAGGCGTTCTGGAGCACAATTGAGGTGTCCGAGATGGGCCACTCTAACTCATTGCAGACAGCGCCCACCATGGACTGACTATTCAGGAACCTCACTTGGATGCCCCACATGCTGTTGAAAGAGGAGAATCCAGGATCTAGATCTCTTGTCGTAAATGACACCAACAAAAGCGTGCTAATTGTCGGCGTGGTTTCAAATCGACCAACCCCCGTGCTGTAGTTATTAGGGCAACAGAAAATGCTTGACTGAAGTCTGTCTGCCATAGTCATCTCAAGATCCCCCCGATCCAGATTCTTTAGCTCTGTAGTGACTGAAATATCGTCTTAGAGCGGAAGCTTGAATGTGCCAGAATCATGTGACGCTTGTAAGATGGCAGGGAAAGCTTTCCATGAACACTTTGGCAGCGTGTCTTCAGTAGCACATCGAGTTTTTGTTTCCGAAAAGCTATCAGGGAATGTTGTCTCATAGTCTGAATTTGCCCATACAGATGATGTTATGATTGGGAAGAACTGGCGTTTTGGTATCAAGCAGACTGCGATCGAGGGACCAACTGCAGTAGCGAGTAGCAAGTTGCAGTCAATAAACACTACAAAGACAAATTTCCGCTTTCCGCTGAAGTAGTTTGAAGATGCTGATCCAAGAAACTCCAATGACCAGAGGTAGTTGAGACTCGTGATTTGCAAGCCTGCAAAAAGTGTGCCAAAAGGAACTGGACGGCGACCGAGGTACAGCCAACGGAGGTAGACCAAGGCCATGTTTGAGATAGAAGCTTGTGTGAGCAGCTCCAGCAATTTTGCCAGGAATTGCAGAGACGTAGTGGATATATCTTTGCCCACATAGTATGTTTTAAGGTTGAGGATAATCAGAGTTGTGCATGCAACGAACGGTATAAGATGCACACTGAGTCCGACAAGTGTCCTCCTCAAATTATGGTGTATGGCTACTTTCTTTCTTTCGCCGTCCGTTGTGGATAGGAATGGAATCAAGGCTGCAACAAAAATGAGCTTGAGGCTCCGGAGGAGCCCGAGGAACAACTCCTTAGACATTTGGCGACGAGATGAATGGGTGTCGGAATCAGAAGATCTATTTCCCGATATGTCAGTAAACAGTTTCTTCAAATATTGTTCTATCAGTAGCCTTGCCTTCTGACTGTTTGTCCGTGATTCTCGCCCTCAGATAGCAGCGTTTGGGGCTGAATATCGAGGGAAGAAGACCCATTGGGACCCGATAGAGATGATGATGCAATAGAAGCCATGTCTTACGTCCTCAACGTGATAACTGTGATGAAGTTACGTGTTGCTAGATGTGGAAGTTTCGGCTTGTATACGCAAGGCTGACAATGAAGAGGGGCAGGGAGGTCTTGATTCAGTTGCCTCGACAGCCTCAACTGCATCTTGTAACCAGGGAGCACACAAAATTGATTGGCTCGGGAAACTGCGCAGGTTTTTTTTTGTACGTCCCATGACGCAGTCTGGAGCGGGTACATCGTATAGCGTCTCACAGACTTGACACGTCGCCCCATGGTGGTGCCACCTCGCAACCGTCCAATGTGAATCCTCTCTTTCTCCGAGTCATCCATGGCAACAGGGACACACACGTGATCTTTATTCTTGCTGTTCACAGGAATAGATTTGCCATGCTGCGCAGAAGACCTGATTCCCAGACGCCCAATTTACGCCTACCGCGCCAAGCGTGTACCACACACGTAAACATAGGACCAGCGACATTCCATTACTTCGTTATAGCATTGGCATTGTTTACAATGTCTTCGACCACAGTGGTCGTCTTTACACCGCTGTAGAGCCGCCACCGCGAGGCTTCTTTCGGTCCGGCGTGCACTTCATCAGCGTGCACACAGCGCCTAAAAGACATTCAAGTCGATCCAACGGTAGGCGATGGCTGTGATTCTACTACCTCAAGAATGAGGTCTTGGGCACTTAATATGTTCTCTTCTGATGTAGCTATAAGTCTTTAAATATCGGATATTCCTGAAGCAAGCCGTGCACTTGTACATGGATCAAAGCCGTTTGCAGCTCCAAGATTTTGTACATTTTTGATGTCTGGCTCAAAATAATCATCCTGATACTGACTCATTCAGTGGAATCCTTGGCCTCGACCGCGCATAGTCAGCCGAAAAATTTGCCGGTAAGTCAGGATTCTTCTCCATTCTGTGGGTAGCACACATCGCGGGGGACGCCGCTTCTAATCCATCCTCAAAATGATTTCGTGCCATCATTAACCATGTAATGTATTCCTTCAACTAAATTCTACGTCCTTCCAAGCGCATTTCTCCTTATGGAATATTTTCAAATGGGCCACTTCCCCGAGTTTATTTTCACTAGCCCGACCTGATCCCAACATGCCTCAGACACATTTGAAAATCCCAAATTACTATTCTTTGATCTCTCTTACGCTATCTCCATTATTATTGTTCAAGGTAGTTCATTCCCAATCATCTCGTCACCAACGTTAACGTGAAAATAACACGCCAAGGCCTTCTGGACTCTGATGTATGCTTAGCGTTAATGGTATGAAAGAAGCAACTGCCTGAGCCTCTCAATCCTAAGCGAACCTTTTGTAGGGAGCAAAATTTGGAGCAGGCTACATGAATTTCAGTTAAACCATCCGACTTCACACGCTTATTGGTTGTATCCCACCTCAACCGACCGTTTGTGCTTATATCAGATAGACATTCCAACCTCATTCTCCGTCAACCCTCTCATCACAATCGCGACCCTGGTGGATCTTCACTAGGGTCATCTTTTCCCCGGCTTGGCATCGCCTGGCGATATCGGGTCTACCACATGATACCAATGAGACTTTGGCGAGAGCGGCAAAAAATCATTCACGGCCTCCCAAAATCTATAAACACCACAATCAGTCGTATTCCAGATTTACAGAGTAGAACAAGTAAGATGCTTTACTATATGTTGTATTCTACCCTTTTCGTGGTTCTAGAGAGGGCCGCGAAGGATTTCTGGCATTCTCGCTAAAGCCTCATCATCACACGCAAAGCACAATACCTTCACCGCCGCGATCGTTGCTCCTCCGCTCCTCGTAGAACCTCTTGTCCAGTTCACCCACCTACTTAGGTCCGACTCGTACCACTATCTTGCCGTCTCTTCTACTCCAACAATGCATTTCATTTCTATTGCGAGAGATTTCTTGTACCATCGCGGCTGCAAGACGCGAAAAGACCAACCGCCGACGTTAACTACCAATATGTACACGCCTCTCGACCGCCGGCGGCGCGAGATCCGACTTGTCGCCATACTTCCTGGGAAATGGAGCAAAACAGTCCACTGCACTCTCAGCATCGCCTCGCTGAACGATGCACCTGCGTACGAGGCGCTGTCATACACATGGGGCGACGCTAACGACACGGTCCCCATTTGCGTGAATGGCCAGCCTTTCAATGCCACGAGATGCCTGTGGCACGCACTGCGGCGGCTGAGATGCACGAAAAAGCGGCGAGTCGTCTGGATCGACGCTCTCTGTATCAACCAGGCAAATGACGAGGAGAAATCGTGGCAGGTGGCGTCCATGGGCGATATATACCGGCTGTGTCAGGAAGCCGTGCTGTTCCTTGGGGAGAGCGAGGCTTGCATGGATGACGTTACATCGGAAGTCCCGCCGACATGCGAGTCTGCCAGGAAAGCGTTCGAAATTATCGGGATGTTCGCGCCATTGAAGCCGCCTGGGTGTGTGGGTTCATTGCCCTGCTATGAGAGGACACCTGAGAGCACCCTGGTCATCTCGGAAGAATACAAATCTCACGTCGCTGCGCTTGATGTGCTTTGCAAGAGCCGCTGGTGGTCGCGTATTTGGGTGGTCCAAGAAGCACTCCTCCCTGCCAATTCTCGATTCATGTATGCCCAAGGACATTGTCCGCTACCCATATTCGAGAAAGCTCTCCGCCGATATGAAATCCATGAACTAGGTACCTGCTCACAATGCCGGTTCGCAGCCATCCCTGCTTTTGCTGTGCTGCGAGAATTATCCTATCCATTCCAGAGATCCCATGCTTATGATGAGAGGCTCAAACTTCAATTTACAAGACTCTGTCAGAGGACGGCAGGCATGAAAGCTTCGAACCCAAGAGACCGTGTCTATGGGGTTCTGGGTCTTGTTCAGGATTGGGGCCGGAGTGGCCCTCTTATCCCGGACTATGGAGCGTCTGTTCAGCAGTGCCTTACGATTTCCTTCTCGAAAATGGCAGAACTCGACCTCACTGCGGTATTACAGGGCCGTAGGACTCTCTACGAACTTCAGGGGCTCCCTTCCTGGTTACCGGACTGGCTGGTATCTCCCCTTGATGGACAGAGCCTGGCAGAATATCAACAGACATCAGCATCCACGATCAGACATTCCAGCTTGACGCCATTTACCAATGGGTCCCATCTCATACATAATAATATGCTTATCGTCGAAGGTTTGAGAATAGATAGGTTGGAGAAAGTAGGGCCTTATTCCAACCTGCTCTCCCCAACTGACTATCATAATCTCATTTGCCAGTGGATGTCAATGGTTGGAATCAGTCGCTCCAGCTCATTCGATGATAGGCAACTACCAATCAACGAATTCTGGAGGTCAGTCACTCAGAGTGTATGGCCAGGTCTGCCTGGTTTCTGGGGCTCTGCTGAACCAAAAGATAGTCAAGCTCTCACACAGGCTCACAGCCAGGGTTTCGTGGAACGACCGCTCCCGGAAGACATTCAACTCGACGTTCTTATGAGGCTTTGTTGGAATAAAAGAATGTTTGTCACGAAAGAGGGCCGTCTAGGAATGGCTTACCAGGCAGCGGCTACAAAAGATGACGTTTTCATTGTCCTCGGGTGCAAATTGCCTCTGCTCCTTCGTCGAACTGGTCAACAGGTAATCCTTGATGGATACAACCATCCTTTATCCACATTCACTGTAATCGGTGACTGTTACATCGACGGTGTTATGAGGGACGAGTATTTTGAAGAAAACTGTGGCAACTGGCGGGACAGAGTGGAGAAGATTGCTCTTGCATGAATAGCCACTGTTCCCATGATTCTTGGGGTCCAATGGCTCTGCAAAACTCGTTTCCGTATATTCACCCAAGTCAAGGATCTGTAGCTGCTGCGTCCTACCCCGTTCGGTATCTCCTACGCCTCGCACATTGCATGATGTACTTTTCGCCCTACAGCGGGGCACTGCAGCCGCAGGCTGGCGCGAAGAATAGCAGGGCCTTAGAACAAAGGGTAACTACGGCTCATCAGGACAGACTATTTTTTATGACATTTATGAAGAATTATTCGACTTAAGCGGGCAGTTGAAGCTATCATCTGGACGTAAATGTCGAGTTTATAATTATACATTTACGTCCGGATGATAGCTTCAACTACACTGGGCCCGGCTCAGATACTCTCTCATCGTAGAACTGCACAGATCCACATGGCCTGCTATCATAAGTAGAGAAACACAACGCCTTTCCAGTCTAAACACTCATCCAAAATGTGGAACAAACAATGACCAATTGACTGTCGAGTAGGTCGATGCCGAGAGCATCCGCAAAGCAACGAATCCTTCCACAATGATGTAACTTCTCGCCAGAAAGTACAGTATAATTATAGGCAGGTGCTGCAAAAACGCAATTCCCGGAGTCATTATCGCCGTCAGGTCCATGGTCGTTTTTACTTCGTTGTTATGAAGCACATACTTTCCATACAAAGCAGCTCCACCCATTTCCCCCAACGTAAATGCGGCAAAGTACAGGGTCGACAGTCCGAGGAGAACAAAAGATGCTATGCGCCAAAGTATTCTCTCAGTCTCTGTTGGAAAGAAGAAATTCCAGGCGGCAAGGTGGATTCCGAAATACGATGAGACGTAGATGAAAGCGTAACCAAGGTCGCCGGGGGTGAGGCCCCTCGGAGGCGTTATCGTCGCATTGCTAAAGGTTTTGGCGGGTAACCTTTTAGGTGGCTTTCCCAGCTGCAGAAATCCAGCTCTGATGCCGAACATGAATGGCGCGGTCAAGCTGGTTCGAGATATAGGAGGATTCAAGCAGTCCAACGGAGTCTGTAAATATCGTTTTGGAGACTGCTTATTGGCTTCTTTGCTAATAATATCACGGAGACGGATTTCGCAGCGAATCTCGATGGGCTCTTCGACATCAAGCGGTTTGTGGAACCAGAAGAAGAGGGTCTGGACGGTGCAGAAAATGAATGACAGTGTCGTAAGTTCGAGAGTAGTCAAATCCAGCTGTTGGGCACAACGTGCGAAACACTGCACGGAAAACCAGGATATTTGTATGATCGTGAGCGCTCGAGCGAAGCTGTCGGCTTTATTCTTGTCCCAGATCGCTTTTTCTTTGATCGCGGGATACCGTATGTAGCGTTTCCTGACCAGGAAGGCTATCTGGTGGCCGCTGACGGGGAAACTCTTGAAGTCCGGGCAGGACAGGAGAATGCCGCCCATGTCCGCAAAGAAAGCATGTCGCATATTCCACGGCGCTTCTCTGATACGCCTGAGGTCTTCCAAGGTGGTTTCGAGTGGGTTGTCTTGGGATGATTTGTCTTGGGTTGTTTTGTCGTGGGATGCTTTGTCGTGAGATGTTTTGTCGTGGGATGCTTCTTCCTGGAGCGTTTCCCAATCCTTCTGAAGCTGGGTAAAATCTTCCACCGATTGTCGCGCACTTCGCCACTGCTCTGCGGCCAATCCGGTCAACATCTCGGGGAAGAGGATCGTAAAAGCCATCCATCTTGCTTTGTATAAGAGAAAGTGGAAGTGACCTGAGCCTCTGTCTCCCGGGACATTGAGGAAAAGCGTTGACCAGCTGCATAGGAAGGTAGTTATGACGCAGCTCCACAGGATGTCGAGAGTGCCGCGACCGTCGGGACCCCCCACCCATCCACGGGCAATGTCTATGGGAGACGTCGTCGCTCCGGCTTGAGATCCTACCAGGGAACACTGAAAGGCTGTGTATCCGGCTGATAAATCTGGCGAGGGTTTCGGCAGGGAAACTCGCGGCATCTCCGTCGTCCGCGGAGAAAATGGTGGCGCAGTCGACTTGGATAAGAATAAAGAACGGAGTAATGAGCTGTGTCAGCTTGGGTAGATCGTATGGCGCATCAGTGCGATTCAAGACAATATCTCGTAGAAATAATTGTTCACAGAGAGAGCGGAGAGCGGAGAGCGGAGAGGATTGCTTGCAACACTGTTTTGGGGCTAGCCCGCTAGAAATCATAAAGAGCCTCAGCTGAGGAATTGTGACTGTCAGCCAAGGACAGACTGGCGTGGGGCTGTCACGCCTCACGCGCAGCCTCGTGGTTCATCCGGAACCAACAGCTTACCAGTTCCAAACGCTATTTCAACTCGGTCAGACCTACTAGATCAATATTCAAGTAGATACATCAATCTGAGGAAATTTAGAATTCGAATAGTCAGTGTAAAGGAGTTGAGGATCCCAGTTTATATTATAATTTGGTATTCGTTTTTGTCTCTTATGCGATAGCAATAGATATCATGGCCATATCACTTCTCTGGCTTACGCCTCTTCCAACCATGAATTAACCCAAGGCCAATTGGAGACTAGCTCTTCTTATCGTCTTACGAGTTGGTCTCAGCCTGGACGCATCGCAGTCCCTAAATGGACCGATCTGCACACAAAAGCGCTTTTCGAAGAGAGAGGGCGCTAAGGCGTCTTCCAAAGATGCCGAGTGGGGGTTACCCTAGCGAACCATCTTCACTACAATGCGCCATGCAGTGGGGTCCGAAGCTGTGGACATGCAAGGCTGCGCTTCGCGGACCGTTGCTTACGCTCGTGACCCGGCGCCTCGTTTGCCTACAGGATGAAATTACACAGCATAGAAGCTGAAAATCAAAATATTTCGGCATTTTAAAGACTCGAAAGCACCAGCTCTCGAGGCTGATGCCGTGCACTTCATAGCTATATGTAATCTATTATGTCAGCTTTCCTCGGGCATTTAAGGCGTATCTACGTCCCCGCACGCTGTCCTACTCCAGCCTCCTCATTTTTCCCTGCCACACGCTTCAGACGGATTTCGAACAACGCAACCACACTCAAAAGTTCGGGTGCCATGGAAGAACATGAAAAACAGGTCGCGGCCATTTCTGCCAAAGTTCGAGGCTTCCGCGAACAGGGGGTCAAGTTTCGCATCTCTCATGGCTCCACCAACAGCACGAGGCCTTCCGCCACGAGGCGCGACCACAATGTCATTGATTTGAGCGCCCTATCTCGTGTTCTCAAGGTCGATAAGGAGTCTCGTACGGCATGGGTTGAGCCGAATGTACCGATGGACCGATTAGTCGAAGAGACGATGAAGCACGGGCTCGTCCCTCCCGTGGTCATGGAATTTCCAGGCATCACGGTAGGCGGCGGGTATGCTGGTACGTCTGGTGAAAGTAGCTCATTCAAGTAAGCCTCCTTTCTTTCGAGCGGCCTGGCGTATACTAACGTGACAGGCACGGCTTCTTCAACCGCACGATCAACTGGGTCGAGATGATCCTTGCCAGTGGAGAAGTCGTCAGGTGCTCGAGAACAGAGCGAGCTGATCTTTTCCACGGAGCAGCCGGCGCAGCGGGAAGCCTTGGTACCACGACCCTGGTGGAGCTCCGGTTGAAAGAAGCCAAGAAATTCGTCGAAACGACGTACCACCCAGTATCAAGCGTTGCCGAAGCCGTTGCCAAATGCAAGACTCTGATCGAAGACCCAACGCTCGAATACGTGGACGGAATACTCTTCTCGAAGACCCACGGGGCCATCATTACCGGTCGTCTGACGGACAGTCCTGCCGATGGCGTACCAATCCAATGCTTCAGCGATGCCAAAGATCCATGGTTCTACCTCCACGTCAAAGAGCGTACGCGCACCAAGTCCGAGTCCGTCACCGAAGCAATCCCCCTCGCCGAGTATCTCTTCCGGTACGACCGGGGCGGCTTTTGGGTAGGAGAATCGGCCTTCGACTACTTCTACTTCCCCTTCAACGACTTCACCCGCTGGTTCCTGGACGACTTCCTGCACACGCGGATGCTGTACACGGCCCTCCACGCAAGCGGGCAGTCGAAACAATTCGTCGTCCAGGACCTAGCGCTGCCTTTCTCCTCAGCAGAACAATTCATCGAGTACACGAGCGACGACCTAGGCATCTGGCCGCTCTGGCTCTGCCCCCTGAAACAGAGCCCTGCCCCCACGCTGCATCCGCACAACTTCAACATGGTCGAAGCCGGCGACGGGACGACGCTCCAGCCGCTGCTGAACGTCGGCGTGTGGGGCAAGGGCCCGACCAACCACGACGCATTCGTCGCGCTCAACCGCAAGCTCGAGGACAAGGTCCACGAGCTCGGGGGCATGAAGTGGCTCTATGCCCACACGTACTACGCCGAAGACGACTTCTGGAAGGACTTTGATCGCGGGTGGTACGAGGCGCTGCGGGAGAAGTACGGGGCGGCGTCGTCGCTGCCGAGCTTGTACGAGAAGGTCAGGGTGGACGTCGATGCGGAGAAGAGCATGATTGCGTCGTCGTGGCCCATGTATATCCGAGAGACGTGGCCCATCAGCGGCATCTGGGCGCTCGCGAAAGCTATCCAGAGCGGGACGTATTTGCAGGCGAGGAACTCGACGTGGAAATGGCCTCGGTAGTTGTTTGAGTGTTCAGGGTAGATGTGATAGCTATTTGTGCTGTACGATGAGATGATTAGCCCCTTTTCAAATGAGGTTGGAATTCTGTTGAAAGCTCAGTGATCCGTTGGCAGGTACATTCAAGCGGCGTATTGCAGCCGACTGCTAGCGTGAATTTATTTTTCGCTCATGCCATGGGTAGTTGAAGCTATCGTCCGGACGTAAATGTGGAATTAATAATTATACATTTACGTCCGGACGATAGCTTCAGCGACCCATGTTTGTTCTTATTCTTCTTTTTAAGAAAAAAGAGAGGAGGCATACTTGCGCTATGTTGTAGACCATGTTATTCTTCGCGCCAACCATCGGCTGTAGTGCCCCTCCGTTACTAGCTCCGTTTCTCGCGGCAAGGACATGCCTGCGGTCATAGTACATACTGGTCGGCTGCGGCGTAGGGGGCGCGGATGTGCGCTTGCACCGTGCTGTGCGAGGATCCGCCTAGCTCCGTCGTCGCGGGGGATGCCTCCGTATACGGTCGAGGTTGGTGGACGTCAAAGTGGTTTGGAGGCTGGTAAGGCGCGGGGACGCGGGACGGAACGACCTACATGGGGATCCTGGGACGGCTCTGCTTGATGTCAGGGATTTTGCTAGCTGTGCGACAGATTCGCTGCATTATGCGTGATACCATGACGTTATCCGTCGATCAGTGTGGATGTGGCAGCGGTTGCTTACTGCGATCGGGCACCGTCTGGGCATAATCTCATCAACGGCCGCCGCTCAGAAATGCATCGGACTTCCGCTTCCGTTGTAGACCGCTCGTATGGCTCTAGCACTTACTTTACTAGTCGAGTCAATGCATAGCGCTGCACAAGGCCACCTTTCAGAAAACCGACTGTTACCCTTTCCAACATCCCCGCCTCCGTCTGCATACCCTGCAGCCCAAAAACTCTCTCCATTCATTGCAGCGTTCAATCAACTGCTTTGGTAACCTTGATGGGTGTTGTGAAGTAGTTTGCCATCTTGTATTTGCTCTCGGTGCAGATGAGAAGGTGGCAAAGCCCATATTGATCTCGAATCAATACATAGTTGGGCTTCTGCTGGTAGTTACGTTATTGAGGATGAAACCGACCACGTACTGTTGGTTTGCTAGATGTACGGGACAAGCTGAAACTGGCATTGATGACAGCTGCGTTTGTGTGACCCCGGAAGTACACACCCACGGCCCCGCAATGCGCTCCCTTCCGTGATGCACCTCCATTCTAACGCTGAGGAAATCTAGCATCGATAGTATAATGCATCAGTCTCTGAAGCATATCTTCATTCAGCTGGTTATTCCTTGGCTTTACAAATTTGACTCTGACACTCTTAAGATGGAAACAGTAACGAACATTTTCCTGGGCTGGCAGCCTGTTGATCCACCTGAAAAAAGTATATAATAATTAGTACTATGATGGCTATCTTCACGAACGGACTTAGCGCACGCCGACACGGCTGGCCCGTTCAATTTGAGGTGCTTTGGAAGGTGCCAATTCGATCAGTTAGACGAATGGGCCATTGCGATATTTGCTCTAGAGATCACCTTCCAGCTGCATTTTCCTAGCTTGCAGTTGGCAGTCTTAGAAATAACCCTTGCGTAAGGAGCTGGGAGAGCCGACGTCTCCCGATGGCCGCCTCAGCTTTCAACACCTCCTGGGTAAAGATCGACAGCTTGTATCACTGATCAGCCAGCCCGCAGAGCTTCGTTTTTCTGTCATGATTTAGACATTATTTCTTCTTTGCACATTCTACCGCACCAGTATGCATCACCGGCTCCACAACGACAAGAGGGTGCATCATGCAGGATGATGCGGCTGAGACAAGGAGGGAGAATGACCTGCGGATCAAAGATGCGGGGTGCAGAGGCGATCACGATAACGCTCCCGTATAAAATTCTATATGCGGCAGAGGATTTTCCCGTTGTGTTGGGGCGAGCCGCAGCATCTTGCCGCTGTGTTCCGCTCCATTTTACCAACCTCGAGGCTTGGCATACCCGAAAACGGACCCCCGGGCTGTTCTCACGCTACACAGCATCTCAACTCCCACCATTGATGTCACTAATTTTGTTCTTTTTTTTTTCATAGAGAATCAATTTCATGGCAGACACTGATCATGGACTAAACGTGTTTTCCACTGCGTTATAAGGCGAGACTACTGTACGTAGACATTTTCGCCCAATGCACCGCGGTGGAAGTTCATATTACGGAGATCACTGATAGCGGTTTGGCAGGAGCCATCATGCGTCTGATCAACGCTACGGCTGATATCATACATGTCGGTGTAAACTCCGAAACACAAAAAAAGAACTCATTACCTAGGGAATCGGCCGATTGATCTTCGACATACGTAACGAGACGAAAATTCCGCTATGTTCCACGATTTTCAGAAACAGGCCCGCACGATTCATTCTGAGAAAATGTGTCTCGCGATCAGGATCTGTGTGAAAGGACTCCATTTCCAGTAAAAGCTCTTTTAGGCAGTGAGCAGTATGCAAGTGGGTGGGAGGACATGTCCAGAATTGGGTTTATAATGCGCGGAGATGATGACATGGTAGCTACTTACAAGCCTCTGATATTTACTTTTGCAAGACTGTTGGGGCAAATGTCCGGGGTGGTATATGCTACACCAACATTCACCCAAAGGACCTAACATCGGGCTCGCACCAGTGTTGTATGTAAGCGTGTTCCCCGCAACATAACTCCAAGAAGGGATATGCAGCTAGATAAGTACGCTGATGATGATGATGCTAAGGCCAAGAATGTGCATTTGAATGCAAGTTGCTCTCTTGGTATCTTGCCACCAGATTGCGTATAAAGTCACGTCGAGTGCTGCTGTTTTCTCGCCAACGCAACACCTCCAAGCAATTCACATCATCTTTCAGACAATCCAACCCAAATGACTATGGCATACAGCTCCATCGAGGTCGCTGACCTCCCAAGCCTCAACAGCTTCCACATCAACACGACGCCCGAATGGAAGCGAACTCTCCTCTCCAAGGCTTCCGTCTTCAGAGACTGCGTCAAGACCAACAACTTCGCCGACATCTACTACTTTTCCATCCTCGTCCCTCCCAAGACCAACCGCAAAGCTTTCTACAGTTCTTCAACCGACGACACTCTCCCCGATGACGTCAAGTACGAGATGAAGTCCCTCGGCGAAGCCACATTGACCAAGGGCAAAGAAGCCGCCGACGACTTCAAGACCACGACGGCGCAGCTCAAAGTGGAGAACGCGGGCCGCGAGAAGTGGCGCGAGAAGGTACAGGCGACGGGGCAGACCGCCAAGGAAAAGTTCAACGAGGCTGTTGACAATTGGGTGGACAAGACCATCGTTGCGATCGAGGAGCTGCCCGAGGATCAGCGCGAGGCGGCGGCGGATTTCTGGGGCCTCGTGTCTAACGGCGTCATGGCGGCGTTGGGCGAGGTGTTCAAGTTCTTTCAGATGATCGTGCAGGCGGTCGTCGACTGGGTGGTCGACATGTGGGAGAAGGTCAAGGAGTTTTTTTCGACTATTGGGGATGCGATCAACACGGGCATCAATTGGATCAGAGGCCTTTTCTAGGCAAGGAGCACCTGCCACATCTTGGTTTTCACTCTTTTTGTTTTGTCTGCCACTTTTGAGCTAAACTTCATCGGCACTGAGTTTCATTCGTTCGTCACCATTCACAGTTCGATGTTATACTAGGATCCTTAGGGATTGATCTTCAGCGGCATTCGCTTATATCAATCAATCATTTTGCTCTTATACGTGATATATTCACATGGCGGGTGATTCTGAAAACGAACGAGAAGACAGCATCTCTGACTAAGAGACAACCACCGCCGAAAACCATCCAACAAACCCGCCACACTACACACTACCCCCATCCGTAAACGCCTCCGTCCAACTCGACACAGACCTCGAGTCCTCCCTCTCCAGCACGCGCGTCTCCACCGGACCTTCCTTGTTCTTCTCCCTCACCCTCCTAACAGAGTCCCCTCTCCCCGCCACGTCCAACCTCGCCGCAACACCCAGCACCGGCGCCTTCAGCCGCGGATGCTCTGGCTCGTCTAAATCCAGCACGCCGAGCAGATCGTCGCCCTTTTCGGTCGTGGGTATCTCCTGGTCGCAGGCTTTCCAGGTGCCTAAGCCGAGCTCTTCGTGGGCCAGGCGCTGCAGGTGGAGCGTGTCGTTTGCGCACCACTCCAGCCGCGCATAGTCGCTGGCGTCGTTGTTATTGTTCTGGCGCCTCTTTTTCCGCTGCCAGCAGCCGACCAGCGGCTCGAGGAGCCAGGAGGTGAGGATGATGGCGCCGCCGACGGCGTAGATGAAGGCGAGGCCGAAGACGGAGAAGTTGCTGTAGGCGGTGCTGAGGATTTTCTGTTCGAGTAGTGTGTCAGTTCCCATCGCCCAGCAGCCATCACCCTCGAAAGTGATCAGAAAGGAAGAGAAACAACTTACCTGATTCCCACACAACCCCTCCGCCTCCGTCGTATTCGGCTTGACGACAAACTTCTCCATCCCGCCACCACCCCCGCCCCCGCCCGTTACCGGCCCCGTCGCCGTATCCACCGCCCTCCCCTGCATCGCCGCCAAGCTGACCGCATGCCACCTCTCGACATCCCTCTGCCACTGATCCACTCCCAACGGCCCCTGCATCCCGTAATTCAAGCCGTCGCGGCTGGCCAGCCCGCCATTGCCCCCCAGCGCCGCCGGCACGCCAGCCAAACTCTCCGCATCCACCAGCGACGCCCACCTGTACCAGTCCAGCGCATTCCTCTCCGCGTCATCAGCCACGATCCCCGCCACCCCCGCGTTCACGTCGAGGTAGCCTGAGAGAGGCGTGCACCGCCCCGAACGCGGATTGCACCACTGCGCGCGCGCGACGCAGCCGAGCGCGGCGGCGGGCTCGGTGCGGTAGTAGAAGGGCACCGCGCGCATCTCCAGGCCGAGCCCGTCGGCACCGGTCGCGGGGATGTAGTAGTGGCCGCCCGGCACGTCGGCGTGGTACCACGGGTCGGAGACGGGGGCGGTGTAGGCGATGTCGTTGGCGGAGAGGAAGAGGAGGGCGATGTCGCCGGCGGGCTGGTTGGAGGGCGTGAGGGCGGGCAGGGGGAAGAAGGAGGAGTGTGGGGCGGTGGTGTTAGATATGGTCCAGGCTTCGACGGAGCTGTGTGGTGGGTCAGTGATGGGGGAGGGGGAGGGGGGGATTGGGAGGGGGGAGGAAGGAAGAGGGGGGAGGAGGGGACGTACCCGATGCTGTAGTCCGCCGCCGCGCTCAGCGTCTTGCGGTCGGCGGCCTGGAAGCGGTCGAGCAGCGGGTACTTGTACGTCGCCGTCTCGTTGAGGTCCGAGTTGCGCGGGCCGTAGTAGTATTTGGCGTACGCGGTGGAGAAGAAGTTGGGGTCGCCGCCGTCGGGCGCCGTGTAGTTGGAGATGTTCCGGTAGCCGTCGGCGACGAGCGGCGCGCAGTGCGTCGTGCGGCGGTACAGGAAGCGGCGGTTCGGCGGCGCGTTGAAGCCCAGGTCGGCGTGCGTGTCGAGCAGGCCCGTGTCGAAGAAGATGTTGGCGTCGGGCGTGCGGCACATCTCGGCGCTGAAGGGGCACGACGCGTTGCGCGTGATTTGGGCTTGGAGCTGCTTGGTGACGAAAGTGTTGCACTGCTGGTCGTTTGCGTTGGCGTTGTTGCTGCTGTAGCACTGCTGCGCGTAGTTGGCGTAGGACGACATGCGCTTGGTCATGTATGGCCAGTAGATGGTCAGCTGCTCGGTGATGTTGTTCGAGATGGCTACGGGTGCCGCGCAGTTTGCGCTGGATATCAGCACTTCGTTGCCCATTGCCGTCGACACTCTCGACGAGAAGCCGCTTGCTGCCCCGAATCCGTACACGACGAGCATGGCTAATGTGATGACTGGGAGTATCCGTCGGACCGGCTTGGTAGCGTTGCTGCGCCAGGCGAGGAGCATTTGCAGTGATCTGATGAGCCCGCTCATGCCGTTGGCTGAATTGCGTAGTGTGGCTTGTCGTTGATGGTATAGTGCATCGCGAGCTTCGCCCGACGAGTACAGACTGTGCATGCCAAAGCATGCAATTCTCCAGAAGCTCGTGCCGATAAGAGTGACGAAAAGAGCGGTAAAGGCAATGAGGAGATCACCCTGCCGTCGAGAAAGTGTGAGCGTGAGGCCCATCACTTTTCCGTGGGACCAGTTCGTCCATACACCACGATAAATGGTGTAGAGGGACTCAGTCTCGGTCTGTGCAAACGAGTCCATTTTTCTGAAGACCTCGAAGCTCTGGCTGAGATGTGGTGCAAAGATGGAGCATTAAATGGCCCTGTTGTTGGCCAATCATTTCCGCTTGTAGAAGGTCGCGATATTCAGTGCACAGCCGGAGCCTCTTCCTCAGTCGGTCGTAGCTTCAACGGCCATGGAGTACTGAACCATGGAATCTGCAGACACCGTCAGCACTCTGCAGATATGTATACCAAAAATTACCCGACACTCGCATCGAGGCGAACCCTCCGGCCGAACCTTGCAGGGTATGAGAAGCCATTGGCAGCTATTTATGCTTTCCATTCGAAGTGTCACGACCATTTCAGCAGAGCTAAACCCTTCCACGGACAAATCGAGACGGCACGTCTTGTGCGAGCGCTTGCTGAAACGCTGTGCGACTCATCTCGACGTCTGGTGGCAATGGTATATTGCATATTTCCCGGTTCCCGATATAGTGGGGGCCGTGGTTTGTGGGGGCCGTTTACCCCTCGAACCTAGAGCGCGATAAGGTTCAGACCTATCACTGGAGGTACCATCACATGCTCCTTAGCTGCATATCAGGATTTAGAAACAGATGGTACCACTAAGGTTAGCACCATGATTTTCGACGAGGGACTTCAATTATTGGATATCTACACCCATTTATAGCATGCGCCACCACATCGCCCAGCCAATACAAGTCAATCTGCCTTTATCCGACTAGACCGAAGTCTTGAAATGGTAACATCCGTCGAAAAAGGCGGTGTCGCTGTGTACAAGCACGTGATACTGAATGTCGATGACGCATGCCGCTGCCAGGCACGGCTTAAGCCGTACCTGCTTTGAACGCCACTGTTTTAGAATCCTTGTCCATCATCTACCCGACATCGCAATCACCTCAGACATTTGGAATGTCATCAAATGCTGAAGAACGCAAAAGGATAACGATTAGTGAGTAGTGGTGATGTACCACTGCCAAACGACCTAGCTAAACCTAATCGGGAAAGAACAATGCCGTGGTGGTAATAGGGGAGCAACCCAGGCAAACAGAACAAGCGATCAGCAAGCCGTTGGCCTCACTTCAAAGCATTCTCGGAGGGCCACTTGTCAAATATCAAAAAAGTTATCTGGTTGTTTATGAAATCTGATGTTGATCAAGTACAGGATGAGGAGATGCAAAACCTGAAATCACCATTATTAGCTATCAATTCCATAATACGCCTTGTTTAGAAGCGCAACAGCCCTCTCCCTCGCAGCATTCCCGATTCCCTTGAATCCCTTCGCGTGGCCTAAAGCCCTCCTCACTTCCTCTGCATTCTGTCGCATCTCGTCGCGGCTCAGCAGATACTGCACAATATCCACCGCCCCAGATATGGCCGCAGCACAAAGCGGCGTCATATTGTACCGGTCGGGCGGCGGTGCGGCGGACACGCGGCCGGTGCAAAGCAAGCGTTTGCACATCTCCAGCTTCTTTCCGCGAGCCGCTTCCTGTAACGGAGTTCGGCCGGCGAAGGTCGGCAGGTCGGGGTTGACCTCTGGAACGTTGTCCAGCAGAAGCGTAACGACCTCCAAGCTCCTACTCTCCACTGCCATGTACAGTGCAGTTTTACCGTCGTGATGATGCCTTCGGTTCGGATTGGTCCGCGGGTCCTGCAAAAGCATGCGGACCAAGTCGACTTCACCGGATATGGCTGCCGCGTGCAGCGGCACCTCGCGCGGGTCGTCCGGATTCAGATCGAGGGCGCTAGATGCCAGCAGATCTCGAGCGAAATCGAAGTAGTGTATGGAAATGGCCATCGCGAAGGCGTCGTTGGGGTCGATGTGGTTGGAACGAAGGATAGATAGCACGGCGGCTCTGTGTCCACGGTCCGCTGCTTGCTTCAGGGCTTTCCTGCCCAACGCGTCCCGGATGTCGGGGGCAAATCGGTTTGAAAGCAGCAGGCGTACCAAGCGCAGGTTCCCTAATTTGGCCGCCCGTAGCAGCGGGCTTTCTCCAAACATCCGGCTTCGAAGAGTCGTGTCCCCTGATACAATTAGGGATGAAAGTAGGCCTTCGTCATCAGTGTCAACGGCGTAGTGCAACGGTGTTTCCCCCTTGTTGTCGGCAATCTGCGGGTCGGCCCCTGCTGCGAGTAGTTCTTGAACCATGGCCCGGCCATTCGGACTCGAGACCACTGCATGGAACAGCGGAGTCCTGCCGTGCGCGTCGGTTGAGTTTACCATAACACCACCTGCAAGAACATGTCGCAGGAGTCCTATATTCTCCTTCCTAATCGCATAATGGACGATTGTTCCCTGTGGGCCATAGGATTCGTTTCGACCAGCGCCGGCAGCGAACAACATCTTCGCAATCTCTATATCCTCGCGTTCGAGAGCAAATGCCATCGGGGTCTTCCCGTCTTCGTCGCTGATGTCCACATCAACGCCTAATTCGAGCAGTTGCTGAATCAGCGGTATATCCCGTCTCTCTACAGCTATATGGAGCGATGTTATCGATGACGAGGACGGGCCTAAGAGCTCTATCTCAACATCCTCGTTGTTCAAGAGTTGTTGAACGATTTGATCGTGGTTTTTGATCAGCGCGTAATAAAGCGGAGTCCGGTGATGAGCGTCTTCGGGATCGAGTAATCTTCCGTCTGCTTCGACTTCTGGGGAGTTGAGAATATGGTTGAATGCGCTGCTGATTCCCAGCTCGCACAACAGGTGAATGAGCCGAGAGCCCTCAACTGGCCAATCGAAACGCCATTCGTTATTGAGGAAATCGACCACGTCAGCAAGGTCAGCCCATTTCCCGACTATGGCCTCGTCTGACGGCCATTGGAAGAGGCCGAGGAGATCCTGCTGCGAGATCCCCTCTGCCTCAACTTGGGCAATGTGCCATGGAATGGAGAATATCGCATAGCGCGCAAGAGGGAAGGCCTCATCCAACACCCGCTCGGCGTGGAAGCCCTGGTCTCTATCCTGTTTCCGCGGGGATTCTGGAAACCTGTAATGCAGAACCTCGCGCAATGTGAGATATCGTATGCAGGAACGCGATATCTCGAAATGTGCAAGCCCTCTAGCCTTCTGCTCTGAGCATGATGCATCGTCCATCGTTTTCTTCTGTAAGTTCTGTAGTCCGCACTGGAGGAGGTAGTCTGAGACAGATTGGTGGATGAATTGTGCGCGGTTGTTGATGATTTGCACGAGGCCCTTTGAGAGGTGGTTTACTTTGATCTCCAGTTGGTCCAGGTCGTCTGCAAAATCGTCTCCATCCTGGTACTCCGCAATTGATTGATGAGACATAGTGGCGTCTATTGCCATAACATGCCGGAGTTGTGTTGCAGTCAGTGGGTATTGCGAGAAGCAGAGCCACTGAAACAGTTTAAGCGTAAGTCCATGTTCATCTTCAGGCACCTTGCTTAACAGCTCGGCGTAAAGCCGGTGCAACTCAACCGGAATACCTTCAATATGCTTCTGAATGACCCGGCGCCGCGCACCTTGGAATTGTAATTTCAAGGCTTGAGATGCCACCAGCACTGCCCACTGGAAAACGCCATTTGCCCTTTCAGATATTTTTCCGGCGATAGCGATCCTCGAATCGTCTGTAAACCCCTGTAGAATTGTATCTAATATCGAGCGGATATCGGACGAGTTTTGCTTTTCGACGCAAATGGTATTGCTCTTGGTAGCGTTCAGTGAAGGGTAATAGCGGCATGCGAAACAGATCCTCAGATGGCACCCGGAGTTTCGAGCTTGCAATACAAGGTTTCGAGCGTACAGAACAAGACTGGTAGCAGCATCCGATCCACACTCGTCCAGTGCATCTACGCATAGGGTGATGGGGCGGCCCCGCGATGCTTTCAGAACTATTGATGCAATTTTATCGCGGAGCTCGTCTTCCCCCCAGGTCCAATCTTGCCCAGGTAGACCTTTTTGACGGCATCGTTCTTCAAATCTCTCCGTCAAACCGGCCAGATACTGAGGCATCTTTGTCAACAATTGGTGGAGGAGCGACCTGTACAAGCCAACCGCTGATTTCTGCATAGCCGTGCCTCGTCCATGGAAGAAGTAGGAAGCAACGATCTGCGTAGAATCGCCGCTCTTGGTCTCCAGGTCATCAACGATGAATTTCATGACCGTGGATTTTCCAGCACCAGGAGTACCTTGCACCCATAGCAATCCGGCGCATTCGGAAAGCCACTTCACGTAGTCCGGATGTTCTAGAACCCAGGTACACGTTCCATTGTTCTTCGCGGTGATGACTTCACCCTGGCGTTGCAGCTGTTCCACAAAAGCAAGAGACTCTAAACAAGCTGGTTGCTGATGAGCTGACCTTGGTTCTGGAAGTGACGGAGGACGATGTACTTACCTTCCTGTTGGTAGGAACGCTCTTTATTGTAGAAGGGCTCTAGAGCTTGGTGTTAGCAATGCTATGTTTAAGATAATTCCGCTCCATGGCTACCGGGAAACATGCCGGTGGTAATATCTTGATGCCGAGTCTGAACAACTTTTTGGGCACTTGTATGCAAATTCCTTAGACAAGATAGTACCTCCAGGTACGTGAGATCATCTGGGCCCTTGAACTTCACCATATCAGAGTGAGTCTCATTGATTGGGTGAATGAATGGGATCTCCTTCTCATGGGGAAAGCGACCGTGTGTAGCCGATTCCCTCTCCACCAGAACAGTGTGAGGGCCGCACATTGACCATTTCCCTTCTTCCTGTTAGTATCAAAGCAAGTCAGCAATACAGTGACCGATTTTATGAAGTCGTAGTTTACCTTGGAAGCTGTGGGCGACTGCTTTGTCTCATAGAACGAAAAGACCTTTGAATCTTTGAATGGAAGCGCATTTTCGAACTTCTCGCATTGAGAGCGCAACATCTCAGAACTCGTACTGAGCGTCTGTAGTAAAGCTTCATTCGGGTTTTGCCGGGTCATAGGAAGTAAAGATTCCACGGCCATTCCCCTACTAGGGGCTCCGAACATGAGGATGCCTACAATAGATCGTAAATTTGTTGCATCGGCCTCCATTACTTTCTCGCCCGCCATTTGAATGATTGCCTGGAAAGACATTTAACAGTAAGCTTCGAGGAGCATCTCGTGAGACGTACCTCTTTGACAACAATGCCACCCAAGCTGTGTCCCATGAGCACCAAGGGACGTTCGAGGTTCGATGACTAAATCGCGGTTCTCAGTTTTGCAAGTAACGAGATGGGACAAGGCCACCGACTGGAGAAGCGTCTCTAATGGTGCGGAGGGCTCCACGAAAGGCTATGCCAATGTCAGAGATGGTCTGAAACGACCGACTTTCCAGGAGCGATGTGTCATATCCATAGGTGAATATTCGAACTCGGGGTAGATCGTGCGGAAGAGAATCTCGGATCCACATGAAAGAGCCGCCTCTTTCTTTGAAAGACCCAAATGCATGACCGTTAAGACCGGACAGAGCAACGACACTATTTGCAACATTAGACTGTGAGAAATTGACAGGTGAGCAGTTGCTTACTCAATCGTGCAAGATGAGTCTCCTTGGTCGTGATAGGGCGTGAAACCAAGAAAGTGCGTGTCGAACGTCAAGCATACACTGCCTTCGGCAAGCGATGGGACCTCAAACCTCCATTCGTTTCTTGGCTGATCGTTGTTGTCTTGAGTAGATAAAGCTTCTGGGTCTGCTTCGAAGGAAACAGTAGCGATGAACTCCCGAGGATTGATTGGACATGGCGCAATGGAAGCCACGCGCACAGAATCCGGCTTGTCGAGGTGGAAGAGGTGGACAATGATATTCCGTAAAGCTCCCTTTGCGGAACACCAGTAGGGAACGTGACGAACTCGAAACGTCTTTCTGGAAGCCGGCGGTTTGCCTGCTGCTGAGTCATGGCGAGTGACATGGCGTCGTTTTGATGGACCGTTATCATCTTGTGCGCTGTCTTGCCTGCGTTTTCTGCCCCAGTAGCCGTGGGAATCAGATGAATCGAGCATGACTTATTCAGCCTCACTGGGCTTGAGACGAGAAGAGAATCAGATGGAGGCGCCCAGCTTCGCGCCTCTTACACGCGCGCGAGCGCATAGACATTGTTCGGTTCGGCCTGGCGGGATGATGAATGGCTCAAGAAAGGGACTCGAGGATGGCTTCGTGAGATAATGGAGATAGCCAGAATGAGCATGCTGATTGACAGAAAGACGAGTGTGTAGAAGTCAGGAAGCAGGCTGAAATGGCGGGGCAGATCACGTGGATGTGGCTGTGGATCCGCAATACTGCTGCCTGAAATGCGCCTGCAGAGCATCTTCGTTGAAGCAGTGGAAGCTGCTTTCAAAAATACAGAAATTCACACAAGCACAACATCTTACCAGACACTCTTCTATATTTCCTAAATACTTACCCAGTCCGCGATATGTATGAGCGACTGTTGGCCCTTCACGACGCGCTGCCATCTCCGGCAAACCAACCCCGATCGCGAGATCCCTCTATACGCATCGCGTCTCTGTAGCTGGTGGTGTTGATTAGCGGACTGCAGAGAGCCGCACCGGGGCTGCAGAGCGATTCACACGTTTCGGACAAATCTGCTGTGCACTATACTTTAATACTCGGTATTTTCTCATACGTCTGTAGATGAACACGGTTTATTTTCTCGGTGAAACGGGGATTAAATTTTCAAGTATATTATATCCGCACATCGGGCCCCTCTACATGTATAGGTATGGACGGTCAAAGTAACGATGGGGAAGCCTCTGAGTGGGAACCCGTACGATGATCCGGGCGCAGAGTACGAAGATCGACGGGGCTATAGGCATGTGCCGGACGTGCACTTCGACAAAGTTCTAGGCACACAACAAGCAAGAGAAAAGGTGTGGAACCAAAAATTTACAGTTATTGGCTACGGACAAGAAGAGTAATACGGCCGATTTCGGTCGTAGAGAACCTCAACAGAGCTGTAGATCAGTGATTCGTACTACGTAGCCTGCGGGGTTTAAAAAAAAATTAAGGCTATTCGGAAGACCCCGATACCGTATGGCGCTCTATTAGAGTAGTGTGGGGGTTGATCGAAGGTAAGTTCCGCGGTGCAGCTGCGCATGTGACCTTCCCTTTTAGAGAAGCACATTAAAATGATATTGCGCCATTGCCGCCTTCACGTACGACCATAGGTCGCAGAGAACAGGGCTTCCCGTCCGCTCAGCCGCTACTTAAGCTGCGAACCGGCCGATTAGTACTCAAGTGGGTGACCATTGGGGAATCCCGGCTGTTGTACGTTTTGACATTTTTGTTGGTGGGTGCCACCATTTTTCTTTTTCGTGGTGGTGCAGGATCGCAGATCCGGCGGAAAGCGAAGGCCACCTTGCCGCCGACCGACATCGGGCCGCCGCTCTGCGAACTGATCACTCCCGAAGGCCCGCAACGCCGGTGAAGGCAGTGATTATCTTTTTCCCCATCCAGTCCCTGCGATCCGATATGTGCGTAAGTAGGGTGCGGAAGCGCACGGTGATGGCTACCACTTTTGATCGAGTAACCACTCGCGCGGGCTCGCACGTGGGTGGTGTGGACCGAGTATGTATCCTCGGACATAAGGCAATGTGGCAGGTGGAGAATTGGTCGGCATGTGTACCGGAGTGAGCAATGATGCAGTCATCACTTGGTCTAGCCCTGTGAATTGCTTTTGTGGGGTCGTATGATGGCGGGAGCGCTTACCTCTTGTTGATTGATGTTTAGTGATAGATGATGACAGCGTGCATAGGAAGGAAGAGTTCACGGAGTGCAGACAGGCAACAGTTTCAAGTTGTGCGGTCGATGGCACTGAAAAATTTCAAATATTTACATTAAAAAAAATCACAACGCTGCGTCTATTGTTTGCTCGCTCTTACGGCTATCCTGTGTAATGCAACCTCCTCACTTGTAGACCCTAACTTTTTTGACGTTAATGACGTGTGGATATCGCGGAGAAGCGGGCGCATGATGGGAATGCACTGCACTATAATGGTGCCCACGACTTCTGATGAGTACCAGATGTTGGAGTGGGCGTTGCGCTCAAAGTAATAGCGGTCCTTGTCGTTTCCTTCGTCCTTCCAGCCCGTCCTGACGGCTGACACGATGGCGACGATCATACCCTGGCATTGGTTAGCTGTATTCTGCGCGAACTCGGAGGGGAGAAAATCACTCACCAGACTCATGGTCAGGCAGAGACCGACCTTTTCTGCCTTCCGCATGTCCAGGTTCCACGTGATGAACCACGGGAACACTGCGAAGACAAAGTCCATGATGATGTTATAAACTGGCGGCGGTCAGTCGACGGCGAAGAGTCGTAGTAGCAGGTCTAAACTCACCATTCCCGCCCTCCTTGAAATTATCGCGAAAGGTCCAGCCGATGCAGAAGTTGAGACGGTACCAGACGTCGTAGCTCGGCTTGTCGCACACCTTGGCCCATTGGAAGATGCAGCGGAACAGGGCCCACAGGTTCATGGTGCCCATGCAGAACCACAGCCCCCACTGCTGGTAGCCCTTGGTCAACTTCAGCAGAGTGACGGCAAAGGCGGTCTTGGTCCAGGCCTGGCCGATGACGGTGCCGCACGAGGTGATGTTGATGAGGATGTGCATGCGGTCATCCCACGTCTTGGTCACGTATCCGGTGGCATATTCGACGCTGATGATGGCGTTGTTGGCGGTGAGGACGATCTGGCGGACGACAGTGAGCGAAGTGCTCTCGGAGTGAGCATTTTCGGTGGCTGGCTCACCCAAGAGAGAAGCAGAATGTGGTCATCCCACCACAGGCCGTGGCGGCGGGTGACTTTGATCCAGATCCGGAGGGCGAGGAACGCGGTGGCGCCGGCGTACAGCGTCCACAAGCCAATGTTGAGCTCGGTTTGCGGGTTGACGTAGTCTTGGTCGAGTTCTTCTTTCCGCGGGATGATCATCTTCACATTCTGGGCCAAGGGCATTCGCCTGCGAAACGGAAGGGGCCCCAAGAGGCGTTCACAGAAGCGTTTAAGATATAGCGGTTGTTTGCCTGGACGGGAGAAATCAAGAGAGAGAAGACGTGAATCCTTGCGGGGAAGCGAGCGTTGAAAAAGCGGCTCTGAGACGCATGGCGCCAATCAGTCGATGGCCCGGGAAATGACGCCTCCTGGAAACGAGGCCGGAGGGCTGGCCTCGTCGCACCAGGACGGGTGCGCGTCCGAGACTCCCTTGGTGTTCGGGCCAGGGTCGAAAAACGGGTGTTAGTCCTGGCCTGTCTCAGGGCGCGACAACGGCTGCTTGCGGCCACCTCATTGGGCAGCGGCACGTCCCAGCTGCGCCTCGTGCCAGGGTCGATAAGCGACTTGCCTGATTGCCGGGAGGCGCAGACGGAGATAGCTGAGGGGCGGGCAGTGGTACGCAAAGGGGTAGGTCTGAAACATGGGGAGATCGCTTGGTATCCTAGCGGGAAACACATCTGTTTGTCAAGTGCCGACGCACGGCTGACGCGTGTTGGGTGGCTCCCTCATCACCGAATCCGAAAATAGGCCCGAGCCGCCATCTAAATCCCTTCCTTCGTCCATTATAGGCATCGATATATAGAGATATTGCTGCAGCTAGCGGCCTAGGCATCAACCCCCAGTGGGTCTCACGTGGCAATCGCCACCCGACTGACAGGTACACGGGCATGCACGCTGTTTCACCGGCAAACATCCTTTTTATAGAGCGCCACCGGCTGCCAGTCTTTTTGTGGGCTCGACGGGCGACGCCGACGCACAAGATGTTTCGGCCCGGGTGCCGAAGCAATCCCGGTGCACTTTCTTTTGCTGCGCTCGGCCCGCAACTCCCCTCAGCCAGCCACCGGTAATTCTAATCAAGAGCTGTCTAGAGCGCAGTGCGGCGCCAATCAGATGCATGGGCCGCCCTAGATGTGAAGTCATCAATAACCGTTCGAGCAACAACAACCGGAGATCGACCGATGCTGGGATATTCCGGAGAAGAAGCGAAGGCAATACTATTATTTCGTGCCTTTTTTCCAGATGCTTTTACTCTCCACCAATGACATTTTTTCCTTTTCTCAAATAGGAAAGAGGGGAGCCCCGCGTGGCTCAATACCCCGCACCCTTCGTTAAACGGCATCGCAATTTGCCGCGGCACCTTCGTCACTTCTGCATCTCGACGACCGTCGTGAAGTCGCTGGGAACCCGAGGAAACCGAGCAGACAGCCTGATCGGATGTTTCTGCACGTGTTTCATGTGGCTGGATCCACCACCCCAGCCGGAGATACCTCCATCCTGTTTTCGTGGTATTACGGCCGTTTTCTACATGACACCCACAATAACTTCCCTCTGGTCGTGCTGATTCATGAAACCGCAAGCCCCTCGCCGGTTGCCTTATAATTGGGATCCGCCTCCCGCACCACTGAAAACGGTGCTCCCCGCCCACCACACTCTCCAACCGAGCACTTCAGCATAACTGCATTTGCCGACCAGTATGAGGATGGCCCAGACAATGCCAACGCTTATAGCTCTCTCTCAATGGGACAAACCGAACGCTGAGCCCGGAGCCCGCGCACGTGCCACTTCCATTTATAGGGCTTCCTTACATTGCGCCGGAATTGTCTGCGAACTCGCTGATCTCTCGCTACACCATGGCGCCGTCATCCTCGCGAGCGTGTCAGCGAACGTTGGGAACCTGAGGATTGGCCGTTGCGAGTCAAACCACCTGCGGGAGAGGCGATGGAAGCGCCGGGTGCACGGACGGGACATCACCGAAGAAAGGCCCAGCCTGCGTTCATGGCGCCGTTTCATGCATGGAGTCATCTAGATGCTGATCGTGTAGCAGCAGCCGTTGATGATGGGACGCGTCTTGCGCCATGTGGCTGCTGACGTGTAAAAGGGGAGCGAAGTGTATGATGGACGTAATCGGTAGCACCTTTTTTTTTATTTGTTCATTGTTGCTTTCGTTGATCCCGTCTCGTGATGCATAGTCCTTTCAAATGATGGGTCGGGATCAGGGTTCCAGCAAACTCGTTTTCCTCGGAACCGCTTGGAACTGCTTGCTTGAGAGCGGGCCCAGCGGGCCGCTTGGTGTTGAGGTGTTGAGCAAGCGACTTGGCTCGCAAGCCAAGCCGCTTGGTTGCTACTTTGTTAGCTATAGTCGCGTATTAGGTCCTACAGTGTTAGTATCATAAGTACGCCACTTCTCTTTTTGATATCCCTCACTGACATTCTCAGACTAAACCTATTTAGTCTAATGAGTCTCGGATGTGCCTGAACATTCCGTTTACAGGTGCCTGCGAGAAGACATGAGCAATCTGTTTGTATCTGGAAGCGCGCTCTTTGGCAACCATGGTCGGGATATAATGACACCAATTGCTCTCCCGTGGGCTACATATTCCTGCAGCCTCAAGACATTGAACTTCACTCTTCACCTGAGTACCAGACCTCTCCACCTTCCTACCGCAATGGACGACGAAACGAGGAAGCGCGACCTCGACAGGTGCGGATGGCTGACTTCATGCTGGGACACAATAGAAAGGGTTGATGAGTAAGTACAAATCGATAACGGTGTTGGCAGCGTTGCTAGGTGTTGACACTTTACAGAATGCGCGAAAGCCCTAAAACCAGGGACTTCACCATCCATTGCGGCGGACGTGAGTTCAAGGTAATGGAAGAAGCAAAGTTCAATCTGAAACCCCCAATTGACCTTTGATCGAGGTTCACAAGGAACTTCTTAGTCTCAGGTCCAAGTACTTTTCAAGAATGTTCCACCACCCCTACCTGGAAACCCTCAGCAACAAGATCGAGTTCCCCGACGACGACCCAGATGCCATCGCAGATATGGTTGATTACATGTACAGCACGTCCTTCTACCGTATGCAGATCGACCAATCCTTCGCCGCCTTCATCCACCGCTCCGCCCAGCTCTTCATCATCGCCGACAAGTACGAAGTTAAAAGCCTGCGTAGTACCGTCCTGGAGGCCTTTGAGTGGGCACTAAAGGCGCGTCCTCCGAAAGATTGGTCTGCCACAGAGTTGCGCCAGCTAATCAACATGGTATACGACTCGACCATCCAAGGCAGCGAGCTCCGCCCGATCCTGGTGAACGCACTGGGCAATCCGCTCTTTGATAAGCTGCTGGATGGCATGAGGGAAGGCCTTTATGAGAGCCCGGACTTCCTCTACGAGCTGATGTTGAGCATGCGCAGCCACCGACTCGGTCCCCAAGCGATGGTTTTCTTCAACGATTACCCTTGCTTATCTTTTTAGCCGACCCGGCCCCTTTGCCACGCTCCTCAGCACTGTTTGGGCTCATGGATTATCCCTCTGAGGCTCAGTTACAGGAGAGACTAATTCGCCTCTGATCATAGCGAGCGCCCGGTTCGCCAGTGTAAACCAACCTCTTCAATTGAAAATATTAAGTCAAAGTGACCTCGTTGCTCCATGATCCCCATACCATCTGGAACTGATCTCAACAAGCGTGAACAAACGGAGGAGGAAGCAATTGGAAAGAAGGGACGACGTCACCATGAATACGATGCCAGCTCGCTTAATTTAGCAACAAGGTGACGTTCTTCTTCTCAGGATCCTGCGTCCGCGTCCAGAAGGATTTTTGACCACACGTCATCTACACAAATAACAACTGAACGACCTCGTAAACACGGCAACTAACGGCGTCAGCACGGGCAAGTGCGGCAGACCGCGTTCCTGGACCGGGATGTTCTCGTCGCGCACAGCCTTGCCGACACGCGACTGTTGCCGATGTTCGCCGTGCCGAAACGAGCCGAGTTTGGGCTAACACCGGACCGCAACCCGCCCCAGACCGGATTTGTGCCAGCTTTTCAGAATTCCATTTTCGTGACCGGCTCAGTCATGTGCTAGGGATATTGAAAATGTGCGCTCTAATTCATGCCGAAAAGTAATCGAGTGTTGTGGTGATGCGAAATGGTCACTCAATAAGCGGGACATGAGTAGAAAAATTGATGAAGACTTCTGCCATTCAAATGCTGAGCATCAATCTAGTATGTGCTCTCTCGCTGCAAACTGCAGGTCTAAGGTATCTCATGAAATGCAGCATCGCAGCGCTGTCGATAAAACTTCTAGAAAATCAAAAAAACGCCAAATCCCATCCGATGCCAAATATGAGTGGAGTAATAATACAAGTACAATGCCGTGGAACAAAATTTTTGCGAAATGCGATCAAACAACCTCGCTGCGCTCCCAACCGGTAGGGCGCTGCCACTCAATGCCCTTGGTCGGGTGCGGCCTGGTCAAGTCCTTGTACTGGCTAGCGTAGGGGTTCGGGTCCTGCTTCTGGTCCAGGTTGCCGAGGGTATGGTTGACCTCGCGGTGCTTCGACTCATCAGCGCGGATATACAGGAGCAGGTCGCGCATAGTCCGACGGTCCTCAGGCATCTTCCAGTAGTCGATGGCGATATCGGGGGCCTGCATCTTCTCCCACATGGGCAGCTTTCCGGCGTTGAGGTCCTCGATCTCGCGCGTGTACGTCATGACGGCCTCTTCCTCGAGGTAGCCGACGAAGCGGTGGCAGATGCGTGGCGAGACGAGGTAGGAGATGAACATGGCGTTGAAGAAGACGCCCTGCGCGCCGAGCACCATCAGGCGCATGAACCAGCCGGGCTCGGCCATCTTGAGGAAGGTGAGCAGGTGCATGCGCTCGTTGTACGACTCCTCGAGGAGCGTCTCGATCCAGCCGTTGTCGCGCTTCATGCGCCGCATCGAGTGCAGGTGGCGGATGACGGCCGCCACCATGCCGGGCACGCCGGCCACGCTCTCGAGGAAGACGTTGCGGATCATGTACTTGCGCTCCGTCATCGTCGTCTCTCCAGGCTTGGCCTTGCGGTAGCCGGATGCTAGATCCAAGCCCCAGCGGAGCACTCTCGTCATCGCCAGAGCAGTCCAGTCCGACCACGTCTCGGCCTCGCGATGGGCAATCTTGACGGCGTTCATCTGTTCGTACGTGTAGCTATCCACGCATTAGCGCGAGCGGAAAGGCGAGTCCGTGGTGATGTGCTCACACTGGGTGTTCCCACGAGGCAGGTGTCTTGCGGATGTTTTCCGTTTCCTTCACGGGGAAGAACTCCTTGATCTGGGTGGCAGGGGTTGAAGAGAAGTTCCTCTTCGAGACCGACCATGGCTGGTGTTGGATAGAAATGAAGCCGGGCCTGAGGCTCACAACGATTGCCTGGTGTGGCAGGCCATTGAGAGCCTTGAGGGCCTGGGCGGCAGCCCGCCCACTCGTCCTGGTGCAAGCAGTGGCTGTTCGGGTGGTGTACATGGGTGAGGTTTGTTGGTGTAATAGAGTGGAGTTGTTGTTGTGACTGTGTACTGCTGGAGTATGAACAAAAAATGCGCCAGGCACCACGCTGGCAGCAATCTTATATGGATGACTCCTCTAAAACGGGATGAATGAAAGCGCAGTGAGCACGAAGACAAGCCGGATGCGAGTCTAACCTAAAACGGAAGTCAAAGGAGTGGCCGGCGAACAGCTGCGCACTGGCTGCCGCAGGACGAGGCGGCGGCAGTCCATGCACCGCCCCCCGAGCAGTCATCCGCGCATCGCGAAGTGGACGTCAGGTCGAACAGAGATCTGAGCCATAGGGCTGGCTGCGGTCTTGGCGCGCCGGATTGGTCGGCAGCGGGTCAGCCACGGTCGGGCTGGGCGCGCAAGAGAAAGACTCGGAACGCGTCGCGGTCGCCGACGAGAACGAGCCGGCACGCTGACAATAGCTGAATGAAAACTTGCTCGCCGCCCCGTTTCTCCTGCGTCAGCTGCCACGCAAAAATCGCCCACGTTGCTTCGCGACGCGCCTTTTTTCGTCAGCCGAAATGCAGTGGCTGCGGCTCTTCTCTGTTTGCGTCACCGTGCTGGTGTTGGTCGCATCCTCCACAGCATCATAGCCCCTAATGAGGATAAGTTTACGGAGAGTTGCTTAACCACAACACTGCCACCGTCATTCGCCAATGTCTCTCCCATCAGAATAGGGATAGCTTGCGGTGCATGTACATCAAGCTGGGATTCGCTTTACCATAGCACTGCCACTGTACTGCATCGATGCTCTTTCCCATCAAAATGAGGGATGACTTGCGAAGGATTTTTGCCCTCCCTTTTTTCCTCACCTCGAATAATACCTTTCGCTTCGCTTCTACAGGTCAAACTTTGGTTGTGCTTTCGAACTAGGCAACCAATGTTACATTCTGCACACGTTGGTCTTGCTAAGCCAGCCAGCTCTGTGTAAGTTTGTGCATCCATGCACCCGCACGTGGACCAACCTTTACTTCCTCGAGATCCGAGCGATCCCCAGAAACTCCCACAGATACTTGGCCGTTATCTGGGTCCGTATAGGAGGCGGGGACTCCCGACTTGGCCAGATGCCATTCTTTGCGCTGGCCTTGGCTTAACTCAGAATCTCGTATCCACATCGTGCCTGAGTTAAGCGTCACTGGCCCAAGGTTGCTTCTGGGCTCAGCCTTTCAACGTTTTGTTAAGCGTCCTTCACTGGGTGGCATCCGTACGACGATATTCGAGGTCCCTGGCTGACTGATACCAGAAATAGAACAGTCCGTCGTACAGAGAATACCGCTTTGGGCATGGTGGAACCCCGGTTTCGACGACGGCGGGCTACCTCCACAGAAGAAAGCTTAGCAAAGGGCGATAAACTTTCCGATTGATGTGCAGGACGAGCAGAATCGAAGTTTAAAGCCGGAGGGCAGGCTCGTTACGACAGGTCAGCCGGCCGCAGCACAACCGTGCAACGTAAGTAGAGGCGGATGCCCCCACTCTCCCACCCCGGCCAGGAACACAGTCTTGGCGCGACTTCGCTACAGTCTGCTTGCTATCAGCCATCGCTCATCTCCACACATGCGCTCTGTATACGAGCGGTTGACCAGCCACTAGCCGCATGAACGACAATATCCCAGGCCGTGCCCGACTTCCGTTTCCGTGGCCATGTCCGGATGGAGAGGCGCGGCGAGTCATGGTACGGTGATGTTGCTGGGCCTTCGTACGTACGCTCCAAACCTTGAGCTGAGCAGCTCTGGGACCACGGTGCCAGGCCACCCAGCCGCTGGGCCGGGCTGCAGATAAGAGAGTGAGGCCGGGCCGGTGGCTTCGGCGGCGTGGCACCGGCCCAGCCCAGAGGCATGGAGCGTCTGGAGAAGGATGCTAGCATCATGTCACATGAGGGCGATGGAGGGTCCACTTCGCGTCGGACCGTTAGTTGGGGGGCCTGGTCTCTGGAGATGGGTGCCAGCAGGGCAACCTCCACTGACCTGAGCGAAAAACTGGCCTTGCCACGGTGGAAGGCCAGCGTGTCAGCGGCGTCGACGGGGGCGGCAGACGCTCTCTTATTAGCCTCATCTCCAGTCGTCTGCGGGATAGCGCGTGATGGCTTCGATCAGCATGGATTTGCTCTCGGGGATTACCACATTGATGCGCGCCCTGCGTTAGCCAGCCTGTCCAGCGCCGTGGATGGCTCCCACGCGGCGCGGATTGGCTCTCGTCTGGCCCCGGCCGCTGGCACGCAAGGCTCTTCCAGCCGTTACCCGCCGTGCCGTGGCGGCATGCGCTCTATCCGTCGTTGTGACACTAAGATCCGGAGGACGGACCAAGGCCCAGCAGCAAAAGAGCCAGGGAGGTGGGCCACGGCCATGCGTCATCCAATCGCGGCCCCGGCGGCGCGCGGCCCTGCGCGGTTGCTGCTGCTGCTGTTGCTGCTCTCTTGCACGTCGCTGCGCGGTGCTGGCGGCCGAGGTGATGCTGCTGGGTGCCAGGCTGCGCGGGCGAGCTTTGGGCTGAGAGTGCCAGGGCAGCCGCAGCAGCGCTAATTCGGGCCCGCGCCACCGGGCGCTGAAGATCGCATCTCAACCATACCCAGGCGACGACCACCCCGAACGCAGCCATGAATCAGATGGACTCCTATAACCCGTCCTTCTTTAATCAGACCAGTGCTCACCAGCAGTTCGGCACCTCGCCCGCCCACGCCCAGCCCGCCCACGGCCCGCCGCCCCCGCAGTTTGCACAGGGCATCCAGCCGCCTCACCACCCGGCCTTCAGCAATGGCGCCGCTGCAGCGGGCGGCGGTGGCTTCCCGCTGGCCTCGAGCATGGGCATGGGTAGCGCCCAAGCCAGCGCCGGTGGGGTCATGATGCAGCCAGGCGCGATGCAGCAGCAGTCGCCGCGAGGTGAGTGGACGCACCCCCCTTCTGCCTTCGCCTAATCCGTCGCGCTGCCTGTCTCACACGCCCCAAACCCAACAAGCTCAGAGATTGACGTCTGGCCCGCAGTCCCGCAGAGTCCCTTCACCACCGCGTCCTTCTCCACCCCCATCCAAGCTCCCTTCCAGTCCTTCAACTCGCCCTCCCGCCACGTCTCGCCGTATGCGGCCACTCCCACCAAGCAGCAGCAGTTCCCCTCGCAGTCGCTGCCGGACTCATCCCAGCCCATGGCCGCCCCGGTGAGCCTGCCGTCGCATTCCGCTGCGCCCAAGCCGCAGCCCCAGGGCCCGCCCGCGAAGCCCGCCATCGGCGCCCCCGCCTCGCCGGGCCAGCTGCAGCGCGAGCGCGAGCAGATCACCCTGCTGCTCGACATCAACCGCGAGCTGCTCCAGGAGATCCTGCGCCTGCAGGAACAGGGAAAGGGCGGCGTCATGGGCAGCCAGCCCGACGCCAACAAAGACGGCGACGCGCCTAAGCAAGTGGCGTCCAAGGAGTACATCGAGTACGTGATACATGTGCGATTCTTGGCGCCCCGTGCCCCTGCTGACTGAGATTTTCTTTTCCTCCAGCTGCATGCGCCGCTTGCAGGCCAATTTGTCGTACCTTGCGACCTTTGCCGACCGCAACGCCAACCCGAGCAAGCCCGTGCCCCCCGGCCCCGCCATAATGACCGTGCCGCCCGCGCCACAGCCGCTGAACGAGATGTATACGAAGCTCCAGGGCCTCTTCCCCGGCTGGAAGGGCCAGCTGCTGAAGCCCGGCGGCGCCCCTGGTCAGGGCAGTCCCCAGAGACCAGGCATGCCGCAGCAGCAGCAGCAGTCGCCGCAGCCTCCTTCCCAGGGCTGATTTGCCGCCATGTAAATTTCTCTGTACGACTCCGTGTAGGGTTCTTCCTTCTTCACGACCATGATTTCTGGACTATTTTGGGTTTCCATCACGAGAGGGGGGTTTACTTTTCTTCATCAAAAGAAAGGCGCTGGCGAGAAAATTTCTGCTTCATTTCCATGCAAAAACATTTGGTTTCAATTTTTCCTACGGCGGCGGTGCTAGATCACTTTCTTGCTTTCGGCGGGGGAACTGGCGCAACCGGATTGATTATTTCTCGGTTCATCCGCATACCCATGCTCTTGGATAGTTTGTATAGGCTGGGCAAGCTGACTCAGCGAATGCCAAACTCAATGAGGCCGCTCGCTTCTAGTTTGCTGCTATTCCGGGATGTGCCATCCGGGGCCCTGATTGGCCCCGTTCCTCGAACGGATTGGAATCCAAATCCACTTGACATGGGCTCCGCGCTGACGAGCGATTACAGCGGACGATCATTGCGGTCAAACACGTTGGGTATGGACTCCTTGACTTCCAAGTTTCGACCTGAACCGCTGGCGTGGACGACGAGCAGACGTCAGATGGACAGGTGCATGCTGCATCGTTGTGACGGCCAATCATACGAAAGCCTGCATCGACCTATCACATCTGCAAGCAACCACATCTCTCTGCCAAGTTCGATCCTGCGCTGTCGATCACATCTTCGTGCGCCGTGAATCATTGACTGGCACGTCTGCCCTGTCGACCAATATTTCGCAGGCATTACCCTACATCTGCATTCACCGCGAGTTTCAGATTGATTGGTCCTTTCAATCCCGAAGGAAGTCATGGGTTTCTTATGCAGGCAGTTGAAGCAGATCCCAGCAGTGCGATTGTCAACTGTGTAAAACCCAGTGGGTTCATATTGTATAATACCTATCACTCACACAAACCAAATATAATCCTCCTCAATATACACAGTTAAAAGTGCTGAAAACTTCAACGAGAATAAAATCTAAGCTCACACGTCAATTGGGTAGTTTAAGCTTCTCAATATTAATCAAAGCGAAAGAAAATATTTTAAACACAAAATTTTGACTTGTACACTTTATAAATTGGATTGGTTCGTGCGAATAGTAGGTAGGTATTTTCTCTACGACATGAACTGAAACTGTTTACTTCCCCCGTTTTTTTTTCCGTTCAGATACATTCATCAGGTCATGGGACCTAATTACCTGCGTAGAGGCGACGATATCCCTAGGAATGAACCACGGTCGAGAAGGCTAAATTCACTTGCCTTCTGTTGCGGTACTCAGGGTCTCTTTATTGCATCATGTTCCGAAGCAACAGCCAAAAGTGCATCCAGGAACCGGTGGGCCTTCTTTATAAAAGGTACGCTAGATCCTCATCGACTCTTCCTTGCTATCATCGGCAATGTCAGATTATTCAAATCCCTACCACGAAACAGCCGCCTCATCTAGCCCAGAGCCACCGAGCTGCTCCTCTGACGACTGCTCCTCTGACGACTACTCCTCTGACGACTACTCCTCTGACGGTAAGTCAAGCCAGATGAAACGAAAAGATTATTTACTTATAGTCAGATCTCGAAGCCATGAATCCACAGAATCGTCAGTCGCCTTCTTTCGATTCTTTGATCGGTCCCTCCGTTGCCCTGGGCTGCGCGTTCTTCCTCTTTGTTATCCCATGCCAATTTGAGGACGACAAGGGTACACTGATCCTCGACACAAAATTCGGGCGATTGATAATACTTTTAATGTTCAGGTTCATGGATATGTTGGTGACTGAACTTCTCAGACCTTACTATCCAGCGAATTCTGTGGAATTGGGGATTAACATGATGTTGATTGGCCTAGCTACGACTATCTTCGGCTGGGGTATGTTGCGATAGCTCATGTTAGTCAGCTCGCTAGTAACTGAATCCGTTGGATTCTTCTCATAGCAGGTGGAAGATTTCGACGGCTCGCTAGAGATACTGCATCTTATTTGTGTGTAATCAAATCATGCTTTCGGGTATATTCGTACGATTTTTTGTACGACGTTGTCAGTTGCGCAATCGTACAAATGCATGCAGACATTTAATTCGACCATTCACTTTCATACCCGCGCTTAAATATTTACTGCGTATGAAGAGTGTAGTAGGACAGGAGAGAAAATCTCATGCAGTCCAGTGCTCCTCACATGATAGGTCACATAACGACATGGTCAAAATTCGTGTAAACGAGTAGGCAAGCTCATTTCTCGTTCCGCATCGACTTTTTTTTCCATCATAATTTCCCGCGAACCAAAGTTTTCGTGCCGAGCAGCCCAAGCCGTCTCACGCCTTCTTCTCGCCCTCACCACCACCAGCGGCCTTCTTCTTCCTCTTGTCCTTCTTCCTCTTGCTGCGATCCCTCGGCTTCAGGGCCGACATGCCGCTCTTGCACACGTCGGCGTAGCGGGCGTAGAAGCTGTCCAGCTGGTCGGGCTGCACGATGGTCGACAGCTTGACCTTGCGGTCGCGCTTGTCCTTGGACTTGCCGTTGGTGGCGCGCACGATGATGGGGAGCGGGTTGGGCGGGTGCGTGTCCCACAGCGGGTCGTCGGCGACCTTGGTGGGCGTCGCCTCGCGCGAGTTGAGGTCGAAGGTTACTGTGTTTTTCGCTGTGCGTTAGACTGGGAGTTCCCGACGGCCGCCGACGAGGTCGAGGCGGAGGAGACGAGGAGGACGTACGGCGCTTTTGCGTCAAGTAGACGGTGCCATGATCTCGGGTGCGCCGCGCATCGAACAGCTCTTTGAGCCGCGCGAAGAACTGTACAGGAATTAGCTTTGCTGCGACGGATATGGAGTGGGCGGGGAGCGAGGGATTGTAGCGCACCTCCTCATTGCTGATGTGCTTGTCAGCCATGTTTGTCGAGAGGAGTCGCGGGCATCTGGTGGTTCTTTCGGACTGACGTCGCGGGACGAGTGCGGCGGGAGCGTGCGCCGCCCGGGGGTTTGTCGACACGCGAGTCATTCCTCACCGCCCTGCAGCAGCCGCCGCCGACTAACGCCTTACCGCCCGTAAATCATTCCGGGGTCCAACGCCTTTCTTCGTCTCTAGATTTTTCTGCCTTTGCGAACGAGGAACCGTTTTCTTGGTCGCAACTATGCGCCAACGCAGTCATGGAGGCCCAAAGTTGCCGCGCGAGCTCCTCGACCAGCTTGGAGGTATTTTCACTTTCTGTGCTGTTCCCATGTCGTGCTTTCTTAACTGAACTTTTTTTTTTTTCGCAGCTTCCGGAGCTTCGCAAAGCAATGGTCGTTCCCGCGGTCGGGTTCTAGGTCGCAAGGACCGTCGCAAGGCGGAGCGCGAACAGAAGAAGTCGCAGCGCCATCAGCCCCGGAAATTCCAGCGTTCTGCTCCGCAAGACGAATTCGAGAGCGACGACGACGACGACGACGACGAAGATGCGTTTTCCCCTCCGCCTGCAAAGCCTGTGAAGAGCAAGGCGGATGAGAAGCCGCTAAAGTCCGCGCTCAAGCGCGCCGACGCGCCCGCAGAGCCAGCGGCGAAGAAGAGCGCTGGCAAGGAGAAGGCCAAAGAGTCGAAGAAGGAGAAGAAGAAGCGGTCGCCGTCGCCGCCCCCGGCAATACCGAAGAAGGTTCAGGCAAAGCTCGAGGAGGACGACGCCGAAATTGCGGCGCTGGAGAAGAAGCTCGGCCTGAAGGGCAAGAAGAAGCTGCCCAAGGATTTCGACGACGACGGCCTGGCAGACCTCTTGGACGGCCTGGACGACGAGCTCGAGTTTGCCGTAACGGGAAAGCGGAAGCGATCGTCGGAGGACCAGGCATGGTTGGACAGCAAGCGGCGGAAAGCTGCAGGAGGTCTCACGGCGGAGGAGAGCTTTAGCGACGATAGTGAAGGAGAGGACGACAGCGAAGAGAGCGAGGAGGACGACGAAGAGGGAGAGGAAGATGACGAATTCCTGGGCTCAGATGAAGAAGGGAATCTGGAAGAGGGTGCGAGCTCGGACGACGAAGAAGTAGATGGTGCAGAGGATGATTTTGCTGGGTTTTCAGAAGACGAGGACGAAGAGGGATCCGAGGATGACGTCGACGAAGACGAGGAAGTGGAGCAACCAAAGGTTCGAGAAAATCCATACAAGCCTCCTGTACCAGCAGAGGTGGCCCCAGCTGGGAAGTACATCCCGCCTTCTTTACGAGGCCCACCATCCTCCGACGCGGAGGCTATGACGAGACTGAAGAGGCAGACGCAAGGTCTTCTCAATCGTCTATCCGAAGCGAACCTCCTTTCGATTCTCAAGGATATTGAGAAGCTCTACCAAACCAACCCGCGTCAATACGTCACAACGACGCTCATAGATCTCCTCCTCGGACTTGTATCCGATCGTACAAGTCTCCAAGACACCTTCCTCATTCTTCACGCTGGTTTCATTGCGGCAGTCTACAAAGTCATCGGCATGGATTTTGGAGCGCAGATTGTCGAACGTTTCGCTGCAGAATTCGACAAGTACTACGGCAGCTACAGCGAAGAGTCGAGCGGAAAAGAGACCACTAACCTGATTTCGTTGTTGGCAGAAATGTACAACTTTCAGGTCGTCGGTTGCAACCTCGTTTTCGACTACATTCGGATCTTCCTCGAGGACCTTAAAGAGGTCAACACGGAACTACTCCTACGGATCGTCCGAATGTCTGGTCCTCAACTCCGGCAGGATGATCCTACGGCTCTGAAGGACATCGTCCTCCTCCTTCAGAAATCGGTTGCAAAGGCCGGCGAGGCTAACCTTTCGGTTCGCACCAAATTCATGATCGAGACGATCAACAACCTCAAGAACAACCGCATGAAGACCGGCGTAGCCGCATCGGCAATCACATCCGAGCATACGACTCGCATGAAGAAGACGCTTGGCTCTCTGAACTCGAGGTCGATCAAGGCGAGCGAGCCGCTGCGCATCGGTCTCAGCGACCTGCGGGACACGGAGAAGAAGGGAAAATGGTGGCTCGTCGGTGCAAGCTGGAGGAACAACATGGCAGACGAAACGGTCGCCGCGGAAGAGAAGCCCTCGAAGGCGAAGAAGGCCAAGGAAGCACCAGCCGAAGAAATCATCGTGAGCGGTACCACGGACTTGTTCCAGCTAGCAAAAGAGCACCGCATGAACACGGACATTAGGCGTTCAATTTTCATCAGCATAATGTCCGCCTCAGACTTCAAAGACGCACATATGCGTCTGATGAAGCTTCGGTTGAAGAAAGCCCAGGAACTCGAGATCCCGCGGGTGCTCATCCGTTGCGCAGGCGCAGAGCAAAGCTACAATCCCTACTATACGCTGATCGCTAGGCGCCTGTGCTCCGAAAAGCCGCTCAAGAAGGCGTTCCAGTTCAGTCTCTGGGACCTCTTCAGGCGCATGGGGGAGAAGGACGAGATGGATGATGCGGACTTTGATGAAGAGGACGGAGAAGAGGCCCTGACGACCCGTGCGATTGTCAACCTGGCCAAGATGTTTGGCACGTTGGTTTCGGAGGGCGGCCTGTCCATTTCTGCTTTGAAGGTACGTTGATCATTTTCTCACCAAGCATTATCGTGAAGTGAAAGCCGAGCTTGCGCCCTCGTCCCGTCAATTCCCGACAGTCTCGGATAAAGCACTCCACTCAACAGATGCACGGCAATCCGGTTATTTCTGGTGGGAAACTCCGCTGACAGATCACCACAGACGCTTAACTGGGGCTATTTGCAAGAAAAGACGGCAGCTTTCGTCGAAGTGTTGCTGTCAACCGTGATCCTGCGGTCTCAGAAGAAGACAGCAGACCAACGTAACGAGGAAGCTCTGCTGGACGTGGTGATGAACGCAAAAGAGGCACCTCAAATGGCACGCGGGCTGCAGTACTTCTTCAAGAAAGTAGTCAGCAAGGCGGAGGCAGCGGGCAGCAAGTCGGAGAGGGAGACGGTGCGGTGGGGCGCGCGCGTGGCGGCGGACGGGCTCACGGTGCTGGCGACGCAGCGCATCGAGGCCGAGTAGTAGTAGTATGTAGGAAAAGGAGGTGGAATAATACTGGATGCTCTGCGCGATTAACCACTCATTCGGGTGCTGATATCACACACGTGCCAAGCGCGCGAATTGCCGCATTTTGCCGCCTCGCGCTCCGACGCCCCGAGTGTTTTCGCCCATTGTCAGACGTCGCCAGCTGCAAAGCCCTCACCTCCCACCTCCCCACCCTCCGCGTGCATCCCGCGTCGCCGCCATGTTCAAGCAACTGATACCCAAGACGCCCGCTCGGCCGTTCGCCCTCGCTGCGCGCCGCAGCGCCTTCCGCCCCGTCTCCTCAACATTCCCGCTCGTTGACCGGTCACTGCGGACATATGCTACCGAGGCCGCGGAGAAGGACCTGGTTATCATCGGCGGCGGTGTCGCTGGTTATGTTGCCGCCATCAAGGCTGGCCAGGCCGGCCTGAACGTTGCCTGCATCGAGAAGCGCGGCTCCCTGGGCGGCACCTGTCTGAACGTCGGCTGCATCCCCTCCAAGTCGCTGCTCAACAACTCGCACCTCTACCACCAGATTCTCCACGATACCAAGAACCGCGGTATTGAGGTCGGCGATGTCAAGCTCAACCTCGAGCAGATGATGAAGGCCAAGGAGACGTCCGTCTCCGGCCTGACCAAGGGTATCGAGTTCCTGTTCAAGAAGAACAATGTCGAGTACATCAAGGGCACCGGCGCCTTCGCCGACGAGCACACGGTCAAGGTCAACCTGATCGAGGGTGGCGAGACGTCCGTCCGCGGCAAGAACATCATCATCGCCACCGGTTCCGAAGCCACTCCCTTCCCTGGCATGACCATTGACGAGGAGAAGGTCATCACCTCGACCGGCGCCATTGCCCTCAAGCAGGTCCCCAACAAGATGATCGTCATTGGCGGTGGTATCATCGGTCTTGAGATGGTGGGTCCGAACGCAATTGCTGCGAGTCGCACGTAATAACTGGAGCAGGCTTCCGTTTGGTCGCGTCTGGGTTCCGAGGTCACCGTCGTCGAGTTCCTGAACCAGATTGGCGGCCCCGGCATGGACGCTGAGATCGCCAAGGGCATCCAGAAGATTCTCTCGAAGCAGGGCATCAAGTTCAAGGTTGGCACCAAGGTCTCGAGCGGCGACGCCTCGGGCGAGGGTGTGAAGATTGCCGTCGAGGCCGCAAAGGGCGGCAAGGAGGAGAGCGTATGCCTTCAATTCTCCCCCGATTGTGTACCGCTGCTAACCGCGAGCTCCAGCTTGACGCTGACGTCGTCCTCGTCGCCATTGGCCGTCGTCCCTACACCGCCGGCCTCGGACTCGAGAACATTGGCCTTGAGACTGACGAGAAGGGCCGCCTGATCATCGACCACGAGTACCGCACCAAGATCCCCCACATCCGTGTGATTGGTGACTGCACTTTCGGCCCCATGCTCGCCCACAAGGCCGAGGAGGAGGCCGTCGCCGCCATCGAGTACATCTCCAAGGGCTACGGTCACGTCAACTACGGCGTCATCCCCTCGGTCATGTACACGCACCCCGAGGTCGCCTGGGTCGGCCAGAACGAGGCCGAGCTCAAGGCCTCCGGCATCAAGTACAAGGTCGGCACCTTCCCCTTCTCGGCCAACTCGCGTGCGAAGACCAACCTCGACACCGAGGGTCTGGTCAAGTTCATCGCCGACGCCGAGACGGACCGCATCCTCGGCGTGCACATCATCGGCCCCAACGCCGGTGAGATGATTGCTGAGGCTGGTCTTGCCATCGAGTACGGCGCTTCTTCCGAGGACGTTGCGCGGGTGTGCCACGCTCACCCGACGCTCAGCGAGGCGTAAGTTCCATCCATCGACTTTTACCTTATCATTGCTAACTTCAAGGACAGTTTCAAGGAGGCCGCTCTCAACACCTACGACAAGGCCATCCACTACTAGACGAGTTGTGGCTTTGGCGTCGTGCATCATCGGGTTTGTAAACGGTAGGGTCAATGGTGCAGTGGGAAAATGGTGGGTTTCTTTCTCTCCGGTTTACTTGGCATGAGTGAGCAAGCGAGAGCGAGCGAGTTAGTCCATTGGAATCCCGATGGGCGTTCGAGAATTGAGAAAAAGAAGAAGCAGAAAACACATAATGATGAGCCGCGACTACCACTGTGCATACCTTTTCTTATGTAGGATATGGAGGAAGTTGAAGATGGATGGTATAGAATATTTCCATTTTTTGCCCTCTTGTCTTTGCCGACAAGTCTAATCACTTGTCTCTTGCCAGCCCTTTCTGCGAGGATAGCTAAATCAACCAAGACGATTTCCAAATGCGTCAATCTACACAGATGATGTAATACAGCTCCCGACAGCATCCTTTCCAGCGCGTCGAGCGTTTCGGCACCCTTGATTGTCCCACACAGAGTACGTTCCGGTGTACGACGTCTACCGTGACGGGCCTCTTTCATTCCGGTCCTCAGGTCGCACGACTTTGAAGCAGCTGCAAAGCACCTTCAGTTCCGCATATTTTCCCTATCCCAGCCCCCCGGCCAACCAATGGCAGCTGAGGTTGCACAGCCCCTCTTCCCCGAAACCGCAACCGCGGCAAAGCCCCGCCACCACCACCCGTCCTTCCTTTTCCAACTATTGATTCCCTATTTTTTTTCTCTTTCCTGATAAGGCAAGGTGATGGCAGGTAGTGACCGAGAAATACTACGGTTGCGGGCGTCTCAGGCTACTACACACAGCTAACCCACGCTAATAATATTACCCGCTCCTCCCTAAGGCAAGGTTGCAAGTGGGAAACGGGAATCCTTCACACAACGGACATTGGTACTCGGTACTTGCCTAGCTTGCGTGTCAGTGCACTTTTTTTTTCCACCGTTCCTTTAGATGGCGCCGCCGCCGCCACCAGTCCAGCCGTTGATTATTATTAGCACAGCTGGTTGGCTGGGGCCTCTTCTAACTCCCAAAAGTCAAAAAATCGCGTTCTTTCCCCGAATAATGTTCGCTGGTACTGTAGTAGGAAGAGCTGCGCATTTCATCTGTCGGGTCGTACGGGGAATGGCGCGCGCGCGCGCGGCCGTCTCTGCCTAGTTCCCCGACCACACCCCCCCATGTCAGGGGTTGCTCGTGGGAATGTGAGGCGTACGATCGGCCAGGGAAGAAATAATTTACAATGCATGTACCGGAGTCACGCGGAAATTCCTGCAAGGCATCCGATGCGGGGCCGCATGAAGAAGATCTCAACTCCCCGAGGCTTGGAAGAGAGGAAAAAGGGATGATGATCTCCATCACGGAAGGAAGCGCCCTCTCCGTCGGTGTTACATGCATCATCGCTAGCCTTACAATTGCCCGCTCGTCCAGGGGGGAGTTCGTCGAGTGCGTGGATTTTGTGACGAAGCACGAGAGAGAGAGAAACGTAGCGGATTTTCAAAGGGTATTTGAAATTCGAAAATGGCATCGTAGGCCAAAAAGAAAAAAAAAACGCCGGTCCATCTATTTGGGTAGGAGTTTCCTCTTCACATGGTTTCTGGATGGAGAAAAAGTGTGAGAAAATGTCGATACATGAAGAAAGTTACATCGAAACGGAAGTAAGGAGAACCTGCTCGGTCCAAGGCCCCAACACAGACAAAACTTGTAAGCGTACACGGTGAGCTGACGACGTAGGGTGTGATGATCCGCCAAATTCAATCTCTTAGCCCCCTTCCGCATTGGACTCCATGATGTTCATATCAACCGAGAGGAAAATTGTGAGTGTGTCTGCCTAACCAAACAACCGGTCTTTGGGGTATTGCTTGCAATCATTGAGAGATATTCTTCTTTGCCTTCTCCTCATTTGGATCATGGTGGAGGGGGGGCTGTCATGGTGACTCAGAAGCCAAAAAAAAAAAGAAGTAAATAGAAGAACAAAAAGGAAATAACTTCGCCACTTTCGCCTCATCATTACTGACGTTCCATTTCATTCATGCTTAAACCCATATCTGGCGTAAAGCGAAGTTGAAAATTGGCCATCTCTCAGAGATTTGCCGTTATCCGGGCAACTTCGCACGCGCGCAAAAAGTATTGTCAAAGTTCCGTTCCGGGCAAGCTGGTGAATCTCCTTCGTCAAATGTAGCGCTCATCGGATATTTGACTCATCGATATATAACCAAAGTGGAATTAGTTCTCGGCGTTAGTCTTGGAGAACCAGGCGCCGATCCAGCTCTGGCGGTTCGCCGCCTTGCGCTCCTTCTCGGCCTCCTCGGATTCCTGTACAAGTCTGAGAGGACGCGGCTTGTTGCCAGTCATGACGCTGTTGGTAGGACGATCGAAGCTGCTGGCGATGCTTCGAGGCGGGGAAGGCGTATCGACGGCAACGCCGCTGTCGGTGTTGCTGACGGTGTCCTGGCCGGAATTGTCCGCGTTTCCGTCGACGCTCTGGCGCGGCATGCTGCTGGAAGACACGACGCGGGAGCTGCGGTTCGACGCAGGCCCCTCACCCGGCGGGAAGTTGAAGACCGAGTTGCGGGGAGAAACGATTCCGGGAGACCTCGGGTTGCGGTACATGCTGTTGACCACGCTGGCGGCTCCGGTGTTCCATTCGGAGTTGGCACGGCGGTGCTGACCGGAGCTGTGGCGGAGGGGAATGCTCGGGGCGGTGGCGGGATCGGAAGTGATACTGTTCTCTTCCGGCTTGGGAGGGGGAGGAGGCATGACGCTCATAGGACGGGGGCGCTTCTCTTGCTGTTGGTTAGAGCTGCCCGAGCTGAGAGCGACGGACTTGGCCCGCTGTAGGAAAGACTGGCCCTCCTTCTTGTCCTTGGGCGGTGGGGGCGGCGGGTTTTCCTTGGCGACCGGAGGCTTCGGCGGCGGCTCCTGATCGTGGCTGAGGACTGCTTCGAAGCCCTGGTGCTGCAGAAGACGCTCGATGATCTTGTTGATGTACAAGGTGAGGGCCTTGTTCTGATCCTTGAGCGAGTTGATCTCAGACTCGAGGCGGCGCTCGTTGGATTCCTCGTCGGCAGCGGCGCCGAGTTCGTCCGCGAGACTCGTGCTGGGCCTCTCGCCCTGCGACGGCGGGCGCGAGGCGCCTGCACCGAGGCTGCGCATGAAGTCACCGTTGAGGGTCTTCTCGCTGAGCAGGAGCTGGAAGCTTTCGTTGTCCTCCATCAAACGGGCATTGGCCATCCTCGTCTCCAGGAGGATCTTCTCGAGCTCTTGCAACCGTCCGCCGCCGGCGTTCTCCATCTCGATGGCCTTGATCTGCGCCTCGGCGAGCTCCAGGCGCAGCGATTCGATGAGCTTGTCCTTTTGGAGGATCAACTTGGAGCTGTTCTGCGAATTGCTGCGCTGTAGCGAGGACGGCGGAGCGAAGTGGCCATTCTCGAGGTTCTGCGACGAGTTGGACCGCGAATTGGGGAAAGCTGCGACGCTGGTTAGGGGGGTCAAGGGGCATCGATGGCAAGATGAGTCGAGGGCGAGCACATACAGATCTTGGAATTCCGGCGCTCCTCGCCCGAATATGCGCCTTCGCGGTCGCGCTCGGCCATTGTGTCCTTGAGCCTCTGGATGATCTCCTGCAGCTCTTCCTCGCGGGCCTGGGCCTGTTCCTTCTCCTTCATGGCGGCGGCGCGCTCGGCCTCGTAGATGGCCTCGAGCTCGCGGCGCTGCCGGATCGTCTCGCGCTTTTCATTCTCTAGGATCTCGACGCGTTCCTCTTCCTCGTGCGTGCGCTCCTCGAGCTTGGCCTGGTCCTTGAGCGCATCGTCGAGCTTCGTCTTGAGCACTTCGCCTTGTTTCTGCGGGGGGCGGGTTAGCAATGACATTCCGATCTTGGTGCGCGCGTGCGACGACCCACCTTGAATTCCTCGGAGGTGGCTTCGGCTTTCTGCAGCTGCTCCTTGAGCTCCTTGATCAAGGCGGCGGTCTCAGCCTTTGCGTCCTCCTCCGCGCTGTTGTCGATGGGCGCCGACGAAGACATGCTACGGGTCGAGGTGTGGGTGGGCCTCCTGACAGAGGCGCGCGCGGACAGCGGGCCGCTGGTGGAGTTTGTGCGGGTCGAAGTCGGTCTCCTCGTGGTGGAAGCGGCAGTCGGAATGGACGATGAAGACCTCGAGGGCGAGCGATTGAGTCCGGATGGCGAAGCAGCAGAAGAGCGCTGTGCCTGGCCTGGCGGAGAGGGCTTCTTGACGGCGGTCGACATGGCTGACGTGTGCTAGCCCGCAGAAAAGCGACGGCGTGGCGCGCGTGAGCAACGTTGACGTTGGGCGGGTACTAAAGATAGTGGCTGTGGCTGTCGAGGCTATGCGTTGCTGCGGTGCTGCGGATCGGCGCAGGAGAGCCTATGGAAGCAGGCGGGCGGCGGCGCGGTGTTGACGGGCTACTTGAATCTGCTCTGACTCCTTGAGCCGGGCGGGAAATAACGGCAGATCCAGCAAGATTTAGGGAGCGATGCTCGGGCGTTTCACAATAGAGAGAGCATAGTAGCGCTGCCATGGAGACGGGGACCTCTTCACGCCCAGCGAGCAACTGAGCCCCTGCGCACGCGCTCACCGGCCGATCGCGAAAGGCAGGCCGCGGTGGTAGGGCTGGAACGCGGAGGCGCCGAAAGCGTGCCGCGGGGCCTCACAGGCCTTCGGTTTCGTCATCCGCCACATGCTCGACTGGCCCAGCGGCCGCGCTGCTGCATCATCGCCGCGAGAAGCCCGCAATTGCTGGCAGTGACTGGGTCCCAGCCACCGCGCAGACCTGGCGTGCTGGCCCCATCGCAAAAGAGCGGTCATGCTGGCGGGGGCGTGCGAGGCGTGCAGCCCAGATTGTGCCCAGGGTCAACATGTCCGAGTCCGATTCGCTCGCTTGTAACGCCGCTCCCGGCCTAGCGTCAGATGCCGCGCCCTTGCTTTTTTTCGAAAACTCAACTTCGAATTTGCAACCTCAACCGGAGCGCAACCACGACACCTCAGATATCCCGACCGAACATCTGAACGCGCAGCGATGGCCCCCAAGAAGAACAAGAAGTCCGCCGACTCGTACGTCTCCGCTTGACCCGCCCTCTGGGGCCCAATGTCGGTGCTGGATGCTAACGTCTCATCACAGCATCAACTCGCGCCTTGCGCTTGTTATGAAGTCCGGCAAGGTCACCCGTACGTTCTCCATGAAGTGCTCGAGTGAGAAATTACCTCTGACAGCTCGATAGTTGGCTACAAGTCCACCATGAAGACCCTCCGCTCCGGAAAGGTAAGCCAACACTCGGCTTTTGGGGCCCTTTCGCGCCAGGCGTGTGGACACTGAAGTCCGGCCATTCGCCGGCAACTACATCTTGTGCACTCGCGTTAAGCGAGGATTTCGTTGCCAGAGAATGGCCAGACTTCAGTGTTACCATACCTCGAGCCAGAGCCCTTCCATTTTCAACGTGCATTTCCATTTCTAACACGCACAAAGGCCAAGCTCGTCATCATCGCCGGCAACACCCCGCCCCTGCGCAAGTCTGAGCTCGAGTACGTCGCCATGCTGGCCAAGACCAACGTCCACCACTTCAGCGGCAACAATAGTAAGTCAAGCTTTCATTGCTTTTTCGTCATCTGGCTCTCTCCCGAGAGAGCTCTCCCTGCGAAAAAGTCCCCATGTAGGGCTTTGGAGGGAACACTCTGGGCTGACCAATTCCCCACTACAGTCGAGCTTGGCACCGCTTGCGGTAAGCTCTTCCGCTGCTCCACCATGGCGATCCTTGACGCCGGTGACTCCGACATTCTTGCCTCCAACGTCAGCGCTTAAATGCGCGGGATGTGAATCAAAAACAAAAGGTGCACAGGCATGGGGCGTGGCGATCTGGGGAAAACAATGTACTCCAGATAGTAATGCACGTTCTATGGTCGGGATCTATTTGCAAATGCAGCACACGTGAGAAGTTAATGTCGACATTGCCCTGACTCGAGGATCGAGGCTCGGTCCGTCGTCTTCCGCTCGGGTTAGGCACTATTCCCTCCAGGTTAGGCGTGAAGCACCGCGAGGTGCAGCATTCGGAGCTGATAAATCAGCGACCAGTGGCAATAGCAAATGATTAGAATACTGAGACATGCTTTTTGGTACGGTGACTATCGCGTGCCCGGGACTGCGGCTGTGACAATTGTGGCTTAGCGCACAAAGCGCTCGCTTAGCGAATCTCGCCTGCTTAGAAATTCAAGTGGGTGACCTCAAAACCTCTTGCGCCCCCGACGACGACGACACCACCCACCCCGCCAACACCACAGTACAACCCTCGACAATCCGTCAAAATGGCCCGTCGTCCCGCGAGATGCTACCGCTACTGCAAGAACAAGGTCCGTTGAGCCTGCCCACCACGACCGATCGACCGCCCATACTTGCTATATCCTCGGCGAATGTGAGCTGACTTGCGCCTCTACAGCCGTACCCTAAGTCGCGCTTCAACCGTGGTGTCCCTGACCCTAAGATTCGTATCTTCGACCTTGGCCGTAAGCGCGCGAACGTGGACGAGTTTCCTGTCAGTTTAAACACGATATTTTGAAATGGCATTTTTGCCAGGAAACGCTTGACTAACAAGATTTCAAGACTTGCATCCATCTCGTCTCCAACGAGTATGAGCAGCTGAGCTCTGAGGCCCTCGAGGCCGCCCGTATTTGCGCCAACAAGTACATGGTCAAGACCGGTGGCAAGGAATCCTTCCACCTTCGTGTCCGCGCTCACCCCTACCACGTCATCCGTATCAACAAGATGTTGTCGTGCGCTGGTGCCGATCGTCTCCAGACCGGTATGCGTGGTGCCTTCGGCAAGCCCAACGGTACCGTTGCCCGTGTCAACATTGGCCAGATCCTCCTGTCCATCCGCACCAAGGACAACAGTGCGTTTCCCATATGAAAATTCGCGAAAATCCATGCTGACCAGATTCTCCAGACCGCGCCACCGCCATCGAGGCTCTCCGCCGCTCCCAGTACAAGTTCCCTGGTCGCCAGAAGATCATCGTCTCCAAGAACTGGGGCTTCACTCCCCTCCGCCGCGACGAGTACATTGCCAAGCGCCAGGCCGGTGAGGTCAAGGTCGACGGTGCCTACGTCCAGTTCCTCAGCAAGCACGGCAAGATCGCCGATAACATGCGCCGCTTCCCCACCGCCTTCCAGCAGGAGGCTTAAATGTTCAAGTGAACGTTGGACGAAAAGGAAAAGGGGATACTTTCATGGGCTCTGGGCGTTTAAATCTGGTCTTTCTTCCGGCTCTGGTGGTCTGCTAGTGCAACAGGCCGTACTGTAGAGCAAGAAATCTGAGGCATGAAACTTTCCCCGACCGCCCAATGTTGAAGTGAACGAGCATGATCGTATCACGTTTGAATTCCACAGCGTGAGGGCTGCTGCTGTGCATGTGAAGAGTGATTTGCACAATATATGCTTTCAAAGCAGTGATACCTACGTCATTTCATGTAACATCGGGATTTAGACCGTTAAGTCCAGGGCACTCAAAAGACAGCTGAGCATTGCCATAACCGGTAGCTTTGGCACGAAATAATCCTTGCCGGCAGCACTAGCAAGCCTTACCATGACACTGTTAACACTTATTTGAATTGACCAAGCCTTCTCATACTCCAAGTGTAGCTTTTGCTTTCAAGCATTCTTATCCTTCGGCTTGTCTGTGTATGAAGTAGACAAAGTAGACATCAAAGACCGGTACTACCATGTGCAAAGTAGAGCACGATTACACAGAGTTAGCTTGAAATCAACTAAGAGGCGAACACCATCGTTAGCCTTCGGGGTTAAAGAGCCGATATTTGACACTCTCAATCGTCCGCTTACAAATATCCTCGGAGGCTGGTCAAAAAGAACGGGGATGAGTGATAATGATGTAAGTATTCAGCACTCAACGATCTCTCTTCGCAATTTTGAGAAGCGTCACTACGTAACAGAACGACCGGTCAGTCACAACTAGCTCCTTGTTTAGCAATTAAGCAGCGTATACACCGCCATTTCCCCTTGGATGATCCTGGGAGCGCTTAGAAAGACGTATGCGTTAATTTAAGAAGGTAAGTTTAAGTCAATTAATACTCATGTTAGTTTTTTTTTTTCAAACAAAGTTTACAGACCAAACCCTCCCACTAAGACTAAAAAGAACGCTTTTTTCATCAAGTTGTACAGAGGGGTGCTGCAGCCGATAGCTAGCGTAAAGAATAGCAGGGCTCTAGAACAGAGCGTAACTATGGCCCAGCTCTACCTTAGAAAAGTAACATATATGGGTAGTTGAAACTATCGTCCGGACGAGAATGTCCAATTAAAAATTCTACATACACGTCCGGACGATAGTTTTAACTACCCATGACATGAGCAAAAAAAAAGAAAAACAAGTCCACGCCAGCCATCCGCTGCGAGAGGGGACTGTAAGCTAGGAAGGAGAAAGACAGCCCAATATTATTTCCGTTCCCCGCAAAGGCTGTTGGAGATGCAAAGCATTTGATAAGCAGACTAAAGCAGAACATTGTAGTGCAAATACCGTCTCTTAAAAATGACCTTGATGGGACAGTCTATGAATTTAAACAAAGGCTCTACCGGCCGCTCGAATCTCTAACATCCACAAATTATCTTGCTCAAAAGTGCGATGTTTCCTAACTCCCAGTGAGTCTTGCAGTACTTCTCAAGATCCCAGTCAGCCGTGTCCGCTTGCCTGAAGTGATGTAAGAATGCGTGAACTCGTACAAAGTACATGATACAACCGAGAGCATTAAAATCTTCGTCACTGAACTAATATCCAGGAAGTATCTGAAGCGAGAACGCACAATTGCGGCACATGCAAGGACACCACACGAGACTGCCATGGGAGACTCGCCGGAGATTGAGCACAATTCCACCGTGAGTTCTGCAAGGATTCAAACACTGCAGATACGTAGAGTGGCAACGAAGAAAATAACTTAATACATTCCGTCTCCAGAAGGAACCACACTATCTTCATGTTCAAAACCCCCCCTTCATTCCCGTCAAGCAAAAAAGCAATTACTGATTGGCGTAGAGCCTTTGGTATAATCCCCCGGACCCATAAACAAAGAGGTAAAAGAGAAAAAACGCCTCCACCATCCCAGTTTTGAGAAGCCCTAGCAGGATAAAAAACAAGGAGTGGTATGATACCAAAGCCAGAAGAGGAGGGGGAGAGAGAAGAAAAAAAAATGTTCAAAGGAAAAGTTGTTGTCGTTCAAAAACGTAACTGAAGAAGCTCATCAAAGGGAATAATCTCTTCATCCGTTCTCCATCTCATAGTGCATTAGGAACCCCCCAACCGCATCCGGCATCAGAATCGTTAATTTTTTTTTGTTTATTCTTTTTTCATTCTTTTCATCGCTTTACCGGACGACACCGTTCTCCGTCTTGCCCGGCGGCGGGCCGGCAGGCGGCTCGTACAGGCTGTCTCCAGCGCGCGAGCTGTCGTGCGTGTAGGCGGGCTGGGGTGCCTGCGGGTAGGGCGAGCTCGCCTCGTAGCCGCCGGCATGGGATGGCGGCTGGTTGGCGTAGTAGCCACCGGCGGGCGGCGGCGAGTACGGAGGAGCGGGCGGGGCGCCGCCTTGTTGCTGCGGGTAGTAGTAGGGCGCGGCCGTCTGGTAGGGAGCTTGCTGCGGCTGGCCGTTGGCGCCGGGACCGTAGTATTGAGGTTCGCCGTGGCCGTTGCGCGTCGCCCAGCCGGTGCCCCACATGGGTTGGCGGCCGGCACGGCGGCGGCGGCGTGCGGTGATGCAGGAGCAGAACTGTGTCGAGAGAAGGTTAGTAATTGAAAAAGGAAAAAGCGTTAACGAGAGGGTAGCTAGGGAGGTACTTACGACGAAGAGGAGGAAGGCGAGGACGACGATGATGACGAGGACTACCCAGCGGACCCAGTCGTTCCAGGGCGAGCGGGTGCAGTACTGGTAGCCGTTGTCGCCGCGCCAGCAGCTGGAGGTTCGTGTTAGCTTTGGAGGTACACGATTGGGTGTGCGCGCATCTGGGGATTGTGGGGAAGCCGTGGACTGACGTCTGCGGCGAGCGGGGGCGGGCGGACTTACTCTCGCTTCAATAGGACGGGCATTTTGGCACGAAGTCGATGCGCAGAGGATCGCGACGGGTGCGGGCGAAGTGTTGTTGGGCGTGAGCGAGCAGGAGCGGTTGTCGAGAGGCTTTTAGGGCGCGGGCGGGAATGCTAGGAATCGGGGCCAAGCCTTGTTGAGGCAGAGCGAGGTTTGCAAACGGGGCGTGTGAGCAGCAGGCGTCGTCAGTCTATGTAAGTACCCGTGCCTCGCGGAAGACCAAGCCTGCATGACGCACGGGGAGGCGCAGCCGCCGCTTGGCCCCGGCTGCGCGGCAACTAGGAACCCTCTGCCGCTACGCGCCCAGCTCGCGACATCTGCTCTGCGCTGACGCGCCTGCCTGTCGGACCCTTCATGAACGTTCTCGTGGAATACGCGGACTCGACCTTGGGCGTTCCGGTCGCCGCGATGCTTTGACCCTCAGGCGCCCGGTAGGAGCCGGATAGCACGGCGGTGGCCAAGCGTGGCTGAGTTGTCCCTTGGGCACGCGTCGCAAGACTATGAGGTTCCAGACGTCACGTTTTGCTTACCACCGGCCGAGCATACGAGTGGCGCGACCGCAGGAGGTATTTGCGATTGTCGGTGATCAGCCACCGCTTTGTTTGATCCTCGGTCCACCTTTGTGGAGGCCCCATAAGCTAGTAGCAAACGCTAGGGTGCCTGACGCTCCCGAGCTGAAATCAGGCAGCTTTTATCCCTCACCTCAGAACTGCGCATTCTGCGCCTCGCTCTTATTTCAAATAATTCTTCCAGACAACAAAGACGGCTTACATTTTTATTTACGTCTACCTTGTATTCTCTTCTTCCGCCTTGGCTGGTCTCCTTTGACCCAGCTGCACAATCGTGCCCATCCGCACCCATTTGGGCGGCGCTACAAACTGCTCCAGACCCGTCTTGTCGTTCATGATGCCCTCATCGTTCAACTGGCGCGCCACGTCCCGCGCTGCGCGGATGCAGTCGTTGACGCCGACGCCCGTGTAAGAGTTACCCACCGCGCGCACCCTGCCGCCGAACGCGCGCTTGAGCGCGTAGTGAGCATCCTTCATGCGCTGCTCATGGCCCACCTTGTACTGCGGGATTGCGTCCCGGTGCAGGCGGGCGTTCGTCGCCGTTGGCTCAGCCATGATGCCCAGGTGCCGCGCCAGCACAGTACGTGCCATCTCTACGCCCTCCGCGGGGCTGTACATGTCCTCTGCCGCCCACCCGTCCCACCAGTGACCGCCGAGCATCACCGTGACCTTCGTTCCGTCTGCCGTGTCCTGCCCTGCTATCGCGTCCGAGTCGAAGATGACGCCCAGGGCACGCTCGGGGTTCTGCTCGAAGGGTATGCTGCGGGGAAGCAGGTAGCCAAAGCCAGAGGCAGGGAGGACCGTCCTGTCAGGGAAGTAAAGGTTCACCACCATGACCGTGACCGAAGAAATATTAGATAGAGGCGAGAAGTTGGTAGGGCTGGCGGTCGTCTGGCCAGCCGTTGCAATCTTTGCCAGAGCTTTGGCAGGCAAGGCCGATATGACCAGATCGCTTATTTGAGGAGACGAGTCGGTTTGGCTATGGATCTGCACCGAGGAGCGTCAGGAGCGGGTATTCGGACTCTTGCAAACCAACTCACCTTGATCTTTCCCGTCTCCTCGTCTTTTTCTAACTTAGTGACCTCGGTCGCCGTCTTGAACTTGACATTTTCCTTGGCTGACAAATTGTCATGTAATCTATTCACAAGCGTTTGGATTCCATTTCTGAAAGAAAAGACGCTGGCGCCGCGAAGCTTTTGCAGAAAGTCGCGCTCGAGCGCCGGTTCGTCCTGGAAGCTCTTGATAAAATCGGCTTCCCGCTGCGTGATGGGGACGGTGCCGGAACTGTCCTGCTGCACCATGTAAAGCCCTTTCAGGATGCTTCCATATTCGCCTTCCAGGTACCACTGGAAAGGCATTATGCTCTTGGCGCTCAACTGGTAGATATCGCCAGCGTAGATGCCGTGCATGACCGCCGAGACCAGGTTGTCTGCGACCTGGCGCGAGCCCAGCCGACGCTCGAGGAACGATCCCAAGCTCTCGTCGGTGACGTCGTCGTCGCGTCCTGGACGGAAAACTTCGCCCAGGAAGGACGATGAGGCGCCGGCCAAGGCTGGCTCGAAGAGTAAGGTCGAGGCCAACTCGAAAAAACCCATTCCCGGGCCGGGCATCTTTACGAGATGGTCCGGGTAGTATACATAGCGGTTCCTAGCGGCGGGCGACGTCTTCGACGTGTAGACGACTTCATCGATGAGGCCGAGGTCTTGGACCTGCGAGTTTGCCAGCGCGTTAGCAGGGGACGGTCATACGTCGCACCACACGGCACGGCAACGGGCGGCTCACCAGGTGCGTGGTCACCAGCGAGCTGTTGGCCTGGCGAATGGTGCGCGGGCCCTGCTCGAACAGCACGCTGCCGCCGGGAACATCGACACGCTGGGACTGCAGCCAGCCGCCTAGCCGCGGGCTCGCCTCGTACACTGTAATGTTGACATTGCGCAGCGTCTTCGTCAGGTAGTGCGCGCTGGCGAGTCCGGTGATGCCGCCGCCGAGGATGGCGATGTTCTGCCGCTCTCCGACCGAGTCGAGGCGGCGCGAGTAGAGGCGACGCTGCGGGCTACACGATGCACTGGCGGGGCGCACGGCGGGGCTCAATGGGGCGCGTAGAGCGTGGATGCGACGTGGGAGCGCATGGCTTCGGAATTGCATTGCTCTGGAAGCAGCAGCCGTGGAGTGGAGTGGGAGGAGCTGCTCTTGCGAGCGAGTCCGTGGGAAGTTTGATGGTGTTGGACCCTGCCGACGCCGAAAGTAGTGACGTGATGGTCGGACGAGTTACCAATTATCTTCGAACGATTCTTTGCTCGACACGCAGACGATTTGCCTTCAATTACCGTCTCATACTCCTCATGCAGGGCGGTCAAGTTTCGAAGCTTCGTGATTCGGCAATGGCGCCCAGGAACGGGTAGTATCGTCATCACATATCTGGTATGAGGGGCTCGCCCAGTAATCCGCCGCCGTGATGCCCGCGCGACATCTCGACTGACCTCGCGTTTCCGCAATGGCCTCGCAATCACGTTCAGAATCGGACAGTCGTATGAACCAGGACCGGAGAAGCACCCCTGTCCGCAAGAAAAGTGATCTTATTTTTACAGATAATGATCCGACCGCATTTCTGAAAAGCAGCTGCCTGCCGCCAGTCCCAGCCATTACCCAAAAAACGCCGTTTAGCAATCGTAGTGCTCTATGCACCCACAGCGGTATCTCCTGAACTCAATCATCACCATCAAGCCCAAAACCTCGAGTCGTTTTGCCATGATCTCGTCGCTGCGGCCATGCTCTCCATCACGTTCCCTTTTAAATGGCCGTCGAACCAATCCAATCCACTCATCAAAAGAAATCCTCCTCCAATTTTGGCCGCCTTACGTCACAACATCAACATCCTGGCTCTGAGTCTCTTGCGCTTCGCCCATTTCCTCCGACTTCCCAGGGAGGATGAGCTCCTCCTCCAGATTCTCGTCGACGAATTTCCTCTCGCTAACGTGCTCCTTGCCGGATCCGTTGGCTGCCCTCTGGCCCTCTTCGTGCTTGTAAGGGCAGTGAGGGTTCTTGCACGGGTTGAACTTGCACTTGGTCTCCAGGTGGGTGAACTTGCACTCCGGGTTCTTGCAGTTGTCACCGAAACGGCAAGGAGGCGGCGGGTGCTGGAACGCGCAGTGGGGGTTCTTGCAGTTGACGCCGAAACGGCATGGCACCTCCGACTGGAAAGCCGTCTTCTTCGCTGGAGAGTGGTGCTTCGCTGTGCACTTGTGGTTCTTGCAGCTGACGTCGTAGGAGCACTCGTCGCTGAGGTCCACGGTGATTCCAGGGTTGCCGGCTGGCGTTTGGTGCGCGAAGGGGCATTCCGGGTTCTTGCAGTAGGTGTTGAACTTGCACATCGTGTCCCACGGCGCCTTGGCCTCGGACTTGTTCTCCACGTCCATGGAATCGGCTCCTTCGCCATTCGCAGCCGATTGATCGCCGTCACCCATCTCCATGTCGTGCGGTTGTTGTCTCTTGCTCTGCTGGGGCCGGTTATTCCTGCGTCCCGAGTTGTCCACGCGGTCGAACAGCGACTTTCCATTGCCGCGCTGGTTCTTCTGGAAGGCCGGGTTGATGAAGGGTTGTTGGGGCTGGGAATATCCTGCCGACGCGAGCATCTGGCTCATCTGGGCCATCTGTGCCGACATGTTCTCGTACATCTTGAAGGCGTCCATCATCTGGTTCGGGTTTCCTGGCATGCCCATGTTGCCAGCACCCGGCATGCCCATTCCGTTGTGCTGCTGCATGCCGTTCAGGCCGTTCATGATGGCCATGCTACGGTTCTGCTGGTGCCGGGGTCCCTTGGGCGGTTCACGGCCACCGTGCGCGTTGACACGGCCGACGCCTCCACCACCTCTTACACGGTGTAGAGGGGCATCACTCGAGCGATCCATGGCCTTGTTGAGGTGGCCGAGCATGCGCTTCTCGCGGTTATTCGGATGTCCGCCGTTGCGCATGGCCTTGGGGCCGGTGGGTCTAAGTAAGAGGGTTAGCACTACATGGAGTCGGGGTGCGGGTGACTACGAACATTGAGGACTGGGAAGCATCGCCCATTTCAGCATCCATGCCCATCATTTCCGTCGATCCTTGGAGGTCTGCCGCTTGCGCTGGTAGAGCCTGGCCGGCGCCTTGCGCGGATCCAACGCCATTGATTTGGGCGTTCAGCGTGTCGACCTGCTCGAAAAGCCATCGCGAAAAGTCCCTCGGCGCAGGGTCGTCGGGGGACAGGCTCAGAAGGTCGCTGGCGAGCTCGGACGCAATCTGTTCCTGGGTCTTGCCGTTCACCAGCATGAGGATGATGTATTCCGACAGGGCGGTGTCGTCAGAGCCTCCAGTTGACCAACCAACCTCGGCGAGCTTGGGCTGGACGACGCTCTGGATGGCCTCTGCCAGAGGCGTGCCCATCTGCACCTCTGTGGTCATGACGGGCGGCGGGGGGAGTGGTGAGACAAAGACGGTCGAGGACGGCGCGACTAGACTGGGGTGGCGGGCGCGTTTAGAGGCGACGTTCAGGCGTGTGAGGCGGTGGCGGCACGGACAGAGAAGCTTTGTCGCGGTCGCAGGAGGAGAGGAAATTGCGTCTTGTGCAGCGTTGAGGAGGAAACAGCAGCGGCGCGAGGGTGCGGGCGGCGGCGGCGTTGCCTTGAGGTGAGCTTGCGGGCTTGACAGTGCAGCAATGGGCAGGCGCGGCAGACAAAGCTGCGCCTGGGGCAGGACGACGGGGGCTTGGCACGCGCTAGCGTGGATTACATAAGCGGCTTCGCGTTTCCTCCAGCCTTTCGATTCCTGTCCGACCGCCTCACCACCCTCGACCTCCAAACTCCCGGTACCCCCGACGCCACATCCACTGCATCTTCGCGCACCGCTGTATTCAACCGCCCTCCAGCTTGCTCACGATGTCTGGCCGCGGCGGCACCACCCTCTACGTCACTGGCTTCGGCCACGGCACGCGCGCCCGCGACCTTGCCTACGAATTCGAACGGTACGTCCACCACGATCCGTGAACCCGACCGGTCATCGTCGCCCGCCTCTCGAGCGCACCGGTTCCTCGACTTCAGCATCCTTCCTCCCGCATGCCCCCCTACGAATCGAGTCGATCGAGCGATCCTACCCCGTGCCCTCCTGTAGATAGCCCTCGCTCTACCCCCGGCGCCGTCGGACCATCGACCTCGTTCTGCTTTTCGTCCCTCCGCGACACGACAAAGAATAGCCAGTCTAACATCCACCCGAAGGTATGGTCGTCTTGTTCGCTGTGACATTCCTGCTCCGCGCTCGGCCTCCAGCCGTCTGTAAGTCTTCCTCCGAAAAGCTCCCAGGGATGTACCTGGCTCGACACTAATAACGTCATAGCTTCGCATTCGTTGAGTATGAGTCTCGCCGTGATGCTGATGATGCCTATCACGAGATGCACAACAAGCGCATCGGTCGCGATGACCTCCTGAAGATCGAGGTACGTGCCGCTGCTTCCTCTCACCTGCATTGAGCACCGCTGACGGAGCTGTAGTGGGCCCGCACCCCTCCGTCCGCTTCGTGGCGCTTCGACTCCGGTCGTGACCGCCCCCGCAGGCGCGACGCCTCCCCCCGCCGTGGCCGCAGCGTCACTCCTCCCCGTCGCAGCCGTGGCGACTACTCGCCCCGGAAGGATGACCGTCGTGAACGCGACTACGACCGCCGCGACCGTGACCGTTCCCGCAGCCCCGACGACCGTGACAGGGACATGAAGGATATCCGTGACCGTGAGGAGGAGGACCGTGACCGTGAGCGGGACCGTGAGAACGGCACCAACGGCGGCGACAAGCGTAAGGCATCTGATGACTCGGGGAAGGCACCGACTAACGCATGCACAGGCGAGGAAACGCCTCCCCCTCCTGCTCATGATGATCTCGACACTGCCGAATAGACAAACCAAACGTCGGCTATACCCCGGTAACTAACTTTTGGCAATTTTCATGGGTGGGTTGAAAAGTTCTGCCTGATAATGTTTTCAGGCCTCCTTTGCGGAAACTGCGGCCGTTGGCTTTTCCTTATCACAACATGCGGCGTCTCCTCAAAATTGATGCACCTTAGTTTCGATCGAGCGGTACGGTACGGAATATACGGTTCACCGACTGTCCTCAGCGGAATCGCCCTCGGCGGACGACCCGATTTTCTTTTTGCCTGCTTGAAATACACTCAGCACCCCGGCCCCACCCGATGCGAGTTGACCGATCCTCTTCCTCGTTGGCGATAACTGCTAGTAACTACAGAGTGATATCGAGAATTTCCGTGTCATGACGTCGGTGCCCAAAATGGATGTGATCACTCATGATTATACAGGTTCGGCTTTGCGATCCTGAGACTTGGCCACAGAAGCCATTGAGGCTTGCGCACCGGCCCGGAGACATTTAGTTCACGGGCTCCGGCCTTTGTGAGCTGAGTGCTTCGGCCGTAGATGCAACAAATGCCCTCCAGTGGTTTCAACGGCCAGGTCCCCGTTTAATCCCGTGTCTGCGTATTCGGAACCCCCAAGAAAACATCGATTCGATTCAGCCCCGCGTGACCGCCAATTTCCTTACCGTTCGACACGCCTTTTACCCGACATGCACCTCCCCGCAGTTCCCGTTCCTACGCCCCGTCCACCGCCATTCGAATCTCCGAGAATCTCACCTCATCACCCTACGCCACTTTCAAATCCGTCCTACGAAATTGCGCCCTTCTTGGTCATCAGCTTACGCCGTTCTGTCTCTCTGGTGGGTGGCCTCCTTGTGCGTGCTGACCTCTTGAACAAATCTTAGGCCTCCGGTCTAATACCTTGTTTGATCCCATCGCCGAAAGGTTTTGATGGCCTTCCTAGTCAAGTGCATATCCGACTACCACGCTTGACTCGCCCACAAACTCAATCATGCGTTTGATGTTGACTCGCTCAGCGTTTATTTGCGGGCTTCATCCAACACGCAGCCAGCTGTAATCCAGCGCCTTAGCCGAACCCAAGCATGGAGAGCAAAATGTAGGCTCTACCAAGTCACTGAGATCGCGCGGGCGTAATCCTTATGGCGCTGGCTCTTGCCGATGTACGCAAGATGGAACACTGCGGCTGTCTTTGCGCTTAGATTTTGATTTTCCTGGTTCTCCGAAGACCAATGTGCTTCTGTGTATGCGTACGAATATTGTGAGCAGATTCCCCGATTGGGCGAAGACAAAAGAGATGAGACAAAAGAAACAAGACAATACAATGAAAGAAAATATTAAAGTTCCGTACAAAGCCTAGCTCATAGTACTGGTGATGCTTGCCCAGAAAAGGAGATTTGTTTGTCTATTCCGAAACCCCATTGCTGTGCTTCGCTACGATTTGGCTTAGTCTCCACCCTGCTCAATAACCTCCCCTTCTCTCTCGACAGACACAGCCTTTTACCATCTCCACATTGCCAGCAGTCGATCGTAGAAGCTCGTGCTGACCACCTTCCTGCCTCCTCCTCGTCCTCCCTCACCCGGCTGCACGTCGCTCCCGTAGTTCATGCTCTTGTGCTCCTCGAAGGCTGCCAGCACCTCGAACGACCATTCCAGGTCTTCTCCTCCCTCGTCCTGCTGCGACGACGACCCCTTGAGCCGCAGCACCCGCGCGCCGGCGTGCATGCAGCTGGCGAGGATGGTGTACTCGTACGCTCCTTCAGTTTCTTCGGACCTAGTATCAGTAATGTCCTTGAGCCGCCACACGCCGCCGCCGAGGTCGAGCTCGGCGAGCAGTTTGGGGCGGCGCGGGAAGGATGTTGGTGTGGGCGGTAGGGCGAGGAGCCGGATGTGGTCGTCGTAGCTGCCGGTGAGGATGAGGAGGGGGGGCGGCTGGCTTTCTTCGCCGCTGCTGGACGATGGTGTCGTCAGGGGCAGGATGGCCGTCACGCCCGCCTGGTGCGTCTTCCGGTCCTGCCACTGGACCGCGGGCGGCGCGTCGGCGACGGCGGCGAGCAGCTCCTGCGCGGACGAGGCGTGGGGAAGCGGGGCCAGTGACACCAGCGTGCTGTCGTCGCCGCCGGAGAGGAGGCTGCGCCCGTCTGGCGTGAAGGCGACGAACCAGGCTTCGAGGGCGTGGGCGTGCAGGTACGCGGCGGTTGGGGTCGTGTCGCCGTCTTCGAGGACGGGCGTGGAGTCCGCATTGCTGCTGGCGGTTGCGGCGATGGTCGCGGTGTCGCAGAGGTAGATGGAGCCGGACGAGAGGGCGAGGGCGGCGAGGGAGGGGATGGTTGGGTGCCAGGCGAAGAAGGTGATGAGGGAGGTGGTGGGGAAGATTTGGAGGACGGAGAGCGGCGTGATTGACAGAGTAGAAGCGGAGATTTCGTACAGGGCGAGGGAGCCGGTGGAAGTGGCGGCGCCGAGGAGGGGGCCGGATGAGGATGTCGACGCGGGAGCGAAGTGGATGTCGAAGATGGCGAAGGGGGTGGGGAGCGTGTGTTGGAGTGTTCTGCAAATGTCAGGATAGTGTGTTGAGTCACGGTGGTGGTGATTAATGGAAGTGTTGAAGAATGAGTGGTATTAATGAGACTTGATGAAGTGATGGTATGTTGAATAAACTGGATTGAACTTCTTACACTTCTTCTCCCTCGAGTTTGAAGAGCAGAAGGCTCCCTGTCCTTTGCTGCGGCTGTCCGGTAGTCGACTCCGTGGCATCGTGTCCTTCCTCATCCTTCTTTTCAAGATAATAGGTACCGACTACAAAAAGCTCCGGGTGGCCTGGCACAAACTCTATGCAGCTTGGTGGGATGTCCAGAGTTAAAGAGCGCGTGGATTTGATGGAAGCCATGGCTGCAAACTAGACCAAGAAGTTACCTTAGCTCTCCAAAATGTTGCGCTCGTGGGTTTTAGCGTTGTGCTTTGTTGATTACGGAAGGTGGACGATGCGGTTCCTGCTCGCTTCCTCAAATTTGTGCCATTCCCTCATCCAGTTTAGCGGCATCGCTCGCTTGTTGCCTGTAGTGTCTATTGCAACGACACTCCAACATCGCCCAAGCTACTGAAAATCTCCATGATGCCTTACCAATCTTTAACAAGGGGGCATTGAATAAATCATCGTGTAAATGTATTAATGCTTTGCAAGTCAAGAGATATCATACGCAGACTCTCTTCTCATCAGCAAAGTTCCCGGGCACAGAGAGCGATAGTTTGCTAGCTGTAGCATTAAGCAGCTATCAGCAAGACAGAGATAGTCTCTTCGATCAGCAGCTCCGACACCATTAGCGACTCGAGTTGTGACCAGCAGTGGCAGCACTTTCGGCATTGCTAGCGTCGCCAGTACTACGAGACGGTCTTCCCAACAAGGCCATTTGGAAGGTAGCCTCGTTACTCTCTAACGTTCTTGAACAGAACCCATAGAAATCATACCAAGTACAAAGTGCACTCATTGTCCAATTATTTGTATTTCATCGACATGCTCATGGGTTGAATATCATGGAAAAAGCGCCCACATGCCATGAGCAAATGGTTTAAGAGCGGAATGGTCCCAGACTGCGAACAGGGTAAAGTTAATGCCCACCTTGAAAAAAACACCGCTTCAACAATGGTCCCTCAACAAAAAAATTTTTATACAAATAGCCATGAAAGGAGATGATGCTGCATATCCCACCCCACTCCAATTTTATTTTTGATTTTGATGCATCAAAATGTTTACTTCGACTCGGAGCCGCCCTTGGTGACGTTCAGGCCGAGACCACTCGAGTCGAGGTAGACCTTGTTGGCGCTGTTCTGCAGGATGCCAGCGACAGCCCTGGCGTTCTCGAACTCCCTCAGGTCGACGTAGCTGCGCGACTTCTTGATGGCGTCACCGATGAGCTCGGCAGAGCGAGCCTCACCCTGGGCGCGAACGATGGCAGCCTGCTTCTCTTGGCGGGCCTTGTCAACGACGAAAGCCGCGCGCTGAGCCTCCTGCTGGGCGACCTGCTTGGCCTCGACAGCGGCGGTGAATTCGGGCGAGAAGGCGAGGTGCTAGTGCAATTGTTAGGTTCGAACGTGCATAGAAAACAGTTGGGTGCTTACCGTCAACGACACGTCGTCCAGCATGATGTTGAAGCGCGCCGCTCTCCGCACTAGGTTATCTCTCACGAGCCTGCTGACATTCTCACGCTGGGTGATGAGCTGGCTGGCGTTGAACTGGGCAACGACGCTCTTGAGCACCTCGTTCACAATGGAGGGCAGCACGCGCTCGTCGTAGTCGGTGCCCAGAGTGCGGTAGATCTGGGGCAAGGCGTCGACACGGGGTCTCGAAAGCACACGGCAGGTGATGTTGACCATCTGCAGGTCCTTGGTGCCGGTCAAGGAGGCGACGTTGCGCGGCTTAGCGCGCACGTCGTAGGTGATGGGCGTCTCGAACCACGGAATCCGGAAGTGCGTGCCTGCGCAAACAGCCTGTCAGCCTCGTTGTGCAATTGATGGGCTAACTGCGCGTACCTTCGCTGTAAATCTCCTTGCTGACACCCCCTAGCCTGGTATACTTGATCGCGCGGTGACCTCCGTCGACTGGATGCAAGCGTCAGCGTCATGATGCAATGAGTTGGTGGGAAGAGGGCGCACCGTTGAACAGCGAGTTGTTGATGACGACGACAGCACCGCCGAGAGTGAGCAGCAGGCCCATGCCAGCGAAGGCACCCTTGCCGGGGCCGCCGCCAGCGCCGAACCTGCGGCCTTGCTGCTGTGCCTGCACTAGGCGGCGCTGCAGGTTGCGCCACGTCTCTTGCGGGTCGGACATTGCGGAATGGGCGGGTGCAGGCGGAGCACGACGGGTGTGGACGAGTGCGGAGGAGTCGTCGACGACGGCAAAGGGCGGGCGGGGCAGAGGTCGACTGCGGTTGGCAAGCAATGGTGGAGAACGAATGGCGATGGCGGCGATGGAGTTGCTCGACCATGTGGCCCGTGCTCCTCTTGCTCGGAACAAAAAGTGGCCGATCACTGCTGCCTCACGACACCACCTATCGATAAAGCTGCATTATGCGCTACCAATGCCTTGTGCGCTACCGACGTCTTGTGCGCTTATAATCCCAATCCCGCCAGATCCAGCAAGAACTCCGGCAGTTCCAGCAGTCGCCTCCGCACAAACTCGGTGCGTAGCATGTCCTTGAACCGCTGCCTCGATTTCAGGCCAATTACCAACTGCTCCCTCAACCTACTGAACCTCTCCGTCTCGCTGTAAACTTTTTCCACCACGTCCATGATCTTCTCCGGACTCCAGTCATCCCAGTAGAATTCGAGCTCCACCTTGAGGCATCCCGCCACTGCAACGTCAAGGCCCAAAACCCCGTACTTTTCAGCAGCGGCGAACAGGTCGACCAGGAATAGGGAGCCGTACGCCGGAAAGGTGAAGAGCCCCGTCTCGTACATGTAACAGATCAGGGTGGTACAAACGTTGAGGTCTCCAGGCATTGTCGTTTCCGTCGAACCCGGATACTTTTGGAAGTACCTCCTGAAGAAGCGGGATTTGAGCGAGAGAACGTCCTTGTGCACACTCAGCTGTAAATGGCGTCAGTTTCAAGCCAGCCGCCCCATTAGGAAGTGACTTGCTTGTGTTATGTTATCGTAATTAGTGAGAGTGAAATCCGGCGGCGTCTCCATGGAACAACACCTGAGAACTATCAGTGGCTATGAGGCGCTCTGAGAACTTGGCCCTCACTGTTCGAATCTGCGCTTCACGTCACCATATAGCCCCGGGGTCTTCTCTGAAAAGCGCACGCAGTCGAAGACAGATGGCACCTCGATGGTGTGTTGGGAGACAGGTGGCGCCTCGGTGGTGTGTTCGACGCCAGATGGCACCTCGGTGGTGTCTTCGAAGCTCATTTTCGGACTCTGCAATTCCTAAGCGCGTTTGGGGTTGATGATGTAGTTGTACGATATTATTGATTTCGAAAGCTGGAAGAAGAGCTTGAGAATAGCGAAATCAAGTTTGAGAATAGCGAAGTCGAGTTTGAGAATAGCGAAGTCAAGCTTGAGGATAGTGAAGTCAAGCTTGAGGATAGCGAAGTCGAGCAGCGAGAATGATACAGGAAGGTGCCCGCAAAATAGCAGGCGCTGGCTTGCGTGTGGAAGGAAGTGGGCGCCACTACGTGTGCTTGCCAAGCTAAAATCGTGAAGGCGTACTCTTGCCCCAATAAGTAGGTGGGTGTCAGGACCGCATTATGCAATTTCACAAATTAATTATGAGGCCCCAAAGTTCAAACTGTTCAAGCAGGCCGGTGTTGATAAGAGGTTTAGATATTATCTGTGTCCATACAAGCAGTAACGACAGGTCTATATATCAAAAACAAGCATAAATGCCGCAATGATGAGCAGCATAGTTCGTAGCATCATTCGTGAGGGGGAAAAGAAAACCAGCATCCCAATCTACAGCAGCATCGAACCCATATACACAATCGCTTCCGTCTATCTATATACATCACCGCTCTATAAAAAACCACCACCTATACATCTAGTTCTTCGGGATGTTGCAAGTCTGCAGGCACTGCTCCACACCGAGAGCCACGTTGGCCGGGATATTGGCCTTGAAAGACTCGAGGTCCGCGCCGTCCAGCTGCTCGGGGAAGCCGAGCGTGGCCTGGACGATGTCGCCGTTCAGGCCGAAGAAGTTCTGGGCCATCTGGCTGGTGCCGGGGTCCTCGTTGGTGAGGGTTGCGACGAAGGTGGCGTTCTTGCACGTCGGGTTGAACTGGTAGTGGATGGAGCCGATGGGGAAGACGGCGCCGCCCAGCCTGCCCAGCGAGCCGGCCGCCTCGGCGTTGTTGCCGTCGGCGACGAGGCCGTTCTCGACGATGAAGCCGAAGTCGAGCTTCTCGCCGTCGACGAGCGTCAGGAACTCGGTGGCGCGCGGGTGCGTGTGCGGCGTGTTGAGACCGCAAGGTCCCAGGAAGCCGACGGTCGTCGAGATGCCCAGGTCGGTGAGGATGGGGAAGTTGTTGATCTGCGCTGACTTGAGCGCGCCGCCCTTGCCCTTGCCCGGGTCGACGTTGGCCGTGAAGTCGAAGGCGATGACCTTCTGCAGCTCGTCCGGCGGCAGCAGCTCCTGACCTTTGCCGTCCTTAGTGAGAAGGAGCTTGAAGCGGTCGATGGCGCGGGGCGCGTCCTTGAGCTTCTCGATCAGGGCAGTGTTGTCGACCGTCGGGGCAGGGGCCGCGGCGGACGTGGTGGAGGGAGCCCAGCTCGAGGCGTTGGACTCGTAGGGGAGAGCGGAGACACCGGCGGCGAGGGCGGCGATGAGAACTTTGGCGATAGTAGAGGACATTGTTGCTGTACGTCTGGGTTGGTCGCTCTGAATGAGATATGTACGGATGCTGATTTAGAGAAGGACTCAAGGAGACGAGGAAAAAAAATTAAGGAAATGGAGGAAATAGGAAAGGCGCTCGTGTTTGACTGTTCTGACTTTGTTGCTGTGGATGATGGGAAGGACATTTTCTCGGGTCGTACCCGGTAGTTTTATATATCACTTCAACGCATCCACGTAATAATCCTCCGCCCTCGTGGTGTAAGCCACGATGCCCAGCGTTTTCGGATGTCCATGTTCCGAACGGCGCGTGGCAGAGGAGCTAGTGCTATACTCAGATTCGCACTCAAAGTTCTAAGCTTATCCTGAGGGTTGGAAATTGGCAGCGGTCTAGACAAAACGGAGGACATGAGTGGTCAAGCGCGAGCACGAACGGTGGCACAGCTTCTCGGATGCCGGGCAGCGCGTGGCACGCGCCCCGCCACCAACTCTGGTTGACGTGGATGCGGTGCAGGATGGAGTTTGCCGAACAAGTTAGATGGCAGCCACATTCGGATAAGCGGGACCCTTGATCGATGATACATTGTAAGCAGCTCTAGAAATAGCATCGACTCCTCCAAATCCCCCGTTGCCAAGAAAAATGAGATTCGTTACCAGCCAGATGGCGTTGCTAAAAGGACGAAAATCTATGCGCTGTCGTTACGGTCGTGGGAAACATGGAACAAGCCCCTGCAGAAACGCCGTTTGCGCGCCCCACAGTTAAGCGCCCTGGAAAATGCCTGGAAAACGATGCGTTCCTCGGATGCGTAGTTGCCGAGAGTTGGCCGGCGTCGCGATTGGGCGCCAGGCCGTGGCTGTGGTGGAGTGGAGGCGGCTGAGCACTGCGGCGAAACGCAACGTTCGAAACACTCTGAACAAGGCTATGCCACCGAGGGCGGCCCGCTCGAACCTGAATCTAACTCCATGCGATTTTCTTGCAGCACCCAAAACGGGAGGGACTGTAACCCTTCCTGGTCAGGCGCTACGCCGTGCTCTTCCTCGTTGTCTGCTTCGCCGAGGTCTTCGAATATTAGCGACGACCTCTCCCGCCGTCCGCCGTTCAGCTTGCGCCTCAACCGACGCGCCCCGGACCCGGCCTCGTGGGTGCCAAGCCCGTCGAGATCGGCATCGTCGGTGTCGCTGCCAACGATCTGACTGTGCGTGCGCTTGAACGGCCGGGTGCTCCAGCGCCGCTTCTTGCGCTCCCAACGGCGCCGCAACTCTTCGTCCGTGTTGACCGAGTCGTCGTCGCAGTTGAGTTCTTCGAGGCACTCCGAGATGCCCGCGTCATCCCGGTTGCGCCCGGCATCCTCGAACCCGTCGGGGCGGACAACTTCGGCGTCGCTGTCGTATCCTATATCGTCCTCGGTGATCTCCTCGAGATCGAAATCGCCATCTTTGACGGTGACGACAGTCCTGTCCTCCCTCTGAGGCAAGTCGCTCACAAGCGAGTCCGAGTCGTCTCCCGTCGAGTCGTCCTCCATTGCGGACGGGCTCGAGATGTCGGAGGAGTCGGCCGGAGTGTCGTAGCTTTGAGAAAAGAAAAATTTGTAAGTGGAACCCTTTCGTTCGGCGTTTCCCTGCGGCGGCGAAGGCGCCACCGGATGTGGCGAGTCGACGTGCTGTTCGTACGGTGGGGGTGGGTCGTGGAAATGGATGTAATGGGAGGCGGCCAAGTAGGGACAAGGCGTGTTTGGAGGGCTGGTGGGTGGGTTAAGTGGCGCATCGAACACCGGAGGATATCTCGGTCCATCCATAATCTCCCCCGCTGCCACTCGCAACGAGCTCACGGCTGCTCGACGATCTCGGCTCGTTTTGCGCAGCGATATCGTGCTTTACGGTTCGACGACGATCCAGCTAAGCTGCGAGGCCCGGTTGCGATGTTGGCTGGGAATCGCGATAGGATCATTTTTCTCCAAGCGATGGGATGCGGAGTCGACAATGGCAGAGCTGGGAGAAGGGCGCGCCTCATTGACCGACAGGCAATGCGACGGCTCCTCTTATCGGAGGGCTGATGACGCCAGGCAGCAGGAGCGTATTCCTGCCAGGACGGGTCGAACGAGGGGAAGAGGGGGTATGCGCGGGAGCGAACCGGTCAGAACACGCCGGCTCGGATGGGATGAGAAGTGGCGCTGGGGTGTAGCTGACGGCGGGAGAGCAAATTGGCTGCTCTCGGTCGACGGGGCGTCGAGCACTTGCCGACGGGATTCAGGACGAGCTGGCCGGTCGGCAGCCGCTGAGGAACAGGGCTGGACGGGCGGCGACAGGAGGGATTTTGGGTATCACAGGCTGAACGGTGGCTAGATGCAGGCCGTGGTTGGCGTCTGCGCATGCATGACGAAGAGGTCCTGCCCGGAGGCCACGATCAGCACGGCGGGTCGCCCTCGACATGCTGCCAGTGGATCTGCCGCACCGCAGGCGCCAGGGATGCCCCATGCTTGGTCAATGGGTGATCGCTTTTATTTTTTGGCGGGGCTGCGTCGTCAAGCCGCCGCAGCGGCGAGCTTGCACGTGCGGGGTGATGCCGTCACGCGAGGCTGGATGACTCGGCACCCGTCGTCGCCTCAGGCCGCAACGGCTCGCGCTCCGCCGGCGGGGCGTCGTGGCCTCCGACCTCCGCGGCCTTGGCACCTAGGGCTCCGGAAAAACGTCGGCGATGCCGCAGCATTACTGGACACTTCACCGTCCACAGCAGTAGGCACGCATTGCACTTCTGGCGAAGCTCAAGCTGGCCGGGTGCCGAACCACGAAACACCCTCGACGCCAGCTCTCCTTTCCGCCCTCTTCTCCTCGCCGTCGCTCTCTACCTCTCGCCACCAAATCATTGGCGCTGCGCGACTTCCTCTGCCTTGCGTGAAGCTGCGGCTTCTCCCTGAACGCCCAACATGTCGTCCCCGAACATGCTCACCAAGGCACGTTGCGCGTCGCATTCGCCTCCCCAACACCTGTGCTGACCGCTTTGCAGTTCGAGTCTAAGTCGTCTAGGGCGAAAGGCATTGCCTTCCACCCCAAGCGGTGCGCCTCCCCACCTCGTCCCGCCGTCCCGCCCTCCACTGACACCTCGCAGGCCATGGATCCTCGTCTCCCTGCACTCGTCCACAATTCAGCTCTGGGACTACCGCATGGGCACCCTCATCGACCGCTTCGAAGAGCACGATGGCCCCGTCCGCGGCATCGACTTCCACAAGACCCAGCCTCTGTTCGTCTCAGGAGGAGACGACTACAAGATCAAGGTGTGGTCGTATCAGACGCGCCGCTGCCTCTTCACCCTCAACGGCCACTTGGACTACGTGCGCACCGTCTTCTTCCACCACGAGCTCCCGTGGATCCTGTCCAGCTCCGATGACCAGACCATCAGGATATGGAACTGGCAGAACCGCTCTCTCAGTACGTCGCCATTGCGCTCGAGACACGTAATTGTGAGACTGACAAACTCCCCCCAGTCTGCACCATGACCGGCCACAACCACTACACGATGTGCGCGCAGTTCCACCCCAAGGAAGACCTCGTCGTCTCCGCCTCGCTCGACCAGTCCGTGCGCGTCTGGGATATTTCTGGACTCCGCAAGAAGCACTCCGCGCCGACCTCGATGACCTTCGAAGACCAGATGGCACGCGCCAATGCGAACCAGGCTGACATGTTTGGTAACACGGACGCCGTCGTCAAGTTTGTGCTGGAGGGCCACGACCGCGGCGTCAACTGGGTTGCGTTCCACCCCACGCTTCCATTGATCGTCTCCGCCGGCGACGACAGACTGGTCAAGCTGTGGAGAATGAGTGAGACCAAGGCCTGGGAAGTGGACACCTGCCGGGGGCACTTCCAGAACGTGTCTGCTTGCTTGTTCCACCCCCACCAAGACCTCATTCTTTCTGTTGGAGAAGATAAGAGCCTCCGCACGTGGGTAAGTAAAAGTGCTGTAGAGACTATACGTGAGAATTCGAAATTAATTAAGTTTAATAGGACCTCAATAAAAGAACTAGTGTAGGGTCTTTTAAGAGGGAAAACGACCGTTTCTGGGTAATCGCGGCTCATCCGGAGATCAACTTGTTCGCTGCTGGCCACGATAACGGTGTGATGGTGTTCAAGCTCGAGCGTGAAAGGCCTGCCTCCGCAGTCTACCAGAACCAGCTCTTCTACATTACCAAGGAGAAGCATGTGCGCTCCTACGATTTCGCCAAGAACATCGAATCGCCGTCTATGCTGTCGTTGAAGAAGCTAGGCAGCCCGTGGGTGCCTCCGAGAACTCTGTCCTACAATCCCGCCGAACGCGCAATCCTGGTTACTTCACCCGCGGACGGAGGTTGCTACGAGCTCATCAGCCTGCCCCGTGATGCTAGCGGAGCCGTCGAGCCGACGGATACCAAGCGTGGACCCGGCAACTCTGCGGTTTTCGTTGCTCGCAACAGGTTTGCCGTCTTCAACCAGGGCAACCAACAGATCGACATCAAGGATCTGTCCAACTCCACGACCAAGACGATCAAGCCTCCTCACGGCACCACAGATATATACTTCGGTGGAACGGGTTGCTTATTGCTCATCACGCCCACGTCCGTGGTCCTCTATGACATTCAGCAGAAGAAGAACCTTGCCGAACTCGCTGTCAATGGCGTCAAGTACGTCATTTGGTCCAACGACGGTCTTCACGCTGCGCTCCTGAGCAAGCACAACGTTACGATTGTCACGAAGAATCTCGAGCAGGTGTCTACTCTGCACGAGACCATCAGGATCAAGAGCGCTACGTGGGACGATGCGGGCGTCCTTCTCTACTCCACATTGAACCACATTAAGTACACGCTCATGAACGGCGACAACGGTATTGTCCGCACTCTGGAGCACACTGTCTACCTCGTCAGGGTGAAGGGCCGCAGCGTCTACTGCTTGGACCGCTCTGCGAAGCCTAAGATCCTCCAGATTGACCCGACCGAATACCGCTTCAAGCTCGCTCTCATCAAGCGCAACTACGACGAGATGCTCAACATCATCAAGACCTCCAGCCTTGTCGGTCAGAGCATCATCGCCTACCTGCAGAAGAAGGGCTACCCGGAGATTGCGCTCCAGTTCGTCCAGGACCCGCAGACTAGGTTCGAGCTCGCAATCGAGTGCGGCAATCTCGACGTGGCGGTCGAGATGGCCAAGCAGCTCGACAGGCCCAAGCTGTGGAGCCGTCTCAGTGCCGAGGCTCTCGCCCACGGAAACCACAAGGTTGTTGAGATGACCTACCAGAAGCTGCGCACATTCGACAAGCTCTCCTTCTTGTACCTCTCAACTGGCGACAAGGAGAAGCTTACTCGCATGGCCAAGATTGCGGAGCACCGCGGTGACATGACTTCCCGATTCCAGAACGCAGTCTACCTCGGCGACGTCGAGAGCCGGATCGAGATGTTCAAGGAAATCGACCAATGTAAGCACACCTGGTATGAGGTTTGTATTCGATGGGACTGATTGCGTTTTAGACCCCCTGGCGTACATGCTGGCCAAGTCGAATGGCTTGGAGGAGGAGTGCCAAAACATTCTCGAGGCCAGCGGCTTGACCGAGGATCAAATTTCCCTTCCGGAGATCGGTCAGCCCTTGGCTCCTCCCAAGCCCGTCGTTCCCACTTACACCGCCAACTGGCCCGTTAAGAGCTCTGGCACTTCTGTCTTCGAGAAGGCGTTGATGGGCGAGGAGTTGGATGCGGACGAGTTGGCGCCCGCGACTAACGGCTATGGCGACGAGGATCTCATAGAGACCGAAGACGCCGCGCGCGATGGTGGCTTCGAGGATGCCGAGGAGGACGAGGATGCGGCTGGCTGGGACATGGGAGGCGACGATGACATCGAGGTCGAAGACGATTTCGTCAATGTGGAGAGCGTCGAGGCCGGTGCTGGCAGCAGCGAGGCTGACCTGTGGACGAGGAATTCCCCGATTGCTGCCGATCACGTTGCCGGCGGTTCGTTCGAGAGCGCGATGCAGCTTCTCAACAGGCAAGTCGGCGCGGTCAACTTCAAGCCGATCGAGTGGAGATTCCAGGAGATCTACCAGGCCTCAAGGACGTTCTTGCCCGCAAGCGTTGGCCTGCCTCCGCTCGTGAACTACGTCCGGAGGACGATCGACGAGACTGACTCAAGGAAAGTCCTGCCTATCATCCCTCGTGACCTGGAATCCATCACTGCTACTGAGCTCGCCGCCGGCAAGAACGCGATGCGCACCAACAAGCTGGAAGACGGTGTCGTGACCTGGAAGAAGATCCTGCATTTGATGCTGCTCAATGCCGTCACTACCCAGGCCGAAGTTGCAGAGGCCAAGAGGCTCATCGCGACCGCCGGCCAATACACACTAGCCATGAGCATCGAGCTCGAGCGCCGTCGCCTGACCAACAACAGTCAGGACATTTCGGCTCTGGAGGAGGACACAAGAAAACGGGCGTTCGAGCTGGCTGCCTACTTCACAGTACCGGAGCTCGAGCCAGCACACAAGGCACTGGCCCTCTTTGCCGCGATGAACTTCTCCCACAAGAACAAGCAACACAACAGCGCGTTATCATTCGCTAACACCCTGCTGGACCGCGGCTCAACGAACGCCAAGTTCAAGGAGAGCGCACGCAAGATCAAGACGGTGTGCGAGCGCAACCCCAACGACGCAGTCGAAATCGATTTCGACACGTTCGCCGACTTCGAGATTTGCGCGGCAAGCTACACTCCTATCTACACCGGCTCGCCCAGCGTCGCTTGCCAGTACTGCGGCGTGAAGTACCAGGCCAAGTTCAAGGGCACCGTTTGCAAGGTCTGCGAGGTTTGCCAGCTCGGTGCACCGGCGAGCGGCTTGAGGCTGTGCTTGTGAAGTGGGATGTGAAGGGAAGGAGGATTCGGTACAAAAAGAGTAATGGAGGTGGGGGGATTTTTTTTATTGAGTGGACGATGGTCTTGAAATGACGCAATGACTCTGAATGCGCTGCACATGTTTGCGGGTGTTGGAGCCGTAGTTTGTGTGTGTGCACGCTGTGTAGGTGGGGAGAGAGAGGGTCTATCTCGTGGTAGAAAGATAGGATTCTTGTTTTCTTTTTATCAACACTTGCTTTTCTACTCTTGCATCCAGCGTATGAGACACAAAATTTTAGGATTGCTGTGCTGAAGATGAGATTTCTTACCCGCTCTTGTGGTTCTGGGATGACTGCTTTGGAATTTCGAGGGCACAGCTAATGTCTATCTCTTCTCGCGGCGTCCTCCCAGGCCGCCTTCCGGATCACTTCTTTAGAGCTCTCCACTTTCCTGCCATACGGCCTTTGCAGAACCAATTGAGTATTACCATGATGATAAATCTTTTCGTCGATAAAATATGCTCCCATAAGCGCCCTGGGAAGTGGGCTAGGAGGTGGTCAGGAAGGACGCTGCAAGAGACGACATCCGTCATGATTGTGGTATGATAACGGTTTTAAGGAAGTGTGCTATAGTTGTAGGCCAGATGAGGGCATATTTCATAGATCACCTCGCTTCATTGCAACCTAAAAGATATTCTTTGTCAAAGATCCTGTGGAATTATGACACTGAGACAATTTGAAGGCTACAAACCTATGAATCTATACATAAGAAATTGGTACTCGGAAATTTTATTTGCATCTATGAAAAAGCTTATATCTTACAAACATCTATCTAAAGTGCATTGAATTTTAAATTAAGCTCGTGGTGTTAAGATGTGATGTGGAAAGCCGTGGACTTTTGTCAGGTCACTGTACATTATCAGGGACTCTCCGCAGGCATCGCACATGGGTATGCAAAGCCACTCGCCGAAACCAACGATATCGGTGACGTCGGAATATCCCGTCATCAGCATGCACTGAAACCAGTGCAACGTACTTTTTCTGGTTCGACAGATAGTTATTGCCAGAAGAAGAGGCGAGTGATAATCTCTTGAGATCTTGTATTAGACTTGAGCACATGAGCACTCAAGAAGAAATATATACACCATTAATGACGGGAGGATTCTAGCAACGGCATATACCGCCAGATACTGCCTCTCCTTAACAAGTAGCACAAAAACCACGCTATTTTTCACCATTGATCGCAAAGAGCATGCCATGAGGTGACATGAAAAAAAAATCAAAGTATTCGATTCTCCCCTGCGAAGGTTTGCAAACCGCCCCAAACTACTGCAACTCCTTCGCTAACCAAACTTCATCATGGTCTCGCCAACACCTCCATCAATTTCCGGCGAGCCCAGGAAACGCTCCATAGCCTCCGCTACCACGGTCAATTTCTAGCGCTCCCCAGCAAACACATGATCAAATTGCCTAAACTCCACGCGCCATACCCGATGCTACAAAAGTGCAAATTCATCCGAGAGCAGACCCAAGCCTCACATTCACAGCATCATCCGTGGCATCTCAGGCGATGTGCCGAGAGATGAGGCGGGGAGCGTACGGGATGTGGTCTTCGTGGTGGTGTGAGGACGAATGATGATGGTGGTGCGGTTGACCCAGGTGGTGCGTGTGGCTAGTGTCGTCGGAGGAGTAGCCGGAAGAGGAGTCGGAGTGAGGGTGGTCGTCGATGTTGCGCAGGCACATCATAGCGCCGATGATGATTATGAAGGCCCTGATACAGGACGGCTCGGACATGGCGGTGTGAAGGGTGGATTCAGGTGAGAGCTTTCTGCTACGTTCTGCCGTCAGCTTTGGAAAGCGTCGGCGGGTGGTTTCCCTTACTGGAGGTGGGGAATGGAGATCGCCAGAGCGCATAGACCGTGGTGTCACTTGCAGATGTAGGAATGAAGAGGTTCAGGTTGCGTCGTCGCCCAGGTCGAGCTCGTCCCAGGTAGCAGGCGTAACGCTTTCCGTACTTGGACCTGCAGCACCAGGTAGCTCATTCCTTAACGGGCTGACATTCTGTAGCGCACGTGCTGTCCTTCTCGCACGAGAAGGCGAGGCCCGTTTGGCTGCTCCACGACGTGCTCGCTTGCTCGGAGACCGCTCTTTAGCTGGGGACAGCTTCCGCTTGGGGCTCTGCCGTGGACTTGGCGGATCGCTTCCGTCTTCGGTGATGAAGGTGAAATCGCCGACTCGAGGCGGGCTCGGGGATGTCACGAAAACGCGCTGGCCTTGCGTGCCGTCGTCTTCTCCAGGCTTCAGCCCGCCCCCGCGGCTCGTATACGCTGTCGGTTTGACTTTGTCTTTCTCCCCGAGCCGGGTTTTGACGGCACTCAACTTCTCGAGGAAACTCGCCTGACGTCTCTGTGCGCGTGTGGCATACTCTGGGACCGGGAATTTGACGACCTCTATATTGCCTGGATTCTCGATGGGTGCGAAGGAGTGGGCATTGGGAGCTGACTGGGATTTCTCTACCCTGCTCGGACCGGACCTAGGCCTTAACTTTGCCGCGGAAGCAACGAGACGTGTTGAGCTTGCTCCAAGCAGGTCAAAAGTACCGAGCTTGCGTAGCGGCTCGGCCACCCGGTCTTCCCGGTCTTCCGGCGGGGGCGCCTTCGTGAAGAGAAGGTCTGTGCCGATCGTCGATGCCCACTGACAGGTGTATATTTGGCCCTGGTACGATACGATGGGATTGTCGTCGTGGAGCCCCACAATTTGAATGCGATCGTGCTCTTCTGGCTCGGGCGTTGGTTCCTTGTGCGGGGTAGCGTTTTTTTCTGCTGGTTCGGGGGTGTCTTCTTGCTGAGACGCCTGCTGCCCGTCCTTGTCCGTCTCGTCGTCGGCGGCAAAAATGTCGTGTTCCAGGCGGACGAAGCCCTTCTTGGACTGCATAGGCGCGATGCGCGACGTGAGATCGAGCGTCACGAAGAAATCCTGCAATCGACATGTCAGGAGCCAGCGTGGCTGCAAAATGTTTCTGGAGCCAAACCTGAGTCTCTGTCGTGCTGTACTCGTACTCCCATTCGTCGGAATCGGCGCCATTCTGCGCAGTCGCCATGGCGGACGTCGGGGTTGCGAAGCGAGCGCGGAGCGTGGTTTACGGTATGGCAGGATCGTGGGCAGGTCGGTAGGCAAGAGAAGAGGCGGACTTGTGGCTGTCACTCATCATGCGCGGTTGTCACGGCGAAAGGCAGCGCAGTCGGAAAATTTACGGCGGGGATCTCGATGCGCAGATGCACTTTAGATGGGAGCACCGCGTGAGAAGCGCCCGTTGAGCGACGATGCGCGGGCTGCGGTCGCTCTCACAGCTGCAACCGCAACGCAGGTACGCGCTACGCTGGATGGATTCGGCGAGGCGTGAGGGTGGATCGGGACGCGTGGTGGTCGTAAGTCGCGACAAGCTACGACCAAGCGGCGCCGATCTGTGGCTAAGCGGAGGGCGAGCGCGGGCCAGAGCCGCAAGCCGGCGTGACGTAGTACGGGGAGTGTAGGGCTGATCCGTTCCATCCGCCAGTGTGAGCTTGCGGATGCTCGCGGCTGTCCTCCCACCTTCCGTCAGCCCCGCGCCGCGGCCAATCGCCCCCGCAGTGCCGATAAGCAGCGACTGCGTCCAGCCCACGCCGTCCGAAGAAGTGCCAGCGCTGCGCTGGTTGATGCGTCATCATCCATTCGCCTCCCAGTGCGGCGTCCGTCCCGTTCTCCCCCTCCCGCCATCACGTCGGCTGCCTGCCTTAAGTCCGCCGCTTCTCACCTTACGGCCCACTCACACTGCGGCGTGCTGGCCATGCTTGTTGCCGATCTTCCGACGCCTTCCATAAGCATCACCACTGGTCCCATCGGCTTCCGTTAGATCCACCTCCGAGCTGCTAATCGTCGTCCGGCATCTTCGGACGCCCGAGAAGCATCACGCCAAGTCCAGCCCGCTTACCTCACACGAGTAAAACAGCCCATCCTCTCTTGCACCATCCGTCCAGAAACGGCTAACACCCGCGTGTCTCCTCTCTTAGTGCCCGTGCTATCAAATCACGGCGGTCAGGCACCGCTCGTACTTCATCATGCGGCGCCGCAGGTCCTTCCTCTCGGTCCTCACTCTTCCGCCGCCCTCCACTCGTTCAGCCCCCAGCCGGTAGCCAGCTCTACCGCGTCTTTTGTCGATATCCCCACGCCTCTGGTAGACGTTCCGCAACAGACTGCGAGCACCAAAGAGCTCGTAGACACCACTGAAACCCAAATGAAGCGGGGCAAACGCATTTCCGTTGCACTTGCCTCGACCTTCCTCAGCCTCTTCACTGTCTCTCAGGTCTACCAACATACCCACGAGCAGGGCGGCTCTGAGGGATTGGAGGAAGCCGAATGGATCGCCAGCTCGCGGTCGTGGATCGACAGGAAGACCTGCCAGTGGTTTGGTTTCTGCGGCATATCGCATCTGGACCGCTCCAAATGGGTGAGCAAGTCTTACAGGAAGGCCGGTGACGGAGCTCAGGAAGCTCTCACCGACGACCATATCTTTGATTTCAGCGAGTTCTGGACGAGCGGCAAGTCGAGGCCCGAAGATTGGTCCAATGATGAGCGCGCTCTCCGAGAGATACCCCAATACGTGCTGAATCACGCACCGTTGATGCACCTGTTCTCTGGTGAAAAGTTTTGGCCGTGTGACATCGCCGACCACCTCATTCACACAACACCGCACCTCAATTACACTCCGATTCAGGCCAAATCGGACCACCCAAATCTTACCAACCTCGACGAACTCAATGAGTTCGGCTACTCTGTGTATCTTCAGAGCGATGACAACGTCGAGGAACGCCCAGCGTGGCTTGGTGGCGAAGCCAATGTTCCCACAAAGTCAGCTGGAGATTATGAAGACGACGACTGGGAGTCCGACCCAGATGAGGACGGTTACCTCACGGATGAGGAGGATATTTCATGGTACGAAGCTGGCATCGGTGACTTCAAGGAGAAGGGCGGCGAACGTCCTGATCCCACGTCCCCTCACGACGCTACGCCCACAGATACGCCCGAGGGAGAAGAGGTCGTCTATGAAGACGGATACGAAGCACCGGTCTACCGTGAACCTCGCATGGTTCGACGCACGTTGGACTGGTCTGCAGGAAAAAAGCACGGCAGTCCCGGTGGCCGCAGCGACGCTCCCGCCGTTTTGATTGTGATTGACAAAGGGGACGGTATCATCGACGCGTTTTGGTTCTATTTTTACAGCTACAATCTCGGCAATGTTGTGCTCAACGTGCGCTTCGGAAACCATGTTGGTGATTGGGAGCACAGTGTTGTGCGCTTCCAACACGGAAAGCCGAAGGCGGTGTTCTTTAGTGAGCACAGCTTTGGCGAGGCGTACGCTTGGGACGCGGTTGAGAAGATTGGCAAAAGAGTAAGTTATCATTTAATCATCACTTTGCCTTAATTGGTGCTAATTGTTCAACAGCCTGTCGGCTACATTGCGACTGGCACTCATGCCATGTACGCCACCCCGGGCACCCACTCCTACATCCTGCCTTGGGGTCTTCTCCATGACATCACCGACCGTGGCCCGCTTTGGGACCCGGTGTTGAATGTCCACAGTTATACCTACGACTATCAAAATGACACTCTGAGGTCATCCACGAGGACGCCGCACGCGCCAGTCGAGTGGTTTTACTTCATGGGCCATTGGGGTGATAAGTTCTACCCTCTCTCTGACCCTCGTCAATACCGTTTTGCGGGCCAGTACCACTATGTCAATGGCCCATATGGGCCGAGATTCAAGAATCTAGGCCGGAAGAAGGTCTGCCAGGGGAACGGAGATTGTATAATCAAAGAATTCCTCGCCGCAGCCCGTGCGAAGAGGTGGACAGGCGCTGGTGAGGGGGAGGATATCAGTCCTGAGGATGCCGCTCGGTTTGGCCTGAACTAAGAGCCTATTCTGGGGTGGCAGTAAGGAAGAGTTTGAAGGAGGAGGATTTGGATGACTACGGATACGAGACACGCACTTTGTCATTCCCTGCGCAGATACCATAAACGCTCTTTTGAATATCTTGGAGAATTGGGTTTCGGAACGGTTGGAGTTGGAGTAGGCGGATTTATGGGTCACGTTTCGTTGCTTCTTGAAGATGTCTGCGGAGTTTCGAAAGATGACTCTGTCAACAGATTTTCTTCCGCTCAGGAGGATCCGGCGCTACAAGGAAGCGGATGGTTCCTCTGCTTTTTTCTGTATCAAGCAAGCATGTCTTGCAAACTTGTCAACATGACCTGAGACTACAAAACGTTACAGAACTAGACACCAATAAATTTCTATCATGAAGAATGACCTGTAGGAAGCGATGTTTCGATGTGCAGACACTAAGACTGTTGGGCATGCCGTATTGTCTGGTTGCTACGTCCGTTGTCACGTCCGCTGATACTTAGGTTCGTCTTTATTACTTTGATTGGTATGAAGTGCATATAAAAATATCATATCATCACCTTATCCAAGACAACGCAACGTCTAATGAGATGCTAGTGGACGTGCCATTGGACACCCAAAAATATGGTCACGCACTGATTTTGCCACTCGAGGCTTGAGGCGCTCTTTATATTTATCTTAACGTGGCGGCTATTGCAATTTTCACGAAGAAAAATCCCGTGGTGTAGTCGCTAGCGCATGGCGGATCAATATACACAGCACTACTATAGCTGAAAGTCTAGACAAGGCGGCAAGGCAAAAGGATTTTGGCTAGCGTACCGGTTCCGTCATCCACGGTAGCGAATGCCAACCAGCGGAAGCGGTACCGAACGTCTCCGACGTTTATATCTACTCTGGCTCGGCTATTAGCGTGCAAGAAGGCTAGATCAACCCAAGCATGAAGTGTAACTACGTATGTATGTCTCATCAGCATGCGGGGAAGAGAATATGTCGCGCATCCAGCCACCGTCAGAATCGTTCTCATTCGCCTCTCTCTGATTACCTTAAGGCACAGAAAGCAGAGGCGGTCAGGAACATGGATTTGGAGGCGTTCTCTTCCCCTCGCTTGGCTGACGCAAGAAAGCTTGACAATTGCGGAGAGAGGGTGTTGCGATGTCGCTCGGGCAGAAGTGCGGCGACACAGCGCGTGGGAAATCGGATGATGTCAGATTCTTCTTTACCTTTGCAGGTTTTGAGATTGAGCATGACTGGTGTCGACGGGAGATAAACGTCTGTTCTTTCCGCATTGGACGCATTCGCTGCGAGATGACGGTTCCCGTTAAATTCCGAGGCCGGGTATGAGAGTGGCATCTCGGGAAGCTATCAATGGGCAGATAAGGCCAGTCTAAAGATAGTAGGGGGATGAGTCGGAAGCGACCTGACATGTGCTTATTGTCTCTGATTTCCAACGCCCCGGATTCTAGAAGACGCAAACATCTGGCGTGCATGGGCATGAGTCAGCCCGGCGCAGGCTGCATTGCATCTTCCCGGGTAGCAGATTGCGTGAGCAAGATGCAGAAGCCCGGCATGTCTCCGAGAAACCTTCGAAGGCAGGGGGCCAGGTTCGGCGAGTAATCGATGACGGGAAAGACGTGCCGCCGAATTAGGTAATTGATAGAGGCGGGATGGCAATGCTGGCGGATTTGCGAGCCGGACTTATTGAGAAATCAGTATTTTTCGGCGCCACTGGATTTTTGCGTCCACGAGGCCACCGAGCTCCACCTGCTGGCGGCGAGGGCGGTGATGGCGGGCGTTGAGCAGCGCGGCAATAAGGCAGCCTGTCCGCTTTCGGCGGCCGATGCTTAGCTCGCGCTGCTCCGTGCCGACGACTGCGAAGCTCCGCGGCGAAACGAAGGCAAGGAGGAGCGGCGCACGCGACACTGTCTGGGCGAAACTGTCTCAAAACGCTGCGCTGGCAGGCTCCAACCCCCTTGGGCGGACCCTGAGGTCCTGATGCCATCAGCCCTATTAGCACGAGTCGAGCGCAATGGCCTCCGGGGTTCAGGCCGCGGGCGCGCGTGCCCTCCTGCTTCCCTTTTCCCTCGCGTGCTATGTGGTCGTGAGAGATTCGCCCGCTCACACCACGGCACCCGTGTCATTTTCGTGCGACGCGGCAGTGGGGCGCTGTTCTATGTAAGGGAGGTTGCGAAGTCTGGAAAGCCCCTGGAGATGGCGGGATGCGCGCTGGAAATGCGGGGTAGAGGTGCGATAGGGCGGGAGCGGTACAGTAGCAGCTGCAGCGCGCGCCCGTTGTGGGAGCTGGCGGCGACGGACTGCGCTGGTGTTGCTTGGGGCGCCGGCGACAAGCAGGCGGGCGGAACGCTCGCGCTGAGGTACGTACTCTGGGGGTGAGAGTCATACATATGCCGACGGCGACGTCGGAGAGATGGTTGATCGGGCCGTCGAGGATTGCGCACGTCCGGGCCAGCCATTTGGGCGCAGCTCGGCCTTATCGTCATCATTATCTGCTAGGGAGGCCAGCGACACGTCCAGCTAGCTGCATATCACGCTGACCTTCCCGCCGCCGCCTGCCTTCCTTCTCAACCATCCCAGAGACCCTGAACCTGAGCCCTTCCAACTTGCGACGAAACGCGACCGCACGTCTGCTCTCCTGCGCCCCGCGCGCGCGCCCGTCCTTTGTCCCACCAAGATCGACACTTCATCCCGCCGGACCTAGTGTTGCTAGCGCCGAGCTGTGCTGCAGGCAAGCTCCCACGTAGAGGTCACCAGATACGCCCTGCTCTCACCATCCTCTCGAGATCGTTTCAGCTCTCGTTCGTCCTCTGCCAACCTCAGCCCCATCTGCATCCGCATTGGGCCCGGAGGCGCCTCAGCCTTACTCATCCTCCTGCTCATCTGTGCAACATCCCGGTCCGCCTCCGATTCCGCTGCCTGTACCACTATCACGCAACATTCCTTCGCCTAGTCCTCATCTATCCCCCCTCAACACCTAACCTCCTACTACGCGACCACCCTTTTCGCTTCAGTCCACCTGTCTCGCCACCACTGCGCCCTTTCTACCCTCCGCTGTCCCATGGCCTTCCAGCAGCCGCAGCGGCCGCGGCCCGCTCGCCCTCTTTCCTTCTCCCAGCCCGCGCAGCAACAACCCGTAGAGCCGGGCCCCGTATCGCCGCGCCGCAAGCACTCCATCGTCGAGTCCGAGGAATGGGTCCTCTTCTCGCCCTCCGTTGACGGTCGCACCCATACTACCTCGACCTCGCGCACCCCCCGCACCGTTGGCATCTCGCAGCTGAGTGACTTTGGCTCCCTCGACACGGCCGCGAGATCCGAGGGCTACGACGAGCGCGACGAGGATGACAACCTGACGTGCCAGGGCACAGACCCTGACGATGACGCCGAGACCGAGGAGCTGGACAGCTTGGACGACGGCTTGCACGCCTTCCACGAACCGTCGCTGAGTGCCCAACAGCTCGGGGAGAGCAGCCAAACGGTGTTCCCTACACACGACGGCCTCGGCACGTTCCCGTCGACCAGTGCAGCGGTGCAGGAGCAGCTATGGCAATTCGAGAGATATAACGCCAGCCCCAGGAAGACCAAGGTGGCAAGACGGAGGTCCAGCGTCCAGAGAAGGTTAGACGCGCTTGAAGAGACGGAAACGCACGAGCACGATGAGAAGAAGGAGCGCATTGAGCGGTGGCGCCTCGAGCAGAGCCGCGCCCTGTTGGAGGAGATAGAAAGAGAGACTAGGAGACGGAGACGGATGAGTCGCGCCACCATCGCGAGGTCGACTGCTGGCAGCACTATCGCAGAGAGCAGCAGGCCTGCCACCGAAGCCGAAGAACCGCACGCAGCTGATGCCTCGCAGCTCGGCACCTCCCCCGCAGACTCCTCGGACGGCGAGTCCTTCTGGCAGCGCTTCACCCGCCGCGTCATCCGCGACCTCATGGGTATCGACGAGAACCTTCTTTCCGTCATCCTGGGTGAATCGTTGCCGGCAGAGGCCACTTCAACGACGTTCGGTCCGAATTCGAAGGACGTCCTGGCTGCGGCGGCATCTGAATCGGCAAATCACTCGTCTGCCCACGATTCCTGGGAGCAGCGGTTGCTCGAGCGGATATCACGAGAGCTCGGTGTTCTGGTCAACCAGCTTTCCGAACACCCCGGCGCCTTCTCTACCTACCTTCGGACCCAAGAAACTCCGGCTTACGCTGGCCTTTCGACATCGGCCGACAGCACAGCTACCCGACGACTGAGCGTTCCCCCCACCGCCTCCTCCAGTGCTACCCCCGACGCCGCCCAGTCCCAATCCATGTCTAATATCAACTTTGCGCCTACCGTTCCTCCCCAACCATCCTACAGTGAGGCCTCTCTCTGGGGCATCGAAGAGGAGCCCGAGCCGGCACCTGCTGCACTGGCCGCGTCCATCCAGTCCCAGCGCGAGCGCGAGTACTGGGAACGTGACCTCGACGTGAAGATGGTGTTCAACTTCCTCAAGGAGCGATTCTCCTCCAGACCGACGTCGCCGGTCAACGGGAGCTCCTCCAACCGCAGAGACAGTGCGGATCCCTTTCAGCCGAAAAGCGCCGACAGCTCCGCCGGCAGTCAGGAGCGCGCGGCCTTGATCCGCCAGCACCACCCGCTCGTTAGCCGCAACCTGCCAACGTCGTCTGCCCAGGCGCACTCGGAGCAGCTCGCGTCGTCGTCACGGCCGGCACCCAACGCCGCCGCGACGACGACCATCACCGTCCCCGTGCCCGTGCCCGTGCCCGTGAGCAGAGCGAACCTGCAGCGCTCCCGTCTGAGCAACAGGAACGCCGGGTCCAGCTGCGCGAGCCAGAGCACCCGCCGGAGCAAGCGCAGCGGAAGCAGCAGGAACTACTGGGACCTCGGCGGTAGCGTCGGAAGCGGGCCCGCTGGCGCGCCCGGTGCCGCTACCTGGGGCGAGGTCTAAGCCCCGAAATGAGAGAGGAAGAGTAGACGAAGATCTCTATTATGGCGATGATGTGTATCTCGCCTTTTTTGTTTTGCGCGCGAGAGCGATACCTTTAGACGGGATGGATGAGCATGGAATGTCTCACCTCCCTTAGAGCAATGACCGGTGGACATGTAGGATTTTTTGTTTCATTTCACCATTATTTCAGGCGCGAGGATCAACTACCCTTACTGCATAGACGTACGGCCAAGCGGGATATTACTATTTACTCATATTTTCTTTTTCCTACAATGGATCGTTGGACGGATTTTGGCTTTTCGGATATCCCACTCTTAACATTGCTTATTCTTTGCTGCCTTCTTCGTTTTGCATGTGTTGCGGATTCAGAGACCTCGTTCAGATGCTTTTTTTTTGGTGCAATGTTTCCGTGGCAGGTTGTTGGATACCATTTGTTCTTGTCCCGATGTTGCTACAAGTAGAAGCAGACATGCATTGACGTTTCTTTTTCTTTCCTTTTTTGAGATACCAAGAGGGGCTCAACTCCCCTCGCCACTAATTCCACAACCGCGTCGCGTGGATTTACCACTCGCGATGGATTTTCTAATATCTGATTTTTTACCGTCCCCAACCTGCTCTCTCTCTCTCCAGATGCTTCGGCGTAGCGGGAGTCCTAGCTTTTTTGCCCCGCGGACTGTCTCACTGAGTCTCAGGTCGCGTGGCTGGACCGAGCGCCACCTTCTCACCACTCCGCATCCTGTTTGCGCCGTTAGCGTCATCGATCACGCCGCCGTAGACTAGCTTTGGGTCTGGGCGTTTCGTTGGATAGCAACGGATCCTTGTTCTATGTCTTTAATTTTTCTCTTGAGCAGGTTTCATGTCTTCGAGGCTGTGGTGGCTATTCCCTGAGAAGAAATGGCGGCAGCAATGACAACACCTAGGGTTTGGGATTGATTGTAGATGTTCTAGGTCGGTGTTGGTCTCTGTACCACCTCTCCTTTTCTTCTTTTTCCTTGAGACTGTTCCTTTTCGGTTGCGTACATCGCATCTTGGGTGCTGACTTCCACAATAATGCTGAACAAACAACTCTAGACGCCCTGAGCGAGATCTCAATCAATCTCTTATCACTCTTCTCTTTCTTGTTTTTCCCCCACTTTCCCCTCTCGGTCGGCGCCTTCAATGGTGAAATCTTGGCGCAGGAACCGGATTGGATGACGTTTGCATGACTCTGTGACCGCCACCAACATGTTTTGATCATCAAACGAAGACACGCGGGGTCTGACTGCTCGTCTCATTGGATGCGGATAATGCACACTAGAATTGGCCCGAGCGCGTCCGGCATGCCCTTCCGAGGAGCCAGTGATCTGCCACAGCCTTTGTCAAAAGCATTTCCTTGCAGGGAAAGGGCATAGAGGCGTACGGGTAGTCTAGTTGCGCTCCCTCTCCTCTGGGCCTTTTCTGAGAGGTCGGTTCGCTTATAATTGTGACAAATCGGGGTAGTTGAAGCTATCGTCCGGATGCTTTTGTTCTAATATCTTTTATACATTTACGTCCGGATGAACGCTTCAGCTACCCCGATTTGTCACAATTGTAAGCGAACCGACCTTATACAGGTTGTCTTCTCGGAATTACTTGCCTATCCGAAGTGAGATATCAGTCACTCGCTGATTAAGTCACTTAAACGACTCTCTTTAGAAGTATGTCTGATGTTAGAAGAATCGGTCACCAGCTCAAGGACAAACCTAATACTAATCGTAATCTCGTAACCGCCTCGTCGCCTTCGCCCGTTCGAACCTCACACGGATTAGAAAAAAAAATGGCAAAAAACCTGCGCCTGCCCATCCGAGCCGTAGCTCGGCGGACGGAGGGCTCTATGGCCCTCTTGGCAGGGAAAAACCCCCAAGCTTGCCCAAGGCTTCATTGGGATTTTTATTGTGGATAGGCAGCTGCTCTTTGTTTTTGTCCTTTTCTCTTTTCGACCTATCACAAGTGAAGTTAGCCTATTCTTCAGTTTAAATGGTAACTAGAGTAGTTACCATTCTGCCACGAAACCGTGGCAGTGCCCTGTGGGCGAAAGGGAAAGCTGACCTGTCAATTTATATACGTCATACAGCCTCGAATCCCTCCGCCGAGTAATTGCCTCTACGTAATAGCATATTCTCCCGGTCACTCCCCCTCCCCGTAATGCCGCACTCACCACCTGTCCGCGCCACACTCCAGTTTCCTCCATCCGAACTCCTACCAGTTGACTCCTAAACATATTCCCACATCTTCCTCCATCCTAACCTTCTATTTGCCTTTGCCACGACTCTAGCGTTGCGATTTCGGGCGCTGAATCCCTCGATCGCTTGTGCTTGGCATTAAGCCTCTGGAAGGCGTCTCTCGTGACTTCAGCGGCATGGGTGGCGTTAGATACGTGTTGCAGCGCCAACCTTCGCACTTTAGTTTGCCATTGAGGCTCGTCGAGGTTGGCCGGAGTCTGGTTCTCCGGAGTCTCGGGTCGTTCCGGTTCCTCGTCTTCGGAGTCGTCCTGGGTGAACGCCGATGCGATGTCCTTGAGGTAGACTACCTCGGAGCTTATAGAAATAATGTTTCCTAGCCTCCTCGACTTATCCACTTCCTTTTCAGCCATAGTTTTTGCTCGGTCAGCGGTCAAGTTCCCTTTTGATGAGATGGGTTGTTGTTTCGTCGACTTGCGGCAGCGTCTGTCCCCCGTGAATCCGGATCCACGCCTCCAGATTGTCCCTTGCTCCGAACAGTGGTAGGGCGCCTATTATGGCTACCCGGTGGGTTTCCAGGACGTCGTCACCGTAGGCAAGCCGTCGAGGTTGTGGCGGTAGTAAAATGCACGCCATAAATTTCGCTGGGTGTTCCTACGGTGGCGGCGTTGATGAGATGAAGCAAAGGATTAGATAGAGGGCAAAAAATAAGGAATATATGTTTTTCTTTCCTCGGATGATTTTAAGTCATCGAAAGGCTTCGTTGGCACAGTCGCCTTGTCGTGGAGTTGTTACAACGGCTGCGAAGGTGTTGAGGGTCGATGCGGTCGACAACACTGTACTAGCCGACAATACATTTGAAGTCAGAATACATTTTGGCGATATTTAAATGTGAGGCTCGAGTATGCTGTCCCCTTGTCGTTCTGCAGTATTAATTGGGTGTGCCGAAAATAATTAAGAGGTAAATAGACTCATCCTCCATCGAGACCAGGCTGATTTATTGGCAACTATTTATTGATATTTACTTAGAAAGCATGCCGATGTTTGTCTCCTGAAATATTGAAATTTAAGTCTGCTTTTTAACCACCTTCATTAGAACGGGCAATTCAGTCTCACGTCCCCTTTGAGCAGACCTCCTTCCGTGGTTTTGGCATACCATAGGGAAATTTGTTGCTGCCGCCCACTTACTGCTAATCTTTCGTAAAGGCAATTGCCGATATAAATCTTATCGGATCATGTTGTTATATCTTGAGTCTTAAAGGATCAATGGACCTACCACAGATTCTTCGATACCCTTGCCATGGCAGGCGTGATGAAGTCTCTACAAACAAAAAATGACCACTCTCACCAACACAAACCTACAACGCAATATAACGCAGGAAAGCGCCACACACTACCACAAGACAAGCAAGGCCGGGAATGGAACAGGAAACTCAGTGTATTTGAAATTCTTTCCACACTCGGAAGAGAAACACCAAACGCCCAGAAATGCAGCTTCTTTGCATCATCGAAAAACTATATAATACCACCCCCTCGTAGCCCATCACCTTCTTTTGATCGTGAAATCGAACTTTTTTGGTTCCACTCTTTGGACGAAATTCCCAGGCCTCAACTCCAAAAAGACAAATCAAACACAACCCAGAACCTCCAACAGTGTGAGAGACTAAGCCTCACCAATGTTGAACTTCATCTTCACGCCCATCGACGCAAGCTCCACGTCCAGGTAACGCAGCACTCCAGGAATAGCGACGACCGAGACGTTTTCGCCACCGGTAAACCTCATGCCCTGGCCATCCTCCCAGACCTCACTCTTCGGTTCCCACCCCTCGGCCGGCTTGGCGCAGCGCCTGCACCTGGTGATGTTGCCACCACGCTTGCCGCGGCCGTAGCCGTTCACCGTCGGCGCGGTGCTGAGGAAGGAGCCGCACTCGCGACAGACCCAAGCGCGAGTATAATCCGAGCAATTCATAAGACGGTCCTGGAGCAAGTGGGCGGTTCCGTGGGCGAGCAGGGCGTCACGCTCCATCTCTCCGATACGGATACCACCACCCTTCTTACGACCCTTGATGGGCTGGCCGGTGAGCGCGTTGTTGGGACCGGTGGTACGAACCTGGTACTTGTCGTTGACCATGTGACGCAGACGCTGGTAGTAGACGACGCCGATGTAGATGTCGGCGTGGAGCTCCTCGCCAGTGATGCCCGAGTACATGGGTTCGTTTCCGTAGTAGTTGTAGCCCGCCTTTGCGAGCTGCTCGCCAAAGTAGTCCACTGCAGTGTTGCGCTCATCGAAACGGAAGGGCGTACTGTCCTGCGCGAGACCGTGCAGCGCACCGGCCTTACCGGCCAGCGACTCCACAAACATGCCGATGGTCATACGGGAAGGGAAAGCGTGAGGGTTGATGATCGTGTCAGGCTGTATTCCCGATTCCGTAAATGGCATGTCGATGCCCGGCCACTTCTGAGACATGACACCCTTCTGTCCGTGACGTGAGGAGAACTTGTCACCAATCACCGGACTTCTGCTTATGCGGATCGTCAAGCTGATGGCCTGGAGCGGCTCATTTCCAGTCTCCGATCCAATGAGACGGACCTGCTCGACGAAGCCGGTCTCATCATCCTTGTACTTTTCGAAGTGAGTTTGGCCGTCCTTGTTGATGTACTCTCCTCTTGCGGCATCGTAAGTCACGTGATGGTATGCGCAGAGGACATCGCCCTTTTGCAGCAGGGTACCAATGTGCGGCAAGCCGTCGTCGTCGAGCTTGAGACGCCACTCTGCCTTGATGAGACCGTCAGGGGCAAACCCGAAGAGTTTTGACACTTTCTTGGTTCCTTTCGTCCTGGAGCTTTCGTTGAGTTCAATCTTCTTCGTCTTGTAGACTGTACCGTGGCCATATCCTCTTTCGTGCGAGGACTTGTTCATGATGAAACCGTCGTCCATGTCATAGCCCACGTAACTGATGACGGCAACGACACCATTCATGCCGTTGGGGAAATTATCGAAACCGTATTCGTTGTACAGAGGCGGACGGGCAATTGGCGTCTGACCGGTTTGCAGCCGGTAGGATTTGTTGTCGGTTCGATATGCAATCGCCGAACCGGCTGTACCCATCGTTTGCTTCGCCATTTGACATTGGTACCTTCCGGGAGGTTAGCAATCAGCCGGGCAGACACACGGGGGGACGAGGAGCGCTTACATGTTACGAGGGGACTGATTGTAGTCGGAGTACGGGGTTTGCGCCGCCAGCACACTCAAGATATTTGTAGGGTCGAATTCAACGTGCGTAGAGTCACCTGAGACAATTTCGGGCTCGGTGCAGGCGATGGACATGTAGGGCTGCTCGAAGGGACCGACGTAGTCGAGGCTATCCAGAGGAAGATACTTGACAGGTCTGTACATCCTAGCGGGCTGACTGAACATGTAGATACCGGGATACTGGCCACCGTTTGTGTTCGGGATGTAACCCAACTCAAGCTCCTTGGGGACGTTGTGAGTGCCCTCGACCTTCCAGTAACGAAGCGTGTCGTGGATGACCTTGGCCTGCTTGGGCGAGCAGTAACCGAGAACCCGGCCATCGAGCTGGACCACCACGCTGTCCTCGAGCTGTGCCGATGGAACGTTTGAAACTCCAAGTTGAGCAACAAGGCTAGGGATGCTTGTCACATCCAGTTGTGACGTACTGATCTTGCATACGCGTGCTAAGTGGTTGAGGAGGCCGCATGGGGACCCATCTAGGGTCCGTTTAGTAGATCGAACCAGATGGTGAGGAGAAAGACTGCCTACCTGGCGTGTGAACAGGGCATAAAAACCCCCATGACTCTGCTCTCAATTTCCTTGTAGTCGTAGTGCGTAGTTCTGCGAAAAAGGCGCCTCTGTGGACCATATGGAAATGGCTGAGGAATGTTCAAAGTGTGTCAGAAGGTGGTGTTGAGGTCTGCGGGGGTGGGTGAGACTTATCTGAAAAAGTTGATTTTTTCGGCGACAACGGTGTAGCCTGAAGTCTGCTGCAGATCTAGACCACTGGAGCTGACCAAGTTGCCAGTTGAGAGGAAATACTCCATAGCGTTGCCGATATTTTCGTTGGTTCTCCTTACAATCTTTGGCAGGAAGTCCTTCTCGAACTCCGGGTCAGTGAACGTTAGCCGGGTGTTCCTGCACCATTCCGACGCAACTACGCGGATCGACATCAGCCAGTCCTCAATCTTCTCCTTGATGATCATGCCGTAAAGAAAGCCTCCGAGAAGAATCTCCTGGTTTGAGACAGCATCAGGGTCGTCAACTGCGCATTCTCCTTCGACAAGTGCGTAGAGCTTCCTGATCATGAAGAGCAAGAGCTTGAACTTGCTCCTGTCATCGTTCTCCGTTACATCGAACGATCCCAGATGGGGCAGGACGATTCTCCGCAAGAACTCGGTACCCGCGTCTTCGTCGCTCGTATCATCTGGAACCCCCAAAACAACCCTGAACTTGCTGCCAAGGTATGCTCGAGTCTTGGCCTTGCTGTGGATGCCGTACGCCTTGTATGTCCGGAGAAGCAGTTCAACGCGGTCAGTGACGAACTGCTTGTCTGCCAGGCCCTTGGAGCCAGCAGCGCCGACAAGTCCCTCGAAAATTTCGCGGTCGTTGGTGTCGACAAGCGCCTTCAGGATCATGGTGACCGGGATGAGGTACTCATTCTTACGCCACGAGAAACGGAAAGTGACGTTTCCGTCGCTGAGGTAGTGGAGGACGTTGGTTTGCGAAGTTTGATCGGGGCGGACGGAGCGAAGTTGGATACCGAACTTTGTGTACGACTGGCCGCGGTTCTTGAAGGAGGGACGAATGATGGCCATGGGGAAGTTCCTCCTGCCGACGATGAGCATACGGATGAGCTTCTCGTTGCCGTTTACGATGAAATATCCTCCCAACTCTTCAGTCTCCTCCTTCGCGCAGACGAGCTCAGAAGGAGTCAGGCCCTCGAGGTGACATTTGTTTGTCTGCGCATGCGTCAGCTAGACGAGTTGGTGGTAATCGGTATTCTCTCGCAACTCACCCTGAGCATGATGGGCACCTGCCCAAGCTCGCGGACTGAAGATTGCCATTCGCCGGAGTTGATGCGCCACTCCAATCGCGCGCGCATCTTTCCTCTGTATGTGGCATGCCTCTCACGGCACTCCGAGGGCAGGATTCTCCGGTCGTTCAAAGCAATCTTGTTGCTTGTGGGGAGGACGGCTTTCTCGAGGTAAATGTCGCGAACGCGCACGCTGAGACGATTGCGGGGACCGACGGTGGTGCTGTCGCCATCGAGGAAAGTCTTGATGCCAATGTCTTTGAGACCATTCTCCAGCAGGCCGTTCTTCGCAAAAATGGCATTGAAAGAGTGGGTGTGCGGCTCGATGGCTGCGGCGAGGGTCGGGAAGGCGGTGTGGTCGGTTGGGGGGTTCTGGAAGAGATTGTGACGGCGCACCGTGTCGTACTCGTTGTCCCAGGCGGTGTCGGTCTTCGCCCGTCTGCTGGAGTGCGAGGGCGCCATGGTTTGGCTGGCGAGGCAAACGGTGCTGAGCGCTGATTGATTGCTCCGTGTCCCCGCAGAAAATTTGGGCGGGCAGTGTCGAGGCTACTGCAGGGCGCGGACTCGCATCACACTCTGCGGGGGCAGCACAAAAGCAAGGTTGCCGCGAGGCTTGGGCGGGAGAGATAGTATTGGGAGTGCTCAGAAAAAATGTCGTAGAGCGAGCGCTCGGACCGGGCTGGCGCGCTGCACCTCTGCCCGACGGGCGTCGGCAGGGATTGGACTCGCCGCGCTACCGCCCGCCCGAAGCGGCCTAGCAGATCGGCTTCCCGCAAGAAGACTCCCAGGCGCTGCACCACCTCTCTCGTGCACATGCGGCGCCGTGGTTTTTGCCCTTGTATCCTCCATCTCCCGCCCGGCAGCCATCGCTGCGAAGCTCCTCACCACTCGACTGCGTGTGCGGTGCAAAGATCCTACTCGCGTTGATTTCTACCTAGCTTAACCGCCGCGGCCGCAAGGCAGACAAGGCCCCGCATCCCAGGAACCCTAGACTGAGCTCTTCACGCGCCTCGGGCCCTTCCGCAGCTATTCACTACCCATCCATAGCGCCCTCGCCCAACCCAACCCACGACGACTTGCAAACCATGGCCGGCTTCTTCAGGCGCATCTACGATTGGCTGTTGCGCCTGTTCTGGTGAGTGCGCGCGCCTTCCCGCCCCGGAATCCTCGCAGCGGCCCGCCGTCATCAACCATCGCGGCCTGCATCGCGCGGTGTTGGCCCTGGGCCCCCTCCTCAGCCGCGCCACGCCCGCAGCGCGCCCGCCTGCCGCCGCCTGGCACACCCTGCTGACCCCGCCGCAGGGCGACCGAGATGGACATCACCATGATCGGCTTGCAAAACGCCGGCAAGACGTCGTTGTTGCGAGTTCTGGCGGTGAGTATCTACCCTTCCGGGACCGGCCGTGCAACGTCGCGCTGGACTGCTGGGCCTGCTGGCTGCTCGACACTGACGTAACCAGGGCGGCGAGTTTACCATCGAGTGCGTCCTGCCTTTTCCATCGCGCACGAGGAAGCTCCATCTGCGCCGCACGCTGCGCGAATTTTGCACTGACCAGTTGTGTGTCCAGCTCGATTCCCACCGTGGGGTTCAACATGAAGCGAGTCCAGAAGGGCCATGTGACCCTGAAGTGGTATGTATCGCAGGGGTCCTCCCTTAGATCGTCATGTGCCAAACCCCAAAAGCATCCGGGTGGGCGGCAGTGAGATAGCACCAAGGGGCACTATTTGCTGATTGTTAATGCCGTCCTCAGTTGGGATCTTGGTGGTCAGCCCAGGTTTCGGTCGATGTGGGAGCGGTACTGCCGCGGCGTGAACGCCATCGTGTAGGCTCTTCGTCGGTCGCATTTTGCGCGCGCTTTGCTTATCGGCTGCAGATTCATCGTGGACTCGGCCGACAAGGACGCGCTTCCCGTCGCCCGCGAGGAGCTCCAGTTGCTGCTGGAAAAGCCGGCCTTGGAGGGCATTCCGCTGCTCGTGCTTGGCAACAAGTCCGACCTTCCGGACAAGGTCTCGGTCGATGAGCTGATCGAGGCGCTGAACCTGCGCTCCGTGTCGCACCGGGAGGTGAGCTGCTACGGCATCAGCGCAAAAGAGGAGACCAATCTGGACGCTGTTCTGCAGTGGCTGATTGCGCGGTCGAGCAAATAAAACCCCGGTGCGACATGCTGTCCTGACGACGATGACGACGATTCTCCTCATGCCTATGCTACCATCAATACGGCAGTCAGCTTTATACGATATGCGTTAACGAGACACGACATGATGGAAAGACGAAAGCAAAGGCTAGCAATGGCCGCCCCATTTTTCTTTTCTTTTCTTCTTTTTTCCCCTTCCTTGCGAAGCAGCGTAACATCTGCATTCTTCCTCGCCCGCTTATTTACCTTTTTCCTCTTCTCCGGCGCGCGCCGCGAGGGCGACCTCGTGGACGGCCGATCTATTTTTTGGGAGCGGAGCTGGCGACGGGACGAGAGAGAGAGAACTGGAGGCGTGGCCGGTATATTCGTGTATGTCTTCCACATAGTTTCTTGAAATAGCTTTGCGAAAGAGGGCAGCTCAAGCAACCAAAGGGAGGCGGCGCTGTGGCGCGCCGGTCATGGGAGAGGGGGCGGTTTCCAAGCTCGAGGATCTCCATAGTCGCGGAATGCCAGAGACATTGTGCTTCCAGAAGGCAGCGCTCTCGGAGGCGCGCGTCGAGCGGGCAATTGGCAGCGCGACAATTGTTCGCGAGAAGCAAAAAAATATCGCGTGGGCTAAGCTAGCAGCAGTGCGCGACGAATTGAACATATTTCAGCCCAGAACTCCAGGGCCTCATGCAATGCCAGCGCATCACCCCAAAGCGGCTTAGTGTCGCCGTCAGTGGCCACGAGCTCGCGGCGTGCCCAGCAGCCAACTTCTCGCCAAAGGAACAAGACAGCTGCTTGCGCTGACACAGACACGTCAAGGCGGCTGAAACACCTGAGCAGCTCGAGAGTCACGCTCTCGCTGTAGCTGCTCACGCTCTCCCTCCCTCCCTTTTCTTCTTCCACCTCCAGCCGGGCGTGCCGCGCGAGGCTGGCTGACGAGGCCGGCCATGTGCCCAGTCAGAGGAGCGAAGAGCGCCGTGGTACGGAGTGCGGTGCGAGTGTGTCTTGCGACCGGGGCGCCCGTACGGGAGCAGACGATGGGCTTCCCCGGACGAATGAGCGGCGTTTGCTGGAGCAAACTCTGGTTGACCTAAGCCTCGGCCTCGCTGACTGACGTCGTTCGGCAGGACAGGGAGGAAACCGCTGATGAAACATGTCGTGCTTCTCCGATGAGATCTCTGGAGCCGCGTGCGATTGCCATTCCCCAGATTCCGGAAACATGGGCGCATCTCGCATGGTCGTCGGCGAATAGGCCCCTATCGTCGAGATAGCCTGGTCGATTCCGAGCGGGCGGCGCGAGACGGCTGCTGAATCTTAGCCTGACGATTCCACTCCCACGGTCGAGGCACTTACTTTGGATGTACACTGAGACATGGATGCACACGTAGGATTCTGAAGACTGCTTTTTGCGGAAGAAGCCATTGCTTTGTACTGTGCTCGGGCACGGCGTTGGTCGCTGTCTTATTGTTGCGGTTAGGATGCCTTTTTTGGTAGTCGGGCTTATCGATAAGCTCCGCCAGAACTTTTGCGCCTGTCTCGAGAACCTCGCTGCAACCCCATACCCACCGTGCTGCTGCGCCCACCACCATCATGTAAGTCCTTCGATGCGCGAAACCCCCCGCTCGCCACTAATCCGCGCATCAGGCCGCGTAAGCTCAAGCATCATGAGCAGAAATTGCTCCGCAAAGTAAACTTCGTCGATTACAAGTCCGACAACCAGCATCGCGATGCCGCCGTAATCCGCCGCTACGCCATCCAGAAGCCTGAGGACTACACCAAATACAACCGCCTGTGCGGAAGCCTGCGGCAGCTCGCCCACCGCCTCTCAGATCTCGACCCCGCCGACCCCGTGCGCCTGAAGCACGAGAAGTTGTTGCTGGAGAAGCTCGAGGATCTGGGCATCCTCGGCACCGGCACCGGCTCGCGCAAGCTCAGCGACGTGGAGAACAAGGTCACCGTGTCCGCCTTCGCTCGCCGCCGTCTGGGCGTCGTCATGACCCGCCTGCACATGGCCGACACGGTCCAGGCCGCCATCAAGTTCATCGAGCAGGGGCACGTCCGCGTCGGTCCCGAAGTCATCACAGATCCCGCATTCCTGGTTTCGCGCAACATGGAAGATTTTGTGACCTGGGTCGACTCATCCAAGATCAAGCGCAACATCCTCAAGTACCGCGACCAATTGGACGACTTCGACCTGGATATGGCATAGTCTGGTCGGCGGAACTCAAAATGCATTTCGAGGCGTCGGGCGCAATCATGGAGTCATTTGGGAGAGCACAAGAGGCATGGAATACTAGGGATATATGCGAAATCGATTCAGCGAGGCGCAGATGCCACTACATCACTATTTTTTCAAGGATCTTTCCGGCCGTTTCTTCAATACACGCGTCCAAAGACTACGTTTCCTTCGTCTTGCGATGAACAGCGCACCAGCAAAATGTCAAACTGATCCGCGGCATGATTATAAGGCCAGAGAGAATGACGGGCGATGAAAAACTCCATGCCCGGGTGTCCAGGACCAATCAATAATCCTCTCAAGTTCCTCTGGTCATCAAGCGCCGTCCCTTGTCGTCGATCAAGCAACCCTGAATGCTTGGTAACCGTCCGACCCGAGGGAACATGAGGTGTCTGTTTCACGTTAGGGCTGATCGTTTAACCGGATACGGAATACGATCATGGCTGCTTCACGCAATGCTCACACCACCACGGCAAGCCGTGCGGCGTGCTCCGACACTTCGCTTAAGCGTGTGCCGCAACACATGAATGCAAGGATGCTCCTTCAAGCCATCATGTTTGATCTTCTTGCCGCCTAAGCGATCCAAAACCACCTATTTCGGGTTCCCCTTCGCAACTTGAGACGTTGGATTATAGTACAAATGCAATGCTTAACTCTGAAAGTGTTTCGTTTCGACTCTCATGTGCGACTAAGTGACCTACAATGTTTACTACGCAGAGAAAACGAGTTATCAGAGAGGCCGTCTGGAAGCCGTGGAGGCCGGGGAGGTCGAAGGAGCATGAAAACGTGTTGCCTTCGCTTCAATCCATCAAGCATGAGCAGCTCTCAACGAGAGCAGAGGATATACAATTCTTGGAATATTGGAAGTATGAGAACGTAGGCCGTTGATCGCCCCTGTCTGCTGTACCGCTCAATGCTCACGTGCGTCCATCTAGCTCGACATTGCCCAACCAGGAGTCAACTGCTTCGCCGGCATCATTTACGATGAACACGTTTCGGACTGGTTACACCAACAGGGTCCCTTTTCTTTGCGAAAGCCTACCCCAGAGCACAACGTCGTCGGCGGCATAAGGATTCTCATCTGCGAGCAGCGGGAGAGTGATCCTCTGACGTTCCCAATCAGTCGGGATTCCTATCTGCGTGTTGAGAAGCACTTTCACCTATCTCCCGCAACCCTGCCGTATTTCAAGAATGGCGGTTACAGCCATCATTGGCGGCACGTTACGACTGGAGGTCGTAATGAACTCGGTAATTCTCCCAATTCACTATGCATCCACACGAATGTATAAGCATGTTGAGTGCGATATTGCACTTCACTTTCCAAGAACATTCCACCCCCCTATCTTCTACCTCAGCTAACAGCAAACACAGTCCTCATAACCTCCTTCCCCGCCAACTCCCCCATCTCAGGCGCCCGCCTCTCGCTCAGCCACGACCTCAACACATCCATCACGACCGCCTTCCTCTACGGGCCACACCTGCTCTCCGCACCGCCCGCCGGCGTCACCGTCTCTGGCGCCGCCACGGCATGGTGCGCGCGGCCGGTGCCGCTTATCCCACAGCTGCGCGAGCTGCTCGACGCCTGCAGCACGGGGGCGCTGTGGACGCACCCGCTGCTGCTGCCGACGCTGCTGCTCGCCAACACGGTCGACCGCACGCAGGCGTTTTGCACGCACGAGCTGGCCGCGCGCATCGCCGCCGCCGACGAGGAGCTGCGGTCGACGGCGAAGCGCGGCGGCGTCGAGGCGATGATGGGGGAGGTCGGCGCGGTGGCGGACGAGGCGGTCGGCGTCGAGGGGTTGTGCGGGTGGGAGAGCCGGGTCGCGGCATGGTTGGGGGACGTGGTCGAGCGGACTGAGGACTTGTTGTTGATGCGCGAGGAGTGGGAGGGAGGGGAGAGTTACGGTAGTAGTTGGGAGGTGAGGGAGATGGTGGAGCAGTTGCAGACGGCTGCGGAGAGTGGTGTGGAAGAGGCGAAGAGGCTGAGGGCGAAGGCTGGGTGGTTGGTTGATACGGTAGGTGGACCGACCTCCTTAACCGCGTGAAGTTTACGCAAGAGGGCTGGGGAACGACTGACTGACTGATCTTGTCTAGCTCAACACCTCTGTCGTCCAAACGAACAACCTCCTGACGGCTCAGCTCGCCGCAACAGCCGCCCGTGATGGCACCTCCGTCAAGACCATCGCCCTCCTCAACACGCTCTTCCTCCCCGCCATCTTCGTAGCTGTAAGTTCCCCCCTCCCTCTTGTCACTCAAATCCCACCCAACTAACAACCAAACAGACCCTCATCACAACATTTGCCTGCTCCACCCACGCCACAACCAGCACCTCGTCCGACGACGACAAAAACAACCCCCTCCTCTCCAAAAACCTCCGCACCTACTGGGCCACCACCATCCCCCTCACCGTCCTCCTCCTCATCTTCTGGCTCGTCTGGCGTCACCGCGCCACCCGCGTCTTCCAATCCGACTACGCCTCTATCCAGCGCGGCCGCGACACCATCAACCCTACCACCACCCCCCGCCAACCGCAGAAAGCACCATCGCCATCGCCGTCGCCCAGCTCCACCAAGCTCCCCCCGCCGCCCCCGACAGCATCATCCACCAGGGCGACAACGAGCGGTACCTCGAAGGAGCGGACACGGGTAGCGATGACGGAGGTGGACGTGGAAGACGGGCGCAGCGTGCGTGAGCGCGGCTACCACCGTAGTGCTCGCTCGCACGTCTCGGCGCTGCTGATGCCGTCGTCGTCGCATTCGCACGGAACGGAGAGGCCGACGAGCAGCATGAGCACGTGGCCGACGGGCCCGTCGGGCGTGTCGGCGCCGCAGATGATGACGGGCGCCGGGGACGGGGGGATGAGGAGGGGGAAGGGGAGGGAGCAGCAGCAGGAGGATGCGGAGAGGTTGGTTTGAGAGGAGACGAGAGAGGTAATGGGGACTTGAAGGTCTGATGATGGTCCAAGGGCCTGGAGCCTTTTGGATGCGGTTGGTTTTTCGTTTCTTGCATATACCCTGCTTTAGTGTCGCTTTATTATTATCGGTTGGGCATTGTGTGTGGGTAATAAAAGTCGTTCCTTTTTGTCATACTGCCTTTTTGCTAGATGATCTCACTTATACCTTATTCCTCATTCCCTTTACTAGACTATTCTAAACTTCGTGCAAAGCTTCTTCTAGATTCTAGTGAATCGCGGTCTGATATCCAGATCCTTAAGAGTCCCCAACGAAAAGTACCTTCTTTGTGTAGCAGCCTGTCCATGCTTCCGCGCTCTAGTCCCCCTTTCCATTGAGTAGCAGAACATCTTTGGTCGTTTTACAAGTTGAAATACCAATAGACATATCTACTCACATTTCAGTGACACAGTTGGATCTAGTCTACACAAGTAGCACTTTATCCATTTAGGAACAAACGACCACAATCCTATTCTCGAAGCGATAGCGGTGCCCTGTCAAGCCGTTTGCCATTCTCGTCGCTCGCATCATTTCACCGCCAGGGTTCAGGAGTTTCGGGGTCTAGAGTAGCGGTGTATAGGGTGACTTCCTAATCCAGCTTTACGTGCATTTATTATGGGCACCGAATGATAATGAGACACGGACGACACGGCAAGGCACAGCCACAAGCTGGACGGAAGCAAAAATCGGCATTTAGTAAATACATGTTGGGTATCGGGAACGGGGAACGACCGGGAGTGCTTGGTCATTTGAACACGAGTTACGTTTGGTTTTTGCCCCATGCGAATACTCAGACCAGTAGACTCGTACGAAACATCCAGACATTAGATTTAACTACCTAATAGCATGAATATCTTTTGCAGAATAAAATTGAGAAGTTCAAAACTTTTCATCACCTGCTTTGGGCTTGCCCTCCCTCATGGCGGGTGCAAGCCCACTTACAGATCACACGTCGTGTACCTGGCAGGTCTAAAGATGCTTTTTCGTCATGCAAAGTGGTTAATAGGGGTATCATTGCTTCCTCTGTCCTTGCATATTCCGTCAATGGACGTCCATGCTCATTTTCTCACCAGCTCAAGTCTTGAATTGATTGATTCCACCATTTCATCCCTCAGGCCTGGCACTCGAACCAGGCTGCTCGTCCTCCATCCTCCAAATGATGATCGTCTTGTCAAGACTGCCACTGATAATCCAAGGTTCAGTCGGGTGCGTGTCGACACACAGCACTGGTTCCTTGTGCCCGTCCAACCTTTGCATGACGTTCTTACTGCTGCAATCCCAAAGATAAATGCTACCGTCCTCGCTGCCACTCGCAATAAAGGCTGACTGGTACGGCGCGGTGCCGTAGACGCCAAAAGCGCCGCTCAGACTGTACTTGCTGTTCTTGTGCCCTTGATACGTCTTGACGCATCTGCCCTTGCCGGTCACGTAGTCCCAAAGCCTGATGCATGAGTCGAGGGTCCAGGCGAGGATGTATTTGCCGTTTGGAGAGAAGCGGACGGAGGTCACGGGGGCGTTGTCTTCGTGGACGAGCGTGCGAAGACACTGGCCGGTGGCGGTATCCCAGACGCGGCTGGAATGGTCAGTACAGGCCTGGGTAGACCACGAGGAACGGACTTACATCAACCCATCACTGGAGCAGCTGACGACCATCGTGCCATCCCGCACAAAATCCACGCCACCGACTGGGTCCGAATGCGCAGGTAGCGACTTCATGACACGCGCGGTACGAATGTCCCACAGAAATACGGCTTCGTCGTAGGAACCGCTCACGATTATGTTTCCCTTGGGCGAGATGGCGAGCGAGTAGATATAGTTGTGGTGGCCTTCGAAAGGCACGGAGAGGTCTTTGCCAGTTATGGCGTCCCACAGTCGAATGTACTTATCGTCAGAGCCAGAAGCCAGGATGCGCGAGTCCGGCGCCCACGCCAGGGTCGAGATGCCGGCCATGTGGCCCTCGAGGGTGTGCTGGATCTTGCCGGTCCGCGCGTCCCAGATCTTGATGGTGGCGTCAGCGGAGGAGCTCGCGATCCAGCGGCCGTCAGGCGAAAATCTGATGCACGAGACGCCCTTCTTGTGGCCGCAGAGCTTCAGCTTCGCTTTGTAACGCAGCTCGGCGGGCTTCTCAGGCAGGTCCACGCTGGGCGAGCGGCGTCCGATGGGCGAGCGGGAACCGGAGCGCGGCGAGCGCGACGCGTCTCTGGGTGTGGCATTGAGGCTGTCGTCGTCTCTGTAGCGATGTGCGGCCGGGCGCTCGGTGAGCTGGTAGGTGGGCGACGCGTCCGGAAAGGGCGAGCGGTCGTTCGGGGACTCGATGTAGCCGTCATCGGAGCGGCGCCTCTTGGGCGAGCGGCCATTGAGTTCGGCCATGTCGTGGTGTGTAGGAGGACAAAGGGTCGGGGGACGCGAGCGAAAGTCCGCAACGCGCGCGCTAGCAATTCCGCACTGACATCACCGAACATCGAGAGCTCCCGTGCTCCCCTCCATCTGTCCCCTCACCCTCAACCTTTGCAATTCGCAACCAACGCCAATCCCGCCGCAATGGACGCCCGCATCTCTCACGATGCTCCTAAGGAGATCAACATCATCAGCCTCAACTGCTGGGGCCTGAAATTCCTCGCAAAGTACCGCCACGAACGCCTTTCTGAAATCGGCCGCCAGCTCGCCGCCGCTTCTCCGCCGCCGGACATCATTGGCCTGCAGGAATGCTGGACCAAACAAGACTACGAGTCCATCCGCGATACCGTCAGCGAGAAGCTCGGCCTGCACTACAGCAAATTCTACCACAGCGGCATTTTCGGTGGAGGACTGGTCATCATCTCACGATGGCCCATCGAGGAAACCAGCATGGTCCGCTACCCGCTCAACGGCCGGCCCACTGCCTTCTTCCGCGGAGACTGGTTCGTCGGCAAGGGCGTGGCCTGCGCGAGAATCCGGTTTGGCAAAGGCAAAAAGGATGTTGCTGAAGTGTTTTGCACACATGTGAGTTCATCATCACCACACCGCCAGTTTTCCGTATTCGGACACGAAGCTGATTGACACGCACAGCTGCACGCCCCATACGAAAGCGAGCCCAACGACTCCTACATCTGCCACCGTACCGCTCAAGCTTGGGAAATAACGAAACTGATGCGTGGTGCCGCTGAGCGTGGCCACCTGGTCATCGGAATGGGCGACTTCAACATGTTGCCATTGTCTCTCGCTCACCGCCTCATTGAGGCGCACTCTCCCGTGAGAGACGTCTGGCGCATCGTACACCCCGACTCTTCGGTTGGTGCGGCCCGTGACGCGGTCGAGCAGGCGCGTGGACGACCGATGCCGAATGCGAGATTCAACATCACGGAGAACGGAGCTACGTGTGACAGCGCGCTGAACACTTGGAGGTGGAACGAGGCGCATAGGAAGCGCTTGGAGAAGGGTCTGCCCGTGGACATCGAGGACACGGTCGAGGACCCGCGTGCAAAGCGTCTGGATTACGTCTTCTTTTCTTCTGGTGAGAACAGTCCCTCAGCCAACAACGACACGGATTGGGTGCTCGACAAAGTGGATGTAGGCATGACGCAGCGGCACCCCGAGTTGCGCTGCTCGCTCAGCGACCACTTTTCGGTGGAAGTGACCATCAGGCGGGCTGGCGCCCGATCTCCGTCTCCGCGCTCGTCGACCAGCGAATCCCTGTACACGGGTTCATCCGTCCTGCCTGTTTCTACTTACGACGAGATCCTTGCCATGATTCACAAGTATACAGCTCGAGAGTACCGGCAGCGGCGCCTGCGCCTGGCCCATTTTGCCGGGCAGCTGCTCGTCGCCATCGGCTGTCTCATTGCGGTTTGGTGGAGCCCCCGCAACTTCGTGTCGTTCATCTTAATGCTAGTGAGCACGCTAGGCCTTGCCGCCGGCGTCATCGACGGCCTGATCGGCGGACTCTTTGTCGGAAGCGAGCTGCGCGCGCTGAGAGAATTCGAATGGGAGATCAGAAACGCAAAGCTGGCGGCCGAGGGCCTGCCCGCGGAGCTGACCAAGACGCGCGAGGACGAAGTTGAACACGGCGGACCCGAGGTCGACGACGACGACGACGACGAAGAGCAGCGGCAGGGGGATGACACGGCCGACGGGGTATGAGCGATGTTTCCACTTCTTTCCCGACCTTTTTCTGTTTTCCTGGAGATGGCTCCGCCTTAAGGAGCTGTCTCCGACTTCTTTGATTCATGACGTTTTTGCCAACACTTGAGTTTTGTTTTACCTACAGTTGGGCCGGCTGCACACAGGGCGAGGCGCTGCTTTGCATGCAATGGCGTCTACGTTCCTGCCGCGACGGGTGCGCGATGGATACCGACGGCTGCGTCCGCGACAATCGGAGGATGCTGGACTTGGAGTGTAGTGATGTCTATGCGAGGGGCGGGGGTCGGGGCGCAGGGAGAGGGGCGGCGATGGTGCAAGGGCAGGGTGGGCTGGGGCGGGCAGGGCAGGCTTGAGCAGGGCAGACGCGAGTAGTTGCAGTTGCAGGGCACACAGATTGTGACGCGGGAAATGCAGCAGTGATCAAGTGCCGCAGTCTCGAGCGTCGGGAGTAGAGTAAGAACCGGGCGAAAGGTCCGGGTAGCGTTGCGAGCCGTGCCGCTGATAGCGTTGCCGTGCCGTGCGTGGCTGGTGCTGGCGTCTGGCGTTGCATATGCGTGAGCTGGCGGGCACAAGTTCTGGACTTGAGGATGGGCGAGTCGCGGCGTTGAGCGTCGGCTGCGGTTTGCGCAAGATTGACTTCCCGCCCCGGCCCGCCCGTTGCTAGTGCCACCGCTACGCTCCCTAGCGCGCGGCTTTCCCAGATGGCGTTTTATTTTTATGACCAGTTCCATGCATATTGAGCTCGCCAGATGGTGGAGATTAGATCGATGAACTAGATTCTGATAGACATGTGAGAACCTTTTTTCCCTCGCCGCTGCCACTGGCTGCCGCCCTCTCCCCTGCCCTCGTATAGCTGGATGCATTAGCCACGCCGCGCAGCCCGGCCAACGGCAGCGCCTGCTGCAGCTGCCGCCCACACCTGTCCGCTGATCTTGACTGATCAAATGACAATCTCCGGGCCACTTTTCCATCCTTCCAATACCGCGAGTAATGAGGACAGGTGATGTTCAGGACGGAGTCAGCTGCAAGTCAGCAAGCAGCCTGCTGCTCCTGAGCACTGCATGCTGCAGCTGCCATCCCATGCTTGGTGAAGAGGGGTCCGCAGCGGCCACAGGTGCCACGCCAGATTCGCTTCTGCTCCGCCGCTCGAGACCGATGTCCGCGTCCCCGGCTGGCGGTACAACGGCTTTTTTGTTTTCTCTGTCGCGATGTGCCCTGCCCCCGCCATACCCATGTCCCCGCCCTCGCGATCGATGGTGACGGCCGCTCCGACGGCCGCGGCAATCGGACACGCGGCGTTCGGGCCTCAATATATCGGAAAGCGAGAAAAAGAAAAGAAAAAAAGCTTCACGGACAGCAGTCGGAGGAAGGCCACGAAAAGGCGTTGGCAACGTACCGGCAAACCTTGTTTTTCTTTTTTTTTTCTCTCTCCTTCCTTGAAGGACCATCATCACCCTACACCATCTCATCCACCCCATTGGAGACCTTCCGAGCATTGTCGCCAAGGACGACACACACCCAGCAGAGCCGCGCGCTACGCTTTCACAATAACGCAAAAACTGGGCAGAAATCCTTGTTCCATGCGCCGTCCAGCACACACACTCACACACACCTCTCTTACTCCCGCTCCTGACGCGGCCGGCACCCCGCCGTCACTCCCGTCCCCATCCCCCCTCCTCCCTCTATCTTCCAGACCATTTTATTTTCCCACCCATCTCCACCCATGCTTTGCAGAGCATTCCCCATATTCGGTCTGTCTCTCCGGTCCAGGCCCCCCACTTCCACAATCATCCCGAAAGCACCAGGGGAGGGGGGCAGAGAAAATACCACCCAAGAGTGAGGCGGCCAGGGAAAGCAACAAGAAGGGGAGAGGAGGGCACGGCAAAAAGATGAGCCTCGCCACCGATCCCTTTCCGCAAGCAGGAGGAAGAAGGAAGGAAAATCAGCAATAATGGAAACACACGTGTAGCCCGCGCTACGATCTTTGCGTCAGCAGGTTCTATTGCTTTCTTTTTTTCTCTCTCGGACGTTCCTTTTCCACGCCTGATTCTTTGAGCTTGCTTGCTGCGCCCCGCGCCGTTGCGCACCCGCGCGCCCGCGCGCCGCCGCCGACGCCGCCGCCGCTGCTGCTGCTTGCTGACCCTCTGCGGGCCCCCCGGGAAGGGCATCCCACCTTCCCCGATGTCGTATGCACATTGGAATATCGTCCATGTGGCCCCAGTCAGTCTCGACGGGGAATGTAAGTGTGTGTGTGTGCATGCGTGGTGGGCGTGTGCGTTGGCAGGAAACCGTTGACAGGACAAGGTCTGTGTTGTCTGTAGAAGGGATGGGGAGCGACAGGCAACGGGTGTATGTGCTGCGGCACAGCCACCCAAACCGGATTGCGTGCCTCGTCCTTTTTTTCTTCTTCTTGGGATTCACTCGGCTATCGCCGAAGGATTGAAAATGGCAGGGTAAGAAAAAAAAAAAAAAGAGGGATCCAATGGCCGGTCGGCTGTTCATTATTGTACCAGATGTGTACCTACCATTGTCTTGCCGCCAATCGGGCAGTATGTAATTTGCAGATGTCCATGGTCGTGTGTACGATGCCCACGGCCCCTCTTTTTCCTTGAAAGGGTCCCCCCCGTCCATGTTCAATATTTCTCCGGCGGTGGCCAGCGTTCGGGTCCGGGGTCGACCTCTGGACATTACTCGTGGCAGGCTTTGAAAGGGGAATTGGAGCTCGCCGGCAGTCAATCATGCTGTCGGGGGGGCAGCTGTTCGGTGGCGGACGCGGCGACGGCGGCGTTGTTGTGGCTGAGATGTCGCGTACATCGATTGCCCGTCCTCCCCCTGTCGCGACAGGCAGGGAAGTCGCGAAAGACCCTGGAGCTCTCTCTCTCCTTCAACACAAGGAACGACTTGACGCGCGCCGCGCATCGCGAAGGGGCGGAAGAGAGGGCCGAGGAGACGAAAGGGAAAGGCCAAGAAAAATACAGATCTCGAAAGCGACCAACCTATTGTTGCACGAAAGCAGGAAAAAGAGCATGTTCCCCGCCAGGACCGTCTGTGCGGAGGGGAAGTCCCAGTTCAACGGTAGCGCAAGCTAATGCAACTTCCCTAGCCTAGCGTCCCTTTTCTGTCTCTTGCTCTTTCTCTCTCTCTCTCTCCCTGCTCTAGCTGCATTGTGCTCGCTGCGACTGCGCGGATCACCTCTCTTTCTCTGTTATGTCGCCTTGCACCGGCTGTATGCGTCAGGATTCGCCCCCAGACCAGGCCAGAAGGCGGCGGCGCTAGGTAGCCAGCTTGCAGCAGCGGGAGAAGCAGCAGCAGCGGCGGCGGCTGCCTACACACCGCACATCTCTCGTGCTCGGTGGCGGTGGGGTCCATGCTGCTCCCCGATCTCTACTTACTGTCTCCTTTACTTTGGACCTCGACCTTCCTAAAGCAACGGACCTACATGTAGATTGATGTAATGCCTATTCTCCCCTCTATGCGTTGTCAGCCACCTCGGTTGCGTCAGGCAGTACCTTACCTCCGTCTTGCATGTACGCGGCCGTGTCTATGTCGGACTGCTGCTTGCCTGCCTCACTTTCGAGACGCCGTCGCCACCGTCGTCCTCAGGGCCCATGTGAAACCAAGCGTTCTGTCCCCTAGACGCAAATAGGGTCCGTGTGACTCTTTAAAGAATGACATGCAGTCCTGCTGACGTGCGTCTATACGAGAGGATCGGAGACACGTATGCGGGCTCGTGTGTGCGTGTGTGTGTGTGTCCGTTCGTCGGTCGGTCTATCGGTCGGTCGGTAGGTAGGGGGAGGGGGCGCCTTCGCGGGCAGTTTGGGAGGATGGTGAGAAGGGAGAATACGGCAGAAGTACGTGCTCGCTGACTCGCAGCCCGGGCTCATTCGTCGCTATAGCGGCCGTCGCATGCGTGTCATACTTTCGAGGTAGAGAGGACCACAAGATGTCCGAAACCTGGCGCCTGGGACTGCGCCGTGCCGTGCTGCCCAGCCTCGACCGCCTTTTTGTCGTCTTTGGCCCATTTCCCTTATCCTACTCCGGAGTCAGCCCCGTTGCGGAAGGAAAATGCGATCTTCCAACGGCGCAGGTACCCAGCATTGCGCGAATTATCGTCCCGTGTAGCGGTGTCAAGTCGAGTGGACGAAAAGGCTCCACAGCCTGTGATGATGGATCGTTTCTTCGGGAAGTTGCAGTAGCGTGTACCGCAAAGAGGTCTGCGTCGGGGACTGCTCATCTCTGAAAGGGTCTTGCCGTGTCGACGCAGTGGCAACGTGAAGATCCAAAAACTCCAAAAGATGACCTGTGGCCAAGGGCATGCTACACAGGAGACACGCATGAAGGGGGTATCCGCAGGACCGTGGCCGGGATGTGGGATACCAAATACACGTATTGTTTTTCTTTTCTTTCCATTTGATATGTAAACCTGATCCGAACACATGGACGCATTTCCTTTCCATCATACCAACCAAAAAATCACGAGGCATCCAAACACGTATGTAGTTGCAATCGAGCCGGCCAACCAGCCTCTTGCAGGCGCAGCCACGCTCGTCTAATAGATAGGTGGTAGGGTCATCGGAACCAAATAAAGACCATTCTGGCCCATGCCAGAGCAAAAAAAGGAACATCGACCGTTGCGGGAGGTATATTAGTCGATTTTTGCCACCCATCCCCTGTGCCACACTTGGACCCTTTTTTATTTTTTACCCTCTTTCGTGATGATCGCCCCCGTGTCATGTCTTTGTCGGCCGTTTCGTGGAATTGGATCAAACCGTGCCGTTTCACCTGAAAAAAATTCGTGCCCGAAGTCTCTGCTGCCTCCATTGCTTTTTTGGGACACCCCCCCGTTCTTCCTCGCACAAACTGCCCTCCACCCCCCACTCACACAAGACGGCTTCCTCCGCGGCGGTTTGCACACAAGACGGCCGTCGGCGGAAACGGCTGAGGCCTGTGGAAACCGGGAAAAAAACAGCGTGTCCGGTACGACGCGTGCGTAAGCAAGCGCACGCAAGGACCGGGGTCGTGGTAGCAGCGATGCGTCGAATAGAGAGGCCTTCAGTACAGCGGTCGAGGCGACGAGCCGGAGATGCCGGGGGCTGGGTTATGTCCGTCCGAAAATTCTCCACGTGGATCCTAACGAGCCCTTGCAGCGTGGTGGCCGATGACCCGCATTTGCCCATTTCGCCATACCGGCAATTGTGAAAAGTCGAATGGCGAGCAAAAGCGGCGGTGTCGGCGGCGGCGCGGGGGCACGAGGGGCCCCTCCTCCGGCTTTGCCCCAGAGGAGCTGCAGCGCCCGGGCTGGCCTCTCGGGTGCCGGCAGCAGAAGGAACGGAAACGTTCCTTTTCCCAAGGAGACGGCGAAAAGAGACTCTGAGAGGAAAGTAGTGACGAAAATACTTAACACCGAAGTAAATGCCAAGACAGCGCTATCCGCCCAGAATATAGATCACAAAAAAACAACAATGATGCTGGTGAAAAGACGAGGCGCATGAACGATGCGATGAGAATGGAAAAGAGACGGGAGAAAAAGCAAAAAATAGGCCGAGAAGGAACCAGGGCGCCACGCAACTATGCATGTTAAGGACGAAGGCGCGGCGCGATCATAAAGGCCACAACGAAGCCTCCTCCCAAGGGTACGTAGATCGGGTATATGTTGCTGAACATGATGGCGTGTGCATCAAAAAGAAACAGACAGATGGCCAACGGTTGCACGCGCCCCGGCGGCAGGGCTGCCGCGGCAGGGCTTTCGGACGGGAACAAAAGCGAGGCGAGGCGGGAACGCCACGGCGACAGCCTCTTTACTGATCGTCTTCGCGTGCCCTTACCTCAGAAAAAGATAAGCATGGCCTGATTGACGGTTTCGACAGCCTCAACGTCGCTCTCTTCCGATTGCAGAATTAGACTATGTCCCAAACGAGGCGTCCACCGAAGCGGGATCCGACTTCTCGCCATTCAAGCACTTCAGCGTGTTCTCGAGAATCGCGACGTCCACGCGCAGCGTTGGCGAGATGGGCACCAGACGCCGCAGGAACCTGATTGTGCGCTCGACGAGCGCGATGACGCGCGCGTGCGGGATGAGGTCGCGCATCCACGACTTGCGCACCGCCGCCAGCACCAGGCAGTTGCCGAATTGCCTGTCAACGTCAGCATCGTGCGGATAAATTTAACTCGTTTCACTTACGCGTGAGCCGTGCCGAAAATGTTGGTGACAATCAGTCGCTGGTTGGTGTTCTCGATGCCGTCAAAGGCGATGGTGCTCTGGATTGCCGATTCTACGCAGCGCTTACTCGCCATCATGACCTTGTGCCAGCTCGCCTTGGACAGCGAGTCCGACACCAGATTCTCCGACGGGTCGGGCGAGTCGTTTTCGTCGGCGGGCGTGAAGCCGTACTGCTTCATCAGGAACGTCGGCGCCGGATTGGTGTGAATCGCCCAGTGAAGGATCGGCCTCGTGATGATGTACCTTGCACCGTAGTACTTGGCGCGCATGCGGGCCTTGTTGATATCGTCCGACGGCTCGTCGGAATCGTCCCATCCAAGCCATGCCGGAAGCGTTTCCCGCCAACCCTGGAGCTGTTCCTCCAGCATGTCGTCGCGCAATGCAGCCCAGAAATTCTTCTTTCGCCCTTCTGCGGCCCGTTAGCTATGAACATTTGCACTCAGAAAAGGGGCCTCCCACGTTTACTGTACAGAGCCAGATGGGTTCTATTGAGGATCTTGCGGAGCTGAATCTGGGCCGAGTAGTACAGCCAGTTCATCTCCTCGGGTGGATCCAGCGGAAGCTCTGGGTATATCTGGCTTGGTAGACCTATGCGTTCTTCGTCCTTCGAGATACCGCTCGGCCTAAGGTGGCTCATCTCCGCCAGGATATCACTAAAGAATTAGCATCTTACCCCGAGCCGTCCAAAAAAAACCTTGAACCAACCTTTCAAGCTGCAAGCAAGTCCAGTACAGGAACTTGGTCAGGTTCGTCTTGCGCCTGTCAACGCCGCTGGACACGCCTGGGGCAACCTTTCTCAGATCCATGCTGTCCGAAACGTCGGGCTCTGGAGCGTTGGGGAAGAGCGATTCCTTGTCTCTGTTGTCGTTAGTACGAAACTTGTCTGAAGCGAAAGAAATTCTCCTTACTTGTCAATGAGGACGCCGCAGACTCTGCACGCGTAGCAGATCCATCCCCAGCTCTCTAAAACGCGAGCCAGCTGGCCCATGTAGAGACATGCCAAAACACCTGCTTGACCGTGAGAGAGATCGTTTCCTCCGTGGACCGCACCGAGTATCTCGACGGCGTAGGCATAGTACGCGAGGCCGGGCGTGATATCCATGTTCCGTGCCGCGGTGTCCCTCCGGTCCGAGGTAGGCACTTGCTCCGTGGACGGTCTCCGGCTCATGAGGCGTGCTCCGTCGATGCCCGGCGACGGGATACTGGCCAGGGTGGAATGTGACGAGGCGGGAGAGGGCTTGATAGTGGCCGGTGGGGAATCCATTGAGGGCATCTGGAGAGAGCTTCCGACGACCGTGTTCGGGCCGCCCAGGGGACCGGGCAGATGGGTCTTGTGCTCGCAGATCCTTCCCAGGGCGAGCACTAGAAGGACTATCGCGTTCCCAATGGTACGCTCTATGTAATTACCTCTGCTAGGCGGAGTTCCGGGCTCGGGTCCAGGGATAGGGCCGTTATTCGACCTCTTCCGCTTAAGGGGAACGGCAGGGTAGGTGTCCGGCACGGCAAAGGGCGACCTCGCATTGTGGTTACCGGCGTCCGGGCTGTACCGCTGGATGAACTTTTCCACCATAGACGCCAGCCGCTCTTTGTCCAGAAACGGCTGCAGCGGGTGCATGTGGCTCAGATAGCTGTGATGTAAGCGCTTCACGGTCCTGACATCTAGCTTAAGAGTGCCGTCCGGATTAAGGCCGCCCCAATTGTGCTGCGGATCTGACCGGTGGATGTCCGCCCCGGTAGGCTGCGCGGTGAAGCCGATGCCCCAGCTGTTGGATCCGGGCGAAGGGGCAGGAGTGCTAACGACGTCATCTTCGGCACCTTCTGCTGCAGGACTACCACCATGGGCACCGTCGTAGAGGTCTTCGCCCTCGCCTCTTCCATAAAGCTTAAGCAACCCCCGGTTCTCTTCTTGCTCTCTCGGGTAGTTCGTTCCGCCGGGGATCACGTCTTTGAAGAAGGGCTGCATCGCAGACCAATCCATCAACATGGTGTGGGCGGCGGTCGTATGGTCGGCGGGTAATGTGATCTCGGCCTCGAAAAAGTCCGGGACCTGCGCCGGGTGCCCTTTCGGGCCGATTGTCTGGGAAGCGTCGGGAGGCAGAGAGTACTTGGGTCCGGACAGCGCTTTTGCCGCAGCATTCGGCGGCTCGGACGACGTTTTCTCCCTAACTGGATCATAGGTACTTCCCTCAGCTTCTTCTGCTACAGCGGGAGTTGGCGCAGGGAATTGGTCCGATGGAGTCGTAAGCGTACCCTCTCCATTCTGATGGCCCCGGAGCTGCCGCTCTATTCTATCGAGGCGGCCCGGAATGGACGCAAAGTTTTCCATGAGCGCGCTGACCTTGGTCGCGATGTCATGCAACGTTCGGTCTTGCCTGCAGGTTCACACGGTGAGCACGCCGCCACCGAAAAGGGCGGTGAAAAAAAAAATTGCTTACTTGGGCGGTGGCACTTCCTTGTACTCGCACTTGAGCCCGGACTCGCGGCAAAACTGGCACGGTCGTGCTTCGTCGCACTTCTGCTTGCGGTTTCGGCAGTTGTTGCAGGCCTGGGCGGTTGCAGTGTGAGTGTGGCAGAGGGGGGACGGTGGAGAGCGAGGAGCAACGTACCTGCACGGCGCGCACTTGACGCTTGCGGCCGGCGCCCACGTAGTCCGCGGCTTGACCGTATACACCTGGTTGACCGTAAGGTGAGGGGTGGTAGCCCTGGGTAGGGCCCATGGGGGGTGGTGGGCCATTGTAGGGATTGTGATGGTTTGCGGGGGGAGGGTAGGGAGCCGGCGCAGCACCATTCATGTGGGGATCATGATTGGGATATGCGCCGGGATGGTGACCACCATGGTCCATTGGTGGTGGTGGTTGCTGTTGCTGCTGCTGGTGAGGAGGGCCTTCAGGTGGACCGGAGACGGCGAGCTGGCGCGGCCGCGTGTCGATGGGCGACGGCTGGCTGGGGTTGCTCGGAGGACGCGACAGCGACTCCACGGAGTAGGACCTCGACGGGATGGTTACGGGCGGCGCATTGCCTGGGCGTTGGTTCGGGTGCTGGCTGAAGTTGACGGGTTCGGGCAGGGCGCGCGGAGCGCGTGGACCGAGAGGCGTACCCGGGACGGAAGGCGGATGGCCCTGGATTGGCGGTGGCGGCAGCGTGTTGGGAGGGTAGGCGGGGGGTGGTGCTGGTTCGTGATACCGGGCGGGCGGTGGAGGAGGCACAGAAGAGTGAGGAGGGTAGTGAGTATCCAAACGGGGACGTTTGACGTCTGGACCATCGGCTTCCATGCTTATGTTGGCGCAACGGTCGTGGCCATGCGCGCTGAGGCCCGATGTTCAGATAGACACGACAAGAGACAATCTATGGTGCGGACGACGGAGGAAGACTGCCGAAAGCTTCCAGCAAGTCAGTCTAGAGAAGGGAAATGAGAGGGCCCAATGCGCGTCATAGCTAGCAAGTCGCGGGCAAGGATCTGGCTCTGGCTCGATCAGCGCCAAGCGAGGGGAGCAGCTGCGACGAGGGCGAGCAAATCATGCACTCTTACTCGCAAAGGCGAGGCTGTGCCGGGGCGGGCGGACGGACGCGTAGGGTGTGTGACTGACGAGGGCAACGACGGCAGCAGGAGGGGGGGAGAGGACCGAGGAAGGGCCAGACGTTGTGCCGGATGCCAGGCGGGAAAGGCAGCTCTTACCATGGAGCCGGAAAAGCCTGCTTCAAGGGAACAAGGGGGCGATCAGACGGTTGGCGATCATGGAACTGAGGCAGAGGCTTTCGAGAAGACAGAGCGCGGAGCTAGAGGCGCGCGCCGGCAGCGGTGGGTGGCGGCGCTTGTGCTCGGGCTGGGCGGCGTTGGCGTGGGCGGCGGGCGCGTTCTGGGAGCGAGTAGCCTGAAGCGCCGGACGACGCGCAGCCCTCGCGGTGCGGAGATCAGGAACAGGCAAACGCGAGCCGTGAGGAGGGTGAGAGAAGTCGGGCGGGCAGCGCACGACTCAAGCTCGCGATGGCCCTCTCTGCGCGCCTCGCTAGAGCTTCCGCGGTGGGCGAATCTCCGGCCGCAGGGCGTTGCGCGCCAGGCCCAAACCCGTGGGCTGGGAGCTGGCCGTGCCATCTCGCCTTTCGATGCCCGCGCGCGAGGCTGCGCTCGCTTTGCTTGATTGCTTGCTTTGCCTGCCTGCCGGCCTGCCTGCCGGCCAGCTGCTTCACCGCGCGCTGCTGCTGCACCTCTTCTGCGCGCCGCCTCGGATCTGGTCGGCAGCAAACAGCGGTGACGCGCGCACAACATCCGACTCTCGAAGTCTATTCCGGCGGTCAGCGCGCGCCCCTATCGCAGGCGCGCGGGCCGATTTTGGGCGAGCAGCCCGTTCCTGGCCGGCCGCCGTCTAGTCGAGTCTCGTGGCGGCGCCCTCGTGCGCTCCGCGTTGGGCCGCCACGACGCTGTCAGGCGCAGGCGCGCCTTTTGCCCGTCTGCTGCTAGCCGCTCCACCCTCGCCGGTCAATTCCCGTTGCATGCAGCGCTCCTGGAGGCCTTTGGCCTCGCCAGTCATGCGCCAGCCCGCGCACGCCCGCCCGCGCAGGGAAGCCCGCCGTTTCAACCTCCACGGCCGCGCCAGGGCACCAGGGGTTCTGACGATCCGCCCAGCCTGCCCTCGTCGTCACCATCTAACTCGCATCTGGGCTCCCACTCCCATACGATCCGCCACCACGCCGTCGCTGATGTGCGAGCCGGGACTCGGGAAGAAGCGATGATCCAGCTCTCCAGCACCAACGCCAGCGCCGCCGCGGACCCAGCAGCGCGCGCCGCCGCCGCCGTCGCCGACGCCGCCAAAGCCACGCCACGTGCGGCTGCCGCTAGGCTCTTGTCTGCCACGGCCATGCCACGCCTGCAAAAGCCGCTCTAGCGTCGAGCTGATGGGTTGACTTAAGCTTAGGAGCTACACCCTCTGCGGTTCGCCTTGGCGGCCACCCACGCAGCGCACCGCATCACGCGGATCCGCTGAGAAATGAGCAGTACCGCTCCGCCGCCCTTCAGTTGTCCCCTCGCCCGCTGCCATCCTTCGCCCTCGGCAGCGCGCACTCGACCGCTGATTCGCCGCCGCCTGCGGCCTGAGGTCGTACAGCGCCGCTGCATGGACAACGGCGGCCGTCTGCAGATCGCGCGCGGTGAGCTTCTGCTGGCCTTTACAGGCTCGCCGCCGTCACACGACCCTCGATAGTCCCGGCTGAGCTGGCCGTGCATACGCTCGCTGCGACCGCCTTTGTGGCGACGCAGGCGACGAGTCGGCGATGTTTGCGCTGCGCTGCGGTGTAACTGGTGAGGCTCTTCGGCGAGAGCCCTTACCCGGTTCAGAAGTGGGGAAGGGCGAGCGCCGGCCAGATAGACGAGACGCTCCTCCTTGCTTCAGATTGAATCAGCTGCCGGCAAATTGTGCGAGAAAACAGCGACTCAGCGCCGCTCAATGTCAGACAGCCTGCGTTCGTCCACGCGGGCCCAGCGCCAGTCGCGCGCGTAACGAGCCCACACCTACCCGCCCCCTCCCCAGCGTGCGACGCCCAGATCCGAGCTGCAGCGAGAGGGCGAGCCCGCGTGCGCCCTCGAGATCTGTCGCGAGTCGCGCCCCGCAGGGTGCCCTGCTTCCCCATCACGTGCCAACCTCTGCATCTAGCATTATCTCCGAGCAATTTGCTTTTGTTGCCGTGCGAAGACGATCCCACAGGTTCTAGAGAGCCCAATTATTACGTGTGGCAATCGGCTCATTGACCGTCTTCTTCAACCGCGCACTTGCGAGGCAGTGGCCGCGTTGCTATCAGCGCGAGCGATGCCGGACGGGAAGAAGAAAAAAAACCTGTTGACCGTTGCTGTGCGCCCAGAGGACGGCTGCTTGCTTGCTCTGTAGCACGTTACGGCCCGTGGGCGAGCGGGCTACAAGGCGACTTCCAACGGCGTTCTGGCGGCATTCGGTGGTCTGTTTTTTTCTTTTTTTTTTTTTTGGCAAGGCTAGTAGTAGGTAGGTGCGGGCTGCCAGATTCCCGGCTATAGCGCGACCTAGCAGCCTCACCTCTGCCCGGATCCTTGTCGGCGCTGGCCAGCGGCAGGCGATGTTTCTGGAAGCGCACATCCTCAGTCGTTGCCTTAGGCTACGCCGTGCAACCACCTCCGCGTGCTGCTGCCAGCCATGATGTGCGCCTGTGCCGTCCGGTCGGAATGTCAATAATGCAGGCGGTGCTCAAAACGATCCTCGGTCCACCATGAACGGCCAGCACCGTGCGTCCTGAATAAGAACACACTTTTCCTCGCCCATAAGCAGCCAGCGGCCAAAAGCAAATCAACCCCAGACCCTTTTTGTCACAGAGGGTGGTATGCCGCCGTAACTTTCCCCATCCACGCCGTCGCTTGCGGCGCCCTGGAGCTGATACGGATCCTCTGCACACGCCTACCACTCGCTTGCGGTCCCTCGACATCCGCGCCTGCTGAGTGGCCGCGGCCGGCAGTGCACGCGGCAGAGTGGCGGCAAGAACGAGCTGACTTTTGGTTGGCGTTCCATCGACGTTTCCCACGATCTGAGCCGCTGGTCATTGCCCTCGGAGAATAGTGTTTCGCGGCCCTAACGTGCTAGGCCGGGGTCTGCGTGAGCTTGCAGGGCATCAACCTTTTGGCCCGCGGAATCAGTCTCGTTGGTCAGACGTCTTGATGCTTTCCGACAATCCGAAGTTGGGGGGGCGAGCGGGCATGGTTGCGCAGGGTACGACGGCCTAGCGCGGTGCATGCCTGGCCAGCTGCCATGACGTTTGTCGAATAGTAATGGGCTGGGTACCGTGCGCGCATTAGTCCACACGATGATTTGCCTGCTCGCAAAGTACGGATTACTTACAAGACGTTCTGCCCGGTCGCTTACGCATATGGGGGCGTGCTATCGCTCGTATGACCGCTGGTGTTTGGAGTCAGCCGCAGGCCATGTCTCGTTCGGCAGCGAAGGCCCACTAGCGGCGCGCGAACGCGTCCTAGGCGCGGGGCAGGCGCACTACCTACTCCGAGCCAGTACGGGCAGTCGCGAAGCAGACGAGCACCGCAGTCCATGACGTTTGATCGTCCACAGCGTCGACGACCACACGAATTCGTTGACGTCGCAATTACTCGTTCTCTCTCAGCTCTCGTGTCTTTCTTGTTTTCTCTAGCCTCTTCTTTGCTCGTCTTGCGCGCCGTGGGCTGGTCCCGCGTCGATCACTATCACGATCCTTTTCTGCTTCCCCTTTCTGCTGCTGCTGCTGCTCTCTTGCCACCATGCCGTCAGCGCTCCTCGTCACCGTCATCGCCCTTGCAGCCGTCTACTACCTGAATCTCTATAGAGGCCTCGCCGCAAACGTCAAGGCGGCCAAGAGATCGGGCATCCCGTACATCGTGCTGCCGTGGAACAAGTTTGGCATTTTCTGGCTGATATTCGGCGACCGCCTGTACCCCATCATCGACAGGCTCCCGAAGGCCTGGACCGAGAGCTGGCTGCCGTACCTTCGGATCGAATGGCTATACGAGTCCAAGTACGAGCCGTTCAGGCGCTTCGGCAGCGAGGTGCTGCTCGTCTGCTCGCCCGGCGCGAAGCACCTGTACGTGGCTAACCCGGAAGCCATCGCGGACATCGCCACCCGCCGCCTCGACTTCCCCAAGCCGCTGGAGGTGTACAAGACGCTGCAGCTGTACGGCGAGAATGTGGTCGTGACCGAGGGTCAGCTGTGGCGCAAGCACCGCAAGATCACGGCGCCGTCGTTCAGTGAGAAGAACCACCGCGTGGTCTGGGACGAGAGCCTGCGGCAGTCCCAGGCCATCCTCGCGCACTGGACCGCCGGCAATGACTCGAGCCCGAGCCTGCATCAGCTGGACGCCGACATGATGAGTTTGAGCCTGCACCTCATCAGCAAGGCAGGGTTTGGTGTGCGTTGTCTCTGGCCCCACGAGGAGGCTGCAGGGAACGTGGACGGGCAAGATGAGCGCTTGACGAGCAGCAAACCGCCGCCCGGTCACACCATGTCGTACAAGGAAGCCATGAGCAAGCTGATGAAGAATGTCATTTGGATCCCCATTATGCCGAGGTGGCTTCGTGGTAAGGTCATTGGACTGTTCAGGGTCAATGCTCTTTCCTAGACTATGCTAAAGGGTCATAGCTCCGCAAGGCTGACTTCGTGTTCTTTCAGGTATCGTGCCCTTCGAGGGACCCCGGACGGCATCAGTTGCGTATGACGAGTGGGGCTTGTACATGAAGGAGCTGTATGAGATGAAGAAGACCCACATCCGCGAGGGGCAAACGACGGAAGGGCTCGATCTGCTCGGTAAGATTGGGTGCATGTGATCTTCCAGCTTCGTTCCATCAGCTAACTTATGGCGTCAGGTTCTGTCATGAGGGGAGCTGGGATCACTGAGAAGACCCTGAGTGGCGCCGAGCCCCAGAACCAGGTGCTCAGCGATTCAGAGATTTTGGGGAACGCATTTATCTTCATCCTCGCGGGCCACGAAACCACGGCCAACGCGATGCACTTTGCTCTCGTGCTGCTGGCATTGAACCCCCAGAGCCAGCGCCGGCTGCAGCAGGCCATCTCCGACATCGTTGGCGACCGGCCAGTCTCGCAATGGGACTACGACCAGGACCTGCCGAAGCTCATGAACGGCATGCCGGCGGCCGTCATCAACGAGACGCTCCGCATGATCCCCGCCGTCGTCGGCATCCCCAAGAGGACGATGAAGGGCAGCCCGCAGGCGCTGACGGTTGACGGCCACGACTACGTGATTCCTGAAGATACCCTTATCTCGATTGATACACCAGGAGCCCACAATAATCCCAGGTACTGGCCAGCTCGGCCCGATATATCGGCCTTACCTCCTGGAGACGAGCTCGACCAGTTCAAGCCGGAAAGGTGGATCGTTGATGAGAATAACCAACCTCTCGTTGGTGGGGTCGGAGGCAAGGCAGGGCAGCTGTTCAAGCCGGCAGCCGGAGTTTTCGTCCCATTCAGCGAGGGACACCGCAGCTGCATGGGTCGGCGTTTCGCTCTGGTGGAGAGCATCAGCATCATCGCCGCGCTCATGCACACGCACAGCGTCGAACTTGCGGTGGACGAATTTGCCGACGATGAGGCGGTCGCAGCCATGTCACGCGGCGGCCCTGAGCGCCAGGAGGTGTGGCAGCAAGCCGCGGACAAGGCCACCGACGTGCTCAAGAACGGCATGGGGACCATCATCACTCTCCAAATGCGGAGCGGGCACGTCCCTCTGCGCGTCATGAGACGTGGTTCCGAACGTTTTATTTAAGTCCGAAGGGCTAAACTAATCGGGAGAGCGCTTCGCGGGTTCGTCTCGAGGTGCTAAATAAGGGTGCCCGCTCGATGATTCGAGTAAGCTGCCGCAGGATCCTCTTGACGAGGCACTATATCCAAAACGATCCCGTGCAGAAGCAGCAAGAGCGGGAACCGATTGGGACGCTTCGCCTGGCGTCAGAACTGGGGAAGGAGAGAGTCAGATTCCCATGCGAGATCCGAGCGATCCTAGCGACGTGATTGCGTACGTCGGGGGCGCCGTTTCGTGTCAATGCTGGCGGAACTGATTGGTGGGTTTAAGATGAAGCGGCAGCGCCGCGGTCTGACCGCAAGAGGTCAAGCACGAACACGTAGTAAATAGCAGCATCGCATCGCTAGAGTTTTGGCAGATGCGCGGCAGATCAACGGTTTTAAGCGAGGCGATGAGACGTCGCTTCATTCCGATGACCTGCGGGATTCCACGGCAAGGCTCTGTTATCGACAAGCAATGCCGTGAGTCTGCGCAGGGGCGAGCGAGGCAATTCATAGTCCCAGTCTTATGGCCGTAAGCACTATTGTGTGGTCCTGAATGTGAAAGGAGAACGAAAAAAAAAAAATGCTGGCCGGTAACTACTCTCTGTACACAGCGGAGCGTATTCCGTGTATTCGCGGTCGCTTTCCTTTAGGTCGCGATCACGTGCACGCTACCGAACAGTCATGAGCGCCGCCGCTGCAGGGCGACGGCGAAACAGTCAGAAAATATCACCCCAAGTCAGAACGACCACCACCCATTCCTCTGCTGTACCACCGCTCGCTCTCCGATACTTCCCAGTGCCTACGCCGGCATCGCCACCTCACCAATCGTTTTAAACACCCGAAAATCGCAGCGTCGCGGGGTCGAACGAGCCCCACCATAACCACCGCCATGGCCGACACAATGAGCGCGGAGGCGAAGCTAGCGCTGATCAATCAGAACCTCCAGGAGACGCTGAACCCGGAGATCATGGAGGAGGTGGTCAGGAAGGGGGAGCGGCCGCTCAAGATCTACTGGGGCACTGCGACGACCGGCCGGCCACACGCTGGGTATATGGTCCCCGTTGTGAAGATCGCCGAATTTTTGCAGGCGGGCTGCCACGTCAAGATCCTGCTCGCCGACATCCATGCCTTCCTGGACAACCTCAAGGCGCCCATTGAGCTGGTCAACTACCGCGCCAAGTACTACAAGTATGTCATCACCGAGGCGCTCAAGGCCGTCGGCGTGTCGGTAGACCGCCTCGAGTTCGTGCTCGGCAGCGAGTACCAGAAGAGTCCGGACTACATGATGGACCTGCTACGTCTGAGCACCATGACCACCGAGCACGACGCAAAGCGCGCCGGTGCCGAGGTCGTCAAGCAGACGGACAACGCGCTGCTGTCTGGTCTGATCTACCCGCTCATGCAGGCCCTCGATGAGCAGTACTTGGACGTCGACGTCCAGTTTGGTGGCGTGGACCAGAGGAAGATTTTCGCACTGGCGAAGGAGGCGCTGCCGAAGCTAGGCTACAAGGAGAGGGCGCATCTAATGAACAAGATGGTTCCCGGCCTGCAGGTAAGGACGACGGCTACACGACGTGTCAGAAATGTGCTTACGCGTTACAGGGAGACAAGATGTCGTCGTCGGACCCCGACTCGAAGATTGACCTGCTGGACGGCCCAGATGTGGTGAAGCGCAAGCTGAAGAAGGCGTTCGCCGAGCCGAAGAAGGTCGAGGGCAACGGCCTGCTCTCATTCGTCGAGTACGTGCTGCTGCCGGTGGGCGCTCTCGACGGCAAGCCCATCTTCACGGTGCAGCGCCGTGAGGGTGAGCCGCTCGTCTACACCGACGCCGAGAAGATGAAGGAGGACTATGCCGCCGACATCCTCACCCCGCAGCTGCTCAAGTCGGGCGTCGCCGAGGCCATCAGCAAGCTGCTCGCCCCCATCCAGGCTGCTTTCGACGCTTCGCCGGAATGGCAGGAGATCGAGAAGCTGGCCTACCCCCCGGTCGTCGAGGAGAAGAAGAAGAAGGAGAAGAAGGTCAAGAACAAGGGCAGCCGCTACCCCGGCGGCGCCAAAAATGTGGAGGCTCAACCCGACGGCAGCGTCCAGGGCAAGGATGCCCAGGAGGTCAGCGTGGGCAAGAGCGCGCAGGAAGCTCTGGAGAAGCTTGATCTGGCCCAGCAAGAGGTCAAGGCATGATTGTACAATGATACCCGAGTCTGGGGGTGTGTGGAGCGTGCGCATCATCACAGGGCGTTGTTGTTTCGCCAGGTACGATAAAAGCTAAGGCAGGGCAGATCTCTCTTACGTGTTTCGGGAGACTCTCCAAGATTTCAAATTATAGATGTCAGCCAGAGACATTATTCAATTCTTTCCACGTTGAGGCTGAGCAAGTACCCAACAAGGCATTGACGCGCAGGAGAAAGGGAGTTGCAGCGTGGTCGCGTTGGGCACCGCCTGACGGCACGTCAGGCAGCATCGACGACCGGAATGACCAGATTTGGCGATTTTCCATGTGAGGCTCGCATCATGGCAGATCCGGTCCAGACTCCGGGTCCACCTCCGAACCCGAGAGACGGCCGCTCAGCCTCCTCCTGTTGATGCCTGACCATATATTCTGTGATGGAGGGTGCGCTCCGCAATTTGCCACCTTCCGCTTCGGACGTGATTAACAGAAATCCTTCGACGATTGAGCGGTTGAGGTTGAGGGGAGGGGTAACACGCAAGCAGACTACCTCCGAGGCGCGGCTACCCAAAACACGGGAAGGCGCTGTCGGTACGTGGCTTGAGAATAAGCGCCGCGTGGAAGAGCACCCGGTCTCCGGATGGAGATGAGGGGGGCAGACGGCGTCGCCGCGTCTCCCCCCTCGCGCATCTCAGCCTCATATTGGCGGGATTAAAAAAAGATCGGTGGGACCCGAGCGAGATGCTAAGACGACATATGAAAAGTTCAACGTCGGATTCGCGGCGCGTGCACCTGCTATCAAGGTAGCACACTGTCTTACATGCTCTTTTCGTCCGATGCGGACTCGGATGCATGTGGTTCGTGAGGAGAGAAGCGCGTGGAGCGCGCGCGCGCGTCGGGCCATTTTATTTTTTCGTGGCCGCACACCCCCACAGCAAATGCGCGCGCGCCCTCGTCTGAGCGTTGGTCCCGATGCTGCCTTTTCCCGGGGGCGATCTCTGGGTGAGATCTCGCATGGATTACACACATGCGCGCGCCTATGTGTGTGTGGTGGAGGTGCGTGTGCGGCGTAGGGATAGGTCCAGGATCCCGAGACGAGCGGACCCTTTCCCCGTTCCCCGTCTCAAGACCCCCACGCCGGCGCTGTCCCAATCCAGGGAAGCCCACCCCTCCCCCCATCTGTGCCATCCATGCCGCGGGATCTTCCTTGTTACCTCAATTCATGCAGCAAGCGCGGCAAAAAGCCAACGCTAGGAAGAAGAAATAAAACAACACAAAAGGAAAAAAAAATTTGAGCAATGGCTAACGCCAGCCACGTCCGAAGCTGCGGCACGAGGCACTCCTCTGCTCACCGTTTTCGAGCAACTGCAGTCGAGCTGCCCGGTTGGCGCGCCTACTGCTCTAGCCCCGGTGGTTTCTTTTGGTCGCACGTCACTAGTACCATTACTAGGCGAGAGAAACACGCTACTAAAAGAGAGAGAGTCCCGTTCGCAAGGGGCGGGAAGGATCCGACTCCGCGCGACTTCGTCAACGCGCGTTACCGTTACTGGTGAACAAGTAGCTTAACGCCGGCGGCGCCGCTAGAAAGACCAGATGCGGGCTAGCAAGCTGGGTAAGACCGGTGTTTTTAGCTTTCTTATCCACTCTTTCCTCTTTTACTTTTTCGGTGCTGTTGGACGTCCGCGTGCCCAGGATCTGCAACTGCTGTCACAGGCCGCGACCGCGTTTCTGCACTCTCTTTTGACTTCATATGATGCTGAGATGATGGTGGCGACGGCCTCGCCGGTTGTCGCATGTCCGGTTCGCACGATCACATCTCACTGCCCTTTGGGCGTTGGTGTAGCTCATCATTTTTTCCTGCTGGGCTGGAGGATTCTATTTCCCGAACAAGGACTACGGGGACCAGATTGACGGCGAAGAAGGCGGGGCTTTTGCTTTTTTTCTACCTGACTGTTCGAGGATTGGTCCGTTTTTATTCTGTCATTTTTTATAGTAGTCCTGAATTTCTTATTTCCCCGCCATCGGTTACCACCCTGGTGATCGTCTCTGGCTGCTTCCACAATATGCCGGTCGATCGAGCACGAGAAGAAGCTCTCGCTCTTCTTGCCTCACGGCGCTGCGGAGCAGGGGATGCTTGCTTCGATCGCTGAGCTAAGAAAGGTTATTCTCAATGCCCGCCGAGTCGCTTGCGCTGGCGGGCCTGAGACAAAGTTCATTTTTCGGCCGGCTGAGGACGACGAGGGGGTGAACCTCGGGTGCGATGTGGAGCAGAAAATGAGGCGAGGTAAGGCGAAGTAAGGCGAGGTTTCGTCATGAAACCGCTGTGCAGGGAAGTTGACCTTGCCGATGGGAAAGCCCATCGATTGGTCAGTTGTACCTTGTAGACAAGTCGAAGAGCACTCCTTGGCACGAAGTCGCGTTTGATGAGAGGTTGATGGGATACTCTGGGGTTATACGAATTCAATACTATAACCGTCTAAGCATTTCTGTATCTTTTGCTGGGTATTGCAGTCCGGATGAGAAACCCAATGTCAAAACAGCCTGCGCTCAAAGGAGAGTCCGTGTAGATAAATACGACCCACTTCTTTCTGCCAACTCCATTCACCTTTTCGATTGCAGCTTTGGAAAGAGACCCAGGGGATTTCAGTCACAACCCGAGCTTAGAAAGACTCTAGAGTTCAGCAGCAACGACTCGAGCTTAGAACCAAGAGAGTTTTCAGCAACGACTCGAGCTTGGAGAGACTCAAGAGTTCAGCAACGGCTCCAGCTTAGAAAGACCCCAGAAGAATCTCGACCACTCGACTCGAGCTTGGAAAGAGACATCACACCTACGCCAACTTCAGTCCGTTCTCCTCCGGCTTAAACCATTCCTTCAGCAAATCCTGGAGAACCTCATTCGCACCCCTTTGAGCCTCCTCTGAGCTTGCCGCCCGGCACTCGATGTAGAGCTTGATCTTCGGTTCAGTACCCGACCCACGAACCGTGAAGCGTACGCCGCCGTCCAACTCGCACGTAATCATCTGGCTGCCCTTGTCAACCGGTAGCGTCGGCACGTTGTCCTCGGTCGCCGAATCGAACCCGACAGTAAGATCGCGCCAGCGCAGGATCTTGCGAGACCCCAAATTCTCGGGGTAGGGGTCCGCCAGTGCCCGGATGGCGGCGAAGACGGTGTTGGTCGTGTCGGGAGACGGCGAGACCAGGTAGGTGTTAGCGTCTTCGAAGTGGCCGTACTTCTTGTAGAGTGACTGAAGCTGCTGGTAGGGAGTGAGACCCTCGTCCGCCCAGCGGGCGCTGGCCACGAGGAAGGCTGCAGTCGCGCTAACTGAGTCCTTGTCACGGACGACAGAAGGGATCTCATAGCCCAGAGCCTCCTCGTAAGCAAACCGAACGTCGTAGCCATCCTCTCCAAGGTCGAGTCCGACGTTGCCGAGCCACTTGAAGCCGGTGAGCGTCTCTTCGAACTTGAAGCCTTCGACGTCGGCCATGGTCGAGAGCATGCGGGACGACACGGCGGAGGCGAGCATGGCCAGCTTCTCGAGCGGCTTGTCCTCGGGGTAGGTCGAGAGAATGTGCGAGGCCAGCAGCACGCCGACCTGGTTGCCGGTGAACTGGTGCCACTTGCCGTCGACCTTTTCGGCAACGGCCAGACGGTCGGCATCCGGGTCGCTCGCGATGATGAGCGTGCTGCCGACTTCGTCCGCCTTCTTCTGGGCCAGGTCCAGGGCGCCCTTCTCCTCCGGGTTGGGGAACTTGACCGTGGGGAAATCCGGATCCGGCTTCGCCTGGGCCTCGACCACGTGCATCTTGTCCCCGAATCCGAGGTCTTTGACGGCCTGCGTCATGTACGGCAGGCCGACGCCGTGCATGGGCGTGTAGACGAACTTGAGGCTGTCAAACTTGGGCAGGGGGTCGTCCTCGGGAACGGCCGAGTACCTGACTGCCCTGAAATAGGCATCTCTGACCAGGCCCAGAGCACCTTCGATCAGCAAGCTCCCCTCGTCGACCACAGAGGTGTCCCAGGTGATGGGCTCCAGGTTCTGCTCGATGGCCTTTGCGATGCCAGAGTCGTGGGGAGGGATGATCTGGCAACCATTTCCCCAGTACACCTTGTAGCCGTTGTCCTGGGCCGGGTTGTGGCTCGCAGTGATCATGATGCCGGCAGCGGCGGAGAGCTCGCCGACGCCAAAGGGGACGAGCGGGGTGTGGACGGTGTCTTCGTACCACCACACGCGGATGCCCTTGGCGACCATGGCGGCGGCCGTCAGCTTGGCGAACTTGTCCGAGTTGTGGCGAGCATCCCTGCCGATCACGACGCCGCGATGCTTGACGTCAGGGCACTGCTCCAGGAGGTAGGCGGCGAGACCCTGCGAAGCCTGGATGATGGTCAGGGAGTTCAGGCGCGAGAAGCCGGCCTGCATCGAGGCACGCAGACCGGCGGTGCCGAAGGCTATGCGCTTCCGCAGGCGCTTCTCGAGCTCCTGCTTGTCGCCGTGGACCAGGAGCTTGTAAATCTCATCACGTGTCGAGGGATCCTTGTCCAGGCGGAGCCACTCCTCGGCGAGCTTCTCTATCGGCGGTTGGGCCATGGTGAGGGGGGGAAGCAGATGGGATGCCGGATCTCCTCGGGTCGCGCAGCTCTTGCTAAACCCGGAGTGGGGTGGGTAGGTGTGGTGTTTTGTGTGTACCGGCCGCGGGGAAAACGGTGGGTCCTTGGCCTATCTTCGGCAGGGCACGCTTGGAGCTTTTTGTGGCCCTGGGGCGGTGGATGATGGAGCGATGTCTGCAGTTGTCACCTGCAGCGCTGAATAAATAGGCGGCTAGCCTTCTTCCCTTGCAATCACGCGAGGTATGGAAACTTCCACGGCGTGCGCTGTGCCCAGTGAGCGTAGCGGGGCCCGCCGATGCTAGTAGGCGCAACGGGGAATTCTTGGCCGTGTGGGCTGGGCAGCAGACGGAGCCGCAAGCTTGGTGCTTGCGCCACACGCAACGTGGGCACAGCAGTGGACAGTCGATCGTTCGCTCGCTCGCACTACCATCTCCTGACCGCGTGTCTCAGCTTTGCTGGGTCTTCGTTAATCCGGCCTCTTGCCATCTCCAAGGCCACCGAGCTCCCCGCAACTTTCTCTCTCCTCCGCACCGCCATGCCCGCCGTCCAGTCGCCCGCCCAGTGATTTTTTTTCCCCGTCGCCCCGCATTCCTTCGCCGCCATGTCGACGCCCGCACCGACCGCTGCCGCAAGCCGCAAGGACCGCGTCTACACGCGTCCGGAAATCGAGGCGCTGATCGCCGACGGCCGACACATTATCATTCTCGACGGCAAGGTCCTCAAATGCGATGCCTGGATGAAGTACCACCCCGGCGGTGACAAGGCAATCAAGCACATGGTCGGAAGAGACGCCACCGATGAGGTCACCGTGTAAGCTTCCAAATCCGCGGCAATTGGCTCCGCACCGAAGCTTGCTAACCGTGGCCGACACCAGTTTGCACTCTCCCGAGGCGAAGCAACGCATGAATGCTTTCCAAATCGGCCGCATCGAGGGCCGCTGGTTCAACTTCGTGCCGCCCATCCAAGGTGGAAAATTTCGGACCAAGGCGGAGCTTGACGCGCTGAAGCCGCAACCCGCCCACCAGGAGCCTGAATGCGACGATTCGAGCCAGGGAAGCTCCAATGCTTCGCCAATCTTTGAGCCCGCCGACCATGACTCTGTCAGACGCCGCCGGAACGACAGCACCTTCACTCGCGCTTCTTCGCCGACCTCCGTCTCCTCCGTCGAGCTCGAAGAGCCGCGCGAGAAATCCAAAATGTCCTTCCTCGACATCAAGACGCAGCAGGAAATCTCGCTAGACCTGGACAGATACCCGCCGCTGAAGCCGGAGGTGCAGGACGAGATTGTCCGAAAATACCGGGCTCTGGACGAGCGGATCAAGGCCGAAGGTCTGTATCAATGCAGGTACACATCCTACCTGATCGAGCTCTCGCGATACTCGCTTTTCTTCGGTCTGTTTTTCTTTTTTCTGAAGACCGGTTGGTACTGCACCAGCGCCCTCTTCCTCGGATGCTTCTGGCACCAGCTTGTCTTTTCTGCCCATGATGCTGGCCACATGGGCATCACTCACGACTACCACACGGACTCGGTCATCGGCATCATCATCGCCGACTTCCTCGGCGGACTCAGTCTGGGCTGGTGGAAGCGCAATCACAACGTGCACCACATTGTTACGAATCACACAGAACACGACCCCGATATCCAGCATCTGCCTTTCTTTGCCATCTCCCACCGTTTCTTTGAATCTCTCACGTCCACGTATTACGACAAGGTGCTGCAGTTTGATGCTGCCGCACGATTTTTCATCAGATTCCAGGATATGCTCTACTATCCCATCCTCTGCTTCGGCCGCTTCAACCTGTACAGGCTGAGCTGGGTGTACCTGCTCAGCAAGCAGGCGCCGAGCAGGGGCCCTGCGTGGTGGCACAGGTATTTTGAGATTGTCGGCCAAATCTTCTTCTGGTACTGGTTCGGGTATCAGGTAGTGTACAAGTCGGTCCCGAGTGGCTGGGAACGCTTCACCTTCGTCATGATCAGCCACATGGTGACGATGCCTGTGCACGTGCAGATCACGCTGTCGCACTTCGCCATGAGCACCGCCGACTTGGGCACTCACGAGAGCTTCCCCCAGAAAATGCTGCGCACCACCATGGACGTCGACTGCCCCGAGTGGCTCGACTTTTTCCACGGCGGCCTTCAGTTCCAGGCCATTCACCATCTCTACCCCCGTATTCCTCGTCACAACCTGCGCCGCACCCAGCGTCTTGTCATGGAGTTTTGCGACGAGGTGAATATTCCGTACGGCCTGTACGGCTTCGCCGATGGTAACAAGAAGGTCATCGGCCGCCTTGGTGATGTGGCTAGGCAGGCGACAATTTTGGCCGCGTGCCAGAAGAGCATGGCCGAGCGTGGAGATTATGGCTTACATTGATGATGTACGATTATGTTGGGTTCTAGAAAAGCGGTGATAGAAGAAGATACGACGTATAGAAAATCATGAAATCGCACTTTTTACCTTGAGCCTCGTGTATACATGCTGTTGACTGGTCGGTTTAGTTACATGTCAATGTACCGAGCAAACTGGCAGCGTTAATATACCCATCATGAGAACACTGAACCCATGCACTAGCAGAATTCTCCGCAGACTGATCGAGCTGGCAGGGCTGACAGAGCTGGCGACGCTGGAAGCAAGGGTGATTTGCAGGAACGGACCTGCAGCAACTACGGCTCCTCCGGCTACTCCAGCTCTTCCGGCTCTTCCAGCGCCGTTATAGCATTATTCAGAGTCCTTTCAAAGCTGCTTCTTACCTAGTTAAAGCGTCTTAAAAAAAGTGTTGCTTCAAGGCAAGCGCTTGATAAAATGAAAGATAGGTTATTTAGGTTAAGAGAAGTATCAAAAATATGTGCAAGCATGAAGAAGAGTTTACGCACTAGATGACAGCTGCACTAGCGATGCTGAAGGTGCTGGAGGTGCTAACAGTACCGCAGTTGCTGGTCATACCGAACATTGGCTCTCCCAAACCACCCTTGCACCCAAACCTCTTTCTACAGATATTAACCTTAATAGTGAGTTAGCCTCTCTCATGAGCTAGGGCTGGGAGAAGACGAGCAGGGCAGTATCTGGAGGAGACAGCAGGGAAAACTGAGGATTCCGATGTGACGCGAATGAGACGAAAGTCTATGCTAGGCGAGCAGAATGAGCAGGATAAAGGAAACTTACAAGAGGAAGTGCTGTTTCAGGTGCTGTCGCGCAGGGGTGCTTTGCCCTTCCTCTTCAAGGAGCTCAATGTATCATCTGCCGATTCCTTCAACACAATAAGCGCAGCGATGTCGGAAACATGATGGTGCTGGACAGTTTTATGCTTCTGTCAAACTTTTTAAATTTGTCCTTGAAAGTCAAATGTTAAACCCTCTGGGTGAAAGTGGCTGCTGACTACCCTGTTGCGGCTATAGGTTGTTTACAGTTAAGCTTCTAGATACTGATCAAATAAGGAAATAAATGTTTAAGGTACGAGAACTTTCACCTTTATAGTTTGAGGAGTTAACTTTAGTTTTCAAGTAGTACCTACTTTTAACCTCATATTTACGCGCGGATATTCACTTTAACTACTAATGTAGCGTTGTCTATGAACACAAAGGGCACAAATCAAGTGCGACAATCACACTCAACACTACATATAATTAGAAGATTTTTGTTGGTATTCAAGACGTCGTAATTTGCTTCGTGATTTTACACATTCGCTCATGCAAAACAGGTGCTGATGGCTAGCAACACCTCACCGAATTCGGTGATTAAAGAAACAACAATCTAGCGAGTAAAAACCCACCCTCTACGCCAAAAAAAATGTCATCAAACTACCACGGGTATGCCCTGACATCATCCTCCTTTTCCAGATCCAACCCGTTGGCCAGCTGCTCCTCGTGCCTCTTGTCAAGGTATTCGAGCAGGACCGTTTCGTAGCGCTCCTTGCCCTTGTACTGCGAGACTTCGCCATTCCAGCTGCGGACGGCCGAGGCGAGGCGGCCGGGGACGTAGGGCTCGTCGCAGATTTCGGTGATGGGGTGGAAGTAGGTGCGAATGGTGAAGACGACGCCGCCTGAACGGGGTAATCTGGTTTGCAGTTTAGTATTTTTTGTGGATGTATCACTAGAAGTAATACGTACCTCCTCAAACTCTGTCTCTCGCTCCTAAAGTAGTGGTGCTGGATTGCCTTGTCCTTCTCGGCAGAGAACCAGCCGATAGTGCCCTCCTCGCCGTCCTCGGGGCCGATGCTGTGGCTCCAAGCGAGGTCCTCGTCGACCTGGATGAAGTAGTTGTTGCGCACGACGGGGTTCTCGGGTTTCACGCGGCGGAAGAAGTTCATCATGCCCTTCTCGAGCTTCGTCTTGTACTCGGGCACGCTTCCGGACGTGTGGATCTCGGACAGGGCCATGCCGAGCTTGTCCTCGAGGCGCCAGAATCCGGCCAGCAGGATGCAGCCGGCGAGCAGGTAGTACTGGCCGTCGGGCCGCTCGAACATGATGGCCAGGTCGTCCTGGACCTGGCGCGCGCACATGACCATCGGGTCCTCCTTGAGCGGCCGCTCGACGATGTTGAGCGACTCGCCCGTCACCAGGTTGTCCATGCCGACGGATGTCTTCTTGAACATGGACGGGTAGCGCTGCGGCAGGTACGAGCACAGCTCCTCCAGCAGTTCGACGGCGCCGTCGTACGCTTCCGGCGCCGTGTGGTACAGCTTCGACGCGCGGTCCGAGGCGAGGCGGGCCGCTTTCTTGCCGTGGAACGACAGGTAGTGGTTGTCCAGCTCGATCCACTCGTTCCAGTCCATCGTGCGCAGTCCCATGGTGGTGTTGTACTTGGGTCCGTACCGGAAGGGCCTGTACGGCCGCGGCTTGCTCGTCTCTACTGACCAGTTCGGGTACGGTTCGGCGGCCGGGCGCTTGAAGTCTGACGGGATCCAGACTGTTTGTGTCAGTTACGTCGTGATGGACTGTGCTTTCTAATCGAACTCACCTCCAGGCGGCCGATCGACCTTGAACTTGCTCGGTTTCTCAGGATCCGGCGAGCCACGTCTCGACGGCGTCTTGCTGGGCTTGAAGCGGCGAAGGATCAATACCGATGCCCAGATAAACGTTGCGACGCCCAGGGCGATGTAGACCAGCGGCCTGGGGTTGTCCATGACATATTCCTGGAAAGCTTTCGACGCAGCCTGAGCGTGCTGAGAATTGCACGCTTCTCTGGCGCGCAGCTTGATCGACTCCATCATCGCACGGCGGTGACACGGGAACACGTGCTCGGTGACGCGGGCTGGGTGGAGGGGGGGATGCGAAGGGACAGGACTGGAATTGTTTGTCTCTGCAAATCACTACAAGACTGGCAGTGGGTTATCTAGCTAACATTATATGCTTCGAGTGTTGCAGGGTCGGTGGCCGCCTCTGCCAGGACAGCCGGCCAACGCCTCGCACGATAATAGCAATTGTTCCCTTAGCCACAGCGATAGCCCGCTGTGGGGTTGGGTTTATCTCTATCCTGGAGGCGGGGTTCTTTTTCCCGATGAGGGAAAGCGGGCCTCGGCCGGTGACGCGCACAGGGATCGGTCAAGCCTACTTGAACGAAGCCGCCGTCTTTGGGAAAGATTATACACCAGCAGAGAGCCTGAACTCTACGCTGAGTCGCCTGATGTTTCTCTCCGGCGAAGTAAGCAATATCTTCCCCACCTTCTGCGGTGGCGCTCTGGGACGAATGGTAGGTCCGGCACCCATCCGAGTCTGCCAATCGTGCTCGTCGCCGCCGTATCGAGGAACCTTTCGCACTTCACTGCTTCCCAGGTCGCCGTGTCCCCAATGTAATCCGGTTCCAGCTCCGAAGGCGTCCAGCTGGGTAGCGACGAGTCGACCATGAACGTGCAGCCATCGATGTCAGTCTAATACGCCGTTAGCCAAATGATGCAGAGTGCGTGAAAATGGGCCTCTATTCACGTATTTCCCTGGGTCCTCCTTGTTCTCGTCGTTCATGCCGGACGGGATCAACCACGCGCCCGGGAACAGTCCAAAGCCAGTGTTTGCTTCGCTAAACTCGCCGGGTAGGAGACCGGTGAAAGCACTCTTGACGAACTTCGCCCTGACGCCTTTGGGCAGGAAGTAAGAGGACGGAAACCTGTACCACTCCTTGCCGAGACAGACCGTGTCTCCCGGCTTGGACACCCCGTCCTCGTGCAGCGGCTCGTACACCTTCAGCGGCGCCGAGTACGCAGTGCTCATGCCGATCGCGCGCCAGACGCCGACGTCAATCGCGCCCAGGACGAGGAGGAACGCGGCGCCCAGCTTCAGCTTGGCTGGGATCTTGCCAACCAGCTGGCGGGGGTCTGACGATCCAAAGTAAGCGAGAAGGATGTGCAAAGAAATGGCAGAGTTCAGCGCCAGGAAAGGATAGACAGGATACATGAAGCGTTCCTCTTTGTGAGGCTGAAGGGTAAAGATGGTCAGCCAGAGATAGAAGGGAGAGACAAAAATGATGCCTCTGACAAGGCTCGACTTGGACGAAGGTTGCTTGCGGAACAGCTGGCTCAACACCTGCAACGGCAGCGCAGCAGCCGCCAGAATGAACCAGACGTTGAAGTTTAGGATGAGGTTCCGGGCGTAGAAGTGCCACGGCTCGGTCCCGTAGATATCGGGGCCCCTTCCCGGGCCGCTGAAGACGTTGTAGAGGACGATGTTCAGCGGCACGCACACAAACTTTCTGTAGAAGAACGAGTTGATCGACTCCGAGACAACCTAACAACGCGTGAGCTAAGCAGACGCACTACAGATATTGTACCAACCAAGATGCAAAAAGACCTGACAGCTCCGTCGAGAAATCTCTTAGCAGTGTCGTAAATGGAGCCGGTCTGCACGGCAAGGAACAGCTCCTCGGCGATGAACGGCAGGACCAAGACGGAGGCAAAGGGCCACCCAAGAATGCCGCCCACGGCGAACCAAAAGATGCCCGCAGCCGTCCTGAGACCACCCTTCCAGTCCATAAAGGCTGACAACGCCAACATATTCGTGTACATGGCAAAGCTCGACGGGAGGTAGGCGGTGGAGGCATGGAACATGCCCGGGCTAAAGACCATGGCAATGAGGAAGAAGACGGCGATGCGGGGGTTCAGGGTCCTCGCAATGGTAGCGAACAAGCGCGTCTCGCAGCAGGCGCAGAAGAAGCCCAGGGCGAGGCGGAGGAAGTAGAATTGGGTCGTCTTGGTGCTGCCCGGGAGCAGCCTGGCGACGGAAGCGACGGCGGCGTGAATGCCGGCATAGGCCCAGCTGCGGATAGCATATTCGGGCGAGTATTCCCAGGTCTGCAAGCCGTGCTTGTGGTCAAGGTAGTGGGTGGGCTCGAAGAAGTTGAAGACTTCGTCGCAGTCTTGCACGGGAGCGTAGAGGGCGGAAAGGATGTGGGTGCCGCAGAAGAGGTAAAAAGCCACGACGGGGTTGAAGTCGGGCGCGGGCCTGCACAGGGGTCAGCGTCGTGCCTGGGCCGGTCAATTGGATCGGATCGCACTTTTTGCCCTTTGGCTGAGCTTTGGGCGGCATCGTCGCGGTGGAGTGGTCGCTGTCAGAAGCTTGAGCGTGGCATCACCCAACAAATGCGCGCCGGGGCCCTGCGCGTCATAGGGCCGCCAAGCTCGGACCGCTCCCGCGCCCGCGCGCAAAATTTCCAGACGCCGCGCGCTCTTTCTTCGCGCCTGCCCGCCCAGCTTCTTTTCTCGCCATTCCTGCACCAAAATTATGTCTTTCCAAGGTGGCATCCCTGGCCTCGGCCTGCTGAGCTCCGAGCAGCAGCAGCCTGCCGCTCCCTCGCCCTCGATCAAGCCGGACGACCATGCGCAACCGCCTCAGACCAGCGACCCGACGCCCGCAGTCGCCCCCGCAGGCACGTCGGACGAGAAGCCTGCTGTCGACACCGCCGCCGACCATACCTCCAGCGTTCAGAATCTGGGCCAGAAGCTCGAAGAGAGCTCCCTGCAGGCCACCGACCCCACCAAGCAAGAATCGCTCCTCCTAGAAAAGACCGACCAAACCCAGGCCGAGCCCAACGCGCAGGAGGGTACGACCGTGAAGGAGGATCAGGATGGAGACACTTCGATGGCTGAGAATGCCGGCCCTTCGGCGAACGCTCCTGGCGACGACGGCATGATCGAGCGGAAGCCAAAGGCAGATCCCGAGTTTTTGCAGGCCGCCGAGGCGAACAAGAGCAACCCGAATGCCGAATGGCAGTTTGACTCCTCTGACGCCGAGTCTTCCGACTCGGATACTTCCAGTGACACGTCCTCTGAGGAGGAAAGCGACGATGACGAGTACCCGATGCTCGACGCCGCCGAAGCGGCCCGCATACTGATGCAGGAGGAATACGGCGACGACGAGGGCGGCAAGGGTCCGGGAGCGCAGCTTCGCACCGCGAACGAGGTCGTCGAAGAGAAGATTGAGAAACCGGATGTCACCGTCACTCCGGAAATGAAGATTACCGAGCTCGGCAATGTCGAGAGCATAGTCGACAACATGATCCTCATCAAGGCGAACACGTCGGGAGAATACCAGGTTCTCGAGAGCGGCTCGGTGCTGTGCAAATACGACCGGTCCGTCATCGGCGCCGTGGCCGACACCCTTGGCCGAGTGCAGGAGCCCCTCTACACGGTCGCTTTCAACAACGGCGAGGAGATCAGCGAGGCCGGCCTTGTCAAGGGCCTGACCATCTACTATGTCGACAGCCACTCCACCTACGTCTTCACGCAGCCTCTGAAGAACTTGAAGGGCACGGATGCGTCCAACCAGTTCGACGAGGAGGTTGGCGAGAATGAGATTGAGTTCTCTGATGACGAGGCCGAGGCCGAGTACAAGCGCCAGCAGAAGCAGAAGAAGCGTGCAGCGCACGAAGAGAAACACGGGCCCCGTGTCGGCGGAAAGGCCGGTCAACAGCCGCCGCAGCATCAGCCACCGTACACGGGCGCCTTGAGCTACGATGACGATGGAACGGACATGTACATTCCTATGAAGCGGCCGGACAATCTCCACCACCAGATGATGGACCAGGGTGGTGCGCCGGTCGAGGGACAGCCGGGTTCGTACAAACCTCACCGTGGACGCGGCAAACGCGGTGACCGCGGCGGGCGTGGTGGTGGACGCAGCGGGCGTGGAGGAGGCGGATTCCAAGGCTCCTCCAGCCACCAGCAAACCCAGCAGGACCCGCCACAGACGCAAGCAGCGCCACCCCAGCAAGCATTTTCTTTCGTTCCACCTCCACCGCCCCAGTCGAATCCGTCCTATCCTCAGCAATCCTCTTCGCCTTTCCAGTTCAACAGTCCTCAAGCGTACGCATGGCCTCAGAGCAGCGCCACACCCTTCACATTCGGCCAGAACACCTCGCAAGCGCCTCCCAACTTCCCCGCCGGTGCCTTTGTGAATCCGGCTTTTTTCCAAGGACAACAACAACAACAGCAGCAGCAGCAGCAGCCATATGCTACACAGGCGCCGTACCAGCCTCCCCAGCAGGCTGCGTATGCTCCTCAGTGGACCCATCAGCAAGCTGCCGATGCCTGGCGCATGGTCCAAGCGATGGCAGCGGCTCAGGCAGGCGGCCAAGGCCACAACCAGAATCAGAATCAGAGCCAAAATCAACAAGGTGCAGCCAACAGCGCCGCTGCCATTCAAGAGATTCTGAGGAATCTCGGCAACCAAAACAACGGTGCTGGACAGCCTTAGGTCGACTTTGGTACATTTGTACATATTTGCTGTTGTCTCACAGTTGCACCCGCCACCGAAATATCGCGTTTTGCAGACATGATGACAGCATACTCCGCGCACAGCATTTTCAAAGCCGGTTCTGGTTCTGGCCGCATCGGATCCCCGCAGTAACCGTTTGTGCCACTGCTAGAAGGCATGTGCCTGAGGGCTGTATTAAGCCTCGCGGAGAGTTGCTTATCTCTACTTGTCATTGCTTCTGGTTTAGAGGGGGGGAAAGCGTTTTTCCAAAAGCCATTCGGCTATTCTTGCATTTGGCGGCGTCATGGTGGAAAATTCGCATGTTCATGGTGGCGTTGACGAGTAGTATTGTAAGTTTGGTTCAAGGCTGTTGGAGTGATGCATTGGCTTGCCTTAGTTCCTTTCGTGTCAGCGACAATCTATCTTTTTACTTACTGCCTGCAGTGCTACGTGAGACATGCGGGGTTGTGGTACTCGGACGTGCAGTTTGACTGGTTAGTCGACCTCATCACGATGGGATGCAGTACTGACGGAAAAGAAACTGCAGGTCAGACGGAGGCAGCAAAAGTTCTGAGACACGGACGGATTTTTCACCTGAGGCTCAGGCGATGGAGAGAGGACGGTCACGGGCACGTTGCATTTAGCAGTGTGCTGGCCAAGCTCAAGCGCCAGGATGCGAAACGCAAGCGCGCGCCGCACAGCCGTGAAATTAAGCTCAGCATCTGGGCACATTTAGAACACGAAAGGCAGCTGCAAGAGGATTGCCATGCTGCGAACTGTTCATCCCTGACGAGAGAAGGGAACAACTGCTCTACTAAAACTGACACGACGGCGTTCGTCTGGCCTTTATCCGACCTACGTTTCAACGGTTCGCACCGACGCCGAGAGCATTCTGCTCAATCAACGCTCTTCGCTTAAAAACGCCCGGGCCTGGGGGGTGCAGGCCGTGCCTGACAGGGCGCTGACCACTCACGGCAGCGGATTGCTGGCCGGATTGCCCCATTGCCTTACTCCTCCACATTATCATCCTTTCCAGCCATTGCGCCGCGCCTTACACCGTGTCATGCGCCGGCGACAGGGTTGACCTCCACGCCTGCCGCTCTCCCGCGGCGCAGCCGTCGTCTGAATGGCCAGCCCGCAGGTGTTAATCTGGGCGTAGCGGCGAGGCACGGCTTATAGCCCAGCTTCTGGAAATAGCTGCTTGGCCGCCGCTGCAAGTCGTGCATGAGCGATGGCAATGTTTCATCGCACGCGCCCTCCTGTTCTTTTGCTCGTCCGCGCCGATTCTTCTGCGTCTTTTCTTCTCTACACTCGCCGTCTTCAAGCCTTTTTTCTTTCCTGTGTCACAGTCCCTGCATACCGTCGCTCGTTTCTGCACGTCTCACTCGCATTCTGGGCATCAGATCCATCCCGATTGGCGCCCATCCCGACCATCCGTTTTCGCTGGCTTTGGGATCGACGTCTCCCAGGTGCTACAGACGCTCTGCCTCGACCTAGTTCTTAGTGGGACGCACTCGTCGCCCCGTCATTCGTTACTTGCTCCAAAGATCCTTTGGTTGCGTTTTCAGCATGAAGGCCGCTTTCCTCCTCGCCGGCTGCGCTTCTTCTGCCCTGGTCCAGCGCGCTTTGAGCAGCCCTCTCGTCGAGAACGCCCTCCTCGTCGCCCGCGATGACGACGACGACCGTAACTCTTGCGGCCCCAATCTGGAAGTCTGCAACCCCTCCGGCGCGTCGACCGACAAGCTGCCCGCTCTCGGACCCGACCTGTCTGGCCTCTACCTCTCCCTCCTCGACGCGGTCAAAGGCATCAACTTCAAACGTGACAGCAACAACCACATGAACCGGCCCCGCGACGATACCCCCTCGTTCTGCTGCGCGACCGGCACCTCCTGCCTCCTCCTCTCGGCCTACGACATCCCCTTCTGCTACGACAAGTTCACGACCAACTTCATCTTCCCGGACGGCAGCTCTGGCACCATCCACACGGGCGCCTTCTCCTCGGCCTCCGGCGGCACCGCCGACCTCCTCAACGGCACCTACACGACCGACGACACCCAGGACGGCGACCTCTACGCCGGCTCCAATTCCGCCGACAAGCCCAACACAGCAACCATCAGCATCCCGCCGCAGTACACGGCGACGGGCGTCGGCTCCGCCATCCCGCTGACGGCCCTCGGCGTCATCACCACCGTCGTCGTCACGGCCGTCACGACCGAGGTCTCGACCGTCTCGGAGAGCGTCGTCGTCGTCCCCGCCTCCACGCGGCCCGAGAGCACCGTTTTGGGTACCACGGTCGCTGGCGAGACGACCAGAGCTGACAGCGTCGTGCCCGCCACGACTATCTCTGCCAGGACGACGACCGTCGCTGCGCACGAGACGCGAGTGACTGTCTCGTCGTCAACGACGTCTGTGGCTTCGGCCGCTGCGGCGTCGGCGTCGCAGACGGGTGGTGCCGTTGCGGTGGGTGGAGGGAGTGCGGGGGTGGTGGGTGCGCTGGGCGGTGCTGCGGTGCTGGCGGTTTTGGGGGTGGTTTGAATGGGGAGGGTTCTTCATTTGGGAGGTGTTTTTGATTTTTTCATTGTACATGTCTTTTGTATATCCTGGATGAATGTTTAATGAAGAGTGGGGATATGGGTTGTCCTCTGCGCTCCATGTGTCATTGAGGGCTCGATATTTTCCCCATATCGATACGAAAAAAATCTTTTGGTTGTTCGAATGTTTAACTTCGTGGTTGTAATTGGGTGGGCGAAAGAAAAGACGAGCCAGGTTTGAGGAGAGGAGAGCGTATGAATCGAACGGAAGGTTGAGGTGACGCAGGACAGTCCCCCTTTTGACCAGTAAGTGACTCGTATATCGTAGAGTTGGACTGACAAGTAGTTGTTCAGTGGATTTTTTCGCCCGAGTGAACGTTTACTTTGAGATTGTGGCGATCAAGGAAAAATCGAAGGGTCCATCAGCACATGTTCCCGCATGCTGGCAGTGGATGGCGGCGGCCAGCAGCGGCCCGAGATATCAGCGTAAAACATAGACACAGGATGACAGGGTGACGACGTCGAAATGTATTGCACTGAGGAGAGAGCGCAGGCTTCAAGGTGAGGGGAACGCAAAGATTAAGTGTAGGGTGTGGCATACCGAGAGGCAGGAGCGGAGAAGAACTACCTCAGACGAAAAGGGAAGCCCATTCATTAGCATCACCCACCAAAAACATTTTGGAAACGACAGCAAGAACGACATGGAGAAAGAAGAACCTTTACAAGGCAACCATCCTAGCTTGATGTAAGGCTTCCCGTCTAACAGAAAACAAAACTCGCGAACCAACAGACCCACTCCATATCAAACACACCTTCTCTACAGACATCCACCTATTTTGCACGGGCAGAAACCAAACGTGCAGGAAGAAAATCTATTCTACGGTTGTTTTGTCTTTCCCTCCCGTTCCAAGGAGCCTTGTACACGGAACGCCAAATAACAAGCCAAAAAACAAGAGTTGAGATCGACGGTTACGCAAGAAACTCTGCGACGCGCCAAAAGAAGAACGCAACATCTTGCGAGAGGGACAGTAAAAACTACTTCGAAAAACTCCAAGCCCGGCAAAAACGCCAAGTATAAGCCCGTGCTTTACAAATAATGAACGTCTAGCCATCCTATCAATGGGCGTGCGCAGACGCGCATGTAGTATTTACAAGGGAAGGGGAATAACGGATCGACGGACGATCATCATCGGTTCACTGCTTGTTGAAATCCGGTGCACTCCTCGATTTCTTCAGGATGCGGTGACGTGCCAGCAGCTGCGAGATCATAAAGTGGCTGACGTCTTCATCGGCGTAGTAGGACAGATGTGAGGCGATACTGGCCAGCAGGGAGATGTCGAATGCACCCCTATCATCTCGTTAGTTACCATCTCCCCCCTTTTGTTGCTTTAGCGATTATCGACTTACTCCTGAATGCTGTAATCCACCCGCCCGTTGCTGTTCAGTGCCCTGACCTTCGCCTCCTCGCGCCTCAGCTTGCGGCTGCGTTCCTCAATCTCCTGCCACTCGCGCTGCTCGCCGAGATCGCGAACGTCGGCATCGCTGCGCTGGCTCTCCCGCCGCTTTGCGAAACCGGAGTACAGCGTCTCGATCTCCGAGTCGATCAGCGTCGGCGGGTGCTGACCGTCCTGGCCGGCTTCAACCTTCGTCGGCGTCGTCGTCGGATCCGTGGCGCTGCCCTGTTGACTCTGTGCCAACTTGCGCTTCTTTTCCTCGCTTATGCCCGCAGCTTCCGCGGCCGCACTGTTGCCATCTTGCGACGCACCTGCGGCTGCCGTCGAAGGAACGGTTGCACCGTTGCCAGCATTGGCAGACAGGGGGCCGCGGGATTGGCTCGCGATCGGATTGCCGAGCTTAGAGGCATCCTCCGCAGTAAGTCCAAGGCTTCGGTTGAGCAGGCTGTTCGCGATACCCGAGCTCAGACTCGTCCACAGGCCAGACACGCTCTGTCCCACGCGCGCACCTATGCCTGTGAGACCCTGAGCGACAGGAGCGCCAAAGATACCCTTTTTAGTGTAAGGAAGCGGCTGAGGCTTCAAGGCGGACATGGCCGGAGAGATGAGCGGCTCGAGGCGGTAACTGATCGGGTCGGTAGGATGGAAGATGTTGAAGATGCGTTGACACCTCGGCGAGGAAGTAGTGATTTCGAAATGGCTTTCTTTGCTGGACGAAGGCCTCGACGGGTCTGCCAGGAAAGGATCGTCCGTCGACAACTGCGTGTCCGGATGCAATTTGCTCTGGGAAATGCGGGCCGCGATGGTTTTGCCGCTGAGCATTTGGAAAAGTCCAATGGGCGAACCGAGGGCGTAAAAGTCTTCGACATCAAAGTCCAGCTTCAGCTCTTCTGACCGTCGATGGTGCTTGTGGCGCTCGCCACGTGCCTTTTCCTCCCTCTGCTGGCACAGCAGATCGAACATGATGGCGGATCCGAGCGAATGCCCGACGAGGCTCACCTTTCCGTTGAACTCGGGATTGCGGTCTTTAAAAAGCTTGTAGATTCTGTTACATTCTTGGAGGACGATCCGGGATATGTGGCTCTTGTAAGCGGGACTTTGGTAGAGAAGGACATCTAGGGCGAGGTCGGTTATGAGATTCCGCACGGCTGGAACTCCTTCGACCGTGATGTTTTCCAGGCTGGGATACTCGTCGTCCTCGATGGAATGAGCGTCTCCGAGATCAAACTCCCGCCTGTTGTGCTTCAAGCTCTGCTTGGGGAAGTCGAGAAGATGGCGCCAGACGATCGGCAAGACCTGCACGCGACAGTTTTTGGGTAGCTTGTCCACCTCACCGTTCAAAGCCTGCAGATCCGCTGACTCGGCATACACGGACTTCAACGTCTTGCGGAGCGTGTTGACGTCGTGGACGAAGTTGATCGACTCCATCCTCATGCCCAACCGTTGACCGATGCCGTGGGTTACGAGCAGGAGATGCTCGATCTCACGGCCCTGCTCTTCCCCTTCCTGCTCCTTGTAATCCTCACGGATCTCCCTCTCGGCGCGTTTTCGTACTTCCTCCTCCTGCTTCTCGAGGTCCTGGGGGTCGGTCGAAGCCATCAAGTTGGACATCTGGCGCTCGAGCGTCCGGCGATGGGCGTGAGACGGCGTTTCTTCGACTTCACTCTGCTCACCAGAAGACGTCTCCCCGGCTTTCGATTCCTGCTTGGCCGACGGTTCGGGTTCGGGCTCAGCTTTGGCGTCCGCGCTGGCCTCCTTTTCGTCCTTGGGGGATTTCTTTTTGGCCTTTTCTTTTTCCTTTTCCTTCTCAGCTTTGAGGTCCACGTAACCACGGATGAGCTTGACGCCCGCGAAATGGCCACCTCCAGCAAAACGTTGGTACATGGTGCTGCTCATGCGCGAAAGAAAGTCGTCGGTGAGGAGCCACGCGGTAGTAGAATCCTGATACGTGACGACGGAGTTCATGTGAGCTCCGAACAACCGGTGCGTCTTTGGCGGCTCTGGCGGCGCCGGTGCGTCCTTGGGTTCGGGCGCTGCGCTCTCGGGAGCCGACTCCGGTCCTGAATCACCAGAGGTCGAGGCCACGGTCGCGGACCTCGAAATGCCCTTCACGGTTTTGTTCGGATCTTCGCCAGGTGGCAGTGATGTGGGGCGCGACTTTGGTTGCGACGCGGAGCGCGGCCGTTCCAGGTTGGCAAAGCGCCAGGGCTTGATCTTGATGTAGCCCTCCTCCAGCTGGTTCGCCAGATTCTCGTCGCAAGGCCGAAGGAACGTGGTGCTCTCTGCTCGAGTAAGTTTCGACGTCCGGACGCATGACCCTTGGGAAGCATACCTTGGAAGAACCATGTGCCTCTCCGCACCTCGTAGACGGCGCCAATCCAGTAGGCAGGGGCCAGCTCCCGTTCTTCTACGTCCACGTCGAAGAGGAAGTCCTCGTTCACGGGGACCTTGGCCTTGAGCTCGCCGTTCAGCTCCGATCTCTCCCAGCGGATGTTACGCTCCTTGATCTGCCACTGGCGAGGTTCCTCTTTCTGGCTGCTTTCCTGACCGTGCAGCTTCTTGCGCTCGGCCTCCTCAGCCTCGTCGCAGATCTTCTGGAAGGTGGCCTCGAGGGCGCGCGAGTCGCCGGCGGAGAAGGGGTTCCATTTCTTCGGCTGCGGGGGTTTGTCTGTCTTGGATGGGTTGTTGGCGAAGACCAGGGCCTTCCTCTTGGGGATCTGCGAGCAGTCAGCAGGCTGCATCACGGCGGCGCTCGGGGGCATACGTCGACAGCGTGGAACCACAGCACGCTCAGCGGCGGGCAGTCCCTCGGGTACTTTTTCAGGCTCAGGCGATGCCTGTTGGTCACGGTGTGGTCGGCGCCTCTGCTCTGCTGGGTGAGGTTGAGCTCGGGAGGCTGGGGCTCGCCGGCGTCGGGGGCGGGATGGGTCTGAGGGGTCTGGTTGCGCGAGCCCCAGGGCGAGATGGCGTTGATGCCTGCGGCAAGGTAAGAACCTGAAGACTTCGCGTCCGGCGCGGTCATCTTCTCGCCGGGCGGGCCCCCGCGGGGCGGGCGCTGGTCAAGCAGCCAAGCTTGCGAGCGGCGGGCGAGGGCGTCGACGGGGGGAGCGGGAGCTCGATGCTTGAGATGGTGGAGGACGTAGGCGGGGATGCCTTTGCGGGCCAACGTGTCGAGAGTGAGTGCAAAGAATAGCGCGGCTGAATAGGGAAGAGTGCGGACCCAGGAGCCAGCTGTATACGATCGCAGCCACAGCGCGCGGGCCAGGAGGGACTGTGGTCTGTGGCAGCTGAATGCGCCGAAGCGTCAACGTCACAGCAAACGGTCCCCGCCTTCAGCCCTAAGACCCCTAGCCTCCCGACCGCCGGCCCGGCTGCCGCAACCGCTTAGGCCCGCTTAACCCTCGCTCGCGCGCGTCCTTCGCTTCACCACCGCTCTTTCGCACCCGTCTTCGCGTCGAAGCTGTTGGGACCGAGTTCCCTTCGGCCCTGTTCGCTCCTGCTCTACCTGAGACAAGTCTCGGTCGATCGCCGCGCCTCGCGAGATGCACCCTCACCGCACACTATCGGCACGCTTGACGACTCGTCATCTCCGAGCCCGACATGCGACCACCGCCCGGCTCACCCACGGGCTGCCCAGCGATTGAAAGCCCAATGGCCGTCGACACGAAAGCGTCAGTGTTGCTGCTTCCGGCAACATGTGTGCTCAATGCGCCGTTGTCTTTCCTTGTAATTGAGCCGCCTGGCTACGGTGCGGTGCCACGTCGTTTCAGCTTTCTTGCTCCGTGTTTCCATCGCACAGCTACGTGTGGCGCACCTGAAACGCCTGTGGCTAAACACATTCTATTCCCTATAGCCAGTAGCCCTCTCCTTTCCTACAGCCAGGAGCACTAACCGAATCTCTGCTTGTCACCTATCGGGATGAGCATGCCAGCCCTTGATGTATCTGGGCAGTTTGAGTGTGTCGAAAAGGCTGACTTACAGCATTTTACCATGTTCGAACTCCAGCAATTTTGTCCAGTTGTCTGGATTTGATGCGAATGCCCGGATTTGATGCGGTTTGTTTCCCGGATTCAAGACGCCCTCAGCTGCATCACCCACACCATCATTAAACATCTCTCCTCCCGGCTCCAGATTTGGACTCCGGTTCACGTCTTTCGGTAAAGCATGCAGCGTGTTGCGTCCTAGCAGGTGATCTGCACCTTGCAGGCAGCCGAACTCACGGCTACATCAGGCAGTGTGGCAGCTGGAAATCTGCCGATTGTGGTCATCGTTGGGCACCTGTCCCTGGACGTCGCTTTTCGACCTGGACCAAAGGCTAAGAAGTAACTCAAGCGGGAAGAGGTTAATCAGACAGTTGCAACCTTTTCAATTTCCTCGTGGAATCTGACCCTCGAGGCCCTACGGCGTGCAACTAAGCGGGAATCGGCGGCAATTCGCGGCGAGAAGCTAAATGGCCGAGAGCTAGGATGCAGTGGAGGGGGGCTAGGAGCTAGGAGCTGTCATCCCAGATCCTGATCCCCCCGCCTTGTGTGCGTGTGCCTGAGACAGGCGATGCTCTCAGCCAAGGGTGTCAACGAATCCGGACGCGCTTCGAACGCCTCGAACAAGCACCGAGCCCGGCACATTTTCTAGACTGATGCCCTGCATCAAAGACCAGGAAATGATCCGGCTGTGAGACCGTTCGTCACGACGAGCAATTGGTCAGCCAAGTGTGGCCAATTCGTCTCCATCCTCATTCTTTCGTACGTGGTGGGTCTTGATCTGCACGCAGGTGACCCGTTCAGCTTACACGTATGCAGGCACCGAGTCCTGGCGAGCAAATATCCCCGCTGCTGCTCGACGTGAAGCCAGAAATGTGCAAGTTTGCGGCAACTCTTGCAGTCTGCACGTTCCTTTTGGAACAATGGCCTGCCTGCCCTCGCCGGTCTGCTCGCCAACGATGACGGCTAGGGATCACCGGAAAGTTAAACTTGTGCCGCATCGCCGCAACACGGACAACCACAGCACAATTTCCGTATTCGCACGTGCGTTCCGAGCCTGGGCCTCCCACCACTTGAAGTGCATCGCGATTCATCGTACTGACCGTGTCTGCAGGGAGCGTGCACTGGTGATTTTCCGCAGCGACTGGCATCTCGAGAGGAGGTTTCTCGTAGGGTCTTTCGTCTGCATAACGCGAATCCTGCTCCGCCCGACTTGGAATCCGGTGCTTACTCGTGGCGTGCGGAGACTTGACATGGACGGATCAGCGATATCCCGGTCATCAGGAACGACCAACGCCGTCCCTCGTTGCGGGGGCGGCAACCCCGGACACCTCACTACGAGAGGCGTTCAGCCTACAATGCGACGCGAGGCTGGGCGTGGTAGGGGGTCGATTCGTCGAGTTCGCCAGCCATTTCGAGGTCTAGAGCCGTCGAACTGAAAAGCGACGTGGTCAATGTAAGCTCACGGCTGCTTTTGACCGACAGCCAGGATCGAGCAGAAGAGGTCCCATTACCATGGGAAAATGTGCATAAGCACAACGTGCCACCCCGGAGCGAACCAGGAGAAGGGACTGCTCGTAACCGTCCAAGTACCACGGATGTACAGTGTACAACCTTCATCTACACTCCGCAAGATCCGGGAGCTACGTCCAGCCGGACACGACAAGAACGGGGTTCCCCCGTACGGCTGAGAGGAGGCGCACTACTTCCCAATAAAGGCTTTTGCCTGTGTCCGCGCTGACCGGCGGCCAGTCCGCAGCAGCGGGCGACGCAAACGACTAGCAGCCGCGCGCCTCCGGCTCTCCGGCAGAGATGATTATCACGGGATCAGCAGCCGGGGACGGTTTCTTGCCTTTCTGACAAAACCTAACGTTCTGTCGGCATCTCGACTTGTGGATTTGCGGGCTGCTCTCGCCAAGTGTGCGGTGAAGGTAGGGAAGATGCAGGAGACCAACACCGTCTTGACTCGAGGCAATGCGGCACGCAGCGGCCGGAGTCGTTGCGCTTCCGCTATGGGCGGATGTGGGCTTCGTGACAGGGATTCTTCCCCGCGTTGTCTGCAGGCATTTGACTCTACCCCACACTTCAGCATCGAGCCAACTGCATCCAACGTCCTGCCTGCGAGACCGCAAGCCCCGTATGGGGCACTCAACCCACGTCATCCGCAGGGTCATCTCGACCGATCCCAAGGGCAGCGGTGCAACGAAGACGAAAAGCTGCTCCTTTTCGCTGCTCTCCAAAAATGGACATCGGCGGCCCTAGCGTTTTGCGGGGAAATAAAGTAAGCGGGGGGACGGGTGGCTGGCGGCGGCCTCCCACGTTGACGCACTAGCGCCTAGTGACGCGTGTGGGGAACGGTCCATCACTGCAAGCTGCATGACACGGTTGAGGCTATGTACCCTCGTAAGTACCTCGTGCGGGGGTGGTACCCTGACCACAGCAACACGACGGCTGCCCCGCGCTTTGTCTCTCCCCGAGACTTGGTCGAAACCGCCGTCGTCGTCTTCGTACCGGAGCACAGGCTCTACCCTTCATCTCGCCGGTGCTTTTTCTTGCCAATTGCACGCGTGCAGTTGGAGTTTTCGGCCCGGCCGGAAAAGTGGCCGAGCCATGCGGAGAAGTACATGTTTCCGGCCCTGGACTTCCAAAGGTGCGGCATGGGAATAGAGCGAGACGGAGTTAATTTTCCAGCTGGATGCCTGTCCCGGCTCCACCTCCTCTGCGTCGACAAGCCAGCCGCCGAGACGAAAATCACTCAGAGTCCACCAACCACGAGGTGCCGGGTACTTTCCGGCGGGTACGTATCGTCATGATGCAAGCGTATCGCCGTCCGACTGCTCCCATCCCCAGGCCGCTCCAATGGGGGTTCACCTTGCTTAGGTCCGGAACTAACCCTGCGCCCCAAGCGGGGAGTGCGCTACCCATACGATTATCAGGATCCATGACACTTGCAGGAGCCCCACGCATCAGGCGCTGTTGCCCAGACCGCTGGGGGCGTTGGGGCAACGGCTCCCTGGATCTACAAGTCTCGAAACCGGAGACTCGTCAGCCACTCCTTCCTTCCACTGTGCCGAAGCACAATGGAGCGGGGTTGGAGAGGGGAGGGGATAAATATGCCCCGTCTCCTCTGTACTCTTTCCTCCACCACGATCTTACGGCGCTGAACACTTCTTCGCCTGAGACTGTGAAAGGTTTCCCATTTTCCCAATTTCCCATTTTGTCATCCAATTGGTCCGTTTGTCAAGATGACGATTCCGGACGAGGTTGATATCATCGTCACCGGTGGTGGTTCGTGTGGGTACGTTGAACGACCTGGTACTTTGGGTGAATTTCATTCGCTAACTTCTCGCAGTTGCGTCGTCGCTGGCCGTTTGGCCAACCTCGACCGCAACCTCCACGTGATGCTCATCGAGGCTGGCGAGAGCAATCTGAACGATCCATGGTGCGTTGTCTTGATTCCTATCGAAAACTGTATTCTGACCCCTGCAGGGTGTTCCGGCCTGGAATTTACCCGAGGAACATGAAGCTGGACAGCAAGACCGCTTCGTTCTACTACTCGCGGCCTTCGGAGTGGCTGGGCGGTCGTCGTGCTATCGTCCCTGCCGCCAACGTTCTGGGCGGCGGCAGCAGCATCAACTTCATGATGTACACGCGCGCCTCCGCCTCGGACTACGATGACTTCCAGGCAAAGGGCTGGACCACCAAGGAGCTGCTCCCGTTGATGAAGAAGCACGAGACGTATCAGCGAGCCTGTAAGTTCCCCGGTGTTTTGGGTTAGAGCTTCCACTAACTCATCGTTCTAGGCCAGAACCGGGACCTGCACGGATTCGAGGGCCCGATCAAGGTTTCTTTCGGCAACTACACCTACCCGATCATGCAGGACTTCTTGCGCGCCACCGAGTCGCAGGGAATCCCTACCACCGACGACCTCCAAGATCTCGTGACTGGCCACGGTGCCGAGCACTGGCTGAAGTGGATCAACCGGTAAGATGGTAGCTCATGTTGACTGACTCGATACTGATGTACATTGCAGCGACACGGGTCGCCGGTCCGACTCGGCGCACGCTTACATCCACAGCACCCGGTCCGTCCACCAGAACTTGCATCTCGTCTGCAATACCAAGGTCGACAAGATCATCCTGGATGGCGACACGGCGGTAGGCGTCCAGACGGTACCCGCCAAGCCGTTGCACCCCAAGCAGAAGCAAGAGCCCAAGATCTACAGGGCTCGCCGGCAAATCATCGTCAGCGGCGGCACGCTGAGCTCGCCGCTCATCCTCCAGCGCTCTGGCATTGGTAATGCTTACCATGTGCGCCAACTCCTGTCCTCAGACTAACTAACGGCTCGATAGGTGACCCCGAGAAGCTCCGCAAGGCCGGCGTCAAGCCCCTCGTCAACCTTCCCGGTGTGGGTCTGAACTTCCAGGATCACTACCTGACATTCGCACCCTACCGGGCGACTCCCGAGACCGAGTCGTTCGACGACTTCGTCCGCGGCGACCCCATCGTCCAGCAAAAGGTCATCGACCAATGGTTCGTCCCGTCGTCCCGTCGAGCGTCCCGTTCGTAACTAATTCAATGTCTAGGAACCTCAACGGCACCGGCCCGTTGGCGACCAACGGCATCGAAGCTGGTGTCAAGATTCGGCCCACTGAGGAGGAACTCAAGTGGATGGACACGTGGCCGTGCCCCGAATTCCGGTCCGGGTGGGAGAGCTACTTCAAGGACAAGCCCGACAAGCCCGTCATGCACTACTCGGTCATCTCCGGCTGGTTCGGTGACCACATGCTCATGCCTCCGGGCAAGTTCTTCACCATGTTCCACTTCCTCGAGTACCCATTCTCGCGCGGTTCGACGCACATCGTCTCGCCGAACCCGTACGAGGCGCCCGACTTCGACGCCGGCTTCATGAACGACCGCCGCGACATGGCCCCGATGGTCTGGGGCTACATCAAGTCGCGTGAGACGGCGCGTCGCATGAAGGCGTACGCGGGCGAGGTGACGTCCATGCACCCGTTCTACGCATACGACTCGGCGGCCAAGGCCCAGGACCTCGACCTGGCCAACACCAAGGCGTACGCCGGGCCAGACCACCTCTCGGCGGGCATCCAGCACGGCTCGTGGAGCCGGCCGCTGGAGGCGGCCAAGGAGACGTCGCCCAACTACCTCAACTCGGCGTGCCAGGGTCTGCGCGACGACCTGGAGTATACCAAGGACGACTTGCTGGCTATCGAGGACTGGGTCAAGCGGCACGTCGAGACGACCTGGCACTCGCTGGGCACCTGCTCGATGGGCCCGCGCGGCGGCAACAGCATCATCAAGCACGGCGTCGTCGACGAGCGGCTCAGCGTGCACGGCGTCAAGAACCTCAAGGTGGCCGACCTGTCCATCTGCCCGGACAACGTCGGCTGCAACACGTACTCGACGGCGCTGCTCATCGGCGAGAAGTGCGCCGTGCTCACGGGCGAGGACCTGGGCTACAGCGGCTCCGCCCTCGACATGAAGGTCCCGACGTACCACGCCCCGAGGGAGATTACTCACCTCTCCAGGCTGTAGGGAAATTGTTTTACGAGTCTCGCTTTTCGGCGAGTATGAAATTTCTTTTGCTCGACTTGGCCTGCCTGCGTGTTTGGCTTAATGGCTTCTTGTTCCATCAGTAGTCGGTCTCTAACCTCTGCTACTGCTCTTTTGTACGTAGTATGGAATGTGACGGTGCTGAATGACCTTCAATCTCGTGAGTCCACGTCTAGCACGTGTCCAATGCCAACGCAGCACTCGCCGTCTTCAGCCAAAACGTCAGGACTGTTAGGCCTGTGAAACCAAGGCAACCCCTCAGCAGCCTAACTCCTGGGCTCGGTGCCTAGCCTCATGATGTCAACCGGTCGCCTTGCGGTTCGGGGCGATCCGGCGGCCTACGAACCCACATCAAGAATTACTTCATGGCCGTTTACGAGGTCCTTTTTGCGAGATTTGTCCGCGTGCGGGATGTTCGGAGAGCCTGAGGGATAAATTAAGCTTCGACAGCTGAAACGTCGGACCGTTACACAAGTCGACGAGTCGTCTGAGCAACGGGGTGACCGAACGTGAGACGAAACGACATTCTTGTTTGCTTCCTATCGCGTTGTATCGCCTTGTGCAGACGTTGGACTGTCAAGCAGGAGCGGGGAAGGTCAAGCGGGCGGGCAACCGGCAGCGGGCGCTGATCTCTCGCCCCACTCTGATTGTCGATCTGGCCAGCGCCAAAAAACGCGGTGCACGATGGACGGGTCGACGAGCGCTGCGGAACCGCACCCATCAGGTCCTGCAGACGGGAGGGCAGGAGAGTGGGAGGGCTAGAGCGGGCCGTCAGCCGTGGCTGAGGATGGGAGGAGCGGCCAATGGCGTGGGGGATGCTGACAGCGCAGCCTCCGCCGGGGCGTGACGTCATTGCCAGCGCTGGCGGTGGCCCAGTTTTGCAATGCGCGAGGAAGGAGAGACGGGGTCCTGCTGCGAACCCTGCCGGCTACCGCTCCCGCCCTGTCACCTCCTGCACTACCAACTTCTGTCGTTTGCAATCCCAATTTCTTCTGTCGCTATTCCCCCCGTCCAAAAAGCCCGCCGAGCGCGAGCTTTCAGCTCTCCATTCGTGCGGCTGTGTGCTAGCTGCGAGCCCTTTCGACGATCTCCACGATCCTACTCCCATTCGAGATAGCAGCCTGGCCTGCGCACGCAGCCTTACACCATGATCCGCACTTCAACCCTGCTGCTCGCAGCCCTTGACGCGTATGCACTCGCTGCTGCCGTCCCAGCCCCAGCCCCGGCCGCTACTGGAGAGCCTGCCGCACTCCCAAGACAACGTCCAATCGACGCTGCGGACCCGCTCATCACACCCTCGCCCGCTCTCAATGAAGCCACCCGCACCTATCTCGAGCGCCGAGATCTGCTGGACGATATCAAAAGTGGTGTGAACTCAGCCCTTAGCGCACTAGGATCCGATATTCCCAGCTACGTTACCGACGGTACGCCGCCATGTCATTGGTTGTCTCTCTTCACCAAGTACTGATAACGCTGCAGGTGTCGCCAACTTCTTCCAGAACTTCCCCTCTGGCAGCGCCGTGCAGAGCTCGCTCGGCCTGAATGATAGCCAGCTGGCCGCGCTGCCGACCCAGGTGCTCAACATCCCTCCTTATGGCAACTGGACCGACCAGGGTTGGAACGTCCGCTTCCACGGCAACGTTTACAAGCAGCCCAACACCAGCCGGGAAAAGTTAAACGACTTGGCCAACGTCTTCCTCATTGGGACGGACATCGAGGATCTGCCCGCTTCGCAGCAGGACCAGGCTCGCAACTTGACCGCCGAGATTTTTATCGTGCAGCAGGGTAATGAGACGGTCAAGGTGAACCTTGAGCCCGCCGCGAGCGCCGGCGGTGATGGCGAACCCGGAGGCGGTGGTGCCGTGACACCCTCTGGTGGAAACCAGACGCTCACGCTGCCCTACAATACTACGGCTGAAGGCGATTTCGACGTCTTTTTGCCCATCGCCAACACCACGGGTGGCCTTGCCGCCGGTAACGCGACGAGCAAGATCCAGCGTCTCAATGTTTACGCCGACAATGCTACTCTGGGTAATGCAACCGCGTATTTGGTGCCTCCGAAGGGCATGACCATCATCAGCGACATCGACGACATTTTGCGTGTGACCAAGATTTATCAGCCGAAGGAGGGCCTGTTGAACTCTTTCGCCCGGCCGTTCACACAGTGGATGAATATGCCGGACATTTACGCCAACTGGTCCAGGTCCCTGCCGGACATGCATTTCCACTACCTGACCACCACCCCGGAGCAGGTGACGCGCAATTATATGGACTTTATCTTCAAGACTTACCCTGGTGGTAGTTTTGATACTCGTAAGACCACTCGCTGTCACGCATTGAAGTAATACTGACACTCGCTCAAGGCCCGCTCAACTTCTCCGACGTCTCGGCGACCCTCAGTATCCGCAGGTTCCTGCTGGACAAGATCTTCCAGACCTTCCCGGAGCGCAAGTTCATCCTCGTGGCCGACACGTCCAACTCGGACGTCATGAAGGCCTACCCAGCGCTGGCGCACGACTACCCCAACCAGGTGCAGTGCATCTTCCTACGCAACACATCGGCCACAGACGACGACAAGTTCCCGTACGACACGTCGGGCTTCAAGGACCTCAACCAGCAGATGTACATGTTTTTCAAGGTGCCCGACGACTTGACCAACCTCGATATCGAGGGCGGCCGCTGCTACAACTCCTCCATTCCCCAGAACGTCACCTTTTCAACCCAGGACGAGCTACTCGGCATCCATGGTGACAGCGCTGCCTCCGGACCTGTGCAGGCTCCCAGCAAGAGCGGCGTGTTTGGTCTGGTCGTCGCGTTGGGAGTCGCCGTGTGGATGGGACTGTAGATGTGGTTGATGTGTGGTCTTTTTACTTTTAACGCCCCCTGTTTGATGATGTGTTTATTCTTTATGATTAATGGATTTTCCATGACGATTGGTTACGGACGGGAGTGGAGGGGGGAGGAAGATTGGAAACCCAGCGTCTTCTAATTTTTCACGGGATTGTTGTGGATAGAGAATGGGGCTTGGAGACTATACAAAAGGAACCGATCGCAAGTACCCACTGACGAATCAGCTGGTAATGACGAGGGGGAGCGCTCCTGGGGTTGTAGTTTTTTTTTTTTTTTTTTTGAATAGACTAACAGCTGGTTTGTTGGATAATCACTGTGTAGAGTAAGCAGCGGCTGCTCGAGTAAAAATGCTCTTAGCCCACTGTTAAGCTGCAAAGATAATTTACCACGGAGTTTTGGACCTGAATGGATTGGACTTGAAAAGAGGACTTGTTGGTCTGAAGTAGTTTGTCACGTGTACAATGACTTGACTATAAAATGGTCTTGCACAGATGACCGGTGCCGCATTTCTTTTCTGCAATGATGTAATCAAGCAAATAGTGATTATAAGATCAATGTATACTTTCTAATTGAGAGATATATAATCTAAATCGAATTGTATTACTACTAGACATAAAAATCAAAGTTCAAAGCCTAGTATTTCGACACATCATATTTCTATGTATCTCTCAAAAAATATTTGAAAGTGGAATATAAAAAGTTTCTTCACGCTTGATGGAATATTTCATGCTTAGCAATAACAAAAGTAAATGAGGAATTGGCTAGAGTGGAGAATCTAGTAATTTGATGCCAAAGACGAGAACCTGATTTCTTTGAAGGTTGCGTCATAATAAGCAGGCGGAAGGAGACACCTATTTTTGACCCATCCATGGATGCTCCAGAAGCTCCCTTGCCGTCTTTCTCTGTTCCGGTAACCAGCACAGCATTGACCTCATAAAGGCAAGAAAGTTTTCCTTGTCTCGTCCTTCTAGATTCTCTTCCTCGGTTTCAAATGAAAGCGGAGGAATTTTAGCGTCCATCAATGTGCCTATGCGAATTTTGTTAGAACTTCCGTACACGTTTCGATCGAGAGCGACGTACCATTCTCGCCAAAGAATAAGAAGGCGCTCCCGTCTTTTTCGAGAAACTCGCGAGGAGGGGGTCCCAAGTACGCAACGATTTGCGAGAGGTGTTTGATGTTGCTCAGCTCGCCTTCATCGGTCCTACTATCAAAGAGATGCTTTCCCTCGTAGAGGTCCCATATCTGCATGTGTGGTTAGACTGTGTAAGGCCGCCGCTTGTGCTTAAGTAGACCATTACCATAACTCCGAAATTCCAGATATCGACTTTGTAGTCCCATTCCATTTCAAGGATCACCTCCGGAGCCCGATAGATCTCTGGCATAATGTATTCGGCATATTTCCGCTCTGCAAACCGCGCTTCTCCGAAATCGCAAAGGATCGGATAGCCCCATGACTTCGGCTTAGGCATCCGTCGGGATTTGTAGATTGTGCGCTGCTCATCGATGACTTTGCGCTCGCTCGGGTGCTCCGTCTCTATCTTCTCCATATCGGGCAGCACGTCTTCATCCTTGTTCTCCAGGAGGATATTTGATGCCTTAATGTCTGCAAGCCGTGGCATTAGTGTTCGGGACTTCGACAAAGCATGGAAACGCCTACCTGTGTGGATCAAGCCGGCCTCGGTATGAAGGAAATCCAGAGCATTCAGGAGGTAAAAGCAGAAAGGTTTCAGCATCTCCGTAGAAAATCGGCCATTGAGAAGAAAAGGGCTAAGTTCGGATAATCTCATAGCAAGTGGTTCTTGGACGAAGCATAAGTGAGAGCCATCAGGTCCTTCGACCTCAAATGAGTCAAGGACGTTGCGTATGAAAGCGCTCCCTGGGTGATCGGTCTTGATTTGGCAGAGGCGTTCATAAGCGTGCAGCTCACGTGCCGCCTGTTTATTGTACGCTGAGCTGCGAACGAAGACTTTGATAACTACATAGCGCAGTTTGCTTTCAGACAGTCAGAACGGATACATAAAGAGACTGCGAGCACCAACTGCAAATCTCGACACAGCCAGACTGTCGAGGCCACGCCGTAGCCAAACTTGGTGATGATCTGGTACTGGGAATTGAGTACTTGACCAATGCGTGCCGGGTAGTAGTTGATCGGGCGGTAACTTGAAATCGTCTCTTCTTCAATCTTTTGACTATGGTCAATGGTGGGAAACGCGCGTGTTGACAAGCACCTTGGTGATAACGGCGGTCGCAGTCGCGTTGTGGCGAACGCTCGCCGTACAGTCCTCAAGACCGCGGTCATTGTTGCTGGAGAAGAGAAGCGAGATACAAAAGGAAAACAAGAGGGGATCGTAACGGGAAGAACGTGTTGAAGATGCAGTCGAGGAGGCGCGTGCGGCGGCACGGAAGTTCGTGGGTCCCGTGAGGCTGCGCCGCAATGAATCAATCGTTCTGTTCTGACCCCACAAAAGTATTGTCGGATTCCATATTGACGCGTAGTTCTTACCCCGGTAATATTGTGGTTGAGGGTTGCCGTTTGGTGCAAACCGGCTGAGTGCGAGATCTTTCTGAAATAGCAATCAAGCGGCAAGACGTCGTATTTAGTCAAATGGCAATGAGAAAAAGTTACGAGCACGTAAAATAATCCATAGGTATCAGTATCTACATAAAATCAAACATAAATCCGCTCTTCACATACCGCCGTCTTTCTTCCCCTCTTCGTCGCCCGAGAGCGTCTTGGTATCTTGATGAGGCCACGAGAGCGCCGCCTCCTCAAGTTTCTGTGAGGGATATCCAACGTCATCTTAATTCCCTCTTTTTACACTCAATTACCGTGTTACGGTTTGAGAATGCCTTTGTTTCGGCTTTTGCTTGCTTGCCCCTTTTAGATTTGTTGAACATTGAAATATTTAGAGCATGGGCTTGATGTTGTCGGCAACGGCAAAGGGAGCCTCGGTCTTGGACTTGACCTCGTCGACGGTGACGCCGTCTGCGAGCTCGACGAGGGTCAGACCGTTGGTGAAGTCGACATCGAAGACGCACTGAAGATTTTGTTAGCAACGAGTACTCTTTTCGAACGAATCTGAAAGGAAGCAAAAAAGACTTACAAGATCAGTGATGATCCTGCTGACGCAAGACCTGCCGGTGAGCGGGAACTCGCACTGCTTGAGGATCTTGGGACGGCCCTTCTTGTCCGTGTGCTCCATGGTAACGACGACCTTCGTGTTCTGCGGGTTGGACACAAGGTCCATAGCGCCACCGAAGCCCTTGATCTTGCCGGGTAGCATCCAGTTGGCGAGGTCGCCCTTGGCCGAGACCTGCATGGCGCCGAGGATGGTGAGGTCGATGCGGCCGGAGCGGATCATGCCGAACGACTCGTCGCTGCCGAAGCAGGAGGCGCCGGGCCGCAGCGTCACCGTCTCCTTGCCGGCGTTGATCAGATCCGGGTCCTCCTCGCCCTTGGCCGGGTAGGGCCCGAGGCCGAGGATGCCGTTCTCCGACTGCAGCTGCACCTCGACCGACTCGTCGACGAACGACGGGGCCAGCATGGGCATGCCGATGCCCAGGTTGGCGTACATGCCGTTCTTGAACTCCTTGGCGGCGCGGCGCACGATGCGCTCGCGCTTGCTGGCGGCGTCGCCCGAGCCCAGGCTGGACATGGCGTCGGCCGGGTCCTTGGCGTTAACGACCTTTTCGATGTTCTTGGGCTGCGTGCTCTGGATGACGCGCTTGACGTAGATGCCGGGCACGTGGACGGCGGCCGGGTCGATCTCGCCGACCTCGACAATGTGCTCGGCCTCGACGATGGTCGTCTTGGCGTTGCGGGCCATGGCGCCGTTGAAGTTCTGCGCAGCGAAGCGGAACTGCACATTGCCCAGCTTGTCGGCCTTCCACGCCTTGATGAAGGCGTAGTCACCGCGGATGGCCTCCTCCATGACGTAGCTCTTGCCGTCAAAGACCTTGACGTCACGCGGGGTCGAGTACTGGGCGATGGTGCCGTCCGGGTTGAACTTGAGCGGCAGCTCGCCCGTCTGCACGACGGTGCCGAAGGCGGCGGGCGTGAAGAAGGCCGGGATGCCGTGGCCGCCCGCGCGGCACCGCTCGGCGAGCGTGCCCTGCGGCGTGAGCTCCAGCTCGATCTCGCCCTTCAGGTACTTTGACTCAAACACCTTGTTCTCGCCCACGTACGACGCGATCATCTTGCGGATCTGGCCCGACTCCAGCAGCAGGCCCAGCCCGGACCCCACCACGCCCGCGTTGTTCGACACGGCCGTCAAGCCCTTGATGCTGGGCGTCTTGTGCACCTGGTTGATCAGCGTGTCGGGCACGCCGCACAGCCCGAATCCGCCGCACAGGAGCGTGCTGTCCGACTTCATGTCCGCGATCGCCGCCTCGGCCGACGGCAGCACCTTGTTGATCTCGAAGCGCCGTGTCGACGACGCGAATGTGCGCGCGAGGAGGGTGGCCTGGGTCGTTAGTTGCACTGCAAAGCCGCAGGAAAGCAGAGAAAACCCACCTTGGACGAATTGGACGACGCAAAGAAGCGCGCGGTGCGCACGCCCATAGCTATCGACGGCATGATGGCGGAGGATGTGGATGTAGGCCGGAAGCGGCGGGTCGAAGCAATTGCCTGCACGGATTCAACGACAGAAGCTCTAGACTTCTGCACACGGGCACCTAGTCGACTGCGAGGTGAGTCTGGGGGATTGGGGAGGGAGGAAAGAAAGGATGGGGAGAAAGAAAGGTCGTAGCAGAAGGGCGGCGTTGTGTTTTGGCCTCCGCCATGGCCGGAAGCTGTCGCGGTAATTGGCGGCCTTGACCCTGCGGCGAGTAGGCTGGCAAGCTCGCGGCCAGCGAGGGGTCAAGCTTGGGGAGCTGTTCTTCGGCTAAGAGCGACGGGTATCCCCCACACGGCCGCGGAACTGCGCCCGCCAGTCGTCGGAACGTCCACCCTCGCCGGCGGAATTGCGTCGCTTTCCGCACCTTGCCGACCTGCCTCTTTCTCTGCCATTTCTTCCTGTTTCAATTGCACGTCGCTGAGCGCGACTGCAGCCCGGTGCGGGCGTGCGGCTGGCAGAACGACGACTGCACGACGCGCGACGCGCTGCGATAGTCTTCTCCCGGCGCACACCCTCGGCTAAGTCTTCACCCGATTGCGGACGGCAGCTACCCGGTCCCGAGCCTGCGGATGCGCTCTGCCAGGCAACGTCTGAACGCTGCTGATGAGCCTTCTTCCTCACCACCTTGCCCGTTCCGTCCCGCATCTTTCTCGTTCGTCCGAGGATGCTCTCAACCCGTTCTCGTTGCGGCCCATTCCCTCTTCTGGCCAACCTACCCCGCAAAACGTACGAGCCCCTCACAGACGAGCAATTACTTGCGATATCGCTGCCCCCAACAGCTTGTCTCCCAAATAGGAAATCTTTGCTGGTGCTATTGCGTCCAACCACGCTACACCGCACCCGAACTCCGTCCAAGAACCGACCGAGTCCTATTTCTCGTCTCCACACAGCTCATACAAAGTGGAGGCGTATGAGATCATGTTCAAACCACTCTCGATTATTTTTAGCTTTTTACTGTGTTCCCGGTCCCGTAGCGATTACTTCAAAAGCCAAAGACTAGCCACCTGCAAAAGACAGACCCTTTTCACTCCTCTCCATGGTGCCGCAAGACGCCGCCCCCGCTCTCTGCCCTCGCCCGTCCAAATGACCCTCCCCAAAAGTCCGTTTCCTCTATGACCTTCCACCACCGTCTATTCCGTCGGATCCTCGCCGACTTCCCATAAGCTTTTATTGAGCCGTTCGACAGCCAAAACGTTTTTCCAATCCGAGCGTCCGAAAAAGCTGGACGAAGTCGCCGTTCTTCCAGATACTGCCCTCCCTCCTCAATCCTTCAATCGCGGCCTTGCTGATCGCGTCTTGAATTTCCTGACAGTGCTGTATTCCAAGTCATCTGCCCGTTCGCAACCGCCTTGTTGGCTCGTCAACGGTCATCGTTACAGTGGGTCACGAAGAATTCATGCGTGTCCCGCGAGGCGGACCTTCGCGAAAAGGTCCAGACGTAAATGTATGACAAACGTCCGGGCCTTGTCTCCCACCACCAGGTGAAAATCTTTCGTAACCCACCGTGTAGTGGCCACCCGACCATCGTTCCACAGTCGGACATGGCCCCGTTAGACCACCGTTCATCCCGGTGGTGTCCTCTTCACGCCCCAGATGATGCTATCCATCAGCGCGTACGGGCTCGCCTCGCTGTCCAAATCCGCCATCAACGGACTCTGGTTCATCCCAAACATTGCGTCATCGCCGATCAACGCGCCGTTGATGTCATCGATGCTGTAACCCGTCATGTTCGGCGTGCTCGATGCTGTTGCCGTGTTGGGGACGATGCTTTGCGCAGACGAGCTGTTCATCATCTGCTGCTGCTGCTGTTGCTGCTTCGCGTCTTGCAAGTTCAACAGTTTTCTCAGCGCAATCATCGAGCGGGTGACGGGCGTGGACAGTTCCGTTGGGTCGACCTTGGACGTTATATCAGTGAGGACGGAGATTAGTTTCTCCAGCAGCATGCGAGCACGTTCGTTGCGCTCCGGCTCCTTGAGGATGCCGAGAAGAAGGGCGCAGCTGAGGGAACGGTGCACGGCAGCCCATGAGCGGCTCGCGAAGACCGTCATGTTCTGCAGGCCGAGGAAAGCCTCGACCGTGTTGGCCAGGCTGTCGATACATGCCTTGCGCAAGGGCCGGGCCAGTTCGTGGTCGGTCACGGATGGACTTATCGCCGGCCGGCACAGCTCAGACGTGATGTAGGACATGTGCAGGTACAGCGCCCAGTGCTCAAGCTGGTTCCGCATCGATCGGCATTTGCGGGAGTCGCGGAGGTAGTCTGCCGCGTCGAGCATAATGTCCTGGATATCCTGGCGTCGCTGTGCTATCCTCGACAACGTCTCCTGCGAGCTGTGACTCAGAGCGCGGTCGCTGACGATGTCGAGTCCGACCTTGCACAGGCGATACATGCACTCAATGTACGGCCGGTTGCCCGGGCTGGACTCGGGGCTGAGCGGCACAGCCTCGCTGGTGCCCATCGAGGACGCCCGGTCAAAGGTGATGGAGAGCAGGCTGTCTTGCCACAACACGGACCACCATATCTTCTTTCTCGTGAGCTTCATCTCTTCCGTGGTATGAGAGGGGCAGGTCCGGTGCAATCCTTGGCTCTGCGCTAGGCGAATAGTCAGGCCGAGGAGCGACCAGGCGACGCCGGCATTCATGTTGTTGGACATCACGTTACCGAGGATCAGGAGCGTCTGGATCGTCTCCAGGTTCGAATGCGAGAGGAAATTGGTGATCCGCAGGCACTCAAAGCTGCAGCAAATGTAGACCTGTGACGTTAATTCGCGCTCCTTCCGCGGCAGAGCCGAACATTGGCAGCCCGAGGCCAGAACGGCGAAGAGCAACCCAACCCAATGGAGATCTTTTCCGAAAATAGTCTGCTCCGTGACCCCACTGATGCTCCCATCTTCGCTTGTCTGCGAGCCCCCACGAGCAATGAGAAATCGAAGCAGTTCCGACTCGAGCTTTTCGATGTCGGCGATGGCTGGGAAAACCGTGTGGGCCGTCTCCTTGTGGTACTTGAGCAGGTTCCAGCAGTCCGAGTCGTTGGGGAGGGCGTTGCAGAGCTCGTAGATGCGGTTCATCGAACCATGCGGCAGCCCCCAGAGATCCACGAACGGGTACGTAGCGGATTCGTTGTCCAGGCCGAAGAGAGGCAGCACGTTCTTGCCGAGCAGTTCCTGGACGGGGGCGCTGCCGCCCTCGCCCTTGCCGAGGGACATGACCAGCGCGGGCACGGAGCTGCTGCCTAGGTGCACCGTCTGGCCGGTGATGCTGTTGGTCGTGTGAATGCCCTGGGAGGTGAGCTGGCCGTCGTGGTGCTTCGGCGGCGGGCTCGCGCCGGCGTCGGGAATGACATGGTGCTGCTGATGGTGGTGGTGGCCATTCTGGATCGGCGCGTTCGAGATCTCGGAAGCCTGCTTGATGGTGCTTTTGAGGTCGATCAGGGAGCGCTCGACGGTGTTGAGCTTGGAGCACAGGCGCTCCCAGTCCTCGCGGCCGATGGTGACGGTTCCGTTGCCGTTGTACTGGATGCCGGAGCCGAGACCGTTGGAGGCTTCTGGCGGCTGGCTGCCGCCATGGTTCATGCGCTTCGCGGGCGGATGCGACTCAGCAGGCGGGTGGTAGGTGCAAAGCTCGGGATGCTCTCTCGCTGCAAGACAAGTCAGCTACTAGCCGGCGGGCTTGGGCGGGGGAAGCCAGCGCGGAGTGCATACCGATGCACGTCTTGCACGGGACGGCCTGGTCGCACTTGACCTTGCGCTGGCGGCACGGGTAGCAGGCCTTGTACTCGCGGGCCTTTCTCTTGCGGCGCAGTATCTCGTCGACGTCTGAGCGCGACGCCTCGGCGGGATTGAACTGCGACGCGGCGGATTGGGAGGGCTGGGTGCTGGGGCTCTGCGACTCCATGTCGGGCTCTGACTTGAACATTGGAAGGCGACTGGGTCAGCGGGGTGCGGCGGGCATGCTGCAGCTCGGCGGCGGGCAGAGAGCCGGTGGTGGACTTGATGAGCGGATGAGCTGGGAGATGCGAGAGGGTGCGAGTAATGAGAGCTCGGCAGGCCGCGACTTTTCGTCACTGCTGCTAGCCGCTGCCCGCGCGCGGGACGAACACCCAACGTCTGGGGCCACTTATTTCCAGCTCTCGCGTTTCGAGTGGGCTAGGGCCGGGCGCGCCGCGCATTGGTGCGCGCCCGCAGCAATCGACGCCGGGGCGCCTGAGGCCGCCGCTCTGCCAGCGCCCGGGCGGCATGCTCGGCATGGGTTCATCCTGGAGCAGATCTCTGCCAGGCAGCGCGACAAAATAGCGCAGGGGGCGCTGCTGATGAATCTTCGCTTGATGCACCGTCATCATCGGGCGCACATCCGGCACGGACCCGCACGTCGCCAGCAAAGAGAAAAATCGCCATGTGCTGGCCGCGGCAGAAGCTTCGAGTGCTGAGCACGGCCGACGCTGCCACCCGAGTCGGCGATCGCGTCGGCTCTCGCAGAGCTTAGCCTTGGCTAACGCGCCAACCGTCGCCTTCAGCCCTACAAACCAACCGTCTGACGTGCCATGATGACATGCCGCTACGGGAGCCTCATCATCGCCCTTCCATCGGCGTCTGGGTCCCTGTCGGCGGCCGTTGCCGGACGCATGGCCATCAAATCACGCAGTATCTAATGGCTCATCGGCTCGTCGCTCCATTTTTAGCCTCCCTCAAAAGCCTTCTCTGTCACGAGTGCGTGATGCGCACTTTTCGCATCGAGCTTTCTTCGCGAATCGGAGCCGCATCGCTTCTCCTTTCAACTGCATCCTCACCGCTGTGGGGGTTTGCCCCCCGGTCCCGCTCGACCCGCAGCCGTGCTTCTTGCTCTCAGAAGATGCCAGGTCATTGACCACCCGCATGTATATCAACCCACGTATAAAAAGGAGTACCGAAGCAGCTGCCGGACAACGGGAAGACTTTGTCCTACCCGAGGAACGGCACGGCAACTTGACACTCTCGTCCGTGGACCCAAGTGTATACACACCAGCACTCCTTTGCCCAGGAGACACTTCAACCCCTGACCACGAGGGGCTACTGCAGGTCTCGCCCTTTGGCGTTCCGCAAGAGTCTTTGCGTTATTTTTCACGATATCGCAGTTGAGGCCGGCGCCAGATGCGGATTGGGTTGAAATACGCACGAGGACACCCGGACGCGCCCCCGTTGCAATCTACGTCACAGGTGTGTCTACGTGGTAGAAAGATGAAGTCATTACCGGGCTTTAGAAGAACGAAATTACTACCAAGGTCTAGAATGGTGGAGTCATTACCGGGATTCAGAAGAATGAAGCCGTTCCCAGGCTCTGGTGAGTCATTACCAGCCTCTAGAGCGAAGGATACCATCTTCTGAAGCGAAGTAATACCAACCTCTGAAGAGAATGAATACCAGCCTCTCGAGTGAAGGAATTATCAGTATCTCAAAAAGTGAGTCATTTTCCAGTCTCAAGCACGCTCAGTTTGACTTTATCAATCGCATTATCTGTACAACATATCTCCCATCCCTTCGTCTCAACGGCCCTCTGCCTGGTATCTTGAACCCCATCATTACATACATAAATATGATAAAGAAAAAAAAGAAAAACCAAGAAAACGCCGCTTTTGATATCTCAATCTTTTTGACAGCCAGTGTCAATGGGAATCTTGTCTGTAAGTCTCACCATCTAGTGGTCTATGTCTAGGGTCTATTTTTGTCGATTCAAGGAATCGTCTACTCCCGGCGAAGAAAAAACGTGATCGCTTTTTGGGACTTTTTTTCCGAAACCGATTTCGCTTCGAACATTGAGAGGAACGAGGCAAAAAAAGGAGCAACAGCCGAGAAGCTGTCAGGAAATGGCTGAATTGTGCCGCTTTCGTCGAGCCGTTTAGTGGGCATGGTCGGCGGCAGGAACGCCCTTCTCGTTTTGGTTCTCCTCGTCGTCACCGCTGTACGCAAACTTCGAGTGGCGGCGAATGGCAGCACCCTTGAAGAAGAAGACGAAGGGAATGGCGCAGCAGGCGAGACCGATGAACGCCAGAAGCGTCGACGCCCACTGGTATCCAAGGCGCTCGTACATCTGCTCCGTGAAGAGCACGACGGCAGCACCCCAGAACGACCGGATGAACGTCTTGGCAGCCAGCGCTGAGGCGGCCTGGTGCTGGTAGGAGTCGACGAGGTAGTTGTTGGCGGCGTTGTACAGGAAAATGAAACCGAAACCGACAGGGAAGCCGCCCATCGCGGGACCCCACCAGGAGATGCGGGGGTACGAGGTCCAGGCGAAGATGAACAGTCCGATCGGAATGAACCAGCAAGACGCCATCATCGGCCACAAGCGGGCCTCCGCCGGGGGCCTTCCGTTGTGCTTGGCGGAGAGGTAGAGGTAGTGCTTGTTGACCCACGGAGAGCACACCGCGCTGGCAATGACACCGATGGCGAGAGGGATGAACATGAGGCCGGTAGTTGATGCGGTGTAGCCCTTGCCCTCTTGGAAGACGATGGGGTATCTGCGGAGCGGTTAGTGGGGAGCGACTCGCACCGTTCAAACGGGGATGACTTACGCAACGAAGAACATGTACAGCAATCCGTACAAAACGCTCATGTAGAGAGAGATGAAGAACACGATGGGCTCAAGGAACAAGAGCTGGAACGGGCGGAGCAAGAAGATGGAAATGCGTTCGCTGAACGGGCGCTTGTCCAGGTCTTCCTCGGTGACGTACTTGTCGTCCCCGGTCTCCTTCCTCATCTTCTTCGCACGCTTGGCCAACAGACTGGGCGTGTAGGTTTCGGGCACGGTGAACGTGATGAGGATCCAGGCTGCGCCGGAGAGGATCAACTGGATCCAGTACAGCCATCGCCAGCCGAGGTTGTCGGCGAGGAAGCCACCGATCAAGGGACCGATCGCGGGGCCGATGAATCTACAACGCAGTCAGCTTGCGATGTTCAAAATTCGAGTGGTACTACGTACGGTGCTGCACTGAAGGCTGCCATCGGAACGCCTCTCTCCTCGTTCTTCCAGAGATCCGCGAGTGTACCGCCGACCAAGGTCATGGGGGCGCTGAAGGCAATGCCGTCGATAGCACGACCGACGAGGAGAGTTGCCATGTTTTTCGAAAGAGCGCCGGGCAAGACGAAGAGGAAGGCGACGAGCAGGGTAGACGCGTAGATTGGTTTCCTGCCGATGACCTCGCTGAGCGGGGCGAAAGCCATGGGTCCTAGAAGTCGATCGTCAACACAACACAGTAACTCGCCGACAGAGGCTGCTGCTTACCGACGCCGAAGCCGACAACGAAGAGGGTGATGGCCAAGAGGGAGACTTCTCTGGAAGCGCCGAACTCCTTTGCCGGACCCTCGATATCCGCGGTGATGACCGAACTGTTCAACGCGACGACGAAACAGGTGAACGCCACACACATGGTGCACCACCACTTGTACGCTTTGCTCCAGTTCTTGGGATTCTCGGGGTCATCGATCTTCCACGTGACAAGTTCATAGCGTTCGAGGTTGCCCGTCTTGTTGGACTTGACGGTCTTGAGGATGTGTCCCTCCGTGGTCTCTTGGGTGTATTCTTCCAGGTTGGCATCGTGACTCAGGGTTCGGGAGGGAAGGTTGACGAGCTCCTCTCCGGTGGGCTGTGACGCGCTTCTAGTGTGGCTGGTGGTGATGGGCTGGAAGCCAGTGTTGGCAAAATCTTGGGCATGGGTTTCATCGAACTTGGTGCTCGAGCTGTCCGAGCTCGAGTCACGCTTGTGGTTGCTCTCAGTATCTGCCATGATGCTGAGACGTCTCAGGGGAGTCTGATTGGAAATATCTGTGCTGAATTCGCAGACCTTAGGAGCGGTCAGGGTTGTTTATATGTGTTCAGAGGAGTGATCCTTCGCTCGGGCAGCCCTACGGGCAGCCGGTTTTCTCTCGGGTCCGTACGATAACAATTGACGCAGCCACAAATTTAAAGCCCCGATGATGAGACATTTTGCTGCGATTTAGGGACTTGCGCCAGAGGAATGATCCGAAGTAGGAAGTGCGAGTGGCAACGCCCGAGTGTACTCCGTGCCAAGACTTTTGCGCCGAGTTTCGAATCGCCGCCCAGATAAAGAGTCGACGACCCGTTGGGCTCTGCCGTGCCAAAAGTCCTTTAGCTCCCGCTCGACAACCTCGGCCGATGCTCCAGATAGCGGAGGCTGAGATGCTCCCTCCTCTTGGCCCTCCTCCGCTGTCGCAGCTGTTCCCATCGACCCCGGCCGAGTTCAGTCCCGTGCTCGGCGAGCGCCTAGCAAAGCCAATTTTCGAGCTATCGCATGGCCCATATCCTGGCAGGACAACGTAGCAGGCCGATCCGGAGACATGGAAGCGCGCAGCGTGTGAGCTCATGGCGGTCGAGCATCGTCGTGGACTTTTGATGTAAGAGTGAGGGTACCAGACTGGCCCAGCGCCCGACGGGCACAAGCGAGTCATGCAGCACACAAGTTGGCGCGGGCGTCAAGCTGATATCATGCAATGCAGGTCGTCCTGCGGTGCAGCGCGGGCTGGCCGGCGGGTTGTGCAATGATTGCATGCCGGGACGGGGCCGCTGGGGGCGTGTTTGGCCAGACCGTATTCCCCGCGTTTTTTCCCAGAGATTCTTCAAGGGCGCAGGATCACAGCGGCAAGCGTGCATAAAGGCCCCTTGGTTCCGCATGTGATCGCTTGCGCCGCGCACAAACTCCCGTCCGGGGGGGCCAGCTCGCAGAGGCGACGATTGCAAAAGGCGCGCGACAGATCGGCGGGGATCCGGGAGCCAGACCCGCTCGAGAGCTTGAGCGCCGCCGCTGGCGACCGTGCGGGTGGATGCTGCGAAGCTCGAGGTCGGCGCCCCCGCTGACACGAGCTGCTGGGCGATTGTGCCATCGGGGCGGCCATGATGCTCATGATATGCACAGCCAAGAACGATGGGTGGAGTTCGTGCATTGCCGCACAACCCGCTGCGGCGACGACGGGTACTGGCGCACGCCGCCCGACAAGGATGCGAGCAGTCCCTTGGACGGAAGCGGCATAGGAGTCTGCGCGGCCGCGAGGATTCACGGCCCCAGGCGCGCGCTTTGGAGAGGTCCTTGTCCGGGCATATATTGGGGCGTCGGCTGCGCTGCGGAGGAGGCTGTTGACGGATTGGCTGCGGTTGGCTGCGGTTGGCTGCGTACAGTGTGCGACGGGTGCCCGGCCGGCTGGTGCTCTACTGTCAGCTCCGCTTTGTGCTTATCAGGTGTTGCGCGCATTAGCCAGCGGCAGGGAACTGGAGGGGAGCGGCCGTAGTTTTTCAATCTGAAGCGCAGCACGGGCGGGCAGTTGTCAGACTGCGCTGGGAGCGACCAAGGACGCTGGGCCCGCGCGCCGCCGGCCGGCTGAGACAACGTCGCGTCGTCGCCGTCTCCGCACCGGCAGCATCTGACAACTTCGGTCCACGTCCTTCAAGGTACAAAATCGCGTACCCACGGCAAAACCCAGCGACAAGCCTCGACCACATCCCCGGGCGCCGTACTCGCAACGCGCTCTTGCCCGCTTCGGTCGCTTTCTGCGTGAGTCGCCGCTGCACGCTCCGCCCCATTGGCAGGCGTGATAGAGCAAGCCTCGACCGTGACTGCAGGCGAAAAGCAGGCAAACGCGATTCCACGCGCTCCCGAGACCCGCCTGCCGCACGCTCAGCTGCTGCTCTGCTCTGCCCGCTCGATCGCACTTGACGTCGAACGTCCGATCCGACTGGTCGCTGCTTTGCCAAATCTATCCTCATATCCCTGTCATACCTGCCCCCAGCGTGCAGCTCCCATTCAATTGCCCTTATCCATTCAGCGCTATAATGGGTAAGTCTCGTTAGCCTGCCTGTGCCTGCGCCTTTTCAACCCCCGCGGCCTCCTCCTTCTCGCCGCAGACTCTCCCAATTCTTCACACAAAGCCTCGCCGCGAGACAGACGCTCACGGCGCCCCGACAGACACCTCCGATTCCTACCGCCCTGCCACGGTAAGTCGTGCTGCTCTCCCTCCCCAACCGCTGCCCTCTGCCCGCCCCTCCGCCGCTGCTCTGCCCCCCCTCATCCATCAAGGTGTACTGGGACGGCCTCCTCGTACCGCTGCTTGCTTTCCGCCCGGCGCCGGCGACGAGGCGTGGGCGCGGTGTCGTTGGAATTGGCTGTGGCCTCTTCGCCCTCACGGCCCACGGCGCGCGCGCGGTCGAGCGACGGAACTTCCCCTAGCCGACCGTTGCGCCAGACCGACCTTGCCCTGCAGCTTCCTGCCCTCACCCACGACACGCACCCCCATCAAGCGCACACAACCGATCACATCAGGCGGCCTGCTGCACGCCTATAAAGCGCCACCCAAGCCTCGCTTGCAACCATGGACGCCGCAACTACTGACGCTTACCCCAACCACCAGCGCGAACGGTCCCGCTCGCCGCGCCGCCGATCGCGTAGCCCTCGCCGCAGCCGACGCTCCTACTCCCCGCGCAGTCGCTCGCGCAGCCGCGACGACTATCGCCGCAGCGATCGCCGCTCGCGCTCGCCTATGACTGGTGCTGCAGCTGCAGCTGGTGGATACTCGGGCTCATACGCTGCTTCGCGTGGTGCGCCGCCGGTTCGCAGCGCTGAGGAAAAGGCTGTAGCAAAGGAACAGATGATGGCATCTCTGCGCGAGTCTTCCCAGCAGGACCGTCGTGTCTACGTCGGCAACCTGTCGTACGATGTCAAGTGGCATCACCTCAAGGACTTTATGAGACAGGGTGAGCGCCCCCTCCCTTCGTCCAGCCTCGCGCATCGCTAACACGCGTCGCCACCGCAGCCGGAGAGGTCCTGTTTGCCGATGTGCTCTTACTTCCCAATGGAATGTCGAAGGTGGGCTGACTATGGCTGGTCTTTCTGGTTTTCTCTGGTTATTTTGGAACATTGGATTGACGGATGGGACGGTGTCCTCGGGTTGATGTAGGGATGCGGGTAAGCGACACAACGACATCGCCAGCTGCCGGACGCACGCGCTGACTCGCCCAGGATTGTGGAATACGCCACCAGGGAGCAGGCCCAGCAGGCCGTTCAGACCCTTTCGAACCAGAACCTCATGGGCCGTCTTGTCTACGTGCGCGAGGTAAGCTCACGCTACTACATCTCCCCACCCATCACGCGAAGAGCTGTATGACGCTGATAGGAACCGTACGAACAAAAGGACCGCGAGGCCGAGCCTCGCTTCACCGCGCCTCCTTCGATCGGCCGTGGAGGCTACGGAGCCATGGGAGGTCGTGGCGGCTTTGACGCCTACGGCGGCGGCGGCGGCGGCTATGGAGGCGGTGGACGCCAGCTCTACGTCTCCAACGTATGTTAACCCCACCTTTGCTTTTTGCTAACTTTACGCAAGGAATCGGTTCGTTGACTCATGTCACTAGCTTCCGTACAACGTTGGCTGGCAAGATCTGAAGGACTTGTTCCGCCAGGCTGGTGAGTGCATTGACGATGTTGCCATTGGGGCTTCTTTTTCTCAACGAGCTGTTGCTCATCCGCAATGATAGCTCACACAGGTTCCGTCCTTCGCGCCGACGTCCACCAGACCCCCGACGGCCGCATGAAGGGCTCCGGTATCGTCGTTTTCGAGACGCCCGACGATGCTCGCAACGCCATCCAGCAATTCAACGGATACGATTGGCAGGGCCGCACCCTGGAGGTGAAGGAGGACCGTTTCGCCGGTCCGCCAGGCTACGGTCGTGGTGGATTTGGTGGCGGTTTTGGTCGTGGTGGTTTCGGCCGTGGTGGATTTGGTGCTAGGGGCGGTTTTGGCTATGGAGGCCGTGGCGGTTTCGGTGGTGGTGGTCCTGGTTACGGTGGCGGCATGGGTGGTGGTGCTCCCGAATTCCAGCAGCCCATACCCGCTGGTCCTCCCAACCCATTCACCGACTATGCCACCTCCGGTGGTGAGCGCAGCAACATCATCTACGTCCGCAACGTAAGTCAGCAAAGTCTAAGCAAGCGTATTGATACTGATTTCTCGAAAGCTTCCCTGGTCTACCAGCAACGAAGATCTCGTCGAACTCTTCACCACCATCGGCAAGGTCGAGCGTGCGGAGATCCAGTACGAGCCCAATGGCCGTTCCCGTGGCACTGGCGTCGTAGAGTTCGACACTGCCGAAAACGCCGAGACTGCCATTTGTAAGAAACCCTTTTTCTGTAATGATACGGCGCTGACTCTGCTACAGCCAAGTTCACCGGTTACCAGTACGGCGGTCGTCCTCTTGGTCTTTCTTTCGTCAAGTACACCAACGTTCAAGGCCACAGCGACGCCATGGAGACCGAGGCCACCCAGGGCCTCACCCAGGACCAGATCATGTAAGCGATATCGGCTTGCACGGTGGTTACGGGTTGCTTTTCAGTTTCATTGCGGGCGTGCGTCTAGCCAGCACGGTCGGGCAAATCATCAGGACTTTTTCGATTAGGGTTTCTTCAGGGAGGGCTCAGACGATTCTACTATGGCCGTGGAAATTGAGAGGCAGCATACCCATCTGCTTGGTGCGGGTTAGTTTCGACAAAAAAAGTTTCGATGTAGTATCATCCATTCAGACTGCGGATAACGTCTCCTTTCCATAGGCTAATCACAAAAAAATGGCGTTTCTACTTGGTGGCAGTTGGTGAACTTGGGTTATTACAACTTATGGAGTGGAAGATACTTCGCGTGTTTTGAATCTAATCCTCAAAATCTACTTGAAAGTGCTGTAAAACTTGAACTAGGATGAAGCCGATTCATAGGTACAGTAGCAGCCAACGGACTATTAGGTAGATTTCGCAATCTCTTCTATTTACTATTCACTACTTAGTTTGCTACTTGCTTATGGAAAGCTACTTAGCAGTGTACATTTACGCTACCGGGGTATTCTAGAGACTGTCCTACGTATCTTCTACAGTTTATATCGTATAGCCTAACTACTACTCGCCCGGACATATTTAACCCTTCTACTAAAATCTTACACAGAGATGGGACTAAGCCCAAAACAGACTTTCTATTCAGGGCAAATACCACGTGCGGCGCTTCGTACTTCTTCAACACCTTCCGAAGATGTGAATTGCTTCATATTCATCTATCTCGTTTCTTGCCTAAAATCTTCTTCTGCTAAGCAGCTACGCTACTACTGTGGCCTATTTCCAATGCAGCCGTCCCCTTCTCGCTGCTCTTCTCCCTCATCAGCTGCATCACCCACTCGTAGACGGCCCACTGGACGGCGTTGACGATGAAGGCACGCACGCTGCAGATCCCCAAGCCTCTGAAGAAGACGGCAAGGCCCTCGGTACGGTAGGAGTGCTTGGTAATCTCCCACGCTCCCATCCGTCTCGTCGGCGCAGTCGATGACGGGGCTTGGCGTGGCAGGAGTGATGCACGTTCACCTGATGGCTGAGGGCTTCGGTGGCGGTGAAGGTTTGCGGTTGCTGCTGCTACCATCGCCGGTGATGCGGTCCAGGCTTGTTGCGTTTGGACTCTGGTTTTGATGACGTCTGAGGGGGGGCCAATCAGCCTCTGCTTTTCTAATCGGTGGTTTTGCGGGTGGGATTTCCGCGGTTGTGGACGTGCTTTCAGAGAAGCGGATGGTTATACTCACCCAGCGGGAAAATAGAGGCCCAAGTTACTATGCCGGCGATACCACCGCAGAGGAGGACCTTGAGGGCGGCTTGGCGCTGCGTGTCCTCCGGGGAGTTGATAAGGCGTTTGCTGAGCTCATAGGACCAGAAGCTGTTGGGGCGAAGGGTAAAAGAGGGGCGACGTGGTTAGTTTTTTTTTTTTTTTTTGCTGTCTCGGGAACTCCGAAGAGCCCTCGCATTGCCTCTATACTTTTGGGAGGGAAATGGGGGTGTCACACGTACTAAAATGCGTAACCAACGGCGTCCCTCACGCCCGTCACCACACCACCGTGATAGAACCCCTTCAAACCCTCCGCCCTCCACGTTTCCCGCGCGACGGCCCACGAGCTTACCTTGCCCCCACCGCTGCTGCTGCTGCCGCCGCCCTCACCACTCACGGCACCACCTCTCCCCCGCGGCATCGAGTCGTAGACCTGGGCCCGGCATTTGACCAGCTCGGTGGGGGCGGAGACGACAAAGGTGGCGAAGCCGCCGACGGCGCCGGCCCAGAAGACGCGGGCGAGGCTGCGCGGGTTGGAGTAGTCGCCCTCGCCCAGCAGGGAGAGGGTGCGGTTGTACGAGACGAAGAGGATAGCGTTGAGCGCGCCGTATCCGAGAATCGGGGCTGTGGCACCTGTCGTTCACCGGAATGTGAGGGGACGAGGGCCTAGAAGGTCGCCCGCGTCCCCCCAAAAACCGAGCTTGTTAGTTTCATGGTCCATCGTGCGGTATGTTGTCTGATTTTGCTGAGGTTTTGCTTTTTTTCTTTGCTTTTTTTCTAAAAAAAAAAAGAATAAAAAAAGAAAGGGGAATGGGATGGAGTGATAGGTGCTTGTGCTGGCAAGCTTCCGGGGGGCTTCGGGAGGGCTAGCGGTATCAGGACGCACTGATGCCCTTGCTTATGCCGGCGGGCACAGAAACGCTCGCGTTACAATGTGCATTCAGCTGGGGTTACACAGTCTCTTGTGCTGCAGCGGCCGGGGAAGATACTTGGCAGTATACATACCACGCACGTAGTTCCCGGCATTGCGCCAATTGATGGCTTCGGGAGTGGCACTGCGGCTGGCGGGCGCAGCTGCAGGGCCTGCTTGCAGTCGGGTCTTGATGAGGTCTAGCGGATTGCCGATGATGATGCCGGCGGCACCGCTGAGGTAGCCGGCCCAGAAGTCGGCCGACATGGATGGGAGTTTGTGGTGGTGCAGTAGGGCTGATGGCTGGAAGCGTCGAAATCGTCGCCCCGCGCCGCCCGCATGGGACCGAGGACCCCGGGAAAGGCAACGGTCACGTGACTGATATGCCCTTTCCCCGAGCGGCATAGCAGCTGCCGTCTTTCGACCCCTCTCGACCTCCAGGCGCTGAGGGGCGAATGGGCCATTCTGGCCCCTCGAGCCAGAGCAGCATGCGGGCCCGTCGACTGGTGGCGGGTGCAGTATAAATACCGACTGGGACGGTGTTGACCGAATTTCTTCTTTCTGGAAGTCGATCTCCTCCATTTGGCTGCCGCCGACGCTCAGACGCGCCGTGCTAGAAAAGAGCCGCCGAGTAACTGTGTGAGTAAGCATCTACCCCTGCCGCTTCCTAGTTTGTCTAACCACGTGCATAGGCTCCATTCGGCCTAGCAGTCGCTCTGCCTAGGAAGGAGCGCAATGCTCTGCTCCATGCCACCAAATACGACGCCGTCCGACTCGATCCCGGCCGAAACACCGTCTTAGTCATGCCGTCTCCTTCTTTCGTTGCGCGAGGAAACCGTTATTCTGCCCGAAGCCTTCAAGGATATTTGCACTCACCGCCTCACGTCTGACCGCACGAATGCCTACGACGCAGCTCACCAACAGTCCCTCGTGTGTGACCTGGCGACTCAGGAAGAGCTTCTGAAAGATGGCCCTGTCTCGGTGAAGACGTCGACGCTGGCCGTGCAACCCCCGTCCGGCAGCAGCCGTTGCAACTTGCCGCCCGGCCGTCAGTTCCGCACCCAGACGCCTTTCAGACCGTGGACAGGCCGCTACGTACGATGGGCCATGGTCGGATTTACATGTTCGGACCTTGTGTCGACACACGAGCCAAGTCAGCTTCTCGGGTACCACGACACCGCCAGGAGGATGGATCATGCAGAACTCCCCCTGGATCCGCGTCACGCTAGCTGGCCGTCCTTTTCCAAGCACTCTCGGCTCGGGACGAGATGGCGCGGTTGTGGAGCCAGCTGCCCTTCGACTCGCTCCCTCGTCCTCGAATGCAGCGCCGAAGAGAGGGTTCCCGGAAAGTTCTAGCGCCCCGAAAGCCTGCCGTCGCCCCCTCTCCACCACTCTCACGCTTGGCAGGATGATGCGGCGGCAGCTCAGCCTTCTCATTGGTGCGCGTGCCGCTTCCGCTAGCTCTTCGCCAGCATCTCCAGAAGTCTGGTCATCGCCCGTCATTGGCTGGGCCCGCCTTCCGTCGAGACTGTCTGATGCGTAGCCAGTGATGGCGGAGTGTTCTCCGCAATTTCGGAAAGCTTGACGCTCTCCTCCCACGAGCGACACATTTGAGTCTCTTGGAAGTCAGTCTCGTAATCACCCTGCCGTTGGCAGAGTCGGCGACAGCGCGACGAGTCGGTGCCAGCCCACCCCAAAAAGGTGCCATCCCCGTGAGGCACCCCTCTCTTTAGCCTACAGCCCCCGCAAGAACAAGTCAGTGCCCTCAGGGAAGAGCAATGCGGCCCCGTCGCCATCCAGAACACTCGCCGAAACCCATCGCAAGATCGCTTAGTCGCTGTGCCACCGCGCCGCCGTCCTAGTGGGTCCGCAGGCGTTGCTTTCACGCGCCCATGCGTCGACGCTCTCTGTCGGTTTAAGAAGAGCTGCAATGCCTTCGCAGAGGCCTCCACCCCCTACCGCGAAACCACAGCAGATTTCGAGAACACCATTGGCCAGGAACCTTAGTGGCATGTTGTGGACGGGTAAGCACTTCCTGTCGAAGCGAATCCCTCTTACGGTAAGCAGAACGAGTCTCGAGAACATCCGGTGTCTTCGCTCAGACCCCCATGCCTTCTTTCCCTCGATTAGGCCGAGTCTTCAGCTGTTCAATCTCGACAAACTCCTCCCCCCTGGATTTCTGTCCCAGTTGATGTGCTGGTTCACCCACTACGTATACGCATGTTGCGGAAAAGCCCATCCGAATGGGTTTGCAACGACGCCCTGCCACGAGGCCAACACGTCGGGGACGGATACTCGCAACTGCTCGAGCCGCAAGGACCACGTCAGTCCCATTTCTGGCAGCCAGTGCCGCGGATGCGAGACCATTCGCCTCCTTGAGCAGATGGAGCGAGACGCTGCTCTTCGCCAAAACGATGGCCGGTCCTAGCGGCTTTTCACGAGGTGGACATCGACACATGGCAGAGGCAGAATCAACCTGGTATACGCCACGCTCTGCCCATACGCATGGGGCTCTCGGGTTGTGCCGCGCCCTTGGGAAGTCGGCGCCTATAGCGGAATCTACTCTTGAGGATTCTGGCTAGCACGCGCACGCGGGATCCGGCAGCTTGGATACGACGTAACGGCCTCTCCATATTTTCATCGAAAGCAGTACCTATCTAGTCTTTGATTGCTCAACATGTCTTTCGGGTCATTCTTCACGGCAGACGGGTGGGGAAGGCGCAAGGCGGATCCCAGTCGTCGTTGCCCGCCTCATTCTCGTTGCCTTGCCCCACCTAACAGGCTGGCACTTGGTTGGGACTACCGCCGTTCTTTCTCCTTTTCGCAACTGCCTTTTTCTGCCCAAGTCTCGCTGGTCTAAACCTGTTTGCCCAAGTCCGGATTTGTTGGAGTCCGTGACGCAGCCCTATAATGGGTCTCCTTGCATGACAGTTGTTCCGCCTATCGGAGGGGGTTCTCGTGGAGAAAAAAAAAAGAATGCCAATTTGCAAGGATAAGGAAAAGCGTGAGCTTCCAATCAGTGTGTTAGGGAATAGCGATTTGTTTGCCCCTCTCCTTTTTGCTTTTTTTCGACTTGCGGTTGACCCCACCAGACATCTTCAGCGCAACCTAAGATTCGGTCAAACCTGATCGACCGATCGCGCCAACTCTACCTAGATGACCCAGCCACGCGGTACACAGCAGAGGGGGCCTGTCAATCCCTCCGGACCGCGGAAATGCTCGCCCCATCCGCCGTCCAATGGTCCGACAGCGATCCAGCTGATCGTCTTCACCTGACTCTCGTCCCTCGAGACCCTGAAGCTTTTGCGACTCACCAAAGCATATGCACACCTCGGCAGCAACCGGCTCGCCTTCGGCCTCTACGTCGACGCGAGGCTAGCTGCAGACGATCGAGACCGCCTTGCCATCAGACAGCAGGGTCCCGGCGCTTTGCCGCCGCAGGATTCCACCGGATGTAGATCCCGCCCCGAACCGACATCTGCTAACACCTGTCCCTAGCGGAGCTATTTCCTACCACCCCGGACAGCTCCAGAATTAGTCACCAGCAAAGCGCAACAGCGGAGTCGACTCCACGCGTCCTTCACCGCAGCGACGTCATGCCCGTATCGTGGCATCATGCTTGCATCAATGAAATGCTCTCTAGTACCCTTTGGCTCGTGTCTCAATGGCATTCTTTATCCTGTCGGACCCTATTCTCGATGCGGCCAAACCTCCATCACCGTGAATCATGGAACTATGGCTCTTGGAAACACATGTCAAATGCTCACCGCCACCATTCTTGGTATCATTTTCCAACCGCTGCACGAGATCACAAAGCACCACCGCCGGTTGCCTACGACTTGGAGCATCCTCTCAGATTTTGGCTCCTCATTTTAAGTTTTAGCATGCATGCATGTACTAAGACTGCGTCCCAGCCGCGGAATACCCCCCTCCGCTCCCGCCTGTCAATTGCAAACCCTGCAGATTCGTGGCCAATTATTTGTTATATTCCCTGTGTCTTTTGGATCATGGGTCATTCCCTCGCTCGAGACGATTGTCAATCATCTGCTGACTTTTGCTGACTTTTTGCGGCAGTTCCCGACCAGATCACCAGACGATGATGGAAAAATGTGGCAATCGACCGTAAAGACCGCGCGTTGAATGGTCAAAAATGATTCACAAGATTCGAATAAACCTCCTAACAGATCGCTCCTGCCGTCCCTGACGTCATCTACCTCGATCCATATGGCATCGTCTCTAAATCTCCGGTTACGAAAAAGAATTGGATCCTTCATTCTTTTTCCTTGAGTCTTGTAATTCTCGTATTTACTTTTTCTGCGCCGCTTCCTCCATGCTCTCTCTTTTTTCGCCACGTAACGGAGTAACCTCCGCGGAATTTGGTTGGGTAAAATGAACCCAGAGACCACGCGGCCCAGGCCAATTAATCGGCCAAGACCCCCGGCTCGGGAAGGGGGACAATCATCTCGCTTCATGCACGGGCCTCAGATCGTAACGATTAGAGAGGAAAAAGAAAAAAAACCTTTCTCCCACCACCCACCACCACCACACACATACGTGGAACTAGCAACAGAGGGGGGGCAAAAGAGATATGATGATGAGGACGAGACTCGAACTCGCGCGGGTTGCCCCACCAGGAATCGCTGTTAAGAGTACACCTTAACCTGGCGCCATAACCAACTCGGCCACCTCACCTATTGCGGCTGTAGACCCTGAGGTCCTTGCTGCAGGATTATGTAAGACGGCTTTGCTGGGAGGGACCATTACTGGCAGGAAAGACAGGTGGGTGGGTGTGGCGGAAACTACAGTCGTTGAGCTGGGGTTTGTCTGCCTGGAAGATGTTGCTTTGTTGTGGTAGAAGATTACACTTAAAAGTGACGAGAAGAGATACTATGAATGTTGTCATTCGAGCCGAAATCGAGCGCGAAGGACTGGGGAGCCTTGGACGGGTTACTACAGAATGGTGACAGAAAGAATCACTCATAGACAGTGGAAGCTATCATGTGGATGTAAATTATAATTTATGTCCGGACAGTTGCTTCAAGTACCCATCATCAGGAAAAATACCGCCTGCTAGCAGTAGCTAACAACAGCTAGCCGAGTAGTTAGTGTTAAGTATAGACACATGAACAAATGGTAACTCTATACACCTAGCACCTCCAGCGCCGCCAGTAAGGTTGTTCGGAGCAACGTCCGTATGTATATTCTTCTACAAGGGAATTCAAAAAGTATAAAGCTAATAGGTATCCGGTATATGCCTTGGTTAAAATCTTATAAACTGCGTGAATTTCGACTTAATTTATATTTTTCTAAAACAATCGTTGCTTTTAATAGCATAAGAACTCTACTAAATAAAGAATGTAGGAAACATTCAAAGACCGTTGCTAACTTTGCTAACTGCGCTGGCGGTGCCGAAGTTGCCGATTGTGCGGAACGGCCATGCCTTACTGCCAGCATCCAACAAACCAACCAATATTAACAGCCGGGAATCATACGAGTGAAATAAACATGACACAAAAACGAAGTCACGAACGTCCACTAATCACAAGAGCCATCACAAGTGTCGTGCAAGAAGTAAACCCCTACTTTAAATTCTTACTCCCTCATCTACACCAAAAAACCGCGGATAAGCCACGGCCTGTGTGTCAAGACGAGGAGGGGGATTGAACCTGGGAAGCAGGAAGCTTTCTATGCAAAAAATAGGAGTCGGGGGGAAAACAAAAAGCAGGGAAGACCAAATCAAAAAAGAAGAAGCCTGCAGATGCAAGAATCGCCAGCCTCCCACTTCGCTTTTGAATCCGTAAAGTTTCGCTCGCGCGAGAGCGGAAGAGGTGGTAGCGATGGCTGTGGGTGGAGAGCCACACAACCAGAAATAAACCTGCAGGTAAAGATCCTTTCCCCAAATCGGTTTCATTACCACCACCCCTTCCTATATCCACCCCCTGAAAAGAAGAAGGGAAAAAAGTTCCTCGGTATTCGCCTTGCTAGAAATCCTGTATGGATGATCAAGAGGACAGACGAATGAGGAATAAATCTTGTCTGTGTCGAGATTTGGCGGCGACCTGTCAGGATCGTTCGAGTCTCGTGCGTTCTTGTCGATGTATCCGCATTCAAGCGAATAAGAAGTAAAGAGTGGGTCGATCGCATAGGGTCTGAGTTGGATATTGCAGACCGTAAGGATCAAATGGGAAAAAAAGAAATCGGAAAAGGGAAAGCAAAAGACTTCAAAAAAGAGTGCTCAGATGACCCTCCGAATGTTCGCCGCTGCCACGCGCCGCGTCTATGTCGCAAACACATTATACACTTATACACATGGTGGTTTGAAGAGAAGATCGGTGGAGTATCATCGGTCGTGTGGCTTCTCTTCTCCTCATCCATCAGCTGGTTGGTGTCGTTGGCGATCCCAGTGGTGGAGTTTGTATGTCGGGGTATGGACACGAAAAAAAGAAGTAGAGAAAAAAGTCCGGTCGCCGACGGCGAGAAAACGCATGACCGTAAGCAGCAGCTGGTCATGCCGACTCAAGTCGTCCTTTGTTTCAGGAAAAACTCCTGTCGAAATGAGAGTGTTGCTGCCGAAGACATTAAAATCGCCATGCATAAGCCGCATAGTCCGTCGTCGTCGGATGGGATATTGAATGTAAAGGCATAAAGAAAATGGGTAGTCGTAATAGGAGGCTGAAGTGGGCGGCGATGCTGTACAGGCAACAGCAAGCGGGGAGGCAGCCGATTCGCGGTCCAGCATTGCGCGCAAACGTTAAAAGCAGTAAGGAACTCAGACTCCGTGACCGTCGTAAGAAAGCGTACAATCCACCACCCGTCTAATGTCTAGCACCGCCTGGGTTCAAATCACGGTATCGCTAGTGTGCCGTCTGCGCAAATCACATGGCCTGTCCGGGGACGGGCTTGCGCTGGGGCACATCGCCGTTGGCAGGAGCATCGGTAGCCGGGGCATCGGTAGCCGGGGCATCGGTAGCTGGGGCAGCGGCGGTAGGGGCAGCGGCGGTAGGGGCAGCGGCGGTAGGGGCAGCGGCAGGGGCCGCGGCAGGGAGCAGAGCCGGGGCAGGAGCCGGGGCGAGAGGGCTCGGGCCGGGGGAGTTACCGCGACCGGCGGCACCGGTAGAGCTAGCACGGGGGCGCTGAGCTTCCTGGGCGAATTGGGGACGAGGTGCGGCGAAAGAAGCGTTGCTCTGGGACCTCTGACGAGCACCAGCGGGGTTCATGGGCGACATGGCACGAGGACCACCGGCGGGCGACATGGGACGGGGCTGGCCGGCGAAAGACGCGTTGCTTCCAGTGCGCGGACGACCCTGAGGAGCAGGAAGAGGACCCTTCGGAGGAGGACCCTGAGGCGGAGGGCCCTGGGGACCGGGGGAGTTGCGACCAGTGGCAGGAGACAGAGGACGAGGCTGAGCGAGGACGGGGACGCCGCTAGTGCTGGCGTTCGAAGCAGCGCGAGAACGAGGAGGGCCTTGAGGAGGGGGGTTGCCGCTAGGCGGACCGGGCCGAGGCTTGAGCGCCTGCTTGGACAAGCAGGAGCGCGGCACGACACCTTGCGCAGAACCATCCATCTTCTGGCAGAGAGCCTGTAAAAGTTTGGGAATCAATATGTGTAGCAACTTGCTCTAGTCGGGGGAACTTACCCATCCATCATCGTACTCGTGCATGATCCTGACCAATTGACCGTTCTTGATACCAAGCTCGTCAGCCATGGAGGGGTTGAAGTCCATGTGGCAACGGTGCACAGGGTAGGGCTTTCCATTGGCGCCGCCGGGAGCCGCCGGGAGGGCACCGGTCGGGGCAGGACCGGGGGACATGGGAACATCCTTGTCGGCGAAGGGGTTGGGGCTTTGAAAACCACCGACCGCGGTGGAACCAGTCATGTTAGAGGCAATGCTGATGTGCTTCGGAACGCCGCCGGGAGCAGGGGCAGAGGTAGGAGCAGAGGTAGGAGCCGAGGTGGGAGCCGAAGTAGGGGCAGACGTAGGCGCGAGCTTGACCGGGAAGGGATATTCCATGGCCGGTGTCATCGGAGTCGTAGGGGTACCGAGTTCGACGGCGTCGCGAGCGGTGGCAGTGTCGATGGACTCGGCGTGGTTTCCGAAGGGGTTGGCGGGGTCGTTGGCGGCGCTGGCAGCACCGCGCTTCTCCCAAGGGCTCACGCCGGCAGGCGTGTCCAGGATATCGCCCTCACCCTTGGCGGCCATGGGGTTGAACTGGGTCATCGGGCGCAGGCTGAGACGGGGAGCGTTGCCCAAGGTCTTGACGGTTCTGACGCTGGGCGCACGGGATGCAGAAGTACCGGGTCTTTGAGAGCTCACGCTGTTCCTGCTCTCCTTCTTCATGGCGGCTACGGGGGCGGCGACGGGAGGATCGCTGAAGGGATTGCTGGCCTGGGGAGGAACGCTCTTCTCGTTGAACTTTTCGTTGTTGTTCGAAGCAGCAGCCTGCTCCTCGAGCTTCTTCTGCTCCTGCTGCTTCTTCTTCCAGAAGAACAACAGGAAGGCGGCGAGCGCGATGCAGCAGATGATTGCGAACGCCATTCCGGCCTTGGCACCGCCCGACATTCCGCTGTCGGAGGAAGAGCTGGACGCAGAGCTGGAGGAGCTGGCAGCGGCAGCAGCGACGGACGAGACGGAAGCGGTGGCTTGCGAGAGCTTCATCGACGCCGAGCTGGACATGTCGGCAGTGGAAGTGACTGAGGCAGAGCTAGACGAATCCTCAGCGGTCTTAGAGGCCGACGCCTTGACCGTCTGCGTAGCCAGCGTAGTGCCAGTGCTCTTAGCGGTCGCTTTGGTGCTGGTTGCGTCATCGTCGTCGCTGTTTGCCTTGGTGGCTTCGGCGGTGTTTGCCGCAGCGTTAACGGACTCGGTCTCGGTCGGCATGTCGGTGACATAAATGGCGGGGCCGTCAAAAGTCTTGGGCGCGGTGTAGTAGACGATGGAGACGACCGTCTTGATGTCGGGTGCGGCGTCGGGGTCCGGCATGGCGGCGCGCTCGTTCAATTGCTGGTGGGAGTGCTCCGGACGGAGGTGAGCGTGGCGCGGGTGGAGGTTGTGCGCCGGCATCCTTGCGACAATCGGTGTGGTGTTTAGATATTATTCAGTCTGCGACGAGGAATGTCGATTCGCGGGAGCGGAAAACGACAGGAATTAATTTCTGCAGAGAGGCAGTGGCTGGGTCGGAATGAAGGGATGCGAGGTCGTCCAGAGTGTTGTCACTTTGCGGAATGCTGGGCTCGACGCAGCGCTTGGGCGCGAGTTTCGGCGCGGGGTGCGGTTGGAGGGAATGTGAGGGCCTGCCGACGATAAAAGAAGGACGTCGACTGCCGGGTCGCACGCAGAGGCGAAGAGAGCGGAAGCACCGTAAGATCGCGAGGCTTGGCGACGGTGGTGAAGAAGAAGGAAAGAAGGGCGCTCAGCGTGAGATGGGCGGCGCGAGTGGTCATGGGGGTCAGGGCGCGGCGGCGGTCGTGCTATGACCAGGCGGCGCCGGGGTTGGAAATGAGGTCGCCAGGGACCGGGCGCGTCTGATTGGCGTGCAGCCGCGCACCCCGGTCGCTAGCACACCGGCCGCTCGGGGAGGGGACGTCGTGGGCCTGCAAATCGCTGCCCGTCGCCATGGGCGCCACCCTCCCGCGCCACGAGGGTGAAGATTGCTGTCCTGGATGTGTGCACATAAATAGCCGCCAGCATCGTATCCCGCCTGCCCGGCTCAATTGGCTGCCCAGCAGCTGCTACAGCGCCCGGCGAGCTGCGCCGATTTGCGCTCCAGGCCGGTGCAATCAAAAAAGATCGGCGTGGGCGCTGCGTGCTCAAGCCGCGGGAGCCGGCCAGCGGAGCTGTGGCCACGCGCAGGGTCGCGCTCGCAGAGCTCTCGACCACCGCTCAGCCTTGCCCGCACTTCCAGTCAACCCGAAACAACCTTGTTCAGGAGCATATGGCGAGTGGCTATAGCTCCCATGCGTTAAGCCTGCCCATCCCGTGGAATCGCCGCCACGACAACAGCAGATTCCAGGATGGAGAGAGAAGACGAGCACGTGAGCCTGGACTGAGAGCGCGTGCGCGTGCTTGGGGCGCTGCGCCTCGGCCAACATATTAAACTTCGAAACGACCCCGGCCAACCACCCGTCAGTACGCGTTGGCTCGGTACAAACGTAGTCATCGTCTCCGATGCAAAGAAGAAAGATGTTCATTGCTCATTACCATTCCAGGATAGTGATACATGCTCCTAAGTCTTCAACACCTGCCGACATTACCCCTTCTCGCCGTGCCGGCCCTGGTCTACGGGCCTTCCCGCCTCAGCTCGCCCTCATTGCGGGCTCGCGCGCCCTGGTCAATGTCAGCCACAATGCTCCTTCATCACGCCAGCGGGCAAACTTACACTGCTGCACCTCCGACTCGTCGAGCTTCCGCAGCTTGTTGATCGCCGGCGTCTCGCCCGTGGCCACGCCCTTAGCGAACTCGACGAACTGGCCGACCGCCGTCTTGCTCGAGATGGCGTACTGCGCGGTCACCGTCTTGACCCGGATGATGCCGATGCGCGGGTCGTCCGGGCCGCCGTCGTGGGTGCCATCTCCGAGGTCGCCCAACCACGCCTTCAAACCCGCCGAGTAGTACTTTTTGACTTCTGCGCGGTCCGTCTCGACGTTCGCCTTGCCGCTGATCGATGCCCACTCGCCCGACGATGACAGGAATGCGATGTTGATGTCCGAATCGTTCGCCAGGTCGTTCGTCTTGCCTGACTCCGTGTTTGTGTGGAACAGCAGGTCCAGACCGTTCGCCTCCTGTGATCCGATCCTGTCAGCGCTTGATTCACGGCGTAATTAAACCATCGTCCAGGCATAACGTGAAATATACGTTCACACCTGGAAGATGGCTCCCTGTGTTGTTTCTCGTAAAGAAAGCTGCTGAGCCAAATCCAGGGCGCCCCTGTAGAAGCAAGGGGAAAGCGGGAGTGAACCAACGTACCTTGCCCGCCAGAGCCATGCATCTGCTGGCCAGCAGTCCGTTTGACATGACCGTCGTCATCATGCAAAACTTTTGCTTGTCGGCAAAGTTGAGCAGATCCGTCACCTTGGTCTTGAGGTCAGGCTCCTGCAGGTTCTTGGCGACATAAGGGTCGGCCGTCTTGCTGCCAGTGTCCGTGTTGCTGAAGGTCGACATTTTGGTTGAATGGATGCTGTGGACGTGTGCTGGAAAGTAAAGTGTTTGTGCAATCGAGGTGCGGAAAGCGTTACTGCTGTGACGTGATGTGAGCGCTGCTGCTTTACAACTTGCCGGTTTCGGAAACAGCTTCGATCGCCCCTGCCGCAGGACGACGACGTGGAGGCGACTCATCCTGCCACGCCAAACCTATCGAAGAAAATCAACTTACAGTAAGAGCGAGGAATTTGTTCGATGGTAGGTTACTCTCCAAAGAGCTGCGACGCGAGCCTTTGAATAGTTGAGGTGAATATACTGACGTCATTCACATGTACATACCAGACGACGCGGGGCGGCTCCTTTCTTCTTTGGTTCATTGCGGCGCCGCAAGCCCCTCACTTGCGACATCGATCAATGAGATCGTGGCACTTGCGTAAGATCAGCTAGGCTCCCGATCGCCTACCCCAACTTGGAATGTGGTCTAGAAGCTACCCGTCATGTTTACTTGCAGCTCGGATGGCCACTCCACATCATCACTCTCATGTCATCGATGACGGAACAAGTTGCTGCTTTCGTTCTGTCGAGCGCTATCCAGGGTATCTCTGACCTCCAATCCGAATCCAAAGTTATGCCCCCGCGGCACCGACTGGTCTCGCGCCGCTCAAGTTGATGACCCTCCCCGCACCGAATGCCCCGCCCGTACGCGCCGTCGGGCTATCCGCCTTCCAACCGGGTACCTCGTCGCTAAACTTCGCTTTGATGACCTGCCACGGCTTGGGGAACCCTGCAGCCAGTGCGCCTTTTCGCTTCGCGCCGGTGATCGCGAAGCGCAACTGCCTATGCGAGATGAACCCTCCCAACAGGCCTTGGTCGATCAGCGATGCTACGATGCTCTCAATCTCGTCCATGTCAGGCGCCAAAAATTCAGGCTCGACCTCGTCCGCACCCTCGAAGTCGGCATCCACGTACAGCTGGTTCTTCGACGGCTCTATCGTGAAGAACGCCCAGTTGGGATGCCTCTGCGCCGGGCCGCGGTAGGTCGCCGCCTCGGGAGACAGGGCCTTCTTCTCCAAGAACTGCGCTAGCACCACGAGGTCTTGCAGGCCGAGCGTTGGTGCTTTCCTCGACGTCGGGTCTCCCTGGTCTCCGTTGATGAGGAACGTCCGGCGTATCAACGAGCGCCAGACCAAAACCTCGCAGCGATTGCGCAGTTGGAATAGTATGCGGTGGAAAAGGAACCACTCCACGTGCTCGCCCTTGTCAACGTCCAGCAACGTTCGAAACCTAGCGAGGTCTCCTTTCACGATCGCTCGACATATCGGGCCAAATCGTTCCCTAAGCCCGACAGCTTCGGGTTGCTGGTACAAGTGTTGCGAGGGGAACCGCCCGAGGATTATGTTGGATGCGACCAGGTAAATGAGGATCAGGCGTCGCTGGTTGAGGCGTTCTGGGTTGCACTGATTATACGCGGACTGGAGGGCGAGCTGAGCGCGATAAAAGTGGTTGTTGGAAAAGTGAAAGCGGCCCAGGTAGTACAAGTAAGTGACTCGCTCCGGCCAGGGGAATATTGCCAGCGGAGGGGATGCGTTGTCGATGTTGGTAAATATTGTGTCCGCGCTGCGGGATTTGCTGCCTTGGAAGAGAATCTTGAGACAAAGGTTGGCCAGCTTGTAAATGCCGACCCTCTTGCCATCGGGCCTGCCGTCGCGGACACCAGACATGTTCCCTGTGCGGTCGTTCAAGCACGTCACGAACGCATTCCGTATTATCTCGACGGCCTTTTCGCCAAGCGTCTGCTTTTCTCCTCCGTCGTCGCCTCCTTGTGGCTGAACATTAACTATGAGATCCGGGCGCTTGTCGAGGATGATGGCGAGCGCGGCGAGCATTCGGGAGCAATTGATGACGGTCGGTAGGATGACGATTCCCATGGAGGAGTGAGCCAACGCGCTGTTGCATTTTCTGAGCGGTCTTGGTCAGTCCCGAGTTCCAGCGCCGCCGAGGGTGATGCGGTCTTACGCGGCTAGTTCTGCGAGCAGATTGTAGGCCTCCAATTGCTTCGTCGACAGGTTCTCGACGTCGAGGTCTCTCAAAAAGGCAAAGTACTGGGCGATGAAGCGGACAAAGGCCGACCAGGATGAGCCGTCGTCGAGCTCCTGCAGGCCGGGGAGGGCCCGGTTGCACTTTTCCTCCAACGCGTCCTCGGTGCCCTTTGGAAAAGCCCCTCTGATCTCATTGATCATCTGCGTATACAACGGCGGGTAGACGCCGCCGGTCGGCTCGAAAACCAGGTAGTCTTGCAGCTTCGCGCCATCCTTGGCCTGCAGGATGGCAGCGATCTCAACGAGGAATTGGTCGACGGTCGGGGTAATGGCCATGCTGATGCAGGCGGCGTCGACTTCTCGACCGGTCTCCAGGTACAAGACGCTCTTGAAAAAGTCGTTTCGCAGCCGCGCCGGCAGGGTCCAGTCGTAGGGATGCTCGGGCGCGACGGATTGCCAGACGTTGACGAAGACGGCACGGAGCGCGTCGCGGCCGAGGGTGATGTGAGGATTCTGGGCGAGCACAGCGAGAAAGCCCTCGACCGGGTCTCCGTCGGCGTCGTGCAAGAAGGCTTCGAACCGAGATTCGGTGGTGCTGGCGTGAGGGAGTGACGAGGGAGGATTCGCGGCGAGTCTGACGCGCGCGCGCTCTGGCTCGTCGATCGCAGACCGCCCGCTAGGTCCACGGTCCATCACCACGACGATGAACTTTGAGTGATGCCGACTTCATCGTTGCTAAGCAGTCCAAGAGCAGATAAAGCCGGAGAGCAGTCTTTGTTTCTCGATCGCTATTGTCTCACATTGTTTGCTACCTCCCGTCTACTTTGTGAGAGCTGCGACGCGCCCTTTCACATGAAGAGGACGTGCTCGGACTCTACGTCATTGCGACGAAGGTGCTTGCGTCTGCTTAGAGCAATTTCCAAACCGGGTCAGCCGCTTCCGCCTCAGCTTCAAAAGCCGCATTTCTCCTCGAAGATTGTCACACCAATTGCTTTCCAAAATGGATCTCCAAGGCCTCCTCTCGTACTTTATACACCATCCCATCATCTTCCTCTATCAGCTTATGCAATGGGCTCTCGACAAGCTTCTCTCGCCGACACCCCCACCGCCCAATGCGGACCTCAGCAGACCTAAGATTGCCATCATCGGCGCTGGTTTGACTGGAGTCTCTGCGGCATCCCACTGCGTCGGCCATGGTTTCGACTGCACCATTTTCGAAGCCGGAGATCGCAAGGCTCTCGGCGGGATCTGGAGTGTAAGCTCGGGTGTGAATATTGCGGATCACAACTGATCGATACGCAGAAAGTGAATAATACTTCTGGTTTGCAAATTCACAGCATCATGTACCGTTTTCATCCCTCCGTGAAGTGGCGTGGAGGATATCCCGATCGCCGGCAGATCGTCAGCCAGATCACCGAGCTTTGGGAGTTTTATGGTCTCGAGCAGCGCACCAAGTTCAACACCCGCGTTGAGAAAGTCTACAAGGACAACAATGGCCGCTGGATTATCAACGACACGTCCAACGGCCGCTTTGATGGTATCATCGCTGCCGTCGGAACCTGCGGAGACCCCAAGGTGCCCCACATCCCCGGCCAGGAGAAGTTCAAAGGAGAAATCTACCACTCTTCCGAGCTGGACGGCAAACAAGCCAAGGGGAAGAAGGTCCTGGTCATCGGTGGAGGAGCGAGCGCCGTCGAGGCTTTGGAGTTTGTAGCCCACGAGGATGCCGAAAAAACACACGTTCTTTCCAGGGTGAGTGAGACATTGCATGGCCATCTTGCCTGGTGCTGACTGAACAGTCTGAAAAATGGATCATCCCCCGTAACCCAATCATCGACATGCTGCTGGCATTCAATATATTTGGCCAAGAGACCATCTTTTCTTGGATTCCCGAAAGTCTGCTTCGCCTTTTCTTCTATCGCGACCTCAAAGACCTGTCCCCTCCTCCCGGTAGCAAAGGTGTTTTCGAGGAGACTCCCATGGTCAACGACGAAGTCCTCGAACTTGTCCGCTCCGGCAAGGCCGATTGGCTCCGCGGCGACATCATCGGCTTCGAAGAGAATGGCATCCGTTTCAACCACCGGTCACAAGGCACGCCCAAGGGCGGACCAGGTCGCGAGCAAGTGATCGAGGGCGATGTCTGCATCCTCGCCACAGGCTATCAGCGACCGTCACTCTCCTTCCTCCCCGGCGAGTGCTTTAACGAGCCGTACGACCCGCCGAACTGGTACCTGCAAGTCTTCCCGCCTGCCCACGTCGACATTTGCGCCAACAACTGCACCTACGTCAACGCCATCGGTTCCGTCGGCAACTACCACATCGGCATCTACACCCGCTTCCTGCTCATGTACCTCGTCGACCCTCTCACCCGCCCCCAGGAGCGCTGGATGAAGCGCTGGATCGACATGACCCGTTGGATCAAGTCTAGGGCTCCCACCGGCGCCTTTGACTTCTTCACCTACTCTGAGCTCATCTACTGGTTCGTCTTCACCATCGTTGTCAATCCCTTCCGCTGGAAGTGGGCCGCTTTTGTGCTTTTCGGCATCGGCAAGTCCGTCCCGCTACATGTTGTCCGTCAGGAGGATAAGATTAGGAATGGACTGGGCATGAAGGCGAGGTAAAATGAGCTGCGGCGATGTCTGACCCAACTGGTGATCTTGTTTGAATAGTTCGTAATCACTACGAAGGTTAACAGTTGTTGGAGATGAGAAAAAGCATACCTTTCCGCATGATTCTTGCTCAGGTAGCGAGCCAGAATATATTTACAAATAGATCAATAAGACATAATTTCAAACCATCATAATACTGTACGCCGCCATTTACACTCACAGTTAAATTCCCACGATAGATTGTCCATGCTATATTGAAATGAATTGTATATATTGTTGACCATATTGATAATTTTGCACGCAGCTGTTCCTTCGGAAGGAGCATAGAAATAAGCTGATTAAATGAACGCTGTTCTACAGCAGTAGGGTGAATATGAAGCAAATAATTGCGTGGTTGATATCCCAAAAAAGTGTAGATATTGAAATACTTGGTTGTGGGGGGAAACAAAGAACACAGCAATAAAACGCGGCAACACTCAGAAGCATCGACATGTATTCATCAAGCATGCTACTTTTATTTTTTTTTTAAAAAAAACCTTACCTAATTACATTTCTGTTTCTACACGTTCTTAACACTTTGTTCGTCGTTGACTTTAACATAAGGATGAAGATATAGACTTAACTTAAAGTGGAGTTTATATTTACTTAAAAGCGTCATGATTGAATGTTAGCTTCGTACTGTTTTAAAGAAATGAGAATTACTTTTGTATCTGCCTCACCGTCTTTCTCCCGGGTCACATCCCCGATCACCTCCCGGTCACCTCTCCTCCTTGGACTCTACCGCTTCCCTGATCAGTGGGTCGGTAGAATTCATTGTGCAATCTGCTACACGATGAGTTTCTTCACCGATAGATAAGCCTTGATAAGAGCTTAGGGAGGTGGAGGGAAAATAGCAGGGAAACCGTAAGGCGGAGGAGATTACAATTTTGTATCCAGAAGGTTATAAGGGCTTCTAGGGTAGCTGACGAATGTATTGATTATACAGTTCTATGGGAAAGGGTGCTGCTGTTTATAAGCGATATACGTTCGCTTTTATTAGATGAGCTCGGTTTTAAACCAGGTTATGAACCGTCATATACACCTTGTTGGCGAATGATCATTGAATCGATAAATAAACCACGGCGCTTCAAGTCTGTCATTTGCGAGACCAATTAAAGAAAAGATCTAAAACGTTTGGTTGAGAAAAGCTGAAAGGGTGGCTGGATTCAACGGAGCCTTCAGCTGACACAACACATCCAAGTACTAAATTCAACCAATCGTGAAGACAGTGCTTAATTTCTCAGTGAATGTCTCGGGAAAGTCATCCTTAGTCGCTGTACCTACGTCTGAAACACGGACTGAAGCTTAGTTATTAGGATGCAAGACGACGCCTTCCAGTCGGCGGGATATCTTACTCAATGCACACGAATTTCAAATTCGAACCAGTTGGGATAGGCATAATGCATAGTAAAATTCCAGAATAGATATCCAGTTCCCAAGCGAAAAACCCCAACCACGCTACAAAATCCAAAAAGCATTACACAATCGCCGATCCATGCCATCCTTGAATATCCCCCCCTTATGAAGCCAGTAGAAATATGATGGGGTAGTAAGAAAATACAAAAAAACCCAATCTAACTTCGCCATCAACCCATCCAACCATCGCGCATATCCTTAACCGAAAACTTGCACGCCTGAAAGCGCGGAGCTGAATATCAAATAGCCATCGACTCCTTTCCCTCGTACAAAGACAATCGTCACAACCACCAAACCGCTCGCTCACCCCCAAATTCCACATGTACATCCAATCCCAACAACAAAAAGAGATGTCTCGTGTCCTTCATCCTCCTTCGACAGGGCGGAGAAAAAGAAAAAAGAGAAGACTTTTCTCCTAATCCTATATACAGCGAATGCTATAAATAATAGAAGTAGACATATGTTGAAATGAGATACAAATGCTGTGAGAGTGTGCGTCGGTCTATTGAATATGTATGACAGGATGAGAAGATGTTCGGCCCGGATGGAGAATGTAAAGACGGGCGGAAAGCGAGAGTAAGAAAGGTATGCAACCCTTATGCACAAAAATGCTCTCTCCGATGGTAAATGCAAGCCTCCCAAAGAGGTATATGGTCGTCAAGTCATCATGATAAATGTGGACGAACACGTCCGGAAAACTCCACAGACTGCGTCTGTATGTGGTTGACAGATTAGGAAATATGTCTCAACGCTCATGGAAGCGTATGTAGTATGTTGGACGATATGAGAAAAAGGAAATTCTCAAACTTGTAGGGCATGAAGATGCGATTCTTCACTCCAGCATCCGGCTTCTCGCCGAAATCTCCTCGTCGGTCAGAGCGGCCATCCAGACACATTTGGGAATGATGTCCGGATTGGGCTTGAGCTCATAATGGGTACTGGCCTCCAGCAGCCGCAGCAGGTTCTTGACGATCGAAGCCGAAGTCTGGTGACGCTCAAAGTTGATGAGCGGCTCACCGTCATCATTCTCGCCGGCGGATACGGTCGCTGGCTTTTGCGCATTGTAGATCAGGTCACGCGTGTAGATCCCAATGAACGGGATGCACCCGTCATCGAGGTTGACCGTCTCCATCTCGAGGCGAAGGTTGTGGAAATTCTTCACCGGTTGCACCAAGCCCTCCAATTCGCGGAGAGTGCGACGTTCCGCTTCCGGGACGAGCTCCCAGGTCTTGGACAGACGTGCGCAGTCGGCGGACAGGAGTGCGACCGTGAGCTGATACATCGTGGCGTAGTTGCGCAAGCGACGGGCGTGGTCGGCGATGTGGATGTACTTGACAATGCAGCGCACACGTTCCTCCAGATCCTCGGTGATTACGACCTCGGACACCGCCCACTTCACCATGATGTTGAAGCGAGCGATAACCACGTCGACACCACGGGGCTCTTGAGTACGCAGATACTCCACCCAGTCGCGAATCTGAGGCGAAGACTGCTTCCAGCGCAGCTCGATGAGCTCCTTCCAGTCGATTTCATCGAGCGCGTCCTTCTCTACGATGGTGAACTGCTCCGCGAGGGTCTCGGAGTCGAAGGCGAGGACGAAGGGAAGGTGGCGCTCTCGCTCCGGAATCGAGCGGTTCCTCGGCCTGTTCGCGCCGGCCATGCCGTTCATCTTGGTCGACTCGATGTGCGACTCCGACTTGTTGACCCTGTGGCTCGCCTGGAAATCTTGCGCTTGTTGGAATCCGTTCTGGGAAATCGGGGCTGTCTGGAGACCGTGCAGAGGCGGCGTCAAACCCGGCGTCGGGAGGCCTCTGTGGAAAACCGTCGAGTCCATGTTGTTCGGAATCGTCCTGTCGAGCACATTGTCGTTGGTCGGCGGCGTGGGAGGGTGGCGCAGTGGACGCGGAACCAGCTCGTCCCCGAACTCGAGGTCGGCGGGTTGGTCATCGAAGAAACTCCGCACGCCGTGGCTCTCACGCCTCGAGTCGTTCGGAACGCTGGTCGAGATGTCCGACGAAATGTCGTCGAACTCTTCCTCAGGGTCCAGGAGGAAAGACTGGTGCGTCTTCACCGAGTTGGGCGACTTGGGTGACTTTGGCGATCTAGGGAACGTCGAACCACGTGGAATCCTGCGCATGCTTTCCGTCTCTTCAATATGCTCAATCGAGGAGCCAGCCGAGGGGTTTTGCTGGTCCAGCTGGGCAGCACGCCAGGCCTGGGGCGACAGGGCGGCTGGGCGAGCGGAGTCGACGGACGGTTCGTTGATCCGCTTGCGTGTGACGGCGGCGATGTCGCTGTTGCCACGGTCGAGAAGGGGGACGCTGGAATACGAGTATTCGGACTGGGGGACCGAGCTGTCTGGCATGTACGTCGGGGACGTGTGTTGCTCCGACGACGGCGACACCACGAACGCACCCGACATCGTCTGCTGTCGATGAGTGCCAGAGGACTTGGCGTTCGGTTCTGGGTCTGTAGCGGTCGGGTCTGGTCCTCCGTGGGAATCCTCTCGCTTCATGGACTGACCCGGGGCTCCCCTGGGGATGTAAAACTCCGCCGCCTGCGGCGACGGGTCCGGACTCTTCTTCTCGTACTTGCCCTCGAGCTTCAGCAGGGCAGCCTCGATACCTCCATCGTCGTCATCATCGTCAGGCAATGCAGCCAGCCGTGCGACTTCCCTCTCGAAGGAGGGCCTGAGGACCGGCTGTGAAGAGTGCGTACCGATAAGCGACAACGACTTCCTGGCGGCAGGCAGCTGCAGCTGGTCGAACTCTTCGACGGCGCCTTCGACGGCGTCTGGCGCGTAATTCCACATGTCATTCCAGCCAGCTGTGAGAGGAGGATACGCCACCGAATTCGTCACCGAGTGCGCGAAATTAGACACCGAACCAGTGGATCGTGGACGCTCGATGGGGCCCAGATCGGTCATGTTCGCGGCTCCGCGAAGATCTCCACCCGGGCGTCTGCGAAGCATGCGTGCAGGGGCAGGAGCTGCGGGGCGGTCAAGATGGAACGGGTCGTTGTCGGAGGATCTGGTCATCGCGTCGGAATCGATGCTGTACCCGGGTCTGTGTTTTTTCGTCATACCGCTTTGGAACGACGCAAATCTCCGCAACGAGTGCGAACCCGAAAGCGTGCGACTCGGATACATCGACCTCGAGTGCCTCAGCAAGGACGGACGATCCGTGGGCAGGCCGGGCACAGGCTCCATGTCGTAAGAATCGACTTCGTCGTAGGAGAAGTTGACTGCGTTCGGGGCGGAGGTCGTGGAAGGTATCGTGACGTCGGGGTGGATGGTGACGGGCGGGAGAGAAACGACGGGCTCACCGCGCCGGGAGGCGGCTCCCAAGCTGTCCTTTCCCAACTTCTCGTCGCCGTCGCTCTGCCTTAGAGCATCGTCCAGGTAGGAAGTGTCGGGAGCTGCCGCCACGGATAGCGCAGACGCCGTATCCTCATCGGCCGGAAGGGCACCGGACATGACCAGAGGAACGGGGGGAGGGGCACCGGTATCGTCGAATATGAGGATTGAGCCGCTGCCCATCGTCACCTTGCTGAGACCTCGCTCGACCCCAGGACGGGCTTGTCGCGAGCCGTCGCTGACGGGGTGCAAGTCAGCTCCTGAGGCCCGTTCTGGACTCTGATGCAGGGGTGACACCCCACTCGCGCGGTTCCGTCTTTCCTTATCCAGCTCTTCGTCCAGCGCCTTCTTGAAACTCTCGGCCACGCGCCGGGAGAGGAGGTCCACGCGGGTCTGTTGCCTGGCGCGTATCTGCCGTCTCTTCTGGACACCCGCGTGTGACGAAGTCGGAACCGTTGCCGTGCCCATCGAGTCTCTTTTTGTCGTTTGGTTCGATACGTCGCTCGCACTCTGAGCGTGCGATCCACCGCCTTGCCTGCTGCTCAACGCCCGCCGCACGCTGCCGAGTATCTTTTTCATCCCCGGGTTCGCCACGTTCGCTTTCGAGCTCGCGGGAGAGCCGGAAATGTTAAGGACGAGATCGAAATGCGACTTCATCGGTCGTACTTCACCCGTTGGCCGCAAATTGATGTACGGGGAATCCGGCTGGAAGAGTGCACCTCTGATTATACTTCCTGGGAACTGTTCGAGGGTCTCCTGTTTTGCATCAGAAGCTTGCGATTCCGGGCGGCCCTGTGACTGTGATGAATGCGCTCGGTGATCCCTCAGGGCATCCGAGAAACTTCCGCTGCGCTTGTGGCAATGGAGCCCGGGGCGTCGATGACGCGACGTCGGGAGAGACGGAGCCGTGGCCGAGCCTACGGGTACGGGATGGGGGTAGAGAGGCATTTCTGTCCCATTATCGTTGCGGTATAGCGTCTTTAACGGGATTGAGCATGACATGACGTGCATGCTGAACTCGCTGGCGGGAGAGAGTGGTATGGTGCTGTGGTCAGGTATTTCTCCCGGCGAAGCTGTGATTGAGCTCTGGGGGACGTGACGAGGCCCCCCTTTTGTCCATTCCGAAGTCCTTTCCGGCGGAGAGATGGCGTGCATATGTCGGCTCGCTTTCCTTGGCGGAGTCGTCGGTACCGGAGGATGGGCCTCGACGGGCTCGGGCGCGGGCGCCGCCACTGCTGGTGCAGTGTCGGATAACCTCGCCGGTTGAACGAGTGGCTCGAATTCAGCCTGGCCACCTGGAAGTATATCCTCGTCCGGCGTGTCCCTGCCAACCGCCTCCACATCATCCCAGAAAAGCGCGCAAGTCCTCCGCCAGCACTTCTTCAGCTCCCCGATGATTTTCAAATCCCCGCCTCCTCCATCCTCGCGCACCTGCAGATCGTGGTACAGGTCGTTGACAAGCTTGCAAAAGTGCTCCCGGAGGTTCAGAAAAGGCAGAAAATCCTCAGTGAAGTAGTTGAGAATCCAGTGGCGGAGCGCGACGAACGTCCGCACCCGCACTATTCGTCCAAAATCGTCCGAGCGCTCCACCGCCCATCGTAAGCGAGCTATCAGGTAGGCTATCAGGTCGCCGATTGTCAAGTAGGAGCGGAACGTCAAAAAGAAATCGGATAAGAGTTCGTAATCCAGGAAGCTGGGGGAAGTGATGTGGGCTATCAGTCGGGCCGGGGTCGCCGCGGTTATTTCGCCGGTTGCAGCATATCGGACGACGGAAGGATTGTCGGCATTGGTCGTGAATGAGTCGTAAATCTTGGGAGAGATGGGCACCGTGGGAACGAGGGGCGTCAAGGGAGCCGACGAGCCTTGGGTCGAGGGCTCGATGTAGGTGATGGGTCGGTCGTAGAAGCGCGTCCTCGACGAGATGTCGGAGTACCGCTGCGAGTTGCGGTTCAGCATGGGGCCGGGGGCGGGAAACAGGGTGCCGAGGGTCGGGGTGAGCTTATTGGAGAAGAGCGAGGAGCGGAAATCGTCGGTGGCGGAGGTGCGTGTGTAGACGGAGCTGCGCAGGATGGCGGTGCCTTGGGTGCTGAATCGGGGATTGCCCAGGCGGTAGTGGGGAATGGGAACGTCCAAAACCGGGAACGACGACGTGTCTGCGGTCCGCGGCCGCGACGTCTTGGGGCGGTCAATGACGACCTTGAACGTGTTCGAGTCGATGCTCTGGGAGCGAGCGTGGTCATTGATGGTGGAGAAGGAATGCGAGCGAGCGTGGTGCGAGGGGCGGGCCTCCGACGTGGACTGGGTGACGCCGTTCACCTTCACCGCCGGGGTGGGACTGCGAGCGGGCGTGCGTGCTGGAGTGGGAGTGCGCGATCCAGAGGGAGCGCTGTCGTGCCAGCCATTGCTGGGTCGTCGAGGAACGCGGCCATCGGGCGCAAGGCTGTCGGGAGGCGTGATGGGCGGGAAGACGAAGGGCGCGGGCGGTGGACGCGTCCGCGGCGTGCCTGTGCGAGCGACGGGCCTGAAGCAATGACATTGGTTAGCTGGAGTCGCGGCGCGGCGCCTCGCTCGCGCAGAGAAATTTGGAGGCGCATGACGGGGGTAGGCACCGTAGGTAGATGATGCCGTTGCTGCCGACATTGCCCACGGCGAAGCGGTTGCCGCCAGAACGACTCTGGGCGCCGTCGTCGGTCCTGACGGTGCTGCTGCTGCCGCCGCGGGTGCGCGCGCGCAGCTGCTCGGTGCTGTTCTTTGCGCGCCGCAGCGAGTTCTGCCTGTTCCTTCGGAGGTCCGCCGGCCGCTGTTTCGCGCTATGAGGCCTTTGCGCTGCTGGGATATGGGCTGCTGCTGGTTGGCCCGGCCACCGCGGGCCGCCGTCCTGCGCTGGCGCAGACGTTGCCATCGTCATGCATGCTGTCGTTCGGGGAGCGGATTGCAGCTATCGGCGGGCGCGCATGTCGCTGGGAGTGTTGTCTGAGGGTCGAGGAGGGATGGCGAAGAGAGAAGCACGGCCGACGACGTCAAGGAAGTCTGGACCGGGTTGAGCGTGGTTCGGTGGCTTGTCCAGCGCGAGATGAGATATACGAACCGTGCCCTGGCCCAGTCGGTAATTGAGCAATTACGCTGGCAGCACTGCGCGCCAGATCCGGCCGACGTTCATGCGCGGACGTTGAGCCAGCGCGCAGCGGGAGGCAATGGTGCGCCGCTGGTTGGTTTGCTCGCCGTGAGCGGGAGGAGGGAGCCTGTCCGCATCCCCGGCCAGCGCGCCGCACGCCCAATCGAGCCGCCTGCAAGAGGCTAGTCCGCAGCCAGCTGCAAACGCAGTCGACGCATCATGCAGCCCGCGTCCGTGCGCCCTGCCTTGGTCCTGCATCACCATCGCCTTCAGCTTCAGCTTCAACAAGAGCACCGCCGCCAGCGCACCAGGCCATCGGCTGAGGCCGCGCAGCCGCACGTGGCTCGAGGGGTGCGACGCCGGCCGAATTGCTGCTTGTGGGCGCGGCCCCGGCGGCGTCTGGGACCGAGTTGTGGAGGCGACGCCGCCGATAGGCTTTCCGCAGCCTTCGAGAAGCCTTTTGCACTGCCTATTCTTCTGCTCGACGCCACCGTGATCGCCCCTAGCGCGAACCACGACGCTCCTCTGCCGAGTCCAGCCCGCCGCTGAGATCCCCGACTGCAGCACTGCTGCCCGAGATCTGCTCTCACCTGTCGCTTCCCCTCCCGATCCGTCGCTAGCCAAGGGGCCGGTCGTGGGGAAAGCTAGAACCGACGTTTGGGCATCGAGAAGGGGGTTGTGCAGATCATCCCGTCCGAAACGCGCAGCTGCACACCACTCGTCGACCGTTGGCCGTCGTGCCAGTTCCCGCATCGGGGGCTTTCTTGGGCACGAATACCAACCATGTCCCTGCACCGTCCCCCCTGCTGCCGACTGGCTCTACCTCAACCCCTCCACTGGACGTCATCCGCCGCAGCCGACCCCTTCCAGGCCGAAGTGTTCCATCGCCGTCTGCCCGAGTACAGTGAAACGCCGCTTGTGTCCCTGCTGCATGTCGCCAACGAGCTCGGACTCACCCACGTGCTGGTTAAGGACGAGTGCCGCTGTTTCGGCCTGCCAGCCTTCAAGATTCTGGGTTCCGCCTGGACCGTTTATCGGGCCGCCGCAGCGCAACGCAAAACTGCCACTTACCGTACCGCTCCAGGAGCTTGAGGATTCCACGGGCCTGCGGTTCGTTACCTGTACTGACGGCAATTGGGGCCGAGCGGTTGCGCGGATGGCAAAATACCTTAGCGTGCCGGCCCACGTCTTCGTTCCCCAGAACGTGGATCAGACCACACGCGACAACATCAAGAGCGAGGGCGCCGAGGTTCCCGTGGCCCAGGGCGGCTACGACGCGGCGATCGGGGCTGTGAGAGAAGACGCCGAGGCGGCAACGGACTCCTGGTCATGGATACTTCGTGGCCCGGCTACGACGACATTCCAACCTGGATAGTCGAAGGCTATTATACAATAGTCCGAGAAACTGTCCGCCAAGTCGTCGAGCTTACAGGTCGCCCTGCGACGTGCGCAATAGCTTCGGTCGGTGTGGGCTCCTGAGCTCAAGCGATCACTCTGCTCTACAAGAGGAAGCAACCTTCAGCCACAGTCGTGAGAGCTGAGCCGACTGCTGCCGCATGCTTGCAGACCAGCCTGAAAGCCGGCAGGATCAACAACAAACACGATCATGTGCGGCAAGAACTGCGGAACCGTCCCCTCGCTGGCTTGGCGCGTCCTCGGTGACGGCATTGATGCGAGTGTGGCGATAACCGATTTAGAATCCCACGATGCTGTTGAAAGTTTACGCGCGGGTGGAGTCGCCGGTGGGCCTTGCGGCGCCGCACCCTTGGCAACCCTGCGGAAGCTGAGCCGTGACTCCACCAGAAAAAGCACACTTGGCCTGGGCTCAGAGTCTGTGCTTGTGCTTTTTTGCACCGAAGGCGCAAGGCCGTACGATGTCCCAGGCGAATCAAGTCTTCAGGGTCCGTTGGGCGCGTCGGATATATTGCGCAACGGCGTCTCGCCTCCGAGCGAAGAGTCTTCGTTGGTCCAAGTTTTTCTTCTTTGACGACAAGCTTCTGCTGCCTTTCCCCTTTTCGTACATATCCGCATACCAGGCTCGATTCTCGATACTGCATCAAGGTTTTGGCTTCACGCGATCATCCACATCGACGTTGCAATCACCTGCATCGGGCAACCTACCGTTACTACATCAACCGACCATATACTTATTTCTTGCAGTTTCAAAGGTAATTGTATCCCCCTTGGCTCTGGAAGCCGGGATCATCCTCAATTCAATATTCAGGATCATGCGTGTTCCATCTCGTCTTTCAGAGCAGCAGGAGGTTCAATCTTCGTTTTGCCATCGTGACCACTGAGCAGGGAAATAGCCGATGGCGGGGCTGAGGACTGTCGCGGTAGGTTCCGGATCGGAAGCTCCGAGATTTTACTGAGTTTTCCCTGTGTCAATCGTGGAGTCTCCACAGCAGAAGATGGACATACGTGGCTTCCGCACATGTCAACCTTGTCAGTGATGGCCCGAGGTATTGCGTACACGTTTCAGCCGCGTTCGCTCATTCGATGACATGTTCGCAAGGGATACTTGGTGCTTTTGGCCACTTTGCTTGCTTCTCTCCACCCTCGTTTCAGTTCAATTGCAAGTCTGAATCTGCATGATCAATTTGCATTCTCTCACTCACCGCATCCTGGCGTACGGACGTAGTGTGTGGAGAACCAGGAAAACCGGCTCATCCGCATAAGCGTTCAAGGATCTCCAGGGTCGATCGATCTACATCTTTCCCTGCAATATTAACAAGGAGTTGATTATGGAGATATGACGTTATGAGGCTGCTTGGATATCAGGCGAAGAAGACCACGAATATATCCGCTCTTTCGCGCGTCTTGCGGACAACCTACAGACAATTGTTGCTACTCTTGTCTACGACACCGTCTTTGAAAAACTCGGTGCCTTGAGTGCTCTAGTTAGACTGTGCGCAGTTCATTGGTATTTGCGTGACAGGGATATTGGACAGAATATACAGCACCTCCTACAGCCGATGCAACTTTGACTTGTTTTCTATTGATCAGACTTGGCAGTCCCCAAAACAGCAGACCCTACCCTAACGCGTTTGACCTATCCCAACGCCCGCATGGAAGTCGTCCCCCATTCTGAGCCCCTGCTATTCGCGCTAGCCATCGGCTGCAAGAGGGTGCTATGAGTACTTGACACGATCAGTGGAGGCTGGTCCATCAGCGGCAATGGTCGTTGCAGAGCTGAACGAGAAAGGAAAAGAAGCGGGGAAGCTTTCTACTCTATCGTGATACACCTTATCGTATTAACTACTGAACAATACTTATACTATTCAGAACGCCACAAAACTTAATTTTAAATTTAGCGACTACTATAATGGCATAAGCAAACTTACATTTTATTTCATTAAATATTCAAATACGACAATGGCACATGTCGTACAAAAAGTGACAGATGATCGAGCGTCCTAAATACAACATTGGCCGGCATTGTTTTTCCAGAGCACTACAAAATCTCCAAGTAAAATTTAAATTTGTCGATATTAATACGGTAATGGCTGAGCTTCTAAAGATTGATTAAGATGAAGAATCAATATTATAAACACGAAAACCTTAGTCCGTAAAGTTCAAGGAGCTAATTTTGGCCCCTCGAGCAATGCTCGGCCATTTGTAATACGATATGGACTGCTTTTTATACATACCATTACGAACATCTCGTCCTGGATGGTTCAAAGATGGGTTGCATCTGGTGACTCTTAAGTATTTCTGTAGCTGCTTTTAAAGCATTGGCATATCTCACGGCGCCTCATTCCTACCAACGGACTGCCCATGTTTGGGCGAGCATGCAGGTATACAAGCGTGCGAACACCAATACCCTTCTCAAGCGGCACTGGACACTCGGCAAGGCTGGGACACAGTTGGACAGATGCTCTTGAAAACAAGATGTGCTTAAGCAACTTGTTTCTAGATCAGCGTTTGCTCACTACTGCTATTTTGTTTTGTTATTAGCTATGCCATGTAGCCAGCTTGAGCCAGAATTGGTATCGAGATAGGAAGTCGCAATGTAGGGCCTTAGATATTTTGCGTAACCGCGACAGAAAAAGAAAATACTGGCAGGTCTAGCAAAACTCCCGTAGTTGCATACACGTGCTTACACTCAGAAACAAAGCCTTTGCTATGGTAGCAGAAATTCGTGAAGTTCATTACATTGGTCCGGGAAGATGCTACTAGAAGACGTTGCTAGTGGACGTGTCGCACCTACCGCTTGACACGCAACGACCTATGACAGTGGCCGACCTCAGCTTTTGATCCAAGTAACATGTGCCAACGAATTGCAGATTCTATCACCCATCTTCGAACCATTCTGATTCCTTCATTTTAAATTCTCTGCTCGTCTTCGAACCCTTTCTCTACCGCGCACTTGTAAGCTTCCTCGATTGACTTCAATCGCGCAATAGCAAAGCCTCATCTCCATTGGCTCCCGCGGCACCAACACCTCTTCATATCATCGCCAACTGACTCTAAACCTTTATTTCCCACAGCCACAATGTGTCGCACACTTCTGACAGTGGTCCACCACGCCTGTCAGCCCAGCCACCTCACCCGCCAAACCCGCACGGAGCAATGCTATACCGCGCACCTCTTCGGCATGCGCGTCTGCGCCCCCGGTCCACCACGCCATAGCTTCTATGAGCAACATCTGCCTGGCGCCGCGTGCCAATCCTGCGTCTACCATCATCGCGCCTACAACACTGACGCCGAAGACGAAGTGAACGACGACATGGACATCGACATAGACCCTGCGGCCCTCCACAACCAACGGCTTCTCCTCCGACAGAATGCGCTTTACCACCCGGCGTCATACGTGGCACGCCCGCTGTCGCTCCTCCCCGCCACTTCAAACCCGCCGTACCTGGGCACAGGACAGCACACACACGAGCAGGTCCCATATGCAGGACCGTCCGTACCGATGGGTGTCCGCAGCCCTCATGTCAATCGCCCACCCGTTGACCCGTTCGCGCCGCCGCATGACCTTCCCCAGGGCGATGAGTACCCGAGCGGCAATTACCCTAGAGATGTTTTTCCCAGCGCCAGTTACACCAGCGATCATCCCAGCGGTTACCCCAACGGCGATGGGTACACTGAAGCAGCCAACAGCCCGCATGAACCAGCACAAATCCAGACGCAGCAGCAACAGCCAAGCGCACACCCAACCCGGGGCCCTCTCGTACCCATAATGGAAGACGAACGGGAATACCACAGCGACACCAGCTACGGAGCAGGGAGCGAGGACTTCGTGCACATCGAGCGTCCATCCCAGTTTGACCGCAACCCCTCGCCACCGTGGCAGTCACCGCCCCCCATCCCTCGCCGGCGCCGTCCGTACCTGTCGCACCTCCCGCAGCCCGGTCGTTCGCCCTCGACGTCGCCTCCCATGTCATCCGGCTACTACTCGTCCCTAATGGGCAACCTGCGCGGCGGCGACGGCGGCGGCGACGGCGGCGGCGACTCCGGCTCCAGCTCCGACTCCTCCAGCACACTCGCACCCCCCAGCGACGAGGCGGAGGCTGGCGACAACGACGACGAAGAAAGGCAGCTACTCGAAGCGCTCGAACGGAGCGCGCGCGAGTTCGCGGAGCAAGCGGACGCCGAGCAGCAGCAGGCGGCGCAGCGCAGTCTACGCGAGCACGCCGACCGCGAGGAAGACGCCCTGCGCCGCGTCGCGGCCGAGAGCCTGCGCGACTACGCGGACGCGGAGCACGCGGCGCTGGTGCGGGCCATGCACGACTCGGCGGCCGAGGCGGAGGAGCGGAGGAAGAGGGTGGAGAAGGATGAGGAGCGCGAGGTGCTGAGGAGGAGCGTGCGGACGTGGCGGGAGGAGGTGGCGATGAGGATGGGGCAGGGAGGCAGCGAGCGTGGTGGTTCCGGCCGTGAGGGTGAGGAGATGTTTAGGGGGTTTGCGGATCTGGATGACCTCTGGACGAAGAGGGCTGGTGTTGATCACAGCAATGCGGAAAAGGGCGAGAGTTCGACAGCCCAGAGAAGGGAAGATCAGGTCCCTCATCCTCCGACTCCCTCGTCGCCAAAGCCTGTTCAACGCGTCTGTCCTCCTCCACCGCCGACCGTCGAGGATGAGCCGGAGCGTCCAGCGTGGTCATTCGAAGGAGTTGCCAATCAGCCGCAAGTGCAAGCCGACGAACCCGCCATCAGGGGCCCAGCTGATGAAATAACCAGGGCAATGGAGGCGGTTGACCTTTCCACCGATCCGGCAGAGTACATCAGAACGCAGAGGCTCGCGAGGTTCACTAGGAACAACGATGAGCAATAATGGTATTCAGGTGGACGACGGGCGGGCTCTATTATTTTGGACATGTGGGTTTTCTGCGGGCTTTTCGATACACGGTTGGGATATTCATGGCCTTGCTCCTGCTCGGGTTGTTCATGGCTTAGCGGTCCAGCCTGCAGTCTTTGCGGAAAAAAGGCTTCATGCAATTGACATGCATAATGAAATGATTCCATCCTTTGATCGTCGATCCCGGTAGTACCAGTCGCAGCCTTGTTACCGGTGTAGAAGCAACTCAATCGTGATCCGAGGGCAATTGATTGGTGTCTAGGCTGAAGACTTCCCCTATGTCCTGGACCGCTCGCCACTAGCGAGGCGAAAGTGAAAATTGTCGTTGGGTTAAGGTTGTACAGCCACGAAGCCCCAACCCGGCCCCTGCGTCTGTATGCAAGGGGAAGGTGCATCCGCAGTGGCCCCCAACTTTAGTCGAAGAGTGCCCCTTGCAGACGCTCCACAGACGACTGGTCAGCCGAAGCACTCGCTTGATTGGCTTTGCGTTTTACTGTCGCTGACTGATGCCATTGTTACCCTCTTCGATCTTGGCGGCTATGCAAGACAAACGTGCTGGTGAGGGAATGCAGACAAATTTGAAGATCATAACGAATTAAGCACAAGAATGTAGTTTGTGAAAAATGGGGAGTTGAAGCATACGCCAGGACGCAGAAAACGACTGTAAGCACGTCTAGACGCATGCTTCAACTCCCCATGGATGAATGCAGTAGTATTTACGGACGACATTCGTGCCCAACCAATGTTACAGTCGCTTCATTACTGCTCTAAATGCATTCACGAGCCGTTTTTAACCCACGGGAGGCTGAAAGTGCCGACCCAGTCCTCGACCTCCTTCCTCAGCTGGATGATATCGGTCACGTTCTCGCCCTCGCCAACATATTCCTTGAAGGCGTTGACGCTGCCAGGGTTCTTCCTGCCCTTGGACTCCGCAGCCTCCTTTGCAGCCTTGTCCAGCTTCTGCGTGATGGTCACCGCACGGTGCACGATGTCGGCCACGCGCACGAAGTCGTCGGGCGTGAAGCCGCGGGTGGTCATGGCCGGAGTACCCATGCGGAGGCCGCCGGGCTTCAGCGCCGACTTGTCGCCAGGAACGGTGTTCTTGTTGCTAGCAACGCCGACCAGCTCGAGGACACGCTCAACACGAGCGCCGTCGACGCCGCGGTCCTTGAGGTCGATCAGGACCAGGTGGTTGTCGGTACCGCCGGAAACGATGTTGTAGCCGAGGCCGCCCTTGTCCTTGGAGTTTCCTAGCCTGTCGGCCAGAGCCTTGGCGTTGGCGAGAACTTGCCTCTGGTAGTCCTTGAATTCGTTGGACTGGGCCTGTTGCAGGGCGACGGCGAGCGCGGTGATGGTGTGGTTGTGAGGACCGCCCTGGTGGCCGGGGAAGACCGACGCGTTGATCTTCTCCTCCAAATCCCACTTCTCCTCATTGCCCTTCTTGTCCACGCGGCGGGTGCCCTTGCGGTAGAAGATCATGGCACCGCGCGGGCCACGGAGAGACTTGTGAGTGGTGGTGGTGACGACGTCCGACTCGTTGAAAGGAGAGGGAATGACACCGGCGGCGACGAGACCGGAGATGTGGGCCATGTCGGCGAGCAGATAGGCGCCAACCTTGTCGGCAATCGCGCGGAAGCGCTCGTAATCCAGCAGCCTGCTGTACGCAGAGGTACCGGCGATGATGATCTTCGGGCGGTAAAGGACGGCCAGCTCTTCGAGCTTGTCATAGTCGATCAGGCCGGTCTTCTCGTCCAACCGGTAAGGGAGGGTCTCAAAGTATTTCGAGATGGCCGAAATCTTCTTGGTGGGAGTCTGGTATCCGTGGGAGAGATGGCCACCGTGGGGCAGGTCAAGGCCCATGATACGCTCGTGGGTGTTGATCAGGGCGGAATACGCTTGAAGATTGGCGGGCGAGCCGGAGAGAGCTGCGACGAATGAGTCAAATGTCAGGTACCAGGGCCGCAAGCAACGTACGCTGGACATTCACGCCCCATTCGCTCTCCTTCAGGCCAAATGTCTGCAGAGCACGCTGCTGGCATAATCTCTCCGCCTCGTCGATGAACTCGTTTCCTCCGTAGTAGCGCGCGCCGGGATAGCCCTCGGAGTATTTGTCTGCAGCTCGGCTCAGTATTCGCTTTGCCGAGAGATCTCGATGTGCGTACTTTGCATGACACTTCCCAGAGCATCGAGAACGGCCTGGGAGGTGAAGTTTTCGGACGGAATCAGGTTGATGAAGTGCTTTTGCCGCCTTTTCTCCTGTACGGTTCAACGGCGCGTTAGCAATGCGCGCCGGACGCAAGCAGAGTGCGCGTCGGCGCGAATACCTTCTCCACGATGTCGTACACGACGGGGTCGGCTTGGGCGAGGTTCGAGGAGAGGAGCTTGAGGGCGTGTTAGCTTAATTGGAGCGCGCGAGACGGTGGACTGCGGCGCACCTTGTGCTGGTCGTCCAGAGAGACGGCGTAGCCCCGCGCCACACGAGGCCGCAGGCAGCTCTGGGCGATTGGCCGGCGGGCAGCGGTCGCCAGCAGGGCGCGCGAGGCCCGGCAGGTGTAGCGGAGAGACGACATGATTGCCGACCTGGGGAAGTCTCAGCAATGAGGCGTGGAGACAGCTGGGACGATCTCGGCGCGGTGGTGAGGTGATGGATCGAGGCGTCGGAGCCGCCAACCGCTGGGCTAGGCCACAAAGGGAATGCCACGCGAAGCTGGCGCCATTTTTCTCCGCCGCGCGGCACGCGTCTCATCCTTTTCTCCTCATCACACAACTAAATCCAAGATGATGAGTCGGCCTTTACGGCAGCGCATCCTCACCTGCCGCGCGCAAGCACGGCGGCGTGGGTGCTGTTGACATGTTCCGGGCCCACCTCACCACCTTAGAGGAACAATTTGAGACTTTCTGATTGGATCTGTGTGATGGATTGCCCTTCGACGGCGTCGGCATCCTTCACGGAAGGAGAGGCGTGACCTGGGCACGCTACCTTTCGCTGAGCTCGAGGGCGGCAGTCGGCTTCGCTGCTCGTCCACGAGTCTCAGGCCACGTTAGCTATATAGGTAAAACAGTCTTTCGTCTTGGATCTCTTTCTGGCCTGTCGGAACTTTGTTAATGCTGTCTGCGACGTTGATAGGTAGTCGTGGAAATATGATACTTGTCAACACCCGCTCGACGACCGTTGTGCCTGTGAACATGGTGATAACCCAAGGGACTCGCATGGAACGCGCCGCCGACGGCGCGTGCACGTGTTGACCCTTCCGCCTGCTGGACCCTTTCCTTCTATGTGCTCAGGCTCGGCAGTTGCCCGTTACGGGTGGCGCCTTCCTCTCCAACTTCGCCTTACATCACCGCGCCGAGGACCCTGAGCAAAAGTAACCTCCAACCTCCAAACTCTTCCTCCGCTCTCCACCATCGCAGCCACACAGTCGGCAACTCCCCGCTGTTGTGAGCTTACGTCACCTGCCACCAGGCCGCCCAGCGAGGACACTCGGCGCGTTCAAGTCTCACAACATGGCTCGCAAAGCGCCTCCCAAACTCAAAGCCTCTAAGTCGGCAAACGCTCGCAAGGCTAGCCCCGAGCTTGGCGAAGGTGACTTCCAAACCCGCTACAACGCCCGCACGGGACGTCCCATTCGCGACAACGCCGGCCGGAAGTCTCTTGACCCATCCTACCTCGACACCATCGAAGTCGTGGATGACGAGGGTCTGGAAAGCGAGTCGGGGTCCGAGGACGAAGAGGGCGTCAAGAAGAAACACCCCAAGAGGAAGCGAACTCCATCACCACCGCTGCTGGATGTCGACCAGATGCCGCTCTTCCCGGAAGACGTACCCTCGCGCGAACCGACTCCGCAATTCTTGGACGAAGACGAGGCCAGCTCGATCAACTTGACGGTCAATATCCCAAAAGGCTTCAGTGGTCCCCTGGTTCTGAAGATCGACCGCGGCATGCTCGACAACGGACGCTCGGAACCCCCGTCCAAGCGCCAGCATCTCTCCCGCGCCCCGACGGAATTGTCGAAATCCAGCGCTGGAGACAGCATCGCGGTCGCTCCTCGCAAGACAGCCGTTGGCCAACGTGGACACTTCGGTTCCAAGACGCGCGAGGATCCCACCAAGAAGACGTTCGCTGATCTTCCAGCGGAGCTTCGAAACTAGATCTACCGGCTCGTATTCGTTACCAAAGAAGAGATCAGCTTCGGCCGGCCAGTCAACTTTTGCCGTTCTGCGGCTTTGCTGCGGACCTGCAGACAAATCTACAATGAGGGACGCAGCGTGCTCTACTCCGAGAATAGGTTCTCGTTCTCCCGTAACACCCGTTCACGCGCACCCTATTGGAGCTCACAAGACAAGGAGATTGGTTACCAGGACATGAGAGTCTTCCTCAACTCGATCGGCCCCACTAACATATCCGTAAGTGATTCATCAAGCTGCGTGTTTGATACCTCCTCTCACTAGCATCAAGCTGCTCAGGTCGATCTCGATCATGCTCACGGACGCATCCCCATCGAGTACTCCATACTTGGATCATGGTAAGATAGAATGCATATCCTGCCATCTGTCAAGGAGACGCTGATCAACGACAGACGGACGCCGTTTTGTCCGTGATGAGCACATTATCTACTGCCTTCGTCAGATCTCGAAGCACGGCGAACTGAAGGAGATTGAGCTTTCGTTCTACGGTCGCAAGTGCCTCACTCGAACAGACTACCGCTTTCTCGATGCTTTGAGGGAGATCAAAGCCGACAAGGTCCGCCTAGAGCCACCGGAGCGCCACTGGTATCCTTCAAAGATTGATTACCTTCTGAAGACATCCCTCCTCGAATCCATGGAGCGCTCACCCAAAATGTACAAGAACGAATGACTATTTCCACCCTTCGTATAGTACGACATTTGCCGATTCCTGGTGGATCGCGAGGACAGAAGTATCCAGTTCACCTCCTACATCCTATCCTGACTCACTCCAAAGCTGCACTTCGATATAATCCCACCTTAGGGAGTGCGCAGCTGCAGGTGCATCGGCCTTGAATGACCAGCTCTGGCGGAGCTCATCTTTCTTCAAAGAGCTTACTGTTTCCTTCTCATCATATACTCCAAAGAGTAATTCTTGAGGTCTCAGCCTTTGATTCACTGCTTTCGAATAACAGCGTAAAAAAAGAGTAAAAGAAAAAGGTGGCGTTGGTTGCGGGGGGTCCTTCTGTAAGACAGTTCTCCGACCGGCGGAAACACTTGACCTTTATTCCGGTTTCTCCATGTTCCACATCACTACTAAAGGGCAGCTTCCTGAACAATCACATTTATTTAATCTCATCATCATTACTGGAGTACGATAAAAAGAGGTAAATGATATTCGTGGGCTTTGAGGTAGAATAGCTATGCAGCTGAACGAAGATGTAAGAATCTACCCACGTGTATGTGATTTGGCCAATCGCCGCCATGTGACACAATCTCCCAAAACTTGATCCGAGTAGCCATCCCATGGTAATACCGCTCTTCGGAATTACAGGCGGAATGTTTCTTCGACACGACGTGATCACATCTCCAGGCTGGAGAATGCCGCGTCAATTACAAACCTCGTTTGTACGCCCGTTCCTGCAGATAGTGCATAAATTGGCTGTATGCGCCGTGAAATGCGTGGCACACCGCCAAGTGTCACTTTTATATCAGTTGAAACTGTTATACACACGGCTCAGCTATACTTCTCGCTCAGCCCTGTCACCGCATGAAAAAAAAAAAGGCGGTGACAACTACAACCACGTGCTTTCGAACCACGCGTTGATAAGCCGGACGGTAATGAGCACATTCTGCCCTGCACGGCAAAATACACAAGGCCGACCGCGCTCCGAACATTCGTCCTACTGCTAGCGCGCGATGCAAGCCCGATCCGCACGTTTCTCCTCGCGAATCGGAGAAAATAAAAGGCCAAGACTAAAATCGCCAACGGGCATCAATCGCCATCCGGGATTCCCGGCCGCCTTACAGAAAACCGCCCTGCCGAAAACAAAAGCACGGAGACTATTGATTGATGACAGATAACGGTATGTCCCAGACTACCGAAACGCTGGGTTCAGTCCCAGATCTCGGGTCTTCTTTCCCAAGGGCCCTTGATTCATGGGACGAACGGGCTACCGTGCACGTTGTCCTCGTTGCGGCTCTTGCGCAGGGCTGGCCGAATGTCACCTACCCTTTTGGAATGGAGGCGAGCATTGACATTCATGAGCTCGCACGTATTTGGTGTTGCTAGAGCCCGCGTCGGACCGCCGCTTGGTCAGGGCGGCCACGTGTGCGTCGAGACCAGGAGGAAAAAGGGAAGGCGATGGTCGGTTATCGACCAAAAGAAAATAATGTTGGTCGTATATGGAAATCCTTGGACTGTGCTCGGACGGCGAGGAACAATCTGTCATCATCGTTCAGCTAGACAGGGGCACGTCATCTTGCTTCTGCCCGTTGCGAACCGCTGAGGCAGCGAGGGAAAAAGGTGACGAGTCGTCGGCATTGGGTGTCGTGCGGCCATGCGTCAATGTAAGCTTTGTTCACCCAAATTATCGGTGCTACGCCAACGAAGACCCTGATTTCTGGAGAGTTCTGTGCGTGCGCGCGGGCATTTGGACATGTTCTGGGCTGCCGAGACAGGTCGTTGAATGCCGGAATCGGACCGGCCGCCTCGGTGAAATCACTGCGAAGGGGGCGGTCGTTGGCGGGTGAGCTTAACGTGCGATGGAGGGCTGCGCACGTTGTTTCGTGGTGGTGGTGCTTTGACCGGTTATCGGTACTTGTGGGGGGGTAATTGGGATAAGCGGGATGTGCCGTCACAATAACACGCGCGCGCCTACACCCATCGGGAAATTGTGCTGAGCGGCCTTGTCATGGCTTCGCTGGTTGGCAGAGCGGTCTGGAGGAGAAAATGAAGTGGGGATGTGTGGGGCGGTGAGAGGCAGGACCCTGCGTGAGTTCTTCGGGGGAGATTCTGGGGATTGGCAGAAGTGGTTGGGCTGAATGATCTGAGACCAGGATTGCGGAGAAAAATCAAGGTGACGTCTGTGACGTGGTGGAGTCCAACCCAGCAATCGGATTCGTCCCTCGGCGGTGGGGAAGACTTGGTTCGAGCGCGCGGTGAGATGGTGATGCGTGTTTCAGAATGCCGTGTGGAGAAGGGCTTGTTTAGACCTGGTTGGACGTCTTGCCGCCCGGCGGTTGCAATTTGCTGATGCCTTGTTGGATGTAGTTGTATTTAGCTTTTCAGCTGGATATCATTGCTTCATTTCTCTCTAAACTTTTTTTCCCCATACGTCATTCAAAATCCAGCCCAACCTCACCGATATAGCTCACCAATCACGGGCTCTCATAGACCCTTTCTCTTCTTGAACTCCGCGATCCACTCTTGCGCTCTTGCTTTGGGCACAACATTCACCTTGACCAATCCGTCCACAATCTCCACCGTGCCCCCAGCCAGCAGCTTGCCGAGCGGGACCTTCTTGCCCGCCTTGATCAGGCCACCGGAAGACGTCTCCAGGTAGCATTCGGTGCCCGCTTGGGTGTATTCGCTGTCCTCGTCCCAGGGCACGGGCAGGATGTATTCGAGGTGTTGGCCGAGGCTGTCCGTCTCGGCGCACGCCTGGATGAAGTCACTCTGCGCGTGCAGCGGGTAGAGAAGGATGAGCGGAAATGAGAGGACCGATGAAGGGTCTAGGGCCTCTGCCAGCGCAACCTTCGCGTCTCCCGTGTCTGGGTCTGCGCCTGTAGTCCGTATCTTGATGTTGCGTGCTCTGAGCGCTAATTGAAGGGCGTTCTCTTCGTTACGCTTCTTAGCCTCCCGCTCTTTACGCTTTCGCTCGGTCTCATCGAGATACTTCTTGCGTGCTGCGATCTTGGTCTTGAGAGTCTTGAGGGAAGCATTATTGGCATCAATCGCTAAACCACGCTCGCACGAGTCCTCGGCTTCGGGAATCTTGTCCAGAGCGAGAAGTGCGGTGGCGCTGCGATACCAGGCTTTTACATTTGAGGGGTTGATGAGAAGAGTTGCTTTGCAATTTTGTATGCAGGAGCGGTAATTTTCTGTTCGAGGGTCAGCCTACTGTCGCGTATAATAAATTATTTGCTGGCCGCTTATACAAGGACCAGATATAACACGGGGAATTCCGGCTGACATACTCAACTCTAGATTGCACAACGCCTTGTTCACCAGGGACGCTTCCTCAATCTGCTTCTCTTTCCGCGCTTCCTCCTCGGGATCCTGCTGCCCTTCCGCCAAATCGATGTCCGGGTCCTCGTTCAGCTCTTTGCTCTCTCCCTTCAATACGCTGAGGGCTTTGTCGTAGAACTCGCGAGCGTCGACCCACTGCTTTGCGCGGGCACATTCGTTTCCTTGCTCGCGGAAATTACCCGCGACCTCAGCCTTGGTCCCTTCGTACGCAAGCGACTTCAGTCCCTCCAGAGCTGCGTTCTCGCCGCCTTGCCCGTCGCTTTCATCTAGTGATGTCATGAAAAGCGGCGTGCGATTGAGCTCGGCCAGGAGCTCATCGGCGGTCTTGGACCTCATTTCCGTCATGGCCGGCGGCCTTGCGGCCGACGCCTTGCCGTCGGAAAGCTCCTCTGCGGCAGCTGGGCTCTTATTTTGGGTAGCATTATTGATGAGGGATTCGAGAGAGGGCACGCCACTTGGGCCGGGGCCGCTGGGGAGGTTCGGTGGCGGGTTCGCGTTAAGGTTGAGCGATTCGTCAAAGTCGTCGGGCAGCTCTTCGATCTTGCCCATGGTGGCGGTTTCGGCAGAGAGGTCGCAGGTGGGCGTCGCGGGAGATTGCGGTTAGACACCCTGAAGCAGCAGCAGCTCCAGGCTTGTACGAGGCGCGGGCGGGTCTGAGATTGGATTGGGTGCAGCTGGCGGGGCAGAGAGGCGGGAAGTGGACGAAATTTCGTTATCGATAACGTTTCAGCCTCAGGCACCGGCGGCCCTGTTCGGCGGATGCGCGAAGGATTCCGGCAGCAGCCAGCCGTGAACTTTGCCGTGCGTGACAGCGACCGGGGAAGGGCGCCTACTGCAGAGATTGGCTCCCGTCACTTGCTTTTTCTCCGGTCGTCGAGGCCCTGCGCAAGCGGCATCCCGGCATGTTCGTCGTGACGGCACCAACGCTCGATCCTCCTTCGTGCCAATGCCAGTCCCGCTGATCGTCGACCGCAGGGCTCCCGGGATTCACTGACGCAAAATGGTCTGGACGGCCGCACCCTGCCGTCACGTCGTCCCCGACGGATAACGTTCCGGCAGAGGCCAGGGACACCTTGCCCGTTGCGCGGCCACGACGACGAAATGCTATGGGGATCCGGCAGCGGTGCTATTTCGAGGCGAACAACGGTACCCTAACGGTTCATTCTCGAATGTTTCCGCAGCTAGCATAGCCTCCGCCGAGGGAGCGTGCGGCATAAACCAGCTATTTCGCGTACGCCGATAGGGCTTCCCGGCCTTGATGATATGATTCTTTTTATACCCTCCACGTTCGGGGTCCGCTAATGCACATTGCATTACGTTACGGTCGATCGCGCGAGCGCAGATCCCGGGTTCGCGGACGTTTGTACCTAGCATCTACCACGTCTATCTGGCGCAGCAAGTAGATTCCGTGTATTTGTCAACCATAAATTGGAAAGTCGCGAATCTATACCCACGCGGAGGGAGATCACTCGACCGCCAAGCTCGCGCGTCTCATGGTGATACGAGCAATTTCGTTCTCGTCAGCCGCATCGCGAATGCGGGGAGACGGGCCTGGGCTTCGTCTGCGACGGTGGCGGCTGATAGCAGCAGGCAGACGGCGTGCGATCTGCGAGCCGGTGGGCGCGCAATCTGCTGGAAATACGGCATCGCTATTGACAGCAATATGCGGCAGTGCAAGCGAGGGCATAGGGCGGGGGTCTCCAGGCTGCGTCAGCGCTCGGGCTCGCGGCGGGCTTCGGAACTGGCTCTGATAGTGACGGCAGGCTGTGATGTGACGGCGACGGCGCGTCGTGCAGCAGCTAGCAGCAGCGCCATCTCAACGCTCGAGCTCTCCCGGCACTCTGGGACGTGCAGCCGCTGCAGAGACCTCGGCCAGTGGCACACGTATCGCCGTCTCCGCTACCGGGCAGGGCGATCTGGCAGGGCCGCACGCTGCGCCGGCCGTGACGCCTCGCGACGCGATACAGGCGCGCCGCCACAACACCACGGCTCGAGGAGCGCGTCGACAGGGGCACCAACGGCGGCGCGCCCCGTTGGCCGTGCCTTTTAGCCAGTGTCCGGCGGCCGCCCTTCCGCCCAGCTGGCGGTGGGGCTAGCGACGGGGTCCTGCGTTGGTCTGCGGGCCATTTCCAGCGGTGCTGCGGCGGCGCGGGTAGGCTGCCCCTGATGAGCGCCACCCTTGCACGGGCGCGCCCACTGCGGAAATCTTCACTCTCCAGGCTGGCGGGCCGCGCGCTGCTCGCTGCACCTCAACGCTCGCTGCAATTTCGATTCGGCCGCGCCCCCCATTCGCGCCCGCGCACGCCCGCCCATGGCAGCTGCAAGCTCCCCTGCCACGCCGGCGCAGCGCCAGGGAACCCCCCAATAAACCGCCATGGATCAGCAGCTCATGCCCGTCATGCCCGCACCTCTCCTCACGCACCCAAGTACCTCCCCACGCCGCCATCCGAGGCCAGCCTGCACGACCCTCTCTTTCCCGACCACGTCACATTCTCTCGTCCACGGTTCGCATTTGCTTCTCGTCCTTTTCCGCGACTTCTCCAATGCACTGCCGTCCTTAGCGTGTCTCTTCGTCTCGGCCTAGTAGCCTCGTCCGCGTCTCCGCAAATACATGTACGCCCTCTCGCGCCGCCTCTTCTTCACGCGTGCAACCCTCCCGCCGAACCTCACACCACCCAGGCCGCGCCCGATCTCCGTTCTACCAGTGGCGCCTGCTGACAGTTCCGGGGTAGCACAGCATTGACTTCCGCTCTGCATAATTGGCGCCTCTGTCTCTCCACTCATTGCTGCTCTGGCACCCCGCAGGCACCGTCATCTCAGAGCCGCACGTTCATAAAGGCTCCTGTTACTACTGCCACCACCACCGCCCAAACCTCGGCAATTTCCGTTCCGTCGTTTCAGCTTGCATTGAAAGGACTTCTTGTACACACAAGCTTTCCTCTCAGAAAAAGTATGTGAAGCACGCGTCACTTGCTCGGCGGCAGGGACTCCCTGCCCTATAAGGCCGACCGTGCTAACCTTGAGAGCAGTCATGTTTCAGGCTCGCTAAAGTCTTGGGAAAGTCCAAATTGCACTTGTAGCGGGACGTGATCGATACTCCCTATTAGGAGCGCTGCCGCCTCGACAGCTCTCCCGCCGTCACCATGGCGACCGAATACTTCTCCGATCAGGAGTCTTCGATCGCGGCGAACTCGCTGTCGGAAACTCCATTCATGACTCCCCAACCTTCGAGGTCACGACGCTCGTCTCGCCATGGGACCCCATCGTCTAACGGTGACCTATCGCAAGCGTCACCGTTGCCGCCGGCTTCCGACTGCACCTCGGACGACCCCGCAAACGACGAGAACATCTCCATGCTGGATCCCCGCCGCTTCACCCCGACGTTGCACGCCAATCTCGTCGCAGAGATTCTCAATTTGCGGCGAGAACTCGACTCCAAGCACCGCGTCATCGAGGACCTTGAGACCAACCTGCACTCGACGCAGGAGGAGAACGAGGTGCTCAACGACAAGCTATCGTCGAGCTTGAGAGAGAGCCGGAACGCCAGACGTCAGATCCAGCAGCTGGAAACCGGAACTCTCTCCGCCCTCGAGGAATTGGCCAAGGAGCGAGACCAATTCAAGGCCGACAACGAGCAGCTCAAGAGCAAACTCGAAGCGTCTCAGAAAAAGGCCAAGAGTGAAGGTGATGCGTCAGATCGCACGCAGGACCTTTGGCAAAAAGACAAAGATGCCTGGGACAACGACAAGCGATCTCTAGAGCGCCGGCTTCACGTCACCGAAACCCGATTGAAAGCCGTCCTCGATGAACTAGCAGCGCAGCAGGCAGCAGCCGAAGCTCAGGCCCAGGGAGAGCCCGCGGGCAGCAAAGACGCCACGAACGGGCACGAGAGCGACACGGCCAGCGTCCAGTCTTCGCCAAAGAAGGGTCGCCACAGGCGGAACGAGAGCAGCGGCAGCGCGAGAAGCATCCGGAGCTTCGGTCCTCGCGGCTACCGTGCATCCATTCTCACCATCGGCTCCGAAGCACATGTGAAGCTCTCGAACGGTATCAGCCTCGCAGACGAGCTGGCCTTTGACGAAGAGGACGAAGATCTCGAAGACCTGGAAACGGATTCCGACGACTATACCGAGCACGAGATTCGCGCGCGGAAGCTGATGGAGGCCAGAGCATCTTCCGTGCCCGACGAAAAGGCGCGCAAGATGCTCGGTATAATGATTGACAAAGACAGGACCACGCCGACGCCGAGCGAGCCCGACAGGGATATGTCTTACTCTTTCGACGACACGGCGCTGCTCGACCCCGCCCACCGTCCAAAACACCAGCAGTCCTTCGATACCATTGTCCCAACGCAGTTCGAGCCGAAGATCGAGCCGGAAGACGTGGCCAACGTTGAGCAGAAGCGCGTCGAATACGTCGACACCGGGGTTCAACCGTCTCCACCACCATCTCCCAGGGTGACCGCGCAGCAGATTGTGGCTGCGAGGAGCAGCGGCCACATCATGGCCGCCATGGATGTGGAGGCGAACCAGAGGAAGAAGCGCGTCTCCGCGCCTCCTACCGAGGGCCAGAAAGAGAAGGAGCCGGCGGCGTCTCAACGAAAATCGGGACTGATGGTCTCAACATCGTGTCAGACCCTGAGCCAGCCGTTGAGCCCTCCCGAGACGCCGACGGTCGTGCTTCCCGAGCCCGCGGCCGAGCCTGAAGCTCCGGCTCAGGCACCGCAGATGGCTTCGACGTCTACGCAGACGGAACCGCTGGCGGATCCTCGGCCACAACCGTTGCCCGAAGTCGTAGTCGAGCCCCCTCAGTCCCCGCCTCGGACGTCGGCTCCCGCGCCGATTGCCATTCCGCAAATCGCCATCCATCCCCCGGGATCTACTCCTGGATCTCCCAAGCATGCTGTGCTCCCTCCGAATACCAAGAGCGCCGGCTGCCAGACCGATTCCGAATTGCCTAGCAACATGCGCGATTCCGAGGTACAGACCGATCCCATTATGATCGACCAGCGAGTTGCCAAACTCCCACCTCATCTGCTGCCTTCGGCCATCTCCTCGAAGCCAGGAACGCCTAACAAGGAGGAGCAAAAGGCCCAGCCCGTGCTCGCTAAGCCCTTTGAGGAAAAAGGAAAGTCTCCCTTGCATACCTCCACGCAGGAGTTGCTCAAATCACTGCGCTCCAAGTCCATCCAGGCCACTCAAGACAAATACCCTGGCAATAATGATAACGGGCCCCTCACACAAGAGAGCACTGACGGCATAAGGCGACCATTCAGGACCAGCAGCTTGTTCGCCGGCTTCGACGGGGCAAGTTCCGACGAGGATGCAGCCGATGAAGAAGCATCGAGTGACGAAGAGGGGTACAGCGGTCATGCAGTAGTGATCAGAGCAGTCAAATACGGCCGCATGTTCACCAAGCCTCCGACGCCGGTGCCAGAAGAGAAGGAGCCCAATTCCAAACGATCCTCGTACGAGAAGCGCTCTTCGGTCGAGAAACGGTCTTCTTACGAAAAGCCGGCCAAGGTTGAGAAACCCATCAGGGCCGGGTCCATTCGCAAGCAGCCGAGCGTGCGTCGCTCCGCGCTGCTCCAGAGTGGCATCGCCGCCCACGACCGGCCAACCCTCGTGGAAGCAGGTTCCAGCAAGACGCTCTCGACGCCCAAACCGCCGCCGTTCCCCGTGCCGACGAGGTCGAGCTCCAGGAAATTGCCGCTCAGCAAGAGCGAGGGCTCGCAGAGCCCGACACCACGCAGCAACATGTTCACGAACCGCCGCTCGCGCCAGCAGCAGCAGCACGCCAGGCAGGACAGTCTGCGCAAGGTCCGCTCCGCAGCAGTCATCCGCCGCGACGGTCGTCAACGAAGCAGATCCCCGCCCCCGCCCCAGCCCCAGTCTGCTCTGACCTCTCCGGACGAGCCAAAGGACGCACCGCCGCTGCCCCGCGACCGCGTTACTTCTCCATACCAGGCATATGCTTCACGACATCCCGGCCGCCAGCCGTCGGTCAGCACCGGGGTCAGCACGGCAGTCAGTTCCGCCGTCACGAACAGCAACCAATCGACGAGCTCCGTCCAGTCGATCAGTGTCGTCGATGCCATCGCGGGTGCGATGGTCGGCGAGTGGCTGTGGAAGTACGTTCGTGGCCGCAGATCTTTCGGGGTGGCTGATGCTGTGACACCGGAATTCGGGAAGGACGATGGGACCGGCGGAAGCAGCGTGAGACACAAGCGCTGGGTCTGGATCTCGCCCTATGAGCGGGCTATAATGTGGAGCAGTAAACAGCCCACGTCTGGCACCGCACTGATGGGCAAGACGGGTCGGAAGTGTAAGTTGCTGTCACCAGACTCGAATCGTCCATACTGACTTTTTTTTTAGTGCAAATCCAATCCGTCCTCGACGTCAAGGACGACACTCCTGCACCGCGGGGCGTCGGCGCCCAGCCCATCTTCAACCGATCCATCCTCATCCTGACTCCCGCACGCGCGCTGAAGTTTACCGCGCCTTCGGCTGAACGCCACTACCTGTGGCTCACCGCCCTCTCATTCCTCGCCCACTCCTCGCAAGCCATGCCCGACCTGAACCAGCTTCCAGCCGCACCTACCGAGGAGTCGCCGCAAACCAAGCGTTCCACGGCAGCTCTAGGCCGCCGACCCATTACCAACTCGGTCCGCCTCGCCAAACAGAATCAGGGCGGAGCGAAGGGCTACATCAATCGCGCAGAACCGATTTACGAAGGTCAGGCCGCCCAGTCACCCGTTTCCGAGGCTGCAAGCCCGCCTGTCATACATCGCCACGGCCGCAAGAGGAGCATGACATCTCCGAGACAGGCAGCCATTCCGCCCCCTATTCCGAGCAACCCATTCACGCGTAGCTTCTCGCAAAACAGCGTGCACAGCGTGCACTCCACATCTGCTGTGCCACCGCCGATCCCAACTTCTTCGTACTCCTCGGCAGCTTCTAGCGTCGGTATGTCCGAGATGTACTCGCCGGGCGGGGCCAACATTCCTCCCTCGGTGCCAAGCAGCATCTACAACCCGAGCCGACGCACATCCGAGGCCAGCAGCAGCGCGGCCACTGCTTCGGGAATGCGCCGTGAGTTCGACGCGTTCGCAGGCACGGTGCGCATGGAGGCGTTCGTCGAACCACGCCTCAGCCTCAGTCAAATCCCAGGTGGCGGCTTCCCCGGGTTGGCACCCACCTTCAAGGAGAAGTCGGTTGCGCGACAGTATCGCAAGAACAGCCAGTACTCCATCAAGAGCGGAATGTCGGGTTCGGACTTGCCGAGCAGAGCACCGAGTCAAGCGAGTGGCAAGTACTCGAGCGAACACGGAAGCGATCTGTTCAGGGGCTTTGGGTAAGCGAAATCTATTCGCAGCTGACGAAAGATGAAAAAGTAAGAGATGTTTTGGATTCTTATTACACGGATTTCTCTCGCAAGCGGCGCCGCATGGTTCAGGGCCGGGACGGAATGACCGGTGACCAACATGAATCGGATGGCTCCTCCACCATGATGCGTGGCATACCACGCTCTTTGCGGCAAACGCTCTTTTACGCCGTCCCACGCGTACCGAATGCTCTGAAATGACGCTCGGTGGTGTAACTCACGCTCCCTTCTTGTCTCTCCTGTTTTGCCGTTTCGAACGGCTTACCATTGTTGATCTCTGGCACGAGCCGTAGACGACTGCAGTACGGGCCGAACGGCCACAACTTTCCTACAATACGCGACGACTTCATGGCGATATGGATCGCACACTTTGCACCCCCCAACAAAAGACCGCAAGACGGCCTTTTCTGCTCTCTCCATTTATCACACACATCTACTCTGGCTTTCTCTCTACTACCTTGCAACTACCGCCTGCCTGAACATTTTGCTCAATTCGCTTCCATCTACTTGCGACTCTTACTTGCCCGTTATATACCCGTTTATACCCGAACCGATATGGCAGGCAGTTAGTGTCTATTGTGTATTCTTTGATCCGTACCATTGTTCTAATCTGTCGTTTATACCAGGGAGGTATCTCCTCCAATGTTCAGGGTTTACACTTGTATTTGTTTTTCTGAGGTGATGTATCCCTGGCCTCTTTGTTAAAGTTTTTCGGATGTTTGAAACCATACGTGGACGGGAAATGCAGGATAGGAGGATCAGCAGTTGATTGGATGGAGCATGGGAATGAATATGTCAATTTTGTACGTGGCATGTAGTCTTTGCCTAATTCTGCTAAATGGAACTACGGCAATTCAATTCAATATGCGCAACTCAAAAAGTGCTTTCCCGGTTAGACAAGGGCTTCGTGCCCAAGTGAGCCTTAATATTCGCTCAGATCCATGTACCGGCAGCTGGTTTGCTAATCGTTCATTAGTCTGAGATATCTCCGAGACATGGATTCTGCTGACGTCTGGTTAAAGGAGAAGGCCTAGGGGGGATATTGGGAAGTGGGGCAGGAGGATTTGCACATCGTGGGGACGGGAACGCAATCATTCAATCTATCTGCCGCGCACCCTCGTGTGGCCGGACCTCTTCAGTCTCCGCCACACACGTACATACGTACGCAAATGCCCAAGAGGCCTCCGGGCAACGCGATTGGGTGCGATCGTGGGCTCAACGCACGGTACCCGCGCCTATTTATACGATCCGTGAAATAGGAGGATCGTGGTGATGATCCCCGCTCCAAGTACCGGTGATCCTACCGGGGCTTGCCGCCGGGCTGTGTTTTCTTTTTCTTCCTCTACGTGCGCACGGAAAGTGGAGACTGTTGTTTTACTTGGCCCGGAGTCATCCACGCGCTCTTCAATAAAATCTATGAACTCATTTGCCCCCCGCAATAAATTGACATGGTTGGTTGAGAAAAAGGGGAAATATTCCAGGTAAGTAGCCTCCTATTTTAGCCTCTTCGGAATGAACCGTCCGCTCCGGGGGACCCAAGAGCATGGTACTTAGATGGATTGCTAGCGGAGGGGGGAAATCCTAATGTGTACATAAGTCAGTAGCTTACCGGAGGATGCTCCGCACGTGGTGTTGGTGGCTTGCCCTGCGTTGCGGCCGGATATCGGGATGGCGTGCCATGTGCATGACCTCTTTTTTGTTTCCCTGTCTCGCGACCCTTGCACCTTCAATTCTCGGGATTGATGAGGCGAGATCAGAGGATGGTTTTAGCACCCGGGAATAATAATCATGGGCTGAGAAAGTGTTACTTTTTCCTTCTTTGGTAGGTGGGGCGATAGAAGTTTGTGTTGGATGGCGCTGCCGATCGCTCGCCAGTTGGGCATGAACGCTACGCGCGAGTACTGCTTGATTTCTACAAGAGGAACTCGTTGCGGGGGAGGGTGGAGAGAATTTTGTCTACTGACCTCAGAAAGTGGCTCTACCGGGGGTCGAGAATCATGGGATCGCCGGCCGGGATGAATTAGTTTGTTAGCGGCTGGAAGTATGCATGGAAGAGCTGCTTACCGCTTCGGGAAGTGTGATTGGCTATCACGAACCAGTGGCGTTTTTGGGTCCCGCCAAGGAGCTTGCTCTAGTGAGTTTGGATGGCTTGCTCCATGACATGTAACGGCGCTAAGCCGCCTGCGAAGCGATCACTCACTAACGGCCGCCGGCGTTGCGCGAGTTCGAGGACCTCGGTTTGGAGTCCTCTCGGAGGTTGAACGTAGCATTCGTATCGACCTTCCATTTTACCTTTCTCTCCTCCACCTACTGCGAGACTAGCAAGGAAACGAAGGCTTGGTACTTACATCGTATGTAGCCGCTAGAGCATTTACGTATCTTGAACTCAAAAATCAATGAGCGTATTCGCCAGTTATAGTTTTACAGTTGGTGAGCACGAGAACAATATGATTGATACTAAGCTCACTATCAAAGGTAACTCAGATAGGGCCATTCTCGGCAGTATGGAGACGGGAATACGTGCATATTCGTCATGATAAACGTTTGCTAGACGACCCGTTTATAAACTTATCGATAATAGCTTAAAATGCTTTTCGTCTCCAAGATGCTTATCAGTAAACTTGCAAGAATACTTTATCAGAAATGCGACAGATCAAAAATGCGACAGGATGTCGGTTAGTAAATGCGGCAAATGGTGGTAGTGCCTATTGAGCAGACTAAGCTAAACCTGATCGGGAAGAAGTAGAGGGTTGATAGCAATCATGGGCAAACCAAGCGGACGGCAACCTATTGGCTTTGAGGCAAAGCATACCCGACAGACTGCTTGTCTCCTTATCGTATGAAGATAGAAGGTGGCCAAGCTATTTGAATGAAGTCACGACTGCGGAGCGAAAGTCCAAAATGGGATGGAGAGTCTCTTTTCCATCTTCCAAGAGCAAAGACTGGAAGACCGTTGATCCTTCGTGAGAAAAATTGAGCAGCCTTAGCGAAGCGATGGAGCGAGAAAGAGCAAGTGACTCTGGCAAAGAGGAAGCCCCGGATCGCCTCCCCCCCTCAGTCCACAGATCACGGACACGACATATATGTGCTGCACACGCCAATGAACCATCAATTCGGAGTGCATTAAGGTACCTATTTTGCCATTAAGATACTTGTTAAGCGGCGTTGTGTAGTAAGCAACGGGAACTACCACTCCATAATTCTGCATTACTATGAATGTTCTACCCATACCGGCCGATGTTTTACCTGAAAGATACCTCTGTCAATCCTGTCATTATAGATTATGATAAAACCAGTGGTTTTTTTTAAAAAAAAAAATAAAAAACAAATGCTGGCCTAGATCATTGACGGGAAAGTATTTTGACAAGTTTGTGTTAAACAAACAGCATGGCGGATTATATTTTGCTAGGCCTCTTTTCTTCCATTCATTTTGATTTATTTTTCAAGCCTACCCACCATTCTGCGAGAACTAATGAAACGGGATTAAATTTATGAGGATGAAATCAACTCAATTGAGGATTCATTCTGGAGTGGTTAGTTATTATACCGTCCGTGATAAGCTGGAGCTTTCGGATTATCGTTCACCATAACAGGTTCACCCAAATCTACGTATTCTTGGCGTGGCGATGATAGATGGTGTCATAACAAATTTAGCGGCAGGGTTCTCGGTCGCTGTAACCTGTGCTTTGCTAAATGTAGCAGGTAGTATTTAAAAATGAAGTAAAAAGTAGAAGATGACTTCACATAAGAATAGAAACTTTTAGCGGCAGTGATAACGCAAGCGGGAGTTTTATGTATAAAGGACCCTTTACAGGTTAATTTAAGGAATGAAGATCTAGGATCAAGTTAAGTTTGCCTTTCCTCCGTGGAAGAACGATATAATATACAATGCGGATTTTGAGGATAGATAGAATCAGATATACATTTACTAGCTGTCGAGAAGGATTATTTTGAAATATTACATGACAAGTAGCGCTATAGCAGCTTCTTGAAGAGCTACAACAAGGTCCGAGTAGCGATCCGTATTGAGGGAATGGTAAAATACAGATTCATAGCAAATATTACCAGTAGTGTCAGCTCTATGTAGCCAGGAGGCATACGCCAGACTCGGCCGCGCTTCGCGGAAGCCAGGCAATGGACTTCATCAGTAATCCCGACACCGTTAGTAGCTCGAGTTGCTTCCAGCACCTCCAGCACCTCCATGCCGTTTAACAGTTAAAGCGCTTTTATTCGGTAGAGCTCTCAAATTATTATAAAAAACAATGTTGTTGGCAGAGCTTAGTCGGATATTTTTAGTACATTTCGTATTATATAGTATTATCACGATGAAGAGCCTTCACCGTAGTAAACATGTCGCCACGCATGGCGCTGATTATGTCCTCCTGCATTGGAGCGGGCAACAGACTTTTTTGAGAATCTTTTCAGGTCACGGAAATCGGCCACGATCATTGGCTTCTTCATACACGCTCCGTCCTTTTTTGCTAATTATCCGCAGGTCTGAACTGCAGTGTGGGAACATGTGGTACCTGCAAGACTCGATTCGTTTGATACATTCATGGTCACCGTATGTTAGATGCGACCGCTGTTGAATATTTTGAATTAAAGGTCCGTTGTAGTGTTTATAAAACTCGTAAAGTTTTTTTATGAAGAAGAAACAAAAGCAAGGAAAACAGTTTCGAAAATATAAACAGAACTTCGACGCAGCTGCGTAATGTACAGCCATTCAGCGTGTCTATTTCATAAGCGTTGACAAATGGGATCAACTAAGCGACATCAGCAAAATTCCTTTTCTATTGACAGCTGCTAACCAAGTAGTTAGTACAATATAGAGAGGTATCGTAGCCGACAGCTAGCATGAAGAATAGTAAGGTCCTACACAACTATGTATGCCTCAGCTCTTTCTTAGAAAGATAACATATGTGTCCGGACGTGTATGTATAATTATTAATTCGACATTTACGTCCGGACGATAGCTTCAGATACCCATATTTTTTTTTTTGGCGTACGGCTTGCACTGCAAAAGAGGCCGTACTATTGCTGAGCTGGACAACGACTAAACAAGGCATCACAACTGTAGAAGATTCGAGCTCGCCTTTTCCTATGAAGCACACATCCGACATAAATGTGAGCTTGAGCCTATTATGCAAATCCACCCAGACAGTGATTGGATGACTTCCCATGTATTCGAAGGAAAGTTTCGACAAAGCTGAATCATGGCCACCCACTGTATCTACCAATGAGAATCGACATGTTCTGCATCCACATCGACAAAGCCGCTGCTGCTGCCTGATGGAACGTCAGGCGAATCCTTCGACGATCTCCAAGGTGTCAGCAGGCGCCCCCACCCGCTCGTCCTCTCATAAAGGACCCTTCGAGCCCCCTCTTCAAGCCCTGAAAAGGACAACAAGAAAGAGAAAAAGCAGTTGCCAACCGCCATGTCCGACCAAGTACGCAGCCCGTCCCGATCCCCCCCCCATCCAAAACTAACAGCAACCCCCCTCCAGCCTTCCACCACCACGACCACCACCACTTCCACCTCCTCCTGCACCTCCTGCGTCCGCCTCCCCTCCCCCGGCCGAACCCTCAAACAAGACCCAACCGGGGCGGGATGCCTGCACCTCGGCAGTGACGGGGTCCTACGCAGTTACTCTGGCGACGGCGCCGTGCTCGACCATCGACAACTGTCGCCGGCGCAGATAGCCGAGCACGTCGCGGTTTTCCGCGCGACGGGGGTGTATGACGCGGAGCAGATGGCGCAGATCGAAGCCGGGTACCGCGGCGCCGATGGTCGTGATGTCCCGCTCGAGCGGTGCGTGGAGCCGGGGGATGAGCAGAGGCCGGTGCATTTGAGGGGGAAGCAGAAGAAGGCGGGGGAGGAGTGAGGAATGAGGAATGAGGACCGACGTGAGATGAAGAAAGGCCTGAGAGTAATAAGGTGCCAAGTCCCTATGTTGAGATGATGCGTTCTGTTTCAATCCAAGGCGAAGCGGCGAGGGGTGAGGAACTCGGGCGGAGGAGCGGTGTGAGACAGCCTTTCGAATCGATACGCATCTTCCGGGTCCTGCGGCGCCTTCTTGGCCGTCATGCCGAGCAGGTGCGGCTTCAGGCCGTGGCCGAAGTTGATCATGCACCAGGTAGACGCGACGAGCGTCGAAGCGGTGAGGATCAGCGACACGACGGCGAAGAACATCATTTCGTCCTTCATGATCGTCTTCGAGCGCGGGCCGTCGCCGACGAGGAGGATGATCCGGCTGACCAGGTAGGCCACGCCGCCGGCGTATACCAACTGAAGGATGCGTGTATCAGGTTGACTGGTCACGTTGGTGGGAGTTTCCAAACTTACGATGGAGATCAGCATGAAGAACCTGTTCTCGTGCCTTGCTGCAAAGGCTGAGAGAAGGATCTGGAGCATGGCCACCGGTATGATGGCCATGGTGAGGGCGAACTCGGGTTGTTCATAGTGCACATCGACGAAGCCGTAGATGATGACGAAAGAAACGAGGAAGTAAAAGGACAGTTTCATCAGGACCAAGAATACCTGGAGCAAGTGAGCATGGGGATCTGTCGGGAGGTCCGGATAGTGTTACCTGATAGATCAGATACCGAGTCCTCAGGCTCGTGTCGGCGTTGATGTCCTTATACAAGGCCCAGGCAAACTGTTTGTGGAGCTTGTAGGCTAGACCGCACATGGCCACGCTGCAGGCGGCAAAGACGGCGATGAAGGCGATCAAAGCGGGGTGGATCTGGGCCCATATGTTGACGTCCAGCTTGACCAGCGGCTTGTTCTGCGCATCGTGGTTCGGTGGCAGTCCATGCACCACGTCCTTGACCTGCTCGTACTGCAGGACGGCTGATATGAAGAGGCAGACATTACAGACGGCCTGTGCGAACAGCTGGATGTTGTTCTTGCTGCGGAGCGAGTCCCACGCCAGCAGAAACTGGTAGACGACGCCGAAGACGAAGATGGCAAAGGTGACGGGAATCGTGTATGATCGCGCGACCTGATAGACGTTCGGGTTCACCCAGCGCAGATAACGGTCCAGGACATAGCTGCAGAGAGCGGTGAGAACAGGACTCAAGGACGGGGTGCCCGGACTGACAGCTGGATCGCGGTATTCACGCCCGCTTGAGTGGCCGTGGTGCCCAGAAAGGCCCACTCCGACTTCGTCTGTGGTTTGAACATGATGGAGCGGATGGGTGCGCGCCCGGGCTTACGCGGGCTAAAGATATATATAGCCAACACGTGCGCGGGATACGAGGGATCCGCTTATTTAGTGCTGAGTAGCGCCTGAGGCCACTGCTATGTATACGCAGCGTTGCGTCCAGCTCGTCGAAAAACGAAGAGGGCTGCGTAAGCCGGCAGCGTTGCTGTGGTTGAGCTGTACAAGAAAGGAAATCTCCTCAACGATGGAAACAGGAACCCCCCTCCGCATGCCAATCTAAAAAGCGTAGGTCGACCGGGATTCCCAATGTCGATCTCCCTGACGTCGGCATGCGGATACCGAACCAGCCACAATCGTCGAGCTCCAGACCCTCTGATGTCTCATGGCTTGCGACTGTCTCTGTCTCGATGGCGACTGACTGCTCAGGCTTGCGACCGTGACTCCCCTGCCACGTCATCCCTGCTTGGTTTTCTTCGAAACTGACACCGCCATCCTATCCGATTGGTCCCCGGCCTCCCGATCTTCAGCCAATCCACGCTCAACAGTGGTTCGGGCTTCCCGCCTTGGGCTCTCCATTGGTATTTAGTCTCCATGTGAAGAGATTTACGCCGCCTGTAACCACCGTCCTTCGCAAAAAACTCCGTCCTCAGGAGCGAAACGGCCCTCACTACTTGCGATGCTACCCTCCTTCGAGCTGACGGCTGACACTTGCCCGTATTCGTACCGTCCTGTGGCTGTCCGAATGGTGCAACGGCGTAGCACGCACGAAACGCCGCTTCACATGCGCCGATTGCACGCCCGCTTGCTGCGATCATTCGATCCGCCCATCGTCTCTCGCATGTCATGCAACTCATCACTTTACGCGTAAGCAAGGAGTGCTTGTCGCATTGCCGAAAAAGGAAATCAAAGTCACATGCGATATGCGGGTTCCCCAGTTCTTCTCCACTTTCCTCGTAAAGCAAAAACTCACGCACAGAGCATCCGCATAACGTGATATTAACCATTTTTGTTTTATATTCTGTCGAGTGAGCTGTCGAGTAAGCTATGGCTGCCATTTTTTTTTTCTTTTCGAGAATTCGAAGGGTTCGACTTCATGTACCCACATAGCTATGAAATGCTTGCGGGACTTCAGCTCAGATGAGGTGAGCTTTTTTCTTTTTTTGATCCTCCCGTTAAACGCCGGTTTAAGCAATCGAGTCTCGGTAATCAGCTCCTATGGACGGTTGTTCATAGAGTGCTAGCTCAACTCCGCGCACATGATAAAGTGCGCAGAGGACTTGGTCGTTCACCAAGTGGTGGGAACCTGGGGGAACTCGTTCTTGCTGAGCTTCAAGTCATCGAAGACCGTGTCGTTGCCGTGAAGGTGCTCGACCCGCAGCTCATCCTCATGCTCTAGCTTCTCTAGCTCCTCCCGTGGCTCTTCCTTGCCCTCCCTCTGGTCCTTGGACTTGGGATCGAGCGCGTGTCCGAAACTGTCGTCCGTGCCCTCTCCGATGAGCAGGATCTGAACGTTGTCGTAACTTAGGTATTGCGGCTTCGCCGACACCCAAGCAAGGCCACGGAACTCCTCGATAATCCTACAGGACGCGTCAGTTTGACTGCATGCAGCTCGAGAGAAATGACACCTACTCCTTCGGGAAATTGGGGCCCTGCGGGAGCTGGGCGCTGGCAGGTCCCTTTCTCTCCGGGTTCTTGACACTCATGACGAAACTGCCCTGGTTCCGGAGACCCAGTTCCTTCTGGACATCACCGATCTCAGTCGGAATCGTGAGCATGTAGGCAAGATGGGAGCTCCTTCCGGTGTCCGTGATTGCGTAGACACCCTCGCCAATCGGAGTTGTTGGAGGAACCTCGCGAGTGCCCTGAGTCTTTGTCTCGTGGGTGGCACCCGCAAAGAAAGTCTCCTTGAGATCTTTGATGGTGATCTTGCCCTTCTCGGCGAATGCCATGAACCTATCGCTGTGGCTCTTCGGGAATACCTTCTTCGGAAGCGCGAACAGCCTATTGTTCTCGCTGTCCTCGATCGGTGCTGCTTCAAGCTTGGTGCCCTTGGGAACAGGCCGAAGGACAAAGTATGTCCGCTGCAGGTCCTCCGGGCCTTCGGCATCTTCGATTCCCACGCGCTTTCGGGTAAAGAAGTAAATGACACCTTTTTCAATAATGCTGGTGGGAATCTTTTGCTCGCGCTCGGTGTCTTCCTTGACAGCACCACCTGCAGTCGACCGTCAGTCGGGATCAATTCACTGTTACTCGACGGGTACTTGCCCGTTTTGGTGGAGCCCGGCGCCTCGCCCTCCGGTTTGGCAGCTTCTTTCTCATCCGAGATCTGTTTGCCGTTCTGATCCGCCTCCTCACCCTTGCTCTCGGCCTTCTTATCAATGCCTTCGACTGCCTTGCCCGCCTCGATCATATCGATATCATCGGGAGCACCGGTACCTTCAATGGTTTCTTCCAGGGTCTTTTGCTTCTTCTCGGGCTCGGCTTTCTTTGCGCCACGGCCCTTGGTGGGTGAAGCCGCATCGGCCTTGCGCTTGGTACCCTTGGGCGAGGTCTGCTCCTGCTCGACCGTCGGCTCGTTGTCGCCCTTTTCGGCGAGACGAGCAGACTGCCTGGTGGAGGAAACCATATTGACAGAAATTCGAAGTGTGTGGGGGTTGATGCTCGGCTCAATCGCTCAGCGACGATGAAATGAAGCTTCCTGAAGCTGCACTGCGATGGGGCAATGCGATTGACAGAGTTGTGAGGGACGTAGAGGAAAGTTGGTAGAGCGCAAGCGGTTGGAGCTGCTAAAGAGGAGCTGTACCGTGACGCGCCGTTTTAGCTCCAGCGCGTCACTGACGTCATCCAATCGCAACGCGTCTTCCCGCGTCTCGGGCGCCTGCTGGTTCCAGCCAGCCTCTAGCCATGTCGAATGCATCGTACATGCTTGCACGTGAGTGCTCATGCAAAGTCTAGATGCGCAGCTCACGGATGGCGGGATTCGAGCGAAGTGGCTGGCCCGTCCAAACCCCGCTCTGCTACCATCACCCTCAACAAACCTGGACTTGGAGATGTGTAAAAGGCCGTAATCGCGTAATTTGCGTAACCTATCCTAATTTGTCTATGAAAATCTTCTCTTTTTCCGGTCCTCATGACCGTTAATAGGTATCATATACTTGCGGAAGTGATGCAAATGTCCCCGGATGCCTGTTCCTGGCGGCCTGTCCGTCTTCAGTCGTCAATTGGCGGCAAACCCATGCATAAAGTCCTCAATGCCGTTCCCCACACCCTCGGGGCTCGGCTTCTTCGCGCACACATCCGGCTCGTACCCGCACTTCACGAGGTAATCTCTCGTCGTCGGTCCAATCGTCGCGATGCACGTCCTGAGCCCGCCCTCCTCCAGCGGCGTCTTCGCGCTGCCCTCCCCCTTCCCCAGCGTCTCCAGCATCGCCTTGCCGCCCGTGGGCGAGAAGACAACGACCCACTGCTGCTCCGCACCCGCCTGCCGGTTGCCCGCGACGACGGCGGCAAAGTCCTGGCGGAACGACTGCATCTCGGCCGTCTCGTAGACGACGACCTCGTCGACGGCCGTGTAGCGCTCGGCCGGCAGGTCCGGCGCCTGCAGCGTCTTGGGGATGATGTCGCGGCGCTGCTCGCCGACGAGGAACAGGATGGGCAGCTTCTCGAGAAGGTCCGCCTTTCTCTTGCCGCCGGCGCCGCCGAGCGCCGGTGGTGGTGGCACCCGCCGGTTGTAGTCGTCCAGTATGATCTTCGCCAGCACCTCGCCGTTGCCGCTCTCCTCGCCGAGAATGGGACACTGCAGGCCCAGCGCGCGCAGGCCCCGCGCCGTCGCGGGGCCGACGACGTAGAGCGGCAGCGAGGCGGGCAGCAGCGCGTCCATGTCGTGCTGCTGCTGCTGGGCGCCGCCCTCGCGCCGCAGGTCCTGCACCACCTGCGTGAAGGCCTCGACGGCGCGCTGCGACGTGAAGATGATGGCGCCGTACTTGGCGTGCTGCGCGCCCGTGAAGCCGCCGTGCGCAATGTCGGCGCGCAATTGCTTCAGCGCGTCGGCCCGGAAGCGGTGCTCGAGGACGGGGACGAAGACCGGGTCGTAGCGGCCGTCGCCCGCGGCGGCGAAGAACTCTTCGTAGCCATCCGTCGGCGTCGACTTGGTCTTGAGTAGCACGACGGGAACCTTGCGGTCGGACGGGGCAGCGGCATTGAAGGCGGCGGCGGCGGCGGTAGCACTCGAGGAAACGCTCATGGTGAAGGGACGCAAAAGAGGGACAGAGGCATAACTCTCCCAGTCCAGCCTTGAGCAACGAAGAAAAAGAGCGACCCCGCGCGACCCTGTGTCGTGGGAGAGAGAAAACCCGCCAACAACCCCAGCGCCAAGCTGCGCTCACAGCTTTCTCAGCTCTGATCTTACTCGGCAGCACCCGGCAGCGGGCGTCATTCCGCAAGGGCAACCCCGGTCCGTCTGCGCGCGCGCAGAGAGGACGACGACTGCCCCGGAAGCACGGACAACCGGGTGCCTGCTCTCTTGGATCAAATCGGGCGACTCTCTTACAAATATTCTTCTTTTTCCTTCTTTCCTTGCCATGCCTGTGACCTCCCTCGAGGTCCCCATTCTCTCCCAATTCCTGTGTGTCGTAGAGTCCAGAACAGGCATGCCGGCGCAACCACTCGACACGTCCCTTTCCCGGGCCTCCAACACCAGCAACGATGACACCCAGGATGCGCCCAAGAAGCTGCCGAAAGGCGTAGTGCTTGGCCCGGACGGGAAGCCGTGAGTGAACCACCAGAGCGCGCGCGCATACGCGTGCAAGTCGCTGACCACACAATGTCCCACCTTCACAGTTGCCGCACCTGCACGTCCGTCTCTTCGTGGTTCGCCATGGCCAAAGAAAAGACCAAGAATAGCAGCAGCTCCAGCGCTTCCACCTCCACCTCCACCGCCGCCGCCGCCCTCGCCGCAGCAAGCGCCGCCGCCGCAGACCAACAACCGCCACGCGACTGCCCCCCGGACGTCGAGCAGCTGGGCCGCTCGTCCTGGACGCTGCTGCACTCCATCACGGGCAACTACCCGGCGCGGCCCTCGCCGCAGCTGCAGGCCGACACGCGCCGCTTCATGTACACCTTCGCCAAGCTGTACCCGTGCTGGACCTGCGCCGAGGACTTCCAGCGCTGGCTGCAGGACGACCGCAACGCCCCGCGCGTGAGCTCGCGCGACGAGTTCGGCCGCTGGATGTGCGAGGCCCACAACGCCGTCAACGACAAGCTGGGCAAGGACAAGTTCGACTGCGACCGCTGGGAGGAGCGCTGGTACACGGGCTGGAAGGACGGGAGGTGCGATCCTTGAAATTCCTTTTTACGGCGGCGACGAATTCCTTTGTATCATCTGGGCGGCTGGCACACTCTCCTCTATAAAGATTTGCTCTGCATGGAATGCATAAATGGCGTTTGGGTAAAGGAAGATGACGCCCCTCAAACTAGACATGTATGGTTTAGACGAATGTATGATAGATATTCGTAGTGTGTTTAACACCAGCACGAGCAGCGGCATGTCTTTGTACGATTTAAGCAGTCGTTTAATACCAGCAAAACAACGATATAACACGTCTCCCCAACGACAAACACACTCAAATCACGTCTCTACCGGTGCAGTCTATCCAAGTTTCATTGACAATCAATGTGAAGATCCCTATCTTCTGAGGCAATGCTTTGCAACCGCTCGCTGACAATGATGCGAGACCCTAGAAGGCATCTTGAAAAGAATCTCTCCATCATCAGAAAAACATCCGTGTCTTCTGCACTGAAGAGGTAAAGAGTTAAGAAACCCGTTGTCATCATCTCTACAACAGACCCTCTGAACTAGGATCATGAAGGCCCCCAAATCCATTCGCCCATACATGACTAGCCACAGGCAGCCCGTTGAAAGACGTTCTCGTGTACGTAAAGCGCTATCGTTTCGGCATCGGCCATCTATCAATTACCGCATAATCTCCTGGTAGATGAGCACTATCAAACAATTAGCGTCCGTGCACCTGCGAGTGGATGAGTGCGACATACTCTTCAGCTGCTCCTTGGTCAAGTTGTCCTTGTTCTTGTCGAAATCGAAGAACTCCTCGGGAATCGGGTCGGCCGTGGGCTCATCGTCAGGGTCGTGGTACGGCTCGAGGTACGGGTGCTTCAGAGCCTCCTCGACGGTGATGCGCTTAACGGGGTTGAAAGCCAGCAGGCGTTCGAGAAGGTCCAGAGCCAGATCCGAGCTCTTGGGGAACATGGCCTTCCACGGAATCTTCTTCTTGAAGGGGAGCGAACGGATGTATTCACGAGCACGGCGCGACTTGATGCCGTAGTAGTCCTCCATCGTGGGCGTGCCCAGGACGTCGAGGATCAGGGTGAGCTGGTGGTGGTAATCCTTGCCGGGGAACAGAGGCTTTCCGCTCAGCATCTCGGCCAAGATGCAGCCGACACTCCAGATATCGATCGCCTTGGTGTACTCCTTGAACGTAAGCATAATCTCAGGAGCACGGTACCAACGAGTCGCGACATATTCCGTCATGAAACCGGAGTTGTCCTCGGTCGACGCAGCGGAGCGGGCGAGGCCGAAATCGCAGACCTTCAGGTCGCAGTTTGCGTTAAGGAGCAAGTTGGACGGCTTGAGGTCGCGATGGAGGACGTTGGCCGAGTGCATGGCCTTCAAGGCACGCAGGGTCTGGTAGATGAAGTACTGGCAATGATCGTCGGAAAGTTCCTGAGTCCTAATGACACGGTGCATGTCCGTCTCCATGAGCTCCTGTGGGGACCGTCAACTACCGCTCTCGAGCCACGTCAATTCGTGCACGACAGACCTGGATGAGGTAGACCTCGGTGAAGGTCTCGTAATTCCTCGGCTTCTGGATGTCGAGGATGGAGATGATGTTCTCGTGGTTGAAGTACCGCAGCAGCTTCATCTCACGGAGCGTGCGCAAGCAGAACATGGAGTGGTCGAAAGGAGTGATCTTCTTGATGGCGACCTTCTGGCCGGAGGGCTTGTGCAGCGCGGAGCTGGGGGATGCTTTAGCATTTTCAGGCAATGGTGCCCGCTCGTGCTGCTGGGAACTCACCAGACGACTCCGTACGCGCCCTCACCGACCACATCCTGGATATCGTACTGCTCCGAAACGTTGAAGGAAATCTTCCTCGAGCTGCCCTGGGGCTGCGCGCGCGACATGGTGAAAGAGGGAGCGGATTACAGTCTATGCGGAAGCTGTGAGGTGGGGCGGGTTAGACGAGTCGGCGCAGCGTAAAGGAGCGAAAGAGCAGATGAAAGCGGAGAGGAGACGGAGAGGAACGAGAGAGCTCTTTTTCAGACGGCTGGAGATTGAGGTGGGTCCGAGCGACCGGAGAATCGCAAGCAGCAGCCATTGTCTCTATTGTGTTCACTTTGCAGGCTGAAAGTGAAGACAATGAAAGTCGGGCAGGTGGCACACTTGCGGGCCTGAGCGACGCTCCGCAGGGAGCCCAGTGCTTGCGCCCAGCAGGCGCATAATCCAGAGAAATGGAAAATTCAAGGCGGACGGCCCATCCAGTGAGCAGCGTCACCGCAACATACCTAAGATATCGTGTGCGACGTCCTCGTCCGTGGGTGACACAAATCCGCCAGCAGGGACCAAAGGGACGCTCGTCCTACTGATCTAGACCGGGCCAACACTCGCTGTTCCACGACCAGCCGTGAGAGGGGGTGTGTCGAAGGTGCGGTGGGCGGACGGCGTGCGGGCTTGAGAGAGAGGTGAAGATTCGGAGCGGGATGCAGGAAGCCGCGGCGGCGGCGGCGAGGGGCGCGGGCGGTGGGTTCGTGCTTGGGTGCTCGGTGGTCGCGGCGGAAATGAGGTGAGGGCGCAGGCGGCGGGGTAGACGCGCGGTGGGCTCGGTGGCTCTGTCTGCGCTGCTGATTGGGGCGGGCGGTCAGCGCTGCTGTCACTCGGGCGCTGGGAGCGGCCGCGGTTTATCTGGCGCCGCTTGGCTGCGCACAACTCACAGCGTAGGTCCAGGGGCCGGGTCTGCGGGGTCCAGGAGGCGGGTGCGTCGCGGGTTGAGCAGGCGAGCGGGCGGCGGGGGTGAAGAGAGCCTGCGGCGTGCGTGCGGCTTGGGCGCGGCAGAGCTCAGCTAGATAAAGACGGGGCGCTGCAGACTCGAGCGGCCACGAGGGAGAAGCGTGGAAAAAAGGCTACCCTATTGTTAGCATTGCTGTGGAGTCTCGTAGGCCAATCCCGCGGCATGGATGCGGCCGCCGAGAGGGCTGCTCCGTAGCCGCCTGCATGCCGCCCCAGCCATTGGCCCAGCGGCCTGAAGCACCTGCAGCGAGTCGAGTGCCGCTGGCAAGCCGCGTCAAACGCCTCTACCAGCTCGTCGCACCAGCAGCAAACGCGCAGGCCGCTCGCTGCTCGCCGGCCAAGCGATATAGGGCCGCACCTGAAACTGCCCGTCTTCAGCCTGTCAGGCACACCCGCAATGGATCGTGCCTGCGTTTGACATCCGTCGCAGCACGACGCGACGGGCTAGGCCCCGCCGCCTGAAGCGCGCCGGCCCTCGCCCTCCGCTACACCGCAGCCGCCATGCAGCGGGTCGGCAAGCATGAAGCTTACTTCCAGAACACCTCGATCGCCCGCTCTGACGCCATCGGCTGTCCCGAAAAAGACGCATCCGAGACACCAAGATTGCCGGAAGGAGATCTTAGCATGACGCTCGCCACCAGCTCTCCTTCGCGCGTGTCTAAGAAAAGACCTCCTCAATCGCATGATTGACGTGCGGCCGGGTTTTACAAGTCTCATGGCCCTGTCTCAATCGACAGGGGAAATCTGCTTGCTCGACTGATGTTCAGGGACAAACACCAACGCATTCCGTCATTCTCTCCACCTAACGCTCCAATCCCCCTTAGCGAAGCTCGATTCCACCACCTTTCCATGCATCACAGCCTCGCACTTCCTCCTCGCCTCCGTCTGATCGCCGCCCGCCTGTTTGACCACGAAACCAAACGCCACACCTCTCCTGGCAGCGCACCTGACCATTTCCCTCTCATGCGCTCGCTTTTGTCCCTGCCTCCTTCTCTCTAGCATCTCGTCTGTCTCATCTACCCGCTCGGCCCATCCTTTCTCTCCACCCACGCTGCCATTGACCTCAGAGACCCCTTGAGCTGGCCGGATACGTGTGCCGCTTCTGACCGCCAATCGCGCCATCACGTCCCCATCCGTGGTGATGGCCTCCGCATTTTCGGCCTCGCCTGCAGCACTAGCTTCAGGAGCGATCGGGGTGTCCGAAGTGCTGGCATCGCTGGCAGTAGCACGCTCCTCGTCTGAGAGCATGTCTACGCTTTTCCATTCCTCATCATCAGGCGCTCCGCGCCGGGCCCTGTTCCGCCTTCTGCCGTAGACTTTCTCCGGATCGAAGTGATCTCCGAAAACAGACTTCTCGACGGCGTCGCAGGAGACGAGGATGCGAGATTCGCCCTTCTTCTTCTTCGATGCTTTCTCCTTTGGTCTGACCCCAGCAGCGCCACCTTCCGTATCTAGCGAATCCTCCTCCCCATTGAGAGACTTGACAAAGATATCTTCAATCTGGCGGTCGAGCTTTCCGGGCTTTTGGTTGCGGCAGCGACTCGAGCAGTATTTGGCGGGAGTGTTTGTAGCTTCTTTGTTGTGAGACTTGCGGTGGCCTTTGAGGATTAGCAGTCACATCCAGAGCTCCTTGGGCAGAATATGGGTAATTGAACACTCAGCAGCCTCCAACCATCATCAATTGACTGCTTAAAAAGCAGAAACACGGAGCAATCGCACAAAGATACATGGACGCTCGGAGCACTCACTAATCACCCTGCCACAAGACCTGCAGTAAGGCGTGGCTTCGCCGCCGGGAAGCAGATAGAGCGGCGGGGATGTAGCTTGCCATTTAGAGGGCCGCGACCACGAGTCCATCCAACTCATCTTGGCGAATTGTCTGCGATGATGAATTCGGGCACACAGTAGGAAACGAAGCCGCAACTTGATAGCCTGACGCTCGAAGAACATGAAGTTGGGGATGATGCACGACATTCCCATTCGCGTAATCGGCGGTTTTCTTCCCCCCCCGGCGCGCATCAACGACGTCATCGGCGCGCAACGTGCATGCACGCACCCACGGGGTCGCCGAGACAAGCATATACATACAGTAACATCGATTCTCAAGATTCCCATATGAACGGCAAAAAGCAATGCGTGATCACCCTCGCATCGACACGAGTAATATAAAAACTCCACTCCCTCACCTGTCTCACGCCACCACGCCGGAGCAATCTCCACCTTTTCGCACAACGCCCGTCAATAACGCTCCCTCGCTTCCAACTTTCTCCCTCCTCACCAGAACTTGAACACGGATAGTCAGTTGACTTTCCCCATTGGCGGGTATTCCTTGCCCTCCTTGGTGACCTTGGGGTCGCACGTGCACCACTCCTCTTTGGGAACGTTGTCCATGACGGAGGGCACGTGGTTACCGCCTAGATAAGACCGGGATGGTGTTAGCGCACTGCCTGCAACGTAAATCTATGGCAGCCACGTGCTCCTGCACGAAAGAGCAGGGACTCCCTTGAGAGGAAAAGGGAAACGAAGCAAGGGAGGAAAAGGGAAAAAGGATGAGCGAGCTCTTTACAGACGGAGCTCCGTTTCAGTGGGCATCTGCGGGGCTTTGGGAGGGGGGGGAGGAAGGGCCTAACGTACAGCCCCACCAAGTAGCCTTCTCTGCACGCAATAATACATGTTAGCTTAAAGCCCAGGGCTCGTTCGTATTCGGCTGTGTGTAAAGCGGATTCGAGGACCAAAAACTCCCGAGAAAGCGGTCATGGGATCTGCTCGGATAGGATCTGCTCGGATGAGTGCACTTACGGCAAGTCTCGCAGCTGGCGCTTTTGCACATTGTCCTTTTCTCTCGGTGCCGGGGGAGCTTATGCCGATGATGCTGAGCGCGCTCTTTTGGTTTATTCGAGCCGATTGTTTCGGGATGCTGTTGACTGGTGGTGGGTAAGAGCGATGGAAGTGGAGCGATAGATATACGATCTACGTTCGGCGAATCTTTGGTTGGTCGCCGAGGTCGCCGTTCCGGGCTCGGGCTAGAACGACGTCCGCAACTCAAAAGAGATACAGTAAGATGCACATTTCGGGGACAGAACAACAGATAAAGTCAAAAAGTGCATTGCATCCATACGCCTGAATCCCGCAGGTGCCGATTAGACCAGACAGCTATCTATCTATAGTCTTTACCCAACAAAACCCAATTTTTACCAGGAACGCCTTTTTATGCCATGACCGCACTAATCTGTACATATCGTTCAGTCGTCAAAGGTAATCTTCGTCGCCTGCTTCATATCGGAAGTGTCCTTGAAAAAGGCACCGTATGCCTCGTGGCCCTTCTTCTTGACGGTAGTGCCGAATTTCATGAGATCTTCGGGCACCGGCTGGTTGGCGCCTTTGAGAACGTTGACGAGCCTTGAATCTGTTAGCTTGCATCGATACAATATTGGACAATGCGACTTACGCTCCAGCCAACGCTTTGTCATGCTCGGTGAAGAGGGTAATGGCTTTGCCGTCCTGTCCCGCGCGGCCCGTTCTGCGAATTCGTGTCAGTAACCTGTGCGTCGTTCCGGTCGCGATGGGAACTCACCTGCCAATGCGGTGGACGTAGTCCTCTGCAGTCAACGGGAAGGTCACGTTAATGACGACCTTGACGGCGGGAATGTCCAACCCTCTCGCCGCGACGTCCGTGGCAACCAGAAGAGGGATCTCGCCCTTCTTGAACTTCTCCAAGCTGGCCGTACGCTGCACCTGGCTGAGATCGCCGTGGATACCACCAACCTTGAAGCCCTTGCGGCGGATCGACTCCTCCACGCGCGTGGCCTCCTTCTTGTAGAGACAAAAGATGAGGATGCGGTCATTCTTCTTGCTGCCCGCCGTGTGCTCCTTCAAGAGCTGGAAAAGTCTGTACTCCTTATCCCTCGGGTCAACGACTTCTACGGTCTGGCTGATGCGGGTGTTGGCGCGGAGCTCTCCGGTCGGGTTGTCGCCGATGGTGATCTTGACGGGCGACTTCATGAAGGTGGACGCGAGCTCCTGGACGGACTTTGGCCAGGTGGCAGTGAACATGAGAGTCTGACGCTCGTTGAGCGGGCGAGTGCTGCTGATGATTTTACGGATGGCATCTTCGAAACCCTTGTCGAGCATACGGTCGGCCTCGTCCAGAACGACGTAGTCGGCCTTGCTGATGTCCGCGGCGCCCTCATCGATAAGGTCATTCAGACGACCGGGGGTGGCCACGACGATGCTCGCCTTCTTCAACCCAATCTTCTGCTCGTCCTTAGGAACACCGCCGTAGATGCAGACGGACTTCAGGCCCGCAGGTTCCGCGATTTTGACTAGCTGCTCGTGGATCTGAGAAGCGAGCTCACGAGTAGGAGACACGATCACCGCCTTGACACCCTTGCTCTTGGGCTGGCGCATGATGTGTCGGACGCAGGGAACACCGAAACCAAGTGTCTTTCCTGAACCGGTCTCAGCCACGCCAATGACATCCCTGCCAGAGAGCAAAGAGGGCCATGCTGCCGCCTGGATGGGAGTGGGTGCCGTGAAGCTCGCAAAGGGAGCGCGCAGCGACTCGTCGGTAACGGGGAGATGGTCGAAGGAAACGATCGGGCGGAGCTTCGTCGCAGTGCTTAGGGGATCGGTCACGGCGATGAAGTGCTTCGACATGAAAGCATCAATCTCAGACTGAGGCAGAGCAGAGAGCGCGGGATCCTCGAGATAGCCAGACGGAGCCGCTTCCGCAGCTGCGGCCGCGGTGCGGCTGACCTCCGGAACAGAGGTGGGTTCGACGGACGTATCCTCAGCGCTGCCAGCCTCCTTCTTTTGCTTCTTCTCCTTCTTCTCGGATTTATCCTTCTTCTCCTTCTTGTCCTTCTTATCTTTCTTCTCCGACTTGTCCTTTTTGGACTTCTTCTCCTTCTTATCCTTCTTCTCCTTGGATGATTCCTGCTCGGTCACATCCTCGGAGGTGGTGGGAGCGTCGATCATGTCGACATCTTCACTGCTCACGCCATTCGCGTCGGCGGCCAGCTTCGCCTCGCGCTTCAGCCTCTTCTTTTCTTCCTTCGCCTTGGCCTTCTCCTCCTTGCGAAGAGCCTTCTCTGCCTTCTTTGAGAGATCGGCGGAATCGGAGGCGGCGGGGGCAGAAGTCGGGGTGGACGTTTCCGTGGCGTCGCCGGTCTTTTGCTTCTTCGGAGTCTCGGCGACAGATTTCTTGCCTGAAGTAGAGGGTTGACCGTAAGCATTGGTTCAGCACACGTTGCTAGCGCTCCTGATCCCTGAGAATCGCTGCGCGCGCATGTTCTGCGCGGCCAACTCGGGCGTCAGCTGCAGCGCGGCGGACCGCTCCGCACGCGGGCGCGGATTTGCGCTTTTCCGCCCTTGCGGAGTAACTCACCGGACTTGACTATGCCAGCCTGGCTGGCCGTGCGCTTGCCCATCTTGACCAATGCGAAAAACCGTGGGTATGGACTGCGGCGTTGCTGGGGTAAGGCGGAAGTTTCTCAGGGAAAAAAAAGTTACCAGGGTCTCGACGGTCGGCGTTGTTGATTCGCCGGCCGCCGCGCCTAGCTAAAGCGGAACCTACTACGATCCCTGCACACTTATTTTTACTTCGAGCGGAACCGCTCTGCAGATGAAATTGTGGCCTTTTGTTACGTACTTAGCTAATTGACGTGCGGTACGAGAAGGATGAGGGCTTATGCACATCTGTCATGCTTTCAGCGAAGATGGGCTCGAGAGTGGCCGAATAGAGCAAAAACGCGGCGGACGGCAGCCAATCAGGTGGCGTAGCTGCTCTATTTCCACACGGCCGCCACTATAAACGTGCTAAAGGATTTATGTTACAGCGGCCACTTCCGCAGTGGGGCCTTTCCGTCAGCGGCGAAAAAAAGCAATCGAACGCGACGTGGGCACCCGGGTAAGGAAACACTTGTCTACCAGACAGGAAAAGACGCGCGCGTAGCCGTCGTTGGGCGGTTCCCACTTGCCGACTCCACTCACTACCTGGACACAACTAATCAGCTAAAACTCCACAGCCCAGGTCACCTGCACGTCCCTCTTCATCATCCGCAGCCGGCAAACAATTACTCCGTGAAAGGATTAAGGGTCAGCTCCTTCGTCGTGGTACGCGCCTCAGAATGTCTCTGCCTCGCACGCGCGGCACTTGCCCTATGGTGTAGCGAACCTCTATGTTTGTGACTTGTTTTCTTTTTGACAGGTGCCGCAGTAAGGTGTCCTAGAATCGTCCGATGGGCAGGCAGGGGTCCCATCCAGACCCCTTGATTTTCCTGCTTCGGTGCCGCCACGTCGCAGAGAAAGGTCTCATTCCCTCCTCTCCTTGCCGTTCTGGGCATCCACCCCAGCGCAACTCTCCCGACCTTCTCCGGCATCCTCGTCGCTTTCGGACGCACCGGCTTCCAGGTCCAGTCCCGCATGCACGGCTGCGGCTAGCGGATCTAGGTCGCTGGGAACGCAGGTACCTGGACTGCCGTACGGGCCAAGGGAAGATTCGGCTTTGTCATCGAGCTTCTTTCCAGCCTTCACTGCCGAACCCGAGATTGCGCTCTTCACGTCCCTGGCGGCATCGGCAACGGTATCTGCAGCCTCACTCGTGGCCCTCACTATACGGCCCGGTGCGCGCGTCGTATCCTAGACCCACCTCGGGTTAGACGATGTTCCTTCTGCTGTCGGATATGTCCCCTGTTACCCGTGGTGCTTCGCTGCTATTCGCAGATGGACTCAGTCCACTCGCTGCCAGGACGGAGCGGACGACATTCTCGGCCGTGGGCATGACGGCGTTCTGGTTCCGTTAGCGGTCACGCTGAAGGTTGTGGTCCACATGGAGGATTTTCACTCGCCTCATCGTTGATCACACTCGGCTCGGCTACGTGACCAGAGGGATCCGCTGGGCCCGGCGCAGAGGCGTCGTCTGCCGGGCGCTGATCTACCGCGGACGCGGCCGGTCTTCCACCGTGCTCGTTCATGCTGGAGGAGTGCGGCTGAGTGACCCTTGGATCAGATGATGACCACCCGCTGGTATCTTTAGCTCTGGAGAGGTTGGGCAGCAATGATATGAAAGCTCAAGGATGCGGAAGCGAAGAGCGGCCGAGATCCTTCCAGGCAGGAGGCGAGAGTGTCAAGGAAGGCGTCACTTTGCGAGTCGTGTCTGCCTACTTGATCGGGCAGGGGGGAAGCTCGTCCGCAACAGTGCGAGTGAAACAGGAAGCGGCGACCCTGGATTGCCTGCCGCCTGCCATTTGCGCTTGCCGCGACGGTATGCCGTGTCTACGTCTGTTCGAAGTGGGCGGAATTCCTGGAGCTCAGTCTGGCGGAATGTGGACAACAACAGCAAAGGCTTGGCGGGGGACCGCAATCCTGAACCCGATACCAGGTTATCAGAAAGGCGGAATAGCAGAGGGACCGTTGCCAGCTCGGACACGGAACCCACTCGGTCTCGGTTTTCCAGCGTGGCGGATCCGCCGTCGACAAGTGTTATTCCCCGTGGCGTCATTATGCTCCTTTTCACGGTTGTTAGCTGAGAAGCCGAAGTAGCTGGGATGTTTGTCCAAGCCATGTCGATGCAGCAAGCAGTGGTCAGTGCCAACCTACAATCGCCGCCTGTGCGCAAGGAAGCACTAATGTAGTCGCCTCGCCAGCTCCCTGAAGCGTTCAGGCGAAGCGCATTGCCCGTTCGGTGGCATAACTACCGCAATCGAACAGTTGTAGATGATCCGTCCCGGGGCGACGGGAGGGACCAAGGGCCAATCAATCAAGATCCGCCTGCAACATCTCATCAGGGCAAAAAATTTGACAAGTCCAGACCGGATGGCGGGGCTGGGACTGACTTGGTGTCCAGGTGCAGCTGCGGGTCTGCAAGTGGTATGCACCCTGATGAATTACATTAGGAGCTAGCTCCTGGACCGGACTTCTTACCAAAGGCTTGCGGTGTGCTCGTGCAACTGGCTCAATGCCCACTTTTCCTCTGGCCATGTTTCTGCATCGGTCGTTAGAAGGCGTTAAGCGAGGTGTTCTGAAAAGGTGGAGGACGTTGTAAAAGGAGCGGTAAGAAAGGACCCGCTTCTCCCTGTTACCACTTGAATCAGCCATCTACGTCTTCTCACCGGTCTCTCTTGTCTACAAGCCACGAGGAGGAGCGAGCTAGTGCTCTGATGTGGAGGGCGGCGGCCTATCAGTGGTCGGCATAGCCGAGACCTCTGTGGATGCACGCAAGCTGCATGTACGTTGTGTGTCAAAAGTGCTTATTCTGCAGGTTAGCGGGTCGCATGATCCCCACAGGACAGGCACAAAGGTAGGACAGACGGGCTGTGCACAGCTCTTCATTTTTTCTTTTCGCCAGGAAATATACAGGGCGTGTTGTACAATCGGATATGAAGAGCACAGATTGCTGCACATGCCAACGTGGGAGCGGGCTGGTACCTGGTAGACACCCTCGTCACTCGTCATCCGTCTGCAATTCCCCTTGAAATGTCTCGGCGTGCGAGCCTGTCCCGTTCTTCCCGCGGCCATCACCCGCAGCGGATACATCCGGTCCAGCAGCCAGTTGGATCTGCCGTTTACAATACCGCGCCGATCAGGACAGGGCGCATCCCCCCTCGACCCCTGGACGGCGTCGGCTGCCAGGCTGATGCTACATGCGTACGGCGCGCGGATGAGGGCGGCAAGGCGCGTTTGCGTCAATTACCTAGCTCGCCTCGGGCGTGCCCGTGCGAAATGTTGCATCTGACGACGGGGAAGGGTCAGGGATATGGCCAGGCTCGTACCATGTGCGGAGCCTTGAGATATGATCGACGTTTCGATGTGCGAGAGAGCGGTGCTTTTGGGCTTCCAGAAGGTAATATACGGCACCACGTGTGGAGGCCGAACGCGTGGCTGGCATATAGCGGAAGCGCGAGACCGAGACGAAGCCGGTTAGTGACGATGCTCAGACGAGGCTTAGGCCATCCGGTGGCGGGTGGCTTGCGGTATGGTTGTTGGCTGATTCATAGGCTGAGAACAGGCGGGTGCTCAGTCGAGCAAAAACCTGGGACTCCAAGCGTCATCGGAGATGATGGGTTTCAGAGTCTGCATCGATGGTTATACAACAGGCGCGGCGGCATGCGGTGGGTCGAAAAGAAATCAAAAGACAGAAGTTGGGGACAGCTCGAGGGCGGCTGCGGGCGAGGGTGATGAGCAGCGATGCTGCTCTTTCGGTCGCACTTCCGATGTGGAGGTTCGGTGCCCGCGCCGGGGGGGCCCGCAGCGGGCGGGTATGTGTGTGCTGGTCGGTCGAGTGATACAGTGGAGGCCTTGGCCTTAATCTATTGCAGTGGTGAGGGCAGCCTTCGGGGGGCAGCCACAGCCCGCGCGGCAGGAACGCGGGCGGCGGCACGATGGTGATCCGCCGTCAATCTGCGTGCGTGGTGAGGGATTAGCCGCGGGCCAGGCGTGGTGGGCGCATGCTTGATGCGCTGCAGCGCGCAGGGCGCCAACGGTCCTACTCATGCAACACTGCTGCCCCCGGCCGCCCATCCCCACAAGCTCGCTTAGCTCGACTGCGGCCAACTCGCGTGGCTGCCACCGCCACGGCACGCTCTCGACGTGATGCTGCTGTCTCTCAACCGCAGCATGACTCTCGTTGTTTTTGGTCTCATTCGCCGCTCAAGGCCCCAGGGCCCCAGGTCCCCCGGCCCCGCAGCGGCGGCAAAAGCCCTCCAGCTGCAACGCCTGTATCCGTCATGAAATAAATAGTCCATGCAGCCAGAGCCGCTGTCGACTATACCAGCTCTCTCGTTCTCAGCCTTCTCCCTTCTCGGCCTTCATCTCGGGCCTCTCTCTTTCCAGTCCGGCTCAGCCTTCCATTTCTCGCCGTCTCCGAACTCGCCCAAACTGCTCCCTGTCGTCTCTCAGGCTAGGCCCTCGACAAGCCTCCAGCCACACCCTGACAGCGCCGCTGCCGGACGATGTGCCAGCTCCAGGCGTACCCGCCAATCATGACGCCCGTCACGCCGTCCCCAGATGTCAGCCCGCTGTCAGCCGAACCAACAACCACCGCCGCTCTCTCGCATGCCCAGTACTCGCGCTCTGGTGATGCCTTTGCCCTCAACCTCGGCTCGCTGCCTGACGCCAGCAACTTCCTGCTGAAGACGAGCCTCAAGTCGCCGCACCTGCCGCTGGACTCGCCCGCCTGCTTTCCCTTCTCGCCCATGAGCAACACCTTCCTCAACGGATCAGGCAACTACAAGAAGCGTTCGCGCAACATGTCCACCACCTCGAGCGCCGAGCGGGATGTGCAGTCCAACATGGACTCGCAGGCCACCCCGCACCAGCACTCGGCCTTTAGCAATGGCACCACCAACGGCACCGCCGACATCCAGAGCTCCAACGCGAAGAAGAGACCCAGCGACGGCACCATCGACTACCCGCGCAGGCGCGCCACCATCGCGGTATGCTGGCTCCCTGCCACCCTGCTTCGTTTGACTGACGTCTGCTCTAGTGCGAGATATGCCGCTCGCGCAAGTCCCGCTGCGATGGCAACCGCCCCAAGTGCAGGCTCTGTACCGAGCTCAACGCCGAGTGCGTCTACCGCGAGCCGGGCATCAAGCTAGATGCCGGCGACAAGCTGATCCTCGAGCACCTGGACCGCATCGAGGGCCTCTTGCGCACCAACATGACCGCTCAGCAGCAACCCAGCAGCATCTTCGGCGGCCTGGCCGCGTCCGGCTCGCCTGCCGCCAGCAACAGCACCAGCGAAGACGTGCTGATGCGCCAGGGGCCCGGTGCCGCCATGGGAATGCTCCCCCTCAACGGACTCGGGACGTGGTCGACCGCCCTATCCAACAACATTTCGACCATGCCCAAGATCCACAGTACCCCAGCCCTGCACCTGCTGCAGTGGCCCATGATCCGGGACCTGGTGTCGCGGCCGTACGACCCACAGGTCTTACTCCAATTGGAAATGGCCCGCGAGCCGCTGCACCTGAACTCCTCGCAACGCCTCGACCTGTCCAACACCAACATTTACGTCCACGCCTTCTTCGACCGCGTCAACGTGTGGTACGCCTGCGTCAATCCGTATAACTGGCACTCGTATTACCGCACCGCTCTCTCCAATGGCTTCCGCGAGGGCCCTGAGAGCTGCATCGTCCTCCTGGTCCTTGCCCTCGGTGCTGCGAGCAATGCGGGCAGCATATCGCAGCAGCCACGAGATAAGGATCCGCCGGGCATGTCTTACTTCGCCGCCGCATGGGCCCTCCTTCCCAACCTCATGACCAGAAACAACACGCTCGCAGCGCAATGCCACATACTGGCCTCAGCATACCTCTTCTACATCGTCAGGCCGCTTGAAGCCTGGAACCTTTTGACGAACACGAGCATGAAGCTTCAGTTGCTGCTCAGTGCGCCAGGCAGGTTACCCCCGCACGCCAAGGAACTGAGCGAGAGAGTGTACTGGAACACGCTGCTTTTTGAAAGGTAATGGGCAATAGTCGTTCCGTCAGACGAAAGCTAATCTTCCGCAGCGATCTGCTCGCCGAGCTCGACCTCCCCCACTCGGGCATCGTCCAGTTCGAGGAAACCGTGGGCCTACCCGGCGGTTTCGAGGACGAGGGTGACGAGCCGCCGGCCGGCCGCGACGAGTTGTGGTACTTTCTGGCGGAAATCGCACTGCGACGGCTCCTCAACCGCGTCAGCCACCTCATCTACACCAAGACGTCGACCAACACATCCATTGCATCGTTGGAGCCCTTGGTCGCCGAGCTAGACTTTCAGCTCACGCAGTGGTATGAGGGCCTGCCTCTTCCGGTGCAGTTCCCGCACAGCAGAGTTCCGCTGTCGAATCCCGTACAGACGGTGCTGCGCCTGCGATACTTTGCATGCAGAACCATTATTTTCCGGCCATACATCCTCGCCGTGCTCAATGACGAATCGGCAGCCATGGACTTGGTGGTGCAGGAGAATTGTCGACGGTGCCTGGAAGCCTGCATCCGCCAATTGGAGCATATCTCCGCGCAGTAAGTGACCCATGATCAGCCTCGCAAAGGAAATAAGTCGCATCTGACCCCTGCAACCAGTCATGCCGGCCACCTTCCCTATCTGTGGCAGGGCGCACTGTCGTAAGTGACCAGAACCGTCCATGGAGGAGTGACTTGAGGCTAACAATCTCCTGCAGAATCGTTTCGCAAACCCTGCTCGTCATGGGGGCGACTATGTCACCCTCGCTCTCGGCACTTCTGCCGCCGCCAGCAGGTACGGGCACAAATTCTCGCATTAGCGCGCTACGCACGCACACTGACGTCTGTCACAGCCATGGATTCTATCATAAACGACGTGGTCCTCGAAATTGAGCGCTACGCCCATCTGGCGCCCAGCCTCCGCCTGTCGGCCGAGATCATTCGCGAGGCTGAGGAACGACGTCAAATGTTCTTGCGATCTGCCGGCTTGAAGGTTTGATGAGGGATGTGCTCAATGCACCTCATCAATACAACCCTCGTTCGACGCGGACGCGGACCTTTCATCTCCTGTCCCCAAACATTTCGAGCAAAACACCCCGCCCCACACCCACGATGCTACGAGGTAGGCTAGCCCTGTTGCGCCACCTCCGCGTACAGGTTTTGCAGCCCCTCGTCTTATGACACCTCCATCTTTCACCCGTCCGTCCAATGGGCAATTCGGCTGTGTTGCCAATTTACCCGTATGACGCGATGCGTGCGGCTCTCTCATTGGATACCCTGGGCGCCACTCCCCTCGAGTTTCTCTTTTTGGCTTCCAGATGCAGGCCCTCAGCCCGGCGGCAAGTGCGATCTAACTATCCTCACCGTGGAACAGGGGGGGGTGAGGAAAACGAGAAGGAATCATTGGAGTCGCGCTTGTGGAAGGCGGGGTGTTGGGGGCCAGCTGACACTGTTTGAGATGGTGCCTGATGGTGCCAATATGCAGGTGCTTGTGCCGATCGACTTCTTCAGGGCCCTGCATGCAGGTTTCCAGTCTGGATTCGTTTCTGGCCTTGGGGCCGTGGCCCTTTGGTGGGTGACGACACGGGAGCAGCGGGATGAGATGTGCTGGGATGAGTGGCCCGGCTATTTCCAAGTTGCCCCGGTGCCTGGAATTTCGGAAAAGGGAAAGGGGATTGCGGGGTACAGCGCGCTCACCGCGCGCCGCCGCTCATCCACGCACGCGCATTCAATACTCGAGATCCCTGTCCCCTTTCTTCCAGCTCCTTCTCTCCATCGAGGTCGTCGATTCGGCAGTGGCGTTCCAAGCGACACTGCGCAATTCCGCCTCAAGACCTCGAGTGCCTTATGCATACGATGGAGGCAAAGGTTCGCGAGGTCTTGCTTGGTTTTTCTTGGTCTTCTTTGGCCCTTTTCTTTACCTTCTTGTAATTTCTTTTCTTCATGTACCATTTGAAATTTTACGATGCATATTCACGAAAGCGGATCACGCAAAAAGTAACGAATGACGCCATCCTTTTAACCAACACACACACCTTCACACACACATACATGCACTGAGATACCCATGTTGTTGTTGAAAATTTCTGTGACAATTGGCCTGTCTGAAATGAAAGGGGACGGTTGTCCTGCCTTATCCCATTTTCGCCGAATTCTCGGTCCCGTCTGAGTCGCGATTGTTAAGCAAAAAGGAAAAACAAAAACAAAGTAGGCTTGACGCGGGCGGTCCACTTTTCGTATTCTGTAGATATACACGTAGTGCCTACATGATTCAGAAACCCGGCGCTCAGCAAAACGATTCATGAGTGCCAAAAATGATTCGTGTAGGGGATTTTCCTGTTGTTTCTAGATCTTCTTGATTATGCGTTGGTGTGCGGTGTCTAGATCCTGATGCGCTGGTGTGTCTAAGCTCCCTGGAAGGAAGAGCAGACCCACTCTGTGCTGTATAGTCCTCTCCTTTTTCTCCTTCGCTTATACTGAGACATTTTTTGAAGTCAAAGAAATAGCTATCTATTCAGACGCAGACTATCACTGGGTTCCTGGATGAATGAGACAAGGTTCTACGGATGTGGCGTGGAAAGTGCCATAGCGCCATGCAGTTAAGTAAGAGGCACAAATGACGTTAAGAAAAAAATAAACATGGGAGGCGGGTAACGGTAAAAAGGCCGGCACTAAAGGATTCTGAGCGGTGTATGCGAAGGATGAGCGAGTCACTAAAAAAAAAAAAACAAAGCTTAGTTGTCTTTATTATTATTTCTTTATCGCAGTCCTCATCCTTCGCTCTTCTCCGAGCGTATGGACGAGAGACCAGCTGACAAGAAAATGCACTATGCACTACACTACCACCTTAGCAGGTTTGACGAAGTCTCAGAAGGGTCATGTCGTCCCACTCTTTTTGTTTCCTGGGTGCAGGCGAAATGCGGAAATGAAGGTGGTGTGAGAGCACAAGGGAAAAAGAGCAGGGGGATGCTGCTTGCGGGAAGGTTCTTCCGAAGCGTGTGGATACGTAAAACGGTGCGAATGGGGTTGGGTGGTGCCCAAATGTCATAACTTCGTTTACCATCGGATTGTTGTTTCGATCAGAAAAAACGGATCAACAGTTATCTCGTGAGCGTGCGTGGCCAAGCAGGGTGGGGCGGAATGGGGGGGCAGGAACCAAGACAGACCAAGAGCGACGCCAGATGGAGTCAAGCCCCGCCAGGCCTAGGCGTAGCTACCGCCCAGACAACAGCAAAAAGTCGCGACGAGAGGAGAAAAAAATGGAAAAAGAGGGTGTGGACTCGAAGCTTGTCCACTTTGCGATTATAGTAGAGCTGTCATTATGCCGATCGCGGGAGCGGCATGTGGAGAGAAAGGGAAAAAAGCAAGCAAGAGAAAGTGGACAGTTAGTGACAGACCTCACTCGTGGAGACGTCGGGGACAGGAATTAACCCCGGAGGTGTGGGTCGCTGCTTGCCGCTCGGTGCACACCCGGCCGGCGCGGCACGCTCGATTTGTCCCATCTCTGCTTAGCGTTGCTGGGATGGCTGTTCAAGTCCGGCAGGGAGCCTTGTTTGCCTCAAATTTTACCCCGTCGAAGGTTTCTGGAACGAGCAGTTCAAAGCAGCTGGTTGGAGAGGAGCAGATGCCGAAGAAAGGCTTAGAACTTGGCCGTAGACCCTAAGGCGGAGCTAAGGTCTCCGGGGTCGGATTTAGGTAGCAGAGAGAAAGACAGGAAGAGATGCCGAGAGCAATAGAAGGACGTGTTTGGGCGACGCGCGCGCGGATGAGGGAGGGGATGCAGGGAGCAGTCAGGTGAAAGGAGTAGGTGGAGAACAGAGGGCAGGGGATGGGGGACAAGGCAAGCGCGGAGATGTGTTAGCATGGGTACGTCGACAAGTCGTCATTGTCCAGAATGGTCGCTGTGGTCGTCCAACGTCCAACAAGTCCGTTCGCCGGGTGCTTTGCTGCATTGGTGCGGACCTGTGGGCGCTCTGTGCGCATTTTTGCGGAACCGGAGTTCTCACCGTTGGCACCCGACGATTATCATATAGTGGCGGTGACTTATACGGTGGGGTTTGCGAAGGGTGCCTCTTGGTGCGGTGGAATCGTTTGGACTTCTTCATCAGGACCTCCCTGCGTGAGTCGAGCTCCAGGGGAGACCGGAAGAAAAGGTAGCGAGCCAAGGTGGGGTGGTGTGACACTGAAACGGCCGCAGTTGCCGGCGTGCGCTGCGTGCTGGCCTTTCGGAGAGCGCGCTTCTTGGGATCTGGGGTGCATGAACTATTTGCTTAAGCGCTTTTCCTGCAATGCACGCTTAACGTCGATTTCCTCTGGCAGTCTTCGGGCCTCTTCCGCATTCCGAGATGATGTGCGTGGCGATACGCGAAGGGCTGTCGGTATCTCGCGGTACCTGTAATTTCCCGGTGGCGGAGGGGTTGTTGGGGCGCGAGCAAGATGGTCGCTAAGTCGTGCTGCTGCCGGTCTTGCCTTTGTCCGTCGTGTTTAGCTCACCAGGATGCAGAGCCAAGGCGCCGTCGGACCGGTGGGCGCGCGGGCGTGCGACAGTGATAGGTGCATTTCTTTTTGCGCGTTTGCCGGCGTCATCGAGTATAAGACGGCCCGGCAGTGGCTTTTGCGAGCAAAGCTGACTGCACAGCAAGTAGGCGTTGCTGCTACACGCAGTAGTCGACATCTCGTGACAGGGGTCCGTCAGGTAGCCATATTTTCCGTCGGGCGTGCCAGGGGGCGCGAGACGCGGCCCTTTTCGATGCCCTCGACAACGAATCGTGCATTTCGAAACGAGGGAGAGCCCCAGCACCAGGTGATGACTTGCACATCGTATGTCTGATGGACGCGAGACGAGATCCTCCTCTGCACCTCCTTGCCGAATCCGACTGGATGTTCGATCCCATTACTCTGTGAAGTGAGACGAAACCGCTCGCGAAGATCAACTCTCAGGTGATAGAGCAGATCTTTGGCCCAAGGCTGCGACGAGGAGAACGGAGCAGCTCGATCCCATAATAGCCAGCACAGCCTCTCTCACACGTCCAACGGTCCACAACTTGATCATGGCGACGTCAGCAAGGGTGGAGTAAACAGGACCTTCGTAAACGTAGACGCTGGTAGCACGCACAAGAGTAGTATCTCTCGGCCGCAAGGTTGGGAAGCGCCGTTTGCGCCCTGCATGGTCGTGTCATTCAGCGCGCTGACCGGTCAGCAGCAGGCGCATGAAACCTCCCTTTGGTGTGTCCAAGCTCTTTGATGTGGATGTTGTTGTGAGGAGATGGATCCGCCGTGCAAGGATTTCCGACAGGGACTCGCGAGAGCGGTAGACGAAATCGGAAAATGTCGGACGAAAGGATCCGTAGCTGAGTAACCGAGGGCAATCTGCCTGAACTGCCGCGACTACCTCCGGTCTTCTCAGGGGACAGGTAGCGCAGAATATTTCCTCATTTTCTGCTCGTGTGGATCTTGTTATGGGCGTCGGCGCGTGGGTGTCATTGGCTCTTTTTGCCTGGAGCTTTGGTGTGGAAAAGACGCCGGACTGGCCTTATCCAGTTAAGCGTGCAGTGATCCGTCTATCAGCCTAAAGCTTGCCGCGTGGATCTGGGGGAATATGCTTCGAGCGCGTGCCTCGGCAAACGACTACAGGTGCTCGAATGCATTTTGCTGGTTGAAAGAAGCCCGAAAGAGATGGAGGTGACGTCTGGCCCGTCCGCAGCGATGCGGAAGATCATGCGGGCTGGGATCTTAACGGAGATCCTATGGGCGCGTGGTGGGTGACCTCCGCATATTCCTGATTGCTTGGCAGCTTTCGATGCCAGGACGAAATCAAGACGTAAAAAAGTCCAGAGACGCGCGAAAACAGCGAGGAGAAGTGGGATTAAAGAGCTTGGAGTTGCTTTAGGGTTGAGCCGCGCGTCCCTTACTTGAGCTTTCCTTATTCATCGGCGCGGTGATGTCATTGCTGATTGCGCTGATTGCGCGCTCACGTGGCTGCGTGTCGCCGCGTCGTGCCCGTCCGTCGACACCTTTTTGCTAATTCGCACAGCGCCCTCGCGACCATTTTTCTACTCTCTATTCTTTCAAAATGCCCCAGGAGCGGCCAGCGCGACCTCCGGTTCCCCCCGTGAACCCCTACACGCCGAAACAAAATCTGACACGCCATCCGTCAGAATCTCCTCCGCCATCCGCACAACCCTTGCCACCCCGCTCGCCGGCTTCCGCAGCAAGGCACGCGTCTCAAAGCCGGGGTATCCCGCGCCCCGACCGCCCTGCAGAACCCACGCGCCAGCACTTTGATCCCTGGAATTCGTCGTCGACCGGTCACCAGCGCGCAGAAAATCGGCTGGCGGGAAGCACGTCGTGGCGCGAGTCCCGCAACGCAAAGCTTGCGGCACAGTTCGCCGGCAGCGCAGGCGGTGGCGTGAGGCTTTCGGACACTGTGGGGGCCGGGAGTGAGGGCTTTGGCAAGGATGGCCGCAAGGCCAACGGAGGCTGGGAAAGGGGCGCGCCGGGCCTGAGGGGCAAGGGGCAGCTGGCCATATGGGAGTCCATGGAGCGCGCGTCGAAGGAGAGGAAGGCGGAGGGAGAGCTTGGAGACGGTCGCCGTGGCCAATCGGTGCGCGGCCATGGCGCGGACGAGACAAGCTTTGGCAGTGACGACGGCCGCGCGGGAGAGGCCGTAGATCGAACAGGGGAGCCTGCAGGGAAGCGCCACGATAATCCTGAGGGAAGTTCCGTCGATGTGGAGAATGCGGAGGAGGTAGTTCCAACGTCGAAGCAAATCTTTCGCGGGCTTTGCTTCTACATCAACGGCTCGACGGCGCCGACGATTTCGGACCACAAGCTGCGGCAATTGCTGGCGATGCACGGCGCGAGCACTTCAATCGCATTGGGCCGTCGTACCATAACACATGTGATACTTGGCCGTAGCGGCGCAGGTGGTGCTGGCGGGGGTCTCGCGGGTGGCAAGCTACAGAAGGAGATAACTCGCGTCGGGGGACAAGGCCTGAAATACGTCGGCGTGGAATGGGTGGTTGAGAGCGTCCGAGCGGGCAAACGGCTACCGGAGGCGGGCTTCTCGAACCTGAAGATTGCGCCAGCGGGGCAGAGAAGTGTCTACGGTATGTTCAAGCGCGGGGACAGCGCAGGATCAAAGAAGGCATGATAGAGCGGGAATGGAAAGCATTGGGCCTGGCGTTGTCTTCCTTTGATGGTGCGAACCGAATACTAGATACCCGCAATGAAAAAGGTGGCTTCAATCATGATCAAGTAAAGTCATGTCTCTTGCTATATCGTCCGTGTGGGTGACGGACGCGCTGGACAAGATGTGAGCAGGAAGCATGCTACGGCGGGCGGGGGGTTGTCAAGGCGCGATGCGGACGCGGTGCTTCAAAGGTTAAGGTGTTAGTTAAACCTACATCACAGGTAGGTTGGCCTAGTGGTTTGCGCATGTCAGTTTGCATGCACCCAATTGGGTTACTTTCCAGCTAGGCAGTGACCTCACCTGGTTTCGAAGTGCCATATAAAGAAGCTCTTCAGCGTCTGGTTTAGCGCCCGGCCCTCGGGCATGGGTGACATAACCAAGCCTTCGCTCCAGCGTGTTACTAGATGGCTAAAGAAAAATGAAGGCCGTAACAGAGCGATTCCGAGCTATGTACTCGTAGTTGTCTAAGCGGACTCCGACATAGTTTTTTTTTTTTTTTTTTCGTTGTTCTGCCTGCTCCGCTGCCTGACTCTTTAACATTTCGTATAGCCAACGGCACGTAGTCATCTGCTACACCTTATATAAGAAAATATCTTAGCGCGGTCGGTAATCCAGATTGAGCTACGATTAAATATTGCGCTGTCATATGTGTCTCATCGCGTCCATCGCCGGCATCCGACGTGCACCATAAGCTGTTTCTAGAGAGCGGGCCTCAATCCCGCCCTCTTACTCTCTCGATGCCAAAGTGAGGCCAACTTTCACCAACACCTAGCTAGACTTCGGCACCTATTGTATATCAGCTAGCAAGTCAACGGGTGTGAGATGCGCGACTTCCGAAGTCATCGACTCAAAAACGCTGCGGGCAAGTGTGGTTAAATGAGGCAGGTGGGCACCTTACTTCCCTCCGTCCAACTGATCTTGCCCGAAGATCTTCTACTGCTCGTTGTCTATAAATACCGACCACCCTTGACCTGAACCTCCAAACACCCAACACCATCGCACTCATTCTACACAACTACGACCGCACACACACCATGGCGTCAAACGCTGTGGTATCTTCCCACCACTCGCAGGGCCCTGACGCCCAGAATATGGACGGTGTAGGCCAGTAGTAAGTAGCTTCCACCAATACCCTGTGGCGAGCGCAGCTAACATGAAGTTTAGCCTCTACCAAAACAAAAACGGGGCTGACATCACCATTGTCTGTGGTGACAACATCATCATCAAGGCACACCGCGTCGTGTATGTCATCCCTCTACCGACCGCATTGAAAAAATACGCATGCTGACCTGAGTTGTTCCTGTAGCATTTGTACGCGTAACCAATTCTTCAAAGGTTGCTGCGGCCTTGTAAGTTGACACTCTCTCACCGTGAGCGCAATGCTGATACCTCGACAAGGAGACCGGAACAGATCGCATCAATCTCACCGAGGATGCAGAGACGGTCGAGGGCATTCTTGAACACTTGTATGGCGTCGAGGTGTCGCTGATCGAGGGTCGTGATATACATAGCAAGTACGGCGGCGAATACTCGCAGGTCAAGATCCAGAAGAATCTGGAAAAGCTTACCCGCCTTTATGTGGCCTCGGACAAGGTTTGAGATGACGTCTTTGCAAATTCAATGGCTCATGAGCTGAAAGTTCCACAGTATGCCATCAGGAATCTTATGAACGATATTGCGGGGACCTTCTGCTACCGCTTCAAGGCGATCGGCGACTCGGACCTGATCCTCCACGTCGCAGCTGACGTCTATGAGAAGACTTCGGTCTTTGATGTCAGCCTCAGGGCTGATGTCGTCAACCACGTTCAGGTGCACCTCGACATAATTCTGGCTACTGAAGAGACGTTTATGGTGCTAATGAGCAATACCGATCTCGCCCGAGACATCCTCAAGCGCGCGGCCCCGTTCCTGCGTAAGGAGACAGAGGATTTGACCTCGGAAGGATCCAGTGGCTCGAGCGACCAGAACTCACCGACTCCAAAGAAGAGGAAGTTCGACTATGCTCCGAGGAACAGGACGATTTGAGCTTCTCGTCAAGGGGGCAATTCAAAAAAGCAAAAAAGGACTCGGCATTAGGTGCCACGGATGGCGGCATTTGGCTCCTGACAAATGGTTTATGCGGTCTTTCAATTTTGGAGCTTTTAAGGCTTATCAACACAGAAAAGTTTTGGGTTTCAACATGGGTATGGATTTGACAGGGCTTGAAAATGCTCTCAAAATAAAATTCGATTTGGACAAACGAGAAAAGTTTGGGAATGTTTTCGACACCTACTAGGATTTGAGGGGATCCAGTATACTTTCTTTAGGGTTCTCTCAGAGCAAAATTTCAGCTAGATGCCCTTATACAGTCCCCTCTCGTAGCCGATGACGTGGATTTATTTTTTTGCCCATGTCATGGGTAGCTGAAGCTATCGTCCGGACGTGTATGTCGAATTTTCTTAAGTCCACAGTCTCGTCCAGACGACAGCTTCAACTACCTACGTATGGTTAACGATTCGATAAAAAGAAAACCCAAGAGAAGGGCACATATCATAGGTAGCTGAAGCTATCGTCCGGATGTAAATGTCGAATTAATAATTATACATATGCGTCCGGACGATAGCTTCAACTACCCACATATGTTCATTTTCATTTTGATGGGGGAAAAAGGGAAGAATGGAGCCCTCCCTTTAAGTACCGCCAGACCCAGATCGTGACGAGCTCACCTTCGCCGGCCTGGGAAGGAAAAGAAGAAGCCACCGGCGGTGACGTAAAAGCTCCCCATTAGTCCGGGCCTTAATCTGGCGGAGTTGCGGCCAGTCATTTCGCCTGACCACGCACGCCGGCGGCCCCCATCAATGAAACCCCCCTAAAGTTGCCGACGACAGACGCCATCGGTCTGATGGAGTAGTGGTAGACGTAACGTCTGCTGCGTAGGTCGTATATCAGTGGCTCCTTCGACGGAGGATCCAGATCAGACTTACCTAGTGAAGCTCATGCCAGATCTCCCTGACCTTCAGATAGCCGCGCTAGCAGTGCTGGTACACCATGCCGCGTGTACGCCAGCTAACTCCCGAGAGGGCCAGCGCCTCAAACGTGACCTCCAACGCCTGTCCACCAGAGTGTCAGCAAAAGATTGACCGGGCCGGCCCGTCGTGTGGGAATCTATAGTCCCCTCTTGCAGCCGATGGCTAGCGTGAATTTTTGCTCATGTCATGGGTAGTTGAAGCTATCGTCCGGACGTGAATGTTTAATTATTAATTCCACATTTACATCCGGACGATAGCTTCAACGACCCATTAATGTTTTTTTTTCCATTGGAGAAAGACAAGGAATGGAGGCATACTTACGCTATTTTATTCTTCTAAGAAGAAAAAAAAAGAGAAGAGAATGACGCCTGGGGCCTTAATATTCTTCACGCTGACCTTCGGCTCCGATACCTCCCTGTAGCGAGTCCTCTGTACAGAACTATCGTCAATGGAAGACAAAAAGCAGCGAAATTCAATGATGAGGTTGATGGAGGTGGTGAGGAGGCGACGGCTGGGAACCCCGCCCGGGCGGCAGCCAGGGCACGCGTTCGCCGAACTTGGCGCTTCCGGCGCGACGTGCGCAACCTCACAGCACGAGAAAGCGCCAGGCCGCAGCCAAACACGATGTGATTGCGAGCGACGGAAGGGGGCCAGCAAAAAAGAGTCCACGACCCGCGTCCCCCCCGCCCATGGGCCCCGAAACCGCCTCCCGACCGGGCGCGAGCCCCAATGGTGCGCCGCCGCCCGGCGACACCACCGCAGCTGCCGCCGCGACGACCATGACAGTACCCACGCCGACCATGGCCACCACTGCTGCGCCGCCATCCGCACCCCAGCCGCAGTCGGCCAACAAGCAGGACCCGCGCCCGCAGCCGCAGCAACAGCAGCGGCCCGCCGCCATGGAGCCCAACGTGCTGAACGTCGTGCTGGGCGACCTGCTCGTCAAGCCTTGGTACCCGTCCTTCTACCCGGAGGAGCTGGTCGGCCGCCGCGTCGAGCGCCTGTACGTGTGCCAGTGGTGCTTCAAGTACTCGAAGGAGCTGATCCCCTTCCTCGGCCACACGGTCCGTCCTCCCATACAACCCTTTTTGTTGGCGCAGCTGAGGCTGATGCGCGTAAGCAGAAGGTCTGCAGCCTCAAGGACGCCCCACCGCCGGGCACCAGAATCTACGCCAAGGACTGCTACTCGATACACGAGGTCGACGGCGAGGAGCACAAGGTGCGTGTGTCGATCCTTCCAAAGCGCCACCACATTCCAATATTGCTGACGCCCCCACGCCCAGCTCTACTCGCAGAATCTGTCCCTCTTCGGGAAGCTGTTCCTCGACACCAAGTCCGTCTTTTACGATGTCACCACCTTTCTGTACTACTTGCTCGTCAACACCAACCCCATGACCGGATCGCGCCAGGTCATTGGCTTCTTCAGCAAAGAGAAGATGAGCTGGGACAACAATAATTTGGCCTGCATTCTGGTTTTCCCGCCGTGGCAGAGGCAAGGTCTGGGGCAGATGTTGATGGGCGTGAGCTACGAATTGAGCCGGCGAGAAGGACGCATTGGCGGTCCGGAAAAGCGTGAGTATCAACTTTGCTCATTCCTCCTCTTATTTCCCTTTTTCCGCGAGGTCTAACGGACTTGGCAGCCCTTTCGGAGCTTGGCCGTCGTGGCTACACGGCGTACTGGTCCGCTACAATCGCAAGGTACATCTTGTCCGTTCCGATGAAGCGCAACGTCACGTTGCGCGATGTCAGCGCCGCAACGTACATCCTGCTAGAGGATATCGTTACCACGCTCAAGGAGATGAAGGTGTTGGAACATCGACCGAACACTAACAAAAAGTCCAATTCTGCCCCTGACGAAGTTCCTGTTCTCAACAAGGCCAAGGTGCGGAGATGGGCGCTTGAAAATGGCGTCGGCCTGGTGCCGCCTGTCGACGCAAATGCGTTAACCGTGGAGTGGACGGCGCGGGACAGGAGGGAGGATGCTGGAGGTGACTAGAAAAAAAAAAGCTTGCATTAGGTTTCCTTGCATCTATTTTAGAAGGGGTTCCGTGGCGTGGTAATCTGTTTTTTGATAATATACCCCGGGCATAGAAGGTACGTCGAGCACTGCATGCGAGGCTACACACAGCCTCGTGCGTTAATATAATGATGGTGTCAACCGTCATTCTTATCCATTTTGTTGTTTTGCAGTGACCAGCCCCACCGTATGCTGCGTATACGTGGCTCAGGTTCGCTTTGATCTTTGATTCAATGCCTGCGGTGGCCTCCTGCTTTTTCTAATACTCTTGAACTGCTTAAATATTAATGATCTCTTTTATTCTCTAGTGTTGAATTAAGAATCACTCGAGAAAATAACTTCACAGTATAAATACGATATCATCATCACAATGACAGAAACCCTCGCCAATCTCTTCGCCCGCCTCTCCGGCCTCCTCCCGCAATCCGTATCCGACCAGGCGTCCAAGATGTTCGTCAAGCGGCTTCTCAAGCACTTCTTCGACCGACTCGAGGAGCTCTTGGCCCAGATGTGCTGGGCCGCGCTGGCCGGACTCTTCCAGGCTTTCTGGTTGCTGGTGTTTCAAAACGTGGCGGGGAGGGCTGCCTCCGCTGTCACTTCTTCTGCCGCTACATCGCCCGCGCCGTCGAGCAAGATGAGTTCTTCGCGGGCTTCTTCGACACCACCCGCTGCTGTCGCTGCTGCTCCTGCTCCTGATGTCGAGGGACTAGATTGCGCTTCTTCAACGGGAACGGGTTCAGTGGCGCCCACAACGCTGAGGGATTATGAAAAGCATGTGGTGAATCAATGCTTGGACTGCGCTGCGAGGCCTGCAGATGCGTTGGGCACTGAAGATACGTCGGCGAGTACGCAGGAGGCGAGGAACAAGGGAAAGATGCCAGCTAGGCCACCTTCTTCTGACAGTCGTGGCAGCGGTTACAGGGGGGACGGTGAGACGGGCAGGGGGTCTATGAGTCCTGAAACACTGAGCAAACACCTCACCTCGGCTTTTGATCGCGTAGTAACGGCAAGTCAGGTGAAGGAAAAGGCAATCTTGAAGGAGATCGGGACGAGAATGGACCTGATTCAAGACTTGGTGACAGCTCATAAGCGATTGGTGGATAGGAGGCTGGCGTTTGAGGGTGATTCCAGCAGCCTCAAACGGAGCAGGAAGTTCGAAAATTTGAGGGAGTTACGGGATGAGGCGCGCCGCAGGGGCATGGGCGAGGAGTCAGTAGTGGAGGGTGGAAGTACAGCCCCCTCTCGCAGCGATGGCTAGCGCGAAGAATAGCAGGGCTCCCCAGCTCTGCCTTAAAAAAAAAAATAACATACACGGGTAGCTGAAGCTATCATCCGGACGAGAATGTCGATTTTTTAATTCTACATACTCGTCCGGACGATAGCTTCAACTACCTATGGTATGAGCAAAAAAATAAATCCACGCTAGCCATCGGCTGCAAGAGGGGACTGTAGATCTGCTGAGGGTCTTTCTGAGGACACTGATATCTACGGGATCAACGAGGTCAGTGGTAGTAGCAGTGACTCCATTGTCTCTTTGTAGAATATTGCTCATCTCCGTGTATCCTAAGCCTTTGGTGATGTATATTGCGTAAGGGGAACAGTGTCTTCAGTGAAGATTTGTAGACCAACATTTTCCACGCTGTCCCAAGCAGAGGCAAGTGCACCATAGTCTGAGGAACCTCCCGAACCTCTATCATCACCCCTTTCCAGACCATGCGTACTTCCCACAGCTGGTGTCGAAAGCATCACATTCTCCAAGAAGGGTGGTGGACGTTTCAACTTTGGGTGGGCTGAGTCCTCCAGGTCAATCACAGCAAGTCGATCTCGCCATTCGGTGATTGGAACTTTCCTGTCGCAACACTTCCATGATCCGATTCCGAGTTCCTCGTGTGCCAGACGCTGAAGTTGGAGAGTCTCATTCATAGTCCACTCGAAGCGAGTATGGACATCAAGGCCATATCGATGTTGTATCCAGCAAGCAAGAGGCTCCATCACGTAAGATAGCGTAACGACCAAGCCACCGCCGATGAAGATAACAGCGAGCCCGAAGACTGAGAAGTTCGTGTAAGCGGTGCTTTGTATCATCTAGACAGTGATTAGCATTCCATGGTAATCATGCATTGTTTCTGGTCGTTCATACCTGGCTCTTGCACAGACGCTTCATTCTGTCGTTGAGCGGCGGTGATAGAAAGTCGCGCATTGCGGTATCAAGACTTCCGGTTGCTGTCTCCACAAATAGCTGTTGAAGTCTCGCCATTGATATGTTATGCCATTTCTCAACATCCAACTGCCACTGATTGTTTGCAATTGGGCCTTGGAAACCGTCTGCTCTTCGAGAGCTGGACTCCAGTGACGATTGCGTCAGCAGTTGTACCACGGATAAAGCACTAGTCTCTAGTCTTCCTGCAAGTTCAACATTCCAGTTGGCTACCTTACGATCAGTTTCATCCGGCCACAGCATCGTGATGTTGTTATCATCGCTAGACGAAAAGAACTGTGTGCAGTCTTTCCCTGGAGGCAGATTTGGATTGCACAGCTGAGATTTCTCCAAGCATCCTAAAGGAGATGCAGGCTCATCGCTCCGGTAAAGAGGAAAACCAAATAGGTCTGTACCGTTCGCGTACATGCGATTTGCGGAGTACCAGATGTCGCTCGAATTTTTCACAAAGACAACACTGTTCGTGGAGAGGAAAACAGTAATCACTCTTGAATCCTCAATTTTCAGCTCATCGATTGGCTGGAAATTTGATGATTCATGAGACCAGGAACCATTCAGGTGGTACTTGGCACCCAGAGCCCTGCAAGAATGTGATTAGCGGTACAGCTTAAAAAAAAAGAACCTTCGACTGACCTTAAGGTAAAATCCGGACTATAGTCCAAGAGATCGGCCCACGATGTTCCAATTGGGTATCGATGTGTATAATTGTTCTTACTAGTGTTCCCATAGAAGTACAACATTACGCTTTCTTCTCGGCTGCTGTTGGCGTGCGCTGTGCTTTCCTTTCGGGAGTAACCCTCTGTCATTAAAGGAGCACAATGCAACAGGCGCCTATAAAGAAAGCGTCCATCTTGAGGCGTGTTGAGCCCTAAATCTTCTCGACTGTCGATGAAACCCGTGTCAAGAAGAAGGTTGGAGTCTTGACTTTTGCAGATTTTAGGGTCGAATGGACATGACGCGCTGCGGTTCGCTTTCGTGCGAATGTTTCTTCTCACGAACTTCCTACAGCCAACATCATTGAAACCTTCCGAATAGCACTGCTGTGCATAATTGGCACTCGAAGAAAGGGCTCTAGAGACGTGTGGAAGATAGCTGACATATAGGGCGTATATGTCATGGACATGGTCGCTCTTACTGAATGATAGAACCTTGCTACAGCCACTTCCTGAAAGGAGAACTTGGGTCTCATCAGCACTCGAAATCCGGGACGAAAAAGTACTGGCTAAGGCGAAGGTGATCAGGGTGATTAACGTGAAAACGAGCGGTGGTAGAATTCGGCGGTAAGGCCTTTTCGCAATTTTGCGCCATGCATATAAGACTTCACAGAAGCCCCACAGGCCAGTAGTTCCGTTTGCTGCATTCCGCAAAATTGCTTGTCGTTGATGATAAAGTCCGTCACGAGGAGCGCTCGTCGAATAGATATAGTGGACAATGAAGCATCCGATCCTCCAAAATCTGGTGCCAACGAAAGTGACGAAGAGGGATAGAAAGGCGATGAGCAAGCTTCCATGAGTGCGCGTTGTAGTCAAGGTAGCGCCAAACAGCCTCCCGTGGGCCCAATTCGTCCAAATTCCTGTATAGATGCTGTCGTCGTACTCTGGCAAAGACGCCATGGCGCCTTCTGTGAGAGACCGAAGATTCAAATGATTTTGTTCCGATTGTGTAGTCACAACTTGCTTGTTGGCTGTTGCTGGCACGAGGGATGATGGGTTTGGCGGTCTCTTCATATAAGGCTGTCGAGAATGGCTCCCAATTCTCGAAGGGATGCATTCATTGAGATGGGCGTGTTGAATGTGGATACTCTAAGCCACGCCACGTAGTATCGTTTCCCGATCTGTTGTTATGTCCACCATTGCGGCGCTTTTGGCAACAAATCAGCCGCCAGCATGCTATCGGTGTTTCTGTGAGGCTCAAGAAAATGGCTTCCTACGTTTCTAAGAACAGTAAATGATATACATTAAGGGCTGATCCCGCACATATGCAAGGCAATATTTTCTGAAAAAGGTCTAGAGTCTCACGTCAGCGTCGCCTAGGGCGATCCTTTTTACCTTTCAAAGAACGGAGAAAAAAAGGTAAATCCAGGATACAGCAGCATTTTGCAGCCAATGGCTAGCATGAAGAATAGCAGGGCTATAGGACATATCGTAAGTACAATATGACTTCGTTTTTTTTTTATAAGAAAAAGAATATATGTGGGTAGTTGAAGCTATCGTGCGGACGTAAATGTGGAATTCATAATACATTTACGTCCAGACGATGGCTTCAAATAACCCATGGCATGAGCGAAAAAAAATTTCACGCTAGCAATCGGTTCTAATACCCTTCTGTAATTATTTACGCGCTGGCGTTCCGTTGCGTGTGGTGGCTGCATGTGACATGCACGGGTGCAGATTCAGTAAGCAAACTGCAGATTGAGGTGGCCCTTCAGTGATTCTTTATCTTCCTGTTATTGTGAAAGCGATTTTGAGCACCAAATGCTGACAAGCTGATTAACTCGAAACGGCTTTGGAAGCCCGCAATGATCTCGACAGCAGTTGTAATGCAAGGCTGAAGATAGCCGCTCTCTCACCAGGGGGCACGGCTACCCCGCACAGCCCGAACCTTCTCCTTATCTTACCAAGTTGATACTAATCTATATCGATATATTAAGAAGATATTAGGACATGGGCAGCTACTACATAGCGGCAAATGGTAATCGCCCTCCTCCAGTGTCAGCGTTCTACTAGGCTCTACTTTACAAGTGCCAAGGCTGATATCGGCAGCCTCGAACGGAGCGACAAGTTCGAATGAGGAGTTTACTGGAGTAGGCGCATCGTACACATGTGGGCGAGAGATCAGTAGTGGAGCGTCGAAGTACATACAACTGTTCGGCTTCCGAGGATACCTCAACTCAGAGTACCGACGAGATCTCAGAAAATCATCTCTGCAGCTCTATAGCGGCCCGGCATTCTTTCTCTCCCAGCTCCTGAGAGCATTTGGTATGGTAAAGTGCAGGACTGACGATATTCAACTTTTGCTTTATGTATTTCAAATGCTCATTTCTGCTTTCCTTTCCGGTGTCGTACAGTGTCCGCTTCGCCACTGGCTATTCCGGTCTTCTGAATAGCGACGCTCTTCTTTTCGCCGCTGCCCTCAATCACCCATGTCTCTGCAATCTCTTTGATTTCCGGCTTCTTCTTTTCCTCGACCTTGGCTTCCTTAATTCTCCTGAGGTATCCCAAGTAGATGGCAACCTCGGCGACCGCCACGACTCCGCTTCCTGTCATGCTTAGTGCCAGGCGTGCTGGGGTACTCCAGTATCTCGCAGCAATCCATATAGCAACGCTGCAGGCGATGATAGACACGAGCACGTTGATGATTAAGGCCAGTTGCCTGTTGATATCGGCGTAGGTAACTTCGTCGTCTTCATCCTTGCTAGCAAAACTATCCATAGGATGCGGAGCGAAGAGGTCGGCGTTCGATGCTGGGAAGCGCTGGGAGAACGTCTCTGTGGGCGGGGGTGGGTTCAGCATGCGTTCGTAAGCGCGGGCTTCCTCCTCCTTTCGGAGACGAGCCATTAACTCTTTGTATTCGTTACTCTATAAAGGCAGGTTGTCAGCGGAGCAGGGCACGTTGGCATCTCTGAATTCTCACAGGCTCAGGTTTTGGCGGAGGCGGTGGCACGTAGATTTTGGATCCCCGAAGGAGATCATTAAGAGCAGAGGGTGCTGGTTCGCTGTCGTCATCGTGCTGCGCCGCACGAGCCTTCAGAAAGTCGGAAATGTCGATTAGTTGGGCATGCGAGATGGGCTTGCCGGGCGCTGGGTCGCTGAGCTGCGGTTCTCCGTCCAGCTGCAGTTTTTGCATCTGCACGGCACCGGCGAGAGCTTCATATCGCTGGACCGCCGCCACGATGGACGGGGTCATTGTGAGGAGGACCATTGCGGCGGGTAGGTGGTGATGTGGAGCAGCGATTGCCTGCGGCTCTGCGGGTGCTGAAGCTCAGAGCTCTGGCTTGGCCTTGGCGCAAGATCCCTGTTCGATTTTCCCGACTCGCGCCGCTCGAACCCTCGCGTGCAACCGTTTTGCTTGCAGCCCGCAGCACTCCACGTCTGCGACCGCCGCCAACCCCTCCCGGTCCAGCTCAACCCGGATCCTGCTCAATTCGCTCCTGCACTCCTGCGCCATCATCCACAATGGCCGCCCGCGCAGCACGAAGCCCGGCGCTCGCCCGGAGCGTCTTCGCCGCTCATCGCCCACGGATATCTCTTTGCTCTAGATGCCTACGCTCCCCCTCCGCCATACAGTCTACCTCCGCAGCGTCCGTCTTCTATCACCCCTCGCGGCGGCGAGAGGGCTCCAGCTGGGCCGCCGCCGCCGCCGCCGCTCAACAGATTTTTAACAACTCGGCGCCCGACCCGTCAGCACCCATCTCCATAGACCCATTGCGGTCCGTTGCCAAAGAGATGAAGTTTCTCACGAAGAATATACGCCAATTGCTCGGCTCGGGACATCCTACCCTTGATACCGTGGCCAAATACTACACCCAGTCTGAGGGCAAATATGTCCGGCCCATGCTCGTGCTGCTTATGTCGCGCGCAACCGCATTAATCCCCAACAACGACCGGCCCTCTGTGCGCAACGTGGACCGCTCCATTACCCCGCCTAACATTCTCGTCGACGAGAACCCCGATCACCCCGAGAACACACCCATCACCTCGCAAAACTCCATCGACAACACCTACCGTCCGGACGACTCGGACATCCTTCCCTCGCAGCGGCGGCTGGCGGAGATTACAGAGCTCATCCACACGGCCTCGCTGCTGCATGACGACGTCATCGACCACTCGGAGGCCCGGCGGGGCGCGGCGTCGGCCAACATCGAGTTCGGCAACAAGATGACGGTGCTGGCGGGCGACTTCCTGCTGGGGCGGGCATCGGTGGCGCTGGCGCGGCTGCGCGATCCCGAGGTGACGGAACTGCTGGCGACGGTCATCGCAAACCTGATCGAGGGAGAGTTCATGCAACTGAAGAACACGGCGCGCGACGAGGCGCACCCGGTCTTCACCGAGGACACGGTCACGTACTACCTGCAGAAGACGTACCTGAAGAGCGCTAGCTTGATCAGCAAGAGCTGTCGTGCCGCCGCCATCCTGGGCGGTAGCGCGCCCGACGTCGTTGAGGCTGCGTACCAGTACGGCAAGAACTTGGGCATGGCTTTCCAGCTCGTGGACGACATGCTGGACTACACCATCACCGCCGAGGAGCTGGGCAAGCCGGCCGGTGCAGACTTGGAGCTGGGTTTGGCGACTGCACCGTTGCTGTTTGCGTGGAAGGGCAATGCGGAGCTGGGCGCTTTGGTGGGTAGGAAGTTCTCGCGGCCCGGAGATGTTCAGAAGGTAGGTTTCGAAGGAAGTGACGTAGTGCTGTGACCGGGGTGGAAGCTAATTGGACCGACAGGCAAGAGAACTCGTGGCGCGTAGCAGCGGCCTGGAGCAGACCCGCGCGTTGGCCCAGCAGTACGTTGATAACGCCATCCAAGCCATCAGCGGCTTCCCTACCAGCGAGGCCAAGGACGGTCTCATTGAGATGTGCACCAAGGTCATGAAGCGGAGGAAGTAAAAGAAACGTTTTTTGTTTATTCGAAGCAACTTTTTCCGTTCCCATATTTGTACCATACGATCCATCATAGAGCGGCGAAAGCATACGTCTTCGAGTTTTGATGCTAACAGGCAGGTCACATGCATTGTTTTTTGATGCAACTTTTTCTTTTTGATCTCTCTTCTCTGGTCTGGATGCGGACTCGGGGGTACTTGGTTCGGTAACAAACAAAAGGAGACGGGCGCTGGTATGCTTACGTTATGCCACTTCACTTATCCCTAGTTTGCCACCTTCTGATATGCTTTCTGTTCTGTTCTCTCCCATCTATCTCTGCATGTAGATGTTCCGTCTCTTCTCGCTTCTTCAGCTTGCCTGACAGGAATCCAACAGCGGATGGAGTTGCCAGTTTCACGAGATTGTTTGACTTTTGTGACGTGACGGCATGTCTTGATGATGCAAGGTACTGCGGACGAATTGTTGTTCTGTGATACTACTACAACGCCTCCGCAATCATTTTGCTTGGCTTTTGACGAAGGGTTTTGCCATGCTACGCAAGGCGGGAGTCGTAGCTGGGCATTACGGAGCGCTGGCAATGCAAGGACACGAGATTAATGAAGCGGGCTACGGATATGTTTTACCCGCTTCTATCCAGGGATTTGAGCACATCTACAAAAAAAAAAGTTAATTCACTCGTGTCCGCTACTTTCACCAATAGATGCATGACACAAACCAGGCAATGCTAGATTCGTATCCGATCAATCCACTAGCTACCTGAGTTTATATTCCTCTCTGTCACGAAGTAAGAATTCAAAATAGCCAATCTGGCTGTAGTACAACGACATGAAAGGTCGTATTTAGGGTGAGTCTTGCAGATTTAACTTTCAAGCCATCCTTATTGCCTGGATACAGAGGGGTGTTGCAGCCGATGGTCAGCGCGAATAATACGTAGCAGGGTTTTAGAACACAGCATAACTATGCCCCAACCCTTCATTAGAAAAATAAAATGTGTGGGTAGCTGAAGCTATCGTCCGGACGTGTATGTAGAATTTTTAATTCCACATTCTCGTCCGGACGATAGCTTCAAGTACCCATGATATGTGCCGTTTTCTCGGGGGAGGGGGAGGGGGGTTTTTCACGGATAACGACATATATGGGTAGTTGAAGCTATCGTCCGGACGTATGTATAATTATTAATTCGACATCTACTTCCGGACGATAGCTTCAGCTACCCATGACATGAGCAAAAAAAAAAAATCCACGCCAACCATCCGCTGCGAGAGGGGACTGTAACCATTCGTCCTGACCTAATTAGCTCCCGTTTCTTCGCTGAGACCAAATTGACCGAAAAGAGTAACACATAAACATGTCTTTCCGGGAAGACTCCCTGTGACCGTCACGCACAAACTTCATGACGAAGCGCCACCCCACGCCACGCATCTGCAGGCCGGAAATGACTGCGGTACACTGCACGCCCAATGGACGACCGAGACCTGTCTCTCCACCAATCCAGGGCCGAGGGCTGGGATAAGCAACAAGGAACAGAAGAAAAAGCAACGATAGGATAGATTGGAGCAGCCGGCAGGAACGGCCACTTGCGCTGCATGAACGAAAGCAATGCCAATGCAAATGCTGGCCGCTCTCCGCTGCAGTTAGCCGCAAGCAGTTCCGGACATGCGTCGATTGGTAACCACTAGCTGGCCTGCAGTGCTGTAGTAGCGCAGTTGCCCCGCACAGTGTGTATGCAGCCTACGAGGAGAAGGTGGTGCAAGGTGGAACAACAACAAAGCCAAATCGTGCGACATTCGGCGACGTTTTGGCGCGGACGAACTGAGCGGCGAGATCGTACGGTACCTACTTCATGCGGGCTGCCGTGTAGCGCCGCGGCGAGAACAGGGGACGGTTGGGGCGAAGGAAGAGCGCGTGAATGCGAGACATTTTGGAGCCTCTCACCGGTCGGGAGGCGGACTTCGTTGCGGTCGAAGCACGGATCGGTCTCTCAATGGCAAGCTATGCCTCGGATCCAAGGCGCGCAATTTCCCGACTTGCAGCAAACAAGAGGTAGTGTACGCTAGTGCTGCTGGAACAGCATTCTCACGGAGCGTTTCGAATGAAGGCACCGAATGAATCGTGCTGAGCGCTGATGCCAACACCCGACCACTAGCGTACGGACCTACTTCTCGGGCACTTCGTCACGCTCGGTTGGGACCGAGTAATCTTGCGAGCGTTCGTTGCTCGTTTGGAACTTCCGCATTTTCGTGTACTCTTCAAGTGATGGGGTCACCAATCGGGATTCGGGGCGTTGTTTACATGTCAATTCAGCTGAGAGAAACAACCTTCTCCTCGAGCCGACGGCCTCCCGTATCTCTAGGTATACCGCCGATTCAGCTCCCAGGGGCATGTTCAAATCAGACGCTGCGCAACGTGGACGTCACAAATATAGATCGACGATTGCGTGGAATGGGTTGGCAACGGCGAGTGCGAACCACAGCGAAAGGATGCACTAACGACGGATTGCCGTAGTTGTCAAGATAGCCTAGAGCCAAGCGGTAGTTAGCAAATATCTTTCGATGACGTTGTAAAAGCTTCGTTGATGGTTCAATGGTTCAATGCACGGCGCGCTCATTCCGCATTCTTCAAGCACAGGTCACAAGGCAGGCCTTCCCGCGTCCCAATTGCGATAGGGCGGGGAAACCCCCAAAATCCACGGAAGCTGGAATCTGGAAACCTCATGCTCGATCCAGGTAGTGAGTGCCGCGCTCTGGATGGCGGTTGAGTTGGGATAGCGCCGCCCAGTACGTCAACGTTGAATCTAGTTTCCGTCGCAAACGCTTCTCACGTGCTGCATGCGCGGTAGACTGCGGCTCGGGTGCAATCTCCCATAATGTCCCGGCATCATCGCGACGCTGATCCGGTGATCGCATGTGCAGCCTTCCCGTCCGCCCTGCCGCGCCGCCCTATCCCTTGATCCGACGAAGATGGCGTCCGTACGGGTGTGGCTCGGATCGAGCCATTGCGCAGAAGACATGCCGCTGCCTGGCAGGGCTGCATGACCCCAACGAGTTCCTGCGTGGTCGGCAAAGCCATCCCATGGGAAGAGGTGGTTCCTGCGTGCTGACCACCCCAGCGCGGCGTTTTAGGCGGCAATGGACTGGACGCAGAGCCATCGTACCACGCATTGCATGACTATGGGACTGGAAAGTGGTAGATGACAAAGAAAATGAGAGAGTGACTGAGGGGATTACTAGACAATTGCCTGCAGAAGCGAGAAGCAAGCCGAGGGAAAGTTAGTCGAGGGGGCGGCTGGTCGGTAGGCGTCGTTCCCGCTCGACGTCAGCTGCTTCTTATTTTTATCCCATGCTCCCAGCCCCCAACGCCATCGAAGATTGATCGCTGTGAGCCGCGTCGTTGAGACAACAGAGATCTCGATGCATGCCATCGCAGGAGCGGGTGGGGGAACGGCTGAGACACAGAAGCTCCGCTTCTCCTCATAACATGCCAGCCCACAGACAACGTGGATCACCACGTAGGGCCCTGTCGGGAGCTGCATGAGGGGGAGCTGGGACGTGATCGGATGCAGCGCAGGAGGCGGAGTGATGGCTGCACGACCACGACCGAACTGGCGACCACGTATGTATGCATGGCACGATGCTGTGCCAACGGCGCGGACGCTGGAAGCAGAGCGATTGGGCCGACGCTCGAGTCTCTGCAGATGCCAGCGGCCAGCTTTGTAAATGTCCGTGCCTCCCGTCGAGGATCTTCGGTCTGGACAGCGTGCGCTCCATGTCCGCCTGATCGGCGGCCGTGTCGCGCGCTTTGACGGCGCGCGTCGCCTCGGCGCGCGAGGCTGGGTAGGCGAAACACCACAACGCGAGGCCTTGCATAGCGCCCAACGGCGCCGCAGGAGATGGCCGGCTTGACCAGCGCCCCCCTCGGGCGCCGTTCCCTGGGTCGAACCGTTCCGCGATGCAGCATTGCTGTTGGATGAGGATCCGTCCGTTGAGGCCGGGCGGCCCACCGACGCGTCGACGCGTTCGTTGCGCGTCAGAACGCTAAGCTGCGTCGGGCTGGGCATGTCACAGCGGCCGGGGGGTGGGTGGAGGCCCTTCGCGCTGTGCTGCGGCGCGCGGGAGCCAATCGCCGCCGAGGGCGTCCGGGTGCACACCTCGCAGCGCGAGGGTTGTTGATAGGCGGCGCATGGCGTGGCCGTCGTCCTTCGTCGGGCGCCGCGCAGACCGCCGTTTTCGGTTCCTGCTTCTGGCGGGCGGCGGCTGCTGCGCTGTTGCTGCGATGCTGCTGCTCGCTGCGACGGCTGTTGCTACGTCGGCGGCTGCCCGGGCCTGGTGCGGGCGTCGGCTGGCATTGCTCTTCCCAGTTTTCAGGGTCTGCTGGCGGTGTTCGAATCGGTGTGAAGCCTTCCTGTAAGCCGTGCCATGAGCCAGGGTGGCGCTATTGTGGTTTAGGTGATGCTAGGTGATGCTAGCGCGGACGGGTGCATCGCCGCTTCCACATCCTGCCCGTCGCAGCGACCCTCGCCCGCCTCACCACCTCTCCGCTTTGTCGCCGCACCGCTCGCCTTTCCTCCCCCAGACCGCCGCCCACCACCCTCGACCGGCCATGCGCACTGCGCCGTGACCCGCGCCTGCTCAGCGACCCTCGCCCGCCGCCACAGCCCGCCTACCCATCGCTGCGCGCCCGGTTGCCCGCCGTTTGCGACTCTCGCGACGCCGTCCCTTTGTCCAGCCACCGCTCCGTCGCTCGATTTCCTTCTATCGCACACGCCCATCCGCGATCTCCCCTACCGTAGCTCCACTTTTCCTTTGGCGGCCTCGCTCGATTTGCTCCAGCGACACCGCGCGCGCTGCTGTCGCATCCACACTCTTTACCACCACGCTCGCTCCCACCGCTTTTCCCGTTGATCTTCCCACCGGGCACGACTCGAGACGCTCAGAGCGGCCGCCAGACGCGTGCGCCACGTATTCGCGACAGCTGGAGAGGACTCTCGTCACCAAAACAACAAATCAAAACATTGCGCCTGCCTCCCGACAGCCTGATTCGATCTTCGCGCAAGCGTAGGCATCGCACGATCCGCTTCGCTAGCAAACAATAAGAGTTTCCAAGCTTTCTGGGCTTCGATTGGCCGGCACCGCGACGTTGGAATTCAACCTGCAAGGAGGCCGATAACAGAGCTCGGGGTCGCGTACCACACGTGCTCTTCTTGTATGGTGGACGACAATCAAGGGATAAACATAATCTCCGACTGATTCCTTACCGGCCGACCTATATATCTCCGAGCAAGATGCCTCCCGTACGGCCTCACCTTTCGGTCACGCTGCCGAAGAACTTCACCTTCCACTACACGGACGGCGAACAACCACGGACGCCGGAGCCTGAATGCGCCGAGGAACCGACAGAACCGCCCCAGCTTCCTCGTCAGACGTACCGCGTCAGGCGTCGCAGGCGTGCCCTCCCGACGTACGCACCTACCAATTTCGCAAACGCGTCACAAGACCTGCCAATCCCCACCATCGAGGTTCCGGAGCCCGGCTTCGACGCGCCCTACGCGCCCTTCTCGGACACGTCCTCCGAACCTGAGAGGGGCTATCTTGCTCCCACTCCCACCGCCTTCCGCCTGTTCTCTCCGCCCAAGACCCCAGTGGCCCAAATCGGAATGGAGCGGAACAGCACTGGAAACTTCCACCGCGACGCGGACATTGAAAGCCAGGCCGAGAGCATCAGCCGTCCATCGTCTGCGTGCTCCGGCATTTCGGACTCCTCTATCTCCTCTCGTGGTAGCACGGATTCGTATGGCGGCAGCTGCACAAGCCCCGAGAGTGACAACTCAGACCCATTTGTCTTTCCGGAGCCCAAGCCCAGCCAATTCCCCCCTTCCTCGCCTCTGCAGGCGTACAACACCGAGCGACCCGCCAAGCGTATGAGGACTCGCAAGGACACCGTCTGGACCAAAGCAATGGATGACCATCTTTGGTTGACTTACATGATGTGTCTACAAGACCCCACAGTCACCCCATTCAAGATGCTGCCCGGAACCGTCCCCCCTCTGGGTATTTGCACCAAGGTTGCACGACAAGCCAAGAAGACGTGGAGAGGCGCCATGGCGAAAAGCCACAACACTCCCTATGCCCGAGATGGTCGCAGTGGCAGCAATACCCCCACCACCCATGATATCCCGAAACCCGGCGTCAAATGGCCCCGATCGGAAGCAGCCGCTCGCGGCCGACTCCGCAAGATCTGCAAGCGCCAGCCCATGCTCGCCGCGCACTACCAGCGGCTTCTGAAGACCCGGACGCCATCTCCATTCCCGTCTTCTTCTCCGCGCTCTCAATCAAGCTTGGGAACCGCCCCAATGACCTCCCCCTTTGAACCTGCCCAGCCTGCGGATCGAAACGATGCGCCCGGCTCATTTTCCACTCGCGACATGAACGTTTCCTTGACCACGAGTACCTCGTCCATGATGCAAATGGGCAACCCCCTTCATGCACTGGCAGCTGATGAATCCCAGCAAGCTCCTAATGATGACTGGCTCGGCCAGCAAAATGCTCGTTCGAATGCTCACCAGAAGAGTCAATCCCTCCAGTTTGGCCTCGGCCTCGGAAGCCCCGAGTCTGGTCACTCCAGCTCCTCGCTCGCTTCTCCGTTTGCCGGCATGCCCCAGAAGCCGCACCATGATGTGCAAACCGTCAGGCCCGTTTCTCAGCCTCAGCCGATGCTTGATTCCCCTGTCGAATTGCATGCCCCGATCCCCATTACCCGATCGTTCAAGCGCAGAGCCCAGCAATACTTGGAAGACCTGCAGCACGCCGAAAGTTCGCACGTAGGACACAACATCTTGCAAGAATTGTTCGGTGCTCCGGCCGAAATCAGCAATCGCCGCGTACGGGCTCGAGGCTTCAGCTTGGGCGACATGGGAGGCGGCGCGAGGAACCTTGCCGCGCTTTTCACGCCTCCGTCCTCGTTTGACCAGTCGAGCGGATCGCCGATGGCGGTCGAACAGGAAGATCCGTCGGCGTTGGCCCCACAGGCTCCGGCAGATCCGGCGAGACGGTTGGGATCTCCATTCTGCGGAAGGCCTTCCAATAACAACATCAGCAACACATTCCCCCGGATGACGTCGCCACGCCTGTTTGAGGAGTCTGCAAGTTTCGAGGAGCGTATTGGCGGCTTAGGCAACTAGCTTGACCACTTTGCATGACTGGCGTTGGACTGCACAGAGAGCGTTGACTTTGCATTAGCGATTGCGGCATACGACTCCCGGCGTACGGCGATGGCTCCCGGCGGCCACGAGCCGATTCATTTTTCGTAGAGGTGCGACCTTGTGGATGTCCTTTGTTTGCTCATTTGATGGTGCTGTGGGCGCAAAACGGCGATCCGAGGTTTCCTAGATCTCTGATGACGACGAAGGCAAGAACGACCTTTCTCAGGATTCTTCATTTCTTTAATTCGCTCTTATTTATTTTCATTTTTCCATTTTGCGTTCTTGGCGGGGCACTCCTGCGTTTCTGAAAGCAGCAGCATAAGTTGTTTCGCGCATCACAGGAAATGCATAGCCCCGGCGCACATCTCCGACCATTCGTCTCCACTCGACATGGCTCTTTCTCTCTCTCCATTCTCCTCGTCCTGCTGGCTCGGTTTTCCCAAAAACGCTCTCTAACTTTCCTTGTACGTGATTGCGTTAACGATGTCATGTTTACGACCAATGAAGGCGGGCCATAAGGATGCGTTTCATGCGTTCCTAATCGTCCAAACGAACGCATGATGATTTTTCTTGTAGTTAGATTCAAGTGTCCGTCAAAGGAAAAAATAAAGCACGGATTTGAACAATGACGAGCATCCGTGCAGATGGTGACGCGTGAATCGAGGCCACGCTGCGGCACGTGTTGCTGAGCGATGCTTAGCGGCTTGGCGCTTGTTTACCAACAGAGATGGCCGTCGCTCCCAAACATTCTGCCCAACACACACGACAAAGCTCTACTAACCACCAGGTCGCCACGCCAAAAACACCATTCCAAATCGCTGAAGTCACCGGCGAACTCTTCTCAGTCCTTTTCTTTCTTTTAATTGCTTTTCACGAGATACCCCACGTCACCATGGCGGCCGACGACCTCATCAACTTCGACGAGATCGAACCTCACAAGGAGAACATCCAGCGCGTGCAAGGCGGCCGGTCAGCAAGAGCGCTCGCAGCCGTCCTCTCACCCAGGAATGCCGACAATGCATTGAAGCCCATCCCCTCAGACCAAGAGAAGATCAATAACGTCAAGCGGCAAGAATTCGAAAAAGAGCTCGAGACCATTGACGAGTCGGACGACCCGCTCGACGTCTACGACCGCTACGTGAAATGGACATTCGACACATACCCCAACCCCGCTTCGCAGCAATCACAGCTGCTGCCGCTGCTCGAGAGAGCAACCAAGGCGTTCCTCAAGTCGCCGCACTACAAAAACGACCCGCGCTACCTCAAGCTCTGGCTCAACTACATCAAGCTCTTTTCCGACGAGCCGAGGCAGACGTTCGCCTTCTTGGCCCGCCACAACATCGGCGACGGCCTCGCGCTCTTTTACGAGGAATTCGCCGCATACTTGGAGACGCAGGGACGGTGGAACCAGGCCGAAGAGGTGTTCTCGATGGGCGTTGACAAGGAAGCGCACCCGCCTGCCCGCCTCTTGCGCAAGTACGGCGAGTTCCAGCAGCGCATGGAGGCGCGCGACCAGGACAGCAACGGCCCGTCGAGCCCCGCTCTTCCGGTCGTCAGGGCGGCGCTGGCGGACAAGGGCGACGCTTTCGGCCCGGCCACCGGCTCGCCCAACCCTCAAGGGGGCGCTACGACCAAGAAGAAGGCAAAGATGGCCATCTTCGCCGACTCGGAGGAGCCGAAGCAGTCCGTCTTGGGCGGCGCTGGCAGGAAGGGCGAGTCGCTCCAGACGATGGCGGAGCGCAGGAAGGAGAACAAGCAGGAAGCGCAGGCTTGGGCAGGGCAGAAGCTCAATGGGGGCAAGAGGAACGTCGGCGCGGAGAAGCTGATGATCTTCAAGGACCAGGTAAGTCCGCATCGAGATGCTTTACCCATTCTTTCCCCCCGCTTTCTTTTCCGAAATATTTACGAAGACCAGGACTAATTTTGGGCGGCGTGCTTTTACGCTTTGTTATGTATATGCAGTCCGTATCAGAATCTCTTCTTGCAGAGAATAGCTCCATGCGTGAAGCTCAGCAAACCGTCAACCCGCGGACGGGCAAGATCGAGCGCGTCTTCGTGAACCTAGAGGCTGTGTACCCGAATGCGGATGACCCCATGGCCGCCGAGTTTTGCTTCGAGGAGCTCCGGGCGAGGCACAGGGGATGGATGAAGTACGACTGGAAAGCAATCAACCGCCGGGATGCGGAGCAGCGGAAGCAAGAGCAGGCCAGAAAGCAGAACACGGAGAGGAAAGCGCTGAAGCCGAAAGACCCGCAGCAGTCTCCGGTGAAGGACCCGGCTGCTATGCTTGCTAAAGGTTTGAAGCAGAGCGTTGCGCTCAACGATGTTAACGATGAGAATGCACCGCCGTCGCAGGAAGAAATTCAGAGGGCTAAGCTGCTGAAGAAGCAGCGCAAGGAGGAGCGTGCGAACCGGACGAGGAAGATCAAGGTCATGGAAGTTCAAAATGAGACGCAGACGAGTAGGTTGCTTCTTGCTGTGGAAGTGTGATTTGAGCTGATTTTTCCAGTACGAGCAAACCTTGGCTCCCCGACAGGCCACAAACCGGTGAGGAGAAAGAAGACTGCGGAGCCAACAATGACGATCAACACCAAAGAGGCCATGGACGAAATCTATGGCATCTTCAACCAGCCTCTTAAAGCGGCCAAGGAGGAGTCTGAAGAGGAGGAAAGTGAGGAAGAGAGCGATGACGATGACACGTACACCAGCGGAGGTGAGAGTACTTGCACTGGTAGGATGTCCGGCACGGAGAGCGAATACGGGGACGAGACGACGCGAGGCGACTTCACCATGAGGAGCGCAATGGACGACGACGATACCAATGCCAGCCGGGCGAGCGCATGGTCAGAGTTTACGGAAAGCAAGCATGTGCCCAGAGACGAAGATTCGGAAGAAAGCGGGTCGGAAGAAGGTGAGAGCGAAGAAGAGACAGAAAAATCGACGATGCAAGTCCACGAGGACGAAGGGTATGGAGGCTCACAAGAACCAGAGGACCTCCACACGCCGACTTCACCTCAACATAAACCGACAAGCTTCGTCCCTGTACCGCCGGAAGACGTCGAGGTTCCTAGATGGACGTATCGGGACCAAGTGCAAATGGCTAACAACCGTCTGCCGTTCATGACGCCCATCGCTGAAAAGACCGAGTCGTCGCTCGGTGCCGCGACGGTGCTGGCAGAGCAGAAGGACTTTTTCAACGCGAAGACGCCGAGCCGCCAGCCAGGAGGAAAGACACCTACTATCCTGGAGGATCAGACCGAAGACCTCAGCGGATCGTTCAACGAAATCTTGGAAGAAGCCCTGAAAGAGAATGGCGGCAGAATGATGCAACCCGCTCTGCCCAAGCCCAAGGACTCGAGGTCCAAGCCCGCTCCTCTGGGCGTCTCGAAATCAACCGTTGCGCAGGAGGCCAAGGACGTCCTGCCCAAGGGTCCCCTCATCCAGGACAAGCAGTGCAACCCCGTAGATGAGCACATCCGCCAGACGATCTTGGAGAACGTTCACCCGCCGCTTTCGACTTACGACGGATACCACGCCGAGCTTGACCGTTCTTTCGGCCGCCACGCGGAGATCAAGAAGTTCACCAAGGCAATTGCCAAGGCGAAGAATGGTGGTGACAGGACTGGAGGCAACTTCGTCGCCCCGACTATCTACTTCGACGGCGGCGACAGGGAATACACCATCAAGCGTCAGCTCGGCGAAGGTGCATTCGCTCCCGTGTACCTTGCCGAAAGCAGAAACATCGGCATGGAGGTGGATGAAGACGAAGGGCCAGCGCAGATGGGCAAGGGCGCATTCGGCGCTCTCACGCGCAAGCCGCTCGAAGCCATCAAGATGGAAGACCCGCCCTCTGCCTGGGAATTCTACATCATCCGCCAGGCGCACCGTCGTCTGGGCGTGTCCCGCGCCGCCGAGTCGATCATCCACGCTTACGAGATGCGCATGTTCCGCGACGAGTGCTACCTGGTGCTCGAGTACCGCGACCAGGGCACGCTCCTGGACCTTGTCAACGTCGCCCGCGCCGAAATCACGACCGGTGGGCCCGGCGTCATGGACGAGCAGCTCGCCATGTTCTTCTCCATCGAGCTGCTGCGCACCGTCGAGGCGCTGCACGCCAAGGGCATCATCCACGGCGACCTCAAGGCCGACAACGTCCTGGCCCGCCTGGAAACATCGATGACGGATGGCCAGTGGTCGTCGCAGTACCGCGCCGACGGCTCGGGCGGCTGGTCGCGCAAGGGCATCTCGCTCATCGACCTGGGGCGCGGCATCGACATGCGGGCGTTCCGGCCCGAAGTGCAGTTCATCGCCGACTGGAAGACGACCGAGGCCGACTGCGCCGAGATGCGTGAGATGCGGCCCTGGACGTTCCAGGTCGACTACCACGGGCTCGCCGCCACCATCCACTCGCTACTGTTTGGCAAGTACATCGAGACGGTTGCTGAAAGAGGTGCGGCCCTCGGTGCGGGCGCGACGAAGACGTATCGCCTCCGTGAGAGCTTCAAGCGCTACTGGCAGACGGAGCTGTGGGCTGAGCTGTTCGACCTCTTGCTCAACCCGACCAAGTGGATGGAGCAGGAGGAGGGCCAGCGGCTGCCGGTGCTGAGGGGGATGAAGAGGTGTAGGGAGGGGATGGAACGGTGGTTGGAGGCGAATTGCGAGAGGGGCGTTGGCTTGAAGGGATTGGTTAGGAGGATGGAGGAGAGGGTGGGCGCGAAGAAGGGGAGGTTGAGTTCTTAGAGAGGTCCGTGGACGGCTCATGCGTTTTTCTCTTTTTTCATCTGGGGCAAGACTTTGGCTGGCGTTTGGGTATACCAATTTGTTTATAGGGCGGCGGCGGCTTTGGTGGGTTCTTGGGGGTTTGGCAAGGTTGGCTACGAATTTAACTTCCTCCATTTCGAGAATTTGAATCTCTCTTGGAAATGGTATCAATCTCCGCCCTGGAGATTCACCCCCACCTCCACTCCCACCTCTTTAAGCTCTTATCAAAGCTTACCCATTGGTTGAGCAGTTCAACACCCGTTAATAAGAGAGTTTCGAAGGCGGATGTCGGCTCTTTCTGGGCTCTTGCGGACAGCTTTCTCACCTCGTAGGACTCGTCGCGTCGTAGACTAAAGGATATATTCTTCTGGTAGTACATCATCCAGCGAACTAGAATGAGACTAAATGAAATGAGAAGGCCATGCTGAAGTATGAGGGCTAGATAGCTGCTAAGCTACTCGAACTAAACAATCGCAATCTGTTGCAAATTTTCATCAGACTTCCAAACATGCCACTGAATATGCCAATCCTGCAAAAGCCCCCGCAGCCGCAAGATCAATTGGAATGAGAGCATGCAGATCCAAAACCTCTCTCGATTCCATTCCCATGAGAGGCTTTCGTCAATAGATGTCTTTTCTATCAATCGATAAGCTCTATACACTACTGAAGCCGTATAAAACTTCTCTCCAAGTGTACTTAGCGGATTAGCTTCAATGCCTAGTGTAGACTTCAGGATGGCCGCTACGAAAGACTTGGGAATCAAGACTGATTGACTAACTGCGAACGATGGGTTGAAACCTATTTCATGAAAGTAATTGAATGTGTCCAGGATTGGCCCGTACTGCATGAGTGAATTTTCCCATTCAGTGAAATTTTGAGTCCAGCTCGTAATAAGTTGTTCCTGAGGGTTGTCCTGGAGACTTTGGATTCGCGTATCCAAAACGGCCTCCAAATCGGTATAGGGTTCCCTACCGTCGAAGAGACGGACGGGATTATTTTCTCCTTTCGATGGCTGAAATGTTTTCAGAAACATGCGAAGGTCCTCTTGATTGGCAGATTTTAGCATATGCGTACGCATTTGCTTCATCGTTCGAAGAGGGGTTTTGTCAAAAGAGACCTCGTTCGTCCTCTTGGATCCTTGTTGAAGTGCGATTTGAATCCTTTCCAGAACGAGGCGATTTGGTTCCCACTGGAGAAATTCTGAAATTCCTTCGGGAAGCGGTCCATATGTTTCAATTTTGATCGCCACTAAGAAGAGCTTGCGAATCGTGACTTCGATGATCCAATCACTAATAAGACGCGCCGCGGCTTTATGGATATCAGAAACAATGTGCCATGGAGTTGCCAGCGCCTCAACGATTGCTTCCAGTGATACGGAGCAATTCGCAGTTCGTAATGAGAAAATGAAAGTGTCCGGGATCAGTCTTTCCAACAGGAGGACTTTCCAGCTCCAAGCCGGAACCACCAGAATTTCGAGCTTACTTGCTTCACTAAGCCAACTCCCAGGATCTTTGATATGTACGTTACCAACCGCGACCTTTTCGTGCTCCGTGGGGATGCTGAGGCAGCCTTGCGAGTATTGGAAAAGGACAAACCCGTAAAGAATTAGGGCCCCTGAATCAGAAACTATCGAGTCTGGGTTAGGATCTCGACAGTTCAGGACGCCCAGAGATTTCATATCCAAGGAATCCAACCTCCAGGAAACGCAAGGGTCAACCACGTTGATAGATATTTCCAAAGGTCCAGAATTCGGGTCACGAATCGCGACACAGCTCCAATCCGGGACCCAAGATGGCAAGCCAACATCAGCGTTTCTCCGTGTGTTCACAATGCTCAGATATCGAATGTCATGGAATTTATGAGTCCAGTATGCTGCCAAGCCTGTATAGAGCTGTTGGAAGGACAGAGCGTAGTCGACGGGGAGCAGTTTTGCCTCATTGTCCTCGACTAAACCGATAACTCCAAAGACTTTGTCGCGAGGATCAGAGCACAAAGAATTTCTCGTGTCCAGCAGGAGTTCAAAAAGGTTCGGGGATTTGCGCCCGTGGTGTGCCGGACTAGAGAAGTGAGTGATCCATTTGAGTTCTACCCCGTACGTCTGGAAGGTAGAGCACAAGTCTGCCCAGTGAACCGTTGTTCCGCCACAGGTAACAATGGCTTTGGAGGCCAAGGCGATCTCTTGAATGACCCAAGTTCGATGGAAGTAAGCTCTCTCCGAGAGTTCTTGTAAGCACTCCTTTCCCTCTTCAATGTTGCTTTGCTGACACGCAATGATAGCCATCGCCTTTCCCGCGCTTTCGCTTGCCTCGCCAAGGTATATCAAGACCCTGGATGCTCCAGAATAGATTTTGCCCATGAGACTGACCTGAAGTTGCCGTTCGACGGGGTTGTTCTGATTAATGCATATCGCATCAATCCAAAGAAGCCTCCTATGTTGGTACCGATACCTGCGCAACGCCGACATACAGTTGTTTGTCACCAGAACAACATCCAGCTGAGGGCCAACGAATATTGGATGGCAGAGCCTTTTATCTCCCTCAAGATCCGCCCACGTGTATGATACAGCTTCGTAGAGCGGTAGTGTAGGGTCGTCTAGCTGCGCAGGCTCGAAAGAACAAAGAATTGGATCGTTGAAGTCATTGGCGCCATGCAAGGCAAGGAGGCGAAAACCATCAGCGCCTGAAAGATCTGCGTAAATGCTGCGCTGCGACAAGCCGGCGAGGCTTGAATGTTGAGATTTGGTCATTTGGTCCTTTCCTAAAGCCGAACGCGGAGCAGTATCTTCCCCCGTCATTTGAGCAGCTTTGGAGAAGACACCGGAAGGTGCAATGTCGTAGCCGAACTCTGCAGAAACTCTTGATTCGATGTCGCGTAAAGTGCCTTCATCGCTACGTGGCTCTTCGGCCTCGTCCGTCCAGCCGCCAACATCATCGGCGGAGGGAGCGGTAAGATCGTTTTGGTTTTGACCGAAGCGGGATCTAGTATACGAAACGCATGGTGGCCAAGCACACTTCAGTCGAGACCGCTTCACGGCGGGCGGAGGAGCTGGAGGCGGCGGCACTTTGCTCGTCTCGGCGATCAAATGGGAGGCTGAGGAGTTGCAGCGGAGACAACTTGGTATTCCATCGATCCAGGTCAAATCGATATCTTCGCAGGTACGAGTGTGCCAGGACATGGTGCGGTTGCTGGTCCTGCTCGATCTTGAAGTAGGTTGTTGTATTCCAAGGCTTAGCAAAAGATTGCCTTCAGCTCTGCTGACGTGGTGACGTTTTATTGCATTGTGAGGTTAACCAATTACAGAGGGATATCGCAGCCGAAGGCTAGAGTGAAGAAAGAACAGTAAGGCCCCAGGCGTAACTATGCCTCAGCATTCTCCTCTTCTTTTTGCCCTTAAAACAAACAGCGTAAATGTGCCTCCGTGCTTCTCTCTCTCTCTTTTTTCAAAGAAAATAAACATATGGGTAGTTGAAGCTATCATCCGGATGTAAATGTGGAATTAATAATTATGCATTCTCGTCCGGACGAAAACTTCAGTTGCCCATGGCATGACCGAAAAACAGAGTCATGCTAGCCTTCAACTGCGATACTCCTCTGTAAGAGACTTAAACACTTCAAAATGTCGTTGGTCAACTTCCTCTTACAGCCAGCGCGCCGGAGGCACCCGAAGATGATCCGCAGGATGCGCTTGCCCTGTAGCTCCCCGCCGCGGGGCAGAGCACGGCCCCCGGCCACCTCCGCTGCGATACGACGACGACCTACATAAAGCGATGGCGCTGCCAATGGCCAGTGACGGACTCAGTCTGCAACACGGGGTGCAGCTACAGGTGCAACACTGCCTCCTACGTCTCCAGTAAGAGCCGTCCGATGCCTCTTCCCGTTCGCTGTACCCGCATGCAAGCTGACCTGGGCGGTAAACAAACGTAGCAATCTCAGGCCACCTTGAACCCTGGACGATCGTACGGGAGCTCTTCGTAACTCCAGTACTAGAAAAGGGAGCACCCAAGCTCCACACCCACATCCGTCTCCTTTTCTCCCCGCACTCTCTCACTCAAACACCTCGTCTTCCCACCCCGCCTATTTCAGCCTCGATAACGACCATCACGGCCTCTGGACCTCAGCACCCGACGCTCTGCTGAGCATTCGACAACCACACATACGTACACGGCAACCAACCATGGACGCCTGGCTCCCGCAAGAAGTGATCCGCCGCAAGCGCGACGGGCTGGCTCTCAGCAGCAGCGACATCCAGCGGTTCGTGGCGGGCATCACGTCCAAGACGCTGTCTGAGGGACAGATCGCCGCGTTCGCCATGGCCGTGTACATGAAGGGCATGACGCTGGAAGAGCGCATCGCCTTCACGTCGGCGGTACGTGACTCGGGCCAGGTGCTATCGTGGCCGCGCGAGCTGGTACCAGGACCCGTGGTGGACAAGCACAGCACGGGCGGCGTGGGCGACTTCATCTCGCTGCCGCTGGCACCACTGCTCGCCGCCACGGGCTGCTTCGTGCCCATGATCAGCGGCCGCGGCCTGGGCCACACGGGCGGCACGCTGGACAAGCTGGAGAGCATCCCGGGCTACGTCGCGACGCCGGCGCCCGACCTCTTCCGCAAGGTCACGGCCGAGGTCGGCTGCGCTATCATCGGGCAGACGGCGGACCTGGCGCCCGCCGACAAGACGCTGTACGCCATCCGCGACGTGACGGCCACGGTCGAGAGCGTCGACCTCATCACCGCCAGCATCCTCGGCAAGAAGCTGGCGGCCGGCCTCGACGTGCTGATCATGGACGTCAAGACGGGCAACGGCGCCTTCATGGCCCGCGTCGACCAGGCCCAGGAGCTGGCCGCCAGCATCGTCGCCGTTGCGAACGGCGCGGGCACCCGCACCCGCGCCCTCATCACCGACATGGGCGCCCCGCTCGCCCGCAGCGCCGGCAACGCCGTCGAGGTCGAGGAGGCTGTGGCTCTCCTCAAGGGCGACGTCCGCAGCGAGCGCCTGTGGGAGATCACCCTCGCCCTCGCCGAGGAGACGCTGGTCGAGGCCAAAATCTCACCCTCGCGCGAAGACGCCCGCGAGAAGCTCCTGCAGGCCTGGAAGAGCGGCGAGGCCGCCAGCCGCTTCGGCCGCATGGTCGAAGCGCTCGGCGGTCCCAAGGACTTCATGGACAAGCCTGACGCCTACCTCCCCAAGGCCCCCGTCGTGACGCCCGTCTTCGCCGACACGGACGGCGTCGTCGAGGAGGTCGACACGCGCTCCGTCGGCCTCGCCGTCGTGGCCCTGGGCGGTGGCCGCCGCAGGCCCCAGGACGACGTCGATCCGGCCGTCGGCTTTACGAAGTTGGCTTTCCCTGGCGAGACGGCGGATAAGGAGCACCCTATCGGTGTTGTTCATGCGCAGACGGAGCAGCAGGCTGCTGACGCGGCGACGGCGCTTAAGGCTGCGTATAGGATTGGTGGTGCGCCGAGGGAGGTGAGGGAGGCGGTGTTGCAGAGGTTGTAGGTTGGAGATTGCAGGCGCGGGATGATGGGGGAGGGATGGGAGGTCGATGGGAAAGAAAAAAGAAAAAGAACTTTGAAGACTCATCCTGCTTAGAGCGGGATTCCTAGATGATGAAATGAAATGGAATGTTTGGTTTGCCGACGGATTGACTTTTGTGTGATTGTCGTGAGGGGTATGTGAAGACGAATATCTGAGTGCTGCTGTGGCTTTGAGTTTTGAGGCAAGGCTGAATCTAACTCATCGTGTCAAATTTGGCTAAACACATCTCTTAAACCGTGCAGGTCGAGGTTCTCGTGTTTGAAATACGTTCCATCTGATCAGTAGCCAGAGGTCTGGTATTGATATCAATAAGCTTGAATTCGATTTTCGTAAAAGTTCACAGCGCTCTAAAGTCTTACGATGTAAGAATGATATTTGGATCAGGCGGATGGTGTTCATGTGTTTTCTGTAAATTGAGTTGCTTTATTCAGCTACCATGGAGACGATAGACAAGTCTAGACCTTGCTTTTCTTAAGGCTTTGTAATGCTTTAAAAAAGTAACGTTTTTGGCGCAAGGATGACCTTTCATACGATGTGACCTGCATTTTGAACACGATATGAATCCCCTCTTGTAATAACCCCTACGTGTTACCCAAGAAGCAGAGGGGTATACAGGTTGATAGTATGTCGGACATGGAGCCGAAGTGGGGGATGGACGATAATGGAGGTCAAATAGAAGCGTCGCGGTATAATCATCAATTCCCCGATTGGAATTGGGAGTGCCAACCATTTCCGCGGCATTTTCAACACCGTGATTCAGTAAGCAATGAGGAATGTTGCAGGCAAGTTGGTGGCTTGTGAAAGTAGATAGTGTGTGACTGTTACAGTAGAGATGACAGTTTCGTGAAGGCGGTTATACATGAACGCACGAACGGGAACATGGCCGGATCAAGAGAGAATGCCAGGAATGTTACACTCGGTCGTACGAGAACATACCATGGTCATACTCATGCAAGCACTCGGCTTCTATAGCTCTCGCTGTGTCGGATATATCAAAAGGGTAGCCGAATGAGCTAGGCGCTGCAGGCGCGGTGGTGAGATCAAGACGTCGAGAGGACCCGCAGGTACGTCTGCTGGGAAGATAGCGCGGATCCGGGACTAGTCGGGCAAAGATATGCGGCCGTGTAACTAGCAGCGCCAGGGAGGGAGGGAGGGAGGGGATTCAGAGACACACGACCAGCCGCTTCCAGGCGGGCCCGCGTGCGACGAGGAATAGCGAGGCGCCGTGTGGTCATATGGCTCGTCGCCTCGCGCGGCAGAGACGTGGTTTCTACTAGACCCTGTCAGCCGCAGGCCTTTATAGACCCCAGCTAGCAAGCGGTTTGCTGGTGCAAGGAGTGCCTCCACTTTCACAACATGAATCGTGCCTTTTTCAGCTTCCCGCGGACGTTTGAGCAGCCCGTGTGCACAGGCTGGGAGCGGAGCTTCGCCGTGCCTGACGTATCAGGCCGTCGGCAGAACGCCGGCGCCAAAGCTCCGAACACAGCGCCAGCACCCGGAGCTCAGCAGCACCATCACCGTCGTCAACACCCACCAAACCTCCCACCACCGCTCCAGCCTACTCCACCCGCCGCCCCATCTCCATCCCCGCCCGCCCATCCCTCTGCCGTCCCTGCAGCCGCTCAATCCTCGCCGCCGCCCGCTGCACACCCGCCGCAGCCCGAGTCCCCGTCCGCAGCGTCACACCCGCCCTCGGCATCCAGCACCACCATGGCAGACAAGGAGCTCCAGACCATAACGCAGCAGCTGCAGACGGCCCTGCGCAGCAACCCGGCGTCAGCGTCGCCGCTGCTGTCGCGCGCCAAGGTGACGCTGCTCAAGCTCAACGCGCTGATGCCGTCGCCGTCGACGCCGCCCGCCCACCTGCTGGCCGCGCGCGAGATCCTCGAGCTGGGCGCCCTGATCAGCATCAAGCAGCAGGACCCGGACGGCTTCACCCGCTACTTCCACACCCTGCAGCCCTTCTACCAGCTGCCCGAGCGCGTGCTGCCCCGCCGCGGCAGCAACGCCAGCAAGATCACCGGCCTGTACCTGCTGCTGCTGCTGAGCCAGGGCGACTACGCCGGCTTCCACACGCTGCTCGAGAGCCTCGAGGTCGCCCAGAGCAGCCGCCACCAGCAGGGCGCCGGCTCGTCGTCGGGCCTCGAGGACGACGAGTTCATCCAGTACCCCGTGCGCCTGGAACAGGCCTTGATGGAGGGCAGCTACGACCGCGTCTGGGGCGAGACCAAGAGCGAGCGCGTGCCGAGCGAAGAGTTCAGCGTCTTCTCAAATGTGAGCTCAGCCTTGTCGACATAGGGTGGATGATGTGTCTGTGCTATGATGAAACCGTGTGAGCTGACTCTCTTGTGTTCCCAGGTCCTCGTCGCCACCATCCGTAACGAAATCGCCTCTTGCAGCGAGAAGGCATACCCCTCGATCCCCATCACAGACGCAAAGTCGCTCCTCTTCCTCGACAGCGAGGGTGCCGTCATCGACTTCGCCAAGAGCCGAGGCTGGTCTGGCAAGGACGGCCGCATCTACTTCCCCCAGCAGGAGCAGGAGAACCTCAGCCAGGAGAAGGACGTCATGCAGCTGAGCGGCCAGGTCATTGAGAACACGCTGGGCTACGCGAGGGAGCTGGAGACGATTGTTTGAATGCTGTTTTGGGGCGTACTCGTCACGAGACCAATCAGACATAGAGTAAGAAATAAGGCCATTGTGGGGATGCAAGTGGAGTTTGGAGGGGCAAACGTCATGGCTCCTTTAGCTATGTAGGACGAGCGAAGATTAGGAGACGAGACAGCTTTCCGGATGCTCTTTTCGGAAATCCGAATCATGATGGATGGCGCGGGTGTTTTTGGAACGGTATGAAGCTTTTAAGGTCAGATTATAGACCCGAGTGATGTCCTTTAATGTATCACCAGAGGAAAAGAAGATGAATGCATATGTGCAAGGCACTATAATCGCATCTGCTTTTTTCCCATCTCTGACAGGCGTTCAATTGCAAGGAGGATATACATGGTATTGGTATTCTTACAGATGTTACAGCTGCTGTACTGCTCCCCGATTGTCTTTGACGATGAAATTGTTGAAGACCTCGTAAGAATAATCTCCGTCCCTCTTGAGTGGTGTAGCACAAAACTTGAATGTTCCTTTCTTAAACCCCCACCATAAACTCCTCACATCATAATGCCCTTTTTCAATTGACACTCCGTCTTTTCCCTCAGAGCTCCCGGAAGGCACCGCTTGCTGGAGACCACAACATCGCGATCGTTCGCACCAGAGGGCGGGTATCGCCTCAATATCGTCGGCCCGCAACTCACCCTCCCATCCCCGGAACTCTTCCAATCCAGATCCCAACCGCAAGCTGGCGACCTCCCTCTTTCCCCTCCCTCACAGCCCGCGCCTACACTCACGGCACAACAACGACCCCAATACTCCCGGCCTGCGCAATAACGCACTTCACCACCGCCTGCAAATCCATGCCCTGCAACCTCACCTCATCCTGCTTAATCTTCGCAATCTCATACACGTGCTTCAGGCTGACCGTGCCAACCGTGCCCGTACCGCTGTTGCCACGCACCTCGACGTTCTTGCCCGAGCCGGCCTTGCCCGTCGCGCCCTCGACGTTGTTCTTGGGGCCCGCCGTGTTGCCCGCGCCGCGCACCTTGTTGTTCTTGCCCGGTTTGACGCCCGCGGCCGCTAGCAGCAGCGTGGCCGTCGGCGGCGTGCGCAGCTCGAAGTGGAAGGAGCGGTCGGGGCGGACGGTGACGCGGGCTGGGATGGGGGTGCCGGGGTTGTAGTGCGCTGTGCGGGCGTTGAATTCCTGTTTTTGGCGGGAGGGAGTGGTTAGTGTTATGACTCGGTGTGCCTTTTGTGGTTTTTCTCTTCTCGTTTTTGTACGATTGGGTGGAAGGGCGATTGTGTAAGAGTATGTGCGAAGGGATGCTCGAAGCTGGAAAACAAGAGAAAGCAGATAGCAAGAACGAAATCGCAATGCACACGACCAGAAAAAAACCACTCTTCCACGCAAAAAAAACATACCTTGCAGAAATCCATGCTCTTCACACCTTTACTTCCCAGCGCCGGACCAACGGGCGGCGACGGGCTGGCCTGGCCCGCGCCCACGATCAGCTTGACGATCACGTCCTTCTGTATCGCCTTCTTCGCCATTGTCGTTTTTTGTCGTAATCGAGTCCTCCGGAAACCCTTTTTCTTGTCGTATCCTCTCCGGCACTGTCCCGTGTGTCGCAACGCCTGCGTGTGTGATTCGTCGTCTATCGAGATTTCCCTTCCGCCTGCGTGCGTATGTCGGACGAACGGCGTGAGTACGAGCGAGACCCGCGAAACGGTCGTGAGGCAAGGAATTGATGCTCTTTCGCAAGCGGGGGGGCGCGTGATGGGAAGGGCGAGCTGGGGTTGTTGGGTGGTGCGGTTGCGCCGGGAAAATGTTCGGGAGAGAGACCTCTTCGAAAGCTTGCGGCGATCTTCCGCGGTGGTGGTGCGGCATGAAGGGAAAGCTGCGCGGATGGTCTGTGTGGGTGCCCGTATGACTGTCACTGTCTGACAGAGTAATTCTAAGAATAGTTTGATTATGATTCTGAGCCAAAAGGAGAAAAAAAAAGTATACTCCATAAGATGTGGCAGTATCATATCCCCTAAGGGCAGCATCAATCGGCACCAAGTCACCCGAGACGACAAAACTCTACGTAGCTGAACCCACGCAACACAATAACCCATATAAACATCCTTTAGAATCTTCCACTCGACCAGTCCCTTTGCCAGAGGGACTTTATGAGCAATCTCTATCCTACAAAACAGCCCCCTTTCCCGTCCCCCACCCTCCTGTTTTAATCCCCGTCTTCTCTCACTGGGCTGTCTCTTCTCTGCCCTTCTCCCTCCTCTTTCCCCTGAGCACCTTGGCCAGGTTGCAATCCGTATCCATCGCGCGCAACGTGCTCTTTTTTCCTTTTGAGAAAGCAAGAAGACTCTCTCTTAGCCATACCCGCCCATGAAGACAACGAATCAAAACGCAATCCATTCGCACCGGTTTACCAATAAAGGTTTGTGCCGGTGCATTGGCGGCGTAAATGGCATGAAGTCCGTTAAACAATGAGAAGCCGAAGTTTTTTGGGAAAAATGAACACCAGCGCCACAATGAGATCCTTAGAGAAAGCATAATCCCATACTCTTCACTCTTCAAGCGTTCCCCTGCAGGGACAAGGCGCCGCCAGCCTGCGCGATCTTGACTTGGTACTCTCTCAGGTCCGCCCAGTTCTTCAGCTCTGCCTCCTCATCCTCGGGCGCATCCGGGTTCTGCGGGTTTGTGGGCCTCGCGCGATCGAGCCTAACCAGGATCTCGAGGAAGTGGTGCAGGTACTGCTCCGCCTGCAGAGCAACGCTGCTCTTGCGGTCCTGCGGCTCGTTGAGCAGCGTCGACACGATCTGCCGCACCTTGTGTGTCTGTGAAAAAAACAGGAACCAAGTCTCAGTGTCAATTGCGCAACGGAGGGGTCCAATCACTCCGGGCTCATGCTGCACACTTACAAAACTGTCCGCATTCGGCTCCATGTGCACCTGACTGATGCTCTGCAGCACCCGCAGCAGGTCCTTGACGATCTTGTCCTTTTCCGTAGTCATCTCCTGATCGAGCGCATCGTAATTGGGACTCGGTTCCTGCTGCAGCATCGAGTCGAGACCAGCTGCTCCCACAGCAGGCGAGCTCTGCTCCTGATTCTGCGCCTTCATGTTGTTGTTGATGTCGCGCATGTTAAAGTATCTCTCCGTGATGTACGACCGCGTGGCCAGCTGGCTGAGGTAAATGTTTGCCTTCTGGATCTCGTATTGCGTCTTGCGCTTGTCCTCCGGGCTCTGCTCCGAGCCGTTCAACGCAAGGAGCATGAGCGGCTCCCTACCCTGCAGTTCTTGGCCTGGCGCAAACATGTTCGGAGCCTGGTTTTCCTGCGACCCTTCCAGCCACACCGATAGCTCCGGCGGCAGCTCTTCCAGGACACGCTTGGAACTCCGCAGACTCTGATCGAGGACCTTGCTTTGCCTCTCCCAGTCGAAGACCTCGTTGATACCGTAGGTGAGCTCTGTTGTCGCGAGCGTGGTGTACGACTGGTACACCTTCACGTTGGCGTTGAAGCCGACGAGCTCAGGGACGACACCGGAGGGCTGGGCCTCGATGTGATTGGGGTAGATGTAGAGGTCGTCGACCTCCATGGGCAGCGGTGGGTAGGGCTTGCCAGGAGTTTCTGGCAGAATTACAAGTTCATCGTGGATGGAGCCGGATTGCGCCATCGAACTTGAACTGGGTCAATCAAAATATCTTCTTTGTACGCACCCGGATCGATCACTTACCGCCAACTGACAAACGTGGTCCAAAAGATCCTCCTTCCCATTTCGAGCGTGATGTAGTCGGGACCGAGCTGCTGAACGCCGTCTCGGGACGACTCGCCGTTAGCATTACCTTGCGGCCTGTAGAACTCAGACTTCGCATCGTGCAGGCCCAGCGCTCTTATGATGGACAGCGCCTCGGCGAAGTAGAGGCGTGCTGGCCGCCAGCGGAAAATGTAGGCGTGAGACAGGCCAACAAGGTAGCTCGTTGCCGCATCGTACACGGTCAGATCGTCACGCTCGAGCAGAGCAGGCCCTCTCGCGGCGGCGCACACTTGCTGACACCGGGCAATGAGGCTCATGTGGTTCGGAAACAGGCTCTGCCGGCCCTGGGCCTTCAGCACGAGGCGGGGTTTCCGGGGGAATGACGAAACGAGCGCTGCTATCATTGACGCCAGCAATGCCAGGAACGGTCGGTTGTTGTAGTCTTCACGTCTCCTAAACGACTCGCGGAAGCTCGGTTCGTGGGGGAAGGGGCAGAGCGGGTGGATGTAGGTGAAATAGTCGTTGATGAAGTGCTCAATGGTGTCCAGAGGAGCAATCGACTCTGCAGACAGGGGAGGATGGGACGACAGGGCCGCCAGAGCGTGCGCCGCGTTCGTCGGAGACGACGGTGAGCTCGGAGACATGTTGTTCGGAGAGCCCTCAAGGCGGCGCTTCTTGATGGCCTCGGCATGGCGGTTCGGGGGGCCTCGCCGGCGGCTCGGACGGTCGAAGGTGCAAGGAATATCGAGCGCGGCGCAAGCGCGACACGGCGGACCAGACTCGTCACACTTAACTTTCCGTATGCTGCAGGAGTCGCAGGCTTTCCGTAACCGATTCGCCTTTTGCGGCTGGCCGTCCGGACCAACGCTCGCTACGCCCGGGGGTGGGGGAGGCGGCGGCATGGACATGGGGTGATGCTGCTGGTCGACGTGCACTCCGTTACCCGGGTAGCCGCCATCGTGAGGCGGTCCCTGGTTCTGATTGGGGTCGGTGAAGCTCGGTTCGATCTTTGCGTATAACGACTGGCTCGTGGGCGGGCTGAAGTTGAAGCCCTCGGGCGGCTGCGGCTGTCCTTGAGCGGCGGCCTCGATCAGCTGCGCGCTGGCGGCGGCGGGGTAGATGGGCGCATAATGCTGCTGATCGGCGGTCGGCGGGGGCGGGTACTGCGACATGGCGACGCGGTGGCGGCAACGTCAGGAGCGAAGGCTGGCGGCAGCGATGGAGGTAAAGCTGCGGGTTGCGGATGGATCGGGTGAGCTTGAGCCTGCAGCAGGCAGCACACGACGCTGCAAGCGGGTGTCAATTGGGGCAACTGGGCCGATGACGACACGGCCGGGGGCGTACCTTATCGTACAATTGCTTGGACACGGCAGGGTCGTGTGCTGTGGGGGCGCCGCTTCAGAAATTTAGCAGACAAGCTGCGATCACAGAATGGGTGGTGTTTTGCGGGCGAGCGCGTCGGGCGAGAGCGGGTGAGAAGGGGAGTCAAGCGCGAGGCGTCCGAGGGGCTACAGGAAGGACATGGCGAATTGCGCTCGCGACAGGTGATGTTGGTGGTGATCGGAGGCAGAGCTATGCGGATGCGGATGGAGAGCGTCAGGTCTGAGTTGCTTAAGTAATGCGCGGCTCGAGTCAGGCTGCGGTTTAGGCTCCTCGCAATGCGTCACTGCCGCAGATCCCACGCCCACTCCATCACCAGCCCCAGCTTTGCGTGAAGAATCTCTAGCATTCCAAGTATCTACGTTCGTTTATCCACCGTGCTCCCGAACGCCAGCTCTCCCCTCACCGCCCATCCGCCACCCGTTTTTCTGCTTCTCGTAAATTCCTCGAGCCTGTCTCCGACTGCGCCGCATGCACAAGAGATAGCCGCCGTTTCCCCATCAGCCACATCCGAAAAGCCTCACAGGTACTTCTTCGGCGCACTGTCCCGGCGTCGCTTGTACACCAAATAGCCGCCAAACATCAGGACCTGCGCGATGACAATCAAGAAAACAAACGTCCACATCTTGGGCGCGTGTCTCGTAACCGCTGTGCGAAATTAGCGAGCGCTCCAATAGAGTCGCAGGAAAACTTACCATCAGAGAACGAGTCCTGCAGGCCTGCATGTGTGTCCCTCAGCGCGCTCTGCAGCTTGGCGAGGTGGTCGCGGTAGTCCTTTCCTTCCAAGTCCTTCTGCACCGCCATCAACATGCCCTCAATCTTGCCCACCTTGCTCTCGACGGCTCCAACGTGGTCGTGGATAGGCCCGTTCTTGTTGAGAGACATGAGCTCATTGTGGGTCTGTTCGTGCCTCGTCTTCATCTCCTGGAGGAGTTTGTAAATATCATCAACGCGCTGGTTGATCGTCTGGACACGGCCGTTCAGTTCGTGGAACTGGTCCAACGAGATCGAGCCAGCAGGGGCCTGCTGAGGCGGTTGCTGTTGTTGTTGCTGAATCGGCTGTTGTTGTTGTTGTTGTTGTTGCTGCTGCTGCTGTTGCTGCTGCTGCTGTTGTTGTTGCTGTTGCTGTTGTTGCTGCTGCTCAACCGGCGGAGGAGGTGGGGTGGCCCCTTCGGCAGTAGAGACGGTGAACTTGAAGATCTCAAAGGAATCCGGGTTCTCCGCCGAGGCAGCGGAGACACCGAACTTGTAGCCCGCTGGGATGTTCACCTATGACGTTGGTCAGATATAATCCAGATCCACTGCATGCGCACCACGTACCCTGTTGGTGGAGAAGCACGTCTTGTCGTCAATCTCCACCGCGAAGCTGTTCCCAGTCTGGGTAACCTTGAGGCGCGACGGGATACCACGATTGCGGTAGGGGTAGTCGCATTGGCCGAACGCCAGGGAATCCACGTTATGATGGTCCTTGAAGGACTTGGTGCCGTCGTTGAGGAATCCTCGAATCTTACCACCGTGTCCACCATACTGGTCGATGCTCAGCACCAAGCCGTCAAACGGGCCCGCAGTATAGAGACTGCTGATGCCTCCAGCCGGTGTTCCGCCGTTGGTCAGCCAGATCTGCAGGTTGCCGTTGCCTCTGTCCTGTCCCGAAGCTCTAAAGTCCACCTCGGCGACGAATTCACTCTTATCGAGCGGGCTCTGCGCCCATATTTGGCCGCGCTTGCTCCCGGGATATGGAGGCGTCAGGATGACGCGGTCAGAGAGGATCTGCGGGTTGTGGCCTTCGCCGGAGACGGTCCAGCCTGGGATGGTCGCGCGGTCCTGCGAGATGGTGTCTTTGTGGCCGAAACTGAGGCCTTCGATGACGGTCACCGCCTGCGCTGAAGACACGGCGAACGCCGCCCATGCCAGCGACTGGAGTTGGCGTGAGACGTGCATTGCGCTATGCAGAGCCGGCTATGTACAGAGTCGAGATAGGTCGGCTATCTGCTATGGCGGTGGGCCTGGGAATTAGGAACTGCCATGACGTTAGCCTGCTTCTTCTGGACATGCGAAGCTCGGATCAACGCACTGTGCTCTAAGATGGCGGGGTGCGACGCGCGTTGATGGAAGAGACGATGCTGACGATGCTCCACGCGACGACGGCTGAAATGACCACGTTGCGAATGTCCTTTGCGATTGAGGCAACAGAAGGCGAAACGTCTAGAGTGTGTCGTATTATGAATTCGCCGGGAAAAGCATGCTTGACGGCAATGTCGGAGGTGAAGTCGCCCATGGGGATTGCGGTCTCCTGTGGCGCCAGCTGTCCTGGTTAGAAGGCTTGCTCCAGCGCGTATCGATAGGTAGCTCAGGGCCGTGCGCCGCTACACACGCTTGCGGATAGCAAACTTCGCGGGGAACAGCGCCTTCGTATTTGCGAATTGTTTCTATCCTTGGATCTGTGAGCTTCAATTGACCTTCGTCAGCCACCCAGCACAATTTTCGAATTCCTGTCGTCATGCACTAGTTCCGAGCTCGCTGCAATCCTTGCATTGGTCCCGTCCCCACGACCGCGGCTGCGGGAGCCCAGCCGGCGATTTGCCGTTGCATGCGCCTCAGAGCTCAAAACGGAAAGTGCGCACGTCCGGTGTGTATATATCATGCATCACAGTTTTTTCTAAACCACGCCTTGGTCCAACTCCTTTCGAATTTTCTTGATCCCCACTATGTGTTGACTCCTCTTCAGCCCGGCCGCTCGTTTGCGAGCCCTGCTGCTTTACAGTTTTTATCGACGAATTCTACATACAGATCAACCATTCCTCCAAACAATATTGATACAATGACAACGAGAGACAAGGAAACCGATTCAAGCAATCATTTTGAATTTCCAGTAATCTCGCGTGGGGTATTAAGAAGTACCACTGCGCTACCGCCGCCCACCCGCCCTCGTACGTCGGGGCTCTTTGAACAGAAGGGAATGTCTCTTCAATACAGGAAGGAACAGCGAATCGTCAGAAGTGCTTGCGCCTCGTTCCAACTACATCCGCCAAAATATAGACGGACATCATGATCCAGAAGACGAGAATAAAAAAAAGAAAAAGTGAAAGCAAAGGTACCATGTGCCTTTGGAACGGCACACGAAGCTCGAGAATATTCGCAGAAAACCGCCCGACAAAGACCGTAACACCGCCCCGATAACCCAAAAGAACGCCGGTAATTTCGCCATTTTTCCATTTCGCCGCCGAATTTCTGCGCCCACTGGCGAGAAATGATCTTGAATCAAAGAGATAGGCAGCTTACCTCATTCTAATTCCCCCCCAAAAAAAACTCATATTTTCCGCTGCTCAGCTCTGACTCGGACAACCCTTTCCGTATTCTTGCAAGTTTTTTCCTCCCGAACATTCGGGTCCATTTTTACCTGCTCCCCCTTCTCCGCAGGCCCCTTTCCTCGCCCATGATCTCCCTGATAAGCCGCAGGCTGGCCTCATCTTCCTCCGGTAGACCCGCTTGTGATACACTCATCGCTCTTTGTTTCGAAGACTCCACATCCTCGCTCTTGACACTCCTTTTCCCACCACTTCCCATTGCATTCATCTCGACGCTCGCGTTCGACGCTCGCCGCCGCTGGGTCGGTGTGACGGCAGAGTCTTGCTTGGCCCCTACAATCGAACCTGGCGTGCGGCTCTTCGGGCGACCTTTGCTAGCCGAAGGAGGTTGTGAATTCCTGCCGCCGCCGGTGCTGCTAACTGTGGAGTAGCGGTCGACCGGTCGAGAAGCACGAGAAGAATGACGACGCTCGGATGGTGATACGGGAACAGGCTGGACTTCATGCCTCTGGCGGGTATGCTCTGGAGAAGCAGAGTTGGCCAGGTCTGTGAGAGGAGATGAAGGCTCCACGCCGTTCGCTTGTCCAGATTTAGGCGGAGGCGGTGATTGCCTGATCGTAGAGTGCTGATGTTCTGCCGACACCGCATGCTCCGGGACGCTTTCCGTGGTTGGAAGGGCAATGTCACTTGCAGGCGTAGGCTCGACGGTGGCTTGTTTTGGCGAAGGCTCGACGTGGTCGATACCGTTGGTCATGACCTGGTCGACCGCTTCCTCGATGGTCTCAATGTTTGTCGGATAGCTCTCTGGGACAATATCGGCCACAGGTTGCACTGGGGGTGCGTCTGACATGTGAACATCGTCCACGACCTCCATCGCTCCTTGCGCTTGCGGCTCTGTGCCTTGCTGATGTTGCCCGTTCGGCATGACATCATGGTCGAACAGAGAAACACCACTCGGCAGACTGATGCTCGGTCGAGATTCTTTCTTGGGCTTTTTGATAGTGTCGGCCTCGTCTCCAGCCCCGCTGACGCGCCGCTTCTTGGAGCTCTGGGTCCCTCGAGGGATGGGAGCCTCTTGTGCCTTTATCGGATCGATGTTTCCATGCTCGTCGTGGATGCAGCGGCGCTGAATAGGATGTTAGCTATATTGTATAGCAGAGCGCTCGACGTCCTACTTACTTTGCTCTTGCGACAGTCCAGGCAAGCCTTACTCCGTCCACGTTTGCCGTCCGGAGTCTCTTGTTGGGCTTGCCCATCGAAAGTGGTTGCAAGGGCTGCTGTGAGCTGAGGGTCCACTCTCGGGGAGCCGTTCATATGCATGCCGTTGGCGGAGCTGGGGATAACAACTGCAACCATTTGGGCGCTCTCGCGCCTCTCCCCGAGCTTGCTGGGCGTAGTAGCGTTCGGAGCCGAGACTTCATCCTTGTGCTTACATCTGATCCTGCGCCTCCGGCACGCATCGCATGCTATACGCTTAGGTCCGAGAACAGAAGTCTTGGGGGTGCTGGTGTGCTTGACAGGTTGGCTGGAAGGGCTCCCAGCAACAGTGCCCTCGGCCTCGGCATCCTGCGCCTTCTTTTGCTGTCGTGCAGAGACCCGCTCCGGAAGACGGAAAGCATCGATGAAAGCCTTGCGTTCCATTCTTTTCAATGCGGCCGCGCTGAGCTTCTTCTCTCCACCTGATTCTCCGACTTCCGGGAGGATGGCGTCCGGGTGGGCCCACTGAGGAATATCTTCGTTTCCACGCTTCCAGGCAACCCACATGGCGAAAGTCTTGATAATCTCCAGAGGATCTCCGGCCGTTTTGGGGATAGACTTGGTGACCGCATTTCGCACCTCGGCAGTGATTCCTTCGACGCGGCCTTGGGAAATCATGACCGTTCGGAAAATGTAGCTGACGAGGTCAGGCAGCCCGTCAAGCTCGCTGCGTGAATAGTATCGCGCATTGTAGTTCTCCGGGCCCAAGTCGGAATTGTGTCCAAATTTATTCGGTTCCATCCAGATCGGAGTTTCGCGGGAAAACTGTTTGCCTTCGTAGAAGAGTTGCATGACGGACTGCGGCAGAGGATCGCGGTGAAGGTACTGAAGGACCGTGTACCAGTGTACCTTTTGGAAGTGAGGGTAACGGAACTTCCTAGCCACCTTGGTGTTCTTCTCGATTTCGGCGACACGGATCTGCATGCCATAGTTGAGCCGCGTGAGGAAGTTGCCACCGATGACCAGGCTGTTCTCCGGAGTCCATACGGCGTGGATCCAACCGGACGGGATGAGCATCGTGTCTCCCTCGGACAGATCTACTCGGTAGCACTCCTTCGTTTCGTCTGCGAGAAAAGTCCAGTTCTGCGCCTGAGACAAACACCAGTCTTCGTACTTCTTGAGGTGCTGCTTCTTTGGCGGGATGAAGAAGAAGGTTTTCTTGCCCTTGATGATGTGATAGTATACTGAAGATCCTCCGAAGTCGATATGGAAGTCCGTGTAGCAATCTGCGACGGACATGAGGCAGTAGAATTGCACCTTAGGGAACACGCCGCGAGCTGTCTCCTCTTCCGGCCACACTGCATCCTGGAGATCGAGTTCGCGAACGACCTTCGGCCGCCTGATCAGGCGACCGAGTTTGCTGTGTGAGATTTCGAGGCTGATGACGTTGCGGACAGGCTTCTCGCCCTCTTCTTCGTAATAGTCCGCCCACTTACTCATGTTCCATCTCCTGTCTTCACCTTCTTGGGATTTGACATCTATAACTTCGACTTTTTCCTCGGGACCGTAAAGCTCGGCGACTCGGCGGACAGTCAACCCTTGAGGTATGACCATGTCAAGGGAGTCTTGGCCCTCATTGGCGACTGTCTCGTACTCGACATCTTCGTAGAAATCGTCAGATGGCCCTGCTTGTTGCTGAGAATCAGTTGAGACGTGGGTCGTCGTTGCTTGAGCCCCAGGAAAAGACGGTCGAGTATTCCAACATGCAGGAATCACGATGGGTTCTCTGAAACCGCCGCTCTTTTCGAAATTTTCCGCCGTGACGAGCTCCGGGCGCATCCGTGGGAAAGTCTCCGGCTGGAAGTTAAACGCACCATCCTTGATCAATTGGATGTAGTGATGTTCGTACTCGTCTTCGGAAGTACGGAAAACACCCTCGTTGAGACCGGCATAGTCTACACGAACACCTGCTTGAGCGCGTTTTGACTTCCGAACAAACGTCGTAGGACCGTACTTTGGCCTGCAAGTGCGGCAGAAATACTTATCCACACTGCTCACTTCCTTAGCATTCTTGAACCCCGCGCATGCGAAATGGTACCAATTCTGGCATCCGTTACAACCGATCCACTGGTCCTTCTGTCCGGTAGACGGTCCTCGAGAGAAATGGCAACCGGCACATATCGTAACTTCCTCCTCTGGTGCAGCTGGTTGCAGTTTGCCGGAATTTAGCGCCGGTCTGATCGTCATGGACGTCTCTGCTGGCACGGAAGACGCTCTTCCCAAATCGACCTTGTCCTCCTCTGCACTCGGCGGACTGTACATACCGAAAGAGCTACGTCGCCTGGCGGTTTCGACATCTGAACGTGCCTGTGAAATGTCGTATGTGGCAACACGCGGATGAGCGATTGTAGGCTTGTTCTCCAGAGCGGGGGGCTCCGCGGGTTCACCAGGTAGACTCTGAGGCGATTGCAGCTGATCTGAGCCACCCTCCCTGACGGGAACCAGCATGCCGTCGTTCGCGGCGGCAGCGGCCTTGCTTTTCTTTCCTGCCGTACTCTTCCGAGGGCCTCTCGGCTTGCCTTTCGGCCATCCTTGGTTGCCTTTTCCTTTTTTGTGTTCGACAGGGTCGTCGCGGATAGCGTGAGCGGTTGACGGGTCGTACGTTTCATCAGGCGGTGTGTGCGTCTGCACTGCGGATGAACTTGACGGGCCAAACTTGGCCTCGTTCATTTCTGACCCGTTGAGCAGCGGTTCAGGCCTGGGTGCAGAGAATGAATTTGCGTGAGGGCGGGGCCGGTACTGGTTCTCGGAGAACCCTTGATACTGCGTCTCTCCTGGACGATAAGCTTGCGTGGGCATCTCGTACCAAGCGGACAACCCAGTTTGGCTGTAATGAGCCTGAGGAGCAGCTATAGACCTCCGTGCGCCGCGGCCGTTGTCTATGCTGCCATTCCTCAGGCCCAGGAGGACCTGTGCGATGTCCATTTCATCGTTGTTGGTCGGAAACGAAGGATAAGCCGCTTGCTCCGGGAATAGCGAACGTCCCTGCTCGACACTGTAGGGCGGCTCAACAGCAGGAGCCTGGGTGTGACTGGTGAATGGCCTGGCTGTGGTTTGGTTGTACTGCTCGGACAGCGCGACCTCTGAGCGCGCGCGTTTGGACGGGCGCTCATCGCATCCATAGCCGTGGTCGTAACCATAGGTATAGCCCTGATTGTAGCGGTAGTTGTGACCATCCGAAGCGGCGTGCGAGTGCCGTGAGCTCGAACCAGTGGGGCGGGCAGACGTCCGTGGAGAGGGCTGGGAGTGAGGAAAGGCGGCGGGAGTAGCGAGCAGTGGACTTGGCGCCATGGAGGAGGCAATGTCGGCCAGCGCGTCTATGGGAGAGCCGTGTGAGGATGACCGGCTGCCATGGCCGTTCGTCTGGCGCGACGACTGCGCCGCCCTTTCAGCTTTTACACTGACGCTGGGCACCTTCTCAGAGCTCGCGCGCTTGCCTGTGTGGGCATTGCTGACCGACCAGCCGTAGTTCTGGAGGGCCTCGACAAGGCCGCTGGCACTGCTGTTCGGGAACAATGGACCATCTTTGTATGCGGTGGGGCAGGTAGGCGTAAGAGGCTCGACGAAACGGAGGATCGGAGAGGGCGTGCGCGGCGGTAGCGGGGCATCGGAGACGGGCTGCTTGAAGCTGGAGAGCTTCATTGTGGCGTGGATAGCAGCACGGAGGTGAGAGGGAGAGGGTGAGCGGGTGCGAAAGGACCTCGGAGGTCCGCAAAGAGGAAGACCGCCGGCTAGGGCGCGCCGAGGGCTGCAGTCGGTCGGTCAAGATGCTGGGAGGGCATTCCCGGTATGGTGAGGGAAGCGGTGCGCCCGGCTTGCAGCGATGCGCGGGGGTCGGCGGTGGTGGGAACGTTGGTGGACGAGGGGAGGTCGGCGGAAGTGGTGGTGTAAGAGAGGCAGCGCGGCTTGCGGAGGATTGATGGCACCGCACCGCAGGACGAGCAAAGGCGCATCAACAAGCGCACCAGAAACCCAGGCTCTGCGCCCGCCCGCGGCCGCTGCTCGCAGCGCCGACAGGACTTCACAAGCTCCAAAATCACGTCACACACGCACGCTGCGGGACTTTGCAGGCCTATGTTCTGCCTCCTGCTCGCGCCGTTGTTTGGTCGCAGCTCAGCACGCCGCCGCGGCCGCTGTCGCACACGCCTCCGGCGCCTACGACATCAGTTGTGCTAGCAGAACAGCTCCTATCTACTAGCTAGCTCCCCAAGGCCTGATTTCTCAGCATTGCCCGGCCTCAGCACCCATTGTCCAATCATTCCAGCCAGAGCCGCCGCTGTGCCTCCGTTGTTGCGCCTCCCGTTCCAAGCCGTGCCAGCCGCGAGTGATGGTCCTAGGAGCGCAGCGCGGGGCGCGACTGGCTTGCGGCGGGGCCGCGGTCGTGCTGGAACCTCTGCGATGCTTCGAGACGAGTGTAGGAGCGCGCAAGCAGGCGACCGACGGCGGAGCGGTTTGGCGATTGCAGCGCTCGCGCGAACCTCAAAGAGTGAGGCGACCAAGGGCGCGTGCCCTGCTGTATGTACGTACGTGATGCTCTTAACGCCCCCAACGCGTATCGTGGGTTTTGAATACACCCCCTTGCGATTCCCGATCCGCATCGCGCTCATCGGAGACGAACCGCAACCGGTTTTTTGGAGGTTCAAGATGCGTCTATTCGCGACAGCTCTTGCCTTTTTAGCTGGTCTGCGTGCGATCGCGTCGCACAATCGCACAAGTAGGACTGATGGAGTCGAGGCGGGCTCTCGTGACTGCAGCAACGCGCACGGGGGCGTGGTTACCGCGTGGACGAAAAATTACGTAATCACTTGGCTGCGCTTGGCGTTTGCCGGGCATCGACATATGCGCCAACGCCTCCCCGCCAGAGCCTCCTCCATTCACCACCTCACTCTTCGGAGTCCCACAGTCTCCCACGCATAAACCGCAACTTAATCTACTCCTGCTAGCCAAGCTATGAGTCGGCCCGGAAAGCTTGCCCCAGAAGTCAACCGGTAAGCCGCCTCGCTGCACGGCGTGACGCATTCGGCGCGCCACGAAGCTGTACATGACTTGCCTGCTAACGCGATATCTGCACAGAGCTCTCTTCGTAAAGAACCTGAGGTACGTCTCGCCTCGTCGCCACATCGACCCGACGCCATCGCCGTACTGACCGCGCTCCCAGCTACAACGTATCCCCGGAAGAGCTCTTCGACCTGTTCGGCAAGTTCGGCCCTGTTCGGTATGCAGTCTCTCCCGACCGACGTCACAAGAGTCGCCCGCGCTCCACAACTTCACCGATACTGACATCTGCGTCGTAGCCAAATCCGCCAGGGCATTGCGAACAACACCAAGGGCACCGCATTCGTCGTCTATGAGGACGTGATGGACGCCAAGCAAGCCTGCGACAAGCTCAACGGCTTCAACTTCCAGAACCGCTACCTCGTCGGTATGTCCACCACCGTTTCCCGATTTGCGAGCGCCGCCTAACGCTCGTGACAGTACTATACCACCAGCCCGAGAAGATGTCCAGGTCGAAAGATGACAGCAGCAACCGTGCGTCCGATCTAGAACCCGGCAAGACGAGGAATGGCGTCGAATAGCATGAGGCGAGATCCGCGGGAGAAAACTCCTATGGGAGCCAGGCACCCCAGGCACTGGCTGCCATGGAGCCCGTGGGTCTCACGACGACGAAGAAAACCCGGACGACGACTGTACGCTTCAGCATGGATACCAAGCCGGCGGCGTCGGCTGCCAGCAGCATCACTTCATCTTCTTCTTCATCTTCTTCCACTTCGACTAGCAAGCGGACTTCTGGGGTTTCAACTTCGAGCGGCAACATGCACCAGCAGCGGCCGAAACTTTCCAAGCGGGGTCCAGGTTGGGATTCTGCTCATAAGCTTATTACACGATTCACCTGGTCGGCGTTGAGGGGTTCTCAGGCTCAGGCGGTTCGCGGATGAACAAGCTCTTCCAGTAGCTTTGATACGGGCATTTCCGAACTTGCTTAAATGGGTATTCCCCAGTTCTTTGCAGATTAAGAGCGCTGCTCAGGGTATGCAGCTTTTCCTTCACAGATTGAGTAGGGCAGACAAATCAAGGATTGCCCGACGGTGGCATTGCAAAGTTAAATAATCACGTGCACACGGAAGCATCTCTGGGACCTTCTACTCATGAGCTACAGGAAAGAGGTTTGCACAAATTCTGAGACAGGGTCCTTGCACACAGAGCGGGAGGACCCGTGCAGAAGTGGTTGTCTTGGCTCTTAAGACATGTTTACCCGAATAGGAAATTTGACGACACATCATCTGGCTCGTGTGATATTTTGCGAGCTGAGCCTTGGGCGATCCTTTCTACCGGGATTCACAGTACCCGTATTGCATTTAAGCATCAGACATTAGTCTACTGGCATCTAATTGGGGTCGGCGCAAAGATTAGGCTCTCCAAGCGTCCAGCGCTATACTTCAACGAAATCACTTCCCAGAGCCAACTAATCTTAACAATCATCCGCAATCGTTCAACGCCTCCGGGTGAACCCTCACGTTTGAAATTATCTACAAACGGCAGTCGAGCTGACAGGTATTCATTTAGAATCGACAAGTCCGATACGTACGTTTCCATTTCATTCAAGCCGGTTAAGATAGGATTGCTTGAAGCGGTAGCTCAAGTGGCGCATGTGCATCTGGGCAGGGTCTCATATTGATTTGTCATACATTAAAACGGTCTTGTACCGCGCTAGCGGCTGGAGGCGTTAGATAAAATCGACGACATGCGCTCTAATATTTATGCATTTGCACCCTCAATCACGCAGCACAGATGGTTGCAGAAGATTTGACCTTCGCGGATTCGTCATACTTTACGAGATATGCTACACTCGACTTTCGCGGGAAGTTGAAGTCAATGTCCGGACTTGTACTCATGGGCACAGTAGATACATTTACAGACAGATCGAGAAAAGAAATGCCGTATATTTATCTGCAAGCGCAACAGGGCACGCGCTACAAGACGGTGTACCAGCTAGCCTCTACAAGGGTAATACTTTCCCAGCTACTATTCTACACGTGTCTGACAAAACTAAACCAGACGCAAACAGACGTGCGCATGCGTGAAAGGAGTGGGAAGAAGATCAAAGAAAGTCCAGAGCATAAGTACTTCGAGAAGCTGGCTAAAGGAATAGAAAATCCCAGTGAACAGGGCGCTCCAACATTGGCGAATGCTAGACGCATACTCTGGTGGTAGATGATTCGGGAGCAAGTAAGATAAATAAAGTGGAGGACTAAAGGCGATTACACGTGCTATCGCAGCACATTTCCCAGAACAATCACTACTTCACCACCGTCACGGAATAGGCGCTCGGCGCACAACGATAACAATCTTCTAAGAGCAGAGTGCCGGAGACTAATAATATTGGGACGCGGTCAGAAGCCTACCCAATTCGTGGTGAAGAGAGGAAGGAAACACCCACAGAGGCTACGAGAATGAAACGATTCATACTTTGGTGTCATGTTAATGGATGTTGCAGGACGAACCACAGGTCAGGTGTTAAGAAACTCTAAGAAATCGGAAAGAATACGGCAGATAGCCACAGAATGCCGCACAAGTTTCCGATTCGGCTGGGCGAGAATTAGGATCGAACGGCGAGGCTGAGACAATTGCTCGAGATTCATCTCCGCCAGGATTGGGAAATCCAACGAAAGACTTTAGCCAATCCCTACACTTGAATGCAAGATGATAGCTTCTGTCCTTCCGGTCGCCGCCTGAGCATCCCAAGCCACGGCGAGAGCAGCAGAGTACTGGACAGCTGCAGGATGATATCCTTTACTCTCTTGTCAAAGAACTGACCAAAAATACAACGAGTTTGTTTGCATGAAGCTCTCTTCATTTGGTATGGTAGGTAGACTTGGCAGGCTGACGGACCAAAGGTAGAAGGGAAAAAAAGGCAAAAAACTATGCCTTTCGGCACAGAAACAGGCTCTTCGAGGACCGCCTGTTTTTTCCTCGTTACACCCACCCAGCCGTACCCCACCCTCGCGTGCGGCGGCCAAGTCACAGCTTAAGCAGGGAAGGCGTCTGCGTCGATTCCCCACTCGTTACTGGTATTCTTGGCCGGGCTTATGACGGGAAGCTGACTTGTTTAATATTTATAGTAAACATTACCCTGTCTATGTTTCACTTGACACCGCCCGCTCAAGAAGATATCTGATCACCTTCGCATTCCGTGCCGCCAGGCTTAGCATCCACCGGCTCACTCACCTCACCACCTACCAACATAACACTTCACCCCGTGCTTCGATCGCGACTCGGCCTGCGCATCAAGCTCCAGTCTCACCCGCCGACGGTACCGGTCGTAATCTCCACGGTCGCCTGCACACGCGCGCATCCAAACAAGGCCCAGATGCCCAGAGCAGGAGTCGCGTCATAGTTTGAAAACTTCTTTGCCACCACACTCTTACTACATCAGCACCTACCTCAGCAACCACAGTGACAGCACGCAGGAAGCATGTCTGCCACATTAGATTGACCGGCCATAGTCTCACCGTCACCGCCATCACCGCCGTCACCGCCGTCTTCAGCTTCAGCGAAGAAGAACAGGTTGAGGATTGGCCATCAAGAGCAACAATCCGGAAGCCATGAGAGAATCAACAATCGACGTCGAAGATAACGACGGCTACGAGCGCACCTCACCGCCAGCCAGCACCCAACCGCAGGACGGCGCAGAGAGCTACGACAATACGAAGGAACCTGGCATGAATACCAGCGGATCGCCAAGGCTTGGACCTGCAGCAGGTCTACTTGTGACTGCTGTTACCTAACCTCGACACCGGATAAAATCTGCAGCCGTTAAAACCCCGGGTTGCTCTAAGCTATTGTCTTTACTAGGCCCACGCCACAGGTTGACGAGCGCGAAGCGCAAAGGATTCAGGACAGGCTACAAGCAGCCTTTGACAGAAATCGACAAAGATCAAGCTACGCTCGATAATCTCAAGCCTGATCGACCCGCCGTGCCCTCAGCGAGCACAGTCAAGATTACCCGAGCCTCCGGCGCTGACCCCAATTCCACTGCCAGATACCCAAACGACTGGAACCAGGATGTTTTCCCAACATCCCCAATCGGGAAGTTCTAGCCGATGCATTATTTGGATTAAACTCTTTCTGCAGTCTTTCTCAGACCGCGAACCCCGAGGCAGAAAACGCTGAACAGATGAGGAAGAGCGAGGCTTCTCGTAAGGGATGGGAACCGTAGCCGGCCAAAGAAGAGGTCGAGAAGAAAAGGGCTGAGGAAGCGCGCAAGTCCGAGGCTGCGCTAAAAGGATGGAAAACTCGTCAAGCCCAGCAGGGTGCAGGAGGGCTACCCACTCTTACAAGCATCAAGAAAGCCAGGCCAGGAAAAAAGGGCGGGCCGTGGTCAGACACATCTGACGAAGAATCATCACCTTCAGGTGGTAATGCGAAGAAGAGGAAACTGGAAGGACACGGAGAGGATGAAGGACAGGACGAAGCACAGCACTAGACAGTGCTAAGCCGTGCAGAGCACATCTACGGAATTCTGCTCAGCAAGAAGAATCCTCCGCAGAACAATTCGCTCTCCCTCTTCTTTCAGTCCCTTCCACAAGTGATGCACAAGAACAGTCCTTTGCCTGGGTTCCTCGAGGCTTTCAAGCAAATAAGGAGAATGTCTGAAATCCCTATGCTTGACTTCGAACGCAACTACAGATATCCGTTTTTTTTTCTTTACAAATGACGACATACATGAGTAGTTGAAGCTACCATCCGGACGCAAATGTATTATTATTAATTAGACATTTACGTCCGGACAATCGCTTCAAGTACCCACGATATGTGCCTTTTTCTATCTTTCAACACTTCTTTTTTTTTTTTTACGAATAACGACATATGTGGGTAGTTGAAGCTATCGTCCGGACGCGAATGTTTCATTATTAATTCGACATTTACGTCCGTACGATAGCTTCAACTACCCATAGAATGGGTCAATTTTTTTTTAAAAAAAAGAAATAAACAAGGCTCTGAGTGTGCATGGGTAGATTAGTGAAGTGACGCGGAGTTGAAACTTTATCTATGCCAGCCTAAGCCGCAGCCATCTGACGTGAATGGGAAGTATCACATGTCATAAGCGCGTATGCGCCATAAAAGGAAGCTACGAGGCGTAATGCGAGCTCAAAGATAAAAGCTCATCTGACCTCCGCATCCTCTCTCTCTCTTCTTCTTCCTCAACTTCTCTCTACCCGCCACCTACTTGGATCTTACACTTTCATCTTGGTCCGATCTACCCCGTCAGCTCTCTCGGACATCTACAATTACTCGCTCCTCGAGATTTCCAGGTCCGCGCCTCACTTTGACGACTTTTACACTGCTCCTGTGCAGCTGTCCTTACTGAACCTGCGCCTCACCCTCTACGCCTTGCCTGACACAGCCTCTCTGCTGTTGCCCTCGCCACACCATGGACAGACCGGCTCACCGTCTCCTTGACGGCCAAGATGCCTTTGAAGATGCGGAATATCTGGTGATTCTCGATGAAGTACCAGAAGCGGCGATTCAAACGAATGCACGGTTCAGTAGATCTTCATTTTAGATGGCTATCGATGAAGCCTGGCCACGAAGAATCCAGACATTGGGGGAACTTAACGGAGCCTATAACGCATTCATTGAGAATGGTGAGTCTTTTACAGATATCAGTCCAACTCCTGCTAATGTATCCTATAGTTAGTCCGATTCTAGGTGAGCCACCGAATACTTCTTGGTCCGAGCAACTGCAGACCGAAGTACGACTTCAGCACGACCGCGATCGACAGCAATGAGAACAACAATGGGCTGCAATCCTACTGCAGGCACGAGAGGAATATCATGAAGCTGAAGTTCAGCGGCATACTGAATACCGGCTACGGGCACACGAGGCAGCTCGCCAGCGTCAGGAACAGCGACAGGCACAAGAGGCAGCTCCCAGCTTCAACTCGAAGCACAGCAGCGGGCTGAATCGCAGCTTCGGGCTGAAGAAGCGGCTGCTGCTGAGAAGAAATGTCGGGCTGAAGAAGCGGTTGATGCTGAGTTCGAACGCTTGGCTGCTGAACAGGCCCGCAGTGAAGAGGAGCAACGCCTGACCCAAGAAACAGAGTTCTGACGCAAGCTCCAAGAGCAGCAGAAAAAAAAAATCAAATGCAAGCGAGAAAGCCTGGGAGACACGTCGGGCCAAGGAGGCAGAAGCTCTAGGACGGGCAGAACGAGAGAGAAAGGCTGAGAGAGGCCGAAAGGCATGGGAAACACGATGAGCCAATGAGGCGGCTAGAAAACCAGCCCGGGAAGCTCAAGCTGGAGGTGCTGGAAACAGTGGAGCTGGTGGGCCCTCAACGGCAGAAAACGACGAGAAAGGGAAGCACCGCAAGAGGGACTTCACGCCAGGATCCAATGCGTCAGATGCTGGTAATCCAAGAAAGCAGCGACGTTCGGGCTTCGATGAAAATGAGGAGCATGAGTCAAATGTCCAAGCATCCGCCTATGCGGATGAGGTGCATAGAAGACTGACGTCTCAACAGCACGCTTCTCAATGCCTTCCTCTTGTGAACCACCCGTATAACGTTTCTCTAAGCTTGGTAGAACTTTTTTTTTTCGTTAGGAATTAAAAATTCAACATAAGTGGATATTTGAAGCTAACGTCCGGACGCATTTGTGTAATTCTTAAATTTACATCTACGTCGGGATGTTAGCTTCAACTTTCCACAGTGGAGTATAATCTGGGTCGTGTGGAATGGATTAACACTAAGTATATTTTTAAGAAAAGTGCCTCCACTAAAAAACTAAACATTCGAGGGGAGTTGGAGCGAATGTCCGGACGTATTTGTACATTTTTAATTTCAACATCCGCGTCCGGACAATAGCTTCATCTACCCACGGAAGTATAAATATTTGGTGAAATAGATTTGGGAACGTCAGTGTGTCTTAGAATGGGCCATGCTGTATTTTCTTCGCTTGAACAATGCGGTAGAGTGCTTCTGACATAGCCAGAAGTGATGCCCAGGAATGCGCCAGCCGGAACACCAACGATGGAGCCCACCTTATCTCCAAACTCAACAACTGATCATGCAAGGTTTTGTTGTGCCTCAATGTTGTATCCTTGGCCTGTGAGGCCTAACATATCTAAGGTTCCAACATAGCGGTGATAAATCTTTCAGTTGCTGAGGTGCCGGGACCGAGCCTCTACAGGTTTTGCCCATTTCGAAAACCATTCGCCGTCTTAGTCAGCTACACTGAGGGATCCAACTCCCTTCAGCCGAACTCTACTCCAGACTTGGTTGTACGCTTTAGTGAATTCTTTGGCCCACTCAAAGAAGTCTGCTTCCTCAAAGGCCTTCATAGGCAGTTTCCTCAAGGCAGCGTTAAGAAGGGGGCCGCGATGAATGATGATCCAGCGGTATCTGGAACCTTCCGAAGTGCGGCAAGCCTCATGAGTAGAGCCTTCTCATAGCTCACATGTTGAGGGAACGGCGGGACCTGCGATCCATCGCTGATCATGAGGTACTCGCTGACCAAGGCAGTCATTACTGCTATTCCCTTACCCTGGTTATCTTTTTCGTCGCCTTCTTGACTTATAATATCCCAAAGCAGAGATCTTTGTAGTTGAGGCGAAGAGCTACTGCTTGAGCTGCATATTTCTCCTAAGCAACGGCATTGACGGTGTCTGTGTCAAAGTCGTGTTGTTCTAACCTTTGGTTAAGGTCGTCCATGGCGGCCTCGTCTGTCCTGAGAACCGCATCGATAGTTACCTGCTCTTTCATCGGCCTGAGGATGTCTGCTGCTTTCCTCATGTTGGTGGACATCTCTAAGAAGCCTGGTAGGGGGCTATTCTTCGGGTGGTCCACAAGAGGCAGATATGAGAAGCGTGCTGATGTCCCTTGCTTGCTCTGAGGATGTTGTTGAGGCGTCAGCATTCCATGCACCTTATCCGCATAGGCCTTGACGGTCAAAGTCGATGCTCGGACACTTAAGTAGTTCTCGTTTTTGTCGAGTCCACGGCGTCTTTTTCTCAGACTTTCGTTCTTATTTACTTGTAGCAGAAGTGCGAAGTGAGCTGAAGACCCCAGCTCCCTCTGAGTATGTGGAGCTTCTTTTGTTTTTTTTTTTTTTTAAAAAAAAAACGGCACATATCATGGGTAGCTGAAGCGATTGTCCGGACGCAAGTGTCGAATTAATAATGATACACTCGCATCCGGACGATAGCTTTAAGTACCCCCATATGTCGTTATTCTCTTTTTCTCTTTTTGTAGAAAAAAGTGAATCCGCAAAGCTTAGAAACATTATTTCTTCTACCTTGTATTCGCTTACTTCTGCAGGGGTTTTATCCGTGACCATGTCGTACTGAAGGCAGAATCCGATCAGGAGCACGGTCTTCTGGCCACGTAGTTGGTTGAGCTGCTCTTTGGTCTTCTAGTAGAAATTTAAAATGTCTGGAGAGGGGAGGGCCGCTTTAAAAACATCGATGTCGACGTTCTATGAGATTTGTAAGGTGCTCTCGGCGTCTTCGCTCTGCAGAAGCTCGAGATTTAAGCGGTGGTGCTAGGCGAAGGCTCTTAGTTGGCTCGCTGAGGCTGCAATCTCCCTAATACGTTGTTTCTCGGGGCTTTTAAGCTTTCTCTAGAAACTCGTCTGCTAAAAAGAGGTATCGGTTAACGGATCTAGCGTGATAAGGTTGGGGCTCCGGCTAAAAGCTGGTGCCCGGATCGTGCACGATAAAGGGATTAAGGTATGCAGCGTTAGATAAGATTGGGCCGAGAAAGGGTGGTGGTTGAGTGACGACGCGGGCTCGAGCACGGATGCTCGGGTTGGCTCGGTTTAGTAGAAGGGAAAGAGCCGCTTAAAGCTTGGCTGGAACCCTTAGGGAAGTCGGATCGTTCTGACGTTACCGTTGCTGCCTATAGAGAGGAGGGTAACCGCGGAATGGCGAGTCGATCTGAGGAGTAGGGACGGCGAAGTTAGAAAGCGAAATGAGATTTGGCGCCGGCTGGGAGATCGCGCGGCTCGCTCGCAAGGCGGGCTCTTAGGAAATCTAGCGGGCGATAGTATTGTGCTACGATTGTAGCGTAATAGTGCGCGAGTGATGATGGAGGGGGATAGTCCTATTCAACGCGGTTGGGAGAGGTTGGTCCTCGACGCGTGATGGTGGCGAAAGAAAGTTTCGCGACAAAGGATCGTGTAATCGCAGCTATCAGAGCTGCTGCGGCACGGACTCTGGCTGAGAATGATGAATGGATTGATGGTGGAGGGTCGACTGGGTCGACCCGACAGCTTTAAGGTATGCAGCACCTTTTTGGGGCTTTTCGCGAATCCATAATTCAAGGTTGATTGTCTTGGTCCAATCCTTCCTATCGGCGTTCTAGCAAACATCAGAATCCGTGATCTCAAGCATAGTTGGCAACGTTACCCAGACAGCTTGCTTCTGCTTCACTGCTTCCAAAATTTTGTCTCTTGTCATTGGACCCTTTTCACAAAGGAGTTGCCGAAGATCGCCATCTCCGCCATAGCCAGGCTCCACCTTGATCCGTGGCTCATCCTTGTTCTTTGGAAGAACAGACGTGAAATCAAACGACTCAGCTGGGTCATAGGCTTAGTCGTCTAGGGCATAGGGATGTGCATCAGTGATGCTGTTGGGCCTGCCCTGCTCGGCATCACTGGTGTCTGGGATTTCCCGGACTTGGACGCTTTAGTTCGGCCTTAGTTGGTCACCTTGCGTTCTGAAACACGCGTCGGAGGGTTGCTTTTCTGCTGGGTTTCTGTCGGGATGGGTGGGATGAAAAAGAACATGTTATGGGGAGGTGAAGCTATCGTCCGGACGCATATGTAAAATTATTAATTCGACATCTACATCCGGACGATAGCTTCAACTCCCCACATGTGTCGTTTAAGGATCTTGAAGCTCTGTAGGAGGTCCAGTTCGTATGCCAGTTTGCCGATTTTCTGCTGGATGACGAACGGGCCCATTCTCTTACGGCTAAATTTGCGGTTGGCGTCTGTGCTACCAGCTTTTCTTTGAATGGGATATTGCAGCAGGGCGCCTGTCATTGGATCCAGCGGGTAAATCCTTTCAGTGTTCCAGGCGGTGATCCTGCGTTCCTTGACCGTTTCGATATATGGCTCGTTCTCTGGATGCGTGTGGGACGGGTCTCTGGGGCCATACAGCAACCTTTCGTTTCCGTATGCAGCGAACTGGCTCTTTACTGCCTTGGGCCACTTGTCTGCTGGATCTATCCTCTCAGAATCCATCTTACCGAAGTTTGCCACCTTGTACTCGTAGCCGTCTGGCGCGAAACCTGTGGAGGTTGATATGTTCTGCTGGCTCAGGGCTCCCTCATGCTGTCTTTTGAGCTTCCTGGCATTTGTCAATAATCTGAAGTCTTCAGTCATGAGGTCCATGTCGTACAAACCACAGAAGACGTGTCCGTTGTATGCGCCGAAGACGAAGTCTTCTTTCCGCGCAGCTTTTTGAGAGACCATGACAACCTGATTATTGATTCGCCGGAAACAAGAGCTATAGCATTAGCTCGGAAAACGGCCGGAGCGTCACGCGCTGTGAGTTGGGTTAGTTGTAGGTGTGCGGCACTGTTTAAATGAAGTGACCAGGTTGCAGCTGGATGAGCCTGATCGTGGAGCGCAAGAGAGAGCGAAAAGATACGGTGTCAGGTGAGTGAGGTCCGGAAGTGAGAGGATGAGGCAAAGTGGGCGGAGCGGGAGTCAAGAAGTTACGCTGTAGGGTAGGCGCCGGTAGGTCGTGACTGCCGCCTCGCCTCTCAAAATGCAACGCCTCGCATCGAAAATTCCACAAAGCATGAGCTGCGATTGGCTGCTGCTCATGCACGCGCTCGGTACAAAATTTCCTGCTGTATATCCTCAAGATTCCCGTGGTACTACTTCAGAGTAGCAACATGATGACTGTGCTCAGGAGCTCCAACGTCCGTGATTGCGGTGAGGTAGTTCCCTTTAAAGCTATCAAGTAAGCTCCTCTCACCCTCCCTGGGTCTATCTCGTAAGAAATATTACATCCCACGTACGTGAGTGGAGGCAACTATTCGAATGGAACTGTATGACTTGAAAACAACACAAGTGCATCTGGACGGAGGCTTCAGCTGTTCAGCTAGGTGATAGTAATTATTTTTCGGCGAACGTGTCCGGGAGGGTAGAACTTTGGTGAGCTAGTCTGGCTGGCGTTATTAGTGGTTGGGTCAGCCACTGCACAGAAAAATTTCCGGAAGAACCGTCCAATAAACGCTACCATCTCACATAATCGAACCGCGCCACTATTCTTTATAGCCACATCTCACTTTTTCTAGTGTTAGCTCATTCGCGAGCTGAAATGCGCGTGCACAGCCTCGTATACCGAAGAAAAAAAAAAGGATGGAAGTAGTGTTCCACAAAATTTTCACACCACCAACGCTCGAACCGGAAAAGTGTGATCGTTACGGATGCGAGACGAAGGACGGATCTCTGCCCGTAATCGCTTGCGCATCCGTAGGATTCCGATGTCTAGACCCAGACGCTCAGTCCACACGCACACATGCATTCGCCCCGCCGTGGGAACACGAAGTGAATCTCCCGGCGCGCCCGCGCCTTCAGCCCTACGAGTACGAGAAACAGTCGGCAAAGCGGGGTTTCCGTGCTGATCCGGGGTAACGGGCAACGATGAGCAAGGGCTCAAACTAAAATTTCACCGACTCCAGTAGTGCGAGCCCCGCCGTTGGCGCAGCACCCTCATCGCCTCATTCCTCTTCGAGCCCGGTTCTTGGTTACGGAGAAATGCAAAAAAAAATTTCTTTAGCATTGTCGCATGGTAAGACCTGGCAAGGCTTTGAGGCGCAGGGAAGGGCAGCGAAATTCCGTATCCCACGCCAACGCTCGTGTAACCCCAGCACGCCCAATTTCGCATGCCCCTCAATGCATACCAAAGTAGCTACCGTGACCGTTACTGGCGAAGGCAGGATTCCTTCTTGCCAAGAGATAAGCACCTTAAAAGAAGATGAGATGAAGATCGAGCTCCCCTAACGGGTATCGTGCTTATTCCTGAGAGAGGATCTAGAACTTGTTGCTGGTCCTTAGCATAAAATTGCATATCTCTTTGCTAACGTTTTTCTTTTGTCAATTTTTTCGCCTTCAATTCGGGCAAGTGAAAGGCACGGACAGTGGCCGGCGGCAACACCAACACCAAATTGGCAGCTCCCGCAGAGCATCACCGGAGAAAACGTGCCGTTCCCGCGGATTGCCAGCTGTCGCCCCGTGTGGTGCATGCCCGGGTACTTCCCGTTCCCTAGTGCACTCTGCAGCCCTACCGCAGGCATGCTTGGGGGATGGACTGCACACGTACCCCTCGCTCTCTCCTTTCCGTTTCGTTTCTTGTAGATCGATTGCGTCACTTGAGACATCCTGAAATTCCCGGCAGATCACCTAAAACGGTCTCTTGGGAACGCTTAAATCAATTTTTATCTCTGACGCACCCACCCCTTCTCATTATCTCCGGTTGGGATCTGAGACAAGGCCCTTGGTGGAGCAATCGATAAGTGGGAGGCCCGAACCACGGTAATCCGTGCGATAGGCCCAACGGGACGAGGAAAGTGGAGTGGGGATGCCATTAAATGGTAGGGCGGTCCGTTCTGTGCATTGACAGACCCATCACCGCGCCACGTTTCAAGAAGCCGTGTGACAAGGCAGAACTGTGACATCATCCGTGGCTAAGTGAAGTACAATGATCCTGTCGTAAGTGTTGAATTTGGAATTTCAGAGAGACATCCAGGGGAAGGCTTGCGCTACTCACATAAAGTGTTAAACCTCATTCTGGTCAGACAGATAAGAAGGACCAAGTCCCTTGCGATCCAGTGTGCGGCAGAGTTAAGCCGGCTTTTTTCTTGGTCCGGCATGGCAGTAAACATTGGTGACTTGGTAAAGCTTGTGCAATGGATTCCACCCAAGCCCGGTTGAAGTCTCGTCTCCACCGAGTGGGCACCGGAGTTATCACCCTGACTGTTTTCATTATGCCTGGTCCGAGACCCATCATCCCTCGCCCATGGCCATGAAACGTTCGGCACATGCATAGCGTGCCACGTCACAAGGTCCGCAGTTGACCGGAACAAACCGTTTGACACTTCTCATTCTTTGAATCAGGGGGAAGCTTGGAGCAATAATAGCCCTACTGAAAGTCATTTCTCAACTTGCAGATGCAGATGCAGTTTGTCACGATCATGATTCTCGACTTTATGTCTCACGCATAGCATTGATCTAGCGTCTACAGAGCTGACTAGTGGTGTGCCCTGATATCATCTACCTCCCCACCCTCCACGAAATGTATCTTTTTTTAGTTAAAAAATTGTAAAGCTGCATGTGCATGCCAAAAAGGGAGGAAATTCGTGCACACCGCAGAAAGCATCCGAAATGCATCACAAACCCCGAGAACCTGTCTAGTCATTCGCTGAATGCCCGCCAAAAGCCCAAAGGTTTCTTATTCTTAACCCTCGTCCAGAATTCGCCATCAATCGTGTCTATCTCATCTTACACTGTGTCTTCAGACCCAGCGGTCATACCGGGGTATCAAATTTAGCGACCGCCGTTCATGACATTCCAGTACTGAGGACCGGCCTCCAGGCGCCTCTCAGTGTTCTGGCGGCCGTTGACGAAGTCGGGGTAGTTGAGGGTGAGCTCAACGGCGCCGTTGACGATGTTGTCGGCAGCCTCGACACCGAGCATGAAGGAGTGATCCTGGTTGCCAACCTCGTACTTCCACGAGCCGAAGCGGCCGCGAGACCAGATGTCCTGGGCTTGAAGTCTGGGCAAGATCTGCTTCAACGCGCCGTCACGCTCAAGGCTGGGAGTGGGGTAGCCGTGGTCGAACTTGCGGTGGTAAGTAGAGACGACCTCGTCGGTGGGCTTGAGCATCTCAGTGTTGATGAGACCCTGGATGCAGTCCTTGAGGAGGTTGGCCTCGTCAACGGGCTTCATGCCGGACTGGGAAACCTCCAGCATGATGGACCAGTAAGGACCCTCCTTAGCGTCAGAGCTCTCGGGCTTGTCGCCGTTGGCCAGGTACAGGGTGGGGAGCTTCTTGGAAGCCTCAGGCTGGTTGTAGGGGGAGTAGTTGGAGAAGATGGTGGCACGGTAGAAGGGGCAGTTGTCCTCGGGGAAGTACAGCCAGCACTTGTCACCGATGCGCTCGGGGCGCTCACCACGGATACCAACACCGATGACGTGGGTGCTGGAGTAGTAGAGCTGCTGGGTGATGCCGTACAGCTCCTTGTCGCCCATGGCGGTGGCGAGGTGGTCAAGAGCCATGGTGTTGATGAGCTGGTTGTACTTGACAACGGTGCCATCCTTCAAGGTGACCTTCTTAGCAGCAGCGTCGACCTTGGTGACGGTGGAGTTCTCGCCGAAGCGGGTCTTCTCCTTGGGGAGGGTGTTGGCAACGGCAATCCAGATACCACCAGTACCGTCACGGGCAGGGAAGCGGAAGGTGGCGTTGGGGCCCCAGTTACCGGCAGCCTTCTGGAGGATGACGTTCTTGGTAACGGTCTTGAGGTCGGGGGCAGCGACACGCTCGCCGAGCCACGAGCATTGCATCTGTTGGGCTTGTCAGATCGATCATCGTCCCCTCACGCGGGATCTGCAGCACTGACCTTGGTGGTGGGCACGGCCCAGACCTTGTAGTTGTACGGCCTCATGAAGAGGTCGGCAACGCCAGTACCCATCATGCGGACAATCCACTCGTCGAAGTCCTTGGGCTTGGAGTTGGAAACACGGGCCTCAAGGGCAGCGTCGATCATGCCGTCCATGCACTTGACCTGCTCCTCCTTGGGAAGCATGGAAATGTTGTTCTGGAACGGGTACGGGACCCAGAGGCCCTGGCAGCGGACGTAGGAGATACGCTGGTGGGTGTACCAGTCGGACTCCTTGGGGAGAGCCTCGTCGATGCAGTCATCGAAGTACTTGTAGTGGGAGAAGATAACGTGGCCACCGACATCGTACAGCTGTGAGGGGCGCGTGTCAGCACTGCGGCGGGCCCAATTGCGTGGGAGGGGGACTCACGAAGCCCTCGGGGGTGACATCGGTCGAGGCGAGACCGCCAGGAATGGGGTTGGAGTCGACAATCAGCCAGGAGGGGCCGTTCTGCAGCGAGCATTAGCTGAATTCCTCGATGGCGGGGTAGCCGGCGGCGGCGGGGAATGCTCACGAAGTGGTTGAGACGCTTCGCAGCACCGAGACCCGTGGGGCCAGCGCCAATGACGAGAACGTCGACGTTGCTGTTGCGGACGGTCAGCATGCAGAGGGGAACAGCAGCGGCGAGGCGACGGACATCTCTTCCTTGCTCATGGTGAATCCGGTGGCGCTCTGGAGAATTTCTTGAAAACTCGGGACACGCTTGAGAGTGTTGCGGGCCAAGTTCAGCATGCGAAGGGCTGCGGAGGCGGGTTTATAACGAGTGAGGTGGCAGCAGAAGGCGGTGGAGGGGAGGGCTGTCT